CAGTACGCAGACCCAGTATAGGCCTAGGTACCAGCAGCAGCAGCAGCAGCAACAGTACCCCGTTTCACAGCAGAACTACCAAGCTCAGTACCAGACCCAGTACCAGACTAACCCGCCCCAGTCTCAGGATTCTCAGTCTCAGATCTCGCAGCCCTCGCGTCAGGTCTACACGCAGTACCGACCTCAGCCACAGCGATTTGGCCAAGCCCAGGCAGCTCCACAAGCTCCGCGAGGCCAGCTCCTATTGACGGACAAGCCACATAATCCATCACAGAACGATCGCCAGGCATATAACCGCCCCAGGGCCCTCCTCGCAGATGCCAACCCGGGTGACGAGGATGAAGCTCAGAACCAATCGCGCTCCCCCTATGTCGAGGATGAACCGTTTGATGACTCATTCGAGTCTGAGCCCTACCAAGCCGATGACCAATATGACCTCTACGACGACGGCTACGATGTTCCACGAGATGGACCTGGTGATTTCCCCGCCTTGGCCTGCGCCCCAGATGAAGAAGTCATCGTGTCCTGTTTACAGTGTGACACCGCTTTCCCCTCTAACAATCAGCTTCATGCTCACTTTGAGAGTTGCCGACCGAAAGCGGCTGCTCCGATTGATCCAGTTGTGAATTTCGCAGCGTGCTCAGTCCCGATCATTAGCTCGTCGGCTCAGCACACACATGACAGCGGCTACGCGTTCCGGTCATGGCGTTACGCTACTGCCACAGTTGGCCTGATGGCCCCCGACCAAGTGGTGACCTCCTGTCTTGATTCTGGCTGCGTTATGACTTTGATCGACACCAAGCTCGCCAAGTCTCTCGACACGACCATCCAACGGATTTCGCCCCCGATCCCAGTCTCAGGAATCGGCTCCAAGCATATGTCAAGCGACTACATCACTATCGATTTATACATGCTGGGCCAGCATGCCACGTGTGGCCAGGCCGCTGCTAAGCTGACTATCGAAGCGCACCTCGTTGACAATCTCAAAGCTCAGTTGCTTATCGGCATGGACATCATGGGCTCCGAGCAGATATCTCTAGACTTCAAGCACCGCCGAGCAATCATTGCATCTTGTGATGATATCGCTGTCCCAATAGGCATCTGTGCTAAACCAGACCACGTTGAGAACCGACCGGTTTACGCTTCGAAGAGGACCACGATCCTGCCTAAGCAATCTGGCAGAGTCCCGGTCAAGGTTAAGACCACCTTGCCGCGTGACCGCGACCTAATATTTGATCCCCAATTGCCCAACGCCGCTAAGCTGCAAGCATTCGCTCAGTTAGTCGACTCGAACATCACGCATGTCGATGTCTTCAACGCCTCCGCCGACCCTGTGGTCATTAGCGATAGGGCCAGGATCGGTTTCTTGTCCGAAACTGACTACACTATGGCGTACCAGGTTCACCCTGAGATCGCACCTTTGTGCCTCACAGGCGGACCATCGCCAGTGGACTCCCGTGAGCTGATCGCGCCGCCGAACCCCCCCGCTGGCCGCCACCCTGGCTCCACCGAGGTGACACTCCCTAATGGCGTTACTGCCTATGGCACCACCGATGAGATTCAGAAGATACAGGGCCTCGTGGAAGGATATGACATTTGGTCTAGACCAGGCCTTGTCAATCTTCCCCAAGATCAGTGGATGCGCTTGCCCCTCATCCCCAACGCCAAGCTGCCTCGCAATCAAGTTTATAAAGTCGGTACCGAAGCACAAGCCACTATTGACAAGGTTTTCGACCAGCTTCACGATGAAGGGAAGATGGTTTGGGCGACCAACCACGCGCCTAGCGCATTACCTGTGTTTGTCGTCTACAAGCCAGTTTACGACAAGGATGGCAAGAAGACGATGGCCGCTCGCCCCGTCATCGATGCCCGGTCACTTAACAAGGCCTTACAACCCGACCTCTACCCTGCGCCAAATCAAGACGATATCATCCAACTCGCCCTTGGCAAGCCGTTCGTGTCCATCATCGACGCCGCCAAGTGCTACTACCAGTGGCGGGTCCACCCCGATGATGTGGGCTTACAGGCAGTCATCACCCATCGCGGCCAGGAACTCCTGCTGGTTGCCATTATGGGAGGCATGAACTCAGGCGCGTACGTGCAACGGCAGATGGATAATCTTTTCCGCGCTTGCCGGCATTTCATGCGCACATACACCGACGACAGCTTCGTGGCTGGCATGACTTTTGACGAACACCTCGACCAACTTCGCCAGGTGTTCGATATCTGCCAAACTGCAAATATCCGGTTAGACCCAAAAAAGGCTCGTCTCTGTTTTCCGTCCCTCACATTACTGGGTAAAGAGATAGACTCGGTCGGCATTACTACCGATGCTCACAAGCTGCGTGCTATCACTTCCCTATCCTTCCCACGCACCTGTAAGCAGCTGGAAACATACTTAGGTATGACTGGCGACCTGCGTCATTTCATTCCGCATTACGCACGCATCGCTGAGCCGCTCCAACTACGCAAAACCGCTTTACTGAAGGGATCACCAGTCAAAGGAGGACCGCGCCGTGCTTGGAGCAACCGCAGCGTTATCGACCGCCCGAGTAACGCTGAGCTGGAAGCTTTCACCGCACTCCAGAATGAATTCCGGAAGCCAAAGTGTCTTGTACATCATGACCAGTCGAAGCAGTTATATATTGACATTGACGCTTCTAAAGAGGGAGGTTTCGGCGCCATGGTCTATCATGTCGAGGACGATTTCCAACACGACTTGGCTAAGCCACCCCCGCCTCCTAGGATTCGCCCGATCCTTTTTCTAAGCCGCCTCCTTACTGGTGCCGAGACTAGGTATTGGCCCACTGAGCTGGAAGTTGCCTGCTTGGTCTGGACACTTAGAAAAACGCGACATATGGTGGAAGCTGCGCCAAGGCACCTCCCTACAGTCGTCTACACTGACCACAAGAGCACCATGGTCATTGCCACAATAGATAATTTGAGATCCACCTCGGTCGAAAATCTTAACCTCCGCCTTGTCCGGGCTTCCCAATACATCCAGATGTTCAACCTCAAAATTATCTACCGCCCTGGCGTCACGAATCGCATCGCCGATGCCCTGTCTCGACTACAGGCCGATCATGATTCGCCACCGAAGGATGGCGAGGATCTGGACAGCCTCACCGAGGGGCTCATTCAGGACGCTTTCCATGCCGAAGCGTCGGACCCTACTGGGTCAGCTGATATTACACCACTGAGTATCACTTCTGTCTGCGAAGTCAGTGACGAATTTAAGCGCCGTATCCGTTTGGCCTATGATGGTGATGTCCGCTGGAGCTCTCTCATTGATGTCTTACACGAGGATAAAGCGTTGTGGTTGTCGACCGATAAGCGCGATCCTACTGTCTCCAAGTTACCATACAGCATAGAGGATGGCTTACTCTTCTTTACTCGCGCCTCCGGCGAGAGATCCCTCTGCCTCCCAAGGTCTATGACCGGTGAGATTTTTCAATTGGTCCACGATAACCAAGCCCACCAGGGTTTCGATGCTTGCTGGCAGAAGCTCGACGGCATCACTTTCTACAAGGGAGCCAAGCTACTTAAGCAGTATATCACCCACTGCCCGGTGTGCATCGAGAACAAGACTCGTCGCCACAAGCCATATGGCTCTCTCCAGCCAATTTTGTCCCCACCAATTCCCTTCCATACACTCACTATGGATTGGGTGGTTGGCTTGCCGACAACAGCTGAAGGCTACGACTGTGCACTAGTGATGGTTTGTAAATTCACTAAGCTATCAGCTGCGTTACCCGGCCAGACAGAATGGACCGGCCAACAGTGGGCTAAGGTTGCCCTAGCTTATTGGATGTCAGCCAATTGGGGCATCCCCTCGGTGATGATTACTGACCGCGACCCGAAATTCGTCCACGGTTTCTGGCGCGCTATCTTCCTCGCCTTGGCTGTCAACATGCTGTATACAGCAGCCCACCACTCCCCCACGGATGGCCAGTCCGAGCGCGCTATCCAGACTTTCGAGATGGCTTTGCGCCACTGGGTTGCCGCTCACCCGCAGCATATCGGCGACTGGCACTCTGCTTTGCCAGCGATCCAGATGGCTATGAATTCGTCCATCAAGGCCAGCACTGGTTATAGCCCCCACCAATTGCTCTATGGCATTAAGCTACGCCAGCCATGGAACCTCCTTGCAAAAGCATCCGAGAAGGACGCGACCCAAGCCGCCCGCCTCGACGCGGAACATTCTATTGCTTTTGCTTCCATGGAAATGAAGCGCCGTTTTGACTCAGCACATCGTCCGATTCACTTCAAAGTTGGAGATTACGTTTTACTCAAGCTCGGCGATGGCTATAATATCCCAGCTAATCACCGCCTACCCACTAAGCTTGGACAACGATATGTTGGCCGTTTTAGAGTTTTGAAGCGCATCGGCCGTTTAGCTTACAAGCTGGACCTGCCCTCTGACTGGAAAATACACCCGGTCATCAGCGTTGCACACCTGGAGCCGGCTCCCCCAGGCGACGACCCTTGGGAAAGACCACAAACTGTGGCAGTTGACACCCACGACCCTACGTTCGACGCCCGCTTCCCTGACGAGAAAGAGCTATACGATGTTCAAGAGATATTACGCAAGCGAACTCGGCTTCATCCAGGCCGGCTTCCCAAGAGCGGTATCCGTGGCTCTTCAACCGAGTATCTCCTCCGATGGGCTGGTAAGTCAGCTAGATGGGATAAATGGGTCAATGAATCCGACCTCATAGGTTGTGCCGAGCTCCTCAAGGAGTTTAACGAGCGAGATCGCGATTAGAACCGTTTCTGTAGGATTTTATGTCACATCATTAGCATCAGTATCTATTTCCTCCATCCATTTTGTTTTCTCCCTACATCTACTCTGCCTTCACTTGCTCTATCACTTGGACTTCACTTCCCACTCAACCTTTCTTGCTTACCCTGACTCCACTTACTTTATCACTCTGCTTTCACTTGCTTTACTCTTCATACTATCCACCGCTTTACCCTCTCGCACCACTTACTGTTTCACGATGCCTTCCAACGCCTCATCCCCCGCTCCAAAGAAGTCTAAGAACCCCACGGATTCCGACGCGTCTGACAGACTCTTAAAGAAACCGAAGACTACTGGCCAGACCGAAACCGCCTCTAAGCCCCGAATACTACCACCGATCGCTTACTCCGACGCCACTATGAATGAGCCAGTCGCGTTGTCCTGGACTAAGCATAAAGCACCAACGGAAAAACCTGGCTTGGTGTTTGAAGAATGCTACGATCATAGCACCATACAGGACTGGCAGAAAGGCGAGCAATTTGCAATCATGTGCAAAGGCGCTGCCCACGCACAAGCCGAGCCAGCCGCAGTCCCATTCGACGGGACCACACACGACCCGTCCTTCTTTAAATACACCAAGCCACCGAACCCTATTGGCAAAACTGGAAAACCGGTCAATGTGCCACCCAGCGTTTTCAGGGCCTGGGCGCAGACCTTGCCGCTGTACACCCACTGCAATGTCAAAGTGGTCAACCACGAGATTCACCTTCTAAACGAAATCCCGAAGATGGTCAAACTCTCCGATGAGCTGGTTTACGTTGTCTACAAAACCTACTCCCAGACAACCCGCGCGAAGATGTTCCCAGCCGATTTCGACGCCACAGGAGACATCCGAGCAGACCGCATGCCAGAAGACCCTGCGCCAAGCTGGGCTGCACACGGCGTTCACTTCATTCTGGAATTCAAAGGGTACTCATTGCTCTGCGGGCGCGAAATCGCTAAGCGGATCGGATGGAAGCTAAACACTAAGACCAACGCCACCACCCGTGGACAACCCATCGACTGGTCTTTCGGCAACTGGGTCATCGGTGACGGCTTTCATATCACCACCCCAATTAATCGCCAGGCTTATCGCCCTGATGGGTCCATGGTCGACTCCTATATCGGCACTGAAAAATCTGCTCACCGCGACACTATGACAAAACCACCATATGGCTTGGTGGTTGTGATAAACAAGACAGCAGATTGCATGGTGGGACCGCTATGGCGCCTGCGCAGTTACCACCCAAGATGCGCAAACGCTGATGGCGCGTGGACTGTACCCCTCGGCCTATTCCAGGAGCATGACATTCCGCTGAACCCGGGCATTGCGATCACTTTTCCGGTGACCATTTCCACAGCCCCCGTTTTCATGACCTCTGCTGAGCTTCGCGAGAAGTGGAAGACCCCTGTAACCGCGCTCACTAACTCAGAGTCTATGGCCTCTAACCAGCATGGTTCAAATCAGCGCAATACAACACGCGTGATGCCGGACGTTACTAGAATACAGGAATGGACCAAGAAGCTTAATGCAGACCCACAAGCACATCATGTCTGGGAATGCCTCCGCGACATCCCCGTCCTGGAACCGGACACAGTCTCCATCGACAAGCTCATTGACAATTTGTGGCAGACAACCTTGCTTCTCGACGCAGCGAGGGCCAACCTGACGTCAGAAGAAGCTAAGTACTGGACCAAGCTGGAAAGTAACATCTCCGAGCTACAGGCGTCCTACTCTTCATACGTCGCCAAGGCCAGCCCTACGCTAGCCTCCATGAACGTGGCAACCCGTGAGCCTGCCAGATCTCGTTGGGACCTCGCACTTCAACTCTGTTCTCGCAACAAGTCTGTTAGCACTGAGCCAGATAGCACCACCGCCATGGGGTTGCCGAAGCCCAGCAGCCCGGCCCCAAGCTCCCAAAATGATGAGGACCTCGACATTACTTACTAGTTTCTCACTTTTACGCTTACTCCTTGGTTTTTTACTTTTTCCTTGTTGTGCCCTGCGTTTTTTCTTTTCCACATTGAGGGCAATGTCTTCATTCTGCGGAACCCCAGTTGTTACAATCACGTGACCGATAGCTTAGTCTTAGCCCCGGTCTTTCAGACCTCTTACTTTATCCAGTCCTATTACCCATTATACCATGGCTCAGTGCCTTCCTTCCTTCCTACGTAACACCCGCGCTTTCAACCTACTGACCTCCTGATTAAGCCATCTACCTTGATTGGAAACCCCAGGTGGTCTCTGTCCTGGGAGCGGAGAGACATGTCATCCTAGATTGGTTTCTGATTCGGGCTCCAAGATTCCTCCTCACAATTTGACAAACCAAGTGATCCAAGTCACTGAGCCCGCACCCTCGGTTTCGACTTCGGGTACCTCATCTTCAAATGTGCCCAGCAGCACCTTGACTACGTTCTCCACTAGCTGGTCATCATTTGCTTCAATCTCTATGGTCTCTACTACGTCCACTCTCTCCGCCACAACCACGATAACTGAAGTGACTACCCTTATTCTTACTGAGACACCCACAATCTCAACCACGTCTGAATCGAAGGCTTCCACCACCGAGGAACCCGTGGCCACGATTGAAGAACTCCCCTACCAGGGCACATACCACGAAAAAGTCCTGTACAGTCACAATATCCATCGAGGAAATCACAGTGCCCCAAACCTGAACTGGGATCAACGACTGTCAAATGCCGCGCATGATTGGGCAATCCAGTGCCAGTTCCACCATAACACGTAAGAAATTCGATCTCCAGAATTGTTTCAAACTGACGGTCTTTCATCCAGCGGCATGCTTCCAGGTCGTTACGATCAAAATCTAGCCGGTAGCAGTCCCAATGCTAGTATGTCTCAGCACATCTCTGATTACTGGTACAATGGCGAGATGAGGAATTTCGATTCTCACTATGGTCAGAGCAATCCTGGTGAAGACTTTGGTGGGTATGGACATTTTACGCAGCTTGTCTGGAAGGATACTCGGAGTGTGGGATGTGCTACTATCGACTGCCGAGGTTCATCTCTTGGTATGTGGTATACCGTGTGCAATTAGTATCCTCCTGGTAAGTCTTTTCTCGCATTCCGTTGAGGTGGCTTGTTTGATGCTGATTTATATCTAGGAAACTATCTTGGCTTATTCGATCGCAATGTCATGAAGCCTATTGGCTGGGAAACTGTGAGGGGCAGTGCAACGGATCTCATTGACCGGAATTCCTGGTAATGAGTGATAGCATTGCGATGGCGCGAGTCATGACTCGTGCTCTGAGACTGCTGATATGGGCGAGGGCACGGTGTATGATACGCACCAAGCCATGTAGGATCAAATTGTATAAGTAGTGAAGACAATTCCTTTTTCAATGTTCTGGTTCACTCAAGTATGAGCGTAGATGAGGCTGAGCTACGACTCCCTCATCCGCATCCGAATCCGATTGGAGTCCCGTGTCAGACCGTGACTCATGGGATCAATCTAATTATACTTAGTACAACATCTTCAAATCTCTTCCAATATATATAAATCTGTACTAATCAGATTCAGATCTCATTTTCCCATATCTCTTCCATAATACCAACCCCACTCTCGGACACGCACAGAACCATGGCACTCTCCGACACACCAGTATACTGTGGTTTTCATTCTTTCTTAGGACAAAATAGAACACAATTTAGTATATCTTTCTTTATTTTTGCTTTATTGTTTTTATTATTTGACTTAGAAATTTTATTAGTATTCTGGAAACCAAATCAAGAGAATGGAGCATTCGGCCAATGGTACCCATCATCATTCATCTGGCTCCAAGGAACAGAAACTTTGAACTACGCCAATGCAGAACAGTAAGCACCAGCCACTATAATTCTTCACCTCAATGCTGCACATGTCTTGAGATATAATAATGCATTAGATACATGATGCACCGCAAAGCCCTCCTCTTTGCCCCCGACCATCAAGTAACAAAAGAAATCCAAAAAGGCTGAAAGTACATCCCAGATCCCTCCGCGAGCTAGGCCGTAAGATTCCGAATTTCGTCGAGGAGATCTGGGAGGCGAAGCGGTATGCGATCGTTCTTGAGGGGTCTTATTTGAAGTTCTCGCAGAATGAGGACCTTACGCAGTTGTTACTTACGACTGGGGAGCGAGAGTTGGTTGAAGCTAGTCCGCAGGATCGGATTTGGGGGATTGGGTTTGCGAAGGACCATGCTGAGTTGGAGAGAGAGAGGTGGGGGTTGAATTTGTTGGGGAAGGCTTTGATGGAGGTTCGGGGACGGTTGAGGGGGGAATTTTAATCTCCAGATGTCTGTACGGGGGCTCGTTCCCTCAAATAAAAGGGGCTCGATAAGATGTAAGAAGCTTGGGAAGAGCTTTCATATGTAGCAACCGAACCACTGATAACATTCTCATGCTCAAGAGACGGGCAACGGAATCCTGCATAAGGTTAATCTTATCTAGATATCTAACCCAGAATGATGCGCACTGGATTGTAAGCATGAAAATCATCATATTCAAATGTCGTCTCGTCATAAAAAACTCGAAGAGGTGAGCTTCGATATTGTATGTACATTAAATTCAGCTCTCGCCGGTCATGTACCGTGGGGAATCAAGCAGGATGTGATAAACAAAATGGGTATCTTCAAGTCTCGTACTGGATTTTCCTCGAAGCAGAGCTGAGTCCCTTCTGATCATCGGAGGGTAGCGAGTCCGAGATGGATCTCCGCTGTCCATAACCGGGAACATTTTCCCCATCGGTCACATCCTGTCCGTACGCAACGGTAACGTCCTCGTAATCGATATCAACTTCGTTCCACTTGTCGCTTGTTGCAGGAATAGGGAAGAGGAGGCAGAGAATCCAGTACATGCCACCAGAAACGATGAAGCCGGAAAAGTAGCTGATGTTGTAGATGTACTGCGCGCCAATTGGAACTTCAGGACCGACTTGGCCGACAAATCCGACAATGTTGATTAGGATGCCGCAGATGTAGGCGGTATAGGCGCGCCAAGAGAACCCGTAGGTGAAGTAGTATGGGTCTGTGTTGCGGGCACTGTAAAGGGCTTTGATATCTAGGTAGCCGCGGCGAACGACGTAGTAATCACAGACCATAGGTCCTGCGATGGCAGAGAGGAAGAGGGAGTAGGCGGATAGGTAAGTAGTGAACTCGCTGGAGCCGGTGACAAGATTCCACTGAACAAAAGTTAGACATTTTCCTTCAGGCGGGTTTGAATTTAAACGAGACATACCGGACACATGGCCAAACTGATAGCTGCGCAAATATAACTACCGCGTCGAATGTTCAAGTATCGGGGCAGCAGGGCCGTCAAATCGGTTCCGGCAGACACAGAATTGGCAGCAATGTTGGTTCCCAGCTGGGCTAGGGTGAATCCCAGGGCGATGATGAAAATGCCGAAGCGCTGTCCAGAGCTCGCTCCGTCCAAGAACATGTCCAGCAGGGTAAGCGGGCTCCACACCTGTGTGCCATAGATCACTGTAGAGGAGGAGGACACAATGATACCGATGAATGATGTGATTCCAAATCCGATGGGAATGGTGAAGAGCTGAGACCACAGAGCATCTTTTGGTGTACGAGCGAATCGCGAGAAATCAGGATCGTTCATGATGAGAGCCGCAAAGTTACCAATGCACGTCATGATTCCAGTGACGACTTGCCATGCCAGTGTACTTCCATGGACGGTGTTGGGCTGGTGAATAATAGGTCCAATGCCGTGGGCTCTTGAAATGGCCCAAGCGAAGAATGCAATAGCAGCAATCGGCGAGTAAATCGCCTTGGCTGTGAACAAGTGGCGCACCTTGTGCACAGGGAACCATAGAGCGGGCAAGGAACAAAGCCAAAATAGGAAGAAGCTGACGAAATCCCTGGTTGTGACGCCGACACTGGCGGGAATTGAGTTGGGTAGATTCTTGTAGCTGGGCCAGATGGCTGAGATCATGACGGTCACACACTCGCCTAGATAAAAAGTTAGGGGAATTTGGCGGATATGGGAGGAGGAATTGCATACCTCCAATGTAACCTTGTACACCGTACCAGATGATAGCCATCACGACTCGATTAATCACCGGCCAGAGAGAACCCCATATTCCAAAGGATGCTCGGACGGTCACTGGGAAGGACGTATGATAGACAGCACCGATGCGACCGGTTAAACAGACAAAACATGCTGCAAGGAAATATCCAACCCAAACACAAATCCACGCTTGCCACCACGAAAGACCCGCGATGATCATTGAGGATGAAATCATCCATGTGTTCTGATGCCATGTTAGGGGTATTTCGGTCTCGACGGGGGCGCTCAAAGACTCACGATATTAAGTGAGTCGGCAATCCAAAAAGCGACATAGTTCAACCATGTCCATTGGCGGCGTTCAGGCTCCACTAGAAACAATTGGTCAGTCCAGGTCACTCTAAAAAAGGACGGACAGAAACAGCGCAATGGTAAGGTGATCTTACCTGGTCGCAAGTCATCGTTGGTTAACATCAGCTGAGCATTGGTGAGACCGGGCTCATGTGCCACTGTCAACTTGTCGAGACACCATTTAATTCTATCCATGATGCCAAATAGTTTTGCAGAAATGAAAGCAAAAGACAACTTGGAAAAAAAAGGTAGACCCCGGGGTATGACTTGGGGTAGGAACAGAAGAAGAAAAGTAATGATTTAGATTTCATGCGGAAGATGATCTATGATATAATGTCCAAGAAAATTCCCATATCATCCAAGCATGGAAAGTATCCTCACTAAAGTCAGTCATAGTTGCGATAAGGGTGGACTGCGAGTGGTCCTATCGGGATGATCATCGGCGCCCTGATCCGCTATTTGTGCTTATGATTCCTTGGGTTGGTCTACGGCAGGGGTTTGAGCACTCTGGGGCGTTCCATATCATTTTCGATTACTATTAAGACGAACGTTATCAATGATAAGCGGGTGCGAACGGAGACTCCACTTTCTCCGCAACCAGCGAAGACCGTTTCTGATTGGTTGGTGGCGTATCTAATCGTGGGGAATAAAAGATTAATTAAAAAGTGGATGACATTTGACTCGATGCCATCGAGTAATGGTTTTGATCACGTGTCTGTGTTGATATCTTATTATCATTCACACTTATGTCTTCGTAAACCTTATGCTTTACACTTTACTATACACGACACGAGAGTCAACATTTGGATATCGGAAAACAGAATTGTTCCATTGAACTAACACATATAAAGCTCAAACGACAAAGAAAAAAACGCCTATGCCGAAGCAAAGGACTTTGACCGACTGGTCGCAATACTGGATATCGATCTAGGATTTTTTGTTTATCTCTAAATAATCCTGGTACCGATCTCCCGTCTTCTGTACAGTATCGTACACGATGGTGAACACATGGCAACTGCTTACCGGCGCAGAGCATCAGTGATGGACGAACCACCGCGGCGGAAGGAAGCTAAATGGTCAGTTAGCTCATCTGAATGTTAAAAGGCGAATTTGCAAGCTTCCGAATCTCCAGTGTTAGAACTGTCGCTATCAAACGGTCGGGTGGTATCAAATGGAAGCTTTGCAGCTAGGATTCGACCTATTAGCGGCATTCCAGCGAGTGCTGATGAAAGCCATATCCACCCCCGCAAGATCAGACAGTCCCAGCCTAGAATGGATCCCTCGGAAAGCTATGCCGGAGCGGTTATGGAGGTAAACATACCATCAGACTCCTCCCAGGCGCGACCGGCACCGAAACCAAGACCAACCCAAGCGGGCCAAGCTCTCCGCTTGAACAGGAGCACTGAGAAGACAACACCGAAGGACAGGCCGAGGGAAGACTTGATGATCATGGAGGAGATGGCACGGTCCCACTGTACATTTGTAGTTCGAGAATTAGCCCATATTTTTTAATTGAAGCTTCCGAAGAAATATTCCTTGATGCTTTGGGCAGCAAGTAAATTTGTAAGCTAGTAAACTCGGGAAGAGATGTACCTTCTCGTTAAGCAGAGCCTCGCTGACGGGCTTGGTGGCCCGCGCGAACCGGGTTTCGCTGGAATCGGCCATTGCGAAAAATCTGCAAAATGATTGGTAAGTTGAGAATCATTCCTACTATTTGAATAGAAACAAGTACGTACCTAGGGGTAATAAGAGGAATTGAAGAGGGTAGATGAGGTCGAAAGAGAAGAGTGCAAGGAGTCGGGAGTTGACGAGGAATATCGGGTCGAAGGCGGTGGGGGATTTCGCCGCGGTTTTTTTTCTGTTTGACCGTTCGTTTTTACTTCTTGAGTATACCAACCCCTCCAGTTGCAATCGGTTCGGTTTCACGATGCCTTTACTCGTGGAGGTAAGCTTTGACCTAATCCAAGTCTACGTGTCGGTAGTTCCTTGGCAACTAATGCATGGTTTATCAGCGTCCGCGCTCGTCGCAAGAGGCGCTCCTCCGCCTCGAAAAAGGTAGCGCTTCCCCGAGTACCCAGCTACACGAAGCAGCACGGATTCTAGGACTGGACCTTTCGTTGTGTGAAAGCCACCCGGAAACACACAGAGATGGCAAAATTCAAATTAAGGCCACGCCAAAGGAGGAGTGGGTGCTACGATGGTTGCTTAAGAGACTGAGGTCCGGGAAGAACTACCGCGTGGATCCGGCGTCATTCCTGCTATTGCGACAGCTGATCGAATTGATTTCACCAAAAAACCTGGCGACAATTATGAAAGACCAGAAGTTCTTGTCAATCATTTGCGAGACGATCGCAGACTTGGAGACGGATATTTATGCGACAGTTGGGAATGGGCTATCGATGGATTCGGACTCTAGTCGTACACTGTCTGGCTCTCCTGATGAGCAACATGGAACTCAGGGCATGAAACGAAAGAGAGGCAGTGCAGAGAATGATCCAGATGCCATGGATATCGACAACCCGCCGCAGAACCCCGCCTCGTGCTTCCTCACATTCATCCGCGCACTTGACTGCTTGCATGGAGTAGTGAATCTGGCTCAACGAACGATCGGTACAGATGAGGTTGCCAATTCTCATCTTAAGCTAGCTTTGCGTGGTGATCCTGATGTCGTTGCGTTGTTGCTAGGCCGGGCATTCCAGCTGGCTGCTGTAGCCATGGCCCAATTTACTCGCGCAGGGAAAACAACAGATCTTCAACATTTGATGTATGTGTTTCCAGCAATTCTTGAACTGTGGGAATCGAGGTCTCTCCGTCATGATGATACGGACAACAAAATCAGCAATGATTGCTTTGCGAAGTCCAGTTTTTCCCACGCTCTCCGGCTTCAACTCTGCTTGCGGAACATTAAGCTCGATACCGATGAGAGGGCATATCTGCTTCATTCCGTTGAAAGAATTATTGCCCTCCATGTGCTGCTCCCGGCGCGGGCGGCCTTCTTTGAACGAGGAGGCTCTGGCATTGATTACTCAAAAGACGAACCCGATTGGAGTTCAGTTCAGCCAGTGACCGCTGCATTCCGGCCAATAATCCGCGAGAACTCCAGCGTTCAGGGTACCGCCGATCAGGCCAACGAGGGATCTTTCCACGCCCTTTGGCAGTCAATTGAGCTTCTCCCGGAGCTGTTCGATAATGCTGTACGGGCTGTCCCAAGAGATGATTTCAGACGGCAAACTCATGAAGCTCCGTGGTTGGAAACTTTGTTTGTGGCCGTGGCGGAGCTAGCATTCTCTACTTCGAAAGAAGATGACCCTGAGAACTATTCCTCTCGTTTTGTCTCTGTGCTGGAACAGCTTCTTCGAGTAGCTCTTGAGCGAAACGTTGGCCTATCACTTCACACTGTTCTCACGCACGCGGGCTACACTGGTTTGCTCGAAGAAGGTTTGGAGAAGGTCCAGTGGACTGTCACATCTCTGGTGATCAGCCTCGGTGTGGACATCTTCCTGCCCAACTCCGGACTGCGCGATGCCCGCAAGCTTCTTGAGGCTCTACTTGGCAAAATTCTTCTTGAGTGGCGTAACGAGGGTTCCGGCGGGACTGATAACTATAACATTATCAAGAATGACATAGCAATCCCGTTGTTGCGTGGTTTTGCAGCCGCAAGAGATTTGCCATCTTTCGTGGAGATGTGGCATAATCAGCTCGTTATTTTCCAGGGAGCTCGAGCTCTAGATAAGGATCTACCCATGTTCTCGGTCTGGGAAGACGACGATCTCTGTGATACGTACAGTGATGTGATCCGAACGAGCCTCATCGCCTCAACCCTGGCAACTCAAATGCAAACTGCTGCGGTAAAGATCAGGGCGGAAGATGGCAAAATTTCCAATGATCCCGAGTCATATGCGAAGATTGTCATCATGGAAGCTAGCTCCCGCGGAAGGGCACTTCAGTTCGCCGATTCCGAGAAGACAATGGCCTCCATTTTGGAGACATTGACTTCCACACTTTCTTCAAAGCAAAGCTTGCATTGGCGCTGGCGCTTATGGCGTTTTGTTCGTAATATCTTGCAAAACAGCCTCCACTCCCATGACAATGCCCTGGGTCAAGCAGCACAGTCCCTTGTCGTTTCAGCTTCGAAAACTGTGCATCGCAACCACAAGAATCTGGCCAAGGCGCCTCTTGCCCCATTAGAGTCTTGGGAGGCCTACAGATTTGCTTTGGTTTCCGTCCAGGGAAAACTTAATGAGGAGCAGCTAGATGCTTTCAAGGCTATTTCCCAGGATATCATAAGCCTTGTGGCCTCTGTATCCCGTGAGGATGCTCATAAGTCGATGGAGGTGCCTTGGAATGGCCGGATCGACACTCTCAATTCTGCGTCTAATCTGGCTTTAGCCTATATCCTCGCACTGATCAGGGTTCCAGAGATCTGGCAGCACATCACGACCGATGATCGATCGCGTCTTTTCGACCAACTTCTATCTCTGGCTGCTGCACAATACCATCCCACATCGTTGCCTCTAGAAGGTGTGGTAGATGATGCTCGGTTCCTACAGGCATGGGCGAGTGTCGTGTGCCACGAGTATCTGCTCAACGTCCCATGCCTTGTGCCTGATCTGACGCTTCTTCTTAACAAACGCATCGAGCAAGATTCTTCCGATCGTCGTATCTATGTGGAAAGCTTGCAAAGAATCCCGACTGCTTTGATCACTCGCGGTTTGAGAACCGCTGTTCTGGACAAGCTGCACGATGTATTGGTCCAGCAGGATAGCACACCCGAAGTTACTCTTGGAATATTGACTATGATGGCAAAGTTGGCCGCCATGCCAAAGTGTGATGCCAACATTACTGGTGAATGGGAACCAATTTGGACTGCTGCCCGGGCCATCTCCCTTGCAGGCACTGAGCTGGATCTTCAGATCATGAAGTCATTCAGAAGCTTGTATCGTGCAATCCTTGCCAAGTTGCTGGCTCTCGTGAAGGACGATCGGCCCGATACTTTCAAGAAGTTGTTCGCCAGAGTCTCCAAGCAGGCCGGCAAGCTGCGACAGATCGACCGTGACTCCATGCCTTGTTTCCTCTTGCGTCTGACATTGTCGGAGCTCTGGGTGCACCGCGCGAAGTTACAAAAAGTCATCTCTGAAGACGAGCTGGCCTCTTGTCGCCAACGTCTTTTTGGTCTTGTGCTGGCGGATATGAAATCTGTCAAGGACCAATGCAGAAAGCAAAAGTTGGAAGAAACCATTACCCTCATTAAGACGATTGATGCACTAGAGGACTTTGAGGATCTTGCAACAAACCACATCGAAGTGGAGAAGTTCCTGTCCAAGATCGAGCATTACATGGAGATGTCGATCGACTCAGAACCGTCTCGGTTGATCCGCCGTCGTCTTCTTGCCACCAAGGGACCTGAACGAAGCATCACCGAACCGGTCTTGCAATGTGCTGAGACCATCACACTTCAGTCACTCTATGCCGAGGACCAACAGCTCTTCATCCGGGCTACCACTGAGCGTTTCCGCTCCATGACCACTGCGAGACTCACTCAATCAATCCGTGAGGTCCGCGAGCTCGGCCTGACCGGCAGCAACGCAGCGTACCGCATCCTCGTCATCTACCTCGCCATCATTTCGCTCCCCGCCGTCGAGGACAAAGATAGCGACGTCGCACGCGAATTATCCCTCGTGTGCGCATCTCTAACAGATGCAATGACCCACAGCACTTCAATTGAGCAATTCACCTTCGCAATGGAGAGTCTCGCCCTCCTCCTCCGCGTGCACACCCGTGCCCTCGCCCAATGCAACACCGATGCCATACTGGCTGCAATCGCCGCCTCCGCCTCAAGAGTCGGCCCGCGCATCTCACCCGAGTACGCGCCTACAATCTTCACCCGTCTCTGTCGCCTAATGGGCATTGTCCTGAGTGTCCAGCGTCTCAAGATCGGCGGCCGCCTCCACCTAGTCGTCCCAGCCATGCAGCGTCTCCTAAGCTGCCTCTTCGCACGCTCTCGGAAACGCTCCCGCTCTCGCACCCAAGCCTCCCTCTCCCAGCCGTTCTGGCTTGCTCCCCTCGAAGCCTCGCATACATCTTCCTACACCCGCCTCCTTACTACTCTCAGCGACCCCACCGTGTCCGCCGTCCTCCGGCCTCAGTCCGGTTCTTCGCGCGATGCTCTCATCGATGAGACTAAGAAAGCCAAGCGTATTGCAGGCCAGCACCTCCAGTATGTCGTCATGGAGTACGCGCAGTGTTCGCTGCGTGGATCTCTCTTGCCGGAGGTCAAGGCTGCTTTGATGCCGGGTATGTATGCTGCGCTGGATGTGATGTCTAAGGAGTCGATGCGTGCGCTCAATGCTGGACTTGATGTGTCTGGACGGGCTATCTTCAAGTCACTTTATGATGACTACGTGAGGTTTGGAAAGTGGAATAAGGCATGATTGTATTTTTTTTTGTTTTCTTTTGTTCTGCATTATCCGGTGTATCGATTTGATTTTTATTACTTGAAGAGGGTGGTCATATTTTCTTGTACCATATTTTCTACTTAGAGTTATGATATCCCCGAATGCAAATGCTTGTTCTGAAGTTCTAGATTTGTAGAGAGCCTCCTATTTCCAATCCCGTGCTTAGGTGGAAGGGATGTGTATGTATGCAATCACGTATGAAATGTGTTATTCTACCAGGGAATTCTGCTTGCATTGATTCAATATATGAATTTCAAAAATTCACTAGGGTGAAGATATCTAAGTGGGGTATCATTAAGTGGTGATCGTAAATCATGTAGGGAGCAAAAAGGCAGATAAGAAACCATCGATCAGACAGTTTCTAATCATATCATCGAGGTCTGGAAATGTTGTGGACTCATGCACGGCACTGAGACATTTCCCATGGCTGGAATGCGCGAAGTATGAGAGCCATTGGAAGGTGAAACAACCATACCAGACGAGATCTGGTGTTCGGTATTGCCGATCGGGGTTTCGGGGATAGACGTATCCAGATGCACGCCATTGTGGCCGCTGTGGGTGAGACACCCCACACAAGCGCAATCCATGCCGCATTGGCAACTGCCTGTGATGTCGGAGCAGGCGGAGGGTATTCCGACAGGATACTCCAGAGTATAGTACTCTGAAGGGTGCATTAGCTGTTGGTTCATTTGGTGCGTCGTCTGAGGAGAGGAATAGCCACTTGGCATGGTCGAGTTGGGGTCAGAGTATGAATCGTAGACATTTTGGTTTTGGTGCATGCCATTATCCATAGGGGACTGTTGATGCATGTAAAGGGTCAAGGGTGTTGGAGCAGTAGTGGAAGGGTAGGACTGCATTTGATAAGGAGTCGCAATAGCTTCAGGCGTATGCTCGTCGCCGTCAAAGGTCATCATGACACCCATTTCTTGAACATGCTGGCGAGTCGTGTTGTTGAAGGGGTGAGCCGCACAGCCTAGACACTGGCAATCCTCTCCACATTTGCAATCATGACAACCATCGCCAGATGTTGCTGCTGGGGCATAGTTATTTTGTGAATGGGTGCCGAACTGAGCTATGGAACTTTGAGGGATTCCAAGCCCATTCATCAGGTCTTGATATGAGGCAGAAGATACATTTGGCGCGTAATTTCCCATGTAAAATTGCGGGCTTTGAACAGTCTGCAGTCCGAAAGGCTGCATAAAAGATGCTTGCGTAGAAGCCATGGAGTTTCCCCATGATGATTGTTGGGGGAAGTTCGAGTATGACATGCCGTTCCAGGCATTAGATTGCTCTGGCTTCGATTGCTGTCCATTCGAGTGAGTGGGTGCTACAGAAGCACTCGCTTTCGCACCACAACATGACCCTCCAGCGCTCGGGGCCACTGGTGGAACAGGTGGAGGCGTTGGTTTCCGTGAACAGCAACTTGCCTTTGGTGGCGTGTCATTGGTGGAATCCTGGGCAGGTGCGGCTGAGTAGGTGCCGTTGGGATTAGGAGAATGGTTTCCGTTAAGATCGGGCTGGTGTTGAGGAAGACCAGCCAGGTAATTAGGTGCCCCATCCTCCAATTTAAGCTTGTCTGGTATGGCTTCCAGGGCCTTGGCAATCTTCTCTGGTGCCGCATGAATATGGCTCTGTCTTCTTGTCGACTTCTGGACTTTACCTGGCGCCGGCGATGCGACGTGGGGCACTGAAGCGGGGGTTGATTGATCTGACTCATTTGGGGTCGCAGGTACTTTGTAGAGCGGTCGGCAAACGCAGGATGAACCTAGTGAAAAGGTTAATATAGTCCGAGCGAAGAATCGAAATTCCTTACCTTTCGGGATCCGGACCATCAATGCAAAGGTTTTCTGACAACTGCAAGTACCTTTGGGATGAGGGCACTTGGCCAAGGGTCGCCCAGCCTTGGGTACCTTCATCATCAGCCGGTCAAAGTGCTGACATTTGGACGATCGATGACCACGAATACATGGTTCGCTATGTACGGACAAATCAGTGGGTGTCAATTTGAATTCCGGTGATCGATATCCTACCAGGACCACTTGGCACCTTCTTCGTCAAGAGGCATCTTGCAAATGTAAGTAACCGAATGAGCGTGAGATGACGAGGTCGATATGGGAACGTCGTGAGCGCCGTTTCGCGGTGTTACCGCTTATGGTTATGCTGTTTCGATGCTCGACTAGGCCTTGCCTTGTGCAATGTATTGGGTTATTTCTCGGTATAAGAGGTAATCATGCCATATGCGACAAGATTGAATCGTGTAGGTTGAGCGGGGTTGCGGGAATCAAAAGGTCAGATCTTTCGGAGTCTCGAGCGGAACAGACCGGGGGTCGGGGTCATCGGTGACGACCACTCCAGCGGTACTGGAACCACGTAACTGGATAATTTGATAGAAGAAATCAAAGATTAAAAGATCACAAGTTTTTTAGAGTAACAGAGTATAAGAGTAAAAGAAGTGGAAAGTCAAAAACTCGAACAATGACAGGATGAATGCGGGGATGGCTTACCTAATCCCTTAGCCTCACTTTAGATTTGAAGCTCCAACATTGATTGCTTTTTGTATTGAACAACACAATGTCTCCCACGGTGAGCGAGGGCGCACAGCCTGAGAACAACACTCGATCCATTTTCACTGTTCCTCCTCCAATTAAACGTCTCTTCGACAAGTTCCCTTTGGCCACCTATCCTGAAAACGACATTCCGCAACGTTCTCCGTCCCGACGACAAGATAATCAATTGTTTGTCTTCATTGAGCCTAAAAATGCGCGCCATGGTCGCCCCTCATTCAATCCCCAATGTCTCAAATGGCAGGTTCGTTGCGAATCTCTTACAAGCTTTTCACATCATACTGATTCCTAGTCATTCTAGGCGTACCTGAAATTCGTTGGCGTTGACTTCGAGATCACCCCGTCTAACAACCACGCATCACCCACTGGCGCCCTACCTTTCCTGCTTCCAGCTCTTCCTACCAATGCTCCGGATGCAGTTCCTTCACACAAGCTTCAAAAATGGGCCATTGAACAAGTTCATTGCGAGGAGGAGCAGCAATTGAACCTACGCTTCGAAGTCTACGCCTCTCTCCTAGACCACCGGATACGCAATGCATGGGTATGTATCGGAGTGTCTTTTGTGACCATAACTATAGTGCAACTGCTGATCTAATTCACAATAGTTATACATGCTGTATCTGGACAGTGAGAACTTCAATGCCGTAGCCCGCCGGCTTTACGTGATCCCGTCAAGCACAAATACACTCGTCCGCTCCGCCCTTGGATTCCAGCTCCAGAAGGCCGCCCGCGATGAGCTCCTCAAGTCATCATCGTACGTTGATGTTGCAGAACTGGAAGGCGACGCAGCCAGCGCATTTCAGGCACTATCTGCACTGCTCGGCGAGGACGACCACTTCTTCGGCCGGCCAAACCCCGGCCTCTTCGATGCCAGCGTTTTCGCCTACACACATCTGATCCTAGACGAGGGGATGGGTTGGAAGCGTAATCGATTGGCACAGCTGCTCCGAGGGCATACCAACCTTGTACAACACCGGGAAAGACTTTTGGGCTTTTTCTAGACTTGTTTTATTATCTACTACCCTGGATCCGGCGAAAATCATCTGAATAATATCTACTTTGATCACCGTGACGCCATTCTCTGTACTATATCACGCTATGCTATAGCTTCTGAAAACATACTCCAAACCACACTTTGATCCCAATCCATTTTTTCGCCCGCACGCCCAGCATCTCTCCCAATTGCTCATCCACCGCCCTCTCCAGAACATCGGCTTCACTTTTCTCGACCAAGCGTGCTACTTGGAACCCGGCCGCTTCAGCTGCTGCTAGCACCTCCGGAATAGAGTGACAATAACTCGTAGGCCGGATCTTAACCCCAGTCTGCGGATCCGTAAACCCAGCCTGACTGAGTGCCCCCATCTCCGCGTGCATATTTGTCACGAGCAAATACGCCCTGGATTGCATAATCCCAGAGGCATTCTCGAAGAACTTTTTCAACGGAATGTGTTCAAGCACAAGTGTAGAGATGACCCCAGCTGCGCCAGACTGTAGGAAAGTAGGAAGTAGCGCCTTATCCGAGATCGGCTTCAGGAGATCAAAAACGTCCAGCGAAACTGTGATGTCCTTATTCCCACTGACAGATTGAATCGCTGTCTTCGCAACTTCCAACATCCCCGGTGAAGCATCGACGCCGGCAACTTCAACTTGCCGTGTAAAGCATGCCCCGGGAATTGAGCATTTCTGCGCTGTGGATATAGCATTCAACAGTTGAATTGTATTTCTACCGGTTCCACATCCCAGATCTACTATCTTGAGCTGATCCGTCTGTGATTGGAACTGGCTACTCACGAGTTCCAGGAACCGGGGAAGCAGCACACGCATCTCGATGGTGTCGAGGTTTTGGAGGAAATTCCCATCTTTATCGTAGATCTGCATATTTAAGTATGAGGGTGAGTTGAAGAGTGGAGACAGACGGGACTTACCTCTGCCCATTTATCGTATGCCTCTACCGTCCCGATATACTTCACTGACTGATTATCTTGAGTGCTGCGATTTTCAGCTAGCATTTCTTGGATTGTTGGCATGTTCAGTAATTGAATTGTCTGATTTTGTCTTGGTGATGCTCAAGGTTACGCAAAAAGCGGAGAGATATATACTCCACCACTCATCTGGGTGTGGACTAAATCCCGACATTGACTCACTTTGAGTCACCGGATAAGCCAAGATGTCCCAAGAGCCAAGGTTTACCTAAAATCACACTTTCCAAGCATCCAAATCTTAGACCCTTCAAGAGAGTGTGTTTACAATTCCAAGCCCTAGAGGGTTGCACTATCAGGACACATCTAAGGAGGAAATGACACCGAGTTCAAATGTTTCCCATCTTCCATGAATCTTTCTCTTCGACACCCGCGAACCTTGAAACATTACTTCCGTCTTTCTTATCAAATGGACCTTCTATGGTTTACTACCTTCTTCTTCTCTTTGGTCATTTCGTGATATACCACTTCCCACGCAAGAAATCAATATATATCGCTTCGGCAGTTGCAACCCTGAATTGGTATACAAGTGTGATAACATTCAAACTATAGGACAATATCCAGATATTCTTAGTCGTACATAAAGTCTAATAGGCAGCAGGAAGATGAGCTGTTGAGGTAAGGAATTCTCTACCTCAGAGTCCCCTTCTTCACTGGAAGTTGGCAAAGCAACCTTGAAACAAACTTAACCCTTGATGGGCCTTGGGTAGGAACGGTTCTCTTGGAAACCCGCCTGAACCACCTCAATTCTACGGAACACTACAGAAAAAAGCAAGGGTTGAGTATTGGGTCATCACATTCAAGGTTCTACCTAGGTAAATAGTCACAAAAAAATTCGTTCACGATCATGCCGCCATCAGAGACAGAGGAGGAAAAGGAGATGCTAAGATCTTGGGGAGTCGACAAAATTCCGGAATTGGAGGATGAAAGAACAGACGAAAGGAAAGAAAATGCAAAAGTCAAAAACATCTGTGTAGCAACATCTGTCGAGTCAAATCAAATATCCAGGGTTCGGGAGATAACGTCAAGTCTTGTCCACATAACCACGCCGTACCGGACGGGACGTAAAGCTCGTGAAGAATCGAACATGCAAAGGCTTGAAGGGAACAAAAGGGCTGAAGAGAAGAAAAAAGCGGAGAAAAAAAGGGATGTGAGGGAGTGAGGAGAAAGGAAGAGGGGAAATCGCAACCACAATGCGGCCCTGTCACATGATACATCTTGTCCAGACTGACTCGGAAAGTCGCCGTCATCAGTAAACCGTTGCTCCGAACGGAGCCGTCTCTTTAAGATCCTCCACCAGATCTTCAACATTGTTCAAGTACCTCCCCAGCATCGCCTGCTTCTCATCCGTCGTTCGAGTATCCCGAAGCATCTTCCCACCGCCCGCGGAGGTATGTGAGCTCTGCGACATTGGTCTCGACGAAATCTTACTCGGACTGCGCTGCAGGCCGGGTGGGGGACTAGCGCTTGCGCCACGTCCCAGAATCGGAGTCTCGGGCATAAGGTAGAAATACAAGAACTCGACCAGCTTTAATTTGACCTCGCGCGAGGTGGCGCGCTGCTTGAATAGAGATGTCACGGTGAGAAGACCGTCCAGGTCTTCAAAAGTGCGTGTATTGGTGGGACAGTCTAGTAGGGCTGTGACGAGGGTGAGCAGGGTGGCGGATTGGATGGCTGGGCAGTTGATTGGGTCGAGGAGGTCGAGGAGGAGGTTCATGTAGATTTCGCGAGCGAAGAGTGTACGAGATGGTGGGTGGAGGAGAAGAGCGCCTTGGATTAAGTCGAGGGTGCAGACTATCAACATATCGTTTGTACCGTTGCTGCCGCGGCCGAGGAGGTGTTCGAGGCAGGATACGAGGCGCATTGCGACTGTGTGTTGTTAGTTGGTTGATTTAGTTTTTTTATATTTTTTTTTATATGCGGTTGTTTTGCATATGATGGATAGGATCCATTAATTCAAAGCGGGTATCAAAATTTGAAACGCACCATTCCATTGAAATCCATCTTGAATTTTGTAAAATTCCCGAAAAGCCGGGTCATCTCGTAGTTCGGATAGTGCCTTTGGTACGGGTTGCGATTCCGTGGTCAAGTAAGATCTTCTCCGATCGGATGTGGACTTCGGCTTTGAGAGGCAGATTTGGGCAAGTAGACCCTCGACCTGTCGCAAGCCCTTGCGGACCTTGCTAGGCTCGTATGAGGAGAGATAATCGAATGAATGAGCCAGTAAATTCTCCATGAGGGGTTTAGAAAGAAAAGTTGGAAAGAAAAACAACAAATGTAATAAAAAAGAAAAGAGGCTGAAGCTCTTTAACAAACTTTCAGCTGAACATTTCAAAATCGACCAAAAGTGGTCCGTGATTCGCGATGAGGTCAGTCATGCGGATCTGAAGTAAATAAAGTAAATAAAGGGCGGTTGCCCCAGACAACCCCCTTGGATTGATCTGCCATCAGCAGTTGAAGGTTATTTGTCTGACATTAGAAAAACCGGTTTTATGATCTGGGGTTTAACTATTCTTGTTCTTGTTCTTGTTTCAGTCTTATCTATATATATTCTAGACTCTGATATCAGACTCTGATATCATTGAAGTATGGAAAACCAGTAAAAAAAAAAATTGTTGGAAAAAATTTGGTTGCCATAGCATGCTTCTCTTTCACCGTTGCAAGGCGTCAAACAATACTAAGCCCAAGGGATTGTTGACGCCAGGGTACTTGGTTTTTTAAATATTGTTCTCCCCACTTCCTGCAAGGTGACTGGTAAAATGTGATATGTTCTTTCTCATCACACGTGTATCTCCCTTTATCCCGGTGATAAGGCATCCATGGATTTCTGTCTAAGCAACCGATGGCATTGTCCAGATTAGGTTTGGCTTAGTCAACTGGCGGTCGCGCATTGAGATTCACTTCGAATTGGATGACTTGATGACTTCGGAAAATCCAAAAATGAGGGGTGTCAAAGAATATCTCCAAGCATAAGAAGGCGCACGCGACGGCAATGAATTGTGTTTTCTCCAGTGCCTAACCAGGCTGCCTCTTGTCTCTGACATTCACTCTCCCATTCCCCCCCTCATTTTTTACTATTTAACCCCTCTTCCCCTCACTACGTCAGTCACCATGACCTCCAATATGAATTTCGAAGCTCCAAGCTCCATTCCCCCACGTACTAGCTCCGCGAATGCTACAAGCCCGTCAAAACACCGCCGCAACAGATCTAGCGTCGATGGCACTAAGTACAAAGATGGTACTTGGTCGCCGAGGAACGAGGAGATTCTCATGGGTCCCTACGACTACCTCCAGGCGCACCCAGGCAAGGACGTCCGGCGCCAGATGATCGAAGCCTTCAACTCCTGGCTTCAGGTCCCTCCTGGTAGCTTGGAGATCATCACGCGCGTGGTAGCTATGCTGCACACAGCCTCATTGCTGTGAGTTCGGCCTCCTGGACCTAGTTTAGGCTATTCTGCCAACCCACCTCCAGGATCTCACTGACATCTACGCCTCCAGGATCGACGATGTCGAAGACAGCTCCGTCCTCCGTCGCGGAATCCCCGTCGCGCACAACATTTTCGGCACAGCCCAAACCATCAACAGCGCCAATTACGTCTACTTCCTCGCGCTGCAGGAGGTACAAAAACTCAACAATCCCGCCGCAATCGACATCTTCGTCAAAGAACTCCTCAATCTACACCGCGGCCAAGGCATGGACCTCTTCTGGCGCGACACGCTGACTTGCCCGACGGAGGACGAATACTTGGAGATGGTGGGCAACAAGACGGGGGGGCTATTCAGACTTGCGGTGAAGCTAATGCAAGCAGAGAGCGCGACGGGTAAGGACTGTGTCAGCCTTGTGAATGTCTTGGGCCTGATCTTCCAGATCTGCGATGATTATTTGAACCTGTCCAATACGACGTACACGCAGAACAAGGGCATGTGCGAAGATCTGACGGAAGGCAAATTCTCGTTTCCGATTATTCATAGCATTCGTTCGAATCCGGGGAGTCATCAGCTTATTAGTATTCTCAAGCAGAAGACCACTGACGAAGAGGTTAAGCGGTATGCTGTGCAGTACATGCAGAGTACGGGGAGCTTTGAGCATTGTCGGGTTGTTGTCAAGGGGTATCGGGATCAGGCGTTACTTTTGATTGATGCGATTGATGCTACTCCAGGTAGCAATGGCGCTGGTGATGGGAGTATGGTTCGGGCGGTTCTGAATAAGATTGTTAATTCGACTCTGGAGTCATGATCTGATGGTGACTTGCTCTTTACATATTGTTTCCAAGATTTCTACAGTATTTGGAAGCGGATTTACGATGTCATGATACTACCAGAATGGACTTTTAAAATTGACTTTGACGCTCAAATGAAGCCCTGTATCTTGATTAGATGAGTTCCTAATTGATCTTCAAGAGCAAGATCTCCCTTACACTCTTGAAGTTACTAGCGGTATCTACTAGTCTCATATTGTATCATAGTTGCCTATTCTACTTCAAGTTAGTGATATTGACCACCCTCGACCCCGCAGTTGAGAGGAACAAAAATAATGATAACCTCAGCAAACATCGAGATTATCACTCTTCCTGGTCATCTGAATTTCACGCTGTCTCATTGTATCGTCTAGTATTCTCACAGCTAATGTGTTTGTCTGACCCGTTAGACCAACTGCTTCAACCCATTCGTGCCATCTCATCGCACCCAGAGCGTGGGGTTACTTTCCTATAATTGCCCCCTTGGGAAGAAAAATTACACTAATTCGCAAGAAACTTCGTGATGAAGAATGAAAACTTCACTCTTACATATCATCCTCGATCAAGGCCTCAGAGAATCATTCTATGGATAGCAGCAGCAGCCGTTGCGACACTGGGCCTAGTGAGGTTCGGTAAATTGCCTACCTCGGCGGATAATTGGGTCTTCAGACACGATCCCCAAGTCCAAGACTTGCCCTATGGATTATTCCCACAAGAGAACGACCCATTTCAGTTTCTCCCCTGCACCAACACCAGTCGTCCGCCACCACTAGATGACTCTACTCCGCAGCAATCATGGGCCGCCCTTTTCGACCCCAATCCCAGCCATTGGAGCTGGGGTAGCACAGGCCAGGGCATATACCTGTGTGGATACTTGGATCTTCCACTTGATTATCACAACTCTTCAGATCATCGTATTGTCCGCATTGCAGTCACCAAGTTTCAGGTCGCCGGCCTGGCCCATAGAAATGACCCCAGGCTTCCACTCAAGAGCTACAGGAGTGAGCGCACTATCATTATAAACCCGGGAGGTCCAGGAGGAAGCGGAACATCTTTCCTTTGGGAGACTGCAGAGGAGATGACGAATCGCTTCAGTGACGGCCAACTCGATGTGCTAGGGTGGGATCCCCGCGGTGTGAATCTCTCACTACCCGCCGCCGCATGTTTCCCCCAAGACAGTATCCGGGACCGGTGGCCACTCCTAACACTCCGGTATCGCGAGGAGGCTCCAAAGACCCAGCTAGAAACTGTGGATGCCATGAACAATGCCACGTTCTTTGCCTGCCAGCAACGACTAGGCGATTTTGGTCGCTTCGTCAGCACGGCGTCGGTAGCACGCGACCTAGACGAGATCCGAAAAGCACTTCATGAAGAGGAAGTCACTGGATACCTGGTTAGCTATGGTACGGGGATTGGCCAGACATATGTCAACATGTTTCCCACCCGAGCGGGTCGTTTGATACTTGACGGTACGGAATATGTCAGGGATCATCGCCTCTTGGGTGGATTTGGCTGGACTGCTCTTGATAACGCAACAAATGCATGGCGAGACGGGTTCTTGGGTGAGTGTCTTAATGCTGGTCCGAAGTGGTGCGCGTTGGCCAATCCTTTGCCTAACCAGGATGGCCCCGTTACCCTTGCACAGCTAGAAGCGCGCATGGCTCAACTACTCGAGTCGCTCAAAGTTCGCCCACAATCCGCATATACGGAATCAGGTGGTCCCTCTCTAATCACTTATTCAGCGCTCGTGCAGAGCGTCCTCTATGGGACTATGTATAGGCCGATGGAGTGGCCGGCGGCGGCACAAATGCTCTATGAGCTCGAAGCGGGGAATGCGACTCTAGCAGCTAACGCTCTAGACCTCTCGTGGAGCGACCATTCTGAGAAGCCATTCTACCCCTATTCCCCAAGTTCCAGTGAGCTTGAATTTCTCGTGATCTGCTCCGATGCCTACGATGCACCCCTTCCAGACGGACTTGACTGGTGGGATCAGTTGTGGGAGGACATGTCCACCCGGAGCTGGATAGCTGGAAATTCGCGTTTCTTCTCAGTTCTGCCATGTCGACACTATAATACCTATTGGGACCGTCCTTCGGAGGTGTATCGAGGCGATCTTAACCACACTCTCAAGACTCCTACTCTGCTTATCGCTTCTCCATATGACCCTGCAACGCCCTTACGCAATGGAAGAAGACTCCTAGCTGAGATGGGACAGAATGCCCGGTTGATTGTTAATCACGCTTATGGACACAGCTCTAGACGTGCTAGGTCGGACTGCACGGATCGAGTTGCAAAAGCTTACATTCTACATGGCACTATTCCCAAGGAACAGGAAATTCAGTGCTATGCTAATGAACAGCCTTATATTCATGGTCTTATGAACGATGAATAAGTATCGCTTGCTGAAGAGAGTTAAGACTGTTGATATTCTTGCAAGTATACATCTAACTCATAGATATTTCCATTATAAACGACGTTACTTGGGACTGAATAAAGTATTTCAATGTTGGTAAGACCTTTATTAAATACCTTTACCTAACTAGATATCTTAACTACTCAAGTGCTATATTGCCTCATATTTCTTCAATCAGGCTACAGAGAATATAACATAATCCGTCTGTAAGATCAGTAAAACAGAAGATAAAAGATAAAAGATAAGATAAGTATACAGCTTTTTTGAGCCAGACGACGATACATGGAAACTGCGGGCGATCTTAACAGGTGATTATCGAAAGCTACGATGGAATTTTAGCTTTGAATTGAAGGCAACTAGTTAGTGACAGTGGGGTTCCGACTTAAGATCAGATTGGCTGGGCCTGGTTGGCTGAAAAATGGTTCATTCACCTAAAGACTACGAAAGCACATGGGGACGTCAAAGGGCACGCCAAATCACACTGGTCTTAATCGGGGAATATATATATCAAAGCTAGTCCTGATTAGGTCCTCAGAATTGTGGCCAAGGCATAACTATCTATAAAATAAGTGTTACACATGAAAATGATCAAAGTTCTCCCTAGAATCTAACAGTCTTATCCAATCCAAGCTCCATATGATAAAATCAAGAATTATAGGCAAACCCCTGATAAAAGTCAAAGCATATGGTGAATTGAAAGTCGTGCCCCATGCAGAAACATCTACTCTATCTACCTCTCTATTACTTGGTATACCTCACTATTACTTGGGTACACCGCATACTTTTTGGACACTGTTTCCCCCCATTATTTGGTGGAAGAAACAGCCATGGTTTGCCGTACTAAAGGGTGTTTATTTCCTTTGCTGCAGGTTCATAGCCGCGGGGTACCAAGTCGGTATCAACATTCGCGACTCGGGAAACATCGCCCTGGTCGGACTCATTCACGCGCCGCAGCAAGCCGTCGCTGGACGGGGACTCAGCAAAGACGCCGGTCTTGATCACCCTAGCCGGGAACCAGCTTCTTTATGACCCCACTCTCGTCATCAAAAGACGACGGTACCTCATCGACTGGGAAAGTGAAAGATATGCGATCTTCAACAATAGCCGGGCTTTTTGAATGCTGTGCAGACCACACACCAGAACCGTACCTAGCGCAATGAGGTCCTAGGCCTGAAAATTCAGACACGAGACCCATACACTTACGGGAACGTCGAGGTTGGGGACGAACATAGTATTCAAGGCCGGTTCCATACATACTTCGGCTGAGAAGACGGCGATTGTCTTGGGGATAGCGAATCTTTTATTGCGTTTGTCGATTTTTGGTTGGTGCACAGGGCAGAGAGAGAGACAGGCGAGTGGCTTCATTCGTGCTGGGAGTTCCTTTAGTGGCTTTGGGCATGACTTTGCCGGTTTGGGAGATGGCTTCGGAGATGCCCTTGGAAGCTGGGCAATTTTGTGCTGATAATTTTGGATTATCTTGGATTGTTCTCTCCAGTCTAGAAGAGCCCCTCACGGTGGCTGATATTAGAGTATAATGCATCTCTCTCTCTCTCTCTCTCATACACACACACACAGTCAATCATGCCTAGGTGGTATATCTATAATATATTACGAGCAGTAAACATTTGAATGTTATTATGCAGGCCCTAGGGCGGTTCTCCATAATATGCCAATTTTTATGATGCATTAAACCAAGCCCTAAATGAATTATATTCAGACATTATTCCCTTACCATAGTTATTTAAACAATTCATTACATGACCACACAGCAAGCCTTCTCCAACTTCTTCATAATCTTGGGCAACAAATCATTGACAGCCTGCTCAAGCTCATCAGGCTGCTGCTGCTGCTGCTGCTGGTGTTGCTGCTGGCCACCCGAGTAACCCTGCTGCTGGCCAGGGTATTGCTGGTGCTGCTGCTGATGCTGCTGTTGCGGGTAGTGCTCCGAGACAGGAGGCATAACAGCCTCACCACCAGTCAAGTTCACATAGATACGACCAGAGTTCTCCTCAGTAGTATGCTGTAACCCCAACTCTTCACAGATCTTCTCGACGCGCGGCTTGATCTTCTGAATGTGGCCCGCAGAGTGGTTGCCCTTACCCACGATGCTGCGACAAAGTTAGCAAGATTCCCTTTCTCAATCCAACCACTCCCAACACCAAGATAGAGTGGAACAAAACACGGAAATGAAGCACATACACATGCAAATGAGTCTGCCCATGCGCCTTCGCATACTTAATGCGCTCTTCCAGAATTTCCTCAGCCTCCTCAACGAATTGCCCATGCAAATCGATCGTATCGGCCGCTACACGGCCATTGGAATTGTTCTCGCGAAAAATGAACTCAGACGCCTGTTTATTGTATTCCTCCATCTTGCGTCCATGTGCCTTTCCCTCTTCGGAGTACTGCTTGGCGCCGGCGCCATCACCGCTGGAGTAGGCTTCCTGTGACTGCAGGAATAAGGATTGTTAGCAGGGTTCGCGCCGGAATGCGACTGCGAATGCGATTTCGAAACGGGAATATGTGTACCTTGTGGAAACACTCGCCGCGTTTCGAGGCTTCCTGGCGTGCTAGGTCGCGGAGTCGGTCGTACTCCGCCTCGGCATCGCTACTTTGTTCGTGGTTGAAGGCTGGGTAGGTTAGTGGGCGAATTTTTTTGGGTATGAATCGATTGACGTACCCCGAGGGCCGAGATGGGACATTTCGTGCGACATTGTGTTGGGGACTTAAGAGGTTGGTGAGAGTCTGGACATGGGCAGGGCCGCAGGGGCAGCATTTAAAGTGGGGACTTGGCGGACCCGAAAAATCAACAGATCGATTTCGATTGCGATCGTTCGTTCCATGGTTTTGGGTTCCAAGGTTGTTCAACGATTTACTTATTGATAAAACCCTGCAAGGCTGATTCACAATATTTGGGATTGAGGAACCGATTTATATTTTATAAGCTCAAACTTTATACGGCCTATACTTATGCCCTACAGTACAAGAGAAGAAGCAGCCAAAACGCTCTGAGAATCACGTCCAGATACCAATTTAAATACAACTACTGCTAGTTCTTGCCTGATCCAGAGCCATGGTCTTGTTGTGTGCAAATAGTCTCGGCGCTATTGCCAGGCAGGGTGGGCCCAATGCAACTTAACATCCACTACAGCAAGCACCAGCGTTTTACAGAAACCTAGACCTTGCATGCTCTATAGCTCATTTATAGCGCGTTAGAGCGACCACGTGGGAAGGTTAGACCGAGACAAGATAAGGCTTGAGCAATGGTCCTCGTTAAGGGACTTTGGAGTAGTTCCACCGTTGCCTTATGGTGAATGGATAGCTGTATATAAGCACTTCTGTTTGATGTTGGCTGTGGAGTATGGTGTGTTAGCAGCTGAGGGTTGTACTTGAGCGGGTAAATGCGCCGTGGCGGTAGATGGACATGGTGGATCTCACACCGTCGGGAATTTAGAAAGTTAGGCATTGGGATAGGCTGATCAATTAGAACAAGGTTGGAATTTGATGATAAGATGACAGTAAATTATATGCATTAAAATTTTTGTCTAAATATGGGGCGGGAACGGAGATGTTCCAGATGTCATGGAGAAGTATACGGAGTACATGGAGTTCGCGGAGTCGATAAGACCTGTTTTTGGCTATGACAAACATGTTACAGGTATGAAGTGTACAGTAGTAGAAGCGGTATCCTATTTTCTGGGAGAGTCATGAATTTTGGCTTATTAGTACTTCGGTATAGCTTGTATTATCTGTTAATATCCCCCTTTCTATAAACTTTACTTTATTTACCTTGACTTCTACTTCTCAATTTCCAGGTAACTCATTGGAATGGTATGCGCGGCAAAGAACGGCTAAAAGCACTAGCCGGTGGGTCAGGGAATAAATAGCGTGAGACCAAGGCGCGAATAAATTCCAGAAGTTCCATTCTCAGGGGCCCATGTGGATTAAGCCCAGTTTTTTTTCTTCTTTGCCATGTGGAAGGGGGGTTCTGATTTTCCGAACCTGACCCGCTTGCAACAGACCTTGTCGTTGTTGCTTCTGCTTACCTGCATTGGTCATCCAAGTTCTATTAGATTATTAAATATCTATATGCTCAATTCTCACTTGGGGGCGGTGCGGCTTCCCGGTCAGATCGACAGTGGAGCTAAACTAAGGTAGCAGTTTGCTGCATGGACATGCATCCCAAGTATCACCCAAGTTTCAACGTCACAACTGAAGCAGGTGGACTATTTCAGTGACGGGGCTGACTCTGATTATCAACCCATGCATGGTAATTTTTCTCTTTTTTTCACTTCGGACTGTTTGTGCCAACCATACCAGTGTCACAGTGAGATCTTCTCTGTAATGTTCTAGGCTGAGGCCTACAAAACAACGGACAGCAGGATTATATGGGTCTCTACTTATGCAGAAGATCGTCATATCTTTCCATGCAGAGAAGATGAAAAAGCAGCCCTCGTATCATTACATAGTGTTATTGCAAGTCCGGACATACTAGTCATTGTCGGACAATATTAGTTTATGTCCCCACAGAGGATCTGCGTTAGGGATATTTGCTCGGGGAAACTTGTGTTTGGTTTTCCCCCATGTATTCATAAATCAGAAAGACCTTGTAAAAGATCTCATTGTGAAGAATAAGAAAGAACTAGTAAATTTTCGGCCCCAGAAGAGTAGGGAAATGACAAAGTGCATGAAGAAATAGGGGGCAGAAAAGTTGATCCAAGTGATTGGACGTGGGCTCGTGCTTGGGTTGAGTGGAGTGCCTTTTAACCAATTAAATACAAGAATTGATGGTAATCGTCTGGTCAATCTGTGGAAATCCCGGGCTTTCTCTGTATTGTAAGTATCGTACCGTTTCCCCTTTCCCTGCTGAAACTTCCAATTTCCCCTCCCCCTTACCTTAAACCTCTCACTCTCTTGGAATACCTTCACTCTTTTCCTTAACTTCTATTCCAGGTAACCTTTGATTCTTTAAGGTGCGCTTTAATCTTCCCCCTGGCATTCTCCCTATCTGCAGCTTCCAGCACTCTCCCGTGGTCAATTATTCTCGTTTCACCCTTGCATTCCCACGATTGCATTCTGAAACGTCGGTCCTCGGCGACTTGTACCACCTTCTCGCCCCGTTCATCCTAATACGCGATCCAAGGAGAACAGCAGAAAAGTTTGCTGACCCATCACGTCCTTCCACAGTTCCTTGTGATTGAACAACGAACCTCGCATTGAGTTGATCGGCTCGTACAACTTTCGCGATCGTTTAAGCCAGAACATCAAAAACACCGCCATAATGGGTTGCGGAATGAGCACTGAGGATAAGGAGGGGAAGGCCCGGAACGAGGAGATCGAGAACCAGCTGAAGCGCGACAAGATGTTGCAACGGAATGAGATCAAGATGCTCCTTCTTGGTAGGATTCGACCCCAATGCTATTTGGCTGATGTGACGCAAGACTGATTAAAAGGGGTATAGGTGCTGGAGAGTCGGGCAAGTCGACAATTCTGAAGCAGATGAAGCTCATCCACGAGGGCGGTTACTCGCGCGACGAACGGGAATCCTTCCGAGAGATCATCTACAGCAACACAGTTCAGTCGATGCGCGTTATTCTGGAAGCCATGGAGTCGTTGGAGTTGCCCTTGGAGGACGCCCGGAACGAGTACCACGTCCAGACTATTTTCATGCAGCCCGCTCAGATCGAGGGTGATAGCATTCCTCCGGAGGTCGGCAACGCCATTGGTGCGCTTTGGCGCGATACCGGTGTTCAGGAGTGCTTCAAGCGCTCGCGTGAATACCAATTGAATGACTCGGCCAAATAGTGCGTTCACTTTCTAACCCCACGAAAACATTTGTCTAATAGATTACACAGCTACTTCGATGCCGTTGACCGCATTGGCCAACCCGACTACCTCCCTACCGACCAGGATGTTCTCCGCTCCCGTGTTAAGACCACCGGTATCACCGAGACCACTTTTATCATCGGCGATTTGACCTACCGCATGTTCGACGTCGGTGGTCAGCGATCTGAGCGAAAGAAGTGGATCCACTGCTTTGAGAATGTCACCACTATCCTTTTCCTGGTCGCCATCTCCGAGTACGACCAGCTGCTATTTGAGGACGAGACCGTGAACCGTATGCAAGAAGCCCTGACCCTGTTCGACTCCATCTGCAACTCCCGGTGGTTCGTCAAGACCTCCATCATTCTCTTCCTCAACAAGATCGACCGCTTCAAGGAGAAGCTCCCCGTCAGCCCAATGAAGAACTACTTCCCCGACTACGAGGGTGGTGCCGACTACGCCGCCGCCTGCGACTACATCCTTAACCGCTTCGTTTCTTTGAACCAAGCGGAGCAGAAGCAGATTTACACCCACTTCACATGTGCCACTGACACTACCCAGATCCGATTCGTCATGGCCGCTGTCAACGGTAAGTTCCTATATTTCGATACTTTCAGTTCAGTCACTAATGGATTCCAGATATTATCATCCAAGAGAACCTGCGCCTCTGTGGTTTGATCTAATGAATTGCCATTCCTCGAGTGTCAAACTAGATCGCATGTGCTTTGTTTCCTTTGGCTTACATCAGGTCTCCTGAGATATGATCCAAAAGCCCCGTGTCCAAGAATCTCCGGCGTTAAACATGTCCCTTCATCTGTTCTTTATCTTTTCCTTTCTTGTGTGTCTTCTAATTGCGGTCCCCTCTTGACACGATCTTTAGCCGGTTCTTTCCTCCTGCTCTCGAAGACGCGGAGCAGGACCTTTTTGACCCCTTCATCTTTCTTTTTCACGCTTTTCCTTTCCCCTTGTCTTTGAATGCTGGATATCCTCCTTGGTTGCCCCCTCCCTTTTTTTTGTTTATTCCATCTTGTGTTCTTGTATGTAACCATACCGTCTCACCCCTTCATGTTCCTTGGTCTCGCGTCCATTGGAAGCCACGAGCATTCATCCGTGATGAACACGGGGAACTGACAGCGGATTCTCATGTCTCTTCTCATGTGTCATGCCAGGTCGGTCGTGGGGTTATCGTCAGTTAGGAATTGAATCACGGGTTCCCGACCTTCAAATTGCAGTAGATCTCGATTGATATATACCAAGTATAGGCATGAGAGTGCAATGACTTGAAAATAGAATTCCAGGGTATCTCAACTAAACCAAACTATGCATGTGTATCACCCATGAGGATGTAATCCTTCTAAAACCGGAACTTTGGCAAGACATAAACAATCAAAATCGCAACAACCCACAGCCCAAAGATCCACGCATAAAGCATCATTCTCCCCCACCAACCCTTCCCCTCTGACATCTTCCTTAACATCCCCATCCTCTTCCCCGCAGCCTCCATTGTCGCGCTCGTCTTATCCATCCCCGTCACCGCTCGATCAAGAACATACTTCTCATTCTCCAATGTTTTCTGGAAAGACTGCGACGAGGCCTTGAGCTGACTGGCAAGTGAAACGAGCGAGCTAGTGAGATCTTCCTGTTCGAGGCGGTGTGTACTAAGCTCTTGTTCTTTGTTCTTAGGTGCGGAACTGCGCCCCGATGCTTGAGCTGTATCCATGGCCGCTGGTGGGTACTTTTGATTTGTAGATCTGTTCCTGAGACTTGGTGGGGCTGTAGATGTAGACGTAGACGTCGATGTAGACGTCGATGTAGGTGCCGGTGCTGCTGTAGACGTAGACGTGGCCGTGGCTGTACTTGCAGTTGCAGGAACGGACGTCATGGCGGGTTCAATATCCCGCAGCTCTTGCGTCTCGGATTTAATATATATGGGCCCGTCGGTGCCCGTTGAAATAATCGTCTCTGCAAGTGGTTTGGCGAATAATTCCTCCCATTCGTTTACTTCTTCCTCCAGGTTTCCGTCATCATTGGCCCTGGCATCCTCTTCATCCAAAACAGCTTGCATGCGCTTTAGAAGCTGTCTATCGCGCGCGAGCTCCTCTTGTGCTTCATGTCGACGGTCCAGCGATTTCAACTGAGGGAGAGATCGTTCCAGTTGTGAGAGGAGGATACGTGCGTATTCGATATTCTACGTTTGTGTATTAGATTCGGGTTCATGCTTTCATACTTCGGTATAGCGGCTTACCTTCGTTACGCGCATGCGCTGGAACTCGGACCCGCGCAGAGTGCGGAGCTCGGAGCCTGGTTTTAGGAGATTGTGTTCGAGGCGGGTGAAGAGGCGGGCTGTATTGAGGAGAGTGAGGTCGGGAGAGTCCGAGAGCGAGGGAAAAGCGGTTACAGTCATTGTGTGATAGAAGGAGCTTGGGCTCTGGATGTGTATGTATGAGTTTGGAGAACTAAGAAGAGGCCAGAAGGACCGTCATTGCTGACTTAGCAGGATCACGGGACTGGAATAAAAGATCACAATCACAATCAAAATCAATAGACCATAAGCAAATCGCAGCGACAAATATTCAAGGACATCGAATCTGAGCAACACAAGAGAAAACAAAATAAAAGGAAACAAAATAAAGAAAAACCTCCCAAATCATTAGAACAAAATCACAATCAAAATTAAAATCAAAAATCCAGCTAATTGTACTCAACCACTAATCGCCGAAATGTCCTCGCCCCATCATCATCTTTCTCACAAACAACCTCCACCGCCTCATTGCGCTTTTGCACAGTAATCGTCTTCGCCCCCAATTCAGGCGTCCCACATGAATTCTGCTCTTGCATCTGCGTCTGCATCTGCATCTGTTCACGCGCTCTAGCAGCCACCGCCCCGCTACTCGGGAAAGTTCCACCCAGCGACAGTGGCTTTAAGATATCAAGAGCCGAAATAGGGGGTGGCGAGTCTAAGTTCTGGATTTGATTTTGATTCTGGGTCTGGGTCTGGGCCTTTTCCATATCAGATAGTGCAGACCACATGGACACAGGCACGGGTGCCTGCGAACGGGAGAGAGCGATCTTGATTGCGACTGCGATTGTCACCACGCTTAGGCTGAGAATGTTGGCCCACCACGGAAGGTGTGGGATGGGGGTGAGGAGTATGTTTTGGATTTGAGATGCTGATGCTGATGCTGATGCTGGGGCTGTAGTGACCATTTCGTACGGGTGGACTTTACCACCCGTTGTGTTGGATGTCACTGTCGTGGTGGTTTGGTAGATGTAGATGAGTATAAGGTTGTTTGTTATTGGCCAATAGGATTGGACGGGAGGACCTTGGAAAAGGTTTGTAGTAAACCCGAATGGTTAATAGTAAACAGCAGATTGAAAGTAGATAATTGGAGCTACAAGGGGGGGGATTTAGGGCTAATATAGGAAGTTGTTTAGTTGGTGGCCTTGAGGATCTGGAGAGAAAGAATATGATCGACATGTAGAAAGGAAAAGGATGGCGGGGCTGGATTTCATTTGATTTAATTTAAATTATTTTTCTTTCATTGAGGCGCTCAGTCTATACGGGATGATTTCTACGGAATACATGGTTTCGTTATATAAGGAATTTATGTTAATATTTGATTTGCATTTGCATTTGCGTTTGACTTTGAAATCAATTTGATTCATCACAAAAGTCAAATTACTAGAAAAAGAGAAAAAGAAAAGAAGTCCATGTAAGATACACCGGACCGGTGATGATGTTGTACTCCGATGAAAATAGCATTGAACTCGGGAAAAGCAACTCATTTTTACATAAAAAGTAGAAAAGTGGATAGAGTTGGCAATTATGTAGATATGGTTCCAGCTACGCTTGAGCCAGCCACAGACACTTCAGCTGCCGCTTCCAAGCGCCACTGCGAGAGAGATCTACCATCTACACAATCTACGGAATGCGTCAAATTCGAATTTTATGATTGCGGAGACAAAGGCAGATCAGGTTTATCTGCCAATAAAATCTTGTTGTTCTACAATTAAATTTCCCGATCTCGATCACTTCAGCTGTTGGATTTAGGGCCCTCGCGCTAACCCTGTCCTCATTGACGAATCAACATCATCCGTCCCGCGCTCGGCTATCGTGCTTTCGTTTTGACTTTGTTTTTGCCCCAGCACTACGGATTCCCGCGAGAGATCGTCGGCATCTACAAGAGGGGCATGCATACATTGGAAATGACAAATTACTTCGCGTCACTCAGAACGAAAATCAATAGACAGAGCACTCTAGATATCTGGAGTCTAGAGTTTGGCCGTAACACCTTGCTTCAGCTCCACCCGCGCTTGCTCGCGTAGTACTGTCCGCAGAATCTTCCCAGATGGATTCTTTGGGATCGCTTCAAGGAACACTACCCCACCAGTGATCCGCTTCGTGGCAGAGACCTTTCCGTCCATGAACCGAACAATATCCTCACTGCTGGCCGATTGTCCCGGATTCAACACGACATATGCCCGAGGCCGCTCGTCATGGTCACTATAAACAGATTAACATGGCCCGCATTTGTTCATGCACAGTACTTAGTACTTACATCGTCACGCCAATCACGGCAACATCCGCAATGGCCGGATGCTCCAAAAGAAGCGCTTCTAGTTCGGCCGGTGCCACTTGATTGCCCTTGACTTTGATCAATTCCTGCAGAAATTTGTCAATACTTGTCGCTTGCCCCACTTGACATCACATACCTTCATTCGATCCACAACATGGAACTTGCCCTGATTATCTACATAGGCGATATCACCCGTTCGCAGCCAACCATCGGCTGTCTTGGTCTCTTTAGTCGCTGTTGGGTTCTGCCAGTACCCTTTCATGACGTTTTGTCCACGGACCCACAGCTCACCGCGCTGATTGCGAGCCATGATCTCGGTACCGTCATCTGCCATGATCTTCGCTTCGCAATTGGCATTGGGTTCCCCGACAGATGCAGAGTCACTGATCTCTCTTGGATCCCATCCTAGGATGGAGCAAGTGGTCCTACAATGACCTAGTCAGCATCACCCCAAAGAAGCAAAGAAGCACGAAACAAAAAGAAAAGAAAAACAACATACTCAGTCATCCCCCACCCCTGCTTAACATTAATAACCCCATCAGGCCACAATTTCTCCACGTCAGCACAAACCTCCCTCCCTAAAGGTGCTGCTCCACTCGCCACAACCTCCACACTACTCAAATCAAACTCCCTCACACGATGCTTAGCCAACATAACCATAACAGGCGGCACAAGAATCAGATCCGAAATTCGAAATGCCTGCGTATACTCAAGCATCTTCCCAAAATCGAACTTCGGCATAATGTATACAGGCGCCCCATGATACAACGCCGCCGCGATAAATATATTCTGCGCCATCGCATGATACATGGGTAAAAAGCACAGCCAACGCATCCGCGCCCTGCGCCCAGTCTCATATTCCGGATGCAAAGTCTGCAAGAACGTATACTGAAGCATATTCGCCGTATAGTTCTTATGCGTAATCTCCACTCCCTTCGGCCGGCCGGTCGTTCCACTAGAGTAATTCAAAACGAGCGTCCTATCCGCAAGCTCGGGCGTAGATAGTTCCTCCCACGCGAACCCCTCGCCTTCCTCAGCTGGAGCGATGAGATCGCCCCAATACGGACATCCTTTCTGGGCATTGGAAATGTTATCGTAAACACCACTGTCGAAGACGTATACATTCTTCCGTGGTAAGCCGGCTAAAGCAGCTGCTTCGATTCCTGTATCGAGACTTGCGGATGCGCAGAGAAGGTACTTTGCGCCGCTATCTTGGAGCTGGAAGGCGAGTTCTCGGGCTACGTATGTGGGGTTTGCGCCGGAGAAGATCCCGCCTGCCATTGCGATGCCCATGAGGACTACTGGGAAGAAGAGGTCGTTTCCTGAGAAGAGGAGGACGCGGTCACCGGGCTGGAGACCAGATTTTAGAAGTCCGGTGGCGAACCGCTGGCTCCAGAGACGGTAGTCATGGAGTGTGAGGTAGTGGGTTTCTGGCCGGGCGGCTTCGATGAAACACTTGTGGGTTTTGGAGAGGGGGGCTGTTGGGGATTTAAGGAGGAGAGATGCTAGATGGGTGTCTGGGATATCGATTGTCCAGCGGGATTTGTAGGGCATGGTGGATATTCAATGTTCTAGGAGGTTGGATAATGTTTACTTCAATGTTCAATGTTCAATTTTCAGTGTTAGCTTAGGGGAAAATGGCTTATAACTATTTCCCCGCTTCTGCCATATAGCCATATAGCCAGTTCAAGTTCTGAGACGATCATTTCCCCGCATAAATCGGTTATGAGTGCGGGGGATCCAAGGCTTACGCTCGGATGAGCCCACATAATGGCATTATGAAGAATTATGAAGAATTACCTAATCATGTATTCCAAGGTGGTTCTTTATTGAATTGGATGAAGATGTCACTTCAAATGTTGTTTTCAAAGTCATCGCAGGGGAGGTACAACATATCAGATGCGGGATTTCTCAACCTTCAGATGCTGTCAGGCATCTACATTATTCATCCTTGGTCCACTATGAATATATGTCATAATGTAGCTTCATTTTGCCAGGCCTTTAACGTTTAGAATACTGGTCATCTACTAGCTGAGCATGTCGAATGTTCATCTAAGCTTTCCCGATCGTTATCGATAAGATCGAAAGTTTAAGAGATATCGCAGTCAACTGATGTGATGTAAATCCATGTTCTGAGGCTTGAGACTAGAGTCTAGCTACCAGACAAAAGCATTAAATGGAAGCTTGAATCCTTACAATGGCGCAGAGATGATCTTAATTTAACCCAACATTGAACTCACATTCCCCAACCCAGCCCACAAATGACAGATAAAAAATTGGAAAGGCTATAAAAACAACGTGTATCATGAATCCTCCTCATCCGCTAAACAGGTCAAGGCCGCATTCAACTCGGCCAACACTTTCTCCTCCAGGCGGTTAGTACAGCCAGAAGCCTCGGAAACTGGCTTCTGTCGCGACCACTCCACTTCCTTCTCATTCGTAGCAACAATGCGTGCTCGCAGGGATTGCCGGCGATTGATCAGAGACTCAATGTCTTCTTTCACCTGGGCGTGGTCCCACTTCAGTTCCTGGATGGCCTGGGGGTCTAAGCCAGCGCTGGGGCCTGCTTCGCGGAACTGGGCGAGGATGAAGGAGATGAGAGATAGTGAGTATGCCTCGGATGCCATGCTCAGACTGATCCACTGTGCCGATGCGCTGGATGAGGTGCCCACGTGGGGAGTGGAAAAAACTTCGGCCGCACGAGCGAGCTGGCCTTCGAACTGGTTGAGGAATGCAGCTACCTCTGGCGCGGCACGAACAACGTTGAAGAGAAGGTTCAGGCACAGAGGGAGGAAGCCGGCGGTCCAAATCGTGTACATTCGGGGTACAGGGTCAAAGGGTCCGAATCCCTTGGGTTGGCGGAGAATGTTTGTTAGACGACATGTTGACAGTTTCATCAGAACTGCCTCCACAGCAATGTGCTCTGCTAGCATCGGGATGGTCGACATTTTGACAAGGATAGACAGACTCAGATCGCCGTAGATCGGGTCTCCGGCCACCGCAAGCTGGTCAGCCCAAGAAAAAAGCGTAGTGGCATATCGGGCAGTGTTGTTATCCTCAATATGATATGTGATATGCTCAAAGAGTCGATCGGCATCCTTGACATGCAGAGCACTTTGTAGAATGGCGATCAGAATGGCGAAATCCTTGGGCGTACATTTCTCTGGTTCTTCGTGTAGATAAGTGGTAAGCGATTTAAAGCCTTGAGCGACGATGGTCTTCACAATTTCAACGACGACGGTAAGGTCGGAAGAGATAGCGGCCTTACTCGGTGCCGCAGGCGCGGAGCGAGACGAGCCTTTCAAATGGAATTGAAGAGCCAGGAACAGGACATTGAGTAGGCATCGATAGTACTCGGTATCGTCGTTGATCAGGGCTTCTTCGTAGGTGGAGTGCCGAGCAAGCAAAGCTTTCCAGGTCACCTCAAGCATAGCGAATACCTCAGATCCTCGGGCCCCCACTTGTACCAATCGTTGGAGGAGAGCCTGGGCGAAATCGACCCGTGTTTGTTGAATCCGCTCAAAGATGGATTCTGGCGGGACGCCCCGACTGTTTGCCTCTAGACAATGTTGCGCCACTAGAGCCATTGACTTTTGGATTTCGCGGTCTGGAAGAAAGTCCGCGCAATGCTCAATGGCAAAGAATTTCCAGCTGTTGAGGAGGCTGACTTGCGCTTCAACAAGTGATAGGTTGATGTTGGCTCGCTCAAACTCCTCTGAGAAACCTTGACCACGAGTTCCAGCCCAAGCAAAGTCGTAGGATAGTAACCTTTCTCCCATATCTAGGTCATAGTAATAATCACGACCAAGTGTACGGGTCTCCAGCGGTGTTCGCTTGAAGTCGGTGATCTTGCAGCCATTGTATCGTGCCTCGAAATTCTTCTTCAAGTTCGCATGCAAGGAAGTATTATAGGCACTGACGTCAACAGCACCATTGGCATACCACTGTACCAATGGAATGAGGGTCTTGACAAAGCTCCGGTCGTTGGATTCCTTCGCAGAGTGCAAGTATACGGCGCAAATGTCAGCGACGACAGCTGCAATTCGTGTTGCGAAAATTTGATCTTTCACTGGTAGAGTCGAGATCTTCAATTTTGAGACATGGTTAACGATGCTCGTGAGGAATTGAGAATGACTTTTCAACTGTGGGGTGGCCCATGGCCAGTGTTCTTGAGCACTGGATACAAATTCGAGCAATTCCAAGGCCACCTCAGGCTCTTCCTGGTCAATGTGGGCAAGCTTATCGAGGGCCATCTGCAGGAACGGTGCGCCCCTCATACTCGGATCCCCAGATTTGTCGGATTTTTTTAAGGTCTGGCGGGGAGACGCGCCAGTGAGAATAAAGACAGCTAGCCATTGCTGACGCTTGCTAACGAAAGTTGACAGCAATCGCCAAACGGACAGCAACAGATTTTTGTCGCTAAGGGGTTTGTCAAGCTGGGAGAGGACATCGAGGAACAGGCATGATGATTCCGCTCCTAGATGACCAACAAGAGATGGAGGCTCACTCTCTGAATTGGAGGCAGCGCTTGATATGAGAATGTCAAGAAGCTTCACAACCGGTAACCTGTATGAATCGTGAGACGCATAAAGTTTCACCAGGACCGGCGCAGCTTTGAAAAGCTGCTCTTCTAATAGCGACCCGGGAAGATCTGCCAGGCGAGATGCTTGGACAAGCTTCACACATAGCCCCAGTATGGAGGTAACCTGGCTCTCAACCAACGTGAAGTGGCGGAAATGAAGGGTAGATGGTGCTTGGAGCCCCTCTGAAATTAACCGAAGAAGCGGGTTGAAGGGCAGGTCAGCGGTGGAACGAGGTCGCAGCATATCCAGGATGTAAGTTGCAGAGGAAGAAAAGACACCGGTGATTTTGGATTCCAGCTTGGCATTGTCGTTGATTCCGTAGGCGTAATACAAAATTTGATCGAAAGTGCTAGCTAAGATCGCATTGATCTGAAGCCGTTGTTCTGGGAAATTAAATCGCCAGTTTCCGTTACCGTTGAAGATATCCACCATTGTACGAGTGAAATCCAGCAGAATGGTTCTCATTACATGGGATGGGATGCTAGCAGTCCAATCGGTCGCAATTGTTGATTTGCCCAGGACGCTACCAGGGCTCTTTCTTAACACTGCTCGTGACCCTGCGTCATCGACAGCAGCCTTCAGAAGATTAACGCAGCTCAACAGGAAGGGATATTCCCCAGAAGGAATCTCCGTCGCTGAAATGATGGCTGTCATCATTCCACCCTTGCCTTCGGATCCAACGAGGCTGCTGCGGCTGAAGAACGGCCAAACACGGCACGGAAGAACCTTGACAACTTGCTGGATGAATTGTAGACAGGCCATGATCAGTTCCAGTGCATTGGCCGGGCCTTGAGATCCAACACTCTGCAAGTTTCGCTCGAAGATGTCGAAAATAACTGTAATGATATCACCCTGTCGAGAGAGTCCATCGCTGGCTAGTTCGAGAATCCTTTTGGCGTTGGTACCCGGAGCGTCGTTTGGACGGAGATCCTTGGCATTAGCCACAAGATCCGCTAGTAAACTGATGATCTCTGCGCCGGACTCGATATTCCAACCGGAGGAACATCCGCCGCTCTCACTCCACTCCTCGAGCCAGCTTCCCAAGAAGCTCAGACATGAGTATTGGTGTTGCCACATGACGACCGCTGGCTTGTTTTCAGAAATAATTTGTCCGACTGTGGCCGTTGGAATTTCAGATGACCCCCTCACGACCAAAGCACTGCTTGATTCGATCCCGGGAAGACGACTGCGGGTGGCCGCCTCGATCATCGGCAGTGATTGAATGAGCGACACAAAATTGGCATTTTCGTCCTCGCGAATAGTCTCATATCCTCCAAACTCCTGAGGGACAATCTGGGTAAAAGTATCCATACCATCCAGTTCCTCAAATATCAGAGGTAGACCGTCCTCGTTGACTGCATGCTCACCTACTAGCGCGCGACAGAGCTTCAAAAAGGGGATCGTTTCGTAGGGGAAGCGAGACCGTGCGAGGCGGAAAACGTTATCCATCAACGCACTATCTTGAATGAATACCGACTTAGGGTCGTTTGCAACCCCGAGCGAGTCTACTGATTTGAGCCAAGGTCCACCGCAGGTATCGGTAAGTATTGCCAAGACCGACTCGACAAGCTCCGGAGAATAGTCCCAAAAGACCACTGCGACCTTGAGGAGATCAAGTAGTGCCAGACGCACCCATTGATATGTCAAAATATCGTCAACTGCGGATAGCGACCCGACTTTCTGCGACAAGGTGATCATTGTATTCAACGCAAGATCTTTGACCTCGTGAGATGTCAAAATGGAAATTGTATCATCCACAGAGTGCTGTGGGGTTCGAGCACAGTCAATGAGTTCTTCATAGAGTGATGGCTCTGATCCCCCCGAGAAGCGTGCATTTTGGTTGTTCGATTGAAACGAGTCCAAGGCATTATGCAGTTGCTCCATCTCCCGGGTTTCCTTGTCGCTCAAAGCTAGTTCCTGAATGGCATGAAGGATTATGCCCCATGAAAAGGCTGCAGGCCTCACCGTGGCCATATCATTTTGACAGGCAAGAAGGAAAATCTCGTTTATCTGAGAAACCTTCTCCTTGGAAAGGAAATAAGCAGTCTGGCCCGACGGGAAAGTCTGAGGCTGTGCCCTGTTGGTGATCGAGGAAAACGCCAAAGGCAGTTTCAAGAAGGCCAAGGTTGTCAAAGAGACAAAAGCCTGGACTGGGAACATGACTTCCACAGGGTCTTGACAAGGTACACTCAACCCTTCAAGGAACCGATAGTCAGCCATCAGTTTGAGCCACGATAGCAGAAGGTCACCAGACGGAACTTCCGCGGATGCATGAAGCTGATGGAACATAATTTGAAGGATATGGCCCACTTCCTCTGCAACCAAACTCCTCCAGAGAATCTCTATTTCCTCGCTGCTCTCATCTGTATTCAACCAACCGCCACTCCCAGATAGATCAGTCAGGCGACTGCGGATGGCGTTCATACATTCTTCCAAAAATCTACTCAAGGAGCTACCTGTAGATTTATCTTTGAACAGCGAAGCTCCCAACTTGCACAAAGCAAGCTTTCTCTCGGTAGCTGGGGTGGTAATGGTATTGCTGGGGGCGTTGTGCAGAGACATAGCGAGCAGCTTACGACACGTTTTGACGACGTGGCTTCGTTCTGAAAGGTAGGCGCAGCGCAATCGCAAGCGCCGGCTTGTCTCTGAGTCGAATAAGGCGCCATTATCACCCACCTGTCTCAGGATGTTTGCCAAGTTCGGGCCAGCCACAGAGGCGTTGAGTTTATCGGCACCTGCCGCACTCTGTAAACTTGTCAGCTCCTCACTGGAGAAATTCGCAGTCAGGCGCGTCGCAGGTCGATTTTGCCATTCAAGAACGGTGAATCGCAGGGCAGTTATCTCGTTGAGTTCCGCTTTCTGGCTAAGCCATTGCGCGTCCGCCTTGATCTCGTCCAAATTGAAAGAATTCTTAGAACTTGTTTCCACATGAATTGCTGCAGTTTTGGATTGAAAATCTGATTTGGATTTGGCGGAAGGGCGAGTGAAGGAGGTCAGGCTTTGCGACAGCAGTTGGATGCTTTCAGGATGTGAAAGGAAAGCCTCGATATGGCCACCATCGTCGGCATGGCCTTCGGGGTCATTGGTATAGAGGAAAGCTCTTCTCCAGGACCTAGAAAATAGGAAAATTAGTGATTTGTCTAATTTTGGCGGTTGAGGGTCAAACATACAAAAGTTGAGCATCCCCGGAGAAGCACTTGTCCAGGGACGGGAAATAGGCCTCCGGGACGGGAGCCATTTGGCGAGGCAATTAGATCATCATAGGATTGCACAAGAACAAAGAAGTATTGCCCAAGTTGGAGGGTGGGAAGGGGATAAAAGAAGGACCGATGGGTTTGGTGGAAAGAAGCTTTAGAAGTTGAAGTTGAGAGCTCTTTTTTAACAAATTATTCAGTCAAAAGTCGCGCCTGCGGTCAACAATCCACCATTACCTATCTGGGACTAGTGTTGGGCGGTGAGCGGTGATTCACTTTTGTGTCACAGATTGGGTTACTCAACGTCTTCATTCAATAGATCTGCTTTTTCGGTTCGGTGTGTGTGAGAGAGGTTTGTGATCTTGTTCTTGTTGCTCTTTTATAAACCCATTGTTGTCATTGCTCTTACCAATTATTCTCTTTCAGAAATCTTACCATCATGGCGGACATTGTTATCCATTCCCCCCACCATCCTACCAAAGCGGCTCGCCTGGACACTGCCTCGAATGTCATTTTGATTGATAATTATGATTCATTCACCTGGAACGTTTACCAATATCTGGTCCTTGAGGGTGCCACAGTCACGGTCATTCGCAACGATGAGATTACGATAGAGGAGCTGGCCGCTAAGAACCCCACCCAATTGGTTGTCAGTCCTGGTCCCGGTCACCCCGAAACCGATGCTGGAATCAGTAATGATGCCATTCAATACTTTAAGGGGAAGATTCCAATCTTTGGTGTTTGCATGGGCCAGCAATGCATTATCAATTCCTTTGGTGGCAAAGTGGATGTCACGGGAGAGATTCTGCATGGAAAGACCTCGGTCCTGAAGCACGATGGAAAGGGTGTTTACCAAGGACTACCTACTGCCTTCTCTATTACTCGATACCACTCCCTTGCCGGTACCAACTCCACTGTTCCGGATGCCTTGGAAGTGACTTCATGGGCAGAACTCGAGAATGGCACCGGTAATGTTATCATGGGAGTACGACACAAGGAGTTTACAGTGGAGGGAGTGCAGTTCCACCCTGAAAGTATCTTGACTGAATATGGCCGGGCCATGTTTGGTAACTTCCTGAGGCTCACTTCGGGCACTTGGGATGACTCTAAGCAAGCCAAGCCTGCTGCCCCGGTTGAGAAGAAGCTGTCGATCTTGGACAAGATTTACGCCCACCGCAGGAATGCTGTTGCTGAGCAGAAGAAGATTCCCGCGCTGCGGCCAGAGGCCCTTCAGGCTGCCTATGACTTGAACATTGCTCCTCCTCAAATTTCATTCCCCGCCCGATTAAGGCAGTCCGACTACCCCCTGTCACTGATGGCAGAGATCAAGCGAGCTTCTCCTTCAAAGGGCATGATTTCGGCCGACGTGTGTGCACCGGCTCAGGCTCGGGAGTATGCCAAAGCTGGTGCCAGTGTTATCTCGGTGCTGACCGAGCCTGAGTGGTTCAAGGGCACCATTGACGATCTACGAGCTGTGCGCCAAAGTTTGGAGGGTCTTACCAATCGACCGGCTATCCTGCGAAAGGAATTCGTTTTTGATGAATATCAGATCCTGGAGGCTCGGTTGGCTGGTGCTGATACCGTCTTGCTGATTGTGAAGATGCTCAGCGTAGAGCTTCTCACACGGCTGTACCGTTACTCTCAGAGCCTTGGGATGGAGCCTCTGGTTGAAGTTAACACCCCCGAGGAGATGAAGATTGCGGTCGAATTGGGATCCCAGGTTATCGGAGTCAACAACAGGGATTTGACAAGCTTCAAGGTTGATCTTGCCACCACCAGCCGTCTTATGGACCAAGTACCAGAGACTACCATTGTGTGCGCTTTGAGTGGAATCACGGGCCCCAAGGACGTTGAGGCTTACCAGAAGGATGGTGTCAAGGCTATTCTTGTGGGAGAGGCCCTGATGCGGGCATCGGATACCTCTGCCTTCGTGGCACAGCTTTTGGGAGCCTCATCTGCGAAGGCTGCATCATCCAGTCCACCTCTAGTCAAGATCTGCGGCACTAGGTCCGCGGAAGCTGCACAAGCTGCCATTGAGGCCGGTGCTGATTTGATTGGCATCATTCAAGTTCCGGGCCGCTCAAGGACCGTTTCTGACGATGTCGCTCTTCAAATCTCTCATGTGGTCAAGTCAACACCACGCCCCAGTGTCCAATCACCCGACGCTGCGCAACAAATATCAAACGCAACCGCATTGGAGTGGTTTGATCACTCTACCGCTGTTCTGCGTAATCCCTCTCGAGCATTGTTGGTGGGTGTGTTCATGAACCAACCACTGTCATACGTCCTTGCTCAACAACAAAAGTTGAGTCTTGACGTCGTGCAGCTCCACGGCTCTGAGCCACTAGAATGGGCTAGCTTGATTCCCGTGCCAGTCATTCGCAAATTTGCCCCAGGAGATATTGGGATTAGCCGCCGTGCCTTCCACAATCTTCCTTTGCTTGATTCAGGCGCAGGAGGATCCGGGCAGCTTCTGGATGGGGCCAATGTCCAGAAGACCCTTGATAGTGATGAAGGGTTGCGGGTTATTTTGGCCGGAGGATTGACCTCAGAGAACGTCGTTGACGCTGTCAAGAACCTTGGCAAGTCAGGACTGAAAGTGGTAGGCTTGGATACTAGCTCCGGAGTGGAAACAAACGGTGCTCAAGATCTGGACAAAATCCGTGCATTTGTGAAGGCTGCCAAAAGTGTTCGTCAGTAATTTCAGTCTCGCGTGGTTGTTTTTCGGTAGATATCTCAGATTTTAGAGGTGACTTCTTTTATCACCCTTTCTTATTTCACTTTGCATGATCATTTTTAGAAATATGACCCTGGCTATGAACTCATCACTTCTTCCGCCTCTTTCTTCAGTCACCTACTTCTGATCGTACCCACGTACCTTCTCGAGCTGGAAGATTGTCATCCTCAGCGCGCTCTTCTCAGTCAAGGGCGCGGGGAAATATTAATCTCCATCTTCCAAGACCAGAAACCTCTTACCATCACGTCCTCATCATCGCATCCTCGCTTTCTTTGATCATTTACCTATAGCTCATAACACCATCTCTTTCCCTTACACCCGACCCACCCGCAGGATTGGTTCTCTGATCAGAAGGTCATTACTTCACCATCCTGCAAAATGCCGAGCAGTTTTGCCAAGATCAATGCGTCTATGGCCGGCAAATTTGAAGATGCCGACAAGATACCTCAATGGATACGCCACCATGGCGGTGTTTTCTCCAAAATGGTAGACTCAAACACAACCCACCTCATCGTGACCGAAGATTCATTCAAGAGAAATGTCGAAGCAGGTATGGCAACTATGCTACCATCTCCGGATATTCTCGAATCAGTTTGCCCTTTGAAATGGAGCTAACTCATTTTGCAACGATCAGTCAAAGACGCCAAGAAACTTGGTACAGTCAAGATTGTGAGATCCGACTGGCTCTATGACTCTCTCCAGCAGAAATCCCTTCGCCCAAAGGATGCCAAACCATACCTTTGGGAGAAGATTCTAGAGGATGAAATGAGGCCTCGGAAGAAACAGAAACTGGCAGCTGCTTCGAAGCCTCCATCCAAGAAGGTTCAACGCAAGAAGCCACCGAGTATGATTCCATCTGAATTTAGTAGTTATGGCTTTGAATGACCAGATTGCTAATTTTGCATTCTCTGTACAGAGGACCCTTTTCTGAAAAAGAAGCCTGCTCCTCGTTCTAAGACTGTCGTTCTGCGTATGTATCATTTTTGGGTTGTCCTTTCCTCAAAGGGATTGTACATACTGATCGACATCTATAGCAAAAGATGAGATTTATACCAATCCAGACACAAAAGAGGCCTGGGACGCCACATTGACGCGCATCGGTCCAAAACTTCGGCGTGAGAAGTTTCGCCTGGCAGTAAGTGTTAAACAAATTTTTGGTCAAGTACGCCGCTCACAGTTGCCAGATCTTTCAATCAATTGAAGAGACACCGACCTATTCCGCTTATGTCAAGTACAGCCGCACTGGAACCGGGAATGTCTCGATTCTAGCTCCTCCGCAAAGCTGCCTGGATCTTGCCAAGGCGAGCTTTGAAAAGTTCTTCTTGCTTCAGACGGGACTGGAATGGGCTCAAAGATGGGAAAACCAGCCGCGATCCCCAAAAAGGAACAGTGAAGGGGTTGTCTTGCCGTCCCATGAAGGCTGGTATACCCTCGAAAGGGGAAGTATCATGTCAGAGTACATGAAGGGCCCTTCCCTGCCGCTCGCCACCCCAGCGGCAGCTCCTACTTTGATTGATAGCGGGGATGCATTGACCTCAGTCGATAAACATAGCTTACCTGGGGAGGGAAACATTTTCACCTTTGATCATGATAACAGCGACGATGGTTATGCTGAATCGTTGAAGAGTTACACCCCGTCCCCGCCTCAGTTTGCACCCAGTGAACCATCTGATGAGCTCAAAGTCACGACTTTTATCAGAAACGCCAAGTCTCTGACTGAATACAGGGCCAGTGAACCATCTGATGACGGTAAAGCCGAGTCTCTCAAGCGAAGCGTGCAGTCGCTGCCTGACTTTGGACCCAGTGGATCATCTGATGAAGCTAGAGCCGCCTTTTTCAAAAGAATCCCCCCCTTCTGTCTGACTTGGAGCCCAGTGAATTATTTGATGATTCCGAAGCCGAGACTTTGACAAGACAAGCCCTGTCTCGACGTGATTCTCCGATCATTGAGGAACCTGTCTTGGTTGACGTTGAAAAGTTGAAAAGAAGTGCCGTGGTTCTGCTTGAGTCCGCTTCAAGCCGACAACTTGATGATGGCGAGCTTATGGATGTCGCTATTGACTATCAACTTGACGAGGAGAAAGTAAATGAGGTCGAAGACGAGATTGCGGATGAGGTCGAGTATGGGAACGGGAAGGAGCATGGAGCAGATTATGGGTTCACGGATGAGAATAGGGATGAGAGTGAGATTGTGGATGAATGGGGTCTCTTGGCTGGCAATGAAGGCTAAAAATGCGGAGTTGAAAGACCTGGATCTGCCATCGAGGGCGATGCGTTGGTCGGTTGAGGCGAGGGGAGAACATTAAGAGTTAGGGAGGCATACCAGGAGATAGAGGTATACATGTCGTTTCAGTGGGCATATCGGGGAAGCCTTTGATTTCTATTTTTATTCCTTTTTCGGATTGCATCTTTGCATTTTAATTAACAGCGGTTTCCCAAGTTTGTTTCTCACGATCGAGAGTCCATATATTTCAGGGTATTAACATAGCAACAGAAAATGATACATGAAATGGCGGAGCATGCCTTTTAGTTGACCGTAAAAACACCAAATGCGCCCGACTAACCAAAGTCTTAGTAAAACGAAGTCCGCATGCCATAAATTCTTCACGCCCAGCCGACACCATGATGCAAAGTATCCCATCTAAAGGTAATCCTTCTTCCGGCTGGTTCTCGTGTACTGAGTGAGAGCCCACTCAACATCGCCAGTGTTGCCCTTCTCAAGCGTGCCGCCCCGAATCTCAAAACAGCGCATGGTCATTCGCGGACCAACCTCGGCGAGTTCCACATCCCGGTATCCAGTCTTCACGAAAACGTGATGCCGCACCTCAATGCTATCCTCCTTGTTGACAAAGCTGACAACACGGTTTCCAACCTTGCCAGGTTCACGGGGCGGGAACATGTGCTTAAGGATCTGGACAACACGGAGACCGAGCTTGGACTTGAAACCCTCGAAAATAAGGTGAGGGTAGCTCTCTGAGACGGTACCGCGAGCGGAGTTGGGGATATCGGCACGGAGAACAACGTTGTGCAAGGAGAAGCTCGCCGTGGGGCCGTGAGGAAGATGGGAGATGGTGAGAGCGGTAGGGGTACCACGGTGCTCGTGCAGCAGGATCATATCGGTCAAAGCTGCAGAGGTTGCGCTGGATACCAGATCGGGAAGAACGAGGTTACCACGGTTGAGACGGATGGCGGTGGGGAGGAGCAAGCGAATTTCTTTGGCAAAGGCGCCAAGGCGAGCAGAGGGTGAGCGAGAGGTGGTGACCAGTGGGCGAGGATCGATGACACCGGAGGTTAAAGCGTATTCGTCGTCGATATCCACCTGGTCCTCTTTCGACTCATCGAACTTGAAATCCTCACGCAGAGTCTTATCATTGGCGATTGAAGGATCTAGAGGCTTTCCAGATGCCAAAGAGGCCTTGAGCTGGGCTCGTTTTTCGGCGATAGAAGCATCTCGGAGGAGTAAGGCTCTTCGATAGAGATAATCTCTGCGCTCACGGGCTTGACGGCGCTATTAATTGAAAGTTAGCATTGATTGAATGAGTAACAGCATTCGCAATAGGGATTACATACGAGCATTTTGTCAATGTGCGAAAAGTTGAATGATGTAGTGACAGGAAGCGGGTTAACTTTTTTTTTCTAAACTCCGGGGGCTGCATCTTTGGCCCACTTCCGCCACCGTAGTGGGATTACCGCTGATAGAGAATCCGCGCAGATTGCGGAGAGGCTTTTTATCTTTTTATCACCTCATCCCTCTTTCCGGGTTGTCACACACAGAGAGAGAGAGTTGGGCATGTAAGTTATGATCTTTGTCGTTTAATCGCTTTAGCTGACTTTGACCTTTCCCTTGCATAGAATCTTCCCCCCGTTCGTTTGCCCCCTCAGGCACACACTCAGACCGGGCACTTGAGAAACCCGCCCTGGATGACCCGATTGTCCTCTACGCTCCTTTGATTAAATTTCGAACAATTTCTGCTATTCGGGTTCGACACTTACTCTACGAAACTTGGACATCGGCTTTTCCTTCCGATTGAACTCTACAACTCTTGACTCTCGGATCGCTTTCAAGAACCCGCATAATGGAGAACTATCCTCCGGGGATGGCTGATGATGCGTCAGTGGTGGAGCTGGATGATCACACGACAGATGCGCTCGGTAGGGCTAGACCGCGCCGACATGATGACGAAGATGAGGGATCCGATATCCTAGAAGATGACGACTTGGAAAGCACGGTCGGTGGCCCTGCTAATGGAAACCGTAAAGGCCATAGACATGCGGAGGAAGAAAAAGAGCTCCCTGCTCATGCATGTGCTTACTGTGGTATCCACAACCCTAGCAGTGTTGTGAAATGTCTTTCCTGCAATAAATGGTTCTGCAGCGCCCGTGGCAATACCTCGTCCTCGCATATTGTCAATCATCTCGTGAGAGCCCGCCACAAGGAGGTTCAGCTGCACCCAGCCTCATCTCTTGGTGATACTATCTTGGAGTGCTACAATTGCGGTACTAAGAATGTTTTCCTGCTCGGCTTTATACCTGCGAAATCCGACACCGTGGTGGTTCTTCTGTGCCGACAGCCATGTGCGGCCATGCCATCTTCTAAGGACATGAACTGGGATACCTCTCGCTGGCAGCCCCTTATTGAGGACCGCTCATTTTTGTCATGGCTTGTGGGCTCTCCCACTGACCAGGAGCAGCTCCGCGCTCGCCATCTCAGTCCTCAGTTGATCGCCAAGTTGGAGGAAATGTGGAAGGAAAACTCCCAGGCAACTTTGGAGGATCTGGAGAAATCTACCGCTGTCGATGATGAACCAGCGCCGGTTCTTTTGCGCTACGACGATGCATACCAGTACCAGAACATTTTTGGCCCACTAGTGAAAATCGAAGCCGACTACGACCGCAAACTCAAGGAATCCCAGTCACAGGATGGTCTTATTGTGCGTTGGGATCTCGGTCTCAACAACAAGCATCTTGCAAGTTTCGTTCTGCCGAAACTCGAACTCGGTGATGTTAAGCTAGCTGTTGGCGACGAGATGCGATTGAAATACACTGGTGAACTTCGGTCCAAGTGGGAGGGTGTTGGCTATGTTATCAAGATCCCGAACAACCAGTCTGATGAGGTTACGATTGAGTTGCGTTCCAAGGGTGATCATAAATCCGTGCCCACAGAGTGCACACACAACTTCACCGCGGACTACGTGTGGAAATCGACGTCTTTTGATCGTATGCAACTCGCCATGAAGACATTTGCCGTGGACGAAATGAGTGTCTCTGGCTATATTTTCCACCGCCTTCTTGGTCATGAAGTTGCCGCCACTGCCATGAAGACCGCGATTCCCAAGAAGTTCAGTGTTCCTGGACTTCCCGATTTGAACGGCAGTCAGATCAATGCCGTGAAGAGCGTCCTGCAACGACCCCTGAGTCTGATCCAAGGTCCTCCTGGAACTGGTAAGACTGTGACTTCGGCTACGATCATTTACCATCTTGCCAAGCTCAATGGTGGTCAGATCTTGGTTTGCGCTCCATCTAACGTTGCGGTTGATCAGCTCTGTGAGCGTATCCATCGGACTGGCCTGAAGACGGTCCGAGTGACTGCCAAGTCTCGAGAGGATGTGGAATCCCCCGTTGGATTCCTGTCTTTGCATGAGCAAGTGCGCATGAATGACAGCAACATAGAACTAGTCAAGCTCAATCAGCTGAAGGCTGAACTTGGCGAACTATCCAGCCAGGACGAGAAGCGCTTGAAGCAGCTGACACGTGCAGCTGAGCGCGAGATCCTGGGCAACGCGGATGTCATCTGCTGCACTTGTGTCGGTGCTGGTGATCCTCGTCTTGCCAAGTTCAAGTTCCGAACCGTTCTCATTGACGAGTCCACCCAGTCCGCCGAGCCGGAGTGCATGATTCCCTTGGTTCTTGGTTGTAAGCAGGTCGTGCTGGTTGGTGATCACCAGCAGCTTGGACCTGTCATCATGAACAAGAAGGCCGCCAAGGCTGGCTTGAACCAGTCTCTTTTCGAACGCTTGGTCATTCTGGGCTGCTCCCCAATCCGTCTTAACGTTCAGTACCGTATGCACCCTTGTCTTTCTGAATTCCCATCGAACATGTTCTACGAGGGATCCTTGCAGAATGGTATCACCATTGCAGACCGCCTTCGCCGCGACGTTGACTTCCCATGGCCCATGATTGACGATCCCATGATGTTTTGGTCTAACCTAGGTAACGAGGAAATTTCGGCTTCTGGTACCTCGTACCTGAACCGCACCGAGGCTACTAACGTCGAGAAGATCATCACGCGATTCTTCAAGGCGGGCGTGCAGCCCGGGGGTATCGGTATCATTACGCCTTACGAGGGTCAACGAAGCTACATTGTTAGCTCCATGCAGGCCAATGGAACCTTCAAGAAAGAGCATTACAAGGAAATTGAAGTGGCGTCCGTGGATGCGTTCCAGGGTCGTGAGAAGGACTACATTATTCTCTCCTGTGTCCGTTCCAACGACCACCAGGGTATCGGTTTCTTGAGTGACCCACGTCGTCTTAACGTCGCTCTTACCCGCGCTCGCTACGGTCTTGTCATTCTTGGCAACCCGAAGGTGCTTTCTAAGCACCCTTTGTGGAACTGCCTTCTTCAGCACTTCAAAGAGAAGCACTGCCTTGTGGAAGGTCCCTTGTCCAACTTGCAGGAGTCTCTTATTCAGTTTAGCCGGCCCAAGCAGGCTTACCGAGGCCCGCAGCGTTTCCAGATGTCCTTTAACCAGGCATCCAATGCCAACAATGGCTCTGTGAACGGCCGCAATGGTCACCCTCGTGATTTTGACGCGGGCTCTATCGTAGGCTACATTCCTGATGACGTTTCTTCTGTCCACTCCTCTGCTCTTGGTGGAGGAGTCGGCATTCCCTCTGGATACCCGCCTATGTTCCAGAGCTTCCAAGATGGCTGGCCCTCTATGCCCGGCGGTCGCCGTGCCAATGGCAATCGGGCGAAGGGTGCGCCAAGTGTTGCTGGCGAATCCGTCGCCGCTACCGAGTCCGATGTCACTGGAAGCATCATTGATGGCCGCAGCGTTGACCAAGGTGGTGTGAGTCTCACTGGCCTCAGTATCAATGACATGAGCAAGCAAGCCAGTCTCAGCCAATCCGATCGCCTCAAGCGCTACGTGGAGTCTGGTGGCCGCGAGCCGTACCGCACTGGCGTTCCCGACAACGGCAGTATCTTCGGAGGAAGCTCCGCCAGCATTCGCGTGACTCGTGGTGTCCCTGGTCAGCACCTGCAGGATGACGATGACGCCCGCAGTGTTTCCACTGCATTCGCTAGCCAGGTCGGCGGCAACTACGATTGATTAGAGGGTATCACAGCCACTGCATGTCAGAGCTAGCCTCCAACAGGCCTGCCCTCTCTCTCTTGTAACCCCCGGAGGAAGCAGATTTTCGCACGAAATGTCAGGGTTTCTTCCACCAGAGTCTTGCCCGTCCGTTTCTTCCAAGCCGATCAGGACATTTGATTGCCGAGGCTAAGGTCAGTCCGCTACTCGTCAGGCACTTCGATTTCTCCGAATTTGCCCGTCGATCTCGACTCCTCGTTCGGTCTTGATGGACCAGTTCCCCTTGGGCCCAGATAGGATGTTTTGTCACCTGACGTTCTTACCCTGCATGGTTATCACTGGACCGAGACTACTTAGTGATGTTCTACCGCCTCCATTCGCCCAGGTTCCTATCCTGAACAGGCGATCGTCGGTTGTTATCTTTTCTCGCCCAGCTGAGCCAGTAAGAAGTTCTCGGGCAGCTTTGAGAGTTTACCCTACCCGCTTGGGCTCGATTCTTAGCAATTTTTGTCTTAGAACTTCTAGCTTACCTTATTGCTTTGAGCAATCGAGACCATACATGTTTTTCATGCTTTCACCCGTACTGTAGCTCAGTTCTCTTTCACAATGTAGTAAATATGGTACTTGACCTATGAGCATCTTACAGGGATCTCGACCCTGCATATCGGACTTGTCCGATCTCTCTCCTGCAGCACGTTCCGCATAACCGCCTCACCGCATCCCCAGCAATAGCCTGCATGATATCGAACTACTGCATGAAGTGACGTCACTCGTTATAAGCTTTCAAGATTTGACTCGATCCAGATCCACTTTAATCTCGGATCGTGAACACCCGTTCGCAGATACCGAAAACTCTCAGATCTTCTCCTGAAAATACGCCAATTCCCACTGAGCCACGGTTTAAAGTTCAAAATGAGATTGATTACTTTGTTCGGACTTGTCGCGACTGCGACCTGCGAATTCTCATGCATCAAGCCTGTCAACCCGATCCACGCTGGCCCGCCTGGTCTATGCTGTCAACAGCTGAACGAATATCCTATTCTATCGTTCCTTTACGTAGGAAATAATTGTATTGAGCATTGCTTAGGCTTTTTTTGTATTTGGACTTGAGCTGACAATTGACAAAGGTACACATGCGAACCTATTGAGCACGGCCACAGATGGCGAGACGACGTATAGCTCGTGCGATGCTGATCAACATGCCGCATGTTGCGACCCGGTTAGTTGAAATGTCTGTTTCTACTGCGAGGAAAAGTTAAGTTGAGAAAATGCTCTAGGTCTTGACAGAACTTGAGAAAACAAGTAACATTGCTTGTGTAATGCCGGAATAATGAACCTATAGACTGCTTCTCTCTCAGAACTCAGATGGCTCTTAGGGGTCAAAGGGCCTTGCGATGAAATCTCTTTTGCAGTCCTTGCTCTGAGGACGAGTTGGCTTTTTTCTTTTTTATCTGCCACTCTATGTCAAGAGATCAGTCAAGCAATCCGAAGAGGTCAAGCATTCATCCTTGCAAACCTAGACATCATTCAACAACTACACCTGGAATCCGAAATTGCGTTTATGAAATGCTGTCTACATTTCGTGCTGCTACGCTGAGTGTACTGGTGGATTTATAGCTCGACGAAGTATAGCATCAGCCTGATGTGGGACTATTAATAGAGAATGCTTGGGTGAAACTAACCTGAAACTAACCAATTCAATTCAATCCTGTAAACCGCAAGGAACTGGGCTCATACCTTTTTGAAGTGATATATTAGCGTGATAAGGGCTTTTCAGGATATGTATAATGCCACACGCATGGGGGAACGCAAAGCATAAATTGAAACATAGTGTCGCTCTATAGTCATGTGCCCAGCAAATAATTGACGGGAGACTCGCTTATCACTAAAGTTCCCCGATGAACTTTCAACCTAAAATAAGCAAATTATGGAATCTGAACCGAATTGGTCAGCCCAGACAGGGGATTCAATGGTTAGCATTGGCCATTATCTATTTGCCTCGGTCAACGGCCCTCCCCGCACATCGGATCCCCTAGTGGTGATTCTCCCCGGCGCTGGCGATGTCGCGTCATCATACAAAGCCCTTACCCCTCTTGTAGCCCGGTTTGCTCGTATACTCCTATACGACCGTTCAGGGCTTGGACGTAGCGACCCCAGCTCCGGCCCCAAAGGATCAGCCATCATTGCAGCCAAAGAACTACACAAACTGCTCCACACAATGCGATTATACCCACCCCTAGTACTAGTGGCCCACTCCTACGGGGGGATTATCGCCCGAGAATATCTCCACTTATACCCCAGCGACGTGGCCGGTATGGTCCTTGCCGAAAGTTCCACAGAGCGACAAAGCGACTATTTTCGGATCCCAGATCCTAGCGTCAGCGCGGTACAGGGCGATCTCAAATTTTCCCAGGTAACAGGGCTCCGTGCCGACACCGTCCTATCTCGAGATGAGTGGCGGGAGCGTGCAATTGATATTGCCCGCGGAGCTGAGGCGGCGCAAGCGGAGGCAAATTCTCTCGTGGCAGTCTGTCATACGTTGGCGGAGAAAAAGCAGCTAGAGAACCAGGCCATGGGATCAAAGCCTGTGAGTGTGATTCGCTGCAATGGCGCCAGGGACTATGAGCGTATCTACCAACGAGGCGTCGAGGTGGGGTATGGATCCGTACAGCAGCAGAAGGAATTCCGAGACCTGCTTGATCGTTGGCCTGCTGTTGATCAAGATCTTCAAGAGGAGCAGCTGAGAATTTCTTCCAATACTCGTCTCGTATATTTACCGGACTGTGGGCATAATGTCCACCTTTTGAGGCCGGACGTGGTGACGGATGAAATTCATTGGGTGGTGAAGCAAGCCCAAGCTGGGACAGTGCAGAAGCTGTGACTTTTCCAAGTTTGTTTCACCGAAATTTACCAGATCCGCTTAGTCTTCGTGGACCTCTTTTGGCTTTATTTTCAAGCCCAATATGTCAGCCAGACAGATCGTTGAGATTCCTGGAGCCTATTAAATAGATGTGCACTATATTCACCTATTGGCTATGATCTACGCTTTAACATAGCCATGGGCATAGCCCTAACTAACAAAATGTTTTCACTATGAATAGATCATACGCATAGCCTTCGAGATTTGCATGCTTAAATCCCTGAAGATATCTTTTCTTAGAACAAAAACGTGCTGCATTCCATTTTAGAAAACGGCAGCCTAGTCGCCTGGAAATCATTTGCTTATATAATTTTCCCCACGAAAACCACCGCCACTTGACTTTCAGGCCGCAATAGCTGCCTGATATGGTCGGCTGTTAAGTTATGAACTAAACTCGTTAGTAGTTAGTGTATGACTGGGCGTCAAGGCTGTCATGTCATGGTACCTGAAGGTTTACCGATAACCTGGTACTACCATGATAATGTCTATGACTCATTTTCAGTATATTGCCACTTTAGATTGGATTAATAAGCCTGCTATTATTCCCTACATATGTACAAGGTCAAGGTACATGTACACGTACACGTACAGAGAAGCAAGGCGACGAGATTTTTTCCCATATTTCAGCTGATCGGCATCACCGTTAATACATCAAAGCAAAGCGCTGCATACAGGAAAACTAGAAGCGCTAACTGCGCCACAGTGGCGGGAGCGGTAAAATCCGGCTAGTTTGGTACCGCCCTGCGTATATATAGTCCCGAAGGGGATGCCTGGTTTTTCAACCTGAAAAGTCTGGCAACTTCCACTTCTCCAAACTACATCTATCCAAAGCCGCGCCTTATTTGGAACCTCACAGAATCAGAAGTTTTTTTTTATTATTTCACTGTCAGACTCACTGTCTGTGGTTTATTCCTCTTTCTAATCTACCTTCCCCCCTATTCCACTTGTTTTTATTGAGTGATCGACGCGTTGTCTTCGGTATCTTCAATTCCCACCACAATATCCTACAACTATTGTGGGGTCGAACGCGATATGGGTGACGGATCTGACTATCCTAGCCCCCGAAGTGAAGCTCCACACGGAGCTGCTGCTGCCTCAGTTCTCGCCTCTACTGCGGAATCTCTTTCAATTGCAAGAATGAACGAACAAGCTCCGATCAACTACAATATAGAGGGCACGCGCCCGCGCCTGTCTGTCCGACGCGCCAGGGATCCCCCTAAGAACCCTGAAGGTCAGATTTACTGTGATCATCCAGATTGTCAGACCCAACCTCCTATTTTCCGCCGTCCATGTGAATGGAAGTGAGTATTTTACCCCCCTTTGACATCATATGCACACCCCACTAACCACATCTTAGTAAACACATGGACAAACATGATCGCCCCTACAAATGCTATGAACCAGGCTGTGACAAGATTCAAGGATTCACCTACTCAGGAGGTCTCTTGCGCCACCAACGTGAAGTCCACAAAAAGAACACCGACGCCAAGAAGCCCCTCATGTGTCCTTATACCGATTGCAATCGCAGCACTGGCAACGGCTTTACTCGGCAAGAGAATCTTCGGGAACATTTACGACGTCGCCACATGCACACCGATGACGGCTCTACGGGTCTTGTGGTTGAAATGCCTTGGGATCGCGCCAATGAGCTCGAGGGTGTCCGTGCCAACTCACTTCCCGCCACCGGTGTGAAGCGAAGATTTGACTCGCCTCACGAGGAACAACTGCCAGAAGAGGAAAATGGCGATCTCCATAACGAGGTGAAGCGACTACGTCGTGAGGTACAAGAGAAGGATCGTCGCCTTGAGGAACTGGAGCGCATTGTGGCAGGTATTCAACAATCGATCCCCCAGCCTGCCCAGTCCGAGCCCGATACTACAGTGCCTGTGTCACACTCTCTTCCTCCCGTCCCTCAGACTGCTGTGCCCCAAGTCTAATATTCTCCATTCATGTCTGCACGCTTCTTATGGCTTTTCTATTCTATCTCTCCTGTTTTGTTCGTGCATTCTGTAGGCGTTCGCCCAATATTCCAAACGGCTTGGAATTTCGCTTGTTTGGGTTACTGTTTAGCATCTTGGGTTCGGCTGTGCTTATGCCTCTGGCGAGAATCTTCCTGGCCACCATGGTACGGCGTTCTTGCTTGACATGGGATAGTGGTGTTTTATCCAGAGCTTTCAAGATTGTGTGTTATCTCCTCATATACCCAGGTCTAAGGATGCCGTGCAATACCTTGTTCTCTTTGATTTCAGTTAATTTTCTTATCAACATCTCATACGACTTATACCTGTATATGATTCAACTCTAGTAGCAGTAGCCAGTCGAACTGTAATAAAAGTCATGAACACGGTATTAACCGCTGGCTCCAGCCTTGCAGCATCTACCAACCGGGTTATTTACTTTATGGCTTGTCATTAAACTAATGGCATGGTTCCAGTAATGCGGTCCCACATGGGCACATGGGAAGCAAGGCAAACCAAAGAGGAGCCCCACAGCATGCAATACTATTTTCCAGGTTCTCAGTTAGACCTAATACCTACCCAGCTGGAGCCTTATTACGCAAGCGACAGCTATCTTGATATACTGTTCTGGACCCGTAAGCCCAAGCCTCGCATGTAAGAAGACGGTCAACCGTTAAGAACATTTACCCAATCCAGGAGACCACAGCAGATATGACAGTCTGCTGTCTTTCATAGGCTTACCTCGCATGTTGGTAGGTTCATTAGCTCGATCCACAAACTAGGCGTTGCGCCTAGTCCCAAAACGTTCCCCGCTCGCATCACCTAGCGCATCGTAGTAACATATACGTCCCCGGTCATGACAAGGCTGCCGGAAAGGGTCGGATCAAGGATACGAATATCATTGCCCGGGCACCGGCGGATAGCTCCTGATCGTCTCTGCTGACGGCCTAAGCGCGAGTGGACTGAGAATGAGACATATTCTCGGCGTTAGGCGTTTTCTCCGTCCAGTCTCCATGAGGTCTCATTGCTGTGGGCCAAATGTGGTCAAGGCTCAGGCTCCCGAGAGTCATACCTAACAGGCTTCCAGGTCTAGAGCCTTGTGGACATTCAAGGCTGGTGCTAGGCTGGCGCTGTCGGTATCTGAGTGACTGTGCAACTGTGCTGTGCTGCTGACAAACAGTGAGTCATGAAACCGGGTTTTGGATTGATTGATAGCCACGGGATCGGGGTTGCGCCGGGATGCGCCACAGTTGATACTCGTGCATAGATGGGAATGTGGCGGAGAACTGCTTTGCTTCTTGACGGCTCATTCAGCCAGATTCGGGTTTGACTATGAAGCTTCTTTCAGTATGAGTAGTAAAATTAGATATGCACCGGTGTATCCGAGTCGATGACAGCGATAGACGGCTTACCTAATCCAGCCCCTCCATGGGCAACTGCCAGGGTGAAAGAGAGGCATTGACCACAGCTTAATTCGATGCAGATGCGCGTGACCACCTTCCTTCTTGAAAACGCGGACACGGACTTGTGAGAAGTTTGGAAAGTGAGAGATGGACGGTCGTTGATTATCGACGCGTCCTCAACCCCAACTTCAACTTCAACTCCAATTCACTACATACAACAATCCGATTGTCAGTATCAGTGTGAGCATGTGAATTGGGCTCTTCTCAAATTCTGAAGGAGTCAATTCTCTCACATATCATCAACAACTCTCCAATCAATACCAAACTCAGCCAATCTTCACGAAAAGCCAAATCGACTTGCCGCGTCACGTCAACTGGTCCTGCTCTAAACCGACATCATGGCCAGCTCATCAAAAGAAGTCCCAATGTCTCATAATGAAAATGCTTCCTACACGCGCACACAAGAGTACAGCTCAACTCTCAAATACCCAGCAGAATCAAGCGCAAATGCAACTCTATCCTTCTTTGGCCAGGATTTTCACGAGGATGAGAATGACACTGTCATCGTTGACAACAAGCTTCTCCGCCAGTCCACCCACTTGTTCGCCGAAGGCGACTTCATTCCACCAGGTTTCTTCAACCACGCACAATTAGACGGTTTCACACGTCGCTTCAAATATTCGCAATGGAGCTATGAAATGCGTCGTGAGGCTCAGCCTATTCTCCCATTCCTCTCTCTAGGCCCCTCATCATGTCTCCGGGACCGTGAACACCTCCGCACCCAAGGATTTACACTTCTTCTCGGAATTAGGAATACGCATTCAGCTCTTGCGCGCTTAGTCTCGGGTGAAAAGGCCGCTGCCGAGATTGGTATCCTGGCTGATACGATTGATGTCCTCGATAATCAGGAGTTGATCTCTGCGTTTCCACGCGCGATTCGTCGCATCAATGATCATCTTGCTGGGCTGGATATGCTAGCTTCGAATGAAAGTCCGATTGGTTCGGCAGATTCTACTATCAAGAGGAAAGTTTTGGTCTTCTGCGAATCTGGCAATGAGCGTTCTGCCGCTGTGGTCATTGCTTATCTCATGGCCATGCTAAACCAGGATGCGATTCAAGCATCGCACATGGTTCAGCAGCATCGGTTCTGCGTTTCGATTGAGGATTCTTTGAAGCGCATTCTTACTGCTTTTGATTCTATTCTTGCTGCCAAGCGAGATGTGGAAAATGCAAAGCGCAATTCAGTTCAAATGGGGACTTTGACTCTTGCTCCTCCACCTGTCCCGCCTGTCATTTTAGCGAAGAAGCGAAGCTTCGCTGATTGCATGTATCAGGATGCGGAATTTGACAGCGATGATATGGATATGGATATGGATGCGGATGATTTGCTAGACCGAAAGCCTGTTGCACCGTTTCAAGACCGTGTGGCTTAGATTGAGCTTCGTTGATAATGCAAATGAATTGCAGCTCAATGATATGAATTTTGCTTTCAAATTCTTGAATTCCTTTACTTTCCCAACTCGTGACCTGGCATATACCTACAAAAATCGATTGCATATCTTTCAAGCTTAGTAAAGCTCCTATAGAACAACATTGGTTTCGAGTAATTGCTCCACGTACCCCTTAAATTACTCTTGTACAACTGTCTAAACCGATTAGGAACATACTTGTACATAACCATGGCTTCGACACAAATAAATCATATTCCCTATAGCCTACCCAGGGCCTAACCAGGTAGCCTCAAGTTTACCTACTCCAGTATGATACCCATATAGAGGTGAGTAGCGGCCATAAGGATAGAACCTTTAAAATCATATAATAAATGGCAGAAAATCATAAATACTACATACTAAGCTAATCTACCCCTCTATTACTTAGATATATTGTAGACTTTTTAGATATATGTTTGAAACCTCCACCTAACCTTCCCCTTCTACTTTACCCTTTTTCTCTTTATTTTCTATTCTGCTATATAAATTCAGAGAGCCCTTGGCTACTTAACTAGACTGGTATAGAAGAAGGTAGAATACTAGATAGGATACTAAGTAGGACACTAAGTAGGACACTAAGTAGGAGATATAATATAATACGTAGGTAATAGACGCTACGCTAAAAGGTTCTATCCTCAAGGCCGCTACTCGCTGCCGTATACCCGGGGATGCGAGCAAAGTGATATTTCAGATTGAGAATAAATCAACAATCACACTCGATTATCATAACCACGTCCCCGTACGCTGCGTCGTGTGTGATCCATCTCGGATTCCTTTTTCAATTAATGCATCCCCAACCCCATTTGCGTATGAGATACTAGTCTTGTTTCATAATTGATGTTCCTGACCTCTCCCTCAACATGCTCCTTCAAGTTGTTGTTTTAACCATCTCATGCTACCAGCATAACCATCCTTTTCGTCAAAGCTATCTCTGACATCATTTTGTCCCCCTCAAAAGCTGGGAGATTTCTTCCAGGAACTGAGAAACATTCTCATTTCGCGGTCGAAGATGATTCTCATCCTCTGACAAGTCTTCAAACCCTGAAAACGCGTCAACCCCCGACATCAAGATGAGTGACCGCATGAAACTTCGCGCCACCATCCGAGCTCCCTCGCGATATGGTGAATCCAATGAGGAGTCACCAACTGCAGTCCTGCTCCAGTCAATGCGTCGTGCTCGAGGGGAAAGCACCCTGATACAAAACCCCGATGGCTCGACGCGCTTGTTTCAGAGAAAGCCCAATATCGAGTTTGATCCAAATTTGCCCCCTGCGGCGTTTCCAACAGTCGACTTGAACCGACCGACTGGGTCAATGAAAGTGATCCTCAAGAAAAGCCCAAATCGTCGCGTGGACAAGAGTCCCTCGAAGACTGGTCGAAACGTTAACTTCTCGCTGGTGCCGGGTGATGACGATTATGAGATGGAGAACGTGTCTTTAAATGATATGGAAAATTATGCGGCGAGCAACACCATGTTGAACCCTGTTTATGTGAAAAATATGGAAGTCATGACTGGGAAGAGCAAGTGTGGTGATACCGAAGAATGTGCTGATCCCGTATTTGAAGATAGTGATTTAGATGAGCCGGACGATACATCAGTGATCCTTGGGAAGAAGGTACGTCTGATTTCTGGTCCAGTGGACGAAGTCCACGCCGTTGAAACTCGTTCACCTTAGAAACTTCGTTCAATAGATTCCCAACCCCACCTGGGCTGATATCATGCCCGCGTTGCAAGTCGAAATCATCGAAAACATGTTCAAAGCTGGGAGTAGCTGGAGCCACATCTGTGCCAAGCTTGACTTGCAGAAGGGGGAACGGAACAAGTTCAGGGAATTCTTGAAGACTCGCAACCAGCAATTCCGACGAGAGAACCTGCATCTCGCCAAAATGCGAGACAACCAGTTGCATGCCCTGATGCAAATCGATAACAGTAATATCAAGACCAATGATGTACCACACCAGCTGGTTCTCCGCAGATTGACCGAGCAGGCTACTTACGATATCATGTCCGATCGACTGCCTGATCTCTTGATGTGCCAGGCCGCTGATATCCTAGCCGCTAGACAGTACTTGCGCCGCCGTTCACTGTCACAAAACTTAGCAGGAGAGTGGGATCACAGTCTCGTGGTGTTGCGACAACCGGACGACGAGAATAGCTTGGAACCGGAACAATTCAAATGGAAAGAGAATCTCAACCTAGCCCCCGAGCTCACAGAGGAGATTGAATTCCTAAGAGATGGAGATAACCCGGTTATCAAGACCAGACGGGGATACATCCAATGTGTTGCGGGCAAGGATACTGTTTACCTCCGTGATGTGAAACTCAAGGCCGGAGAGAAACAGCCTAGTGAAAATTGGAGGAAATCCTTCCGAAACTGGGATCCCGAAAATCAAGTCCAGAAGTCGAATCTCGACCATGAAGGCGATGGACTAGTCCGTTTGATGGTCGGCCATGAGAGAGCAGCGCAGATTCACCAATTCGATCTAGAGGTGAAGCAAGAGGGCGAGGATGATGATACTATGATGTACTTGTCAGTAACCACACCGCAGCGAAATGCTACCCCTATTCCAGACTCGTCACCGTGTGTAGCACCCGATGATACCCCGATGAGAAAGCCCATCAAGCCCAAGGTTTTATCCCATCAGCTCGTGGAAAGCTCAAGCCCGCCTCTTGATGTGCTACAAGTTGGCAAAGAAATTCACAAGGCGTTGGCGTTGGTCCGTCCAAAACGGCTACAAATACCTCTCAAACGTGTGTATGATCCCCCCAGACACGGATTATTCTCAGTTCGACGAATGAATCACTCAGATGAAGAGATTTTGATGCCAGTGAAGCGTTCGCTGGGCGGCTGCTGGTCCATGAGCTCCATTCGCTTCATCGATCCGGCCGTCGGACAAGAGCGCTACATGCAACAGATTGAGGAAGCCAGGTATGAAGCTGGTAAATTGGAATGGCAGAAGGAGTTCAATAAAGATGTTGAAGCCGAGCATGTGCTCTGTAAAGAGCAGCAGGAAGGATTCGAGCTGTCTTTGTTGTCGCCAATTCGGGATAATGCCCCCGACGACATGTTTCGCAAGTATCTAAACCAGCGTGATCTGCCACCTTCCGACAAAACCTACATCAGTGATTCCGATTTCGGAAACTCATGGGGTGATACTGATGACGATCTATGTGGTATTGATTTGATTATGAAGGATTATGTGGCATCGGTCGATGTTCCACCGAGGGAATCGAAGGGAGATCAGGATAGCCTGGAGACGATCGATACTCCAGTGATCGATGCTTCCCTGACGAATGACTCGGATGATGAGATGGTGATGATTGAAGATGGTGTGTAAGACTAATTTGAGACTCTCTGTATTTGTATCTCCCACTCTCTGCTCTTCGCTCTCATGTATGGCAATGCCACTATGTGCTAATCAGAATACCTCCTTTCCACTTTTGTTGTTCCTTCCAAATCGGGACAAGCGGCACTTTAGACTTGGTCCGTGCATGAACGCGAAAAGCCGCGAGAGTGGCGCGTCCTCTGAGTCTGATACTGAACATCATCTTCATCGCTCATTATTGGGATTGTTTTTTTCTCTATTGTCTTTTTTCGATACTTGTGAATCTCTTTTTAATTTTTAATATCGTACTCCGGGTTCCATTCGTGAATCTTTGACATTTCACGTTCCTTTGATCTTGGATTCTCGGGGATCCGAATGACGTCTGCCCACCTCTACTCGATCAAGATCTAGGCTCCCTTCCAGATCCCCCCCGGAATTCATATTCATACACACTCGTTTCAAATCATCATGTCTGATACGGCATCCCCCATAACCACCACAGACTCACGGGTCGGGACTATGCCTCCTGAGTCAACGGTGCCCTCTTCAGCGGCGAGTGACATTGGGCTCGACGACACCAAGTCCGACAATGGAGGAAAGGAAGAAAATTTACAGCAGGGGGATATTGATCCGGCCTCTAATATCGAAGAACTCGATCACAGTACCAAGCAGTTGATGGCTCTGTTGCGGACCAGCTCAGTAAGTTGTAGCCATTGCTTGCGTCCCTTTCAGGATTCAACCTAACTTGGTGTTCCCTGTAGGTGTTTGTTGCAATCATGTCGGAGAAGATGAAGAAGCAACAAGAGGAAGCCCGAAAGCAAGCTGCGATAGAAAAGCGGGAAGCCTCCGAAGAGCAAACATCCAAGCCCCAAACCACCACCCAACGCCGCCAGACTCGTCACAGCGCAGTGCAAGATAGCTCACCGCAGGGTAGTACCACAGAAAGCGAGCCACCTGCTAAGAAACAACGAGGTCGTCCCAAGAAGAATGCAGGTAAAGGGAATGGTATTGCCAGCTACTTCAAAAAGGCCGACGTCGAAGTTCCAAAAGATAATCCCACGGTACCTGAGGCATTGCAGCAGGCGGCTGAGGAATTCGAGGATAAACCCACTGTTCTCGGAGAGCAAGAACTAGTGGCTACACAACAGCCCAAGCTCGTATCCGGTGGCCAAATGCGGACTTATCAGCTGGAGGGTCTTGAATGGCTGAAAACCCTGTGGATGAATGGACTATGTGGAATTCTTGCCGATGAAATGGGTCTCGGGAAAACTGTACAGGCAATCTCGATGATTGCTTTTATGAAAGAAAATGGCGTTTCTGGTCCCTATTTGGTTGTTGGACCACTCAGCACTGTCAGTAACTGGATGGATGAGTTCAAGAGATGGACCCCCGATATTGAAACCGTCCTTTACCATAGCAACACGGGTAAGAAAGGACGTGAGGCGATCCGGAAGAAGTACATGAATCCTAAAAACCAGGCGAATATGGACTTCCCTGTTGTTTGCACGTCCTATGAGATGTGTATCAACGACAGCAAAGCCCTTGCACAGTACCAATGGCGATACATCGTTGTGGTATGTTTTCTTTTCCTGGTCACGTTAACCACATTCTAATTGATTCTCTAGGACGAAGGTCATCGGTTGAAAAACATGAACTGTAAGCTGATCCAGGAATTGTTGAGTTTCCCCTCTGCAAATCGGCTCCTGATCACCGGTACCCCACTTCAAAACAACATCTCTGAGCTTTGGTCATTGTTGCATTTCTTATTACCCGATGTTTTCAACGACCTGAACAGCTTTGAAAGTTGGTTCGATTTTTCGTCCGTTCTGGATAAAAATAGCCAGGCAGATCTCATTGAGAAGCGAAAGCGCAACTTGGTGTCAAGTATGCATGCCATTCTCAAGCCGTTCCTGCTTCGCCGCATCAAGACTGATGTTGAGCACTCCTTGCCGAAAAAACGGGAGTACATTTTGTACGCCCCATTAAGTTCTGAGCAAAAGGAGCTTTATCGAGAAATTCTCAGTGGTACCGGCCGCCAGTACTTGGAGACAAAGGCTTTTGAGCGTCTCAATGCCAAGAGCGCGACTCAGTCTCCGTCTCCGTCTCAAGGGAAGAAACGTCGACGTGAAAGCAGCACAGAGGGTTCACCCAACAAAAGTGCGAAGAAAAATGGAAATGGTCTTCGTCGCCGACGCTCTGTTCGGACATATAAGGACATTAGTGATGCGGCATTTGATGAAAAGCTGCGAAACATGGAAATGGGGGTTCATGAGGAGGAGGTTGAAGAAGAGGAGAGTGAAACCGAATTGGCACAGAAGCAGCTGCAGAAAAATCTTGAACTCGCCAGTACGTACTTATACCCCAGGTGCAAGTATGAGTGAATGCTGACAATCATACAGAGAAGGAGATTGGCCACAAAAAGTTGCAAAACCCCGTAATGCAAGCCCGTCTGGCCTGCAATTCGCCCCACAATTTCTATTGGCCTTGGGATGGAGAAGTCGACGAGTCCCTCGTGTCTGCGTCAGGCAAGATGCAGCTTATGGATCGTCTTGTCCCTGATCTTTTGAAAAAGGGGCATAAAATCTTGATCTTCTCTCAATTCAAGGTGCAGCTAGATATCATCGAAGAGTGGGCCATTACCCTTCGCAAATGGAATTGCTGCCGAATCGACGGAGCAATCGCTCAAGCCGACCGCCAGGCTCAGATCAAGGCATTCAACACTGATAAAAATGTCAAGATTTTCCTCCTGAGCACACGAGCCGGCGGTCAGGGTATCAATCTTGTTGCCGCCGACACTGTCATTCTATTTGACTCGGACTGGAATCCTCAGCAGGATCTGCAGGCTCAGGACCGTGCCCACCGCATTGGTCAGAAGAAGCCTGTTATTGTGTACCGACTTGCCACCAAAGGCACTGTTGAGCAGACCCTGCTGGAAAAGGCAGATGCCAAGCGTCGTCTTGAGAGGCTGGTTATCCAGAAAGGCAAGTTCAAGTCTCTGCTGGAGACCAACGCCAATTCCCAGGATCTTGAGGAGCTTCGCAAAGTTCTTGGAGTTGACGAGTTTGAGCGGTTTGATGCTGGAGCCGACCCTGCCTCTATTCTCTCTGATGAGGACCTTAAAATCCTCACTGATCGCAGTGAGGAGGCATATGTTCGTGCCGAGAAGGGTCTGGATCAAAGTGGTCCGGCCTTTGTTGGTGTTGAGACTAAGCGAGATGCGGGCGAGACTCTGATGGGTTGATTTTTTCGTCTACTACTCGACAATTGTGAGATAGGGGTTGGTTGCTTTGTCCTCAGGGACATTTTGTGTTATTTTATGACCCTTTTCTTCATTGGCATAGCAATAGTGATCTGTGGGTTTGTGTTTTGATGTGGGTGAAAAGGCGTTGTGGATTCCTTCTTTTACTATGTTCGGGCTTGTATACATAATGTTATGGGGCTTAGAGAGCATGTATTTTATGGGTTAGTTGCTTTGATCTTGCCGGGGTGGGGGGGCTATCATAGATGAACTCTGATGTCCATTGACCCTATTTTTAGCTGGCAATCACACATGCACCTTGGCAGTTAATTTGCTTTAGCAATCAATATGATTGAAATCACATTTACCAAGAATTCATGGTAAGAATAAATCCATTGAGCGCCTGCAGCTCCTAGGTTTATGGCTGTACAAATAATCATAGCAGAGGCTGAAGATGCGACGGATCCCAGAGTAAGTATAAAAGAGATATAACAAAGGAAGAAGTTTACCCAGCACTCATCGACGAGCCCTTTCATGTTCAATATCGCTCTTCAAATCCGCAAGAACACCCTTCCGCTGCAATAAATGACTCTTCAACCCTTCAACCTGATCCCCAACAGTCTTGACATCCTCCCTTAAGCGCTCCAAATCCTGGCCTTCCTTCGACCGTCCCGTCCCTTCCCTCAACTCCCTCAACTCCCGCTCTTTATACTCCAAAAGCTGTAGCGCCTCCTTCTTAATAAGCACCCAATTCGGCCGTCCGTCATTCCGCGACTGATCCCGCCGGCTTTCGCTGGCCTGAGTAGCCGCCTTCAACTTCTCCTCAATCTCCGCCAGCTCCCGACGCAACCGCACCTTCTCCCACTCTTCATCCTGGATCGTCTCGCCAAAGTCTGTCCCCTTAGGCTGGTAAGATCCCTTGCCGCCGACACCCAGTCGGCTTAGATAAGTGTCGCCGAATTTGGCCTTCCGGCCAGTCGTTGTCTCGGTATTCCCCTCTCCAGCCCAGCGCTGCGCAGGCCGCGCGTTGTTATCAATCTGGTAGTCGATCTGGTTACTTTCGAACGAGGCCCGGAGTGATGCAGGAATGGTGCGCGGGATGCGGAATCCCTCGTGGCGGTAGTTTAGAATATGTAGGAAAGCGAGCGCGGCGTCCTTGTTGATCGCTCCGCCGGAGGAAGGGTTAACGAGGTTCCAAGCGTTGTGAACATCCGTATCAGGAACATCGAGGGAGTCATATAGAGCGCTTAGTGATTCGACTTCAAATAGAATAGATTAGCATGTCAACACAAAACCATTGTGGCGGAACGAACAGGTAATCTGGCCGCGCGGATTGCGGCTCGCATTGTAGATATCCTCGTACTTGGACCGATCGGCCGGTTTCATGTACCAATCAAATCCATCCTTTAGACCAAGCGAGTCGTCCTCATCTTCTATGCGCTCGAACTGTTCGGGGCGGCTGCTTAATGCTCTCGTAGCCTGGACGAGGTGTGATTTGGATTCGGGGACTAGCCAGTCGGGTAGCACGGCCGGGACCTCTTGGAGCTCCTGAGGTAAGCTGTTAGTATGGTTGGGTAGAAGGCAGGAGGCGGGGTACGTACGCCGTTGACAAGATCGAAGACAAGGCGCATGGCTACACAGAATTCTTCAAAGTCTAGCTCGCCGTCGCCGTCAACGTCGGCAATGTCCCAGACCTTCTCAAGTTGATCATCGCGCAGGCGGCTGTTTCGTAGCACTGAGGCGGCTTGGGTGCTGTTGAGGCGGGATTGGCCATTGGAGAGGGAGGCGAAGATCTCCCAGTATCTTTCGATCTCCCATTGCTCGATCTTTTTGGACGACATGGTGTCTGTTCAACGTTGGTTGGAGGAATGGGGAAGTTTGGGGCGCAGGTGGGTTGGTTGGTGGATCCCGCGCTGTCCGCCTTCAGGGGATCTGAGGTCATCATGTTTATTTTTCATTATCAATGCTTGGATATGTTTTGGAATCATTACGGCTTGGGGAATATGTATATATTTGATTAAATCTACATTATTGTACACTCTTGCATGATTCACTTGTCCTCGTCAAATGGACCTTTAGAGGTCCCTTCTCCCACAAGAGGAAATTCCTTTGCTCAATCCAGTCACGACTTTCATCCGCAATTTCCATGTCAAAATTGAAGATGATTAGAGCAAGAATCAAACGCATTTCGCTGTATGCAAGGCTAATTCTATGTTAGTCAATTCCAATTTAATGTGTCAGCGCCGACTAACTTTCTTCCAAGACAATTTCTCGGTCCAAGATGGAATGGCTGAAAGACATCTCGTTTATCATTCCTAAATTCTGGAGACCCAAGGAACCGTTCCGGATGAAAGGTGTTCGGATCTCTGAAATACTCTTCGCGACGGTAAAGCGCCCATTGATGTATGGATAGATTAGTCTGCAAGCATATTAGAACATTGCGGAGATCAGATGCCTGAAGTGATACATACGTTCTCTGGAATGTATTCTCCCAGGACTTGGAATCCTCCTTTAGGGCAGACTCGAGGAAGACCGCTAGCGAGGGGAGGATACATTCGCATTGCTTCGTCGAGACAGGCCAACATGTAGGAAAGCTGATTGACACTGATCAAGTTGATTTTTTCCTCGTTGTGAAATGTTGACCTGACCTCGTCTTTCAAGATCTGATAAGCCTCGGGGTGTTGCAGCAAGAGATAGGTTACTCCGCTCAGTAAAGTTGCAGTTGTCTCGGAGCCTGCCATGATCAAGACCTCGGCATTTGAAACGAGTTTGTCCAGATCGAGGTTCTGATCTAATCAGATCAATATCCCTGACAATACAATTTGGTTGTTGACTTACCAAGTCATCTTTCTCTTTCAATAGCCCCTCAATGAGATCTGGGCGTTCCTCTTTGACAGCAATGCGACGAAGCATTTTATCTTTAGTAAAAACTTTGTGTCTCTGTTGAGCATCTTGTATCGACTTCGGAACCAGAGACAATAGAAAACTTTTCAGTGACGGAAACAGTGACAAAGCCTGCAAAATGGAGCTCAAGTATATACTTTCGAAAATTCCTCTTATCCAATCATCATAATTGCACCCCTCTAGACAACCAAAAGACTCCCCAAATGCAAGATCTCCAATGATGTCAAATGTGGTAAAGTTGTACCAATCAGAGATAACCACACTGCCCTTTTCACAGTTCTCGCGCAATCGGTCGAGGAGCATATCAACGTACTTTCGTATCATAGGTTCTTGGCCTCTCATGCTCTTTTCAGAAAATCCATGGGCCATCTGTCGGCGCAATCGTTTATGCTCGTCGATATCTCGTTGAGGATATGAAGCGGCTCGTCAGGTACGCGATAGAACCAGCTGGCTTTTGCCATCTCGGGTTTTCCGTTCTTATGACCCATGATATCCTTCCATGCATCGGGATGGGAGAAAGCAAGCTCGTCTGGTGCAATACGAACAATATCTCCGTATTTCTTATGCAGATCAAGCATGTCAAATGGCAGAGTACCCTTGATAGCACGACGAAAGTATGGGATGCGAGAAATCGCATGAGACTTTGGGCCAGGGAACCGACTTAGTGGATGGAAGTAGACATTGTAGATGACCTTGGTGATGATAGAGATAACCGCCTGACATTATTGGAAAATGGCTTCTTATTTCTCAATTGGATGAATAATACCGCAGACACTGCAGTTGCTAAGCAAGACTTGGCATCGAGGATAATGATATTTTGGAGCATCGTGTGGAAAGAGAGATACAGGGAACTTTGAATAAATGGCGCATATTAGTATTTAGGAGGCTTATATATGTTTCTTTTATTGGTGACCTCACACAGTCAAGAGGAGCAAGAAGAGTTTAGTTTGGCCGCAACGGGTTACCTGTCGCTGCGGTCGTAGACCGTGGCGTCAGATAGGCCCCGTCCGCGCTCCCTTGAAGGGAGGCAATGTGTCTGTATTGTAGTGGATTCTATATACAGAGGGAAGGTGGGAGGGACAAAATTGACACTTGACTGCCTGAGAGATGACGAGCTACGAGCTACCCGCAGAGGCCATCAAATGACTCTCGTGAGGCAGTTGTAGGAGGAAGAGGCCCTCGGAAATGTCGGTGTAGATATCACGTGAGGCTACAGACATGGTGAGGCTACAGGCATTGTGAGGCAACCCCAATAAAACCACTCCCTTTATTGGTGACCTCACACAGTCAAGAGGAGCAAGAAGAGTTTAGTTTGGCCGCAACGGGTTACCTGTCGCTGCGGTCGTAGACCGTGGCGTCAGATAGGCCCAAATGACCCGGGCCAAACTAGGATGGTGGAGGGGACGGTGGTGGAAGCAGCAGAGACAGCGGGGCCGGGGAGCCTGTCTGGAACTGGTGGTTGAGCTTGTAAAGGACTGACGCATTCGTCGTAAAATAGACCCTGAATGCCTCCGAGGTCCATCTCCCTAGCATCTGAATCTGGTCGTCGAGTATCCCACTATCGTGCGCATGCTGAGCCGCACCCTTCCGAAAGCTGTGACCTGAATATCCGTGTGTCGGTATCCCAAGTGCTCTTAGCTTAGTAGATAAGGTCGAGAGGAAGTTGTTGCGGCTAAATGGTCTTCTGCCGAAGGAGAACAATGGGGCGTCGGGCCCTTTGGGGTCGAGAAGTAGCAGTTTCCGAAGGGCGTCAACTGGGCATGCGCCGTCTCCCGTCTTTGTAAGAATAATTTGCACCCCTTCGTGACGGCGGTCCGTCTTACTGCGCTTGAGTGTGAGTTGCGCGTGGTCTAACGAGGGCGAGAGTCTGACGTCTGGGCGCGTTAACTTTGTGGTGGAGAAGATAGAACGTGTGCGGAGGTCTTCAGTCTTATAGGTAAATTCTCCGAGGCGGAGAAACCCAGCAAATGCTACCCGACACGCGGTTGCGAAGTTCAGGTCGTCTAGGAGGTTCGCAGTCATCTCTAAGGGACGTAACGGGAGTGTGGCGAGGCCTGCGGATAGTTTCGTGATAGTGTCACGCGAAATCGGTTTTCTGAGCCGTACTTTTGTCATGGGATTGAGTCTTCTCGCGCCGTCTATAAGACGTCGGAAATGCTTATTATCAAAGAGTTTATCGTCAAGGAAGTTGTCGATATGGTAGGCTCGGAGAGCGGCTAGGTCGGCGAGTGCGGTATCAGGCTTGACGGCCTTTTGACTAGCGTTACCAAGAAGTCGTGCGCTTAGCCATGAGGTCAATGAATGCCTTGAAACTGGCCACGCGGATAGATTCTGTAGCGCGCAGTGCTTTTCGTAATTACGCTGAACGGAGAGGTAAACGGAACGTGTGTTAGCGCTGAGTCCGTTCCAGAGCAGTTTCAGGTGGCCTGCATTGAGCTGAGGAGCTCGTGAAGAGAACCACGCGGGCGGTTCAATACCGAGAGGTCCTGCCAGTGGGGACAAATGTTAGCAATGTCTTCAAGATTATTAGGTGAGAGCGCATCTGCTAATGTATTTTCCCGGGAGGGGAGCCATAGTGGCACGATGTGGATGTCTCTCGCCGCCGCTAGGATAAGTAGGCTCTTTAGAGGTGCGTTAGGCGGACCATGAAGGAAGCCTTTCTTGAGTCCCATGTGCGCTGTGGAGCTATCCGTGTGGATAACGAGAGTATGATGGAGCCAATGGTGGCTGAAGAGTAGGAAGCCTTGGAGGATAGCGTCTACTTCTTGAGTATTGATGTGCGCATGTGCGTCTTGAGCAAGGGCCAATGTGGCAGCATTGCTTTGATGAAGCTGGTGACAATGGGCCAGCCAGCAGTCTAATGTAGACTTGGATGAGAAGAAGAAGAGCCCCTGGCCTATACTAGAAGCATCTGTGTAGAGATGCGTGATAGTGCGGCGGCAAGGGTCAATGAGGAGTACGCCGTTGAAGAGAGACAAGGAGTCCCTCCACCATTCCAAATCGTCACGTACCTCGTAGGGGATACGGCGGCGCGCGCTACTCCCATGTGGGAAAACGGCTTGGAAGGAGTATAGAGACTGTAGCCTTGTTCTCCCTAGCCGGACAACTCTTGAACAGAAGGCTAATAAGCCTGCGAGGCGCTCTGTTTGCTTGAGTGAGAGACTCACTGCCGTCAGACAAGCTGCGGCGTCCAATGTGGCGCGGCACAACTTTTCTGGTGGCAGACGAGCTTCCATTGCAATAGAGTCGATCTGGATACCTAGGACTGTAACGCAGGTCCCTTGCTGGTCCTTTTTGGTATTGCGGGGGATACGTAGGTAGTCGGTGACCCTGTTGTAAACCTCGTCGAAGGGACCCGTGGGCTCGGACACCGAGGGAGACCGGGCAATGACGATGAAGTCGTCTAGGTAATGATTGATATGGAATGCAGGTAGGTGGCATTGGAGTATCCAATGGAATGCCTCGGCGAAGAGATTGAACAGAAATGGGGCCGTTGCGAGGCCAAAGGGGAGACAGCATTCGACGTAAGTCGAGTCATTCCACTGGAAGGCAAGGAGATGTTGGTTATCCTCGGCAACGGGGACTATTCGGAAGGCGTCCTTGATATCCCTCTTGATGATTGTGCAACCTCGGCCAGCTTGTATGACCTGCTCGTGGATATGATCGATTGTCATGTATTCGATCGCTGACCAGGAGTCCGGTATGCCCTGGTTAAGGCCCTGTCCAGGCGGCCAAGATAGGTCATGGATGCGGCGCCATCCCCCATCGTGCTTAGGAACCAACCCAAGCGGTGAAACAAAGGAGGGCCTAGAGGCTAGTCTAACACGGCCGAGGTTGAGGTCTTCTGCTAGTTGGGCCGTGATTATGCCGGGTTCGTGTATGTGATGGTTAGAGGAATAGCGAAACTGCTTCTTGCCCCTATAGCCAACCTGGGCACCGTAGGTCAGAATCCCAGCGATAGTGGAGCCCAGATCGCCTGGATAGTAGCGCAGAAGATTGCTCCAGCCTTTCGCATTGAGTGGTGACGGAGAGGATTGTAATCTTGGGAGCTCTGGGTTGAACACGGGGTATTGAATAGCAGTGTTTGGTCTAGGTGGTTGCCCCTGCGGTGTGAGGCTTAGGGACAAGGGGTTAAGAACAACGTTGCCGGTGTCACTAGTGCAGTTCTCAAGAGCTATCGCTTGCTACTTCTTCTTGCGGCAGGAGGAGGCACCATGCTCGCTTAGGCCGCATGCCGTGCACTCATGACGTCTCTTGCAGCCTTCCCAGGAGCACCCTATCGTATTGAACTTATCGCAAACCTCTGTCTCATTATTCGAAGACCTGGTATTCCTGGCTTGACGAGGCCGGGCTGGAGGATTTGTTGGTGACTTCGCAGGTAGGGTGAGATTGTGGCGGAGGTATTTCTCGCGAAATGGGCCCGTGACCAGGTAGTTGTCCGTCGATAGCTCTCCTTTATCCAGTATGTATTGGTGGAAATTAAGGGCAAGTGGGAGAACTGCTTCCGACCACCGATAAGTCTGAGCGAAGTCCAGGATCTGCCTCATAAACATGAGGAGGTTGGGAATTGCCTTAGGATGTTTCTCGCCGAAGAGGTACCCTACAACGGCCAGATAGGCAAGAAAGCAAGTCGTCCATATCCGAGAGTTAGGGCCCCAGTCCTTAAGCGACGCTGCTGCCTTCTTGAAGCCCACTGTGCCTCCCGATTCGGTCATTTTGAAGACTCTATCCTCCTGATCTAGCTCGGTGACTGACTTCTCTTTGAAGCGTATAAGTTCAGTCGCCTTCAACTTCCTCTCGAAGACGCGTATAAGAAGGGCGGCGGAGACACCCGGAAATATGTCGATGAGTGATTTGACCTCAGGGGGAGGCTCACGGTTTTCTTCGAGATTATCGTCATCTTGCAGGTCCACATGAGGTCTTCTGCGGCGTAGATCGGTCTCTGCTACATCCAATTCAAGGCGTCTAGCCCTGTATTTCTGTATCTGCCCTAACCAACTGGCACGGTCTGCCGCACCCATAGTCTCCCAAATGTGGGCCGGTGGCCAAGCGGAGTCGAGCGGGGCAGGAGTGACACTGCTGGACTGGCTGAATGTCATGGTGGAGAGAGATATAGTCAAGGCTTATCGATGCTGTTGCCATAGGGAAGGACGTGAAACACAAAATTGACACTTGACTGCCTGAGAGATGACGAGCTACGAGCTACCCGCAGAGGCCATCAAATGACTCTCGTGAGGCAGTTGTAGGAGGAAGAGGCCCTCGGAAATGTCGGTGTAGATATCACGTGAGGCTACAGACATGGTGAGGCTACAGGCATTGTGAGGCAACCCCAATAAAACCACTCCCTTTAAGTGGATCTCCTAATTCAAGTGCCGCAGTCAAGCACAAGAACGTGCATTATACACTCGTAGATAAATCATAATGCTGATGAATGTGATCAGGAGAAGCTTGGAACGGCCACGCTTTTCAGCTTGAAAAGTTCTTGTATGAGGCCGATGGTTCCCATTTAACCTTATGCTGTCATGGTCAAATCCAATTAAAGGTAGAAAAGCTTTGAAATATCTTGATATAATGTAAGTGTGGTCGCCATGCATCCAGCATACTAGATAGGATACTAAGTAAGGGACTAGGTAAGGGACTAGGTAAGGGGCTAAGTAGGGGACTAAGTAGGGGACTAAGTAGGGGACTAAGTAGAGGACTAAGTAGTAGTATTCTACCTTCCTTTATACCAGTTTAGTTGAATAATCTAATGGCTTTTTAAGTTTATATAGCGGAGTGAAAAAGAAAGGGAAATTGTGAAGAGAAAAAAAGTGAATAGAAAAAGGTGGAAGGAGAAGGTCTGGTGGAGGGAGCGACGCGTTCGTCACCGACACTCCGAGGGAGACACCTGAGACAATTAGCGAAGCCTCCGCTGTCATATTGAAAATTTAGGGTCAATAGTATATAACTTAGCTTGTATAAAAAGGTTAGCTCTCGCAGATTTGGGATACGTGAAGAGAAAACTGAACAGGTTTCGAGCGTACGTCCAAAAAGTCTGCGATGTATCCAAGTGATAGATAGGTACAAGTAGTAGATGAGTATAAGTGATAGCATTTATGATTTTCTGCCATTTATTATGTGATATTAAAGGTTCTGTCCTCATGACCGCTACTCGCCTCCATACATATATGTAGTCCGGGCTCTACAAGATTATTTTGGAGGCTGTCCAGATTCAAATGGGCAATGTGTTCACGAAGCATGCGGCATCGCCATTGCAGCCTGCCTATCTAACTTCTATTACTTGAGTACACTGCGGACTTTTCGGACATACGTTCCAGGCCCTCATCCTTTTTCATTCCAGTCGTCGGAGCACGCTCGATCCAAGCCCACAACTAGGCCGGTTTATCCTACTTTATGGATCTATTGCACAGATTCCAATAATCATTGACAATATGCATTCAGATAGATGGAGCCCAGCATATCTGTTCTTGCGGTAATCGTAGCCTGCATCGATACTTTTCGTCTATCGCAGAATTCAACTTTGTCATGAGTCGACCACTAAGCCCCTCCATCCACCACATCCATTCAATCTGGCGCAATGCAACACAGAAATATTCCAATATGATGAGCGTAAAAGGTTCCTCTCGCGCCATTAAGTCCAGATAATCATCAGAGGCCTCAAATAACCACGCAAATACATCTGCAGTCTGAAGCCTCGGCCCCTCATCCGGTTTCATAACAACGCCTAGAGTCCTCCTAAGCGCATCCAAAGTATCCTCGTAAATCCGACGCAATGGCAGATCCCTTGCAGACTCACTAACGATCATCTGCTTCAACTCCCAAGTATACTTCTTTCTCCGCTCAAAGGTCTGCGGATCCCTCGCAGCCACCAATCGAGCCCTATTCATAAAGATCGGACCCAACTTCCCCGTATGGAAATCATGGTCACTATATTTAATAACAGTTCATGTACTGCGAAACAGAAGAACCCAATTAGCAAGACGACCGTGCTCAAATAAGACCAGGACGCTCCCCTCGAAGGGAACACTAGCACATGAGTAATAGATAAAGAAGACATAATCTATTGCAATGTTGGTTTGTGTGATAAAGCTATGGTACATTGAAGATTAAGACAACCGGATGAAGTGGGGTTTCTATCTAATTTGAAGAAATGCGTGCCGAGTCCCCTAACTATGAGTCCTTCTTTTCAGAGTTGGTTTCTTGGGCTTTCGCTTTCGCTTCAGCTGCTCTGGCTTGCAGCTGTGCGCTCACTTGAACAATAGCACGTTCTGCCTCTAAAGCAAGCTCTGGCGCGTCCAAAATCGTTGCAAGCTTCTTGGCATCAGACATCTTCAGGAGGATTCTTTCATCACTCTGCTCGATGTCCTCCACCATCTCAGCTGCAGGGGTATCAATCGGGGTATCGAGTGCATATGCTGCACGTTTGGCATAAAGCCGTTCCAGCTCGGCAAGGGAAATGGGATTTAGGAGGCTCTTCTCCACAAGGAACTCTAAGTGCTGCGAGCCGTTCAATGCTAACACGATAACATATGTCAGTATGTCATGGGGGTGAAAAAAAAGATAAAAACTCACCTCGCCAATGGGACCAGCCCCGGTATGCTAGGTAGAAGAAAGGAATATTTGGGACACTTCAGAAGTGGGTCAATATACGAGACAATCAGAGCAACTTCGGGGTAACATACACTGGAATCAACCCTAGAGGAGCTGTCAACGGTGCAATTCCCAAACTCCACCGCATCTTCTTCCGGTGGAATTCCTGACGTTCTGTGGCTATGGTCCGCAGCAGGCTGGGTATTTTCTCCAAGCGTATCGAGTTCCCTGGGTACAGCACGTCGATTTTCTTCGTTCCATGCGCCTCATCGATTCGCTTTTGAGATTTGAGCGATGGGATACTCTTAAGTCCCCATTCTTCAAATGGAATCCGTTGCTGTACCGAATTACCCCAGGTCACCAGGCGCTTCTTCCAGCCCCCGTCAGCTTCTTCCCATTGTGCCCACGTTTGAGCTGCCTTGCTTGTCACGCGGTCGAGTATGGATAGCTCCTTTGGGATATCTTTGCGCAATGGGCGAGAGTATATTAATGCCCGACGTGTCGAGATAGGGATCAAAAAGAGACGCATAGCGAAAGGAGGGGGGCTGTGTGATCTCAGAAAAATTGGGTGATGATCACGAAGAGAAGAATAAATGTGAGGTAATTTAATGAGAAATCAATAAGCCCATGCCTTGCAATATGAATATTGTATGCGATCTGGAAGCTCGACGGTTGAAGTGAAGTGGGACAGGTCGGAGGAAATTAAGCAGGAGAGAGACGTCATTACGCGCGCGAACTCGTTTTATTCCTCGGTCAAATCTTGGCCCTGATCAACAATCTCCTTACCAACCTCGTCTTATTTTCGAATCCCCCACTTTCCCTCTCTGATTCCTAATTGTCTATTTAAAGAGGACAATTGGCGTGCACTTGTTCTCGTCTAGTCTATAGAGAGCTAATGTGGTTGTGGAAGTGAACTCCCGCCAATCTCCGAGTGCAGCCTTTTGTCGCTCGTCATGGACGTGCATAGCTTCTCAGCTGAGGCCGCTGGTCATATCTTCAATGAGAAACTGCCTGAAAGCACTCTTGCAGGCACCGGCTCTTCAAATACGACTCCTACACATCTAACAATAGATACGTACACCAGCAATCTCCGCAGCAGTACCTCGAACTCCCCAGCCACAGCGACTCATACTCCCAATACTCAAAACACCGGGGAATTAGCTCGATTTCAAAATCCTAACTTGCGTACTCTGCCTGGTACGATAGACACTCGTTTATAGGATCAATATCTCTAGATCACTAATCAGGTTCTTCTTTATAGCCTGGATTCGGTCCGTCGAGGAAGTCCGGGAGGACAACGAAGAAGCTACTGCGACAGATCGCCTACTACCCTCCCAACCCAATGATGTGCTTGTCGCCCAACATAATCATGCTCCCCATCCTACATCTAGGATCGATTACACCCAAGAGGGCCAACTTGAAGAGGGCATGTCGACTCCCCCTCGTCGTGAGTCCCGCTGGAAGACATTCTCTCGCACTATTCAGTATCCCCGAGAATTCGGCGAGGAGTACAAAGAAGTGACCCCAGAATGGATGAACGAGAATATGGGAAACTATTTGGAACCATGGCGAGGCAATCTGCTGGAGGGTGATAGCCCGGAGTTTCCTTTGCACAACACCACCCGCCGTCGAGAAATTTGGTTCAAGCGTATCCACGCCTTCTTCTTAAGGAGTCCAATCGCACCACTCGTTCTGCGGTTGACCGTCTGGTGTTTCTCTCTCGCTGCCTTGGTACTAGGTGGAATAATCCAACACATGTCAGACGAGGTCCACCAACGCCGTCAGGGCGCGTCCGCGCTGATGGCAATCATCGTTGATGCTGTTGCTCTGGTATATCTCATTTACATCACCTTCGATGAGTACACCGCAAAGCCCCTAGGTCTGCGATCTCCCACGGCAAAAGCCCGGCTCATCCTGCTGGATCTGTTTTTCATTGTGTTTGATTCCGCCAATCTCAGCTTGGCGTTTAATTCTCTGTCCGAGGTGACCGGAGCTTGCACTGAAGCCGAGATCAATCAGCGAGTTGATCCTCGTAATGATCGAATCTGTGAGCGACAAAAGGCCCTCGCTTCTGTCTTGCTGGTCGCTCTGGTCGCCTGGCTAATGACATTTGCAATCAGCGTTCTCAGGTACAGTGCCGATCCTAAGATAGGCGTATTTGGACTAGCTGACATTTTCACAGGCTTGTTGAGAGAGTGAGACATTGAAACCGCTTTCACTCGCGGTATTTCTTCTTGCTCAACCCATGAGTAGCATAATTCAATTAACTATTGATGATATGATCTGAGGTACGGAGTTTGGACTAAATGTCCAGGGCAGGGCCATGGTCTCCGTAGAGCGGATCTCGATCAAACCATGCAACATCTTGAATGCCCTGGACTTTGCTCTCTTCGCCAGCTTGCCCATAACACATATCCCACTCCTTGTTATGTGGATATGAACCAACCATTTCGAACGGCTCCTCTCCCTCATCAGTCAACAATCGATGTCCGACTCCCGCGGGCACAATGATCAGATCCCCATGCTGCACGACTGGCTCGAAACGCTCCGGGTTCCCCTCACCCCCAAAACACAGTCGTGCTCGCCCCGCAACGACACCTAGGACCTCATGAGTAGTGGAATGAAAATGGGTCAGGGTGTACATGGTATAGGTCCATTGAGGCCCAACTACGCCGACCGCCTTAAGGCGCCGCTCAAGATCGACGGGAGTGGCGTTGAATGCACCATGGTATATCATCACCGGTTTATGTTGGATTGATGTATTGGGAATACGGTTCCATGATGGAATCTGGCGGTAGGTGATTCGAATCTCGGTGGCTGGATTGAAGGTCATGATTTTACCGAGTGTTGCGTAGTAACACGGGGTAGAAGGCGAGCTCGATGTCACTAATGACGTCACGACGCCTTGTTGCTTCTCAACGGCAGAAACTGGCTAAGCCCAGCCTTGAGGTTGATGATTTTCCTTGTCATATATGAAGGAATCTTGTCTAATATAAGTCACCGGGCCAGGCCGATCATCTGAACAATGATGCTCCAACGGCACTATGCCCGACGATGCCCACTTCAGATTTGCAAATTGTCTATTCCGTAGTTAAATCTCCCGAAAGAAATATTACAACAATTCATAAAAATACCATGATGCCAGAGATATTGTAATATCCTGTCTACAACCTGTTTGTAGCGTTACGTCAAAGTCCATAAACCCATAAACAAATGTTTCGATACACGCCGTCACCCTCCTCTGACCGCCTTCCTCAAACAACCGTGGGGATGCTCGACCCTCTCAGCCTCATCAACCCTCGCCGCCACACCTTCTGCCTGATCTTCTTAACCTTTTATCTCTTGCTTGTTTTTCAGTCCTGAGTCGTGTCCTTCTGTTCCTCTCTATCTCTACTTTAACGGGGTCGGGTACCTCTTCCCAACGCAACACCCATCTTGTGCCCCAGAATCCTACGGCGTCACTCATCACTCGTGGCGCTATCTGTGATCTCTGAGGGGTGACAGTCATGTATGTGCCCTTCTGTATTTCTCTTGACACCCATGGAAATTTGGAGCTTCATTCTTATTGTTAACCCCGCGCAAACTAGATTAACTGCGTTCTTCAAATTCCTTGCTCGATCCCGCCCCTTGACGCCATGGCGCCGATAATGCCGCAAACGCCTCACAAGGATGACCTCGAGGAAACGTGAGTTTTGGGCCACGTGCAAGCAATAGGCTCGAAGCTTTTGGCGCTAACTATGGTTCAGTTGGTCGTTCTTGGAGTCGGGTATCAACAATGTGATGCACAAGCTGGACGAGGGCGTTGACATGAAACATGTAAGTGAAGTCCAATTTATGCTGGGCCCTATTCCTGCTAGAACCCCGAAGAAAATTTGCTGACCACGTTACAGTACATGGCTCTTTACACGTTTGTTTCCATCTCCGAATTCTTCGTGTCCTACCCCCACTTACCACTCACTTAGGGCCGTCCACAATTTTTGCACATCACAGAAAGCCGTCGCAAGCAATCAGGGCTTACAAGCTCATCGTGGAGGTTCGTCTATCTTCTGTGGAAACTCGCGGGCTGTCCTGATCCTGGAAGTGATCGAAAGCGCTAACGACTTGATTGTTTGAAATAGCTCACCTGTTGGGCGAGGAACTTTACAAATTACTGGGCGAATACCTCTCGCGCCATCTCAGCGAAGTGCACGACAAATCCCTAGCCCACTCCGACGAAGCCCTACTGGCATTCTACATCCGCGAGTGGACCCGGTACACAACCGCCGCCAAATATGTCAACCATCTTTTCAGCTATCTCAACCGACACTGGGTCAAGCGTGAGATAGACGAGGGAAAGAAGAATGTTTACGATGTTTACACTTTACACCTGGTCAAGTGGAAGGACGACTTCTTTGAGAATTTGCATGCGAAGGTGATGGACGCAGTGCTGAATTTGATTGAGAAGCAGCGGAATGGCGAAACAATTGAACAATCACAGATTAAGAACATTGTCGATTCGTTCGTGTCGTTAGGTCTGGATGAGAACGATAGCAAAAAGTCCACCCTCGAAGTCTACCGCAACTACTTCCAACGACCGTTTATCGATGCGACAAGAAAGTACTATGAGAATGAATCGCGCCAATTTGTGGCAGAGAACAGCGTTGTGGAATACATGAAGAAGGCCGAGGCTCGGCTGGAGGAGGAGAAGGCTCGAGTGGGTCTTTATCTACACTCGGATGTGACGAAGAGCCTCACCGAGACATGTCTTGATGTTCTTGTTACCGCCCATTCCACTCTTCTCCGCGACGAATTCCAGATTCTGCTTGATAATGAACGCCAAGACGACCTTGCCCGCATGTACCGCCTCCTATCGCGCATCAAGGAGGGCTTGGATCCATTGCGTTCCACATTTGAAAACCATGTGAGAAAGGCCGGTTTGGCTGCGATTGAAAAGGTTGCCTCGGAAGGCGAGAACTTTGAGCCTAAGCTGTACGTTGATGCTCTACTTCAAGTTCACACGCGGTACCAGAATCTTGTCGACGAAGCCTTCAATGGCGAGTCTGAGTTCGTTCGCTCGCTTGATAATGCTTGTCGGGAGTTTGTCAACCGTAACCGCATTTGCAAGTCGACCACAACCAAGTCACCTGAACTGCTGGCTAAGTACACCGATTCCTTGCTCAAGAAGGGCTCCAAGGCTGCCGAGGAGTCTGAGCTCGAGGAAATGCTCGTCCAAATCATGACCGTCTTTAAGTACATCGAGGATAAGGACGTGTTCCAAAAGTTCTACTCAAAAATGCTGGCGAAGCGTCTGGTGCATGTCAGCTCGGTCTCTGATGATGCGGAAACCAGCATGATCAGCAAGCTGAAGGAGGCGTGTGGATTTGAATATACCAATAAGTTGCAACGCATGTTCCAGGACATCCAGATCTCCAAGGATCTTAATGCCAATTACAAAGTGTACCAAGAAAAGGTGCTGGACGACGACGACCGCAAGCGAATGGTGGACGCACATTTCCAAGTTCTGGGAACTGGAATGTGGCCTCTGAACCCCCCAAACACCACATTCTCCGCGCCCCCAGAGGTTACCAAGTCCGCTGAGCGGTTCCAAAAGTTTTACTTTGATAAGCACAACGGTCGCAAGCTGACATGGCTGTGGCAGCTGTGCAAGGGCGAGGTCAAGGCGAACTACATCAAAAATGCCAAGGTTCCTTACACATTCCAGGTGTCCACTTTCCAGATGGGCATTTTGCTATTATTCAACGAGACCGACACTCTCTCGTACTCGGACATCCAGAAGGCTACTACCCTGTCTCCTGATGTCCTCGATCCCAATCTTGCTATTTTCCTGAAGGCGAAGGTGCTCCTGGCGCCCGATGGTGCCAAGCCCGAGGATTCAACCATGTATACCTTGAACTACAACTTCAAGAACAAAAAGGTCAAGGTCAACCTCAACATCCAGATAAAGTCGGAGCAAAAGGTCGAATCCGATGACACCCACAAGACGATCGAGGAAGATCGGAAGCTGTTGCTCCAGGTATGTCATTTCTCTGTCAATATACTCCGACTCACGCTAACCCTTCTAGTCCGCCATCGTCCGCGTTATGAAATCCCGCAAGAAGATGAAGCACGTTCAGCTCGTACAGGAAGTCATCCAACAGGTCAAATCACGCTTCCCGCCCAAGATCCCCGACATCAAGAAAAACATCGAGGCCCTTATGGAAAAGGACTACATTGAACGTTTAGAGGGAGACGAAGTTTCCTACATTGCTTAATCACCTTACCCTATTTCGCTTCTACACAAATTCCCTCGCATCTACCCTGGTCTTCCTCTTTTTCTTTTCACTTGTCTAGCTCATAGCCCTCTTCCATTCCTGATCTCGGTTCTTAATTTCCATGCATTGTGTTTCCACATGTGGGTTCTGAGGCGCAAGGCTGCGCAGAGCTGGACCGGGCGTGGGTTTTGCTTAAAGATGTTTTGGGAGCTAAGGAGCACAAATCGACGCATCGTCTGTTTTATCTTATTTTATGGTACATCTTTCATCATAGCGCTGAGACGACAGATCAATGATCATTCTGATTTTCAAGATATACTCCCAAGATTCATTCATTTAGTCTAGTCGATGTACAGGGACACTGGTAAGGATTTTCCACGTATGCATCCCAACAATCGAGGGCTATCAGACATGTCTCCACCATATTTTCTCTTCCCTCTCCGCCATTAAAGGCTCAATCTCAATTCCTAGCCAGCTTGCTGAACCGTCAGGGCTAATCTGAAATTCCAGCCGAACAGCCGTGGGATAGCCCCATCGCATTGCAATCTGCAACCAATATGTGCCAGACACATGGAACAAGCCAATTCCCAACTCTTTGGAGTAGTCATTGTAATTTGAAATAGATGCGCACAGGTCGGGGGCTGTGCGGTTCAATCTTTGGTAGATTCGATAGTCCCCAGTGCAGTTGCTTGATAGTATAAGATCCGGGTAAGAGGGATGTGTATAGAATCCTTCATAAGCAGAGATATCTAGAGGGTTTGCCAACGGAGGATCAGGGACGCCGGGGTAAAGCTCTGCAATGATATGTTCAGAAAGATGTGTTTGATTGATCATCGCATCGCCTCTGTTTCACGTAGATCAGCAAATAGTTTCGAAATCAACCTTGGGAGCTATTGACAAGCACTAACCTTGCAATCCAGTCAATTCGACTCTCCAAAGGAATGCCTAGTTCTTCATCAATCAGATGATACGCAAGTACATCCGCCGCCGCGTCAACCCCATTCATATTATTCCCTAGCAACACCAGTCCGAACTTTCGTTGTGGTAACAGCATAACAGATGCTCCATACCCGAACTGATCCCCGCCATGGAAGCATATCGTCTCACCCTTGTATACACCTGATAACCATCCCAGTCCATAGAATGTAGAAGTCTGGAATGGCTCAACAGGATTAGGAGAGACGATGGAGTGGGCACCAAATAATGCATCATAACCTGCTGGAGAAAATGGTGGCTCGCGATTCAGCATTGTTGAAATCCATTTGGCGTAGTCTGATACCGAGGACAGGATATTACCCGCTCCACGGATAGTATCTGTATATACCTGTTCGGTGGATGAGAGTCCACCATCCAGGTTAACGTAAAATCCCTGGGAGATATCTCGATTTGCCTTTCGAGCTTCCGACAAGGAGATATACGTCTCAGTCATGCTTAGGGGCAGCCAGATATTTTCCGTGAAGAAGGATTCTAAGGATTGGTTCGTCACTGTTTCGATGAGATGGGCTGCGGCGCAGTACATAAGATTGGAATATTGCCATGTTGTCCGTGGAGAAGTCGTGGATGGAAGATTCCTCAATGATTGGACCGCTTCTTGGAGCGTTATATTAGCAAGCCATACCCAGTCGTGGCGTGGTAAGCCAGTGCGATGAGATAGGATGTCGACAATTGTTATTTCCGAGGTAGACCAGGGATCACTGAGGGCGAAATCCACTGGAAGGATAGAGTGGACGGGTGTATCCCAATGGATTCCTGGGAAATTAACGTCGTCGTCGACGAGAAGAGAAATTGCCGCAGACGTAAAGGCTTTGGTTGTGCTTCCTCCGAAGAACAGAGTGTGCTCCGTCACTGGCTGAGAACTGAGACTATCTGAGATGCCGTAGCCCTGATTCGTTGGTTAGTTCAAGCAACGGTTGACGAGGTTTTACTCACTTTGGAGAATGTTTCTCCATGAACGACTGCAACGGCCAAACCGGGAATATTGAAATGGTCCAGGGCCCACTTGACCTTATTGTCAAAGTCGGCATTCAAGGGTGAAAGGCTTGTGGACTGGTTTGGTTCTTGAAGAGGCTGTTGCAATACCTCGGCAAGAGCAAGCCCAGGAAAGATCAGAGTCAAAGGCAAACGCATATTGAAGTACAGCAGCAAGTACGGTCAATGAATACATGGGTGAGAACGTAGACATATACTCAGCTAGCCCCATTGGTATCTCGGAGACACTCCCGTACACTTGACAGCTCCAATCGATTGGTTGGTTTCATGCGGGGGTTGGATCCACAAGGTGCAACAACACTTGCGCATTCGCAAAACTCATCAAAAGTTAGATTTTTGAAGCTGTTTGATCTGATGTATAAATGCAAATGTTATTATCTACTAATATGTATTCCGTTCTGATGTGCACACATGATTATCCCAAAGTACCAGCCTAGACGGAAGAGCACATTCCGACCAGGGGTATAATTTACAGTAAAGACATACAAAAGTCAAACAAGTATAGACAACAAAATTTGGACAAGATAGGGTTCAAATGAGATGGGTATGCCGCTGGAATGTAATGCCAAGGATCTGGAATCGGGGAAAGTGACGAAGTGAAGTGTAGGGACAAAACGAAACCAGGAGATGATAGGTTACCGTAGAATAGATTGGCTATTTCTCTACCTCGATAGGGAGAGTGGTGGTTTCATCTTCCTGTGCATCGGATGGCTTCGTGGTCTTCTCCGGGTTCATATTGACTCGGAGACCGTCCTCGGGCGTGAGAGACACAGCTGTGAAGCCGTCTTCGTTGGCAGGAGTTGCCTCATGAATGGGTTCGTCGTTCTCCTTCTGTGAGAAGATGACCTCCGAGCTATGCTGGGATTCGGGCTCGTATGCTGGGGAACCGTGGGACAAGGGGGATTTGGGATAAGGCGCGTCAAGAGCATCGGAGCCATCGTCCCGTTTAAACTCTCCGCTCTCGCGGCGTAGAATAATGTTGCTCCATCGCTTGCGGCGGCTGTTGCTACGGCTGAGACCGTCCGAGGCATCCCCATTGGAACTGGCGCGATGCTGCTGCATGGATCGGCGACGACCACGGTCCGACTCGAGGTCTTCAGTTGCGACTGAGAGCACCGGCGTTGAGGGCGAGGAGACAATGGCTGCGGGGGCTACTGCTGGATTGGGGTTTGGACCTGGGGATGAACTGCGTTTCTCTTGCCACTCTTTGCGCTTTTCGCTGGCCCAGGAGCCCCATGAACTGAAGTATGCACTGGCTTTTTGGCTGGCGACGCTAACAGTAGCCTGTGCCTGAGAAACGTCAATGGAAGGTCTTTGGCGAGGAGAAAGCCAACCTCCAGAAGGCTCGGAGGGAGACGCCTGCGAAGTCGTTGGTGGAGAGCGCGAGGTATCAATCGAGGTGCGCTGGGATTGGGCAGCAGCTTTCTCTTCGTTGCGCTTTCTTTGAGCTTCACGCATGGACTCTATATCCGACCAGAAGGTATTGAATGCCGCGCTAACTTTCTTTTGCCCCGTGGCAAGTTGGCGGCCAAGTGCTTCGCGACCCTCGCGCACTCGCTCATCCAAGTGAAGATCGGCTACCTGCTGAGACAGACGACGCTGAATATCATCCATAGTCAGCCCGCCAGCGCTTGGGTGCCGTGGCTCGGTAATTGAGTACAAGAGGGCATCGGAGGTAAGCTTTGAGAAAAGGGCATAGTTCGAGGTTTTCTGCCATTGTGTCAAAAATTCTGCATTGAAGTCAAGAGCAGGATCGCCTTCAATATTGAAGTTTTGTAGCTGAGCTCTGCTTCGGTGTGGCGAATCACCCGACGAGTGCGAGGCAAGCTCCTCATGGTATTTCATGCTGGATAGTAAGGCGAGGAGGTACTCTTCAAATTGAAGGCGGATGAATTCTTCCGATCCCATGAAGCCTAGTGTTTTTGGACGGGATGGATGGGCATCATCCCAGGTTTCATTAACGATCTGGGTGAGAACGTCTATCCAGCGTCTGTCCGCCACAGATAGGGCTAGAGCCCTTTGTAGAGGCAATGACGAGATATTGATGCTGTCCTCATCAAGCTGATATCAAACGACTGTTAGCGCTTTTTCCCCACTCATTTGGGTAGATTCGCATCTCACGTTGATTAAAATGTCGCTATAGCGATCCTTTTGTTGGAGGAGCAAAGAATTCGTTGATCCCACAACATACGACTTTGTGCCATCATCGGCTAGCAAATCCAGTTGCTGTAGGGGGGTATATGGCCCAAACATGCTTCCCTAAGAAGAAAGTTAGAGGATCGGATCTGGCGCACCAAGGAGATGGTAAATAAGTACCTTTCCAAATATCTGCAGCGGTAGACCCATGTAGGCCAATACTAATACAATCAGTGTCGTCTATCTAAATATTGAATTTCCAACTTACAAGAGCCTCGGTCACTTGTCTTAAGGGAGGTTGGCTTCTCAACATTTTGAGTATAGCTGTCAAATGCAGGATCTGCACAATCTTGCAGATTATTGATCAATCCAGGTATTAAAGAGACAAGCGAAAATTGAATCATGCATAGACGTTCACAGCGGGTACCGAAAAAGAGCATCTGCAGAGGTCAAGGTCAGCGAATACTTTAGTTGAATAAACAGGTCTGCCTACCTTAGGCTGCAATAATAGTCCCTTAAAGAGCACTAGGGTCTGGTATTTGAACTCATGAATCATTTCCCGTAGAGAAAGACCTTCAATAAGTCAGCGTACGTCAAGACATGTGATATATGAGAATATTCACCTAAGTTCTGATCTTTCGACGCATCATTGGATAAACTGATAACTAGGCCCTCTCGGAATTTCTAGATCGTCCGTTAACTTGTCATTCGCCTTCCAGATCTTCCGGTAGAGCTAACCTTCAAAATATCAATATCTGAAAAGTCCCTGCATGTTCAGAAGAACGTCAGCAAGTGTCACCCTCACAGAACCCCCACATTAAGAAAAGAAGGTCCTTCAACATAGAGACATCAACATACCGCTGCGCAAACCACGCCGATGTCACCACAGAGAGCTTTTCGCGCAATTGTCCCACTCTCTGCGGACTATCCGTCACCACCACCACGGCCTTTTGCACTGTCGAGCGCGTCACTTCAGGAGGGCGATGGATCAGGAGCTTGGCATCGAGCTGGCGCGAGCAGGCAATGCCGAAAAGGGACGTTGCCGGTGTTTCGGATGTTTCTTTGCGGCGCAACGTGAAATATGAGAATTCCTCGGTCGATCTAAGGTAGCCATGAGGCTAAAGCATCAGTTTCATCTCTAATGACTCGTGCTGGCATTGCGGGGCTGCTTCGAGGGGTGGGACTTGAAACACGGGGAAAGGCAGGGTCTAGGTTCCTAATGCTAGGGAGCTTCATGTGGGGGTTCCATACAGATGCGCACCATCAGAAAGTGCCATGAAGGGTAGTAATGACCAGTCATTGTCGACAGCCGGGTTCGTTCCCTCATCACCGATGCAGTGTTCGATTTCGGGGCCCCTGTAGATCGCAAAGACATACGTTAGTTTCGGTCGAGATCTTGTTTACTCATCCTCTCTCAAATAGATCAGAGCTAGGCAAATAGCTAGCTGGTGAGGACTTACCGCGCATGGTGGAAATCAATCACCAGGACAATTGGGTCTTGTTTATGCGGGACAGCCATCGCGGCGAGCTTGCGGGGGTTTGTGGCGTGCAGAATTGGGGATCGGGAAATGCAAGGGTCACAGTCTTTTTCCAGAAGGAGTTCCAGGTGTCGCCATTTATTGCGCAAGGAGGCTTTCTACGTGCGCTTCACGGGGGGTGGTTCAAGGTGCAATGCGGCTTTATCGCTCACGTGTTGATTGTCGGCGGTGTAGTCTAAATGTCAACTCCATGATCTTATTCCAACACTGGTACTTTCTAGATGAATTTTTTAATACTTAAGTGGGCGTGATTAATTGACTCGGTCTGAAATAAATGTTTTTAAAACTCAATCGGTCTGAACACCGCTCAATTCATCCCATGATTCGCCCCCTAATCACCAACCCGTTCTTGACGACGCCGAAGTAGGTATGGAGAATGGCTTCCAAACCCAGAACAAATGAAAAGGAAAAAACGAAAGCAAGACAATTAAGTAGAATCACGCCAAAATTGCATAAAAGTCCCCGAATAAATGGAGCTGACTGCGAGCCCATGGGAACCGAAAACAGAAAAAGCAAGTGTAAGAATAAAGAAACTCCTCTTAGCGCTTATGCGAAAGTCTGCGATGCTGCACCTCCCTGCTGCGCTTGGCCAGGGACGAGAGCCTGACCCGCCTCGGTACCTTGTTCGATGTTGTGGAAGTCAAGAATTTCCGAGTACCTGTTCCAGCTGTCAGCATGTGTACGAGGAACGAGTCTACACGCAACTTACATCATGATTTTCCAGGTATCCACCGGCAGGTCCGCATCATTAAACGACCAGTCGAACTTCTCTTGGGCAACCGGCTCGTCTGTGGGGTCGTGGTAAGGGGCAAGGTATTCGTGCGCGAGCGCTTCTCCAGCTCGGATTCGCGTCTTCGGGTCGAAGACCAGCATGCGCTCAAGCAAGTCCACGGCTGTATAAAAAAGCAAATTAGAGTTTCTTCGGGATCCCAAGGGAACCATCGAGGTGAAGACGTACCATCGGCATCAGCATTGCGGAACTTATGAGCCAGGTTTTGGCGCTCACGTTTCGGGAGAGACTTGACAAAGCGCAAGGTCTACATTCATTAGCCATTAACCAAACTCAATTTTACCGTCACGGGGATTCCAAACTCACGTTCTCGCTGCAAATGGTCTGAATCACATCATCTGGGGGAGTGCCCAGCAGCTCGGTGATAATCGAGAATTGGTTCACATGATCCTTTCCGGGGAAAAGCGGCTTTCCCTCGAGCATCTCGGCGAAGATGCAGCCTGCACTCCAGATATCCACCTCCACATCGTACTTCTGCCAGGTAAGCATGATCTCGGGGGCTCGGTAGTAACGTGTGGAGACATAACCCGTCATCTGCGGGTCCTGAATTCGCGCCAAACCGAAATCGCAGATCTTCAGATCGCAGTTCTCGTTGATGAGGATGTTGCTGGGCTTGAGGTCTCGGTGGACCACACCGGCGGAGTGGACATATTTCAAGCCCCGCTGTCATGCCGTCAGTGGCGCTACGCAAATTTGGCTGGAATTTTCAACTTACCAGAATCTGGTAGAGGAAGTACTGGATGAACTGCTTTTCGAGAGGTCGAGAAGTCAAAAGGCGGTGCAGATCAGTGCCCAGAAGCTCAGTGACGAAGTAGCTGTAATCGTCAGTAAAGGTTTTTTTTTCAATATATGCCGATATAACCTGAAATGAATTAAGAAACGTACATGTCTTCGAGGGGGGAGATGAAAATGTCGCTCAGGCTAATAATCTTTGGGGTAATGTCAGTATGCACGCGCGCGCCTCGGTAGCCCCGCGAGCGGGAGGGGTCGGCCTACATTCTCGTGGCGGAGATGCTTGAGCAGCTTCAGTTCACGGTAAGTACGCTTGGACAAAACCGGGGTACTGAATGGCTTCATAATTTTCTTGACCGCCACTGGCTGATCGGTCAATTGATCTCGCGCCGAACTGTTTGGCAGTATTAGAATTAGCAGGGTCGATCAGCGCAAGGCGCGGGATATGGAAGATGAGCCTACCAGACCAGGCCGAATGCACCCATGCCCACCGGCTGCAAGTCCGTATACCTGAGAAATTTAGCTGCCGCGATCGAATGCCTCGCGGGCTGTTGCCCAGGGTAATGCGCACCGGCTGGTGATCTCAAAGGTGGTGCCAAAGATCTGGGACCGTACGAATTCCGCCATTTTGTCAGAGAATTTCACAGCAAAGACAGAAATTGAAGTTTGAAGGTATCGGAACTCAAAAAGCAAGCAAGAAAGGAAAGGGGCAGTGTGGTAGAAAGTGATGTGGGGAAAAGGGCCCTTCAGCGGTAGCAGAAAACAAGGCCGATGACGTTCGCGATGGTGGCAGGCAGGTTTCTTGGTGGCTGACTCAGCTGGGGGGCTTTGTCCAATCTTGATCGAATTTAACCCTAAAACTAGTTTTTAACTGATAGGAACCTATTGATATTTATTCTTTTCCCCCCTTTTCACTATCTTCTTGTTCATCCATAACCTATCTAGTTTGTATGGGATGTGTTTCTTCTGTGTTCTCGAGAGTTGTGTGCCCTGTTTCCAGTTCCCAGTTTTGACCCTCCACCAACCACGCGGCACCATGGCCAGACCGGTCTAAGAACCCGGAACTGATTTACTTGAGTCGCCCAATCGATTGTATATCTACAGAGTTGACGTGTCTGTATAAATGTAAGGATAAGAAAATATGTCGGAAAGTTTTGAATTTTAGATATCTGATTTCGTATCTTAGCGGATCAAAATTCTGGAATTGCCGCGTTTAGCCCGGCCTCTATCACCTGCTGCGTTGTGCGGCTGTCATTCGCGGTCTCATTCGGTATTTACTTATTCGTAAGGCTTGGGCCTCTTCCGACCTTGGTCAAGCCAGCTTCCCCTCATGACTACACGGAAAGAGCAGTCTGTAGACTTGAGAACATTGACAGCTGAGAATGATCAAGATAATTTTAATATTAATTAGGTAGCCTTGGGTCCTCTGGCGATATATATTTATCCTGACATCTGTATACATCAGCCCTGGGGTGTCACGGGTAAATCCACGGGTACAAACTGGTACATATATATATCAGTTAGATCTATCCAGGTACCTCTTGGCCGACTGTTCTTATCTTCCAAGGTTCAAATGTTATTGAGATAAAGAATCCAAGAATCCAAGAACTACACAAAACCAGGAAATCACCTGGGCGTTGAACAGGCACGTGAAACAAGGACCTACGGTACAAAGGTATTTCTTATGGGCTGTCGGGGTATGTTTCATGCCCAAAAAGAGGGGGCATCAAGCGAGGCTAGGGGCGAGTCAGATCTCGGACATATATCGATCGAACTTTATGTGGCAGGTACCACGCCTACACCGCAACCTAGAGACCACCTGTTCAATGTTGCATCCATGGATGAGACAAATGTAATGTTCTCAATTATTGAACATTCGAAATGTTGAATGATCCAGGTATATTCGTTACTTACTAGTACATGGCATTCTAAGCTTACTGCTTACCTACTATGCATGTCTCATCTCTACAGAACGTGGGGAGTGCACGTGATGGCCACCTGAGGCCATAATTACCCGGGAAATACACTTCGAATACCAAATCCTTACCTATTACCGTTTCCCCCCCCATGTGCGTCACGACTCTCCACTCCAAAGAGCTCCGGTGGGTTTCCGATACGAGCACGAGGTTATACAGGGAGCCTCAACCCAACTGTCATAAAATCGTTTAATAGAAGTCAAGATTAATCTGATATACCATATAATTATTGAGCTTCAGTTACTGATGTTGACTTATTCCTTGCCCCCTGTTCATCCGTTCATTTGATCGCTTGGATATTATGAACTTCCCCTGGCACGGCCCCCAGCCTTTGCAATGAGGCCGTTTTTGCCCTTTTCCCACAAAAATTACAATTGGCCCCAATAGAACCGTAAACTCTATGTATACCAGCGGATAGCGGGAAAAAAGTAATTAAGAAGTAATTTTAGTGGTAAGAAAACTCAAATAAGAGGGTGTAATTACGGGCAAAACGGTGTAAGACTCACGTTTCTTACCCCCATGATTTCCCTCCTGGCATCTCCACTCACCCCAGCATGACGATAGTCGCACCGAATTGACATCTTTCCTTTTGGTCCTCTCTAATATCACGCATCAACGACACAAGATACATGCAACAATTCCCACCCCACTTCAACCCGAATCGAAAGACGCTCATCCCAGACTCGTTGGTTCGCCGCGAAACTTTGCCAGTCGCAAGTCCACCTAAACCCTTTGAACGTTGATACCCCCCCGCCTTTCCTCCATTCACCGGAATTTGATCCTTACGAAATTTCGCTTCTCACAACTGATCCTGCCCATCGGTTTCCGGGCTGCGCCGATTCTTCCCTTCCGTGTGTGGCGGGAACTATCCCCCAACCAACCTACGGCTTCGGCCATCCCGGCTGACACCGATCGCTTCTGCGCGCGGTGGACAGGGTCTTGCTTATCCCTGCTGGTCCGGGATTGTGAGAACCACTAACCATGGGTGCATGTTTTAGCGGCGAAGCCGCGGGGGACGTGGAGCAGAAGAAGAAGAGCCAGTCGATCGACCGGAAGCTTGAGGAGGATTCCAGGCGATTACGTAGGGAGTGCAAGATTCTCCTACTGGGTAGGTGATCCCTTGTGCCATGCAAGTACATGGACTGACTGGCCTTCAATTCACAGGGTCCGGCGAAAGTGGAAAGTCGACAATTGTCAAGCAGATGAAAATTATCCACCAGAACGGCTACACCGTGGAGGAGCTGGCCCTGTATCGCTTGACCGTCTACAAGAACCTTCTAGATTGCGCCAAAGCGCTCATCGAGGGATACCGTCTTTTTAACCTTGAACCGTCGAGCCAAAAGGTCCAAGACTATCTCACTTTCCTGGACGAATACCATGTCGATCCCGATCCCAATATGCCGTTGGATGCTAAGGTGGGAGATGCGGTGGCTTATTTATGGAACGACCCTTGCACATCAACGGTTTTGGAACGCCAGAATGAGTTTTATCTGATGGACTCGGCACCATAGTAAGCTCCATAGTCGGCCTGCGGCAGAAGAATTAATTGCTGATGAAATTAGCTTTTTCGACGAAGCCAAGCGAATAACGTCGCCGGACTATATCCCAAATGTTTCAGACGTGCTTCGAGCAAGAACCAAGACCACTGGTATCTACGAGACACGCTTTACAATGGGTCAATTAAGCATACAGTATGTGGCACCTTCCATATTCCCTGCACATTCGCTAACAGACCCCGCAGCATGTTCGATGTGGGTGGCCAGCGCAGCGAGCGCAAGAAATGGATACACTGCTTCGAGAATGTAACATCCATCATCTTCTGTGTCGCCTTGAGTGAATATGACCAGATGCTGCTGGAAGAAAGCAATCAGGTATGATAAGTCAAATCGGACTTTACACGCGACAATACTGACAGTTCCGAAGAATCGCATGATGGAGAGCTTGGTTCTCTTTGATTCAGTGGTCAATTCCCGATGGTTCATGCGGACAAGTATCATTCTTTTCCTGAATAAGGTCGATCTATTCCGGCAAAAGCTTCCTCGGTCTCCCCTTGTGAACTATTTCCCCGACTACTCTGGTGGAAATGATGTGAATCGTGCGGCCAAGTATCTTCTTTGGCGGTTCAACCAAGTGAATCGAGCACACCTCAACCTCTATCCACAGTAAGTCTCTTGATCCCGAAATGAGATCGTGTCCTAATCCAATTCCAGCCTCACCCAAGCAACCGATACCACCAACATTCGACTTGTATTTGCGGCTGTCAAGGAAACCATCCTACAAAATGCTCTGAAAGATTCAGGCATTCTATAATTCGTCAGGCCATTCACCACCTTTATGGTCCTAACATCTTCATCTACCCCTCTTCTAGTAGGGAATATTCCTCAACTGGTGACCACCGTTCATCTTCCGTTTTACGATCAATCATACCCCTACGTTCAACCTTTCATTTTCTCGCTTTTGGCTTCGGTTTCAGTTACAGGCGTTCACGGTGTTATTTCGTGCTTGGATAATATTCAAGGCGCTTAAGTGATACCCCCAATTGGTATCTGCAAGGAGGTTCCCAGTCCTCCTCCAGATGGAGTGGGTAATAGGATCTCGGGTGCGGCTGGGAATAGGCTTTCGTTGCCTCTCTTCCTCTTTGTGATTTTTACTTCTATTTATTCCATTTGCTACTTCAACTCCTGAGCAAGAGTCCCTTTTCAAAACCCAAAAGTCGATGGTCTTCTCCTAGAAGTACCACTGCCATATCACTGACCCTTTTCTTCTTCTTTTCGTCCTTGGAGATGAACTGAGTATTTGATATACTGTGATCCACTTTTGGATGCTACATCTGTTTTTCAGCCTAGCCTGTCTGATGCATAGTTGGGCGACTTTCTGTGTTTTTATCTACTACTGATTCCACAAAGTTGAGCCGAAATATTTGCAATGCGTTGCAGCAGCGCTTTCGAGCGGATTTGATGCATGATGTTTTTTACCTACCTGGACTACATGTACTATTTGGTCTCAGCGGTAAGATTAATGAGTGTTTCATATCTTTCTATACGGACTGGGAATGCAGGACTTTTCATGATCTCATAAATTGACAGCTCAACACTTAAAAGGATTTATACTCAAATCAAGAAATAGCGAGCTGCGATGGTACGATGAAATGCATCATCTTACATTGAGTGGCATGATTTGAAGGTACAAGGACTAAAGCAAGGAAGTAGCACGGACCGCGAGGAAAGAGCAAGGGCTCGAGCCCAATAAGATGCAGAGTTCAGACCATTTACTTCCCCACTAGAGCTATACTGACGTATGAGCTTCTAACATCTATGGCGGGGAAGGAACATACGACTGCGGAGTGCATATTTTCAAGCCAAGAATAGCAGTTACCTTGTGTCTATGCCCGCATTGGGCAATCTTCGCTCGGACGACTTATCGTATCCTGCACTTCCGAACCCCTCATAAGGTGTCACCATGCACTCCCCTCTTTCATTTCTCTTCCATCTTTATTTCCAACTTAATTAGGGGTTGTAGTTGATTCTTCTCTAGTTTCTTCTCGTCATGTCGGAAGCACGCCATGAACGTCGCCCTTCTGTCGGTGCCCCCATTGCGGACCTGCAAGGTCCTGTTGGACCGGGTTTTAGCCGCCCGAAGCATAAACGTACTCCTACGGGATTTGGTGCTGCCGAAATCAAGAGCGTCGAAGCCAGTATTCCTGAGCCGCTACGAGAGGCGTGAGTCGTTTCTCGTTTCTCTTTCTTGGTGATGGGGTTCCCGCTGACTTGATTTTCTGTGAAGATGGCTCAAACACGTAAGATTCTTCGTTCCACTTTGTGATGATATCATTGACACCAAGCTCACATGCCTGAACAGTCCGCTTCGGAGTTTACGACTAAGGAGGAATTTGAGGTGGGTCCCCGACAAGGAGCTGGGTGCATTCCAAACTGACCATACATATTTTATAGAAAGAACTCGTGCGCCACATTGAGACGACTCTGGCTCGCTCGTTGTGGAATTGTGATGAACAGTGCGTAATTGGCCATCACTGAGCAATGGTTTCTGGATACGGTTGCTTATAATTTACAGTGCGGCGTACTCAGGAACGGCCCTTGCGTTTAGGGACCGACTCATCATTGAATGGAACCGGACGCAGCAGCGTCAGACATTGTCTGACCAGAAGAGAGTTTACTGTATGTTCGGAGTGTTAAATTAATGTACTGCGGTTGGTGACTGACGAGCTAGATCTCTCGCTTGAGTTTTTGATGGGTCGTGCTTTGGACAATGCCATGCTCAATGTGGGCCAGAAAGAGTCCGCTCGAGGTTGGTGATACCGAGAAATTGGCAGTGAAAAGCCACTGACACTTTGACAGAGGGATTGAAAGATCTTGGCTTCCGGGTCGAGGACGTCATCAGTCAGGAACACGATGCGGCTCTAGGTAACGGTGGCCTCGGTCGCCTGGCAGCTTGCTTCCTGGACAGTATGGCCACGCTCAACTATCCGGCCTGGGGATACGGATTGCGCTACCGCTATGGAATTTTCAAACAAGAGATTGTCAATGGGTACCAGGTAGAGATTCCTGACTACTGGCTTGACAACAATCCTTGGGAGTTTCCTCGACACGAAATAACTGTCGACATCCAGTTCTACGGTTCTGTTCGTAAGTACCAGGACGAGAGTGGGAAGATTACACACTCCTGGGAAGATGGAGAGATCGTTCAGGCAGTTGCCTACGATGTCCCAATCCCCGGATACGGCACGAAGACCACCAACAATCTTCGGCTGTGGTCCAGTAAGGCCAGTACAGGAGAGTTTGATTTCCAGAAATTCAATGCCGGCGACTACGAAAGCGCCGTGGCAGATCAACAGCGCGCAGAGACTATCTCTGCTGTCCTCTATCCCAACGATAATCTAGAGCGAGGCAAGGAGCTTCGTCTGAAGCAGCAGTACTTCTGGTGCGCTGCATCCCTGCACGACATTGTCCGCCGGTTCAAGAAAACGAACCGAGCCTGGAAAGAGTTTCCCGATCAAGTGGCCATTCAGCTCAATGACACCCATCCCACTCTTGCGATTGTTGAGTTGCAGCGCATTTTGATTGATCTTGAGGGTCTGAGCTGGGATGAAGCCTGGAATATCGTAACCAATACTTTTGGATACACCAACCACACTGTTCTGCCTGAAGCTTTGGAGAAGTGGTCTGTTCCGCTGTTTCAGAACTTGCTGCCAAGGCACTTGCAGATCATCTACGATGTGAACCTCTTCTTCCTGCAGACTGTCGAGAAGAAATTCCCTAATGATCGTGAGCTTCTATCGCGGGTCTCCATCATTGAGGAATCTCACCCGAAGATGGTGCGAATGGCTTATCTGGCCATCATCGGATCCCACAAGGTCAATGGTGTTGCTGAGCTGCACTCGGATCTCCTCAAATCGACGCTGTTCAAGGACTTTGTGGATATCTACGGACCTGACCGTTTCACGAATGTTACGAATGGTGTCACTCCTCGGCGTTGGCTGCACCAGGCCAACCCGGCACTGTCTGCCTTGATTGCAAAGAAGCTAGGTAGCCACGAGTTCTTGACTGACCTGACTCTGCTAGACAAACTGGAAGCCTTCGTGGATGACAAGGAGTTCCGAGCGGAGTGGTCGCAGATCAAGACTCAGAACAAGCTGCGACTGGCGAACTTTATCCAAGAAACCACTGGGTACAAGGTGAATCCCAACGCTCTATTTGATGTGCAAGTGAAGCGTATCCACGAATACAAGCGCCAACAACTCAACATCTTTGGAATTATTCATCGGTACTTGGCCATCAAAGCTATGTCACCCGCAGAGAAGAAAAAGGTTGTTCCTCGTGTTTCTATCATCGGCGGTAAGGCTGCTCCAGGTTACTGGATGGCGAAGACAATTATCCACCTTGTCAACAAGGTTTCATCTGTGGTGAACCAGGATCCAGATGTCGGCGATCTCCTCAAGGTTATCTTCATTGAGGACTACAATGTCAGCAAGGCGGAGATCATCTGTCCCGCCTCCGATATCAGTGAGCACATTTCCACTGCCGGTACGGAGGGTAGTGGCACAAGCAACATGAAATTCGTGATGAATGGAGGCCTGATCATCGGAACTTGCGATGGAGCCAATGTGAGTCCCATTGCAATTTGTCACGTCAAAAAATAAGCTAACTATTGAACCTCTAGATCGAAATCACCCGCGAAATTGGCGAGCAGAATATTTTCCTTTTTGGAAATCTCGCTGAGGACGTTGAGGAACTCCGCCACCGTCACGTCTACGGCGACTTCCAGATTGACCCGCAGCTTGCAAAGGTCTTCGACGCCGTCAAGGGCGGTATGTTCGGCGATGCGAAGGACTTCCAGGCACTTTGCTCATCCATTGAAGAGCATGGGGACTACTATCTCGTGTCTGATGATTTCAACTCCTACATCACTACCCACGAGATGGTTGATGAGGCGTTCCAGAAGAAGGATGAGTGGCTCGCCAAGTCTATTACCAGCGTCGCGCGCATGGGATTCTTCTCGACGGATCGAGTTATCAACGAGTATGCAGATAGTATCTGGAACGTTGAGCCTCTCGTCGTGAAGGATTGATTGCCCCGATTATTCTGGTTCCGATCCCATAATACGTTCTTTCATGCGTTGTTGCGTTTATTGCATTTTGTTCAACATACAGTAGTATTCTTAATCCACCTATTGATGACTTCGGTATTAATGCAGTTTGACCTAAATTGTTTTCATCTTTAAGTGAGTTGATTTCTCTAAATTCTATAAACTCGATCAAGCAAATATATCGCCTGAATTAAACATTAAATACATTTTAAACAGCAATAGGCTCCTCCCTCTCCTCAATGGTCCCTGGCTTCGTCTCCGAAAATGTCTCCGGCCAAAGGAACATCTTCTCCTCCTTCGAAGGCGTAGCAGCGGCCATGATAGTCGGCACAGCCTCCTTGCTCGACATTCTCCTCCACAAATTAGCCCTCGGGTTGTATCTAATCGGCTTACCAACACCACCAGTCTTCTCCTGATCCTCCTTAGAGAGTTTCTCAATATCACGCTTGATATCGGCAAAAGTATCAAACGGTGTGTACTTGATGCCGTTCTCAATGCAGTACTCTTCCAGTCGGAGTCCACGGCGCGCGAATAAGACATCCGCTTCCCGTGCTGCGGGGAGGTCTGAGACTCCGTCGCCGATAAAAACGATTAATGGCATCTCGCCAGGTTCGCATTCAGCCTGTGCGGCCAGACGGGCTTCATTTACGGAACGCGCCTTGTCGTGGCCGGATGATGAGTCGTCGTGACGCCAGATGGGCTTCCATTCTGAGCCGTCGGGCTTGATGATTGCGTCGTTTGCGACAATGTCGATTGAGGATGACTAGAAATTGATTTGGATTAGTTTTGGGATAGGTAAGGGAGATCAAGTTGTGTATGTACCTGCTCAGCACCAAGGTATGTGTCCAATACTCTGCGAAGAATGGGCTTCAAGCCTGCGCTGATAACGTTGAATGGGAAGCCGTTTGCGACGCAGTATTGGTGGAACTCGCGGAATCCGGGATCCATTTCGATGGTCTTTTCCATGACGACGAAACCGTCCTCGAAGGGGACGTGGAGGGATGCCCACATGTCCTCTGAGACTTCACGGAAGGATCGTGTGCCTGCATTGATCTCTTCTTCGAGTTTGATGCGGGCTTCTGTGCCGCAACCATGGTGGTCGACGAGGATGTGGCCTGTATCTTGCATGGCGATTGTACCATCAAAGTCTGATTTAGGTTAGTTCAGGGGGTTTTTTGATATGTGATAGGTGGGGACTATACCAGAGAAGATGATGATCTTTCTTTTTTGGCCAGTGGCAGCCGGAGCCGCAGGGTTGAAGTTAGAGTTGGTCATTTTGGATGCTAAACCACGAGAGGAAATTGTTGGGGAAAAAAAGATTGATGAGTAGCGCAGCAGTATATAAATGGTATCGAGAAAAACCTTCTCTGGCCAAGTCACGATATCGACCAATATCTGGTTTTTGTGGCGGGCCAGAACAAGATCTTGTGTATGACGTAGAAGGGTGCGGTATCTTAGTGGGTCCGTGAATTGAGGGGATTGTTGCTGGTGGATGAAAGAACAGGATGCCGAAGATGTGTGATCTGATTGGTGAATTGATAGAGTCGGGACCCGATTATCCGACTGCAAAGTTGGCTTCCGATGCCGACGATCCAATGAAACCGGTGGCTTTGATGCCACCGGTGGGGAAATGCGGTCATAGACAGGAACATTTCCTGGTTAGTCTAACCACGGACATTGAATTTCAGGTATCGAACTGTCATTGGATGAAAATGCTTAAAGGCTAAAATACAGTCCATCGCTATCTAGGTTGCTTTTAACTCCGCAACTCGCCGTTGTAATTCAGGGACCGCTCGTAGTTGCAAGTCAAGCTCTTCTTTCTCACTGAAATGAATTAGTGAATGATCAAATCATACTAGGGGATCGCTTACTCTTCCAATTTCAATCTCCGCTCCCAGTCCAGCCCAGTGAAGATGTAACCACCTTGGCCATCGAATTGCAAAATCTTCTTGTGGTACTTCCACAAGCTGCGGCGATGTGATACTGTCATCAGGGTGATTCCAAGCTTCTTGGCCGTCTCGTACATAACCTTCTCAATTTCCAAAGTGACTGACGATGTGCATTCATCGAGTATGGCGAACTTGGGTCGGTGGTAGAAGAGTCTGGCCATCGCAATGCGCTGCTGTAGGCCACCTGATAATACATCGCGCCACTCCTCCTCGGCGTCCCAGCCGCCGGGGCGATCGACAACAGACGCGATTTCAACCACCGACAGAACCTCATGCAGGTCTGCATCAGTGACACCCTTGGCGCGCATCTCACGTACCCCATCGGGATAGATGACTTGCTGTCGGAGTGTCCCGCGAGACAGATATGGGCGTTGCGGAATGTAAAAGATGTCTTGGAAAGGAGGTTTTTTGACAGATCCTCCGTAGACCGGCCAGAGCCCGCCCAGAATGCGAAACAAGGAGGATTTGCCACACCCGTTAGGTCCGACAATTAAGAGGTGGTCGCCCGGGTGAACAGTGAAAGACAGTTTGCGAATCAGAACGTCGCCATTTGGTGAGACGATCGGTACGTCGGTGAACTCGATGGAATCACTCTCCATAATTTCACCCCGACCGGACAGAACGGCTGCATTCTCCTCAGTTGACGCTGATGACACCAGTTTCTTCTCAAATCGGCCCGCGACCAGGTCATCCATCACCTCTAGCAAGGACGAAACTCGGGCTGTGAAACCTGCCAACTCTGAGATTTCTTTGTAAGAGAACATGAGACGACCAAAAGCGTCAGATGAAGACAACAGCATCCGCCGGTTAGTGACAAAGTCTATTGAAGGTTAGGCGAGGTATGCGACGGGACAGAATCATACTTACTTTCGGTTCGGTCTCCCATGGTCTGAGTGATCTGACCAGGAATCTTGAAAAAGACGGGCACACTGCAGAGGATCAAGCCTAGCGCACCCCAGAAGTATTTGATCACGAAATCTTCCATGAATCCATGGTACAAGCGCCTGCGCAAAATGCGATTCACATGTTTAATCAAAGTAAAGTAGCCCTTGTCGAGGGTGTCTTTCTCGGCCTCATGGCCATGATAGAGAGCGACCTCTTCGCTATAGTCGATAAGCCTAGAGTGAAGGAAACGGAACTCTCCTTCTAGTCGCGCTTCATCCGCAACGTACTTGCCGAACGGTGGTGTCAGCATGCGCATGACGTTAGCCGAGAGCTGTACCAGCAAGCTCATGATGAATAGGCCCTCGCCTCCGACATTCTTTGAGAGAGAGTAGTTATAGATGGCCATGTCCAATATTGGCTTGGCCAGGTTAGAGTACAGCTCTGCCAGGCTGTCAGAGAAACGAGACACGTCGACAGTGACAAGCTGGTCGGGGTTCTTAATTCGGTCATCCAGAGCCGAGATAGCATAAAAGGTCATATTCGACAGGTATTTATCATGAATGTAGTCAGTTAACCGTTTCCGATAACTGAGCGCGAGTTTGCATTGGTGATAGGATAGCTAGAAACGCGACGGGATTAGCGGACTTCCAACGGTCGCACAAGGACTAAACATTAAAGTAAAGTCTTCAGTGGGTATAGACTCACCATAGAATTTGTAAACGTTGCCGGAACAGCCACAATCATCCACCAGAAGAGTCCGAGTAGGAAATCCTTCCCCCTTCCCCGCACGAGGTTGCTCACGAGTCTTCCGTCTAGTTCAGCGACGTACAGGCTGAGGAGTGTCCTCAGCACGAGGAAGACGCTATGGCTCACTAGGAGCCGTAGTTCCTTGCTGCGCCATCCAGGAATTACAATCTTCAGGAGACGAAGCAAGCTCTTGAAGAATTCCCGGTTGATCTCCACCCGTTTCTTGCGGGGTTGTTCCTCGTCGCCCAGGCTACTCGTGCCGGGACGTCTTCGCAGCTCAACCTGGTGAGAAGCTGCCTTTTGCTCGGAGATAGCATTATGAATTCGTTTTGCGAGGGCTGCAAAGAGAGCGAGGTATACACCGCGGGAGATGCGAGTGCGGTGTCGGAGATAGAGGGAGGTGAGGCTGGAGAGGATATGCTTAATGGAGCGGTCAGGCGGCAGCAGTTTAGACTGAACCGCCATGGCGATTTGATAAATCAGGCAGAGACGAGCATGACCTGGGAAGAGTAGACAGTAGAGAGCAGGCAGTAGACAGTACAGAGTAAAGTGTAAAGCGGAGAGGGAGTGACGGAATCCCTTGACATGTGATATCCCGGGGAAGTTGTACCGAGGACTTCCCCGTCTCCACTTCTACCACTATTTCATAATGACTGAACAGTATCTTCATAGTTAGCAGTTTAATACCCATGGCTTAGGATCATGGAAAGTCCAATTATTGTTAATTTAATATTCAAATGTAAAGTTAAAAGCCTCGAATTTTGGAACCCTTGCCCCGATACATGCGCCTATATGGACAGGATAATGTCTGCCGAGTGGGGCCTTCCTGACTGGGCTGCCGCCGTTTTTATGCGGGTGCTCAGGCTCAGGCTTACAGAGTAACCGTTGAGGCGATTGAAAGTTGGTGCTTGGATATTCAAGTGGAGATTGCATTATTATCCGAGTTGAGGCGAAGTGACGGAATTCTTAGCCAGTTTAAGGCAGCGAATAACGGCCATAAGGACAGAACCTTTCTTTTCTATAACCAGTATTCAGTGCTTTTACCACTTTTATACTGTCTTATAATAAAAATACAACGTTTTCTATGGATACTATCATCTAATATCCACCCACCCAGTATTCACCTATATCTCTATAGGGTAGGTATATACAATCAGGGTACCATTATACTAGAGGCTTTCTGTCGCGCAAAAAGCGTAGCGCCTAGTACTTAAATATTAGACTATATCTTCTACTTTATATCCTACTCTATCTCCTACTCAGTCCCCTACTTAGTCTTCTAATCAGTCTCCCACTTAGTCTCCTACTTAGTAATCCATCCATTGTTCTTCTTTCTTTCGTACCAGATTAGTCAAACGGTCAAAGGGCTCTCCAAGTTCATATATAGCGGAATAGAAAAGAAAGAGAAAAAATTAAAGAAGATAAAGTGAAGTAGAAGGAGAAGGTGAAAGGAAGAAAAGTCTGGACAAGGTTTCGAACATGCGTTCAAAAAGTCTGCGGTATACCCAATTCATAAAGGGGTAGATTAGCTTAATAGTATATATGATTTTCTGCTATTTATTGTATGATTTTGAAGGTCCTGCCCCTCATGGCCGCTACTCACCTTTGTAGTAGCGACTGCCGTTTGGTGACAGACTTATTACAGGGGACCATGACGTTCCAGAAGTACGTCGATAAGGGCATATCGCTAAAGCGCTACCTTCTAACTAAACAGATATTTATAGGGGATGGTTTTGCGACTCCTAGCTTCTCCATTACTATCATTTTCCCCTCTTCATATATTTTCATCGTTACTACTTTATTACTATTTTGTTTCCTCTTCCTTTCTTATCTCTTCCACCTTCCTACAACTTTCCTACCTTGACATCCTACATACGTGACCAGACCCTCAAACACACCATCGCGAGAGCACGGGCAAGTATTGATTACTCACTTCCCCGACTATCCTAAACGATCTCTTCCTTTATTCTCCTCTCAGGCATTCTCCCTTTAATTACCTCTCACTCTAGCATTTCTCTCATGGCGAATCGAAGGAGCAGGATCAACCTAACGAGGAACAGTCGACAGCTGCTCTTCTCGCTGCTATGAAGAGCCCTACTTTCACTAAAGTTTCACAAACAGTGATGACCGAATTGATGCCTGAAGTCAAGTCGGACCCACTTCAGCAATCGACACCTTTGAAGCAGGAGGCCAGAGACGACATTTTTGCCGCGCAAAGGCGACGGAGGCGGCTATCTTAAGCCAGATTTCGAATATCTTCTATATGCCAAGAATGCAGTGGTCCGAAAATCTCATCGTCGCAGGGACATTGAGAAGCGGAAGCGGGAAGAAACTACGGGGAGCATTCCCGTGAAACGCCAAGCATTAAATCCTGCAACCAATCCTCAAGGCCAATCAATCACCACGGACAATGACGATGATGACCGGTTGGAAGAATCCAAAGCTCAACGCCTATCCGAGGCAACCAAAACCAATTCCCGAATAAGACCGGCAAGGGTGATAGATATATCGGCGTGATTGATTACTGAGCTTTGGCAGACGGCCTATAGGGGCGAGTTGCAGCCATGAGAACAGAACCTCTTAGATTAGCGCCCAATACTTTGGTATTATATCATATTTCCACTATATCTCCCACTAAGTCTCCTACTTAGTATCCTATCTAGTGTTCTACCTTATTTTATACCATATTAGTCAAATGGTCAAGGGGCTCTCCAAGTTCATATTTGGCGGAATAGAAAAGAGAGAGAAATGATTGCAGAGAAAGGAGTGAAGTCTAAAACTGCTATCTTTCTCATGAATCTATGTTGCCTTATCATACCCCATTCTCTTTGACCTTTCACCTATGCACTGTCACTACTTGCTGGATCGTTGAAACCGAGGGATGTTGCGCTGGCCAACGGGCCGACAACTGCCATCTTCGCTCGGAAGGAAGCCGATATCGACCAAGTACCGTGTGCTCTTATCCAGCGCTTCGATAGTATCTCTTTGATTGAATGCAACGGGCCACTCTACTGGAGGAGGGCCCGTGAACTGCCCCATATTTGCTTCAAACCAATCCAACACAGGTAAGAAAGGGTGGTCCAAGGCATTATTCTCGACGTCAGCCCTTAATGCCATCATCCACTCGCTGTGATCCACGGTCCTGATCAGTCGACCACTATGGCTGCTGAGAATCCTGCACAAAGTCTCAATTGACACCCCATCGTGACAATCCACTGCTTGTTCGCCCTGCGGATTCAGAACACTTTCGACCAAGAGGGAAGTCATTTGTTCAACCCCTGCCACTGGGATATGTAATTTCCGCAGATCACCGCTCACAGTTCCGAGAGACAGAAAACTGTAAGCCAGACGCCACAGGAAGTCTTCGGAATGGGCAATTCCTTCCCATCTCGTGCCTACCAGATATCCTGGATGTACCACTCGTCCCCGCGGCACTGACGGATTCGGCCGTTGGTCGAGCTGGCGATTGTATTTCTCCACCAGCATCCGTGACAGAAACTTGGTTTGATCATACCCACATGCATGAGCGAGATTATTTAAAACTTGTTCTCGAGGTTCTGTTGGCGATGGTAGATACCCCCCGCACACGTATGTGAATGGACACGGTGTTGGCATATTGGACAGGGCCTCCAGGATAATGCGGGTGCTGTCAACATTTGTGGGCTTCAGCGTCGAGAAATCATCCAGCCAGTTGACTCGGGCACCGTTGTGGATGATTCCATCAATGCGCATGTGCCCCGTCAGGTCCGTCCAATGCGCATCGTCAAGCCCCAGCCTTGGAAGACTCAAATCCCCAAGCCATACTTCAATTTGAGAGTCAAATTCAGCACGCCACCACTGACCAAGTTGAGCATGAGCTCGTATCTTTTCTCGGGCTTGCTGTTCACTACCAGACCGCACTAAGCCCACAATGTGTCCCACACTTGGGTTCTCCAACAGTTCCCGGAGCACCTGGCTGCCTAGAAATCCAGTCACCGATGTTGCAAAGATCGTCTTCGTCTTTTGAGCGAGGATCGGTACAGGAACATTGATCAAATTCAATTCACCGAGGAGGTCTCGTGGGCCATCCGATCCGCCACCCGCCCGTCCGAAAAATAGCTGATCAATTTGACACACTGTGATCCCAGGCTGCTGCAGGTCCCGAATCTGAATAGCTCCTCCCAAGCGGCGGCGAATTTCTCTAGAAAGATATGCAGTTTGGATGGAATCCAAACCCACACTGGTCAAAGGAAAGTCCCAACCGCGTAGGCTTTGCCCAGCCGATGGCTGTCTGGTTTCAATGAGGTCTGCAATAATGTTGCTTAGTTCAATGGCATGCGAGTTAGCAGCATCGATTCGGGGCCAGGTATGACTGAGAGTACCTCCAGGCCGAAGCGCCATGGTCTCGGATAGTGTCATGCTCGCCCAATCTGCAATCAACTGTTGCCGGTGAATCTTCTTGGACTCAGTCAGCGGCATAGATTGAACAGGCACGAAGGCGCTGGGAATCATGTATGATGGCAAGAGATTCCGTAAGTCTGCGCTCATCTGGTCTGCTAATGATGAAAATTGGCCATCTTTTTGTTCCACAAAAGCAACTAGCTCCGGGCTAGTATCGTCTTTTTCGCCCCTGGCCAGAATTACTGCAGCCTGTTCATCGCCGTGAAGGCAGTCATGAATGGCCCTTTCGATCTCACCAAGCTCGACACGCATCCCGCAAATCTTGACGAACCCAGCTCGACGACCAGTGAAGATCATTCTCCCGTCAGGCTGCCACCGGGCTAGATCTCCAGTACGGTAGCAATGCGCCCGAAATGGCTTGGTGAGGGTCGAAAGTGATTCCGGTAGAGAGATGAAAGCGTCGTTCTTCTGCGCTGTATCATCCAGGAATCTAGTCGCGAGGTAGGGACTCTGAAGCAGCACTTCACCTTCCACTCCAATCGGTTGCAATCGGTGAATATTGTCTGGATCGACAATCCAACATTTTGCACCAATACCGTGCCCGATTGCTTTTGGATTGTCATTAGGCCCTAAGCTCAACTCGACTGTATCCCAGACTCCACCTTCAGTGAGTCCGTAGATATTGCTCAGTCTGACTTGATCAGCCCAGGTGCTCAAGATCGTTGCGGTGGGTGCTTCGCCCCCAATGTACAAATGCCTCAAGGTCGGTAGGGCTTCCGGTCTTAAGGATGCCACAATGGCAGGAGTCAAAGATGCATCGGTCACCTTGAGTTTATGCATGATCCCCGCAAGGTCCTCAATGCGCTCCTCCTCGGAGGGTATGCAAACAGTGCCTCCGGCGACCCATGGTGCGAATAGCTCACATATGCTAGCATCAAACGAGAATGAGGCGAACTGCAAGAATCTTGTTGAGGAGTCCAGTCCAAATTTCTGGGTGACGGCCTCCAATGACCCAGACACTGCACCGTGCTGATGTACAACCCCCTTTGGCTGCCCTGTGCTGCCGGATGTGAACATTATATAAGCCACTTGGGAAGGGTCCGCATCAAGCTCTTGAGCCCATTCATTGGGAAAGACCTCCAATTTGTCCAGAGATGAGGGCGTTATAATTCGAAATTTGTGAAAGCTATCGTGACCTTTCAGTCTCTCGAGGATGGCGCTCTCCGTCACCAACACTTGAATTCCAGCCTTTCGTGTGATGTATTCCATGCGATCCACGGGAATGGAAGTTGCGATGGGAACATAACCTGCGCCCGCTCGCAAAATGGCTAGAAGCACTATGAGAGATAAGGCAGACTTCTCCACGCAGAACCCGACAATATCCCCCGGTCCCACTCCGTATTCTAGGAGTTTTTGCGCCATCGCGGCAGATCGCCTTCCCAGTTCCTCGTATGCAACATCTCCTGAAGTGCTAGATATGGCAATATGCGTTGGTCGTTTCTGGTACTGCCGATTTACGAGACCATGAATGGTGGTTGCGGGATTTGGTGGATCGACCTCCATCCACTCTCGAAGGCGCAAGCGATCGTAGTTGCTGATGACCTCGATATCTTTGACCATTTTGAAGGGATGGTAAACAAGTGAGTCCAACACCTTTCGCAAACTATCCAGAAGACCGGGCAATTCGAACTGACACGGCCTCTCACGGCGGCTATACAAATTGAGGATGACGTTGTCTTGTTGGGTCCGCTTAGCCACCAGAAAAAGACATATCTGGTAAGGTCAGCACTGACCCTGACCCCTTTCTGGAATAGACTTACCTCTGACGCCTTTCCTAGGTCTAATATGTCCTGTTTACACTCATCCGTCGGTATATCTTCAGCGTTCGCGAGCCAAACGGCATAACGGTCCGAATTATCACTGTGTCTTTGGTCTGAGGCCGACAGGCTATCTGCTCGTTGGTATAGAGCCTCTTGAAGATCCAACGCACTCCATTCTGACTGCAGGTGAACGGAGATCGACTCCGGCTCGCCAACCTCACTGGGGGACCGTTGAGTCCATGTCCCGCCGAATCTCAGAAATGAAACTGGATCAAGGCTATAATAGCTCTTCAACAACACCGTCCAGGCAGCCAAAACGGCACATTCGGCTCTCGCGCACGTTAGTGGGAGAAGTACAGAGATTGGACCAGCGGAAAGTACATCCGACGAGAGCTTTTTTCTTGTCAGGTTGTCAGGACATTCGGACGGTTCCTGCCCATTCAACAGAGCAGGATCAAAATGCATAGTCGTCAATCAAACGAGTCTTTCTAAGAGTTGCAGGTGTATAATCGAAATCCCATGTTCATGCTTTGGGATAACCTCTTTATACCATACCTTCGCCACCTGCTATACCGCTCTTTGGGGGTGATAGGATATAACCCTGCAGCAAGGGTGTTAGAAATTGGCGCATACAGAACACACCCAGCAGTCGCGGCCTTCTTGAACACGACAATTGCATGAGCAATTTCTCTTTGTGGGTACTGATGCCAGAATACAGACCGTATTTCCTGATTCAGGTGGACTGGGTTCCTGCCCTTGACGCAATGCACCAGCTTCAACTTAGGATAAGGTTTACACTCCTAGGTCATGTTATAGCGAAAAAAGGGAGGCGAACCGATCCACTCCTTCGTTCATTCGATAAACAGGACAAGTGGATGATGGTCATCTGCATGTTCCATTTCTGGTGAGCCAGAGTCTCTCCACAACGGATACCACGTCGCTTCGAGTCTCTAGACATTCAAGTAGCATGTTCTAGGAAAAAAAAATTTCCTGCCTAAACCTGAAGAATCTCATATCTGGTCAGATTGATCTCGTGACTATCTTTGTATCAATCATCGCACGTGGATTTAATCATACATGATTTGCAGAGCATCATCTCGCCCAGGTGCAGGATCTCTCCCATCGATCGATCAATTGTAGATCATCGGTATCTTACTACGGCAGGTACATACATGCATAGTTCGTAACTGATTGTCCTCGTTTAGGCATATCAGTGAATGAATCAGATGCAGTGTGTATGATAGGTACGGACATGAACGTCATCCATGCACACCAAAACCTGTTCCCATCAAAGAACAGGTCTTGGGCATGTATTGGATCAAAATACCACCAAAATCGAAAAAAAAAAAAACAAAAAAAAAACAAAAGAATTGACCCACTTAGATCTGTATCCACTTCAATGCATGCACATCATCGAATTTTAAGTTTGGTGAATGAACACGCCCCCCCCTCGCAGGTTAGCTGCACGACTGCATAAGCTCACGGTAACACCTCTATGTAAGTATACTGACTTATATGCTTGATTTGATAAAGTTCACGAGAAATGTTGGTCATGTTACAATTGAACCTCTGTTGCAAGTTGACTACACCGCTACACCGCTGCTTGAATCACATCGCTATGTAAGTATGTTAACGCAAGGCTATGCATTATTCATTGCGATCACCCAAAAGAGAACAGGAAGTTTGACCGAGAAATAAACTCTATCGGCGTTTTTGCCGTCCCTACAAACCTGATATCTAGATGCATGAAGATGAGAGATGGGAATGACTTGTTTGTCAGCATTTGACTTCTGTTTATATAAATGGGCCATTTCCCACAGGATTCATTCTAGACATCATTTCATATCTTCATATCTTCATATTACACTTCTCTGTAATATTCCACACCGATATTCGGCTTTCCTGGCATCGTGACAAGCTTTCATTTTGCCATCATTCGCTCAGCTATCATGGGCACCACTGTTGTCGGTGAGAAAACTTTGGAACTTCTCCGAACTCGTCTTTTGGACGCAGTTAGGAAGGAAGCAGCGGCACTCGTGGCGGACAATTTTGGGAGCCCCGAAGATATTGATAGGAACTTCAAGTCCCTGTTCCAGGCAGAGCTGGGTCCCCACGAGATCGCCAGTCCGGATCGAACCACACTCTGCAACGACAAAGGCAACGCCTATGATGTGGTTGCGCATAATCCAATCAGCTGTCTAGCTCCGAAAAGAGCCGATGACCTCACCCAGTCCTCTTATGACAATCTCGTCGGTGTTTGGAGGGTGTTAGAATACAGCATGCTCGACACATCGAATCGAAACGAGAAGATTCATCCATGGGGAACCGTTCTCGACGGGCAGATCATCTTTTCTCAAGATGGATACGTGAATGCCCTTGTTACGATCCCAGGACAGGCTCCATTTGGAGGGGATGTGCCCTGGACTGCAGGCACGGCAGCTGAACTAGCAGAATCAGCAAAGAGATCTTGTTCCTACAGTGGGAAGTTCTTTGTTGAAAGGACACCCATTGGACCAACCCTGGTTTACGACCTTGAGCTTTGCAATTACCCTGTTTTTCGTGGACAAAAGTTCCGAGTGTTCCTCGACTTTGTGAAGAAGGACAACCAGCAATTCCTCGTCACGACATTGACATCCAATGATTCAACGAGGCAGAAGCAGGAGGTTTTCCGCAAGATGTAAGGGCACACGCGCGCGGTTGCTTATGAATCGAGTGACGATGCTCGGTGTATCCACTTCTATTCTAGTTGATGCCAGTTCCCAGTTGGCCTATCAAGGCTATCAATTATGGCAGCTCGTCTTTTTCGGACCTTCTCTCCCAATTCATTTCTGTGCGCGTTGCTGAATTCATCCATCCAAATTGCCAAGAATATGTAACTAGAGCAACACATGGTCAAAATCTCATACCAATGTCAGTCTCTACTTAAATAATGCGAATCTCGCTACCGGATGTTATATCATGCTACGAAATATCCAAAAACCCAAAAGAGTTCATCTAAAGCTGTTGAAATTTTACTACCCACACTGAGAAGCTACTCACGCTGCGAAGCTACAGACACTAGGGTACGTATGTACCAACAAGTTTAGGGGGTTCTGCATTATTAGAGAGGGAGGGGATGTTTCGCTAGAATGCCGCTCTATGATTGGCCTATGGCAAGTCTTTGTTTTTAAACCATTTAGTTAGGTTCTATTGACATATTTTCATGCATTTCCTTGCTATACATTCAATTGATACTATATGTGTGTATATTCTTCTTTTAACTTCAGAGACCATGCCTAGTCTTTAAGGAGGAATGGATTTCCACCTAAAGATCCCGACAGATGATAATCCCAATATTAGTTGAAATGAATAGCAAGTGCGTTTGCATTGAATTATTAATACTATGATCACAATTAGTTATTTTTATAGGGAGCATGAGTATATAGGAGTAAGCTTTATAACTTAAGATACATATAGCTAAGTAGATATTGAGATGCCCGTTCCTGTTGAGATTAGAAGTTCCTAGACAGGTCCGAACCGGCTACTAAATTTCTGATTAGGCAAGCTACAGATACAGGGCACCAACATAACGAACCTAAGTCGTGCATGAATTACAAGAGGTAATCTAGAGTGTAAGTTTTCAGGCCTATATCTTTAATTAGGGCCTACCCAGGAGCAATACCATACAGCATGGCGTTATAAAAGCGGTCTAGATCTTACGCAATCAGGCATCAAACCCTATGAAAATGGAAGGGGAGTTTCGTATGGCAGCCATACCACTGCGTACATCACCGACTACCGATACTCAACATATGAAACGCTGGTAAACTAGGGGTGGCCACATCAACAATAAGTTAGTGAAGAAACTAGGGTTCACATGAGTGGTGGACTTTGTTCCTTGATGTTTGATGCTCCCTTGCATCACTGAAGTATAAACGATGCGCAATTGATGAGTGAGCTCGAGGTACATTAGCGCGTGTGCACCAGTTTGGTTCTTTGTATTGGTAATCAGACCCAGTATCTTGGTCGGCACATTCCAGGATATTGAATACCTTCGATCTAGGGGGAATTCGGGTATTATTCTTCCTGCCAGATCTAATTCGGGCACATGGGCATCAGTTCCCATCAAAAACCGGTTTTTTGTACCGCAAGGCAGCCATACCGCTGCGTATTATGTGACACAGTAAGACAACGTACAGGTATATGTGATTTGCAGATCTCCGAGTCTCGATCGAAGTTTTAAGTTTCGGGCTGTGGTACCTGATCCACCCGTACTGCAGAACACAATATGCACCCAACAAACTATAAGCGGACTATAGGTGCACCCCTAACATCTCGATAAGGTTTGTTTTTAATAACATAATTTCAACTTGAATGAATAGAAGATTACCATTCACCATAGGTATCTGCATAGGTCTCCGTGGGCAGATTGTATTAGAGAACAATCCAATGATACCAAGCTATAATGCAACCCACAACATCAAGAGGTGGCACCTTTACGCGAATTTGAAATGATGATTTGAGTCTTCCAGTTTTCACACCTGATCTAGAACCACTTCAGAGTCTACTCGTGCCCCTTGGTGCAGTCAATGGACACGATCATGACGTATCTACTAAATACCATTCCTTCCAAGGTCTCCACCAGTGCTCCTTCTACTGAATAGGCAGTTACAGTAAGAACTCTCTTGTGGATCAAGCAACCATGCCCTCTCCTCTATGGGCAATAAAAGGGAGCAAAGGTTGGAAGCCCATCACTTGACCTCGAGTCTATATCATGGTTGCAGTTTGTAAATCGGTATGGTGGCTTATAAAGTCATTCTTGGCTAGTCAATATCAGTAATTAGCTAATGCACCCATCATGTACTCTGATTTCGTTGTAAACCCGCTCTAGATTCTGCGAACAGAAAATTTCTCCTGCGAGGAGTCTTCCAACTTGGTCCCATTTGGGCTGATGCACATTCTTTCCAACGTTATCTTTTCCATTACATCTCCTTAACTTAGCTGTAAGGGAGGGTAATGGATCACATGTCCTAGCCAATTTAGCTGGGTTCTAGTTCGATGTTCCATGTTTGCGATAGCCCATAAACAATTTTTGCGATGTCGAGTAATGCATGCATGATGTGGTTGAGAAATCGGTAGATATTAGCGTCTGCGAAGCTTTACACTCGAAATTATTATAAAGGCTTGGTCGATCCGAACCATTTGGAACTCAAATATCTGTTATCACTCAATATCTTACAATTCAGCATCAAGATGCTTCCTACCACCACCAATGACAGAAAATCCGGAAGCGGCCTCACCAACAAAAGATGGCTATTGTGCATCGGTATATGTGGCAGTCTCTCAGCTGTCTTTCTCATAATCGGTCTCGCTACCTCGAGAAATATACCCCCAACAAGACCATGGTGGGATGCCGAAACGGTCAAGACCCATTATTCAACATATCGGAAAGGCACTCAAGCTGGAAGTATCTTCTTCTTCGTGTCCGGTGCCCTGTTCCTCCCTTACTCCGCTGCAATCACCAGTCAGCTTCGACTTATCCCCGACCTCAATCCAGCCATTGCAGATCTTCAGCTAGCCAGCGCGACAGCCGGTGTCTGGTTCTGGATGATATCAGCGATCTTCATGTCACTGTTGAGCTTCCGTGACTACAGCGCTGAATTGGTACAATTGCTCAATGATGCCATGTGGATGTCACTTCTGCTGAACTGGCCCATCTTTTGGATGCAGTTTTGGACCATTGCTTGGGCAATTTTCGCAGACCGTAGCGCCAACCCGGTGTTTCCAAAGATTATGGGATGGGTCAATTTTATTGCTCCATTGGTGCTTGTGCTGGGGTCGGGGGTTCACATGCACCATACCGGCCCTTTGGCCTGGAATGGTGGGTTGGTGTTTTGGCCCACCGTTGTTATTTTTGGAGTGGAGATGAATTGCTCTTGTTGGTATATGATACGGAATATTCTACGGGACCGGTACTAAAAGGTAGATTTCGAGGGTCTACCGTGTTGGCGGCCTTTGCGAGAGGATCGTAACTTTAACGAGCTTGTGCTCAGTGTGCCGGAAGATATTGGGAGGCGATATGTATGTGATTGGATTTTGCTTTTGCCAGCTCGTCATAAGACTCTTCAAATCGCCATTGACTGGAGCAGGTCTCTATAGACGTTGTGTCCGTCTTGTAACTCCCGATGCTTATGAGGTATTGGGATGCTGTTATGATTACAGCCGTGATCCTTTGTTTCAGATCTACAAAACTAGTTTATAATTGCGCTCAATTTGATATTTGTTTGGCTTACTTGATTGCTTGACTATGCACTGACTTTTGCTATGCTGCTGTATATTTTCCTACATCTTGAAAAGGACTAACCACATAATGTTTATCAAACCATTCTTCAAGATGACCGTGGAGTGAGCTGGCTGACCCCTCGAGCCAAATCAAAAGTAAAGCGTTTTACCCAACCCTTCGTAGCTCGTTGAAAAGACCCCAGAGTTATGTTGAACTCATACTGGGTCCATGATACCGCAACTTATTGTCCTATGGGACCGCACACCTCTATATGACTTTCGTTGCATGGGTCACAGAGTAAAACTGGCAGGGTTTAGTACTAGAAGGCATAATTGTTTCCTCATAAAGATCTTTCCACTCAGCGAGTAAACTTCCACATCGATCCTGATTTTTCACAGGACATACATATTCCAAGCAACCGTCAAATGGCAAAATTGCATGAGATCAGCATCGCATTGGGGATTATTCGAACTGGGAGTCATCAAGCAAGGGCATGATGTCCAGGTGATACTCGCAGGAAATGATAATACCAAACTTAAATGTTGATCATGTCTTCAAGCAAACTGCACGTAAGTGGGTTGTGCAGCCGATTTTTTTTCTTGCAAAGTTTGTTGAGCTATGGGCTTATGCACGGCGTGATGGTTATTTGAAATGCCTCTTTCAGCAAGATGCGGTGAGTAAAGCGACGTCAAGGCAAGGCAGGTGGCAATTGCCCTGATTATGTTGTTGGTACAAGGTTTACATCCACTGTCCAATATGCCAAGCACTCGGTTCCTATATAAGCAGCCTTTTCTCTTGGTCTAAGAGCTCTCCAAAGCATCAGCAAAGGACTGGATCCATCACTTTCAACTTTTTTTTCAACATCTCCTCGCCGGAAGCACCGTGACTGTTGTTTCCTCACACTCGAAATCTCAACATTCACCCACCACAGAAACAGAATATGGCTCAGCAGATATATAATGAATTTGCTGCTCCCAATTCCCTCCCATCATTTTTGAAGGACTCGAGTCAAGAATTATTACCAGCTCGCGCTGCTAGAATAGCACCCGCTCGCGCTGCTAATTCTTGCCTCGATGTTTTCCAACAAGCGGAAACGCCCGAGTTCTTTCGATCCGTAGCAGAGGCTATGCAGCTGCGACAGCATTATCTACGTGATGGCTGTATCTTCATCAAAGGAGAGGATTTGATCCCTATTTTGAAGGGGATTGGGGCCAGAGAAGAGGATTTCGAAAAGCTCAAGAAGGTTAGCCACCATTTGGACCCAGACCCAACAGTGAACTATCGAACTTTGAGAAGCGGAAGGTTCTCAGTGGATACGAGAGCTGGAACCATTGAAAGACTCGAAAGGCAGCCCTTTATCCTGACAACGGTCGAGAATTACAAACGTCACGACTCCGACGTTCCTCGTGATTTTGGGGACTTTGACGAGAATCACCAAGACAACACCGCTATCCAGGCTTTGGTCATTTTTAAAGCCTGGGTCACTCAAAACGTCCCCGTACTGGCTCGTCCCGGTCTGGACTACGAGAAGGACACAGTACTTACGGAGATCTTCAACGTGCATACTTTTACCGATGAAGGGATTCAAGGATACCCGGCTCTAGAGGGCGTGCACCAGGACGGATCCGATCATACTATGACTGTGATCCTGGGAGCTTCCAACATTACTTCTGACTCTGGGATTACTTTCGTGCATGCTCGGGATGAGACAACGGGTGTCCAATTTTCCGAAACGAGGATGGATCTCCTCAAAGGCCGATATCAGCACCGGGACTTCCTGGACACGTTGCTTTTTGCAGACAATAGTACCAAGCATAGTGTGACTCCGGTGTATGCACTAGACCCAAGTCAGCCGTCGTACAGAGACATGTTCGTTATATTCTCTCGGAAGCCCAGAAGTGCAATTCATTCGTCTGGACTTCCAGACTCCTTGGAACCACACAAAAAATTCAAACTAAAGTTCCCAATCTGGCTTCCCCCTCTCCAAGGGTCTCACACGAATGGTCAACCACATCTCAGGAAACAAAACATCCCTTTTCAGAAGAACAGCTTTTCTTCACTCATGTCTCACAGTAGTGAGATGGTGTCTTCTCTGGATGGAAAGATGAAACAACTTACTCTTTTTGCTTCTTGATTTGACTACGTTGCTGTTGACGGAATTGGTTATATGATTCGTGTCTACCTTAGCTCGGTCTAGTTCTTAGTTTCGTTCACTCGAAATGTATTTCGGTTTCTTCAAACTCTCCATAGTATTATTGAGGCACGATAGCACATAGTTCGGCGTTGGTCGAGCCCAATGCCTGATTCGAAAACCGGGACTTGAGACCCTTGGGCATGGAGTCAGTGTAGCAAGTAAACCTATCCTTGCGTTTGGCCATGTGACCGGTAGTAAATTTATTATGTTTACAGAGCCCGCTTCATTTTCTCTTCTAGACATTTTTGCGTCAAAATGAATTTGTTGTCTTGCGATGTGAGTACTCTTTGTTTTTGTTTCTTACCACTATATCTTGTCCTTATCTCGCCCACTATGTGTCTTCTCTTTCTTTCTCTCGCATTGCTTCGATGTTATAATTTGATCTCTCAAATACTACGGGATTACTGTTGAGAAGTCTCATAAAATGCAAATACAAACCTCATATCGGCATCGTGAAGTACCATACAGTCCCTATGGGCCTGTTAAAGGACCTCGAAACCTCACCAAAATCGAAGACTCGGAGAAGCTCGGGAAAAAAAAGGTCTCACCTTTGTCCTGGATGATATATGTTCTCTCTCTTCAAACGATGGAGAGTACAGTACATTGAAGAAGAACTTTGAATGTCAAGGTCAATGTGAAGATAAAGTCAAGTCCAGGCGCTGCTTTTTCTAGTATAGCACACCAATAGGTGATTGTTGTTACAACTCAGAATGCATAAACATGTAATATTCAGCGAGACTACGAAACTGAGGAAGAAACTAAGTTCCGGGCGCCACGAATTGGATATACAACCCTCGTGTGCGACGCTGGCGAGCTCCATGCGTCACAATTGCCATCATGATACTACTTACAGCTCTACCTTGGTATTCATGTCAAGGTATGAATCTCGCATTAAGTACTATTCTTCTCTTGATCAATAAATCTCGTGCATCGGGTGTCCAGGTTGCGCAACACAAGGGATCTATAATAGATCCAAACGAAACTGTATCACGTTACTATCATTGGTGTGAACCTCTTCTCAGTATCTGAATCATAGCAGAAATATCTTCGAGCCCCTTTCCCGATTCGGTCGCTTTCCTCAAAAGAGTATGAAAACCCTCGAATAGGCAATCAGACACACCGGAGGTCTCCGCCGTCTCACGAGCGTCGGAAACCAGCCCCAGCATTTGGCCGACAGATACTGATTCACCAGACATTAAGTGGGACTGATCCTGGTCGCGTTTGGCCATCTGTGGCAACATATCTTGGAACAGCGGCAGCAGGGGCAGAACTACCTGTCGCGTGAAATCCACTGTATCGACTCCTGCCGCTCCAGCCAGAGCCAGAGATTGAAGGAATCCCACACACAGTCCTGCCACCATTGAAAGAGCAGCATTCTCCAGCATACAAATCTTCCTGTGGTCGTCTGACAGCCACTGTGCCTTGCCCAGGACCTTGCAAATATGCTTCTGCTTTGCGAATACGGAACTCGGTCCGCTGTAAGTGACTGTCGCCTGCTGATCTTCCACATCCGAGGGAATGGAGTTGATCCAGCCGTGCAGATACCCCGAAGCACAGAGTTTATTGGTCACAATATCTGCGGTCTCGATCTCCCATTGTGGCCGACTTGTTGTAAAATTTATGACGGTGCGGTCACGGAGGGTCGGGATTCTGCTAACAACATCTCGAACAACCTCGTCTGAGGCCAGAGAGATTAGCACGACAGTGCCGGACTGCACACAATCGGCTGGAGATTTGGCCACCCGGGCACCTTTTGGAATAAGAGGTTGCGCCTTCTCGATTGTTCGATTCCAGACGGTCACCGGGTGGCCATTGCCAAGAAACACGGAAGCAAGAGCAGCTCCCATGCTTCCCAGGCCAAGGACTGACATCGGTTCGGGTGTAAAAGCCATCGCGAACGAATGATGTCTCAACCTGTCAGTATAACAAGGGAGAGAAAGCAATGTGAATGAATGGGAAGTCCAAAGACGGTAGCCGAAAGCTCTCTTCATAAGTCATGCGAAACAAAGTATGATCATCTGATAGAGTCCGGCTGGTTCAAAAAGTCGCTGGCCCCTTGCAGTACCTCGCGGGAAATGATCGAAAATGTCAAGTAATGCAAAATTTACTATATATCTGTCTTTCTTTTGCTTTTTCTTTTCTTTTTTTGGACATGCTAGATGTCTAATTGAACTTATGTCGCAAGCTTCCTGGACTATACACTGCGGGAGGTAATACTCTCGGGTTCAAAGCTCAAAATGGACATCATTTTTGGTCTTACGAGTAAGTTTATGCCATACCGAGGACGGTTTTGCGATGAATCGCTCACTGTTGATTTCATCATCTCTGCCACCCTTGCGTGTTTCCCCGGCGTTGCCCTCGTATCTCGCTGCCACGTTAATTGCCGACTCACAAGTTGTGAGTCACAAGTGCAACACTCTCTTGGAAGTCGCTCTTCAGAATTCCTGTTGAGTTTAGTGTTCACGATCAGCCTGCAAGCGTGATATGGAAATGCACCTAATGCCTTGCGAAGAGAATTCGTGGCGGTGTATACATGCAAGGGGTAGAAGGGAATCGAGCACGATTCATTCCTTGGACGCGCAGACAACAGGCGTGAATGATGCCCCCCAAGTCAGCCCGACGTAGTGCTTCACAACGCGGTGATGGATATCCAGACACAGTAACTTAGCCCACTAGCCATCGCCGGCCGGAATACGGCTAGATTAGGTAGTGGGCTACTATCGGCATTGCTACGGGCGGTGTTGAAGTGCTTCGCGATTCTAAAGATGAGTTAAAGCTATATTTGTCACCCTCCACTGAATTGTCACTATCTATTTTTTTGACCTTTTCTAGCGTCGTACCTTCTGTACCTTTTATATAAAGTGTTTTCCCATCATCTCTTATGACGTATTCCTCGAAATCCTTGATTTTAAGGTTTCTGTCCGATCTTTGTGGAATTGAGACCGAATCCTATATAGCGGCTCGGCTTCTTTAGGACCTAATTTAGGTCTAAGATATAAACCTAAGACCTAACTCGGAGATGTTTTCGAAGCGGGAAAGGAATCCCTGATGACGTAGCTCATTAAGCTGATAGTTGCAAGAGCTGAGATTTGGAACATACAATGCGGAGATTTCTATTGCTATATTCATGGTATCTTGTGTCGTGGTAGCCTCCCGCTTAAAATACGCGATTTTAAGTCCACGAAGGCACCAAAGGAATTCCAATCTGAGTCGCGCAGAGAGTCTTCGATGAAATGACTTATCCATTCTTTGTACACCGCCTGGAATCTTGCGCAGGCATGTTGGGTTGTCCGAGTTGCCATTTGAAGGTGAAGATGGACTTCATGGCTGAGCTTGTAAGAATTCGGTTTGTTAAAAGTTGATATAAACCTCCCTAATTGTTGATGGTGACAGTAGATGAAAAAGATGTTTAGTAGCTTCAGTCTTTTAGCTGTATCAGTGACTTCCAAAAAGGCACTGATACTATACTGTGCCGCTTCTGCAGATTCTGTAGCGGAAGTGCTGATATTTGTTGATTCAGCCAATTTGATCAGGCTAGGATCAGGCTTAGTGAACAATCTTCAAAAACCGAGATCTGAGAGAAAACTACAGTATTATCGGAGCGTGGCGTTTAAGAAATTTGTGATGAACAGAATGTGACATCTGGACCACTGTTTAGTTTATTCGAGAGAGGGCGACGGACAACTCAATTATATAAATACTTTGAAAGAACGCCCCTTTTCTAACACGTTGGTAAGTTATCTAAGGGATCCTAAGCGGCCTAAATTCCTAGAATCTATTCGATTATGAACGAATAGGAAATAGTCAAGGAATTAGACTTCACATCTAAGAACTTTCATCAGTCTAGCAGGATCCTAGGAGCTAGAAGTTCGGAACCTCACAAAAGGATGCAATTACCTATAGATACATAAATTTATAAATACTAAGAGTGGTTTCGCCATTCAAATCCCATAAATATTATCACCATTGGGCATATCACCAGAACATTCTGCAAGTGTCCAAGCGGATCCATCTAATTCCCGCAATATTAGTCACCACGACCCAATTAGAAGGTCATGGTGGTACTAGAAGCAATATTCCTAGTGGCATATAGTATGAAACGTAATACTGATTGATTGATTAGGTAGCAGGCTTCATTGTGGCGCTTAGCCGCAATAAGATTACCTGGATGCATGGTAATATTGATGATGCCAGTCCTTTCTTGAAGGATTGGGGGCAATTTAATGATGGAAGGTGGCACACGTAAGCCGGGCTAGCGGAGAGCATTTTATTGAGGTCGATTCGTGGGACTGCTCACCCGGACGCTCAGATTTTGCTCAGAGGCGTGCTCAGATCTGCTCAGTGAGCAAAAAGCGGCAAAGTCCGAGCACTTAAACAGAAAGGGAACCAAGAAGTGGCCGAGGAAATCCGGTACATAGGTCGTTCTGATTAAAATCATCTTAGAACAGAGGCTACATATGGGGGTTCCAGACTCTCATCATAAGAACAAGGAAGGGAGGGATATAGAAACAGTGCTGGGGATGGGTATGACTGGAATCAAGAAACCAAAATGGTAAAGGGTAGGAGTATGTACAAAGACTGCGCTTGTGAAATATCAAAAAAGACATGACAGAATTCATTCGTATAGATATGGGATGACAGCACGTCATGGAAGCGTATTGCTCTCAGAGGATGAGGATCCCCGGCGCAGACCACTATTAATCTGAGCGGCGATTTGAGATTGTTTGAATTTTTCGAATCCCTCAACGTCCTGACGCTGGGCGATCCAGAGCTCATCAAGATTACTGCCGAGTTTCTCAAAGGCTTCTCCATTGTCAAAGGGTGATTGAGACTGCTCCTCGTGGAGGCGCTCAAGTTTCTCTCGTAGAGCATCGAGGTGTGAGCTGTCTTCGTTTTCGCCTTGCCGATCGGGGGTTTTCAGAAAATCGCGGCGCAGGTTTTGACCTAGGCGATGGACATGGCCTTCTTCAGATGTCATGGCACGGGCATGCAGCGAGGTCATCGAGCTGGATCGGGAAAGGTGGAAACCGAATTGATCGGCTTCTTCATCGTCAACAGCATTGTCATTATCCATAAAGCTGCTGCTGAGGTTGATGGCACTTGAACCAGTTCCATCCTCGCCGGAGTGCTGTGAGCCGTTGTCTGGCACAGCAGACACGGGCAGAGGGAAAGAAGGTAGACGAGTTTCAGGATACTCATCTTCAAAGCGCTGGATCATTTTGTGTAATGTAACATCCAAGAACTGGAGACGTCCTGTGGTAGAAGTTAGCAGCTGGAATAGTGATAACGCCAAGGTTAAAAGCTTACTGTAATTAGCATCGTTACCAGCCCGGTCTTCGCGAATAAGAGCTGACTGAATCCGAGCTCGGATGTTGCGTGCGGACTCCAGCAGATTCTTCGCCATATCGCGAGGCCTCTTAGCAACCAGCCCTCTGGACTTCCGACGTCGAGGGGTCGTAGTGCCACTTGCAGGTGCTGAATCCCCCGGAATATCACTACCATGATGATCAAGGTTTCCGAGACAGACACTTAATGCCTTGACCACACCTGTACCGCCAATGACGTAGTCCTCGTCTGGAGCGGCATCATCCTCTTCATCACATGGCTCGTCCATGCCCAAGGAATGTCCGACAATGTGCTGCAGGATCTCTGGGATTGGAACGTCCTGCGATACATGTATTTCAGAGAGTTCCTCTCCAATGGCAGAACCTTCCAGATTTCGAAGAGAATAGGCAACGATCTGGGATGCTATTGCCTTTACAACTTCGTTGTTTTCGGCGGTGGGGACTTCAATGTCCACTGCGATGATTGTGCCCGAAACGCGGACAGCGGCCATCATAGAAGCATAGACAGCACAAGCCTCTTCCTGACCAGCAGGGTCTATAGCAGAGGCCAGCGATGCAATCTGCGGGTTCTCCAGTATATTCAAATGGCAAAGGCTAGGGCATTCTGGCAGCACCTCCGCAAGACCAATGGCATGATCGGGAGACAGATTGACATCAGCGAGATGAATACGCTTGAGAGAGGGCATCTTGGGCAAGAAGCGCCGGAATGCTCCAAGGGCGCTGGGCTGCATTGAAAACAGGTCGGGGTTATGAGAGAAATCAATGAAGCGGAGATTGTGGATCTGAGTAAGGGCTTGCAGCAACGGAAAGATCACAGAAGCATCTAAGGAGCAATCGGCCAGACTGAGAGCGTATAGTGGCTGTTCAGGTTCAACAGCATTCGTAATAAGGTCAATGTCGTCTTTGATAGGGTTTCCTCCCAGGTCCAACCCCTCACATTGACCAGCTTTGACATACTCAACCACATGTACTAAACCTTCTCGAGTGAGATCGTTGTTTGCAATGCCCAGCCTCCGCAGTCCTAGTTTGGTAGATGCCTCGCAAATTCGCTTGACCTGTTCAACAGAAAGCTTGCATTCACTCATGAGTAGCTCCTCGAGATGATCGCCGCTGAACCTTTCTGCCATCGCACACGCAAACGTATCGCAGGCATCTGTGACCGTGCTTTGGGCTGATTTGTCACTTGGTGTCCGAGGCTTGGGGAAAGGAATACCGGAAAGGTCAATCGCCCTCAAGGACCTGGACAGGTGAACGAAGAGGCCAATGTGGCGCCATCCCTCTCGACCAATCTTCGGATTGTCCTTGAGCGACAGCTTCTCCACTACGCCCCAGCGTTCATACTTGACAGAGGGCGATTCACACCTGCGATTTCGCTTTCGCCGATAACGCATCTGTTCCACAGTCTTTGTCGAAAGCAATGCAGCAAGAATCGCCCGGATCGAGACGTCTGTCAATGCACAATTTTCCAGAAGAAGCTTACGAACAGGCACCACGGCAAGCCAATCACTCAACGTCACGATGTCTTGAGGCGTCATTGGAAAGTTACTGAGATCCAGAGCGGCAACGGTACCAGGCGATTCAGCCAGGGTGGAGGACGGCGAAGAAATTTCATCGATCACCCGCTTAAGGACAGGGGTCTCCCTCAACTGGCAGCAGCGGCGATAGATGCGGGCGGGGTCTGTTGTAGGATGGCTCTGTGTCTTGGAACGCGAGGAGCCAGACTTTGACGCACGGCAATCTTCCTCGTCCAGTTCGGCATCTATTTGAAGTGGGATCGTTCCGTTCGCCACAGCTAGTCTGCGCTTACGCTCTTTGCGCTCCTTTCGTTCTTCCTCAGACCGTTTCTTCTTTTCTTGCTTGCGAGTCGGGTCTTTCTTTTCAGTATTCTTTTCGACATTCACTTCGCCCTCGGTGGTAGGCTTCGCAGCAACAGAATCGGGAGCGGAAACCTCGAGCTGAGTATCCGGAGACCTATTTGCTTGATCAGGTGCTGGAGATGAAGGAGCTGCTGGGGTCGCTGGGGTCGCTTGGGTCGCTGGGGTCGAAGCTGGTGTCTCTTTCTCGGCTACTGCGGCTTCTGGGTGCTTTAGTGCTTCGGCCTCCCCTTTTCCCTTTTCTTTATCTTGTGCCTTAGTATCTGTCTCACTTTCTGGCTTGGGTTCAGCTTTCGCTTCAGCCTTCTTCATCTTCTGGCGATTAGACTCTGGCAAATGCTGTCGTAGTTGATTTGTAGGAGGTGCGTCTTCATCAGAGTCCCGATGCGATATCCCGGCGATTTCAACATCCACACAGAATGCCACCCTATTCAGCTTCGCTTGGTTCAGATCTGCAATTTTACACCGCTCGCGGCCCTGGTCGAGGTTCATCACTCGGCGCGGACATGTTGCGGCATTTGCCGGCAGCTTGGGCAACCCACCAGAGTTAGACGAAAACTTGCGCAGTGCACTGTGGATGAAGGAAGGTCCTTTCGGCGAGGAGGAAGTGAATGGATTTGGATCATCTTTCTTTTCCTCTTCCTTGTCTTTCGGGGAGAATGCAGCGCCGAACGGGTTATGGTCGAGAGGTCCAGTGGCCTTCGGACTTGCCGGGCTTCCTTTCAGACTAGACTGCGATGGTGGAGTGGATCCAGAGGAGAACTTGGAGCTCAAGCTGGAGATCCATGAGTTTCTGCGCCCACTGACAGGCTTGGGCGTAGTCTTCTGTGGCGCCGGCGAGGGGGTAGATGGTTTCTGCACAGCGGGCTTTTCTGCTTCTTGAACCGGTTTTCCTTCTCGAATCACTGCATTCTGCGGCTCGTGCTTTGGTGTTGTGCCACTCGAAGATGGTGGACGAGCCGGGCTGCTATTCGATCGGGATCGTCGGTACGGCCTGGATGGGTTTGTGGAGTCCTTGTCGCTCGACTTGTCGTCGCTGACCCCTGAGGATACTGATTTCGTACGCGATAGATGATCTGAGAAGACTCGAAGTTAGCCTCACACTTAAACAGCACCTGATGTTCTGGATCTTGTTCTTTCTCCCCCCTCTTTTGCCCCAGATTCGGTCAACCCGTATCAGCGCATCAATAAAATGTAACTTACCTTTCTGCGTATGATGAAGCCAGCTCACATCCACAGTTTGAACACCTTCCATATTGATCCTTTTCTTCGAGATCACTTCCAGTGTTGAGAGTTCCTGGGTTGGTCGAGGCCCTTCGTCCGGGGGTGGCCAGTCGTGTGGCGCAGAATTATCGAATGATGGGGTAGGTCTTAGTTCGAATGACGCATAGTTGGATGATCACCCCACTTCCCAAATACTCCTCGACTGGCAATGCCACAATGATCTCTCCTCACCGGCAATCAGAATGAAGCGGTACAGAAAATCGGTAGGTAAGTAGCCGAGGTGGAGGACCCGAGGTGATGGATTGAGTTCCGAGACAGGTATGTATACCACTACAGGTAACAGAACACTGGTCTCACCAAATGACTGGGAGACATGGTGGGAAGAGAATGAAGGCAAGTAATGTCAAGGATCAATAGAGGTATTGGAAGCGACCGGATGAGGTGAAGCAACCAAGGTGACATAATCTTTCCCCGGTGGTCCACATCTTCGGCATTAAAACTAGTTAAAAACAGCGAAAACTACAGGAAATACGGATCCACTGGGGGATATTGAGCACGTGAGGCAACAGACAAGCAAAAAAAACCCCAAATTACCTCACTCCAGGACCGGTAAGTCACTATTAATCTACTCTGTACGGAGAGACAACTTTGTACTGAGTGGATAAAGAGGCAAAAAGGTGGGGAACAGCCGAAGATCGGGAACTGCAACGGGTCGGTGTAGCCAATGATTGAAGGCGAGTTGTTCGCAAGGGACCTAAATGATCCCCTTGAACGCCAAGAGCCCACAAATTCGGTCTAACAGAATAGACCCATAAGAATTCACACCGACCATTTGAACGGGCGCCACATAAGAATTACTATTTGCAAAAAATAATGGGTAATAATGTGGTATAGACCCTCCCACGGAGGAAAAAAAACGCCAAATCTCTGAAAGTCGAGACGAAGGGGATGAAAAGAAAATGGAAAACAATAGCGCCCGCCGGTCTCTATGCAAAAAGGAAAAGAACAAAACAAAAAGAAAGGTCATCACGGCGTGAATCCATCCCAGTTCCGCCCCTTTTATTCCGCAGAGACATCCTTGAGGATCTCCCACCCGTACTCCTCTTCGGGCTTCTCGGGCTCCATTCCAAGTGCATTACGGTATGCGCGAACCTCATTTTGTAGCCCCGCGACGATTCGGACAGGTAATTCATCTTCTTCCGATCGCATCCGGTGTGCCTTTCGGATCATCTCTGCACATCGCATTGTTTGAGCGTGCCAGTAATCGCGGTCCAGCCGACTCTCCAGATGAGAATCTCGCTCGGCCTGGAGGAGATTGTTATAGTGGCTCTTCTGGTATAGGAAGTGCATGTTGTTATTTTGGCAATAGTTGCGGATCTGCTCCACCATCGTACCCACGCCGGCCTCGTAGTCGCCTATCAGTTTGGTGTTTTCCGTTTGTTCACGCTTGAGATCTTCGACCAGTCGCTTCTCCTTGACGAGGGCTCGTTCGAGTTCGGCGATTCGGGCAGCAGCTTTATGCGTCATCAGTTTATCGATCGGTAGCGAGAGTGAACAAACAACGAGTGTAGAAAGGGCGTGGTTCTTCAAGACGTACCTGTCAAATCACCGTTGAGTTGTTGCATTGCTGGACTAGCACCGTCGGAGGAACCATGCTTCTATTCTCCTGTCAGCTTGGCTTCGATTCAACGCGAACTTGATACAACGTACCATAATCTCCTCTGCACTTGAGACAATATTCTTGGTGACCTCTCGGTTATTCTTCAGAACGTCACTGAGCTCCAGTACCATGTCGTAGAGATGATGGAGATCCATCTGGTGACCCGCATTCATAGGCCCGTTGCCGTTCATAACTGCCATGCCTCCTCCGTTGACCTGAGCTGCAGGGTGTAGGGGTGCAGGGGAAATGGATTGGCGAGGGATGTTCCCCATGTTAGGGGTTCCCGGGGAGTTGTCCACGTAACCGGAGAACATGCCAGACCCCGGATTGCCGGTCATTCCTGTGCCGCTGTTCATAGACATCAAGGTGACGTCAAAGGCCCGATTCAATTCTGCAAGCTGGGGATCGTAAGGATCGATGGGGTGAGCGGTGCCGTTCTCCTCGTCGTAAAAGGAGGCGTGGTTTTCGACGCCTAAGACCTCCTTCTGAAACTTCTCAAGGTCACGGCGAGTAACGTGGGTGGAACGGCGGCGGTGCCCACGAGTGGAGGGTCCCTTGGAAGGGGAGGATTGAGTGTCGCCCTCGATGATGGCGGCGCAGTCGATAAGTTGGGCGGAGTGGTCTTCAATTGCGTCGTGCTCGAATGCTGCGCTGTCGCCGCTGCTGCGGGTATCATGAATGTAATTAACGTGGTTGACCGGACCATTCCCGATTGGGTTAGTTCCCCGCCCGTCCAACCCGACCAGGCGTTTCATTCTATCCAATGTACTCATCGATGCATGAGGATCTCCTGACTTGGGGATATATCGGATTGATTGGTTATAATCTGAAGATATATTTTCTGCTGAGCTGGCGGGACATTTCCACAAACTGAATTGTGATCGGATGTGACTGTAATGGAGTCGATGACGGAGCGAAGATTCCAAGTTTCAAGCTAACTTTCCTTCAATCGCACTTGCTGCAAAACATTCCTATTGACAACCGAGTCCCTGCATTTGTAATGGTGAAAGTCCCTTTCCAGCCTGATTCATTGCACTAGCTTGGTCTTATAGGGAATTGGTTCGTCCCATCCCAGTTACAATACGTTAGGAGTAGGTCACCTAAGTCGTACATAGGATTTTACAGGAGCTGCAGTACTAGATAGTTATTTCATGCCGCAAGGACCAGGGTTCTTGTTAATGCAAGAGATAATGAAGAGGTTTAAAAACGTTTCATGAAAAATTATGTCAAGTCATAGCTCCGTGCCCATTAAAGCGTCCAGTTGTCGATCTGATCCCGGGAGAATATATTCGTCCCCTTGAATGGAACTAGGTTTCTGTTGTGAAATCCTGCTGTTAACTCGCGCTACAAGCATGCGCATCTTCTCTATTTCTTGTGCTAACTCTCCATCACGAGTGACCAGATTGGGCTGAATGTCCACCTGAGGCTCCTTGAATGGCTCAAGCAAGCGGTGGAGGTGCTGCAGCTGATCAATTCGCCGCTGTTTCTGCTGGCGCTGTTGATCTAGACTGGTCAGTCGATCCCGGAGACGCTGGTATCTGTACCACGGGGTTAGGCAGGTGAAACTCCAATCGGTGGAAAACTCTGGTTTCTGGAAACTGACCTTTCGTTTTGTTCTTCGTTGGCGCCTTGTGATTCCAGATCCAATGGCAAATCGAGAATGTTCCTTCAAGGTCGGTCAGGACGTTCTAGATCCCAGCTATATTCAATTGGTGTTGACAAAGCAGGAAGACTTACAAGTGTTTTGAAAGATCTGTCGTCTTCTCCACACCATTTCTGAGTCCAGCCCGACTTTGTATGTCCTGGCTGACGGAGGCCCAATAGAGGCTGGCAATCTGGTGGGCGACATGATGGATCGCCTGGGAGGAGTAAACTACGCGGTTATGTTGTTTTGTTACCGCATTGACTAAAATAAATCAGTAACTTGCCCATGGAAGAATATGGGATCAGGAACAGAAGTCACCTTTGTGTAATACATCTTCAATCACCTTTTCAGGCAGAGCTTCTTCCTCGGTCTCCACTGCATAGTTCCTCCAATCTTCTGGTGGCTCAAGGTTTTCGGAGAGAATGCGAACTTGGCTCCAGATAAATGCGGATTTCAATTCAGAAATCGTCCGCGTTGAATCCATCGCTTCATCGCAGTAGAAGAGATCTAGAGTAAGATGCACTTGTTGCGCTTCATATCGTTAAACGCGTCTCTTATCGATAACATCACGTGTACCCCGCCATATGCTATACAGATCAAGGACATTTCTTTCATTGTTTTTGGCTATTTCGCCAGTGGGTTGATATTTTGTGACTTTATAGAGAATGAAACTAAAATTCTTTTACTTTTCAAAGTGCAACTGAACGGCCTTAATAACTTGCAGTTTTGGAATGCCGTTGTAGCCTTCAAAGCTTAATGGTACTGGCAGTGATTGATCTAAAATTGAAGAGGTATTTCAATGCGTTAGAATGACCGGTGACATTATAATAATCGAAACTTGGGATATATCCTTGGGTCAGATATGCCGTGGTGAATGGAGACCCTCGGCCCCAAGCACGTACCTCGGCAAGGATCACGACCGCATCGGGTATCTACTTCTCCTCAAATATCACCACAATATACAATCAACGTTCCTCTAGGCTCTGCTGTTTGCCCCATCACCATTGAATCACAGGCTCAATCGTATTTTCATCTTCAAAATGGCAACGACCCAACGCCCTGTGGGTCTTCTTTTCGATATTGGTGGAGTGTGTGTAAGTTCAACTAGGATCAACCCATCGCCTCGAAACGAATGTCGCTTATACCTTTACAGGTCGTATCTCCATTCCAAGCTATTCTTGACTATGAACTATCACAGACAATTCCCTCGGGATGGGTGAATTTCAGCATATCGCGCACTAAGCCCAACGGTAGCTGGCATCAGCTGGAACGTGGCGATATCCCCATGGATGCCAAATTCTTTGCTGGCTTCAACCAGGATTTACGCAATCCAATACTATGGAAGGAATTCCATGAGCAACTACATAAGAAGAAAGGCGCCAGCGGTCCAGTCACAGTCCCGCCACTCCCGACCGTGGATGCTGAGTGGCTCTTCTGGGAGATGATGAGGATATCTCGTACCCCCGATCCTTACATGTTCCCAGCGCTGCAAAAGTTACGAGCGTCTGGTAAATATCTTCTGGGCGCTTTGTCAAATACTGTCAAGTTTCCCGATGGCCACCCGTACAATGATGATGCATCCGGGGTGAAGTCTCTGTTTGACTTTTTCATTTCCTCTGCGCATACGGGGCTTCGCAAGCCTGATCCCCGTATCTATGAGGTTGCGATTCAGGAGATGAATGCTTTGGCGCGGAGGCGGGGGCTTCCTGCTGTACAAGCGTCGGATATCGTCTTCTTTGACGACATTGGCGAAAACTGTAAAGCAGCCAAAAATGCTGGCATTCGTACGGTCAAGGTTACCCTGGGGAAGACTGAAGATGCAGTAAAGGAGTTGGAGAGGATTACTGGGCTCACATTACTTGAGGGTGATAAGGCCAAACTATAGAACTCTAGACAGTATGATGATGATTTTATTTTTCATTTTTTATTATTTATTATTTTTTATTCGCACGATAATTGTATAGAACTTATAGAAGGATATTCAAATTACCGTAATGTTCAGATTTTCAAGTTCATGTTCGTCCTTAAGTTGGAACTTTTGTGGTGGTCGTCGACGGTCGTCGCCAACCGCACTTTTGGGTTGCGGGATGCAGCCCACGCTAAGCGAAATCCCCCACAAAGAGAGCGTCGCACTTTCCGCTTCTTAATTTTTCTCCAACCGTCGACCACAGGATCCAGCACCGGCAACCGTCAAGATGGTGAGTGTCATTGCCACTGCAGATGGTTGAAATATACCCTGCATTTATTCTTTTTTCCCTCCGTTTCTATCGGAGCAGGGTCTTTGCAAGATGCTTCGGACGAATTTCTGAAGCGCTAATTGCTGACTCGCGGATTTTTCTTGTAGCCTTTCACCAAGACTGTCAAGAACAATGCCTACTTCAGGTAAGCTATCATTCCCTCCTATTGTCATTGACAGAAGAAAAAAAACTTTTTTTTCGTGACATTTCTGGATCTGTGCTGATTTTTACCCCTCCAGTCGCTTCCAGACTAAGTACCGTCGTCGCCGTGAGGGTAAGACCGACTACTACGCTCGCAAGCGCCTGATCACCCAGGCCAAGAACAAGTACAACGCCCCCAAGTACCGCATGGTCGTTCGCTTCACCAACCGCGACATCATCACCCAGATCGTCTACTCCGAGATCTCCGGTGACAAGGTCCTGTGCTCCGCCTACGCTCACGAGCTCAAGGCCTACGGTATCAAGCAGGGTCTTACCAACTACGCTGCTGCCTACGCCACTGGTCTGCTCCTCGCCCGCCGTGCCCTCTCCAAGCTCGGCCTGGCTGAGCAGTTCAAGGGTGTCGATGAGGCCACCGGTGAGCACACCATCGTTGAGGCCATTGAGACCGAGGACGGTGAGCGCCGCCCCTTCAAGGCCTTCCTCGATGTTGGTCTTGTCCGCACCTCCACCGGTAACCGTGTCTTCGGTGCCATGAAGGGTGCCTCTGACGGTGGTGTTTTCATCCCCCACTCCGACCGCCGTTTCCCCGGTTACGACATCGAGACTGAGGAGCTCGATGCTGACCTCCTCCGCAACTACATCATGGGTGGCCACGTCTCCGAGTACATGGAGACCCTCGCCGATGAGGATGAGGAGCGCTACAAGTCTCAGTTCACCAAGTACATCGAGGATGAGATCGATGCCGGTGACCTTGAGGAGCTCTACACCGAGGCCCACGCCGCTATCCGCGAGGACCCCTTCAAGAAGGACGAGGAGGCTGCTCCCAAGAAGACCAAGGAGGAGTGGAAGGCCGAGTCCAAGAAGTACAAGGTCCAGCGCCTCACCCGCGAGCAGAAGAAGGCTCGCGTCCAGGAGAAGATCCGCGAGCTTGCTCAGTAAGCGCGTTGTCGACTGTTCCTGGGGAGTACTTCGGTTCACTCAAAATTCTCAAAAAGTTCCACGACTATTCAATGAGGGGACTGGCTTCGGCCACTCGGCGTTTATTTCTGATGTGATGGGTCATGGCATACCACTTGTGTTACGTTTTAAGGGGATTTATTCGGAGCAATTAGTTCGGTGTTTCATTCAAGGCAATTTCGTTCACAGTTCTAACTGCTCCAATGTCCATGCAATCTCATCGTTCCCTCAATACTTCCTTTCTGATAATGGTCTGGATATATCCCGTAGGTGGGAACCAGTAGAGTATAGTCATTGTACTGCGTGATAAATGAACCAAACAGCCTGTCGATCACAGAATCCTTGTGAGATTTCAAGTCACGTGACCATGGTGGCAACCACTTGGAAACATCTTCCTCAACTTATGCACTTCAAGATACCCAAACGATGAGGCTTTTTCTCATCCGACATGCAGAAACAGTGCATAATGTAGCCCAGGCATGGTAAGTGAGGAACTGGAGACTTATCTCCATTCAGCACTGACATAGCAATAGGGCGGGCACCACCGACTCAGCGCTCACAAACCATGGCACACTACAGATAGAACATCTTGCAAAGCATTTCGCCTCAAAATCAATCCATTTTGATCAAATCTTTGCATCGGACTTGAGTCGAGCCCGTCTCACAGCCACAGGCATCTGTCTTCAGCAACCGCATCAAGATAAACCCATGACACCCATATTAACCGCGGATTTGCGAGAAAGAGACTTCGGCTCATTAGAAGGGATCCGTCTCAAGCCAGCTTCAAAACTCGATCCTGGAAGTGGACGCTCTCAGAATGCCCAATCTGATGACTCGCCACATATAGAGAGCGAGACAATGATCTCAGTGAAACAACGAGCAACATCGTTTTTGAATGAACACTTGTTACCATTATTATTCGACCATTCCGCGACCGAAGCAAACGTCGCCATCGTCTCCCATGGAATTTTCCTACACGTTCTGTGGAATCGACTTGTCGAACTCTTCGACCCCATGGATATCTCTCTGGCGACAGGTGATCTATCCCGAGACCATGGCCCGGCAGCTCTTCTCTCGCCAAGCTGGTCCAATACAGGATTCATGACATTATTGATCCAGCCTCGTCCGGCCTTCCAAGAGCACAATACTTCCTGCTCCAGGCAAGATGCCCTCTTGAATGGATGGACGATGGAAATCATCGCTGTTAATAGTAAAGAGCATCTCACGGGTCTTCATCGGACCCGCGGAGGAATTGGCAGTGCTATACATGATCTCCGCCAGAAGAGAATCGATCAGTTTTTTAAGCGATAAAGACGGTATTATAAATGAGCATGATCTTCCACTTTGTGATAATTTATGTACATATTTTTATGGCGAAGGTCACTCTTTATAGAATACTTCATCCAAAGCCTTCCACCATCCAGGTCCATCGGCACTACCTGTAGCACCAGGAATAGGACTCTCCTATCATACATTCGTGGATTAGTCAACGCTGTGGCGCTGTGATTGGTATTCTAAACTTTACCTGCATTCCATCGGTCATGCTCCACCACTCCCTCACCTTGGGGTTCGATCGCATGAGCTCCATATCGCCCTCGAAGTCTGTTCCGACGTACTTGAAAGTGGCGAAGAGGGTGCGGTCATTATCGAAAAAGATCGAGTCTGGAAAACACAAGCAATTGGTTAGCGCAATAAATAATCAGAACTAAAAGGTGAGACTTACAATCCTTAATGTTGCAGTCCTCGATCTGTTGCAGAACCTCCGGCCAGACATTAGCGTGGCATTCCTTGTATGCTGCCACGGCGGAGGGTTTGAGATGCACGATCTGGGCAATACGGCGAACAGACATGATCAATTGATAGCCTTGGAACGAAAGAAGGGAAAAAGTGAGAAAAGACGTGCCAATCTTCGTGCCCCGCGTCCGCATTATTCCCCGCTCGGGATGCACTAACCCGAAGCCCCTTACTGTGGAATACATTGTGGATCAACCAAGCTTAATTTAACCAAATCTATTCATTGAATAACAGAGGGTGTTGGACGAATCCAGCTAACCGCCACATTTCCTGCCAAAGAAATCACACCCATAATCCAGACCGACCGACCATACTGCTTTCCATTGAATCTGAAGAGGATGGCGAAGATAATTCCACCGAGATTTCCAAATCCACCTACCAGGCCAGACACAATACCTAAAGGAATTAGCCCTACTCCATATTCAACGGTTAAGCGTATAACTCACCATTAGCATAGGGATGAACATGCGGAACGAGACCAAAGTTCGCCCCATTAGCAGCTTCCAAAAAGAAAGCCATACCAGCAATAAGACCGAACATAGTCGCTTCATCAGATGGATTTTTCAATCCAATAGCCAACATAAAGGCACCCATAATAATACCCAAGAAAGTCAAAAGAAGCTTCTTCGACCAAATACTCCCCGTAGCACTGAACACCAGATCTGCCAAAAACCCGCCTGCGGGACGGAAGACGATATTCAATAATCCAAACATGGCAGCCCACCGTCCTGATTCCGTCTGTCCCATTGTTGGGAAATTCGTCGAGTAGTACGTTCCCAGAAAACTATCCAAAGCTAACTCCGCGCCGAAAGAGCATGCGTATGGAATTGCGACCCCCATTGTTGATAAGCTGAATGCAACGCTAAGAGCTTCCCTGCGCGAGGGCGGGATGACAATTTCTTGTTCTGGAGAGATCTGGCCCATGGACGAGGGGTTCTGATCAGGTGATTGAGGGGATTGGACACCTTTCTTTTCTATGTCGATTGTCGTGGTGGTGTTGTGGAGTAAAGCAGGACTGGAGGAGCCGGATTTTAGGTCGACGATGTTTACATCTGTGAGGTTGGTGCTGGGACTCATTTCTTTAGCCCAGAGACGGCGTTCTGACCATTTGCCTGTTGGTGTGTCATCGCAGAGGAATAACATTCCCAGCGCGACGGCGGTGATGATTATGAATGGGACGATGTAGGCGACCCGCCATGCTTTGTGAGGTGTTAGACCTTGGGATGTGACAAGAGAGTCATAGATGGCTGGCATGAGGAAGCTAGATCTGTTAGTGGGGAATATATACTTCTAATTTGGAAGATGACATACTAGGTGATTCCACCACCTGCGTTTCCCCATCCTCCAGCTAGGGAATTGGCCGTTCCAACAATGGTTTTATCGAAAAAACCTGTGCACCATACCTGGCATGGAACGAATGTACCACCGAGAATCCCGATGAAGAATCGTAAAGCAATTAGACCATTTGGGGTGGTAACTAGACCGGCCATGGCTGTTGGGATTGCGCCGGCTAATAGTAGTCCCACAAAGACTAAGCGTGGGCCGAACCGGTCGCAGAGTGGGCCAGCCACGACTCGCACAAGAAGTCTGAGGATTTTGTTAACCAACATCCACGTTTAGTTCGAATGAGTCTTACGTCGCTAGTAGGGCAACAATATTTGAGTTTGATACTTGGGTTTGGGTCATATGTAGGTCTCTTTTAATTGTGTCGGTTAACTGTCGATGAATTAGATTTTCAATTGACAACTGGAGTGAATCATAAAAACCTACCAGTGGTGGAAATGCATACCAAGATAGGAATGCGACCATGAAACCCAGCCATGAGAAGAAAAATACTCGTCCATATTTGTCGAATGGATTCAGTACCGGAATCGACTTGGCTTTTCGTGTACTAGGATTGATTTCGGGGGAGGCGACGAGGAGTTTAAAAAAGGTCGCAGCCATAGCTTTGCCCCAATGAACTCCTCAGAAAAATATGAATCGATTTTGTTGATTTGATTTGGGGGCCAACAAGTCAAAATTGTGCTTGGATTATGGATGATCCGGAGGTTCGATTATCCGCAGCTTCTAGAAGATTAAACTTGTTTCATAATATACGCTAGCGGCAGAGCAGGTCTATATAGACCAAAGGTGAACCAAAATATGTAGGATAGTGAGTTATGATGACACAGAAGGCAGAGACAAAGGCAAAGTGAGCTATCAGTTCTGGGGTTTGTCAACGAGAAGGCAACTCGTCAGATTGGTCAAACAAAAGTACAAGGCACTTTTATCCAGAGAATCTGATTCGATAGAAGTTTTGTTTTGAACTGATGCCAACCAGACTATGCAGCATGGTGTGGTACCTGATAGCGATAGGACAAAGAAGAAACTAGAATGTGATACTTTGGTAACCTACGAAAATAAATGCGATAAGATAGAACTGCACAACTCCGCGGGACCCAGATTGTACACTTCTCCACGCTAGAAGATATCCTGGGGTGAAGATCCCCTGTTAAGTTCCACGGTCCCTCTCGGTTGATAGATGTGTCGCTTCTCATTGGACGTGAGATAGAAAGATAGGAACCGAACTCTGACCTTGTGGGTCCTCGACAAGAATCGGGTCGATCTAAGCTCCGCGGAAATACTTTAGATCTTGAATTGAACTTTGACAAGTCCTAAGATAATTCTAGGATGACATAATCTGAACTTCTTTCCTTGCACTTCCAGTTCCTGGTATCAGTTTCAAGTTTCAACTGCCCATGCTCTGTGGATTACCCGGCTGCCAAGTTTTCGTTTTCATAAACTCGGATACTATACAGTCTAGGCCCGGACCTGCTTATCTTCTCTGTTGGTTTTGCTCATTTCCGCGGATCTATGAGCCAGAGTCCTGTTCCATTCATGGATTTATCAATGTCGGGTAATTGAGGACAACCGAATCACTTCTATCAAAAGACGGAGCTGTGCGGAATATAGAGAAGCTGATTGGTTTCCAAACCCGGTATATTGTGAGGTAACAACAAAGTGGAGAGTTTCATTTCGAATATCCTATTCTTTCTGCTTGGAGGATCGCTTGCCAGCTAATAGTGTCGGTCCTTTAGTCTAGTCTCTGATAGGTTTTGTTTTCTTCTTTGTAGGCTCTGGTAAAGCGATACACTCGTCATTTGAAGGTTTGCCTAATATTTGCCGCTCAATAAAATTCTCGCCGTTTGTCACTTGCGCAATCACACCACCCGCTACGATGGCCATAGCAGGTAGACCTTTCAATATAGGCGGTACGGCAGCTTGAGAGCTTTTTAACATTGCAAGCTTGGAGAGGCCGGTTTTGAGGGTGGTAAGTGTTGTCTGGTGAGGCATGATGAGTCTAGATGATGGGAGTCAGTTTCTGTACAGTAGATAGTGATCATGGTGATATTGGCATACAAAAGTAGGGGTCGTTATTCGTTGTCGAAAAAAAGGTGTAAAAGATAGTTCGCTTAGACAGGAAGTGGAAAGCGAAGCTACATCGTCTTAAATACTGAAGTTGAAGTATGGAAATTCGCTGATATCCAGGGTCAAAGCTCTTTGTGGCGTAAGTTGATCAACTTGATAGGTGAAGCTTGTAGTAGCGCTTGAGTCATACTAGTCACTGCGACCGACACTCACAGTCAGAAACACATAGAAGTCCTTAGCAGACGTTTTGCATTGTTCAGATACCCAATTACAAACTCTGCACGAAAGGAGAGGGGAACTGGCTAAATAATAAAATCCAGAACACACCATAACACCCTCGCTTGAAACGTCCAAATTTCCAATCTAATTTACCAGTCAATAGTCTGTGCTGGCTTGACAGTTGACCGACCCACATCACCTTCAGCAACCTTCTTGCCTCTCATCCCCTTATACTTCTTATCAATCTTGTGGAACGGATCCGGCGCTTCTCCCTTCCGAACCTTCCACTTCTCAGTCCCAAGAACCGAATCCAACTCTTCAACCGGAGGAAGTTTAAGATAGACCCATCCATCATTTCGTTCTTCCACGGGGAACGTAGCAATATTCATACTTTCGTCACTCGAGCATCGACCAGCCTGCTCGCCATTGAGGTCGAAGTTGCGCTTATGATACGGGCATGAAACCCAGTACTTCCCCGCATCGTCATCACCAATTAGGCCATCGGACAACACAAACGCCCGCTTATGTGGACACATCTGCTGCGTAGCGTAGAAATTTCCCTTGATCTTGAAAACAGCGAGCTGGGTATCCCCGCGCTTGACATTCGCCGAGGATACCCGCGGAGGTTCGTCGGAAAAGTGATCTGCCTTGACGACAGGCTGCCATGAAAGACTCGACCATTGATGACCCTTGAAGTCTTCCGTGACAGAGTCCTTGGGCCAGTATGTAGGGCGCTGCTGCGAACGCTCCTGAATGACTTCCACGGTGTCCACTGTCTCGTCTGTATTGGCGAACTGCTGGAAGGTCTTGCGCCGCTTGGGATCGCGGACTGTCTCCGTCCACTCGCAAAAATAGCTATCAACCAATTCCTGCATCTGCCGCTCCATGTCGGCGCAAATGCCGAGCTTGTCATCAATGATTACTTCTCTGAGATAGTTGATGCCACCAGGTAGGTTTTCGATCCATCGGGCTGTTCTTTGTAGTTTGTCAGCGGTGCGGATGTAGAAAATCAGATACCGGTCCACTATCGGCATGACCATCTCTGGTGGGACGTCTTTAGCGAGTAACTCAGAGTGACGGGGTTTTGCGCCTCCATTACCTCCGACAAAGAGGTTGAAGCCTTTCTCGGTAGCGATGAGACCGAAGCTAATAAGAATAGACTGTCAGTTGGGGTTCTACTTTCGAAGAGAGGAATCAACTTACTCCTTGTTCTGGGCCTCAGCACATTCACGGACACAGCCTGACACAGCCGCCTTGAATTTATGCGGTGCGCGGACACTCTTGTACCGCTCTTCCAATCGAATTGCCATGCCGACACTGTCCCCGATACCAAAACGACACCATGTGGAACCAACACAGCTCTGTACTTAGGGTCAGAATATAGTGCAGAGAGTAAAGATGAGAACCACCAACCTTGATAGCGCGCAGCCCCTTTGCATACGCATGACCACTCTCCATACCAGCATCAACAAGCTCAGTCCAGATAGGCAGTAAATCTTGCTTCTTGGCACCGAACATGTCAATTCTTTGTGCGCCTGTAATCTTGCAATATAGACCATATTTCTTGGCTACTGTGCCGATGGCAATGAGTTTGTCAGCCGTGATCTCTCCACCCGGCACTCGAGGCACGACGGAAAATGTTCCGTTTCTCTGGATGTTGGCCAGGAACTTGTCGTTGGTGTCTTGTAATTCGTTATATCCTTTATCCATCACGTGAGGGTTGAATAAACTCGACAGGATAGATCCAATTGCAGGCTTGCATGTTTCACAACCGAGTGAGTCTGGTTTATTTCCTGCAGTCTGCATCACCTCCACGAATGTCTTTAGCTGTTTTACTGCGATAACGTTGTAAAGATCGGCACGAGAATAGGGAATGTGCGAACAGACTATAGTGCTATTAGCGGGATTTCCTCCAGATCAGAATTCAGTCTCCACTCACGGTGGTTGGATACTTCTTGGCCCATTCCAAGCATTGTCTTATTGAAGATCGATTGCACAAGGGGCATGCATCCACCACATCCGGTCCCGGCTTTGGTACAGGACTTGACCTCGCCAATCGTAGTACAAGTTCCATTCTTAATATTCTCAACCACGTCGCCCTTGGTAACATTGTGACAAGCGCAAATCTGGGTACTGTCGTCACTAGAACGTTCGTTAGTAGATAGCCGGATAAGCCCTGAGCCGGTATACTAACAGATCATCTGCGTTTTCCTCACCATCATTCTGGGCTCCAAGAATAAACTGGCTGGGGGCAACATCCAGCTCTTTCTGTGACTTTACCATCTGGTTCAACTTGAGGTAGTCCCGGGTATCCCCAATCATCATCCCACCAAGTAAGTATTTGCCGTCCATGGTAAACAGGTACTTCTTGTAGACACCACCAAAGGGATCTTTGTATGTCAACGCCTTGACTGGAGATACATCGTCGTCACTGCCAATAAGAGGCCGATCACCCGGTAGAAACTTCGGCCCATCTCTGTCAGCAAAGAAGTCTCCGAATGAGGCCACATCCACCCCGAGGAGCTTCAGCTTCGTGCTTAGATCCGGTCGAGTAAAACCCCTGGGCTCTTTGTCCACGTTTGTAAGGTTGTAGGCTAGTACATCGGCCATTTCAATTCCGGGCGCGATGATTCCGAAAGTTTGATTTTCCCAGCTGGCGCATTCTCCCACAGCATAAACATCCGGTACTGAAGTACGGAGGCTGGAAGTGTTAGCTTTAAATCTTCAGCGTTTCAAAGAATCCACAAACCTCTCATTGATAACAAAACCTCCCCGTGAAGCACACTGGATACCAGCCATAGCACCCAGGTCATCTCTGGGTTTGACACCGATCTACAACCAGATTAGCATCCTCATCAAAAAAGTTACAACTCGACATACCGCAAAGCAAATGCAGCAGCAATCAATACGCTCCCCATCATCGAACGTGATCCCAGTAACATTGTTTTCCGAGTCGGTATTGACAGCAGATACCCGCTTCTGATGCAGCACATCAAGTCCCAGCTCCTGGATCTTGCGTGAAACCAATGATCCCGCATCACCATCTAACTGACGTGCCAAAACCCATTTGTTGCGGTCGATCAGCTTGACGTTGCCGAAATCTTGCAGATCGGTCATCGCCTTCGCAGCTTCTAGACCTAACAGACCTCCTCCAACGGTAACAGCTGTCTGGCCTTTGTGTTGAGAGGCAAAGTCGATCAAACGTTCCAGATCGGAGATTGTTCGGTAAACGAAGACGCCCTTGGCATCGTAGCCTGGGGTGTGGGTGGGGAGGACTGCATCGGAGCCGGTAGCTAGTACGAGGATATCGTAGGTAATTGTCTCACCAGTAGATGTCTGGAGTGTCTTATCGCTGGGGTTTATGGAGGTCACTGTTGTGTTGAGGTGGTGGTCGAAGGCACGCTCTTTGATGGAGTTGTACTGTTATACGTTAGACACAAGCACGCATGATATTTTTGACGCGGGGTTTGCACCCATTCTTTCGGGTTCAAGTATAAATCCTCGATTTTGCGATGTTCGAAGAAAGAGGAAAGGCCAACACGGTTGTAGGCGACGTGTGCCTCCTCTCCAATAACAAGGATGTCATATCGTTGCTCTGTATCTTGTTTGATGAGTTTCTCGCTAAGGCTGTCAGATTATGTGCTTGAGATTCTGCAGAAGATGCTACCTACATCAGAGAAATAGCCACCATTCCTAATCCCACAATTACGATCTTTTGTCTCGGACGATCATTGAGACTCGAGCTGCCGTCGACTGGCTCGCCGTATCGAAGCCCATCCAGCACCGGCATTATGAGATAAGATGAAGCTGAGATTATGCTGGAATACTACGTTACAGACTGTGGCCAAGGCCACTTTTAAGCAGAAACGACTGTTTGACACATGTACATGTAGTACATTGTCACCATTCCGAAAGAAGTAAATCCGCCAAGCGGCGATCTTGATAAGCACTGACTTCCGCGGAGATGGTTGGCGCGATAATAGACAACACTTGATTGGTCGCCATTTAAGCTGATAAGGTACAACATATTCTTAGCTCAATTTTAATGAAGAATGATGTGCGGCCTTGACTAAGATAAGTCGATCAAGTCGCCACTCTTTCCGGGGTTGAACCTTGGATACCCGCGGAGATACATGGATGCATCTTTAAGCAGTAACGAACAGCTTGGCATGAGTAACTTGAACCTGTTGACCCGATTATCTAAAGTACATTATTGCTGAAGAACCGGAGATTTATTTGATGTTTTCTTTTTGCGTCCACTTTTCTATACAATTATTATATAAGCAAAACGGGGCAGTTTCAAGAAAAATTATATTGCGAAAAGTCCCACCAGGTCACCTTAAAGGTTGCAATGGCGACGTTGACAGAGACACTCGTCGATGCGGATGAGTTGAATGATAACTCGTTTCAGACAAAGGATATCCAGTTTCACGATCTGCCTACTCCCCAGGAGTATGATATCCCCTTTCCTCCTCCATCAGTCAACCCGACCGAGATCCTAGAAGTGGATAAAGGAACACCCGACAGTCATGTTCCTCGTGATCCACGACTTATTCGATTGACTGGTGTTCATCCATTTAATGTTGAGCCACCCCTAACGGCACTGTATAAAGAAGGTATGTCATAAAATAAACTTTTTATAAAACCGTGACCAACGCAGTATTCAGGTTTTCTCACATCTCCCGAACTATTCTACGTTCGAAACCATGGCCCCGTGCCTCAAGTCCGAGACGAGGACATTCCTGACTGGGAGTTAAGTATAGAAGGGTATGATAACCGTCTGGTACCCATACGTCTTTGAAGAAAAAGAAAATAACATAAAGTCAGACTAGTGGAAAATCCGATGAAGCTGAGCTTCCGAGACATTCTTCAGAAATATGTTCAAATAACCAACCCAATTACCCTGGTCTGTGCTGGAAACAGACGCAAAGAACAAAACACTGTTCGAAAGTCTAAAGGATTCTCATGGGGACCGGCAGGACTCTCAACGGCGCTATGGACTGGTCCCATGATGGCCGATATCCTACGTAGTGCAAAACCACTTCGACGAGCCAAATATGTCTGCATGGAAGGAGCCGATAAATTGGTGAGTCTGCTTCTAAGTACGATTTAGGAGCGAGTCCCTAATTTGCGTGTAGCCAAATGGATATTATGGAACGTCGGTGAAATTGAACTGGGCTATGGATTTCAACAGGGGAATCATGTTAGCGCACAAAATGAACGGCGAGAACTTGCGTCCTGATCATGGACGTCCTTTAAGAGCTGTTGTGCCTGGGCAGATTGGTGGACGGAGTGTCAAGTGGCTCAAGAAGCTTATTGTGACCGAGACACCGAGTGATAACTGGTACCATATTTATGATAATCGGGTGTTACCGTGAGTTTTAATGATGGGATTAGAAACTGCATATTCTGACACTGATTAGGACTATGGTTTCACCGGAGATGGCATCCCAGGATGATAATTGGTGGACTGATGAGCGATACGCCATTTACGATCTCAATGTCAACTCCGTCGCGGCCTTCCCTGAGCATGAGGAAATATTGGACCTAGCAACGGCCGGGTTGACATATACAGCGAGGGGGTACGCCTATGCGGGAGGTGGTCGAAGGATCACAAGAGTTGAAATTTCTCTTGACAAAGGCAAATGTAAGTTCAATAGACTCTTATTTTGACTGTCAGGTGCCTCCAATGCTAACATTTTTAGCATGGCGACTTGCCAAAATCGAGTATGCGGAAGACAAGTATAGAGAGTTCGAAGGCGATCTTTTTGGCGGCAAAGTGGACATGTGGAAACGAGAGAGTTGTTTCTGCTGGTCTTTCTGGTCTCTCCAGATCCCAGTGTTTGACCTGGAGAACAGTAGTGCACTACTTGTCAGGGCTATGGACGATGGGATGATGACACAACCTCGCGACATGTACTGGTCCGTCTTGGGTATGATGAATAATCCCTGGTTCCGAATCGCAATCACAAAGGAGGGAAATCGACTCAAATTTGAACATCCGACTCATCCTGCGAAGGCTGGAGGCTGGATGGAAAAGGCCAAGAAAGCCGGTGGTGATTTGACGAATGGCAACTGGGGCGAGAGACTCGAGGGTGAAGCCCCGGTTGAGCTGGAGCCCGTGAAGGTAATCAACATGAAAAAGGAAGGACTGAATCGTATGCTGGACTTGCAAGAGCTCAACGCGAATAGCAGTGCTGAGAAGCCTTGGTTTGTGGTAAATGGGGAGGTGTATGATGGAACGGGATTCCTCGACGGTCATCCTGGTGGAGCAATCAGTATCACGTCCCAGGCTGGGCTGGATGTTTCAGAGGACTTCCTCGCCATTCGTGAGTACATAGCTCTGATCAATCTTAACGTCGCTGACCTCGATCACAGACAGCGAAACGGCCAAGTTGATGATGCCCGACTACCATATCGGTACATTGGACAAAGCTTCTCTTGAATCCCTCAAGAAAACCTCGACCACAGTCTCAAATGACTCACGTCCAACCTTCCTCCAATCACGATCATGGACAAGGATGAAGCTATCCAAGGTGAAGACTGTCTCCTGGGACACACGAATCTTCGTCTTCGACCTAGAACACGAAAACCAATCCCTCGGCCTACCAATAGGCCAGCACCTCATGATCAAAGTCCCAGATCCAACCACCAAGGAAGCAATTATCCGCTCTTACACGCCAATCTCCGAGACAAACATGCAGGGAAAGATGGAGCTGCTCGTCAAGATCTATTTCCCAACCGAAAACATCCTGGGCGGAAAGATGACTATGGCACTCGACACATTGGCCATCGGAGCCGAGATCGACTGCAAAGGACCGACCGGTCGGTTCGAGTACCTTGGAAATGGCCGAGTCATTATTAGCGGTAAAGAGCGCAAAGTCCGCTCATTCAAGATGATCTGCGGTGGAACTGGTATTACGCCTATTTTCCAGGTCCTGCGTGCTGTAATGCAGGATCCTCAGGATCCCACGACATGTGTTGTCCTGGATGGCAACAGGTTGGAAGAAGATATTCTCTGCCGAGCTGCGCTTGATGCATTTGTGAATATTGGCAATCGCAAGTGTACTGTTGTGCATACTTTGTCGCGGGCGTCAGAAAGGTGGGTTGGCCGCCGAGGACGTATTTCGGAAGACTTGATCAAGGAATATGTGACGTGTGAAGAGGATAGTATGGTGATCATCTGCGGGCCAGAGGCGATGGAAAAGTCTGCTCGAAAGATTCTCCTTGAACAGGGGTGGGCAGAGTCAGATCTCCATTTCTTCTAAGATGTGGTACTTTTACGTACTTTCACATTACGTTAGGTTGCATCTAGGATTTTGGGTCATTTATCATGTATTTATCTCAGGCACAAGGCATATGCAACGAGCCAAGTAACAAGAACAGGAGTCAATTAGGCATTAACAACTCTACAGTATATGACATGCTTTCACCTGGTCTCGGCATACTGCCCTGAATCATTCCTGTTATTGGAGATATTGAAAGGTGAAGAAATAGAGCTGTGCACTGGCACTCCTGACACTCTCAGGCTTGCTTTGAAATCCTTTCTAAGAAAGTCCCACCGATTCTGAAAGCTGCTTATTTCTGCAGCGCAGTATAAAGCTGACGAAATTTCGACTCACGTCCCAACAAAGCCCCAGGGGCATCAAACTCCACCAGCGTTCCATGTTGCAGAAGCGCCACGCTATCAAAGCGCTCGATATGCTGTAACCGATGCACAACGGCAATTACCGTCTGTGTCGCACACTCCTGCTCAATTATATCGAGCATTCGAGCTTCGGTTTCCCAGTCGACGCTGCTAGTCGCCTCGTCCAAGATGAGAAGCGGACTCGGGGTGGTCAGGGCCCGGGCCAGTGCTAGCAGTTGTTTCTCGCCGTATGACCAGTCCAGCGCTTCAAAGGCCACGTGTAGCCCGCCCTTCTCAGAGATTGATTCCCAGAGACCCACTTTTTGGATCGAAGCAATAATTCGCTCTTCTGACAGCGTGCCGGTGGGTTCGAAACTGTCGCGCAGCGTGCCAGGAAGAAAGAAGGGGTCTTGTGGGATGACGGTGATCTGTCTGCGGAGCGCGGCGGGATGGATGGCGGAGATTTCCACGCCGTCGATGGTAATGCGGCCATGGGAGACCTCTAGCATGCGTAAAAGGGCCATGATAAGTGATGTCTTGCCGCTGCCAGAGGGTCCGCAGATAGCGATCTTTTGACCGGAGGGGATATATAAGGAGAGATCTGAGAGAATAGGTCTAGCTTGAGGGCTATATCAAGCCCAAGAAAAGAGTTATCAGTATGTGCTAGTGAGCTGGTACTGGTAATTCTCTTCTCCACATACCTATATCCAGCGTTGACATTCTCGAACCGGATCTCTGCACGCGTTAGCCAACCTTCTTCTAACCCTTCCGATACTTCGGTAGGGGTCTCTGTCATAAATTCCTGCACACGTGCTACTGCGCCGAGAGAGATCTCCATCTGTGTCCACGACTCGATTGCGTTGTTCAAGTACTGACTGATGGAGATTATCAGATTCAATGCCACTCCAATCTGGCCGGCGGTAAAACGATCCTTCAGTGCGGTGATGATTGCGACGAGAATAACCGCAAAGAGCATGACCAGCAGGTCTAACGCCAGCTTAAGGCCCTGCCGTATGCAAAACAGCATGTAGAACGGCTTCTGGGTGATGTCAAGCTTGGCAAGGCATTGCTGGTGGAATTTCGGTTGCCACTGCAGGCTTTGGATCACCGAGAGTCCGCTGACTGTCTCTTGGAATTGGGAGTACAGGAGTGCCTTGGCTTCAATATCTAACAGGCGTACCTGGCGGGAGGTACGGAGGTAGCCGTGCTGAAGGATCCAGATCGACAGTAACATAAATGGGAGTGCGATGGTGATAAATTTCCCAACCACGCACAGCATAACCAGGCTAACAGCGCAGAGACTGAGGGCTGTAAATTTTGAATCATGTTATTATAAGTATCTCCATCATATTAGGCTGAAGACTTGCCTTCCAGACAATTCAATGCGTTGACCGGGAGCTCAAAGTCAATGAGCTGCATATCCTGGCTGAACCGATTCATGATGGTTCCGCTATCAGTTTTCTGAAAGAACCCAAATGGGGCACTAGAACTGTTCAGTAAAGGCCTCTACCGACCTTTTTCCGGAAGACTTTTCAACGTACCTAAGAACAGAATGCAATAGATCCGAATGCAGAGCTAGCGAGGTGTTGCCGACAATCTCGACGATCAACACCCTACATCAAAATAAGCGACCGTTCATTTTAGAAGAAGAGTTGGTCTTACCAGCATCCAGCCCCCAGGGAAAATATTGCCAACAGAGCAATGAGGGTATAAATCCCGAGCCATTTGCCCAGATCCGAATTTGGGTGTGTCTCATTGGCATCAGACCACCATTGTAACCAAATTGCTAGATAGGCATTAGTCTCATTGTTTTGAGTATCGACGTATAAGCGAACTTACAAGAAAATTGAGTGTTGAAGCCATACGAGAGCACAAAAACTGCAAGCAATCCGATTTGCAGAAGCCCTGCTTTGCGAGCATAGTAATTGTAGATGGACCAGCTACCATTTCGCCTTTTCAGGTCGTTCAACACAGTGGATTCGGATTCACTCCCTTCACTACTTGCCTGTCTAGATAGCGGCTTGGTCCCTATTATTTCCTCGGGGTCTGCCTCAAGCGCGTCATGTTTTTCGTCAATTTTAGGTTGTGCATACTCGGGCCGTTGGTCGACCAGTTCCTGGTACGTGCATTGTAGAACCTTCCGACCGTTTTCGAGAAGAACGATTTCGTCCGCATACGGAAGAAGAGACCCTAAGGCTTCATATTAGTAGCACTATACCAATGGGTTATGAGTTATACTCACTTGTATGAGTTGCGAGAACCACAGATGTACCCGTCCGTCGGAAGATCCCATCCCGACCAAACAGACGATCGCCAACGATGCGAGTATTCTGCAAGTCCAGTCCGCTGAATGTATCATCAAAAACGACGTTTGGGAGTCTAGAGTAGACTGCGCGTGCAAGAGCCTGGATCAATCAGCACTTAATCTAGCACACCACATTCATGAGCTATATTCTCACCACTCGCTGTTTTTGACCTCCGCTGAGAGCTACTCCACCACTACCAGCGATGTGCATATTTCCTTGGGGGAATTTGCTGATATCTTCCTCGAGCCCACAAGCCGAGATAGTAAGGTCATACCATTTCTGATCTAATGCAGTGCCTCCGGTAATGTTATCCTGGATGGAGCTGTTCATAATCCACGAACTTTGTGGACAATAGGCTGCATTTCTCGAGAAAATGTGCATAGTGTCAGGATCAATGTGAGTCTTGCCCATGATCGTCTCCAGAAGAGCGGATTTTCCACATCCGACCGAGCCCACAATCATAACGATCGTACCTGTTGGAATAGAGAGATTGAGGTCGCGAAGAACGGCAGTGCTTTCAGCTGTCCAAGATATGGATGCGTTCTGGAATTCCACGAATTTGTCGCACGAAACCGATATACCAGGGGTCTTGACAACAACTGAGAGCTCGGACAGTTCGGTATTATCGCCTATCGGCAAACTAGGATTATCTAGGGCAGGAAGCAATTCACTTGATCTTTCTCGCAAACAATAATCCTGGATACGGTCGAAGCAGCCGATGGACTGTGTTATTGTGGGCAGTGACTGGATGAACGCCATCAGTGGAGTCGTAAGGATAGAGATGAGCGATAGCGTTGTGAATGCTTGCGTAGTGAGAATTTGCGTATCGTGTTTGATCACGGCGATAATCGTATACACTAGAAAGACCGCATATGGTGCAAGGTCCACAGACACAGACGCTAGTCAAGACAGAATTACATGTTAGCACCATCCCAACCAATCCTCTCTTTCAATGAACCCACTTACATAGCATGACGATTCCCACAATAAGTTTTCGGAATCGCTTGGAGGCACTGAGCTCGACCTTCCGACACCGAGTAAGGATATCAAACAACACGACTTCTAGCCCCAGCATCTTAACGGCTTTCATATCACCAAGCATTGCGGTGGTAACCGCTAAACGCTCCTGTATATGCCCCACCCACTTCTTCTGGGCCTTTCCACTTCTAGCGGAGACTGGGCCAGTGGCGAGAATACAAACCACGGCGATGACGGCCGGGAGCACACAGGCGACATACACTTGAATTTCTAGAAGCCAGATAGCAATCACTACAGAGATGAGAGAAGCCCAGAACTCATGTAGTGACCGCATAGTCCCAGTAATACGCCCCGTGTCCGTGCTCATCAGGGCGACCGCGTCCCCAGATCTCGAGCCCGCTGTGCCTCGTAGCGCCAGCGTCTGTTCATGGATGAGAGCAACCAGACCCGATCGGACGACAGTCGCCAGACGACTGGCCTGGCGGTAATAGATTGCCGTTGAGACGGCGATGCCAGTATAAACGAGCGCATATGCTCCGACCAGCGCATGTCCGTATCGCTGGGTCTCTGCCGTCATCGGGGTACTCATCCACTTGATAGTGGTGGACAAGAGGAATGGTTGGCAGAATGTAAATCCGGCAAGTAGAATCCGGGGAATGATCGCGGAAAGAAGGGGCCACTTGTAAGCTCGAATGGTCGCTTTGATCAGTCGGTACTTTCCGTTGGCGTTGGACCAGGTCTGCATCAGGCGAGCCTCTGCGCGGTGACTCAGTAAATTGGAGTCTACATCTGGCAGATCATCCAGGCAGATAATGGAGCTATAGGCGTCCCGGAATAGCGGAAGGACCCAGACGAAGAGGTTGCGTCCCCAGAATCCGTGGACCTTTTCGATCGGAACATTCCGGTAGAGTGGTTGGATAAAGTGGACTTTCTGAGCAGACTCTAGCACAGTAGTCAAAACAATGATAACATAAATGGCCGTAAACAGTCCTCGGGGAACTTGAATGGAGGGGATAAGCCATAGCGTGCGTAAGTGAGGTATGTAGAGAATTGATAAGGCCGTAAAATATACTACGAGCGTATCAGACGGTTGGATTGTTCGTTGGTCCTCGAGAAATGAAAGTAAGATCGCTACAAAGGTTGTGGCTACGTTCAAAGCTGCTGCAGGATTTGAAATCGTAGTGTGTAGGGCTGAAGTTTGCACTTGGAACACTAAAAAGATGATTTGCAGCAGTAAAAGAACAAACAACAGGGCCTGATTATTCTTGAACGTAAATAAATGCTTCTTAACCGGAGGACACTAAACGCACCAATTTATAGATTGCAAGTTTGAAGGAGTTCGACTTCACGGGGGAACGTCGCAAAATCTCTAGTCGAGGGATGATCCATAATAAGAAAGCAATCGACGGCAGAATACTGAATATAGTGTCTTCGAAGAGCAGAGTAAAATCGAATTCTCGGCAGTCAACAGAGACTCGAACCTTGAATTGATTGTCACTGTTGATAGGACAAATATTTGAAGCCATTGTCGCATCTTCATCATCAATGTGGCAGGAAAGTAGCCCAATTTATGACAGAGAATCTTAGAGATAAGAGAATGCATTTGGGCAAAACTGGCGTGATAGTGTACTAGTTAATGGCAATCCACTACCCTATCACGGAGTACTTAAAGAGCCAGCCACGTAAGGTGGCTTTAACCCGTCGGATCCCCGGTCTAGTTTGAGAGGCAAGCTTTCGCCCCCAAATTATATTCATACGTGTCCAAATACGATCTCACGAGGAAGTAATTTTGATATGCGGAATCTACCTTTCTATTATTTGGGTACACTGCAGACTTTTTGGACATACGTTCGAAACCTCCACTAGACTTTTGCTTTTTTCCCCTTCTCCTTCCACTTCATATTTGTTTTCTTTTTCTTTCTCTTTCTTTTCTATTCCGCTATTTATGCATTTAGAGAGCCATTTGACCATTTGATTAATACGGTATGAAAGAAGGTAGAATACTGGATAGTATACCGAGTAGGAGAATAAGTAGGAGAATAAGTAGGAGAATAAGTAGGAGAATAAGTAGGAGATTAAGTAGGAGATTAAGTAGGAGATTAAGTAGGAGAATAAGTAGGAGAATAAGTAGGAGAATGAGTAACAGACCGAGTAGGAAAATGAGCAGGAAACTGAGTAGGAGATATAGGAGGAGGTGTGGTCTAACACCTAAGTAGGCGCCGCGCAAAAAGCGCGGCGGAAAGCCTCTAGTTTTGCCTCTACCTGGGCACCAAACATAGTGCCCTCGATCTTGTTCGTACCTGCGGATAAGAACGGGAAGATCCGAGCCGGCATATAATTGTGGGGACATGAAACCTGCAATTAATGGAGTCCAGATAGAATTAGCTGGCAAAAATTCATACTTCATTAGTCGTAATGACACCGTCACAAATGGTTCTATCAATAATAATCCTTCACCTCCAATCTGACTCGAAGATGTTCAAAAACACTAGTGGGCTCAGTTCGCGAACCAAAAAATGCCGCCGACTTTGCCATGGATTTCGATGCACCCTTCCCTGAGTCCAAGCCACGCAAATATCCAACCAAAGCAGACACCTGTTTTCGAAACGTAGAATACAAATTATTTACAGTGCCTTCATTCTCATGACGCACCCCACTGTTCCCATCAGCCCGCGATAATGGGCCAAACGCAAGAATCGTGCTAAAGATATTGTCGAGTAACTTCGCGGCCGCTGTATGTCGTTTACTCAGGAAGAAGGCGAAGAGCATTTGGTCAAGGATGTCTTCATGTAGATCACGGAGACGGGGCACGGAGTGGGCGGCCTCGAGTGTACCATCTATGTCGCCACGGTCGAGGCAGCGCTCGATCTTGTCGAGGGTACTTTGGAACCGACTCCAGATTGACCCGATTCCGACGTGGAAGAAATAATCGCTGACGGCGAGGATGAAATGCTGGGCGTCGATTCGGAATTTCTGGAACACGTTCCTTGTATTGCCTGAAAGGGAGTCACGGACGGTGGAGTCGCGGATGAGTCCTTTGACAACAGATACCATGCGAAGAAGACGTAGTAATTGCTTGAAAAGACGATCGTATTTTTCCAGGGACCTTGGTGTGATGAGAGTCTCCAGAGCTTCTGGTGCTTTATACTGGAGGCGAAGGAAGTCCAGCGCTTCTATCGCATTTGGGTCTTTGCACCGATCGATCTCCTCACCAGATAATTCGCGAATGGCAAAGTTCAGTCCACCGGGAAGTTCATTGTCACGTTGAGGCTGCCCATTGTCGGATGCCTCGGGTTCTGATTCGGAAAAGTAGCAGTCCCCAAGTAGACCAATCAGGACGAGGCGTAGTTCAGAACTTGCAGGTGGCCAGGTATCACGACTTCCCAGACGCAAGCCAGTATGAACACCACCGCGAACTACGCCGGCCTTGCGCTCCCCGCTGTCCATCTCGGGGTCAAAAAGTGAATGTGAGAGGCGCGATGTAAATGAACCATCACCTAGTAGTTGAAATCGCCATTGCAAGTTCAAATGATGCCGTACCTTGTGTTCTTTGAACATGTGATGGAGGCATGAGAAGTCGATGAGTTGTGCCTGGGTTGAGATCACTGGGGCGAATGATAGATATAGTTCTGATGCCAGTTCAGGTCCGAAACGTGTTCCTGCATCACTGAATCCAAGTTCACCCCTAGCTTTCTGAAGCATGTCACTGACATTGTCAGTGGATAAGGCTTTTTGATCCATCGCACCGCCTGAGACATGCTTATCGTCGTCAATATCGAATAATTCAAACGTATTCTCCACGATTTCCTCTTGGCTGATCTCCACTTCCTGTGAAGCAGACCCGGCAATTGTTGTACGAGGCAGTTCCCCCTTGTGGTATCTCAATATCTCGGCGCGAAGATTTGCCTCATAGTCCTGGGCCTTCCTTTGAATTTGTTCAATCTCGTTCCATGTAGTTGCACAGTGCAGATGAAATTTACCAGATCGCGCAAGAACGTCATGCCGGGCGAGAGGGTGATTTGGGTGTGACTTTTTGAGCAATCTTAGACTTCTTCCACTCTCGAAAATCAGCTGGGCCTGATCCGCGGGGATAAACGATGGCATATGTTCTCCACGGTACAAGTATTCGATTCTTGAAGAGCCAGTCCTAAATCTACCGGGATCGTCATGTTGCTCAACACCAAGGAATGTCTTGCCGCTGACAATTAAATCATTCAGTGCAGATCCTTCAGGGCGAAGCCCAATCCAGCCCTCGATAAACCCAAGCCAGGGTTGCGTTACTCGAACAACAATTTCTTGTACAAGATTCTCCATCCAGCCATATTTCTGAGCGAAAAATGCTGCATGATCCATGGTAATGGAAATGACCTGCGCGTCTGAGTTGGCCTTTTCGGTTGCTCTTATAATATCTGCCAGGGCTTCGATCAAGTCTCCACAGCGATGAAATAGTGTGGTCACTTGTAGGAGTGAGACAACGGTTTCCGAATGTCCAGCAATTTGGCGCTCAAGATGATAAAGGCTAACAGCAATGGTACCACGCAAAGCAAACACGGACGCCAGATCCTTCGACTTGGTCTGCAGATTTCGTGCGAATGATCGAGCGTACTGCATGTTCGTACCACAGCGCAAGACGTCTTCAATAATAGAATCGGTGACTGATTGGCTCACTCCGGACATGCGCGAATTGGGCAGGTGTTTTTCGAATGTCGCCTTTCGGGGATTGTAGCGAAAGAGCGGGGAGCTCCATCCAAGGCCTAGGCGTAGCAGTGATCGCACAAAAACATCTTCTCGAACTGGTCGGACAACATTTCCCTGCCCTTTCATGCGATGTTGGTCTGTCAGTGCCGCATCAAAGCCCCTCGTGCCCGACTCGCTAAAATAGGCTGATACGGGTTCTTCAAATATTCGTGCGTGGAATTTCTCCCACGATTTGTGAGGGGCGACAAAGCCAGTCTCCACTTGCAGCGCATCCAATGCCCAAATGTCATTTTCGTCGTCTCTGTTCTGCAGGGCATCCGTTGATGTATCAGATTGGGCGTCTAAGGAAGCATCGAGGCTCTCGGCGGATGATTCTGGAGGTTCAATGTCATTTGAGAAGTTCAATTTCCAGATCGAGTCGATCTTGTCAATCGAGGGAAGCGAGGCTGTAAATTTCGAGTCGGAAAAATCTATACAGCAACCCAGCAGTTAGTGTACCAATGGCGCATAACATTTGGGGCGTGACATACCTGGCAAGCCCGTGTTCCATGGTAATTCGTCCAAAGGTCGCAGAGCCTCAGTTGTGAACCTCGAAAGTCTCCAGAGACTCGCACTGGAGAATGGATCGTGGTCCTGTTCAGCGAGATCCATCATGAACCCATATTCAGGGCATGTACAGAAAGTGCCGTCTCGACGCGTTAAGCATGATCGATTCCAGTCCGCGCAAATGACTATCGTGCACGGACCTACGCGATAACAGAAACCCGCGAGACCTTCAACTAAATGTCCATGAACAATTTCGCTTTTCCATTCCCCGCGAAACCCTCTTGTTTTCTTCTTTTTCTCTCCATTGAAGATAACCACAGTCGCAATGCCTCCAAGGAAGAAGACCAAGCGCGCACATTCGACCACACCGCCAGCTGAGGCGGCGCAATCGAGCGCCGACACACCCGGTTCCACCGAAAGTGTTGAGAAGCCCGAGGCAGATTATGACATACTCACCGATCCGTGGACTGATGAGCAGGAGACTGCTCTTTTAAAAGCAATTATTAAATGGAAGCCGGTTGGTGAGTCTGGAATATGGCATGATGTGCAATGCAATGCCCATGGAGCTAATCATTTGATCGCATTCCTCCAGGCGTCCACAAACATTTTCGAATGATTGCAATAGCAGAGTTCCTACACAGCCAAGGATACGGTCCCACCACTGCAGAGCACTTAAGTATTCCAGGGATTTGGAAGAAATTGGGTACTCTCTACAATCTCGAAGCTCTCAATGAACGGGTGAGCAAACCGTCCCCAAATCTGGGTATATCCTTGCTAATCGAGCTCTTTAATCAGGAGGACTCGGTGATTACAGATATGAATGAAGACGAGGACGGGGTTAGTGAGCGGTACTGCCCCTTCGAGCTTCCTTACGATGAATACGGCGATCTTATGTTCGAGAGACGGCTAGCGACGGAGGGTTCTTCGTCGCCGGTCATGAGCCGCCATGCCGACTCTCGACGAGGAAGTACAGTCGCAGATACCGACGGTAATTATCCACGAATTGGCTCCTTGGTCTTGCTACCGTATTAACCACAACGACTTGCAGAACCGCGCTCCTCTCCTGCCCCGTCTCGAGGTCGAAAGTCCACCCGTGGCACCCGTCAAACTGCCCCAAAAACTCGTTCAACAAGGCTCCATGTGGAAATCGGCACTGGCAGTCACGAGAAATTGTCCGAGTCGGATCTAGATTCTGGCGAAGAAACTCCCGTGAATGACGATGATGAAGAAGAGGGAGAAGAGGGCAGCGATGAGAAGGAAAGCGAAGACGAGGAAGAAGGCGATGATGAGAAAGAGGGGTCACGAAGTACACGAGCGCAAACATCGCGGACAAAGCAAAAGGATAAGAAGCCCTCCACAAGTACAGGGACTCGAAGGACTGGTCGTCGTCGTTGATCTCATCATACATGGTCTGGATTTATTGTGATACCTATCAATTGATGGCGTTTGGGATTGGGACCTGCGTGGCATGCATAGTTATGAATTATATTTTTAGGCCATTTGATAAGCAATCTAGTCTCCGATTTGAAGACAATAACCCGGAAAAGTGGGCAGTGTTCCAGGCCACTCTATTATAGCCTAAACTTTCCCCTCCGGAAGATTCAGCATACCCCGCAAAGTTATGGTCTAAAATACTCAAGGTCTCACCGACTCAAACCTCTTTTCCTACTGATAACTATGGCGCTATCAACACCAATCGGAGTTGCTCTCATTGGAGGAGGCAAGTCAGCACAGTGCATTTCACAGAATTCTGCTAAGCGTATACGATATAGGAATTTGGGCCCGAGAGGAGCATGCTGTGAGCAGTCTGATACTTTCAAATGACGATTCCACTAATATGAAGAATCAAGCCCGCCATCGAAGCCGCCAAGACCCTCACTCTCAAAGCCGTCTACTCACGCTCTGCAGTATCCGCTAAATCTTTGGCTGACAGTCTTGCCTATCCTGTCGACCTCTATTCCGAAGATAGTGACAGAGGTCTTGATGAGCTCTTGAAACGGACCGACATCGGGGCTGTCATTATCGCGTGGGTTGAGCATGATGATGATTGAATAGAAATACTAATCAAGTCACAGACTGTCCATTGAAAGCCAACCCCGCTTCATCAAAGCGGCTCTTCTATCTGGGAAGCACGTACTCTCCGAGAAACCCATAGCAGAGAATATCCAAGACGCAGAGGATCTCATCAAATGGTACCGTGCTGATATCAAGGGTCCAACCTGGGCAGTTGCGGAAAACTGGCGCTATCTGAACAGCTACAACTATGCAGTGAACATTCTCCAGGGACTTGGGAAGATCGTGGGTTTCCAGGGACGTCAGCATAACAATATCGCAGAAAACTGGAAATTCAATCGTGAGACAACCTTCCATCCTCAATCTAAATCCCACTCCTAATCTAATTAATTGATTTAGTCACACCCTGGCGACGTACCCCTACCCATCAAGGCGGGTATCTTTTAGATGGCGGCGTTCACTTTACCGCGGGCCTTCGACTCCTGCTAGGTTCACAACCCGGAAACGAGATAGATACTCTCTCGGCATTTACAAACCAGATCATGCCTCATCTACCTCCAGTCGATACTGGCAATATGATCTTGAAAACACGGTCCGGGGTTAGTGGAGTTCTTCAGATCTCGCTGGGTACTTCATTGCGGGCGAACGAGTGGACTATTGCATGTGAAAATGGGTGGGTTAAAATTGAGGGGGAGAATGTGATTGTTTGTCGTGACTCTCAAGGTGATGTGCAGACTGTTACTATTCGAAATGAACGGACGGGCGTTCCTCCTGAGGTTGAAGCTTGGGGGGCGAGTCTTGTGGCTGGGAAAGTGGTGTCTGAGCAGGAGCCTGAGGCTGCATTGGCCGATCTTGAGTTGGTAAGTTGGGTTTCGAAGTTCGGAGGATTGTAGATGCTAATCAATGGATAATTATAGATTGAGCTTATGCTTCGGAGTGGAAACCAGGGTGGCACTCCTTTTACCTGCAAACATCAAGATGTTTAGTCGTAGATAGCGACAAGGTGAAGACAAATTATAGTGCAAATATCCAAATAAAAAATACACCTCTACTGTAACTTGCTTTATTGGTTCCCGAAGTTTTATGACTTGTAAATATTCATATTCAGTTATGGATATCGTATAGTTATAGTTATAATCGTAGACACATAGCTAGAGCAAATCAAATATCCTCCTAACAGACGTCGATATTCGTTATTCGTTTAGTGCTTAGCAGCCTCTGTGCGATGATTAGTACCTAGCATAACATTTTCAAATGGTGAAGACTTACCCTTGTGGACATCAGCCTTGGTGTCGTGCTTGGACTCATCGAACTTGTCACCGAGAGCGTCCTTGGCAGCGGAGGCACGGGTGGAGATCTTGGCATCGGAGTCCTTAGCAACTTCCTTGTTGGCCTCCTTGGAAACGCCAGAAGTAGCTCCCTGAACAGACTCAGCGACGTAGTTGGCGGCGTTCTAGTATGATTAGTATGGATTCGCGGACAAGGTAAGGTGGTTGTGGTTCTGCTCACCTTGACAGTCTCCATTGTGAATGATGAAAATGATTGAATATTGGTTATTGAGTAGTAGAGTTGAGTGAGGAATTGGATTGAAGTGTTGAATGAATAATGATTGTTCATGGACTTAACAGACTATTTATTATACTGGGTGGGGTTAACGTCATACATTTTCTCCTGCTTTTTAGTTGGACAAAACCTTAACCAGGTAAATGCGCGTCATGCTACATTACATTGATCTGGTTCCTTGGTTCACTATGGGCTGGGTACTCTTCCGATCGAAAATCATTTCCAAGGCTTTAAACTACTAAATGAGGTATGAGGCGTATGTAAACAGGATTTCCATGAACGCCAATGACATCTGTGCAAATAACTTGGTCTGGACCCACACTTCAATATACTGTAGATTGTATGACATTCTCCGACTTTCCATGTACGTAATGTAGTCCCTTTTTGTTTCACATGTTATTCTCCTCATTTTACCCCAACGTTTCTGGTACCCCAGCCTTAGTAGCTCCCGAGGTCAGCGCGTGTGATTATTATTCGTTACTACGTCAGACAAGGCATTCAGAATTCCTATTCCCATCAGTGAATGATCTAGTGAATCCATCTTGTAGAAGTTCACATTTGCGCCAACTTCAAATGATGACCCTCTATATACTCTGTAGAATACACCTAATCGAACTTCAAGCTTCCACACTCAAGCTTATTCAAGCTACCAGTAGCCTATTCTGTTCGTATTTTACCTTCGCACTTATCCTTATATGTATACAATGTAGGACCTTGTCTAGATGCTTGGATACTGCTGCTTCACAAAACATAATGGATTGCTACAGCGCCTAGCTTGATCCCTGTCGATCGCACAATATTGGCCGTGCATTTTAAGGCACATCCATCACCTGACATGGATATTTTGGCTAAGATGGTGTCGGGCACGTCTATGGTACACCATGCCGTTTGTCGCTAAGATCGACATGGACCTCGGTGTTCTTTTAACCCCAAACAATGACTCCGTGATGGATACATACTACTGTAACTACATCTGCTAACGTATTTCACAGGCGGATGGGCCACCATCAAACACCATAGTATATGCGATAAATTACAACTCATTGTCGCAACAATAGTGGTCTGTAGGAGCTTTTCCTCGAAGCCTAGTTCTTTATCTATGATGTCTAGTCTATTTTAAGAGAGTTTTGAGAATTTTCATGGCTTTGCGACAGGAATATATATATCTCATCGGCTTCACGATGTACATGTATATATTCGGTATCATGATAATACAAGATTTCAATTTAGTAGAAATTGATATAGGCTTATAATGATCCTGATCAATATTCTATCGGCAAGTAATGGAATAGAGTAAGATTGTGGTTGTTGAGATATTTGAATAGTGGATATCGCATTTACTATGGCACCGTGTTTTGAGGGTGGCCCATCCGCCTGTGAAATACGTTACCTACTAGTACTACTCCGCAGGTGCCGAGGTATCCATTTCAGCAAATTCTACCACTGGTACAGAGTGGTTATTATCCAGATTTTTGGATAAAATGTGGCAGAACTCCTGTATATTCGCGGCAAGTAATCTCGTAACTACACAAGTAGGTATATTTCGATCGCTATAGGAAGTCTAATGTCGTTCGAGGGGCACATGTAAAAAATCAAATGGTCATAGTACAGAAAGGCGAGTGGCGACAGCTTTACTGGAGGCGCTTCATAATAGCCGCGGCGTACTCGTGGGTCTTGGCGGTACCACCAAGGTCACCAGTGAGGAACTAGAGAGGAGATGTCAGCAAGATACCCGGAGTCGAGAGGCAATGCGAAAACTAACCTTGCCCTCAGCCAGGGTGTCGAAGGTGGCCTTCTGAATGCGGTTAGCGTGGTCATGCAGACCCATGTGCTGCAGCATCATGATACTGCTCAGAAGGAGAGCAGTGGGGTTGGCAAGACCCTTGCCAGCGATATCAGGGGCGGAACCGTGGACGGCCTCGAAGATGGAGCACTCGTCACCAATGTTACCGGAGGGGGTGAGACCGAGACCACCGATCAAACCGGCGCACATGTCGGAGAGAATATCACCGTACAGGTTAGGCATGACAAGGACCTTGTCGTTGTAGGGGGTGGGGTCGGTGACGATCTTCAGGCACGAGTTGTCCAGCAGCTCAGCGTCGAACTCGACATCAGGGAAGTCCTTGGAGATGTCACGGGCGGTGTTGAGGAAGAGACCGTCGGACATCTTCATGATGGTGGCCTTGTGCACAACGCGAACCTTCTTCTTGTTGATGGACTCGGCGTACTGGAAGGCGAAACGCAGGACACGCTCGGAGGCCTCCTTGGTGATGAGCTTGATGCTCTGCACGACACCATCGACAACAACGTGCTCAATACCAGAGTATTCACCCTCGGTGTTCTCACGGATCAGGACAGTGTCGACACCGTCGTAGGGGGTCTTGAAACCGGCGATGGAGCGGCAAGGACGGACGTTGGCGAACAGGTTGAAGGTACGGCGCAGAGTCAGGTTCAGGGAGACGTGACCCTTACCAACGGGGGTCTTAAAATGCGATAGAATTTAGTATTGCGACATCGAATGAGCCAACAGCGGGCACGAGGGGGGAACATACGGCGAGAGGACCCTTGAGCGCAACGTAGTTCTTCTCAACGCTCTTGATAGCTTCATCAGGGATGGCAGTCTTTCCGTCCTTGAGGATGGGACCGACATCGACGGGCTCCCACTTGATGGGGGCCTAGAGGAAATGTCTTTAGTATTTCAATTGCACTTGGAATTGGGCATTTCGGGTTGGGTAGCTCATACCTTGGCAGCCTCGAAGATATCCTTCACGGACTGAGCGATCTCAGGACCAATACCATCACCCTCAATTAGAGTAACAGTGTACTTGCCCTATAATTCCAGAACAAAATCGTCAGCATTGTCGCTCAGGTATGCGGATCATGATGTTTGTGGTAAGATTTGGTGCGCGACGGGCTTTGCGCGGCTGGCGCCGGCATTGAGGAAGAAAAAAGAAAAAACGAAGTTGAAAGGATATCAGCGTACATCAGATCCCTTTTGGCCCTTGAACTTGGCGACAGCATTGTCAGCAGGGGAAGCGAAACCGCGAACCTAAATGAGAAGGCGCAAATAGTCAGTAAATGTGCCTTGAAGATTATTAGAGGGTTTTGAGTACCTGCGACACGGAGGCCACGAAGTAGGGAGTGCGGACGGAGCGCAAGCACTGGCGAGCAGCAGAGAAGTTTCTGGCGGCAAGCATCGTGAAAAACTTCAATCAGCTAAAAAACAAAAGTTTAGGATTGGATGGTGGGGAGGAGAAGGGAAAGAAGGAGAAGAAAGAATCAACTTTGTTCGGCCGCACTGATCCGACCGGGACGCAGACCGCATTGGTGGTTTGATTCTCCCCCGGTAACCCGAGTCCACAATCTCTCACTCCATTGGTCTTCGGTGAACCCTTCCAATCTGGAGCTTCCTTACCACTTGTTGCTATCTCTAATCCTCAATTTCTATGCAATTCCGGTCTCCACATTTGATAGGCTATCCTGCTTAGGCCTCTCGACGTCGGGCATCATCTGATTGAATACCTTTACCTAACCCCACGTCTAATCTGTTTCGTCTCCACTCCCAATTAGCCCATAGCTGGCATCATGTCCGATCTGGATGTCGCCAGTCACTACAATCTACCTTCCGAATACCCCGAAGCATGGCCGGCAGCACTAGATGAGGATGATGCATCAGATGAGGAACCCGTGGAGCGAAGCAAGTCCCGGCCCCGGAAGTCGCGCTACTTCGCTCTCGAACGCACCCCCAGCGACTGGCGGAGTGGTTACGGATCGCAGCGGCGTGGAAAGGACACCAGAGAAAATGCGCAGAATGATGAACCAGATCCGTTGGGAGGGGGGGATAGCGTTCTGCGTATCTTGAAGCAAAAGGGTCTACGTCTAGAGGAAGAGGGGGGTAAACGGTCGCGGTTCCTGCTATCATCAACATCCTTCTCTCCCGCGCTCTTCCTATCCCAGGCCCATCACTCAGACTCCATTGAATCGCTCATTGCCGGGTTAGACCATCTATCTCAGTCTATCGATCAGAAGTCTGCGTCGCTGAAAGTTTTAGTGGAAGCCAATTTTGAGCGCTTCGTTCGCGCCAAGGCAACCATCGATAGTGTATACACAGAAATGAGAGACCAAGGTGCACCCAATGAACCAAATCTTGCTCCACGAAGATCAGGTCACTTCCGAAGCTTATCAGGGCAGCGGGGTGTATCTCCTTCTCCAGCAAGTATGGGCCAGGCTACCCCTCGTAAGACGGCACTTGTCAAGGAGAGCGATTATGGAATGAAAGGCATCCGAACTCCCCTTGTGGAGGCGTCGGTCAAAGCTGAGGAGGTTTGGGGGCCAGCCCTTGGAGGCCGTGATCGGGAACAGATACTTAAGTCAGTCGTGGAAACGATGGAGAAAAACCGCGATGTATACGAGATTGGAAGTCACCTATCCAAGTCCATCCAACAGCGAGACTACGACTCCGTGTTTGAAGAATACACCAAGGCAAGGACTCTCGCAAATCGAGCAAAGAGCATTGTGGAGCAGGCCTCCAGCTCACGTCGCCAGCTATCCGATCATGAGGCGCATACAATCTTAGCGATGGGACGGATGTGGATGGATGTGGACGAGCAGATTCATGCTTTCAAGCGCGAGCTCTGGAGAAGACTCGGCGATGCCCCTACAACTTCCACGACAAGCACCGCGACGGGTCCGGTTGAGGAACATATGGAGCTTATCGGGGCACTCTTGGAGTTGGGCGTTGATGATAATCCCATTTGGACCTGGCTTCACAGTCGCTACGAGTTCCTCAAGACTAAAATCACTTCCTTTTGTGACCGCTGCAAGGTGGAAATTGAAATTTTGAGACGCCGGCTTGCCGGTGGGGAGAAACCCACGCCTCAAGCCGTAGCTTCCTACCTTCGCCTGGCGCCCCGTGACGGCTCAGCTGATGTCCCTGAAAATCTTGACACAGATCATGTCATTGAGCTTTGGGACTGCATTCAGGCGTTCCTCACTCGCCTCCTCTCATCGCAGAGTGGCTTACTGGGCGAGCTGCTAGATTTCTGGGAGGTTGCCCATGCATTCATTGATGGTAGTCGCCAACGACTACTTCCAGTTGGCTTTGAAGGTGAGAGCCGGAAACATCACCGCCTTACCCCTGCGAATGTAGAGGAGCTCGAAAGGGGTGTTGTGGAACTGGTCAACTTGATCCGAGAAAATGTTCTTTCGCTCTTCAATGATCCCCCAACTGAGGATATCTCCCTCCTCTCTTCGCCTATTCTACCAAGTCCAACAAGTCCTGCGACCCATGGAGTCACGCCGACTGAGTCCCGGTTTAAACTGGATCCAAAGAATCTCCCTATACCCGCCCCTCAGCGCGGAGAACACTGGGAGGGTTGTGCCTTCTGGCCACCCTTCTCCAACTCCCTCAGTGGCGTTCACTACTTGAGTACATTTCTCATAATAATTGGTACCGCTGCCAGTGAGATGGCGGCTTTGCGCCCAGTCACACACAGCGGATCAACCCATGATCTGCTCAAGTCTCTGGTGAGTGTCGCCCGGGACAGATCTGCCCGTGTTGCATGCGCAGCATGGAGTAAGGATGCGGAGTCTTGCAAGATGCTGGAGGACTGGACGCGGGATTCCGAAAAGCGAGACTTAACCAAGATGCCTGGCTTGTTTGTGGCATTTGAAAGTGCCATCCTAGGCGGCATGCAGAAGATTCTGTACATCTCTGAAGCCATGAGCAAATCTGGAACTGTGGATGTCGTCACCCAACCACCTGCGAAACTGCTTCAGATGGTTCGTACGCAGTTTGTGTCTAGTGTTTACAAGGCACTCAGTGGACTGGTCGAGAATGCAGAGCGAGTAACGGCGTCAGAAGAAGAGAATGAGTGGGTTATTAGCCGGCCAGTCATGACAAGTCAGGCCCTTGATGCAACTTTGTCCGTGCTCGCGGCCGATTCTGTGGATTCGCAGGATAGGGTAAGCACCCTTCACTCTCAAACCACCCTAATTACTAATCAAAGCGCAGAATGTACGGATTCTCCTTACACTTTCCAACCTGAAGGCTCTGCAGTCCGAATATGTGCCGCAGTTGATCTCCAACTTCGAGACCTCGTTCTCTGTCAAATTGACGGAAGAGGGTAAGACGGTTCGGGACGTCCTGAAGCAAATCGAAGATCGACTGTTTGTATCATACACCAGTCCGACCCTTGCCTTGCTAAAGAAGACTATCTCTACCGGCATCGAGTCTCCGGACTGGGTGCCCAAGACGGATCGCCCTGACCAGGTTCGCCCTTACGTCTACAATACCCTATTGACTCTGGTTCTCGTGCATACCGAGATCTCCACTACTGTGCCATCCACCGTATCGCCAAGTGCTAGCCGTCCATCACCAAATGCCCCATCGTCACTACTTACCATTGTATTCACCTATCTACTTGGGCAAATATCCACGGCCTTACTCACCTCTTTCCGTACTCGGTCTAGCTTCTCACTTGCTGCTCTCATGCAAGCTACCCTGGACACCGAGTTCATCGCACAGACCCTCTCCCAGTACTCGACGGACGAAGCATCTGGAATTCAGAGTCAGATCTACGTGGAATTGGACCATCGCACCACAAATGAAGCCCGCTCAAAATTGCAGGCCGACCTAGGCGAGATGAGAGTCGTACTCAAACGATTGAGAGATCGGACAAAGGGCGAATTTGCCTGTTTCCGCAAGCCCCGTAGCGGAACCAAGAATCCCTCCGCATAGTGTTGAATTTAGCAACTGTCAAAGCATAATCAAGCGTTCATGAATTTTTGTTCTTGCATCGGGTATCACGAAAAATAGATGATGTAGTTCTCCTTTAAACAAAACATGCTTTTATGACTGTCCAACCATTCGCTGCACCCGACTCAGCAGCGCATTGCTTTCCCTTCCCAATCTCCGTTTGCCAAACTGATCCGGCCGCTTAGCACGAAGCATCGCCTCCCGCTCCTTTTGCTTGGCCTCAACCTCCCTCTGTCGAGCCTCAGCAGCCTTCTTCCGCTGTTCCGCAATCTCAAGCTCTTTTGCAAACGCCGACCGCTTGGGTTTGCGCTCCCTCTGCTGTCCTTGGTTCCGTGGGCGCCGTTCTGGTCTCGGCGCAGGCTCTGGTGACGGCTCCGGCTCATTCAACATGGCCATACGAGCCGGGTGAAGTTCTGTCGACGCAGGTTCGGCGACCTGGGGTTCTGTTGTTTCTTTCTCCTCATCGGCAAGGGCGTAAACGGACTTAGGTGTAGGGGCGGCGAGTTCTTGTGCTTTGATCTTGGCGTAAGCTTTCTTCACCTTGGCCTTGTGGATCAGATCGGATTTGATTTTTTGCGCTAATCACGAATACTGTTAGATTTCATGGATCGAGTAGTCAAAGAGAGTGAGTCCAAGAAAGTTGAAGGGTCGCTCACTCTTGCGCCGGTAGGTGCCATCGGGGAGATTGGCTGGGCCAACGCTGAAACCCTTGCGCTTCTTAATTGCAGATTCACGGGGTTCTTTGGATGCCTTAGCATCACGAGGGGGTTTTGGTGCCATAGTGTATGTCAGTACGTTGATACTGCTGTGTATGGGAGTGGAGATGGGGGGCGGAAGAAAAAAAAAAAAAGTGATCGACGGTTCCGCCCAGAGATTGGAGACCAACAGATCAACGGCTTGGATTACTGTCCAGTTATTATTTATTAGTTCTACTGTTATAGTATTTTCATGTTCTAGTAGATCTATTAGTTCTTCGAATGCTCTGTTTCATTTTTTTTCCCATTAATATCATCATATATAGTTCATATGTTGAAACTTTCCCTTAATCTCCTTATCGGGGAAAGTAACATGACGATGATTCATCCCGAAAACCGAAATGGACCCACGACATGACATGACATGACCTTCTTTCCTTCCCGGACTCTCTCTCCGACCACGAGTATTCTCTTTGTTCTCTTTATTCTCTTTATTTTTCTTATTCGCTTTAATATTTTATAGATAAAGCCTGAGTCACCGCTTTCTTCCTTCCCTATCAAGCGTATACCCGAGCGCACACCGCATCCCAACCCCACCCACGGCCTGTTGGCACTCGATTCGTGCTTGCCACATAAGTGATCTCCTGAGATGCCCGATCCAACATTTCAGGCCCTATAGCCCTCTTAAACACGTCATTATGCCCCTTTTTCATGACCCGGACCGCCGGTATCACTTTGCATGGTCTGATGACCGCAGCCAGCGTGATCCCGGACAGCTTGCCCAAAGGTCCTCCGAACATCCTTTAGACAAAGAGAATAATCTTGAAAGTGAAGGGCCATTCATCATGGAAAACTTGCAGTCATCTTCTGCAGAACACTCTCCGGCAAGAATGTGGAGCAGTGATGAGCGGCAGGAACTTATACAACGAATCAAAGAATCCTCGCCTTGGAGGCTTCAATATAAGGTGCGTTCGTTGGGTCGAATTAGCTGTGGATACTTTCATTTAATATACAGAAGCATCTTGTGGCGGGTTTCAATATCCCGGTCTTGATAGCTAACACTATATAAATCCGCAGAACGATGATCACAGCGATGACTTGTTCTATATGTCTCACAACTCCCCGGTGGAGCAAAAGGCAGAACAAACCATCGATGCGAAATTAGCGGACGCCCATAGCTATGCAAATTCGACAAAGACAGAGGAACTAGGATCGCCGGCCGATATCCAGAGACCTCGATCTGCATTACACTCCGGAGATTTCCGTGAACGGGCAGCAAATGGTCCCCCACAGTCCCCTCGGCCCCGATTCACACAGCCTAGCCAGTTATCTATATCTCCTCATCTAGGGACATCCCCTACTACACCATGGTTTGGGGCATCCGTCTTCCCAAGTACTTCTGGGTCCAAACCCTTTGGCGAACAGCGGCAGCCCGAACTTGGCATACAAACCCGTTCCAGGGCACCGTCACTCGGCTCTTTCTCGTCAAGCTACGTTCTGAAGGTCCCTACAAGTCCTCTCGTATATCAAGCCAATAACACCGACCTTGACTTTTCACCGGTTGATCCGAAAGAATCTGGGCTCACGGAGAGAACCAACAGACGACGTACACTACCACCAGAGTCTTTTCGGCATCTCCAGTCATCTCCTCCTAGCATCCGAGCTGTTGATATTCGTACACCCTATTCTCGCGGTGGTCATGATAGTGATTTCCAGTCAAATTATGTCCCTCGACGGACATTGACATCAGCGTATAGCCTTCAATTGGCATCGACGGGCAATACCGCTGCATATCGAGCAAGAAGACCGTCACTTGCTTCCGAGCTCTGTCCTTCAGCTCATGCACCGATGGTTGGATCCTACGAGGAATCAATCCTACGCGGACGAATGTCGATGAACCCTTCCAAACCTTTGGACTTTACTGCACAAATCGGTGTTTTAGGGAAAGGCAAATGCAAAGGACATCTGAAATGCCCACCACATGTCACTGTTCCCTTCCCAGCGGTCTTCTATAGCTACCCCACGTCAGGAAGTGGCCGCTCCATCTCAGATGATAGTCCTAGTCCTTATGTGGGACAAATCGATCTGGAGAATTCACTATCCAGGGACGATTCAAGCACGACCCGACGTCGTCGACGGCATTTTAGCCCGGTAGCTTCAAATGATGGACCTAGTCATGACAAAGGGACCCCTCGGGCTCCCAGTACGGACACAAGACGTCGCCGGGAAAAGAAGAGTCGCAGAGCGGAATCACCCAAATGTCCCCCGGGTGGATGCTACCGGATTCCGCAACAGGGACAACTACAAATCATCATCAAGAATCCCCACAAGACCGCAGTCAAGCTATTCCTTGTGCCATACGACCTTGAAGATATGGAACCAGGGACTAAGACGTTCATCCGGCAACGAAGCTATTCGGCTGGTCCGATCATCGACATGCCACTGAGCGCCCGGAAAAATTACGGCACTGATCGTCCTGAAGCCTCGCTGAACGCCACAGAAAATCCCCACGATAAACCAACTTTGCGATACCTCATCCACCTCAATATTTGCTGTCCCTCCCGTGGTCGCTTCTACCTCCACTCGAGCATTCGCGTGGTCTTCGCAAACCGAGTTCCAGACGGAAAAGAGAAGCTCCGTAATGAGAATCAACTACCAGAGCCTCGCTACAGTCCATACAAACCCACTCGTGAACCCAGTCTCTCGGCATCGGCCAGTGCCCGACTAGCAATCGAGAAGGCCGCTCGTAGACGAAGTGTCGATCAAGGCCCACTCCCCTTCCCAAGCGACGATGCGTTGCATTGGGCTCCAGAATATATCGGGTTTCCAGGATCTCCACAACTTCAGCGGGATGATGTTGCAGAGAGCAACAAGCTCAATAAGGGCGATGTCAGATACGGAGGCTCCCTTCCCTCTGGCCAGGGTACCTCCGATACCGGTGAGAGTTTACTTGCGAAGAGGCTTCGTGGCCTAGACGTTCACAGGAAAGAGTCATTTGACCGTAAATGAGTTGAAAATCAACTGCCTAGCCACCACTGCGAAGGGATCTTAACCATCATCCTCGTCAAGTCCGCCCAAGGCATCTAGCCTAGTTGAGGTCACTGGTAACAGGAAATCAACAAAGAAAATCATCCGCATCAACATCAACACATGAAAATCAATGGACGTGCCAATTTGAGTCACTGCAGTATACTAACTACAGTCTTTCCCATTTCACATCTCACACCTTGACTAAGTCGACACTGGCTGTCGCCTTTTACAATTCCTTCTTATTTCTTATATCCTTTTATTTCTAAAAAACAAGGGTAGACCAGACCTATGAGCCATTGAACATATACACTTTTCATTTTTGTCTTTCATTCGTTTCCCTTGCATAGCATGGTGTTATTGGTTGTCACAATCACATGCTTGTGTTTCTTGAGATATTGGGACATTAAATTGGGAAAAAAACCTTGAATCAATATCAAAATCTCCCTCTTAAGCCAATTTTCTCTACGTAGGTTTTGTCTATGCAATATTAGGTCCATTCAATGTTATCAGGATCTCGCGATCATACGAGGAGTTTAAATGGTCAGATCTATAGATGACAGTCAACAATTCCTTTCGTGTAACTAAATGCAAGTCTGGCATATAGGTTCTAAAAAAAGTCTTGATGAATTGAACAAGATGAGTACCAAGCAAAGCGCTATTATTTCTATGGACAAGGGTTGTTCTTAGGCAGTTACATGAACAAATATGGAACACTTCTCAACCAAGAGGTCTAAGCTTAACCAGCATGCTCGACAATCTCGGTTACCAAAACGCCATCCTTAATGTAGCTCTTAAGCTGCTCGGGAACGGGGCACTCCTTGGTGTCGTCATCAGTACCCTCCTTAGGCGGGAGTGTTATGTTAATAGCACTGCACTTGCTAGTGAAGATCTCAGTCGCAAGACTCTGCTGGCCAAGGTAGATGGTGGCACCATCAACCTGATCGAGCATGATAGTGGGGACAACGCCGTCAATCTGCAGAGCGAATTTGGGAGACTTGATGATATCCAAACAGCTAACCAGAGAATCAACAATAATGGACAAGCCATTGCAGTTGTCGATGGAGATAGCATTAGCCTTGCCGTTGACCTTGACGATAGTCTTGTTGCAGCGCGAAATGAGGATAGACTGGTTCTGCGCCGCGGAAATCTCGACGATGTCATCCGCAGCCTCGAAGTTCTCAATCAGCCACTTGTTGCCCTCCAGCTCCTTGCGCGGGGGCTTCTTTGTGCGCATGCTCTCGGGCTTGGGCTTCTTGCTGGGTGCGGGAGACTTGCTCCGGACAGCACTGGAGCTGGTGGAGTCTGCGCGGAGGCTGGGGTTCTTGTGTGTCATCTGTGACTTGTCGACCTTGCGCAGACCAGAGGTGATTTCTTCTCCCTGGTTGAGCTGGTCGAACACGGCGGCCATATCTGGACCGGGAGCAGAAGAGGGTGGGGGAGGCGGTGGGGGCGCACCGCCACCAGGGACATTGAGAGTTGGAACAGGAGGGGGAGGGGGGGAGGGGGAGGAACACCCCCAGTAGCTCCAGCTGGGGTGGGACCGCTCTTGATCTGTTTCAAAGCCTCCGAAACATCGACTCCGGATTCGTCGTTCCATGTCAGGCCCTTGGGGTAGTGCTTCTTAAGATAGGCAGCAAGACCCTTGAAGTTCTGGTAGTAGGCTTGAATGTACTCAACATGTGTACGGTCCCTAGGTATGTCAATTGCTTGTCCTCGTTGTATTATTCACTATGTAGACTTACTTTTCTTTGTATTCCTTCAGCACCTTATTACCATAGTACTGAATACCACCAATGATATCAACCACAAAATCGGCAGGCTTGCTCTCAAAGAACCAGCCCAGAGCAACAATACCCTCTGCGACAGCACTCAAGTGGTTGAAAAGAGGGGAGGCGCGGTTCGATTCGCGAAGGTTGTTAATATTATCCGAAGCTTTGTGCAGATCGGTCATAAGCTCCACGGGCTGAGGCTCGGGCTTCTTGGCCTTTGTAGAGACATAGAGGTAGGTGCGCTCAGCCTGGAAGGCCTGCAGAACTGCTTTAGACTATTGGAGCTGTCAGCAACCGATATCCAGGTATAGTAACGTCTCGAGAGACCTACCTGCTCTGCAACCAAGCCACCAATCTTCTCACCCAGGTTCACAAAATTCTGTACATCTCCTTTGATTAATGCGTCGAAGTCCTGGATCTGGGGTGGGATTGGAGCGGCGGCCGGAGCTGCTGGTGGCGGAGGAGCGGGCTTCGGGGGCTCGGGCACTGCGGGCGATGTAGCAGTAGGGGTTCCGGTGCTCTTTGGGATGTTGGGGTCATCCAAGTTCATGGCCATATCCTCCAAGCGTGAGGTCGCCGCCTCGAGCCTATTGTGACCGGGGTCAGTCGCATATACCAGGGCCAGGGAAGGCTTGGGCTGGATCGAAACAGAATTCCAACTGAATATTGCTATTTAAGCTACTATCAAAGACAATACATACCGCTTGATGAGGGTGGTGAAATTGTGCATGTTGTTGGCGCTCGCCATGATAGGCAACGTTGTTCTCTCTAAAGGGGTAAAGAGTCGGGGCGCAAAGAAAGCGACTGAAGAAGTTGAGATGAAAAAGGGCCAACAGACAGGAGTTGCAGTTTTGCAAGACCAAACCTCTCGCACCAAGTGTTGGGAGGGAGAAGTTGTAGGACACGAATGATGTAGCGGCCCCGGAGCTCTCCTGAGGTTTCCCGCAGCCTGTCCCAGCAACGGTAACTTACATACTCAAAAGCGGTCCCCACTTGCACCATAGTTCATGTATTACTGGTAATTACATTACTATCACTCCACTACACTCTGGCCCACTTCAAGTTACTAAAATGATAGACTTGTTTCTCTTCTTCTACTATTGGCTGTGCTCCAATCTACCATAACAACCATGAATATAACAGATCTGCCAAAAGCCCAGGCGGGCGAAGTTGAGTTCTGCACCTTGGGAATGTTCATCATAGGTATATTGCCTTATCTCAACACCCCGCTGGCCAGATACTTACGGATATGTTCCTGCAGATGATATTGAATTCGGAGGTTCCAGGCCCGATGTCAAGAATGTTCTCGGCGGAGCTGCGTCTTTCGCAGTTGTCGGCGCCCGTTTGGTTGCAGGGGCCGATCATGGACGGGCTGTGAGTTGGATTGTGGATGTGGGATCCGACTTTCCACCGGAGACTCTCGCAGTAATCAAATCCTGGGGAACAGACTGTGTGATCAGGGAAGATCATAGTAGACTCACAACAAGAGCCTGGAATGGATATCATCCAAATGAGAAACGAGGTAAATCAAACCACTTTTGTTTAAGTCGGAATGCAGACTGATCCATGATGCAGATTTCAAGTATCTCACTCCCAAGCTGAGACTAGAGCCTTCCATGCTCTCGGACACGCAAGTGTGGTCCCGCACTTTTCATATGGTGTGCTCTTCGGCCCGTTGCATGTATATTGTACATGATATCCTCCAACGACGAGAGCAGCTGCGGCAAGCGGGCCAAGCACCTTCTACGGAACATGCTTCAAAACGCCCTATTTTTGTCTGGGAGCCGGTACCTGATCTTTGTACACCAGAAGAGCAGGAAAAATTTTTCGAGGCAATTCAGGTTGTAGACGTGGTGAGCCCTAACCATCTTGAGCTGGGCATGATGTTTGATCAGCCCGGATGGTCCGAGGAAAGTGAAGAGAGCAAAAGGCTAGTCCAGAAGATTATTGACGCCGGAATTGGCCCCAACCGAGATGGATGCCTCGTCATCCGAGCGGGTAAAGAAGGAAGCTACGCCTATTCAAAAGCCCAGAAGCTTTGGCTCCCTGCTTACCACCAACCCAACACGTCGGGTGCTACTGTGGTCCTAGACCCCACAGGTGCGGGTAACTCATTCTTGGGTGCATTAGCACAAGGAATGGTGACTGCTGGTCGGGAACCTTTCAACGTCATCGAGTCTATCTTGTCAAGGTCAGATAGCTGGACACAAGCTATGAACTTCTGGGGCGAGCGTCGCGATGTGCTGGGGGCGCTTATCTGCGCTACTGTCGCCGCCGGATTTGTGGTGGAACAGATCGGAGTGCCTCAAATTTCTGTGGACAATGGAAAGGAACTGTGGAATCAAACTGAATTCACGGAACGAGTCCGCCTATACACGCAGGGATTATTCAAGACATTGGAAGAGTCTCCCCAGAGACACCTGTTGACCAATTGACCAATGGATGATTGAGGAACGCCCTTCTATTTTCGTACAGCCAGGGAATGATGAAATGATAGTAAAAATAACACAATAAAGAAATGTCCCGTCACGCTGGAAATCCGCTCATAGCTGCCGTAGAGCATGTGGTACCGTCTATGACTCGTTCTTGGCGGCCTGTGCTGCCTCGTGTTCTCTGATCTGTCGGCTCCAGCTAGAGTGTAAAAATATCCAGGGTCAGCATTCGGGACGTCTTTCAGAGCCATCAAGGCATGAAGTTGGGGGTTGGACTGACTATCGGCTGGGGAAGAATCTGCCAGGTTCAGGCATCTTGTCGCGGTACTCGCGATCCGCACTAAGGCTAAAAGCCATAGCAGCGATACCAATCACAAAGGCACCCATGACGGCGGTGTTGGCCTTCCAGTTGGCCGGGCGGGAGTACCAGCCACCAGCGGGGGACCAGACTTCCTTGGGGTACCTGCGCAATAATTCATTAGTATCTAGCATTGACAAATCCAGAGGTAGAGACATACGCGATCTTTCCGCCACCACCCATTGTGAAAAGTGAATTGGAGGGGTTGTTGAGGATTAAAAAGAGGGACGAATTGGAGGAGGTCTCTTTCTCGCGGTTGAAGCCGAGAGGGCCGTTCAATTCGAAGGTCGAATGCCAAGACTTGATTACCATATATGGACTAGCGTATCCTCACACGACCAGACCAACGATCCCGTGACTGGCAACAATTTCTCTTTTCTCTCCCCGTGAATTGGCCGCACGCCTCCGAGTTCTTATCCCCCAATTGACGAAGCGTGGCCAATTGTTTTTAATTTGATTTCGTGTTTCTTTTTCTATCCACATCCGCCCAGATGAAGCGGCTGCAGCTCCAACGATGGGGCAGTACAGTCCTTTCGCCGCGAACTCGTGCTGGTAACAGACTGCATCAACATCTCTACTCTGCCAGTTTACGGCACCAATCGACTGCCGCGCCTGTCGAAATCAGCGATCCTTCATTCGATGCGAGCCTAGAGGATGTCGAGGCTGAGGTGATGCGCCAAGTCAAGAATGCTCACAAGCGCAAGTCTCAGCTCCAATATCCCTCTCCCCCGGTAGAAGCCGCAACCCAATCCGCCAAACTTGCCGCCCTTCACGCTCGCCTTTACCTTCCTTCTCGACTACCCGTTCAGACACTCGCGCGGACCTTGGTGGACGCATCCGCGGATTCTAACGCCGACTTCAACAATGAATCGCTGGCTACCCTTGGTCACGATCTCCTCACCTACTACACCTCCGAACATCTCCTTTGCACATACCCCCGCCTGCCTTTGACCGTCATCTTCGCCGCTATGTACGCTTACGTTGGTCCCAAGACCCTGTCCGTGATTGCCAAAGAATGGGGTGTTGACCTCGCCGCGGCGCCTGGTGGAGAAGTCGACCCCGGTTATTTGCAATTCCGCAGGGTTGAGCCTGGAACCGATGTGAATGCCTCTAGTGATGTCAAGACACCACGGCCATATGCCAACGCCGCCAAGTGGAGGAAGACGGTCACCTCAAAGATCTTCTATGATGATGAATTTGGTGACCCGATCAAGGGACCGGCCTCTACGGGTGAGGGTGTTACGGCCGAGGCGGCCAGTGCCACCTTTGTGCGGGCTGTGATGGGTGCAGTTTACTTGCACGCCGGTCGCCCAGCCGCCAAGCGATTCTTCGAACAACACATTCTCTCCCGAAGCTTGAACATCTCAGAATTGTTCAACTTCTCTCAGCCAGCCCGTGACCTGGCTCGTCTGTGCGCGCGCGAGAACTTCGAGAAGCCCGTCGCCAAGATTACCAGTGAGACTGGTCGTCTCAGCAGACACCCCGTCTTTGTGGTTGGTATCTTCTCCGGCCAAGACCAGCTGGGTGAGGGCGCTGGCGCCAGTCTGCTCGAGGCTCGTGAGCGTGCAGCCCTCTCTGCGCTGAAGGGTTGGTACCTCTACAGCCCGTTGAATGTGCGGGTTCCCAGTTCTATGGAAGAGGATGGTGCCTCGCCCTGGAAGCCAGCTCACGTTGACTTGGGTGAGGTGATCACTTAAAGAGTTCCTGCAATATAGCATCCCAAATTTCGGGGCTCGGTACCATATTCCTCCATGTTTTTTTTATTGTTCTTTATTTCCCTGTCCTTTTCCGGTGTGGTGGTTTTGCATGGGAAGCAGGTTCGTGGGAAAAAAGAGTCTTCTCCTGTCTTTTGCATGACTGGATACTGTATAGTATGGGACATTTGATTCCTTCGATTCATCTGGTGTCTTTATTTATTTTGGAATTTCCTTGTGTCACTGTTTCATTGTCTTACTCTTCTGGCTACACTTCACTCCCCCAGCTAGAAATTGGTCGAACTACGAGACTGAGCCACTGGCTTCGGTCTCGGCACTGGTGTATAGAGGTGCTCACCAAATGTACTACATCAATAAAATCATATCATAAATGTGACCTTTCTTGAAAATATATATTCTAGCTTACCCTATGACTCGGGGTCAAGTATCTCCTCTTCCCAATTCCCACGAGCCTTCTCATCTCCAGAAGCACCATCCAGCCACCGGCCATACTCCTCCCATAGTTCCACAACCCCAAGACCAAAAAGACTTTCCCAAAAGCCAGGCACCCTTCTGTTCTCGTCCTTGCCCTCCCCCACATATCCAACTCTCAACAGCTGATCATTCAGCATTCCCACAGCTCCCTCCCCAGCCCAAACATCCTCAATCCACGCCAAGAAGTAAGCCGTTTCCTGATACCCAGCATCCCAGTTCTTCGCTCTCTCCGCCGCAGATTTCGGCTTCTTCCAATGCGGCGGCTCCAAACCTGCCTTGAGCCTTACAAAATCCGCAATTCCTTCAATCAAGCCACCTGGCGGACGAGGAATCTCACGTCCACCACTAACAGACTTAGGCGGAGCAGTATGCTGATAACAATGCACAAGCTCATGCGTCAGAACACCCAATAATTCATGAAGTGGATCAGCCTTGGCAGATGGGCCAGATGTACATTGTTGAATGTACTGCAACGAGAAATGAATCTCTTTGTGGTCGTCATCCAGCTCGGTACCCGTTGTGTAAGCCACACCACCGAAGTCGCGCAGAAAGAGAGTTACGGACCGGGTTGGAGGAATGGAAGGTTGAAAAGATAGACGTCTATTGATTTCTCCCTTTTGGAGTTCACCCTCGCGGCGCTTTGGCTCTGTGTAGAGATATTGAACGATATTGCGGAGTGCCGTATCAAAGGCTGAGGATATCTCTGGAATGAGGGCGAAGAACGCCGCAGATGCTGGGTGGCGGAGTTCTTGCGCGTGGAGACGTAGTTTGGGCTCTGGGATCTTGAGCTTGTGGTGGTTTTGATCTTGGCTTTTCGGACTGGAGCTCTGCGGCTCGTGGGTTGTCGGGGCCGCTGTGGGGTTGGGACTTGTCATAGTCACAGTCTGGATATTCCGAGTATTCGTTGGTAAACTGGTAATGATGCTGGGTGGACAAATGGTCTGATTATGGCCACTTGTACAAGTTGAAGCGCTAGTTAGAGAGTTGAAAGCGGAGATGGTGTGAGATTGAGCATCGAGGAATGTGGGGAGCCGGAGCTGACCCCGGAGGTATCGTGCCGCTCCACTATGTTGATGTTTATGCCAATTTGAGGTGAATCACCTAGAAAGATAAGCCCAAAAGTGAAATAGGTCCGGCAAGGATCGAACCTGCGATCTCCAATCAGTCATAAATGCTTATGTCCTCGGAGTACATCTGATATGGCTGTCCAACAGCCAAACCAGAGCTTCAGCTCAACAAAGCTCATATATCCACCTAACTCAACTCAACGCCTTACCCACAATAAGCTAAGAAAAGGATTGTCCTGTATCAAGCAATCATATAAGAAAATAGTCAATTATTGATGAATGATAAAAAAAAAAAATTGTTTCAAGGGCTTTCTTGAAGGGGTTTCCCAAAGATAAGAGAAATCCATCCAGCAGTAGACGATCAAGGAAGCAAATACATGCGTCCTCTGGCATGACGCAGGTAGCTGAATGACAAGCGCGAATTGTCACTACAGGCGTGAGAGGCCCGACCAGTCGGCCACCGGGGGATTTATGATATTATCTGCCAAACTGCATAATATAAGGGAGAAATGGTAAGAAATGCAAATTACCTACACTGTCCACCATCTACCATCTACCATTCACCACCCATCTATTTTATCTATTCCATCAGCCCCAATCGCAGTTTAAGCACCAAAAAGTCGGATCCTTTCCAAATCGCAGCAGAATGTTACAAGTACTAGTACTCTCTTGGCCTTACCAAACTCTGCCCCCCCTACAGAAAGTCCATACCTGGGCACCTAGGCCTGTATACTACACTGGTTGGACTACCCGCTGAGCTCTTATTGTTAATATCCAACTTTTTCCACCTAGTGTTTTATTTTGCTTTTGCCTATGCAATCTTCGACTCCTTTGGCTCAATGTGATAGAATGTAAGAGAACCAGCTACGACCAAACAAATTCGTGGTTTCTTTACCTACGATCCATTTAATTGACTATAACTTCATTTCAAAAGTAAAAGTATTTCTAGTTATGCAAAGTTGTGATTGCCAAATTTGTGCTTATGCTGCTTGGTTATTGGGCCTCCTTCCATGTCACTTCTACTTACCTCCTGGTTAGCGCTTTTTAGAATCTAACACTTTTCATCATATTGATTTTTACGCGCTCTTTTAGTTGGGTCCACTAGCATCGATTTTGAGGGTCTAATTACTTATGAGAGACCAGACTGATGGTAGGAAACAGGTAAATATATGTATGGCTTTCTTAGAAAGGGTAAAACTAGATCTAGAAAGGGTCCGCAGATTGACTCGAATCTAGATCATAAAATGAATGAACATACTATAGCCTCCGAAGTTTAACTTTGATTCCAAATAACTCAAGGCCTGGTACCTTTGTAGATCGATTTCCAATGCTACTCAGCGCTTAAACCTCGGGAGTTGAGGTATAGACTTTGCCACTCGAGTTACAGAGCCTATCACAACTCGAATAAAATTTCAATCGACTGGCAGCAGGAAAACAAGCGGGCTCAAAGTCCTCAACCCTCATAGTTAAATTAAATCAATATCCTATTTCCGGTTTTATCCGTTAAAACCCCTCCAGGGATATATCGAGGCTTGAAGATCATCGGCTCCGATTGAGTGGAGCACCATCACCAACCACGGTTCGGACAATAAGCATTGAATCATCGATATGCGGCAAATCAATCGAAGAGAAAAAAAAATGACCTTCCAATCAACGCTTCATATGTTCTCTGGTCCGGGCCAATAGTACCAGCTGGAGAAAGGAACCAGTATCGGTCTAGTCCGTAGATCAGGGTCCACGGCCCGGACCAGTCGGCCCAGAACAGTCCTTGAGCCCCAGAATCTGGTTCGACTTCGGCCGAAACTATCTGTCTCAAGCCCTAGATCCTTGATATAATATATAAGTACCCAGATACTGACTCGAAGATCAAATGAGCATTGGACCAAATTAATCTACAAAAAATATTGAACTTGACATCCTACCTCGAATGACCATCCTCGATCACATTCTCATACGGACTGGAGTGATCAATCAACATAATGTCAAACCCAACGATCAAACACACACACTCCTCCACACATGCATGCATCAATCCAATCTCCGAATACAGAGTCTACCAAACCCTTTCCATCTACTTCACAATCCTCTTAAATCGCCAACTCCAACGCCGCTGGAATCTCGAACACAAATGCATGCGAGATAAACCCGTTTCCCAGCGCTTCAGACCGGTCTTCTTCCTAGAACCGATCCCAACGCTCACAAAACCCCATCAACCATCCGCGAAAACCCTGGGCGCACTAAGGAAAAAAGTACATCTTCTCCGCGCCCGTGTGGAGAAGGGCAAGGAACTGGCTTTGCAAATTGAGCGAAGGATGCTGGACCCGGGGGTTCGGTTTCCGACACATTTCTGTCATACTTGTGTTGTTGGAGCTGAGGAGGGGACGGAGATATTGCTTACGAAGTGTGGGCATCGGGTTTGCAGGACTTGTCTTTCTTTTGGGCTTGGGGGTGGGGTTTATGAGTGTGGTATTTGTTTTGAGCCGACTTCTTTTGTGGGGAGGGCTGGATTGGAGGAGAGATTTAGAGCTGGGGAGAAGGAGGGTTGGGTGAAGAGGTTTTCTTTTGAAGTTTGTAAGGGTTTGTTTTAGCGGACATGACATACTACGCCTACACACTTAATACATAATGAAGTGCTTATGATCGTGATTTTCTTCGTAATTCCTGGGAACTGGAGCTAAAGCTATACAAGACAGTATATACGACAAATCTTCGGCTTGCTGGTCACCATCTACATATAGGATGGTATTACTAGTGAACCGAAAACTTGAAAAGAGAAAAAGCAAAACAGGACATCAGTGTATCATGAGCCAAGGCCTGTCCAACCAGGCCACAAGAAAACGCCCTTTACCAAGCAATACCAACAGAAGTGAAAACAGTATATCGCTGGGGATCAAGACATTATACAGGTAAAATAACTATGCAACCATGCCAGCTGATCATCAGCTCCAATGCATTGTGCAGATCGTAGATGTGAAAGACAAAAAAGCAAGACCAAGACAAACGTCTAGTGGTGGGTATATGTAAGAAACAAAGAAAACCATCGACAGCAAGAGCCGGGGTTAGGAGAACAGCCGACTGGGTCGGTCTTTTCACCGATCTTCTGCGTGTTCTCCATCGTCAATCACCATCTGTACATCCTTAACAGGATGTAGAAGCATGGGAGGTAGACACATGCGGCCTTCACCAGCCAACTCCTGTTGTTCGCCGCCGTCATTGTCAACGCGCATGCCTAGCCAGCGGCGCCAGATATTCGGGGAAAAACCGGCGGAGTAGAACCAAGTTGTGCCCTTGAAGTTGTGTTCCCTATCTCCGAAGACGGAGGTGCGGGCACCACCTGAGGCGCCGTTACGGCCGGCGTTGAAGACAGTTTCAAGGTACTTGGTCGGCCAGCGACGGTCGATGTAGACAGCGTGTGGGACATATACAGCCTTGAAGCCGTGGTGGAGCGCGGTGGTAGCGGGCCACATCTCGGAGAACATGCTGTGGTGGCGGAGGCTGGTCTCCTTGTGCATGGTCATGAGAAGCTTGCGCGACAGACGCGAGGCAGTGATAATAGCAGTCCGGCGTGGAGGCATGCCGTTTTCCTTGGTATAACCGGTCACGTCGTCACGGAGAAGCCAGGTCGTGCCCTCGGGGTCGTATAGTGGGTTGAAAACAACCAGATCCGCATCCTCACCGACACCCCATTGATATTGATCTTTTTCCATGGTTGTCGGCGGGATACCTTCACCTTCCACCTCGAATATATCGGGCTCATCGGGCCGCTCAGGACCCCAGATAAACTTGTCACCCTGCTGGTGTAATCCGTTTATATCCCGATCTTTTTCAGTTCCATCGGGTTTGACCACACTCCACATGTTGTTCGGGCTGTTTGTACCGCTCTCGGTCTTTACGCGAACCATTTGGCGGAAGTCTTCCCAAGAGCCGTGGACTGATGGAACGTAAAACCTTGAGTTGCGCTCCCAGAGACCCTTTCGAGGCTGCGCTCTCGCCCAGTCACCCACCTTGTCGAAAAGATGGTACCAGTGACCAGTGTAACGCGCATCCATCTCCCAATTCCAGAAGAAATCGTATTCCGGGTGCTGGTAAGCGAAGTATTGCATGGGCATGTAAGTACTGCGGTAAACGCCGTGGACGGGCAAACCCCGAGTGAAGGTCTCTTCCAGGCCAGGGTACATCAGGGACATCTGCGCCTCAGACCAGAGTGTTCCCATCCCGCGGAATTCCTCTGGCAGCGCGTCGTGAAGCACGCGCTGGTAGGTGTCATCATCCGACCAGATCTGGAGGTCGTTGTTCTTGACATGAACCAGGAAATGAATAGTGTATTCACCTCCAGACATCAACGAGAGCTCCGAGATCACAGAACGCATGTACATAATGTCCTCTTGGGTATAGTGGAAGTCGTTCCAAGTCCGGATAACCACAGCGGTTCTTGGTAAGCGATCCGAACCGATCTTGGGCTTCGAATTATGGGTATCCTCTGGCTCCTGTACGGTCACATCGTGAATTCCCACCGGCATAGAAACAAATCGGTTCAAGCGCGGTTCAGGCAGCTCGTTGAAGCGATGGCGGTTTGCTATGTGGCACTGCTCTTGCGCTTCAGCCCAATCCACATGTCGGTAGTCCACCGGAGGGACTTCTTCCCAAACGCGCTCCGAACCGTCGCGATGACCCTCCAGACCGGCGCCAATGCCTCCCTTCTTAGCGCCATATCCAAGTCCATACGGACCCAAACGTCCGAATCGGTCAAAGCACATGTCGTCGCGGATACCAAGGATATCATTCGAGCCCATCACCGGGTCTGGGAAACCCTTGGGAACACCAGGATAACTCTGAACAGCCGGAATTCGAACCGTGTGATCCTTATCCAGGAAGCACTCGCGCTTCTCGCCATATTTCTTGATGTATTCCGACGACGCGTAATCCGGGTACGGGTTGAATACTGAGCTTTCCATGGAAGGTTTCAAGTCCCGCTTGTTTACTTGTTTGTTGGTGTCTTCGGTGCGGCCCTCTGCCTCGGGCTCCGGCATCCCCTCAATGCCACTTCCAGGGTATTCAGGCGAATTATCATGTCGAGGGACGAGGTTTGTGATTCCGCCATTGTAGCGATTGAGGAAAGGGAACGCTTCCCAAGTGGGCGGTTTCGGTGATACGACCTTAGGTAACTCGACCGCAACTTTTGACACGGAGGACCGAATAGTGAATCGGAAGAGGGTGAAGATAAAGACGATAAGCGATATGAATAACGCTAAGCAGAGCCATCGCATAATCCGCTGGGGAACACGGAAGCCCACACTGGAGTGACCACGTCGGAGACTCCCGCCACTTGCGGGCGGATAAGAAACCGAGGAGTGACCAGGGCCGTCAATTTCAGTTTCGGACTCGGAATCGGAGTCTTCATCACTGCGGTGGTAGTGGTGTTGGGAACGGGCATTAAGATGTTGTTTTTCGATATCGGTGTCGTGTGTCCTCGAGTAAGGCGACGGTTTGTTGTAGGCCGCGGAGGATCTCCTCGCCTGCATGGTCATAGTGACGGGTAAAGCATTAACCTAACAAAAGGCAACGAGACAGGACCAAGTCTATCTAGACGGTATATCCCCAGAGAAGGGGAAGGGATTGATATGTGCACGTTGAAAAGGGGGGGCTTGGTCTGGGCAGCGCGATGACGATGTTGGTTGGTGTTTGGGGGGTTCGATCGTCGGCCAGGCAATCGGGGCGCGGCTTGGCCACAGCTGAAGACTTAATATATCCCCAGACCCTGAAACTGGGGAAATCAACCGACGTAAAAGGAGTAAAAGGGTAAAAGGGTAGAAATTAAGGATTTTATGTTTGGGTAAGATGTCCTCAGGAAACAAGAACAAAAGTGTTCAACCTTGAAACGGAAGATCAACTTTCAAACGACTTATTAAGTCTCGGCGTTGCCAAGAGCTCGGGCTTGGGATAGGAAATGAATTATTACGCAGATTATACGCCGGTTACGCTACAATGCTCCTTTGTACTGCATATGCCAATTCAATTCCATTATATATCATATCTCATTCTTGGTTCCTATATCACTTTTCTTACTGATACTCCAATTCAATGTTCCATGGGAAGAATTCCTGGGAATGTTTACATATAGAAAAAGACGTAAAAGGAACAGCAATTTTGACGTGGCGCCAGGAATAAAAAAAAAGAACAAATGAGGCTAATAGCATAGCGAAGAGAAATAGAGTGGAGGGAACACACAACCCGGTTGAATCATCCTCTCCAAATTGGAAGGTTCATTCATTGTTCCCATGGCCTCGCGAAAGAACTCCATAGTCATCATCCATCATTTGCAGATTTCCCGTGGTATTTCTCTTGCCCTGCTACATACACACACACACACACACCTTCCCCTTGGTATTATACCCGCTTAATCGCGGTTCGTTTTCCGGAGAGTGTCGGCGAGCCACTCCAGACCTTCGTACAGACCGTCACCGGTGGTGGCGCAGGTGGATTGGATGAACTGGAGAGGTCAACAATCAGCAAACAAGTCACAAGTTACAATGGCGAATTTGGAACATACCCAAGCACGGCGGGTGAGGCTCTGGAGACCAAGCTGCTGGGTGATCTCGGCGGGGCTCATGGCGTTCTGCAATCGCAAATCAGTCAATCAAGTTCGGATACATCACGGCGTTCAAGATATCCCTACAGGCAAATCTTGCTTGTTGGCGAAAACCAGGAGCAGAGCATCCCGGAGCTCGTCCTCGTTCAACATGCGCTGCAACTCCTCACGGGCCTCGACAATACGGTCGCGATCGTTGCTATCCACCACGAAGATAATACCCTGGGTGTTCTGGAAGTAGTGGCGCCACAGAGGACGAATCTTGTCCTGACCACCGACATCCCACACAGTGAACTGGATGTTCTTGTATTCGACAGTCTCGACGTTGAAGCCTGAAGCCTAAAGTTAGCACCTCTTCGTGTTTTCGTATTGTCGGGCAGATCGATCTCCTTGCGACGAGTAGGGTGGATGGACCGGGGCGAACTGACCGATGGTGGGGATGGTAGTGACGATTTCACCGAGCTTCAACTTGTACAGGATGGTGGTCTTTCCGGCGGCGTCAAGACCGACCATCAGGATACGCATCTCCTTGCGTCCCCATAGTCTGTCGAAAAGCCGGGAGAAAGTAAGACCCATATTGACGAAACCTCGAAACCTTGGTGGAATTAGTTGATGTTGTCGGAGGGAGAGTTGTGAGGAGGGGGGGGGAAGATGGGTGCGGATAGGGAAACGTGTTGTGGACGGATTAGGAATCTCAGGGGTGTGGGTTTGGCGAAAGCAATGCGGAAGGGATGATCGACAAGGCAGTGCTTACCGGTAGAAAGGTTATGGATGGGGTTTAGAGTGGATTAAAGGAGAAAGGAGAAAGAAGATAAAGTCCGGGAGGAAGAAGAGAGGAAGAGAGGAGTGTTAGTGTTTTTTTGTTTGGCATTACAAAAATACGCTGAGTGGACGGCGGTGGGCGTAGTCTCCGTCACCCATTCAAGGGTAAGATATGAATGAAAAGATTCTAATGATAGATTCTAATGGTAAATAAATGAGTTTACATTAACCATCAATTGTTACCTAGAAATCTAAAAGCCTCAGTGGCTTGATCTTCTAACATAAAAAGAGGACACCGTGTTTGCCCGTACTTAAAGGTATCCGAATTACCGGTCGGAGGCAAAAGGGGACGCTCGCCCCCAGAACAACCAAGGAGAGATTGACCCTCTTCCATTCTCGACCCAGATCCAGACAACCCCATTTCTCCCCCCCTGATAGGCTCGTTATTGACTTATCGGGCCCCAGTCTCGTGCCTTGCACCGGATTATACTTGGAAAACGCCATCAACTGGGGCAACACATGGGACCCGAGTCCACCGCCGCGTCATGACATCGCGGCTCGTGTGCTCTATACTCCATGCAACATTTAAGTCCTTCCATGCCTCTTTTTTGACAGCCCGGAATCCCCCACTTCCAATTGATCTTGGATTTCGCTTACCGCACACTGGCACGGCAATGGGACTGAGCAAAACCACTACAAACCTGCCAAGGTCTCCACTAGGTCTCCGCTCTTAACCAGGTAGAGATGTTCAATGAATCTAATCTCGTCTCGTGGAGTCCAACGTCCATAAAAATGATGGGCCCGTGCAGTGAAGACCTGAAGACCATCAGGTTGTAAATATGGGCCCATTTATGACCTTTGCTTGGTTCAGTGTCGTGCATTCATCTATTTACTCGAAGATGGCGGTATGATTTTCGTAGTGACTTGAAGATAGAAAATTCACGAAACGCTTGGGCCCACGCGGCTAATAATTGCCAAATAGAACATCTAGTTCACGGCGCTATATAATGATTTTCCTCAATGAATATTCGGATTATATATGAGAATTCCAGGACTCAGAGGGTACCAAAGGCTACTTGGGGGGCCATTTAGTCAATGGCTCCACCGATGGCCTTTAAACTAGCCCTGTAGGGGCTATGGGCCAGAGCTCACAACTGCCTAGCTATAGGTTAGTTGGAGCCGCTTGTCATACTAAAAAAATCAAGATTTAACCAGTCGACTTGCCTAACGATGACAGGGGTACAAATATGTCGTTTCAAGGTATACCATACCGTTTTAGTGTACTTTCTAGAAAGTCTGTATACTAGATGACTCGGAATCTTCCAGAGTGTCCTTTCCAAAGAGGATTGTATTTATCGAGTCATTCCTATGTGGTCAATTCTAGACTATCTTGTCTGCCTAGGTTGTCAATGCCACCTATCTCCTTTGACCACGTATGCGCTCAAGCTGGCCACATGTGCCCATGGCTGGATCTTACCATTATCCGTGGCCTGATAATTTACTTATACTTTTGATGTCTCGTGTTAAATGTTATGGTTGCGCCTGCCATACTTGACAGCGACCAATAGAACAACGGCAGGCGCGCTTAACCATATCAGGAAAAGCGCACATACAGTACACTGGTTCTCCACGCCGGAGGATTGCGGCGAATAGAGCAGAGCTAAAGTGCGGCATCCTACCGGGGCTGGTGTGTTCTGTCCTGTGCTCTTTGAAATAATCGGGCATACGGGAACGAGCTCTACCTTGCGTTGTTCTTCTCTGCTTCCTTCCAAATTGGACTGCATGTATATAGTCTTCCTGATAACACAGAATTAGACGAAATTTCCGACAAAATTGGTTGACATACAGCTTTTCCCTCTTATTCCTCTTCCCATTTTCCAGAAATATTGTTTTCGTTGCTTCTCAACAAACTAGGCTCGAACTGATAGGCTGATAACAACTTGGGGCTTTAGCGTCGTGAGTCACATTCGGAGTCTGGGCAGCCTACACATAAATACTTCGTTGGAACTCTTCTGTCATTTATATGAAGTCCATAAATGAACCAAGCACTTGAGAGGGAATACGATTTATATCTCGATTTTCACGTTGAATCCAACTATTGAAATCTACATTCTGCTTCGCCATGACCGTCCCACCCCCAGCGGGAGAGGTCCTCCTCATCCCCAAAACCTTTTCCTCTCCCCGGAACTTGGACGAGGTAGCAGATAGATATAAAAATCTACGACTGCATGGTCTCCTGGTCGATCCGAAATCATTCAGCTCAACCTATGAGACCGAATCCCAATTTTCTCCCGCAACATGGCGAGCCCGCCTTCAGAACCCGGCGGGCAATACATTCGTCTCTGTCATCAACCCTGAAACGAAATGTGGTGTCGGGAGTGATACTGTGTCATCTCCGCCCGAGGATTCGGATACATTGCAACGGCTACTGGGGAAAGATTGGGTCGGTATTGTCACACTGCTCGGCCCAGTCCTGTTATCTAAACCAAATGCCGAAAAAGAGACAATACCCGCCAAGCCATGGGACGTCTTTTTGAAAGATGGAGTCTATAATATCCCTCATTCTAGTCCGAGTGGAGATATCACTGACTCGAATGTTGTTTATCTGGTTGTTGCCATGTTTGTCTTGCCTGAGGCTAGACGAAGGGGACATGCTTATCGATTGCTTGAAACTTTAATCCAGACTGTTCGGGACGATGCTCATGCTCGTGGAGTTTCCCAGGCAAGCATAACAATTCAGGTTGAACCTGAAAATGACACTGCGCAGCGGTTGTATGAAAAGTTAGGTTTTGAGGTGTGGGATAAGGCGGTTCCAATCCAAAACAAGAGGGGAGAGACATCACAAGCTATTTCATTAGTGATGGAGATTGATATTTAGTTTAATTTTATTTCCTATTCATCTTCCATACAATCCGTACTGTACGCTTAGTCCAATTTCTATTGGTCAGATGTTTTAGTTGTACATTGGTCATGTGATTTTACGGTCTTGATGAGTCATCGATCTCGTTTGAGGGCAAGGCTAGTCCTCATTTAGACTAGCGCCTTCTCGTGCCCACAAGCGGAGAAATTTGCGGTAACCTTTTTCTTCTCTCTCAAGACACTTGCGCTGAGCCACACCTTAAGTATTCTTTTGGAAGACTGTCGCCATCATGTCCAAGATCACAGTCGGTATGTTTTGATACAATACTCATCTCTACATTGAAACCGAACATTTCTAATGCCCCCTCAGCCGGAGTGCGCGAGAATGTCCAGCAGCTGCTCGACTACTCGCTCAACGAGAAGAAGCGTAACTTCCTCGAGACCGTTGAGCTTCAGATCGGCCTGAAGAACTACGACCCCCAGCGTGACAAGCGTTTCTCTGGTACCATCAAGCTGCCCATCGTTCCCCGTCCCAACATGGCCATCTGGTACGTTTGCCCACCCGCACGCAAACCCCGCCGCGAAGAACGGTGATGGAAGTAAAACTCTGAACACATGGCTGACGGACAACTACAGTATCATTGGTGACCAGCACGATCTTGACCGTGCTAAGCACCACGGTATCGATGCTATGTCCACCGACGACTTGAAGAAGCTCAACAAGAACAAGAAGCTCATCAAGAAGCTTGCTCGCAAGTACGATGCCTTCCTTGCTTCCGAGGCTCTGATCAAGCAGATTCCCCGTCTTCTCGGTCCCGGTCTGTCCAAGGGTATGTTTCAACCACCACACACTTGCATAACTTGCAGTTTCTAACTTTTTCTATAGCCGGCAAGTTCCCCACTCCCATCTCCCACAACGAGGACATGGCCAACAAGGTCAACGACGTCAAGTCCACCATTAAGTTCCAGCTTAAGAAGGTTCTGTGTCTCGGTGTTGCCGTCGGTAACGTCGGCATGGGTACTGAGGAGCTCGTTGGTAACCTGATGCTGTCCATCAACTACCTCGTCTCCCTGCTCAAGAAGGGCTGGCAGAACGTTGGCAGCCTTGTCATCAAGGCTTCCATGTCTCCCCCCAAGCGCATCTACTAGATTCTTCATCACTTTATTGTGCTGAGGTAATCTAGAGATGTCCGAGAAGTGAGGGTGTCATAGTTTAGTGACCCTAAAAATAAAATGAAGCTCACGACTTGGTCTCAACATATTTAATCTTGTACAAAGTAGACGTAAACGTTAATGTTATACATTGCCTTGATGACATTTGATAGTACATATTTGGCTCTATTCCATGCCTGCCATCAACTCTGTTTTATCCAAAACCATACCGCGCATACCAATAAACTCGCGGAGACTCTCCCACTCTTCACCGACCTCCTCACCACGCATATAAGGATCCTTGAAACCCCAAGCAACGGCAACCTTATCCATCGCCGCCCGCTCCTCTTCTCGCAACCATCGCTGCCGCAAAGGAATACCAGATAACCAAACCACCCGCTCCATCTGATCATTGGCTGTAGTGATAGCCATAATTCCAAGAGACGAAGTACCACCAACGTAGGCCAAGGAAGCAGCGAAAGCAATTCCAGTCGCTGTGCTAGGATCCATAGTATTCTGGAAAGTCGCCGCCCACGAGGCGAGCGCATAGCATGCCGCAGGAGCAGCAGCTAATCCGACCAAGGGTACACTAGCCTTCTTGAAGATCTTCGCGCGAGGGAAAGCAGGTGCACAGAAAGTATTGTCGATAATCGCCAGGACCAGCGAGAGGTTCTTCTGCGCGATAGCCACGTCAAGAGCCATATTCGCAAGTTCAGCGGGGACAGCACTGTTAATGCTCTTGGGTTTCGCCTTGAGGAATTTAATCGGCGAGCTTCCTTCCTCTGGAACGGGCTTGTTGGCGTACATGTGGAAGATCTCGGGGAGGTGTTCTGCTCGCTCCAAGAGAGTTTGGGTCTTGGTGTAGCTTTCTAGGGCTTCCGGGGTGATGAACACTTTTTCGTCTTTCAGGATGTCGGTTGTGATACGGCAGATAGTGTCTGCAAGTCGGGGATCCAGATTGGTTGACGACTTTGCTTGCGGTGCGGGCTTGGTGCTTTTCTCCTCCATTTCCAGTAACGATGAGGTCGCGTTTCCTTCGTCATTTGCGGAACCTTCGGGATGATCGTGCTCTCGCGATACTAGGGACTCGGCGATCTTTTGGCATTTCTGGAGGAGTTTCACCACGGATTCGTTGGAAGGGACTTGGTCGGACTGGTGCAAAGCCGACGCATCCCTTTCGATTTGTTGGATTTCTAAACCAAAATTGGTGGAGTCGGATGCAAATGTACGCAAGTTGAGAAGCGGGTAGGGTAATGGGGATCGAGTGTTTGTTCTTAACAATTGTAGCGCAGGGTTATTGTTCGAGGATCGGGCTTGGATCGTGGGTGACCGAGCGAAGGGAAGGCGTTGCGGTGTCGCAGTTGAGAATTGACAATAATGACAAATGGCTCCTTGAGACCTTGAGCCCCTTTGGGCCCTCAAGGCTACTCTGTTCATGGTGGATTGGGTGTTGGGCTAAGAAAATGGTGGTTGAGATGGTGGTTTTTCTGATAGGAGAGAGGCTCAAGGCGGAGACTTTTCGCCTGTTCCCTTCCCCGTATCTGACGTCTTTACTTCTGCCTTACACACCTCCTTCTGGTCAAGGAGCGCAACATCCTTCCCCCTCCTAATGCGCCATTAAGCATCCCATGCAGCATCATATTCAACACTCTTATTAGATATAACGCTCTTTTCTCGACATGCCTCCTCCCCCTCCTCCCCCTCCGCCGCCGCCTCCCGGAGGATTCGGTGGCCCTCCCCCACCACCTCCGGCAGCTTTACCGTCCAGACCATCGAAAAGCGAAGTAAAAGGCAGAGTATGTACATTGGGACTGATATGATTTTGATCATCATAAATTGGCTGTATCAGCTGGTCCGGGGAGAAGCAGCTGACTAACTTTGAACAGGGCGCTCTACTGTCTGATATTCACAAAGGTGCTAAATTGAAGAAAGCCACTACCAATGATCGATCAGCGCCTATTATTGGAAATACTGGAGGCAGTTCAGCTGCACCGCCTATGGGATCTGCACCGCCAGTTCCAGGCATAAGACCACCTCCCGTAGGACTTGCACCGCCTGTCCCGTCTGGGCCTGCCGCCAATAGATTACGAAGCAACAGTGAAGGAGTATCTGGCTTGGGCTCCGGTGGAGCTTCTGACTCTCCAGCACCGCATTTAGGTGGTCTATTTGCGGGTGGCATGCCAAAATTGCGCAGTCGTGGCGGTGTCAATACAGGTGCCAACCGACAAGACTCTCCATATTTATCTGACTCCGAGGCTTCCCGTCCGGCGCCTGCTGCACCACCACCTCCTCCACCCCCAGGAGCCCCTCGTTTACCTGGGATACGGCCGCCGCCGCCTCCTCCATCTTCAGATTCACCGCTTGCGCCACCTGTGAACCCATTAGTGGCAAGTCTGAAGAAGGCTCCCCCGAAACCTGGTTCACGGCCATCCTCTACTCTCTCTTCACCAAGTACCCGCTCCGCTCCTGAGAGCCCTCCTCCTCGTGCTCCCCCGCCACCTCCTGCGGTTGCCCGGGCACCCCCACCCCCGGTGTCTCGAAAGCCATCTGCACCTCCACCGCCTCCTCCGTCTGCGCCTCCTCCAACCTCATTACGGGCTCCACCTCCCCCTCCCGCAGCTCCTGGGCGCTCATTTGCTCCCCCACCGCCACCTGGAGCTCCTCCATCAATCGCAACCCAGGCTGCCCGCAGTGCTCTTGGACACCCACCGGCTGCAGCCCCGGCAGCTCCTCCTCCACCTCCGCCAGTTTCTCCTCCAAGCGCTCCTCCCCCGCCCCCGAGTGAGCCATCGCCATCGCCATTCCGCCCATCGCCTATTCCATCCCCTTCACCAATGAACCCTAGTGCCTATACTCTCAGTAATGGCGGCTCACCCGCTGCACCCGCCCACAGCCAACCTACAAATGGCCATCTACACATAGTGGACCCCCGCTTCAAGTTCCCAGGCGATGCAATGCTTCCGGCACCTCGGAGGTTTGCCAGAACTCTCCCGGTCAAGTATCGTGCCGGGAAAATCAGCAGTGTGCCGTATCATCTTAAGTGAATGACGGATTGATCTGAGTGCATGGGACATTGCAGGCGATTGATATCGTGCACAATTAGTAAATTGCGATACATCATATAAAACTTCAAGTTCGATTAGTACCTTTCCAAAATTGAAGGTTCCAACCTGAATACAAATATTTATCTCTATTCTGTAATAATATGAAAGGTTATGGGGTACCCACATGTACAGCTCACGTGCATGTTTGCTGGATTGCTCTATTCCAGCCGTCGGCGGCTTCAGTGGATCTCAATGGGTATATTGGTGACGCCAAGACTTCCGCTCTGTTTAAGGCTAAGTAAATTAGCCAATTATTGCCTTTTTGCTTCAATACATAATGGGTTCAACATTGGAAATTTTTATTTCGCCCACGGTTTGGGCAATCAATCACCTGTCGATCTGGATGATATATCTTCGACCTCCAAAGCTACATATATACAGCGCTACCTAGTAGGCTCTGATCAAAGCAAGTTTTGTGTCTCATGTAAATCTATTTTTGAATTGTACACAGACTTTTGTTTTTAGTATTAAGAATCATGCCCATGGGATTGGGAGATATATACTCCTCAATAGAACAATGAATGCAAGCTATCAAATACCAAAAACAATGCAAGTATATGTAGTACCCGTGGACCTAGATTGACATTTTTCACACAGCGGTTCTTTTCATATGCAAATAAGCTTCAAAGTTTGAATCAATTATTATTTGTTTCAACTTTAAGCATTGAAAATATCATAACACCGACGATTCAGTATATGTAGTTTAAAGCTATATATCACGTGACAATAATCAATCAGTGCAAACACGAGCAAAACCCCCGAGATGTTCATTGTTCATCCCACGCCCATTGCTCACTCGCTCTAACCGCTCCTCCTTCGACTTCTTTCAATTTTGTGTAACGCCATTAGCGCTGAATACCCTCAGATTTCATCCGTTCTTACACCATCCAAGTGGACTCAGGCTACCAAGTCGCTTCTTCGCCTCAAGCTTGAACCATCCCAACCAAGAGCATAGCTTCGCGAACACCATTTTGCGACAACAAGGCCCAATTAACAACGACCTGGACACACCCAAGCAAAAACAAGCTGCTGGCTGATCTCATCAACTTCTAATCTCACCATGTCTCTCCAACCTTACATCAATAGTAGGCTTTCTCAAAGCTTTCCCAAAGCTGTCTGTAACCTGATCAACATGCTAAAATACCATCGTTTCTACAGAGAAAGTGCTCATTTTGACCGTGGACGGTCGAACACTACTTGGCAACCTCCTCTCCACTGATCAACTTACCAATCTTGTGCTCACCGAGACCGTCGAACGGATCATTCGCACCCCCGAAGATGACGAGCCCTCATCACAAATTGAGCATGGGCTTTACTTGATTCGAGGTGATAACGTGGTAGCCTGCGGCGAAGTTGACGAGAAGATTGATGCCGACATCGACTGGACTAAAGTGAAGGGTGAAGTGATTCGGGATACGAAGAATGCATGAGCGGATCGCAATAATCATTGATTTTTAATATATCGGGCGTTGGTGGATACGGGGGAATATTCTGCATACAAACCGACTCGCAGGGAAAAGGCCATTTGTGGTGAATTGGTGCCGCGAAAATACCTTGCCAGTTGAAATCCAACCGAGACTCGACTCCATACTCCAACATGCGTATGCACCCTGGGGTCCGCGCGTTTCCTTTTCTTTTTCTGTCACGATTCATCGCGGATCATCGGGGATTGTGACGCCTTTATCATTTTGCTTCCATGATGAAATGGCAGGAATCTTGACGGCTTCACATGCTGGATTTGCCACTTTCTTGTTGGTAGCTCGACATGATGACAGTTGGAATAATAATCAGCATGAGAACATCACTCCCGACCAAAACAGAATTCAGTTGGGTATTCTTTGGGTGGAGATTCTTATGTATGGAATACTTTTTACCAGGAATATCCCTACGCCATTCGGCGAAAGTGGAGAATGGAGACCACCAAAACCAGACATGCATTATTCGTGTATACTCCGTAACCAAAAGCATTTTAGGTACTTGTAGGAATCTGGATAGTTTGCATAACCCCCCCCCTTTTCAAGACCGTTTCCGGCAGAGAGTCCGCGAAGAGTCCGCGCACTCCACAGCGGGAGAATGCCAAGACTAGCTAGGTTGAGGAGATATTAATCCTTGTAACAGATGAAGATCTTGTTGCCTGTCCCATTAAAGGGTTTGACTTGCCCGGTCTCATGCATCATAGGCGCAGATGTGTTATGTAGCTGACCTTGGGCGAGTAAAGATGCGGTCAAATGGACAAAGCGCAATAGGGCAAGAAATAAGACACGTCAACCGAGATTTAAGCCCAATAGTCACACAAAAGATATAATAAAAAGATATAGAAACAATTAAATCAAAGTCCAAATTAGAGAAAAAAGAAGCGATGTACGAAGTAGATTGGGTAGAAGGTACAAGCGTAACCATAGCCAAGAGAGCGTAATCAGAAGTACCGATGTGACACTGCCCCATCTTGACCCAAAACCCCCCAAACCTCCCCTTATCCCCCATTCCCATTTCCCATTTCCCGTTTCATCCCTTCTCTTCCTCCACATCCGCCCCCATCGCTGGTCGTTTGGGCTATTTCTCTCTGAAACTATCTCTTTTTACCCACGTCGATCCTCCTATCCCCCTTTTAACCTACTCCACAAGCCCTTCATGTGGTCTCTATCGTCTCTGAACACCATACTATCGGGTCAGATCCACCAATTCTCCCGGGCACAAAGCCCGTCGTGAGCGTGTTCTTGGGCTACGCCTCAAGATATAGGAAACTTATCAGACAAGACAAAAGACAGAAAAATTGAAGCAAGAGGAGACCCCTCCCCCGCATCATGTGGCTCTACCGGGGCGCGCAGTCGGCTGTCTTTTACTATGCTACCTGCACCCCTTGTGCAGAAGCCCGAGGGCGCCGTAAACGCAAGAAGGATGCCGTTCGATCACAACGATTGCAGGAGCAATACGACACCAACCTCGTTACCGATCAGCCCCGTCCATTCCCGCAGCCGACTCCATTCAGCACCAATGAAGGGTGGCGGGAGGAAATTGTCCTAGGTCCGGGACCTCCAACTCGCCGGGGCGGCAATCGCAATCCTCAACGGACGAACAGCTGGAACACCGACGAACTTTCGCAGATGAAAGACAAGAGTGGGAGCCTGAAGAATCCGCTCGGCGAACGGTGGAACCGGATGCGATACCAACGCGAGGATGAGCCGCTCTGGGGTCAGGATGTACAAGGATCCTCAATTGGCTTTTCAGGCCTTGGTCGTGCAGACCCTCATGAGCAATCCAAATATTACACTGCTCGCGTACCCCCTGTCAATGATCTTCACCCTCCAATTGTCAGCGGCCCGAAGTGCCGTGCAGAAACTCGATGGATGCTCCAACCACCGCCCAGCGCGAGGGTCATGGTAGGCAAGGCAACCTTTGCCAATTCTCCTCGCGACAGTGTAGGTGGTCTACCTGGCGACCGTTTGTCTCGTGTCACCCAACTTGGCTCTCGCCGTACGGAAATCCCTGCACAGGCAGAACGTATCAGTAACGACAGAGCCCTCGACAAAGATTTCATTCAACAGAACTTGCCGCGACGACCTTCTGTAAGCCGCGTGCGGGAACGCTCCAATAGTATCTCACGGGAAGACTTCGAGTTCTCAGGGCATTCTCCATCCGATTCCATGTTCTCTATGGCCAACAGCGACGAATTATCTCCCACTGCGTCCTGGAAATATCCCGACACCCCCGAAACACGGAGGGCTTCTAAATCAATCGATGACAGTGATAAAGTACTGCGTCGTCCACAAATATCTAAAACGCTTTCCACCTTGCACCGCCCCGATAACAAACACAAGGTCCATCTTCTCCACCTCGAGATCAATGATGAAAACCCCGATGAGGTCGGATACGGTCAACTAGAACGTATTCGTCCATGGCGCTGGAGCATGGATATCTAACGGACTTTCATCACCTCAATTCTACGACCCCTCAAACTCACTCCGATCTTCGAAAACTCGACATCAAACTTCCTCTCGATTTCTATTTCCTTTTCTCGTTTCTCTACTGGCTACCAGGCGTTTTGTGCAAAAAGAACAGCAAGCGTTTTTCATTTCCGCCATCATCACGCCCTTCTACTCATCCTCCCTGGCTTGAAAAAAATTGCATGGCCGGCCCAGCACATGCCACAGAACGGAACGCTGAGGATGAGAACCCAATCAAAGAACTCGATTGGAACCAGCACCACACGATGATGCAAGGCGGCGAGTTTTTTTTACAACAAATCCTCACCTTCCACATTCCTTCCCTTCCCCCTTTCTGTTTGCTATTCAGGTTCCCATTTTGAACCCTGTCGATCACTGCCGCTTTCGTGCATAAGGTTTTGCCTCAATTTTCCTATCCTTTACTCCTATCCCTAGACCTTTGTTTCTCCCTCACCTTGTATATTAATCACTCTGTCCGTTATGTCAAACACGGCGTATACATAGCATGAATCCATTTGAAATTTTTTAAAAAGTGTGCAGAGATTTGTAGTTTACATGTTTTAACTGGATCATACTCTGCTCCAATGAATGTTGTAGGGATCACAAGAACGCATAACTTTTTACATACTTCATAGAAATCTCTCGGGAGACTTTTCCTGGTTGACTCAGATCCCAGGGCCGTAAAGTCCACGAGACATTGAACCTTCGATTGCAACGTACGGTAACCCATAGATATATTATCTACTTAGATGATGGCCTTACCTTGGAATGTTGCAATTTTTCTGAAAACAATGACTTGAAAACCATCTTCCAAATCAAAATTACCAAGCCAGTGTATTAGGAGATTGATAGATACTTTAGACCTGCAGTGCCAGACTCTACGACATCCATATACTTGTTAAGTATGCAAAAAGCTTCAAACATCTGACTCGTGACTTCAATGCAACTTGTCATTCGTTATAGATTGATCGCAATAGATGAACTCAGTGCAACCATCCTACATGCACAGGATACACCATTTTTTGCTCGAAAAGTGGCTGAACCCCAAAAAGAAAAAAAAAAAATTTAATCAGATGCGCCGACAGACAGAATGGATATAACCAGGTATCAATCCCCTGAGGCGTATGAGTGGAAAAAAGCAAACAAGTAGACAGATGGGCGTAGAAGAATGGATGATCCTAATGGTAAATGATGGCTCTTAAGCATTCAAATGATAGACAAATAAATCGCCGAAGAGCATCTGACATTTGGGATCAAATAGAATTTGAGTATAAGGTCGTTATGGGCTTATCCGGGAGTGCATGGGCATTTGCTCTCTTTTGGACCAATGTCTGTCTTTGGCGAATTTGGTTGTAGATCGAATGAGTACCAGAGATGGGTATATAGAGAAGAGTGGGATGGTTGTATTCATCTACTCTGCTCTAGTAGACCTTCTTCTTCTCGTCCATGCTGAATTGGCCTGGGCCGGTGTTGACCAGCAGCAAGAGACCGCCGCTAAACGTAGATTAGAAAATAAAAAATGGAATATCAAGAGCCAGGGAACATACACAATCGACAGAATCTGGAAGAAGTCGTACTTGGCAAAGTCCTTGTGCGGGTGGTGGGGGTGGAGCTGTGGCTGAGTTAGTCGTTAAGCTAGACCAGAAAGAAAGATACCAATCATACCGTCCAGAAGTTGTTCACCAAAACGTTGAACACGCTGAGAAGCACAACAAGAACAATGGCGCTCCACTTGGCCTTGAAGCCGACAATGACCATTACGCACGCGACCAGACCGAACAGGCTGACCAGAATGCGCCAGAAGCTCCACTGACCGGAGAAAACGAATCCGACGAACAGGAAGATCAACAGCACACGGCCAGCAAGCTGGACGTACATCTTGCGGTCCTTCTCGTCGAGCTGGGGCAGACCGGCGGGAACGAACTTCTTCCGCACCCAGGAGTCCGACAGAACCATAAGTAGACCACCGACAACACTCAGGTTACGCAAGAAGAAGTTGAGATCGAAGATGAGACCGTATCCCAGACCCTGTGTGATGACCACCCCCAGCAATCCTGCGACGGCGTACTCAGTGTGCTTGCGGGCAATGACGAGGGTTGAGCAGATGGACATGGCGATGACGTTGACGATGAGGAAAATGTGAGTGATTCCCCATGGGACTATGAACAAGGAAAAGTCGAGTTAGAGCCATTGTGCCTGTAAATGCCAGAATGATGTATGTGGTGATCTTGTCCTTGAGGACTTGAGACGTTCCAATGCGAGTCACGGAGCGGGAGATGCTTCAGGAAGTCTTACTGTGCCGGAAATCATTGAGGTAGACTAGCTGGTCGCTCCATTGTGTGAGAATGCGCAGCGAGTCTTCGAGAAAGGTGACGACAATGAGAAATCGGCCGATCGCAGGGAGGTATCTGTTTCATGTCAAGTCAACACCGTGTCAAAGCAAGCTTGGAGACCCCTTGTTTGGGGGTAATTAGTCTGTTCGTGTTGTGGGGATGCGGCAAGCAGGAGAGCTGAAGAGCTTCCAAAGAACCAGGGTAATCACTTACGGCTTCACGGGGTCGGACATGGTGTCTAGCCAATCCTCAATCTTACTAGTCTGCTCGCGGATGGCGTCGAGCGGACTGGGGTCGCTGGTAGCATCTGCGCTACCGGGCCCGCCGAAAGGGTTCTGGTGGCCTAGGTTGTAGCCCGCTGTGCCACGGATTTGGGCCATGGCGGAAGGATGTGAAGGAGGTTTAAAAAGAAAGAAGAACGAAGTCTGAGGAAAGAAGAATAGGTTGAAAGGTAGAGTTTCAAGGAGGGTCGGAGGGGAGTAAATAACCTGGTGGAGCCCGTCCCTAATGTATACAAAGCAAGTGTGCACTTCAGGCCACGATGACCGGAACTCTACGCTAAACTCAAATAGGTAATGTGACGACAATAATACACATTCTTATTCTAATTAGGTATTCTTCTACACAGAAATAGATCAGATCATGATTGGAAATATCTCAATTGTAATACAGCTGAACTTGAAAAAAAAACACAGATCGCCCCAATGGTGCTTTTTTGGAAGATTCCATCCCTCGGGATAGGGTTTCACCACGATATTGCGCTGTGAGCAACTTCCCCATATTTTGATGGGAAAGTGCTGGTATTATGGGACAGTCCCGAAAACGCCAAAGCCAAGTCAAAGGGTAATAAATACATGTCAAGGTGAAGAGAGAGATAGGTGGAAATGGAAATGGCCTGTGGATGGAGATGGGGATTCTTAAGCGGCCCAGTCCGAGTCCAGTGGGTGACCCTTCTCACGGGAGCGCAGGATATCGGGAAGGTAGGTTGGGGTCACAGTGACCTTAGGCTCAACGGGGAGAGGTGCGGCGGAAGTAGGCTGGCTCTCGGAGGCACTGGCATCACTGACACTCTCATCGGCCTTGCCGCTCTTCTTCTTGGGCTTCTTGGAGACCGTGGTCCACTCATCGACGCCGTTGGCGGCACCCAAAATACGCATCTGCTCTTCCTCAGAGGGAAGCTCCTGGGTCCACTTCTTCTGGGCCGGAGCAGTAGGGGCCTCAAAGGTATCCAGAAGCTGGACTGAGGCGGGGGCCGGAACTGCCTTGGTGCCGTTGGCCTTGGGGGCTTCCTTGGTCTGCCAAGCGTTGGTGGTGGGGGCCTGGGATCGAGCATTCTCGCGACGCTCAGCTGAACGAGCGGTGTGCAGCTGCTTCTCGAGCAACTGCCGGCGCTGCTCTTCCGCCTCCTGGACCTGCTGCTTGCGGGCCTCGTTCTTCAGGCGCTGTTGGCGCTGCTTCTTGTTCTCAACCTGCTTGAAGGATTGGACCTTCTGCTTCTTGGGCTCCGACTCCATGTTGCCGGTGACGCGGAGAACCGAGGCGGCGGGGGCGGGGGACTCCAGCATATCGGAGACGTAACCAGCAGAGGGCACGGCATTCACCTGGGGGGAGACAGCAGGGGACAGATCGTCATCGGCATCGGCGCCAGTGGTGGAAGAGGCGTGAGAGCCACTCTCTAGCTGGTTGGCCTTCTTAGCCTTCTTCTTCTGGTTCTTGCTGGAGGGAGCGATGGCGGGAGAGGCGCCGTTCTTGATCGCGGCCAGGCGACGAGCCATCTCCTTGCGGTCGACATCGTCCTCCGGCTCATCTTCAGTGGTGGGAGGCGAGATCACGGTCTTCACCTCAGCCTTCTTGGCTGGCTGAGGTGCAGGCTTTCGCTTTTGCTTCTTGGGCGCAACTGTGGCCTCGGCCTTCTCCGCCACAGCCCGGATAGGAGTCTTGATGGCTTTCGGGGTTGAGCCATTAGTGTAGTACCAGCCAAGGCCGCCTGCCACGACGAGCAGGAGAGCCCAACTGAGATAGGGGTTCATGGTCATGATGCTGTGGCACCAATCAGTATCAGTCACCGTAGCCTTCAAATGCTACTGCCCTGTGCGCCACACGTACCGTTTTTAATATGGTCTCGGTCAAGAATCAGAAATAGTGTAGGATCACACCACTTGGCTTCGGTCTCCAAGGAGGGTAGGACAGTCGCGCACGCGCACAATTGATTTAACACGCGCAACCACAAGCCGAAATGGGTGTTGACGGTATCGAAAAAGGGTTTGATGAGGGGAGAGTTTAGAGGTCCAGGCCGTACATCGATCTGTTCGTGGCCTAGGCGCAATGCGATTGATCGTAATGGGGCGTTTCTAAGCGTAAGACCCAATCAATGCTGAGCGAAATGGTCAACTCCGTTGTCGTCGGGTTCAATGGTGTGGAAGACGCAGATTGAAGAAGATTCCGGGGCGCTTCACACTCAACTGCGCTCGGAGAAAGAGAAAACGATACCAAAAGTAAACCAAAGCACTTCGGGGTAATCAGTTGGAAGGGAGGGGGGGGGAAGAGAAGAAGGAAACTCTGAGAACAGGAGAAGGAGAGCCAGAAAAGGACACGCTGAGGATCCGAGGGGGTGCGTCCGACGGTACTGTAAACGGGGCGTATCACACGGCTCTGGGCGAGATTACCCACAAATTGAGGCGAGAAATTTGGTAGATATATCTCTGGATTTCGAAAGATTTACTACGGTTGATTAGATCAATTACATATTGGATGTTTAAATCTGTCTTCCAACTTAAAATAAACATTCACAGACACCAAATAATAGCTTCTATCAACTCCACTACCATCAATACACCCCCTGTAATACACTAACCAGGACTTCCCCTTGGGGGTCTCAAAGCCACCAAACAAACGTCCATGCGCTTCTCCAAGTGGAGAGTAGAACAAATGGGGGATCGCGAACAGGCCACGTCTCCAGTCTCCCCCCCTCCTGTAAACATGTTAATACTCCATGCTAGCGCGTGATTGGCCTTCAAGGTTCCGTCTTTGTTATTTATCCTCTTTTCTGATATATCGCTGTATGACCGAGAAGATTCGTGTCGATCCGGCAGGGGATCGGGCCAACCCCGTCCCTTACATGTAGGTACTTTTTACGCCTTCTACCGCCACGAGGGGTCGGAAGGGGGTACCCGCCACCGATAATGCATCTACGCATTTCCGCATGACACCCATCTGGTCAAGAATAATATTAGACGAATAGGAGCATGATGCTTGAGCTTCTGTTGTATTTCGAGATGATCGTATCTTTATTGGTCGTTTGTGGTGCGGCCCAGTGCGGATACTCGTCACGTGTATACCATATCTAAAAGGTTCATGCCTGAGGTGTCGATATGGGGGGAAACAGTTAAATCAGCGATAACCGTCAAATCTCATATCTTTTATCCCACTTTCATCAGATTAACTCAAAATGACACCTAAGAAGATTATCATTGATACTGACCCGGTAGGTGAGTCGATTTGGGGGTTGCCTTGCTGTATACTGACACAAACCAGGGTATTGATGACATCCTTGCCCTACTGCTTGCTCTGTCTGCCAAGCCAGAGGATGTTGAGGTTCTGCTAATTTCTTTGACTTTTGGTAATATCGAAGTAAAGAGGTGAGTATCAATGTCCGAGAGACATGAACAGGAGCTCACTTTCCATAGCTGTCTTCGCAATGCGGTGTCCATGTTCCACATCCTCGAGCGGGAGATGCAGTGGCGTCGTGATAACGGCAAGCCAGAAGGCTACGGTGCTCTGCGTGCTTCTCGCCCAATAGTCGCAGTTGGTGCAGAGGATCCATTGGAAAACCAGAAGATGCTCGCAGATTACTTCCGTACGTATCTTATTGTCAATGCGGGGTGATAAGGTCCTAACATTAACCCCGCAGACGGAACCGATGGCCTTGGCGGCATCCATGCCACTGTGTGTACCGACCCTTCTATACCGTGGAAAAAGAGATTAACCTGTAATACAGCACCCTCATCTCACACCCAGCACCGCCTGGGAGCATCTCTTTGATCCGACGTTGGATCCCGAGGGCATCCAACCAGTGCAGACAGGCGCCGGCCCTGATGACCATTCTTATATTCCCTCCAGACTTCCTGCCCATAAGGAAATTCTTCGGGCTCTCCGCGCGAATGAGCCCGATACCATCACCATTGTGGCCGTTGGACCGCTTACCAATCTGGCTTTGGCTGCCGCAGAGGATCCAGAGACTTTCCTCCGTGTCAAGGAGGTTGTTGTCATGGGCGGTGCTATCAATGAGCCTGGAAATGTAAGAAAGTCGTCTAATTCCGGTAGTCAGCATTGGTTAATCGATATGCATACAGGTCACCCCAGTTGGCGAATTCAATGCTTATGCGGATGCCGTCGCCGCTGCCCGAGTATTCGCCCTCACATCACCCAATCCCAACTCAACCTTGCCATTGACGACTAGCACCCTGCTACAACCTTATCCGGCAAATCTCAGCAAGCAATTGACTCTGCGCCTTTTCCCTCTGGATATTACTTTGCGTCACAACCTCTCCCGCGGTCAGCTCCGCAAAGCCGTCGACCCGCTTCTCTCTGCCGGTTCTCCTCTGGCTGAGTGGGTCAATGCATTCATGGGACATACGTTCCGCACTTTGGAGCGTCTACACCCGGGTCAAGTTGGAGATAATGCTGAGTTGAGTATGCACGATCCAGTCTGTGTCTGGTATGCCCTCACGGCCGAGGATCCCAAATGGGTCCCTTCGGCCAACTCCCCCGAGGACATCCGTATTGAAACATCGGGACAGTGGACTCGTGGTATGTGTATTACTGACCGCAGAAATCGCCATAAGATCGAAAGTGATGTCGAGAGCTCGAGTGATCATGGCCTGTGGTTGAGTGCTCGAGCTGGTAACCGTATTTTGCGAATGGATGGATCGCCCGCGGAAGCCAACTTTGGCCAGATTATGATTGAAAATCTGTTTGGTTAGAATTTTATAAACGAGATTAGAATAGATGCTGTACATATCGATGGTCCAACTTTGGATGAATAGAAGCCTGTCTCTTCACCAAATTATTGGGCATTGCAGTCATTTTCTTCAGAGAAAGCATCCGGAGACATCTGGAAGCGATATACTGAATTGGACAGGAAAGGTGACAGCTAATAATAGCATTTAGGTGTAGACAGCAAGAATGAGAGACTTATACTGAATCTGGTCATTGCTCCTATCATATGAAGAACTTCGATACTTGATTCGCGTTGCTCGGTAGATTTGCAAAGCTAAGTCTTTCTTGATCTATCATTCTCCACCATCATTGGTTGTCGTCGATATCAAAGCGGCTCTCTGGAATGTATGAGCAATGAAGCAGATTGGCCAGCAGAACATGTACAGCTGAATCAGACCACTTCGAGCAATGAAGTACATCGAGAAATCAGGTTAAAAAGCCATCAAGACTGCTTTAAGCAATTTTTTTGGTCATCAATCTTCCAGGAGTGCCATGGATAGTCTCCCCAGCCCACGATAGGAATGTGGAATGTTGTAAACAGGGATCGTCTACCATATATCTCTATGCACCAATTGCAACGCTGCATTCTAAAGAGCCCCAGCCCCTCAGATCTTCCGACGTTTGTAGAACCTTAGAAGGTCGATCTATATAAACCACTCATCCATCGTCAAGATCTTCATATCCACACCCTGACATCAGATCAACAAAGTGCCTATCATTGTCATACTCAACCCCGATCCACCATGCACATCCAAAGCCTCATCGGTGTTTGCCTTGTTGCCCTAGCCAGCACCACGACCGCCCTACCCCGGCTTGCAGGTCCTTACGATGGGCACCGTCTTGCAGTGCATGTCCCCACAAATTCAACAACCGCTCAGAATGCGACCACAACCAGGACCGCAGCCAAGGTACCTTTGACGACGGGATTACCGACTCCAAAGAATAAGACTGTCAACCATCTCTCGCACGGGTTGAACTCGATTGATAATCCTACTAAAGGGAGCAACCATTGCAATGAGTTGTGTTCTTTAGAAGCGCAGACTTGCACTATTGCTGTACCTGAAGATGATAAGTACTGGTAAGTAAAAATTCTCTAGGTTAGTGGATGAAATGTCTAACTGATTGGTTGTAGTTGGCAGACATACACACGGTGCATGAGCAAGTGTCGGCCGGACAACTTCCAGAAGTAGGAAGTGGAGAAGAAAGATTAGCAACTGTGATATACGGGATTGGGTTTTTTTGTTTTATGAGCAAGAAAAATGTTACATAGCCTTATAGCCTTAAATACTCTAATACTTGCATACTTGAAAATTCATTTTTTAACCCATTTCTTAATACTAATACCAAGGCGCATCGCAGCCTTTCAACCAATCCTTATCTAAAATTTCCCTTCAATTATAATTCGAATATTGAGAGGATTCGGTTGAGATACGTAGCATCCAAAGTATGCAAGACTAAAAATTAGCGCAGCAAGGTGGCAAAAGTAAAACGTGTCGGGAAGACTAACGTTAGATGAGATCAATTACCTAGCAAGAATCACCCGGTTTTCCCCTTGAACATCAGTGCACTCGAATCTCTGAAGAACTCAAAGTTTGAGTGTAGTTGCAACCAGAGTTCGTTAAGTACGGAATGCACTGAGTGGGAGAATTAACTGCGAGTACAAGCCGCACGTGCTGGGCTTCCACCTCTGGGCGAGCGTTGATCATTGACATTGCTGGTACTTTCATAGTAGTACTGGGAAGTAAGTGATTGGCGTTACTCCGTACCTGCTGATAAGCTCAAACTGCCCCACTTATAGCCAGCAAATGCCCTTTGCTCCCTGGGGCACGAGCTCCGCAGTAGCACCAATCAGCGCTGTCCATTGCGGCTCGTGGGCTCTCCAAGCACGCGACACTGCCCTTCTATACTTACGTTCGGTATATAATTCCCCAGCTTGGTTTCCCCCCCCCCTTCTTTCCCCCCTCAGGTGCTTGCTGTATTTCTTCCATTCCTCAACGATTTTCGGCTTTTCCAATACTTGATAGTTCTCCACTTGATCATGTCTCGCTGCCGTTTCCCTCCTACCCCGGCCATGTCGGGCGAATTCATTATCAAGGATCAACCTGCTGATGCCACCGATGCTTTCGCTTTACCTCCAGCCGCTTTGGGCTCCTCTAAAGTTGATGATCAATTTAGTCGACGTTCCTCTCGATCAGATCCTACATACGTCCCGGCCTCACCACCTTCTCCTGATCTTATGGCTCGCAACAGATCGACACAACAGTCCCGGTCAGGCACCGCCACAAAGCGCTCGCTGGAGGACTTTGAACTACCACCGCCTCCTACTCGAACCCGCAAAATTATACAGATGAAGCCTAAACCTCAAACAACTACCAAGTCTCCGAAGAAAGAGAATGGGAAAGCGGCTCAGACATCACCCGAATCAGCCACCAAGGACGCCACTTCCTCAAAGAGGAAGCAGCCTAGTGCCACAAGTGCAGCAGGACGCAAAATTGCTCGCAAGACAGCCCATAGTTTGATTGAGCGACGTCGACGATCCAAGATGAATGAGGAGTTTGGTACTTTGAAAGATATGATTCCTGCCTGCACAGGACAAGAAATGCACAAACTGGCGATTCTTCAGGTACTTCCCCCATGTTATTCTTTCTGATATAGTAATTCACATGTCTTAGGCGAGCATCGACTACGTGAACTACCTGGAACGATGCATTCGAGACCTCAAAACAGCTGGCGCCACCCACACCTCCGCACCACCATCACCCACATCTCCAGAATTCATCACCGAAACAGGCGAATCTTCCCAGCACCCTCAACGTCCCCCATCATCAATATACTCCTATTCCACCTCTGAATCACCAGAGATTATGCCCGGCAGCGCAATGATCTCGGACACATCTCCTTCCTTCTCCCCCCGCACCCGCATGCCATCAGTCCATACCCTACCTGATATTTCATCAGTTCTGCCTAGCCCGGCATTAGGTCCCATCAACCCGGCTATGGACAAGCTGCATGATATTCAAGGTATTGACCATGAGGCCTCTGCTGCTTTGCTCATGCTCACTCAGGACCGGAGGGGCACCGCGGACTCGATCAACGAGCATTTTGCCGGCACTTCCCTCTCTACTCCCGAGGAGATCAGAGGCGGAGATGTGCAACGGAGAAAGGGTATGAGTGTACGCGATCTCCTTATTTCATGAGATGAGTCAACTTCTGGACGGGTTAAATTTGTGTTCCAGTCATTGAAATGGAGTTTTGTTTTGGGTCGGTGGTGTCCTTTAGCGTGATCAGCGGGTGATCTGTTTATTATGGTTCGATATGGGTTAATCATTTTATGAGTCTTATCATTGTACATGAATTGAGTGGCACTTTGATGTTAATGTTCGACTTTATAGTCCAGATGTCCAAACATGGGTAAGAAATAAAAAGAAATATTCCCATGACCAATTCTCATGACTGATTCAGCTCATAGAATAAAGTTATGACTTCCTTGGCGATGTAAGTGAGGCCATTTTTAGTTCACTGAATGGTCTCTCCCTGGCACGTAGTCTACTCAGTACATTACCCCGGTTCGCGCACGGACCCACTTGACCATCAGCGTCGGCCGTTCCAAAATCCGAAATGCCGACATCATCACTTTCGAGTCTTGGCCTAAGCGACAGTGTCGCCTACACGCGAAGACCTCCATAGTGAATATACCTTTAAAAGGTCCATGCGCATCGATCTACGGTTTTCAAGAGGAATTCGTGACCACTTTGTCGGTTGACATAATGGACCGCCGGTACAATGTAGCACGGTCTTGTCTACGCTGTCACGAGCGCAAAGTCCGTTGCGACAAGGGCTCCCCATGCAACAAATGCAGTCGTCTCAATGTGCCATGTGAATATCCCGGACCGAAACGGGTGAAGCGCCGAGCGCCAAAGACTCCCTCCACCGATCTAGTGGCGCGACTAGAGCAACTTGAACGGTCTATTACTTCGATTGCTGGACAGTCTGCACAACCAACGCCTCAGCAAGCGAGTTATTCACCGGCTCAATCCATCATTGATGGTGGGCGAGCGTCGAGCGAATCTAGTGCGGTGGTTTTGAGTCGCCAGACACAGGCTCAGCATTCTCATGGGTTTTTGGTGAAAAATGGTGATTATGTTGATGAGCCGTTCTTGTCGCGGGTACTTGAGAAAGAACATGAACTGCAGTCAGCGATGGGATCGCCGAATACAAGTAGTAATTGTGCTAGAAAGCCGCCGCAGATGAAGGTTGATGGTATAATTACGAATCCGCAACTCATCTCGTTGGATATCAAGACTCTACTTCCGAGTAGATGGCAGGCTACGGTGCTCTGGGAGACATTTTTGAGTCGGGTCGATCCTGTGCTCAAAGTAATACATGTACCGACGACTAAGCCTCGTATTTTCGCCGCGATCAATAGGCCTGATTCTGTTCCATTTGATGTTCACTGTCTACTCTTTGCGATATTCTTTGGTGCTGCTACTGCTATGTGTTCCGATAACTCCGAAAATGAAGGAATACGCGCGGACCTGCGCCAGTATCAACAGGGTATTGAACTTGCTATGTACCAGTCGTCTTTTCTGGATTCCCCAACTGTGACATCACTACAGGCGCTGACAATCTATTTGGTGTGTTGATATGGCGGTCTCAAGTCGAATATTGTCCGCTAACATTCGTATAGACATGTCTTCGTTACAGCAATAGCGGTAGGTCTGGCTTCACCTTACGTGGACTAGCCATTCGAGCGGCACAATCCATCGGTCTTCACCGCGATGGCAAGAACTTCAAACTATCACCCTTGGAGTGTGAGATTCGCCGCCGGCTATGGTGGATACTATCCACAACCGATTGCCGCATGGCAGAGGACCACGGCATCACAGTAACAGAAAACGAATATGGCGGCGATGCCCAATTACCCGCAAATATCGACGACCAGAATCTCACGGAAAAAACCCTTGAAGCGATTCCCTCTCAACCCCGCTGGACAGAAATGTCATTCATCCTGATAATCTGCGAAGTAAACAAAATGTGGCTCCCAATGGCCCGCGCAACAACCAATTCACAAGACGGCACCAGACCCGAGCAACTAATCGCCCAATTCCGCAACCTCCTACACGAAAAATACATTCAACATGGCGACCCCGACATCCCAATACAACGCATGGGAATAATGCTTAGCCAAGTACTCCTCTCCAAAGCAGAAGTTCATCTCCGACAAAAAGTTCTCCAAACCACATCCCCAGATCCAGAAGCCACACAACAGCTCCTCGGAATGGCGTCCAAAGCACTACATCTTGGACTCCAGATGTACCAAGACGAGCTCCTCCGCGGCTTCCGCTGGTTATCATCAACATACACTCAGTTCCACCTCTTAACCTACATTCTATGGCACCTGTGTGTCTTCCCAACAGGTCCTTTCGTGGAGGAAGCCTGGCGTGGCGTGAACGTACATTTCGAGATCGCGGAGCGGGATCCCTCGTGGCCTGATCCGGGCCCTAAGTGGCCCATGCTTGTGCAGTTACGAGCTAAGGCGATGCGGATTCGAAATTCTAATGCTTCTATTACGAGTAAGCAGCAGCATCAACCGCAGGCTGTGGATAATTTTCCTTTGGTGGATGATGCTGCGCTTCAGGGTATTGAGGCGCCGCTTTTGGATTTGGATAATTTGGACTTTAATTGGTCGGAGTTTCCAGACTGGGATTATTTGGCGCAGAGTTTCGATATTATGAATCAGGATGTAGGGGTTTAGTAGGTAATACATGGAGAACCTCGATTGATGTAAGGAAGCTTACAGCTTTGACATTATGCGTGTCGCAATTCCCGAGGTCAGTTAGAACCTCGCCTGACGGTGATATATTCGCATGTGGCTCTGACAGACGAAAACCAACAACAAAATGATCATGATCCATCCATACGTATACTTCTTTCAACAGTGCTTCAATTCGAGACCTAAAAAAATCTCCTATTCTACTCTTTCCACCTTGAAGTATTTCACTTCTCAGACTTATCTATGGTAGTAAATCCAATCTGATCAAAATCTAGGCTATTGAAATAGCAAGCCTAGTGTTAATATGTGATCTTGGGTGCTATAGAGAAGGAAAGAAGCTTAAGAGCAGAGGGCACTTGACCATATGCGCCATATGGTTCACTGTACATACTATGTAGGGCACAGACCATAAAAGTGGGCCCTGACACGACTCTCAGCACTGCGTAACCGCGTTTTGACGTGTCATGTTTTCACGCCTAAAGAGTCACGCGCGATTAATCAATCCACTATATCGGTCGTCAGTAACATAATCTATTTCATATTTGAAGGATAGACCAACGACGAAAGGATGCAGACTGAAGAAACCACAATTGACGAGGGTGTTCTCGATTTCTCAATCGAAACAGCCTCCAGCACGGTCCTGCGGGTCCTTTTGAGGTCCATCTGTGAGACAATTCCTGAAGCGAAAACAAAGGTTGTCCAGCATCTACTCGTTGCCAAGAATCTCGTCCCCGTGGTTCCAACGAAAGACCCGCTCTCATACCACTCGGACTTAGACGAGGATTCGGAGTCAGATACGGAATCGAATTCAGAGTCAGACACTGAATCGAAACCAGACACTCGCGCACCAGCCCAACTCTTGGGCAAGAGACCCCGTTATTCCAAATGTAAAAACTGCGAAAAAGAGTTTGATGTTCTCGAGAACTCGAAGAAGGCTTGCCGATACCACCCAGGTAAGTCACAAGTGGCAGTAATGAACGAATTCTCTTATCATTTGTTGATTTTCCTTCTAGCATGTGCATTGGCGGACGAAGATTCACGTTTGTTCGTTGACAACGATATGTTTGGGCCTAATGAAGCAGACCTGGACCCGGATATGAAAAAGAAGTATCCTGACTGCTTTGTATACGAATGCTGTGATGCAACAATGGAGGAGAATCCCGATGGATGTGAGACTGCTTGGCACAGGGAGGCTGTGTCAACTATTAGTCTTATTAACGAGCATATCGCGAGAAAGCAGCGTCGTTAAATTGAGCTCGGCTATTGGACTGATTTGTTGTGTGCATATAGCAGTGTTGGCTGCATAGGACTTCATTGTGGGCATTAAGGGAGCACTAGTAGCCGTCTTCTTGTTGAAATTTGTTGGAGTGTGAGGTCACCTGATACCCTCCGTTCGTTCCAGCGCGTGTATGTCTTAGTTAAATCTCTCTCTCTCTTTCTCTTTCTTCCTTTACCCCTCTCAGAATGCAATCTGATACTTGCGTCTGTTTCCCGCCTGCTGTGTATCCCTTACTTCCCCTGCCCAACAGAGCCAGTGCTGTCGACAGAATTTAAAGATAAATTAGTGTATAGCAATCTTGGAGTGTCCCTCGGCCTGGGAATTTGGCTTTCTCCTGAGATTCCTAGCTCTTCCTTCACCATTTTTCACCCAACCAAGTGCAGCTAGCTTTCCGAAGAGAGATGGATGTCAAGAGAGAGACTGGATATCAGGAATATGGCAATACTAAAAGAAATTTCATATCGAAGCTTAACTTTCTGCACTACCTCCTACCCAGTCACCTACCCGATTACTTTTCTTGATCTTCTACCTGAAATCCTATAACATTCCCTGCCATATTTCTAACGACAAGTAGCCAAGTAGTAGATTCCAAAACTTTGTAGTATCATTGTGCAAATTTATCATTCTGCGTAATCGTTAGTCATGCCATGTAAATGCACAAATAGCTCCCAAATGCGAAGAACAAAACAAATAAGAAGCAAGGACCGCAGTATAAAGATAAACAAACAGCTATTACGACAATAACCAATGAGAAGTCTGAAGCAGATAAATTTAGACTTCTTCAGGCGTCTGTGTCCCACTCGACGATTTCCGCATCTCCATCTCCAACAACCGCTGACAAAATGGACTTCGTTTCCGAATCCAAGGCCCGTAATAGAACAAAGCAAACGGAATAGGTATGCAAGCCAGACTAGCAAATCCAAGAATCGAGGTCGCCCATGACACACCAAGCTTCGCATATAGCGGATCGGCAGCAAGAGGAAAGAGCGCACCGGCGACACTTCGCATAATAACAGACGCAGCTAGGGCACTGGCAGAGTAGATCTTGTATGCGTCAGTCACATACGTGAGAAGGGAAATGAAAATTGTTTGGTATCCCAAGCCAAACAATATTCCAGATAGCACTGGGACGATCCAGGGTATCCTGGATTTGGCTGACCAGGCGAGCCAGAAGAGACTGATTGTGAGACAGGGAGCGGAAATGCAGGACATCGGGAGTCGTTGGGATTCGGGGCCAGATGCCCATCGTTTCCCATTTTTCTTGGCTTTGTTGTAGAATTTGTCATAGTAGAGGGCGAATAGGCAGGAGGATGCGGCGCCCAGACCGACTGGAATTGTTAGCGTATGAAATTGGTTGAGCTTTCGACCTCAATGCTTACTTGGAATATACGTCAAAGATGTTTTTTCAACGTCGAAGTTGTAGGTGCCTTTTAAACAATTAGTCTGTGGATTCAGGACGGGATTGGAGAACATACCCTCAAAGATGATGGGATACGCCTGGAAGTAGAAGAATACCATGCTCCATGCCAGAGAGATGAAAATCGATGTGAAGAGAATGATGGGTTCGAAGAATAACATTGTTAGAGGTCTGATGATCGTCTGAGTCAAAGTAAAGGCCGCATCGGACTTCAGTTCCTGTGGAGAAAGAAATCGATCTGATCCGGACTCTTTTCTTAGTTTCGCCGCTTGCTTTTTGAGTAACACCGGGGCGAAAGTTTCTATAGACGCACAAGTGAGCAACGAGACAAGGAAAGAAGAAAGATACGGTTAGTTACCAGAAAATCCCCAAAGACCAACCCATCCAATCCCACACAGCATAACATCGATCCGGAAAGTCCAACGCCAACCATATTGAACCGAACAACCAGATATGATTGGCCCAATGATTGGCCCAAAACTTGATGCCTGGGAGATTTTGTCAGCTAAATCCCTTTAAGATGAGTATGAATTGTCTTACAGCCATATACAAAGCCATTGCTCGGCCACGAGTTCGCAGATCGGAGAATAGATCCGCATATACTCCTCCAACAACAGTTTGCGGTGCAGCAGCCATAGTCCCACAAATGACCCGGAATACCAATAGCGAAGGCCAATTAGGCGCAAAGGCACAAGCAAGCGTCCCCAAGACGAAAACAGTGAATGACCAAAATAGGATCGGTTGACGTCCGATCGTCTCACTTAATGGGCTGAATAATAATGGTCCAACACAATAGCCTACTAGGAAAATGGCTGTTGGTAGAATCCTTTGGCTGTTCCCGGAAACGTCAAAATCTTGCATGATAGTGGGCACTGCGTTGCTAGGCAGAGAAGATGAGATGCCGCTGTTAAGTACGATAAGTAGCCCCACAACAGAATTATACAGCTTCTTATTCTATGATCTGTCAGTATCAGGGTATTTCTGCAAAATGCCCAAGATTAGCTTACGAAAGACCAATTGTTGGGGTTTGCTGGAGAGTCTTCCTGAAACTCAACCAATATTTCATCGGGAGATAGTTCAACTAGTGTATAATCCCAATTGGCCTTGTCTTTCTTTTCATCACATATTGTAGCGATGGGCATCTTGCCTACACGATGATTAGAAAGGGGAAAAAAGAGTATATGGATGACAATCGCACCTGCGGAAAAAGTATTCATGACCTGACCAAGTACAGAGTCACCTAGAAAACTTGACATTTTGCATGTGAGTCCAAGAAAAGTAAATAACAAATGAAGAAAAACCAATGAACCATGTATCTATCCAAAACCGATCCCAATGCGAAAGTCATTCCTTTTAAACGGACCTCTGATCCATGGATTGACACTAGTGGAGAAAAAACCTGTGCAAATCTTGACTCAGAGCTTCTAGCCCGTGTCCATGCATAGCGTCCCAAACTATTATGTTTGCGTACTTACCAACACACCAGTAAGATAGCTTGTATACAATCAAAATCTGATCCAGTGGGTCGGGACCGGACCGGCGCCGGGGTTTAGGTCGTCAAAATCCGGTGCCGGCCAGGAACCGGATTGTTGACGGCTGTTTCCGACGACTAGATCTTTTGAATCCTACGGTTTCGGCTGTAGTTACCTGTGAGTAGTATCGTCAATGCGTTTTCCCATGTGATTTTGGGGTGGAAATTTGTCATATTTTGCAGTGCGTGGCCACGGGATCTATCAATTAGGTACCATGCAGGTCGGAGAAAACACATAATAATAATTGTTCCATTTTATTGGGTAACAGTTTGAATTATGACATATTCATGTTATGACAAAATGGGTCACTGAGGTAAAGAAGGCATCATAGGCAAGAAATCAAAGATATCATTTTGCCCTTCCTCGAAAAGACCAAATGAATCCGCGATGGAATTGGACATAGTCCAGTTAGGGGCATCCATCGTGTCGGGCAGCCTTGGAAGAGGAGGCCTCGCAGCTGCAGCTGCAGCTGCAGCATCACCGCTTGTCATGGAAATCAAGTTCGGGTCTTTATCATTTGGCACAGTTATGCCGGTCCTGTACCGAGGACCATCCAAAGATGCCAAATGCGGGGCATTTTCCACAGGGCTTTCTGGCCCTTGGTGGGAAGACATGACCACATCGCCTTGACTGGACAAGTTGGGCCCATCGCTGTCATTGCTACCTGGACGTTGACTTGCGATTAAGGCTCGTGCGTAATTGACGAATATCGAGACTGTTCGGTGGATGTCTGGATAGGGTGGCTGCTTCAAGAAATCGCACACTTTCTCCACTCTTTCAAGAAGTAGATCCTGATCAATAAGATTTGGCCGCCAGCGCGCTATACGGAGTGCAAATGTGGCTGATGAAGATTAGTATGCATGTACCGTCATGGGGCATATGAAATTACTTACTGACAAATGCCATTGTCAAAGCTGGGTAGGTTGGAGCCCAGGGTAGCTGACAACGATAGGATGGCTCGCCAATCAAAAATGCCAGCTGATCCATAATGGTCGTGACCAAAGATTGCCACAGATTCATTACACTCTGGTCAATTATTTCTGATTCGGAGTTGGAGCCAGTAGGTTGCAGTTTCTGGATTCGTGCCAAAGATGCACATAGAACGAAGATTCTAGCGTAGAGAAGCATCAATTTGAGGCTACTACGTTGGAATGCGCCGGCATGGAAGCCGTTGTCTTAGGGTGGTCAGTAAGTATTCTAGATTTTTGCATGCTTCGAGGTAACTTACTATTGTGAATATCGTCCCAAGTGGTCCACCAGTTTTGTAGCCTTGTCATGATAGCTGGGAGTTCTGTCAAAATTATGTCACGGACCGTTGCTGCATTTTCTAGGATTATTCGCGAGTGGCCTATTATCTAATTAGCAAATGAATCAGGTGGTTGTAAGTGTACAAACCTCGAAGCTGATGAAGTTCTATTATGCATACAGTGCGCATATCACATGGTAAAGAAAGTGGATAGTCAAGGAATTTGCGCAGTTTCGTAATATCCACCTCCCCAATGCGCGATTTGCGACCGGTTCCAGAGGCGACATCGAGTTCCAAGGTAAAGCTAATGAGCCAAGTCCGTGTCTGCCACACCAACTGACGATCGGCCATAGAGGCAGCGAGTGAGCTCCGGGGGACGTTCTCTTGAGAGAGCAATGTGTCCAATGACTTTTCGAGACCAGAGTCTAAAGCTGTGCGCAGGATGAGTGCGGTCGAAAACCAGGTTTTCTCCGAGTAGGCAGCCAGAAGAATCATTCCTTGAACTGTTTCAAGTTTCGTTGGGCGTTCGAAAAAGCTGTCTTCAGCTAGTCGTTGTGCTTCGTCTTGGAGCACGCGTTGCATATGCGTATCGCCGCGTAGGTCCATGACCGCGCGACTGGCTAGATAGATGATGACCGTGAAGCAGAACAAGGAGCGTGATCGGATAGAGTCGAATGTGTCACGGATGGGATCAAAGAGAGGCAAATAGTTTTTACTCCCAACTGTAAATCTGTGCCCGAATTAGGCTTCTATGTCCAATGTTGTTTTGGAATTGCCTGATAGTCTGTTATGCTTACCTTTCATACATGACTCGAGCTCTCTCTTCAGTGACGATACCACGATCAACGATATCGCCTCTTGAATCACCATTTGTTGAATGCTCCATGAATATCTTTGGAGTTACTTAGTGAGCCAAGTTCCGAACGTCCCTCGGTTCGAGTTAACTTACATTATTGGACCCAAGTAAGTTCACAGACATCGAATGAACTGCTGAAACCGGTGCAATCATATCATTCGGACTTAACTGCTGCGACTCAGGACCATTATGATCAACCGTCACAGATCTGCGCAGATCCCCCAAGCCCGAGGAATCAGGAAGAGAGTCGATTGTAGCATCAAAGCTTACATCCTGCCCTCCGATCGGAGAATAATCTTGTTCTCTCGAGACAGGAGTATGAAAACCACTCCTCTGATCCAGTGGAGAAGCCCTTGCAGAGTCAGCTTAAAGATATCCCTGTCCAGTAAACAATTGGGAATCTCACCGTGCAGGGGTAGCTTTCCTTCGACGATCAGTACGGCGCCGATTGTCTTCAATCGGATCTAAAATACAATCCCGACCGGTGGACCGGCAGCGAAAGCAGGGTACTTGTTGACGTGCATCACATCGCATCTTCTGTCGGCGACACCACCGGCATGCTTTGAAGAACCGGATCGGCACGTTCTCCGCGCGAAACACAATCTCCGACCCTCGCTCACTCATTGCAGCAACGTCCGACCGTGAACTTTCGGTCCTTCACTCTGAAAATATTAGCGGGATTTTATCGAATCAAATAGTCAGGCACTGCACAACTCTCTGTATTATGATTGTTGCTGGTCGACTCGGCGAAGCCGTCACAATTCAGGAAAGAGAAATCCGGTCACGTGATAGCGACTCTGAGTCTTTCCTGCCTATTCGGGAAGGTCCGACCACCCATGAACAATATGCGTAAAAATGCATTACAGGCTGGAAATAGTACGAATTAAGAAAATACTATAAACTATAAAGCCTTATTTTAGATCTAATTAGCTACACTAATATGTCTACTATATTTTATTTAAAAAAATGTTATTGTATTTCATTAGACTAAGGATATATTCTTACTACGGTTATCTTAATAAAAGTCTTTAAGGATATCTAATCAGATAAGTTTGAGAGGCTTCAATTCATGCAATAAACTATCATGAAACTCGAAAAATTCATTCCGACACCACTGACCGCTCCAACTGTAACAGGTACATTTAAAACATCGCAGGCGTTTGATGGTAAAGTTGAAAGTTCTTGGGGATTTGAAGCATCCTTTGAATGTCGATATCACCGGAATGATGTTTCTCCAAGTACAAACAGATTGCCTGGCATTCTAATCTCGCTCGTCTGGCTATAAACCATACCGACCTCGGCAAAAGTGCATACCAATACGCAAAGATTAATAGCGCTCGTGGGTCTTTATAGCCCAGCAAGTGTCGGAATCCACGTTTCATGAATCCCAAGAATGCCAAGAATGTGATGTATCTTTCACGGGATCCTCCAGTGCAAGTGGACTGCCACACATCGGACAAGACAGAGGCAGCGGAGTAGTAAGGATTTTGATCGGGTGTGAGTGGCCCATCCAAGGCGCATAATTGAACAAAAGCAGGTGCAATTTCTTCTATCCCACGAAGTTTGGGTCGTGATATAAACCGCCTATATTCGTCCCCCATGCGGTAAAATATGCTGTCCGGCCTGAGTGGGTCAGTTGCTCGCCAGATTGCTCTTTTATTCACTGATAAGTTCAACCAGTCAAGGTCCGATGGGTCATCGGGTTTGAGAGGCCATGCTTCTGCTGGAGTTGATGCTTCGATGGAAGTCATACTAGCGATTCCAAGTATTGCTGCGGAGGACCAGAGAGCGTCGCGGTCCTCATATAATATTGGGCTAGATAGCTTTTGGCTAAGAAGTCCAGCGCCCTGGGCACCGTGATATACTTCGGCGACAGACTTTTTGTTGTTGTCTGGCGCTGCGAATAAGATGCGGTCGTGAGTTGCTGTGACGGAAAGAATGATATGCATTAAGAAAGGATGCTTTTCATAAATGTCAGTTCATTCTCTGTGCAGTACCTTGAGAGGTAAGTTACCTGCATGGCGAGTTTCAAAACATCATTTTGATAAATGTCGCAGGCCATTGCACTTGAAAAAGAGAGAGCAGTGCGGTTTCTGAAACGATCTAAGCGAGCTAGACTATCGGTGTCCATCTGAAAGGAGCCAGGACCATATCCCACAGTGATTACCGGATGGGATACGGTTTGATTGGGCTTTGAATCAAAAACCAGGTGACCAAAGGGACTGTCATCGGTACTTGATGGCTGTAGATCTGAATTTTGGGTCATTTTATAATTGCAGGTAACATCAAATGATAGGCATTTCTGGCACTGCGGTTCTGTCTCGTCGCACTATAGGTGATGTCACTAATTAAACCTGATCATGCCAGCTGATTGGCAAACTCACTTTGATTCTTCGGAGCTTACAGTTTCTGCACCCTCGACGCGATTTCGTGTGCGGCCGACGCCGCCGGGACTTGTTACCGAGAGTGGGTTGATTTGATGGCATTTTGCCATTCGTAGAGACACTAAATGTGCAAAGGAGTGAAGAGGGAAAGACCGTTGTCGATGTTGAGTTCTCGCTCCACCGCGTTAACTCCGGGCTCGGCTCCATCCGAGTGGAGCAGAATATGCGAGCTCTTATTCGCTAATTAAAGTGGAGTCTCATATCATTGGTAGAAGCTAAAAACACACTAACCCAGAATCGTATTCTCAAGTGGAAGCCTAGCATCTCTACTAGAACTGTGACATGGACATAAATTTCATATCTCCGTCCGAAATACGATCCAAAAGACACTTTCAGTAGAATTATAAATATCCCGAGTTCCGCATCTTCCACCACACAGCCTTTGAAAATATCATCCCACTATTGGCAGCTGATTACACTGCGTTCCACCACGTTGACGAACTCCTCATCAATTGATTGTGAACCATCATCAATTAACACCAATCTCATCCTCAATATGCACGTATTTGTTACGGGCGCCACCGGCTTTGTTGGCCAAGCTGTTGTTCAAGAGCTGCTCGATGCTGGCCATACGGTCACCGGACTTGCTCGCTCAGAGGCGTCAGCTTCGGCTTTACAACAGAAAGGTGCCGCGGTAGTTCATGGCTCTCTTGGAGACATAGATTGCTTGAAGAACGCAGCATTCAAGGCCGACGGTGTCATTCATCTTGCTTTTGATCATGATTTTAGCAAATTTGCAGAAAACGCCAAAGCTGAGCGCACCGCCCTTTTCGCCATGATCGACGCCCTCGCGGGTTCCAACAAGCCTTTGGTTTTCACCTCAGGAACCATGTCTTTGGTCAAGGGAGAGATGGGCACAGAAAATAGCACACCAGAGATCAACACGCCATTCAGCGCCCGCACTGTTACAGAGCAAGAGGCACTGGATCTTTCGACTAAGGGTGTGCGTGTATCTTGCGTTCGTCTGTCAGTCACCACCCATGGCGAAGGAGATAAAGGATTTGTGTGGCAAATCGCCGACTTTGCACGTGCCAATGGTCAATCAGTTTATGTTGGCAACGGTCTTAACCGATGGCCTGCTGTTCATCGCCGCGACGCGGCCAGTTTGTTCCGTTTAGCTCTTGAGAAGGGTGCTGCAGGGAAGAGATATCACGCTGTTGCTGAAGAGGGTATTCCGATGAAGGATATTGCGGAGGCTATCGGAAAGTCCACGGGTCTTCCGACTGTTTCTCAGGACTTTGAGGCCGCTTCGAAGCATTTTGCTGGCTTTCTGGTTTACCCTGTCAGTGCCGACAATCCGGCTTCCAGCAAGAAGACACGCGAGCAGTTGGGATGGTCACCCTCTGAGCCATCTCTTCTTGCAGATATCGAGGCAGGGGCTTATAATTAGGGTCTATAAGATGGTTTGGCCTATGTCCCATTTTTATCTCGTGGGGATTTTATTCTCTGGATCTGAATTGAAATAACATCATCTCGTACTTTAATCAAATCAGAGTATGTATTGTAGTGGGGAGATTTAGGCCAAAATAGACCCAAGGCATTTATAATGAGGGTTAAGCCATTGCACTTCGAGAGTCAAGACTTCTCCTTTCGTTGATTTAGTTTATTTCATGGAAAATTGGAAGTGTTCTATTCAATAGAATACTAGTAGTAAGCTCAAGAGATGTCAAACCGAACTAGTCCTGATTTGGAATCCCTCCATCAGTGCTCCGCATATCACGTGCTCCACCCTCAGGCACACCCTGGCAGTCAAGCAGCCAGGCAGCCAACTCAGTCCCAGCGACAACTCGGGAGATCGCCAGATCAAACTCTCTTCACCATGGCACAATGACACATCTGTCTTCAACAAACGCACTCGATCTCACCAGTTCGTCAAATCGTAGCTTGAAACGACGAAAGGTGCGAAAAGGAACAACAAGCTGCTGGGAATGCAGACGTCGCAAGAAACGGTGCGAGTTCACAGAATCCGCCTCTACTTGTAACGCCTGCCAGCGGATTGGAGTACCGTGCGTCAGTCAAGTATTCACAGACACTGTTTCCAATGAACCCGACCACCTTAGTCAGCGTCTTGACCAAGTCGAGGCATTGGTGACTCAATTTGTTCGCCAAAGAAAAGGACAATCAAATCAAGAATTACGAAGAGCTACTCCAACGCCCGAAATTGATAGGGCTCCAACTTTGCGGTCGGTCAATCATGAGCGATTGTCTCGGGGTCCGTCTCTCACTGGGTACCTCTATTCTGTCCTTCCCGACCCATCCACTACTGCAGTGATTTTAAGTAGCATCAAGCTCTTCGCCTCGCCCTTACAGGTATCTCAAACATCTGAATTTGACCGGAACATATCTCATGAAATGCCGGGCTTGGATCCTGATGTTCCGTTAACATCCCACCCAGTCCTAGTTGCTAAGAGACTCATTCAACTCGCTATTTGTCTGAAACAGTTCAACATTTTGCCCTCAGAGCAGCTAACACTACATCTTAATGAACCGATCAATAATGCTGCCCAGAGGTATTTCGATGCGGCTTCCCATTTTGTCATGTCACAAGACTATCTGGTAGCTTCTCTAGATGGACTGGAAACCCTGATGCTTCAAGCGTCCTTCCATGTCACAGACGGTGACTTTCAGGCTGCGTGGAAAATTTACCATCGCGTGGCAAATATTTCTCAGGCGATCGACTTGCCAAATTTGGCAAAAGAGCTTGGAAGCCGATCAGAGAATCTTTGGTTCCGAATCACCTACAGCGACCGCTTTCTATCGCTCGTACTCGGCCTCCCTTTCGCTATTGCCAATAACTGTTTTGCAACCACACCTTGTCTTACGGCTAGTGCCCCGGCGGAAAGATTAGAACGCATACACGCCTTTCTAGCGGGCCATATAATTGGCAGAAATTTACGCATGCAACATGGTGCAGGATTTGAAGAGGGATCCTTTCTTGGTGAACATTCCAGAGAAACAAAGAAGATTGACGACTACTTGAAAAAAGCCACTCGAGTTGTACCAACCAATTGGTGGTTGGCTCCATCACTAGACAATGTCTTTGATGGCGAGGCTTTGGAAAGGACAGCCAAACTCCTGGTGCAGATGCACCAGTATTATCTGACTGTGCTTTTGCATCAGCCTTATATTGTTCATCCCCAGATGATGGACTATGATACCGTCACCTATAGCAAGCTTACCGCGGCATCAGCGAGCCGTGAATTGTTGTCACGCTTTCTCATTATTCGCAACTATCATCGATCACCTTCGTATCGGGCTCTAGATGAGAAGGCTTTTGTTGCTTCAGCTACACTGCTTTTTGTTCACTTTGTGGGGCATGAAAATACAAGTGCCAATTTCTTTGAGCACCAGCGGTCGCATGATCTCGGTATAATTGAGAAAGTGTGTGATCTTTTCGATGAGCTTTCGGTCACACCTAGAGCTTCTCAAAGCTTGTGCAGATCGCAGATTTTGAGAAAACTGATGCAAGTTGAGATAAATGCAGCAAATGGCTGTATTTTTTCCACACGAAGCATGATACAGACAAGTTCGAATGCTGCAAGAGACCGGACCGACGAGCAGTATGGAGTTGAACTTTCCATTCCCTATTTTGGGGCTGTCCTTATTTCAGGTCCACCTTCTAGTGAGCCTTTAGCGATGGAAAGCCAAGAATCTACAATCTTGAATGTGTTGAAAAGTAGTCTTGAAGGCCAGCTGTCTACCTTCAATACTCCACAGCAAGAAATCGCTCCAGAACCAGGGCATTTCGGATATGCAGATTATGAAACGGATATGACATTGCTTAAGGATTGGATATATGATGAGCCTGAAGTCGACAGCGGATGATAGCATTTCTCAATGAAATAACCACGAAATTTACTCCAAAGCCGGCGTATCCGCAAAGGCATATCCAGTCGCAGCCTGAAAGCGACCACCAACAACTTTCTCACCCAATTTACGAATATGGTCCTCCTCTTCCCCGGACAAGGATATGAAGACGCTCTCCAAATTTTCCATCATACGCTGACTCTTTGATGAGCCAGGGATGGGAAAAATGTCATCTCCTTGGGAAAGCAACCAAGCAAGAGCAAGCTGCGGCATCGTAATTCTCTTCGCCCTGGCAAAAGCAGCTATCTCATCAATAAGAACCATATTGGTCTCCAAATTCTCTTTGTGGAGCCATGGTAGATGCACGCGCAGATCACCACGCTTGCTGATATCCTCCTGCGAACGGAGACTCCCAGTCAAGATCCCGTTTCCAAGCGGACTGTAACATACAATCGCGACACCCAGCTCTCGTGCAGTCCCAAGCAGCCTTCGCTGCGATGATTCAATCTCCGTGCAAAAGAGGCTGTACTCCACTTGCACACATGTAATTGGGTTAACAGTATGCGCGCGACGCAAGGATTCCGCGCTGCACTCGCTCAGCCCGATATACTTGATCTTGCCGGCTTCCTTGAGCTCTACCATTGCTTGCATGGTCTTTTCGACGGGCGTGACTTTGTCCAAGCGATGGATGTAATACAGATCAACGAAGGGGAGTCCAAGTCTCTTGAGGGAGGAATCGATGGCGGTACGACAATATTCAGGCGTCGAGTTCACGGTGAAGCCCGGCCGCGTGGCAGTATGCTGAATGCCAAATTTCGTAGCAAGGAATATGTCCTGGCGCTTTTCGGGGTTGGCGACAAACCATTTGCCCAGAATGTCTTCTGAATCGCCATACTCATCGGCTTCAGTGTGCTTCAGTATTGTCATCTCCCCTTGGTTTGCATTTCTTCAAAACTGACCTGTATCCCAAAATCGTTCGCCTCTCTCATACGCCGCATCTAGAAACTCCAGTTTCTCTGTGTCTGAGAGAGAGTTTCCATATATGCCACTGGCACCCATGAGGCCCAGACCGAGGCGAGGAACCAGTGGACCATTTCGGCCGAGTGGACGGGTGGGCAATGTCTTGGGAGCGGCCATTGTCACTGGAAATTCAAAATACTCGATTGTGATGTTTTGACTGTGCTTGAAGTCTGTCTGCTTTTGCAGGTTCACTAAACGCTTCAAAGCCAGTATTTATCTTTCTGGACATCCGGATTTTGCGGCGGACGAGGACAGTGTATACAACACGGAACAGCCAATCATGTTGTTCCGCCGCCAATCGCCGCTAAGTCCGTCTCCACAACTGGACCCACGCAATGGATTTGTTGATGGAATACCCTTGTAGCCAGGAGAATAGATCGTTGCATCATGGTGTGTAAATGTATTAAAAAAAAGTAAACTGAGAGCAGTGATCAAGCCCAAGATAAGCCATTGAACAATCAAGTCGCAATTTTGAACCCATTAAAACATTTGCTGACATTATAATATCATGTACTCCATCTGAGTATCAAAACCACTCGCTACTCCTGACGTTTGCCGGTAGAAAGTCCAGTCTCAACGGCCTTGATTTGCAAAGCCAGGAATTTAGAATAAACACGGCATAAAGCAAGGTTACCGCCAAAGAACCAGAACCCAGGGTGACCACTGGGTCGCCACATCTACAAACAGATCGTTAGCATTCATTTTTTAGGAAACGGGACGCAAGAACGGGGCTGGAAAAAGGTGAGAAGATCCATACCCCACGAAGCTCGCCCTCGTTATCCAAGTCCCAAACATCCTGGCAACGGTCCGCAATCTTATCACCCAACACGTTCCGAACAGTGGTGCGCATGTTATCGTAACCAGTAGCCAAGACAACAATGTCAGCTGGTAGGGTACTACCATCCTCCAGGTATAGCTCACGAGGTCCAAAGCCAGTAATTCCACGAGGACTGTGCTTGACTTTGATCTTGCCATCGATAATAAGTTTGCTACAGCCAACGTCGATGTAGTAGCCACCGCCGCGGGTCATATATGCGCGCGCGATACCGGCGCCATCCACACCGAAGTCGAGCTGAAAGCCTGCTCGGCGAAGACCATCCAGTGTTTCCTTTTCGGCTGCTGCGAAGCGCTTCGTTGCGTGCACGCTTAGGGCGAATTGGACGGGGAATGGGAGGCTCTCGGAAACGATATCGCATTCTTCGGTTGGAGGACTGTCAAGCTCGATGTCAATAAATATTCCACGCAAAGAAATTAGTGCTGAAGAGAGGAGAACGAACCCGCCATCCTCGTGCATGCCCTCGTGCATCATGAATACGCCCTTATCGGCAGTTATGACATATGTTCCGCTCCGCTGTAGCATGGTCACGCTGGCGCCATTTTCGTAGTAGTTCTGTGCAATATCGTGCCCGCTATTGCCAGTGCCAACAACAACAACCTTCTTCCCTGTCACGTCTGAGTCAGATGCATCAGTGTGTCGGCTGCCATGGTATATATTTCCTTGGAAGGATTCTTGGTTTGGAAAATTTGGAATGAGCGACTCGCCTGAATGTCCCGTGCACCAGACGACATGGCGTGGACGCAATATGCGTGAAGATCCATCGCCGCGAGTGACAGCTACCTTCCAGTCGGCGGTGGCGTCGTTATACTCGGCAGATGCCACAGATGTTTGAACCCAAACATTCAATTCCATGATGCTTGCATATGCCTCGAACCAGTCCCCAAGCTTGTCCTTTGGTGTGAACTGAGGCCAGTTCTGAGGGAAAGGAAGGTATGCCATGTGGGTGAATTCTGCAGGGTCATGAGTAACCAGAGTCTGCAAGATAGAGATCATCAACGAATGTCTGAACACCAGAGCTCGGGGTTTGCTTACTCGGTACCGCTTACGCCAGTTATCACCAACACGCTCATGTTTATCAATAATTAAACAAGAAAGTCCAAGATTCTGCAGACGAGCACCCATATTCAGTCCAGCCTGGCCAGCTCCAACAACCAAAACCGTGGGCTCTGAATCCCAAAATTCTTTTTGCCTTTTCCTCCGCTCAATCCACGTCCCACCAGCCAAGCCTCCAGGCATAGATTCAGTGGTTCCTTCTGTCCTTCGCTTACCTACCGGCTCCTCCGCACCTGTCATCTCTTGCAGCGACGTGTACACTGCATAAGCTCTCCAGCCTCCATCGACACCCTGCGTTAATCGAACCATGCCAGACCCGTTTCCAACAGCCGTCCGGAAGAAAAACATGCTTGATATCCAAGAGAGTCCATCAACAACCTGCTCGACCTTAGGCTTCCACTTGCCTTGGTTTTGAATCTTGAAGCTGGATAACGAGGCCTGGCCCTGGTATTTTCGCAGGAAGTCCTGGATCTCAGCAGCCGTATGGACGGTGCGCATATCCCAGTCTAGGGCAAGCATATCGCGCCACCATGACTCGGCGTGAAACAGTCCCACCAGATCAATCGAGCCAAGATGCGAAAGCTGGGTCTCCAGGCCATTGAACCATTGCTGGACAATAGCTTGGGGGTCGACAGCATCCGAACTTGTGGGTGTCGTAGGGAGTTGGATGATATGTGTGTTTCCATCAGTCAAAGTTGAGGCCATTTTGAATAAAGTGAGATTGAGAGACAAGTTGAATGTGACCAAAAAAGTAGAGATGAGGGTTTTCCGTCCCTACTTATAGCTTGTTACTTCTTGACTTCGGCTCCTGACTATTGAAGTAGACTTTCTCCCGTTTCGGCGTCTGTTCGTCCTTTCATCCACTACAATAAGGGGCAACTCTACCGACTTGGAGCATGAGGGGCATACGTGGGGAAATCGACGTCAGGTCTATGTCTTACTTCCTCCCCGGCGTGGGGGGAAAACACTCGGGGGAGAAGTTACCGAGGGCAGGTTTGCCGAGGCCTGGAATCGAGCCGGAAGGGAAACTCAGGCGAGATGTTGACTTAACTTTCAGTGTGTACCTTCTTATAATTTACTATAAAAGGCAGATACAGGCACTTTTACCTCTTATAGATGCCTCCGATACCCTGGTCAGATTTCAAGCGGAAGAGCTAGGTAAAGATCATCCGAGGTCACATAATAGGATATCATAACCTCTTGTTAGTTTTATGATACTATAATCGAGAAGAAAATCTGAAATACTAATATGTGAAAGCCATTAGTATGTGAAAGCCTTATAGCTATCTAAAGCTAAATTAGTATAAATTAATAATAAAAGCACTACACCAAATCTCACCAATTTTGTTGTATTTTGTCACTAGTCTCGTGCAAATGGAAGCCCAATCTTGCCTCTACTACCACGCCTCGATAGGTTTAAGCCCTGTCAGCCCGTAAACTTCTCCTTCACCCTCTAGCATCACTGGTCAATAAAGACACTTAAAGCCACAGAATATTCATAGTCACAAACAGTCCGACCAGCAAAAGAGGGGAAATAATCCTCAATGACCCAGCAACGGAACACTTCGATTTTCCTAGAACAAATCTTAGTCAATTACCCAAAGCGAATGAAAAAGATCCAGGTGTCACGAACCATCGGCGTATTCACACATTAAGGCGTATGAAAAAGAATTATCTATCCACTGCGTATTGTTCCACGTCGTGCCATTGCATTTGCCATACACGCAGTCCAACAGGCTGTCAGCCTGGCCATTTGAAAGACTGGTTGCTGCATTGTCGCAGATACATTTGACAACTGATTTCTTGGTGCTTGCCATTGCGCTAGAGGGGCTGCCGCAGGCTGTGCTGTCGACTAATATGTTGTAATAAGACTCGCCATAGCATGTCTGTGCACAAGACGGAAAGCCATCAACCCAGGCACTCCAGTCACACGGAGTAGTAAGTGCTGATGAAGCAAAGACCAGGGCGAGGATCAAAATCAGTTGCCGCAACATGGGCAAGGATTTCAAAGGTCTAATAGGATGAAGTTGCTATCCAAACAGATCGAAAATGTGGCAAGAATCCAATTTCGTTCGGTTGGGGACATATATACATAGCCACAAAATCAATTGGGCATCGGGCAAACTTAGCTCCCTAGCTATCCTAACTAACCAGCCAGTAATAGACGGAGTAGGGACCAAAATACTAAGGCGCCCATAATGCTAAGCTTATTAGCGTGGCGCTAGCAGTTGATAAGAAGCTTTTCGGCCCGGTCGGAGGGACCCAGGGTCGCTATTAATCTCGCTTATCACTGCTAGTGGGGAAATGTGTACAAAACAGGGAAAGCGCTGATAATAGTTCGGAATTGTCTAGACTAGGTTAAGACTCACGGACTAAGCTTGATCAAGCTGCCGAGTGATCAGATAAGAGGGTGAAGGGAAAAGGGGACAAGGTTCAAAATGAAATTGGACAGTAGCAATTGCCGTTCCCTACAACGGCCTGTACCGGTCGGTCTAGTTATCCATGATTGGTCGATCGGTTGCTCGTACATTGTTAACCAATGAAGTGCAATTAATCAATGGTGTTTTACATAGTGCGATTCAGGATCCATCCGGGCAAACTACGGAGTACAGTAGGAGTTTAGAATGGAGTTTAGGTGGAGACTGGAGAGAGGCAATGTGGCAAGGTTCTGCATGGGTCCCTCTCCTTGATTAACATAAGGTACTCCACATCGCTTCAACACCAACTGAGCAGATATAATTCGTATTCGCATCGTACTATAGAGTCCACATAATAGTATCTGTTAGTCCCTGTCGGTCCCTGTTGGTCCCTGTTGGTCCCTGTTGGTCCCCGTCGGTCCCTATCGACCCCTGCTGGTCCCTGTCAGTCCCTGCTGGTCCCTTTTAGTCCCTGTTGGTCTGTTCGATCCCGACATCATGACCAGAATAGAGTAACAGCGACGACCTCTGTAGAATTAAGGATCTGGAAATTAATCTGAGACATTGAATATGCTAAGATCTTTAAAGAGGCTAAGCAATGGTAACGGCAAATCTCTTACGTTCCTAGCCCGATAATCAAATTAAGAAAAAGGCACGCTAGTGGAACGGAAACACGGACGGAGTCCTTTGAGAATTTCTAGTAATTATCTGGATCATTGCCTAAATTTGATTATGCCGTCGGTACACCGGAGATAACTAGGAAAAAAAAAAAATGGGACCGGACCTAAACGAAAAGAGCTCTTCTCTAAGGACTCTTCTCAATGTTTCTCTGCTCTGCCTGGGCTAAGCGTTTCCAAGCATTTTTAGCCTCGATTAATGTATTGCCGAACCCTCTCCACTTATGACCTCTCCTTATCTCCACCTAGCGCATTCTATACCTACTAGTATGATCCAAGATATTTTTACTTTCTCCCCTTCACAAATAAGTGCCACTTACGGATTAACAAGGGATTATAATGATTTAGTCATATCTATATGAATGTAAGCTTTATCTATGTTCTATCGATGGAAAGGGTATAGACGCATAGATAATCCGCCAATCAAGTAGACATCTAGAAACCATAGCTCATGGACGTACAATTGAGTACATATACCACAATGTTTCATTTGTTTTAGCAATAGTGACCTTGGAAGTCAAGTTGAATTGTTCACTTCGTTCTCTACAATCGATACTATCTACGTCGAATGGCTCCCAACACCCGCCAGCAAGAAGCCACCAAGGTCTCTAGCTCTCCACCCATCTCTTTAGCTCGTGGCTTAGCTTGAAATTAGAATGTACCCCTTGATTAGCGATATTGCTAATGGCTGTTTTTCTCTATCGGAGAAGTCCGGGCGATATCAAAGACAAGATTGTTGTAACTGCTTCTTAGCATGGGACTCTGTAACTCTCGCCTATATCCTGTACTCACCGCAACTATTGCATATCCTGGCCACATATTAGATCATATATTAGCAGCTTGATGGCTTTATGCAATTTGAAAGGCATAAGCCTTGCTGAGCACAAAATATGCCATTTTGTGACCCTGACTTTTGATACATATGCATATTATTTTCGGGGGCTAAATGAGCAAACCCCACCTGGGCCTAATGTTTGCAACTAGTGCACAAGAAAAGCACCAAAAGTAGCTCTTGGGACATATGAGCTTGCGCGTCTTGAATAAAATCGGAAAAAACTGGGACGTTCGGAATCTCAGAGAGCTTTAAATTCTTCCCCGGAGAAGCGGCTTCTCATCATATAGCTTCACACTCATTTCAACCCTCGTTCTTTAGTTTCATTCCTTTCATTGTATGGATGCGATGATTTGCAAGAAGGCCAGAATATCTGTCTCTCAAACGGCACATCTCCTTATCCAGTCGCTCTTACCAATGCTGTCTGTGGACCACAGGTCCCTGGAACCAATTTTACTGGAACAGATGGTCCAGATGACTGGGCTGCTTTGAATCCTTGCCCTCTCAATGCATGTTGTGATGTCTGGGGTCAATGTGGTACCACTCCGGAATATTGCAATGACACCCTGGCATCGACCGGGGCGCCTGGAACTGCTGCAGAAGGCTCTGAAGGATGCATCTCGAACTGCGGTATGACAATCACCAATGATGCTGTGGCTCCATCTAACTACTCCGCTGTTGGCTACTATGAAGTGTCGAGTATGAGTCGATCTTGTCTACAGATGAACGCCTTCTCTATCGATGTTGCGAAATATACGCATGTGCACTTTGCTTTTGGAAACATCACATCAAACTTCTCTCTGAGTGTGGAAGGCGCTTCAGAGCAATTTGGGTATTTTCAGGAGCTCGAGGATGTCAAACGCATCATTTCATTTGGTGGATGGGCGTTTTCTACCGACCCTGAGACATACATGATCTTCCGGGAAGGTGTCACGGAGGCCAATCGCGATACTCTCATCACCAATGTTGTTGATTTCATCTCCGATAATGACCTCGATGGGGTGGACTTTGATTGGGAGTATCCTGGCGAGCCTGATATTCCTGGCATCCCCGCAGGTAGCAGCGATGATGGCGCCAACTATCTGGCCTTTTTGAAGGGATTGCGCGACGCTATACCCGACGATAAAACAATTTATATTGCTGCTCCTGCTTCCTATTGGTACTCGAAGCAATTTCCGATTTCTGAAATCGCGGATTTTGTGAGTTATATCATTTACATGACTTACGATCTTCACGGAACATGGGATCTCGGAGATGATTGGGCGCAGAATGGCTGCACCGCCGGAGATTGTCTTTTTTCCCACGTGAATCTAACTGAAACAATGTGGGCCCTTTCCATGATCACCAAGGCAGGAGTGGCAACGAACTCTATCATGGTTGGTGTGACTAGCTATGGACGTTCATTTGAAATGACCACAGCTGGATGCACAAATTCTTCATGCACCTGGAGCGCGGCCGGTGAGGCTGGCGAATGCACCCAAACTGCTGGCTACATTTCCAATGCAAAGATAAACCAGATCTTGGACGAAAATTCCGATGCTTATTCTCTTTTTGACAGTGCTAGTGATTCCAACATTGTCGTGTACAATACGACGCAGTGGGTGGGTTATATGACCACAACGACCAAGTCTAATCGCACGTCTTACTACAAGACATACAATTTTGCTGAGACAACTGAATGGGCCATCGACCTTGAAGAATTTGTTCCGGCCAGTGTGATCGACATCATCTCTGATAGCACTGATCCATCATTCGACTATGATATGCCTTGCATAAATCTTATTCCCGGCCAGAATACCACAGCCGAACTGGACAAATACTTGAATATGGGTATTTCCTACATTGACAGCGTCCTGACTTATGACGGTGAGTCGAACGCAGCATTTTTCATCTATTTAACAAGTTCAAGGCTGACTTATTGTTACGTCCAAGGCGACGAAGGGGATTGGGACAGCGTGATTCTACAGAGTCTTGAAGACTTCAGCTGTGATTCTTTCCCGGATGGTGACTGCGGGTTTATTGAGCCTTATCAATGTGGAACGTATGATAATAAGACTGTTACCCAGGAGGAGTATTGGGCTCAGTACATCGTTGCTACGTTTTTCGCAAACCTAAAGCAATGGTACAGTGCCTTTGATATTGCAGTGATGGCAGACTCCTTAAAGATTGATGACATCGTTTCAACATTCGACCCTGAAACCACAAGCCCTTTCACAATGGACAGTTTTATGTCGGCTCTTTCAAGCGCAATGGGCGATGCTTCCGACTTCGTGGGGACCCTCCCTGGCTTCAGTGAAGTAAACTCAGCTGTCAGCATCGCAACGACCGTCACTAGTCTCATTTTCAGTGGAGAAGCTTCTTTGCCGGACGATTCGTCAGTGGAAACCGAGATCACTGACATATTGTCCGAGCTTTACACTGAAGCGGCGGGCTACGTGGCCGACATTGACACTTATCTATTTGAAACACCCTCAGAAGCAGACAAGCTGCCCTCTGACCTCACCAACGGTACATACGAACACCCGGTTTCCAACTTCCTTTACAATTCTCGGCCACTTTTCACGCTCACCGCCAGTCAATGGGATGAAACAATGGGCAAGATCAATGTGACCTTGCAGAAGTACCTTGTCGGACAAACGATGGGAGCTTCTGACTATTACATCCTTAAGAACGGATTGTCCTTGGACTTGTGCGATGACGTGGGGTCTTGTATCATCAATGGTAGCTGTTATCAGCTGGCCTATCCCGGTGCCGCCAGTTGTCTGCAGGGGCTTGCCTACAGTACCAATGTCGATAGCGATATCGTCGACACAATAGTGGGCTCCTATGACATCGAGGTCACGGAGTTGATCGCTGTGTCTGAGTATTGTCAGAATGTGACTGGGGAATACTTTGGAACATTCACAGGAAGTGTCAAATTTTCGGATTATCCTGTGTGTTTTTTCAATCTGCCAGTATTTGACTTGTTCAAGTCAGCTTCTGTTGCATGGGATGGAATCGATTCCTGGGACAGCCCATGTCTTAACTGGGCGCGCAATCAGAGCGCCTCAGAGCCGGTAGTCGGAGAGACATATCTCCCGAGCAACTTGGAAACGTTCTTTGATGGCACATACTGTAAGTGCACTTCATCTGCTGCTTGCAAGCGCTCGAAACTGGGCAAGAGAATGGTATGCTAGAGCATTGTGTAAGAGTTGAAGACAGGAGGAAGTTGAAGGTTGCTCGCAGATGTAGTTTAATTATTTGCTTGGTCTTTTCTAAAAACTTATAACGTCACTTGAAAGCCAGCACTTGAGGGCTGTAATCATATCAATTTTTCGGATTTACCTAATGAGTAATAGCTCAAACCAAACACACTAGGCGTAACACCCAAGTTGAGTGCATCGGGTCCGGTGATTATGATCATACTTCTCCTCTCCTCGCTGTAGAGCGACAACGTTTAAGCGCACGAACTCTTCAACGAAATGCGATACCAGGAGAAATTATTTGCGGGCTATTGATGAAGACCGTTTAGCGTAAAGTCTATATAGACCTAACCAATCAGCTCACGTCAGTTCAAGAAAACCGCCGCATTTCTACTGAGCTCAAGGCAAGATTGCCGTTCTTTCAGGATGTCTTTGGGGAGGGTTTCAAATTTAAGGATGAATACGGGTACTTTGGCCCTGGGTCAGCGGAGTTGGCTGCTTAGGCTGTTTCGGTTGCTCGGGGCAAGCTACCTACTTTCGCGGAGTACTTGGAGAGATACCCATTCCAGCTAGCGTAGCAGGGCATAAAGTTTATCATCCAAAAGCATTTGAAGCTTCATGGAGCCTAAACTCAGCGCATCTAGGTACTGATCAAATTGAAAGAGCTTGCTTGCACATTGGGGGTACATGGGGCACCTGGAGCAATCAGAGTGTGCAAGAGGGACCGGCTCAGACTGAGGCTACTAGGTACCGGGCTCAAGTGCTAGAAACGTTTACAATAGCTGGCTCCTGCCACGATTCGGTTTACGTTCACGAAACTTTTATTATATTCAATAATAAAATGTGCAAGCGCCTCGTAGATACAAATCCACAATTAAAGAATAGTGCGGAGTCGGATAAAAAGCTATGTATAACGAAGCGAAAACAAGGCAATCGTATAAACAGGTCCTATTGGGACCGACGGGCCATAAAGTATGTAAGCAAGTTCAGTGATCCCTCCCCGGCAGGAGGTGTCACCTTCTGAACTCGGTCCAGCCCGAATTTCAGATTCAGGAGTGTGCACAGTTCGGTTGCTTGCTTGCGCACGCCCGGCCAGGGGTGGCCGAGTTGGCGACCGACTACACCACCAACACTGGCGAGGACTTCGTCGGAGATCTCGACAGGGCCTTGGGAGAGGGATTGGTGGATTGTGGAAAGACCGAGGATGATTGATCGATATGACTTGTCGCTCTGTGTATCTCCCTCTAATCCTTGAAGCACACCGTGGATGCAGGTCGGCGCGGGGACCAAGGCTGCCAACTGTTCTGCCACTTCCTCCAAACATGTTACGAAATGAGAGTTCGATTCGTAGTGCTGGCGGGCCCGGACAATTGCCGCAATTACAGGGGCGTCATACCGATGGAATAGATCACTGGTGCGTAGGAGCATGGATCGGATAGTGGCCAAGATCTGGGTCTTCACGTCATGGTCCTTGCGGCTAGTGGGGGCCAACTCCAACTCATTGAGCAAAGCTCCAAGCACTTCGTAGTAGTCTTGTTCGTGAGTTACAAGCTCCTCGCCGTGGTATTGAAAAAGTCCCTGTAGCTTGCGGTAGCCCGAGATGTCCATTGTCTTCGTGGCAATTCGACTGAGAGCCTTAGGGAGCATCTCCCTTGCGTTAGCAGGGTCCTTCGATCGAGGACTTGGGCTGCGATGCCGCTCGGCCCATTTTCGACTTCGGCGGAGGGTTTCCTCGCTTGTTGATTGGGCCATGGGCTCAACAGATCGATATCTCATCTCCGATGTTCTCAGGGTCGATTCGTTCAAGGATACCTCCTCCAGAGCACCGGGCTTTGCTACAGACCGTGGAGTCCCGGGGTATTCAGTGGGCTTCGCAACGTGCGCGATCACATTCTCGTCGGTAGGAGTCCTCTTGGGACTACTTGTTGTAGGTTCATGTGCCAGGATTGAGTCTCTGCCTGCCATGTTTTCTAATGGTGTCGCCTGAAGTCGGTTTCGTGATGGCGAAGGACTTCCCCGGAGTGGCGTCCTCCGCACTGGGGATGGGAACTGCGGATCAGTGGTTTCATCAGTAGAGAACCCTTGGCAAAGAGTCATTTCACGGGGTGTATTCTTGAGAGGAGTAGCTGGATCCACGGCTCTAGTTGCTATCTCCTCCCCAAGATCTGACTCAACGACACGGCGAGGTGACTTGGTAGGGGTAAAATGTTCAACAGGATTGATCTGCGGTGTTGAAGTCTCAACAGCAACAGGAGTGGTAGGGTCCTCATATATGACCATTTCGTCGGGCTGTGCCTTGGCAGCGGACTCGGGGGTATCGAATATGTCTGGATTGCGCGGGGGTGTTGCCACATGTGGTTCAGGACGTGGAGAAGCCAAAGCTGGGGGGTCTTCAAGTGACACGGACTCTAGCTCTATCGCTGGCTCTGGCTCTGGTTCTCTTACGGGTTCTGGAGTAATGGTACGACGATGATCAACTTGCTCGTTGTAGTGGGGTTGAGGGTGAGTCGCAGAAAGCGGAGGACTCTCTAACACAATTTGCGCGGGAGAGTTGGGTTCTTCATAGGAACTCTGGTCAGCCTGATGAGCGTGAGCAGAAGACTGGTTGGTAATGCTCTCATTGGAACCACTACGTCCATGGCTTGCCGCTGCTGCGAGGTCTCCATGGGACTTTGATTTAGAGAGGTCAAGCTTCTTAGGCTTGCCTCTAGTGGAGCCTGAGGAGCCTGTGGAGCCTGGCTGTCCGGAATCGTGCGGTCGAAGACGAGGTGCGTTGATGGGTTTTGATGAAGGAGTCGCAGTCTTGGATCTCACCGATCGTGGGGAACTGGTTGGCTGTCTAGTCGTTTGGGACCTGGATTCAGGTCGACGAGCATACGGGTCAGCGGTCGCAGGTCGACTAATTTCAGGTCGTCGGGGTTTCATAGCAGGCCTCATGGGTGCAGAGGACATGGATGAAAGAGGTGCACCAGTAGGGACGGTCCTCATAGCCGGCCGGGGCGCAGGCTCTGATAACTGGCTATCAGTAAATGCAGACTGAGCAGACTCCGGGCGAGAAGTCATCTGAGCCTTCTTACGAGCAGCAATAGCTTCCTTCAGGGCAGAACGCGGTGCAGCCTTGGTAATCGGTTTAGCAGCCTGCTGACTCGTATTTGGGTTCGACGAGTCCTTTTCCAAAAGATTCCGTGATTTGGCATCCAAATCAGACATAATTCTTCAAACCGTTAGTGAATTGATGAGAATAAGGAAAGACACAGTAACGCACCCATTAGCCCGATCAGGCCACACACCAAAGAAAGTCCAAAAGGTACCTCTTGTAGCCTCGCGTACTCCCGGGTTGGCATCAGCTAATCCCTTCTTAATGGACTTTTCAATCAGATCCAAACCTCCACCATGTTCAACGGTGCTCTTATGGTTAGCCTGTCGGCTGATCAATGTTCGCAGCCACCCAGCAGCGAAAAGACGCAATCCGACATTCTTCTCCTGCGAGGCCCAATGTATGTGTTGCAGAATTCGAATGTTGAATGTCACACTCCCAATGACCGCATCAACTGTCGCGTTACCGTTCTGCGCCGCGATCTTCTTCAAGGCACAACACAGCTTGATCAGGTTCTGCATTATGATTTCAACCATCGAGTCGATTTTCGGGCCGCAGGTTCGTGCGATGTCTTGGATCAACAGGCAGCCGTTGGTACAGAGGGTGGTCCGCAACGAGTGCACTACTTTGAAGAATCCATCCAGTAAAGTTTTGGTGGCCTGCAGAAAGCTTTGAGAAAACTCATGGGGCGCATTTCCCCGAGTTAGTCTTCGGAAAAGAATTACACTCTTCTCACGTTTCAACCAGTTATCTTCAGACTCTTTACCATCGAACCAACCAATCATATCGCGAACAAGATCGTCAATATCTCTGCTCGAGCTAACAAGAAGTGGTTCGACTCCAGCATCTTCCTGGGCCGAAGTCGGAGCAGGCGGTGCTTCGACGGGTGTTTTCGGTCTAGCAGGGGCATCAGTCGAAGCAATCGGTCTATCAAGGTGATTTCTCGAGGCTGGACGAATTTTAATAGGTTCCGGTTCTGGGTTGTCATTAGAATCATTGTTGGAAGATGGAGAGGGCGGGTTGTTGACAAACAGACCATCTTCATGGCGGTCCACCGCGTGTGAACGTGACGACATCACGGAGATGGGCCGTTCGGCTCGAGAAATAGGGCGCGCTGAGGTCTCTGGCTCGGCAGAGGCGAGTCCGATTCCTGTCAAAATAGCAGTTGCGATTGATTTTCTTACGCCACGAGCCCCCAGCTGTTTCTGTAGATCGGATTTGGCTCTGGACGGAGCAGTTCTAAAGCGAGTTGTTAGAATAGAGGTTGAGGATGATACTTTGCGGTTCTTCATACCGAAATAATTCAATTACAACCACTTTGGCCGTATCTCGAACAGCGCTGTCGGCACTTTCCAAGCATGCGACCAGTGAAGGGACATACTGTTTAAACAGTAGACCGTGATTTCTTGTCATCTAAATCGAATGTCAGATGCATTTCTATTCTCCGGTCACCAAGAAAACCCACAGTTGATAGCCAAACAAGACTCATTTCCTTGGCTCTGGGGTTTTTGCCCACGAGGGCAATCTCAAGAACATGATATTCTACTTCGGGGCCAGCTAAGGGCCACAAGTCGGTAAATATCGATGCAGCCTGTGCTCTAATGCGTTCCTTGTGATCGCCAAGCTTCTCTGTGAGGATTGGGTAGAAGTTGCGCGCCTGTGAAATGATCCACTGTTGTTGATCTTGAATTGCCAGTCGCTTCAGGAAGTGACCCAATGTCGAAAAGGCCCCACTGACGACGGAGTAGTGTTGAGAACTCAACGCAAGTCTGATTGTATCGAATATTGTTGCAATAGCCCCTTCGGGTACATTCTTCTGTTTGATATCGGACTTGATGCCGGTGAGATGGGCAACTTTGGCGTCAACGGAGAGATTGGGATTTTTGAAAGCTGCTAGCAACTCTGCGGCCTTGGACTCCATGTTTGATACGGATGGAGAGAAGTATTCTTTGTCCGTTAGATCAGGCGAGGGCACCTGCGATGGTGCGAGATCTGAGGTTGGAACCCTTCGGTGCGTTGCGGCGGTGCGAATCAGAGGCAAGATGGGGGAAACTCGGGTCGCTGGGTAGAATTAACTCCTATATGAAGTTAGTCTTGTGAATACTATATGCTGACGCGCGCAAAGTGTACGGCGACCGAAAGAAAATGCCTCCACGAGAACAGGTGGCGGTGGAAGTCGCGCAAACAAGACCGAGGCAGGATTCAGGCTGGGATATAGCGTAGATGAATAGCGCATGCAGTGAACCAGCAGATAAATACGTACCGAAGCAATCGAGGATTGACGGGTCAGGGGAAGTGCGGGCGTGTGAACCGTGGATGGTGGGATGTTGACAACTCGGGAGGGAAAGTTAGACAAACAAGGGGCGATAAGCGCGGATAAGCGCTTGTCTCCACTGATGCGCGACGAACTCAAGGGGGTTTAATGCGGTTTTATGTCAGCTCCCTTTAAATCGATTCTATGAATGATTTTGTTTCTATGTTCCACGAGAATAGTTTTCGGTTGATTGTGGACTTGATTACAGCCCAATGTTGGTTTGTTTATTTGGTTGCAAAGGGCAACCGACAAAACCAGATAAGCATTGGATATCGAGTGCATAATCAAAATCACAAAGGTTATATTCTACTTACAGCTTACAGTCGATCTCCCAGTGACAAATGTTAAGGTAGGTAGTAGTGAAAGCTTTGTTAGCTTCCAAGGTTTTTCTTTTTTCTTTTTAAAAAAAAATAAAAAAAATTCCCAAGCTAACAATAACACACAATATTCCTAGTGGGAGCATCGACCTCGACTTCGGGAGTAGGTCATCTATCAAGCATTCTAGCATGGCTCGTTTTCCTATGGAATTCTAATTATTTACCCCCTTTCTCCTTTTACTTCTCTTTCTTTCTATTCAGCTACATACAAATTTGGAGAGCCCATTGACTATTTAACTAATCCGGTTGAATACTAGGGAGATACCGGGCAGGAGACTGGGTAGGAGACTACGTAAGAGACAGGGTAAGATATCAGTACTTAGATATATATTGAACATGACACCATGACACCTAGGTAGGCGCCGCGCAAAAAGCGCAGTGGAAAGCCTCTAGTAAGGTAAAAATTCGGTAGTAGCCGGTTGAAACAGTTTTCAAGGTTGAAATACATTTATGGACAGACTCTGGACATGGGATGTGCACTAAAACTAATCTTGATATATACCCTGATAACGTGCACCAGATTCAGTGAGCCTATGCTATGGAATTGAAGTAAACCAAATAAATCCTGATGAACTGAGCTAGAGCCTGATGAACCTGGGCCAAAAGGGAAACCAAATAGATCTTGATAAGCATGAACTGGGTTCTGATAAATCTAGGTAGCAAGGAGAACTACCTGGATTGTTGAGTCTGACAATGATATTATACGATCTCCTATTTTTTCCTCTCTTATCCTCTGCTCTTTAAAAAGAATAACGCCGAAAGATCTATAAAAGAAACTTAATAAAAGAGATATACATACTATATTATGAAGTATTGGAATAAACGGGCAATAACAAGTCTTGTATGGTCTAAGCTATAGTTCCCTTCGCTAAAATATCCACCTGATCCTGTAAAATGCCAACGTAATACTAGTTTCCTTCCCGTTCACAAGAAAATGTTTCGAATTACCGGCGTTAAAGTCAATCTTCCCAACCTCAGGTGCCATTATAATGCGACAAAAACCCAGCCACATTCCAAGCTACTTCCTCTGAAGGGGTGGGAAAAGTGGAGAGGTGGTAGTTGCCGGTTTCCTCGCGTCTTTCTTTGAAGTATTTGGTGTATGTGTCCACCCAGGCATCATATGACTCCAATACAGAGGGGGGGGATGAAGCGAGTAAGTCTTCTGAATCTAACGCAGTGCCCCCCTCTTCAGACGTAACATCATCTGGATCACGTGAAATAAAATACGTGCCGTAGTCAGCAAATATACGCCAATGGCGAGGAACTCCTTTTGGTACAGATTGTTTGGTGGGTGAGGTTGATGAAGGTGGTTCGCTGGTCGACATTTCAATAATCGTTGGGTTGGACTTGCGTTGTTCTTCTAGTCTGTTTGTGATTTTTTAAACAAGGTCAAAGTTTGTTTCCATCAGAACGGAGTTTTTATCGCTTTCAGGAAGAGGCAATTCGGCAAGGGTTCGCCACGCATCACCAAGGTTTCTGATGCTTTTGATGTAACGCTGAGACTGCGATTGGCTGCAGAATACTGCGAGCGGTCTGAGGATGCTGAACGCCATTATTGTAGAATAAAGTTGAATGAATGATCATTCATGTAAAGGAGAACAGGCTCAGCGTTGTTTTAACAACTCGCGTGGATTTGTTTGTTGTCACTTTCGGGAAGCTAAATTACCGCCAGGCTGTGTCCAAATAGCCACTCTTAAACGCCCGGCAGAACTCCACTAACCGCCAAAGTTGGAACTAATAAAGTAGAAGAGATCTGGCGCTTGTGCAATATGCTTTAGCACCAATAATGTGGACTTCCAGTAACGAAAATTTTTTTTGTTTCGTATTTGTATGTAGGAGGGCAGCCGCTTGGTTATACCTTAAAATATAAAGCCTATATATTGGACTCTTAGAATTTATGGTGGTTTTCAGAATTAAAAGGCATCAATTGAGAGTCATTTTAGAATATCATGTTGAATATATGTACTGAGTCCTTTGAAACGTGGGAGTAATCAGGCTAAACAGTAGTGGCTACGATATTATACCTATAAGAAGAAGGTCAGCATAAGAGAGGAAGGCCATATAAGCGTTTTAGGGTTATTTAGGCAAAGGGGTAGAAGGGACTGACAAGTAGGGTGGCAAGAGTAGTTTTTTAGACGAGTTAAGAATAAGCAAAAACAAAAACATACAACAGTCAGGATTCGCATGTGGTCACCCACCATACTACTAACTAACCGGCGTGTGGCTTAAGTACGGCTGAGCGGACGGGAAGCCCTGTTCTCCACACCCTATGGTCGTATGTACTAGAAGCTATTTCTAGTTGGAATATATAGTACAAATAAACAGAGTCCAGGGTGCTTTTGCTCCCAATGTATCGAGCTTTACACAGATGAAAAGAAATTGGTAACCGATGTTGTTAGAGTTAATTCTTCGCATCGAAGTCTCTACTATTATTTCGTAATTTTATATCTTGAAAATTGTGATCAATTGCTGAGATCAAAAGCTACTAGCTCAAGCCTATAACCGAAAGTCCAGGGTAAGATAATCCATCGCTCATAGGCGGTAGTATATGATGTCTAGGGTCAGTATAGCCAGCGATACCATAGCAGAAAGAGAATAGGAAAGACCGGCTCTATTGCTATTCGCTGGTGGGATAAAGGGCATAAGCAGTAAGAATTGATATATCAGTCGGTTTATCTTTAGGGGAAAGGTTCTAATGTTTGCTCTCAGGTAAATAAAAGAGACCAGGCCACGGTATAGTAAGCGGAGAGTGAGTAGAAGTCTTACGTTTTGGAAAATCGAGATATCAGTTCTGTGGACCGCTGGTATAAGTAGTGTTAAGTTGGTAGAAGAAAAGGTACTAGGGCCTAGCGCGAACACTAACTGACTATAGAGGATGATGACTAACGGCGCTTGGGTGCAGATAGTAGTAGCCTGGGGCGTTGGGGCAGTCGAGGGGCTACCGGTGAAAGTTACGGTGGAAAGGCGGCTGCTTCTGGAGCCAGAAGCTATCATTTGGCATCATTTTCACAGTTTCTTATAAGTTATATTTTGATGTGTAAATTCATATTCCGAGACCCATTTTCGGTTGATTTGACGGATAACTATCCTCTGAGACATAGTTCCAGAACCATTTGACCATAATACCTTGGTCTCTCCAATCCTTCTATTTGCTTTCCTTGGAAAAAGGCTACTATCCTTCAATTTGAAGGTTTCGGTTATCAATGTTTCAGCTACAGTCGGCCTGTAATGATCGGGCAACCAGTTTGTCTCGTTGACACTCAGCTGGGAGCTAACAAGTGACTCCAACATAAAACACTCAACATTGAAGAGAACCCACCGTCTTAAGAGAAGACGTGATCTCGATTAAAATTGTTCGATTGGACAAATGTAAAATTCGCCGGGAAACTTGGTTCCCCAATGCGTCATCTATCACAAATGTTACGTGACGAGGTACAGACCAAACCCCGCTTTTGCGAAAGCAAATCGTATATACGCCAACTGTTCAGACACTGAAACAATCTACTCCTTACTCTCAAAACTTGACTTATATCCTTACTATGTATACGACTGAAACCATTACGCGACCTAGTCAGCCTGATATCCAGTATCATCCCGACTGGGTGAAGTATGAAGCACGCTCCCGCCAGCGTAAAGAAACCGAGTCACTTCAGAGCAATATACCCGCAGGCTTCCCTCAGAAGCTGGACTCCCCACTTGTTTGGGAAGGAAAAGAGATTGAAAAGCGTCGTGACTGGATTTACCAGCTCAGCGACCTGCAGCTCGATGAAATCGATGCTGCCTTGCAGAGCTTCAAAGGTACGCGAGTTGACTGTGGATTGATCATGGTTCTAACCACAGTAGCTCTCAACAAGCCCTTGGGATACATTAATGAGTCCACCTTTTCGCTTCCAACACTTCGGCCCATTTTGAGAGACCTTTCAACGGAGCTTCATAAAGGCCGAGGATTTTTCGTTCTACGGGGTCTACGCATTGATGACCATTCTCGAGAAGATAACGTAATCATATACACGGGTGTCTCCTCTCACGTTGGCAGTATTCGTGGACGTCAACAAGATACCAGACTGCAAAATGGAACATCTCCTGTGATTTCGCATATCAAGGATATCACCGGTATTACTGAGAAAGGGAAGATCGGGGCTCCATCAAATACAGCAGATAAACAAGTCTTCCACACAGATGCTGGGGACATCATCTCCCTTCTCTGCTTGAGTCCTGCCGCAGAGGCAGGTGAAAGCTATCTGTCAAGCAGTTGGAACGTGTACAATATTCTCGCGAAAGAACGGCCGGATCTAATCCATACGCTCTCACAAGACTGGCCGGTTGATGGGTAGGCCTTTCAGACCAGATGAATCATCTCCATACTAATCGAATTTACATAGATTCGGTAGCCCTCAAAAGCCATACACACTTCGCCCTCTCCTGTATCACCAACCAGCGACAGAAACTACCCCCGAGCGTGTGCTGATTCAGTATGCCCGGAGATACTTCACCGGATTTCTCGCCCAGCCCAGATCTGCAGATATCCCTCCGATTACGGAAGCTCAAGCGGAGGCTCTAGACGCACTTCATTTCCTAGCAGAGGAGCACAGGGCCGTCTTAGATTTCCAAAAGGGAGATATCCAATACGTCAACAACCTTAGCATCTTCCACGCGCGGAATGGCTTCACCGATGCACCAGGGAAAGAGTCTGTATCGCCCTTGATGATGTCTGAGGTATTGGCTAATGATCATAGACGCCATCTTCTGCGCCTCTGGCTGCGCGACCCCGAGAATGCCTGGAAGACGCCCGAGCCACTCAAAGATCGCTGGGATGCCGTGTTCAAAGACGTCACTGAGGAAGAACAGGCATTCCCTCTTGAAGCCGGTGGCCTGCGAAAGACATTGGGGTCTTAGTTGTCATGCATTTGAGTGGCAACATTTTGCTGAGGTCGTGTGCCACGACTTCAATCCGTTTCAGAATTCAGTACTATAGAATTATATATTTCATTAGCTGAAACATCCTGGATCCCCCGGCGGGGCAATGTTTGCAGCCAAGTAAGAAGTGATGTAGATTGTGGGGTACCCTGTTGATCTTCGGTGATCATCTGTTGCGGTGAGCGATTGACTGCATAACCTTAGGATAATCTTGGAATCGCTCTGGAGGAGTGACAGATAATAATTTGAGATTTGAATTGAGTGTAGTTCTATTCCAATACTGAGGTGCCCATTATTCCTTACGCGTTTAGTCTTGCGATCTTATACTTGAACTAGCGGGGGCTAATTTAGACGGCGCTCGGATAACATGCCGGTTGACCAAATGAAGAAAAAAAGAAATGAAGGATATTTCGGCCCAAAGTACACTAGCCAGGGCATTTGTGGCGATTTCAATGTCTGTTGAAAGTCTATTGGATGCTGTATAGTTCCATATGAATAAGTCGAATGTCTACCCAGTAAAAACTTATCTGTTCAACCAGAGCCAGCGAAGATCAAAACTTGGAAGGGAAAGAACTACTATGGTTTCTTTTTACGAGCACCTTGAGGACGATCCTTATGAATTCTTTGGTTCAGCAAATAACCATCAGATTTGATCGGCATCTCTATGCCGAGATGACGTAACTGGCTTGATCAATTCCGTCCATTTTCACTCTATGAGCAGTTGACTGAGTGAACAGAGTAATTTATTCGCCAAGAGCGACACAATACTTCCAAGGTCCATTCCCATTTTCCCGCATGCCACCCGACAAGGTTATCCCGTGAGAGGTCCTGGCGATAGAACTATATCCAATAACTTTCGTGAACCCCCGCGCGTCCCGTGGAGACCTTTCAAGAATTGGGATCAGCGAGAGTCCAATTGCTTTTTATTTAATAACTCCTTCTCCCCCACCGACTCTACTCTCTGACTCCACTTTCAAGAAACCTGAGGTGCCGGTTTCAGCCTCGAAATGTCCCGCACCCGTACATCGCGCCATCAATCCCCTTCCATCGCCTCTGAGGCATGGAAAGTCGACACACCTTTCGGACCCCCGGAATTCCCACGCTCATTTCCCAACGGGGGAATCCGACGTCTACGAAACACATTATCAAAACTTTCCCCGTCAGCAATGGCCGAAAAAGAAATCCTGCGAAAAAAGAATCAGTATAAAATCCCCCTGACGCACAGGAATGTGGACACCTTCGTGACTGAACAACAATGCAACGATATAACCCGACCCAATCAACGCTCTCCAGAGATTCAGGTGGTCGAATGGCTTGAACATGTTTCTTCATCGAGCGACGTGCATGTATCCACCTTCCGCGCTTGATCCGACAAACTTCGAGGCTTTTTCTCGAACTTTCTTCGATCACCAACCCCGCACGCCTTCGATCGGCGACTTTTCTCGCGGAATTCCATCCGGTGCTTTTTTCATCCTTGTTGGTTAGTGCGGCCAAGAGAGGTGGTATAAAGGGATCTTGACTTGGCAAGGCATTCTTTCGGGACTTGGCATTGGTGTCATGGCTGGGCGCAAGGCGGATTCGAATATGGCTGATGGGTGCTGGGATGGGCTCGAGCACATCGTGGAACTTTATGTCTCGGCATGATTGCTATAAACTGCATTCATATCAGGTGAGTTGGTGTGTCAGCTGCTGCCTATTCTATGCATGGGACTAAGTAAGCAATAGCCGATGTATCCGCCGATATATGATCTACGCGCTCTAAGTGGGACCTTTTCGCTGGTACCGTTGAAACACAGACCAGTCGAAAGATGTGCTTGATTATTGGAGCTTTATACAATTAATAATAATTTAGACGCATATTGTTCATCAATCAGATGACCAAGTAATAACTTGAACGCATGAATATCGAAGATGTATCTAAAATCAAGCTTGACTAAAAGGTTTAGTTCTACGATATTGCTTCTCTAATGAGGTATCGACTGCCCAAGAATGACGAGGGAAATTTGTAGCGGGGTTCAAGCCCCGCGGTGGGGAACTTGGCAAATAACAGCTTAAACCCACCGTCTCACCCCATGAACATTGAAGGTGGAACAAAGAAAAGGGGAGGAAAATGCGATCCCAAAAAGTTGCCATCATCGGTAAGTAATCAATAAAAACTCAAAGCAACCAAACCTCCACTCATACCAGTGGTCAGGAGCTGGGCCATCAGGTCTCGTCACTGCAAAAACACTTCTACACAATTTCCCACATGGCACATTTTCCCCCACCATATTCGAAAGTCGCCATGAAGTTGGTGGTCTCTGGCCAAACCGTCCTTCAGGCACGGGGACCTTGGATCCTTCCATGCGTACAAATCTCAGCAGGTTCACAGTGGCTTTCTCGGATTTTTCCTGGGAATCAGCACTGGGGACCTCTAACATCCCAATGTTTCCACAAGCAAGTCAGGTGGGACAATATCTGGACGAGTATACAAACCGGTATATTCCGAGTGATGTCTTGAGACTCGGACACCGGGTCTTGAAGGCCGAGCGAATCGCGTCCGAGACTCGATGGAGGATTCAGTGGAGAAAAGAGAGGTTCGTACGCCTATCATGCCTGTGGAGCATTGATAAATTAACATAAGACAGGTTTGATGGGAAGGTTCTATCGGATGAGATCGAGTCGGAAGAATTCGACCTCTTAGTTGTTGCATCCGGGTACTTCGCTCACAAACACATCCCCACGATTCCAGGATTGGAACAACTTCAACACGCCGGTCGAGTTGTTCACAGTTCCGATCTCCAAAGTCAGGAGGGTCTTCGACACGATCACAATACTTTGGCTCGTGGAAATGTCGCCGTTATCGGCGGAAGTATGTCTGGAGTGGAAGCTGCTTCTGCCGTTGCGCTTCACCAATCATCATCGGCTCAAAGAAACACAAAAGACGACAAGCATATTGTATATCATATCCACTCGCGTCCTTTCTGGACTCTACCAACTCACCTACCCCATGAGACTGAAGAAACTGTCTCCTTCTTGCCATTGGACTTGTCAATGTACGACCTCGGCCGTCGACCTCCAGGTCCAATCGAGTATGCATTGGGAGTCATACCCGAGGAAAACGCCGCAAAAACCAATGAATATTTTAGCTCTTTATTGGGAGCAGAATACGAAAAGTTCGGATATATGCAAGGATCAAGCCCAAGTCAGAGTATGAGTACTCGACCCTCGTGGGTGGCGATCGGAAATGACTACGCAGAGTTTGTTCGATCGAAGGCCATAAAACCCACAATGGGTCGCGCAGTATCCATGCAGACGAACCCTGACACTAAAATGGCTACCATTGAAATCATTTCTGCGGATGGACAGTCAGAGAGCTTGGAGAATATCGCAGCTGTTGTGGTGGCTACAGGATTTACTCCTTTCAAGTCATTATCTCTCTTACCAACGGACGTTTTATCCGCTCTGGAATACAGCACCGAGGATCCTTTCCTACCAGTTATCTTGGATAAGGGGAGTACAGTTCGCTCAGAGATCCCAAATCTTGGCTTTGTCGGGTTCTACAGAGGCCCGTACTGGGGAATAATGGAAATGCAGGCCAGGTTCCTTGGAGCAGAATGGATGTTGGAAATTCACCAGTCTGAGAAGACAGAAGCTCAGAGAGAAATTTTGCGAATCTTGAGAGATCCGGGTGTAAACTCCCAGCGCGGACAGTTTCCGATGGGGGACTATGTTGGGCTAATGGAGTCGTTTACTAAAGACTTGGGTATTTGCCGTACAGCACTATCAGAAAGTGACAGTCGGTCTGGTCCGGCTATCCCTGCTCGGTATCCCTACAACCACTCTGCCACGTCACGGGAAGATCTTGATGAGGAGAAGAAGCGCACATTGGATGCGTTGAAAGATTTGTCCGATCCAAGCCATCCAAGCCTACAAGCTGCTGCTGCATTAGCCATCTTCCGATCTCTTCAAGGAGCCTGGAAATTCTCTCAAGAAAGGGGCTCAGAGAAAGAATCCGGAACCATCATTTTCACTCCGCGATACGCTTCAAACCCAGACTACGACCGGGAGTATGTCTGTAGCATCTTAGATTCAGACTCCACAGATAAGGTGTCATTACCGTCTACAAGTCGCTCGATTTTCCGATTATCGGAATCTGGAGCTTGCGATGGAACGCAGATCGAAGTTTGGACAGGAGATATTCCAGTCAATGAGACTGACGGGAACCCCCAGCAATTGCATCTAACCCCTTTCTATCGCAAGCAAGTGGGTAAGAAATACATACCAGGAGAGTATGTGATCTATGCCAAGGGTTACTCAAGAGCCTCTGGGGAGGATCCTGCAGCCGTAGACATTGCTCCAAGCATGTGCGAGTATATTTTCCATTTCAAAGGGGTCTCGATTATCACCTGGGAACGAGTGGAGTCAAAAAATAGCCATGTGGGAAGCAAAGATCAACCAGTACATATACGAACTGTATATAAGAGATAGATATTTCGAAAGTGACCCAAAACTTATGAGAGCTTTCCAAGGTTGAGAGTTGGGTTCCATGCAGGGCATGTTCGGTGTATACCTAGTACTCACATGTGCAGTCTCCCACCTGGTCTCCCATTCAGTATCCCGCTACTATGTCTCCTACCTTCTTTCCTAACCTCATACCGTATTTATTAGATAGCTGAAATATCGGTAGGTGGCAAGGTTGATTAGAGAGACAGAATGGTGGAATTAAATTAAAGATTCATGACATAGATCCGTATTGAAGTAAAGTGAGAATTTTCCTATGCCCAGGCCCAATCCAGCCAGCTATTTATTAAGAAATACCACTCTGAATATTGGTTCATCAAGAGTATTCCACGTTCTCGACATTAACGGCAGTAGCCTTTCCTTGAGTCTCAGACTTGATGGCTTTCTGGTGCGCGAGAACCTCCTCTCCTTGAGTAACATGGTTGGCTCCACCAAACAAGGCGTCAATTTCTTCCAGGGTGACCTTCTTGGTCTCCGGAACAAAGAAGAAGACGAAGAGACCCAGCAGAAAGTTGATTCCAGCGAAGAGGTAGAAAGCATAGAAGCCGTCATGCTCAAGGAAGATAGGGAAGAACTGCTGGCAGATGGTGTTGGCAACGTTTTGTGTTTGCGAGGCCATTCCCACAGCCTGTGCGCGGACATTCATGGAGAAGACCTCGGATGTCCAGATCCATACAGTTGCGCCCCATGAAGGCTTGTCTGCGAATTGTTAGCAAATTTTCTTTGTAGTAGGCCATAAGGGACAACACTTACAGAATAAAATGAATAGGAAGAATAGGAAAACGATTGAGATGCCAACGGGTTCAGACTTGGCTCCATTTGCCATATTCGGTGTCTCGGTTTCGACGGCAGAAACGATGATCATGCAAAGACCCATGCCGATGGAACCTCCGATCAGAAGAGCCTTTCGACCAAATCGATCAATGAACCAGATCGCGTTCAAGGTGAAGAGAATACCAAATGTGGCGTTCAGAGCGTTGATGAGAGAAATTTGGCTTTCGTGAGTGAACACCTTCTCGTAGATCTTGGTCGAGTATGAGTTCAGAGAGCCTTGTCCGGTAAGCTGCTGGCCGGCGTTTATCACCAAAGCAAGATACATGCGCTTGCGAATAGACTTGTCCTTCCACAAAGCGCTGTATCCGCTGGAGATGGCCTCCTTCTCGTATTCCAGAGCTTCGCGAATCATCAGAATCTCATCTTCGACCTCCTCCTCTGTGTCTCGGACTCGGCGGAGGGCAGATCGTGCTTTCTCGATATTGTTGTGGCGCTTGATATACCTTTTAATCATTAGCATGCGGTGTAATGAATGGGTCGCGGAGATCTTACCAACGAGGACTTCCAGGAATGATGGGAAGAAGGCAAATAATAAGAATAGGGAATAAAAGCTGGAAAATAATGATCATCTTCCAGTCCCATTCCCCTAGCCAAGGAGCCCTGGTACAGGCGTAGGCAATCCAGAAACAAATGAATGAGCCAACAGAGTAAAACATCTGCCAGAAGGTCATGATCTTTCCTCTGATCTCTGCAGGTGCCAATTCACCAATATAAATAGGACCCGCGGCTATAGAAACGTTAGAATGTTTTCAAAATGAAGTGTTAGATTAACTCACTCAAGGCAATGCCCTGGCCAATACCAATCAGGACACGTCCAGCAATGAACATAGCCATGTTACCACGCGGAGCAAAGGTTTGCAGGAATGTAGCAACGATGACAAAACAACAGCCAATACCCATTCCGACCTTGCGACCAAGGAAATCGGCTGTTGGTCCTCCAAGGAAGAATCCACCAAAGATGGCACCAACTGTGTATGCAGTATTGATCGAACCGAGCATGGTTGAATTTGGGGTGTTGAACCAGGCTACCCAATTATCAGATCCCTGGACGGAGTTGAAAACGGACGCATCGTAACCGTACAACACCATGCAGGATGCTGCGACGAGGGAGCAGAACCTAAGAACAGGTTAGCATATTTTCATTGGAGTGATTTCATGACACCTACCAGTTGTAGGCCCGCTTGGAGCTCATGAGGCCAACCATTTTGGCGACAGGCCCAGACTTGAGGTGACTATTCAGTGGAAGGTAATTCTCAGAGACCCCAATGTCGTAGTAAAGCCCTGTGAGTTGTTCAGCCTCGTAGCCCTATCAATAAATACGAGAGCAGGCCAGAGCTTCGAATTATCTGGGGAAGAGAAAGAAAAGTGCGGAGACCCCAGATATATAACAATATGGGGAGACGAAAGCTTCCTTGGCGCCCTAAGCAGAAAAAGTCACGGCTCCAATTAAACCATGTCCCAGAAAGGCGCCCCCGGCGACGCTAAGCAAGAGTTGCATTTTGATAACGACAGCCCTGTCAGATGGAGATCGCTGAGTGGTGGGGTATTCCGAAGTCAACCACACATGGATCGAGGTATCATGCGCCATATTGGCTGCTTATTGGTCTCGAGCTCACCAGACCGCACTTTGCTGACCTGGGGTAAGGATCATCTGGGGTTCGAGGATATTTTGTCCCCGGATACGCTATAGTTTCGGTTTCCACGAATCAGAAGCCGCGCGGACCGGGGTCTGGGAGAAAATCGACTCCACCAATCGAAAATTGGAGCTTGAACCAATGAACACGAAGAGTGGGGGAGAGGATTGAATATTGGGCAAAGCTAAGCGATGTCAAAATAACCGAACTTTGAAAGTTACCTTAAGCTTTGGAATCCGGGGAAGCGGATCCATTTGAAATGTCATGGATGTCATGTGTTCCCACTAATGAAGCGTTGTTACTGGTATAGACTGCTTTGCTAGGATAGTATAATTCGACCTTGGAAGTTGGTTATTGGAAAAGAGGCCTTCATATAGACTACCTGAAGAGACAGGAGCAAGTTTCATTATCCAATTCTGGGCAGACAGATTCTAGCTAGATAAATCAGGCTTCTTTGTACCAATTATGGTAAATCTACACAAATGAGTTTGCCTTCACTTTCCAAGGTCTTGATGCCCATGACTAAGAAATCTTTCACAGTTTCCTCATGATTCTTTGATGGCCTCTTTCAGAGTACAGGTATGTAAGAGCTGATCGCTGGCATACATAGCATAGAATATATATAACACTTGACTTAGATACTATTGAGCCTTCAAGCGACCTTGGTATCAATATATACAAGTAGAAACAGAAATCATGAAGTTTGTAGTTTGTAGATTAAGCTGGAAAGTTAATCTATATAACTGTGTAGTGGTCACGTGCTCTCGCGCCCCTCTACGCGGTCCCGCGCGACATGAGAAAAAGTTATCGTCATCTCTTCCATACCTCACTTGGGCCAATATCAATGTCCTAAATCTTGAAATGACTCCTATTAAACCTCACCTTACTACCTGATTCACTTTCGGTTACTCTATTTCTCCTATCATGGCTCGAAAATCCCAGAAGAAGCAAACGCGACTGGCCTTTGCTACCGCCGCCACAACTGCAGAACGTAGCGAAGCTGATGAGGAGCGCTTTCGAACCCTCTCTTACGTTCATCCAACTCTACCTACTGTGCGCGAAGAAAGATCGCGCAAGAGTAAGCCAGCATCGCCAAAAAAGAACACCAGGTCATCCAAGCGAGAGAAACACCCAAAGTTGGAGGAATCGTTAGAAAATGTTCCCAAGATCCCAAGAAACGAGAGTTGTATGTGCTTAGATCCTTTGACCCTTGCAATTGCTCACCAAGAAGTCAAACCTGTCCTCATGACTAACTATGGACAGCACAACCGCCGTTACAAATCCTTGGCGAATCCTCCGATGACGAAATAATCGTTCCAAGCGCGCAGAAGAGAAAAAGAAGTGCTCCAAGTGTCGAAATAACACAACTGCCGTCGAAAGCTCTAGGAGATTCTTCCGAGGACGAAATAATTGTTCCAAGCGCGCAGAAGAGAAAAAGAAGTGCCGTGATGGTCGAAATAGCCGGGATGAGTCCCGAGGCCGAAAAACTCAAGGATAGGAAGCCCCGACTTCGTGCATCTTCGCCTGCCCAGCCCGTTGAGCAAGTGCAAACACCTCGTCTACGTCGCAAATTGAAGCGAAAAGCAGAAAGCTCGCCGGTAATAAACCTCGACTCAGACATTTCAGAAGAACCTGTGATGTCTTCGCCGGTCAAGCGAAAGAGAATGACAGGCCCGAAGACGCCTGAAATATCCCGTGGCAGTGATGACCAAGACCAGCTGGATATTGAGGAGGATGTGAGAGATCTTCAGGACTCAGGTAAATACTTTTCCGGACATAAACCTGAACCTCGATAACTGATCATTTACAACAGTGGTCAAGAGGACACGAACCCGAGGCCGAATTCCCGAATCAACACGAGATAAGAGATTTAAGACTCTTGAGGCTATCCGCCGCAAGCGTTTGGGGCTGAAACCAGAAAGTGAAGACGATCCTGAAATGGGTTCTGACGAAGTACATGAAGATAGCCCAAGCGAGCAGGATTCAGACAACGAAGAAAACAATAGCGATGTTGAACCCACTGACCCGAACAACGAAGACCTTGATCGCTATGAAGATGATTTTGTCCTCGACGATGATAATGTGCTACTTGGGGTTCCAACAGAGGAAATTCCTCTTGAATTTACACGACATGCCTACAAGAAACCCAAGGACTACTTCCGTGATGTGGTCGGTTGGATGGTACTCAATCGTCTTGACCCAGCATTCCCGCGCTCCGATGCAATGTACAAGATGGCTTTCATGAAATTGGAAGACGAAGTAAAGGGGCGTGCAGGTTCCCAATTGATCTCCTCAGTCTGGAACCCAGCCTTCCGCTATTCGCTGCTAGCCCGTCCAAAAATCGAAATTTCAGGCTATCCCACCTTTGATGATCACCCGTGCGATGCTTGCAATCGATCTGGCCACCCAGCATCAAGCGATATGAAGTTGTACGGCAAGCCGTACTCTTTAGAAACCCTTGAACCTCTTCGCGACGGTGATGAATCCAACCAATCTAGCTCTAGCGACTCGGATGAAGAGAGTGAATCCTCCGGTGTGGATCGTGATCGAGAAGGACATGCACTGCCAGATGAGAATGCGCGGTTCCTGTTAGGCAAGTAAGTTAAGCCATGGACACACCCTTCCTCAACAATATCTGACCCAATAGACAATGCAAAGCGAGAGCTCAGCTGGCACACACCCTCATTCATTGGCGCTTCCACCTCAATGAGTGGGTCGTTGATCATCTGGACCGGATGGGCCACATGGCTGATTCCGAGGTCTTACGCCGTAATGGTCTGAGCCAGAAGCGAAAGACTCGAAATGCGATCGCGGTTCTTGACGGGATGGTCACAACTGGTGAAGTCGACAAGCTCTATCGGGACTTCCATATGAATCTGAAGTCTGCCCGGGAGGTATGTTATCTGTTTCCGTAGTGAAATTGGAGAACGCGCATCTAATCTTGAATTCTCTAGTCTCAATTGGAATGAACACTTTTGAAATGCCTTGCATTCTCCCGACTTATGATACCTTCAATCTCTCATTCTGCGCTATGATACCCTTTGTCTTTGAGTTATGCCGGCTGCATCGATGTATAGAGCTTTGCATTTTGAATCCGAGGATCTGCGGATCGACGCCGAAGATGATATCTTTCAAATGGCCGTCTTTTCACCATAAAACCCATCTTCCAAAGAAAATTCCTTGTTATTATTTTTGTTTCATATAAATTTTAATATATTTATCTTCAAGTCTATTAGATCTTAGAAGTCCCCAAGCTAACCATGACCCACAATCTTCGCAGCGGGAGAACGTCACGCACTCACGCATCGTTGAGGTATTTATCGCTCGTGCTATCGTATACGGTTCACATAAATTACGTAGCATTGCAGTTGAGACTCTCGTGAGATACAATGTTGAGATTCACAATGAGAACTGTCGGTTCAAAAGCTTGGCTATCTCAAGGGAAGCCGATTGCAACACTAAATAGCTGTATTCTAGTTTACACATCCCAGGCTATCTATCAAGTAGAAATAATGGCAGTCACCACAGGGAGCACCGACTATCAAATCAAGCAGGAGCAGATGATACCATACAGTATAGTGCAGTTCAGGGAAATTAAAAAGCGAAACCAGCCATGCCCAGGGGAGATACAGACAAAGCATTATTAAGCAATGTTCTAAATAATAAAAGTGACAGAGAAGAGAAGATACAGGACTGATTAAAAGGGTTGGATGCAAGGGAAATAGGGGACATCTGCATCAGAAAAAAGGATTATATGAAAAACAGGGGCATATTCATTCGTTGCTTGTTCGAATAATTCATGACCGGAAGATGTTTTTCTTGGCTTGTTTTTCTTTGGGGCCCCTTCCCTTCATTCCCGATAGAATGACATTTGCTTCCGTCGTGGTGCGACATTTGATCAAAGCCGAACCAACGCCAAAAGCAAGACCGAGCAATAATAGACAGGAAAAGGGGTGCACGCGGGATTAATAGACCGTTACACGGCGTGACCAGCACCAACCGGGCTCCGGGGGACTCGGGCAGAAAGGCAGAAGCTTAAGAATGCATCATGGTCCAAGGCACATCGCAGAACAGGAAGGTCAAACTAATACAAGGGTGACTTGACATCCTGAACTCCACGTCGGACAACATCCTCAACCCGCCATCGGGGAGGGGAAATGTTAGCAGTGCGCTTGCGCTTCCACTCCTTCTCCATCTCGGGCGGGGGAGTCATATCTTCGGGAGGGGGAAGGGCACCACCAGCGATACCGGTAGAGAACTTCAGTTGCAGGACATTGCCGATTTCATCACAGGCAGTCAGAACCCGGTCCAGATCATCCTTGGTGTGAGCAGCCGACACACAGAAACGAGCACGTGATGAAACCAGAGGGGTAGCGGGGTATCCGACAACTACAACAGAGATCTTGCGTTTGAGCATCTCATGGGAAAATGCGGGCATCTTGGCGGGGTTGAAGAGCAGAAGAGGGATGATTGGCGAATCATCGTGGCCGTATACTATAAAGCCAAGACGCTTAAGGCCCAGGCGGAGGTATCGTGAATTAAAAGCCAATCGCTGTAATCGCTCCTCGCCCTGTCCGGGAACAAGATCGCCCTTGATGATGCGAAGCGCAGAAGAAATCTGAGTGAGCACTGCCGGTGCAGGAGCCTCTCCGTAGAAAATACCAGAGCTGGTGGCCCGGAGCTTGTCAATCATCGCCTTGTCAGCCGCGATGTATCCACCGTTAGCACCGAATGATTTGGTGAGCGTTCCCATCAAGATGTCCACCTCTGAAGTGGGAATGCTGAAAAAGTCACACACACCCTTGCCCAGAGGACCGATAGCTCCGATAGAGTGAGCCTCGTCAACAAAGAGGTGGAACTTGTATCGGTGCTTCAACTCAACCAGACCAGGCAGGTTGCACATAGATCCCTCCATGGAGTAGAGACCCTCGACAACAACCAAGATCTTCTTCCAGGGACGGTGAGTACGGGGTTGACCTTGAGAGATAGCTTCGCGGAGTTTGACTTCAAGATCCCGCATGTCATTGTGCTTGAACATGGCAATTGAAGCGCCAGAAAGACGAGCACCAAATCGGATAGAAGCGTGGTTTAATTCGTCAGAGATGAGAAGACAGCCCTTGGACACAAGAGCGGGGAAAATGCTAGCATTGGTACCGAATCCCATGGAGTAGACCATAGACGCCTCCTTGCCCACGAAATTTGCAATTAGTTCTTCCACTTCGACGTGCAGATCCTGGGTACCGGCCTCCGCGCGAGTACTAGGCGTGGTGATGCCGTATTTGCGGACGCATTCTTCCGAAATGTCGGCACAAGGACCTTCCGACTGGGCGAATCCCAGATAGTTGTAAGAGCTCAGGTTCAATGTGTCCGTGGTGGTGCCAGTGAGATAGAAGTGGTGGTTGTAGTCGTCTGTGGCCCGGTCGATCAGGGTGATGGTCCGGCCGGGAACACCGGTGACGGGACGCTCGAAGCAGTCGTTGATACGCAGTTTGAGGCGGCGCACGTAGAAGTTGTCAAAATCGCTGTTCAGTGCACCATAGCCGTTGCGGGCCTTGAGGTGGCGGTAATTCTCCTCGCGGAAGCGCTTTCCAAAGAAATCACGAACGTGACCGAAAGCAATTAGGATTAAGTAGCTGATGTACGTCGTAAGCAGGTAATAATACGGCGGCTCGTCCATGACCGGCTCCGGAAAAACACCACCAGGGTGTCGACTGGAGTAGCGGTGACTCGGATGGCCGATGGGACCAAACTGGGCATGTTGCTTAGCCAGCCGGCGGGCCTCCTCCGGAGTTGGCGGCTGGAAGAGTGTGGTCGGCGATTCTTCCATGTTCGGGTTATCGGCGGTAGCGGTAGACAAAGAAATTGTCGGTAAGGACAGTGATGCCGAATTGATCGGCGTAGAGGTATTAGGATTCCCAGCGGTCGACTGAGGGGTCGACTGAGATTGAGGATCGGCCTTTGACTTGGGCGTGACCGAAAAGAATTGGGATAGGCGATGAGATTTGACTAATGGCGCCTTGGTGGCGATGCCCTTTCCCGTGGAAGGCGAAAAGGAGGGAGAATTGGAAGGGGTGTCGACGGAGGAAGTGTTGCTGAACCGACGAGGCATCGCAGAGGGAAGTAGCGACTCGGGGGTTGGAGAGGATGACAGCAAGATTTTACCGTCGGTAGTTAAGGGGCGCGTGGGTTCCTTCACGCGTCCACTTCAACTATTGTCAGGGACTACCCGAGAGATTGCAGCAAAGCGATCCTCACGACACTGTGCGTCGGTGTCTGTGTTTTGACAAGTCTAACAACAGGATAACAAATCTGGAGGGGGAAAGCGGCGCCAAGTTAGCCGATGTCAAGGACCATGTGGGTCAAGCGAAGCTCATTGGAGATGGAATTTTGGGCGTTGGAGAAGAATCGAAAGGCGAGTGTGAAGTCACTCTGAGCGAGATTTCCACGATTGTACGTACTCTGGGCTCAAGGCTGAATTTGGTCGCGGGTGGGAGATCCGACAACCTCCGAGGGGGGGGGGTGGTATTAAGGCTTAGACAATTGTGGCTCAACACGTGGAATGGGGTTAAAGAACAAAACAAAAGGGGCCAAGTGCCCACAGTTTAAAAATTGAAATGGATCAGACTCTTTTCCACAAATACAGTGGGAAGGGAAGGCTAAAGGAAAGGGAGGAAAGGAGAAAGATGAGGTGGAACTTGTTGCACCATGCTCATGCAAAGCAGGATTATTGCTACCTCCTGGTATTACTTGAAACGTGGCTGGTATGCATCTGATATTACCTCATTGGATGAAAACCATTATTACGCGTAATATACAGTCACAATACGAGGCTTTTTTCATATTTTCAATTTCCGTTAGTGCCGGCAGCCAAGTGGTCCCTCCAGGTACAAATGACTTTTCATTGGGTTTGACCCATTCATGTCGTCAAGAGTCACATCTACCTGATCCCAGTCATGGCAATTTATAAATCATATCCGGACCTGCAGCAATAACAACAACAGAGTAGGGAGTAGGTACCGCGTACTTTGAATTGAGTTGATCTACAGACTCTGTACATTGTGAAACTGTGTGGATCCATTGGCCCCTGGAAAACCCTACAAACATAAAAATCTGATCCAGTTGGATTCTGACTTATGCACGGGCTAGATTCATGTCAATTTTGCATTTTACTTTATCCCCATCTATGATTCAATGAAATAGGTAGCCTTGGTAAACCCACCCATGGTTACAATTTCGATCCCTGGGACCAGATCTAAGATAGATCAGACTTCTAGCCTAATACTACCTCGTCTTTCAAGTCTTGTCTAGGCGTCACGGTCTTGGAAAATTGAAGGATTTTTTAGTGATCACGGATGAACACTTCGGGAATTGTGAAATGTTTGCCCCTTAATCTGGTCAGAAAATAATCTTGAAAAAAATTGATGTAGCTTTGGCATCGAGTTAAGTAATCCTATTTCTAGATAGCTCTTATTTCACATGAGTACATAGCTGAAGTATTAGATGCTAAATATTACTTTATAGCAATCCTACGTACTGACTCGACGGCATCATATATTCCTGGTCAGGTCAGACGGAGAGTCCATTTAAGATGGAGTACAAATTGCATTGGTTAGCATCCACGCACGGACAGTGTTCAGCTTAGCTTTGATAGGCATCTAACGATCTCTCCACTAGACCAGATACTACCTAGAGAACGGGTCATTATCGAAATACATGAAAACGGTCGAGACCGTGCGACTTGATGTCGCTGCCTAAGGCACCATATGTTACTCCCGCCTTCCGCATTTGGTCGGCAGGTGGTTATTGCGTTATGGGCTTTATAAAAGCTGGTGAGACCATGGAACACTCGATAGGACTGGAAATCATTTCCCTCTTCTCACTCTCAAAGATTCATTGACATATCACATCCAATTGCGGTCGTTTTATAAACTATCGTGCAGTCTTTTGTCTTATCTGTTATATCCGCAGCCGCGGAGATCGGCAACTCAATACCCGACTCAAGCCGCCCGGAAGCCACTTTTGGGGCAATTGTGAGGTGTGACTTTCCTTTTTCATCTTTGGATTGAATTAAATCTCTTCAACTTCATTCCAAGACTTTCAGGTGCACTTTTAAGAAACCGCGCCTATAACAGACTTCGCAAGACTTTCTCAACCAAGCATTGGAGTAAAATCTTCTCCGCACATACTCCTGCAGCAGGTTGCATTAGCGCAATACTGCTTCAGATACGGCCACAATGCCGCACGTCAATGAGGATATTAGTCTGGAGGTGAAGGAGCTCTGGCGACCTTCGGCCCCTGAGAAAACGCAGATTTATGATTTCATGACCAAAGTGAGCAAAAAGCATGGACTAGATTTGGAAAATTACAATACTCTCTGGCAATGGAGTATCTCAGAACCGGCCAAATTTTGGGAAGATATCTGGCACTACACAGGAATACAAGCGCATAAACCGTACAAGCAGGTTAGTATGGGCACTACGTCAAACAATCATCACATTTACTAACCTTAATCCCAGGTTCTTGAGTCAGATCAAGAGCTGTTTCCCCGGCCGGCATTTTTCGAGGGGAGCACGTTGAATTTCGCTGAGAATCTCCTGTACCCGTCAAGCATGCCGGATGAGAATTCAATCGCTGTGATCGGCGCTACAGAAGCTGACCGGGAGTTTATCTCTTGGAAGGAGCTTCGAGAGCGGGTTCGAAAATGCGCCCGCGCTCTCAAAGACGCAGGTCTGCAAACGGGTGACCGTGTGGCAGGTTTTGTCGGCAATCATGCCAACACTGTCGTGGCAATGCTGGCTGCCGCCTCTATTGGCGCCTTCTGGACGGGTGTGTCTCCGGATACCGGTGTGCACGCAGTTCTCGAGCGCCTCAAACAGATCCAGCCTAAAATCCTCTTTGCTGATAACTCGTCATTGTACAACGGCAAGGTTCACGGGTCTCACGCCAAAGTATGCGAAATAGTTGCTGAATTGCCTGACTTGGAGATGTTGGTAGTGTTTGAGACTTCGAAGTCTCTGGAATTCAGCCTCGATGACCTTCGCCCGAAAAATGGGACAGCCGTGACATATCATGATTTCGAAGACTCTATTCAGGATAAATCAGCACCGCTGGAATTTGCGAGCTTGAGGCCCGATCACCCAGTTTATATCTTGTACTCTTCGGGAACTACAGGCGCACCGAAGCCCATTGTTCATGGATCACTGGGCACATTATTGCAGCACAAGAAGGAGCACCTTCTCCATTGTGATATTCGGCCTGGTGACCGGCTTTTTTACTTCACCACAACAACTTGGATGATGTGGCATTGGTTAGTCTCTGGTTTAGCCAGTGGCGCTACCATTGTTCTGTATGATGGATCTCCATTCCGACCTTTCGATATCGAGGGGGGTAATGGAGAAATGGCCATGCCACGTCTGATTGATGAGCTCCAAATCACTCACTTTGGTACCTCAGCAAAGTACCTCTCCATGCTGGAACAAGCAGCCTTGAATCCCCGCAAACATGCCCACCGAGCAGTCTCTCTCAGCACATTGAGGGCAATTTTTAGCACTGGATCCCCCTTGGCCCCATCAACCTTTGAGTATATCTACACTTCTATCCATCCGGACATCATGTTAGGTTCGATCACTGGCGGCACGGATATTCTGTCCTTGTTCTGCTCCGGATGCCCAATTCTTCCTGTCTACAAAGGTGAAATCCAGTGCCGCTCCCTTGGTATGGCAGTATCCGTGTTTGATTATGCTGGAAACGACATCAGTGCCTCAGGCGAGCCTGGCGACCTTGTTTGCACGGTCCCGTTCCCAGCACAACCAGTTATGTTCTGGCCTCCCGGTCCCAAGGGCCTGGAAAAATACCGCAAGAGTTACTTTGACGTCTTTGGCCCTTCAATTTGGCACCACGGAGATTTCGTACGCGTGAACCCACGAACCGGCGGAGTGGTTATGCTCGGCCGCAGTGATGGAGTGCTCAAGCCTTCCGGTGTTCGCTTTGGAAGTGCCGAGATCTACAACGTCCTTCTGAAGCATTTTGCCGATGAGATCGAAGACTCTCTCTGCGTTGGCCGGAGACGTGAGGGCATTGATACCGATGAGACTGTGGTGCTATTCATGAAATTGGCACCCGGCTGTTCCTCTACTGTGTCGGAACTGGCAGCTCGTATCCAGTCCATTATTCGCAAGGAGCTAAGTCCCCGCCATGTTCCAGGCGTCATTGATGCTTGTCCTGAAATTCCGGTAACTTCTAATGGAAAGAAGGTTGAGAATGCGGTCAAGCAGATATTATGTGGACTCAATATTAAAATCGGTGCGAGTGTTGCCAATGCTGCTTGTCTTGACTGGTACCGGAACTGGGTTACGGAACACCCATAATCCATTGTCATGTCAAATAGAATGAAGATTAGATGGAGATGACAATTTATTGATAGGACAGAAATAGCCAATATCTACCTTACCCGGGTGTAATGAACTTTCCTTGAGTACTGCTACCCTGTCTACAGTGCGGTCTCTACTATTATATCCTAAAACCCTTGATCAATATGGCTCGATCCACAGAGCTATGCCAGCCATTCGCAAGTGTGAATTTGCGCTATAATGAATTTAAAGATTCGTCCTGCAGAGTTCAATTTTCAGAAGGTGTGCAAGTAAAACTCATGTCTTCCAAGGTTGTCACTCTATATATGAATGGACTCCAAATGCCGTCATCGGGTCAAGTCTAGAACTTCAACCCTTGGTAAGCACAACCCAACATAGTCACTCCATTGTATCCGACTAAAAATCAGCGGATTAAGTATTTCATAATTGTCTAGATTTCAATTAGTAAATAGACCCAATAAGGTCCATCCAACACACCGGAGATAATGCAACCGCTTAGGTAATCGGTCCGGTGCTGCGCTCCGGAATTGATTCTTCGCCGACTCACGCTTCCGATCCCCCGGATTCACTGCAAAAGGCGTGCAGACACATCTTCATCTTTGAACTGCCACGCGTATCCCAATGAAAGGAAATATGCGTCGCACTGCATTGCGGGCGGTCGAGTCCGCTAAGCCTCTGACTCGAGCTCCTCGTTCGGCGAGAAGCTTTGCTACCGCTAAGGTATCTAGTCTTCACCGTGTCTCCTGTGAATACTCTGACCAGTCCTTTCTACTTCAGGACCCCTCCGAGCTCGATGAAACCACCACACTCCCGAACGGAGTTCGCGTCGCCACAGAATCATTACCAGGTCCCTTCGCCGGTGTTGGAGTCTACGTCGATGCTGGTTCTCGTTATGAAGATGCGAGCCTGCGTGGAGTCAGTCATATCATGGACCGATTGGCCTTCAAGTCGACCAAGTCACGCTCTGGTGATGAGATGCTAGAGGTTCTGGAGTCGTTGGGCGGTAATATTCAATGCGCGTCATCGCGAGAATCGTTGATGTACCAGTCTGCTAGTTTCAACTCCGCGGTTCCTACAACTCTCGGCCTCTTGGCGGAAACCATCCGGGACCCTCTGATCACCGATGAAGAGGTTCTTGATCAACTCGCCACGGCGGAGTATGAGATAGGCGAGATCTGGGCGAAGCCGGAACTCATCTTGCCGGAGCTTGTTCACATGACTGCTTACAAGAATAACACACTTGGTAATCCTCTGCTGTGCCCCGAGGACAGGCTACGAGAGATCAATAAGTCGGTCGTGGAACGTTACCGAGAGGTCTTCTTCAACCCGGATCGCATCGTCGTCGCCTTTGCTGGCGTGCCTCATGCTGAGGCTGTCAAGCTCACACAGCAATACTTTGGAGACATGAAGAGCCGTGACGTTGGCCACGGAAAGGGACCCGTTCTTTCAGGCTCCGGAATTGATACTACACTCTCCGATTCTTCCGCTGTCGCCAGAGAGGGCCAGATCCCAACTGTTCCCCACTTCACAGCTTCGTCAACCGTGAGCAGCCCGGCCGCTTCGCAAAATACTCACTCTTCGCTCCTGTCGAAGCTTCCCTTCCTTAAGAAACTCACCTCTTCACAAAACCATACCTCGGTCGAACCACTCCACCCCTCTTTACTCGAGCCCTCTGCGTTGGATCTCCGCCGCCCCGCCCACTACACTGGTGGCTTCATCGCCCTTCCTCCGATCCCACCACCAGCCAACCCCATGCTGCCTCGTCTGAGTCACATCCACCTTGCCTTCGAGGCCCTTCCTATCTCCTCTCCCGATATTTACGCCCTTGCTACCCTTCAGACCCTTTTGGGTGGTGGTGGTTCTTTCTCGGCCGGTGGTCCGGGCAAGGGCATGTACTCTCGACTCTACACCAACGTCCTCAACCAGCACGGATGGGTGGAAAGCTGCATTGCCTTCAACCACAGCTACACCGACAGCGGTATCTTTGGTATTACCGCTTCGTGTAGTCCCACCCGGACAACAGAGATGCTTGAGGTTATGTGCCGCGAGTTGCAGTCTCTGACTCTGGACACCGGTTACACTGCCCTGCAAACCCAGGAGGTTAATCGGGCCAAGAACCAGCTTCGGTCGTCCCTGCTCATGAACCTTGAGTCTCGCATGGTTGAGCTCGAGGATCTTGGACGTCAAGTCCAGGTACACGGCCGCAAGGTCAGTGTGAAGGAGATGTGTGAAAAGATCGAGTCTCTGACTGTCGAAGATCTCCGCCGCGTGGCTCGTCAAGTGTTTGGCGGCCAGGTGCAGAACAAGGGCCAAGGAACCGGAAAGCCAACCGTCGTCTTGCAGGAGGGCGAGCTGGAGGGACACAAACTCCGTTCTTTCCCCTGGGAGGAAATCCAAGAGCGCATTGCTCGTTGGAAGCTTGGTCGTCGCTAAATATAGATCTTCATCGCGCTGTAGCCGGCACTCGGATCATCCGTAATGAGGCCAGACTCGCCATTGACTTTAAAGGTCAAGGAATTAACATTGGGATAAAATGTGTATTCTAGATAGATATTTCAAACAACACAACTCTGTAAATTATTCAATCAATAATGCTTTTCACTGCTGTTCCCCTGTCGTCATAGTGTTGGTGTTCCGAGCGGGTCCCATTCCAAAGCTCGCTCGCCGCTTTTGCCCGGCAAAAAAGTCGGAGCGTCCAAACTCGCGCTTCCTCCATCATCCATCATCCTCTAACTACATTCATTAAAATCCCCCATCTCAACCCCCCAACACCGCCAAAATGGTCAAGCTCCAAGAGGTCGAAGACGAGGCTTTCACCGACAAGCCCACCCCCAGCAAGCACGATGCCCTGCTTGTCTCTGACGACGAGGATGACTACTCCGACACCGGTAAGTACTCGACACTTCCCTCCGCCCGATAGTCAGGCGAATCGCCTCGCGCGGTCGTCACGGCTTTACATTGTATTCGATTCATCGATGGAAACGTGTCCACTCGGATGTAATTCATAATCGCGACTCCGGGCGAGCCCATCAACCCCCGAATCAATGAAAACACCCATCAATTACCGGAATCATATCTGACATCGCCTTTCATCAACAGACTCGGAAATTTCGGATGCTTCAGATGATGAGGTCGAGGAGGAGACCCTCGCCGACCGTCTCGCGGCCTTGAAAGACATCGTTCCCCCTTCCGCCCGCCGCTCCGTCGCCAGCTCCATCTCTTCTATCACATCTTTCGGCAAGGCTAGCCTGGCATTCAGCGGAAAGGCCCTCTGGATTATCAGTACCAGCGCTTTCCTGATCGGTGTTCCCTGGGCGCTTGCCTACGCCGAGGAGGAGCAGTACATTCAGATGGAGCGGGAGCAGGGTATGATTAAGGGCGCCAATGAGGTATGTTATCCCGATTATTCTTCTCTTATCTGTTTTGGTGTTGGCCCTCGGTCATTGTACTATTCAGCATGCGTTGAGTTACCTGGTCTTCATGTAACGTTCCACATCGTGAAGACCGGAAACTTCAACGGTGAAATTGCGATGCATCCAGTGTCTTGGTTTCAATTCCCGGAAATATTCTTTGATGTGATGGCTGACTGTCTCTATCTTATAGATGCTCACCCCTGGCTCCGAACCAGAGAAGAAGGAGTCTCAACAAATCCTGTAAATTAATACCGCTTCAAAAACCAGTGCGGGTTAGGACTGGAACCGAGCGACTCGACTGCCTTCGCGTCGCCACAACGAATTTAATGCCATAGAAATCCGAATGGCAAAAGAAAGGGACCGAATACCCATCCTCGATGTATTCGATCCACGAGCGCCATCTCAGCCAATATAAATCCCTACACAAAACAGGTGATTTCGAATTGCTGGATATGGTCTTTTCGGGTCGCTTAGTACCTTGACCAACCCTCTGGTATTTTTTTTTTGCTTCCTTGATGTCTACTTCCAGAATCTTGGCTCCGGCAGCTCATGCATGCATGTATTTGTACAACAATCACCATTTCTTTCCTCCATGTCCTCTATATACTCTTCTGCCCTTGTTTTCTTGTTATATCATTGTTATTCGTGATTGTTTGTCTAAGTGATGAAAATGGATGTTGTAAGTCAAGCATGTGATTTTTACCATTACAGCGTAGATGTCTTGGTGTGGTGTGGACGACAGCATGACCCAAAAATGTGTGATATTGACAGGTAAATAAAAAGTAAGATCTGATTAGACATGTCCAAGGTCATCCACTCAACAACCAAATGAGAGGAAAGTGCGGTGGTGACTGTTTAAAGTCGATTAAAGTTAACCCATATAAGGTTGCCTCATCGTCAGTCTTCGAAATATTACAGCTCAACTAATAATTTGGGAGTGTGGAGGATTCACAATCTTGGATTATCGCATGAAGCACACCACTCTGAATGCTTAGTACTCAATTCGAACCTCAGGATCAACATTATGCAAGACTGCAATGATCTCTGCCCACAACTTCTCCCTCACGACCGCTGCCTCGGGGCTTGTGACAATATTGCCAGGGCTAAAGCACATATCAGCCGCATGAATAGTTCTCGAACGAAAAGTAAGACTTACTCTGCGATAACCTGATTCTCCAACCACTTCCCATGAGTCTCCACTCCCTGGTTTGCTGCGTGGAGCAATGTTTTGCTTCCCTCTTCTGCCTTCCAAGCAATTAAAGCTTGGATCAGCTTCAGAATCCACGGCGCCTTCTCCCTGGTCAGAAGATCTGATTTACAGAATCCCGGTGTCACGGCATTTATAATCACAAGGGGATTCCCTGACTCATCACGAGGAACAAGTCGAGCTATCTCCATGGTAATGAAGATATCCATGAGCTTGGTAACACCATAACGCTCAGTAGCTCCGCCTGCCACCTGAGTTTTCTTCCACTGGTCCTCGTCATTCAGAACGGAAAGAACATGCTGCTCATATCGTTCAGGAAATTTGATTGACTTGTGGATATCGCTCGTAAGAATAGTCAGATGCGGCTGTGTTGAAGGATCTCGCTCTTTGTTTCGAAGCAGCAACGGCAAAAGCTCGAGACTGAGCAGCGCGGTCGATAAAACATTAACTTGGATTCCTCTCTCCCACCCATCATGGGTAACGGCGTATTCGACCGACGCAATTCCTGCATTCATGATAGCGATGTCCAGTTGGCCGCCTTCAAAATTGTATTTGCGAACTCGAGCTGCGAAGGCTTGGACACTAGCGAATGATTCGAGATCTATGGGCCATACAAGAACTTTTTTCTTGTCGGTGCAGCCGGTGCTTGCTTCAATGTTGGCTTTCGCATCTTCGCCCTTGCTCAGGGTTCGAACGCCCGAAATGATCGTACCGGCTCCAAGGGCGAGCGCATGTCTGGCAGCTTCTCGGCCAAGACCGGTGTTCGCGCCGGTGATAAGGATAGTCTTCCCTTGGATATCCGAGGGAGATGGTAAAGTCAGTCTGGTGAATAGAAGGCCAAATAAACCACTCATACTGATTTCTTTGGATGTCTTTGGCACGAGATGATTGAAGTCCAAAGATTTGTAAGTTCCTAGGAATGATTTATATTCAAATCAAGTCTCCAGACCTGGCTGAATGCTTGCATCATAAGAGCAATTTTGGCTGACTGAAATTGCTACATATGGTTAGAATGGAGGAACTCTTGGCCGATGAACTGAATGTGCATCGTATGGCAGCCACCCTCGACAGATGTCCTTTTGAGTCGAATCAAGGTCTGCAGAGTCGGATAGAAGTCAGGCCGAGTCAAGTCTGCTGTACAGATTAGCTCGGAGATAACACTTGAAGCCGTTTTAACTCCAGCTACTATTGTCGCTATCGAGAAGTGTAAAATTAGGGAATTTACTTTGTCATAACTATCGCTAGCTAATAATTAGTCATAGGATCGAAGCACTCGTTGAATCATCAGTCCGAGATAGGAAAGGTGGTAATTCTTCTCCTGCGGAGTTCGTCATGTTGTCCCAGCATTTCATAAGAAAAACAAAAGAACTGTGGTCTCCAGCGATGCCACGCGATCACTAGTGATAAGTTACCACTCTGTTACTCCGGCAGGATATAATATAGCGTGTGCTTTTGGATAGAGTAGACTCGTGGAACGACTAGGAAAGGACTGGTAGGCATAGACGAATTAAGTATATATGGTATGCCGGTGAGGTGGCCAATGGACAGTAGACAATAAAAGAAAGTATATAGTTAATAAGAATCGGCAACGATACGGCGGCATAGGCCAGCTAACACACAATAATATAGCGACCTGGCCTGTGACACCAGGTATATAATTACGAACCTTTGGGAAAGTCCGTCAAGGAACTAATCTCCCGCCATTCCTCAATCGCTGCTAAGGTCTCAGATGCGGCCTTGGCAATCTCCTCGCTGGCATCACTTCCTAACGGCAAGAGACTAGGTAGGGTTTTCCCCTCGGCGACTCCCGTGGAGGTGGCGACGTCGTAGATAACTTGCGCAGCCTTCATGGGATTACCCAGCTGGGCGCCGTTGAAGGCGGCGAAGTTGGAGTCTGTGGTGTCATTCAACTCCTGGTATGCCGATAGACGCGAGGACTTGGCAGTCATAGTAATATTGGCTGTCGGATTCAGTAACTCGGTGCGGAAGAAGCCCGGTTCGACTAAACAGTGGCGGATACCGAACTGGGAGATTTCACCCGCCAGCCCAAGTACGAGCCAGCGCAGGGCGGCCTTAGAGGCGTTATAGAGATTGCAGCCAGCCATAGGGTACCAGGCGGCCATAGAGCCGATGGTAACCAAAGTGCCCGACCCTTTGGCGCGTAGGTGTGGCAGTAGGGCGCGGTAAAGGTTCAGCGGGCCAAAGGTATTAGCCTGGAACTGACGCTGAGTCTCTTCTGAGGTGGTCTCTTCAAGCATGCCTGTCTGCACGTAGGCGGCATTGTTGACGACAATGTCGACCGTGCCATAGACATCTAGGATAGTCTTGACCGCGACCTGGATCTGGGCTGGGGGCTCGTTGTGGTCTAGGTAGACAGCCTTGATGTTAGGGTTGGACGACTCGAGCTTGGCTAATTTATGCGGACTACGTGTGGCGGCTAACACGCGATCCCCGCGCTGGGCGGCCACTTTAGCTAACTCTAGGCCAAGTCCGGACGAGGTGCCAGTGATAAGCCAGATCCGGGAGGTAGTAGCCATGATGGATGGATGGATGGGGTATGTTCTCAGAGGATGTTATTGAGATCAGGAGGGTTGTGTGCTGCTGGAAGGAGGGAAGGGGCACATATGAAAGAACTGTTATCCGGCAGGGGTAGGTATGCTGGAACCAATCAACAAAGGCCATCGTCTGTACATATAGTATGTAGTGATACCAGCTAGGCTCTCGATTAGTAACAAAGGCCTGCCGCTAGATCCTCTGATTCTGTCCCGGTGCACTTCACTAGGGTCGGATCTAGGAGCCGGAGATTGCGGAAATACCACGGTAGCTGTCATGCATAGTTCAGTCGTCCTTATTGGCCTGGGTAAAGTCTCTTCGTTGCACCTATTATTACTGGCCTGGAATAGAATAGTGGCAAGTTACCACGAACAATGGGTTCAGTGTCCACGCGATAATTTTCAATGCTTTAATTCAATAATACCACTATTGAATTCATCAATTTATTTGAGAGCACCTCAACATCACGAATGAGTGGCAAAGTAGTATGGGTCTGGAGTTAGATAATAGGGTTGAACTCCAATGGGGAAACGCTGACCCCGCTACATTATCTCCTCCCCTGTCCTATTCATCATGTTATTAGCAGAGTATTCGGGAAGCTGTCTGCCCTGGCCAGGGAAAGCGCACGGACGGGGCCGCATGGGCGCCACATCGCCGACACGTCACGCCCCGAGCGATCCGGTCCGCACGCTAGCCAGATTTGTTGAGCCCGCTTCGCCTCTACACATACTCTCCGAACCTATTTAGGTGGACTAAACAGGGGTACCTTCATTCCTGCGTTTTATTCCATAGGATCATATTTTTTGCAATGCTAATAACCGGCTGTTACAAAAATTACCATTTCTTATAGCCATCGATTGGTGAGGGTTTCAATGTCCTCATTCTTGAAATCTCTGCCTTGCTCAGGTGAATCAAATGTGAACCGAAGCTGTGTTCAAGTTTCATGAACTTGATTGCTTGGAGATATTTCTCTTTGTTCGTTTTGAATTCTTTTCAAGTTGGAAACTAACCAGTCCCGTTCATAAATTACCATTTATTACGGACCCTCGCTTTGCTCGGATCCACCACCCACATGGACCAGACCCCCTGAATTCCCATCCGCTACCTTTTTTCTTATCCACCACTCCCCGATATGACCAAAAGCACAAACGGCGAAGAATTCAATATCCAGAGGGCTCTAGGCGCGCTACAAGACCAAGCGACCCCTAATATCTCCGAAACTGCCCGTGAATTCGTGGTTCCAAAGTCTACCCTTCTTCGCTGATGGAAGGGTGGAAAATCGCCTTAATAAGATTATATATCTAAATTAGCAAATATTAATGACTTTCTGCGGAAGAAGCTGCGAAGATCCCATATGCAGACATGGCTTTTATTTTGTATTGTTCGACAAATCTAAGGTGGCCTTGAGCCTCTTGTCATCGGAGTGGTTAATAAGTTGAATAGGTGCATCGCTGAAGAATTCCGAATAGACCCGTCTTCCCACCATTTCTCGACTAGCGTATAGGGTAATCTTTCTCGTAATAATCACCAAGGTATCTGATGGAGTGCTTGAGACTGTCGAGAAAAGTCTCTATCAATATCTCAAAGTCGACTATTACAGAGCTACCCTGTACCGAGTTCGATGCGTGCTAGGTAAATTACCTGGCTGAGCTACCTCCATCCTCATAATCGATATGAAATTCCTAATTTAGGTGTGTAATGTCTTCAAATGGGTTAATTATACCTATGATAATTATGTCAGACGCCTGATAGGCTTTATTATTCACATGTGCACCTCTTTATATAAATAGGATAAATATAAATAGGAGCAAAACGCATCTCTGCAAAGCCACAGTACAAGGATTAGGATAATTATAGGATATTAGGTGGCCTAAGATTAATATATGTACACTATATCATTATTCACAGTCCGTATAAAATATAAATCCACATGCACGCGGTACACTTTTATATAGGTCATCCTCGTTTAGAAACCCTATAATTAGTCATATCTCTGAAGAAAGTTCCGGGAAGCGCGAAAAGGCTAGATATCCTCGAAGTCCGCCATTGGTCCACACTATACTTAGAGTGCTTGATAGCCAGTATTTATTGTGTCGGATTTGGTGCCTAGGGAGACGGTGAAAATAAGGCCGCAGTGCAAGCACACAGGAAAGCCAACGCCCGAAAGTCCGAGTCAGTCCTTTGACCGCAAGTAAACATTTCAACTTTCTCAGCTTATGGGATTGTTCTAGATTAAACAGATATGAACTAGGGTACTTAATGGAGGGGTTGACAACAAGTCTTAAATTCCTCCTATCTTTGAATACGGATCTTGTTGCTTTCTTCTGGTCCAAATACTCTATGTACCGTAGATTACCGGATTATGGTATTAGTGTGGACAATCTGCATTACCTGTAGGACAAGAAGCTGCAGCCTGAGTGCCTCACGTCAACTTCCCCAGTCCTCACCTGGGTTTCTTCGTTGGTTCTTCCACTGGCGGTGCAACGAACCATGGTTCCCGACCTAGCAAAGTCTACTTTCGTGTTGATTCATGATATGATTAGCAGCGATGAACTAGGTAGATCGGAAATAGCGGCAGCTGCAGGCTGCAGCGAACGCGCTATTGCCAGGATTCAGTCTAACCTGCGACTATTCGGTAGCGTCAAAGCTTCTCCTACAGTATTTCCGAGTCATCCTTTTTTTTTTTGTCTTTTTGCAATTTTCTCTTTTCTTTTTTTTTTTACTCTCCAATTTATTTCATTCTACCCTTTAATGCTGAAGTTAGTGTTCTGTGTGATCTTGGACAAAAACTAGGCATCCAGATCTAGGTTGATTAGGCCCCGCGTCCGCTTACGCCAAGAGCCGCCCAGTCGACCTCCACACGACCATCACGATGGGTTCATAAATCTGCATTATACCGCGGATGAAAACTTGAGTACATATCGCAATCAAAATGTCTATCATTGATTGCCCGCCCGAATTGCTCCATATGATCGGAAGTGACCTCCATCAGAAGGACACACGCAACCTGATATCCACCTCGCATCGAATGCACAGCGTGTTTCAACGAAAACTCTACACGAACGTGACCCTCGGAATAAAAAACGCGAATTCAGCCAGACTTTTCTCTACACTGTGGCCCGGAACCCGGAATTAGCTGGCTATGTCCAGTCTCTAGCACTTGCTGGCTGGGAAACCTACCAAGACTGGGAGACCAACCGGGAACCCGAAAAAACCATCGGAAGACCTAATTTTGACGGTGATCTTATTCGGCAATTGGTTGATGAAGCAACCGAATATCCCGAAGAAGAGAAATCGAAATGGCTACAGGATCTCGAGGGGTTTTTTGACGATGCCTGGCTGGCATTGCTCATTCCCCGATTGACCGGTCTACGGAAAATTGGGTTAAAATGGCCGTTCCGTTCCCCTCATGTTAGCTTAATGCTCAAAGATGCTGCCATAAATGGAGGCGCTTGTTTCCCTCATGTTGAAGAAGTTAATATATGTTGGTATGATACGGAAAATGCCATCGCCTCATATCGAGTGCATCCGTTCTTCTTTCCATCTGTGCGCAAAGTTTGTTGGTGGAAAATCGCGGAGAATGCTAAAGAGGAGGATTTCGAGCCCGACCCTTCTGAGATTCCTGACTCTACTTAGATTCTCAAGGATGTTAGCCTCCCACCTCGATGCTCAAACGTAACGGATATTGACCTCTCGGAAACCAATGCCGCGGAGGGAATGCGAGAATGGATTCGGGCCTGCAAAACGCTAAAGTCCTTCCGGATCATGCACCATGCACCATACGCTGGTTTCCAGCCCCACAAACTCTACAATTCACTCTCACTGCACAAATCCAATCTGGAGGCTATCTGGGTCGGGCACGACGAATACGGGTTAGACGGCGATAATGATGATGACTGGATGGGGTCATTTGTCGATTTTTCTGCCTTGAAGATTCTCCGTCTCAGGCTAATTAATCTCGTGGGACTCAATGAACAAGGCTCACTCGCACGAAAGATAAGTGATGTGATTCCCTTGTCACTGGAAACATTGTTCCTGGACATGTATTGGCAGGACTTTCGGGACTTCCTGGATGACTTGGCGGAGATAGCCATCTCAAGGAGGTTCTCTAAGATTGCCACGGTCCATATTGAGACCTACAGCAAATGTATTCTTCCACAGTTGAATCCAAAAGTTGAATGGCTACAACAGAGGTTTCGAGAGGTTGGAGTTGCGTGTCATGTGCATACAAGGATTCGGGAATCTATGGAAGATATCGGCTTTGGAACAGCCTTTGGCCCCAGTGCGAGGCAGAATACCTCAACTATTCTTGCTAGAGACTTCCTACATGCTTTGAAGGACACACAGGGAGGTAGATCGCAGAAGATATTGTTCCTACCGGGGCCAAATCTGGAAGGGGTGAACGTTTCCCGGCAATCTTTCTCCGCAGGAAAATTTCCAGCCGTATCCTTTATCCGCTCCCAGTAAGAACTAGGTGGCAGAGCCAAGTCTTGTTCCTTGTCCTTTGCCACCAGACGATTATTCATTTTACCCTCCACTCTATCTGTTAATGAACATAATCTAACCGTTGCCCCCCGAGTGTTCCTCCGTCCTCCACCTCGCCTTCTCGCATAAAACCCAGTTGATCAGATTGCGGGTTGTGTAACGGTGATGAACACTTACTAAATATTGGCTCAGGGTCGGGAGACGAGCAGATCACAGATGACGGCCATTCACGGCCAGGTGTAAGGGCATACGAGGGAGTCGGGTGCCATAGATTAGGCAAATGAGGTTGGTAGATGTCATTGTTATCGAAAGCAGCGTAAGCCATCCCCTCCAAGCAGTAGAATCTACTAAGGAGTCTATCCATAGCGCCATCGTACGTTGGCTGGAAACAAGAGGCTGCCACCACGTATAGGGTAAGCGGAGTATGTTTCTGATAGGCTGAGTACGGTGATCAGTAGGATAATTGGTCTTAGCCATTTCTTCCGAAATCTTTCCAAGTGTCTAGTTGGACCTTAGGCAGCCACTCCGGTAGCCTCGGGCGCCAAGTTTTAGCGCGGTCCCTAGGTCTAGGCGGAGCCAGAGGCGAGACTATAAAGTACCCTGTTTCTTACCTTCCATCGTGAAATATTAGAAATCATATTGCAGAAATGTTCGGACCACAATTGCCCGCTCCAGAACAGTCTGGGTTGCCCGGCTTCACATTGCCGGTCAACTATCTACCACATGTATGGTTCTTCCCCTATGGAACAAACAAGGATGGTAAACACTAATATGATCCACAGCAAATTTACCATGACCTCCCACTTTGCTCACATGCATTACATTATCCTGACGCGTAAGAATGCAACTTACATGAGCATTAGAGCATACAGTAATCTAATTACATTAGATCCCTCAAGGTCCACAGAGAGATCTTAATGATGCGTTTGATGAACACCATTACAGACAAGCCGGAGTGGGATCAAAAGGTAGGTCGTATCCATTCTCTCCTAGTGACCAACACTGATAATCATGCCAGGTTTTCAATGCGCAAATAACCTCCAAATGGTGCGAGGAAATAGCCCAAGGGGGCGAGGATATTTCTCCAAGAATGATGGACTACATCATCAAGGAGCTACAATGGAAAGCCAAACTATTCGAAACTGACGGATGCATCAATGTGTTTGACATCGGCGTCATCAAGTCAGACACTGCAATCTCAGAAGATTTACGAAAAGCCCTAGCGGACGCAGTTGCTCCTCTGGAGAATGTTCCAGACGATCAGAAAGATTATCATCCTGGGTCCGATCAAAAGGTCCTGGATCTAGTGCATCCGTCACTTTTCCCGCTCGTATACGGGCATACCCGAATTCTACGTAACGAGTTAATTGGTCTTGATGATTGTCTTGGTGCCACAGGACAGGGAGAAGTTATTCCAGTTCCATCAATGGAGAAAAAGGATGGCTGGAGATTCCCAGACGATGATTTCTACAGTCGCAAGTTTCAATGGCTTCCATGTGACGTGAAACTGAGCTCCACAGAGCCAGAGCCCGAATGCCGAATTTCTTCCTACATCAACAATCTGCATCCTACGCGCCATCGTGACTTGTATGGTATCATTGAGAAAGTCATTACACGCGCTATACCATTGTGGAATAGGAGCTTGAATAATCAGGGAATTCATTCTCACCGAATCGAATACACCTCTGTTGAATATGATGAGGGTAATCACCCAGATCCAAAGCCTGAGCAAGGGTTTGACGAGGATAAGGGCGATTTCTGGAACAGAATGGGTTCCTGGCAGGATGTCATGCCCATTTTAAAGCCGGAGCCTGCAGAATTCAAGAGCAAGCCCGACGAGAAAATCCAGATTTACGATGTTTTTGGCAAGACTGGACTTCAGGTAATTGTGAAGTTGGCCAATATCGAGCTGTCGCCTGAGTCGCCCGAGTACGAAGGAGGATCCTGGCATATTGAAGGTCAATTGGTGAGTTGATTTCATCTAAATACTGCCTCTTATTCTGTGTCTTCTTCTTGACTCATTGATCACTGTACAGAACGAACGTATCTGCGCAACCGCTATTTACTACTATGACAGTGAGAACATCACAGAAAGTACGCTTTCTTTCCGACAACGCATAGAGGCAGGCGTCTTCGACGGCTTCGACTTCCACTATCCTCAAAGTGATCGCAGATTTCTCCAAGATATCTACGGACTTGATCCCGATTTGAACAGCAGTTCCTTTCATGACCAACGGGTTACACAGCACCTGGGAAGCGTCGTTTGTCGCCAAGGTCGGCTTCTTACCTTCCCAAATGTAGTCCAGCACCGCGTGACTCCATTCTCATTGGCTGATAAGTCAAAACCTGGTCATCGTAAGATCCTTGCATTGTTTTTGGTTGATCCCCATCTACGGATCATTTCAACGGCGAATGTTCCTCCGCAGCAAGAGGATTGGGGTAAGGAGAAGTATGATCTGACCCAAGGGATGCTTTCGCAGAAAGTTCCCCCTGAATTGCGGAATATGATTTGTGACGAGGGTATCCTTCAGCAGCTGATGAGTATGGATGAGGCGAAGAAGTTTCGATTGGAGCTTATGAAGGAGAGAAGTGTGAACTCTGGAAGGCAGAATGAGGCGTTTGAGAATTATTCTTTTGGTCTTTGTGAGCACTAGACTCAAAATACCTATTTACACCTCTATTACTCCGGAAAACGTGGTTCTTCACAGCATCTTATCGGTCAATTTGCTTAAAATGGAGGTCTTCGCTTTTTCGTGCCTTTCAACATCCCTCACTTTGCTCATGTAATTTATTATCAGAATTATGTTATCGCCGCCCAGAAGCTAGCTTGTCATTTTCTACAGTGGATTTGTTTAGAAGCTGGCCTTTCAATGCCATGGACACTATGTTTCGATTCACTGAATATTTTAAACCAAGATTGTTTACCCAAGCCTTATCCTTGTAATCTCATCAATAGCGCATTCATGTATGTGAGGACGATGACTGCTTCGTCAGAGTCTAGAAGCAATCTCGAAGTATTGTTTCCTCATCATGAAGCCTAGCCCATCTCCAGCACGCATCCCATAACCTCTTTTGAGATTCCAAGTCTTCACTAACAGCCGCAGGACTCCCCTGTATCTGCCCAACAAAATACCCACCCTTACCATGGAACATCGGATCAAGACTAACGGCGACAAGGTCTCGTCCCGAATCCTCCGTTGTCCGGAAATCAGTAGTCAAGTGCTTAAGCACCGGCATGAGAAAGCTGATAACCGCGAAAATGAATCTCACGGATCTCTTTTGCTCCACTTGCCCCCTCGACGAAGGAAGTCCACCCGGATCCATAGACATCACGGATACATTTGATAGTTTCGGGTCCTGTCGAAAAATTAGTCGATGGCTTGTATTTTCAAATAACTAATAGATAAGAGAGGAATCTACCTTCTTCAGTCTTTTGTTTAGATCGTTCGCAAACGTCACGTTTGAAAGCTTAGCTATCCCATACCTCTGAAATCCCCTATCATAAATCAGAGACGGAGGATCAGGACCTGGCTTGACAAGCTCTTCGATATCATCCGGAATGCGTGTTTTGAGCGAGTATAGAGGATTTGGTTTCTCGGGATAGTGAGTAATTGATCCAAGCATAACAATCCGTCCCGAGTGAACATCCATGCTCTCGAGAAGTCTTAAGACCAGAAGGTAGTGCGAGAGGTGGCTGACTTGGAAGGTCGTTTCATAGCCATCGGATGTGAATTTCTGTCCACTCCCTAGGGAAATTGATGCGGCATTGCATATTAGAGCTGTCAGACGTGGGAGCTCCCTGATGCGGATGCGAGTAGAGAGTTTTTCTGCGAAAGAGCGGACGTTCGATAGGCTACTAAGATCTAGGGCTTCGATGTGGACGTTGGCATTCGGGTAATTGGAAACAAGTTGGATGAGCCTGGCAGTATTGGGATCTTTTTCTGGCGATGGGTTTCTGACCGTCGCGATGAGTGTATGCTCTGGGTAGAGGGATAGGAATGACTGGGCGAAGCCAAGGGCTAAAGAGCCGTTAGCTCCGGTAATAAGGACAGTTCCGTTCATTCTGGAACTAACTTATGTTCAAGATGTTGGAAAGTATTTAGGAAGGTTAGAAGTGAATACTTATAGGCATGAGCTGAGTCTATCATAAATCCGACGATACATTTTTTTGGCGTGAAATCTCGCATACTTTTCCATCTAAGTCACTAGCGTTCCTGGAGTAGGAAAGTACAGGTCTTGGCTACTTAGTCCCTTTAATACGGCTGACAAATTCATTCTTTTAGTTTTGAGGTCAAATTCCGTAAAAGCTGATGGATTGGGAGTACTTCTACAGGACCATGAAATCTTCCCGTTTGGGAAGTTACAAGCCTGGGCGAAGCTGAAGGTGGTTTAGCTTCTCCCTTAGATAGTGAGATAGAAAAAAAACATCATAGGATAATGCAACAAAAGAAATTAATAGTTCTTCAAATCTATAAGACCCTTGTTCTTCTTGGTTCTCCACTGAACAGCAACACATAAAGAATACAACGTAGAGAGGATCGGAACATTCACACCGAGTCTCTGAGCCTCGCGATAAACCTCCCCAAGCAGATTTTCATGCTCAATGTATGAGCGCTACATTGATTTTAGAATCATTTCAAAACAGGAAATAGAGAGGTTTGGCTTACTATCTGAGTGTCAACCTGCATACTAGGTGTGATCATCTTCTCGATAGGATTACTGCGAATAGTCTCCTCTATAATCCCATCCGGTAGCCTGTGACCCGCAGCCTCCGCCACCTTCATGACTTCATTCATGGCTGGAATAACCAGGGTTGTAATAACGCTGGTCATCTGAAGCTCCCCGGTGTTTAGATCTACCAGGGCAGAGACGGGATTGAGTGTCGCGTTGTAGATCAATTTCGCCCAGCGATCATATCCAACATCAGGCTTAAAGAGACAGGTGGTTCTCCCCGCAGCGGTATAGATATCGACAAAATGTAAGGCAGTCCTGCGGAGTAATTCTGGATCGTGAGGCTGGGAAGGGAAAGGTCCAATGTAAAGCAGATCTCGTTGCTTCTGCTCGATCACACCTTTTCTAACCTCGTGAGCGTCAATGCGACTAACGCCTGATAGAATCATGTTCTGGGGGAACTGAGCTATCAGCGGCTTTTCGATATTGAGTCCGTTTTGAATGAGAACAATGACAGTGTGGTTGGGTGAAACTGCTGGGGCGATAATCTGGCCAATAGGGTTGATATCGGGAGTGTTTTTTGTGCAGCACACGATGTAGTCGAATAGCGCATCATCCAAATTGGATATGTCTGGAACCTTGTTCAGGACTATTCGGAATATTGATTAGCAGAGAAGGTTGACAAGGGATTGGGGGGGCTCTGACTCTGACTTGGCCGCCACCCTGCAAGGTTGCCATGCTCACACGACTCAATTATGAAACCTTGCTTGTTCACGATCTCAAAGTTTGATCTCAGAACACAGGAGACCTCGGCCTTGTTCCCGCTCTGAAGGTTCAGGGCAGCGATGGTACCAACTCCTCCACAACCAACCAACAAAATTCGAGACTTTTGTGTCATTTCTGTTTAGTCAATATCCCCGCATTGGGCACAGAATCAAGTCAGATAGTACCAATCTCTAACCTCCGTCGGGTTTCTTTATTTTATCGTTCAATACAAGTGCGGAGATAAGAGTAAGTGCGGTAACGGAGTGCGGGGAAGTTGGATATGGAAATATTCGGCCGCCAATTCTCGACCGGCATCGGAGATACCACCGCTATTCCCGAAAGATAAAAATGATAGATACATGGATTAGATGATTACGAATCTGGAATCTATCACTCACACTCACCAATCGATTGTCAAACACTTCTCTTGCAGGGCATTAAGAGCCTTTCCTATTCGGGAAGGCACAAGCCTTGGCCAACGCCAAATCGAACCATTAAGCAGCTGACTAACTCCTTCCGGTTAGACCACTGCGGGTGTCTACAACTTAGATAGATTCCAGTCCTACCTTTGACACTTGGCCTACATTCGAGGCGAACAGCAAGAATACATTCATACCTTATGGCACCACAGAAACTACAATACATCATAAATTTTGCCCCCGGCACAGAAGCACACACAGCACAACTAAAGGCCGCTCGCTCACACGTCGCTCGAGCAACACACGCCAAAGAAAGACGCCAGCGAACTTTACAATATCAAACCCAGAAAAGGGGCGACGAAAATGGCCAGATCCAAGCCCAGCAGGACGTTACAGGCACCAGACTACTCAATGGGGCTGTGTCTACGCCCGAGATCGTCACACTACTATCAGCCAGTAGGAGGGATCCATTTATGAGCTATGCAAAGACTTTACAACCCATTGAAGAGATGCTATTCGATCATTGTATGTATGAAGCACACCGACGTCACCTTTTTCACAATTCTAAGTCTATGTTTTAGATGTGACGAACATCATACCACTAATGCGCTGTGATGAGCCACCTCTCTCCTTCTTCGAGCGTATGGTAGGCACATGGGTCCCCCATGCGCGTAGTGAAACGTCTCTTTTGAACATCATGTTTCTTTTATCATGTCGACATTTGGCAATGAGTTGTCCGGAACAGCAGGAGTATTTTACTCAACTGGGTTTCTCGTATAAACTCCAATGTCTACAGTCACTGAGATGTGCACTTTCAGTTGAGACGGTGTTTAGTGATTCTACTGTGGCACAGGCTATTATGCTGGCTTTTGACGAGGTAGGATTATCCCTCGCTAGTGGTTCTGGGCTGACTAGGAATAGCTGTTTGTTCGAGATACGGCGATGTTTAAACATCATCTGGAAGGTGCGGTTAAAATGGTTGAGCTTAGAGGTGGACCTGGGGCTCTTGGATTGAATGGGCTTCTTGAACATTTCTTATCTGGTTTGCTTGTTAAGATTGTGACTGAATTTGGGATGCAGGTTAATGTTCCTTGGGATACATGTTAGTGAGGCCGAGGTCATTGTCTTTATAATGTACGAAGTCTGAACCTATGAATAACTACATACGGTTGGTGTTCAGTTTCTAGTCTAGCACCGCTATTGGTCTTTCTGTGATGTGGCCACATCAAATTGACGGACATCGTTGAAGGCATCTACTTTTTCAATAATGTTCTGTTGTTTGCGAGCAAAAAGCAGCACCTTTGGGCAGCCAACTTCGTAGACCTCAATTAAAAGTCCCTAACAATACCACAGTCGTTATAGCAAAACTCAGAAGCCTGAACTCAGCCCTCTCATCAACCATGATTAGTATGGTATTCAACAAATTGAATCTCTTGATCAGTGGGATGATGGATCCCAATGTCCCAACTCCCGGCGATTTCTGCCGTTCACCAGCCTCTACATTCGACTTTAAATATTGATGCAGATCATGGTGTCTGGGAGGATTACCGGGTCCCCCCATTCTGATGAGATTTGATTGAATTTCGTTGAGAGAATGCGGAATACTCCAAGCGATAGTTACAATTAGTAAAGTAACGTCCGAGCGCCGGCAAATTCTGGTGAGCTGTTGCAGAGCCCGCGACCGGCTCCCAGAAGACAGAGGCAACATACATATTGCAAAGGAGCCTCACAAGAGAGATTAAATGTGATGTTCCAAAAGCCATACATGTATAAGTCATCATGCCCCCCCACAAGAAATACCTGTCATGTAGAAAACTAAGGAGAAAGAATTGAAGTCATAGGTCAATATCTATACACGAAACCGAAGAAAGGAAACCCGTCCCGATTTGTGTCCGAGAGCAAGTATATTGCCATTGACTGCGACACAGTAGGGCCGAAACTCAACCGGAAGCCAAAGTACCCTTTCATCATTCAATGTTATCCATTCATCATCAACACATATACTTAGGTTTGCTGGACTCGTATGAAATGTAGAAATGCTACACCTGCATTCTATATCCAGAACACTGCAAAGGTGTCTATCATGGTAAAATGTCAGCTCGGAGACTGGTTCTTTAGCTTTGAGAGTTCTCATGACCGCGCCTGTCACCGGGTTCCAGAGCCGCACTGTCTCGTCAAAATCCGATGACAGTAACCCGTCAGGCGAGAAGACCAATGAGTGAGTTCCAGATGATCCGGCTTCCAGCGTGTGGATGAGCGCGCCTGTCGCCAGATCCCAGAGCCGCACTGTCGAGTCAACAGAGCCAGACGCTAATAGCTGACTATCAGGCGAGAAGGCTACTAAGTTGACCCAGTCCGAATGGCCTTTAAGTGTCAGGATGAGCATGCCTGTCACTGGATCCCAGAGTCGCACTGTCTTGTCGTGGGAGCCCGATGCTAATAGCCGACCATCAGGTGAGAATTCTATCAATTCAGCCCTATCTGAGTGACCCTTGAGCATCTGAGTGAGCGCGTATGTCGCCGGGTCCCAAAGCCACACTGTGCTATCATTAGAGCTCGATGCCAGTAGACCTATAGGGGAGAATGCCACTGAGTAGACCCAACTTGAATTGACTTCAAGCGCCTGAGTGAGCTCGCCTGTCAACGAGTTCCAGATACGTACTGTCGAGTCAACAGAGCCAGATGCTAAAAGCTGACTATCATGCGAGAAGGCTACTGAGTTGACCGAGTCCGAATGGCCTTCAAGCGTGTAAATGCATGTGCCTGTCGTGGAATCCCAGAGCTGTACTGTCTCGTAGGAGGCTGTAGCCAGTATCCCGCTATGCGAGAAGGCTACTGAATTAACCGAATGTGAATGTGAATGTGAATGACATTCAAGCGTGCGGATAAGCGCGCCCGTCACCGAATCCCAGAGCCGTACTGTCGAGTCAACAGAGCCAGACGCTAATAGCTGACCATCATGCGAGAAGGCTACTGAGTTGACCCTGTCCAAATGGCCGTCAAGCGAGTGGATGTATGCGCCTGTCGTGGAATCCCAGAGCTGCACTGTGTCGTAGGAGGCTGCCGCCAGTATCCCGCTAAACGAGAAGGCTACCGAAATAATCGAATGTGAATGTGAGTGTGAATGACGTTCAAGCGTGTGGATGAGCGCGCCCGTCACCGAATCCCAGAGTCGTACTGTCGAGTCAACAGAGCCTGACGCTAATAGCTGACTATCAGGCGAAAAGGCTACTGAGTTGACCCTGTCCAAATGGCCTTTAAGTGTCAGGATGAGCATGCCTGTCACTGGGTCCCAGAGTCGCACTGTCTTGTCGTGGGAGCCCGACGCTAATAGCCGACCGTCAGGTGAGAAGGCGATCGATTGGATCCAATCCGAGTGTCCTTCGAGAATCTGGATAAGCGCACCCCATTGTTTCTCAACTTTCGGTAATTGGCATATCCAAGTAGGAAGCTCTTCCTGGAACTGTGTGCGGATTATTGCCGCTTGGGGTGCAAATATAAGGCCTGCACAATAAACCTGAAGGGGCGCTTGGTCAAGTATATAGCGGTTTTTCAACATGAATCGCTTTGCGTCGTGAAGGAATTCCGACAACGAGGAAAATGTGTTGCCCTGAAGCAGTTAGTGTGAGTTGGATATCATGCTTGGTGTAACTCACTGGTATGGCCATCTGGAGGCGATCAAGAATGCTTAGTATTTCGGATGTAAGACCAAGGAGGCTCATTCCTTCCACCCAGTGTAGAAAATGATTCTGTAAGAAATCCCACGCAAGAGATAATAAAACAACATATCTTTTGTGATCTGAACCTGTGCAATTCACTAGGTGGTGTGCCCAGTATCTACAGGCGTACTGTAACTCTAGAGGGATTTGTCTATCGATAGTCTGGTGAGCAATTTCAACACGTTCGGTTCCATCACGTAGGCCACAGATGTTTTTCTGTAAATTTTGGCACATAAGAAGGCAACTTTTGGCCAAATCATAGTGCCTGCTTGTCTGATCTATCCCTAAAGGGGTCTTTTTCTGGGTCTCTAGATCAAGAAGGAAGTCTCGAAACGACAGATGAAAGAGCCGCACAGGCGTTGTTTCGTCCGCCGGTACTTTGAGTACAGAGTGCAGTGGATCCAATCGAAGGCGAATTAATCTCTTGGGAAGGTTTAGAAGCTTGGAAAGTGAGATGACTGAGAGAGGACTCTCCAGTATCACGATGGCTCCAATCACTTGTTGGAAATCCGAGACGACTTTTCTTTTGTGCTTCTCGACTTGTGTGTCGGTAATCCGGTGAAGAACTGGAAGATATGTCCGATCTAGGTTCGATTGGTCATATTGATGTGCAAGTATCTCGGTGAGACTATCTATGGGGTCCCAAGCTGGGTCTCTAAATATGCGACAGATAGTGGCAGCGAAAATGAATAAAGGGGTGGATAATTCCACTAGCTTTTTGAGATCTCTGTCATCAGGCCAGTCAGTTGGTAGGGAGCGTTCCATTCGAATTTCTTCTAGTTGATGATCAAAAAACACCTTTAGGTCATGCTTGATCACTTCTATAGGAATTCCATGGAGTATAAGGTCCTTGTGGGCATCGTTTGCGATCTTTGATAACCCCAGACGGATTGGTAGATCAGGCCTGCTAGTCAAAAGGACCCGTAGACGCACTGTAGCTAACTTTTGTAGCTGTGGAAGCAGTTGGAGTATAAGTCGAATATCTTTATCTCCGTCGCATTCGTCTAATGCATCAACCACTATCACTATAGTCCGGGTAATGATGAGATCCCTCAAGGCTCTGGAGAGGCTCTAGGAGAAGCTTTTCGAATTGCTCGCGCATGGCCTTTTTCGTGATATCTGGGCTATCGCGGAGTGTTTGCTGGACGAATGGCATTATTTGCGGAATGGTACTCGTCAACTGCCTGACGATTGTTGGGAAGAACTTTCTCGCGTTACCTCGATCCCCTTCACCTCTCTTGAAGAAGAAGCTTGCTCCCAGTGATTTTGATTCACTGAAGACCTTTGCCATAGTTCGAGAGATGGTCGATTTTCCAGTTCCAGCAACCCCATTCAACCAGAATATGCATCTGCCCTGGGGGGATAATGCCCATTCTTTGATTTGGCAGATGATTTGAGTGCGTGTGCCTGGAAGACATTGGTCTCCATGTTGCTCTTCGTATGAGTCGGAGGTAGCCCCAGGCGCGGGAGACAACTTATCGTCAAGGTCTGTTCATAGGTCAGTATGATCAACGCTCTTCCAATAAGGAGTCTCGTAGAATACCCAATGGAGGGCTAAATTCGTTTGTGACCGATCCGTAGTTGGCCCCTATCTGCAATCCATGATTGTAGCCTGAGAACAATATCCTTGAGCCCATGACTTACGGAATCAAAGGGCCCGCTGAGATGAGGAAAATGCGGGGTTAGACGCCCTGAAATGCGATGATACTAGCGTCGTATGAAAGTCAGGTGACGTGTGTCGTGGCATGCAGGTAATATAACCCACGTGTGTATAACCTCTTCTGAATAAAGGTTTGGACTACCTATTAGCCTGCATAGGCGGACAAATACCTACCACAAGGAGCCGTTCATTTCTACCCAAGTGGAGACCCACCCAATCATTAACCGCGTCCCGAACAACTCAGTCGAAAATGGCAGTGAGTAGAATATTACGAATAAGAGGCGTCAAGGGAGTAAGAAGATCCGTTGGGGAGGGGGGGCTGTGAGCGATGAAGAGTGTATCTGTCAAGCCGATTTTGAGAACGACTGTATTGAGAAAGTTAAAGAGACGATTTGAAAGTGAGAAACAGCAAGTCCACATGTGCACTTGTTGTTGACAGAATTCATGAATTCCATGATTGAAAAGCTTCATGTTAATGATAAGATGCAAATCTACCCCTCTATTACTTGGGTACACGCAGACTTTTTGGACATGCGTTCGAAACCTCCACTAGACTTTTCCTTTTTCCCCTCTCCTACCACTTCACTTTTCTTCTCTTCACTTTTTTTCTTTGTCTTCTATTCCGCTATCTAGGAATTCGGAGAGAGACCTTTGACCACTTGGTCAATACGGTAGGAACGAAGGTAGAATACTGAATAGGATACGAGGAGGAGACTCAGTAGGAGACTGAGTAGGAGATATAGTAAGAGGTGCGATTGAACACCTAAGTAGGCGCCGCGCAAAAAGCGCGGCGGAAAGCCTCTAGTACTAAGTACACCCCCATATGCCAATGCATATATAATCAAAGCACAATTCTGACGGGACACGGATATTAATCTATAGACACCCGTCTATTGATTCAGTCCAACACAAGAAACTCCAACGTGTGTAGATGAGTGAGGAAACCCCGAAAAATATGAGATAAAACCAAGGCAACCGAATGCAGTCATGTAAAACAAAAGAAAGTGTGCTCACTGCGCTGGAATTCAAAGTCGATCGAGTCAACAGTCATCATGTCATAATTTATCACATCCCTGTCTCGCTTGGTAAGACGGGAACAGAACAAGTCTCGGCTTTACAAAGGTGTAAAGGGTATAAATGAGCCCAACTAAACAGTACCATACCGCCCCTGCTCTGCACCAAGAAGAGCCTGCCCTTCCTGCTGTCTCGCAGAGCGCGAGCGCGAACGTTCACCAGGAGGCGGCGAACTCGAAGGAATCCAGCCACGCATCCACCCCCGTACGCGTCTCCACCGGTTCCGACCACGCTTTCCATCGCCATCCTCCGAGTCCATGAAACTCTCGTTATCCTCATCGGGTTCTCCATACATAAGGAACTGTACGCCCATGAACCCATCCAGGCCGAGAACCCCAAATGCACCCAGGAAGAATGGCAATGCTCGCCCAATCCATTCCAGGCGATCATTACCGTGGCTATCCGCCCAGCCACCACCGCCATATGGCGCGAAATCAGACCATGCGTTGGGGTTCGTCACCAACGAGGCTGAGTAGAAGAAGTTTCCACAAAAGGCCGCGAAGAACATCAGAGGAGAAAGTCCCTCTGTGCTCTTGCGGCGGTAATTTTTGTACAGTTGTGGGGGGCGCGAGCCGAGGTAGAGAAGTGTCGACGCCCAGGAAAAGATGCGGCCCACGATCTCGAGGATTGTCTCGCTTGGCGCGTGGGTGATTGGTGGATGAGGTGAGGGGGTCGCCTCTGTCGGTGCGGCGTTTGCTAGGACGGCGCAGACCAGCGATGCGATTAGCATTGTGCGGGGCAATGCAAAGGGCGGGCTTGTAGCGCTGCTGCCCAGACGCACGGGTCGGCGGGAGTTTTGTTTCTCGTTCGTGTAGGAGGCGCTCCGGGCGACTGTGGACGTGAAAGTTGAGCCAGTCTGGACGCCCATGTCGTGGACATCTGTTGTCTTGGTCGTCATGTCGACGGGACCCTGGGGTTGGTGGGTCGCACTGTTGCCTTGCAGGAGTTCACTCCTTGTGTCGGACTCTTCGTGGTGGTGCGAGGTTTGCAGATCATCGTACTCCTCGTAACGACGTGATTTATAATGTGTGTACCAGAAGAACTGGATCACAAGTGTGGCATCAACAAAGACGTAGTAACAGGCAACCATGACCTGCCATCCCGCCTGTCGGGTGAACAGGGCGCCTATGAGGTTGCTTATATCTCCTGCGCACCAAATGACAAGGAAGAAAATAGACAATCCTGATGTGGACTGTAGTTGGTAATTCTTGAAAATTTGTGGTAGTTGGGCGAAAAGCCATGAGACGAAGCTCAAGTTTCCCAGGACAGTCGAGATCAACGCGAGGGGCGTGGGGAGACAGATGTGGAGATGTGAGGAGATAGCGGTCAAGAACGGCGAGGATGGTTCACAGTGGGCAGGAAGTGATGCTTCTAGCAGATTCCGTAACAACGGAGGAGCCATGGTGTATAAGGATTCCTCTCAGCGAGGAGAGCGTCTAAAGGCGGGGGAAGCTCAGTGGTAAGGTCAATGATGGCGGAGGGCCGATCCGGGGTAGAGATAACGGGAGCGGGCGGTATAAAGGTAGTAACCACGGGTGAAGGATAAATAGTAAAGGAAAGATTAGAAGTTCAGAAGATCAGAAGATCAGAAGGAGGAGTAAAAGTATATGGAAGCAAGGACAGGTCACAGGTCAAAGACATCAGTCATCAGCTGAAAGGAAGATCGATTTCCGAATCGGGGCTTATCGTGACTCATGAGATAAGCTAAATCCTTAGCCTATCACACTTCAACCGATTTGGTCCGGGGAAATCCTTGGTAACGATTGATCTCCAATTCATATCAAGTAACACCCCCTCCACCTGGAAAGATAAAGAGGAAATTTCATCCTGATTATGGTGAGAAAAAAGCAACTATTCACCAATTTAGGGGTCCTGCAGCCCCACGTGACACTATTTCAGCATCACACCCAGTCAAAATGCAGCTGCACCCATCAGGTCGGAGGCAGTGCCAGCCAGAAAGAAGACAAGCAGCGTTATGTCCTCCTGTAAGCGATTCAGAAGAACGCGAGGCAGGGGCCAAGCGCAGGTCGCGTCACGTTCACCGAGCCACAACTTCACACCTGGAAGCTTCTTGAATAGCGAAACACTGTCGTTTGAGTCTGATCGACAATCGACGATGCCACAGAGGCATTGGAAATCTGCGATAAGGATGAAGGCAGCGTGGCAGCATCAATCACAGATCGACGGCGAGGCATGTCTAGACTCGAGCGAACAAGTCGGCATGCGGGGTGGAGAGGTGACATCGGGCATACTAAGGAGGTTATGATCCTTGACATATTGGTACATCGGCCGTATATGGCGCTTGTGCTACACTCGTTAAGATATACCACGTAGTCGATATCGTAGTTCCTGCTTGTCAGACTGAAGCTGCAACGATAACCTGGGCACATACAGGATGGATGATCCCATTTGCAGATTGAACAAGACCAGGATAGACAAGCGATCGACGCTTACTTAAATGGTTCCAATTTTCATCAAGTCAATGGCGCCAGCAAAGGCTCGGAAACGGCCAGACATAGAGATTCAACCTGATTGTTTCTCGGGCATTGAGATTCGGCTCTTCAAGTCTTACTGTACGAGCATCGTCATGACAGGTATTTCTACCATGATTTGTTAGATCTTACCTGCTTCTGTATATCATTTGGCTGTTCCTGGTCAGGGCATCGTGACGCTGATCGACAAGTATAAACCTTGCAACAAGTGCGGGGTTAGCGGGGACAAGGGAGATTCAGTAGCCACAAATGCAAAAAGAGAGAAAGTTACCATTTCTCAGGCTTAACAAAATGTTCTCTCAAATGAGGAAGATATTTACTTAGTAGTTCACTGGATTTACTTACGGCTTCTATTGACATTCGCTATCCAGTACATACTGGAAGCAGCTGTAAATGAGCGGCAATAGACGAAAGGAACAATTAGCCAAGATGAAGAGAAAGAGGAAATGAAAATAACATATGATACCGTGATAAAAGAAAAGAATAACTTATACAAGCACGTCATTAAGTTAGACAAGTTAAACTCTCGATTGCGTAATTCTATGACATTTTTCTGTCAGACTGAAGCACACATGTGCATGCCACGAGTACGCGGCTTGAGAATAATCCGGAAAAAAATCTGAAATGACTGAAAGGGCACGTAAAAATAGTTGTGACTGGTTGCTTTGAGGATCATCAGGGTCAGTCTCCTATGACCACTTCAACTTGGATTTACATGACGGTAGGGTTCACGAGGAAGATCCTCCTAGATGACGCTTGAATGACCGATTAATGTTTCCAAAGTTACAGAACGGTCTAACTCATCAGAAGTTGAAAGCACGAGTCATATTACTGAAGGGCAAATACCTAAATTTTTTAGGAACACACATAAGCATGTCTTCAAGATACAAGACAGAGTCTCAACTGTGTAATTCCATCAATGGTCAAAACCACTAACATTAGCACATCAATGACCCATAAAAGCATCGTCAAGAAAAAAACAACATTTGAAACCAGAAATCATGCAGTAAACTCATCATCATGACTGTCATAATCATAACATCCATGGACACTATGTATCAAACTCACCCCCCGCTTTCTCCCGCTCTCATCTCAATAATCCTCCTCTCCACGATGTCGTGAATGACTCCGGCTCCGACTATGATGGTGATGATGATGGTGCCCATGATGGCCATGTTCATGACCATGTTCATGTTCGTGCCCGCCAGAGCTCTCCTTCCGATGATCCTTAACCTTATGCTCTACAAGATTCGCAACAATAGCCCCACCAATAGCACCCAGGAATCCATGATCCTTCTTATGGCCCAAGTAGTATCCCGCCGCACCACCAGCAAGAGAACTTCCTAGTCCGCGATCGGTTTCCCCTTCGTTCTCTAGCGGGCGACCCTCTTCGTCAAATTGTGGACCAGTAGCCTCTGATACATGCAACGCTGGCGTGGGACCTGGGGATGGGGTGTATCGGGGCTGTTGGTCTGGGTGGCCATCACTAGGAAATGAATGTTGGTTAGTCAGTTTTGATTGTTCGGGTCGTTACTTACTAGTATCCCATGTTTCCGGGGGATTTCCCTCCCTGTGCTGGTGTTGGCACTGGACCTAGGTGGTCTGGTTGTCCTGTTGGCGTATAGCTTCGCTCTTGTGCGGCATTTTGGTATGCGTCTGGAGCGAGATGGTATTGGCTTGGCTGGGCATTATAGTCATAGTTCGGGCGTTGCTGAAGCTGTGTGTTGCTGTAATTGTCGTATGGTAGCTGGTACGGATATGCCTGTTGCTGGACATGCTCCTCTGGTGGGTAATAGCCGACTCCGCCCGGAGTGGGTGTTGAGTATGAAGTGTATGGGTTGTATGGGTCTGCCATAGTGATGGAGCTTGTGTAAATGGATTCTTCTACGGATGACAGTAGATGCTGACTGGGCTTATATACTGAGAACTGCGCTAGTCGGATGACTGTCAGATGGCATACAACACGGTGCGGCTGACCGGCTCGCACGACCCTCGGCTGTGCAGAAAGTCTGGAATGCGCTTACTTCCAATAATAAGAAACGGCAGATTAGACTAATGGCGAGGTTGCTCTTGGCACGGTTACTTGCAAGTTTAAGCGATGGTGGAATGCTACTGTGATCATAGCACATGACCGAAGGACTTGGTATTTCAGTACGTCATCTGTCGAAGATGATCAACCACGAAAAAAAAAACCGCAGACATAGGGACGGACGACTCGGGGTATTCCGGCAAATAAAACAAACAATAAAGGAAACGGCTGGCTATTGATCAAAATCAAAGCTCGCTTTCCCTGACAAACAAAATGAGATCAAAAAAAAGTCCAGAAGTGTCGAGTTGGTGGGCATGAGTGCGACGAATATAAGAAACAGGAAAAGAATGGAAGAGGCCAAAGGTGATGTGCCCAGCACAATATAACCTGCCAGGCCGATATCTTTAGGCGAATCAGTAGGCTAATGCATATATCGACAGAGACGCTGTGAAATATGAAGATATACACTCAACTTAGACTATACACTTGAGCTCTGGACATTTCGTACCGAACTGGACCGTCGATTGCGCTGGGCCATCCACTGCACAAGCATATCGTCAAGTTGATTATTCATCTCTTTCAGCCTCTTGCTTTCTTCTTTGAAGAGGCGGCCAGTGACAGGGTGGTCAACACCGGCTGGGGGAATGTTGGTTTTGTCGTGGACAATAATGAACAGGTCGCGAATATCGTTTTCTTCGTCCAGGTATGATCGTAGACTGGCATCACTCCACGTTGGAGTGTCCACTGAAAGCGTGTCCAGTGAGCCAGGGGTAGCTCCGCTACTTTTGAGGTCGTGAGTGTCGGCTTCAGGTGACGACGGTGGGGAGAGAGGTGAGATAGAACGTGCCCGTACAGCATCCGAGGAGAGTCCCGGCGCAAGGATCGGAATATGTCCTTCCATCGGGGAGACACTGACCGGGGATTCTGGTTCGAGTTCGGGTTCCGGGCGGGCAGTCACCAGTGTTGGCACAAACCGTTGAGGCGGAGATGCCACGGAAGGCTGCGAAGTGGTCTGGCTAGGAGCTTCGTATGTGCCTCTCCACTGGGCTTCGCTAGATGGTCGCTCCACTGGGGATGCAAATGGATCTTGAGACTCCATTGGAGTGACAAAGCTTTCCTTCGAAGGACTTCGTTGGCTGTTGGGGGAAGCTACGGTTCGAGGTTCCTCGAAACTAGTTGTCTCCTGTGATGCCACCCGTCGGATAGACTGACCACCTGATTCCGTCGATGTAGGAGAGATTGTTGCCGATTTCTGCAACTTGTTGCCTGTCTGTCTAGATTTGGATGTCTTCGAATCAAATGACTCCATGGATGTCTTCGATTGACTGAATGTGGACTCGGTCGGTGATGTGATAAACTCTTCAAAGTCATCTTCGGGCGATTTTGTCTTCTTGTCCTTGCGCTTGAACAGTCCACTGAGCATACCAGGCTTCTTCTCTTTGCGTTTCTTATCCTCCTTGGCCTTATCTTGGGGACTAGACACTTTGTCGATAGTCTCGAAGCTTCCGCGTCCTTCTTTCCATTCATTAAGCAGGCTATTGGAGTTGCTGCCGTTGCTATTGGATTCATCACGCAGGAGGTTTGGTGTGAGAGAGATCTTCTTTGGTTCGGCGGTGTCATCCTTGAAGAAAGAATCCGTGTTCCGTACAGTGCCATTTCTGGACCGACTGACGGTAGGTTGTTCTGCATCAAAGAACTCCTCACTTGATCGTCGGGGCTCATAGCTTGTTCGCTCGGAGTCGTCCTTGTCCCTGACCTCTGTCTCTGCTGGCCGCTCTTTTTGCCCCTTTGGCCGAAGAGGTTCCACCGTGATATCCTCACTCTGGTCTTGGCTGTCGCCCTCTTCCGATTCAACCGTTTCTGTTTCGTCGTCATTGAAGAAGTCGCCATGTTCGGAGTCATCATCTGAAGAGAACTCCACGTCCGACGCCTCGATGTATGTTGGCGGGGCGAAGTTTACGGTTTTTGCGTTGCGTCGGCGCATGGCTTTCTTGAGGGGGTTTTTGGACTTTTCGGAATTATCGCCCAGCATTGTGGCAGAGAGCTATGATCACATCAGTTTGGTTTATGTTCGGGCAACATCGGAAAACGAACACATACGTCCACATTCCGGTGTTTGTTTAATCGAGCTAATCGTTCGGTGGGCGTCTCGATGTGTTCGGCGGGCAGGTATCCTTCTTGTCGTCAGCGAAATTGAAATGGATTATGGTGTTCAAAACGTACCAATACTGCCATCCTTGACCACGCGCACAAGCCACCAATAGCTGTTACTGTCATCCAGAAGCACCATAGTGTCACCCTTGGCAGCGTTTGCTTGTCCATCAACAGTTGCGACAAAGTTGTGAAGTGCATAGACGAATTCAAAATCGATATCCTCTGCGTATCATGTTAGCCCAAGCCGTAGTACAGAGAGACCAAGGTTCACGCACCATCATCAATCGAAGGGGAGCTGGAGATTTTGTCCATCAGATCATCATCCATCAAATCGTCACTTTCCCCATCTGCTAGATCCCCATCCTCGTGCTCGTAATCGCGATCCAGGTCTTCGGCGGTTTCATCTTCCCCATAGGCCCCCATACCGTCTCGATATTCATGGCCATTTTCAGGTCCATTCGAAATCTCAGATTTCGTATCTTGTTCGGCATGGCGAATGGAGAGCTCTTGGTGGGGGGCAGGCCGGCCGGCCCCCAACGGAGCTGGTTGTTCGGGTTGCCTGGAGTGATCCTTGGCCGACGGCGCATTGTGGTCCTGAAGGTCCAAGGTATCTAAATGATCTAGCAATTAGTCCTCGACTCTCCTGTTTCCGCGATTCACGATAGCATTCATACCAGCTCGAATAATCTGGGGTCTGGTCATGTTGCAGGTTTCAAGGAACGTGGGATCGGCGGTGAGAATGTCACACAGGGGCGTTTCGGGGATAAGAAGCGCGAATGTTTGGAAGCGGAAACCATGGGCAGGTTGACCTGGAATAACGAAAAAAGAAATGCGAGTCGTGAGATCGAAAGCCCGGACCTTGCGACTGAAGCAATTCCCAATCCCCGAAGTTCTAGGATTTGAGGTCGGTCACCCCTAAAAGAAAGACTGCGCCTTGTTGAACAAAGGTGGAGAGGGGAAAGCGGTGGGCTATGCTGCACTTGGGCAGGTCACGGAGAATTGAAACAGGAAAAAGGAAAACAAAGGTACTGCCAGAGCGACGAAGAAAGGACAGGAACGAGTTCAGGGTCAAATCCCCGGAGACAAAGACGAAACCAATAAGGAGTTATTGCCAAACTAGCGCCCCTTGCGCGCGTCTAATCAGGGACGCAAGCAACATGGCTTGACAAATCAGGTGATTCACCCCTGAAACTATATTCCCTATTTGAGAGGTTAGGGCTTAGGGTATGATTCAGATGACTTGATGATTCCCTGACTACAGCTACGTAACTGTATTATTAAGCTAGGTAATAGTAAACTATAACTACTACCTTACTCTGGAAGACATCTCTATCTCCATGAATCCAGTTCTCCATAGCATTACCTCAATTCAACCGATAATTCTGACATGGAGTGCCTCTCGATCATATCTGATCGTCGACTAGGCCTAATTCGGATATGAGTAATGAAAGTAAAGTGACTGAATAACGTGAAGTAAGGTTCCTCCGTCATTTCCCGACTTTCCCCATTCTCTTCCCTTGGCGTCCAATCCTTCGTCGTACATTCCTCACTGACCTCACCGGGGAACAGGTACACTTTTTTTTTCTTTCTTTTAATTCAAATACGTGATGAAATCCTCCAAATAAATCAACTCTCCTTTTACTGTGTTTCGTCATTTAAACATTCTGACCCCGCTTGAAACTCTTATCGCCCCGCTTTTCTTGACAACCCCCCAAAATTCCGTATCTGGGGAAAGCAGAGGGTTCAAGTGAACCCGACTGCACGCCTACCACAGGCCCGCAATACAAAACGTCTTTCGCAGTGCTCCACAAGACATGGCATACCCGGAGAGGAACGGGCTAGCGGGTTTACGAATTGAGACATCGTTTGGTCAGAGAGGATGGAGTGATGGGAGGAGGAGGAGGTCGACAGCAGATGGCGATGGTATCGAGAGCGACCGCACCAAAACTTCTCATGAATATAGCGCGCACCGACGCGATACTGATGAAGAACGCAGTGTGTTAAGTGATTTGCATTCAGCCACCCCTCCCATTTCGGTCCCTCGCCTCGATGGTCGTCCAGTAGATGATGACGAATTCCCCCACAAGCCAGACGATGTACAGGGTTCACCGTTGGACAACTACATCCAGACACGTCGCCCATCTATCACATTCAATCCCAAGGTGTCATTTGATTCCGGCCGTGAAGAGCCGCTGGGGGAACCGCTCGCCAAGGACGACGTGAGGAATCGGCCCCCGCAGAAATTTGAATCCCGGACCTCTGGACTCCGCAACGCTCTTTCTCAAGATGAGGTTCACCCGCCTCAAATTCCACAGTCATGGAGATGGAACGCGAATAAATCTCCGGATCAGCAGGGTATACCAACGGGAGCCTTCCGGGCCCAACCGGTCTTACGCCCGGAAGATGGGTCAATCACCGGCACTGAACTCGAGCATCCAACCTCGCTCACATCGCTTTCTACAGCATCCCCGGTTCAAGAAGAAGTGTGTACCCCTCCTGGAAGTACCAAAGATGACCTACTATCACCTCTCTACATCACATCGCCCACTCAAACCTACGCATCCCCAGAGGATCGCAGTTCGTGGTCCGGAGGGGTGATGGCGTCCTTCGGAAGTAAGTCGCGCAGTTCGAATCTTGATCGCAGTAGCAGCCTGCGCAACACCCGCCATAGCTCTCGGCGCTCTACCAACTCGAGTGGCAAGTCTCCCGCAAGCATGTTTCTGTCCATGTGGTCCAGTCAAAGCCAGACAGATGAGCCCTCAGCACCAGATGAAGAAGGTCAGCTTGTGGGAACTGACTATGTTCTTGGAAAGCAAATTGGCTTCGGAGGCTTCAGCACGGTCAAAGAAGCATTTAAAGTCGAAGGACAAGGCAACACCAGGCGACTCGCTGTCAAAATTGTTAAAAAGCTGGTGGCGGGCCGTACTGAGAGTGAAAACGAGGATGTTCAGGCAGAATTCGACCACGAAGTGCGAGTCTGGAGGTATCTCAGCAATCCGCATATATTGACACTCGATTCGGTGTACGAGACAGATTATGCCACATTCTGCTTCACCAAACTTGCGATTGGTGGGACTCTGTTTGACTTGGTCCGCCAAAACCGGCAAGGTCTGGACTCAGCGCTCGCCAAGAAGTATGCATACCAACTTGCTTCTGCGATCCGCTATTTGCATCAAGATGCCCGAGTTATACACCGTGACATCAAACTAGAGAACTGTCTCCTTGACCCTGTTACGGCTCCCGACGGTTCCTCTTCTTCAAATCTAGTACTATGTGACTTCGGAATGGCCGAATGGATGGCTACCGACAACGGAGGCGATAGTCCGGATCCCTACGACGAAGTGGCAGATCGTCCCCCGCCCAACAGAATTGGACCAGCCGGTTCAAGTACTAGTGTTGCTGGTAGCCTCGAGTATGCCTCCCCCGAATTGATCCAGTCATCAGCTGGTGTGATCCACCCTTCAGTTGATATCTGGGCCTTTGGCGTTATCGTCTATACGATTCTCGTTGGGTCACGACCTTTCCAAGACTCATTCACACCTCGTATCCAAGCCAATATCCTTAGCGGTAAATGGAACCGAGATGCTGTCCTCGGTGACCTCACCGACAGAGTCTCCCTTCACGACCGCCGAGACGCCCTCGACCTGGTCAAAGGTTGCCTCGAAATGGACGTCAACGAGCGATGGACCATCAATGAAGTTCTCGACTGCGCCTGGCTACGGGAGGTCGCAAATTCCAATGATAGCTCACCAGAAGCTATGTGGGGCCTTTGATGCCTTTCCCTTTCATCTGGACTCATGGCAATCTGCTACTATTTCATTTTGCTGGACAAAATATCCGCAGCTATGATCTTGAAAATGATGTGATGATTATATGGGTTTGTTCGGTTCTTTTTTACCAGCGCTGAATTTCCCTCTGCTTTCTTTTCTTTTGGCTGATACCCATTCCCTTGTTGACGTGCGAAATAGCATGTTATATTCTGGGATCTTTTTCTGATTTCCTTTGGTATGCATTCGGCGGGCTGAGGAAACGAGTCACTACTCAGGATGGAAGCACGGCGTTTTATAGGGCATGTACTATTCAATTGCCACATTGCTCTTGACTGTACTTTATATCTCAGCATTTCAAGCTTATTCTTAAAAATTATCTCTCTCCAAATGTTTCCTCGTCTCTATTTTCATCATGGGTGATTAGGCAGGCGAGGTCTGTTCCAATTTAAGTCATACTAATAATCTAACTTAAACATCTTCCAGCTTAGGATCAATTCAACAGCACACCCAACTCCAAATATTATGTGCTGCACATAGCACTGAACTGACTTTCCAGACGTCACTAATTGAAGCTTAAGCTTCAATAAATTCGAACAGCCGCTTTTCTTCATATTCTCGATCTCTAGTATTCGAGTCAACAGTGGTCAGCTCAAGCTTACAAGCCTAAAGTTGAATCTTACAAAAGTTATAAATACACATAACCAGCATAATCGCTTCCTCGGCCTTACAGTTTTGAGAGCACTTGAGTATATGATGAATCATCCAGCTGTGCCACAAAGATTGCAAGTAACATTAGGCAGACTTCGGGATCAAGCAAAACATCCATGTATACTCTGAAACCAATCAGCCATAGAACAATATGCATATCAGGTAATCTAGAGTGATGAAAAAAACAGAGACTATCAGAATAAGACAAAGAGAACTTTATAGAATAGGAAATGATTCATTCAGTACATTTCGAGAAGGGAGTGTACTATTCTTACACAAAAGTAAGAGAAACTGCTTGCCGGCGGACCATTAACCTGCACACATATATCGAAACAAAGAATCGCAATCGCTTACCACCTCGACACTTATGAAAGAGTCGACCCCGAGTCATAAATGAAACCACGCCCAACAAATCCAATTTGATTCGAAAAAATAATCGAAACTGCAGTAAAGCATCCGTACTATCTAAGCTCCTATACTAAGCTATTGAAATGGGTTCAGAATAAAGACATGTGGAGTACGCGGCTCGGATACACTGCCTAATATAGTCTAGCGTTACTCCGTCGTCACGCTAAATACGGTTTCTATTGGACATACAGCCGCGGTGGTGTAGTGGTTTAGCATACTCAATGCCTATATTCCGTACATAACAGGAGTTCGAACCGGGCAAAACACGAAAACACAAAAAAAATATCCTTAAGTCCTGGTTCGTGCGGAGCAACATTGAGAGACGGAGGTTCAAATCCTTCCTGCGGTATTCTTTTTTGCTTTGTCTTATATATGTATTATCGATGTACTGAGTATATTTCTGATGATAACTATTTCTTGCGGTCCTGTTTACTTTATGGTCATACTCTCTATATTATACCTAAATAGTCCTATTTAGTTCAGGAAATGCCCGCTTTCCTTTATGTTATGGAATAGTGATGTATCTGTGAAATCCAGCTTACACTAGACAGTACCCTTAAGTGCATAAGTTAACTGGGTATAATAGGTAGACAGTACCATCTACGAACTATCTGAATTGGCGATATTCAATATACTGTATTTGGTAATTTAGCCAAATGTATATAGCTTCAAACACCCCCTTAAGTGATATAAAGAACATTTGGTTTGTAAAGTACACAGGACTGGTGAATTTAAGTCAAGAAAAGTCTCAGTTTTATAGTATGATCGAGCATATCAAAAGTGGCTATATTTATACATGTACAGATGCTCAATAAAAGACAAACCCATAATCCAACATCATTCAACCCTAGTTTACCAAAGTCTGTTCTCAGGCAGAACCTTCTCCTTCTTAGTACCAGCCGCCGACTTACGCTCCTCAGGCGAACGGAAGAACAAACTAGGGCCCTCAGAAGGCTTGAGCAAGTGACTCAAGTACCCCCGATGCGCCGGATCACGATAATACTCAATATCCCGACGTCCCGTAGGATCAGGCAATCTGTACTTCAACCCCTTGGCCTCCATAACACTCTTCTCCTCAACGCCAGCCTTAACATTAAGGTTGAGTTTCGCAAACTCCGCCTCGAGCAACTCCTTCGAGCCACTCTCAGCACTCCACGCCATACTGATGAAGGGGTGTGTCTCGTTCGCCATAATGCGTCTGATCGCGCTGCGGGTGTAGAAGCGTGTTGCAACAGATCCACCGGCCGCCTCGACGGCGGAGATAGCTGACGCGCTAATGCGCGAGACGACGAGGTGGATGGGCTGTTTGAGGGATGAGGCTCCGTCGCCGAGAACCTTGACTCCATCTTTGTGCCTGTGGATGCAGCGGGATTGCGTAAGTTCGCGGACGGTGATGGGGCGGGTTGGGTCGATGCGGCCTTGATCGATCCACTCTTGGATGCGGGAGAGGTTCACAGGGGCCATTTCGAGGGCGAAGCTGGGATTTCTCATTAGCATCGGAATAATATGTGAAAAGAGGGTTTGCATTGCATTGCGTTGCGTTCCCTGTTCACGGGAGAGGAAATTCTTACATGTTGGTTTCACCCCGTGTACCACTGACGACAATATCGGCGGTTTGGCCACCATTGAAGCCGGCTGGGACCTTTCCGTGTGCCTTCTGACCCTTGTGACCACGTCCGGAGGTCTTACCCTTGCCGGAGGCGGGACCACGACCACGACGGATGCGCTTGTTGTAGGCGGAGGGATTGTCGGAGAGCGAGGAGAGGATGGAGGCATTGCGTGTCTGCTGGAATTGAGGCGCCAGGAATACCAGTGGTGAGGACTGCAAGGGCCGGGCGATGAATTGTTGAAGCTGCATTGGCAGCCCCATTAGTCGTGGGGACATGATTGCGGTTTGGTAGGTCAATGGCGGTTGGTTGTTGCGGATGGTGATGGAGAGATATTTGATCGGGCGGAATAATTATCGGGCCGAGATTTCCCGTACGGACTATAATTTGCTGGGAGTAAAAGCGACTCAGGATATCACACAGAATAGATTTCAAACTTTCTCTACATTTCTCAAATTTTTGTCGGATCAGGTTCTAGAAATTGAGATTCTGGTGGAATCGAAACATTGATGCTTACTTTTCTATCTTAAAAATCATTTACGGGAAGTTGGATGGATAGTAGAAATCTAGTTTCTCATGCTGCAAGACTCTTGCTTGCTAAATAAACGCCATATCATGCAAATGCCACTGCAGCGATGGTCATGTTGGAAGTCCAACAGACAGAAGCAAACAAATAAAACGCCTTACAGCTATTCCCAGTAGCTTGGTGGGGAGACATAAATAACCCTTCTAGGTTGCAACGCCAAGAGATGCTAATAAACAGTGATAATCCTGTACAAGATGAAGGTGACAATGAGACATATCAGGAAAGATGAAGGTGTACAGTGAATGGTAAAGGGTTTTTCGGGTCGTGAGGAGAGTCGTAAACGCAGTCACATCGTCAAATGATCAGGAAATTCAGCCAGAGAAGGTCTGGGAGGGAGTGTAGAAAGGCTGGAGCACATGGCCTTGGTACCAAGGGTCGGCGGATGGGATGAAGGGGAGTAGACCGGTCTTGCGATCGGTGGAGCCTTTGCTCAATGGCTGGTAGTGCATGTGGTCGAAGGGAACACTGCGCTGCTGCTGCATCGAAGTTGATGGAGGTGGGATCAGCAACGTGTGGACCGATCGAACAGGGCGGTAGGGAGAGTTGCGGTTGGCAAGGAAGAATGATGGAGAGAGGTGGGTTTGCGGGGTGTGAACGGAGTAGGCTGAAATGGCCGGGGATACGGTCGAAGATGTTACGCCAAATGGACTGCTCTGGTGATGACGAGCCAGGTCGGGGAGGGTGGGTGCATTGTACACGCCCGACGCCACTGGCGGCAGTTGAGCAGAAGGCATCTGGTGAGATGGCATCCAGTTCGCGGACCGGTTGTAGGCTGGGGGCAGACGACCTGGCATGGGGAGCTGTGAAACTGGAGTCGACGGAAGTTGCTGGGGCATCGGGTTTGATGTTGGAGTCAGGTTGAGGTTGGGAGGCGGGAGACGGGAGACACCCTGCGCAACAGGAGCGGAATTGGGCGTAAGAACGGGGGGTAGAGTGTTCATCGCATTTGCAGGAATGCTCAGCGGTGCGGGATGTGGGACAGGGTTGGTCGCCGGGCGTACAATTCGTTTCATAGGCTGCAGTTCATTGTCATCGTCACGGCTGCGTTTGCGAGATCCCCCAAGAGCAACCTCTCCAAGTTGTGGAGCAGGGTAGGGTAATCCATGAACGGGCATGTGCCAGTTGGGCTGGGAATGCGGGCGGAAGTCAGATGGGGGCGATGGCAACTTGGACAAAGGTGATTGGGGCAATCGTGGCGGCGAGATGCGCAGAGCTGGAGTCTCTGACTCAACAGGGTGCAAGGACGCCGCGTTGAAGTAATCGGCGAAGAGACCGAGCTTGGTGTGCCAGCGAGCCCATTCTGCCTCGGAGGCAAAGAGGTCGTAGCGAATGTTGCTCAGAAACTCGACCTCCATGACGTGAATCTCTTGAACAGCGATGCCCGAAACCTCGGCCCACGTCTTATTGGTGTAAGTGTTATCGTCCAGGACTGATGATGAGTCAGCAAAAAGACCAATCAAAGAAACGTATTTAAAGGCGGTGAATTGATAAGAGTCCACTCACATTTATTGCCGAGCATCAAAGCGACTGTCATGAGCCGGAATTCACTGCCCTTCTTGCCCTTCACACCAGCATTGAACTTCTTCAATCGATAGATAAACAGCAGAGCAAGCAAAATCACGTTTTGGCTAACCTGCGTGGTTGACAGAATCGTGGCAACCCACTTCTGGAAACCCACAGTAGGCATAGCTTCGGCAACGAGGGAAGGCACGGAGTGGCATCGATCTTCGATGGATTGGAGTTTCGGTGATTTTTCGAACCAGAATAGACAAGTCATCTGCGAAACCTTGGATTAGCATACTGTATAAAATCAACCCCACATGCGATATCTCTTACCTGAGCGGCAAACTCGGCCAAGCTAGTTTTGCTATTGTTAATCGACGACGGAATCCGAAGATTGGAGCCACTGGCAGTTCCATTGGATGATTTGCTTTGAGCCAATTCCGGAGTATGTTTAACTGGAGCCGGGTGGGCGGGCTTCATGGAAGCTGCCATAGAAGAAGAGATGGCATCGAACGGCCGCATATAGTTGTAATGGTTAGAGGGCATTCCGTGCACGATCCCTCCATGGCCCACCGGGGGGATTGCGTTGTAGGTGACGCCAGTCATGTCGCCGGGAGGGGTGGGTAGACCGTCCCGGAGGGGAGCAGTCCAAGAACCAGTAAAGACCGGTTTAGCAGGATACAGGCCGTGGGAAGTCAGATCGATAGTTGGAGTGATGGGGCCCAAGATCGAAGATTGAGAGGGCAGCGTTGACGAAGACATAGGGATGGACGAGGTATAAAGTATGGCCGTGCAAGAGGTCGACACATGTGGGATGGTCGGGGGTGGGCTTTGATGTGAAAAGCGAACCGGGCAAGGTGTTCAGTGAGCCATCCTCTTAGCGAATATCGATGGGTTCGAAACGAGGTAAAGGGAATGTCAAATGAGTAACTAATATCTGATAGCCCCTGCCGTGGAGTGCGAAAGAGTCCAATTGGAAAATCGGGGACCAGGATGAATGGAAAAAGAAGAAAAAGCCAGAAGGAAGAGGCTGATCGAGAAGATAATCAAATAGAGAATGAAAGAAGTAAGGATAGTTCTCTCAACGGAAGAATGATGTATATGGGAACAGCCAAGCCAGTCCCATATAAGGATATCAACGAACTAAACCAAGTTTGAAGTTAAGGGAACCACCCAAAGAGAAGGAACCAGTAAGAGTAATTAAAAATAATGATAATCAAAATTAACGAAAACGCAAGAGAATCTTATAGTTAACTAGGTAACTAGGTAAACTTCCAAAGGAACGTTCACGGGCCGGGAAATAAATAAAAAATAATTAAAATGAAATGAAAAGCGACTATGAAGTAAAGGCATCATCTCCATTTTTTTTACACGGGCAGAAATTCAAAGTCCAGTAAAAAGGGAGAACCAGGGTAAGTTGACCCATCCGGAGAAAGCAGTCATTACGGGACAGAGTTTGACCCGAACGCAGGTCCAGGTTGATCCTCTCCCGGTTTGGGCTCGGTTTGGTCATCTTTTAAGAGGTCTAGAAAATTGAAAATTACATACCTAATCCTCTTTGTAGCTTTACTCTCACAGTTATCCCTATCATCTTTTCACTTTCACTATTTTCTCTGGTTCTAGACCAGGTTTTTCTTTAATTTCTTTTTTTCCCTTTTTTTCTTTTGCCATGATTATATAATTTAAATATAAAATGCAGAATATCGGTTGATGTCAGAGCCCGAGTCACAGGTGGATGCAAGCCTAGAAAGGGTAGGTCGCAGAGTAATGTTAACAGAGGCCTCCCATAGGGCGGAGCAGGGCGGAGGCCCTTGGGCGTAGCGGCAAAGTTGGAAGTGGGAAGGGGGAAAGGACAAATATGGGTCAGTCCAAGAAAAAAAAAAAAAAGGAAAAAAACCACATTTTATGAATTTTTATGGTTATTTGGAACACAGAAAACCATCGGACAGATCCAAGACCTGGAAAGGAAAGGAAGGTCTTGTAGGACCCATATCAGATCCAATAATCAGGCGAGGTTTAGCGTAGTTGCAACCGTCGGCCCAATGCCTGGGCTCTATTCATCTGTGGGTAAAATTACTAGGTATGATTGCTACAGCTTGAACAGTGGTGGGCAAGCATGTACGCCTCCGGGGCCATCTTCCTGCACAGGGTTAAAGGGGGGTCAGTTAGCAGAAGCAGTAGAGAGGCCCAGGGTTTGAAGCACGGTGGCTGATCACTAGTCGGGAGTCGTCACCACGCGGAAAGCAAAGGAATGGGAAACAAAAGGAAAATAAATTTTTATTTTACCCACCAAAAGTAAAGGCTGAGAGGCTGGAGACGATCAGTTGCCGGGTTGAGGATGATTAGAAACCCGACGTTACGGTAATAATGAAGGGTTCTTCCCAGTCCAGGGATGAAAGGGGTGTAGGGGGCTGGTTTTTGAACAGTTTCCGGTCTGGATCGGCTGTAAGAATGGTATGTACGGAGTAAGGATTATAACATTCATGCTGAGGTAATGAGAAACTTCCTAATTTGGCTACGGACGGACACGAGGAAACTTACCTAACACTGGAACACGACTCTCTCTCTCTCTCTCACTCTCTCTCTCTCTTTTATGGAGTCAAGAAATATAATTAACAAAAAGTCAAAGAAAGTGGACTTTCTGCAAAATTAACCAATCACCTAGATACAGGACAACAGTGACTGGCTCGGATCCTGTCCTTGGTGGAATTCCAGGATGCGAGGATCCACACACAAGTCTCACTATAATCCGAACCACCCGCCTTGTGGGTGGCTGAATTCCCGTGCGAGGGGAGGTACGACGGCCGAATCATGATCCCATGGGAAACTTGGCCCTTGGCCCTCAACTGAATGCCGCAATCATGACACCGTTACCCTACAGGTGACTAATCGCGTACCCCCCGAGGCTATTAGCCGCTCTATCTGTTCATTGATTGGTTCATGTCTTTCTCTTCGCTGTCTTTGGTTTTTTATTTTCTGCTTTTTCTCTTTTCCCACCTTTTCGCCTCCTAACTATTTTCCGGTTCTGTTTCCCCCGACGCCGCCTTTTGATCGTCACTCACGGACGATCTGGTATGAGATGAAGGTCTAACTGGGGCTCTCGGTCCCCGTGTTCACTCAACTAACTCAATCTTCCGCCTTGGTAGAGACTAGTCAGGTAATAATTATTAGATTTTTTTTCAATTTTTTCATCTTTCCCCCTAAATTTTTATATGGTTTTTTCAGGGGAAATTTTGATTCTTTGGAGAGACGCGGACTCTCATTCGTCCGATGCAAGTTTGAAGTGTTCCCCCAAGCGCGTAAAACCGGAAACGAACCTTTGTCCGCATATTGGCCCCTAAGAAATGGGGGGTCGTTTGACTCGAAACCCTGTTCGACCCTATGCTGTACATGCATTTATTTGATTCCGGTGAAAGGAATCTTCCCCGATCAGGTAATGTATGTGTACTTTGATGCGCCTTAGTGACAGCCCATCCCAGTACCATGTCACTAACCCCTTTGGTTCGACTTTCATCTATAATTTAGTAAGAAATCTCGGTTACCACGCCACTGGGTCAACTGGCTTCAGGTGAAACCGACCTTGGTGTGGAAATTGGAAATTGGAAATTACAAGCTGAAGCAAGATGAATTCCCCCGACTTTGGTTCAATCTCCATGTCTCCACTTTTTCATCCATTTCTTTCCTTCTTTTCGTTGTTTCTAAGCCACCGCCACGGATGTGGATTCGCTTTCCCTTTCTTTTCGGTGTTTCCAGAACCCCAGATGGAGAGTAAAAGTGGAGTTGAAATCAGCACGCACACAGGACATGTCATGGTTGCTTCTAGCCGATCTCTGATGATCTTGTCCAACACGAAGATCCCTTAATCTATCGGAAGACTCGTCACAGTCATACCCCAACCGGTTGCATGATCCATTTTTCTGTTCTCTCTTTTGACTGGATCTACAGACTAGATCAAGGTTACCATAATGAAAAATCAAAATCAAAATCAAAAATCAAAATTAAATCCCCGTAAATCCACCGGTCGTTATCATATCTTCCGTTGTTAGCGGCTCAACGTGGACCGTTCGCACGGTGGACATGGGCAACATCACCAAATCTTCCAATAATGGATCCTACACGTCGCCACTGGCCAGTGGCCACTGGTCACTGGCTACTGGCTGACTACTGGCCCCGGTTGCGGTTAATGCGGAGCGAATATTCTTCCAAAATGAAGTATATTGTGCTCCACATAGAGCAATCGAATCGATTTACCTGGTCAGATTGGCCGTGTCCAGTACCACCTGCAGACTACAGTCACAAGGACGCATCATGGATCAAGATATGAGGTCCGCTCTCGCTTCAGTTTGTATACGATGATCAATCCCGTCACAGCCGGATTCTACACTTGACTATTGGTGCATGCAGGCTGACCGCGACAACTATGGTGATACTCGGGCCATCACTGTCGGGACTTGGCCTGCACGGGAGAGGTCTCGCCCATCGTGGAAGTCATCCGATGAAAGTCACTTTCGTCTAGTTATTCTGTCCCGGTACCTGAACAATACTCAGGACTTTCCAAGAATTTACGTGTTCTTGATTGGTGGTGAGAGAGTTCAAAATCTGGTACACACAACGCCCCCTTTTAAAAACTAAAATCCCAACAGTACACCGAAGCACGGAGTTTGCTTTTGGTTTTTGTGGTTTTTGTGGTTTTTGATTTCCTTCTTGATCGGCATCAGTACTCCGTACTTTCTAGTACTTTCTCCTGAATCGGATAACTCCGTTCGAAACTATTGCTTTTTATTTTTTTATCATTACACGGGCGGGGCTTGACTGCATCACTCTCCACCCAGAGAGTAAAAACCTATCTCATGCGGATAGATTCCAGCCGCGATCACTCTCAACCTTGCCGCTCTCTTTCCTCACAAGGCTCCTTGCATCTTCCCTCGTCCTTGCGGCTGGGGTTTGAATACTCCGACCAAAACAATTGACTTCAGTTTTGATCTTTTCTTTTCGGTCCAGCACACGGATTGACACTAATGTAATCCCTGGGGCGGATTGATGCGCCCGAGCTTCCATCCGGGCATACTCCGTAGGGATCAAGTGGGGATGATTTGATTTGCGCGCTGAGCCATGTCCTAGCGCCAACCACTCCCACATCTTCGCTAAGCTCTGAATCAACCGAGAAATAAATTGGCAGCAGGGGTCAACTGACATGGAACAGGACGATCAAATGCAATAATCTTGATCCAGTTTGTTAGTTATTTTTGGTTCAAGGTTTACTTATGTTTTATGTATGTTCAGGGTCTATGAGAGTATCTGTGCTTCGACCCCCAGTTTTCAATGCTGTCACTGTACGCTCCCTGATCAAGTCATATCATGCAGTAAGGCATACTGGGATCTAGACTTTCCCCCGGTGCATGGGCCATGAGAGTACCAATTTCGCCTCATTGGACGGAGTATCTGAAAGTCTTTGATCCATGAAAGCGCCCCAAGCACCCACACGTCCGACGTAGTCATAGCTCGATTAATAATAAACATTTGAACCTTTCAAGTTTTCATGTCAGGGTTTACTTTCACTTTGAGTTTTCGATAGCCCCATAATAAGATGAAAAGTCCTTCTTTGTCCATCCCCGCCCGGGTGAAATCGAGTGAATATGTTACCGTATAGGTATAATGTGGGGGAAACGGTCATTACGTAGCCATGTCTCAGGAGTCAACTAAGATTAGACCGACTTCACGAGACCTCGGGTCTAGAGCCCCCCTTCAGAATATTTGCAATGTGGCGGCGTACACTCGGGGACGATCACACCAGTTCCGCTGTAGAATCCCGGCATCCGAACAGAATCCAGGAATAGAAAAAATCAGAATAAATTCTTTTCTATATCAATTCTTCTGCCTGTGACCAAGAATCAAGGTGGTGGAGTCGCTAACGCGTACGGAGTTACGGGTTTGGCCTTCATAGCAGCTATGTACACAATCTTCAGGATCACATTCCCGTTCTTTGCCGTCCACATCCGGTATCGCCGTTCTTTTTTTTCCCTTTTCTTTGCCTGCATGGATTCATTCATCTTTTACCGATGCCGATAGGTTCCGTATGCCAAAGAACCCTGCTGGCTTCTGGTATCTGGTTTCTTGGATTTGGATTTCTGATTTCTGATCTCTGATCCCGTACTTTTAGGTACAGTCCCGAAACGGACAGTTGGCCACATTTACAATTGATCGCCGGGGGACATGTTCAAAGACCATAAAGTCAGAAGTCAGATTTACAGGATTCTGATTTGTTGGGCATCTATCTGCGGAGTAAAAATCCACTTCTCTCACTGGAAGAAACCGGAGTATCCCCAAAGCATGAGAGCCATCTTGCTAACGTAAGGGAAAGTATCATCTGGACAGCTAACCCCCCCCCCCCCAAAATTCAATAGATCCTTTGGTTCGCCTTGGAGTCATGACTGCGAACGTGGTGGCGGCCGTAAGACCAGGACCGCGGATGATTCTGGAAAGCCTATGTCACCAGTCCCGATCTGCGAGATCGCTGTTACCCCCGATTTGCTTTGAATTCAGATATTCTTCTCTTTCCACGGAAAGGAACCCGAAAATGGCTTGGATTCAATTGTCTGAAATAGAAAATTAAAATCAAAATCAAAGTCGCGTCAAAACACAAATTCCGATTTGAGTTTCAGCATACACTTTGTTCTCTCGAGATCGTCGCCATCATCGATACCTCGATATGTCGTTGCCATCACATACCTCCATGTCTGTTCGGTGATGGATGCGGCACTTTGGCCCTTTCGCCCCCTCGAGGTCTGACTCTGAATGAGGGGGTGGCTGCAACGCCTCTTCAGGGTATCTGAATCCAGACTGGTATTCAACGTTCCATGGCGCCGCAGGCATACAGTACAGCTCGAGGACTTGCTTTGATCACCTCGGCAAGCGCGCTCTCAGGATCTAGATGCATGTATACGATCAGCCTATGCTCGTTGCAAATTGACCCTGGTTCTTTTCGCTTGTCTAAGTAAATCGTATATGTCATATTCGACATTGCCCACCAGCCTGCATCCGGAGCATAAACTCTTTCGAGGCAGTGCCTTACTGCTCTATTTGCAAGGCCCGTCTAAGGTATTTTCTCCTATCTGCCTTGTTGAATTGGGACACCCGGGGTACTTGAGTGGGCGTCCATTATGCAGCTATTGCGGCTGAGATATCACAAGGCCATCGCAAACATGAATGGATTCTTCAGATGCAGAACGTAATCCAGACGCTGCTTACCTCTAACAAACATCCACCTGTCGTAATACCAACCTACATTGTACCTGTTGGTCCTTCGTAGGATTTCAATCCTTCAATGAGCCGTGTTATCATGAAATCTGGTTGCTGAGTTCATGGCAATATCACTGCACGCTTGCTTCCCCAAGATTTGAACATATCTGTTAACAAGACAAAACCAAAATGGCAGACGACTAATCCCGCCACGCCTCCAATCAATATTCCTCCGCAATGACCCAAGTACTAGATATAGCCCAGTTACCCATACATTTTATAGAACACCACCAGCCCATATATTCCAAACTCAAGAACCAAAGTCTAGAATCTGCATGAAATCTTTTTTTAAAAAAAACATTTCGTCCAGCCCAGGTAACACAAACAAACAAAACGACACACCCGCATAAGCAATCCAAAAGCCAATCAACATTTCATCCTCACCCTCACTCGACACTTGGGCTAGCCGCTCGTTCAACACGGAATCGCCGAAAGCCCGGGGAATAATCCCACTGCTTCCTGCCTGCACGAAGCCCAGTTGCCTGGAACAGGATCTGGAACAGGATCTAGAACAGGTCCTAGTGCATAGAATCTGGAGTCAGGCCAGGTCAGCCCGGGATATCGGTATGGCCCCAGTCCCAGCCCCAGTCCCAGTTCTAGTTCTACTTCCAGTCTTAGCCTTGCATGTTAGTGGATATAATGAAAGTTGCATTTGAAGTCGGACTGGTGTGCGTGTTGCATGTCGGAGGATTATACATATGATACTAGACTTTCCATCGCGCAAAATGAATAATCTACTAATGTATTTATATCCTATACTATACTTTTTACTTACTTTGTCTTCTACATTTTCTACTATTCAGTCTCCCACCCAGTCTCTAACTCACTATCCTACCATATTTCCTACCGTATTAGTTGAATAGTCGAACGCCTCTTTCAAAGGGCCATTCAAAATGATAAGCGGCGAACTGGAAAGCATAGAGAGGATAAGGAGAAGGATAAAAGATAAAGAAAAGTCAGGGGCTGGGGGCTTCGATCATAGATGTCATTCTTCTTCGCGTGGGGATAGCAGATAATAGGAGAGATATTGTACTAGATTTGTTATAAGCGACTTTGGACACCGAATCCACATATTAAAAGAAAGACTGGGGCATCAAAATATTTTAATATCTGAACGTTTTATGAACCCTAAAGAACCTTCAAGTTGGAACCCTCGAACCTATAAAGAGGCCAGGAGTACATAAAACCGATTGATAATCTAATGACACATTCTAGACGATTCAGACCCGTTCTATATATTCCCATAGCGTACAAGTCAAGAACAAAACTAGACAAGAAAAGACCGAGAATTAATGCTTTTCCCTCTCCATCCCCAGTATGAGAGGTTGTTGAATGGACAGAGTCCAAAGTATACACGAGTGTCAGGGATGAACGAGGAATCAGACTATCGGCGCCAAAATCGGGACATGAAAAACGAAAACGAGCAGTGGATATGTCTATCACAGGATGGAGGAAAACCTAGAAAAAAAAGGCAACAGGGCATAGAGGTGGCGTGGCGTTTCAAGAGATTATCAACGAGGGTGGAGTGTTCCGGCGTTGAGAAGAAAGACGTAAGGAAATGGAAAGCACTTCTGTATTTTACAGAGAGCTTTTTTGCATGGCTTTAGCAATGCATTTACTCCCGGGAGACGTCACGGCCGAAGACGCGGGCCTTGACCCAATCCATGGCGACGAGGACACGGTTGCGGGCTGTTGAGTGCTATTAGTAACGTTTCAGAAATAAAAGTGAAGGATACTCACAGCTGAAGCACATGCTCAGGTAGGCACTGCGCCAGAAAAGGTAGGTCAGGGTACCACCGCTAGCAATGTTGCCGCTCAGCCAGCTGATATCGGCGACGGCACGCTCCTTGCCAATGTAAGCCAAGCTACCCTGGTGGGAGTATTGGAAGGGTCCAATCTGCTTAGTGCGGCGTAGCTGCTTCTGGCGCTCACGGATCTCATCAAAGATCTGGTTGCGCTCCTCGTCGGTCTTGACCAGAGACTGCTGGTTGGAGAGCCTGGTAAGCTCCTTCTCAATCTCATCGGTCTTGGCCATGGTGTTGAAGAGACGAGCCAGGAAAGCACCCTCCTGACCAGCGACCTGGGCAGTAGGGGCATAGTTGGTAATGGCACAGTCACCGACAGCCCAAACGTTCTCGGCACCGTTGACAACCAGGTACTCGTTCACGGCAAGACCGCGGCGGGAGTCCTTTTGAGCGGGGATCTGACCCATAAGGTCACGAATAACAGGGCGAACAGCATTACCGGTGGCCCAGACGAGAAGGCCGTAGGGGATGGTTTCCAGGGACTTGGTTCCGTCGGGGTTGGTCACCTCGGCCTCAATGGTCTTGTCGGTCACGTTCTTAACCATAGTCTTGGTACGGATGGTGATCAACTCCTCCTTGAAGGTCGATTCAGTGTAGTCAATGAGTTGCTTGGAGAACATGGGCAGAACGTTAGGCAGAGCCTCAACAAGAGTCACATGGAAGTTGTCCTGGATCTCAGGAATCCACTTCTTCAGGTCATCGTTGAAGAAATCCTGCAGCTCACCGGCGAATTCGACACCAGTGGGGCCACCACCAACGACAACCATGTGCAGCAGGCGCTTCACCTCGTCGTCGCTCTGGTCCTTGAACATAGCGGTCTCGACACAGTCCATAATGCGCTTACGGATTTTCTGGGCGTCGTTAACCTCCTTTAGGAAGCAAGAGTGGTCCTTAACACCGGGAATACCTATGTCCGTTAGCTGCTTCATTCAGCCACAAGATGTGCACCAGAAAACCTACCAAAGGTCGCGTTCTCGGCACCAACACCGATCACGAGCATGTCAAAGGGAACCTCAGTCTGGGAAATATCACCCTTGATCTCAGAGTCATCGCTAATATACACAACACGCTTCTCGTAGTCGATCTTGGTGGCCTCAGCTTCGTAGAACTTGACGCTGGCCTTCTTCTGGCGGAGGACGTTGCGGATGGGCTCCATGATCGAGCGGTGCTCGATCAAACCGGTAGTGCATGACGGGAGGAGGGGAGTGAACAGGAAGTAATTACGGGGAGAGATAACAACCACATTGTAGTTCTCAGTGTCGAGCTTCTTCAGCAGGGAGACAGAACCCCAGCCGGTACCTACAAAGCGGGGCCATTAGCAAGCTTGCTTTAAAAAACAATCAATAGCGATCGCATCATACCAAGGATAACGAGAGTCTTCTTCGTTGGGTCGGGTTCGGTCTGCTCCACAGGGTGGCGCAGCTCATAGATGCTGTAGGCCAGCGCACCGGTCAAACCGAGACCGCTGAGCCAGGTCAACCGCCAGGCCCAGCGGAGAGCACGGAATCGCTTCTTGGGCTTAGGAGCAGGGGAGGGAGTAGGGGCAGCATCGGCGTAACCACGACGAGCGACGCGTGAAACAGATAGACTGGAGCGAAGGGGCTTCGCGCGCAGAGCCTGCGATGTCGAGATAGATCGGCGCGACACCGAGGACAGCATGGACGGAGACGCCATAGAGCGCATTGCTAGCGTAGTGCTAGCCATTGTGTGGTGGGAAGCACCAGGAAGCTTTGGGGGAAGCAGGTAAGGAAGAAAAACGGACCCTAGAATCAAAAATTTGATAAGGGACGTGTCGATGCTGTTTTAGGCGAATCGGTGTAATCCACACGGGCTTTTTTTTCACATGTCTCGAGTACATGGCCTTATGCGGGGCTTTCTATGGTCTCGCTAAGTACTCGGTACTTGTCACACTCAATTGCATCATTTTTCTGATTAGCGTTTTTTCCCTTTCGTGTTTCTTTTATTCTCGTATGAAATGACTTTTCTATCCATGTTTTCTATTCAATTAATTGAATGAATCTATACGAGGTCCATCACATATTATTTTTAACGCCGATTATCCACAGTTAGGAGCTCAATCCCGAAGACCCATTTTTTTTTTCTTCCTGCGGCAAAAAGGGGAAATTGGAAACAAGAAAAAAAGGAAAAAGAAAGAAAAGAAAATTGGAGTAAAATGTGAGGGGGAAACTTGCTCGGTGAGGAGAAGTCGCCCTACACCGAAATGGAAGTTCTACCGATTTTATCCGTTACTCCTAAATGCATATCAAATGAGTCATGAACAGATTTTCTACATTTATCCGTATAATCTTTCCAGATACGAAGTACTCTTTTTTACGTCCTATGAGATTTCCTATTCCGAGATGACCCGTGGCGTGCGGGGGACCAAGCTTCCATTTTTGTGGCTTAAATTTCGCTTTCGAGGTCTGCCCTAATGGCAGAAATCTGGGGATCAGTCCGAGATTTTCCTGTTGCTCCCGAGCATGACTTTCCTAGCTTGAGCTTGTCGGGGAGAGTCGGCGCGGTCATGAAGGAGCTCACCCCTCATTCTAGAAGCGGGGGCGCCATTTATAAATTACAACTTTGTATTTTCCGAAAGCCAAGAGCCCTGAAGATGCGGTCATTTGTAATTATCCATTGTTGCCTATGTAGATCATCTCAGATACATAGGGCAATGTCATAGACAGGAAATACTTTCTGTATGATCTGGAAAGGGACGATTGAACGAGATCAGAGTGGATAATATATCGAGGTGCATGAAACCGTCAAGACTTGCTAATAACATAAGCAATCTACTAACTAATTTCATTGCGATTCTTACTAGTTAAAATTTCGAAGGGCTCTCCACAATGATAATGGTGTACTGAAGTAATAGAAAGGTTGAATTTGTCTTTATGTGCGTAAAACAGAAATGCCCGCACAAGTCTCAAGACGCCCGCTGAATCTGGAAATGAGAGACATTTGACAGGGAAATGTAAATGCAAATGCAATGCATGAAATAAGGAACCGCGAGCCTTGGAACAAACAAGCCAAGAATAAAGGAATAACGCCCACGCCAACACCTTGCTCTAAGCTCCCAAACAAAAGAAGAATCAGTCGTATGTTCGTTCCCTAGGTAGGATCGATACTCTTACCGGTCTCGTTTGATGCGATAGCTTTAGGCACCCACCACAACGTCCTAAGCTTTCTCTTTGTCCTGGTATCATAGGCGGGGAATCTACGTCGTATATTCTCCCTTTCTTATGCTTTCCTCATCATAATACAGCAGTATGAGTATCTAATTGTCAGCCCGAACCAAGAAGTCTCTTACCGGGTCAAGGAATTTTGAGTCTTAACCCGCCAGCTCTGATTGGAAGAGTATGACAAGAAGTACCGAGATGTACACTGCGTCTGAGGGGGCTTGGTGCTAAAGTAGTTGATGCTGCATTATTCGGACGGTGTTCTGATTGGGATCGATGTTGTCTAGGCCAGTATTATAGAATGTGGATAAGAGGTGCAAGGGAAGTAAATTAGAAGAAATTTACTGAAAATAGCTTCAAGCGCCAGCAGGAGTACTTCAATGAACAATTTCAACTCATCAAAAATCAACGTTGAAATTCGATCTCAGAGGACCCTGATCATAATATCGAATTCCAAAGCTGCGTAACTATTTGTGCAGGGGCCTACTACAATTATCCTAGGTACCTACGCTAATAGGATACTCTATAGCATCTAATAATAGTATAGCAACCCTTGCACCTAAGTATATTGAAGGAATCACGCGGTATCTAATATTCCTTGCTTCTATATACTAGCGTTGTTATACCTACCCCAGTAGCTACCGCTTGAGCTACAGTATATTATAAGGATATAGAAAATATGTTACATTATAAAAGTATTTCAAACGTTAATGAAAGCTTTACGGGTACTTGACTCGAAGCCATGTGTATGTAGGAGTCAGGGTAAAGGGGTGTTACCAATTTGGAATGTACATTTCGCAATTCTGAAAACTAGAATGCCTGTATTGATTTATTAAATTCCAAAGCGCAGCTGCATGGGTCGAAAAGTAAATGTTGGCGTGGAAGCGCGTGCCGTCAGGGCATTTGGACTTTGATACTTCGGAACTTCCCGCGCCAGCCAACCTTATCTGAACCGCCTTTCTACCTCTCCACATCCTTCTTTCTTTCTTCATCCTTGCACTACATATCACCAAATCACGAAATCCATGAACTGTCAATCTCAATTACTCATACTTAGCTTATTTCTCCGCTAAGCTCGACGCTGATCGTGGGGATCGCTGCAATGCCAAGCACCATCAACAAGCTCAGGGTGGAGGCCCCCGACACCAAATCTGCGACTTGCGAATCGAAACTCAGTTAATCAGCCAAGAGTGCAACGGGATATCAATAACATGAATTTTTCGGGGTCTCAATTGATTTCATCATATGTTTCTGATCCTCACCCAATTCGGTGCTACATACCAAGGCGCCAAAGACTTCACAAACCCCAAATACAGTGGAAAATGTACCCTGGTGCCTTGGATATGTTTCTGTGAAGGTCCTTCAAACGATCCTGTCTTATGTTCTTGACCCCGAATTCCTTGATTTAGCGGCACTGACATCTCATGGCGTCTACGATGCTTTCAAGGAACAGGAAACTACCTTTGTCAAGACCATTCTAGAACGACAGATTGATACGGACCTGTTGTACGATGCCCACTTTACGGAAGCGTCTGCAAGAAAAACTTTCTGGATGCCTCGCCATATGAAGAGATTTTCGGCTACATAGTCTGCTCGCGCACCCCAATTTCTGGAACTAAATCTCTCAAGCAAAGTCTCTCCCAAGCAAAGGAAGTTAGCGAAACCCACCAGCTGGTGGAACAATTTTGATGAATTTGCTTCAGAGGTCTTGTTGTCGCCTCCCAAGTCTACAGAGCAGTCAGCTGCTCTACTAGTTCACTCTCCATAAATCCCCGAGAGCCTTCACATCAGCCGCACTCTTTACCGATTCTAAAATACTTCAAGATCTACCTGAACGGATCTGACCCAGTGTTGACTGGATTTTCACAAATTTATATCTCTTTCAGTCGCTTTCCTTGGTGAGAAAACGAGCAGCTGGCAATGACTTACGAATTCATTGCACAGGTCATCAGACCAGGTGTGTCAGTCCATTCCGCGTCACTTATTACGTACACTAACCGCACACGCAGTCTTCGAAGAAGTGGCAGCTGATTAGGCAGCTGATTAGGCAGTTGATGGGTCCATGTGGCCCCGCCTTCTGTTCCAGCCCACGACGTTAAACAATATCATCATCATTGATCATCCTTGTCGATCTTCTATTCTTGCTACGCCAACGATATGACGGTTATATGTTCCTCCCGATGATATAAGATAGCCTGGGAGAAAAGAAAGCTGTCTCTTCATTTAATGCCCTTTACCCTCCACTGCAAGCTGCCTATTACCATCACCACATTATCCAAATCAAATAATCTATCAAGATCCCGGAGGCTCACAGTAAGGCTCACAGTAAGAGGAGTAGCAAAAAGGTCCAGTTTATAGTTGAACATCTTTAGGTTCGAGCTAGACCCGACGTATGAAATATTAAATAGCATACATCACCTAGTAGAGAACAGTCGGCTCATGAGATCGTACCGAGTCTGGTAGGTGCAGAATATTGCTGTGGATAAATAGACCCATGGGTGGAGTGATTGCATGGAGTAAAATGCGGGAGCTTTACCAAGAATGGCTTAGTGGTTCCGCGATAATGACGACATGATCAAAATATTCAACCAGAGTCAAGATAGTGGAGTGGTTAACACGCTCACTTATCATGCAAGTCTCAAATCGGATAAAACAAAAAAGCACATAAAAATTATTCTTACCGGTTTGGGGCGAGCAGCAATAGTGAGAGACGGAGGTTCAAATCCTTCTCTTGGCGAATTCTTTCTGTTATCTACATTAATGTTTTTCTTTTTGTTGTAGAATTTTTTGGCAGATCATTACAAGCCTACATGACCACTAACAGATTATCCAATGAAATTATTCATGGAAGAAAGATACCCAGGACTTACATTACGAAGACTACAGGTATGAATATTGAACAAGTAAAATAGAACTCTCAAACACACTTATCCAGTACAGAAGAGTCGGCTCACGATCATCATGCTGAGTTGGTATAGAATATTCAACAAGTTGCATAGTAGAGCGATAAATGGAACGGTATGTGGGGCCGGCTGCGGGAGCCTTACCAAATATTGTTTAGCGGTTCCGCCATCATAGCGGGAAGGTTAAATTAGTTAAGCCAAGTTAAGATAGTGCAGTGGTTAACACGCTCACTGGTCACGTGAGCCTCAACCCGGACAAAGAAAATACCAAAAAAAAAAATCTTACCTGGTTGGGGGGAACACTAGTGGGAGGCGGAGGTTCAAATCCTTCTCTTAGCGCATTGATTTTGTCTTCGTCCTTTTGTGATATGATCCTTTGTTGCAGACACCATGATACCTGTTCGTGCATTCACCCGCTTCTGTCATTGTCTCAACTTCATATTAGATGATGATTGATATCTAGTGAAGATCCATGAGCAGAATGAATTGGATCAGATATGTACAAGGACTAAACCATCTAGAGACAAGAGAAATCATCCCGGCAGAGCGGAGAAGGGGAAGTCAATCTAGAGACAAGGGGAATATGGAAGTATGAGGCAAAAGGTATCAAAGTTACAGGGTTAAAGAAGACAAAAGGTATCAAGGAGGCAAGGGATTCGAGAAATCGAACATCGAGCATCGAAAAAATTAACGAGCCATACGGGGATTTTCTCAGAAAATACCCCAGCCTTTACGAGTCTCCTTTGCAACCTGTGCACGATCAGAACCTCGACTGGCTTTGCGACCATCCAGTTGTCGGATACCCTCGATCTTTTGAAGGGCTAGCTCCAGGAGCTCCTTCTTGCGGATAATGTCGAGGTGGCGGCGGACTCGGGGGTCTTCGCGAGCGAAACGCTCTATCTCCTCATCGGAAAGGTGTCGGCCGAGTCGCATATCCAACTCACGGGGGAAGTTGTAGTAGAATTCGGAGAGGAGCTCGACATTTAAGAAGAGAACGGCGGTAGAGGTGAGTTTATCTGCTACAACGTCGAGGAAGACTTCGGGGCAGTAGTATTTGTTCTTTTGTGTGGCGCACTGTTTGGATCGAACGGCCATTAGTCTCATCTTAATGAGATCAGCTCGATCACGAAGGAAGACACCGTCTCGGCCTAATATGGATTTGTTAGTCAAGTTCAAAGAAAAAGATTTGGATATGGGTAGATACCTCTCTCCAAAAGAGCAGCACTGAAACCGCCAGCACCACCAGCACCATTACCCTCGAGCACGACGTCGCCCTTGCGGACTTTGTCGATGAAAGACATAACGTCCTTGAGCTTGCGTTTCCCAACACTATCCTCAACAGCCTTGGTGGCTGATTCACATGCCTTGAGTTCCTCCTTCAACACTCTGCTAACATTTTCACGTCCTTTCGCCCACTCTGGGTCCTCGATCTCAATCTCGTACTTGTAAGGTTTGATACAATTCTCCACTTGATCACTCGTGCTGAAGAAGCGGTCATTCAAAATGCTTGTGCAGGCATCTGTAATTTGTTTATGGGCACCTGGGTGCGTGGCGAATGTAGAAGATGCTAGGAGCGATTCGACGTGGTTTTGGAGGGCATTGGCAACTACAGTGGTAGCAAGTCGACCAATGCCCAGTTTTGTGAGAGAGGAGGTAGACGCATCAAGCTTTCGGTGCCAATATAAGGATTCGGCGTCAGCCTTGGGTAGGTCCTTGAGAGGGTCAAGCTCTATCATTGGTGGATTTAAATCCTCGACGGGCTTGTTCCAGTAGCGCTGTGCCAAGAGATCCATTACACGCTGGTCCAGTTCAGCTTTCAACATTTCCCGAACCTGCGGCCGGCCAAATGACTCCGCAAATTCCTTGAAGGAGTGCTTGAAGCTGTCCAGGCTCTCAGCCAGGTAGGACTCTGCGCTGAGAGGCCGATCGTTGTATTGAACCTTGAACTCGTAGGTCGCCTCTTCCAACTCTTGGCTGATGTTATCCCGGGTGCCCGACAGACTAGCTGCCATAGTCTGCTCAAGAATATGCATCAGCTTCTTGCGAAGGGTCGAGACACCAACTGCAACCTCGGAGTGGGCTCCAAACTCGTTAGGGTGTGCTGAGAAATAGGCGTTCTCGTTCTTTAGGATGGCGCTGGTAATATTTCCAGAGCCCCGGGAGAATAGAGCATTTGTTTGAGGGATTCGGCTCACAACACCCACATATCCCAAACGAAGAGGATACTTCTTGTCGGTGAGAACTTCGTGACCACGCTCCGGGTCAACAAGATCCATTTTGGTGATGACACCAATGGTACGCTCACCCCGGGGATCCACGCGACGACTAGCCCGGAGAGCTGTCGAGTTGGCCAGATCGACATCAGCGGCAGAAATGGCCAGGATAACGTTAGGAGCCTGGATGTATTTATCGCAAAGGTCGTTGATTTTCTGCTTCAGCTCTGGGGGCTGATTATGGCCAGCAACCTGGATGTAGCCAGGAAGATCAATTAAGGAAAGATCTGGGACATTTGGCGAATAAATGGACAGCTGGATCGGATCATCCGAAACACAGTCCTTGTCCGGCACCGCGAGATTCAAATCAGTCAGAGTGCGCTGGATCTGTGAGAAGTCGGTGATTTTGCCGAGGCCCAGGGCTGGGAATTCACCATACTCCGATTGGGCATTCGGGGTGTTGATCAGAGTAAGCTCGATTGGTCGTCGGGTGACCATGTTCGAGCCCTTTGGTAAGAATTCATGTCCAACGATAGCTTCCAGAACCGAACTCTTACCAGAAGACTGAGACCCGATCACAACAATTGATGGCAAAGTCAAGGAGCCTGACTGACCGACTGTCTGGAGGATGTTCCGAATTTCAATCATCTTCCGAGTGAGGAGCATCATCTGGTCATCCTCAGCGACCTCCTTGTCTTGCCGGGCGTCGTCTTCACCGGATTTATCGTAGCCAAATGCTGCTGTCGATCCAGCCGCAACTCCTGCAGTCACACCTCGGCCTTCCTTGGGTTCCTTGTCTCCTCCATTTTGATTATGCGATTCCTCATCCGCTCGCAGAATCTTCTGTAGCCATTCAGGCATCTCTACATCCCCTGTCGTCTTATTCCACCCCCGTTGTGTCTGTTCCGCCACACCCTGTATGCCCTGAAACAAGCTCGATGCCGTATTCCCCGCGGTCTCGCCAGCCGTTCTCAGTATATCCATCGCATAGTTTCCGGCCTCTAAAATAGATTGTCAGCAACCGCTTCCCTCCACCCCGTGTGCAGCACTTACGAGTTGCCTGATATTGGAAATAAGCCAGGCCCGCAACGGTCGCTCCTCCAAACATAGCCGGCAGCCGAATAAGCTTGAGAGCCAGCTTCGGCAGCATTCGCGTAAACGAAAAAGCCCGGACAGCAGGTACATTGTTGTGGATTCCATTAGCACCTATGGGCCAGGCGCGTCCCCTCAAAGCAGCACCACTATTAGCGCGCAGAAGACCGCCAGTTCTAGAGCCTGCATTGTGAATATGGCGAGCTAGGCCGGTCCGCACCAGCGGGGAGAGTCGATGAGAGAGGATTCTCCCACTCATGGCTGTGATGAAGTCGCATTCAAGGCCAGATGGGAGAAGGTGAAAGTAAATATAATGACGCTCCCGAGGTCGATCACTGACATCAACGTGACTTGCACTGGTGGCCGCCTCGCCACCCGTAGTTAAAGGTCACGTGTGTTGTCGATGACGTGCTGTGTAAGGGAGGTGAGTTCGTGATTTGTTGGGAATTATTTCTTTTTCTCTCTATTTTATTGTTTATAGGTAACAGGGAATTTCTCTCTTGCCATATTTGTTTTATATTGATTGTCGTTTGTTTGTTCTCAGAAGTGTCCTATTTCGGCGCCGATTGTCGGTGACTCTTCATCTGTCTAACGCCCAACCACTGATCATCCAAATCCAAGGCTAAGGCATTGGAAAACCCCTAGAATCAAGCTCACAGCAAGAATCTAGCTGGGAATATTTTGGATCTTTCAAGGTCCCTTATTTATCCTTATAAGCAGTTGGAGAGCAACAATACCAACATGTGCCGCTTTCTTGTGAGTTCACCACTGTAATGATTCAAGTGGAAACCCTGCCTCTATACAACTAAATAATCGAATTCAAGCTAATGACAATCACAGATTTACAAGGGACGCAATGAGATTCGTCTCAGCAAGTTGGTTACAGAGCCCAGTCATTCTATCCTGACTCAATCCTACGATTCACGGTTAAGATTGGTATGTTCTCCACCAAGACCATCCCAATCAGCTCTCAAACACCCCATGCCCTCAAAACTAACCCCGTAAACCAGGACAATCGTCGCCCAGTAAACGGCGATGGCTTCGGCGTGGGCTTCTACACCGACCCCGCACTCGGCCCAGAGCCATGCATCTTCACATCCACAATCCCAGCCTGGAACTGCGAGAACCTAGAACGTCTCGCCTCAAAAACATGCTCAAGCCTCATCTTCGCGCACGTCCGCGCCACAACCGAAGGAACTCTCGCAGAAAACAACTGCCACCCATTCCAGCACCAGTCGCTAATGTGGATGCACAATGGCGGCATCGGCGGATGGAACTACATCAAGCGCGCGCTGGCATCCTCGCTTGGCGATAAGTGGTTCCTGGGCGTGAAGGGCGGCACTGATAGCGAGTGGTCGTTTGCGCTGTTCCTTCATCTGTTGGAAGAGGAGGGTGTGGATCCGAGCTCGGATCCTGGGCCTGAGGGCTTTGGGCAGGCATTGCTGCGTAAGGTTATGATGAAGACCATTGCGCGGATTAACGAGTTTGCGCGTGCAATCCCTGAGAAACATAATGTTCATGATGTGGACACGCGGGCTTTGCTCAATTTTGCGGTAACGGATGGTCATACAGTTGTTTGCACGAGGTATATTAGCAGTAAGACTGATGAGCCGGCGAGTTTGTATTTCTCGTCGGGGACGAAGTGGAAGGAGGGGAAGACGAAGGGTCATTACAAGATGGAGCGTCATGATAAGGGTGCTGATATTGTCTTGGTGGCTAGTGAGCCGATCACTTTCGAGAGACGTGAGTTTATCCACTTGACTTTGAACATTGTCCATGGGCTAACGATTTGATAGACAATTGGGTCTCAGTCCCTACCAACTCGGTGGTCACGATCCACAAACAGACTGTTCTCCTCCATCCCATCTTGGACGAATTCTATAGCGAGGATCTAAATCATGACCGATCTTCTTGCTACGCTTCCTCCAAGGGCCTTGTCAGTGCTGCGCCTGGCACCACAGTTCCACCGCCAAACAACAATGAAAACTGTGCGCCATCGGCGTCTCATGCTACTCGTGCTGCCGAATGCGCTGTATAGTAATGGATGCTATACAGCAAGTTATGCGCAAACAAGGAAATGTGATATAGGAGCACTTGCAAGACAAACATGCTGTTTTCTGGCGTCAAGGGCCGAATTTGAAGAGCGGACGATAGCGATATAGCAGCAGCTGGCGTCATTGGAGCTTGGGTTTAGATGTTTTTTGCATGTGGAGTGTGGAATTCGGGATTTAAGGGGATGCGAGAAGATTATTCTAGGTCTAGTTAAAGGAGTAATTTTGATTTCAAATACCAACTTTTCTTTATTTTCAGGGACTTCACCAGCACTGAGTAGGCATCGCATAGGAGGCACTTGACTACAATATGGTGCTATGTATTTATTTATTAAAAGATCAAGGTTAAATTATATTATTCATAAAAAGGGTATCGCAAACGCGTGAGTCCAGAATCAACTATCATCCCCCGATATATTCGCATGCTTGAAATACTTCATCCCAATCCAAGCAACAACAACCCAGACCCACGACATAACAGCCGTAAGAATAATCAGCGCAGGATAGTACCCCACAATCGGAAGTGTCGGATCATCCTCCAGCTCCGGAGGCGCATACGGTGTCTCTCCAACATCCCACGCCCAGCTCCAGACCTCAAAGCAGCTGCCCATGCCCACGACGAAGACTAGCCATGTTACCAGGAGGATGATCCAGCCCCATGATTCCGTCTCGGAGTAATCCCATGTGATGTCTGCGCTTTTCTCGACGGGGTGTGTTGCCAGTGGGGAGGTTTTGGCGCGGACGGGTCGGTATGGGTCGTCCGGTTGGAGGGGGTAGTAGGAGTCAGAGCTGGAAGATGGATGGGCGTGAATGGTGGTGCTTGTGGAGGGAATGGGAGCGCCGGAGGAAGTTGTGTTTGTGCTAATTCGGGGAAAGGAAATGAGCTCTTCGTCGTCTGTGGCGGTCTCATCGCCTAGGTGGTTGTTTTGGGTGTTGGGGGTATGTTGCGTGAGACCTTGGCGTCTCTGCGCGACAGTCGAGCGGGGGGTTTTCAGCGCTGACATAGGGCGTAACCAGCTTGGTCGCGGAGGATGTTCGACATTGTCGGATGTTTCTTTTGAGAAGTCGTTGTTCTCCTGGGACGGGGGGGCCTTGTCCTTTGGAGAGAGCGGCCTCGGCGCATCGTTGTCGTCTTGGAATCGGGGGGCTTCCGCACGAGCCGCCTCAGCATTCTTGCTTAAAGCCCTTTTATCGCGTGACTCCATCCTTGTACCCAACAATGCAGTCTTTCTTAATGAGCCTCGTCGTCGCCTTGTCCGCCGCTGTTGTTGGATTACCGCCGCCATCGCCTTTCCGCGTTCCGATGCTTCGTTATTGATTTGGGGCATGAGGGATGGTAAGTATTCGTTATCGCCATCATGATCCATGATGTGGGCCGATCCGGATTGTGTTATTTGGCTCATGCGCAGGAAGGAGAGCTTAGACAATAGAGAGCCTGAGAGGCTGCGTTTGTGGGTGCTGCTTCCGCTGGCGGAGCGTGTTCGATTGGATAATCTGTCGGCCTTTGCGAATTCCGCATTGTGACCCTCGCCATTGTCCATTGAATCGGGTGGAAACGAAGGGCTGAGGCCGCAGCTTGAGGCTTTCAGTCTCCCAGCATTGGTCAACTTGGCTCAGAAAGAGCTCGGTGGTCCGATTTGGTTAGTTCACACGATACCCGGAGTTGATTTTCATGCCTATTTCCCCAGGCACCAATATAGATTCGGGAGGCACTTACTACTATACTAGGACTATTTGCAGCAGAAATGAAGCGGACTATATTCTTCGAGACTTTCTACCGTCACTCCCCTAAAAAATCAGTAAAATGACTTTTATTTTTCCAATACATCAAGTCCACACCACCTTCGCAGGCACCTTCCAACCTTAGATTTCGAGTCCACCTACCCAACCCCAACCTCATGTAGAAAATAGGGCTTAAGATAAGGGAGGGTATTACCACCACTCTCTATATACCCCTCTATTACTTGGGTACACCGCAGACTTTTTGGACATACATTCGAAACTTCCACCGGATTTTTGCTTTTTCCCCTTCTCTTTCCACTTGATTGTTCTTCTCTGCTCTTTCCCCTCCTTCTCTTCTATGTCGCTATTTATATAGTTGGGGAGACCTTTGACTGTTAGATTAACACGACATGAAAGAAGGTAGAATACTGGATAGGATACCGAGTAGGAGACTAAGTAGAAGACTAAGTAGAAGACTAAGTAGAAGACTAAGTAGAAGACTAAGTAGAAGACTAAGTGGAGACTGAAGAGGAGACTAAGTAGATGATATTCAATAAAGTAGTCATGGGTTGCAACAAAAGTAGCAGAAAAATATTCATACGATGACGGGGTGGAACTTTTGACATTTCGTCGGTTTCCCAATTTGGAAAAGGGGAGTGACCGTAGCAGAAAAGGGAGTGATGGAAGAAAGTCTCTATTCTTCCAGCCCCATAGGGTTCACAGGCTCAGAGCAGCTTGTTGAATTTTATTTAGCAAGCTGTGATTTTGGTAACCTCCAATCAAAGGTGGCAGGCACATCGAGTCTAAGCACCGTGCATAAAGGCAAGACAGGTGGGACAGAAAGACATTGTCGACGCTTTAGGGATATCATAATGCAGAAAAAGAAAACGAACAAATTGGTATATCGGCTAGAAGACCAGCGGGCAGAGAATAGAGTGAAAAAGGATCAAAAATCAAACAGGTCAATCATTCCGAGGAAACTCATCACGACATATACGAATACTGGAAGGAAAATCTTTCATAAGACCAAACTGTCAACCGAGAATGAAGCCATGGCAACCCATGATCCAGATATTTTGAAGGAAAGAACACAATGCACAGTATTCAACAAAGGTATGGGCCTAAGAAAGGGGAAATATGAAGAACGAAGCAAATTTGAGACAGCACACGGAATTGCACTGGCAACCATGCGATACAAAGCTAGCAAGAAAAAATTGACAAGAACAGACGAAGCTCAAACAGTAGAGACAGAGTAGGGAGGTCGCTTTTTATCTGGAAAATTGCATAGAATTCGAGAGTCCAAGAAGCCCTTGGACACGTGCTCGCACACTCGAAAAGGGCTGGAAGAGATCAAACCAAATTGGACTTGGGGTATTCGGTGCACAACACACAAATTCCATTGCAGAATGAGAAAACAAAAGGCAGCTCGGTCGCTCGAAAATCCACTTCAAAGGGCAACTTCAAAAGACAACCAGGAGAAAATAAATAAAGAGGAACAAGATGAATAGTATGGAGTAGAGGGAGATGGAGGAAAAAAGCGGTTCCAAAACCGCAAATTGGCTTCAGCCAGTGAGAGCCGGTATCAAATTAGTGCGCATGGTTGCATAGATGCACCGGCACAATCGCAACCTTGCCTCAGCAACAACCCTGGAGGAAATTACGCCTGGTAGGCTCCGTTGAAGTTGTTGTTGGACTGGTCCCAGTTACCAGACGGGGACATGGGCTGGCCACGCCCATAACCTCCAGCATTGCCTTGGGGATAGCCCTGTCCGGGCATACCAGGTCCGCCAAAGTTGTTACCTTGTTGATCCCAGCCTCGGCCAGCAGGGGCAGGACCTACTCGTCTGTCAGCAAGGTTGGATGGGGATTTCCTAGAAGGGGATACTGAGATTCGAAACTAACCTTGATTCATAGGGTTTTGGGGACCGCCATACTGGGGGAAGAAGCCAGCGGTGCTGTTGTTAAATCCAGCATTAGGCTGCGGCGCAGTGAAGTTATCGAATTGACCGGTGGGAGGTCGGTCCTTGCCCCACTGTAACAGTTAGCGGATGGGAACTTGCCAGAAGGGGGTGAATGAGCATACGCTGCACTTGAGAGGACGGCCATTGACATTGTAGCCATTGAGCTGGCAAATGGCCATGGCGGCGTTTTCATGCGAATCCATCTTGATAAAAGCGAAGCCCCGGTCGGCCTGAAGACGAGTCTCAAGAACGTATCCAAAGTTCTGGAACAACGGGATCAAGTCGTTCTGAGTGGTATACGGGGTCAAGTTACCAACGTAACAGGTCGTTTGCCACTGCGGGGTCTGCGTAGCAACCATATCATAACTCTGGATGCCCTGGGTAGGGAAGTGGTGGTGACCGAACGGAGTGGTGGGGGTCATGCCCATAGCGGCCATCGCCTGTTGCTGAGAGATCGAAGGCTGGCCCTTCTGGTTAGCCCAGTTGCAGCGAATAGCACGAGAGCCCAGCCATTCCCCATCCATCGCATTGAGCGCCTTATCAGCCTCTCCACGGTCACGGAAGGCAACAAATCCATAGCCACGCGAGCGACCGGTCTTCATGTCCCACATAACACGAGCCTCGGAAATAGTGCCAAAGGCGGAAAAGGCTTGGAGGAGGACATCATCGTTTACTTCATTGCTCAGATCACCGACGAAGATGTGGAAGTGGTTTGAGGTGTCCTCCTTGTTGGTATTGTTGCCCTGGTAGGCCCAGTTGACTCGGATTTCCTAGACGCAATTAGAGTTGTCTCACTAAGCCGGGGTAAATAAACTAACCGACTGGTGGATGCGGCGTCCATTCAAAGTCTGCATGGCTCTCTCAGCAGCACCGGGGTCGTCAAATTCGACGAAGCCGTAGTTGTAGCCCTTGCTGTTAAACTGCTGGAAAAGTTAGTGTTGATTCGAAGCATCAGGTATGGGAAAGGATTTGAGAGGTTTCCCCTACAGTTGGGGTCGCATCCCGAAATTGGCGTGGGAGCGTATCGGAGTCGCTCACATTCTTGTCGGGGATAATCTTGACGCTAACCACGTGGCCAGTCGTCTCAAAAATCTGCTTGAGAATGTCCTCTGTCACTCGAGGGTCCAGACCACCAACGTAGAGAGCGCGCTTGTTGGGCTCGGGGGCCGCCCGGCGGACATAGCCACCCGCACTTGTAGGCGACATCATGTTGCCAGACATCGGCGAGGTCATGGCCGTAGGGATAGGGTTGGTGTTTTGGGGGATGATGACTGGGGGACGTGGCGGCGGAGGCATGTGAGACGGGTTGGTCTGGCCGTTGCCCTGGGCAGTATCGTACTGCTGGTTCTGAGCGCCAGCAACCGACTGTGGTGCCGATGGCAGCGAGGAAGGGGTCGACGTCGAGACGTTTTCAGCCATCGTGTATGGGCTTTCAGGGTGGGGAGGTGGGATGAGCGGGTGTTGCAGCCGACACAAATACGGAAACGCAGAGGTATCGGGAGAGACGACGAGTCTGACGTTTAGACAATGCAGAGCGGTTGAAAGGTGCTGGCAAATGGAAATGAAGCCGGTAAATATACTAAATAGGCCTTGGGTTTGACGTTGATGTTTCGATGGATGAATCCGAATGACGGAGCAAGCTTAGTCGATCCAAACAAAGAGCCAGGACAACAAAAAAAAGGAGTCTGTTTATAAAGACACTTTCTCCTGACGCAGAGCACAGTTGAAATGACGAATATAGTCGATCGGTTAAGGAAGAAGGAAAAACACCGAAAGGAAGTTTTTTTTCCTTCTTTTTTTTCAGGATGGACAAAGGTTGACAGCTGGAAGTAGCGATACGGCGCTTGGAGAGATTCGCGTTCGGAGGGGAGGAGAAAGGCCAACAAGAATGAATCAAGGAAAGCCGGTATTAAAAAACACACACACCCTAAGTACCGACAAGATCACGGAAGAGGAAGCACAAACGAAAAAGGGAAAAAAAGGATGCACGGAGAGAAAGAGGATGTAAAGGGCAGTCGATGTTTAGCGGTGGTTTAGCGGCTAGGGGGCTCCCCCACCTGACCTCAATGGGATTAGCGCCCAGTTCGTGTACAACTTCTTTCCGTACCACCTTCAAACTTGTCCACCTTTCTTTTCAACACCATGGAGAACCCAAATGCCTTGGCTGATCTCTCCACTTTGGTGGAGCGAACTGTATGTGTACTGAATTGACTTGAAAGATCCATGACTGACATGCAAGTAGCTACTTGACACTGGGCGGCTATTTCGCAAGTCAGGCTCTATGCCCGCCAGTGCACACTTACAGCGATCAATCCCATCATATTATGAGAGCTTCCAAGAAGCGCTAGATAATCTATCGGAACAGATTGTGAGTTTTATGAATTACTAGTCTTCTTTCTTTGATCTCCGCTGACGTTCCACAGTTCATCGCCAAGGCGTTCTTGGAAAAGGACTACGAGGCTATCAAGGCACGTGAAGCCGTACCAGCCACAGAAGATGTGTCATTTAAGTGTGTAGAGGAGAAGGCGGTGCAGGACACCCCTCAAACCGTGGATGCGAAGATGGAAGGCCAGGAGCCCGAGATCAAGAGCAAAATTGAAATTGAGCCGCCCGCTCCTACCGAACCCATTTCTGGGCCGCAGCCCAGCCAGGATGCGACAGTAAAAGAAGAAAAGCAGGCCAGTAATGGCCCCGGTGATCAAGTCTTCGGACAAGACGCCGATGGCATCAATTTTGATTCGGTCCTCAATGAGAACGGCGGGTCCAATTCCTTTCAACTTAGCCTGGACTTTGGCGACGATGATATGGGGAATCAAGCCTTCCTTTCTGGGACGGGATTTGGGGCTGCGCCTGGAGAGACCCCTGGCACTTCCACTTCCCAGCTGGAGACTTCTACCATGGCCCCTGCTGGCGGGGGTGCGTTTGATATGGAGCTACAGAAGAGTGAAGGGGAGCCCCAAGCATTCACGGAAGGCAATGCGATGGATGATATGATGGGACCTGGAGAATCCAACTTCGATGATCTATTCATGGAGAACGAGAATTTGGATGGGACCGGGGAACTCAATCAGCTGGAGGGGGATAGCTTGATGAATCTCAATGAGCTAGATGATAATTGGTTTAGTTAATCTGTGATGGCAGCTGCGCCGAAGTCGGCTCGGAATAAAATTGTTCTATGATTAGCGGGGATAATGTCTCCCATGATCTACATGCTGCACTAGTAATATCAAGCCATGGTCATCAATAGAATAAAATAAGTGGGAATTATCGGGAAATAATACTAACTATTTAGTTAATTATTTAATACTATTTAATAGTTTCTATTGACAGTTCCATGTCACATGGGCCGACAATCTCCCGTCTCTTGTGTACCCGCTATCCATCCACCTCCAGGGCTGAGAGAGACCTCCATTAGGTAATTATAAAATCTCTCACCAATCTCCAATCTTCAATCTCGGACATGGAGGGCGGTAGTACAAGACCTGATTGTGTAACAAAGTGAACTCGAATTATAAATTTAAAAAATGAAAGAAAGAAAGACCAGGCCCAAAGGACAGCAAATTTGAATTTTAACCCAAACCCAGTCTCCAAGCCGCTATTCAGTGACGTAGTAGCGAGGTACAACTGACGGCAGATCTCCAGGGCTGAACACGCTATAAATGGATGAAATCAGGACAAAAACCCACGAGCTGGAGCACGGACGGGGTTTCTCTCCGGGAAGAAAACCAAGGATGGGGGATTTTTTTTTAAAAAATTAAACAACTCAACGTCAACGTCAGGTCTAGATCGTCCTATGAACGTGGATGCCGAGATGAGGGGACACGTTAAATTATTCTGGGTCTCTTGGCTCTGATGAGGTCATCGCCAACTGTCAGGGCACGGACCTGGTAGCCTCAAGGTGTATTCGTGTGTCGCGAGACCGCGTGCATAGCTCAAGCGGGGGACGGGATGCAATGATTGTCTCCTAATATCATGGTCTGACAAGTGCGGTCTGGAGAGGTTGTTACTTCCAGCCATTCACCGCTCTCTGTAAACTGTGAAAATTAGGGCCAGTTCGCCGGAAAAGTCATTTGTATATGATGCAGAGAAATTTTCGGTGTGACGACCCTCACATGCGACTCAAAAGTCCCGATGAAAGTGTCCCCGCATCCGAGTTGCCGACTTTCCTGAAGCCTAAAGGACCTGGGCAGGTGCCGGGTTAACCGTATGATCGTACTATATGGAATCATGTCCTTATCTTTGGTTTATTCTACTCCGTGCCGTGAATTCGAAAGTTCATCCGTTTATCCGTTTAGAGTTCTAGATCATTGAAAGTCTAGAATTTACTTAATACAGCAAATGAAAACTTATAAATTGACGAATGCTTTTGCCTAGATAGGATGGTTAGTAAGCCTGACCGGATCGCCGGATCTCAAAACCCCCAAATTGTCGATATCATGTCATCATCGATCGGGTTTAAACACCTTCGGATCTGGAATCTTTCTTCCGCTAGACCATATGATTGATATTCTATAAAATCAAGCTCTGCCTATATATGACCTGGCACATATGCATGTTTCAATGTAAGATCAACAAACCCACTGAGCGCCAAAAAAAGAAGCCACCAAAAGTCTGGTAAAACAAGGCCAAGGAAGTGCCTAAGAGGAACCACAATTCGGCCGATCCACTGGCCAATCGAAACCACTGATTTCGGGATCTGCAAGGCGATGATCACTTGAGAGGGAGGATCCGTGTTATGAAGTCAGCACCCCGAGGAATTCCTTCTTCCTGCAAAAGATCAGTTTACTCCTTGCATTTTCAGTTGATCCCATTGCAGGGGGTGTACAAGGGATTTTTTTTGGACATAACAACCGGTCTCACAAAGATTAAAGCTCTGAGGTAAGTAAATTCTTGTGTAGCCTTGTCATTCTTTAGAATTTACTCGCCTTCTGGTGAGCCCTGAAGAGTCTGGACTGGCATTCTTGATCGGCCTTTTTGTCCCTGTCACTTTTCCCGATCTTTTTTTTATCTTTTTTAAAAAAAAGGATAGAAAAAAGCAAAAGCAGAAAGCAAAAGCAAAAAAGCCAGGAAAAAGAATCTATAAGGACAAGGCTCAACACAACATTTCTTGTATGCGATGAAGGCGTGGAACAATAATGGCTCACTTTATCCCCGCGCAGATTCCCTTACAATTGGGCGAGGTTTCCCCGCTTCCCTTATCGATCCCCAACCTCATACGAACCCGATCAGCACGACGCTCGAGTCTCAACGCCGTCGAAGAACAATTCCCTAAACAATCTCGTCGCGGCTCCATCCTAAGAAAGCTGGCGGGCCCACGTGAGAACGCGAAGCGATTCCTTCGCCTACGGTCATCCGGACTATCGGCTCCCGCACCCCCGCAACCAAACCCCCCACGCCGTCGTACCCGGCCTGTTTCCGAGATCATCATCTCTCCACGAGTTGCTACAATCCTGCCTGACGAGGACCAAATCTTAGACATGGCAGACGTGTTGCCCCGGGCTGTGGCTGATCAGCCCATCGCCGTTCCCGAGTTATTTACTCCGTTTCCTCCGCTGCGCAATGAGAAGATCATTGCGACAGGGAGTGGATTGACTTTGGGTATTGCGCTTACGGAGCCCGTTTTGTATCTACAAGGCTACGATCAGCATGATCCCAGTTCTAAGAAATCGGCTATTTTGCGAGGTCAAATACATCTCAAGGTGACTAAATGTGTCAAAATCAAGAAGATCTCCATCTGTTTTAGGGGCCATGCGCAAACAGATTGGCCAGATGGTATGTCTTACAGTATTTCGAGGGCTCCGAAGCCAGAGCAAGACAGCATTCAGCTAACATCCTCCAGGGATCCCTCCGAAGAAGATTCATTTCCACGATAAGAAGGACCTCTTTACCCACGGCGTCGTGTATTTCAATCACGGTGATACCGCACTCATGCAAAACGACTACGGGGCGCACTTTTACCAGCATGCTAAACCCGTCTCACCCGTACCCGGAAAGGACGCCGTGACTGCCACAAGTCGAGAGCTCTTCTCTAAGAGTGGCTCAACCAACTCACTTGGTCCCGCAATCTCCCGAGATCCCAGACGTCTTCCTTTACCAACCGCTCGTGGTCACTCCCGAAGCTTCAGCAGAAACGAACCGCCAACCAGCTCCCAGGCACAACCGCAGCGCAATTACCGGATGTTTCCCGTAGGTGATTATCTATACAGCTTTGAGTTCCCAATCGATGGCTCATTGCCCGAAACCATCAAAACGGATCTTGGCTCTGTCAGATACGATCTGGAAGCTATCGTGGAACGATCAGGCGCTTTCCGGCCAAATTTGCTTGGCACGATGGAAATCCCCGTGATTCGCACTCCCGCCGAGGGTTCTTTGGAACAGGTCGAACCGATTGCGATCTCACGAAATTGGGAGGATCAACTACATTACGACATTGTCATATCCGGGAAATCCTTCCCTCTCGGTTCTCAGATTCCGATTGCATTCAAACTTACTCCGCTCGCGAAGGTCGAATGCCATCGCATCAAAGTGTACGTTACAGAAAATATTCAGCATTGGACCGCGGACAAGAGCGTGCATCGTTTGCAGCCCGCTAAAAAGGTGCTTCTTTTCGAGAAACGAGCCGAGTCGGCCAGTACGAGTACTTATCCCGGAAGCTCTATGCGAATCACTGCAGGCGGTGGTATCGATTGGGACCATCGCGCTGCTGCAGCGCGCGGAGATGAGGTTGTTGATCGGGCTCGGACGAACTTGCTCGGAAATTTGGCAAATGATTCCGGGGTTGGTCCCACGGAGATGGAATTCAGTGTTCAACTCCCGAGCTGCCATGAGATGAAGGGCCGGGACGAGGGGCAGCGCTTGCACTTTGACACTACTTATGAAAACATCCAGATCAACCATTGGATCAAGGTAAATACCATCACATGTGTAATTCTCGTTTTCAGCTGATACTCATCTTTGTCAGATCGTGCTTCGTCTTTCCAAGATTGACGAGAGGGACCCGTCGAAACGAAGACACTTTGAAATTTCCATTGACTCTCCGTTCCACATTCTCTCCTGTAAGGCGACACAGGCAAACATTTACCTCCCCGCCTACTCAAGACCGGCAACCGACCCAGATCCACCGGCTCAGGAGCACGAGTGTGGCTGTCCCGGGGCGCCCTTGGCCGCGCGGGAATACTCCCTCGCGCAATCGAACTCTGATCGGGAAGACAGCACATCAAATCTGAGTCGTCAGGATTCGACGACCGGCCGTGCCGTCTCGCGAAGCTTCACGAATGGATCTGGAGGCTTGGCACGTCCACCGCAAGCTCACCTAGCGCACGATGCCCCCGGGCGAGATATCCCTCGCCCAATGCATCTCCTTCGAACACCATCCTTCGCTCCACCTGCCTTTGAAGATGTTCCTCCTCCCCCTCCGCTCATCACACCGCCCCCAGAATATACCACCATTGTTGGCAATGGCGACCGAGAGGCCGTGTTAGAGGATTATTTCTCTCGACTTTCCTTCTATGAAGAAGGTGATGATGACCGGGGTCTCGGACGGGTGGATGTCCCCCTGACCCCGGGAGGCCGTGTCAACCGTAGTATGGATGTACCACGTGAATGGGTACGCTTGGATGACTTTACTGCTTCATGAGTTTTGAATAGCCGTTACGTCTCACGATATCTGAGCCATGAATTTACGATATTGTTCATATCGAAACTGGTGTATGGGGGGCAACTTGGATATATGTTTCCGCTGGGTTTATTTCCTTCGATTTTTTTGATAGGGTCTGCAATCTGCTAAAGGCTGCTATGTTCATATCTGGGGCACAAGGCGTGTAAGGTTTTTCTTCTCTGGGAGGTTACAAATGGTTCCTGCATACAAAATGTGTATATGCAAAACAACTGTGCAATGTATGAACAAAATGACTTCAGCATCCTGTAATCAGGAACAGATAAGAGATAAGCCCGCTAGTACCTTCTTTCCCCGGTTTAGTCTCCACAGTCCAAGCGGGGGACTTGAACTTGGGGAGATTCTCCTCTTCCTTTGCGTGACAGTTAATTTGAGCCTCACTGTGCTTTCATAATCCTTCAGATCCCTGTCACTGTCACCACTGTCCGTTCCAAGTTCTTAATACCCACACTCGTGTGCCTTCACCCTTATCTCCAGTGAAGATGGCCTTTGCTAACGTGGTTATCAGCTCCCAATTACCATCTACCACCAATAGTGGCCGAAGCTCGCTCCACCCGACAAGGGTCAGACAATTGCGATCAACGCTATCCATCTGCGTCAAGATCGACTCCACTCTGTAACGAGGGTCACTCTTCTACGACAGGACATTGCCCTCTCTTTCCATCTACATCCAGCACACCAAGATGGCCATCAAAGTCCTCCCCTTGACCGAAGCCGACATCCCAGGCGCAATCCAGGTGATCCAGCGCGCTTTCGCCAACGATCCATATTTCAAGTGGGTATTCGACGAATCCACCGTACGTGCTATCTACACCACGCTTCCTTTCCAGGCCAATCCACTTCCCCCATAACACCTCCATAAAAATATGAACCTCTCACTGATACTCTCTTCCTCACGGTCTGCCGACGCAGCCTGACGGGAAATCAATCCACAGTTCAACAAGCAAAGAAACCACCACTCCCTCTCCGCGCGCTGTCAATGGGGCATAAATAATGCAATTTTCCAAGTTGCCAAAGAAATTACATCCACTGAAGACTTTACCCCATCCCCCGTCCTCGGCGTCTCCTGCTGGTTAGCACCACACCCGCCCGCACAACCAGAGAGCTGGTACTCCTGGTATCAAGGCTGGATACTATCAGCCAACCAGCTTCTCAATAACATACGGTTCCTTGGTCGTGGGGGTTTGCGCACGAACAGGTACTGGATCTGGAAGGAGCAGCAGCAGAAAGCGCACGATGAGATATGGGATGATCCGCGAGGGTATTATTTTTGTAACATCGTTGCTGTGAGTCCCGAGGCGCAGGGAAGGGGCGTGGGGAGATTGTTATTTGAGGCTGTTACAAAGAGGGCGGATGAGGAGGGAGTCAAGTGTTATCTGGAGAGTTCGAAGAGTGTGCCTAATGTGCAGATTTATGAGAGGATGGGGTTTGAGATGAGTAGAACTATGGAGTGTCGTGATGGAGGGGATGTCTGCATGGTTCGTTTTCTCTTTCCCTCCTCTTTCCCCCTCGACTTACCCTTGCCCTATTGTGTATGAGGTCTCCAAGCTAATCTGCTTATAGTTGTACTGCATGACCCGCAACCCGAAAATGAAGTAACGTTCATATCCGACAGCAGTTGAGTTCATTTCGGTTCAATTCAGCTCCGTCCGAATCCATCAATCGACTCGACTCGAATCTTATTCTTATCAGACATGCATACTCAGGACCCCCTTCAACAATACATAGTACAATCCAAACCTAGTTTCAAACTTTCAGCGATCATCGGATAGAAGCATATTCTAATCTCAGAGTCAGCTCGATTGATAATCCGTCCTAACGCTCAGGCCCATCATATGCAGGATCCCCGGGGCTACTATCTAGACCCACAAACGGACGGAGTCTGCCGCGATCTAAACTCTATTACAGAGACCCGGGGCTATGGTGCTGGCCTCTTTTGCGAGTTTGCAAATGATATGTCATGAAGTATTTGCTTTGCTTTAGGGAGGCTGCATGTTATCGGTGAGTTTAACTGTTGAGTTTAGACCGTTGGTATCTGTCGTTAAGCGAGCCTCTATCTGATCCCGGGGTTTCAGTGTTCCCCGGAGTTTCAGGTTTATGCATGGTTGGGTTTTAGAGAATCGCTGGGAGATTTCTAGCCCGATGATCGTGCATGGATTCAAGTCAGATAGGCACCACCTACGTTTAATGATGTTTCTGTAGCCTATTTCTAAACCGCTATATGCTCTGATATCTACTCTTTCGGATGCCATATGTACCATAGAAGTATGTTGACGGTAGAGGTATCGGAGACTAAACTTTATAGGAAAATACTTCAAGAATCGAGGCCGACTTTCCAGGTCTGCATAGGGTAAAGGAGTGTGTATTCACAAATACCAAATTTTAATGTCGACTTCGGGATGCTTCGGCAGTGTTCCTGTCTATTTGCAACGAGGCCGCAGCCGTGACCTTTGGGGTCATGACAAAGGGGTGTTTGGGGAGACCCTACATACAAACGTTCAGGGAAATTCCAATCATAGCCAACCTAGTACATTCACTGTTCATCAGTGTCACTCAGCGACTTATAAACCCACCTCTTGTCTGTCCGGTTTGTTGATAGTCCAGTTCTGTCTTACCTCCAGACCTACGTTATTCATGAACGGATTAAACCCAATAATGTTGGCTCCTCACCGACATCGTGGCCGTGGGATGCTGGCAATCCTCCGATCATATCTCGGCAAACGCCACAACCCAGAGACGCGTCAAGATGCGACATTTCAGGACGCAGAGATCAACATGAATGACACAGAAGACAATGATCACGACACGCACCTGATTGTCAACCAGCTGGCAGCATTAGCCACCACTGTCAGTCAAGCAACAAACTCGCCATCATCAATCCAATCCTCCTCTACACAGAAACCCCCGAGCGGCAGGGAAGATAAAGATAAAGATCAAGACCAAGACCAAGAAGAATCCTTCCACTACCTCCGAAGCCTCATCACAATCTCAGAACCAACATCCACCCAAACCCTCCACGTCCCAACCCTCCGTCGCAAGAGAGCATCCTCAAGACTTAGCCTCCGCCTCGACATACCCCTCCCCTTCATACCAAATGCAGTCCACAAACCAAACCCATCTCCTCGATACACCACCCTCCCACCAGCCTACACATACAGACCCTCCATTCGCCCAGAGGTCCGCTTCTAAGATAGCCCGACTCCAATTAGATCAAACAGATCACCCCATCACGTTCCTCATTCAACAGAGCCGAAGGAAGGTATTTAAAAGTGAAATTAATGTACAATACATACAATTACTTACTTACCACTCCGTTCTTACAATGTCAATCCCTATGACGGAATGAATTCAGCCGAACCGATGGAAATGAATTCAACCAGACTGAACTGAACTAATGCAAATCTATCAATGACCTCACTTTACACAGTACGTGTATATCCGAAACGAATACCCTGTATGGCCCCTGTCGACGATCATGAGGTATGCCCGATGGAGAAGGATCGTCGGGTGCGTTTCAGGGCCGAATCCTTACAAATGACGTTTTTCAACGTGGATGGATATGCATATTTTACTCATGCCGTGACGGATCTGCGTTTCTGTCTGTGTCGACTCTAATTAAATTGTATTCCACTTCGTTTTTTTCGACGTGGTTTGGTTTTTACTCCACTTTTCTTTTGCCTAAAGTCCACCGGTTGATCATCGGGTAGCTAAGATATTCCCAGGACTCCATCAAGACCCATTTAAGTAGGTTTCGGCTCGGGCTTTAAGACATTCATTTGCATTTCACATAAGTATGGAGCAGTTGAGAGATTCCTGAGGTCCCACATGGATTCGGAGATAGGCCGAGTTTGAGTGGAGAGAAGTGGACAAGTGGCCATTAAACATTGAAGTAACATGAGACTAAAGAGACTATGACGACTGATGCGTCCGTGCTGGTCATTCCCGCTCGGCTAGTCCCGAGAATGGCAAAGTCACTGTATTGGTTGTTCATGATGATCCACTCCTTCATTTTAACCTTGTACTGCGAATGCGACTGAACTTGGCAAGTTATATATACGTTCCAAGGTAATTGTGTCTGTATCATTGAAAAGAGACTCTTTTGGGAGGTGGATAACGGCAATAATTTCGGTACTTCAGCTGCGAAGCTCACGGACGGAATAATGATGATTAGCCGGGTGGATCGAATTAAGCCGACCGATGTTGCCTAAAGTCTTTCATCACGCGGGAGACAGAGCTTATTGGCTCGGGATGCCGGGTCAGTTGCTTGTTTGATAATATCGATCCATCCAAAGTAGCCAGCGAAAAGAGAATAAGTTGAGAACCTCATGCAGGCTGGTTTGGGAAAGCCTCCGAGGATGTACTCATATGAGCTTCGGATCAATTGTGCATATGAAAGCGGGTCTGGCAAAAGTACCTCAAGGAATTACTTTAGCCGAACATTGGCCTGGTTCTTGATTGATAAGAAACGACTGGAGGTCTTGAAGGCTACGTATAATGCTTAAATTCGAGGAATGGGTAAGCGGGGACATTATGGCGGTTTCATTGGCTTGAGAGAAACCGTTGAGCTTGGATAGCTTCTTATAGCCACCGAATGGTCTAGACTGACCAAGAACCCTTGCAGAAGAGCACTACTAGCTTTTGTCAATGGCTTATCATTTGGAATCGGGAGGTCCGTGTCCGTTGAGCACCAGCCTCGTAAACGGTGGAATGCGCCACAATATGAGCACGACATCTAGACGGGCGAAGAATGTTCATCCGTTCCTGTTGCATATACATTCTAGACCTTCACATGCATTCCCGAATGATAATTACCCAATGCAGCTTCTAGCATTTGCCATGTTCTTCACGGAATAGAAAAGTCTTAACTGAATGCTGATACCTAGGTTGGGGAAATCGTTCAACCCCGGGTGGGGGATTGACCTAAATCTAGAGAACTATTACTTTACTCGTTCCCTGGACCCAATGAATGTCCGCCTTGGAATGAAATTCATTTCCCCACCTCCCGCAGCCAACCATAAGGCTTGACTGGAGATTAACTGATTTCATTCCTCCGTTTGATAGACCCGCGCCATGACCCTGACGCTGCGTGTGCCTACATGGTGAGGCATATGCGTCCTAGCGGGATAAGAGATACTCAAAATCTGTACTCCGTTTATTCCCCGATACTTGTGAACACACTACACAGTCCCACGCTGGTATCGAGAGAAAATTTAGTGTTCCAAACATTGACTATGTAGATCCCGAAATACGGAATTCTAGAACCCACGGGATTTCCATACCTTCCCATATTTGCCCCCCTTTCCATGTTTTTACCGCTATCTGTTACCCGGGATCCGCAATCCACAAGCGCTCACCCGAGCCCTAACCTAAGACTAGTCTTGGAAGAGCCCTGATTCATATTGCATCATGACTTTCACAATCCCTGCTACAAGTACCTTGGTATTTGCCGTTCCCGGTCAGGGTACCGGGAATCCCCCTTATCCACTATATTCACCAAGGTCTCTTCCCTCAGCCACAGTAGTTCCATCACATGAAACTGCAAAAGACCAACCATATAAGACGGAATGCTCCACTTCTGGTATGGCTACAACCCGCTCCTCTGCTCCGTAAAGGTTTGGAGATTGCGTGGAACTGCAGAGACCAAGGCTGAACCATCCTGTTTTTGGAATAGTGCTTAACGGCAGTTTTAATTTGATTTGGTTAGGAGTGTCTAAGATTCTTGAATGGTAGCCTAAAGGAGCCGGGGACATGTACAATAATAACCCTAGTCTCCCCTTCCCCTCCCACACCTCCACAATTACAAAAAGAAAAAGAAAAAAAAGCACGGACTCGATCGGAAACAAGCCCCTTATTTCCTTGGCAAATGTCAAGTAACATGAGAGTGAGTATATTCGGCCGGGCTGGGACCCCTTCCCATAATTACCATTACCACTCCGCCCCCTGAGCCCAGAAGATCCCAAGAATTACGGATTTCGGACTCCGTAAAGTCCTTTGATTTCGGCTTTCTTGGCCTATCATGTGATTCAATTCGATTTCTCTTTCCCTTTGCAATAGTATCCCAAGACCCTTGATCGGATAAATCATTGGACAGAACAAAACATGATCATCATATCATACACGGTATACCCGAGCCGAGTGCGTCACGCAACCTTGGCTCTTTTAAATGGCAAAAGCAAAAAGCAAAACGCATAAAGCAAATTCCATCAATCCCAAAAATCCCAAAAATCAGTCCCAGTCTACCATAGCACCGATATAGGTCCAAGGCCTTTCAGATCCATGTTTCCTCGCCCTTGACGCCTACGTGGACGAAAAGTATATCCCGTAAAATAAAGTAACAAACAGCCCAATCGCTCACACACGCTCAAAAACGGAAACAGAGACGACGAAAAACAAGAAAAAGAAAAAAAAAATTCCTCCATAACAATTGAATACTGCCGGAGTATTGTCGTGCCCTCAGGGCAAAGTTCGAAGTTTAAAAATCGGAACAGGGCCTCGAGCCCTTGGAGGATGAGAGAAGTTCATGTCGATCAGGACTGCCGGTCCCTTTGATTTCAAGTGGTTCGGTTCAGGTAGTTCGGGAGAGTGGCGAGTTAAGGGTTTCAAGGTTCCAAATTTCAAGGTTTTTGTTGGTAAAGAAGTCAAGTCGGTTGGGGCCGAGTCGACAGTGGTTTTCGGAGGATAAGATAAGGCCGATTCTTGGAGGAATCAATGCAAACCCAGTATTTCCAATTGAAAATTGAAATCGATTTCACCGTCCAAGGCTGCTGCAGAGTAGACATTTGCCTACTACGATTATCCATCGGTCGTGTGGTCCGTCTGTACAGTGATATTCGTCCTGGCCGTCCATGTCGGTACGGATGAAGTGCACGTTGGGTTGGGTGCAAGAGCTATAGATGTAGTAATTTTTGAAATAGCTGCACATTTTGGTCCCATCGAAGGTGCTGCAGAGGGAGGAGGATCAGGTAAACATTCAGACATGATCTTAGAAAAAGGGAATGGGGATGGAAAGAAAAAAAAGAAAAAGGAAAAAAGATATTAACAATAGACTTGAATTTTTCCTACTCCACATAATTGATACCTGATGGTGTTGGTACGGAGCAAGTATCTACAGTAGGTAATTCTGCAGGTTTTTGTTCCCCACTAGGGGGGTAAAATACAAATCCTTGTCAAGAAGCGGGTCCTGCATGAGTAGCTTTGATCTCTGTAGTCCTTCGGAAATGTGGACTATCAAGGATTTGCCCTTCCCCTTTTCCGGCGAGACCACGGCATAGTACACGGGTAATGGGAGATCGACACGGTTCCTCGCAGCCGTTGATGCTTCTTCCATACGCACGTGGCGTTAGTCAGGATCTTCATGCATCTCAAATACATGAGACGTGGTCATCTTATCATCTGGTATAAATATAATGTGGAAGGGTTTTGAAGCGACAGGTTATTAACTACCTTGCTACAATTGTTCATTCAGAGGGGGAAAAAAATTACAAGTCAGGCGAGCATGGTCAGTCAAATCTTTCTAAAACATCCGGTGACATTGGCTGTAACAATGTTCATCCGGAGGTTAGGCAACCTTTGATTCGAAACTGGGGGTCACGATACGTTGGGCATTCGGGACGAGGGAATGGGATCCATCAAGCCGATGGCAATGAGAAAAATTATCACCGAAAAAAAAATTAAAAAAATCAATAATGGAGCTTCGACCTCAGCCGCCGTCCCACTTCTAACCCCTGTCAATTGTATGACTTTTGACTGATTGGTGCCTAGATTGAACAACTTATCATAGCATTGAGAGGGAAAGAAATGAATAGTCATGGGAGAGAACATAAGGGGGAAAGTACAATGGAAAAAGAAACACACTTGTACAGAATAGGGAACCGTTCTGGGTAAGAGATTGACAAATCAGGGTCGTTCAGGGTAGTAACGATGATGGCAGCAGACTAAGACTAAAATCTCGGAGAGCTCGTCTCCGATCTCTTGCGCCATGTGCCATGTTTGTGCCGCGTTGACGACTCCATCAAAACTCCACGAATCAAAAAACAAGGTTTGACGTCTGCTCGGCACTCTCCAGATCAAATTAAAGGCTCTAGCAATAATTTTCCCCACCAAAGCACGCTAGTGCGAGCGGAGGGGTTGGATCCCTGTGTTGTCATCGTTCGAGACAATGGTCACTCGGCCGTTTTAAATCGCCGTTGATCCACCATGATGGATTCTATCATCGGCATTTGCAAAAGGCTCCGAGGCCCAGTCATTGGTTGGGATTGAATATGTGCAGAGTTGCGTTTGCGTTACTTGGGCTCATCAAGGGGTATCCTAGCTGATTGAATGGTGGTACGCAGGGGGTCTCTTCGTAGACAAATTGATATAGCGACAGAGCCATGAGGACTACAGAGCTCGGCAAGAGACAAAGGAGAAATGAGAGATGGTGCGACGACTGTGACGTCTTGCAAGTGGCCCTCTATCCACATGCCGATTTGATTTCTCCTTTTTTTCTGTCCGTTTCCAGAACAAAGTACACGGGCCACGGGCCCATTTCCTCGTGAGTGTGGCTGGCTGCTAGGTTCCAATGGCGCGCTCCGGGGCGATACGGAGCGCCGCTCTGGTCCCCCAGTCCCAAGTTTATCGGGTTGTGGATCCTTAAGAAGAGATAGTTCTCCAGTAGCTTGCCGTGGTCTCCGCCTCGGGTAAAGCTCCAGAAAATCGCTTTCGGAAGAGGGAAGAGGGGTTTGTGCATGCCGGGCACCGAGGCCCATGTATTCCGAGGTTTCTGAAGGTTAGTGCATTAGCATCCTGCAATCGATATACATTTGTGGAGTCACTAAAATCACTTGTACTTTGTGTCAAAAGGTAAAATCATCGGCTCAATTTCGGGTCCGATCTCATACCACGTGATATGAGCCAAAGATGTGTTACTGGGGAAGTTCACGCTAAACTTCTTTGGGAGGTTTCCAAATCAGATCCCGTGACTGCCCCCCTCGCTTGAATTAGCAACAATTGAAAGACAAACTTCTTGGCTTGGAAAACCTCTCACTGTCGACACCTATTCACTCGTTTGCCATCACGGTTTAAGGTTGGTCAACCGAAGCTGGGGAGATCGTAAAAAAAGAGGCGGTTGAGTCTTCAGGTCGTCACCCTTGCACTCCACTGTGTCCACTTCGTTGTTGTGGAGACCAGTTTACTGGTGACCGCTCACCACAACAGGTAACCCACTGTTTACTGTCCCACTAGACAACCACCAGTCATCATGGGATTCGGGGATTTCAACTCGATATGCGAAAAGACGCCTATGCCACTATGCCTCCTTGTAGGCCCAGAATCTACGATCACCGGGTCCGGGTCGAGGGGCATAGTATCGAACTGCTATGCCCGAAATATCGAGGTCGCCAACACGATGATCTTTGAAGGCGCTGCCTCGTTCATGCATATCATTGCTCTCTCGATGACCGTCATCATGATTTTACACATTCGATCCAAGTTCACCGCTGTCGGTTCGTATGATCTTCCTACCAGTGATATACGTTACTCATCCCTGAACAGGCCGTAAGGAGATCCTCACCTTCTTCTATCTATATCTAGCTCTCACAATCTTCTCCCTTATCATTGACGCGGGCGTTGTCCCACCAAGGAGCGGACCATTCCCGTACTTCGTGTCCATCCAAAATGGATTAGTGTCCGCCCTATGCACTTGCTTACTGGTCAACGGATTCGTCGGGTTCCAACTATATGAGGATGGCACTTCATTATCTGTATGGCTAATCCGGATTCCGTCCGCAGTCATGTTTGCCATCACATTCGTCATTTCCCTGCTGACCTTCAAGTCATGGGGAGGAAGTGGTTTGGGGCCCGAGAACACAGTCGGTCTTTTCGTGGTGCTCTACATCCTCAACGCCATCTGTATCGCAATCTACATTGTCATGCAACTACTATTGGTGGTGAACACGCTGAACGACCGCTGGCCTCTCGGACATATCTGCTTTGGTGTGGCAGTCTTGATCATTGGTCAGGTGCTTCTTTATGCTTTCAGTGATCTCATCTGCAACAACGTCCAGCATTATCTGGATGGTCTATTTTTTGCAACTTTCTGCAACTTGCTCGCGGTGATGATGGTCTACAAGGTCAGCAGATTATATAAATTCGTGTGGATGAAACTAACTGGTCATAGTTCTGGGATTCGATTACTACAGAAGATTTGGAATTCTCCGTCGGTGTCAAAGCCAATACCTGGGAAGTCAAGGAGCTCCTGACAGAAGAAGACCGGCGTCAAACCGTTTACCAAGACACCAATTCTGAATATGGGGGTAGCATGCGTGCAAGTGGACATCACCATCACCGCACGTCGCATTACGGTCACCGCAACTAGTCGTTCTTTTCGTTTCCATACGATAAGCACTTTACGAAATCTTCATTTTTTTTTCATGTTACTGGAAGTCATTCCTTGTATTTAATCTAATTTTATGGTTACTAAGCATTCATTACCAGCATGGAGCAGATGTGGATTTTTGTCGGATAAATCAGGGCGACTTCATTTCATCATTTCCTTCTTTTCTCATCTGTTACTTATTTCTCAAACTTAATAATCATTTTAAACCTAATATGAAGCTTGGCATTTGACCCTTTTTCAATTTTATATCTAGATTAAATACAGGGGAAACTTCCATCACCCTGCTTAACGAGGCACCCAATCAGGCATGATATCCACGACGCTAGTTCCAAGCCACTCTAGAAATGAAACGAGAAAAATAATCATAGCTGTAGTTTCAAAAACTCAGCTGTTGTATCACGATACGAGAACTGAATCAGGAGTTATGAACATGCATAAATTGCCTTTGTGAGGGGCTATGAATATCTGATCAAAACCCATTGAAGATCTCAGGTACCAGATCCCAGCTTGGAATTCCGAACGCCAAGAATGCTTAAAGCGGACTACCTCCGGGCCGGCAGCACAGCCGCCTATCCCAGGCCGGTTTTTGTTCTCGGGGTTCTCTTGCCAATCAATGCTCTTTGATATCCACATGTATAGTCCAAGGAATCGACCCAAGAATGAGACAGAGGTTGAGATCGTCGCTGTCTTGCGTTTGACCTGGCCGTGTCTAGGTAAAACGCTCCTTTTTGGGATAAGCTTCGGTTTATTAGGTAGTGATACTGGGAAGAGTATTGATCCTGCGGAGTATGGTGAGACTTACCGGGCGTAATTTGAATCTCATAGGTTGGGTTTCTGATAGGACATGTTTGACCAAAAGTTTAAAAGTGGACACTGTCTATCAGGAAATGTCCGCGAGGAGCACGTCTTTCCATGGGTACCATAGATTTCTTAATAGTGTATGCATTTGTGGATTAATAATCATCCTCTGACTAGAACTTTTGTGATCGACGCCGTTTCATTCCACAACGACAACGTCATCGGCGTCCATGAAGTCATCGTCACCTTCGGGATTTTCTTGCTCTGTGGGATTGTTCTGTTCGGCCGGTGTGGTGGAGCTGTTATACCAGCCCACGTCAATCGAGGCCACCAAGGTCTTGCCAGCCTCGCTGAGCAGGTCAAAGTAAGCCGGGTTGTTCTTAGATATGAACATGCTGACATGGGCTTGAGTTTCGTCTGGGGCTTGATCATTGATGGTCTTGACCCACCGAAGCCCTGGGGTAGGACTTTGTTGGCCATTCTCAACCTCAGGTGGAAGGGTACAAAACGTGCGGAAATTTGAGCGAATAATTCTTTCACTGAAAAATTTCTTGCCTGGTTCCGGGGTTTGGACGAGAGACGACGCGCCTTTGCCGAGACACGTATAGAAGTTGACACACTTGATGCCTCGTTCGCCCTGCACAGTGGCCAAGCCTGCAATACGCTGACGCAGTTCCGAGGTTCTTGCTAGGCATCCCACAAACTCAAGATGAGACGATACCCAGTTGAAACCTGCGGACAAGTTCTGTCGGTTGGTGTATAAAGCAGCCGCACCCCCCGCAGCGACCGCCCCTGCGGCTCCGGCAAACATGGCATACCGACCCCATCGCTGCCAAGATGGAGTTGCAGCGGCATCAGTCGATGCTGGTAGGGCCTGGGGGGGTTCCTTTGCGGTAGCTGCATCTGCTCCTGTTGCTGTGTCGTTCTTTCCACCATATCCGAAGAGCCCAGCAACTTCGGAAAATGTATTGTAGGCAGTAGTAGCATTGCGAAAATGACCCTCTGCCCCGTAGGATACTACACCTGGAGCAATACCTAGGTATGGAGTATCAAAAGCGAGGACTCCTTGGATGTGAGGGAACATGAATGTACCAGGTTCCACAACAGGAGGCTGGTCATCTGGTTCAGGTGCCAACTGTGCATCTGATGTTGAGTTGTGATAAATGGGCTGCTCAGCTGCTAGCAATAGTAGTGTCTCCGCTGCAACGATGCCACCCATGGAATGCCCAACCAGGAAAACGTGGACCGATGGGTCAACAGTAGGTGACGCAGTATGGTTTGCAACCTCCAGATCAATCACGGTGTTCTGCAGCCTGCCATACGCAATCCATCAGTCTTGAATTCAAAAACATGAGAGATATCATGGTGCATGATCTCTTACCATTCTCGGAACCTTCCCACGCATTCTTTCAGATCGCCTTTGGTCTCATACTTGGGGTACACAGCCGTTGCGACCGTGACTGCAGGGAGTGCCTTGCTGACTAAAACCCGAAGATGCTCTGGAAAATGGGCGAAGGTGTCATCGCCACCCTAAATTTATTCAAAGGTCAGCATGAGCCTTGAAAAATTTTGGTATTTGTGCCGCAGAGCGCAGCAGTATGCGGGGAACTGAACACGCGGTGAAGTGGGGCGATGCATACCTTAAAGCCATGAATAAAGACCAAAAGTATGCTCTTATGCATTTTGAAAGAAGTATTGGCGGTCATGAAGCATCATGCAACTGTTGCTGGGACATAACCGCCTGGAGGAAACGCGCTAAGCACAGCGATGTGAAGCCCGACGATAGTGTAGGAAAGTGGATCTGGGGGCCGGATTACGTCACCGTCAATGAAATCCTATATCACGTGAAATCACCGATCTAGATCTATGTATTATAAGAACCATTGCAGGTTATACCACTACCTAGGTAGGTATTGAGTGCTGATAAATTTTTGATCGCATATAAGTTCAAGTCCTTTGACTATACACATGTTATTCTCGGAAGATAGAGTTGGTGTATATATATATATTTTCCCAAAGTTACCTCCTAGCATTTGATCGTGTCCCGCTTGTTATATATTAAAGGGTCTATGTTTATGTGTTGACATTTGGTTGATGTTCAAATATCCAACCTTGAAACTTTCATCTCATAACTTGCCCTTGGGTTGAGGTTTCCGCAATCGAAGCATGCTATCCTGCATCGAAGTCGCAACCAAAGTGCCATCTGGACCCCATAGGTGACTCTCGTGCACAGCTCTGTTCTCCGCCGACTGGGGTGTCCACCCCTCTTGAATAAACCACTTCATGTCTATGTTCGAATCTCCATTCTGAGAGACCGAATCCCAATCAATCATTCGCAATGCATCGCCATGACGATGAATAATCACCATCAAAGTGAGGCTGGACATAGCCGTCCAACGCTTGATACCCAAGGCGCGCGGAATCAGCAGAAGGGAGTTCCTGTCGCTAGAGTACATATGTGCACAAATATAGAGATTGTCATATTCTCCAGCTTGTTCTCTTTCTCTGATCTGTGCAAGTGTTGCGTTGGGATCAGCATCGGGTGATCCTTTGAGACGGTACTGTGACAATTGGCGGTATTTCTCCGGACTTGCTTTGACTTCCTTGCTTTGATTGAAATTCTGCATATCGGTCTTGCGAACATCCAGCCCAGGAAACTCTCGTTCGGTAATGTCGCCCTGTCGAAGGGCCTCGATCCACCAGTCTGCATCAATGCTAGGGCTGACAGATTGGTCTTCGGGCCGTTTAGCAGAAAGGCTATCTTGGTAACGTCCTTGAACTGCTGGTGGTTGATGATTGAAGGTTTTCTCCCCTTCATCACGCTTGAATGAGCACAGACACGAAAAGCAGATTCGGCCGTCTTGTCGGGCATCAACAGAGCGCGTGCAATACATGAATCCATCTCGGACATGGCGTACTGTATATGTGTACGGAATATCTAGCCGGCCACCGAGTATAAAGGACCCAGTCATATCCTACTTGAAATGTTAATTGCGACGTATACAGGTTAGACGGAGCTCGTGCACAAACATAAAGCACAAAACCCTTCTCAACTGTCTTCGATGCAGCATAGGCAGATTGGGCGTATGCATGCCCTCCAAATGCTCGGTCACCCTCCCCAGGAGGGTACGGGGCAGATAGAGATTGGAAATGTTCAATTTTCTCAGGTTCAGCGGAGTTGAGGTGAGGCTCCGCATCGTCCAGTCGCTTCAGTGCCATCAGCTCCACAAAGGTAAGCGGGGAAGGCAGGTACTTCGAGTCATTGTCTGCTGCATCGTGGGATGACATGGTTTATTGTACAGACAGATCGGAAATGAATGCATATAAACAATATCTGTCCGGTGCAGAAAGACGTAGTTTCAATGTGGATCACAACTCTCAGTTGGTTGGATAATGGATTCACCCGCGGCAAACCCCAGTTTACGCGATAAGCCGGATAAGCTCTAGTCCACAAGATAGGGAAGTGATGAAGACCAAAAGCGCAATTGAGTAGAGAGTACTCCGTAGAGACGCTATAGTCGTGAAGAGCGAACTAAGTACTCATTGAGTTCCCGAGAGTTGACATTTCAAAATTGGGAGACCTCGTTACCTCGGCAAACGTACTTGACACTGTTAGATCACGTGCCATAGTAGTTACCGACAGAAAGACTTTCTATAAATTTGAAAATTGAAAGCAATCGAAAGAAAAAGGTGATATCAGATTGTAATTTTGTACAAGATGCGCCAATCGTGCTGACAGTGCTGAGTAATGTCAAACCCCCCATGCTGGTAATGATACACATAAATAAGAAAAGATGAAGACCAATCGCCAAGCCCCAAATATCATCGCAACAGGATCATTGATACGATGTTTCCAGTTTAGGAGGAGTTTCTCAACGACATGGATTCGACGATGGTGCGTGTGCTGTTCCATGCGACCTTGCCTTCGACATCCTTGACCTCCGCGAGCTTGTCACCCAGCTTGACGACCGAGAAGTTGATCATACGCGGGTCCAGACCGAGGGTACGACGAATTGATGATTGGACAGGACCGGATGAGTCAAAACGCATAATGAAGTGGTGACCCTCGCTGTACCGAGCTTGGTGCTTGGTGGTGACCTTGGGGAGACGGAAAGTGCCCCAATTGGTGAAGCCTCGAACAACACCGCCGGAGCGGATGACTTGGGCACCGGCGTTACGGGCAATCCTATGAAGAACATTAGTTGACTGGTCGATGATGGAAAGCGCCGTATTGTCATTTGTAACACATACTCCCGAACCTCGCTGAGGCTGCCCGGGCGGACCTGTGGAAGAACACGCATTAGTCTGCAATTCCAATTTCCACATCTCGAAGAGTTTCCATCAATACATACAATGGCAATTAGCTCATACAACATGGCATCGAATGGTGGCGCAAAAATCCGATAAATAGTAGTAGGGGGAGAACGGATCCGAGTTTCTCCTTTGATCGCGTAAAATCCTATCGAAGTCATAATCCTTATCGGAAGGTCTTGGCAAAATGCGGGTTCCCTTATCAATGAACCAGAACTCCGCCGGGGAAGCAACCGCGCTTCTTTTCCTTCTTAAACTCTCTCCTCTTCCTTTCTTTCTTCTCTCCCCTCCAATCCTCTAATCACAACTTCCAAAATGGCCTCCATTGCTCGCGCTTTCCGTCCCTTTGCCTCCCGGGCCGTTGCCCAGAAGCCTTTGGCCTCCAGCTGCCGTGCTACACCTGCTTTCCGCTTCCCGCGGGGAACCCGGAGCTTCTCGCAGAGCCCTCTTGGTGAGTGAACATGTTCTCTCAAGCTGGTTTTAGAGTCACAAAAGGCCTTTGACATTGAAATTGGTCCCTATGTGGCCTCTCCGGAGCAAAACCAAGCTTTTTATTCAAACATATCACTGACGTAGCCATGAATTGGCATTGACAGCTCAGGTGAAGAAGTACACCGAGTCACACGAGTGGATTGAGCTGGCCGACGGCAGCAACACTGGTTAGTATTACTCCATTGTCATCTTTCAATGCTCCTCAAGTTCTAGGTGGTACGATTTACTAACCCGCCGATTTATAGCCAAGATCGGTATCACCAAGTACGCCGCCAACTCCCTCGGTGACGTCGTCTACGTTGAGCTTCCTGAGGAGGGCCTTGAGGTCTCCGCTGGTGAGCCCGTTGGTGCCGTCGAGTCCGTCAAGTCGGCTTCCGATGTTCTCTCTCCCGTTTCCGGCGTCGTCACCAAGGGTAACACCGTTCTTGAGGACAAGGCTAAGACCATCAACGAGGGCGCCGAGGCGGAGGGATGGATCGCCGAGATTGAGGTTAGCGATGTTGCTGAGCTTGAGGCTCTCCTGAGCGAGGAGGCCTACCTCGCTTCTCTTGATGGTGATCACTAGATCATGAGGTCATAGAGACAGATGTTGGAATTAGATGTACGGGCGGGTTGCCATGAAGAAACCCTCGATTTTATGTTTCCCTGTGATTTTATACTACTTATGTGTCCCAATGGAAAATGGCTTTTCCTTTTTCAACAATGGCGTTTAGACCTGCCGAGCCCTCCACGGCTTTGGCTCAATGAATGAAAAGTGTGCTGAAATCTGATCCCATTGAGTGTGCAGCGACGGACCTGGAAGTTTGAAGTGAATGAGGCCTAACAGTCATCTGGATTTTCACATTAAGTCAATCTAAGTATATGTACAGGTTAGGTATCCATAACCAACTGTCATCTATACAGGTGGAATAGTATCACGACAAATGGGGCATTGGAGACGAAGTCTCATCCAGCTTTCCAAACAAGCCGTATGGAAGATATGTCGGCAGGGTGTCACCATGTAATTACGACGACTCAAGATACTCGTAGCCCCTTCCGAAACAATACTTCCGCCAGCAGAAGTAGGCGCAGGAAGAACAGGGACCTCGATATCCTGCATGCAAATCGCACAATCGAACACGACTTTTTTGCGGTCCTTCGACCGCTGCTTATCATCATCCTTGGAATCGCTCACCAAATCCTGTTTATCGGCTCGAAGGGAAGTGATAGATAATACGCCACCAGCTTCCAAATCGTCATCAGGTCCGGCAGTATCCCGTAACGTGGGGTGGTAGTCATAGGCTGGCGGAGCCCAGCCCCGTGGGACGAAGAAGCGCGGGCCCAAGATATCTTGACTAGCAAGGATCCAGGCCTGAACCCACATCCAACCAGCCATGATAAATGCTGTTGTCCAATCGGGTCGAATAAATAGCACATTGCCCCGGGCTGTAAGGAAATACAAGAAGGGAAACAATCGGAGAGTGCTCTGACCGATCACGAAATCCCACCGCAAGGCCTTACGGCAGTTGCGCATGACGTTGCGGTGGATCTGTGGAACCCAGAACGAGAGGTAAACTCCCGATAAGAGGCGCACATAGATGGATCCTAAACGCCGAGGCAGGAGGAATGCCCATATCGAGAGGATGAGCATGCCAAAAAGAGCAAGATAAAAGCGCGCATACATGGCGCCAACATCACTGCGAATTTGTCCGGCTGTTGGTGTAGCGGTCCGATTGGCGGGCGGTAGCTCTGTTTCATTCTCAGGGGGATCTTGATCGGGAGTTAAAATGATCGGGGTAGCACCGGAGTCTCGGGCTGCAGTGACCGGCAGGGGTAGAGTGCCTGGTCGTGTTGGAGCCGGTGGAGAAGCTGCTTGTTCTTCGCGTCGTTCTGGCTCCTGTACAGCCCAGATCTCCATCATGAACTTCATTCCAATGTAACTGACAGACAAGAATGCCAAGAAGGAAGCAGTTGCTAGTACCAAAAAGGAGACAGCCTCGTAGAGCTCCAAAACGATGAAGGTGAGAACGAAGGCATCACCGAGCGCCATCAATGCGATGGTATAGAAACTGACCCGACTCCGAGTCGAAGGGGTCGAAGCCTCTTTAATCTGGCGCAAAAGCAGAGTGATCTGTGCAACGAACGCCCCAGAAACCACAAATATAAGGCGGGCTGCATATTTACTATACTGTTCACTTTTAGGTCCGGAGAGGTAGAGCGGGTCAGTCGGGGGAAATTCCGGGGTGCCTTTTGTTTCGAGTACATAGCCACAGTCGGGCGAGAAGACGACTGCAGACATGGTCATCAAAGGAGGACTTGGAATAGGTGCCCCCATGGGATACCTGAGTTCTCGTTCAATCCTCTCCAGTGTTAAGCGATCGGCAAGAACACCATCGATCACGACTGGATGTTGTTGTAGGAAGATAACATGTTCACACTTGGGTGCCGGGAACTCCATTTGTTCATTTCCCGCCAAAGAAGACCATGGAAATAGCGAAGCAGGTCGATTCTGTTTCTCAGACATGGCGTCTTTGAGAGACCTGAGCAGAAGCCGATGCGACAATTCATAAGTATCGGCAGATAATGCGAAGTGCGGCAAAGAAAATATGCCACCAAACTTCTCACTTGAAGTAGTCAAAATAATCGCCCCGTTTTCTGGAAAGTGTATTCCGAATAGTGACAAGTACCAGGTGCTGCCCCAAAAATCATCACTCTCAACAGTCAAGCTCGCTCGAATTTCACGTACGAGCCCCTCGCCAAGTCGGAGTTCCTCTCCGCTTCCTTCTTCCAGATCGAAGTATAGTGTGCCTCCGGTACCTGTGATATTGGAGCTAAACTCATGGGTAAAATATTCGTGTTCGCGGGCAATGGCCGTTGTATTGAGAGGAGTCTGGCGCTGAGGATCTCCAGTCCGGCGAACCCAATCCCCTCTTAATTTGCCTGTCGCATTGCGATACACAGGTAGGGACAGGTTGGTCATATTAAACGGGGCTACCCCATTTGGATCATCTAAACCTTTCGGTGGTTCGATGTCGGCATTCGTGAGAATGGACTGGAGCTGATGTCGCGCACGGCTCTGGACATGGGGGAACAAATCCCAGGCATAACTGTCATTCTTCCGCACTCCTGCAAAGGGAAGCCATCGATCTTCCGGCGGATTAAAGTCCCCGTACTTTGTTTCATTCAGGAGCCGCAGAGCATGTTGCTCGCGATCTAGTTCCCGCTGGCGCTGACGGTTCTCATCGATCAACGGAGGGCGCGACTGTGAGCTGAGAAGGAGGTAGAATATCAACAGGAGGAAGAAAAAGGAGCCGCGATTATCCATTGACGCCACGGGGTGTCCGTTTCGGACGTCTCTCTCCACTTCAGAACGGCACGATAAGCATCGCGGGGAGAGCGGGGGAAGTAAGCTCGAGGATACGTGCTCCTTAAAGTACCATGAAAAATTCAAAACTTTTAAGCTCGAGATTAATGAATGACGAGGATGAAAGTGGTAATATGAAGTGTATGAAGAGTGGATGATGTACACGACAAGGCCTCGGTCCCCGCCCCTTCCGCTAGGATTGACACCTTGGGAATCAGGTGTACATCCCTCCAAGGTTGATAGGGAGATTGATCTCCTATTCCAGATTCAAGTCTTCCCCGCAACCACATTTCAGTGGAAACGCGTTAACGGACAGCCATCATGATGGCTTCCAATGTGCCTTACCCTCTTCCTCCACGCACTCCCACTCCGCCGGCGGACGATCCTTCATATGCTTATTCGCAGCCGAGAACGATTGATCGCGACGCCTTGTCGCCATTGCGGGACACTTTCTCCCAAAACCCCTCGCCAGACACAGAAGGTCAGGATCTTCTTAGCCCTAGGTCTTCAGACTTCACATCTGGTCAAAATGAGTCGGCCGACTCTGCCCCAAGTCCGTTCAATTTCAATACGACAATAATGGCAAAGAGCCCGGTAGTAAAATCGGTAAGAGTTATTGATTGCGAAAGGCTTGCGTCTCACTACTAATTAGCTTGTTATTAGAATATTGGGCAACGTCGTGGTCACAAATACAAGCACAGTAGTATTTCGCATCAGATCTTCCTTGAACCTCCCCCTCGCGCACCCCTGGCTCTTCCCAATTCACTTCCTATGCCAACACTCAGTGAATGTCGTGCCAGTATGTCCAAGGAGCAGAAAACACGATTTTGGTGGAGTGTGTGCCATATGTTCGTGGCTGCATATACACTGTGGATGGCGCATGGATCGCTGGCGATGACCGCGTTGTCTCATTTGATTTTGTTTGACTCACTTGGAGCTCTTCTATGCGTTGCTGTGGACGTTCTGGGTAATTTCGAGGTCTGGAAGAGATCCAGTATTCGCCACCCGTTTGGTCTGGAGCGGGCGGAGGTCCTCGCCGGCTTCGCCATGTGTGTACTGCTTCTTTTTATGGGGCTTGATCTGATATCCCACAATCTGCAGCATTTCTTGGAGAAATCAGGCCATGAACCTCACCATCCTCACCCCCACGAACGTGTGCCCTTGGGAAGCGTCGACGTGACTGCCGTTCTGGCTATTTCTTCAACTCTTGTCTCTGCCATTGGCCTGAAGAACCATGCGCGAATTGGAAAAGCCATGCGTTTTGCATATATTGACTCTCTTCCCTCCGTCTTGAGCAACCCAACTCACTTTTTGACTCTCTCTTGCTCCACCCTCTTGCTTGTGCTTCCGCTGGTGTCGATTCAGATTTACAACTGGCTAGATAAACTCCTGTCGGGCACCATCGCTCTTTCAATGTGCTTTCTCGGAGTTCGATTGGTAAAGACATTGGGCTCCATGCTTCTCATGTCATACTCAGGCCCTGGTGTGTCTGAGGTGATCAAAGACATTGAAGCAGAGCCTTCGGTATTTGGCGTTGATGATGCTCGGTTCTGGCAGGTTCATTATGGTCTATGCATGGCCAACGTCAAGTTACGTGTCTCGGGTACTGATGACAATCTCTCTCGCCTACGGGAGAAGATATCAAGCCTTATTCGAAACCGGCTTGGTGGGGGCTATGGTACAGGAGGACAGAGGTGGGAGGTCTCCCTCCAATTCACTATTGAGCGGCCTTGAAAGTCTAGATGTGCATGCCTGAGTAAATGTGCGGACCTTTGGATGTACTCTTCTTGTAACATACGAATTTAAATTTCAATTGTACTATCTGTAAGGAGTACAAACCCCAACCTATCTTTCCGTCATAGATTTCTGCTTCAAGTACGTTTCTGATAGATTTGATGCGGGGTCAATTCAAGGTTATGTAGAACTTCAGAGCAAAGAAAATCTAATTGACGAAAAGCCTTCTTCATATTCAATAGCACACATCGCTGTCGGATACATTGTCCGCGCGAAGACTTCCCAGATAGGATGTCCATATCAAACCGTGGAATTTTGGTACATGCAACAAAAGGAACAAAAGAAGATAAAATAAAGGGAATACACAACGCGATGCTGAATCTCTACCGCCTGACAGACATTTAAACTCATTTATGATGCGGCAGCAAGAATAGCACCTTCCTCGACCTTGCTAACGCCTTCCCGCTGGTCCCGTCGTCGGCGCTTTTCCAAGATAGCCTCGCGGCGCTGTGCAAGCATCTTAAGCTGTCGGCTCTCAACACCCTGGAGCCAGTAACCGAAGCTTCCACCAACACCGGCGAAGAGAGGGTAGACCCAGAGAGATTCCCGGGCGAGGATAGGACGCATTTCGATTCCGAGTTGCCAAAGGCGGACGGCAATGCCTGGGTAGCACATGTTAGCTCTCAATTTCAAATCATAGGCTTGATATTCCAGTGCTCCGACATGAAGCTCAACCCCGGAAGACTCGAGCGATTGAGGAGGGTATAGTCACGTACCGAAGCCGCTCCAGAAGAGAACTTTGTGGACCATGATCGCGACCGGTTGAGGGCGGATAGGAGGATGTAAAAAGGTGCCGAGTAGTTCCGACACGTATAAAAGTGGTAGACTCTGCGCGCTCGCAGTTCAATGTTGCCCGGGGTCGATGTTGAATTGGAGGGCTTGGAGTCGTACTGGGGCGGCCAGGAGTGTGGTTGGAAGCAAATCAGACACCCGCAGTAACCAAGCACGGAACAACTATTTCTCCGCCTCCATCACCCCCGACTGTTATCGCTTATCACTTACGCGCGACTTCAGAGAACTTCGAAACTTTGGCCATTCCTTGCCTGCTCTCTCTCCAATAATGGCCACTTCCGAGGCTATGGAGGACGTGCAGATGGGCGCAAAAAGATCAGGCCTGGATATGGAGAGTCTCAAATTCAAGAAATTCAAAGCAGAAGATCTTCCTTTGTCTTCGGCGCAGCATGCGAGCATTGACAAACTCCTGCACTCATTTAAAAAGAAAGGTGGATTTGACAGCATTCGCAAGAAGATCTGGGCTGACTTCAATGATGGTGTATGTTCTAACTACGACTTCATATCACTAATGATTACTTTGTCTTTCTGATTCCCGGTATCTAACGCATCCCTACAGGAATTCAAAACCAAGTTTACCGACGAGTTGATCGCATTGGCCGAGTCGGAAATCGAGCGCGAACCCGCCCATCTTTCACGCGAGAGAGGAAAAGCTGCGACTTTGATTGAGGGTGCCGTCGACCGAAGTGATGTCTACAAGAACGTCGAGGTATCCATCGACAAGCTAACATCCAATCACCTGGAGTCAATACTTGATGCTGTGCGTGAGATCCGTCGACAAGAAATTGGCGACGAGGCAGCTGCTAAAGAAGAAGAGGGGGGCAAGAAGACGGATGCGGAATTTGAGGCTCACGTGCAAGCCAAGCGAGAGGAACGAGATGCGATCTGGCGCGAGGAAATGCGCAAGCAAAAGGAGATCGACGATGAGCAAAAACGCATTAGAGACGAAGAACGCCGCAAAAAGCGGGAATTGGAGCGACAGAAGGAAGATGAAGAAAGGGCGAAGAGGAAAGAGATCGACGACCAACGACGGGCTGAGCGTGAACGTGAGCGTGAGGAACAAAGAGCTCTTGATGACAAACGAGAACGGGAGCTAGAGGAGAGATACCAACGGCGCAGAAGAGATGACCGTGAACGGTATCGCGATTACGACCGGTGGAATGATTACTCGCCGGCCCATCGCTCCGATCGTGGATTGTCACCACGCAGCCGAGACACAAAACGAGAGAAGTCTGCCGTATCAAAAGATGCAACCCCTGCACCAGTACCTGTGGATGAAAAGTCACTCGAGGAAGCTGCTCTGCAAATGCTGCTGAAGGAGGGAGAGGAGCTCGCAGCGAAGGCACGCCAAAAGCCCGATTTTGATTTTGAAAAGGCCGAGGCTCTTGAGAGTGGATTGAAACTACAAAGCAGCGACTCAAAGTTGGTTAGTGGCTCGACTAGAGCGACCAGCATATCCCGCGACTCCAGGCCCCGCGAGTCCATATCGGATCGAAGAGATCGTACTCGACCACATACCCGAGACCGGAGCCGGAGCCGCTCTCGTCGACGTCGACGAGATCGGTCTAGAGATATTTCAGTGAGATCTCGCGATCGTGACCGTGACATGGATGAACGCCGTGGCTTCCGTGATTTCCGTGATTCCCGAGATGACCGAAGCTATCGGCCAAGCCGTCGCAGTCGCAGTCGATCAGCGGTTAGGGAACGGGATCGTGACAGAGACAGAGTTCGAGCACGTTCCAGATCCCGCGAACGAGACTCTGAACGTCGCCGTGACAGAAGCAGAGACCGTGACCGTGAGTACCGTCCCCGTCGCAGATCTCCTTCTCGCCGACGCTCCCGCTCCCGATCTCGATCTCGCAATCGGGTCCGAGAAGCGCGTTCTCGCTCTCGGTCAAACCCTCCGCGGAGACGCTCTCGTTCTCGATCTACTGCCGCGCGTCGAAGGTCACGGTCCCGTCGCGCCTCACGCACTCGTCGGTCTTCCCCAGCTAGACGGGGCTCGCCTTCTCTTGATATCGACCGTTACGTACCGTCGACCAGCAACCGAAGCAAGTCACCCCGTCGTCGAGCCCGCTCCCCGGAGCGCGAACAAAGATCGCGACTTGGCGAAATTGATCGATATATCCCTGCCTCTGAACGAGACACCGGCAAAGAAAAAGAAGACAAAATCACAACAGAGCCGATAAAAGAAGCAGATGACCGAAGCACTCGTCGGCGGAGTCGTAGCCGACGAAGGAGCCCAAGCCGTCGCCGAAGTCGCACCCCAAGACGAAGCCGAGGAAACTAATGGATATCCGGTGAATTCCAGTGCCTCATAATGTAACAATATAATGTATGACTAGCAAAATGCAAAAGCGATGACTGGCTAAGACTAATAAGTATGCTTCCAAGTTTCTCGATTTATATAGATTTAGCCTTTTCCCTTATCGTTATCGGGGATCCACTCCGCCCAAAAAGTTGAAATCGACTGAGATTGAAACTAAACTTTCTTCAACCACATTTATCCACTCACAAAAAGGCCCCAGTCGTGCCTAGAAGTCGACAACTACACGGTCAATTAATTACAAGAATCGCCATCGTTATATATCAGCGACCTCAACGTCCTTCCACACCATATCCACAACGACGGACAAAGCATCTCAGCAGCGCATATTTCACATTCTAAAGGAAGCTCAAAACCCTTGTGACCACTCAAAATGGGGTCCACAAACCGCCAAACTAGTCTCCCTATGCGTCCCTCAGCGCCCATCCCTGACAATGAAGATTCCGACCCAACGTCCTCCTCCGGCTCCTCATCCTCAGAAAGCGACAGCGAAGACTCGGAAGATGAGAATGACATGCACCACGAACCTCGGGCTGCTATGGATACATCAAATACATCATCAATACCTAATGTGTCGGGTCGCCCGAAGCCAAAAATACATAAGATGCAGGGAAATTCCGAGCTGTTGGCGCGGTTGTCTTCGTTTTTGCCGAAGATGAAAAGTGCGAATGAGGATTTGGAGAAGGAGATTGCGGCTGGAAGGGGAAAGGATATTATTCTGGATGAGGTGGATGATGATAAGGATTATATTGAGATGGTATGTGCACCTGAGTTTATTGATTTATTCTCGTTGGATGCTTGCTGACTTATCTAGAATCTTGGATTGGGAGTGTTAGAGGAAAAACGTGACGGAGATTCTAGTGGCGATGAGGCCGATGATGAAGATATGGGTGGAATGGAGTCGGGGACGAAGAAGAGTGGCGTTGATGATATTTTGGAGAAGTTGATGGGTGGGAAGGATTTAGACGCTGACAAGCCGTCGATTGAGGAACTTGGTCAATAGAATGATTTTATACATGAGGCCTCACAATGTGAGCACTGCAGAGAAGGGTCTCTAGAGTACATACTAGTAGCTACAAGGAAAGCAAAAAATCAAAGGCATATAATTTCGTACATTTTATGCATCCGCACCGCCAAATATCCCGTTAAACAAGTAAAGTCTATGAAGACACCACTGAAGAGAAGATGAAAACAAAACAAGCATGTCAAGTGTCTATTTATATGCATGAACCCATCACATTATGGCAGAGCCATATGATTAAAATTTGATTAAAGTTGGACATGGCGTCGTAGAACGGTCTATGCGACCTCCTTGATGCGGCATGTCCAGCCAGACTCCTGGCTGAGAAGCGGCAAACTAGCACCAAGACACCAGCCCAGCTCATTGTCTTTGATCTTCTTGGCAATCTTGACCTCGCGAGTCAAGGGCATTTCGTAGCCGGTGTGGAGAAGGCTGAGCATAAAGTTGAGATCCAGGCACCATTCCGGACGATCACGGAGCTCGGCCATGGCGCCCTCGACGCTCTCAAAGACACCCCAGCTGTCCTCACCACCACAAACAGTAGAGGTGAGATCGTGAAGCTCGCCCAGAGTGAATGAAGAAGGCATGCCCAGAGGAGCAGTGCGGTCATAGAAGTAGGAGAAAACGTAAACGTCCTCGCGAGAGAACGTCTTCTCGAGAGACGGCTGGTGAACACCGTTGAATGAACAAGGAGCCAACTTGCACTCGTTATCCTTCTTCAAGGTCTTCTCGGCGATAGCACGGCACTGAGGAGCAGCAGAGGAGTCCTTAGGACCCACCATGTTCACAGTGACTGAGGGGCTAAGAGGGTGTGGCTCAGGGAACGCTACGGTAACCGTTCGCTCCATATCAGGGCCAATACAAGGGTTGGTGATAGGGCGCTTCAGCCAAGAGAGGTCCTTGGGGTTGTTGGCCAACATAGCCTCCAGAACAACCTTGTGCATAGCCTCACGAGCCGACATCAGACCATAGCCAAGGTGAGAGTGCTGGTAGAGTTCAAACTCGCGGCCACCAAAGTTGAGCTCATACTTGTGGTCACCAGGGGCCATGTGCTCGGGCATACCACCAGCCTTACTCTGCTCAAAGGTGGGCTGGAAGACAATCTGAGTGGAACCACCACCCAAGTCAAAGACGGCAGCGGTGGGGGTCTGATCGGGGCCACCGATCTTGCCCAGGAGGTAGTTGGTGGTAATCCAAGCGTAGACACCCTCATCCTTGCCGTCCATGATCTGAACACCACCCTTATCCCTGGAAACAACGGGGAAGGGGAAGGCGGTTTCCAGACGGTGGCGCACAGCCTCCAAGATGTTAGTGCTCAACTCGGGGCCCAACAGACGCAGACCGGCAGTGGCCTTGACGGCAACCGGGGTGCACGACCGGTACTCCGCGGGGACGTTCTGCATGGCGACCTCCATGAGAGGGTCCAGGCTGAGAGCAGCACCCTCAGCGTCTTCCTTGTAAGAGCTGAGACCAGAGCCGCCCTCCTTCTTCGCGGTCTGCTCAAAGACCTCGTTTTCCAATTCCGGAGTAGAGCCACAGTTGTTGAATCGGTAGACGTGAATACGGGAGCCAGTGCTTCCGGCATCAATCATGAGCGCATACTGAATCAGAGGCTTGGAAGAGTCGAAGGGCTTGGTGCACTTGGCGGATGAACCGGAGGTCGAAGGGGCTTGTTCTATGATTGATCAGTCTTCTGGACCACTTGGGACTTTTGGATGAGATTTACCCTGAGCGTAGCCAGAAACAGTTGAACGAGACGGAGACAACCACAATATGACCATAAACACAAAGGCGATAATGGCGCCAGTCTTTAGGTAGCGCGTTCTTTGGGTTTGTCCCATGGTGGCGGTTTGTTTGTCGGATACTCGATGGGACTCAACGGATGCGAAAAGGGGACCGTTGCTTCGGGAGAACGAGCGCTGACGGACTGATGTACTCTGATCTAGAGGTTGAGTAGGATTTGGTTGATCGTGAACTCCAGTCGACATGCGAGCAACCGGGGCGATAAGCAAAAAAGGCAAGTGCTGTTGCCACCGAGGAGAAAAGAATGACAAATATTAAAAGGCAAATAAGCAAGAAACCATTGAACCTCCAATAACACCAAACAAGTCCAAACCGGAAGGGGAAATTGAAATGGTGAAAGTCGGGGAAAGGAAAACAGGAGACGCAAGAGAAAGGAGATCCAAGGGTTTCAGGGTTGTGGCGCATGCTGTGGCGTGGGATTACTTGATCCGGTCGAACTCCATACTCTCTCCTCATTTGACAACCCGTGTCCGGGAGCTCTCTTGTTCACACCAAGCATTCCTCAACTCGAATTTCTTCTCGATTATTCGGAACAAACCTTTCCCTCCTATCCTACCGAATCAAATATGAATCATACTCGCGGTCTGATGTCTACCGCGCAAGCCTTGCGCCAAACCTTTCTCACACCTTTTAAGAGCTCCAGAGTCGGACTCTTACAGCCAACTGCCCTTCAGAACGGTCTACAACTAAGATACTTCCAAAATACCCGCTGTCTCGCCCTCAAAATAGCCCGACCTCCTGTCAAGGGACCCATAAAGGATGAAGAGATTCGCGCTCGAACCGTGCAGCTAGTCAACTCCCAGGGCGATCTTGAGGAACCCGAGCTTCTTGACGATGTTCTGGCGTCCTTTGATCGCAACAAATTCTTTCTTGTTCAAGTCTCTCCAGGTGCCTTCAAGAAGCCGCCAGTCTGCAAAATCTTGAACAAGTTGGAGTATCGAAATAGCGAGAAAGCCAAGGAAAAGGCAGCAAAGGCAGCCAAACAGTCGTTCAAACAAATTGAATTGAATTGGGCCATCGATGCTCATGATCTCGAACATCGCTTGAAGCAGTTGACTACCTTTTTGGAAAAAGGTCGGAAGGTTGAGATCATCTTGACTCGGAAGAAGCACAAGCGGCCTCCCACCGTGGACGAGATCAAGTATGTTATGCAGAATGTGCTAGACACTACACGAGAGGCTGGAGGTACACAAGTCAAGGCTATGGAGGGAGAACCGGGCAAGCGTGTGATGCTCACTGTGAAGAAAGGCGACAATTGAAATAATTAGGACTGGCCTGGATTCTGTACATCATGGATTTGTCAACTGTATAATATGTATAGCTACAGGTGTTATTAGCATAGGAATTATATACATACCTACTTTGATTCTGTGTATGTAGTCTAGATACCGATGCCATCTACTCCGTACTCCGTACCGCTCCGGGAGCTTAGCTGGCTTTTGTACTACCCTGTTAGGTAGCGATCATATGTATTCCACACCCTGATTGACCTGGATTATTAGACATCCATGAATGCATAGTTACACGTCATTTCCATGGATAAACCCACTTTACCTTTCAATGTTCATGTACTGTCTTATCGTTAAATTGACGACACCCGTAGACCTCCGCAATTCGTAGCTCCTGATTGGTGGATGCATGACTAAGCCATGGGCCCAGAAAAATTGGGTGTTGATTTCCCCGTCTCTTGCTTCCCATCGTTCTTATTGCTACCCTTTTCTATCGTTTTTGCTTTCCAATTGCAAGATGTCGGGCCTTTCTCGTTCCTTCAACATCCTGGCGCGCACCAGCCGTGCATCCCTCCTCCGCCCCAGCGCCGTCAACCCCATCCACCATGTCTTCGCCAGTGACAAGATGGCTGCTCGTGGTCTGGCCACTGCTTTCGAGCGTACCAAGCCCCATGTGAACATTGGTACCATCGGTCACGTTGATCACGGAAAGGTGAGATGGTTCGGTTGATATTACGGATGATTGCGCGCGTCTAACCTGACTTCCATAGACCTCCCTGACTGCTGCTATCACCAAGCACCAGGCCTCCAAGGGTCTGGCCAACTTCTTGGACTACGCTTCCATCGATAAGGCCCCTGAGGAGCGCAAGCGTGGTATCACCATCTCGTCTGCCCACATTGAGTTCCAGACTGAGTCCCGTCACTACGCTCACGTTGACTGCCCCGGTCACGCCGATTACATTAAGAACATGATTACTGGTGCTGCGAACATGGACGGTGCCATCGTTGTTGTCGCTGCCTCTGATGGTCAGATGTAAGAATCACAATCCTCTTCACTCGTGAAGTCTTGAGAAGTTGCGCTGACCCATTTTTGATAATTAGGCCTCAGACCCGTGAGCACTTGCTGCTGGCTCGTCAGGTCGGTGTCCAAAAGATTGTCGTTTTCGTGAACAAGGTCGACGTCGTTGAGGACCCCGAGATGCTTGAGCTTGTCGAGCTTGAGATGCGTGAGCTTCTCTCTACCTACGGCTTCGAGGGTGAGGAGACCCCTATCATCTTCGGCTCTGCCCTTTGCGCCCTTGAGGATCGCCGCCCCGAGATCGGTACTGAGCAGATCAACAAGCTCATGGAGGCCGTCGACACTTGGATCCCCACCCCCGCCCGTGATATGGACAAGCCTTTCCTCATGTCCGTTGAGGAGGTGTTCTCCATCCCCGGTCGTGGTACCGTCGTCTCTGGCCGTGTCGAGCGCGGTCTTTTGAAGAAGGATAGCGAGGTTGAGATTGTTGGTGGTAGCGAGGTTCCCATCAAGACCAAGGTCACCGACATTGAGACCTTCAAGAAGACCTGTGACGAGTCCCGCGCTGGTGACAACTCCGGTCTGTTGCTCCGTGGTATTAAGCGTGAGGACATCCGCCGTGGTATGGTCGTTGCTGCTCCCGGCACTACCAAGGCTGCCCAGAAGTTCCTGGTCTCCATGTACGTTCTGACTGAGGCCGAGGGTGGTCGCCGCACTGGATTCGGCAGCAACTACCGCCCCCAGGTCTACCTCCGCACTGCTGATGAGCCCGGTGACCTCACCTTTGTCGGCGAGGACCAGTCCGGCCGTGTCCAGCCCGGTGACAACGTCGAGATGGTTCTCTCCACCCACCGTCCCGTCGCCGCCGAGGCCGGTCAGCGCTTCAACATCCGTGAGGGTGGCCGTACCGTCGCCACTGGTCTTATCACCCGTGTGCTTGAGGAGTAAATGGTTTCCTTCGCTTATGGCTGAGCTGCTTTTGCGGTCCAGCCTTGTATTATGACACCCCTTTTCTTTTACTGTTTGTCTGCCACTTTATATACACAGCGTGGGAATCATTGGCACAAGGGATCCGGGAAGAAGCCGGAGTTATCGCTTGACGTCTCATTCATGTACCTTTACCGTCTTGGAGATGTAGCTTGTTGTACCTTCTCCCCTCATCCTGTGGAAATGTATTAAAATAAGTCCAAATCAAAACTGTTTAATCATCTCATTCAAAACAACGTTGCACGTCTGAGTTGTGACTGAGAGTTCATATAGCTTCGTCTAATATGCTTCATGTCCAGATCATTTCTAGCAATAAGAGCGGGGACGCGCGAAAGGATACGTAATATACATTATTTGAAGCTTCAAGGCTCCAACACTATGATATAAAAGATGAGCCTCATCGATGCCCGCCTGTTACTGTGGCAGCATGCTGCCGTCAGACCAGTCCAGGTTCCATCCCTGATCTAGTCCAATATCGACATTAGGGGTTGGAAACATGTACCGCCCAATATCGTCAAATAGTCCGCTGAAAGCATGGACCTCTAAGCCGGCAACAGAGTTGGGCGTCATCTCATCATTTGCAGGAAGCGGCTGGCTCCTGTAACCTCCGGTAACACCAGCGACTGGAGTATGACTGTTGTTCGTAACAGTGGATGCACAATCTGGATCTGACAAGGGCGGAGTATAAAGCTGACTAGGAGTCTTCTGGGATGAAGTACTAGGCTCTGGACCAGGTACTCCAGGGACTTGTCCTTTTTTCCTCGGGCTCGCAAACTTGGCACCAGCTCCAACAGTGATCGTCCCAAAATAAGGCACGGTGATCTTGCAACTAGTTGCTAGGTCCCAGTCTCCCTTTTCCAATCGACAGTTGTACATTTCGCCAAGAATATTCGCCGACTCGGCGGCAACGGACCCGCCACTTTCGGCCGCAGCTTGACGGAGGATGGCGACGAGGTCTCCTACTAGCTCCCAGTCTCGTTCGTCTTCTTCTTTACTGTGGTCTGGTGATTCCTCAGAGTAGCCATGTAGGTGAACGACCAGCAGCATGCCCATTGTAAAGGCCATGAAATCGACAATCTTGCACAAGTATGATCGGACTGTTGATCGAAGAATCTTGTAAAAGGCCTGTGCTTCCCGAGCAGATTGGATCGCCGTCTTATGGCAGAAGCTATACCTTGGATCATGTGGATACTTCAACATAAACGGTAGATGGAGAAGAGCCCGTAATACCTTAGGCATGAACTGCAGCGGAATTCGTTCCAAATAGTGCGCTTTGTTTTCGCCGAGACCAGGCTCTGAGCCCATTTGACTATTTGGCATGGAATTCCAGGCATCCATGAGTTCTTGATCGAGCTTCAAGGTAGTCTCGAGACACATCTCGGCTGGGTTTTGATTGCGATCGATCATGTGGCCGATGATGATACCGATCCGCAACATGTACTGCTCAGCAGCAGACTCCGCAGACTTCAAACGTCGCTCCACTTGTGGTATGTAGAATGCGTCGGAAATGACGTAAGGAAGACCAAGTATGAGGCTAATAAATCGATCTAATGTAGCTAGCGAGCACCAGATTTTGAGTCGTCTCTCGAATAAAGTATCCAATGGTCGTGGGGTCTTGGTTGATAAGTGCATCCCAGCTAAGTGAGCCAACTCGATAGCTCGACGGTTAATTAGCCACGCCTTGCGCAGCCGGCCCTCGTTCATGTGGAACTTGGAAAGCAGCAAGTGACATTCTATACCAGGTAGTGTTGCCGAAAAGTCATCGTCACGGACAACCAGTCTGTCAACCGCTTCGCAGCACCGAGATGCGAATTCTTGAGCATCCATAGGCATTTGTAGCATGCTGAAGTCAAATTCCAGAGGTGATTGAAGAACGCTGAGAGACAGGTACACTAGCGCTTTTGCGATATCAGCAGGCGCTACCAGAGTCTCTTGGAAATCATGTCTTGCAGCAAAGACCTTGTACAGCGCCGAGACATCATCTTCGCACATGCATGACAGGTGATGAGAGCACTGAGCTAGGACTTTTTGTATGTCTTGATCAGAAGGAAACAATGATATGAGCTCGATTCTGACTGCTCGAGCTTTGGGCGACGTATCTTTCGCGCCCATAAACTGGTCATTGATGGATGGGTCGTCTCGGCGACTGACAAGATAGTTGTCAAATAGCTGCAAGACCGGCGCATTCTCAATCTTCTCACTTGATGGTCCCAGTCTATCAGGTTCTGTAGCTACAGGCGTCAAATTTCTTGTAATTTGACCAGCTATACATAAAGATCGTTAGCAATGTCAGGTATCCAAGAAAGCCCATGTGGGTCGTCCAGAAGCAATGGGTATCAATAAAAGCTCAATATTGATCTTACATTTGGATATTGCAGCATTAGTTTGATCCAATCTTTTCGCCAGGTCCACAACTACAGTCTCCAAATATGAAACTCGCTCTCGGAGGCTATATCGCTCCGACGGAGCGCTTGGATCCTCTGAGCCATGCTCCTGATCAAAACATTTCGAGCCTCTTAGACGACATTCGTTGCAGGTTTCACAGCGATCAGAATCATAAGTGCAGCGAATTTTACGACGTCGGCCTGTCTCTCAGTTCAGTACTAGTTCAGGAAGCGAAGAGGTGATATCTCACGCACATTCCATACAGCTTCTGGTGCCTTTTCGCATTCTCTTGCGAGGCGGACCCTGTGCATCGATTGAAGACTCCACCATTCTGTCAACTATTTCCGATATCTCGCAAAGGAATCAGTCATTCCGCCAGTCGGCGGAAAAGGAGAAGTTGATTCAGATATGTCCCGAGATTTGGCGTGATGTCACTTCGGCATGGAAGGATGAGATGCGCCGAACTCCACAGTGGGGAATATATGGTGTAAAGATTTGGCTCCGTGTGAGGCAATGGGCTTCTGAGGGAATTTTCGATCAGAGGAATAAAATACTTTATAGGTAAGCCTCTTCACGTAACTATGCCCTGGAGTCTCGGGGCAATTATGGGTGGGTCTGAGTGCGTGGTGATATGGTCGCTTGTCGGACTTTATCTGAAATATGAACCCGGAGAAAGCTTGAAGTGTTGTAACAGCTTGTTTGAAGTTTTTGCAATAGAGGTTTAAGCTATTGAAAGAGATCTCAAGTACTGACTACGGGCTAACCAGTCCTGGCTTGGAGAGGTATCCTCCTGCACATACGGAGTAGACGGATTGCTAACGGTAACGCCACCAAGATATTGGAAGCACATCAACGACACTATGGAGAAGTGGCATTAATCGTGAATTTGACAGCTGGATCAGCTAGTGAGGATACTACCCTTATTCCACCAACTGATAGACTCGCCATATGTCTGGCCATATATAGTTCTTAAAACCACGCGCGCCATGAGTTATCTCCACGAACCGGACAAAATTGGTCCGACCATTCGTCCGTTAATTTCGGCCGAATTATAGACCGATCAAAAGGATTGTTTCATGGCTCCGTTGATAGTAACGGGATGTGGGAATATTTGTGGGTGCACATGAAGTCACAGTAAAGCTTTATTTTGGATGCATTTCTGCTTTCATAGCATACCGTGGCCTGAAAGGTCGATAATGGGGGTATTATTAAGGTATATAAGAAGCTATCGGGCCAGGTGTACGAAGTACGCAGTGCATACTCCCAATCAGCTTCAAGGTTGATGCATGCGCGGACGTACATCTGGCCAAGGTAAGCTCAAATGGTCAAACAGCTTCCACTCACCCGCAAAATCCATGATATAGATACATGCTGAGCAAGCTCCAGATGTAGTGCTGCTCCAACTTGGAAGGCAGCTGTAGGGCCTATTGGCAAGACATGTGTGACAAGAGGAAGATCGGGAGGCAAAGGAGTATAGCGGCATCGGGGTATTGTAGAGCTACTAACATTGAGCTCATGCTTGCACCTCGGGCTTGTTATTTGATCTTCAATTTCTTGCTTATCTTTTAGCTTTGAGTATTCTTTTCGGTCCCTTTCTGTTTTAGAGTGGAGTCTTTCTTGGAGTTACGGAGATTGTACATAGATGTAGACGTAGTAGACGTATCTATTGTGCTAACATGACCTCGGGAGATGGTTATGTAATTGACTTGGAAGTTAACAACACTTCATTACTTTTGATTTATTGCGTTTGACTCAGCTTCGAATGTCATTATACAACCTCGGGCCTTTTTAATACTCGTGCAGTGACCTTGTGATCCGCTATATTGGCGCATGTGTTTACTTGATCCACCTGCTTCCCCCCCAACCACCTAGTTCCCGCTCTCCTTGTTCTCGCCACTTGCGATCTGTCCCCACACCACAACCTCAAGGGAACGCTGTGAAGATGACTGAACGCCCATCGGGACTGGGCAGAACTCCAACTGCGCCTCCTATAATGGCTAATGGTCATTTCGCCACGATCGGTAACAATGCGGACGCCGCCGATGCTTACGAGCATGGCGTGCAGGTCATCGATGGAGATAAGGAGTTCAAGTACGACGACCCCTCTGTTTGCGCTTCACCTGCATCTACAGCTGCTAACAATACCCTGGCAGCCCGAACCTAGCCAAGTACCTATCCCTCGAAAATGTCACCCCGGCCGGCTTCAATTACCACCTCGTCTCCGTGTTTGGTTCGCAGTCCACCGGCAAGTCCACCCTGCTGAACAACCTCTTCGGCACCCAGTTCTCGGTTATGTCTGAGCTGGAGCGCAGACAGACTACCAAGGGTATCTGGCTGTCGAAGAATAAGAAGCAAGAGGAAAGCGCCGCTGCCGATGGGTCGCGCATGGCAGACAATATTTTGGTGATGGATGTCGAGGGAACCGATGGTCGCGAACGAGGGGAGGACCAGGACTTTGAGCGCAAGAGTGCTCTTTTTGCGCTTGCGACAAGTGAGGTCCTCATTGTCAACATCTGGGAGCACCAGGTGGGGCTGTACCAGGGAGCCAACATGGGTCTCCTGAAGACCGTCTTCGAGGTGAACCTGCAACTCTTCCTCAAGGACAGGAGGTATGCACAATTTAAATTATACTCCCCCATTCCTTGACCCAGCACTAATTGATTTTCTAGTACTACGCACCGATCCCTCCTTTTCTTTGTTATTCGCGACTTCATCGGCACCACCCCGCTCAAGAACCTCCAGAAAACATTATTAGAAGACCTGTCCCGTCTCTGGGATACGATCTCAAAACCAGCTGGCTTGGAGAAGTCCACGATCCACGACTACTTCGATTTCCAGTTCTACGGACTTCCGCACAAGGGTTACCAGCCAGATCAATTTGTGGCGGAGATCAAGAAGCTTGGCCTGCGGTTCCGTGAGGGCTTCCGAGACCCTAAACGAGATGCGCTTAGAGGCGAGTTCTCAGAGGAAGGTGTCTTTTTGCCTGAATACCACCGGCGCATCCCGGCTGATGGGTTCTCGCATTACGCTGAGGGCATCTGGGACCAGATTGTCAACAACAAAGACTTGGATCTTCCCACACAACAAGAACTGCTCGCCCAGTTCCGTTGTGATGAAATCTTGCGCGAAGTGATGTTTGGATTCGATGAGGCTATCACTGCGTTTGAGGACAAGCAGGCTGAGGCTATTCGTTTGGGAGCTCCAGAAGTGCTCGGTGGATTGGGTGCAGCCATGCGGGCAGCTCGCTCCAAGACCCTCAAGGGCTTTGAGACCGAAGCCAGTCGGTACCACAAGGGTGTTTATCAGCGCAAAAAGGCTGAGCTTGAGGGCAAGGTCGATACCCGGTTGAAGGCTCTTTTCCACGGCCAGCTCTCGGCTGCACACAAGTCTGGTATCCAGGAATTTAGCGATACCGTCACCGAATCTGTCAAGTCTGGCCAGAAGAAGGGCGGCAACTATGATTTCGCTGAGATTGTGAACAAGGAGACCAAGATTTCGTTAGAGAAGTTCCAGGAGGTGGCTAAATCTACCGTGGTGGAAGGTACATCGTGGAGCAATTACAAGCAAGAGCTGAAGCTGTACGAGAAGGAGCTGTCCGAGGCCAGTGCTCGTCTGCGGCGGGATGAGATGAGACGCCTTGCGAGCCGTGTCGAGCGTTGGGTGCAATCTCGTCTGGGTGAATCCGTCGGACTTGAATTTAACAACCTTGGCTCCGGCCGTGCCGGCAGTGGTGCCCCGGAAAATGGAGAAAAGCCCACCGAGAAGGAGTTTTGGGATCGGGTGTGGAATGTGTTTGTTGAAACCGTTCTTGACGCGGAACGCAGATTCACGGACCGGGCTAGCAGCTTTGATGCCAGCCTTGAAGAGGTCGATGTTGGACTGTGGCGCTTGCGTCGTAAATCATGGGGTGTTCTGCGTGCTAAGATTGACGAGGAGATGACCGAAGGTAACTTGCTGCTGAAGCTGCGTGAAAACTTTGAAGACAAGTTCCGGTATGACGATGAGGGCGTACCGCGCATTTGGCGCCCGACGGATGACATTGAGGGCGTCTACACTCGTGCTCGCGAGTCAACCTTGACATTGATTCCCCTTCTGTCTCGCTTCCGTCTTGTCGAAACCTCTGCCCCACCGCCACTTGACCGGTGGATTGGACACACTCCTTCCTCGGCGACCCCTGCGGACGAGGAGGACTTGGCCCCCATTGGAGGAGTGGATGAGGATGAAGGCAAGAGCCTAGAGGAGGAAATGACAATTCTCGGCGACGCTAAACGCCAAGAGCTCACTGTGCGCTTCAAGAAGACGGCCGACGGCGTGTACGTCGAGGCCAAGCGAAGTGCCATCGGTGGCATGACCCAGGTGCCACTCTACTTCTACGGCCTGCTGATCGCCTTAGGATGGAACGAAATCGTCGCGGGTAAGCTCACATCTTTTCGTCTCATGATACGTTTACTGACATGAATGCTACTAGTCCTTCGCAACCCGGCCTACTTCTTGCTGCTGGCCGTATGTGCCGTCGGTGCCTACATTACTTACCAGCTTAACCTGTGGGGACCTATTCTGAAGATGACCGAGGCAGCATCGCAGCAGGCCCTTGTGGAGGGTAAACGTCGTCTACGCGACTTCCTTGAGTCATCTGATACTGGTCGACAGGCTATGGCGATGTCAGCTGAGCGCACAGGTTCAAGCCGCAGGGAAGAGTATGAGATGTCAGACATGCAAAAGCCTGGCTCTAAGGCCAGCGATGACCTGGACGACCTGTAAATTTTATGCCTTGCTGCGTTGTATTCTCGGTAGATTTATAATAGTGGCGGCATTGGATTATCAAGCGGCCCGGTCGATATGTACTAAACAATGAACCTATGCATTTTTCAGTTTATTTCTAAGTTCAAGCTGAATATGGACTTGCTAGATGTCGCCTCAGCAAAGTCTACATGTAGTATAATATGTGTGCTGGATTATCTTTCGGCTCTGCTTTTACTTTTCCATCTCAACGCTCATCCCCTAATATTGTTGCAGGGTACATGTAGACGAAGAACCCTCCTCTGAAAGGAATGAGTATACCCATATAACACTTCCCTAGAGCCGAATACATGGGGAATCGGTCCCCACTTTCACCTCCACGTTTGTTTGTTTTCTATATCACGCTTCGTAGCATGACATCGGACCGCTTGGCTGCCTACGAGATGGATTCATTTCCCAAGTAGCTGAATATTTATATTGTAAGAAATAATACAACCTAGAGATTTTGTCACTCGTGAATTTGATCCCGCTGACAAATAATTCACGAATATCCAACGATTGGATTTGGCTCAAGGACTGATGCTTCTAGGATTGCAGAAGATTGTAAGGTGGCATTTCCGAGGAATTTTGAGTAGAAAGGTCCGAGTCATTCTTATGGGCGGATAGATTTCCTCCATTATATTGTACTTGCTACTCTAACGACAAGAAATGCTGGGGCCGAATGTCAGATTATCCACAGAAAAAATGATGTGCTATAAGTACAACTTCTCAACAATTACCATATAACCTTTAGGAAGTCACTATCAGAGTATCTTCTTTAATAATATATTCTTTGTCTACCTTCCTTCGGAATGGAATATATTCAAGAATAGAAATATATTTTGCTTAGTAGACTTGCGCGGCTTCATCGTCGATGCTAGATCCAGCAAAGTCAATAGACTTGACGTGATTGGCATTATCCACAATAACGTTGTGACAACCAAGTCACTCATAAGAGCGGATCTCACTGTCGTAAGTATGGAACTTGAACGCTCCTGACGAGGACCGAATTTCAATGACATGATGCTTGTCAACAGCGAAGATTACCAAGACTGTACCGACTGTAAGGAAGGCACAGATTGAGCCTGAACGGGAAGTCATGTGGAGGACACTGGGCGGGAATTTCGAAAGGGAATACCCGAAAGAAAGGGTGAGAGGGTAAGTTTCACTTCTCATATCGTTAAATCAGCTAACATTTGAGCGTACAGGTGCAGAAACTTCAAATCCGTTCTCCATGACTGGGATAATATTCCCACCTCAGATGATCCTTTCCAATACTGGCGAGGCGATGCAGCCCCATTCGCTTCTTCTCATCAACGAGATAGTCCTGTCCGATACTAACGATGCATTTGTTAGCTGTGATATAGGCATGCTGATATTTTTCTTTGCAGCGGGATGGAACGGACGAAGACGTAGTGGGCGGAATTATTGGCTAAAGCGGAACCTGCCTTGGAGCTTTTCAATGTGTGGTTGGTGTCAAGGGATCAGCAGAGTGTAGTTGAGTCATGGTTGTTCGGTTAAACTGGCTTATTGAGGGATAAGATCTCATTTAAGCTACCACCTGACCTGATGAGATATTTCCGGTAATTATTGGTAGCTACTAGTGGATATAGGTTTCATATAAAATAAGGTCATTCATGCTGTGTCCCATCGCCTGCCAAAAAATAATCATTCCGCTTTTAAAGAGTAGTATACAAGTCAACTGAATGTAAAGCTGAGGCAAAAATTGCCCTTTTTGGGAGCTAGTGACACGGTTCAGGTGATCCCCCCCATTTGCTCCAGCGCGTGCATGTCTTTAGTTAGATCTCCCTCTCTCTCTCTCTTCCTTCTCCATCCATCTCGGAATACAGATCTTGTCCCTTTCGTCTGTTTTCAAGCTACCATGTAGCCCTTTCTTTTCCTGTATGACTGCAGGATCCAGCTCTTGATATCCACCTTCGACAATCCCCATTGGTAACCGGTGACATTTGTTCTTGCGATGGCTAAAGCACGCACAAAGAGACATGAAAAGGCGAACCAGTGCAAAGCCACATAGCCAGGCAATCAGCCCAAGAGTGACACCAAGGAAGCCCGGGAGGATAAAATGATGCATTAATCGCATGAAAATGCGGTCCCGATGACAACCATGGATGATTGGTGACCAGAGATCCATGCTCCACGGCCGGTCAGAATGGGAACGTCCCTCATCTTGTGTCTGAATTGGCTCTAAAAGGATTTGAGAGACAAGAGTGGAGCCATCAACTTGACGAAAAAGATCGACGACAACAGTATCGGATGTAACGGATGCACCTTTGGAGTCTAATAAATCGACACGAACTCTAATGAATGTCGGAACTGAGCCATTTTTATCCGGTAGTGGCTGGGCTTCTAGGGCATAAGAGAGCTCGACAATATCTTCCTTAGAGGGTATATTTGCTGGGTCGTCCCGTCGAGGCGCATGTAGCCGCATTGGCCTCAATGGGGGGAAGACACAGTCATCGTTCGCGAACAGGGAGCCGTTGACAACGGCCCAATTGAGGTACTGCAGTACTGTTAGATCTGGAGAAATTCATGGATCGGCAGATTCATCCTACCAGATATGAATTTGCGACGCTCTCAAGGCCAACAGAAGGGAAATAGGGAAGGTAGGTTTCACGAGCAATAGAGACGAGGGTTGACGATACGATATCACTGCCCAGAAAGACTGTTGCCCACAAGCTGAAACGCATGTCAAATGGAATGTAAACTGAGATATTCAAGAATATTGGTCAAATAGCAAAAAGCAATAGGTAGTGATGTTGTGAGAATCGTAAGAAAGAGAAGAACTTTCTGAGGCTAAGGGAGCCGTCTGAGGCGAAAGAGAGCTTTTATACCCGACGAATAGCGAGGCGGCGACCTGGTACAAAGGCTATAGCTTCAAATAGGCACCCCTATTATACGTCAAGAGCCCAGGACTGATACATGTAGTCGGCTATGTATAGATTCCCTCAACAGTGGTTCATTGGTTTAGTCAATCGACTACCCCGTTGTTGGTTACCACAAACTATGATTCGAGATTTTCTTCGAAATGTAATCTTTTAGCAATATACTTAATTTCAGGCTACAGTGATAATCAAGTGTGATCTTTGAAATTCAAATGGAATTTTCCAGTGATTAATTAATATTGGTAATGTTCAACCTCTGGGATCATCGTGTCCTGGATAAAAAACCCTATGCCCCATAAGTTGTGGTAAGTTTTTCTTTAACTCTCTTCCAGCTGGATTGCAGTGGAAATTAAGCGTGTAGTGTACACCTGATAATTTTCCTATTTCGATTTAGCTTCGAATCGGTCCGGAAAGCTGAAATGTTCATTGTTAATTCATGTATTTTTGTTCACGTTCTTATTTCTCACATTTTCACATGGTATTGCGTTTGAATTTGCCTTTTTAGCAGACTCCTCTGGCGATCATGAAGCCGCTTCTATGGCGAGAGAATTCGTATTCGGATTTTCGTGTCACTTGATTGGAAATTAGATCCGAGGATTGTGGGTTTCGATAGGCTACCATTTTAAATAGTCTCGATTCTCCACTAATGCCAAGATACGGAAGTGCCGAGTTCTGTACTCCGTAATCGTTCTAAGGAATATTTCCCGACTTGTATTATGTTTCTTTGTGTTTTGGTGATTCTACAGTTCCGGCCTTGGCAGATGCTTTTTCTCGTTCAGCGCACTTTAAATAGCTGCCCGGGGAAGTTTGTGTTACGTGGAGATGATGGAGGTTTCCAAAAAGGACGTTATATGTATTGATGGCTTGATGTTTTATTCACTAATATGCAACACATTGTACGCTCAAAAATATACAGATTGAGAAGATTATCAATTGATAGCTATTTCCCTGAGAAGTTATAATTTTATACTTGACTTTCAACATCACTGTGCAAGAACTCCATTTTGGTATCCGGATAAATACAAACGCAAACGCTAAGCTATAGTACAGCACGCTATGCAAAATTGACGGGTGACTTATTCAGCTTTGTCCGTCAGAAAAGTCATCCTCTCCTCTAAATCTGGGCTATTGACAGCACTAGTTGTCGATAACTGCAGATAACCCGCCGACTTCGAAATTAAATCCGAATAGCACCGGAGACCATACCGTTTCAGGGCATTTCTATAAAAGAACGAAGTCCAGATAAGTACTCCCGAGAAGAGGCCAGCAATGAAAAGTCCAATCATGGCGCTGATATCTTGTTTGGCTGGAGCCTCGGTGTGAATCACCAAGAAGGCTTCGGGGTCATCGGCCTCGGGCAGAGTTTCACCAGTCCAGTACTTTGGACTAGGGGTGCGTAAATTGGGAGAAACACCCATCACCTCCATGTTCGAATCAAGAGCCTCAACAGAGACCCAGTCCATGAATCCTCGGGCAATGAAAGAAGTCTCGAATCCATCTTTCTGAACAACGCCGATTTCTGTCCTATTGCTAGTCGAGTTTGCTTGTGCGAAGAATCTCCAGTATGCGATGTCAGTGGCACCATTCCAGCTGACATGGAAGGCTGTCGAGATCTCGGATCCATTGACGCCGTATGATTCAGACAATAGCGTCGGTGGGTATAAAGGGCGGCCAATCCAGGGGAATTTGTAGGATCGGTAGGTATCGAATCGTTCAGAGATGAATTTGGCCTCCATGAGTAGCCTGCCGTCAGCCGAGTACTCACTGATATAGCTCCGCGCAGCCCAGCCATTGAAGACGTTGGTGTTAGGCAAAGTCTGCATATTTCCACGGCGCTCAGTGCTTCCTCCGTCCGGGCGCATATATTGATGAAGCAGGGTCGCTTTCATATTAACAACGTCCAAGTTTACGTACATGGCGGATGAAACAGGTTGCTGGACATCGAGATCGATGGCACCGTTCTGCATTAGGGAAATAACGTAGTTTGTCTCGTTAACGGAGATAAATCTGGCATCGTGTTGACCGAAAAAGTTGAAGTCCTTATCGAAGTTATTCTTCTTCCCGCCAAGACGCCAGATGATATGGCCATCCCGGCCCGAGATCAGATATATCGTGCTCGTGTGTCGGGCAGAGAGCATATAGTCACCGTACTGGTTTTTGGCGATAGCATTGGCGTGCATGAAGTCCGGGTGGAGGAATGTCTTATTGGTCACATAGCTTTCATCCACGCCGACTCTACCGCGAGCGCGCCAGTCAACGATTCTTTGCGGAGTTGTGTCTCTCGGGGACAAAAGAAGGTCAAGCTCCATGAAGCCAGTGTTATCAATGCGCGCTGATATTTCTGGCTGGCCGAAATCCTCAAGGGTTTGTACATCCCGACTGATTCGGATCATAAGGGCCTTCGACCCGTTATCAATCACGTTGAAGTCATGGCCGTCGAACTCATCAGACGGGATAGTAATATTGCGGACCTCATTGTAGTGGTTATCGAATATCATCACAGAGGCATTGGTTTCCGGGGCATACGGCTCGTAGGACATGATCCAAGCTAGATGTTTCTGTATTTCAATACCAGACACACCAATCCTTGCCAGATCGATCACTCGAAAGTCAAAGGAAGGTCTGTTATCACACTCTTGAGAACCCGCCCACACCAGAGCCTAGTCACGATTGTCAGTATATCAACGAGGAAAAAGATATCAATTGATACTAACACCATCCTGATCAAAGATATGGGGTCCTATCTGGTACGGGACCCATTGGCCTGTTTCTCTATCACCGTCATGCTTCCAGTAAGGTGCAGTGAACCAATAGCCTGGAGCTATGGCAGAGCGATCATAGTGAGTGACGTTCCATTTAATAATACGATGGTTTGGTAACTAGGGTTTCATTAGCCCGAATGCTTGGCTGTTCATTTTCCAATCAGACTCACGGTGCGATATTGGGCGTAATCATCATCCCTAAATTGAAATGCGTTCTTTGCTGCAACACCTGAAACGAAAAGGAAATAGGAATATAAAAGAGAGAGCATGCTGTGATCTATGAGGCGCTAAATGAATGATTGGCCCTTAAGGATAGAATCAATAGCAAGAGAGCAGACAGTAAACAGAAAGAAAAGGAGTGGGGAAGAAATTAAATTGTTGAATGGTTTGGAGAGGGTCTTTCATCCATTACAAACTATATTTTCTTCTGTTTTTGACTGGCACCTGAGCGGCCGAGCCACCATAAGGCTCATGAACTATCCAATCCTGAGAATCGGAGTGGCCGGGACTAAAGCAAAAAAGGCAGGCGAATGGCACCGAATTTGGGATCACAGATAGGGAATGGGTCTCAGGCCAAGAAAGTTTGATGCAGTCCGGGAACTTGAGCCGACTTCTAGATCCCACTAGTTGGTTAATTACCCCGTTTCTACGATTTTTGGTAATTATACATGTGATGCCGTTACGTATCAAAGCTTTTTTGTCCTTGGTGAGGATAGGCGAGGCGAATAAAGATCTTTGGCTGATGCGCCGAACCAAGTGCCCATGTGGGGAGTGGATCTGAGGCTTTGAACTTGGGATTCCGGACAAAATAGCCGCGCTTGGAAGACCAATAGATGATATCACGCTGACCCACAAAATTTTCACTCGGTTTTCGCCAATTCTCGCCTGATTACTACTTGCATTCAAGCTACACCGTTCGTTAGTAAGGTGGGAAAAAAGGGGTGAAAAGAGAGTTAGAGACGGAGATAAGTCGGAGATATAAATCTAGTAGTTCTTAGTCAGCGCGGTCCCAGACTGCTGATCCTCGGACCTCTTTGTCAGGGTCTCTGAACACGTAATCAGGGTCGAACAGCATGTACCAATGGTATGGGTCACGTCTGTGTACTTGTCTGGTATTCTCTAGTCTCCACCACAGCAATTTAACATGTGGTACGCTGACTAATAAAGTTGATTACATGATCCATTGTTCCGACACAGGGTTCAAATCACATGACTTGCTCCCAATATCACCCGTGTATTGTAGATCAAGTTGTATGCCATGCTAACAAAAGGAGGTATGTTAGTACTTACAGTAACTGGGCAAAGGTAGTATTTACACCCCAAGGTTCTACGATTGGCGAGAGGGGGTGAAAATACTTTTGTCCAGTTACTGTACATAAGTTTACGATGTTCGCAGATCAATACTTAGTATTTAAGTAACTCACAAAACGTCGGAATATTAGTCATCAAAAGGTCGGTCAGCCCGGTCACCTGGTCAGTCCTATGTTTAGAGACGCGTCTTCCGTACTACCCTTCGACCCTCAATACCCACCATGCCACCAAAACGAACCAAAAAAGCTCAAAATTCTGCTGAACAGGAGGGTAGGATTCAACTAGCTGTCCAAGCTTTGAAAAAGGATGAAATATCCACTATCCGCGAAGCCGCACGCCTGTTCAACGTGTCCGAAAGCACACTCCGTCGCCGACGAGCCGGGGTTAAAGCACGCGTGGACTTACGCGCAAATTCGCACAAATTGACCAACAACGAAGAAATATCGCTTGTTCAATGGATAGTGTCTATGGACGATCGTGGATCTGCCCCGGGGCGTAGTATGGTGGCAGATATGGCCAATATACTACTGGCAGAGCGTGATGAGACCCCTGTCCAAACCGTTGGGGCAAATTGGGCCACAAACTTCGTGAAACGACACCCTACCCTCTTATCTCTATATTCAAAACTAAACCCCTCGGGTAGCACCAACAGCGTGTTTCCACCTAAAACGCCAGAGAACCTCTCAACTCATTACACAAGACCTAGACACTCGGGTAGCGCCAACAGCGTGTTTTCACCCAAAACGCCACAGAACGTCTCACAGCTACAAGAACAAGTCTCGTCTATCAAAGTGCTTATGAAAGAGCACTCGGAAAGTCCACCCACACCTCAAGGCGATAACATAAATCAGATGATCGAGGCCTTGGAATTAACGATAGAGGCTGTTATCTTCCTATCACAAAAATATGGCGTTTCACGTTCAGAAAACGAGAAAAAGCGCTCAGAAAGTCCACTCACACATAAAGATCGTGCGTTAAATAAGCTTGTCAATAAGTTTATCAAGGGCATTGTATTCATGGCGAGTTCTTCTCTCTCTGTAGCACACGAACATATCATTTTACGTGCAGAAGTCAAGGCCCTAGACGCAATTCCAGAGGTCGTTGAAGCGGATATACTACCCCTGGGAGAAGCGCCAGCAGCACCTTTGCAGCAGCGAATCAGAGCTTTGCCCACGTGTTCTGACTGTGGGGTTAAAGGGCATAAGCGTACTTCCTGTCTAAATAGGCATGAATAGGTTGTTATATTAATAAATTGGCGTTTTGGTGGAAGTATATGTCTTCAAAAACAAAGTATGTGGGTGGGGCGACCGGGCCGACCATGAAATATGAATGTTAGGTTTAGGTCCACCCGGCATATCTCTACCGAACTTCTCAGCATACTACCTATTATAATATCACATAATGTTCTGTGTGCTCTTCATCCTTCTTGATCTTACCCTCGTGGCAGCGTACACACCAAGAGGCGGTTTCTCTATTTTTATACCAGCTGTGGCGGCAGGGCTAGCCTGGGTTGCCTTAATGTTGATTTACATTTTGAATTCTTTATGAGCGAGCGAAGTCAGAAAGAATTCGAGAAATGTATTAAGCATCCCTAGCCTCGAAGTCCCATTTACTGCCTGTCGGGACCGCTTGGATATGTAATTGATGTAAAAATGGTAAGGACACTCGCTTCATTCCCCGATTGAGTTGCGGGGTCATTTTCACGTCAATATCGGACTTGCCCCGACTCGCCTTTTACCGTGCTATTTGCATCTATTTATCTGTAATTGAAGTCCCTCTGGTTCTTGTTTTCATTCCTCAGACCGCTAAATCTAGATACCACCATTTGTTCACACCCGTATCGCTACCCCGCACATTCACGTTACTACAGCATCTGTACCACCCATTCACCAATATGGCCGCAACACTACCAGAAACATTCGATGACCTACCTGACAAGCGCCGGTACTGGCCTGCCGCGCCAGGATCCGAAGAAGAAGGCTTGGGCATGCTGCGTCTACTGACACCAGCGGTAGTCGCAGATGCGGCACGAACACAGATCCAGACGGGCGAGCGAGTGTGCCTGAACTGGGACATTGAGAACTTGTCTCCGCCAGGTACCTCCCAAGGAAGCCCCCAAGCAGTGCATATATCTCATGTTAACAAAACTCCAGGGTTCGGCCGCAAGCCATTCGAACACCGCATCAAATGGGTAGCCGAAGGAGTCGCCTTCGACGACGAATACCACTTCAACCCCCAGCAATCCTCCCAATGGGATGGACTGCGACACCACAACGCACCAGCCCCAAGCCCCGAAGATCCCAGCCGTCGCCTCTTCTATGGCGGCACAACAGCCACCGAGATCAAAGACACCAACTCCCCCCGCATTGGCATCGGCTTCTGGGCGAAAAAAGGAATAGCAGGCCGCGGCATCCTTATCGACTACGTATCCTACGCCAAGAAAAGAGGAATTCCACTTAACGCACTGACCCGCCAAACAGTCTCCCTGGACGAGGTGCAAGAAATCGCCAGAGAATGCAACATCACCTTCCAGCGTGGCGATATCTTTTTCCTGCGCGTCGGGCTCCCGGATACCTGGGCTGAGATGTCGGCTGAGCAGAGGCTGGAATATAGTCAGCAACCCATGCCTCAGCATGCTGGCATTGAGCAGAGTGAGCGGGTATTGAGATTCATGTGGGATAATCATTTTGCGGCGGTGGCGTCAGATGCGGTGAGTTTTGAGGTTTATCCAGCTGTCAATGAGGAGTTTGATTTGCATCATCATCTTTTGGCTGGTTGGGGGATTCCAATTGGGGAGATGTTTGATTTGGATACGCTTGCGGAAACTTGTGAGAGGCTTGGGAGATGGAGCTTTTTTGTTTCCAGTAGTCCGTTGAACTGTGCGCGGGGGGTTCTAGTCCCCCCAACTGCATGGCTATTTTCTAGCTGATACGCTCTCTGCGCTTATATTGAGATGATAGAAGAGTTATGGTTGAGTTCTTTTTTTAAAAGAGACAATATTGATAATTCAAGTGACTGGACAGGTCAAATCATCATTTGCATATCATTGCCTCGTTGAACAATATCTAAAGTAATCTGAGAACGATTCTAGTGAACATTCATACTAGATTTATGGACATGACAGAAACCACAATATCACCTTGATGTACCTATACTAACGTGGATCTTTCCACTCGGTACCTAGACACCTCAGTTCTTCGACCTTGATCAAACCACAAGCCTCGGGGACACAAATTCTTTCCACCCCGCTACTTCGTCAGGATGTTAACTGTGAGGCGACAGAATAATGGTCCTCCAGTGACCATTAAGAGCGTTTACCTCGAGCCAGTGCACTATGCGCACCATTCAGTTTCCCCTGCTGGACATGTTTCCAAATCTAAGAGTGTCCAATGAAAAAGATTGGATAGCTTGACCTCGCTCCGTGGATATTACACTGTGTCATATGAGCATCTTCAACGTCCTTGACAAAAATCTTCCACATATCTAACAACCTTGAGGATTTGATAGCAATCGAACCTAGCTACGAAACTCCACAACTGTGACCGCTTGACTCGAGCACAACTTTCTCAAGAGATAGCAGGAGAAGTTCGCGCAAGCAAGAAATATATTCTTCACCGACGATTAGTTTCACTTCACACTCAAAGCTCTGCAGATTCTCCCTCGGTCTGCCCAGTGGTACCAGTTAAGGAAATCACTCTTACCCCCAGCCTCCAGCCTTTATCGTCAACTTTTTCATCCTTGAATACAAACTCTGATATTGAGACTGTCAATAGCACTTCCGACAACAAGAACGCGGAACAAACTTTCACAGAGTACAGTCTGTTTACCATTGACTCTCTTTCCATCTAAGAGAACCCCCTTCACCTATACAGTCCCAGCTTGTGCTGTTAATTGCACTTTGGTCGGAACAACGTTTACCGAGCTCGTCAAGATGGTCACTCATGAGCACCACCTCATTTGAAAAGCCTTTGACAAAGCCATTGATAGGATACTCGCACCAATGGGGCCAGACACCGCTATCCTGACAGACGGCAACGTGACTGTCGACGTCCATAGCAGATCAAAGAAAGAGCCAGATTGGGGATGGGGCCCAAGGAAGCCCCCTCCTGGCACCTTGAAGAGACCCACAGTGGTCCTAGAAGTGGCTGTCACAGACACCCATGCGAAATTGCTCCGCGATGTGGATTTATGGCTTGATCCTTTGCGAGGCAATACCACCATTGTCATCGCAGTGAAACTGACGTCGGGTCTGAGAGGACAAAGGGTTGTTATAAAGAAATTCGAGCGGGGTGAAATCGATGGGAAGCCTGTGTGCTCTCAGCGTATTCAGTGTCACAGATATCCAATGCCCTATCAATCCGATGTTCATGTGAGAGGACCTCCATTGACTATCCCGTTCGACGTTCTATTCCTGCGCGATCCAGTAAATGCCGAGGAAACTGATTCGACTTTGGGACGGCAAGAGCTTCAGGAAATTGCTGAATGGGCATGGGATGTCGGGGAGTGAGACTTTTTTTTAATTTTCTTGGTCAGTGGTTCCTGATTCATTTTATTTATTTGCTTTGCTCGGTGACTCTATTTTATTTGTGGAAATCGTCGGTGATAATGCGATATAGGTATATCAGTTCATTTTAGCGCTGAATGTCAGTTTGTGAAAGAGGTAATCGATGGCCTAGCTAGGCAAGCCTTGCTATGATTTATCCGCACACTTTAATTGCTTGTACAACACTAAACAACCCGATAAGAGTGGAAATGTTGTGAAAATAAGTACCTAACCGACTGAATTATATCTCTGTAACCTATCTACACTGGTACCTACAATCTTAGTTACGTGCCAAATCCCCCTTTACTATGAAAAAGTCGAGTCTGGGTGTCGTGGGCTATGGCTTGTGGCCGATCACGTTCCTCAATATCTGCGACATATAACTGGTGAGATCTGACTCATGAAGTAAAGCACTGATGGATAGGTCAATACAGATAATATACTACCAAGATGTTGGTCATCTTTAGCAATCAATTGCGTGGGCTTCGGAGACTGGGGTCTTATATTGCTTGGAGCCTGATGTAATCCCATCAGGGATTGTCAATTAAATAGTGATATTTGAAATGTTGCAATCGATAATGTTTAGATCAAGGTGATTTCTGCTGAATTGGTATTGAAGACCTGATAGTCTTCTCCATATACGCTGGAGGTGATGCAATTAATTGGCATCTGGCGACTTAATAAGCGTGATGTGGTTGAGTCGCTGAAGACGAGATTTGAATAATCGGCTGTACTCATCATGTCCATTTCGTCGAAAAGACTGAATGTGTCGTTGGCTTGCCATGACGCAGATTCATTCAGGAGATATAGCGGATCAATGTCGTCTTGTATTGACGAAGGATTGTATTGTGATACGCCTTCTGTAGGCTGTCTCGCGATCGGCGCGTTATTTAAGGGGCTTTCGATTTCCGGTGTTGAAAATGAGGTTCTTTGGGAGGAGGTGCCGGGGGAGAAACATTGAGGGGCCACAGGGGATTTTGCGTGGGAACTGTCGTTGGGTGATTCTTGTCGCATGTCGCCGCCCCAAGGATCCCGTTGCAAGGCTTCGATATTCTCCTCAAAACGGTCACCTTTACCGTGGTCGAGGGCACCGAGACGTGTAAGAAGGTCGTGAGTGAGCGGGTGACCGTTAGGTTCGAGATCCAAATGATCGCCTGACCAGGCTTTGCCTTCATTTAAGCAACGATAGAGTTCCTGGAGACCGTGGACTAGCCAGACTTGCTGTTGCTCAAGCCTCTCAACGTATCTGGAAGCGATGAGGATGGTTAGTGTTATTCATGGATATTCTGTTCAAGTGGCACCTCACCCCTTAGGATAGGATCTCTCATGGATCCTTTTTCGCTCCCCAAAGACACAGATGGAGTTATCTGCTTTACAACGTGAGCATGGTTTGGCTCCGTCACACTTGTTACGTCAGCAATGCAGATGATAACTATCTAGTTCATAATTGACATACCTTGGATTTCTTTAGCCTGCAGCGATCGCATGCTTTGCACACACGCTTGCGTGTACTTCCGTCGGGCGATGGGCTTGATATGCGTGCGGCCATGTTGTGTATGTGCGAGCTGGTGGATAAATCAGATTGATATGAAGTCCAAGAAGATATCTCCCAAGATATACTGAAGTACTTCCAGATCCGACAGATAGTCGGATTTGACTATTTAGGTAATTATTAGCCGTAAAAAGGAAACCAAAAGGACTTAGGGAGTATGTGCGTAGATAATAAGGTAACAGCATCCACACAAGAGTGGCGACTCGACCATGAAAATTATGGATTTAAGGGCGCCCTTAGTGTTTCCAAGATCCTCTTCAATAACCGCGCAGCATACATTGTGTTAAAATTCATAGAGCCCCCCTATGTTCAAAACATGAAACATTAGGGTCAGAATCTCATACTATGTGTCAACAAATTATCGAATTTTCCTCGGGGCCAAGGGGTGGAACAGACATGGAACTCGGCACTGAATTCCACTTTATTTGATTAAAATTGTTCTAGAAGTTTGGCGTCCATGATCTTCTTTACTTGCATAGTGTGAAAATATGCACAATATGCGCCGGGTTAGATCCAAGATTCCGCTTATCCGGGTAGATCACTCAGTTTCAGAGCTAACATTCCGATTTACCCGGTAAATCACTCAGCTTGCGAGCGTTGACTAATCTCTTATCCGCATTTTATCCATTGATTGTGCATACTTATCTCTCCGCATGTGCACGGCCGCGATTAACACACTTGACAGCGATCAAACACCGATCAGTATGGAATTATTACTCCACAATGTTATCCCCTATATAGGCCGAGGGATATCCTCAATGCATATCAATCGCACTCATTGTAAACTTTTCTTGATTTCTTCCACTCATTTTGACTTTCCTACTCCGTTATACTGAATTATATACCTAACTTCTCCCTCTCCTCAGTCGGCTTCGAACCAATTTGGTTCATACAAGCATGGAGGAAGGAATCCTACCCGATTCGGAAAAGAAGACGGCCTACATTCGCGAAGCAGATAGCCATGAAACCCTTTCTGATCTTCTCCATGGGCAAGTGCCTTCGAAAGCTCCCGTCAATTGGGGTTTGTCTAGCGAAGTCATTGCCATGCAGGAACGCGATTTGGCTGCCGGCTATGGCAAGCGTGAACTCGGGGTCACCTGGAGGGACTTGACCGTCGATGTACTTTCAGCTGAAGCGTCTGTGAATGAGAACTTTATCTCCCAATTCAACCTCCTCCAAACTGTGCGTGATCTCCGACAAAAACCCGCAATTAGATCCATTCTCCAAAATAGTCATGGTTGTGTGAAGCCAGGAGAGATGTTGCTTGTTCTAGGACGACCGGGCTCTGGCTGCACGACCTTGTTGAATGTTCTTTCGAACCGGAGAGCTGGCTATAAATCTGTCTCCGGCGAGGTCAAATTCGGTACAATGAATCCCGACGAGGCTGAACTCTACAAAGGCCAAATTGTGATGAACAGTGAGGAGGAGATCTTTTTCCCTACCTTGACTGTGGGACAAACCATGGATTTCGCTACCCGTTTGAAGATTCCCTTCCATGTGCCCGGTGGCGCTACCCCGGCGGACTGGGCGGGCGATTTCAAGCGCTTCCTCATGGAGTCAATGAAGATATCGCACACGGAAGAGACCAAGGTCGGAAACGAGTTTGTGCGTGGTGTCTCTGGTGGAGAGAGAAAGCGTGTGTCGATTATCGAGTGTATGGCGACCAGGGGATCTGTATTCTGCTGGGATAACAGTACTCGTGGTCTGGACGCATCCACTGCCCTCGAGTGGGCAAAGGCCTTGCGTGCAATGACCGATATCCTGGGCCTCACCACTATCGTGACACTCTACCAGGCCGGAAATGGTATCTACGATCTTTTCGACAAAGTTCTGGTGTTGGATGAAGGAAAGCAGATTTACTATGGCCCAGCATCCGAGGCTAAACCCTTCATGGAAAGTCAAGGCTTCAGATACACCGATGGTGCCAATGTCGCTGATTATCTAACTGGTGTTACCGTTCCAACTGAGCGAAAGATTCTTCCTGGATACGAGGGTATATTCCCTCGCAACGCCGATGAACTCCTCGGCAAATACCAAAAACACGAGATCTGCCAGCAGATGATGGTGGAATATGATTATGCCTCGTCCTCGCTCGCTGCGGAACGTACGACTGCGTTCCAAGAGTCAGTCGCATTCGAGAAGAACTCCTCCCTCCCGAAAAACAGCCCCTTGACTACATCCTTCCAACACCAGCTCAAAATTTGTATCGCGCGCCAGTATCAAATCATCTGGGGTGAGAAATCCACATTCTTTATTCGTCAATTTGTTTCTCTTGCCATGGCTTTGATCGTCGGATCCTGCTTCTACGACTCTCCGAACACGTCTGCCGGTATTTTCACCAAGGGCGGTGCTGTCTTCTTCTCTCAGGTCTACCAGGTCACCATGGCCATGGCTGAAGTTACTGGTTCTTTCAAGGGCCGACCGATCGTGACCAAACACAAGGGTTTCGGTTACCATCACCCTGCTGCATACGCTATTGCAATCCTCACTGCGGAGCTTCCAGTGGTGCTCTTCCAATGCACTATCTTCTCGGTAATTCTCTACTGGATGTGTGGCCTGAAAGCAACTGCCTCTGCATTCTTCACCTTCTGGATTATTCTTATTGCTATCACTTTGGTAAGTCAAATCGCAGGGGCATACTTGCCTGGAAAATAGCTAGTTTAAGCCTCCACTAACTAAATACTATAGACTGTTAACGCAATGTTCCGATCGATTGGTGCTGCCTCCGCCAACTTAGAGGTGGCTTCCAAGATATCCGGTGCTGCCATGAAGTTCCTTGTGATGTACACTGGCTACATGATCCCCAAACCTGACATGAAGCATTGGTTTGTGGAGTTGTATTATGCCAATCCTTTATCTTATGCTTTCCAAGCAGGAATTACCAACGAATTCCATGATACCGTCATGCCTTGTGTTGGCGGAAGTCTGATTCCTCACGGTGACGGTTACGATGATTCCGCTTATCAATCTTGTGCCGGCGTGAAGGGAGCTGTCAAGGGTGAGACTTTTGTTACTGGCGATAACTACCTTGCTGCTCTTCACTGGAAGCACTCTCAGCTCTGGCGCAACTTTGGTGTTGTGTTGGGAATGTGGGCCTTCTTTATTGTCATTACCACTATTGCGACATGCAGGTGGAAGGCCGGAGGAGCAGGCAGTAGCTCGCTTCTTATTCCTCGCGAGAAGATGAAGCACTTCAAGCGCTCTAAGGACTCGGAATCCCAAGGATCAGACAGCAAAGAAGGTCGTGGAAACACCCCTATTACTACCGACGATGCTCAGAATCAAGCCAACCTAGCGAGAAACACTTCCGTGTTCACATGGAAAAACCTGGTCTATACTGTGAAGACACCTTCCGGAGATCGTGTCCTTCTAGACAATATCTATGGTTGGGTTAAACCTGGTATGCTTGGAGCTTTGATGGGATCTTCTGGAGCTGGTAAGACGACATTGCTTGATGTCCTGGCACAGAGAAAGACAGAAGGTACGATTAACGGAACCGTCTTGGTCGACGGTCGCGAACTCCCTATGTCTTTCCAGAGAATGGCAGGATATTGTGAACAGCTTGATGTCCACGAAGGCTACGCGACTGTCAAGGAAGCGCTCGAGTTCTCGGCGCTTCTCCGTCAACCTGAACATGTCCCTAGAGAAGAGAAACTGGCCTACGTCGATACTATTATCGACCTCCTAGAGTTGCACGATCTTGCTGATACGTTGATCGGAACTGTCGGTGAGGGGCTGAGCGTGGAACAGCGCAAGCGTGTTACTATCGGGTAAGCTTGAATCTCTCTTCCAAAGATCACGATACTGACCTTTTTCTTGCAGTGTCGAGCTTGTGTCTAAGCCTAGTATCCTCATCTTCCTAGACGAGCCTACTTCAGGTCTTGATGGCCAATCTGCCTATAATACCGTCCGATTCTTGCGCCGTCTGGCTGATGCTGGTCAGGCTATCCTGGTTACCATTCACCAGCCCTCTGCCCAGTTATTCGCTCAGTTCGACACACTATTGCTCCTCGCGAAAGGAGGCAAAATGGTTTACTTCGGCGATATCGGCGAGAACGGCTCTACAGTCAAGCAGTACTTCGGTCAATATGGAGCGCCTTGCCCTATCAGCAGCAATCCTGCCGAGCATATGATCGACGTGGTCACCGGTGGTATTGAAGCTGTGAAGGATAAGGATTGGCATCAGATCTGGGTGGATTCGCCTGAACACGCCGCACGCGTTGCAGAACTCGATGAGATTGTTGCCGAGGCCGCCGCCAAACCAGCCGCCACACACGATGATGGTCGAGAATTCGCTACCTCGCTTTGGACCCAGATCAGGCTCGTCACCGCTCGTATGAGTGTCTCTCTGGTCAGAAACACCAACTACGTGAATAACAAACTTGAGCTGCATATCATTTCGGCACTTCTTAATGGCTTCTCATTCTGGCATCTTGGAGATTCCGTTACTGCTCTTCAGCTGAAGATGTTTACCATCTTCAATTTCACTTTTGTTGCACCAGGTGTTATTAACCAGCTTCAGCCTCTCTTTATCCAACGTCGTGATATCTATGATGCTCGGGAGAAGAAGTCGAGAATGTATTCTTGGAAGGCCTTTGTGACGGGTCTCATCGTCTCCGAGTTCCCCTATCTCTGCCTTTGTGCCGTCTCATATTTCGTCTGCTGGTACTACCAAACCCATCTGCCTACAGACTCTAAGAATGCTGGAGCCACATTCTTTATCATGTTGATCTATGAGTTCATCTATACCGGTATTGGACAGTTTATCGCGGCGTACGCCCCGAACGCAACATTTGCCGCATTGGTGAATCCCCTGATTGTCAACTCACTGGTTTTGTTCTGTGGAGCTTTCGTTCCTCAACCTGAACTTAATGTCTTCTGGAAATACTGGTTCTACTACCTCGACCCATTCAACTACGTGGTGGGAGGCATGTTCACCTTTGGTATTTGGGAGGCGACAGTAACATGCAAATCTGATGAACTTGCTTACTTTAATCCTCCTAATGGAACTTGCCAGTCCTATCTGGCGGACTACATGGCTGGCGCTGGCTCTGCCATCAACTTGCTGAACCCCGATGCAACTTCCAACTGCGAGGTCTGTCAATATACAAGGGGAAGCGATTACCTGAAGACCCTCAATATCAATGGCTACTACTATGGCTGGAGAGATGCCGGTATCTGTTGTATCTTCGCCATTAGTGGCTACGCCTTGGTCTTTGTCTTGATGAAGCTCCGAACCAAGGCTTCCAAGAAGGCGGAGTAAGCAGATCACTGATCCTGTCCATCCCCACGTCATGAACCACACGGCTGTGGCTTGGTGCTTTTCTTTTGGGATGCGCTGCTATTTTTGTTTTTTGAAGATCATTGAGTATATAGATTCCTGGCGAAATTTGGCGAAACATAGATGGGTTAACCTAGCATTAGACAGATAGACATACAGTCACCTATAGCATTTGATCTTTTTTCAACCTTCTAACAGGAGTTTTCTTTTTTCTTTCCAGATTAAAACTTGTTTCCTGCAAACATTATGTTTTGTACTTCATGCTTAAAAATTCTCGTGTAGGAATGCAGCAGATCAGCTCGGCATAAATGATACTATCAACAAAGAAGAATCATAATTTACCTATCAATTGGAACTCACTCACTGCGTAACTCGAGTTGAGCTTTAAAATGCCATAAAATCTCCCAATAACAAATCATGCACTCTTGCCATATCGGGATGGAGGTTCCATGGAGCGGCCAGTCTTCTGTCGCCACCTCCACACGAAGCTCCAAACCCCTCCAATAACAGCTCAAATTCATATTACTAACATCTGAATTCAAAATCTAGAACCTGGCACCCGAGAAATAATGATTGGTTGATCCAGCTGCTCAGCACCGAGTCATATGACGGATATCATCATCATCATCATGATTATGTGAAAGGACGCCCAAACAGTAATAAGTAGCCGAAGCTCCTCAATTCTATCTCACTATTGTGAAAACACCCATTGATCATCATATTCAAACCAAATCATGTATCCAGCTCTAACAAAGCGTCACCTCCTCAGGCCCTCGGCGTTTCAAATCGGCCAGCTAGCACGGGCTTCGGTCCACGGAAAGGCCCACACGGATATGAAAGCCGATGAAAAATGTATGCTGGATATCTTTTCCATACTAAGGATTTGAGCTAACCAAATTTTCTTTTTAGTCTTCATTAATACTACCTTCCCCGATGATTTTGAGAATTCCGATTTGATGCCCGAATTACTTCGGAGGGAGGCTGAAGCGAAAGCTTCCAATGGACCTTGGGATAAGGTGAGGATTTGTTACTTTTTCAGAACTTGAGACGGAACATTGAAGACTGATTGTTTTAGGCTACTATTGAGGCGCACAAACAGGATATTTGGGAAAGCCTTTATCCAGCTGATAAGCAAGGTGCCAAAGCTGCCGGGAAGCAGAAGAAGAAGCCGGAGCCGGAGCCGGAGCGGGCTCCTGAATTGGATGAGATGTGAGGCTTTTACTGTGGAAATGTGTTTTATCTAGCATTTTTTGAAATACTGGACGCGTATTTTAATTGGATTTAGTGGTTTTGCAGTACATATTTCAAATCAAATAAATCAATGACACAAAATGACAAGATGACAATCTATTGGAAAACACAAATGAACAAAGAGAAATTCGAGTCACCGTGTAGTATCATCTACAGTCTGCTTGAAACAGTGTAAGGAATGTTCTGTGCTTCGTAAAGATCCTTGTGAGCGGACTTGATAATATCCGCACCCTATATTTGTTAGCTTTTTCGAAGTGAGATATCGTCGTAAATGCTGCTGCTCACCTTTTCACCGATCATATAAACCGAGTTCTGAATACGGCAGTCGGGGATGACAGGAATGACCGAAGCATCTGCAATCCGGAGATTGCGCACCCCATGCACTCGAAGCTTTGAATCAACCACACCCTGGTGAATACTCTTCGAAAGACGTGCTGTACCACATGGGTCTTCAAAACGTTAGTAGTGTTATAAATCTAGATCATGTGTTTGGTCACTCACGGAATCCAGTCTGGCTTCGATCCAGAACAGCTCGGTTCATCTCTTGATCGGATTGAAGAGGCATCTTCCATGGATACTCTGCGACGACAATATCCTTGAATCCCGCACCACTGGTCAAGACATCGTACGTCCAACGAACACCCTCGCGCATAGCCAGGATGTCCAAGTCATTGGCGAAGAAGTTCAGGTTGATATTCGGCTGCACAAGAGGGTTGGAGCTGTTCAGGGTAACTTCACCCTCGGAAAGAGGTCGCAGCAGATCAACAATTACTGTCATATAACTTCCCTTCTCGGGGACTGGGTAGTGCCACTGGAAGGCAGTGCTGAACATTCCGACGAAATCAAGCTCGAAATGAGGCTGGCCTGCTGGTCCGAAGGGATCTAGGCCGCCGTTTGCTGCCTTTGCCTCGAGGTAAGCTGGGTATTTTTCTAGGCGTTGGTCGATACGTGGGAATCCTACTAGCTCCAAGAGTCCGGAGCTAATAGGGCCTGTCTTGTCATGCTTGTAGGTGCTCATCGCCTTGTCGTTCAAGGGACCGGTGCGAAGGATATGGTCGTCCAGACCGAGTCCGTCCTTGATTTGGAGGACGAAGGGCACGATTGGGTGGTCCAGGAGATGTTGGCCGACGTGGGGAGAGTCCACGATGGTAGTGATTCCGTGTTTGGCGAGCTCCGCCGCGGGACCGATGCCGCTCAGCATGAGGAGCTTGGGGGTCTCGAAGACACCTTGAGACAGGATGACTTCCCGGCTGGCGTAAACATTGATCTCTACACCGGAAGCTGCACTGACTACCGCGACGCCAGAGCAGATGCCGGTTGCTGGGTCAATAATCAGATGCTTCGACTGAACCCCATATAGAATAGTCACATTTGGCTTGTTCTTGAGGTACAAAAAGCTACCCTGGCGCTGTCCCCCATAGATGGTGTCCACACAATGCGTAAGACCCTTCATCTCGCCAGAGTAGATATCCTCAGTCAAAACCTCACCCTTAGACACCCATGCCTGGGTAAGGGCATCGCGGAACGGCTGCAGCTCCGGCACCAGGTCTGCATGGGCGATGTTCACAGGGCCATTGGTTCCGATTTTGCTCAGCTCAGCAGGATACAGTTTCTCGTCGTCATGATAAGTCGCACATTTGCGGAGGTATTCCACGCAACTATCCCAGTTCCAGTCATGGCCACCGAACTGTTCCCAGTCATCGAACGTTGGCTTGGAGCCAGGGATCCAGGTGAAGTAGTTGGCACATGAACTTCCACCCAGGGCCTTTCCACGAGTGTTGGGCTTTTCGATACGCTCGTAGTCATCGCGTTTGATCATGGTCGTTTTGTATGCCCAGTCATACTTGCTTCCACGGAGATTGAAAGCCTTGGCTGGAGTAGTGATTTCTTCGATTTGGTCTGGGTTTGGAATGCCGGCTTCAACAACCAGGATGCGAACATTGGGGTTTTCGGCGAGGCGGCCAGCAACTGCATTGCCGGCTGTGCCACCACCGACGATGATGAAGTCGTACTCGGAGCCGTTGGAAACGGTTGCCATGTCGAGTGCTTGGTAGTGACAAAGGAGGAACTTGGAATATATCAATGAGATTAGACTGAAGTCTTGTGTGTTGTCGATGTGTAAATCCAAACCGATGATAATGACGCTCGACTTTATATCTTTCAAAATGCTGCATTATATGCAACAATGTTCTAGACAGCTGCTTCATTGCCGGTATTCCGAGAAGCACAGCAGGGTGCCGAGTGAAGTCCGATGTAAGAAGCCCCATCATATGTCCGGTGTATGCGAAGTGCCTGTTGACCACGAGTATAAGTCACTGGCCAAAAGTAGTAAGACTAAGCCATTTCTTACTTCCCCTCATGAGGGGAAACGAGAATTCTCCGCATGAGACATCACTGTGAACCAATCAGCAAATCATTTGTCTCCCCAAGGTGCCGTGTCTCACTCGGCAAACACTCGGGAATAATTCGGTTTCTGCTGGCTGCAGTCAGCTTTGCTCTATTCGCGCAACAGAAGCATAAAGGAGCATTAATGGTAATCAGGCATCTTTATAGTACGTCATCAATTCCTGTATTCAATATGTTTATGAGTTTTCAATGCTACTTTCATGGATATCTCAATTCATTGGATTTTTTTTTCCTCTACCTCGTCCACCAGGATTTTAACCAACTCCTCCCGTCTGCTGTAAGGACTATCCCAGGACTGAGAGGGATCACGCACTCCATTTTCATCCACCTTTGACATCATTGTCCCTTTCATCATCTCGTGAAGGGGCATATTTCCCTTGTGATTCATCACGTTAACATCCGCTCCCAATTTGAGCAGATAGCGAATAGCATCAATCTGATCCATGCGCTTGATGAGATAGTGCATCGCCGTACAGCCATGGGCATCAGTATCATTGATACCGGTCTTCTCTAGCAGGCGATCAATCAAGACAGTGATAATAGATTCCCCCCTCCACATGCCATCACATAATCTATGCAGGCATAAATGAGCATCAACTCCATTCGCCAGCAATTTCTTGAGTAGTTCAAAGAGCTTTCCATCATCTAGGCCATAGAATCGTCGAGAATGATTGTCCACTGCATCCTGCAAAGCTGTCGGGCACTCTGGATTGTAGTAACTTAAGAGTAGAAGCAAGCGGTTTGGCACCCAAAAGCATATTCACGAGGGTCGCGATATTCGCAACTCCAGTGTCGGATTTCAAAGCATAACTAAACACTGTCGCACCTTGATCGCTTTGGGCATTTATAGTGTTGGGATTGGCCTCAAGAAGGAGCTTCAAGATGTTTATCATTCGAGGCGGAATAGGATCCTGATCTTTGGTGGTCTCTGGTGCCCTTGCATACCACTCATTTCGATATCCCATCAATGCCCAGTGGATTGGGGGCCGGCCATGATCATCCGCGTAGGTAACCATTTCTGCCACACTCACATCACCGCAATGATCCATCGGCGCCTTGATCCCTTCAATGTTCCAAAAGAGACTTGCTATGTGCAAGGCTGTCACTCCTGTACTGCGTCGATAGTGATAACAATTGGTAGGATCCTCCCATCTCTGTCGCGCGTGAACTTCGGCTCCTTCAGCAATCAGACGAGACACCATCTTATAGCTCATATGAGTGACAGCCGCACTGAGAACTGTCTGCTCTAGCTCAGCGATTCGATGAGATGAATCAGAGGTTTCTTCGTTTCGTTGGTAGACAGTCGAATCGCGAACCGAGCAGCCCCGGTCTAGAAGAAAGCAGATAACGTCTTCGTGTTTGCTCAGATCCACGGTAGTAGCATCATCACGACTATAAGGCTCAACTTGGCACACTTGCCGCGCTGAACAATGGTGTTTCCCTAAATATATAAAAATGTCCCGATCATGTAATGTCGCCGTCAGAGCATGGTCCAGTAACCGTGTTTTTGGCCCCTGGTCCCCAGATTTACAAGCTGCATTGATAGGAGAAAAGCCGATGCGAAGCGAGTATTGCTCAAGCGACTCAGTATATATTGGATCAGCCACGTAAATCTCCATTAGCGCGCGAAGCACGTCCAGGCTGCGAAAATTGTAGAGCAAGGAAGAAAGGATGCCGGGAGGTAATATAGCATTCGTATTCCCAGAAGACCTTCCCCGGGCCATTTTGATAGAGTCGTAGAGCTGCGACGTCATTTCGTGCAACAATGTAACCCATGAGCTCCTGGTAAGGACCCTCATGCACCGGAGACCCGTCTGTGTCGTAGAAAGCGGGCTTAGTATCGTCCCAATCCCAGAAGTCCTCGTGTATTTATGGAAGCCAGGGTATGCCATGATTATCTGAAATATCTAGGCAATGGCAAGATGGAAAATATGAGAAAAAGAAGAGTGGCTAGCAATCTAGTAAATGTCAAAGGTACCTGATTCCATCGGGGTCCCAATGCGGAAAAAAAATATGGAGAGAATTGCTACTACTCTCCTCTAAATGAATTAGGGATAGGTTTGAAACTTTTCACATAATGATTCTCATACCTTTTCTTTCAATATACTTTGATAAACTTCAAAACACTTTTCCAGGATACAACTGCTATATGAGTAGGTCACTACTTATATATTTGGATAGATAGACCGACTCGAAGACATCACTAGATTCCCAATCTGGAAGTCCTATCATTGACTCAATTTGATTTGCAATTTTACTAGGTAGGACTCAATCCAGGGACTCTCATTTTCTACATCTATAGACCTCCCCATAATCACTATATCACGAAGACTATCACCCAGAAATTCCAATCAACATGCCATCTCTAGCCTATTTAGGCTAGACACATGTGCAGGATCCGGAAATAATAGCCCCCATCGGCCCCATCTAGAACCCATTATCAGGTGACTGAAACCCCGCCCTAAAACAATCTCACGCGCTAAACGCCCTTTCGTCCTTACGACTTAAGGCATCCAAGCATCATGGCTGACCCTTTAAGCATTACTGCAAGTGTTGTTGGCATTGTTGGGCCTGCTTTACATGGTATTCGGCTCCTATCAGAGGACCTGAAGCAGATCAAAGATGCCCCGGACAATGTAGCAGCACTACGAGAAAGCATAGACTCAGTCGAACGATCTCTTAGCAGTCTTGATAAAATCGGCGACAAAGTATGGGACTCATTAGGGGTCGCTGAGAATACAAAAACGACTATCAAGGCATGCGGTGATACATGCGAAGAATTCCGAGCGGATCTGCAACGCTGGACGAAACACTCGGGTGCTTCCCTGTCGTTACTGGACCGATCTAAGATCGGATTCTGGAAGCAGCATCATATTCGGTCGATGGAAAAGAAGCTTCTCAACTGCCAAGTCACTATCACCGAGGTAGTCAGCATAGCGACACTGTATGTGAACTGGAATCGAACCATATGAACACTATATACTCACATATAATTCTTGCAGTATAAGCTCCCTGCGCAATAGTGATATCACGGAAGAGGCACGGGTTGGAAAACAGCGGGAGGTCACCATGGCTATTCAGAAAGCAGATCTTCAAAGTACAGACCTCGCTGGCCGGAAGAAAGAAATCAGAATGCTTGATCTGAGTGAGGATGAATTTGATGACACATGGTCTCGGCTTGAACAAGAAAAGAAAGCACTGGAATTGTCACAGGGGCTGCTAAAGGAATTATTGGCAAAACTCCAGAAGCCTGCCATGTCACAAATTGCAGCCAAGATGAAAGATCACTCGGTGACAGTGACTTTCGGGAACAACAATGTCAACCGAGGAATACAGCTTGGTGTTAACAACGGTACCATGAGCAATCTAACGTTTAGTAGTAATGACTACTGACAGGAGCGATGACCATTTTGCTTGCGTAAAAATTCCAAGTTTTACACCAATAGCTAACTGCACCAGATATCATTACAACTATATACGAATGCACAAATGTGACTATTCAAATGTTTCAATAGCTACTGGTTTTCCATATCTCTCTACTATTCCAAGATTTTTCCGTAAATACGTCCTATGTTGGCAAGGCTACCCATAGGTATGTTGATGCAAATTTGATCTCAGGATATGTATCTCCGGGCCGATCATTCGATTGCAACCTCAAGTTCCTAAGTCCACTGTAAGCAAGAGTCGCATATAAGGCCAAGGCATCAATATCATACAATCCCCGCAGTGGAAGCTCACTCACCAGCAACATTTGGAGGCAATTGATAGTATTCAATTCGTTAAAAAGGGTACCAATCGCTCTCCTAATCTTAGAGATTGCACATTGCCATGGAACATTGAATTGATGTTCCAATACTAATGAGATACTGTACCCGTATTGATATATATTTGTTAGCTTTCCAAGGCTGCAAATACTGAAATAAGCGCCATGTTCCCATTTATAATGAAGATCTGCAGATATATGTAAATTTTCGGTTACATTGGGAGGAATACAGGTCCCAAAATTCTATGGTTGCTTTGTCTGTACGCCCAAGTGCTCTCTAATATTGTAGTACGAAGTACGCCACATTCAATTTGATGAATTGTTACTGGCTCCCGGATACTTATCACATAGGGTCTTCCCTTTTCAAGCAAGACAGACTGTATCTGATTCAAAATGGAAGAAAAACCGCACGTGGTTGGCCAGGCTTATGCATTGAGCATCACGTGAAGATCTTGGGCCTCGGCCCCTTCATGCAGTTGAAATGATCGGCCATGAGATAGATCAGCTGTAAGATTGTAATGAACCGCTTCGTCATTTCTCATCTCATTGGATATAAAAGCCTCGTCGCTCCTTTCTAATTCCGTCGAAGCAGGGGGTTCATTCAAGTACCCTGAACGAAACTCTCACCGATATAGTATTCTTATCGCTTATCGGTCCGCGAAACTGTGGTCTGCGACCCAAACCATTGACCCTGGCCTCTGCCAGTGTCCACCTTTCAGCTCATATTCCTCCAATGTTTGCGATACCAGCGGCTTTTCAAACCGAATCTATGCGCGATCTCGCGTCGGCCGCGGGGTCGCTCGCCTCCTGGCGAACTCTGGCCTTGGTTCTGGCCATCATTAATTTGAAAAACCTCCCGTTCGCCTGGCATGTACGTATGACAAAGTTACCCAGAGTCCGCCTATTGGGTATCCTTCCGACGAACACGTCGCGTGTGCCATTGTGTAATTGTCTTTTAACGCGCTAACCGCGATCTCCAGTTCCGTTTATTGTACCACTTCCTAACCAACCTGCGTTTGAAGCCGAATGCCCCATTCTTCCCCAAGGGAAAAGCTATCGTCGATACTCGAGGAAATCCGACACATCCGGTTTTCGTGCCATGCACCGTCACATCACGAACCCCGTTGTTAGAGACCGATTACAACCTACACAAGTCTAACAGCACATATTTTACCGACCTGGACGTGGCACGTACCGCACTTGTGAGCCGACTCTACAGCCCTGGTGTTGGCCTCGTGAGCAAGGAATTGGACCAGGAGTTTCTCGCTACGAGCCAGAAAGAGGGCAAGAAACCCCCAAGGCGACTTCCCATCATGATTGTCCTTGGATCTGTTTACTGCAGCTATAAGCGCGAGATCAAGCCGTTTGAACTATATGAGATGCAGTCCAAGGTGATTTCTTGGGATCAGAAATGGATGTACATTCTTACGGCGTTCTTGAGACCTGCCAAGAAAGCCGGCGGGGAGAAGACGCTTCTGGCCACTGCTGTGAGCAAGTATGTGGTGAAGAAGGGTCGACTGACCGTGGCGCCCGAGCGAATTTTACGGGCTGGTGGGTTTCTTCCTGCTCGACCCGCAGGAGTTGAGAGCCTCGGTGTGCCGGTGGATTCGTCGGCGGAGGCCTCTGCCATTGCAACGCCTGCTAGCGGGGAGGGTATTACCGCTGCTGGCGGTGTCGATGGCTCTTTGGTGCGGGAGGTTCTCAAGATCAGTGAAGATCAGATTCCCGACCGCGAGACCCTTGAGCAGGAGAAGAAGGTTAACTCCGATTCCTGGAATTCTGAGGAATGGACATGGGAGCGGATTGAGCAGGAGAGACTCCGAGGATTGGAAGTTGTGGAGCCATATATTAATATGGATGGTAAATTAGAGAATGAGGTAAATGGTAAATAGATGTACATAATTTATTGGCTGGATAAATATACATTCTTATAGAAAATAAAAGTACCATGGATGGCGTAATAAAGGAATGGGCCCAGCCAGGCGCCCCGTACAGTAAGGTGCGTGGATCTAAGGTTGGTGGAATGATCTGTAGATCAGTACTAAGTACACACGGACTTGATCGACAGAGCGATGTCGGAAGCTAGAAATTTTGTGATAACTACTGCACTCGTAAACTCCGTATTAACAGCCCTGGAAGTTTTGATTGACCAGTTTGTCTTTATCTCTGACGGCAGGTAGAATACTAGCTATGCGATGACATCTTTCCATACAAACCATCCCTTGATGTGATCACACTCGGGACCCGGTGGTATCCGAGAGCTGCGCACAGCCCCCTTTTGTATTAATAACAATAGTAATTACATACCCACCGGTCTTTGCAGTAGGGTTTATAAGCAAATGTTGGTAATGCATATACAAACCAATGTTACCCACGTGATTAATTCACTTTCATGTCAAGGAATCACATTCAAACGCGCCTTCTACTATCGTACCTCATTGGAACTCATCCTATTCTCAATCAGACTTGTTCAAGCTGTTCAACTTCGAATTTTCATTCCAATCCTCTACGATCCTTAGAAGAAATGCCCATTTTATCTGGTCCTCGGATATAATCCAGGTACGTTGTACTGTATCATACACATCCATTTTTGGTTTGGCGGCTCCCAATATGGCGCCAAAAGTCCACTTTGTCCACCTTTCCCGTCTGATCGGGCATTGCCCACTGGACAAGATCCTCATTCCCCTGTGATTCGTTCTTTTCCTAAACCCATCATTCCAAGTTCTCTGTAGTGTAATTCCCCGTCTGCCCCTGCCTCCCAGTGTCAGACCATCGTGCTCTGGCCCACCTTCGAGCGTCTCCTGCGCCTGCATGATTGGCCCACTTTGGTATTACTGCTCATCTTTCCTCCCCCAATTCCCAGACTAGCGTCGCTTTTATGCGCAACTCCTCTGCAACTTGATGATTTCTGCTGCAACAACAGTCGTGTTCACTCGTTTTTAACTCGCACACGGACCTCCCCTGCTCGTTCTAATTGGCGATCTGAACCAGACCAGTTTTTTCCCTACACCCGCTCCTGGAAAAAAGAGCCTCCGAACAGAGCTTATCGCGCCATCAAACAATACAGTACATCCCTCTCTTCCGTCACTCCTGAACCAACCTTGAATCTCGACCCCCGAATACCTTCCAAATTCTCTCGCGCTTCGGTCTGCTCCTTTTTATCGCTTCCCCGACCGCTGGGAACCACCTGTTTCGCCGTCGATCAGCGGTCGCTCTATCCGACGACGGCACCCTTTACTGAACAGCCTACCCAATAGCTCCCGATCGCTGTCAACCATGGCGGCGGTGTTCGAACACCATAACCGCGACCCCCTCGCAGGTGCTCCGGTCAACTCTGCGTCCATCACACCACCGCAGAGTGCTAACGGAAAGAAAGACGCACCTGAAGGGGTACCCTCCGAATTATCAGACCTTGAGCTTGATGCCAAATCAGCAACCGCACAGGATGAGATCCCCATAAAGACCGAGGAAAATGGAGAACCGGGACCAGAAGAAGAAATCGAACCTGACCATTACTATGGTGGTGGAAAAATTCCTGTATTCAAGCCTGTGAGTTGGCCTGCCTCACATCTGCTCGGTGGATAAATTCCAGGCCGGCCTACGAATAAAATCGAAGGCCTGGGAATTTCCACTAATCTTGATGACGTGGCTGACGAGACTGTTCAGACAATGGATGAATTCCGTGACTTCCAATCCTATGTCAGCAAGCTTGACAAGTATGGAATGAAAGCTGGTATTGTGAAGGTGATTCCGCCAAAGGAATGGTTAGTCTACAAATTTCTACAAATCACTTTGAGAGATTGAATGGTTGTACTCACTCCATTCTCTGTTAAGGCTCGACGCCCAAAAGCCGCTGGACGAGCAAGTGAAGTCGATTCGCGTGAAGAACCCTATTATGCAAGAATTCCACGGGTCACATGGCACCTACACCCAAGCCAACATTGAACGCCAACGGACCTACAACCTCCCCCAATGGAAAGCATTATGCGAGGAAAGCAGCCACCAACCGCCCGCTCGCCGTGGAGAACGACGTCGCAACCAGGAAAGATCAAATCGAGGGGCTACTCCACGGCCTCAACCTGCAGATGGCCAGAAGCGTAAACCTGGCCGTCCCCCTAAGCAAACCAATCCAGTCAAAATCAAGGAAGAACCAACAGATGAGGCAGAAAGTTCCAAGTCTGAAGGTCCTCCCACGCCCGTATCGCCTGAAACAAACCCTATCGAGACCAAGAGCGAAGACTTGAGTGACGGAGAGTCTCTCCCAGCTACGAAACCCAAGGGAAGACAGCCCAAGTCTGTCACATCACGACGGAAGAACAACCGCGGAGAAACCGTGGATCACATTGATGAAGCAGCGTTCGAAAGCTTTGATTATCGCATTCATGATCATGAAGATTACACGGCAGAAAGATGCGAAGAACTTGAGACTTCGTATTGGAAGTCGCTGATGTACAACAACCCCATGTACGGTGCGGATATGCCCGGCTCTCTCTTCGATGATTCGACCACTTCCTGGAACGTGGCCAAGTTACCCAACTTGCTTGATGTCCTTGGACAAAACGTGCCCGGTGTCAACACAGCCTACCTCTATCTAGGAATGTGGAAAGCTACCTTTGCTTGGCACTTGGAGGATGTGGATCTCTACAGTATCAACTACATCCACTTCGGTGCGCCCAAGCAGTGGTACAGCATCTCCCAGGAAGATGCCCCGCGCTTTGAGGCTGCGATGCGGAGTATCTGGTCGAGTGATGCCAAAAGCTGCGACCAATTCCTGCGGCACAAGACCTACCTGGTTTCACCAAGTCTGCTCAAGTCACAGTATGGCATCACCGTGAATCGTTTGGTTCACTACGAAGGAGAGTTCGTCATTACTTTCCCCTACGGATACCATTCTGGGTACAACCTCGGGTACAACTGTGCTGAGTCGGTCAACTTCGCAACCCCAAAATGGCTAGACTATGGTCGAGTTGCCAAGAAGTGCAATTGCGAAGCAGACAGCGTCTGGATCGACGTAGATGAGGTCGAACGCAAACTGCGTGGTGAGGCTACCCCCGAATACTTTGTCGACTACGACAGCGGCTTTGAGGGCTTCGATGGGGCTTCAGATCTTTTAACCCCTCCACGCAGCGTACCTGGGAAAACCTCCACCCGTGGCCGAAAAAGGAAAGATGCGGGTGACGGGCCGAGGACCAAACGCCCTAAGCTCCACCCCGAAGGTCCGCGGAAGATCCCGTGCCTCCTATGTCCTAATGATCTTGACTACGAGGATCTACTGCCAACGGAAGACGGTAAATCCCATGTACATCGGCGATGCGCAGCGTTTATTGAAGAAACCAGCATTCTTCGGGATGCTTCCGGCCAAGAGGTGGTATGCGACATTGACAATATTCCCAAGGCTCGTCTGGGTCTGAAATGTCTCTTCTGTCGCGAGGTTCGTGGTGCCTGCTTCCAGTGTAACTTTGGAAAGTGTACTCGTGCCTACCATCCGACCTGTGCTCTTCTCGCAGGTGTTCAAGTTGAACACGGTGCCATTGCTGTGAATGCCGATGACGGAAATCAATATGCGCTACCTAGCGTGGATCTCAAGTGCAAGTTCCATCGTCAGAAGCGGCCGTCCGGCCTTATGAAAGAATTGGACCATGAACGTTGTGTGATTGAGGCGGCTCGTCGTATGGTGCCAGGCGCTCTGATCCAGCTCCAGGCCGACAAGGACATCAATGGTGCCATCGTTCTCCAGAATCGATACGAAGAACGAACTTTGTTGGTTAAAATCCTCCCAAGAGGGTAAGTGTTTTCTGTTCTTTGTTTTGCCCTGCCCCTCCAACCCCACCGGAGGTTTCTTCTCCCGAACAAATCCCGAACTCCCGACCCGAAAAACTGAGAATTCTTGGCTTGGACCTGTCCCAATACTGATAATTGTCAACAGAGACTTAATTGAGATGCCATATCGCTGGATGCTGGTAGTGCGTAAAAGCAATTTTGCGCCCCTTGCACCGGGAATTCAGGCCCTCCCGGCCCACTTGGCGCGAAAGCCTGAAGGACGAAAGGACCTAGAGGTTGCGGTACCGGTCGCTGGTAGCGCCTTTGGCAATGGCCGATCTCATCACCAGTGGGCCGAATTCCAGACAGTGGATGCAGCTAGGATTCAATTCGCCCCACTGACTCCGGTCGATTTGGCCCAACCCGAAAAATTGTGGCATTACTTGGGCGCCCTGTCCACCGAGAGTAGGGCACAGTATACGCACAACCCTAGCGTGCTCATCCACAACCCGCGGGCCAATTTCCTCGACAGCGTCAAGTCGCTTGGCGTGGCTGGAGTCAGTGCTCGTGCATTGAAGATCTCACCCCACCATCATTCCCATGCTGTTACCGCCCCTGCCCCTCTTTACCAGCAAAATCTTTACGCCCAACACCGACCGCAAATACAAGTTAAACACGAACCTCTTCCAAACGCCCAGCAAACCCCTCACCTACAATCCCGACCGCCCTGCTCTGCCGCCTCCCTGCAGACCCTTGCCCCTCCCCCTCATTCTGCTCCTTCCACCGGTGCTGCTGCTGCTGGTCCTGCGATGCCGTCGGCATTTCGAACTTTACCGAATCAATCTGCCCGCCATGCCCCGTACCCTTCGGTCACCAAGTCGCACGTTCAGCAGCAGCACCACCTCCCCGCCACCAATACCTTTGCCAACGTTCGGGAACTCATCGCCCGTCGGCGCCTCGCCCAGATTACCGACCACGCCAATGTCTTCGCTGGGTATACGATCGTTGGCCCCGATGTGGTGGTAGAGACTCTGCTGGGTCCTATGGGATCTATTCCTCCGGCCAATGGACTCGAGAAACTCGAATTGGCCATGGCCCAGCAGCGGGTGCAGCCGCGGGCAGCCGATGGCACTCTGCTACCGCCCCAGACCCTGAACATGCGATCGGAGGAGGTCACTCGACTCCTCAACATGCTTCGCTTCTCCTTGGTCAGCCACCGCGAGCGCTTAGATGTGATCCAGAGAAAGGAGTCGGAAGGCATCAAGATGGAGATCGTTGATCGGGGAAGCGTGGCTGCGGCTAAAATGCCCGGTAAATACGCTTTCCTCGACCAGCAGCGGGAACTGGTCCCCAACGTGTACCAATCTCCGTACAACATGCCCTCGGGTTTGTCTGAATATGCCAAGGTCACATACGGGTTACTTCCATCACCTGAAGAGCCGCCGAAATCGTCCCTGGCAAATGATTTCTTTGCCCGTCTCTCCCCAGAGCATCAAGAGAAGATCATGAAGACCTGCGGTAGCTTTGTGCAGCGGGCCATCGAACGTTCGGCCAGCCATAGTAGGCACAGTTCGGCATCAAATCTTCGACTGTCGTCAGCGCTCGCCCAGCAGACGGAAAACCCGACCATCGACATCACCACTGTCGATGATCCCCCCCTATCCGGTCTGGATCTGCCCCTTCACGCCGATTCACCATGCTCGAGTTTCGGTCGGTCGCATCTGCGGCTCCATTCACCACACGACTTCCCAATCCACGGTCCTGATCCCCATCCCGATCATCACGATCTTTTTGGGGACCAGCAGGCCAATACCCGATTTTGGCAGAACGGGCCGTGGGTCGCTGGCGATGGTAATACCCCCAACGACGAGAAGGGACCATTCTTTGGCCCCCACGAGCGACTCAAGCACGACTATGCATCTTCTGACATTTCCTTGGGCAAAGGGCCAGGCTCGTTACACTCCGTTGATATGGCCGGTTTCGGCTTTGACGGACCTGATGATCTTGTTGGGGGACTCAGTCCCTAAGCCATTTGTCCACTCTTTTTGCCTTCCCTTGCGATTGTACTTGCATCTCTCCTGTAACGACTTCACCGGACTGACGACAGCATGATTGGGCGTTTTATCGTTCCCCCATCCCCTCGACCTCGATTTACGATCGTTCCGCACGACGGGCTACGTTTCTGTTTTTTTGTGCTTTTTCCATCATCTTCGGAGTTGATACTAGCTGGCTGGTTTTCGACTCAGCGTTCTTGTTTTATTTTCCCCCTTCCCGATCCCCATTACCTCACCACACTCACCTCTTTCTCCCTCCATTATTCTATCCCCCTCTCATACACGTCTACCCGCTTCTGGTTGGTTCTTTCCTGGTGTGGCTGTATAGACTGGAGTTTCGATGTTTTCTGCTTCATTTCTTACTCCCCCAAAATTCAACCGCCGCCAAAATCTCGTCCCCCCTCACCATCTCCTTGTTCCTTTACCCCTTAACTGCTCCCATATTTAGGGCCTACTTCCGCCCGCCACACCATCTCTTCGCCCCATGTCCGATTAGATACTCCAAACAAGAAAAAAATTCCTTTCAAAAGACCCAGCGAGCCCACTGGAATTTGTGTGCCCCTGTTTGATACCCCCCCTTGCACTCCCCCGGGGCGCTGTCGTGGATGGAAGTTGACTTGGCACGGTCCAAGCTGTTTTCATTTCTCGGCTTCAATTCCCCCCTTTTTTCGTCTTTTTTTTAATAGTTGAACCTGGCGCTCATCCTCCTCGGATTCTTACCGAGGTCTCATCTCAGAGAAAACTGATGTGGCAGCCGTCACCCAGTGTGACATTTTTCATGTAACTAAGCGAAATGATAAAGAATGATTTCCGATGAAGTGTACTCTAGTTCATGATTAAGATTATAGTTCTAATTTTCTTAATCTTAAGCATAAGATAACTGTACTTGATTTGGTTAAAAATCCGAGTGATTTGAAGACTCCACATGTACAAACTCGTAATAGATAACTAGCTTATCGGACTAGTGACTAATGGTACTTGACCAAAACCCAGATAAGCTAAAATGTCTCAGGGACCGTTACACTTGCTTTCGAGGATTCTGATTTGTCTTGAGCCATAAAACCTTCTTTCCCACCGCGGTCCCGGACCGCGATGCATTACATCTTTAATGCCTATCATGCGGGGTTAATACATCACTTCCCCACGACTTATCTACTAGTCAATTCAACAGCTTAAATAAGTCAAGCTTCTCCTCTGGTCTCCATCAATCAATTGACTCCACTCAAAATGCGCTCTTCCGTCGACGCCGCCGACGAGGCGTTAGCTCGTATGGGCTACCAAAGCGAATTACCTCGAAACCTGAGCATGCTCAGTATCCTCGGCCTATCCTTCGCTATCATGGCCGCGCCCTATGGACTCAGTACTACTCTCTATATCACTCTCGACGACGGTCTATCAGTCACTATCATCTGGGGCTGGGTGTTCGTTACGCTCATTTCTCTCGCCATTGCCGCTTCTCTTGCTGAGATATGTGCAGTGTATCCCACCGCTGGCGGTGTATACTACTGGAGTGCAATGCTATCCACTCGCCGGTGGGCCCCGCTGATGTCATTCATTGACGGATGGCTCACCCTAGTCGGGAACTGGACCGTTACTCTAAGTATCATCTTTGGAGGCGGCCAATTGATTCTGAGTGCTATCAATCTGTGGAATGAGGACTTTGTCGCTACGGCATGGCAGACTGTTTTGATGTTCTGGGCTGTTTTGCTCGTCTGCGTTCTTGTCAATGTCTTCTGTTCACGCTGGCTTGATGTGATCAACAAGGTCTGCATCTTCTGGACCGCTGCCAGTGTTATTATCATTCTCATCGTGCTCCTCACAATGGCTGACGATGGGCGGAATTCGGGAGAATTCGTCTTCGCTCACTATGACGCTTCGGAGAGTGGTTGGCCCGCTGGCTGGGCTTTCTTCGTTGGCTTGCTGCAGGCGGCATACACGCTGACGGGATATGGCATGGTCGCCTCCATGTGTGAGGAGGTCCAGAACCCCGAACGCGAAGTGCCCAAGGCTATTGTGCTCTCCGTGGCAGCGGCAGGTGTCACCGGTCTTCTGTATCTGATCCCGGTCCTGTTTGTCATGCCCAGCGATGCTGCAGGCTTGAAGATGCTCCGCAATGTAGCGAGTGGACAACCGATCGGATCTATTTTCAAGATTGCTACCGGGTCCGCAGGGGGTGGATTCGGACTTCTGTTCTTGATTCTGGGAATCATGATGTTTGCCGGCGTGGGTTCTCTCACGGCTGCTAGTCGATGCACCTATGCTTTCGCGCGCGATGGTGCAATTCCGGGATTCAAGCTCTGGCGCCGCGTTAACAAAAAGCTGGATGTGCCTGTCTGGTCGATTATCTTATCGGCCATTGTGATTGGTCTTCTGGGACTGATCTACTTTGGTTCAACGGCTGCATTCAACTCCTTCACGGGTGTGGCTACGATCTGCCTGTCCACGTCATATGGGCTGCCCATTCTGATCTCTATGATTCGGGGTCGCAAGGATGTGCGGAATTCGCGCTTTTCCCTGGGTGTGTTTGGTTATGCTATCAATGCGATCACGATTGCTTGGATTGTCTTGGCTGTAGTTCTCTTCTGCATGCCATATACTCTTCCTACTACTGCCGCATCGATGAACTATGCGAGTGTAGTATTTGCTGGGTTCGCTGCTATTAGCATTGTTTGGTACTTTGCATACGCGAGGAAGCATTTCACTGGACCCCCTGTGTCTAATGGAGACGACCAAGCTGCGGTAATCTCCGGGTCTGCCGTGGATTCGGAGAACGCGATGGACATTGACGTGAAGAAGATTCCGATCGAATAAAGTTATTTGTTTTAATTGTATATTAGTTGAGAATTTATTAAGTATCTCAAAATTCCCATGTTCAAAATATATTAAGTCTCCGTGATTTACTCCAGAATCACAAGTTGCCCTGTCGATCTTTCTCCGAGAGCCGCGGCCCAGAATTAACCACACGCCACTTTTCTACTCTTGAGATGACTTATCCACTTCGAATTCCCTGGGCCCCATCTTCTTTTCCCTCAAAACCCGGGGAAAAGAAAACCTAACCTTAAAGGAGTTCCCTTAGTTGAACGACTTTCCCGGGAGATTGACCCTCGGAACGAACACGAAAGCAAATCCCCACGACTTTATACCCCTGCATCATTCCATCCCCATTGGACCCTTTTATCTCCCTGGCGGTTTTGTCTTTATTTCGCTCTCCATGAGGCTCGCCCGCACCTGCCGATGCCCGACCCCGCTTCCAGGACGACAGGGCTGATTACCGGACCGCTGCTTTTCGCGTCAGGATGTCGGATTCTGTAGGTGCGTTTTAACCAGGATATGGTCTTGGTATTGTGGGAATGCGCCTGGCCTTGATATTGACATTTCCGTGATTAGATCGCGTCTTCGTCCATGCTTTGAATACTGTTAAGAGAATTCCCCGGACGGGCACCGCGCGCCCACCGGCCGCGGAACGATTAAAGCTATATGGATTATACAAGCAGAGCATGGGTGAGTGGGAATTCGAAGGCCTGATAAAGACGAGCATGAGCATTAGCATGAGCATGGACTGATTTTAGTACAGAGGGGGACGTTGAAGGAGTAATGGATCGACCGATTGGGAATACACCAGAGGTGCATGCGGAGTGCGAGAAATGGTACGTCAACGCAACACTGCATATCGCATCAACAACTCTATTCCTTGAACTAACTCTTACGCCATGCAGGGACGCCTGGTATGCTCAGCGCGGTCTCACGCGCACCGAAGCCAAACGCCGCTACATCTCCACCTTAATCGATACAATGCACGAATACGCATCACAAACACCCGAAGCGCGCGAACTTGTCGGGGAGCTCGAGTTCGTCTGGGATCAGATTAAATATAATACTTCCTCGTCTTCGTCGTCGGGTCCGTTAAACGCCGTCGGCGTCCCTCCGTTATCTCGACATTCTGGCAGCGCATATGGGAGTATAGGAGGACGATTAGCGGGATCGGTCGAGGACTACGAACGTCCAAATATGCGTGGCGATGATCGGAATTCAAGACTCCGTGTTCTTAGTCCTGTCAGTCAACCCGAAGAAGAAGAATATTATCACCAATCACCGGGGAATATCGACCAGGACGACGATTTGGATGATGACGATGACGACGATGATGATGAGGAATACGAAGAGGCTCGCGATAGTCTCTACGAAGACCAGGAACATGATCACGAAACCGCAGATACAACGTCTGTCACGGACCATATCTCACTTGCCGACGATCGCCGCCATACTCATACCCATAGTCATAAATCCATCTCCAGAGCAAGTAGCAACAACTCCCGTGCTCGCGCTTCGGATCCACACAACTTACAAAATAGCCCCTGGCGCCGCAGAGTCGAGCAGGCCTTGACCAAAATGACGGCTGAGATCGCCGCTGTGCGCGAGCAGATGGAGGCTCGGACATTAGCGACTCGTCGCCGAAATGGTGTCCTTGCGTGGCTAAGATGGATTCTGTGGACTGTCTTACGTCAGGTTCTTTGGGATTTAGCTATGCTTGGTGCATTGCTGATCTTTATGCGGCTTAAAGGAGATCGTCGGGTTGAGAATCGGTTGCGATCCGGCTGGTCTGATTTGAAGGCTAAGTTAAGTCAGATTAAGCTGCTTAGGCGCGCGGGTGATATGCCTGTTTTGCCTTGATGGTCTGGCTCTTTGCTTTTCCTTATTCCTTGTGATACTGTACATTCGTTTGGAGCACTTTTTGGGCTTTCATGTTCCTGTTCATATTGATTTGGAGTTCTGCCTGCCTCTTTGGCTTTTCTTTTGTCAAGTATATATGGGTTGAATTTGAGGTTTCTGGGGGTTCTTCTTTTCTTTGATTTCCTTGGTTCTTTGGTTATATCAATCTAGAGCTTCTTAGCTGGCTTGTGAGGTTTAGAATTGAATAAAACCAATAGATCTATGAATTCCTTATCCTTATGCAAAAATTGGGCGCATACTGCTTTCATGGTCCCCAGCTGCTCAGGGAAAGGGGATATAGTCGCAAGTCCCCAGCTGAGTACCTAGCTTTAATACAGACAAAGTAAGGACGTGATATTAAACGCAAACCAAGCAGAAATCATGTAACCATTCCTGATGCCAATAGATATTTACACAAACATACAGACTGAGACGAACAGATAGATGAACACAAGGGCTACTTGTGTATCAAACCCACTAAAAACGGAAGGGGAAGCCGGGGCCTAGACGGCAGTAGAAGAAGGCGAGCGGATGTAATCGAGGTTGAACAGGGGTAGAATATGTAGGAATAAGCCTTGCAATTCCCTTGCTTTTTTCTTTTTTCGTTCTTTAGAATTGACGACCTGGGAACTGGGCGTACTTCTGTTTCGGGCGCAGGTGCACGGGAACCTCGCCTTCGGGGGCACCAGGGATGGTCTTCTTCAGGCCCTGTAAAAAAAAGACAATGTTAGCTGAAGTTATTCATCCGAAGCAAACCCGAATGCCACATAGTGCTAATGTCTATGCTGGGGGCAGCCATGTATTTATCCGATCCGAGCGGAGTTCAATTTAGACAAGGCGTACCAATTTCTCGAACACACAGCTGTTCAGTGCTTGCTCAGGCTTGCGGCACTCGAAGAGGTAGTGGTTGTTGTTCTCGAGACACTCCCAGTGCTCCTTGAACTGCTTCAGGCAGTGGGTGTTGATATCCTTGATACTATGAACCAGTCAATCATAACAGCTCGCGACTATCCGGCCGATATGCTATCTGGAACGGTTCTTGGGAACCAGACAGCACGGGTGGGAAGACATACACGCTAGCAGCACAGCGCGTCACCTTGCGCCCCTCCTTCATGCACTCAAACTCGCCGCGACCGTTCGCCTCGTCCTTGCACTTCATGTAGTCATCGTTGAAGGCCTTGCACCGGTCGCCAATGAAGTAGGCCGCGCTGAAAAGGGGTGCGGATGTGGCGCCAATCTCCTCGACTTTGGGGATGTGGTCCGGCATGGGGGTAGTGTCCACCAGGACATGCTGGTTGAATCTGGAGGGATAGAGGTTAGTCCGGGTTCAATGACGGGCAGTGGAGTCGGGATGGGTCGGTTTGGAGGGACAATTGGGAGGAGGAGAGTCCTACCGAGCATCTCTTTGGGCCATGGTGAAGGTGTTGTCTGGAGGGGCTGGGGAAGGTGCAATTGATCTGGTTGATCGAGAGCTACGGGTTGCGGTGGAATGAAAGGTCGGTTTCTTTGGCTCGATTCTGATTGGTTGGTGTGGTGTGCTTACCTCATCTATATCTACACCCATACTGTAAGTATAGGATTTACTAAATGTACACTCCAAATTTTCATGTACACGATTTTAACTCGGATGGACGAAAAACTTCCAAGTCAGTCATACGACGGCAATGGTTTGAAGAATCAATTGGATCAATTGCATGGATGATAGAAGGTTTCACCAAGGGAAATATATCCACAGTAATCTCCCAAAATCTCGTGAGACGCATTCTGGTCCTCATATGTTCTGAGAGTTAAAGAAGATTTTCGTCGCATCAGAATTTCCTGAATATGCAAACATTTGAATGTCAGATTGGAATACTAACAGTTGTAGAAGTGGAGAAGGTGTTTGGTGTACTAGTAAGAGCCAGAATGCATGGAGCTACATTGTTGATGCAGATGAAACGACAATCCATTGCAGCTAAAGATGACTTTGGATAAGACTAATCTCCAAGTCTACATTGATTATCTCGATAATATACAATCTTTCAACAAATTTATCTGGGGTTTTCTAAGATCAATTAATCCAATTGTTAGCCTGAATTGAAGCGCACTCACGTGATCCAAAACAAACCAGCTCCGACTTCTTTCTTCTGAGCTCTACAGCGTAGCACCCCTCAGCTCACCCACAACCAACCCCGGTCCCTGGTTGTTGTGATCTTTATCTCGCTCGCCCCGACACTCGTACTGTTGATCCTATCGCCACACGTCTTAATTCCGCCGACACATTCCTTGATCACTGACCGATCGCGCTTTTTTTTAAAGATACCCTTCCGCCAATTTTTTTGCGACACATCATGTTCGGAGCTATATCCAACCCAGCCGCACAAACTGGTGGCAGTCTATTCGGAAACACTGCAAACAAGCCCAGTGCCTTTGGAGGATTAGGCCAAAGCACAAATACCACTGCCCCAGCGACTGGTGGAGGGTTGTTCGGTCAGCCACAGAGCCAGCCCCAGCAGCAAGGCGCGACAGGGGGACTTTTCGGCAGTGCAGCTACAGCCCAGCCAACGCAACAGACAGGTGGCTTGTTTGGCTCGAGTACTGCACAGAAGCCGGCGGGTAGCTTGTTTGGAGGTGGCCTAGGGCAACAACCGCAACAACAGCCTCAGCAAACTGGAGGTCTGTTTAACAATGCGCCAAAGCCAGCTGGTGGTCTTTTTGGCGGAGGCCTAGGGCAGTCGACTCAAGCGCAGCAGCCTGCGGCTGGTGGAGGACTTTTCGGTGGTGGTCTTGGTGCTAGCACACAGCAACAACAGCCCCAGCAACAACAAAGCAACGCATTCGGTGGATCACTGCTTGGTGGGCAGCAACAGGGACAGCAGCCCCAACAATCGCAGTTCGGACAAACTACCATGGTTCAACCACAAGGACAACAGCAAGAACAATCGCTGTCGTCGAGTTTGTGGTCTCCTGGTCGTGCTATCACAGGAGGTGAGCTCACTTTTCATCCGATGTGTCTTCTTGCTCGAGTGCATCGTGCTAATTTAGATTATTTATTTAGTGCACCGGACCGTTCCTATGCAGATGTCCATTGTCAAGGATAAATGGGATGCACCTAACCGTGATTCGCCGTTCCGAGCCTACCTCTATAACAATGTAGGGGAAGAAGCTGCGCCGTTTTACCAGCCGGGCCCTGAAGATGATGCTACTACATGGGAGGCGGCTCTGCGCAAACGCCCAGACCCAGGTTATGTCCCTGTGCTTGTCAAGGGCTTCTGGGAGCTTGGTAAGCGTGCGCAGCGACAGAAGGATTTCCTCTGCATGATGCAGGCACGCCTTCACGAAATCAACACCTGTTTGACCGACCTCCTCTCGCGCCATGACCTTAAGATTTCCCTCAAGATTGCCGACTGTCGACGAAAGCACATGGTTCTCAGCAAGCGTTGTCTGGCACTAGCAGCCAAGACCCAAGTGTTGCGCAACCGAGGCTATGCGATGGATGAGGCGGAAGAAGAACTCAAGAAAAAGTTGGCCCAGCTTGAACGCTCTGTCTTTGATCCATCTCTCAACGGCCGAGGCGAGGAGATCTGGGCTCGCATGTTGGCTATTCATGAGCAAGGCAAGCGTTTGCAAGCGGAGATGGATCGTGCCGGAAGTAATACGGCAGCAAATACGGAGGATGAAATTGATGAGCACACTATGAAGACAGCCAAGAAGGTGAGCACCAATACTATGAACCAGACCCAGGTTCACCGACTGACCGTACTGCAGATTCTCGATGATTACCATGCACAGATCCAGCATCTACAGAAGGAATTGACTGCGGTCAAGAAGGACTTTGACGAAGCCCAGAAACTGAACGGGAACTGATAGATCCCTAAGCTTCTATGCGATCCTTATTTCATAACGTAAAGATGTTCATGGGCATGGAGCACCGGCGTTATCCTGGGTGGAGCAAGTTCTGTAATGCATAGTTCAATATGGTTTCATCTACAATTGCGTTTTCCGCTAGTCATGAGCTACTTCAGGCTTGTACTATCGTAGTCTTGTAAATTGGCATTTAGCCATTAAGTCCTCTTTACCAATCTATTTCCAGTAAACCCCATAAGAAAGATAATCAGGCATGTACAATAATAATACATCAACGAATGCTTCTCCGAATAGTCCCAAGTAATCATAAATGGCAATTGGATCAGTTTCAAGTGCATGGCATCGGAGGGAAAGGGTGAAATGCGATTTGTTTAAAGGAACTTCTTGGCGAAGTCAACGGCGAAGGGGGCTATTCGACAGTAAATGTTAGATCAAGGCCACTGGAAAAGAAGGGGCGTCAATGTCTGGTGGACTTGTGCTGTCCATTGACGACGTCACTTACACAGGTAGAGGAGGATACCGCCAACGATGGCGTTGCGGACGGTCTGGCAGGCCTCAACCTCACCGGTCTAGATGAAATTAGCAAACCGTCAATGATCAAAGCCTAAACGGATGGTCTCACCTTGATGTCCTGCAGGGAAAGCTGTTCCTGGCCTGGTCGAGCGAAGGGCGTTAATTTGAATTGCACTTTGGGTCGAAGCGTGTTGAAAACGAAGAAGTGGATGTAAGTCAAAGAGTGGGCAGATTCATACCTGGGGCGAACATTGTGTATTAGAATGTGTAAAGATGGGATAAAGATAGGATTGAGGGAGAGTTGAATTGAATGAGATCGTGAATTGTTATCGACGAAGTTCCGGAGAGGAAGAAATCACGGGAGCACAGACCACCTTCTCCTTCTCTCATCTACTCGACCTTTCGCCTCTTTCCGCCTCCATTCTCTGCTGCTGAGATCTTTTCTCTCTTCACTGCTGGCTCTATCATTCAGCATACACAGATCCCAACTTACTCGAGTTTACGACTGATTTGTGCTGTTACTTTACCCTGCGGAGAGGCATCGGGTCCGGGAGAACGAAATACCAGCCGCGCCTTTTTGCCGTACCTTCAATTGTCCAGCCATTTCTATTTAAGCAAAAACACATCGCCTCTATGTCTGCTTCACCAGAGCACCAGGCCGGCTCGCGCGCCGCGTCGCCCATTCATGACGAACTTGAAAAGGCCCCGACTCCGATTGCCGCAGATGATGACGAGGGTGACAAGCCCACCGAACCTGCTGATGACCAGGAGAACGACGACGATGACAACGATGACGATGATGATTCTATTCTGTCCGAGGTCGACGAAGCGCAGTTTGACGACTTCGATCCGGAGAATGTCGATGTCGAAGACCGCCCGCAGCTGGCAATTGACGAGGATAACTTGAAGCTGATCGGCCGACACAAGCGCAAGCGTGCCGAGGGCGAGGAAAGCCGTCCGCGTCGCAAGGAGGGTCGTCGTGAGAAGAAGAGCCGTCATGCGCGGGATGAGGATGAGGGAGGAGGTGAGGAAGGATCTGCTCGCCGGCAGAAGAAGAAGAAGGAAGCATCGCCTGATACGGATGAGGAGACTTTGGACCCCGAAACACGTCGCCGTCGAGCCCTTGACCGGGCCATGGATGAAGCTATGAAGAAGCCTACCAAGAGACGGGCCCGCAAGCAGGATGGGATTGTATGTGGTTTTTATATTATACTTTCGAGCTCATATTGACTATGTTGCAGGATCTTGAGGCTATGGCCGATGCTGAAATTGAGGAAATGCGAAAGCGCATGACCCACGCAGCTCAGATGGACGCTCTTAACCGCCAACAAGGCCAACCGGCAATGCACAAGCTCAAGCTTCTTCCCGAGGTTATCAGGCTTCTCAACCGTAACCAATACGCGAACAGCTTGGTCGATCCGGAGATCAATCTCCTGGAAGCTGTTCGATTCTTCCTTGAGCCCTTGGATGATGGATCGATGCCCGCCTACAACATCCAGCGTGACCTGCTGACTGCCCTGACCAAGCTCCCTATTCAAAAGGATGCCTTGATTGCTAGCGGAGTTGGCAAGGTTGTTGTCTTCTACACCAAGAGCAAGCGCACTGAGAACAGCATCAAGATGATGGCGGAGAAGCTCCTGGCCGAATGGACCCGTCCCATCCTCCAGCGCAGCGATGACTACTCGAAACGTGTGTTCCAGCAGGCTGATTATGACCCGAAGTATGTATTTGATCACCTATATCTACTTGGATTATCTAACGATTCCATAGCAAAATCCGCCAGCGTACATCCACCACCGCCGAGATTGTTGCTGCCGAGGCTCGTGCTCGCGACAAGATCCCTCCTCGTATGGCCAACCGTGCCCAAGTCGACCGTACCCAAGTCAGCTATTCTGTTGTTCCCCGGCAAACCGCCGTGCAAGAAAACCGCTTTGCTCGACCTTTGGGTGCCAGTGGTGAGGATCGTTTCCGCAAGATGCAAGCCCGACAGAACGCGGCGTCCAAGGCATCTCGTCGATAAATTCTATTTGCCTTTCCGTCTTTGCTAGCCCTCTCGGGGGCAATTTCCTCGTTTTCCAGGGTGTTTGGGCGTTCGGGATTGATCGGGTTTTGATATCTGGTATGGGCATGTAACAAGATCGCATTCGGTAAATTCTAGCCGTACAAAGTGAATAAGCATTGTAATTGACATAAGGCGCATACCCTGATTCGCCCGTTTTGTAAATCTATTATCATGTTCCCCTGTTTTACAACATTGAAGTCTTTTCAAGCCCTAAAGAAAATAATCGAGGACTCTTTGTTCCTTTCATCATCCGCAGAACAGTGGCTAAATCTAATTATATGCAACAAAGCCCGTTTCCCCCAATCATGGAATCTTCACTTTCCTCGAGCTCTAGCTCTTTCAAGATCCCTTGTCAAGGCTGTTGAAGAAAGTAAAAAGGTAACTCTTTGTCTCTATCCCAACTCAACAATGACTGCATCTTATGAAACCCATGCAACATCGAACAAAACCCATGTAGCGTGATCTCTCCCTAGGTATCGATATGTTATCTTGTCTTGATATAATACAATGCCAGGTGACGTGCAGACAAAGAATTCTGAGGTTTATTTTCGTTTCATAAATATTACTACACTTCGGATTGAAGATAATTAGGGCTCTTTATACTTGATCTAATTGTAGCCAAATTTGAAACGTCACGATTAAGTTGAATGAAGGTTGATATCTTCATTGACATCTTCTAGATGTCTGAAAGATCGATCAATGCTTAAATACGGTGTCCTTACTAGCTTCAAATGCTCTAGACTTGAATTCCCTTAAGTAAATTCACTGATACAAGACTTAATTCTTTCTCGAGTTCATCTTATTCATTATAATTCAGCGCTTCAAGAACTGATCAGCCAAACCCGGAAGTTATCTATAAATATATACAAAATGGTCTCGGTAAAGAGATCGGCCTCATCCCCTCTTGAGGGTGATCAACCACCAGCAAAGAAATCTGCCACCGAGTCCGCTACTAAGCCTGCTGCTGAGCTCGCGCCCTTCCTTGCTGCCCCCCCTGCTACTCCTGTTGTTCCGCCTGCTGCCCTCCCCACTGCTGGTATTCCTGGTGCCGAGCTTGTTGCTGCGGTCGCGGCTGCGGTCGCAGCAGCAGCAGCTGGACCAGCTGCTGGTGGCCCTGCCTGTGGCCCTTGGGTTTTCAAGACTATGAACGACGTTCCTCTGGCTATAAGAGCTAAACACATTATAAGATACTCTGTCAAGTTTTTATATCTAGGAATGGCTGCTGATGGCATCCTGCAAAATCATACTATTGTTAGACTGACCTTCCAACATGAACAGACAAAGGATACTACAAATGCACGTGCCGAAACCAAAGGGTTTATGATCGATCTCCAAGTCGATCCTGCCGTAGGCTCTGCAGAGGGTCCGGGTGTCAATGGTAAATTGAAAATCAAACCTTTTAGGTATGAAGGAAGACATAACTCGGCACAATATGACTTTGATATCCCAATCAAGGCAGGAAGAACAAAAGCCACGAAGTTGGAGAAAGTCAAAGACTTCCTTCAGGTCATTCACGACAATGAAACGATTCCGGTGGGATTCAATACTGATGAGCATACAGTGGGCTGCAAAGATTTTAAGTGAGTACATCCCCGAGTGTCTGTTTCCGATACTAATCTATATAGCACTCAATTGATCCATCGTTTGATCCAAGCTAAAATCCTTGATGTCCCAGATGAGGATGCTGGGGAATATTACGAAAACGTTCTGTGGAATTACGGCTTGGGTGATTTAAAGGCGCCTAATAAGATTGGATATGCTATATTTAACCCTACTTATTACGAGAATCACTTCGAGATCCCTGAACTTGTTTATACAGGGGAAAGTAAATTACATGAGCATCCTTGTATCTATACTGAGTCTTGCTAACAATGCTATTTACTCACATAGGTAAATGGTATAATCCAGAAACTAATGAAGAAGGTGGAGAGGCATATGAGGAGGAAGAAGAGCTTGAGCTCTTGGAAGTCGACGATTCTGAAGATTGTAAGAGTAAGTATTTGAAAGAGCACCTACAAGTATAGATGAGATTGACTATTTTTTTTTGTTATGATTTGGTTTCAGTCGAATAAAAATTTATTACTGATTACTGTTCTGTTAATATTATTCAAGCTGGCGTTGTATACAAAGGCGGTGAGATGGGTAAAGCGGATCTCCTCCCGAGCAAACCCCGAACGAAAACCGGCCGAGATTGGCCGGGAAAAGAAGCAGATCCCGCCATCAACACGTCATGCGGGCTCTCGGTCTTTGATCTTTTATATAAGTCTCCTGCCCGACCTGATTTCCCCTCAAGTTTTTCATTCTTAAACACGAACACACACATATACACACACATCACAATGAAGCTTCTCACCAAAGCAGAAGAGGATGCCCACTACAGGTACGATTGACGGTTGGCTTATCCTATCCCGCGAATCATGCCATACTGACGACAACCATAGCGCCGTTCTCAAGTACGGCACAGTGGGCGGAATAGCTGGTCTAGCAGCTGGAGCAGCTGGCGTCCTCCTCGCTTCAAAACGCTACCACACAATCCGCCACCTGACACTCCCCATGAAAGCTTTCCTGGTGACCTCATCAGGAACCTTTGTCGGCATCATCGCAGCCGACCACGGCTCCCGCGAGTTCGAAAAGCAACACAACGCCGAACGAATGTGGTACGAGAACCGCGAGCAGCGTCTCCGCATGGAAGAATCCCGCGGTCTAAGCATAGCCGATCGCGCCGTCGCCTTCGCTCGCCGCGAGAAATACAAGATCGTCGGCGCGACCTGGGTCGCCTCCATGATTGGTTCCTTCGTGTTGGTCGGTCGCAGCCCCCACCTTTCTGGCCAGCAGAAGCTCGTACAGGCTCGTGTTTATGCTCAGGGTCTGACGCTCGCTGTACTGTGCGCGTCTGCTGCGTTTGAGATCTCGGATCAGCGTCGCGGTCGCGGTATGCTGGATTCGAAGAAGGGTGATAAGGCGGCTCAGCTGGCTGAGGCTGCGGAGTCGGTTCCGGCGCACCATGGCTCGAAGGAAGAGGGTGACCTCTGGAAGGAGATGGTTGCTGCTGAGGAGCAGCGGTTGAAGTCTAAGCACCAGTCTCTTAGCTTGAAGAGTGAGCATGATGCCGCTGAGGCGAAGAAGCATGCTCATGAGGCGAAGGCTGAGAAGTCTAAGCAGCAGGAGGAGGACGCTCCTGCCCAGCCTAAGGACGAATCGGAGTCCGAACAGACCAAGGTTGATGCTGAAGATGAGAAGAAGGCTGAGGATGAGAAGAAGAAGGTTGAGGATGAGAAGAAGGCTTAATTATCATCGGCTTTTTCTCAATTGTCGTGATTTTTCCAGGTCTCGGTTGATCCGATTATCTGAATTATAGATTCCGAGCAATGGGGCTTCTTGAGGCTGGACCATCTTTACCCTCGTACATCTGTTTGCATTTGTTGTTACCGGCGTTATGTCTTGGGTTCAAAAGGAGAACGGTGTATGATACTCTCTGTCTCTCTCTCTCTCTCTCTTCCTTCTATAATGAATGATTTCTCCATTTATTCTGTTTCAATGTCTAGACCCTACTTGATGTTCTGTAAAGTTCAAATGTCCACGTCAGCACAATTATTGGTATGAATTTGACCAATCGCTTGAACCCCCAAAATCGGGCTATAGCAGGAACTTTCTCCATGGACCCCATATTCAGGATTTAAGAGAAGTGGGGTTTAAGGGTAAATAATTGATCATATGATTTAATAATTGAAATTTCGAGTAAAAAAGACGGGTTCTCGGGAGACTGAATGGCTAAGAATAGAGAAATCATTGTCTATGACGCTAACAGCGGCACTAACGTTTACCCCTGTTCGTCCTTGGCAATCCCAACCCCAGTGGAGACTACCAAATCTGCATGTGCAATGCCTACATTCGCTAGCGATCTATGAACGTCTTAGTTTCCATTGTTGGCGCCTGGAAAGTCCCTTTTGCACCTTCCTCCCCACCTTCGGCTACCGGCCAAACCTGACCGACCCGGGAACCATGACTCGAGGTCATTGTTTCGCCTTTTTATGCGGGCTATCCACACTCGTGAGTGCAACAAGTTCCCCATACTCGGCGACATGGTCCAGCTCGTCATATGGACCCGATGGTCCGTGGAATGCCGTGCTCGTCGCACTGGGAAACAATAAGCAGCCCGTTGCGCTTTATCCGGGTGATCGCTGGGCTAGCACCATCCTCCTCGATACCATATGCTCGACGCCTAATCTTACTGGCGCTGACTCCGGATCCTCTTGTCTCGCCGATGATGCTGGGACTTTCGATATCGCTACGTCCCACTCCGTGTACATCCCCTCCGACAACTCCAACGATACGAGCGATATGGCGTGGATCTCGGGTGCAGATAATGCGTTTGTGAATAAGTTCGGCGCCGACGCTTATGTGAAGGAGGGACAACTTGGGGATTTGATATTTTTCGGTGCGATCACTGTGCCGAATGCTAGTATCTCTGGTATCTACGAAGCATACCAGGAGTATCCAAATGGGCAGAGATATCCGGTGGAGGTTGGTACGTTAGCACTTGGCGGACCAGCGCTCAATCAGACGGTGGACAACGTTACCTATAACCTGCTGGGGGCTTATGCTTGGCAGAATAACCAGATCCCCTCCTATTCGTGGGGTATGCATATCGGCTCCGTGGAGCCAAGTATTGCAGGCTCGTTGGTTATGGGGGGCTATGACCAGGATCGAGTCCTTGGGAATGTCAGCAGCCAGCAAGTGAACACAACACATGGTGTTGGTACCCTGGATATCACCTTGTATGATATTGGACTCGGGGTCGCCGAGGGTGAATCACCTTGGCAGTTCGGCGGCATGAATGGACTTCTCAAGACAACTAATAGCTCTGGGGATCACTCAGCCTCTGTGCAAATTGATCCTACGAGACCATACCTTTATCTTCCTCAGGATACCTGTGATGCTATTGCGGGGCATCTTCCGGTCATTTACTCTGAAGATTTGGGCCTTTACTTTTGGAACACCAGCGACTCCCAATTTCAACACATCACCGACTCTCCTGCATACCTTTCTTTCACCTTTGAGAACAACGGAGGGTCAGATTCATCCATGCCCAACATAACCATAAAAGTTCCATTTACTCTTCTCAAACTTACATTGCAATCACCGCTTGTTGGCCAAAACGTCACCTACTTCCCCTGCTACCGATCGGACGAGTACGTACTCGGCAGAGCTTTCTTACAAGCAGCCTTCCTAGGCACGAACTGGCAGGAAGGACAAGGAGGTGGATTCTGGTTTCTCGCTCAAGCCCCAGGCCCAAACCTGCAGGGCGACAATGTGACATCAATTGCCGTGAGCGACACCACCATCCAACCTAGCTCAGGGTCCTGGGAAGACTCCTGGTCAGGCTGGTGGACCGTTACCCCAATCCACCACCAGCACGGTTTATCACAAGGTGCAAAGATAGGCATTGGTATCGGCTGTGGTATTGCCGGTGCGCTTGTGATTTGTGCTATTGGACTTCTTGTCGCCCGTTTCATGCGAAAGGGCAAGAAAGTGGACCCTTCAGAAGATGAGGCAACAGAGTTGACTACTGCAACAGAGTTGACACCTTCAAATAATGCGGCGGTGGCTGGTCCATCTCCGGATAATCCGGTTCAGGATACCCCGGGAAATCATGTTCAGCCGGTCGGCGTATTCGAGCAAGCCAATGGATCTAATATGCACGAGCATGTTGATTCACACGAGGAGTATGGTGGCGATAAACCACCCCCGTGGTCTCCACCGCTACACCCATTACCGGGACCGGTGCAGCCATTCCCGGGGCACGATCAGCTATCAGAACACGTACAATCATCGGCGTATGATCAATTACCAGCACATGATCAATCATCGGGGCATGGTCAAGTAACGGGTCATGATCAGTTACTACCAGGGCATGACCCTATGGATGACAGTGAAGACCATTACGCTGAATTGCACATACCCTAATCATACTTATCGTCATGCCCAAAATTCATCATGTTTTAGCGAAATCAGGAGTTATAAACGGAGTGTACATTTATCACATTGCTTGTATATACTTAATTTACAGGACAATTTTCTCGCATTCCTCCACAGGTCTGAGCCCAAAACTCTTTATACCACCCTGCCAACTCAAATCAATCCTCAACCTAGCAAACACACGCATACCAGCTTCATACTCCCCAATAACCTGACCATCCACCTTCTCAACACCAACCGCAACGATACGCCGCGCCAAATCAGCCGCATCCCGCAAAGCAGTATTAGCACCCATAGCCCCCGTCGGAGGCATCACATGAACAGCGTCCCCAAGAAGCGTCACTTGCGCAGAAGGCTCCCATGCCTGAATCTCAGGCTCAGCAAACAAAAGCGACCGAATAGACGACTGACTCCGATCTTGAAAATCAACCACACTCCGCACACCAGGAACCCACGACCCAGTGAGCCGCTTCGCCAAATCCGCCGCTTCACCCGACCCAAATCGCCAATGGCTCGCCTCCAATTGAAGACATTCGCGACGAAGAACAAGCACCCAATACATATACGGATCTGGCAATTCTAGCGTCTCAACAAATCCCGGGAACCGAATAGCCTCCCACATAAGCGTCGGCTCCGCTTTATCACCCGGGGCCGACGCAAGACTCATCCCAGTCTGATACTCCTGCGGCATGGAATCCAGAAGCTCAGATGTGATAGGCGTTTTCCCAAAAACAATTCTCATCCCCGTATCAATACCAGGAAACGTGGGAAGATACTGCTTCCGCACTCGGGCGTGTACACCGTCCGCACCGACGAGGAGAGATTCTTTTACCACAGACCCATCTGCGAAAAAGGCGGTGACGGTGACACCTGAATCCGAAATTTCATAGCATACGAACTTCTTGCCGAAGAAAACGTGCTCCGAGAGTTCGGTGAGGAGTGCTACGCGGAATTTACTACGGTCCACGGTGTATGATTTACCTGAAAGCATAGCCGGTGGTTTTGGGGGACCATTTTCTCCAAAAGGAATGGGTATACCGTCTGGTGTCACCCGTACGCCGAACCCAGATGTTGTGGCGCATGTTTGTTCGAAGAGAGTGAAGAGGTCCGGAGTTAAGGCTTCTTTTAGAGCGTTTGTGCCGTGCTCGGTGATTTTTAGACGGTAGCCTTGTGTGCGTAGGTTGGTCTGCTCGTCTTGTTCGAAGAGTTATGAATGGGATGTTGTTTTTTCTTAGGGCTTGGGCGAGGACGATGCCGCCTAGACCGGCACCGATGATGAGGACTGGGAGGGTCATTTTGGAATGGGTCATCAGCTTTAGGTCAAGTTGAAATAATGAGAATTGTGTAGAAGTGGTTTGCAATGTTTGGGAAATGACGTCTGGGGATTTTGATTCTTATAGATAGGGTAGTCTATGGTCTCGGGACCGAGACGTTGGTTGAGCCCGACTTACTATTCCGCTATTGTTTTTGACCTTGCACTCTTCGTATACGTTGCCTGTTTATAGCAACAGCATCTTATTGGCAATTTCTTCACGTACCCCCAAAACTGCTTTTGTACACCCTAATCCATATACAGAAATACAAGTATGACTCCGAAATCAGTGGCACCCTGGGATATCAACCTTTCACATGTTCATACCGTTGTCCAGAAACATAAAGACCCGCATCAAACCACAATGAGGATGTAGACATGATCTAGTTAGATATTAGATTTGGATATGTTTATGACCAGAAACTGTGATCCCACAATGTTCACATTATGATTTCGGGCAAATCTTCCAGTTTCAGATAAAGGGTCAGACCACTAAGGATTCACAAATATTGAATCAGTTTCCACTGGGTATTGCCCTTGGCCATCGAGATTCATCTTATTAGTATGTAAACATTTGAACCCGATTGTTATCTAAGTATTACCGCTTGGAGTGTGTATTATACTGTGAATTTTGGTAATTGCCAGCTTATGCCTGGTCCCTCTACAATCAAACATTCAAACCGTGATTTCCACCTATGATGGATTGAAACCCAAGGTTAAGCTAGCTTTGTTAAGTAAGGGACTATTAACCTTTCAGTATAGAGGAGACCTAGCTAGTACTAACATCGACCTTAGATAGAGATGTAAGTTATTGAAATATACATTCCATCCTGTTCCTCTCTTCTTCTCACCTTCTACTTATCAATCCACTTCATATCATTCTACAACATCACATGCACAAACCCGCAAGTCCGCCAAACCACCACATGAAATTGAAGGAAACATAAAAATTTGTTGGGGCTGTTAAGATTTCATTCCGAAACACGCTTACTCCAGTGGACCGGAGCTCGACGAGCTTTCAGACATCAAGGCTCTACATCCCACAACCTACGCCAAGCCAGAGAATTTGAGATGGTGCAAATCGTCGAAGTATCTTGGAATTACCGCAACTGTCATCTTATTGGGCTCCATTGGTGTTAATATCGGATCTTACCGTAGCACAAACCTGGTAAAAAGTCTCCGAAAAGAAATTGTTGAACCTAGTCACCCTCTAGGATTTTTCATGAGTTAGGGTGGTTATTGGAATTCGGTTCTAGGCGGTCTGTCACTAATTTTGATACTTTTACTTGCTTTCTGAGTTTTATTTCTTTAACTTTGATCTATATCGAATTCCTGTATTCTGACAATGATCATTGGTTAAAGAGCCTTCAATTGAGATATCAAATAGATGGATCTAGGAATATGTGGGACCTAAGTACATGCTACCATTCTCGCTTTCTAGAATTCGATGTTCATAACTAGTGTACAAAGTAAATAATCCCACCATACCTTGAGAAATTTCTATGTGGTATCTCTATATCTATCAGTTGACTCTCACTAGCTTTAGACCGTTCTATATTAACTAGTCCGATGTTTACTTAATTGATCCTTTCAGCATGCTCAATGCCAGATATCCGGGCACGTGGATCAGCAGTCCCACTTCAGCTGGTGTGAACCATTGAGCAGGTACAGTAAAACAAGCCAATCAAATTGGGCGGGACCGCAGATCAGTGCTAAACTCGAAATAGTCCGCGTCGAGCTTTGTCTTCATCACCTGAACAAAGACCCGCTCGGCCTCCCCCCCCGTGTCCTTTGAGTTCCCAAGTATCTGACGAATGGGAGCAATGCTCGGTGCGACCTTTGGCCAGGGTTTCCAGCGGCACCAACTCAGCCTTAAGCTTGCTATAAGAAGCTAAAAATTGACCCTCCAATACATACGTGCTGTGTGGATGAGGAACTTTGTTTAATTAGTTGATCAGTGAGTACATAAATATGCACATGAGTTCGGAGCCAGTAAGCCTTCTGCAGGGGACCGGTGAAGAATCCCCACTTCCCCGCCTCCACACTGTTTACTCTTCACCCAAATGTGGCCCTTTTAGCCAGCTGCAATCCATTTAGCCAAGTGCAATCCATTTAGCCAAGTACAGTCCATTTAGCCAAGTACGTTGTATTTAGCCAAGTGCAGTACCCTGACTGGTGGCTGCACCAGAAACCTACTGTAACTATAAAGCTGTGTCTGGTAACAGGCTCAAGGTCGTTCAACCACCAAATGTGATGCGGCAAAATGCACATAACCGGGACGCTTCATCGTGCGGGGAAAGGGATAAATAGTCATTTCTGCAGAATATAAATAGGAAATGAACGAGCTTGCAGCATTATGGACCAGCACAGGCTTCTCTTCTAGTTATACACATCCATTCACCAGCATTTAACTCTCTTCAATAATCATGAAGATCACTGCAGCTTTTGCAGGCCTCTTGGTCACGGCATTCGCCGTCCCTGTCCCCGAACCTGTCCTCGTGTCGCGAAGTGCCGGTATTAACTACGTCCAGAACTATAACGGCAATCTTGGTGACTTCACCTACAACGAGGGTGCCGGGACATATTCCATGTACTGGGAGGATGGAGTCAGCTCTGATTTCGTAGTTGGTCTGGGCTGGACCACTGGTTCCTCTCAGTGCGTGATTATAACTTTCAAATTTAAGTCCAAGATCTAACTTCTTCAAGGTCTATCACCTACTCTGCCTCCTACAGCGCGTCAAGCTCTGGCTCCTACCTCGCTGTGTACGGCTGGGTCAACTCTCCTCAGGCTGAATACTACATCGTCGAGGACTACGGCACTTACAACCCTTGCAGCGCGGCCACAATCCTTGGAACCGTGACCTCTGACGGAGGCACCTACCAAGTCTGCACTGACACTCGGGTCAACCAGCCATCGATCACGGGAACAAGCACTTTCACGCAGTACTTCTCCGTTAGGCAAAGCAAGCGCACATCTGGAACGGTGACTGTCGCCAACCATTTCAACTTCTGGGCGCAGCATGGGTTCGGCAACAGCAACTTCAATTATCAGGTCGTGGCGGTAGAAGCTTGGAGCGGTGCTGGCAGTGCCAGTGTCACGATCTCTTCTTAAAAGATGAGAGCCTTAGTAGTTGAAAGAATTGAAGGCTGAGCTTTCTTTCTCAGATGGTGTTATGGCCGGATTGGGGGTTTAGTGGTTCTATCGAGGCCGTATATGGTGTGTGTTTTCAACTCGCACAAACAATCAAGTCGCATTTTTCCCTCTTGCTTTTTCTCGCTTTTCATTCTATCCCCTGATGACATAATGCCTCAAACATAATATGCCTATACAAGTTGTTCGATTGCAGTTGCCATTCAGGGCAAGTAGTTAGATGAATGAATGGCGATTCGGGAGTCTTGCAACATTCTCAAATAAGCAGGCATCCATCTGGTTGGCGTGTTATCTACGACTGTACATAATCACTGCCAAGAAAGGGGCTCAGGAGCAGAGTAATCGTGATTAGTGCGATCTCGGAGCTAAGACCGGGCCTACGATCGCCGATCTAGGCCGTGGGGGCGTATCTGCCAGGTGCTGGCTGCTGGCTGCTAGCTGTTGCCTCAGGCCCCAGGACTTTTTAATCTATTTCCAGCCTTTGATCATACTATTCCAATATTCACCTCTTCCCACTAGAAGCTAGCAGGTCACCATGGAGTATCTTCAACAGACTTTCGCTCAATGCCAGAAGGAAGATCGCCCAGCGCTGGTCACTTATGTGACAGCGGGATTCCCACGGGCGGAAGACACTCCAGATATTTTGCTGGGGATGCAAGCTGGAGGGGCTGGTGAGTTCATGCCATTCGAAAAAAAAAAGTGAGGAAATTTTCCAATTAACAATCTTTAATAGATATTATCGAGCTTGGTCTACCATTCACGGATCCCATTGCAGACGGCCCAACAATTCAAAAATCTAATTTGAAGGCACTCGAAAATGGTGTTACCATCACCTCGATGCTGGAAATGGTGCGCGATGCTCGTCAAAAAGGACTCAAGACACCTGTGCTTTTCATGGGATACTACAACCCGATCTTACACTATGGCGAATCTAAATTCCTCGCTGATTGCAAAGAAGTCGGAGTCAATGGTTTCATTGTCGTCGATCTCCCGCTCAAGGAGGCAATCAGATTCCGCAATGGCTGTACACAGACTGGGTATGTAATAAAATACCTAATCTCAGATCGATACTTACTGTTCTGTAATGAATAGTCTTTCCTACATCCCTTTGATCGCACCATCTACGACCGAGGACCGTATGAAGACCCTCTGCAGCATGGCTGACTCCTTCATTTATCTCGTCTCGCGCATGGGCGTGACCGGCGCGACAGGAACCCTCAATTCGGAACTCCCTGCCCTTATCAAGCACGTCAAGGAGCTCTCGGGCAATGTACCTGTGGCAGTGGGATTCGGGATTAGTACGCGCGAGCATTTCCTAAGCGTCACCTCGATTGCCGACGGTGCCGTGATCGGTAGTCAAGTGATTAACGTTCTCGGAGATGCTCCATCCGGCCAGGCTGCCCAAGTCATCGAGAATTATTGCTCGCAGATCACGCAGAGAAAAGTCAATCGGGATGGCTCAGTTATTGCTTCCATAGCGTCGAAGACAATTGCTGGTCCGGCTATCGAGGAGGCAGCTACCACAGATGTCGTAGGACGCTTTGGTCTTTTCGGCGGTCAATACGCACCCGAAGCCCTGATAACTTGTCTTGATGAATTAGAGGCCGGATTTCAAGCTGCGGTAGACGATCCGACCTTCTGGGACGAATTCAGATCTCATTACCCCTTTATGGGTCGGACATCTAGCCTCCATCTCGCTAGTAGACTGACCGAACACGCTGGCGGAGCTAATATTTGGCTGAAACGCGAGGATCTGAACCACACAGGATCTCACAAGATCAACAATGCTCTGGGTCAGATTCTGATTGCTCGTCGACTGGGTAAGACCGAGATTATCGCTGAAACAGGAGCGGGCCAACATGGTGTCGCCACGGCTACTGTCTGTGCCAAGTTCGGCATGAAATGCACGATCTATATGGGCGCAGAGGACGTCCGTCGACAGGCATTGAATGTGTTCCGTATCCGCTTGTTAGGTGCAACTGTGATCCCCGTTGAGTCAGGATCACGGACTCTCAGGGACGCGGTGAATGAAGCATTCCGTGCGTGGATTGTCCGACTGGATACGACTCACTATATTATCGGATCAGCAATTGGACCACACCCCTTCCCGACTATGGTTCGCACGTTCCAGAGTGTCATCGGGGAGGAAACCAAGGCTCAGCTGAAGGAACTAGGCAAGAGTGCCGACGCAGTGATCGCATGTGTAGGAGGTGGCTCGAACGCCGTGGGGATGTTTTATCCCTTCTCCAGTGATCCCTCCGTGCAGCTCGTTGGCGTGGAGGCTAGTGGAGAGGGTCTGGAAACGACTCGGCATTCGGCAACTCTCAATGGTGGCTCCGTCGGAGTTCTACACGGTGTTCGAACATATGTCCTGCAGGATCAGCATGGCCAGATCTCCAACACCCATTCCGTTTCTGCGGGGCTGAATTACCCCGGAGTTGGGCCGGAGCTTGCGAATTGGAAAGAGACTAACCGGGCGACCTTCATCTCGGCCACCGATGCACAGGCTTTCCAGGGTTTCCGCCTGCTAAGCCAACTTGAAGGTATTATCCCTGCATTGGAGACCTCCCACGCTGTATGGGGTGCTATTGAGACAGCTAAAAAGCTTGGTCCCGGCAAGAATCTGGTCTTGTGTGTGAGTGGCCGCGGAGACAAAGATGTGCAGACTGTGGCCGATGAGTTGCCGAAACTCGGACCTGAAATTGGATGGGACTTGCGATTCTAAACGGAGTACCAAAAAGCAGTGAATTTCACATAAATTAGCGCTCCATATATTCCTATAACATGCTACTGTCATTGTGTGTTACGCTTTTCATATCCGTCACATGTGTATCTAATATTTTATTCAATATTGGTGTGATCCAGTCATCTCGCTTTGAATTTCATTATTTGATGTACCTTTCTATGTAATTCCCTAGTATACCGTAGCTAGAATGGTACCGGGGTAGATATAGGGATAAAGATGCGGTCCATGGGTAACAATCATGGAATCCATGGGATAGTTTTCGAGTCACTCTCGTAGGAAATGTTATTGAACTTCACAGTAGAACATCACGATCATATCTAAATAGGACTAGTACTCGCATGTGGAACAATAAGGTTCTGGTGAGTTGATACTTCGGTATGTTTCACAGGTGCAACCATATTCCTTCTCTCTTTTCTTCTTCTCACCTCCCGAACCTCTTCCAGTTTCCATAATCTTTCTAAGCAACTTTTATCAAAAACCACTTCACCAATAGCAAGATGTCCGACTCTTTCCTCAAATCTTCCATACCATTCCCCGAACAAGCTTATTCGGAGGTAAAGAATTCAAAACGACGCTAGACCTTGAGGCTCAGAAACCCATTATGGAGCCCTATCTGGATTTCAACCAGCCAGTGGTGAAATCGAAATGGCGCGAATCATGGCCATACCTCCTAATTATCGGCGTATTATGTTTCATCGCTTTGGTGTACTATGGCGTGAGCTAATTCAAGTATAACATTAGGTCTTCAGCCTACCCTAGCTCGAAGCTTGAAAGGTGTGGCAGCGGATTTAGGCAGTAGGCCAGGAAAATTAACTGTGATTTTCAGTGTGATTGATTGAAAACTTCATGGTTTTCTCATTTCATTTGTACTGGATTTGATTGATTTTTGAAATCCTTGTAGCTTCATTCTGTGTATTTTCTATTATTTTATATTGTATTCTGACATTCTGACATATGTATATGACGCGTGGCTAAAAAGCCTTCATTGATCATGTATGTACGTTCATCGTTCATATAGGCATATGCATACCGCATTATGCAGTATGCACACTTTGCTCATTTGACTAGAGGTTGATATAGATTGCCAGGCCCCATTTCCAAAACCAATCGACCAATCACATCAATGGATAACAAAATGAATGTGTTTCGGGGACTTTGTCACGGGTCACAGTTAAATTAGGAATTATAGCTAACTGTTTATAATATCTTTAGGTATGCCGCAGTTTTCCCTTATGAATAGAAAGGAAACTGAGAAGGATAGTAAGGCCAAGAAGTGGAAGAGAAACAGTATGAAGGGTAAAGAGTCTAAAGAGAAGGGAAAACTGGCTGTTACTGTATCTAGCGATGAAGAGTGATCAAGAATACTGAGCCAAATGTCATAAAATCAAGCCTTTTATTTCTTGAAGTCATATGGCAAAGTAAGTTGGGCCGCGCAATGTGCGGCCCCTAACATTGCGCGGCCACTAACGACTTGTATATGTTTATGTCATTCTAATGTTTGAAAGACATATCATCTCAAAATCCTATTTTTTGATCATTTTAGAACCTTGTAGATAAGCTGCAGTGAGATATGTTCTGTACTATGGAGGAATTAAGTAGTTCATGTACTTCTTGTTCCCTCTAATTGATTGGAAATTATTTCTATGTACATACGCACTTTTCGTTATCTCAGAAATAATAAGTGGTAAATTGTGAAATTTGAAAGTAGGTCAATATATAGAGAACCTAGATACTGGGGTACCTGTCTTGAATGTGAATGTTACCGATTGGGTAGGAGGAAAGTACATGAGCATCTGACTTCCGGGTACAAAGTCGGTCCCGAACCACGTATTGTTCTCTCATGGACCTTGGAAGGGGTTTCCTTTCGGGGTGTCCGTGGTATTATGATTTTGACCTTTGACCGCATTTGGAAGCTGCGGAGGACTCCGCCCGAGGTTCGTTCTATTTCCGCGGAGTTCAAATAAGCTATGGTCCATATGCGCCCAGATTCGAGTGGATTCATCTTAGCGTTTAACAGGGAAAAGGGAAAAGCCACATTCCCCATGACTTTGTGGCTCACCCGAACCTTGGCACGTAATCTAGGATTCGGAACTGAGGAATATTGTCTCTATGGTCTCATATTGTTCTTGGATTCGGATCCTGTGTAATCATCGTATTCAGGTTCAATATTTTGAATGCTCTGATCAGTGTCATTGACATACATACCGAAGGTGAATGGGTGGGATACGTGGAGAGCTACATTCCAGATGACAAAGAGTGGGACCTGTGGGAGTTGAACATCTCCGGTTCAGCCTCTCATATGTCGTTCTCGTTCCCGGTTTTCAGGAAACTATTCGGGCCCGAGGTGGCGATCGCCTTGGCATCTAGAGCATGGGTCCGATCGGGATCGTTTTGAATCTCCATGGCCATCGTCATTGGTGTGGCTTCTCGTCTTGCGCCCATAAGTTATATCTCCATTGCTGCACATATCAAAATCAATTATCATTGACACCAGTATGGCGGCCATGACCGATCTCACGGTCTATAACATGCCAACCTCCCCTCCCAATTGGGACAGGGTAGGCGTCTTCTACATGTCATTTTGTGTAACTTGGACCACTATCCTACTCACCGGCATGGTATTTTGTTTCTTCAATCGTCACATCCCCATCCTCAGAGTCCGCGGTCTACCGTTATCATTCTCCGCCATCGCCCTTCTTCATGTCTACTGGATCATGGGCCAGATCACACATCCAATTGGCGCAGCCATGCCCACAGTTCTTGCCTATGACATCCAGTACTTTACCATGGGCATCTATCTCCCACTGGGTATCGCTTTATTTCAAGCCTCAAACCTTCGTTTCCTTCATGTCGCCAACTTGCAGAAACAATTTGTTCATCCCGAGCGACAAATAGAGAAAGAAGCCAACGGCCCCCGCTCATTTTCATGGCTATCCTACTTGAGAGAAATGGATTACATGAAAAGAACCTTGTCTCTCATCGGTCTTGGCATGGTACTGCAGGTATGTCCTGCACTTGATAATTGTCTAGTCCAAAGCTGATCGACGATTTATTAGTTCATTGTCACGGTCGCGATGTGGGTCGCATGCAAAAAGTATCATCCAACCTACGGTATTCCTGGCACAGAGATCCACGGCGCGACAGTTGCAGAGCAGATTGTGTATCTTGGTCGAGGGTGGGAATGGTGGCCCTCCTTGCTGTGGCAGGTCATCTGGACATGGATTGTGAGTATCCCAATGAAGCTCGGCGCTGCTTGCTAAGAAACCTGCTTTTCCTCGCCCTATTCTTCTCTCAATCACCTCCATGCTTTGGTCTCATACACATGCTAATGTCCTCACTCTGCAGGCCGCTCCGATTCTCATTTGGCAAACTCGGGGAATCCGTGATACAATGGGCTGGCACACTCAAACCCTCGCCTGTTGTCTGTCCGGGTACGTGTTGTCTCTGGGGGTGCTGAAAAACGTTTCGTTGACATGACTCTCTAGTCTCCATGCAACACCTATGTACTTGATCGCAACATACGTGCCTGCCTTTGCTAAGGTGAATGTTTATTTTACCCCGAGTAATTGGTGAGTGTACTGGATACATTGATACATATCAATGAGGTGCGCTAACAAATACACAGGATTCACGTCTCCATTATGTTGTGGGAGATATTCACCGTATTTGTGCCCATTTTCCACGTCATCAGGCTATGGGCGATGAGCAAGAAAGCCACTGCCTCAACAACCCAGTACAATTCGATGTCAGAGACCATGCTAAACAAACCCTCGTCATCTATGGAGCTAAGGAGTATATCTTCGTCCACACTTGGGGAAAAGAACCAGTCTGCCCAGTCCATTCACGAATATACAGTCGACCGAATTTACACAATGGATGCCCTCGATCATGTCCTAAGCAAGAACCCAGAACAGCTACAAGAATTTGCCGCATTAAGTGACTTCTCCGGAGAGAACATTGCATTCCTAAGCGAGGTTGCACTATGGAAATCATTCTGGCCAAGCCTCGAGGAAACAAAAACCTCCGATGCATTCAACCAGGCTCTACGCATTTATGTGAATTTCATAAGCACGCAAGATGCCGAGTTCCCCTTAAACATATCTTCGCACGCCCTCAAAGGCATGCAGTCTATTTTTGAACAACCTGCACGCAGTCTATTTGGAGAGAAAACCATCAACACTACGTCGCCATTTGAAGCTGACCCTTTTGCACCACCGCTTTCACAAGATTTTGAAGGGGTCCAGGTGGCCTACGAAAATCGATATACAGGGGCGATTCCTGTTGGATTTGACATGGCCATTTTCAACAATCTGCAAGACGAAATTAAATACCTGGTACTGACAAACACGTGGCCGAAATTTGTCGAGTCGATGCGGCGACGGTCGACGGATACTGAGCGCAGCGATTATACTGCACAGTCGAAGACATCGCTGAAGAGCTGGATCTCGCGCCAGCGGTTGAAACTCCGATCATTTCGTTGATATAATGTTGCTCTATACCTGTAGTTTTTGAATGAATTGCGCAAATTATGACTCCTACTTTGTGTATATCATAGATAGAGCTTCTTTTTACTATATTTTACTACTTAGCGTGTTTATGAGCAAATAACAATAACTTCGAGTCAAGTGCCCCATAGGATTATGTTTCTATACTCTAGTATACCTACCTGAGTACAGACCATGGGTACACTGAGTGTATCCGCTAAGGTAGTCTAAAGGGGAAGGTCATCTGAAATATTCATAAAGGACTTGATAGCTTGATACCTTGTAGAATGGATATCTTATATAGAAGAGAAGGAATTGCAGTAGGTCAATTCTAAGGCAGCTGTGTGAATTCCCTGGAGCTGGAGTTGACCGAGGCCGGAAGTTGATCTGATGTACTGTCATCAACTTCAGGTTTGGAGCAAACATGTTTCACATAATATATTCACACAATATAACGGAATACCAAACGGATCAAATGAAAGGAGAAGAATAGCCCGGTGAGCTAAGGAGCTCGAGTGATTGGTCGATCCTGGTGGTGATCTTGGTGATCCTGGGGGGAGGACGTGATCCTGGACGTGATCCTCTCCCTTGTCCCTCTTTTTTTACTTCCTTTCTCATGAGTCTTCCTCTCATCTTCCAACTTCAAAACCCACTTCACATTTGGAACTTCAAACCTTGCCTCACTTCAACGCGTCCTCCCGTTGCCTGGCATATCACTCTCAATTTCTTCACAATGATTGAGTCCACTGCATTCAACTTCAAACTTCCTATCTCCAAGGTATGTTTGCAATGTTGTCATCTGCGTTTTATCACCGACTTTTTCAGCTCCAATCCTCCTGCAGCTTGGCACATGACTCTTACTCTCACAATGATTGAGTCTGCCGCCTTCAAATTCCAGCGGTCTCTTCCTTGGTCATTGAGAAGCATCGCTCTGATCAATAAACGATTTGCTCAAACTCTCAAGCTCCCATCTGGCTTCAACGAACATCACTTCGATCGAAACACTGTCTGTTTGACCTTTGTCAACCTTGAACCCGTGACCCTGTAGTTGCTGTGACGATCGAGTTCTTGTCCGTATGCAAAGTCATTGCCTGCGATGGAGACAACCCCCGGATCCACAACCCGTCTTATCAACGACCCGTCTGTTTGACCTCAGTCAACCTTGAACTTCGAGAAGTCTGTAGTTGCTTTGACAATCGAGTTCTTGCCCGCATGCAAAGTCATTGGCTGCGATGAAGACGACCTAATCCGGCTGGATTCATGCAGTTGTGGCTGCATGGATCATTGCTAACCTTCTTAGGATTCTCAGAATTCGATCTTCCTTCCCTTATCTTGAACAACCTTCGTGCTCTGCTTCTCGGTTCTCAATCCTCCTTTTTGGCCTTCATCTTGATCAACATTACCGCTATTGCTTTCTCAGTCTCAATCATCCAACTTCAAGGGTCATTCCAACTCGAATTATCAACATCCAAACCTTGCCCATTTTGATCGACAACCTCTGCCACATTTTTGGCGCTTCGCGTCTTTGTTCACACAAGGATTTCCTCAATGTATCATCTAGCTGCAACAGCTTCTGAATTCCTCTCTACATCTTCCAAATTCAAACATCGAACTTGGAACTTCCGCCTTGCATCAATTCACTTCAAGGCCTTTCTGATCTGGCATCACTTGTGACTCATTACATTGCCTCATGATCCTGTTCCTAGCTATGACGATACTATCATCCTTGGAACTCCACTTGTTTTATCTTCTGCTGTAGACATGTCTTGTGTTAGTAAACATTTAATAAGTATTGTTCATTGTAATTTTCTTACTTCAACCTTCACGACTTCATTTACGCACCATTTGAGACACTGTGAAAGTAGGATTACTTTCTATCCATGCCGTAATTCCCCATCACACCCAGGCCAATAATCTTCCGGGCCCCTCAGTGGGTCGAGCTATGCGCCCCTATGCCAAATCGAAAAATTGAAGACGCCAAGTCCACTAATTAGGGATTAAAAGACACGCGCAAACAGAAGCATACGCATGCACAGTTAGGAGGTAGCGGAAGATTAGCGCTATCTTTACTTTCCCGCTAAAGCTAGATCATCCCGGAGGTTCAATAGGTTCATAAATTTCTTGTTTGCTCAGCAATCATGACTCAATAACGATCTAAAGGGATATTTTACAGAAATAAGACATGTTCCATCAAACAGATTGTCAAGACCTGAGAGAGCACATCAATAAACAAGGACCTGGACGAATTCTTTTAAAAGGTGTCGTCGTCCAAGTGCTCCATCCGCCGGATTACACTCGGACTCTCATCGTCGTCAGTAATGTCGCCTGCCCCAGCAGTGGCTAGTAGATCTGTCACAATACGTTTAGAAGCTTCCTTGGCTAGTCGAGACAAATGGATTAGTTCGGTGAGCACAAATTCTGAAGGGAATCCTCTTACCAGGTGTCTGCATCAATCGACTCTGAGGAATGTGAAACTGCATAGTCTTGGGCGGACTGGGCCCGAAATCCTCATCAAAATCATCGTCACTATCCCACATGGCACGATTACCACCAGACTTTTTCGCTGGGGTCAAAACACTAAAACCCGGCTTGGGAGTGCCTCGCATGCGGTTGCTACTTGTGCGTCGCTTGCGGTTTGTTCCAGGAGTATCCACGCCTTTGATGGGCGAAGAAAATATCTCCGAGTGCATCTGGGGCGCTTCTGGCTCGGGACTGGACATCGGTGAATCATTGTAAGCATATCTCGAACTTGACGCAGCTTGATTCGGGGTGATTGCGAATTTGGAGCGGTTGGGTCCTCCGGTTGAGTTTTGGTATCCTTTGCCGAGCGGCGTAGCTTGAACACGGTAAGTTTTGTCAAGCATTTGGTGTAGCACTGGGTCGGAAGGCTTTTGGTAACGGTCGTCTCGAGATGCGGATTGGTATCGGGCTGACGCGGGTGGCATGAAGGGGGATGACATGGGGGTTTCAGATGAGGCACCGCGTGGGAAGAACGGTTGTCGGCCTGGGGTCGATGGAAGTGCAGATGAGTCGGGCATGTTGAAAGGTGCATCTCCCTCGTTGATCTCCCGCCTCAGGTTCTCATATGATGAATGCTCGATGGAAGATATGGTTATGTCGTCGTCATGCTGTTGAGAAGGTGCCCGGGGTGTGCTGTGTGAGGATATAGCGAGTGCGGTCAGATCAAGGTCATCTCCATGGCCGTGCGGAATATTGTGGCGCTGTGATATAGGAGTATCGTAGGGCTGATCGTCTTCGTGGCTCGTGGTTTGGGTCATGTCCGCAGAAAGTTCCTCTTCCGTTGCCGTGGGCTCTTGAACCGTTTCATCGTCATTCGGTCGTTCTTCATATCCAGACAAGGACACGTTGGCGCTGGCTTCGAAGAATTGTTTCCAGAACTGTCCGTTGGTTAGCATACATCCCAGAGTATTCTTTCCTGAGATTAGGCTACCTTAGCACCGTCCCAGACATCGCGGGAATGCTCGGTGTACTGCTGGACTAGGGGCAAAATGCTCGTTGTAACTATACGATGCGCTTGGCTGAAATTTTGATCGATCTCTATGCGCAGAGTATAAGTCAGCATCAAGTCCTGATAGTTTGTTTACTGATCGGCTTACCCTGTAGCGTCAAAGTGATAGATTGCTCTAGTTTCTCGAGTTCCTCCGTGAGGGAAAGCGGACGCTCCGGATGAATAGATTGTCGAGACATTGTGTGTCAGCTTCTTATATCTGATCAGTGGATGGCCCTTCACTTGATAGAAAGAAAACAATCAAGCTCCGCGACTCCACGCGCGGGGAACTCTGCCAAAAGCGGTGTGTTTTGAGGGCTCTGGATAAGGGCATCATTAGTCATGTGATTACATCAGCAGTCCTCTAGGCATCCGGCGGTTCCAAGTTTCCAAGCTTGTCTTCACTTAATGACGAAGTTCATTAAAACATTAAAATCTCTCAGATAGTACTTTGTTCATGATGCCTGCACCACTCGCGAAAGGTAAGTAATCATCTGTCAACTTGTCAACGCTGGTTCACTTATTCCGCATTATCCGGCTTGGTATACTCGTGCTTATCAGTTCCCCGCTATGGACAAGCTGTATCTGACAATCTATCCAGGTATTATGGTGACGGTCACCGTTCTGGTCGCTGCTGGCGTGGCTGTCTATCAGTCTCCTCAGTTTCAGGAGTGGATGAATAATTCCCGACGCAAGATTGCTGTTGCATTGCATAGCCTAGGCGATGAGATACAACCACGCGGTTCCGCTTCTCCAATCCAGGACGATATTTCCATGACCGAGGAAATCGGGGAGGCTGCAAAATTACGCAGAGAGGCTGCACTCAAAGATATCGAGCGGAAGGCGGCTCTCCTAGAGTCTCAGAAAAACTCAAGGAATTCTCAACAACGATCTGGGGGCAGCTTCGATACATTAGTAGACCAAGAAGGCAGTCTCCGCATGCAGAATAAATATTTCGATCATCCGGATGTTACACCAGTCGCCAACTCGAGTGGCGTTGATGGGGGTGCACCACAGCGCCGTCGCACGAAGCTCAATGATCTTCAACTGCACGTTGGTCCTGCCTCTGAAAGTGCATCACATCACCCGTCGGAATCATTTCCACATTCGACACCCACTTCTGAACGACCAGACCCGGACATTATGTTTGAATCATTCTCCGGCTCCCCGCTGAGGGGACAATCACCCGTGTCTGCCTCAGCCTCGACGAGTCATACAGAAGACAACTCGGTTTATTATGCTCACCCTCATGCATCCAATACTAGCGAACAGCCAGAACTAACTGACAGCTTGGAAAAATTTGGTAATGGAAATCGGCTTCAGCATGACGTTTCATCAGCGCCTTCTGAAGCGGGAAGTTTCGACATAGTTGCGGATGAATCATCAGATGGTACATTGAGTGACTGGGGTATGCATTCGGTTGGAGGCGTTGCTACCCCGGTTAGCTGGTCTGAGGTTGGAAGTGTAATCAGCGACAATGATGCTGGCCATCAACAGTTGCTGTGATTCGGGGCACTACTTTATTGTAATCTAACCCTTGAGGGGCAAAGGTAATGGATTCTGGAACGGATTTTGCTTGCTTAAGAGTGCGAACCCTGCGATACTGTTGGCTTTGATGCATGAAAATTATTACAAGAGCACCTTCAAGTATCTAGTTTGAAAATTTGACATTTGACTAAGAGCAGTACTATACTAAATTGAATGCTTTGTGATAAATGAAATAAGTCAAGCTATTATTGCGCTTATACATCAACATGTGATTCCTCCGCTTCCCATCTCATCAAGTTCTTGGCTGTTGACAGAGAAACAGGATGGTTAGGCCCTAGGACACGGTTTCTCCTGGCCAAGCAATCCTTTGACAGATCGATCCCGTCTCGAGTTCGACCTAACAAATTCCATGTCTTCGAGAAGTTTCCTATACTCCATAGAGTCTCAGGATGGTCTTCACCGAGCTTGGTCTTCTGATTCTCCATCACCTGAACGTAGAGCCTTCCGGCCTCCTCCAATCGGCCCTGCCTACGGAACGTTGAGGCTAATTTCGACATACTCCATAAAGTATCAGGATGGTCGTTGCCGACCTTGGTCTTCTGATTTTCCACCACCTGGAAGATGATACTTTCAGCCTCCTCTAATCGACCCTGTATAGAGAATATTGAAGCTAAGCTCGACATACTCTTCAGAGTATCAGGATGGTCGTTACCGAGCTTAGTCTTCTGCTTCTCCACCACCTGGACGTAGAGCCTTTCAGCCTCCTCCCAACGGCGCTACCTATAGAACGTTGAAGCTAAGCTCAAAATACTCCGCATAGTATCAGGATGGTCGTTGCCGAGCTTGGTCTTGAAGATCTTCATCACCTGGACCTGGAGCCTTTCAGCCTCCTCCCATTGGCCCAATGTCGTTCACATGTCAGCAAAGCTACGTACTGGCGAAAGTACCATGACTCTATTCACAGAATGCCTTCAAGAGAAAGTTCCTAATCGAAGATAAATGTTTCTTTGGTTCCTTACACTTACCATCATCGCCGTAGCCAATGGCTAACATTTCCATACTTTCTGTAGTGAGCTCGTGGTCAACACTCAGTAGCTTTACCCTCTTTTCCATCGATAACAAAGCCATTGCTGTCGTGTCTAATACTTTCCCACTATAGAAAGCATAAAGTGCACCCCTGTAAAGAAGTTCAGCCCATTGCAGTGTATCGTCTTTCGAAGCCGGTTGTTGCGACATGGCGGATTTGATATGCGGAAAAAGCAATTGGCAAGTTTCCCAATTCTCATAGAAGATTTCCATTGGAAAAGCGCGAGAGAGATTTTTGATGAATATTTGCCTCCAATGTTCAATGGCTTCATGGGCTTCAAGCCATTTCCATGTGGCGAGCTGGACTAATCTATGCATTTCAAATATCTGGGAATTTTGGCTAACAGAGATAAAGGAATAATCTCGCAGCGCTTGGATATCATCTTCAAATGCGTAGTTTGAAGCACCTTGCATTAACGCTGTCTCAGCATCATCTCCCGAGCACTGTTTGCTTGGTTTGGCTATTTGTCTGCGCTTGGACTTTCCTTTCGAGTCATTTTCCTTTGCATTTGAATCCACATCAAGCTTCTTTAAAAAGCCCATTCGTAGAATTCGACGTAACCGCGATTGCCGTGGCTGGCATGATTCTTCTTCGGGAATGCGAAGAACATTTTCCGGAATGCCCTGTCTGTCAAAAAACTCATAAGAGAGAGAAGGTCCGCCGCTGACGGCCTTTTTTGCCGAATATGGTCGAAAGATATATGCCACATGAGTAGAATTGAATTTGTTGCTTGCCAGTCGCGGTAGAATTGCCCAGCCTCCTGATGGAGAAGAAGTTTCATTGCGTGGTGAGTTTTCTTGAACTCCTCTAGGTATTGAGATACCGAGAAAACAGGTGCCCGAATTTTGATATAGCTGGCTGCTTGGACGATTGCCAATGGCATAAAATCGAGTTCTTCTACCAGATGAGGAGCAATGTCGCGTTCTTCCACAGGTAGAGATCCAAGCTTCTTCTGCAGTAGAAGTAAAGCCTCGGATTTATCCATTGGGTGGATTTCAATCATGTTCTTAGAGTCGACAATTCTCGACGCTACTTCCTTTCTCCGTGTGGTAAGAATGATGGACCCAACTGGGCTCCGCGGGAGATATTCCAAAAGAGGCTTTCTCAGATCACAACTGTGAGTGTTGGTCTGGCTTCCCTGATTTGTCGATATAGGCATGCGAAGAAACCCATCATCGTCGACATTGTCGACAACAAGAATCCACTTTTCCGTCTTTTTAGCTTGAAGCCAATTTTTAACCAACCCGAAGATGTTTGCTTGGTGGTCTTGACGACCAGCAATTCTCGCTCGGTCTGCAATCTCCCGGAAACTCTGCTCGAAGCGGGCTGGATTGCTCCCATGTATCCAGAACACCCAAATAGTCGGCGATTTGTCTCGAATTATATAGGAGTATTCAATGGCAAGCTGCGATTTTCTTCAAAGGAGTCTGTGAGAATTCACTTTCTAGAAAACCTAGGCTGACCCAACACCACCGAGTCCAAACAGCGCTATCCTGGAGCCTGGTACCGAGCACTGCTCGTCAATCCGATCAAGCAGTTCATCCCTGCTCGCAAATTCCGAGTCTCGATAGATGGTCGATATAGGGCTTGGTGGAGTTTCCGGTCGCTCTTAGATGATTTTGTTAGTTTGAGGTACGGGGTCCAAAACAGGGTTTCCAAGGTGAATTACCCGGAGCAGGATGGATATTCGCCGTGATTGAACCATAGTTGATGCCGTTCTGAAATGAGTCGTTGACGCCAGCAAATGTTATCGACGATGGCGGTTTCGACTCCATTCTGAGGGCAGCCCTACATTACCTGGAGCACACAAAGTTTAGACGTGAGGAAGCCGCTCAAGTGGTCACTCAGCTGAGGGTGGGGTAAAATTTGACATCGATTGCCTCGTAGCCGCCGCGTCTAATTCCGCTCGTCCGAATTGGATAAAAGAAACTGTGGCTTATTTTCACCTCACGTGCCTAATTGGGCATCAGGAAAAGAAGTATGGTGGGTAATAGCGATCAGTCCGGCAAAAGTCTTGGAACCACACGATAAATAGCAGAAAATATAATGACCAAGCTAGTTTGATAACACCCTTACTGCATGCACCCTGTAGACGCATAAACTGGCGACCGCAATAATAGCCATATTAAGGTATAAGTGGTGCAGTAGGGAAGAAGGCACGATACTGAGTGCACATGTGGGAGACGAGTGGGAGACTGGGTAGGAGATCTAGTAGAATCTTAGTAAAAACATTATTTCAAATGTTATTCTGCCTAGGTCACGGATTTCCTGTCTTGATTTTTAGCCTTCCGCTTCATATTTTCCTTCTTGTGTTCTCTAGCTTTAGGAAGCATCTAATAATCCTGAATTTAGTCTACTTATAATAGACGAGCTAAACTGTACCACTGTATGAACTATGCGATATACAAAGGCAGTATAGTATAGCGTTATTGCCCTTCTAAAGAGTACTAGTAAAGTAGCAAACTAGATAGCTCAGGCTATTAAAACCGTTATTCACTGAATACATTCTAAAGATGAGGCGCTTGAAGACTTGCAGGAAAGGTGAGGGGGTTTCTTGGTAGGTACTCGGGAACCAGCATCGTGGCACGGCCTAGACCGCTACCTTATTCTTGGCCCGTAGTCGCTCTCCATACTTGTAAAAGAGGATGGGGCCTGGAATGAACGCCAATGCAAGGAACCCGAGCAATGAGTTCCCCCACCCGTAATTCAAGGTCTTATACATACTTGGCCCAGCAAGGGGAAGGAAAGTACTGGAAATGTAACGCAGTAGATTGTTGGCACCGAGTGCTGATGCGGCGGCTTCCGAGCCAAACATATCAACCAAGTACAGTTGCGCGGGCATCTAAAAGCGGAGAAGTTAGTCGTCAGTATGCATGCGAAAGGACGGAATGATGGAGCAACGTACGATCACAAAATAAGCCCCGAATCCCATTAGGAAGGTCCCTATCATGGGTACGATCCAGTGAGTCTGGTAGTATGCGGTCCAACCATAAAGAAAAAGACCAAATGCCACAAAAGGACTGAACCAGATCATGAAGACGAGGCGGTACTCGGGGCGTGGTTGCTGCACACCGTCAGCCTTCATGCGGGCTGCCAGAACCCGAGCATTGAACACGTTGAAGATGAACATGCTGAACAGTAGCGCCACACCAAGCCCCAAGTAGGTAAGCCCAGAGATAGCCATAGAAAATCCATACTGGCCCTCGAAAACACTAGTGAACGTGGTGAATAGCAGGTACATGACGCCAAAGACCAACGCCACGTAGAGGGAAATGACGAATAAGATTGGCGATCGCACAAGGAGCAAGAGAGGGCGGACGAGAACTTGCAACATAGCTTGACGAGGGGATGAAGTGCTGTCCATCTTGGGGCGTAGATCCGGGTTGCCGGTCCTGGCGCGCATGCGAGCGGCCTTTCGGTTGAGAAGAACTTTGGGATGTGTTTCACGCATAAGCACGACGGATGCAATGCCGAACGCTCCTCCGAGAATGGCTAGAAGCCAGAAGGTCCAACGCCAGCCTTTACCAGCTGCAACAAAGCCACCGATAACGGGACCAAGGACCTAAGCCCACCGCTGTTAGTACAATCACAAACATGAACTCGATAAGGACCAGATGCAGGGGACGGGAAAATAAGCAAAGACTTACCGGTCCTGCAAGTGGTCCGAGACTAAACAAAGCCATCGCCTTGGCTCTTTGCTGAACTGTGGTGAGATCTGCAATGCTACCTCCACCCAGCGCCATGGGGGTGCCACCCGCACATCCTGATATGAAACGGAAGATCATGTATTGGGCAGTGGTCTTGCTCAGGGCGCCACCAATGATAAAGATAACAAAGATGAACATTGTTCCGTCATAGACCGGTAATCTTCCATAAATCTCACTTAGTGGAGACGTTAGCATCGGACCTATGGAGATTCCCAGGACATAAAGTGTAATGGCCAGCGTGCTAACCACTGTCGATGTGATGTGGAGGTCGGCAGCAATCTCTGCCACTCCGGGCGCACACATTGTAGGAGCCATGTTCCTATACGACAATGAGTGTTTAATTCTCTTCCATTTTTATGAAAGAAGGGATTAAAAATGTACGTAATCAATGCCAACATCGATATGATCACAATATTTACCCATTTGGTCCGTGTTGACCAATTACGGGGATTCTCAGGGTCATCGTCGCCATCCCAATCAACGAGATTTGGATCAAACACTTGTTCTGAGAGGGCAGCGGACTCCAACTTTCCCGGAGTGGTGCTTGAAGAGCTCGATGAGGAAGGCATTGCTGACTGCGCCGCGAAGAAGATGCTGAAGGAGACGATAGAATATCCTAGTCAACCATTTTCGCGACATTTTAAGTAAATTTCGGTATCAGGAGACGGTCTCTGCAAGTTAGTCATGCCTGTCTTCCACCGATAAGTGAGCTCATCGTCCTCCGATCGCAGTCCGACAAGCTGTCCGACACGTCCTCCGATCCTCCGCGGGGTGGATCGGCTGGTAGATCTCCCCGCTGTGGGTCCGGCGGGTGGAGCCGTCGGAGGGTCGGAACATAGTCACGTGTGTAAGGCGTGGGGGCCACAGTTGCTAAGTCAGGACCCCACTGATCCTCCGGCGTCTATTCTCCGGATAGCTTTGTAGCCTCACACAGGGTGCTTTGTTTTTCTTGTAGTTGACACGCCGTCTTGCCCTGTGTCGCCTCTGAAAGCCCCAAAATGGATCAAGAGAGTCTTGGTCAGGAGATCGAGACACTTTCACAACCATCACAAACATCCCAGCCGTCGCAGCTATTACGGCCGAAGCTTAGTCGATTAAGAGACAAGCCCCAGCTTTCGTGCAACGCCTGCCGACGTCGCAAGTATGAGCCAGTCTACTGTACAGTAATGTCTCTCCCCATACTCACGTTCTTCCAGATCACGATGTGACCGTCAACAGCCATGTTCCTCCTGCTCTACCCGTGGCCAGATATGTAACTATGCGGATAACTCAGGGCTCATGGGCTTTTCAAAGGTGTCTTCCAGGGGAGCACATGACTTGCATGACCGTTTGGTTCAGTTGGAGCGTCTGGTCGTGTCGCTGATGGCCGACTCGGCGAACAAGTTGCAAGCACATATTCCGCCGGGCTCCGAGGATTTGGTTTCATCGAGGATCCAATATCCACCACCCAATGATCCCATTGTCGACGCTGTTGATGGTCGCTCTGAGTGTGGCGGTATGCAAACCAGCGAGTCGGAATTTCACTATGTTGGGAATAACCATTGGGCGACTATCCTCGATGGAATCGCGGATCTCAAAGACCATCTCGATCGTGATGAGCAGTTCCGCCTTGCAAGTACCCCGTCAGATCTTGATATTGATGAGCATGAAAATGGTTTGGCTCGCCCTCGATCTGGATATGCGCTTCTGCTGTATGGAGGGCGCCGTCTATGCTCAAAGGACGAGATTCTCGCGGCGTTGCCTCCGAGATCTGCTGTCGATCGATATGTTTCCAGATATTTCAACTACCTCGACCTGGTTTCTTCTTGTGGGTTTTACATCCCTTGACTGGATCTCGTTGATAGCTACTGATCCTATTCTAGCTGCGGTGCATGGACCAAGTTTTCTACGTGAGGTGTGTTCATCAAGAATTTCTCGAATCATTTTGCTAACCGTACTAGTACGAAGCATTTTGGAAGAATCAATCGAGCGCGCCTGTTATGTGGATTGGGCTTCTCTTCAGCATGATTTGTCTCGCATGCCTTACCTCCGATATCCTATCCGAGCCAAATCCCGAGGATCTATCACTCCAAGTCGACCTTTATCGTGAGAAAATCGTGCAATGTTTGACGCTGGGGGAATACACAAGGTCAGGGCCATATGTTTTAGAGACAGTCATAAATTACACATATGCCGAATTCTGCATTCGAACCGACGCCGATAAGGACATCTGGTATCTACTGGCCCTGGAGGTCAATTTGGCGATGCGAATGGGCTACCACCGTGACCCAAGCCACTTTCCCAGGATCTCACCATTCCAAGGCGAGATGCGTCGTCGACTTTGGGCAACAGTTCTAATGGGGGACATACTCATCTCCAATCAAATGGGCATGCCGCGGATGATCTCCGACGGCAAATGGGATACTTCAGAGCCACGAAACTTGAACGACACGGATTTCGACGAAGAATCGACAGAGTTGCCTCTCTCTCGCCCCCTAACAGAATATACAAACTCTCTTGGAATCATTGCACGACGGCGGATTCTCGCAGCACTTGGAGCCGTGATAGATCTGACTGACGCGGTCAAGCCATGTACCTATGCTGATGTGATGCATGTTGATTCCATGATCCAAGAGGCAGCAGCCAGCATACCCCCACCACTAAAGCTCAAGTCCATGGCAACGAGTATGACTGACACCCCCCAGATCATTATGGCCCGGTTATTCCTATACCACATGATCTACAAGGGACAGGTTATCCTTCACAAGCGGTTCTTCTACCCCAGATCAGACAATTCAGAAGATCAAGCAACGTCTTACTCGCGAAAGGTCTGTTTGGAGGCTTCCCTTAGTACTCTTGAGATACAACATGTTCTTGACGAGGAAACTTGCCCTGGGGGTCAACTTTATACCATGCGATTCCGCGTCACGTCCATCATGAATCATCAATTCCTTACCGCAACGATGATTCTATGCTGTATGCTTCATCGGGGACAGACGCTGGAGCGCGAGCAAGATATTCGTGCGGCACTTCAGCGATGCAGGGCAATTTGGATGAGACGGAGCGAAAGTTCCAAAGAGGCCAAGAAAGCGGCCGAGACTGTCAGCTTCGTTATGGCTCGAGCAGATGATGGAAAAAGTCATAATGTTGCATTAACACAAACCATTGCGCATTCTGTTGGCCACTTCCCGCCAAATCGTGTTCCGCTTGATAGTCAAGAACCTCCAGGCTCTATTCCAGATGAAGCTACAGTGTCATCTGACTATATGAGCTTTTTTGATCGTGAGAGTCACTCCCTGCTACGCTTTTCATGTCTTCATTTTTTCCTAACCATATTCTAGCCGACTACTTTGTTATGACTGGCTCTTTTGGCAGCTTCGCACCCTCGGGGCAGCCAAACCAGAGCTTTCCGCAAGCTCAGGACTTTGCAATAGAATTTAATGGCATGGAAAGGCGGCCTGATGAATGGATGCTAATGCCTTTGTCAGGAATTTAGCACGTGTTCAGTATAAAAATTTACCTCCTTTACAAATGATCGGCCTTACAGCTCCATAATGACCGGCATTGCTCGGACCATCCGCACGGAGAGTCCTGGATTCTGCTGTGCACAACGGAATTCATTCGAGCACGGCAGCTGATCTCTCTGCGACTGTCCTCCGCCAAGTGGCTCTGACTAACCAGCTACCGATTCCATGCTCTGGTTCTGATGCCCGATGTTTATGTTCGCAACGGACGTCACCTGGTCTCTCGCGTTGGTCTCGACCACGATACGAATGACAGACACAGCTCGCAGCGACGCAATATCCTGACTGCCGCTAAACTGTCTAATTCAAATGTCGAAATGGTTGGTCTTGGCCACGGCAACGAGCAGTCTATTGAGCTTCGTCACGTCTCACCTTTGGCTGTGACCGACTCCTCAGCAACAGCAACGCGTACGATTCAAGCCACCTACTCCCTTTTGCAAAGCGTCGCTGTCGAAGCTGGATGCTTTCTCTTGTGTGCGCCCGAGTTGATTTAGCAATCCAGGAGCATGTTCTGGCTCTGACTTCAGTATTCGAGCTAGTCCACGGTCCAAGCTCCAAAAGACCTTTGTATCCCCGTCTCTAAATCTCTGATCCTTCCAAAATCGTGACTGTAGGCGCTCAGCTTGTCGCTGGCCGTCTTTTGTCTCTCACCTCGCGAGGACGCACGCTGATAATCAACGAGTCCAATCTCATCGTTCAGATGAAAAAGCGGCGGCAGCTAAGAGAAGAGAGCCCCGTTCGGTAAAGAAAATCACCTACATATAGCTGCCAAGGTAGGGCGTCGCGAAAACTTCTACATAAAGTATATGTATTGTGCAAGGGCGAATAGTAATAGATAGATAGAGATTGCTAGTAGACGATAGAATTAGTGGATATCCAGTATAATAACATAAAGTCAGCGAGGGCGAGGTTATTTCATTTGACCCAAGAGTTTTGTCGGACTGATCGCTAATGTCCACCGTAGCATTAGAAAAAGAAGACCCTCGTTCATCAGCTGACTATCATCCAATTAAAATAAAATTGCAGCCCACATCGGGATTCTGAACGCGACATAAACATTCGCTCCAGCAATAGGCGATGAATATAGCCACAGTACCGTACTATTGAGAAACTTCGGTAATCATTTGGATTTCCTAGGTATAAGTAGTACTCTAGTAGGTACCCCGTCAAAGACAAGCGGAAAAACAGCGATCTGCAGGAGATAGTATGATCGGACTTAAGCTCTAATCTCCGACATACCATTTCATCTGGAATGCACATCGTACCCAGAAATCGGCCAACGACAATGTCCTAGTTGAAAGGGCCCCTGAGAAAACTTAACAGAAGAGCAATATCCATTTCGTCAACATCGCAACATGACTTCTGCCCACCAAACCATCGTTCTGATAACCGGTGCAAACCAAGGCATTGGCTATGCAACTGCCGAACAACTTTTCCAACAAAATAACTACTATATTCTCCTCGGCTCGCGCGACGCAGAGAAAGGCGCGAAGGCTGCCGCCGAACTCGACCCCTCAGGCAAATCGGTGGAACCAATCACCATCGACGTGGCAGATGATGAATCCATCCAGCAAGCAGCAGACCACATCGCGTCGAAGTACGGCCGAATAGACGTCCTGATAAACAACGCCGGAATCAACAATGAGCTCGCTCGCTACTTGAAGCAGCAAGATGCCGACAAAGAGAACAAGCCAGACCTCCCAGCCTTGCGCCAGACATACCGGGACGCATACGAAATCAACCTTTTTGGCGCAGCAATCACAACAGAAGCATTCATACCACTGCTAGAGAAGGCGGCTGCAAAGCCAGCGCGGATTGTCTTCGTATCATCACACACGGGATCCATCGGTCTTCGAGTTGATCAGTCTTCTACCTTCTACGAGAAGATGAGCCAGCCCTCATTCCCGATCTATCGTAGTAGCAAGACTGCGATGAATATGCTCACGTTGCATTATGCGGCTCGGTTCAAGGAGCAGGGATGGAAGATTAATGCGTCGTGTCCGAATTTGACAAGATCGGCTTTCTCACGCTTTAGTGATTTGGGAAGATCTCCGGCTGAGTCTGCTGTTAATATTGTGCGGCTGGCGACTTTATCGGAGGGTGGAGAAACAGGCCAGTACTCGGATGAGAATGGGGTGGTGGCTTGGTAGATGTTGTATACCTCGGGATAGCCGTCGGGTGTGGTTATTAGCTCATGGTAATCCTCCAAAACTATGTGATTCTGTCCTGAGTAAACCTAGGCATGCGAATCTTGAAATTTATTGTGTTGTACTCCGTATTCAAGTGTGAAGATAATTATGCCCAATTATAGTGATTTTGGATTTAAAAATAATATCCTTTCAGAGTCAATGTAGTGGGTACCTCGAATTAATATGTGGCATTCATTGCGGGGAAGGTAGCTGTTACACCCGGATAGCCAGACCAAAAGAGCCTCGGCATTTTCGGGGAACTTTTAACGTAAAGCGGAGTTCTCATTTACTTATAACTTTCGATCTTCTCTCATTTTCTTTCTTCCTATCTCTTGGGAAAATATAATATTGTCAAGTGAGTTGTTCTTTTTGCTTATCCATGTTTTTGCTCCCGCCTTTACTTTCTTGCCTACATCATAACTGGTGGCTCGCCCAAGCTTCCCCGCAACAACCTTGAAAATCTCCTGCAAGCCCATATCGACGAATTTTAAGAGGAAGCGAGAAATTTTGATCCAGGGAACTAACAGAGTTGCTCCATAGTTCTGTTTCTCACATCACATCATGGCTGCAGACCGTCTAAGCTCGCTGCTGAACCACCTCAAGCCCGGCTCTAACAGCGGGCTCAACGCCATGTAAGCTCCAGCAACTTACTATAAGGAACCCACGAAAATTAGAACTGACAAATTTAAAGCACCCAAAAGAACCCAGACGATGTGGTCATTACCGCCTCATTGCGCACACCGCTGACCAAGGCGCGCAAGGGCGGCTTCAAGGATACCGAGCTGGACTACATTGTGTACGCACTGCTGAAGGAGACACTGGCTAAGTCCAAGATCGATCCTGCACTGATCGAAGATGTGTGCCTGGGAAATGTAAGTGGTCCAAAATACCCAAACCCGACTCCCAGGACTCGCCTATCTAACAAACTCAACAGGTTGGCGAATCCAAAGCCGCTTACATGGTCCGCGCGGCCGCACTAGCAGCCGGAATCCCCCACACATCTGGCGCCTCCAGCGTAAATCGCTTCTGCGCTTCGGGCCTGAAGGCTGTCCAGGACATCGCCAACCAGATCCAGCTCGGCGCCATCGACATCGGTATCGCGATGGGCGCGGAGCTGATGTCTGCCGCTGGTGACCGTCTCGAGCGACCTTTCAACGAGGAGGTCTTGCGTAACCAGGAGGCCATGGATTGCATGCAGCCTATGGGTCAGACCTCTGAGAACGTTGGAAATGACTTTGGGATCTCGCGTGAGCAACAGGACCGCTACGCGGCGGAATCTTTCCAGCGTGCGGAGGCGGCCCAGAAGGCTGGCTGGTTTGATGATGAGATTGCTCCTATTTCCGTTAAGGTCAAGGATCCGAAGACTGGGGAGGTCAAGCAGATTACCCTCACCAAAGATGAGGGCATCCGGCCTGGCACAACTTTCGAGTCCTTGTCGAAGATCCGACCTGCGTTCCCGCAGTTCGGCGATAAGTCGACTGGTGGAAACTCTAGTCAAGTCACTGATGGAGGTACGTTGACATCACGTCAGGCTCTTGGATTGAGACCTTCACTAACATTTTCTTTCAGCCGCTGCTGTTCTTTTGATGCGTCGTTCCAAGGCTATCGAATTAAACCAGCCTATTCTTGCGAAGTTCTGTGGCGCTACCGTCGCTGGTGTGCCTCCCCGTGTGATGGGTATTGGTCCCACCGCCGCCATCCCTAAACTGCTGAGCAAATTCCAGTTGGACAAGAACGATATCGATATCTATGAGATCAATGAGGCTTTCGCCTCGATGGCTGTCTACTGTGTGCAGAACCTTGGTCTCGACCATGCCAAGGTGAACCCCCGTGGTGGCGCTATTGCTATTGGACACCCACTGGGTGCTACCGGTGCGCGACAGGTCGCCACTGTTCTGAGTGAGGCCCGCCGGACCAAGAAGAAGATCTTGGTCACTAGTATGTGCATTGGCACTGGACAAGGAATGGCTGGTCTATTCGTCAATGAGCAGGTGTAAATATCGTATGCAACGTTATAGTGATTTGGCCCGACTTATTAAAATGTTCATAACTAGGTATTCAGTTACACATCATCTCAGTACCCGGATTCATCGTGCTCAATGAATATAACGCCGAGAATGCAACATGGAAAGTGATCACAGGGTATCAATGCAAGTTTGAGATAAAGGCTCGTGTAATATGCCGGAAATGCGAATGTTCACCGCGAATCATTCTGCTTCTCCGTGTCGTCCTGCTTCTCGGTATTCCCCTTCTTCTTCATCCTTTCTTCAACCGCGCGTGCAAGAGTCTCTCTCCTCGGCTCCACTCCAGACCCCATAGATCCAGATCCAGATCCATAAGTCGAACTCGAACCCCCATCTCTTGTCCCCCCAAGTACAAACTCACCCCCAGTCCACCCACACTCATCAACAAACTCCTCCCCACTTTGCGACCTCTCCCAATCTCCAGGATTATAAAACTCATTCTGCGTTAATCGATTTCCACCCGACTTCCAATCCGCCCTCTCAACCTCCTTCTCAATCTGCGAGGTCAAATCCCAGAAATCCCGATCGTGAGGCCCAAATACACAATGCGCCAGCTCATGGCAGAGCGTTTTGCGAATAGTTCTATAATCACGATACCCATCATATGCATCTGTGCGCAAACGAAGCTCGATAACCTCGCCTTTATTCCTGTTCAGGCCGAGGGTGCGCGATTCGCTTGTTGTATGCTCTGCCGGGTTCATTTCCGTAAGAAGAGGCACGGAGAATTTGTGCTTTGCCATCGCTGCGCGAATACCGGGGTCATCGCGAAGACGCTCGAGGAAATGGAGAGAGCGGTCTGGGTTTGGGAGGTAGGGGAGTGGGACGCAGCGGGCGAAGGTGTAGTTATTGCTTGAGGAGGAGAGGGTGTGGACGCCGCCGTTGGCGTTACGGCGTGAGCTTGTTCGTTTGGCTAGGCGAGCGTCTGCTTGGGCGGCGATGCGAGCGTTTTCGCGTTTTTTGAAATCTGAGGATTGCTTGTGGAGATCGGCAATATCTTGGGCTGGGGTACCGAGGAGGGTGATTTTGAATCTGGGAGAGGAGAGAGGGAGCTCGCTGAGTGGTGTTGGTGGGTAGGGAGCTTTCTTCATTCCTGGCTTTGGGGATATGAGTAGCTTTTGATTTGAGATTGGGATATTGAGTGTTGCTTCGATTTCGCAGCCGAGGTCTTGTAGTGTTGCGGTGGGTTGGAGTTGGAAGCTGTGCGGAGTGCCTTGGTGGTGCACCATCAGCTCGAAGGACCCTGTAGAGTCCATGGCAAGATGTTCGTATGTTCTGACAATCTTCTATATCTCGATATAGTAACGTGGAGAGGGAAAAGAGTGATATAGGTATTTGAGCGCCTGATTAGAAAGGCACGAGGCGAATTCGACGGCTTTCCACGCTAGTTTTGTCAGCGCGGAGATAAGGCTAATCGTCGGAGATAGAAATTCCCCCTTTGCTTCGCCAGTCTGCACAACAGCTCCCCTGGTTCGATGTTTATTCTTAGTACAGCTTTCAGCTATTAGTGTATCAAAAACTTGTACCTCATTTTATTTATACATGTCTGTGCCCCAGCGTGGGATCAATGTGGGCCCTCTTCGGGAACTTCTTGACTCAGCTCATAGTGCATACTATCCAGCATTCGCAAAGAATCGCGCAACATCCTGGTGCAACTCAGGATGACAGAGCATAAGTACACATGTAAGCACAACGACGCCCAGGACTATTCCTATTTCGTCACAGATTTGTCAACGGACATTCAAATTCGTCGCAACCACCCCTCTGGGCTGTCCCATCCGAGAGTTCATGTCGATTCTCGAACTTGTAGAGGTTTTGTGCGACCTTGTCAAGGCCCTTCAATCTCTCTACGTAAACGCGAGGATCCTCAATCGCGATATTGCGTTCGATAATTAAATCATCGCCGCGCAACAAAGCCCAGACAATCCCAAGGGTTTGTTGATCGATTTCAACGCGGCGATAGATCTCGACAATGTCCGTCCTATTGAACCTACCAGATGGGCTTAAGGCAATTGGTAATCTCTCCGGACACCAGCATAGTATAGACACGACTTGGAATCCCTATTCTATGGTTTTTCATGGATTTTATTGCAAACTATTGCGTGCACGACGAGGCGAATGACACTCTGAAAGGCATAACAAACTTATCACGGCTCTGTAAATTATGCACCATGCACTCGGTACTGTTGGACGGGATAAGGTCGCCAACATGAGCCCTGAGGGCTTTGAAAAATCCTGGATGGATTTTCTTCCGACTTTGTTCCTCTCCGAACTCTGGCCAAGCAACTCCGTGTGCTGATCTTCCCCGTGTGCTGATCTTCTCCGTGCGCGATGGGATTATTTTCACGGGTACTGAGACGGACCAGGTGGCTGTGCAGAGACTATGATGTGATGGCGGATGCTTTCAACCGGAGCGCCCTGGTTTTCCAGGCTAGGAAGTATTAACAACTTCATGAGTGCTATTCGTTGCAACCGGATGACAAGACAACATGAATATGTCAGCGCCCCCTCAATCCTTTCGGGGCTATGGCGGGGTTTTAGTGCCCGAATTTGGGGCAAAACAGGCAATCCCAGCCACCAAAGAAAGAACTAGACTGCTAACTTGATTATAGTTACATCTGATGACCCACAGTAAGACCCTCTGTATTGTATAGATCAAAGGATTTCGGGATACTCGGTACACCGTACACTGTATCCACTTGTATGTATTTTATGCTGGGTCATCCACTTCTCACACAATAAGGGTCTACTGAACTCACTGTCGGTAAATGACTGTCTTTCTCAACTTATCATGGCTGCAAATTTCCGAAATTTCGTCGTTCAGGCTTTCCGGCAGCCAGTGCTCTGGAAGATACTCCCGTTGGGTCTCTTGTGGATGACTTACAAAATCAACCGATATTTCAACCGTCGAGCTCTGAATAATAGTGCTCAAGCTAGTTTCAACTGGAAGAAGGAGATTGTGCTAGTCACAGGAGGATCAGATGGAATCGGTGCGGCAACAGTAAAAAGGCTGGCCGAGCGGGGAACTGCCGTTATTGTGCTCGACATCAGGCCTTTGACTTACGATGCTCGTGGGTACTTGCTCTCTAGTAAATCTAGCATACACATTTTTGACATTTGGGTCTAGCAAAAAGCGTGCGTTATTATCGATGCGACTTAACCAATAGAGCCGAGTTAGAATCAGTTGCTGAGACTATCCGTCGGTGCGCGTTAATGCCCATTCTTCTCTTCAGGATGAAGAAACTAATCAGAAATTAGGGATGTTGGGGATCCAACTTGCGTGGTTGCTAATGCAGGAATTTGCCGCGGCAAACCCTTGCTTCACGCTACTCAGCGCGATATTGAGCTGTAAGATTCCAGTCCCCATATTATCGAAACTCTAGCCAACAGTTACCAGAACATTTGCGGTCAACAACTTGGCAGTCATCTGGACAGCGCAGATATTTCTTCCTTTAATGGTGAAACATAACCACGGCCACTTCCTGATCATGTCTTCACAGACAGCTCATCTAGCCACCTCTGGGATCGTTGACTATGCCGCCACTAAAGCGGCCGCATTGGCAATTTACGAGGGTCTTCAAACCGAATTGCGTCATGTCTATAAAGCACCTGCAGTGCGAATGTCCTGTTTAGCGCCGTCGGGTGTGCAGACAAAGATGTTTCGTGGTATAAAAACACCTTCTTCTGTCACGCTTATGCGTCCCGATGATGTTGGCGCAGTGGTTACTGAGATCCTTTGGAGTGGACAAGCGCAGAATCGGATGACACCTGGGTTGGCTTATATCTCGCCACCAACACGAGCACTTCCTGATTGGTTTCGGGTGCTGTTGCAAGATGTTGGGAAGGATGTCATGACGGAATTATCGCCGCACCACCCGATGGAGGGGATTGAGTAATACATGGTAGTTTCGTTATGAAGACTGCAGTTTGAGGTCAATTTTGAGTTTAAAGTTAATTGGGAATTGAAGATCAGGACCGATTGAAGGAAAGAAGCTAGAACATCTCATATATTTCGTCTATAATCGGTTACAAGTGAACATTGATCATACCTGCTACATAGCGAACGTGCATCACACAGGGGAGAATTGCACGCGTAATCCTCCCTTGGGCCGTGATGTCAACCCAGCCTCAATGACTACATCAGGCGACTGAGCTAGAGTCATCTCGAAAGAGCCCACCATCGCGGCAAGTAGACTGGCAAACTCGCCACGAGCAAATCCCTGCCCTATACAAGATCGTGGACCTAGACTCCAGATTAGCTACGCAAGATAGCAAGAGTGACCATACAAACCGTGAAGAAAAGTCATAAAAGAAAAGTTGGTCGTTCCCCCACCAGTGTTAGCTCGATTCGGCCCGAGCCATCGATCGGGGTTAAAGACGGCTGCGTCCTCGCCCCACAGTTCCCGCGATACATTCAGTGCACGTGGGGAGATTACGATCTCTGTGCCAGCGGGAATTAACTGACCCTGGATGGAAGTGTTATTCACTGCAACTCGTCGAGTCATCCCGGCCGGAGGGTAAACACGGAAAACTTCGTTGCAGACGGCATGCAAATACGGCAGACTGTCCAACAATTCCGCCGTCATAGGTACAGCTGGACCATCATCTAAGATTCGCGGCAACTTGTCGCGCACTTCCTCGCGGAGTCGCTGTTGGATGGCCGGATACAAGCACAGTGCGTATATAGCCCAGGTCATTGATGTTGCTGTGGTTTCGTGTCCAGCCGCCAGGAATGTTAAGAGATGGTTCTCCAGCATTGGATCGGTGAAAGCACCGGACGCTAGTGCCACGGAGATGATATCTCTTCCATGATTTTCCAGTTTCTCGGCGTTGATATTTTTCTTTCGGCTAATCAGTTGACGTGCCACCCCTGTCAGAGTTTTGGTAGCTACAGAAATACTGTCCTCTCGCTGCAGATTCAGCGCCGTCGTCACAGCCTCGCGTAAAAGAAATAGTCCAATAGCTATGATGCCTTTAGGGGGATGCACCTCAAAGACATTCCGATATGCACGACATATCTCGTTATCCGGGTTGTGGAGAGTATCGAATTCTTCGCCGAGTCCGGCAGCACCTAGAATGTCCAGTGTAGCTCGCGCAAGCCAGTCTGCTACGTTAAAATCTTGGCTTGATCGGTCTCCGGTCCGCTCAATGTTTGCATTCATCTCTCGGGCTAGTGCGACAGACTTGTCCCAGAATATGGGGTAAAGATCTTTAATGTGTCGGTGCGAGAAGGCTGGCATAAGGAGCTTGCGTTGTCTCTATTGATGTAAGTCAGATGGAGACTTTCCTGCTCACTTTTGCTCATAATAACTCCACGCACCTTGTGTTCCTCCCCCTCGACAATAATCAAACCGACTCCCAAAATCCGACCCAGTCCCTTTCGAAGCTTATAAGGCTTGGAGAACTCATAATTTTTCTGAACCAGTACTTCGGAAAGACCCTTCGGACTTGTAACGAAGATAACCTCTTTGTTGAATCGCATGCGATATCGGATAAGTCCGTTGTTGGGTACCTCGTTGATCCATTCCTGAAGAGGCATGCCCGATCGCTCATTCGGAACCAGCTTCACATGGCCATGGAATCGATGACCACCCTATGAGTACTTCTCAGTGCTTCTGGTTACAATCGCATTGACATGGTGGGCTTACTGGTGGTTCGGGCAAATTGCGCAGAGGACTGAACCAGAGAGGCCATAGATATAGCTTCCAGCTGAGGAGAAAAATACTTTGAAGTATCGTAGATAAGAACGAAAGCAAGGCTGTTGATTGAGAGGGATAGAATCGGCAAAGAATCGCGGTCTGCAAAACACAGCCGATGGCCAACACATTCACTGCGTTTGCGGTGGGCATGACAAGAATTGCTTAACAGTGCCCCGAGTAAATCAAATTTTTTCTCTTCTACTTCTCTCTTCCCACAGTCTATCTCCCAAGAAGAAAGGCAGGGTATGCCACACTTCCCCGCATAGAGGTAGTCAGCCGTATGGTATTTTCCTTGTTTGAAGGATTACCGGTATAGTACTGCACACGGGTAATTATCGATATTACCTGCATTAAAGCCCACCAAATTCCCTTTCCGTCAGACTTACATTTGACTTTGAGGCGTTGATTCTGCATGAATCCCCGAAACTTAATTCTCATGTTGCATGACACGCGATAGGGGCGTTCTGTTACATCGCGTGGAATATAGTCTGGGGAATTAAGATTGTAGCTGACTGTCGTATTTCGTACCGTGAATTTATCAATCAAACATGGCTTTGATAGCTACGCAATACAGTATGGATCAATAATAGTAATCTTGTTAAAGGTATTCATTTGGAGTCACTAAAAGAAAATCTCCAAGGAATTGCGATAAAACGCTTCGTGATCGTTGATTCTCACGTCTTTCTACTCTACTACCAAGTTCAGGATCTAGTCACTGTGTTGTCAGAGCAACTGTAAGCGCACTTAAACTTCCCGCTTGCCAATGTCACTCCGTGCCGTAATCCGGACTTTCAGAGGCACTTTTTCCCAAGTCGTGTAGATGTATTGATCCTTAGGCCAGTTGCGACACTCGGGTTCCAGCTCTATATTAAAATGCCAGAGCATCTTCGCGAGGATCAATCTCAGCTCAATATTAGCAAGACTGAATAGCGGTATTAGTATGTATCTCTCAATTCAATCATGTAGACAAAGGGAAGGCTCGTACTTTCTTCCAATACAATTGCGGGGCCCAAAGGAAAAGGGCTGGAGAGCTTCACGCTTATCCTGGGCATAGGGCCCTTCATCATCCAACCACCGCTCAGGGAGATAGAGCTCGGGATCTTTGAAGTTGGCAGGAGAGCGGAAGACGGCGTATTGCGCCATGCCCATTGCTGTCTGTGATTCACATGTAAGATATTGTTGTGTTAGGAAGGAAGCAGATACATACATTGCCCGGCAGCCATTGGCCCATAACATAAGCCCCCTCGGGCGGCGTAATACGAGGGTGACTTCCTGCGGCGGGCGGATAGAGACGAAAGGATTCATCAATGACCGCGTTGATGTATTTCAGCTTACTGATTCGCGCAATGTTAATCTCATCGCTTGCAGTAAACGAGGTGCGGACTTCCTCGAACAACTTCTCCATCACATGAGGGTTTGTGCATAGATAATAAATTGTGCCGGATAGAATTGTTGCCGTGGTCTCGCTACCAGCGATAACCATGAGGTTGGCATTGGCCACGAGGTCGGGCATCGTTAGGTGGCCCTTCTCCTCGGCTTGGATTAAGTGGCTCATAAAGTCTATGTAATCAGGGTTCTGCGTTTTGCGACGCTTCACTTTTTCTTCGACAAGGCCGATGTGCCATTTGCGCCTCTCGACGATGCGTTTTGGCATGATGGCCAGAATTATGGAACGCACGTCGATAAAACGTTGGATGGTCCGGATCCAGTGTACATACATGATAGCATTGAAAATCATGGACATCCACGGGTGGTACTCGGTATTTTTGAGACAGTCAAAGGGCTCATAGAACGCCAAATGTCCAATAATGTCAAACGTAACGTACTATTGAGATTAGAAATGCTGTCTCACTCTGACTGTAAAGACATACGTTAAACCATTTCACAATATCAACAGGCTCGCCTTTCTCCGCCACCTCGTGCAATCGACCGACGAGAAGATCAATATAGTGCAGAAGTACCGGTTCCTGGCCCTTTAGCACCTTATCCGAAAAGGCATTTGATAGCAACTTGCGCAAATCACCGTGAGTCTTGCGATCAGCATTGATAATCGTTGGGTGATCTTTATTAGCGTCCGTGTTTTCGCCTGGATCCTTACGGTTCTCTGGCTGACCAGTGCGGAATCCATAGATCTCCTTCCAGGCCTCAGCTCCGGTGAAGGATAGCTCGGTGGGTGCAATTCGGACAATCTCCCCATATTGAAGATGGAGTTCATGCACGGTCAACGGGAATTTCCCACCTAGCTGGTGCCATGTCCACCACAAACGTGTTGCAGCAGCTAGTTTGGGCCCAGGATATTTGGAGAGTGGATGAAAATAAATTCGATAAATTGCAGTCCCAACTATGGACGTGAGAAGCTATATTTGCATTTATTATTTAAAGACTTGCGAGGGGGGTCAAAATGGACACAACATACCACGCCCAGCGACAGCAGAACCGCCTGGGTGAGAGATAGGCCACTTATCGACGAGATTGCCATGGCAGATAAATCGCGCTGTTTGCGATGATCGCTGTTCAGTACAATTATATTTTTCCAACTTAGCGGAATTAGGGATGATATCAGCGTTAGAAGAAACAAATCTCTTTTATGCAAGGCAACTCAGTTGCGTCTAGATTTTTCGAACAACAATGACTCGAGGATGTAACCAATTGTCGAAGACGTGAATCCTTCTGCGGACGAAACTAAAACCCCTCACCGGTCAGTTTATGGTGCGTCAAAGGCTTGTGTGACATGACGTGTCTGGCTCATTTGTTTAGGACTTCTGTATTGATATCTCAGCCGTGCCATGCTCGTTGGTCCAATCGGCGAATTCTTCCACAGAATACACCAGGAATCAAGATAAATGCCCGGGGTCTTTGGGTCTTTTGTTCTGGGGCTCTCGGCCTTCCACTATGAATATTTGCTTCATTTGACTAGTTGCATGGGGCGCAACGGCCGATCTTACCCAAGCATGTAGGCCATGGCCCTCTCGAGGAACGGCGCCAATCCTGCATGAAGTTACTATCCAACCTTACCACCAATCTTAGGAGTGGGTGGAGAGTTTAATTATGGCACTGAATAATTACTTGAAGAATGAAGTGTCAATTATTACCAATGTCACATGTTGTTGCGTTTAACATATTCGGCAATTGGTCTATCGCTCGGGCTGTTTGTCCCCTACACATCTGTATCTCTTTGAGAAGATGCATATCCTCTCTTTTAAAACAAATAAAATTCTAAGATAAACATCTTCGTTACTAGTGAACATTACATGTAATCGTTATAATTGATTGGCTCGTGGTCTTAAAAATTGGGAATGTTTGATACCAGTGCTGTTGCGTAACGTACTGTAAAATACTGAAATATGTAATATTACTCAATTCTCTAGTACCGTACTGACATGGCTTGAGGAATATGACGAACTAATACAGCCTCCACATTTACTTGGCAAGATTGGCAAAGTTACTACAACCCATGAGCTTACTCGAATCTCGCGGCATCCCGTTAACTTAGGCTTAGGAATCCCGTTCCAAATCCCGTTGCTAATCATTCATGAGGGGTAAGCAGGTAAGCACACGGCGTCAGTCGTTCACTGGATCTTTCATGCATGCGGCCAAATGTCGGACTTTGCTAGTGGAAAGTTTACTTGATTAACAGACCCACAACGAGCTGCACGGACTATCAGAAATAGTTCCATGATGAAACCTGACAGTAGCCTGGCGGAGGTGGGTGTCAGCCTTGAAACTCGATGATGAGATCTTTCAAGGTTTCTGGTGCGGGGGGAATTTGGTTACGGTAACTGTCAGACTCGTGAAACTCGAGAGTCGTACTTAAAGATCCTAGTGGCGATGCTCTAAGCAATATATTGAGAAGAATAGACCTAGGCATCTACCTGGGTAGGTTCACCATCATGGACCCTGTTGAGCTGCACTACTCAGCGGCGGAGCTTGTCAATAAATTGACTGAGCACATCGAAGGCCCTCATGGGCTGGGCTTTATGAGCCCTGCTATCTATGATACAGCATGGGTCTCGATGGTTCAGAAATCCGTGGGGGAACATATGACCTGGTTGTTCCCCGATTGTTTTGAGTATATTCTTCATAATCAACTTGAGGATGGAAGCTGGATCACGTATGCCTCACAAATTGACGGGATATTAAATACTGCTGCATCTCTTTTATCGCTGAAGCGACATTTCAACACACCCTTTCAGAGCAGTATCATCTCCCAGGACAGCCTAGAGGATCGTATCGAACAAGCCACAAATGCCTTGCAGGCGCTTCTTCAAGCATGGGACGTCGACTCTACACTACACGTGGGATTTGAGATTCTTGTCCCCGCTCTTCTAGGCTACCTGGAAGCAGAAGGAATCGCCTTTTTCTTCCCTGGACATGATAGACTCTTTGAAATCCGAGACCAGAAACTGGCGCGTTTCAAGCCGGCATTTCTCTATGCACCTGTTCAAACAACCGCTTTGCATTCATTGGAGGCATTCATCGGGTTGATTGATTTTGACCGTGTACGTCATCATAAGGTCAATGGCGCTTTTATGGCATCCCCCTCGTCAACTGCCGCTGTACTCATGCATGCTTCTGAATGGGATGAAGAGTGTGAGCAATACCTTTACCATGTTATCCAGAACGCGTCTGGAAAGGGCTCCGGGGGTGTACCAAGCGCTTTTCCGTCCACTATCTTTGAAATGACTTGGACATTGTCGACACTCCTCAAGGCTGGATTTGACCTAAATCCGAAGTCCTTGCTGTCCGTTCAGAAAGCTAGCTTGTTTTTGCATAATACAATTACCACGAATGAAGGAACCATGGGGTTTGTGCCCCTCGTTTGCGCCGATGCAGATGATACAGCCAAGACAATTCTCGTGCTTAATTTGCTTCAACAGCAGGTATCTCCAGATGCAATGCTGAAAGCTTTTGAAGCAGATTATCACTTCAAAACGTATCCCCATGAGCGCGATGCAAGCTTTTCAGCCAACTGCAATGTTCTACTGGCGCTACTACACACTCATAACCCATCCCAGTATGAACCTCAAATTGAGAAAGCAACCCGTTTTCTGCACACACACTTTCGGGAATCTGAATTAAACGTTCGCGACAAATGGGTACGTACGCAGGAACTTAAATCATCGAGAATAAACCCACATTAACCACATGTTAGAATCTCTCCCCTTTATACTCGTGGATGCTTATGACCCAGGCCATCACCCGTCTATATGAGCTTTGGCAAACCTTTGAATTACTGCCCCTGAAAAACACTCTTGGGGAAGATCTTTGCCTACTGCTACGTGACATGACTATTTCTGTCCTACACCAACAGAATCAGACGGGTTCATGGGGCACCAGAGGCTCCAAGGAGGAAACCGCATATGCGGTACTCATTCTCACACACGCGGTGGAATTTAAGTTTCCCGACGTACCTCATCTCCAGAAGGCAATTTGCGATGGCTATTCAATTCTTTGTTCGGAAACTTTGGTGGGCTCGGAGCGTCTGTGGGTGGAGAAGGTCACATATGAATCAGAAGTTCTCACGCAGGCATATACACTGGCGGCGTTGAAGAGCGCGACGGATTTACGAGACGAAGATGTGAATGAGGCTAAAGCCCCTTTAACTAATGGGATGAATGGCCATCTTTCTGAAGCTCACGAGGCTCAAAGAAACGGTACAAATGGCCTGGGAACGCATACCCCTAAGATCAATGGGACTGAAACCCAGGCAACTGTTCCTGACATGCTGCCGGACGCCGTTACCATTCAAGGTCGTCCAAATGGAGAACATAATAGTGATAGCATGGAGACTAGAGCATTTTGTGAAACTCGTTCCACCAGCTTCAGCCACCGACCAAAATGGACTGATGAACAGGAAAAAATCCTGCTGGGACCATTCGATTACCTCGAAGCCCTCCCGGGCAAAAACATGAGAGCTGCATTCATTCAGGCCTTCAATACCTGGCTACAAGTTCCTCTGAAGCAATTACAGATTGTGGAAAAGGTTATTTCCATGCTTCACACTGCGTCCCTTCTTGTCGACGATATTGAAGATAATTCCCAGCTGCGACGCGGGCAACCAGTGGCGCACAGCATCTTCGGCGCGGCGCAAACTTTCAACTCTGGAAATTATGTCTACTTCCTTGCACTGCGTGAGATCCAGAAGTTGAATAGCCCACGGGCGATTGAGATTTATGTTGATGCCCTGATCCACCTACACCGTGGGCAAGGCATGGATGTCTTCTGGCGCGATTCACTCATCTGTCCCACGGAAGAGGAGTATCTGGATATGGTCAGCAACAAGACAGGTGCTCTGTTTTGTCTCGCCATTGAGCTTCTACAAATTGACAGCGCTGTTGAGGTGGATCTTGTCCCGCTAGTCAAACTATTTGGAATTATTTTCCAGATTTCTGATGACTACCTGAATCTGAAGTCACCTAGCTATTTGCAGAAGAAAGGTCTATGTGAAGATCTCACCGAGGGAAAATTCTCTTTCCCTATTATTCACAGCATTCGCTCGAATCCTACAAATCGGCAGTTAATCAATGTTTTGAAACAGAAGCCTCAGGATGAGGATATCAAGCGATATGCGGTTGCATACATGGAAAGTACCAACACCTTTGAATATACAAGGGAATTTGTTGCGAGTCTCAAGATCGAGGCTTTGAATATGATTGGGAAATTGGAGAAGGAGGGACTCGGCGAGAATCTTGCGATACGGAAGATCTTGGCTCGGATGTCTGTTGATGAGTAACGAGAATGTGGTCTCTATTTTGGTCATTACGCTTTTTGACGCTTTATGTTTTTATTCTACGTTGAAGATTTTCCACTAGATGGTTGCAAGATATAAATTTCTTCTTTCTCATGAGCACAGTCCATCCCGATTCAATCCTGATTGAATAATTCCACAGCTGCCATAAGAAATGGGTAGACTCTAGATTAAATTTCCAATAATTCTAGTGATGCATGGACCTTTCACGCTCTATAAAACACATTACCCTCAAATAGCCGACGCGCGGTTCGCACGACTGCAACGTGCTTCACATAAACATCTCCTCCATCAAAGCCCAACACCGTCTCTGCCTGTATCACACCAGCGGGATGACTAATTCCAACAGGTATAGCATTCGCAATATTGTGACCATCAATTTCCATTCCATGTTTAGGAACCTTACCCACCAGTCCCTCCTTCGCCAGGTCCCACGCGATGGTCCCGTGGATAGCCATCGCCGCACCTATGCAAACCGCGCCAGTAAGTTGCAAACTGGGATGCACCTTACCCATCGTGAATGAGAGCACCTCCAAATCCGAGCCTTCTCCTGTATGTGGAGACAAAATCGCGATTTTTGGCGTGCCTCGAACGGCGCTTGCTCTCTCCACATCTGTAGCCAATCCGAACCGCACAGCACCTGCTCTTCGAATATCCTCCACGACTGATACGAACTCTATATCATTCGCATCTGGCCACTGGGGGTTCCCTTGGATTTTGAAAGAGCGAGAATCAACGAGCACAAATGGGTTCGCCGCGTCGACGAGACTCACTCGCACTTGGAAATTCCCCACAGTGCGCGACTGGACTGTCAATGTTTCCTGGGTCGCTCCACTTGGGAACATCTTTCCTGTCATGCTACCACCAGGGTTGAGAAATGCTACCTTGATGGGACTTGAGGTACCCTCAACGCCGGGGATATGACAATTTCCATCCTCTCTCAAGAGTCCCTCCGGAGAGACCTGAATGGTTTCAACAATTGTTTGTCCAGTATTTGTGTTGAAAATACGAACATCAATCTACAATGAGAGTGGGTCAGTCCATGGAATACAAAATGGCAATGACTTGCTCACCTCAGATTGACCAGGTTTCGCTTTTACAAGTCCCTCGTCTAATGAAAAAGGTGCCACACCGGATGCGATATTGCCACAGTTGCCGGTCATGTCAACAATTGCCTGATCAGGAGCAACTTGGACGAAGGTATACTCGACATCGATATTGGCCCGATCAGACTTCGCAACCACCGCAACTTTGGAAGTTGTCGAGGTAGCTCCGCCTACTCCATCAATCTGCTTGCCATTTCCATTGGACGATCCCATCGCTGATAGCAGAATTTGTCCCCACTGATCTATCGACTCGGGTAGATCTCTCCGGTGGATGAAAAGGCCCTTCGATGTCCCTGAGCGCATCCATACCGCAGGCAGTGAGTGCCGAGAATGGCTCGAGACATTTGTTCTTAGTGGAAAGTGATTTTGTGCCGCGTTGGTTCCCGCATGTGTAAGGGTTGCTGTTGTTGACATGGTCTCTCTCAGGTGGCTGATTCACAATTTGCTTATTTTCGTTGCAGTTGTACACTTTCAGCCGAGAATTGCAATCCTGAAGAATTTATACCACTATGTTCCATAAAGACCCATATTAGACGTTTTCTTCTTATCCATGCCTACTATTGATTGTGCTCCATACATTGAACGGGTCAAACTTTCCGTTCCGCGGCAAGTCAAATTCCGTGGATGAGAACAACCCAGGGCAAGAAACTCTAATCTCGCCCCCCAAGATACATTTTTTGTCTTCACTAAGCAATATGGGGCCCCAGATTCAATGCGGGGTGCATCCTGGGGTCCTTAACATAAAACGACACCATAGCAGCATGCGGCAGAAGAAGCAATTGAGAGATGTCGGAAATTCACGCTGAACCTCGCTCACGTTGCAACATGACAAACTTTGTTCAGATGGCCGCGACTGATGCTCCTCAGCATAATGCACGTGTCTACATTCTTGCAATAGTTACTTCAATGGGTGCCTTCCTCTTTGGATATGATCTAGCATTCATTGGGACATCAATTGAACTAGCTCCATTCCAAAGGTAGGCTTAAGACCTTCACGGACAGTCAGGTTATCACCGATTTACTAATCGTTTAAAGGGATTTTGGACTAGATGGCTCATCTGAGGCAACTCAAAATGCCTTCGCGGCAAACATTGTGTCGCTTCTACAAGCGGGATGTTTCTTCGGTTCTTTGGCAGCAGCACCCACTGGAGATAAGCTGGGCCGTCGCGTAGCCTTGGCTATTGGTGCCGTTGCTTTTATTGTTGGATCCATCATGCAAACAGTATCCGCCGGCAACAAGGATATTATGTTTATGGGGAGAGTTATTGGCGGCGTTGTAAGCATTTCATCAAAACATTCAAAAGTCGTTTTCCCACCATTGCTCACATGTACAGGGTGTTGGCTTTGCCAGTATGCTCGTGCCTTTATATACAGCCGAGTGCGCACCGCCCAAGATTCGAGGTAGACTTGTTGGAGTCTACGAGATCGGTGTTCAACTCGGTACTTGTCTGGGATTCTGGATAAATTTCGGTGTCAGTCGCAATATGGCACCAACTTCTGCTCAGTGGATGACGCCCTTTGCATTGCAGCTTATTCCTGGCGGGCTACTTTTGATTGGATTAATCTTCATGCCGGAATCACCTCGATGGATAGCGAAAAAATATGGGAGATCTCGGGCTATCGAAACTCTTTCGAAATTGCGTCGTCTTCCTGCTGACCACGAACTGGTTCAAGAAGAGGTTAGCGATATCCTCCATCAGCTCGAGATCGAATTTTCCAATAGTCTTGGAAATACCCGTGCCGCTTGGAAGGAGGTGATGGAGCCTGGACTCCGGAACCGCGTTTTCCTTGGAGTAGTGATTATGATCTTCTTCCAGATGTGCGGATCGAACAGCATCAACTACTACTCCCCTCGGATCTTTAAATCGATCGGCTTGCAGGGAACAGAAGCAACTCTGGTATCGACGGGAATCTACGGGATTGTACGATTGGTAGCAGTCTTTATTGCGATGTACTTCGTTGTCGATCGCTTTGGAAGAAAGTCAATGCTGATCTGTGGAAGTATTATGGCCGTGAGTTTCATCCCTGTTCTTTCTGAAATCACAAGCTGACTTGATAGGCCATCTCAATGTGGCTCATTGGTGCATTTGTCAAAGTCCAAAGTCCAAGTACCAACTCCGACACCTCTCTTAGTGGAACTTCTTATGCTGCGGCAGTCTTTATCTTTGTCTTTGCTGTATCATTCTGTTTCAGCTGGGCCGGTATTCCGTGGGTAATCTGTTCTGAGATTTACCCTTTGCGTGTGCGCGGTTTGTGTATGAGCATCTGTGTTGCGACACATTGGTTGTTCAATTTCGTCATTGCGAGAAGCACGCCGTACATGATCTCAAACATCGGCTATGGGACTTACTTTGTCTTTGCTGCGTGCATTACCTTGTCTGTACCGTTTGTTTGGTTCATGATTCCAGAGACGAAGGGAATGAAGCTTGAGGACGTGGATGCTCTTTTCGAGGGGCGAGGACTGATTCCGAGGATGAGAATGAACTCTAGTACACAGGAGGATGTTGATGAGAAGGGTGTGATAGAGCAGGTTGAACATGTTTAATATTTATGAGTTATGTTGCAAGAATCGAATGGATGAATGAGTTGACCAGAAAACCAAACAATTAAAATAAATGCCAACAACCCCTTTCTTACTCGGCAAGGTCTAATGTATCTTCATAACCCGAAGGTTGAGCTTTATGAAATGATACATTGCCTATAACCAGGACAGATTCTTTGCTCCGGCTATCTTCCGCAACTATGAAGGAGCTCATCGATGAGAATTTTGATCACAGGGACAGCCCATTGAGCTGCAAATTACGCGAGTAAGCAAAATACTATCTCAAGCATACGCAGCCAGAATTTATGAACCTTCGTCGCGTTGGAACTATGATATCTGTCGAGGCGCTGCACCTTGTGATGACTAGCCTGTTTGTCGGAATCCTAATTCGTTTATCGCATCCAGGTTCATCAACACAAAATACAAATCAAAGCCGGAGAATAAATTCTCTCCTAATTCGGCGTTCCGATCTTTAGCCCTCTGTAGGGCAGCCTTCTAGATCACCCTCGGATACGAGGGCCTTCCCATTGTGAGAGGTCGATGCTAGCATCCGGGATTTATTCCATTGAAAAAAATAGGCCAGGTTTCCTATAATAGATAGTCTCAGAGCGCTTCTAGCATTGGTGGTGTTATGCTTTTTATCCGACTGATGTGAGTTGAGGGAACATGAATGTATCTAAACACTCGAAGGTTCCTACGGATATTGTTGATCGTATGTTCGATGTTCGCTGTATTCTGCCGCCTCGGCCATCTGAGAACAGGTCATTGACTGAATATTTAGCATATCCGATTCGTACATCGTCAGAGCGTACTGCCATCGAGGGTTCTTCTCTTCACTAGGTATTTGACTTTATTTCAGTCCCCTGATCCATCCTACATGTAGTTAAGATTCTGCTCAGTTCCCCCTGTCTCAGTGCGCATTTATCTCGATGGAAATTTCCTATTGATACAATATACTATCTTGCACAGACCCATTGAAACCAAAGAGCATATCGTCATCGCAATGGGATTCAAAATATGCATCATTGTATGCCGAGACAAGAGAAGGCGTGAAGACACCTGGTGTCGCAAGTGGAACTGTAGGACCAGGCAAAGAATTATAGCTGGACTGGTCCAGCATCTGACCTTCATTTGGCCTTGTTTGCTGTCGGATGAAGCTCTGGATAATCATGTCCATATCCAACTCGGATGCCTCCGCCTCTGGAGGCGTCATCTGACTAGGTGAAGTAGCAGGTATAAGACCCCCTGCATTGACGGCAACTATGTGTTCCAAATCACCCATTTCACCGTCAATGTTGTAATGGGATTGAGTCTGATTTCGTTCTGGGTGATGACTGCTGAGATCGACCCCCATACGGTCCATTAAATGCAAAATCACATTCTTTGCCCGACGAACGGCCCAGTTTGTTGCTTGGTTCTTTTGAAAAATGTCAAGGCATATGCGAAGATTTGAATGCGCCCTACTACCGTCTTTTTTCTGGGCGGCAACTCGAACGTAGATTGTTGCAGCGACATAGGTTGCGTATGAAATCAAGTATGGGGCACGCCGAATAGAGAATGCGCAGTCGTAGGCTTGAAGAATGTAGATTATTCGAGCCGCTGCTGTTGTACAGGTAGTGAAAGAGCTGATAGCCACTGATGGATCAGTTGTATGGAGATGCCCTTCCGCCACGAATGGTCGATGGAGAAGAATAAGAAGCACATTATAGAGTGCCAAGAGAGAAAGAACATGGGGGGGAGGGGTAATTTGTGTTGTGGAACTCCCAAATTTTAGATGCTCTGGCAGTGCATCATGCCATCCTTTGAGCTGTTCATTCATGTCATTCAAGGTAGTGACTAGTTCCTGGGATGATCGATTTGAACTTCGCTCGGAGTAGACTTTGTTTAATATACCGTTCAGGATCAATGACAACTTACAAAGCTCCGTAAAGGTTGAGACACTATATGCAGGTGAGCCTGGATATGACTGCACATCTGTATAGGCAAAAGGCTGCCAGTGCTCAAGTTCCTCGTAATGGTCCAAAAATGTCATGGAGACTTTCGTGTCGAAGTCCTGCAAACTTGCAGGACGACCCTGGTACAGCGATTGAATCTTATCAACGACAAAGGCACCCCAGAACACCCGACGACGTATTTCTATATCTTCATCGGAGAGGCGACGCATGTTGCTCAGCATTGTAGCATCAACGTGCATGCCCAAATCAATGATCATTCGAAAGGCCGTACCAGCATAGAGCCACGCAGCACTGCGCTCATCACCCAATGCGAACAACGAGCTTGTCATTACCAACAACGCTTGAATTGTGGTAATTTCGCTTCGGTCCAAAGCACTGCCAAGCAGCTCCTTCACTCGCAGGCGGAATGTCCATCCCGCTGTTCGAACATCATCGGGATCTCGGCGAACCTCGGGACGATTGCTGAATTTTGATGCGCCAAAGTAAATCGCGTTTAACAGGAGTTTTGAGAAGTAGGGACCACCGGTGGCCATGTCCCGCATAAAGGCTGGGCGGTATGTGATCAGGAAAGAATGGTGCTGTCGGTTCCAATGTAGAGAAAGGAGATGCATCCCTAATTCGGGATCGACTCCATCAAAATCTAGCTTCCCTTGCCGCATGTTCAATGCTTCCAATTGTCCTGCAGAAAAGTTAAGTTGTTTCAATATGGTGATTAGCAAGGATGGATCTCACGTTGGTAGGCAGCTTCCCCCATCAACTGCTTTCGAATGTGCTCTACCGGCATCTGGGGATCTGACCGAGGGCGACTATGTCGATCAGTTGGGGCATCATCAAACAACGTGCTCGTAAGCCCATGATAGCTTGAGTCGCCATTTGGTGAGATAAAGATCCGCGAGACAGCAGAGTGAGACCAATCGGCGCTTGGGGTTGTACTCGATATCTCTGGCCGTGGCAGTCGTGGCTGAGACGGACCAGCTTCTACGGAATCGCCACCATCCTCTGAATGTGTGTCGGCGCGTCCAAGTTGTCGTCGGAGTTCTTCATTTTCTGCCTCTAGTCGTGATAGTCGTGCTTTGGTTGGCCTTTAAACAGTCATTTATGGGTAGCTTTGGTGGGATTTAATGACTTACCTGGGTTTCTCAGGCCTGGTTATGTAGGCGCAATCCTGTGCATATGTCTTGCAGTTTGAACAAGTCGGTTTTTCATTATCGCAACGGAACTGTGCACATTAGCCCACGGGACATGAACCACGTCACGACTCCTAATCGACTTACTTTCCTCCGTCTACAAAACGCACAGGCCTTAGCGGCTCTTCGTGGCTTGGCTGGAGAGACTCTTTCCATGGCGGTCTCAAATGCGACAAGTTAGAAACTTCCACGGGTTCACGGTTCTCGGGATGAGACTGGGCCGACTACAGATGACGGATCATTATTTTCCGCGGAGGAGTGGTCCAGGATCAATGATCCGTGGAAAGTCTCGTTCCGTTCCCCGCATTTCCCCACAAATCAAATCGTTTATATCTAGACATTTTGACCAAAGCACAACCCCCTAATAATCAACACTAATTCACAATATGGCGGCTCTTGTAGTGAATTCGGCACCCGAAGCCAAGAAGCCACAACGGGTAATTCCTTCATAAAATTCTGCCTCGATGCCCCTGCTAAGTTAGTCCAGGCCCACACACCCCAATGGGTCTCCCTTGTATCCGGCGGGGTTGCGGGTGGAGTTGAAGCAGCTATCACGGTCCGCGCCTTCCCCATGCGTCACTGATTGTGACTAATTCTTGCAGTATCCATTCGAATATTCCAAGACTCGTGTTCAATTATTGGACAGCGGTGCTGTATCTGCCGTTCGGAAATCCACTAATCCGCTGCGTCTCATCTTTGAGGTTGCAAAGCAAGAAGGTATTGGTGCTTTATACACCGGATGTTCAACTCTTGTTATTGTCAGTACTACACTCTACCTCAAGTCCGACTTGATATTGATTTGGTATCTAGGGAACCACGGCAAAAGCTGCTGTACGGTTTGTGTCGTACGATACAATCCGCAATTCCCTAGCTGATGAGCGTGGTGTTCTCTCGCCTGGTCGAGGTATATTGGCCGGAATGACTGCCGGCGCAGTAGAGAGTGTACTTGCAGTAACACCCACGGAGAGAATCAAAACTGCACTGTACGTGTTCTTCTCGTGAATTATTGAGATGGTCTTGCGTTGACTGACTGAACAGAATCGACGACGCCAAGGGAGCACGTCAATTCAAATCAAGTATCCATGCGGCAAAGACATTGGTTCGAAGGCATGGTATCACTGAGCTTTATCGAGGTCTTGTATCCACAATGATGAAGCAATCGGCCACCTCTGCTGTGCGCATGGGAAGCTATAACATGCTGAAAGAGACAGTAAAGGCGAAAGGCATCAAAAAAAACGTTTTGACGACATTTGGTATCGGCGCCGTGGCAGGTGTTATCACAGTGTATGCCACACAACCGTTTGACACGATCAAGACCCGAGCACAAGGTGTGAAGGGGGCTGGAATTATGGAGGCCTCCCGGAGTGTGATGCGTGATTATGGAGTCCGAGGATTCTGGAAGGGCAGCTCGATGCGACTGGGTCGTCTTCTTTTGAGTGGTGGGATCGTTTTCTCTGTCTATGAGGAGGTATCAGCCATTTTATCTCCCGGCACACATAGATGATTTGATAAGATATATAGAAGCATGCAATATAGATTTGAACTTAAGACATCTAGACACCTTTATAATATAGTATAGTCCACGTGAGTAGGCATCTAAGCCTTCCTCTTTATTCATCAGATGTTTTCGGAACGGTGAGCATGGCAATGATCTGATCAAGTTCACTCTCCTTCAACCCACAGAGCCCGACAAAGTATTTCCGCGCTCCTCCAAATTTAACCGCTACGACCTCGTTCAAAAACCTGCTCATACAGTCAGGAGGACTACCCATGAGAATTTTAGCCTGTTCCCGAGTCGAAACCTCTCCTTTGTCCAAGATCCGCTGAATCAAATACTGCCCCCATGCTCCTAGTCCCTCTGTTGTAAGCGCATAATCAGCCACAATAATATCATCTGCCACTCCACAAAGCTTGAGAAGCAATGCAGCAAATACACCAGTCCGATCCTTGCCCGCTGTGCAGTGAAACAGGATCGGAGCATCGGGATTCTGCAAAATGTGCAGCATGATCGTGCGAAAGCTGTCTGTTTCCGCTGCGCTGCGTGCAATTTCTTCGTAAGCTTGAACAAAGCCTCCTATGATGACTTCTCTTGGTGGAACTTCCGTTCCAGGCACCCCATATCGCTTTGCCAGTGCACCGGGAGAGAAGTCCTTGAATCGAAAGACCGGGGTCGCGTAGCGAGTTGTCCCTGGGATGTCAAGAAGGGAGTTGGGAGATCGGGCAACAAGGAGGTCGATCTCCTGCTTGGAGCGCAAGTCGAAGATTGCTTGGATGTGAAGTTCTTGTGTCAGCGTCTCCACTCCTGGCGGGGTGATTTGAGACGGTTGTGCGGCACGGAAGAGGAGACCTGGCCGAATGCACCATTCTTCAATTTTGGTTTCGGCATTCTGTCGTAGGGACAACACTGTCGCGGGAGGATGACATGCATGGCCTCCAATGTCGCGAACATTGGGGACACCTTCAATCGAGATGAATGGCGACGGTTGAGTGGGCAATGCTCCGGCTTCAGACATCTTGAGGCTTTGACGGGCACCTTCAGCCGTTGAAACTGGTGACATGTGAGGTGCCTGGGGTTCGATTGGCTTGCAGAGTCCAAAACAAGTGCGGTGATAAGGAGTGATCAGCACTTATCTCATTCTTTGCGCGGGAGTCCATGCTGTGGTGGGGCATGACTCTGGCCGAGGCTAAGCTTGGAGATCCTTTCTCCGGTAAGCACTAATTTGTTTCTGGAGATTCATGCGGCTTGTATCTATCAAGACGATATTACATTGCATTACCGTACATAATTTCAGATGTTTCAGTACGAGAAATAAGCTGACATCATATTGGAGGCTTTATGTCTTATAGATATCCCTGAGATCATATTCCTATAGGCCTAAGAGGCTCTTTATCTGAGACTCTTACATTTGTTCAGTGCTGATAAACTACTACCATAAGCAAAAGGCACTATTATACACAATTTGTGCCCTTCCCAAATGGTATCACACCATGAAACGAACCAAACATCAGTTTCCAAATTGAAAATAAAAGTTTTCCGTTGAAAAGATGTGAGCGTAACATGCCGCTGGAAGATGTTGATATGCATCACTTGAATCTCTGTGTTGACGGCATGACTTCTCTGGCAGAAATATGAACACCTTCACGAACCATTTCTCATTGTCAAATGGTGGTTTTGTCGGTAGTCTCAACAAGTGCAGCAAGAGAAAGATGGTTGATGGGCAACAAAGAAGGAAAGATAATAAATTTTTCCATACTCATGTGGTGTATATCGTGTGACGGTTGTTTATGGCCTCAGGGGTTGGAATGTTGCAAGGTCGCCAACTTCGAACGCTTCTTGAAGCAATCAGGATATATGGGATTTGTCCTTTGCATAAGGAAGTGAGTGATCGTGAAGGAAGGTAATATCGAATATTATTGGATGCAAAGTCAAAAAATCAAAAGAGCAGTGAGGGAAGTTAGACAGAGGAAGGGAGAGATTTGGGAGAGTGAAGCTGTGAGGGTCAACTGCAAAGAGGTGATACCCCAACCGCAGTTGAGCATGGATATTGCAGACCTCAACCCAGTAGTCAAACTGCAGGGCAGAAATCACCCCCGAGGGTTTCTATATTACATCCAGGTGGCAGATAAAAGGATGCGCAAATACCGGGGCACACTGTACTAGATGATGGATAGGTCACCAAGCTGCCCCAAATGAGATAAAAAATGAATCTAACAGAGTACATGAGTCAAGTGTGATAGTGAAAAATAATATTTCTGCCAAACTATGGTATTAGAAAATAAAGCCGTGCAAGTTTTGTACCAAATCCTGCCAAACGCCCCGCCGAGAAATTATATGCAACAAAGGTCAGGCCCAGATATACCCGCCAGGCCAATCAAAATGCCAAATGTACAAGTGAATCGTATGCCAAATATTCAAACTTTGCTTGACTGATATGCGAAGATCGAGAAGAGAAGGAAGACAAGGCAAAAGAATCAATTACTCATACTGCCTCTCGTCCGTATCGATAGAAATTTTGACACTCATTTTGGCCAAAACTTCATCGGAGATCCATTCCGCCAACTCAGGGAACCAAGTGTGACTGCGAATCAAGTTAGTAAACACCTCTCAACAAAAAAAAAAGCCCAACTCACTTATGAAATTTAGTGTTAATCAACGCCTTCTCCGTATACTCCTTCAACAGAACCTTATCATACCCAAAAGGCACCTTAGCCTGCACACCCTCAAAAGAAGTCCTCCTCAACGGATAAATATCTCCAAGTTGATACTTGTGGAAGTTCTTACATCCCCAAATCTCCGGCTCTTTTTCGGGTTCCAACCGACTCAGACCCGTGATATCGATATATAAGCCCGTATCGATATCAATCCATCTCGCATCGATAATATTATGACCCTGTCCATGATCTCTCTGCCTCGCCCACGGATTCACGTCAAGAAGATACTGCCTCTTCTTTCGTGAGTCGGGGGCCGTATATTCAACGATGGTGTTATTGTAATGATCCGCTAGGTATGCAAGTGTTGTATCCGGGACTTGAGTGTCCATGTCCCAGTCCCAAGGGAGGATTTGGCCATTCCACCACCAGCCTAGGAGGGTGCCGTGGGCGATCCAGGTTTCGAGCTCGTTTTCATTGAAGAAATTTAGGTATGCGCGAATCATGTGGGTGAGTGTTTCGGCGCGGGCAGTGTCGTCTACGGGGCTTGTGAAGAAGCGCGTGTCGTAGTGGCCGAGGATGTCGTCGCGCCCTGGTTCGTGGAAGTATTTATATTCGGCAGAGGCGTTTAGGCCGTATTTTAGCCATAGGGGGTCGGTGAGGGTTGGGTCGGTCCATTTTTGGGATCTTGTTTCGAGCGAGGGTGAGGTTTGACGGATATTTAGGTCTTTATTGGTGTCTGTATATGTGCTGGGTAGGGCTGTGGCCGCTATAGACCAGAGTGTAGGGACGGCGGCCAGGAGCAGCGCTCGCCACCGCATCTCCGGCCGGTTTGGGGGCGTTTTATTTTATAAGGTTGACGAGTCTGTGCGCGAGTTCGCTGTTCATGCTTGGGCTGGAGCGTCGAGGATATTTGATTCCAGAAAACTGGGAGTTGGAAGCTGGTGGGCCGATATACAGTACAGCTTTATTTCAAGGGACACGGGGGTATAATGCAGTGAACGTGTGTCGATCAGATTGTTTATACAGATGATGGTCTGTAGGGCGGCAAATCAGGTATGAAGGATCCAACAGGACTCCGTACGGTGTTCAAGGGAAGATGGGAATTAAAAAAAAAAGGGCGGACGCAAGCTAAACGAGGGACTCCGCAAGAACCAACGATCCATCCGACCAATCCGAGAATGGCGTTAAGGGAAATGTAACTGGTGGCCTGGAGCGGGGCGGCTTGGAGCGGATGATTATCTCCACTGTTGGCCAGGTTAAACTCAATCTGCAAGAGAGAACGAGGAATAGGGGAAAGGGGGATTAGATAAGACCTGGGGAAGTACCTAAGTTACATGCTCCGTACGGAGTATTCGAAAGAATCCGCGGGATCATCGGTCTCGCTTACAAATATCACATCAAAGGGGGAACAGGGTTTCAAGTAGAGGGAACGAAAACATGATACGAATACGATGATCTGGCATTCAATGACAGAATATGAAGCCATCAACTATACTAGTCATTCACAGAAGAACTAGCTTGTATGCGTATACAGGGGTTGAGTTATCGCGTGCCGGCTTGCCCAACTTGGCCCCGCCCAATGTAACTAGGGAATAAGCTCGGATTAATGCTCCAAGCGAGGCGATAATACGAAAACGAGATGAACCGAATATAAGTCTTATCATGGTTTCAATGTCACGATACGAAAATTTCTGTACCTATGTGCGTACGGAGTACTGTAGCAGGGGAATAAATCCTCATCCCTTGGTCCCTGAGTCCCTGAGAAAAGGGAAAAGTCTTGGCAGCCAAGATCACCCTGGGCTCGGACCCACTGACCAAGGCAAAAGTACCGAAAACCAGTTTAGTGTACATTAGACACATCCATTTGATCCATTTCATCCATTGGGGCTTTTACAGTCTTCCGGTGCACCCGGACACGCGACACTTTCCTAATGTAGTACGGACTTAAATAATTGTAAAAATTCTTGTTATCCAGATAATACTACGTTCTTTAGGACGAACCATGGATCTCTCATGAACGTCATACATCTTTCGGTCCGAATCCGAATCGTGGCGGACTGATGACTCATGAAATGTGGTTCAGCCAGGATAAGCCGATCTGAGGATATCTGGATGCCATGGGATCTCTTATGTACTCGATTTCGAATATTACATACATTATATATGGAGGGTCACACAGGGCGGGATCAAATAGGGTTATTTAAAGTGATCGTCAGGTGGCACAACCTTCAGTGCAGATCACAATTGGAACACGGAACGGGATCGATGATCCTGGTACCAAAATTATTGTCGACATAGACATGGAATTCATCTATTCGTTGAGAAGAAAGCGATCTACATCATAACGGGTGCCATAAAGAACAAAAAACAATGTGACCAACTAAAAGAAAAGCCAGTTGATCTGGTCTAGGTCCGTGAAAACATCTCTTGAGCCTTTTCGTCATCATGCGAGCGTCGCTTTCAATCGGTGCTGAAAAAAAAGCGCACGACGCCCATATCAAAGTAACAGGGGTAAATAAAAACAGTTCAGATCCTCGGATCTACTGCGTTTACTCAGTAGCCTCACCCTCAGCAGGCGCATCCTTCATCTCGGCATCGCCTTCGGCGGCCTTCTCCTCAGCCTTCTTGGCCTCCTCCTCAGCCTTCTTGGCATCGAGCTCGGCGCGGCGCTTAGCGGCAGCCTCTTCCTCAGCCTTCAGGATGGCGTTACGCTCGTTTTCGACCTTCTCCTTGTAGCGCTGGATGATGGGTCCGGAAATGAAGCGGATATCTTCCATCTTGGCGACGTAGACGGACTTGGTGGTGTCATCACCCTCCTCGTACAACCAGTCCTCGGTGGTCATCAGCTTGGCCTTGAGCTTCTCTTTCTCCTCCTCACTGGCAAACTCGGCGTAAACACCGTCGATCTTGTCACGCAGCTCGTAGATAGTAGCCTCAAGCTCGTTCTTCTTCTCATCGGTCTCGGCAACGAGCTTGTCTTCCATGTACATGGCGTTCTCACGCTCCTGGAGAGCCTCCTTGGCAGCCTGGTCAATACCACCGACGCCGGAGACAATGGGCAGGTCACCCTTGCGGACCTGCTTCTTGACCTTGCGGGTCTTCTTGGGCTGCTCCTCGCCGTTGGCCTCAGTGTCCATGGCCTACAGAACATGTTAGTACAGATGAATTGGAAATCGGCAGTAGTGGCAAAAGTAACTTACATCGCCCTCTTCGGGAACGGGCTCCTCGACCTCAACATCCTCAACGTAATATCCAGACTCGACGTTCAAGATACCGTGAAGGTTCAGGCGAGCCTTGAGCTTGCAGATCATGAAGTCGTCATTGGCATCAGCCTTGACGCCCTTGACGGAGAAACGGCCGATCCAGGGGTTAACCTTGCCGGGGAGGCCCTCGGGGTTAGAGTAGCGAGCCTCGAGGTCGAAAGGCTGCTTGCGGTAGAAAGTAAGGATCTTAGTAGAGGGCATAACGTTGCCGCGGCCGAAGACGGTGAGGTTGGTGTCCTCATCAGGGATCTCGGGGGACTGCTCCCAGGTGAAGTCGATGGGGTAGTTGACGATGTCGTGAACAGCGAAGTCACGGACACGGAAAACGGGGGACAGGGTAGCGCAGCAGAAAGCACAACCACGGGCAATAGCCTCGTCTTGGTTGAGAGTGAAGGAAAGAGGCTTGTTGAAGAACTTGGAGATAATCTCCTTAATGGCAGGGACACGAGTGCAGCCACCGATCATCTCGATGTGGTCAATGTCATCGACGGTGAGCTTGGCCTCGGCGAGAGCCTGCTCAAGGGGAACGGTGAGTCGGTCCAGCAGAGGCTTGACCATCTCCTCGAGCTCCTCGCGCTTAACCATGGACTTAACATCAACATCGTTCATCAAAGACTCGATGCTCATGGGGGCCTGGGGGTTGGCGGACATAACCTTCTTCATCTTCTCGGCGGCAGCAACGGTACGAGACCAGGCCTTGGGGTGAGTGCGGATGTCAATGTTGTACTTCTCCTTGAACTCATCGGCAAAGCGCTCAGTAAGAGCAATGTCGAAGTTACGACCACCGAAGTGGCGGTCGCAAACGGTGGCCTTAACGTTGAGCTCACCCTTGCGGAACTCGACAATGGAGGCAGTGTAATCACTGGCACCAATGTCGACGAACACCACACGGCGGGGCTTCTCCTCGGGGCCGGGCAGGTCGAGCTTGGTGATACCGTAACCGAGAGCGGTGGCGGTGGTGTCGTTGACCAGACGGAGCACGTTGAGACCAGCAATATCACCAGCATCAATCATGGCCCGACGCTGCACATCGGTGAACCACGCGGGGACAGAGATGGTGACATCAGACACAGGGAGGCGGAGCTCCTTGGAAGTGATATCCTTGATCTTGGTCAGGTACATAGCAACCAGCTGAGTTGCTGTGAACTTCTCCTTCTTTCCGAGGTAGTTAACCTCAACACCAGCCAATCCGTTGACATCAACGATGGCAGCGCTGTTGTATTGCTGCTCGATCTTGACATCGGGGTCATCGAAGGAGCGGCCGATCAGGCGCTTCAAAGAACCAATGGTGTTCTTAAGGTTGGATGTCTCTTGTGTCTTAGCGGCCTCACCGATGTGTCTGCTGCGGGCGCTAAATCCAACGAGGGAACTGTTGGGCACAAATTTTCGAGTCAGTCATGGCCGGCTCCAAAAGTGAAAAAAATCTGACGGGGATGATGTCAGGCAATCGCGATCGCAATAACTTACGGGGTCTGACGATTGGAAACTTCATTGGCAATCTAAACGATCCAAAAGGATATCCGTCAGTATTAATTCACTATACCATAGGGTGGTCGCAATCTCAAGGGACGAGGGGTCCCGCAATGATAGGCGGGGCAAACACTCACGATATCAATACCCTTATTTCTGGCAACACCAATCTTGGTGCTCTGCGCACCGAAATCAATACCGACAACAGACATTGTAGGCTGATAGGGAAGTATAGATTGAGGGGGGAATATGGGGTGGGGAGGATGAAGAGGAAAGGTTCACAGAAAAAAGAAGTTTTAGAGGGGAGAATTTGCACGCCACTCCACTCTTATTATTGGGCGGGGATAGAGGCGATACCAGGGTATTCCAGCGGCGATCTGGCAAACTTTTGGCGGGTATTATGGAGTGGAAAGAAAGAAGGAATATTAGGCCACTGAAATAGTTATATTGATTGATCTGATCATATGAACAAGACTTCTTAATGCTATATACTGTCTACATTTGCCATCTGGACTGTGCGAGCATCGAACCTTCCAGCGGTTACTAGATTCCTTCACCGCTATGAACTGCGTGGCAGAAAAATATTCATTGACCGCTTAGATGACGTTACCTAATCCACAATAATATCATTGGATGATTTACGGTGTAAAAAGACTCCGATCAGGTACAATATCATCACTTACTCTCGCTCCACCATGTAAACGACAATGTAGTGAATAACTTGGTTTCACTTCCACAACAGAATCCTAAGTAGACCCAACATTGACGATTCCCTCGGTTCAAAATGAAGATCAAGACCCATCATTCGCGATACAGCCACCTGAGCGGTGCGAACACCGTAGCTAGTATCGACACAGCTATAATGCGGGATCTCCACAAATTCCCCAATCAAAGCAAGATTGGTCATTTTCTGAGGTATTACCTGCGGCCGATCATTAAGTGAACGTATCAACAACATAGCAGTCATCCGCGGCATGACACGAGGAATAGTCGTGGTTTTCGAAGGTTGAGAAGCAAAGTGTAGATGCCCCAACAGTTCTTTCGTGATCTCCGCGCCTGAACAACCATACATCGGCTTCCGGACATATTCCCCCAAACGTCTCGCATAGAGAGCGAAGCCCCAGAAAACCCGAATATTCGCCGGCTGGTGGACGAAGACGGGCTGCGTTGGAATGCAGCAGCTGATTTTCCACGGGCTCTCTTGGAAGGCAATCATGGAGCCGGCTTCGGTATCGTTGTGAGTGTGTAAGTCAACATATTCAATAAGACCAGGATCTGACGTGGTGATTGTGAAGGATTCCAGTAGGGATTCTGACTCGCGCGTGCAGAAGTTGTATGGATTACCCAGCATATCATTCCGGGTTCCAATCTCCAGCCAGATCGCCCAGTTCTCATCAAGCTCATCATGAGGCTCGAGTGAATGGCGACCTGGAGGGTGATCGTTCGTGCCTCTCGTCATGCCTGAGACTGTAGAGCCAGGTGCTATGAGAACAATATCATCCTGAGTGATTTTTTGCTGCATTCTAAATCCATTCTGGATCATACGGAGCTGCGAGATTGTTTCCTGGCCATTTTGAATAGTCGACCCGATATCCGTGATCGTTGTATCAAAGTGGAAATCCACGCCTAAGCTCTGGAGATGCAGGAATATAGGCAGGAAAATTGATTCTTTTTGGTAATAGCCCGTGATATCCAGGCAGTTCAATATGCTGAGACTGTGGAAGCCACGCAGATGTTGACGAATAGCACGTCGGAATTCAATTGCACTGTGCCATGGCTGGAATCCAAATCTAGAACAGCTCAGTCTGGGAATTACGGTAGACATTCGGGCAATACCTACTGGGCAGACCAAATCGTCCAGAAGGTGCTCTGGAAAAAGGAGTTCGGTAAAAAGTCTCGGATCTGATTCCTCCCCAGACGTTTCTCTCCCTTCATCATCAAAAGGATCAACTCCAGACGGTGTTTTGCGTTCAAGTTCAACGAATTTGTATTGATGTCACTCAAGGCGTTGTTTTTTTGAACAAGAAACCGTGTCCGACCTTCTTGTTTCCTGATCCGCCCCTTCTCTGCCAATTTAATATCATCTAGCACGGTGCAGCCCAGGCGATTTAACGAGGGCACCAGGGAAAGGAGTTCTTTTAGTGGCTTTCCGACCGGGACCGGTAGACATCCTGCAAACTGATCATAGCCATGAATGGGATCCCCGTTGTTATGCAAAACCTGTCCCATTGAAAGATGGGAATCCAGTACATGCACTTTTGATGCGGGTACATTAGCAAAATGCACCAAGTAGAGCGCAGACGCCAACGATGCAGTTCCGCTACCAAGTATCCATGCTTCGGTTTTGTCGGGGGAACGCCTGTCTTGCCCACGTTCGCTCATGCTGCCGATTTCAATTCACTAATTCTGGACCAAGATCGGCATATTTGAAAGTAAGAAGCATGATGATTGAGGTTGAATAAGGGCCAGTCGTCATGCACTTCAAAATATGGGGTATGATTCATATGATTCGAATTACTGACTAACATCCATGACAGCTTGGGACGCCACAAGGATTCCATGGAACTAATCACAGGAGAACATTTTTTCCCAGTACCAAGGATGATTGAGCAGCTACCAGTGGCAAATTGAGGACGCACGTATAGATGAACCTTGAAAGTCGGATCCGAGCCTAGAAAGGTATGACTGGCTGAATATTAATAGACTTGATATCACGCTCAAGATACTCAGGTAATGATAAACCGAGGTCAAGTCGCTCATAAGAAGGTATCCGCAGCTCTGCTTCGACCAGACCTGTGGAATGTATATAAGTAGTTTACAACTAAATTGTAATTCGTATAAAAAAACATCTATATTGTCATTACCCGACAAAAACGCCCTAAAGGAATTCGCCCTATGTAACATGGCCCAATCGGGTGGCCTGTTCCTATAACACTTTTGGATTCCGCCCAATGACTAGAATAAAGGAAAGCAAACCAAGAAACAATGGTGTGGTTGAATGCATTACTCCTTAGCATCGACCTTCTTAGCAGGACGATCACCAGCCTCGTCATCACGGGAACGCTTCTCGCCAGTGCTCTGCACGACGGGGACACCACTAGAATGGGCAATTAGTGACAAATTCCAAATTTAGATGCTGTGAGATCACTTACCGAGAATCCTTCTCCTGGCGACGGTCTTGGAATCCGTTCTTCTGGTCATCGTCACGGCGTTCGCGCCAGTCACGGTCGTTGCGACCACCACGGCCACCGCGACCACGGCCCCCACGAGCGCCACGACCTCCACGACCACGACCACGGCCTCCACGAGAACCACCACGAGCACCTCGGTTGGGCTGAACATTGCCATTCTTAATCTCTTCAACCTTCTCCTCGCAGTACTGCTTCTTGCTCTTGATGATGAGGTCCTTGCCGTTCCACTGGGGCTTAGGCTCAAGAGCGAGGAACTCCTGCTGCTTCTCCTCGGAAGCGAACTCGACGAAAACGCTGCCCTTGAAGCCCCGGTCATCGCCACGGCGCAGACGGATCGCGTTGATGGGTCCGTAAGTCTCGAAGAACTTCTCGATATCGTACTGGGTGCTAGGCTCTTCACGTCCGAAGCCCTTGGCGTAGATGCTGCGAGGCATAGTCTTGTCTTCCCAAACCTTGATACCCTCATCGTTGACCTCGGTTGTGACGGACTCGGGCAGAGGAACCTTGCGCTTCACAGCGGTGTCATTGTCAACCAGCTCGACAGTCTCGGCGGTCTTCAGGGCTTCAACAATGGCGGAGAAGGGTTGGAATCGGCGCATGCGCTTGAAGGAGTGCAACAGCTCGAGGGGAACAGCGTTGTTGGCGCTGCCGCCGACCTTGGACAGCAGGAACTTGTCAAGGGGAAGATTAGAGTCAGAGAGGTAGAACTCAACCTATTATGGGTCGCATTAGTGATCTCTTTCGTCCCACTGCTATTCCTTCTTGGCTTCATACCTGCTTGCGGATCTCGACGGGGTCATCAGTCTCTTGCAGGGAAGCAGCGTCAAACTTAGCGCGGCTGGTGCGCTGGTGGCGCGGCTCCTGCTGTGGCTTTGGCTTATCTCCGGACTGCTCGGATTGCTCAGACTTCTCACCCAGCTTAGCGGCGGCGGCGACGATGCGAGCCTCCTCGGAGTCTTCCTGGGCGGGCTTCTCAGTGGACTCATCGGCGGGCTTCGCGGCGGACTCCTCAGTGGGCTTCTCTTCGGCCTTCTCGCTGTTCTCGCCCTTCAGTTCATTCAAAACTTTCTGGACATCCTGCTCAGCCTCCACATTGGTGGGCTTCTGTTCGTCGGCCATTGCGAAAAATGTAGGATGACTTCCGTTAACAAGGGTGTCGGGACGGGTAGAGTCAAAAGATCGAGGTCCGACGATCGAATTAGCGATTGATTTCACAAGAGTTGAGAAGCTTGAAGAAATGCGACCGAGTTTATCAGAAGAGAAATAAGATTGGGACCGTTGATAAAGAGCTGGCGCGGGGAGCGAATTGGATTTTTTTTACCCGGAGCTATCTGTGCGGCCTGAGGTGTCGATGCTAGACCTAATTAATTCTACTGTGGGTCCCTCGAACGCAGCGGGTTATAGTTATAGTTATACAGCCTCATTTACTATGAGTCAATTGTGGGGAGTTCCAAGTAATTCCGCGGAGTTAGCTAGTGCTTTAATGTGTCTTTTAGATATGGAAAGATGTGAAAGCCTCGGAAATCGCATTTGGAGGGGAAATAGTGATCTCAAAGTGATTGTCGCGCCTGCCCGTTCAGGTATGGGTACTCGATGTCACTCTCCATCCTCGACACTCCATCAGAGAAAACAAACTTCTCACACATCTTAGACAATATGTCTTCCTCGTCATAAACATCATCCTTTTCACTATTTTCATTCCATTATCAGCATTGGGGCTTGGGTTCCAACTTTTGACCGTGTCTTTGTAGTCTTGACCATGGAAGGAGATCCAGAGGCCGGGACAGATGCATGGCATACAAAAGATGTACGTGAATCCTCCATCTCTCCAAATCTCTTCTGACCTGCATCTCAGATTGTGTACATTTCCATTGTTGGGCCGTTTATACTGGCGGCAGCGCTCGAATGGGTTCTCTGGCTGGCAGCATTCTTATACTGCTTGGTCAAAGTCTACCAAAAGGCAGATCATTGGAGTATCAGAGTCATGGCAGCGCTTATGATGGTTTTGTTTACCTTGCTCCGGTAAGTCTGATCCAATACAAGGTGGTGAGCGACAAACTGACCCATTGGCAGCCTTGCCTTTCTTCCGGTCATGGTCTTCACACTCCCCTTGCCACCCCAAGTCACCAATTACTTCCCGACTAAGATTTCAATGGGTTTCCAATGGTTCGCCTTCTGGTCCTTCTCCATCCTTCTCGTTGGACCTTGGGTGTTCTGCATTTACAGAATGATTACCCAACCGCTCGGAAGATCGAAGAAGATCAAAGGGGTGTTGAAGGATCGAACAGCTCCAAAGACAGTTGTTGTGATGCCCGTCTACAAGGAAGATGCATCAGTCCTAATTAAAGCGATCGATTCAGTCGTCGACTGTGACTACCCGGCCTCTTGTATCCATGTCTTCCTTTCTTGGGATGGTGATGCAGTGGACGAACCCTATCTTCAAGTCTTACAGCATCTTGACATCCCAGTCACGTTGAGAAGCTTTCCTCCAAGCATCGATGTCGCCTACAAGGGCTCTCGGATTACAGTCTCTCGCTTTAAACATGGAGGCAAACGAAATTGTCAAAAGCAAACGTTCAAACTCATAGAGACTGTGTACAAGAAATACCTGAAAGCATATGACGATTTGTTTATCTTGTTCATTGACTCCGATTGCATCCTTGACCGGGTCTGTCTGCAAAACTTCATGTACGATATGGAGCTTAAGCCCGGAAGCAAGCGTAATATGCTTGCCATGACAGGAATCATTACGTCGACAACGGAGAGGCACTCGCTTCTGACACTGCTCCAGGATATGGAGTATATTCACGGTCAACTCTTTGAGCGTTCTGTAGAGTCCGCTTGTGGGGCTGTGACCTGCCTACCAGGTGCCTTGACGATCTTGCGATTCTCCGCTTTTCGCAAAATGGCCAAATACTACTTCGCAGACAAAGCCGAGCAGTGCGATGATCTCTTCGATTTTGGCAAGTGTCACCTTGGGGAGGATAGGTGGCTCACCCACCTGTTCATGATCGGGGCCCAGCAAGCCTATCAAATTCAGATGTGCCCCGGCGCTTTTTGCAAGACAGAGGCCGTTCAGACCTTTAGCAGCCTTTTGAAGCAGAGACGACGCTGGTTCCTCGGTTTTATTACCAATGAGGTATGCATGGTCACTGACGTCCGTCTTTGGAGACGTTATCCGTTGCTTTGCCTTGTTCGATTCATGCAAAACACCATTCGAACTACCACCCTACTGTTTTTCATGATGGCCATTGCAATGCTCACAACCTCGAAAGCAGCTAGTGATCTACCGATCGGGTTCATTGGGGTCGCTCTCGGGCTCAACTATATGCTGATGATTTACTTTGGCCTCCGTCTCAAGCGCTACAAAACCTGGTTGTACCCGCTCATGTTCATTATGAACCCTATCTTCAACTGGATCTATATCATGTATGGGATTTTCACTGCTGGTCAGCGTACCTGGGGCGGACCACGAGCAGATGCCGCAGCAGCAGACGAGCAGGACATAGAGACGTTCCGGACAAGCCTAGTCAGCAAACGCCGATCTGTACCGGTGAGGCCCTCGAGCCATATTGAAGGACGCTTTGCGCCTGCCACACAGCATGTCGACGTTTTATACTACGATGCTGTCCCGGAAGGGCTTCCTAGATTTGAGCCTCCTAAAGCTTTTCGTGACTCGTCATCATCCAGAGGATCATCCTCGATGGCAGTTTGAATTCTATTGTCCCAAGTCCGCGGTCATGCTCCCAACATCAAGTATCCTTAGCAAGTATGTATACTGTTAATTAATATATACTACCTTCAAAGAGCCACTTCAATTTAATCGTCCTCTTTTGTTAGTATGCACCTGCACCGGAGACTTATCCACCAGATCAAGAACATACACATCAATTGGTACTTTCGAGTCAAGTACCTACCTGTTTTAGCGAATCAGTAGAGTCAGATACATGAGCTTTTCAAGGATACAGTGTAGCCTCTGATGTATCCTGAGGTCTGGAGCCCCAGGGACACCTATTATTATGAAATTTACCGACGTAGTATCAGAATTCGTGGACGATCTGGACAATAGAAGTTGCCTATGACTTTTATCTTGCTTTCGGAAGCTGCAGTGCATGCCTCTGCCAACGGAAACCCAACTGGATTACCTCAATTATCCGATGGATATGCGAGCAAATGATGTTGTAGTAGCATATAGGAAACAAGCAGTATGTTGCACTTCCATATTTTCAATGGATAATTTCATTGTTCCCTTCTATTCTGCAAAAGTCTTTCTTCAAAAGTCATGCAGTATTTCTCAAAACTCCAGATCATAAGCCAAGGTATCCTCGCACAGCTCCTCTCGCCACTTAGAAACCCTAATAAAACAAATCAGCAACCTTGGAATCAAATCTGCATACGCTGGTTCAACACTCACTCCAGGTGGGCCGGGTGCACAGCATATTCCGCCACGTTTTCCTTCTTCTCCAAAACGGCCACAAGTCCCATATCAAATCCCTTCGCACGGGGAACGCAGATCGGCAACGGGGTATTCGCTTCAAGGGAAACTAGACCTGTTCAAAGGATAATATCAATTCTGTGAGACTGTGTCCCATATATATATCTCTCTGGTGTTGTGGACTGACCTGGAATTTTTCCAACCATTCCCTTGGCTGTTAGGGTCCATTGTTCAATTTGGGCTGGTGTCACACCTGCCTTGAGGCGGAAAAGTACTGGGATTTTGTTGTTAGCTCAGTGAGAGATAGGGGGATGGGTGATGCCCCGCATTATCATCGGAGGCGGAGTGCGGGGATATTGGAATTCAGGCGCGGCTTACCGACGTGGTAAACAGGCATTTTGGATGAGGATTGGTCTGGAGATCAGAATTTTTTTAAACCAAAAAAAAAAAAAAAAGGGTTGAAGGTGTGCAGGTGAGGAATTGGATTCCGCTGGGTAACGATCTGTTTATGAGGGATCAATGCGTGCGACCTTGAGCGGGGATATCGGGCCATCTCCGGCAGTTTCAATGGGATATCGGAAACTCGCATTCTCATTGGATTAACTGTTCTATGCTTTCGATTTCTTATTGGTGGATCCCTAAGCATTTATAATCTATGGAGTTGACCTCCGGGGAATTCATGTTTAAACAGAACAATGCAGCAGTAGACTAATAGAAAGATATGTGCTTTGCTCCAAGATCCACTTTACCATGACAATTAACCATGTTGTCTATTATAATTCCGACGGGGAAATATCGAAGTGCAAAGGTTAAAAGCCGATTAAGTCTTGTTTAGGCTTGAATGCTAAGATTGTCTTAGCTAGTTCTCATCAATCTTCTAACCCGACTGATAGGTAGTGTACTATGTTTCATTATTACCAAGAATTAGTCATTGAATGATTTAATGTGTCATTATGTCTTTTTTCACTGACGACCTAAGATTCACGGTGAGTCATAATGTATCTTTTGGCTATTGGATGTATCAGCGAGATTTAGAAATCCTTTCACAAGATAGCTTATCATATAAAACTTCTTAGAACCCAACGTGTAAAGGTATTTGTGGAAACTGATTTGGTGGTGATTAACATATCTAAATCACAAGGGAGCTGTAGTCCTGTGGGGGGAACTTGAAAGCGGGTTATCACCATTTTTTGTTCTTCACTTTTCCCATCCAACTTTGTATTCTTCCAAGGTTGCATTCTTCCCCAGTCCCTTCTCCTGGGACAACTTTTGGGGAGCTTCACCTTTCTCATATATTTTCTCATATTCTCCAGCCGGTCTCCCTAGCCAAAATGTTCAAGAAGAAGCCTACGGTCCGTGGCCGCCCTCCCCGCACTGCCCCTCCTTCCTGCTTCAACAGCACCATGAAGATGCAAAGAACGCAAATACTGACATTTTCCTAGATCAAAAACTTGTCTCCCCTTAGATCTTCCGATCGGAGGAAAATAGCCGATCAGATCATCAAAGACTATCAAGTCCCCGTTCCCTCCTCCGCAGAGACAACACCCGCCCCGAATACAGCGAGCCTGAGCGCAGTACGAAATGCATTGCTCCCAGAGAATGCATTGACTGCACGCTTCACAACAACTGCCGGTCCGGACCTGCGAGAGGTGCAAGGTATTGTGTATGTTGGTGCACATACAGATGGCGACGAGCGAGTGCTTTGGTTCAAGATCGAACATGGCCCCGGAGCCGATAAGCGCCTCTATCCGACCGTCTATACCTTGTGGTCGAACCCGAAATTGGTGCCCTTACTATACACACCAGAGATGGTGATGCAGAAGCTTCATGCCGGAGCGGATTTGATGACTCCCGGGCTTGCGAATGAGCCTCCTTTCCCACAGCAGGCTGTCCAGGGAGCTGTGGTGGCTGTTGCTGGTCTGAATAAACACAGCGTACCTCTATTCGTCGGATTGTGTGAGATTGATGTTTCTGCGCTGGGAGAGGTTCAAGGGACAAAGGGAGTTGCTGTGCGAGGTTTACATTGGGAGGGCGATGAACTCTGGGCTTGGAGCTCATCATCACGGCCGGGACGTCCAGCTCCCGAATATCTTGAGGGATGGGACGAGGAAGTTGAGGACAAAGTTGAGAAAGCCGTTGCTGATCTCACTTTGGAGGAAACGCCAGCTGGTGACGCCGTTGATGATGCGCCCGCTGTTGAAGAACCTGCTATGCAGGAGCCCACGACAGATGGTAAGGATCGGATCGTGGACGTACATTGGAAAATTCGCGGCATGCTAACAATCTATAGAAATTGATGATGCTTTCATCAAGGCCTTCGTTTTTGCTCTCTACAAGCTCAAGCAGGACAACCCTGACGCCCCTAACCACAACCTTGCTCTACCGATATCACCTTCCATGTTGGTAGCAAACATGATTACCCCCTACCTTCCGATCTATTCCCCACAGCAAACTCAGTTCTATAACATCAAAAAGACCAGCTGGAAAAATGTGAAGAAATTCATCAAACATCTGGATAAAATGCAGCTGGTCAAGTCCAAAGACCGCAGTGGCCAAGAAACATACATTTGGGATGTTGATTTTGATGACCATCACGTTCAGAGATTCGTGCCATACAGACTTCCATCGAAGAGCGTTCTAGAGTCTGCTTCAGAGAGCAAGAAACCTGTTGCAACCGGGGGCGCAGATCCCTCGGTGGGACAGACACTTAATGTTCAAACTCTGTACAGGCCAACCCAGAAGTTGACCCCAGACATTTTCCCTGCTCTCTCTACCACCAGCCCGAAGAACTACTACAAATACTCGGAAGTTTCTTCCCACCTGGACCAATATGTCCAGTCCCAAAACCCACCTCTAGTTTCAAGCGATAACCGACGCATCATCAACCTCAACCCATACCTTGCCAACACCATTTTCTCATCTTCATCCTCAGAGGACTTAGGAGCCCTGAAGCGCAAAATGGTTACCCGCGACGGGCTACTCAAGCGCATCATCGAGGACCATGTCTTCTTACAGCCTTACTATGCGATCCTCAAACCTGGTCAAACTCTTGCAGACGTCAAGCCCAAGGCAGGCGCTTCACCAAAGGCAGTCATTACTCTCGAAAAGCGAACTGGCTCGAAGACCGTCACAAAGATTACCAACCTAGAAGTCTTCGGTATCATCCCCAGTCTTTTGGCCGAAGAGCTCCAAAAGAAATGCGCCAGTAGTACCAGCGTTACGCAAGCTGTTGGTGCTCCCAAGGGAGTGATGGAAGTCTTGGTGCAGGGTGACCAACGAAAGATTCTGGATACGGCTCTCACACGCCGTGGGCTGAAGAGTCAATGGATTGATGTGGTTGATAAAACCAAGAAGAAAAAATAGATTACGCCCATCGGTGAATGAGACTTTGAATTGCATGTTAGCATGGTGTGACCTCGTTTGGGACAAGATACCTGCTTAGCGCCGATTGGTATCTTTGAGATGCCATTAGTGGACCGCTATAGATTCTAGAGGACTTCCAACTTTACCAAGGTTCCGCGGCACGAAATGCGCGGCGCCTAGAATAAGAAATGGTTCTGCTATGTCTCTTACCATTTACCTGGGCTTCCACTCAGTATTCTACCATTTCTCCTGGCTTATTTCCTACTATATTAGTTTAGATGAAACGCTCTCTAAAAAGGCTCTCTTTAGTGATACATATTCAAGGGAATGAATAGAAAGAGAAAAGAAGCTCGGGCCTGGAGGTTCAAAAATATGTACAAATTTACCATGGCGCTTACCCTCGGTATATTCAAGAGCTTTCAGGGGGTGATAACTTCGTAAAGAGTTTTGTGCATAACAATTGTGCTATCCTGCATGATTTAATCCGGGATGACAGCCGAGAACCTTAAGTTAATAAATTAACGTAACTAAAAATGATTCTTGACGGACTTAAAAAGCTTCAAGTGTCATCAGATCAGCGGGGTGGCTTTATCACCGAAAGTCCGGGGTTCTTTGAGTCAGCGCACCAATCAAAATACATCGTCACTATTTTAAGTGGGTCATGGGTGCCAGCGATGACACACCGTTATGATTCGCCACTTTTCATGATTGCTCCACCAAAGTAGCTGATCTATGGTTCTTTGGTCAGTAAGGGTCATTATCTAGCACTATAAAGGGAGGGCTAATCCAGCCATCTCAAGAACAGTAGCACAATCTGAGAACTACTCTATCCGTGAAGCAAATTAAACAACCGCCATGTCTGAGACTATCAAGCCTGTCAAAATCCCCGGCATTGCCTGGGAAATCGCCGCCGACATTCACCTCCCACCCAACTTCGACGAGAACAAAAAATACCCAGCCGTCCTCTCCGCCCACCCAATCGGCTCCTGCAAAGAACAAACCTCCGGAAACATCTACGGCAAAGCAATGGCCTCAGCCGGCTTCGTCGTAGTCGCCTTTGACGCATCCTTCCAGGGAGCTTCAGGCGGTACTCCCCGCTTCGTCGAGAACCCCGAATTCCGCGTCTCGGATTTCCGCTACGTAACCGACTATATTCAAACACTTCCCTACGTTGACCCCGAGCGCATCGGAGTCCTAGGAATCTGCGGCGGCGGAGGCTACGCATTCAACGCCACAATGACAGACTACAGACTCAAATGCTGTGTCGGTATTACCCCTGCGAATTTCGGCCGGCTTGTTCGGGAATCGTTTGGTGGTTTCGATCCTGCCGGCGCATTGGAGAAGATGGCTAACCAGCGCACTCTTGAGGCGAGGGGTGCTGAGCGCTATATTCTTCCTTTCTTGCCGCCGACTGTTGAGGAGGCGAAGAAGATGACGTCTGATCCGGACATCGTCCAAGCGACTGAATACTACAAGACTAGTCGGGGTCAGAAACCGGGTGGTGCTACTAGTGCGCTTTTCTCGTTTAATAGTGCTGCTGCTTCTTGGGATGCTTTTGCTTATGCGGAGGTTATCATGACGAGACCGTTCATTGCTGTTATTGGGAGTATTCCGGGTGGGTTTGGTGCTTATCGGGATGGTCATGAGATATATGGGAGGGCTGCTTCTAAGGAGAAGGAGTTGTTGGAGTTGCCTGGTGTTACGCACTATGAGCTTTATGATGAGCCGAAGGCTGTTAAGGCTGCGCTTGAGAAGGTCTTGCCATTTTTGAAGAAGCATCTTGGTGAGGCTCAATAGGTATGGTCTTGATGCCTGCTTGTGCCTTTTCTGAGGATTATTGGTCTTTGTTCGTACTTTTCATGATGCTTCAGTAATCATCTAGATATTCAAATGGAAGAAATGAGAATATATTTACAATCTACTCTGGTCTGAGTAAATAATTGAGCAGTCTAACAATTCCATTCATAAAAAGTATAAAGAGGCTTAGAAGAAGCCTCTCATCTCCTACAAAGAGGAGGGAAAAGAAGAAAAGAATGCAACAATACCAAGTCATATAAGGTGTTTGTTACGAAACGTACTCGAATGAGTAACACAAGACAGGATACCTGATCCAAGCCCAAGAATCAAATCAAAGCATGTTGTGCTCCACACATTCCCAATCTAGATGCAAACCAACACTTCTAGACTCTAGTTCGAGATGGAAATGTCACGGGCGTGCACCTTATCATTGCTAACCAGCCACTTGAAAGTCTGACGCAGCAGTTGAAGAACCTCCGAGGCACTCAGGGAGCTGAGGTAAGAAGTCCAGTCGCTGGAGACGTAGTCCGATTCGGTGGATGTGGAGCTTGAGCTTGAACTGGTAGAGCCGGAGCCGGAGCCGGAGGACTCGGAGCCAGAGCCAGATCCACTTCCAGAGCCGGAAGTAGATCCAGAGGCAACGCTAGCAGAGGATGTCTGAGTAGGCTCACTTCCCTCAGTGACGGTTGTGGTGACGGCGACGGCGACCGGGACAGCGCTGGTGGTCTGCACAACAGACTTGTCAGTAAGGGTAACCAGCTCAGTGACCCAGGAGGTGCTGGTCTCGGTCAAAGTGATCACAGTGGGGGTAGCAGTGGCAGACTGGTGCTGCTCAGCAGCGCTGGGGGCAGTGAACTGAGCAGGAGCAGAGGTGAAGCTGGGGGAGCTGGGCTGGCGGCTAAAAGAGGGACGCCATGCGCGAGTGGAGTTGGAGAAGGGTGGGGTGAAGGAGGGACTCCGGGTTGGGGAGGCACTGACGGATGCGATAAGGGTGGTTGTGGGTACAACTGATTCCACGGAGGCAGGGGTGCTGGTGACCTCGGCGCTGGTGGTGGCTACTGCAGTGGTAGACACAGCGGTGGAAGCTGTGGTAGCTGCGGCAGTGTACAGAGTTGGACCGGGAATTTCATAGGTGCTTAGGGAAGTGTAGATGTTGATCAGAATGCCCGGGTCGGTGTTCTTGTACAGGGCGGTACCCAGGGTACCTGAAGGAGTGGCGCTACCTCCGCCGGTGACCTTCAGGTTGATACACTGAGGGTAGTTTTGGGCGCCATTTGTCTCCTCAGCCGAGTGCAATGCGATGATCTCGTGACGGAGAACATAGTTTCCATCCGCAATATCGCTGGGAACGGTGACAGTGCGGCTGTTGTTGTTGGAGATAAGGTTATCAGTCGCCCAGGTACCAGGCACGTCGGTGTCGCTGATCAGACCACCCTGGTCGATCTTGAAAAACTCCAAAGTGGTCTTATCCACATCGGCACAGTCCCCATTGCAGTTGGCCATGTAGGTAATAACAGGACCGTGGTGGCTTGAGGGCCAAGTAGTCCACTGAAGCTCAACGGAGCCACCAGCCTTGACAGGCGCCTCCAAAGCAGCTGCCTTGGCATCCTTGTGACAAATGATGTTGGAGTTGGCGTACTCCGAGCCATCGATATAGCCCAGATCAGTCTCGTCCTCTGACCAGGCAATGAGCTCAGGGGGGTCGCTCTCGTAGGGGTACTCGGTGATAATGTATCCGCCGTAGTAAGTGTCGTCAACCACGATACCGCTCACATAGCCGTGACCAGCCACCAAGGCAGCGGATCCGAGGATCAATCCAGTAATCTTGGACAGAGACATTTCAGTCGATTTTGGTAAAAATGAACGCACAGCGTTTGGATTCAAAGAAGGTCGAAAAAGAATGACAAAATGGGGACTTCAAGTCAACCCAAAGAGAACGGAAGGTACTAGACCTGAGAAGAGAAAGAATGGAATAGAAAGGACTGATGATCGATCAAAAAGCAGATCGTCAAGGCGTCCTTTGCCCAGCTTTATATCCAGCATCACCGGTCGTAGGGCCGGGCATGGCTTCTTTCGGGTCATGATATCCGAACCAAGACCTCCACCTCTCTGACAGACCCATCATGTCTGACCATCCTTAATGTCATCGAAGTCTCATTTTCATGGTTCTCAAACATATCCACCGGCTTGTTTGTTGGCCATAGGTGGAGAATCCCCAAGCAACCAAACGGGTAATGCGCCGAGGTGTGAGATAGATGAATAGCAATGTCTGCAAAGCGCCGAGGATCCTGCTAAACGCCACATTAACTAAGGTATAAAATCTTGGCATTGTTCTAGAGACTTTTAGAGTGCCCAAACCACTAGTCAGTAGCTGTCGATCTTAGGCGGCTCTCTGCGACGTTCTAGGTTTCACCCTTTCATCCAATCTCCTTCCATTGGCTGATTCCTACATCGTACCTGATATCTCGTCACTTGCATTCTCCAAGTTGACATCCAGCTTATTTAGGATCACACAAAGCTTTGTCCCTGACAGGGGCCACATGGAAGGTGGATACTTGTTTTGAGGGGTTTTGAATACGGAAACAAGCCCAATTAACGCTAGTGAGCTGTCAAATGTCAAACAGATTGAGCAAGTCATGATCAGCGATCTCCAACGTCATGTCAACACATAAAGGCCAGTGACCAGTTCACGGGATCGAACTCAGCTGTTCACATTTAGGTCAAGCGTCATTTCCAAGCCTCGAATTCATTGTGCAAATGACAAATTAGACCATATCCGACTTCGAATGGTCCAGCCACAATTAATATGATGATGGAGAGGGGCAACTGCAGCGGAGAATTAGTCTGAAACATCCGGTGGGCTCGGCGCACACAAGAAGTCCGAGAGCGAAAGCGCCCCTTTTAACCGTTCAATTCGAGGCTCAAGCCTCTTGATCCTCCTTGATCCAGGGGTTTATTGTTGAAGCGCGTCCCCTTTGCAATTTCGTCATCTTTGTGAGGCATTTTAATAAGACAAATAAGTATTACTACCCGTGGACTCCGTATATGTATAAGAAAGCCACCACTCAAAACACCCAAGACTTAGGCCTTAGATCTTTCAAGGTTCCGTTCCTAGAGAAAGTCCAGTGCGCACATTTGAGAGCCCCTCATGCAGCCAAGAAGAGCTGTCAAAGCGCATTGACCCAAGATCATTATCGGCTTCGAACTTGGGATCTGGCCGCGTATGAACATACCGGGCTTTCGAGCCGATAAGCCTGCACGTCGCCAAATCTCTCATTCTTTGTGACGCATGTCAGAGCTCAACAACGTGAAGTACGAATGACAATTGTTACGATACCTACTCCGTAGTCGGAGCAGCGAATGGCGTTGCGATAAAAAGTCGATCATATCTAAGAGTAGGCTGATCTGCATCAACAATGGTGTCTTACTATCAGTGAGTGTCGTCCAGAAGCACCGATCGCAAGATAGTAACACAGTGGTGTGATACAAGGGGGCCCGATACAGATTACCAGTAAGTAATCCCGAGATGCACCCAATCACTTACCGGTTTATCTGTACCCGTCCCCGCGAGGGGTTTAGGAGGTGATTAGCAGCGGCGGATCATTCCAAGGATAGTCGAGTGCGTTGTTCTCCCAGTCGGGGTTACACGGGTTGAAGCCATAACGATCTCCATTGGATCCAAAGTCCACAATCTAAAGATATACATAAAAACACATAGAGTATAAGTATCAAGTACGAGAGTAAGAGAGTAGAATGGAAAGGAGTAGGAACGAATCCTTGATACACTCAACTCACTGGTCACCGCTTCTGCCTGCCTCAGGTATCAACATCCTCACCGTAACTACGCAATACATAAAACATCTACGTTAGTGTCCAGGGTTCTGGTTCCTCTGTAATTTGATCTTGAAATCTGCGTGCTATCAGCTCATCTATTTTATCCTTCACTTCTCCATTAACAAAGTGATTGTTCCGATTCGCCCCCCTCGCACGTTCCCGTTTCTGCCGGTCTGGATCCGCGCTCACACTTTTCCCGCTCTCCTTTCTCGACTCCACAAGGTCGCTTTTACCCCAGCAGCTTTACATCTCTCAACCCTTTTTGAGCCTTTTGACCAACATCAACACCAGTTCCAGGAGTCATGGTCATAAAAGACCCGTACTGTTACTACGCTTAAACATAGATAGCCCTACAGCTATTTGATCCCACCTGGTTTCCTCCGAACCCCCGTCTTTCCCCGATCGCTATCCCACCACACACGCGACAATCGCAACATCCAAATTACAAACGACTGGAGGGTGGCTGGTCGCATTGAACTCCTGTCGATTCAGATAAATAGGGAAGGGCAAACGAATTATGGGACCTTTAGACGCACCCTCCTCGCCGAACTTTCCTGCCCTGGACCCCATCATAATGGACGATGAGATGGAGTCGACCTTTCGCAACGCCAATATGGATTTCCTCGACCCGACAACCCTTGACATGCCCTCAGGATCCGCTGGAGGAGACTTCGATGACTTGTTCGCCCACGTTACACACAACCGCTCGAATGCCGCTTCGGAGTCATCGAAGGCTTATCAAGACCAACACCCCCTGAGGCAACCACCAGTGATGGCAGCAGATTCACCAGCAGAGTCGCCAGACAATTCAAGCCGTAGTTCATCCTCGGAATCCCCGCGCAATCACATCCGCCATGCCTCGGTCGCCTCAACAAATTCCGCCGCTCATAGTGAGAATCCGTTGACATCCGCTGGTTTCCCAACAGAGGATTGGATGCGCCCTGAGTTGTCATCCGTGAAGGAAGAATCACCGTTTACCATTGATCCTTCTTATGCCATGGATGGGTTCTCCATGGATCCCGACTTGGAATCGAGCAACAAGGCCATGGATGCCGCCTTTGATTTTGAGAGCGCTGCGAGCAGTCCCAGCCCGCTGAAGATCGAGAACCTACCACAACACAATCCCCCGACCGGCTCAACATCACAATTCTGGAGCCCTTCGGCAATTCCTGCACCACCGCCGCCATCGAACGAGGCTCCGGCCGCAGCCAGATCATCGGTAAGTCACAAATGGCAGTTTCTGGTTATTGGTCTTAACTCTCTGCAGGCCCCGGCCCCCGGATCGCCCTTTTTTCCATTTGGGCTCAAAGAACAGTCTCCATTCTCAGGAACATTTCGCAATGACTCGGAGAGACTGGCTGCTCCGCAATGGGGCACCCAGTCCCCATCCTCACTATTGGAAGAAAGCTTTGGAGGCATTAACATGAATGGACAGTCTCCACTAAATCAGTCAATGTCGCCTAGCATGAACTTTGGCTCCCCTGCTGCATACCCATTCCCCGTCAATTTTGCGTCGTCGCCCGCTCAGCCGGCGGATAACAACTCGATACAACCCGTTCTCACAGTGCATCCGACCTCCCTCAAATCCCGTGTTGAAACCCAGATTCCGATCCGATTAACGCTCTCCCCGCTGCCGGCCAGTGTGAAGAAGCTGCGCCTCCCGTCTCATACCATTTCCAAACTCAAATTTCTCGCCTCTGCTACCACTGAACCTTCACCCGACACTCTGCAGCTCTATACAAGTCTAGTTTGTACCAGTGCAATGCAAGACCGTGAGAAGTTAAAAAGAGCCTTTGCACGCACAAGAGGCGAAAGGTATCAGAACGGGAACGGTTCGAAAGAAGATCAGCCATTGGAAGGCGGAGATGTGGTGATTTGCGGCGGGTGTATACAGCGAGAACGAAAACGCGCTTCTCGAAAGAAGCAACGCAAGCCCGAAGAGGACGAGCTATTTCAAAAGGACGAGGAAAAAAGGGTCATCGTTTTCAACACGAGCGAGATCAAGGAATGGACCGAGCCGCCCAAGAACACTACCGGTTATGATATGCAGAGTCCCCCAGGCTCAATGCAAGTAGAGCTTCCGATGCGAATTGCTTGTTACTGTCGGCATCAAAATGAGAAGCTTGGGTTCCAGGTTATCTTCACTATAAAGGATCATCTGAACAACGTCGTCGCTCAGGCAATCACCAATTCAATCATGATCACCGATGACCACAAGACCCAGACTCCTGCCGCTCCACCACCAACGGGCCCTTCGCCTTCATTACCAGATGGAACTCAGCTACCTGGCGTTAGTGTGTTCTCGTCTGGGTCTAATCCGGATATTAAAGGCAATGGTGCGTTTGCATCACCTCAGTCGCCTACCGATCTCCAGGGACTTCAGCAAAGGTTCAACTCGCAGTATCAGCTTACACCAAGCTCGTTTGCTGGTCAAGGCTCGGCTAATAGCGCCCCTGCAACTTCAAATACATCCCGAAGCCTGTCTCGGCAGGCATCGCCAACTGATTTCCCTGGCCCACAGACCAAGCGACGGAAGCACAGCAGTTCTGGAAGACTCCCGTCCGAATTGACCATGACGAGAATGGAGACACCGCAATCATCATCTGCAATGAGTGGCGCTCAACTTGCTGCCGCTCGTGGATATGCCTCCCCAACAGAGAGGCCGTTTGTGACACCGTCATCTATGAACGGACAGTACGGAAATGGACCACCGACTCCCAGCCAAAGTAATGACAATAATCCCTTCTTCAATCCCACACCAGCTCAACGTCAGAGCTTGGATAGCTTGGCCCATCAACCTTTGGCGTCGGCGCCCAACTCTGCTCAGCCTAGTCGTCCAGGAACACCTGGTGGTTCTGGTCGCAACGGCTTCCAAGATCCAAATCTCGCACTTGGTCTTGGTGCCAACCCTGCGAGCCAAATATGGCCACCTCTTAATGCCACACCCAACCGTCTTCCGTCAGTGATACACAAGCTTGTTCCGGCGGAAGGATCAATTATTGGAGGTACAGAGGTCACATTATTAGGTAGCGGTTTCTACCCTGGTATGGAGGTTGTATTCGGTGATACACTTGCGACGACCACGACATTCTGGGGAGACAAGTGTCTCAACTGTCTGACTCCGCCCGCTCTCCAGCCTGGTCTGGTTTCGGTTATGTTCAAACATGAACATCCGACTTTTGGTCAAGTGCAGCAACCCCAGCCACTCATGCCGAAGCAACAACTCTTCTTCCGATACGTGGATGATCGTGAGCTTCAGATGTACCGCCTGGCTCTAAACATTCTTGGCCAGAAATTGGGCAGTCAGGCAGACGCATTCCAAACCGCTCAGCAAATCATGGGCAGCGATCCCAATGCCTTTTTGAATATGCAGAAAGACATGCAGGGCGGTTCTTCTGGTGGCCATCAACGACAGGTACCAGGGATGGAAGCTCAGGGTAAGCTCAGCGATCTTGACTCCAAGATGCTGACTTACCTGGAATTTATCGATCTTGATGACAGCCCGCGGCCGCCTCGCTTCAATTCTCGCAGCACAACCGGGCAGTCCCTCCTGCACTTTGCGGCCTCGTTGGGATTGACTAGGTTCGTTGCGGGACTGTTGGCTCGTGGTGCCAATCCGGATGTGCAGGACAACACTGGCAACTCGCCAATGCATCTGGCTGCACTCCACAGCCATGCTCACATCGTTCATCGACTTCGTCTGGCTGGTGCCAACGCTAATGCCCGGAGTGTACGAGGCTTCACTCCTGCCGACCTTGCCACATCGCTCCCTACACACCAGGCCGCATTGTTGCCTTCTCGTAACTACCGTTCCCGCAGCGTCGGCTCTCTCACTTCACGCCGCAGGCATAGCAGTTCTGCTTCGCTCAACTCTCTTTGGGAGGCGTCGTCTGCTTCCGGATCACTTGGTCATGCCGTTGATGATTCAGAAGAGCTGGACGACAGCGAAGAGTTGGACAGCGAAGATTCTGACGACATGCCTCTGCAGTTCAATATTTCTCGGCGATCCAGTATGCACCAAGATGTCATTCCCTCGATTGTGGATGGTGGCAACCAAGGCGTGGCCCATGCTGGTGTAGGTTTTACTCCGCCCGCGGCAGTCGTCGCATGGCGGAATCAGCTGGCTGCACAGATCAATCATTTCCAGCAGAGTATGGCTAATGCTTTCCCCAATATGCCTGCTTTGCCTCCAATGCCTGCTCTACCCCCAATGCCCGCTCTCCCAGACTATCAGGCCAACCAGATGATGCGTCGCATCACTAATCTTGTGCCTCATCGCCCAGTCGCTGATGGATGGTGGGACTACTTGAAGGGCAACACTGCCCAAACTCATACTGAGCCGCCTTCCTACGATGAATTGTATCCGCACCAGCAGGCTCGCGAAGATGAGGCTGAGATGAAGAAAACATCTCTTCTGCGGGCGGCGACTGAGGCTGCATTAGATCAACACTTTGAGGTTCAGAGCACTGTGATTGCCTCTACATCTGCTGCGGCGGCAGCTGCAGCTTCCACTGCCCCTGAACGCCCACGATCTGCGGATGAACTCAAGGATATCACCATTGGGAAGAATGTCATTTCGCGGGAGCAGCAGAAGCATCTCCGAGAACATCAGGCTCGTCGCATGAAGGGGTTGGGTAGCGACCGTAACCTCTATTTCATTTGGGTAAGTCATTCGACATCTTTACCTCACAACAAATGTGTACTGACTCTTTTTAGATTCCCCTTCTTCTTCTAGTTATTTGCGCGTGGGTACGGAGCTATGTACCTGGAATTTGGCAAGGCGTCACGGACAGCTTTGATTTTTTGAAGACTCGCTATGCACAGCGGGCTGTGGAAATAGGTATTTAGGATTTCTTATGTTTTTTCTTTGTTTCTGCGCATCTTGGTGTTTTATCTGAGCGAGTTACCACCCCATCTACCCCTGTTGCCACATGTTCTGTTTTGGTTATATTTGCGTATAATGACAGGGTACGACCATATACAGTCAAGCTTGCAAAAGCAAGGTTTTAGGCCTTTTGTATTTAACATAGACCAAAATCAATTTTATCTAACAAGAGTTGTCAAAGAAGCTAGAGTAGTGGATTCGTTATTTGATAAAGTTCTTCACAGAGGAAGGAATAAGAGGTTGATATCAGACCGAAAATGGCAAGTTATAGACAATGCCAAGCTGCGGCCTGTGCGCCCCATAGCTGGCCTCGGGGAGTTTCCCACCGCAACAACCCCGCGACTTTACAGCCAAACTATCGCCAGATATACCGAGGTTTACAGCAGGCTGTGGTTCTTGATCGGAATGCTCTGAGTGCCATTGGCCGTCTCCCGAATCGCGCCCGGGAATCATGGACCCCTCGCAGGCGGCCTCGAGCAATGTGACCGGTAACGACCCCCAAGTTTGAGTAATTGGAGATGGTGCTAACTACATGATAAACAGTGGAATACACGGATCCATCGGAAATATTTCCCCAGGTTCAATCCATCATCGAATCGAAACTTCCCCTGAAAAACCTCCACTGGAAATCACCAACTCGCCCCGTCCGTTCAATCGAATCGCTCCGCATCGGCTTCGTTTCTGCGCAGACCGAAAGCACAGAACCCAAACCATCCAGTGATGGTGCTGGTACAGTACCACATAGGCGACATCAAATCCCTGGCTTGCGACAAACTCCATACTTGAAGGTCTACCTCCTCCGCTGTGACGACAACGACACATACAAAGCTACAGCGCGCAAAGCACTACGCGAATGGATCAAGGCTCAGGGCGCATCGACCACGTCGCAATCTACTGGCGCTACTGGCAGCAGCCAGGAAAAGCACGATGCCTTCGAGTGGCTCATTTTACATGTTGTTCAGGACGGAGAGGGTGCGGAGAAGGCACCCACTCCTACCTCGAAATGGGGCCGGGGCACAACTAGCATCCTGGAAAAAGTCAAGGCCGATTTCAATGGATCGTCTAAGACTGCTGTAGATCGGGTTGCACAGCTGCGGTTGCCTAAGACAGGGACGACCAAATCCCCTGAATTGGCTGAGCAGCTGGAAGATTTGATTGACAAGATGAAGAATGGGATTCTGGCTTCGTTTGATCTGCGTGTGGCTCAGTATGAAGAGGATATCAAGGAAAAAGATTCTCAGCGCAGTCTTCCGGGGTGGAATTTTTGTACCTTCTTCATACTCAAGGAAGGTCTTGCGCGTGGATTCGAGAATGTTGGTCTCTTTGATGATGCCCTGGTCGGGTATGATGAATTATCTGTCGGTTTAGATGCGGCAATTCGAGATCAGGTCGAAGGAAATGTTGGGCAGCATGGTGGTGAACTCCTGACTTCCAGCAGTATCCTGATAGAAGAAGCCAAAAAGGCACTCGAGGCTGGACCGACCGACGACAGTCAGGAGATTGAAGCTCCCCAGCTCCAAATTCGACCAGAAGATTATCCACTCATTTCCACCAAGCTGCCGTATCGTGAGATGATCCTTGGGAGCAACATCTCCATCTTCAACTTCCGCACGTATCTCTTCTCGCGACAATTGGCTTTGCTTCTACGAGCTGCAAGAGCTCCATCACTCTTTGGAAATGAGACAGCCGCTCGTGATAAAAAGCCGGAAAACCTCATGCTACTCTCTGAGATTTGCGAAAGGTCCACGGATTTCATCAGTCTCGCCGCCCGAACTCTTCGCTATGATCTTGAGGCTGGATTGGAGGATGTGAAAAATGACGCCAAGGCGAATTTCATCGACAATACTGTGTCTTCGTGGGCTTATTCGGCGGCCTTGCAAATTCTCGATCAGACCTTCACTACCAGTCTCACGATTCCTGAATCCTCTCTTCACGCTGCGGCACAGGTGGCAGATTCCTCAAGCTCAGGTGCACCGACCACAGAAAGCCGCGCCGAGGTGCCTCGCCGGATGAGCTCAATAACATCAGGCTCTCGTGGTGGTCGACCAGTGACGCAGGATATGTCCGATGTAAGCTCGCTCAAGCGCAGATCAACTATAGACCATCCAAAGCAAGCCCCCTTCGCGCAAAAGACCGGTTCTGAACAGCTGGCATCTGGGAGGGGAGCCCTGTTTCTGTTTGCCCGCAGATCCCTTGAGGAAATTGCTCGCCGGCGGGGCTGGTCACAGAACTGGACTGACCTTAGCCTCCTCTTTGATGATGGTCATCGTTCTGCAGGCGGTCTATCAGATGTCTCTCTGGATGAAAACGAATCTAATCCACTGGACATGGAGAACATGCAGTCCTCTCTGATTGGCATTGAGTTGCCCGCATTGAAGGCCGCATTGAAATCAAAGGATACATTCTTGTCGTTCTATGAGACCCTCACCGATCGACTTATCTGCCACAACATGGCAGCAAGTCGTGCTAACTCTACTGAAGTCGCACTCGCCGACATTGCCATTTTACGGTTCCGCCAGGGCGACTACGAGACAGCTGCTTCATATTTCCACCAGATGGCACCATTTTACGGCAGTAAACTTTGGACGGTCCTGGAGGGTACCATGCTAGAGCTCTATGCGCGGTGCTTGAAGGAACTCAACCGCCATGAAGACTATGTTCGTATGGTGCTGAAATTACTCTCCAAGTACGCATCATATTCACAGTCACAACTCTCGGACAGACAAAGGGCTTTGTCTACCCCAACTTCAATATTAGGTCAGGAACAGCTGTCTGGCTATGTTTCTGATCTTTTCCAAGGCCTGGGTTGTCTACAGAAGGATGTTACGACATCTTTGGTTGATTTCTTCGCGGACCTACAAATTGATCCGGCGATCCGACTCTATGATGACAAGGATGGATTCCAAATCCAGATGGCCTTGCGCTTTTTACTGGGCCCGCAGATTGAGATCAATTCAATCAAGATCAGGCTGGTTAGCGCCAGCTCGTCGCAAAATTCGGAGCATTGGATAGAAGGATCTACCAATTTTGTGATCAAGTCGACGAAGACGAAGATTCTTATTGATTCGCCGGTAAGTGGGCATTTCAATGACAGATGGATTATGGCTTATTCTACTTTAGACAACTCTTCAAGGCAAATATGTTGTGGACCGCCTGGAGATGAAAGCTGGAAACCTTGTTTTCGCGTTCAACAGCAACCAACATTCATACCTGCCAGTGGGATTCCGGGCGGCAGATAGTGCAGACGGCACCGATCTGCGTCCTTATATATACTGCTACCCTCCACCAGATGGCCTTCAGGCGAAGGTTGTGTCGCCACATCTAATCAATCTCGAGGCCATGCGCACGCTGGAGCTGGAACTCTCTAGCGGGCGTAATGACATCAAGAGTGGCACAATCCGTTTGCGACCGGCGACAGCAGGACTCCGCCTCAGAATTTCGGAGGCAGAAGTTGTGGAGGGAGAGCTAGAAGTCGCGGTGAACAACGACTCTGGAGCAATCGAGTTTACACACCTGCCGACCCGATCATTTGTACGACTACGGATCCCTTACACGGTAGAGGAGGCTTTCGCGACGCTTTCTGCACGGGCAGAGGTCACGTATGAGACAGAAAAGGGCCGATTCGCTTCTTTGACCGTGCATGATGTGGTTGCCACGCTTCCCATATCAGTCAACGTGCAGGACATCTTCAAGGATGAAATGCTTTTCTCGCGTTTCACAGTGAGCCCCGCCATGCTGATCCCTCTCCGAATCACCAATTGCAGCCTGCCAAGCTCAGATGCCTATGATGTGCAATCTAGTATTACGGGCCCCGTCGCTCTTGACGTTTTTCCTAAACAGCCCGCGTCCCTCCTTTACAAGATCCGTCCTTTGGAGGGCACAACCGTCCCTGCCTCGGGCAAGCGCAATCTTCGCCTGCGTGTTGATTTTACGTGTGTGGATGACGAGTGCTTCGATGCGATTGAAAAATTGTTTGTGGCGGCAATTGATTCCAGCCCGTATAGTCAATATGCATCTCTCCTCGCGTCACATCTTGTCGGCAGTTTCCGGGCTCGACTATCTACTTCGGACATGGAAGTGATTGGCCTTGTGAGAGAATTGGATATGCTCCCGTACCGGACTGTGCGATGGGAAAATTTGTTGGACGGGCTCAAGGAGCGCGGCGAGGAAGTACGCCAGTGGTTGATGGAGTGGCACGAGGTAAGTTGATTTGCTATGCATTCCCACCCATTATTGATTTTTGTATTTACCCCCACAGCGCAACTCTATCATCCGTCTCCCGTTGCAATCCACCATCCCCACCCGCTGCATTATCATCCCTGTTGAAATCCCCGAAATTCAAGTGGTCCATACAGCCGAGCTGCAGCTTCAGCTAGGGCTCGATAGGTCTTCTGCCGGATCCTCCCACGCGGCTGTGGGCCAGATGATCCCAGCTGAATTGACCCTCCGCCACACTCGCCGCTGGTGCTCCCCAACCACCCAAGAGTATGCAGATCACCCACTCGAATGCTCCTACGAGATCCATGCCAATCCCGAACTTTGGCTTCTGGGTGGTCGTCGACGCGGTAACTTCTTAGCACGTGATGGTGAATCTACTACCTTCACCATCCTTCTACTCCCCCAAAAGCCTGGTCATCTTCTCCTGCCCAGCCTGGAGATCCGCACATTTGCCCCTTCGCCTCTGCAGATCTCTAAGACGGACTCCACCACAGGAGCTCCCGCGGGACCAACCCAGCGACACCCGATTCCCTGTGAAGTTGATTATCGCAATCACGGGGAGACGGTTCTAGTGCTGCCAGATCTACGCAAGACCACGGTCAGCCTCAGCGCCTCGGGCAGTCCGGGTGGGGCGTCATGGCTGGTGGATTCGGAGAGACGAGCTGAGGTGCACTGATTCTTGAAGTGGCACGTGTATATAGATCTATGAATGAATACGACTTGTACAACCATAGTACGTACTATAACCCATTGTGTAGTATGTAGTGTGGTGTTTGCCGTTTTGCAAAATACCAGTGGGAACACGGTGATTGGTGGAGTGTCCTCAACAAAAACACAGCGGGTCCGCCCACGGCCCAACAAGCCCACAGTCTCCGCCACGGCCGAGTTCTCCCCAATGTCACAATTAAAGTAGTCTAGAATCGGCTGAAAACATCTGAATACGGATACTTTCTTAATGCCATGTTAATTCACACTTTATACAACTTTTTGAAGTCCGGAATACGCAGTACAAATCCTGTTTTACATATCCTTGAGGTATTTAAATTACATCGATACCCTCAACCATCAGCCATCACATGCATGCCAATTGCCACCTGTGTGTAATAGGGGTGCGAGCACGAAAATGACCCGCCGAGGTAGCTGATCAAGGTATGCGCATGTGAATACATAGATTAAATGAACTTTATGAACATATCAGAATATGACATGAAGCTTTAAAGATTCCAAGGTTCCTACCAAAGGGTATCTTATCATATCCAATCCCTTTATCACTATCTCTATCTTTAGTATGCAGCCACTGGTTTGGGAAAAATCCCGTAAGTGTTGAGGACCCAATTAGGTTTAGGATCGATCCGGGTCGCCACTAAGTCCAGCCCTGAAGAACCACTCGGTGGGGCCGAGTATTTTTCAATGTTTAATTGTTGGTCGATCTGTTCAATCAATCACGCTTTAACTGTGAGATCGGCTGAGTTCATGCAGGAAAGTATCGAATCAGAGAATTTAGAGCTGGTCGTGTGGGATGGTATGTAAGTAGTAGTTACTACTACAGTAAGTAAGTACTCCGTACATAAGTAGAAAGTAAGGGGAAAACCTCGACGTTTCCGATGGGGGAAGTGGGTATCGAGTGGTTTTTGCAGATCGAATTTACGTTATTTACAGAAATTACATCTATATTGGTAGAGCTGATAATGTATTTTATCAAATTCGTGACAATACATGTAAATCCCCACGGACCCAAAGACCCCCAGTTTTGGTCCCTTTTTAATTCAATTTTTTCTTCTTGACATTCCTTAACAGACTTGTTCATCTCCCTCTCTCGCTTTTCTCTGGGGTTAGTGTCAAACAATTTTCTTGAACTTCTGTGTAACAAGAAAGTCATCCTTAGGTGAGTTGATGCTGATACGACTGATCCATCTCCAAGGCTGACCTCCTCCATATAGGTTGTGAATTGCGTGGAATTTAGTCCTTCCCCCTTCCCTCAACTTTTTGGTGGGATTCGTTCTCCAGTCTATTGGAAGACGATCATATAATACCGGAGAGACTCTGTACAGATTAGCTGTATAAAAAAATCCTCTCGCCATGTCGTCGACTGCTGTTCCTAAGCGCACTGCGCTTCGTCGCAACCCCACCACCGAATCGTCCCTTGCCAATTCGGTTTCGGCTTCGCCCTTTGACAGCCCTCGTCAGTCTCCCTCATCCACCTCCCTGTCCTCCATGGCCTCGGAGCTGGAGGTGAGCAAGGAGGAGGCGAGCAAGATGCTCGACACCTGGGGTAATGAGTTCAAGATTCCCGACTTCACCATCAAGCAGATTCGTGATGCCATCCCCGCGCACTGCTTCCACCGCTCCGCCATCACCAGTCTGTACTATGTCTTCCGGGACTTTGCCATTCTGGGATCCGTCTTCTACCTCTTCCACAACTATGTCACCCCGGAGACCGTCCCCTTCATGCCCGCTCGTGTGGCTCTGTGGACCCTCTACACTATCGTCCAGGGTCTCGTCGGTACCGGTGTCTGGGTGCTGGCCCACGAGTGTGGTCACCAGGCCTTCTCTCCCTCCAAGGTGCTGAACGACACCGTTGGATGGATCTGTCACTCTCTCCTGCTCGTCCCCTACTTCTCCTGGAAGATCTCCCACGGCAAGCACCACAAGGCCACTGGTAACCTTGCCCGTGACATGGTGTTCGTTCCCAAGACCCGTGAGGACTATGCCACCCGCACTGGCCGCACTCTTGCTGAGCTCGGCGAGCTAATGGAGGAGACCCCCATCTTGACTGCCAGCAACCTGCTCCTCCAGCAGCTGTTCGGCTGGCTCATGTACCTGGCCACCAACGTTACCGGTCACAACAACCACTCCAAGCAGCCCGAGGGCCGCGGTAAGGGTAAGGCCAACGGTTGGTTCGGTGGTGTCAACCACTTCAACCCTTCCAGCCCTCTGTACGAGGCCAAAGATGCCAAGCTGATCGCCCTGAGCGACCTTGGTCTCTTCCTCACCGCTTCCCTCCTGTACACCATCGGTTCCAAGTTCGGCTGGCTCAACCTGCTGGTCTGGTACGGTATTCCATACCTCTGGGTGAACCACTGGCTGGGTAAGTCTTCGACCATTTCCCACTCTTCAAAGCACAGCACTAACAACCCCTAGTCGCCATTACCTTCCTCCAGCACACCGACCCCACCCTCCCCCACTACCAGCCCGAGGTGTGGAACTTCGCCCGCGGAGCTGCTGCCACCATCGACCGTGACTTCGGTTTCGTCGGCCGTCACATCTTCCACGGTATCATCGAGACCCACGTTCTGCACCACTATGTCAGCAACATCCCCTTCTACAACGCCGATGAGGCCAGCGACGCCATCCGGACCGTCATGGGCGACCACTACCGCACCGAGGCCCAGACCGGCTGGACTGGCTTCTTCAAGGCCATGTGGACTAGTGCTCGTGCCTGCCAGTGGGTTGAGCCGACAGAGGGTGCTAAGGGTGAGAGCCAGGGTGTGCTTTTCTTCCGCAACACCAACGGCCTCGGTGTCCGTCCCGCCCAGATGGCCCAGTAGATGGTTCATATGCATTCTCATTTTGGTTGGAAGCGAAAATCTGTCGTTATTGACGTTTGTTATTTTATGTTATTTGGTGTATACTCGTTGGCGTGCATACACAAAACATGTGAGATTTGATCAGAGATGAGATGGGACTGGCGAGGCATAGATGTCAATGGTTGGAGTGCAGACCGAGACTCTCGTTGATTTTCTCTAGATTGTTTTGGTTTGATTTCCTGTTGTCTCTTGAGTTGAGCAGCGGGGGCGATTTGATTTGCTGGAGATGAAGTAATGATCTTGTGAACTTATTCTCGAACCTGTTCCTGTTCCTGCTCCTATTCGTATCTGCTCAATCGTACTTCACCTGTATGCCGATGTCGAGATATTGTACTGATCCCATGTAGCCAGAGGAAAGTTGGATTTCCGTGTTCTCCCAGGCAGTAATGTTTGGTTCAATACTTGAGCGCCTCGAGTCAAGCTCGAAAGACCACTCTGGCTTCCAGTCAAGCTAGTCGCCCGTCAGTGCAGTTGTTGAAGAAATTAGTCACTTCATAAGTTGAAGAAGCTAAGAATGGGGCAGCAAACCCGGTTTATGAAATCCAGAGAATAAGTGGCAACGAGACTAACGTGAAGACAAAACAAGGAACTCGAAGCCGTCGGAAACCGGTTGCGGGGTAAGAAATCCACGGGATTGGATATCAAGTGTATCTCATTGGGTCACACGACTAATTTGACATAATTAATCACGAAACATTATGCTATTATTCCAAGGTTGATCTGCACTGCGATATAGGTAGTGTACTCGTCTTAATGCTAGTTCTGTCTTATATGATATTGTGGTATACACGTCTCTAAATACTCTAAATATTGGGTTATAGATCAATCGAATCACTCTGCCTCGATACTCCGCAGCCCTCCTTTCCATATCTCAAATCTTGTTTCGCTTTTTGGTCTGGGCCATGATCTCAATGATTCTTCTGTGTCAGCTTCGTTATCCCCTAGCTCTCTTGAGCCAGCAGTCCAAGGAGCAAATACAACTTTCATGATTCGCGTTGTGATTTGCTCTGGTTCAGAAATAACTGGAGACGCAGACCTTGACACTCCTTTAAGTTCTGCGTTCTTGGGAGATGGAGGTTGAGCAGGCTCTTCCGGGGACTCTGGTGTCGCATTCCTTGTATGTGTTTGTCGGGCAGTAGCAAATCCAGGCTTTATGTCGAAGACCTTCTCCTGCTCAGAGCGGTCCATCTGCTCCAAGGGCGTGGATAGAGGGTATGTATTATCCGGCATAAAAACCAAACGAGGCTCCTTTTTCAAGGCAATGCGACACGCGATCTGGGTCGACCAGTTGTAACCCAGCGCTGGGGTCTTGAGAGATGATGTACTATACCGGCTATCCCCCCAGCCAGTGAAGAAGCGTTCCTGGGACATAAGAGTCATGAGTGGGTTTCGACTTGAGTTCCCAATCTGATATGAGCCTATCTGATCATCTTCGCCTAGGTTCTGTGGAGCTGGAGATGAAGAAGGGGCATCGTATGGTGACTGCGTTGATGGGCCGAGTAGATCGGATCTGGTTGGAGGTATCGGCGAGACAGCGCCAGATTCCCGACCTGCTGGACTCGGTGCTAGGAGTCCGGACGTTGTGATATCTTCTTCCATGGTTTCAACAGGGTCGAATCGGTCATAGACTTGATTTGCGACGACAATTGCAACTTTCTTTTCCACTGCGAGATTGCGGAGCATCTGGCCTAGGTTGGCGAGCATGGTGGCTCGTGCAGCAAAGGCGTCTGGGGTGTGTTCGGCGTGTTCGGCGCGGTAATTTGATGTGATGGAGTCTATGACGACTAGGCCGACATTGTATCTTGTGATCGCAATGGGGAGCTGGTAATTGAGGATGTGATCTTGGGTCTCCAAGTCCATGGCGTTGATGGAGAGGACATTTTCGAGCGTCGGGACCTGGTCTGCGGGCAGGGTGGAGAGATGTGGATGGGACTCGAGTAACTGGGAGAGGCGGTTGGTGGCTAGGAGATGCTCGGTGGATATGTAGATGGCCCGCTTCTGTACTCCATGGGGCTTGGCCAGCTGAACGGCTAGAAGGAGGCTAAGGAGGAATTGAGTCTTGCCGCTGCCACTGCAGATAGGCTATTGTCAGAACATTGTAATCAGGCGAGTCTTTCACCACGGACCTTTCGCCTGTCACCTCGGTCACGTATCCTGTTGGAATGCCACCTCCCAGGAGAGCATCCATGGTGGGGTCCAGGGTGCTGATCATATCCCATCGCAATGGCTGAAGCTTGTTTGGAGGCCCAGGGCTAACTTCGACATCTGGGCTTGTGTTCGAAGTAGGGTCCTCCTCTTCCGTGGAATCTAGGTTGGTCTCTTGTGTCTTGAAGCCAAGGTCGGCGTGCAGCGCCTCGACCACGCGGACGCAAAGCCGTCGGACGTCTGCGGGGGGAACATGGGCGCGTTTCGCGATCTCAAGGATGTCGAGGGTGATAAGATCAACAGTAGTAATTGTGCAGCGCTCGAGCGAAGGCAAAATATGGGCGTAGGGTTTTATTGCAAAGCCAGGCAAGACTGATAGAAGATCCATAAGAGGCAGAAGCTCGGGAGCAGGAGACGCGGTTATCCATGTCTGTGGGCCCACACGCACCTGGACATGAGCACATCATGTCTAACGGCAACATGATTTTGAATCAATGGAATTATTGTCCAGGTTCTAACCATGGAAAAATATCTCTGCTCCCGAATTCTATTCAATGTTTGCTTATAAAAATCCCATTCTCAACCAATCCGATGGAATTGATTAAGATCGGGGTAGATCATGGTGGATGTTCAGCTATCTAACTTGGTATATATGTTCCCTGGTAAAATGTTATCCACAGTCAACACCTGGCAAGACTCGTCTCTTTCTTCAAACTTGCATATACCTTGCGTTCAGATGTTACTAGTATATAAACATGTAGGTACTGGTAAAAATTAAAAAAGAAAAACCATGTAAAAACATCCTCACTAACAGCTGGGATCAACCCGATCCGGAGGTTATGAAGCCGGGGAATATCAGCATCTCAGCCGTGTATGTACATTAAACATTTACTGAGGTGTAGGGTCCGTTTGAACATTTGGATTTCTCCATTTTCAATATTCAAACCAAACAGTGTTTTATCTATATGGATAACTAGCCTTCCAAGGCTAGCTTCATACTCCAAGTCCAAGTCTGTACCCGTAGTGAAGTCAACCTTGGAAGGGCTCAGTGCAATTTTTCACCCCATGTACGGAAAAGTCCGTGCAGTGATCTCATGCAGTCGATCGCATCAGTCACATACAGATCAGGCGATCATGGTACGGATGCACCGAGTGATTCAGATTCATATGAAGCCCGGGACAACAGAATATAGGTCAGACCGAATAAATTACCAGAAGTAACCCAGAGGTGTCAAAGATTCAGGTAAGATGAACAAAGGTCGCACCGAAATACCCAAAGCGGACATGTTTAGGCACTGATCTTCGAACTAGCATTACTAGTGTCAGGACTAGGTACATAAAGGTCCGGGAGCATGTAACCGATAGAAATTCTTTGTTCACATGTCGGTCTTTGTTTCTGTTTCTCCCTTTACGTGGAGTAGCGGTATGGGAAGTAGTATTGAGTTGATAACCATGGCCTACATCGAGTTAGATTTTCACAGGGGTTGATGTACTCGAGCCGTTGAAATAATTGATATTGGTAGCTGGAGATGTAGGGGGCCGAAAGACTGCTGTAACGTATGGATCGGGATCAGGCTTGCATATTGAACTCCTCACCTGACTCAGTTCCGGGTGGAGCAACTTCTGAGATTGAATGGGGAAATCGGCTACATGCCACGTTTTTCTCTGGAGTACTCCATAGACTTGTGGATTGGCTGTACTCCGTGAGTATGAGTGGTGGATAAGACTGCCGTAGACCCTTATCATTCTGTTAATTTCAAGTCAAGCCGTGCCGACCGTTGATAATTTCATCGGAAGTTTTGAACTGGAAATGGCAAAAAGACGCCGACACTCTTTTTTACGTATATTGAAAGATTTCCTTTGGGCATCCTATTTTCTCTTCTCCGATTAACGATGAAAAGAAATCTACTAGTAAGGTTAACAAAGCACGACCGTTCGTCCAATTTTGACGAAACTGTATTGTATGGAAACATACGGGCCCAATGGGGCGGCTTCGTGCGGTGCGGTCCGTCTCCAAGTGGGGGAAGATCATGGTTTGAGGTCTCAGTCTCATTCTCAGTCTCAGTCTTGGTCTCGGTCTCAGGAGTCTACAGAGATTTCATTAATGATTATCTAGGATCAACCTGGCCAACGCATTATGCAAGACAAAAATCTCCCCGGGCGCTTCTTCAATGCGGCCACGGAGGCAGCTAGGATAGGGTAGCGTGTGCATTTGCATTTGTCCAAAAACCAAGTTGACAGCAAATCATCGGTTAGGTTGCGGAGTCGATGACCCGCGTTGAGGAGAATCGGGGTGAAAAAGGGCAGCGAAATGGATGCCGATCAGAATTCATGGCTTTTCATGATCCACAAATGGAGCCAATTGACAGTGTTAAAGGGCGCCCCTCTTACCAAAATCCGCTTAGTCGGTTCTAGGACCTCCACCAACTAGGATATGATTGGGTGTGTTGCCAAGATGGAATGGGGGGACATGAACATGGACATGGATGATAATCATGGATTAAATCCTGTTAACTACGCGATAAGTCGTGGCTTGTGTTAACCATTTCGTTTACGGGATTTCCATCCAGTTTTGGTAATTTTGATTTCATCCCCGATACCAGATCGGTATTGGGCCTAACCGCGTCAGCAAGCGAATGAAAGAATCGGGAATAGCATATTTAGTTGCCTACCCTTTTGTTTTATTACTTTGTATAATTTAATTGGATCTTTCGTAATCCCGATCCACTTTATATCCTGGTTCATTCTGACTGGTGAAATAAAAAAAAAAGGCCACACCGGTCCGTTGGCCTGGGTTGAGATCCACGAGTATGAATGCCGGGGAACATGGAGGATCCCTGTTTGGTTAGATCGAGTATATTGTGAACCAGGGGATCTACGTCCAGTTCCCAAGGACCAAAGGATAAAAATCGAACCATTTTACTTTGTATGAGAAAAGACGGGGATAATTTGTCGTTTGACACGTACAAACTACTTAGTCAAATACAGAAAAACCGGTATGGATACAGTGGGGGCCTGTATTATACATGCATACCTCCATACAAGGTTGCCGTTCTTCTAACGAGTCCAGAGTTGAGTTGCGTGTCACCAAATCCCCCTCCTTTCACACCATCGCTCTTCCGAAATTATTCTTCTCTTTTCATCCTGTCGAAGTCCCGATTCATCAAATACACTCTCCAGATAAACTGGCTTTTTGGAGGTATTCCACTTCGCATGTTCCATACACTTCCGACCGTCATCGATTGACCGCCTGCGATCGTTTCCCAGGGTCGGAACCCCGATCGACTTGGAACCAAGGATCTTCGATCCTGTTTTCTTCCCAAGTTGCGTTCATCATCGACACTCTTTACTCGATCCGTGGATGGGATTGAATTGGATCTTGTACGTCGCGCGCGAGAACAAGCGAATTGTCGACCTATTGTCGACCCTTACAGACCCCCACAAACTATCTTATTCCTCTTTTTACTGATGCTGCCCCGATAGCATCATCCCTGAAACTTGATTAAACCGAGGAGAAGGGCTTCCACCATGTCCATCCAAATGCCTCTGCCGCCCCCGGGCCACAGCACCAAGTTTCCTAAAGAGTCGGAAGCCTATGCCAAACGGATTACGCGCGATGGCAGAGAACTTTTATACCAATTGGTTGTTATGCAACAGCCGGAACGTGCTAGAGCCTGTGGTGCTGGAGCGAAATGTGGGTGTTCTCGTCGCATAATTCCCTCTCTCCGCTGACCTGTGTTGAAGCCTCTGCCGACCGACGCCCTGTTGACCCGCCTCCTGTCGTGGAATTACGTATCTTCGAATCCGATCCCGGTAGCGAAAACAAGACCGATATAACCTTCGCCTATAACGCCAACTTCTTCCTTTATGCGACGTTGGAAAATGCTCGAAACGTTGCCCACGGAAGGATGGCCGGACCCCCATCGTGCCCGGTATTGACCGGTGTGCCAGTTGCGGGTATTGCATATCTCGATCGTCCATTACAAGCAGGATATTTCATCTTCCCGGATCTGTCAGTGCGACACGAGGGTCGATACCGCTTAAGTTTCCACCTGTACGAAGAGATCAAGGACACGAAGGATACCGACAAGGACTCGGACCTACCACGCCCAAATCAAATCGCCGGTCCAAATACAACAAAGCCAGGCTCCCCGCAAACATTCCTTCACTTCCGCCTCGAGGTTAAATCAAACCCCTTTGTCGTCTACAGTGCGAAGAAGTTCCCGGGTCTGGCTACCAGCACTTCGTTGAGTCGAGTCATTGCCGAGCAGGGATGTCGTGTTCGCATTCGTCGTGATGTTCGCATGAGACGTCGGGGCGACAAGCGCGAGGAAGAATTTGATTACAACGAGGAGAGAAGTGCGGCATACCCTCGGTCCGACCGGTACTCGACACCAGATCACTATGTGGCGCAAACAGTGGAACGTCCTCGATCAAATAGTCACACCAGCACGATAGAATCACCATATGGGTATGGCGCCGAGATTCAACGGCGGTCGTCAGGGCAAGAGTATGGATTTCCACAACCTTACCAAAGACCGATGCCACCCGCCTTGGCTCACACCGCTACACCATCTTATCAATCCCATCTTTCCTTTGGCTCAACACCAACTCATTACCCCGCTGCGGCCCATGCTGCGGCCCATATGCCACCTACTCCCCCACCTCCTGGCGTCTACTCGCCTCATACCGGTTATGCTAATATTCGACACCCATCCAACGCGTCAGAATACGACATGACACCGTCAGTTTATCCCATGGCACCGCAGATCCAGAATGGCTACCCGAAGAGCCAATACCGCGTAGAACCGCCGAAGCCTACACCGTATCTGATTCAAGATCCGGCACAATATCTGCCACCAGCACATATGATACGCCATGACCAGACTCCGACCATGTCTCATGCTGGTATGCCGGTAATGAAGTCGTTAGCCAGTGAATACGCCAATGTCCAGCCGTCTATCGAGAGTGTCCCGCCGAGCCCTGGAGGCTACGACTCATTCACTGGCAAGCACATGCTCTACCACACGGGCCACGTTGGCACCAAGCGCACTCACGAAGACTCCTTTGGTATTGATGAACGTTCCATGCAAAATGGTATGCGGCCAGATACTGAGCCAAACCCGAATGCTTACCGAGATTTCTCGGCTGAGAGTCGTGCAGCCTTGATGGCCGAGCTAGGCGTGGAGATGGCCTACAAACGAGCCAATGGCAGGATGGTCATGAAGGCACCACAATGAAATTTACCCACGGAGATCATTTCTGACCTGAAATTAGATCTATCCATCCTCCCCTCTGTCAAGAACTTGCTCTGACTTTTACGCACCTGGAGTTTGGGCATTCTTCCGCGCCTGGCACATTGCATTTTTGTACATGTTTTCCAACCCTTTTTCACTGCCTCGAGTTTAGACATCGATGCATAGTGTTCGCATCCGTTTCTCACGTCTGTTTTTAAGGAAGCTTCCTATCTCCTTTTCCCGTTCATGTATTACCCTGGGCACGCGTCGGTTTGTTTGGCTTCTATATCCCGATTTTGATGATCCTTATGTTCATTCGTTACTTTGCATTTTTTCTTACACTCCCTTGGGTGAGACCCGCCGGTTCCCTGAGCTGTTCCCTGAGCTACACTCGACATCTATATTTCTGCGTTTAGGCAATTACGGACGGAAAAAAGGACAAAGTTGGGCTGTCTTTCTCATTCATCAGCGTTTGTTCTTGCAAATCTGCAGCTCCTTATGGGTAAAGAGGACTGGTACATTATACTGTACATTGGAGACTCCATTCCACGAGAACTTGCTTAATATCTGGCGTTTTGGCGTGTCTTTGATACCTATCGGTTGATTCCAATACAATCTCATTTGGCTACTTGAAATGCTGCAGATGTTAATGCATAGCAGTTGCATGAATTTTCCTCCTGGCTGATAAGATTGATGCCAGCCATCTCTTGGCAAATGCTGCTGGGTAGTGAATGCAAGCCTCAGTATTTCACCATTAACTCAATAGATTGTAAAATATTTGATATAATCCTGATGGTCCCAGCTCGGTGAAGGCGGTGTCTTGGCCGTTCCACAAGCTCCCCCTTCCAACCTCCTACCAAGTAATGCAATGCATATAACATGGACAAGAGGACCGAATCTGCATGTGACCAATGCCATGGTCATAAACTGAAATGTTCTCCACAACCTCAGGGGTGTGCGCGCTGCAAGCGTATGTCCCCGCTTTTCCTGTGTTGATGGAGATTAACCGTTCATAGGATTGCGAATTAGATGCACCTCTGATCGACCGATAAAAAAACGGGGAAGGAAAACCACCAGAAAGAATATTATACCTTTATCTGTCGTTTCGGTAATTGTGCTTAGTTGCTCTGCGCTTGGCTTATAGTGCCAATGCTAATGGTTTCAGGATGGACTTGATTATCCGGTGTTGGACTCTCTTCATGATCTTTCTATCTTGAAACCGGACGAGGAACATGCACGGTAAATACAGTATATGTGGAACATCTTGAGATTTTCTAATGATGATTCTCGCCAGCAATTCTACTATCCATCTGACACGCTACGGGGCATGTCGACTTCTAGAACACTTTTTTACCTCGCCCAATCAGGAGTTTCAATCTCTACTAATTCGAAGAGAACGATTACTCAATCAGCGTGCACCAAGGCCAACTGAGCCAACTCTACTCCTTTCAATATTGTGTGAGTTTTCTTCCAATGACTTATGGCTGTCGCTTACGAATGTAGGCGTTGCCTGCTTCATGCCGTCTGATGAATCATCTGCGCTCCCTGAGTCGACCTCGAAAGAACGCGCTGCTCTGGGCCGGTATCTTTTCGAAAAATTGATTCATTATTTTCACCCGAGAACCTTGCCTAGTGCGAATCATGTCTTTGACGATGCGCTGACGGCGTTCATGATGTCGAGTATTTCGCCTAGTGAGCAGTCGGTAGAGTCCAGTCTGCATTACTGGCTTATGTTCCTTGGGTTCATCGTGCAGGAATTGCAGTTGTATAAGGATTCGCCGATTCTCAGCGAAGATGACAGAGAAGAAAGGAGGAGGTAGCGTATTTTGATCTGTTGGTTTGCTCTTGCTAATTCGTTCAGGTTATGGTGGGCGTCTTATATTATTGATAGACATGCGGCACTATCATTCAATGAACGACCGCGTATCTCAGATCAGGAATGCCGACTTCTTCCTCCAGTCCCTGATGCAGTCTGGATCCTACCAGGTCCATTGCTGAGGAATCCGGAGAGTTTTCAAGGAACAATGCTCGAGCACCGAGTCAGTAATCTCGATATGCTTGGCATTTACCTACCATTATCCAAGTAATTACGCTTATTCGAAATCTGCTTCACAAAGCTGACCTGAACAGAATCCTGGGAGAGATTCTCGAACATCGCTTCCTGTGCGAACATCCAACCTTCAACACGAACGAGAAATTCCTCACCGTAATAAAGACAAACATCCTCCACAACCTGGAACATTGGTTCGACTCTTTTACCGCACTCGTCGGTACAGAATTTTCCACAATCGCAAACCCAGAATGCACCTTATCCCCTCTACCCGCCATCCCGAAGGTAGCATACTACGGCCTCCACATGTACCACTGCATGTTTGTCCTCCTCCACGGCCCAATGGACATAGTCCGAATGTACAAAGACCATGTCTGGCAAGCATCTTCCGATTTCATCACTGCGGGTGAACACGCAGTGGCCTGCGCAAACGTAAGTCCGGCATCCCAAGTCCACAACCGTTATTAACCGGAACCAGGTCGCACGCTATATCCTACAAGTCGACCCACGACTCTGTCTAATGTACCGATTCTTCGGAACATATTTTCTGCAATCATCATTTATATTCCTCATCCTCGCTAGGAAACTGGGTCGTCAGTCGGATGAGTTGATCATGCGCAACTGTGCGATTAATCTGGAAGTTCTGGATAAGTTTGTTGCGACGACAAATATGGATTATCAGCATACTTTTGCGAAATTCATCCGGAGGTCTCTGTCCTATAATTTGGGACAGGAAAGTTCTCTGGAGGAGCTTGATAATTCTATGTCTGAATTGGATCCGGAAAGTCTTCCCTATCGCTGGATACCGGGTTATAGGGGGTTACAGGTTGGGCCGAGTACGGAATGAAAAGAAATAGTATATAGAATTCTATACAAGGTTCTATGTATCTGTGCAAGCTAAGCTATGCTAGAAAGAATGCCCAAATCCACTCAATGCCTTCAACGCCTGCTGGGCAGCAATCGGATACTCAGTCAGAACTTTGAATCTCTCTTTCCTCGCCACCCACTCTGGATCAACTGCCATATCTACCGTGGAGGTCGTCCTATCCGCATTGTAGATTGTCGCCAGACCATCCTGGGAGCTGGTGACCGGGTCCGCGATAAACCGGATCCAATCCGCTTGCATACGCTCTACCAGAGCTTCGTTCTTGAAAGCATCTACCGGGAGTGCTTCATCTACTGCGCGAAGTGCCTCCGCGAAGGCGTCGTAGATATAGATCAAGTCGACGCAGTGCTGTGCTTTTTGATAATTCGGTCCTGGGAAAGGATTTCCGAAGTTCGCACGGTATGATTGGACAACCGTAGGGCGTGCGGTAGATTTGATCAATTCGTCGCGAGCAAGTTGGACAGGGTATCCAAATTGGAGATCGGATAGGAAGTGTAAGATCTGTTCGTGGAGGGAGGGTAGAGGGGTATCGGGTTGTAAGTTGTATAGTCGATAGAACTTATCCAAGAATTCCCGAGATTTGACTTGATCCAGTATTTCTTGGAGTTGAGTGAAGCTGTTGATCTTGGATACTGAATCGGCGTGTACAGTGCCCTAACTCACATCAGTCTATGTCGGTAGCATGCAATTGTTGACTCACCTCGAGGTCCGTATCTCCAATGAGAACGGCAATCGGTGCTGAATCTACTGATTGAGCGTAATTGGGGTTTTCGGTTCCATCCAGGTGTATCCTCCACCGTTCATCCTTTTCGGAGATCGTAAAGCCATCCACCACAAGAGGACTAACCATCCACCCTAGGTCATGACACGCTTTTATAATCTTGTCCGTTGGCACATTCATCATGTATTCTAGACGAGAAGAATCCGGTGCATTCAGCTGCGCACATAACGCATTCCATCGCTCATTAGCCACATGCATAGAAATCGGCCCCAGAACACCAACAGCTCCAGACTGGATAATCCCACGCTGAACAAGCGGTTTCTGATCCCCGAAAACCGCTTCAAGAATATGCGCATGCGAAGAGCTCCCGCCAGCAGATTGTCCACCCACAGTAACTTGATCCACGTTACCGCCAAAGGCATCTATATTCTGATGTACCCACCGAATAGCGGTCCGTTGATCCGTCAGACCAAAGTTACATCCCCGTGAACGAGCAATAATTTCCGAAGCCGCGCCGAAACCGAACATATGGAGTCGGTAGTTGATTGTCGCGACTATTATTGGAGTTCCCAACTCGATGGATTTCTTGACCAGCCGGGCAGGATCTAGGTTTGTTAGTTCAATGTTCTGTATTGAAGATGGATTGTTTACTCACTCCACATAGGATCCGTTCCTGCGCCGAAACTGTATGCTCCGCCGTGGATGTAGACATAAACGGGGAGCTTTGCCGTAGTAGAGATTCCCGCTGCAGTTAGGGCGGATGCACTTGGTCTAGTGATGAACAGGTTCAGACAGTCGAACTCGGACTCCGTAACGTCGGGGAAGTCGAGGTGCGATTGGTAGAAATCACTGTTGTTCGGCTCCTGGGGTTGAGGGCAGCGAGGACTGGATTCTTATGTTAGTCGATTCGATTCAAGCTCGTGTTATTGGGAGGTAATTTACCCATTCTTCGTGGCGTGGAAGATATCTTCGGGTAACTTGTCTCGAAGTACCGCATGCTGCCATCTTGCGGGAACGATCCCATAGGGAATTCCACGAAACTCTTCAATTCCTTCGATCTCAGCTAATTCCCCGATCACGCGCTGCTCGTAAGAGGGAATGGTCTTGGTGGGAAGTACCACAGACACTTCCACCCGACTGATATCAGACTGTCTCGAGGCCATTTTGATGACTAGCAAGGCCAATAAAGGAGAATGAAAAACTCTGGATATTTCTACGGCGATTCGTATTTTCGAATCCAAGTTTTAACGCGGCAATTATGACGCGGCAATTATGTACGGGATAAGAAGGAGATCTCGATTCTTGTAATTTCTCAGCCATAATACGTGAATAGACAACAAGCCGGTAGACTGACCAATCAGAGCCCGAGAATCCAAACTCTAATCGGCGAATTTAATGATATGCATTCGGCTAATTGGATCATTCTACTTCTTTTTCCTTTTCTCCGCATGTTTCTCCCCCGGGTTTTGCCAGAAAGCCGGGGGAAAATTCCTGCGGGCTTTTTACTATATAAAGTGGTAGGGACAGCCATGTTGTGCGATTATCCTGACACCAGTTCTTGTTGCTTGTTCTTCTAATGTCTCAAATGTCGGTCGCCGCTAGCGCTCGCGCAGAATGGCGCGCTATTGCTATCTGTTTGTTCGTCACTATTGCTGCGTTCCAGTTTGGCTTTGATTCTTCTTATTACTCTGGTATGTGATCACCTGGACTTTATTGGATGTCAACTCACCGTTGTCTAGGAATTCTCGACATGGACCCTTTCATCAAGGCATATGGTCAATATGATAGCGCGACGGGTGGTTATGTCCTGAGTGCTAGCATACAGTCTCTCACGACTAGTATCATCAACGTTGGCGAGCTTGTAGGTGCTGTCTCATCATTCTTGGTGGGTGACAGGATCGGTCGTCGTGGAGGTCTATTTGTATCTAGTACTTTCGTGGTGATTGGTGTGATCTTCCAAGTCGCCGCGGATAACTTAGGCCTGCTGATTGTCGGGCGTCTGGCACTAGGTGAGTTTCATTCATATCTGCGGTTGAGAGTTGCTGCTAATTTTGCTATCTATAGGTTACGCCGTGGGCTTGATCTCTTGCTTAGTCCCCTTATACGTCGCAGACTGCGCCCCAGCCCAATTCCGTGGAGCACTGGTCTCTCTATACCAATTCTTCGTAGGATTCGGTCTGCTGCTTGGAGTCATTGTGGATAATGCGACCAAAGACCGTCATGATAGCGGTGCCTATCGTATCCCAATGGCTATTCAACTTATCTTCCCCATCATCCTAGTCCCTGGTCTGATTTTGTTTGCTCCCGAGTCCCCTCGGTGGCTATTGACCAAAGGAAAGGTTGATGAGGCTAGAAAGGCCCTTCAACGCCTACATGGAGACCGACCCGATTTTATCGAAAGTGAAATCCTCTATATCACCGGCCTAATCGAAGAAGAACAACAGACCGAGGGATCCTGGATGGACTTGTTGAAATGGAATGCCGATGGTCGGAAAGCCTATCTTGGCATGGCACTGCAAGGTTAGTAGTCCATACAAATGATGTTGATCTAGCTAACCTGCTATAGCATGGCAACAAGCGTCGGGAATCAACTTCATCACCAGCTATGGTATCGTGTTCTTCGTTAATATCGGATTCACAAATTCGTTCCTCATCCAAATCGGACTCTACCTGATTGCAATGCCGGCGGTCTGGCTCAACCAATACTGCGTGGAGCGATTCGGTCGTCGTGCGATGTTGCTCGTATCTACCACTGCAGTGGCAGTGGTCTTGCTAATCGTCGGCGGTGCCGGATCAGCAAGTGTCAAGACTATGGCCCTCGACCGGACAATCGTGGCAATGGTATACATTTTCATGGTAGTCTTTAACCTGGCACTTGGACCTGCTGTCTGGGTCGTGACGTCTGAAATCTCTACTGGACCTAACCGTAGCAAACTCATGGCAACTTCCACCGGTGCCAATTGGTTTTGCAGCTGGTTGGTTACATTCACGTTCCCATACCTGTTTGATGCGGATGCGGCTGGTCTGAGCGCCAAAGTCGGCTTTATTTATGGTGGTTTGATGGTTGTTGCTGCCATATGGATCTTTTTCTTCCTGCCGGAGACCTCTGGGCGCACGCTGGAGGAGATTCAAGTCATGTTCCAGCAGGGTGTTCCAGCAAGAAAGTTCAAATGTGAGTACTTCCAGTATCCAAAGTTGTTTAATGTAAACTAAAATTTTCCAGCATACCGAGAATTTGATATGACACATGAATTGGAGGAAAAGGAGGGTGCACATGTTACTGAGGTGGACACTGTATAGATATCTGTGTGACCCATCATTTGATACAAATGAGTGAAACCCAGACATACTCTTACGACCTTGGAACATTATCCATCGTCAATAAGAAATCAACTACCATCAACCTACAGAATAGCAGTCGCATTAGCATGCGACCCAACCCCACCTGCAAACAATTAGCACGATTTAATTCCAAAAAACACTGAACAAATCAACATACCAGGCATATTAGCAGGTGCACTTGTCAAAAAGAAACTCCACTTCCCCATCTCCCTACACCTCCTCGCAACTCTCTCCAAATCCCACATCTCCCCAATAGGACATCCCCAAAGCGCTAGAAGACTCTCATGCAAATATCCCTCCTTAGCCGGCCAAGCCTCAAAAGTAGGCGAATCCCCCATTACCCCCGCAAAGTAACAATCATGTAACCAAGTCCTCAACGCCGGTTCACGCGCTACACCTGCAAACGTAATATCATCATGTGCCCGACTCGCTGCCGCATGCCGGTCTTCCGGAGTGAGTTCTTGGTACCGTTCCACGAAGCCCGAGCGGATGAGTAGGAAGTCGCCGATGCGGATATCGCCACCTTGGGATTCTGGACGGAGGTCTAGCTTTTGAGACCTTGCGCAGGCTTGCAGTTCTGCTAGGGTTATTGCGTGGGTTTTGTAGGGGTCGTAGGGCTTGTTGTTGGTCTGGGCGTAGTGGCGGTAATCGAGGAGGATGGCGCGACCTGCGATACCGTGGTTTGCCCAGTGGTGGATGCTGCAGTTTGTGTTGGCTTTGGGGCCTACTATGTCTTTGCTTGTTGTCTGGACTTGTTAGACGGATAAGCATGAGGGTTGGTGGGGTGGTGTTACCCTGTTGTAGAAAGTCTTTGTGGGGATATGGGCGAACTAGGAAATGTTAGTGATCTGTTTACCTAGGTTGGGTTGGAGACTTACGTGTCGGAATCCATCCCACTGCGTGCCACTCTGGGTATTGAGGGTGTATGTGTCGTCGTAGACGATATCTTCGACAACAGTTTTTATATGATGGTTGAATGTCTCACGATCGAATGATGGTTTTGCCGGCACATCAAGAGGGAGGCTATTGAGGAGTTAGAAGTGCTGGTAACGGTCTAGGTATATAAGAACGTACTCCAACCGTATCATCTCTCCCGTTGTAATCTCCTTTGCTGATGCCTTGACCCGTTCCTTTGTCAAGAGATTCAATCTACCCAACTAATCAACTTGTCAGTGCAAGCCAATCAATCTGTGTGAGATTTAGTATAACTCATACCTGATCATCATCGCCCCAAACCCAAGCAGCCCCCTCAGGTGCATTAGGCAACTTCGGAAGATCGGCCAGCAGAGGAAACTGCGTACAGCTAGGATCCCACGGTAACTGATTCGGGTCTTGAGTCTTGGACATATTGATAGTCTTGCAAGAAACAGCAGATTCTGCGCGAGGTCTCTTCTCAAGGTGATTGGAGATGGAGGAGAGTCTTGCAGAGCTAGGAGACACCATTGTGATTTAAATCGAAGAGGATACAAAGTAAATATGTGCTACGACTTGTTATGATGCCATTGTGGGATTATTATATGGTTTCAAGTGGAGAATGAGTGCGGGGAGATAACGTTACTACCGAAGATACCTATAACCGATTCTATGGGGGGTTGACCGAGGCTCAATTGAGGTGAAGTTCAGCTTCACTTTGCACATTTATGGTCGTCATATTTTTAAATTATAGATAGAGCTCACGGGGGATGGAACGTTGAAATATCCCGCATTGATTTTGTTACACAATTATTTACCTTTTGGAATGATCACACCAAGAGATTACACCAAGAACTACTTCGTGCATATGTGCGGCTGCCGAAGCGGGGAAGCGGAGAAGCTTCCCCGGATTGCTGCACGAGACGACAGGGTTCCCCGGATATCTTCTACAAAGAATAATTAGATGGAAGATGGATTAGCTGGAGTTACTGGAAGTTGTTTATAGACCAAATGGCCCTCTTTTTCCTTTTCTTATTGGAGTTCTCTCCGAATTTGTTATGGTACATGCGCTAGGGTCACAGACCTAGAAATCATGCTAGTACAGTGCCTGCATGTAGACCTCCGTGTGTCTTGAATGGCGCCACGGGGAAGATATCCGTTCAACAAAGGATATCAAGAAAAAACGCTGTAGAGGGTATGCTTGGAATGGTCATGAAAAAGCAAAGTCAAAACCGAGGCGCAAAAATTCAACACCGATATTGCATTCGAAAAAGATCAACGCGTTGCCGTCCCAGGATGCCCTATCCATGATCGATCCCCAGTGCGCCAAAGAGACAAAAAAATTCAAGCATAAACATTCGTTTCGTTCATAGGTCTGGCCATGCCAAGACGTGATGGAAGAACAGGAAAAGCATGGACGGAAACTTCGAGTAAGGGGAGATGACTCGGTTTAGCCCAAGGAGGGGACACCGGTGGACTGAGACGAGGGACGTCCGCCACCACGGCCGCGGCCACCATAGCCGCGACCACGACCATAGCCGCGACCACGACCATAGCCTCGGCCACGGCCTCGACCACGGTAACCATCAACACTGCCTTGACCGAAAGTCTCGATGTTTCGGATCTCTTCTTGACCACGCCATTCACGACCGCCCGGACGGGTAGCAGAATTGTCCTCGCGGTCACGCGCTTCGCTGGAGATGTTATCGAAGAAAGAGGAGGTGCGGTTGTAAAGGGAGGCTGTAGAGGCAGCAGGAGCGACAGCGGATATACTTTCACCAGCAGCTTCCGCCCCAATGTTTGCGTGAGACTCGGCCTCAGCAGCAGGAGCTCCAGTAGCAATGGCTTCCTTAACCATGTCTTGCTTGTTGAACTTCGCATTTGCGGTCTCAAAGTCGTAGTCTGACTCAGGTACCTCGATCTTCTTATGCTGAGTACGAGGAGCTCCGCCACGGGCACCGCGGTGGTGGTGACCACCACGGGGAACACGGCCACTATCATACGGCCGCATGTCGTTCATCTGACGAGCAAGCCCGTCATCAGCGCCATCGACCTGTCCAGGCTTTCTTTGAACACCTGGCTGAGGTAGCTTGGCCATCGCGGCGGCAACGGCAGCAGTAGCAGCGGCTGTGGCATCTGTGATTGAGGTATTTCCTTGGGTAGCGGCAGCAGGCCTGGGAGCAGCGATGGGAATGGCCGGCATAACCCGAGCGCTCTTCTGGGCACTGACGGGCACCGCAGTAGGGCCAGTCATTCCGTGCACAGCTTCAGCCACGGAAGGCTTAGACTCAACTGGAGGAGTTGGGGCTTGTTGAGCAGCGGGAGTAGCAGGTTTGCTGTTCACCTTGTCACCAACGGGTAGTTCCGAGGTGGCCTGAGGCGGCATTCCAGGGGGGCCGGGACGCTGCTGAGGTGGCATCTGCTGACCAGGAGGACCCATAGGCATATTGGGAGGGAAATGACCAGGTCCCGGAGGGAAACCATGGCCAGGAGGAGGGAACCATCCAGGAGGGGCACCGTAAGGTGGGAAACGGTCATCAGGAAGCCCATTCGGACCCGGAGGGAATTGGGGACCAAAGCGTTGTCCGTATGGGGGGAACTGTCCCTGGTAAGGCGGCGGGTACTGAGGCATTGGCTGGGCACCCTGTGACTGTTGAGGTGTGCCTTGGGGAAGGCCAGGTGCGCCAGGCTGAGGACCCGGTCGCGACATGTTCTATTTTGCATCGAGTCAGCTTTTTGTATCATGACAAAAGCAACTGAATATAACCGAAATGGAAATATTGATATTGATCGATCAGAAGGAAGGCAACGGAAAATAGCAACATGGTTTTGCGCATTCAGAACAGGTCTGTGTTTACATCCGAAAATACTTCATCATAAGATCAAGTGGCCGACCGGGAAGGTCAAGGCCGAGTAGGGACAAGATGAAAGAATAAGGGGGGTTGACTTACTTCTAGAATTGCGGGGTCATCGGGGACGCGAGGAGGTTCAGGCTGTGCAGTCTCTGTCTTCTCCTCTTCCGCGACACTAATGTCCTTCACGTCACTGCCTCGGAATACGATGTACTCGTAAACGTTGCTCGACGGTGGAAGGTCGTTCCCATTCCCTCGACGGCCCTCGGTACCATAGGACATGACATTTTCCAGGGCGATTGTAGATGCCTCTGGATTAATTTCATGGAGTGTGCCAACATAGCTTGGTTTCAATTAGCTAGAGACAGCAGTGAATAGAGATGGTTGAGCTTACCGAATGTCACTCTTAGAGATCAGGTTGAAACGCTGACTGCCAGGTGTTAACTCCAGCCCAGCCGCACAAACCCTGATTCCCAGGAGGTGCAGATGACTGACCCTATTAAGTGGTTCATATCCATCTTGGGAGTTGCGCGAACTCGCGCAATTGATGAGCGAGAAAGAAAGCAGGGAAGAAAAAGAAAAAAAAGAAAAAAAGGAGGAGTGGGTAGGATGAGAAGAGGAGAGAAAGAGAAAGAAGTCTTGGAGCAGAATCTGTCGGGTTTTGGTGGATTCGATTACGGCGGACTGCAGGAGCTTGGTGAGCAGTTTCTGCGTCTTGTTGTGGGTCGATTTATGTGAGAGATCCAACTTTACCCCCCCTTTTGGTAACCATTTGATACGTCAGTGGAATTCAAGCAAAGATGACTACCTCTTCTAACAGAGATCATTTCTTTCAGACTTCGTAAGTCAATTTCTCCGGCAAAAAGGTTGGGAAACGGCTCGCTAATTTGCTCCAGTGCTTCCTTGGAAGACCAGCAGAGGAAAGACGCCAAGTCCCAGAATTCCAATGGAAACCCTATTCGGTTACAGAGCAAGATTCTTGCCATACATCCTGACCCGAACAATTTGAACTCGATCTATGTTGCGCAAAGTAGTGGCGTTGTTAGAAGAGTAGTACTAGAGGTATGTTATGTGCCCCGCTGTTATGTCATTGATGCTAAAAGCTATTGCAGACAGGTGAAACAGCTGCATTGTACAAAGGTCCCACAGCTCCTTTGACAAGTCTTTGTCTGAGTCCAGATGGAAAGCTTCTGTTTGCTGGATGCTGGGACAAGACTGTGTGGAGCTGGGATGTTGCCTCAGGCCAGCCTCAGAAACAGTATGAAGGTCACGCGGATTTTGTTCGAGCCGTCATTAGTGCTCGACTACGTGGGGAGGATCTTCTTATTACAGGCGGTGCTGACGCACAAGTGCTGGTCTTTAACATTGCTAGTGGCCAGCGCACTGAAACTTTCAAGGGTCATTCCCGAGGGATCCAGGATCTGATTCTTGACCCAGAAGTAGAGGAATCAGAGGCATTGGTGTTTAGTGCGGGAAGTGATCGAGAGATCCGGCAATTTAAGATCTTTGATGGTGGGGATTCAGCTGAAGCACTCCTCCCGCACGAGACCAGCGTATACAAGCTCTTCTTTGATCAGGATGGAGATCTTTGGACCGTGTCTGCCGATAAGACTGCCAAATGCTTGGTTCGAGCAGATGGTTGGAAGCCTAATCTCACTTTGGAGCACCCTGACTTTGTGCGGGACATTGTCATTCACGAGGCTGGTGGTTGGGTGGTCACTGCTTGTCGGGACGAAGAGGTGCGCGTGTGGCATCGATCGGTATGTATTTCCCTCAACCCTGTTCAATGGATCCAATGCTAATTACTTGCAGACTGGACAGCTTCATCATGTGTTTTCTGGCCATTTCGAGGAGGTCACTGGGCTGGTTCTAGTTGGCTCCACAGTGGTTAGTGCGGGTATTGATGGGACTATTCGGCAATGGTCTCTTCGTCCAGATGAACTTCAAAAGGCTGTGGAACTAGCCAACAAGGGTCCTGTGGTAGTAGAGCCTGAGCTCAATGACGAGCCAGCACTTACAGAGGAGGAGGAGCGAGAATTGGCTGAGCTGATGGAAGATGATTAGATGTACCTACGATACCCCAGACTCCATAAATGGATCCAATGAAAGAATTACAAACCAAACCTGTATTGTATTAATGAAGGATTGTACAATTGATCCAAACCAACGAATGCGCCCATAACAAGCACGTGACATTCCTGATGCATCGATGACGCACAGGGACGATCTCCCGCCCGCTTTGCCAGTCGTCTACCCCCCCACTAACCAGTTGTGCCCCTTGTGCTGTAACACCCTGGTCAACCTGCTCTGGTCAAACGCGGGAAGTATTCAACCCTGTCAATACCCTTACCGCATTCCGTTAGTACTTCCGACTCCTCTCCGATACACCCTATCACACATCCCCGCACGGCAGCTATCGGAAGTCAAGATGTCGTCCAGCATGCAGTCGCACCACGACATGGCAGAATCGAACCCCAAGCTGGTTAACAGGCTTCAGAATAGCAGATCTCCCTATGTAAGTTCCATCATGCTCACTCGGAAGCGACTTCGATGTACTAACCCCATCACAGGTGAGGGGCCACATGAATAACCCTGTGGCATGGCAGCTTTGGGATGCAGAATCAATTAATCTCGCTAAAAAGCACAACCGCCTGATCTTTCTCAGTATTGGATATTCGGCTTGCCACTGTACGTTCAGAACCAACCTCATATGGCTGTCGTCTAACAATCGCTAGGGTGTCATGTCATGGAGAAAGAGTCTTTCATGTCCCCTGAAGTCGCTGCTATCCTAAACGAGTCTTTTGTTCCCATTAAAGTCGACCGCGAAGAGCGACCAGATATTGATGATATTTACATGAACTACGTCCAGGCCACCACAGGCTCTGGTGGTTGGCCTTTGAACGTTTTTCTTACCCCCGACCTAGAGCCCGTTTTCGGAGGAACTTACTGGTCCGGCCCAAACTCAACTTCAATGCATGGTCCAGAAACTATTGGATTTGTTGAGATTTTAGAAAAGCTCCGGGACGTCTGGGTGACACAGCAGCAGCGGTGTTTAGAGAGCGCAAAGGATATTACGAAACAGCTTCGAGAGTTTGCCGAGGAAGGAACTCATTCATCACATACGGATCGTGAAACAGACGAAGACCTGGATTTAGAGCTTTTGGAAGAGGCTTATCAACATTTCGCGTCCCGATACGACTCCATTAATGGCGGATTTGGCCGGGCACCCAAATTCCCCACACCGACCAACCTCGGCTTTCTTCTACGGCTGGCTACATACCCAAGTCAGGTTGTGGATATGGTGGGACAAGATGAATGTGAGAAGGCGACCGCCATGGCCGTCACAACACTGGTGAATATGGCTCGCGGAGGAATTCGAGATCACATTGGCCACGGATTTTCTCGGTACAGTGTTACTGCCAACTGGAGTCTTCCTCATTTTGAGAAGATGCTTTACGACCAGGCGCAGCTGCTTGATGTCTATGTGGATGCGTTTAGATTGACCCATGACCCTGAATTGCTCGGTACTGTTTATGATCTTGCCACTTACTTGACGACTGCTCCGTTGCAATCGCCTACGGGTGGCTTCTTTTCCTCGGAGGATGCCGATAGCTTTCCGAACCCGAATGATACCGAGAAGCGAGAGGGCGCCTTTTACGTTTGGTCCTTGAAGGAACTCACCCAGGTGCTCGGTACCCGGGATGCTCCAGTCTGCGCTCGTCATTGGGGTGTACTTCCAGATGGGAACGTTGCAGCCGAGTACGATCCGCACGATGAATTTATGAACCAGAATGTGCTGCAGATCCGAGCAACCCCGAGCAAGCTGGCCAAAGACTTTGGCCTAAGTGAAGAGGAGGTCGTGAAAATAATCAAGAGTGCAAAGCAAAAGCTGCGTGACTACCGCGAGAAAACCCGGGGTCGGCCCGACCTGGATGATAAGATTATTGTGGGCTGGAATGGATTGGCGATCGGTGCCCTGGCCAAGTGCAGCGTCTTGTTCGAGGAGATCGACAGCTCAAAGGCAATTCAATGCCGAGATGCCGCCGCTCGGGCGATTCACTTCATTAAAGACAACCTTTTCGACAAGGCGACCGGGAAGTTGTGGCGCATCTACCGCGACGGCAACAGGGGAGATGCCCCGGGTTTTGCTGATGATTATGCATACTTGATTGGTGGTTTGCTGGACATGTACGAAGCTACCTTTGATGATAGCTACTTGCAATTTGCAGAGCGACTTCAGAGTAAGTCTATGCTTCTTTGGCGTGCTATTCAAATGACTGACATATTTACTAGAATACCTGAATGATAATTTCCTTGCGATGAATGGCTCGATGCCGGCCGGCTACTACAACACCCCATCGGCCATGATTCCTGGCATGCCCGGCCCCCTCCTCCGCCTGAAGACAGGTACTGAATCTGCTACACCCTCGGTCAACGCAGTGATTGCGCGGAATCTTTTGCGACTGGCAGCTTTCCTCGACGATCCAGAGTACCGGACCCTGGCGCAACAAACATTGAATTCGTTTTCAGTCGAGATCATGCAGCATCCCTTCCTGTTTGTCGGGATGTTAGACGTCATTGTAGGCCTGCAGACGGGGACTCGTACTTTCACAGGAGTCTTCGCTACCGCCGAAATCCCGACACCTCCTGGATTGCGTCAAGACAGCGAGAATAGCCCGCCCGAGTCAGCGTACGATCTTGTTAAGAAACGGCTTCGAAAGGAGACTGGTAGTGGTATATCTTCCACAGTCACCGTAGCCTCACTGGTGGACATCCGACCCTCACACCTTAAGGATTTTGTGGGTAACCAATCCTTCTGGCTGAAGTCGCGTAACCCGATGTACAAAGACTTGAAAGCTGCCGACCCAGCGAAGAACTATCTGCTAGCGTGTGAAGCTGGGTCATGCAAAATAGTGGATCTGTAGACCCCCTTTTCTTGTTTTTGGTTGTTAATCTCCAACTGGGGCGGTTTAATTATCACCTATTTCATTTGGCGTACAAACATTTCCTTGGAGGCCTGGACCGTTGAAATTTCCCTCGGTTTGCTTTGGCTTCCCGAATTAATACCTATATTTCCAACGCAGATGACAGAATGCAAAGGTGCCGGCCCTCCAAAGTAAAGAATATTCACGTACGGGGAAGAGACATGCAAACAATTGTTCCTATCGCCAATTACCGAAGCATTTGAAGCCTCCCTCCGCGAACTTGATAACATCAGGGCAATAGTCTTGTCGTACTGCTTCGCCGGCGATCGGTTGGAGTTCTGTTGGTCGAAACTTGACGTATCGTTTGTTCAAACGATCGTTCTCGTTGAATGTAGCTGAAAATCAGTGATTACGATTGATTCAAAAATAGGCTCACATAATTCCATTATTGTGATGTATTTCGAAAGAATTCTTCCTGAAATGCTGGTGGACTAGTAGACTGGTGAATAATTGTTAGCGGGAGGAAACCATAGAATGGACAAACGGTCTCCGCAAATCAAATAGCGGGCGGATGATATGATTTGAGTAACTGGAAGTCTTTGGGACATTTCAAGATTGTCCAAAATAAATAGAAGATAATGTCAAATAAGGAAGATATTCCATGTTATGCTCGTCCCATATGACTGGTTGGTAGCTCCCCAGACTCAAGGCTCTGTTATCCCTGTTTGGATTTCAAAGGAAATTGCGCAGACTGGGCCACCTAATGCGTCGAAATGCCAAATGATAATTGATAGCTTCGCAACCCTCGAACGGCTGAAAGTTTCTACTAGTTTTTCCGGGGTTGCAGACAGTACCGCTTCATCGATGATGAGGTTTTCCAGGCGGACCCTCAGGTAAACAAATACTCGGCCCCTCGGGTCACTAATTCACGTGGTTACACCGAGCTCACTGAGTCTGAATGGCCTTATGAAAGCGGCAGCCAAGATAGGAAGCCCAGGACAGGAGGTAGTTTAATAGACCTGTTTAGTCTAGAATTTCCCATTGATATCTAGTGACTCCAATTTTTTCATAGTATTTGGGTCCTTGTAATTTAGTCGGTGCTGCTCATTTCCGATGCCAATCCTTGTCTCGGAGATTGGCAGACCAGATCGATGCCTGACTAGATTCCAGGCCTGAAGAAAGGGGAAAAGGCTTGACTATGATCGGCAATGAAATGGACTGAACTTAATTATGGGTCTTCCCTGTTTTCCCCTTCATTAGCCCGACTATATAATTAATCCAGAGGGCCCCCAAGTTCTAACATTGAAATAGGTGACAGGCGCTGTCGCACTAGGGACCAGCAGAATCTGACCGATTCGGGATGACGGGAGGATAATTTAAAGGCTGAAACACAGTACATTAATGGCGTTTACGATTTAATCAATCCCAGATGACAACCGTGCAGAGTGGCGTTGTCGAATGGACCAGACTCAAAGCCAAGTTTCTTAGCGTGTATGCTGATGTGGATCCTTTCCTGATGAGTGAATATGATTGGCGCTGTGTGATCATCACTTGAAACTCGTGCCTGGGTCCTGAAGCCCCTTAAGTTTCCAATTTCTTAAGGACATATACCTCCCTGTCTAAACAAACCAAAACCGAAACAAAAGATATTCTCGATCTGTCAATTCTGACCATGAGACCGGCACTTGAGGGGCTTTGTACATCATTGATCCCCGTACGCGCGGCAGCTAATTAGCGTGTCCCTTAAAAGTAGTGAGCAACGCCCTAGTGGGGTTGGATTGAGGATCCGCCCACAGGGTCATTTCAGGGCCAATTTGAAGCTTGGGACCAGGAGATCCCAGTTTAATTTAGAGTCCAAAGTTGTACTCTGTAAATTGAAATTGGAGCCCCGGAGAATAATTGCCATGTCGTGTCGCTCCATAGTCCAGCCTCTTCGCACGGGCCAATCTGCATCGGAGACGCGTTGGAATGTAGAATGTCCCACGCGCTTGCGAGTGGCGGGTGGTCTGGTATGAAGTCGGACGGTCTTTGAAGAGGTTGGAAAGTGAATTAGAAAAGTAATAAGTACTGATGGAAAGGTGTCTGGGTGGTACTTTGTTTACTTCATTCATAAGTTATAATCATAATAAACTTGCAATTTCCTCAAATCAATTAAAACGCAATTTGCCTTCGAACCCGCACGGCCCCACTGGACTGTTTTTCCCCTACATTTACTTCACTTCCTCCCCAATCTCTCTCAGTATCGCTTCAGTCCAACTCAGCTCTACACTTTTTCCTTTCACTCTTTTGAGGGAGACTAAGTGTTCGAGCCTGTCATTCCTTTATCAGCGCTCAATAACACTCTTTTTTGTCCACGCAGTCGATCTGCGTGTTGATCTATCTGCGCGAACCTTCCTGGTGAAGTGTTAGGATCTTTGATTTGTGCTTTGTGATTTGTGATCGCCATGCGTTCGACTTTGTTGCTTGCGGCTTTGGCCGCTGGTTGTGTTAGCGCCTATGAGAAGCGTGTCTATGTTACCGACTGGACCACCGTCACGGTCACCGAGACCATCACTGCGCCCACCGTTACCGAGACCGTTCCAGCTGTTGAGAAGGTGCCCGTGATCATTGAGACCTCGACCTATGTGCCTACTGTTGAAACCTCTGTGTCTACCGTTGAAGTCAACACCGACCTGTATAAGAAATCTACCGTTGTTCCCGAGTCTACCACCTCTGCGATTGTTGCTCCCCAGCCTGAAGCCACTGAGACTGCTTCGACTTCCTACTACTCTACCGCATGGACTTCGACTGTCACGCCCGCCGCCCTTTCTACTACTTTGGCTACCTCTACCTCTACCTCCAGCGCCTCTACTGCTACCGCATCGGCCACCAATGCCTACCAGCAGCAGGTGCTCTACAACCACAACATTCACCGCAGCAACCACTCCGTCTCCTCGCTTGAATGGTCTGCCGATCTTGAATCTAGCGCCCAGACCCTTGCTGCTCGCTGTAACTACGAGCACGATACGTAAGTACCCGGTTTCACCAGGCAGATCTGAAACGTGAAACTAACACTCCCCCTTGCAGATCCATCGATGGTGGCGGCTACGGCCAGAACATCGGTTACGGCGTTGAGGCTAGTGACGTGGGTGTGATGATCACTAACCTGATGTACAACGATGAGATCGAATTCTTCCCCACTCCTTACGGCGAATCCGACCCCAGCATGACAGACTTTGACAAGTGGGGTCACTTCAGTCAGATTGTGTGGAAGGCTACTACCCACGTTGGCTGTGCCACTGTGGTCTGCGACCCCTTGGGCAATGTCGACTCGTCCGAAGCCCTGCCCTTCACTGTTTGCAACTACTCCCCCGTGGGTAATGTTGGTGGTGAATATGGCGAGAACGTGCTGAAGCCTGATGGCGGTTCTACCTACGTTGCCTGATGTTTGCATACCTCAACCGGAGACTAACCCGAGGCTTACTTGGATTGATCCCAAGTATCCTCTCCATTGAACATTTATCTCTCTCCGATGTCTGTTGCATTCGCTTTTTGCATAAGCTATTCTTTTTCATTTTATCTTCCATTCTTGATATTCTGCATGTCCTATCCGGTCGGATCTCGCCCAGACCTCGGGGAAGGGATCGGCATCGGGTACCTGTCGAAGAGCTTGTATGTACTGGGATGTACCTGATGCCGTATCTCCCTCGGCACAAGGACATGTGGAATCCTTTTTACCAATTGTGAATATTCCTTACTTCGGACTGTCTAGCGATCGTGTGCCCCCTGTGGATAGAAAAATATGATCCTAAATATGATGTACAATAAAATGAACATGGATCACGTGCCTCAATACAAACAAACCAAACATTTTCAATCCACTCAAGCTTTAGCTTCCATTCACCCGAAACGTCATCGCTCGCTCAACTCCACTTATGAGAACTTGGGGTTTGGGTTCAAAAAGCGAATGAATGGTATTTAGTGCTTCGTAATCTATTTCGGATCTCGTTGACGCCTAGTATTCTCCGCACTCTCTCTGTACAGTAGCGCCGCTAGCTCTACCCCACGTTCGTCTCCAATAAGCCACCCTGAACAAACCCCTGTCCGGACGTTATTGGTATGTTATTCTATCTCTCCGCAATTGACAACAAATTCTGGCAACCTGGTTTTCTTTGATTGCTCGAGACTCTGAATGGAAGTGCAGTGGAGGTGAACTGCCAAGCTAAAATAGCTTAGTGAGCTGAAATCATCTGACAGCATCCGTTCCTCCGGCGCTATCACTGCTTTTTGAGCGCCCCAGCGAATCCCATAACCCCACATCCAGTCTATCAAGGCCCTGCACTGGTAAGTCCAGTCCCTTTGCCCGCTCCCTTCATCCCGAGCCCCGTTCCGTTCCACCAAACCCAGTTAAATTCCTTAGTGGGGTTCGAGGTGTCTGAAACGGAGTACTGCTTTTTGTATATGCATGTGCTTGCACATTATCCCCATCATTTGACCTTCTTTGTCACTTTCTCTTTTCTACTTATTTTTTTCAACCCATCTCAAAGGTAGCCTCAATGCCACCATACTGCCTCCAAGACTGCCATTACTTCTATCGCACTGCTCTACGCCTCCTTTCCCTCCCAACTTACCTTGGCTGTCTCTACGCCTGATAGTGTGTACCTCATCTTACTAACAATGTCCTATTCATCACTTGCAGTTCGCTTCTTTACCGCGCCAAAACCACTTGGCAATGCGATGGATCCTGACGCTAAATCGTCCGATTTGGCGGGACATACGGTCATGAGACCGAGTGTCTCGGCTGATCGACCAGAGTCTGAGGCTGTCCAGATGCATACGCCGAAGAAGCAAGGCTTGACTTTCGCTAATCAAGATTCTTTGCCGAAACTTCCTATTCCTGACTTGGAGGATACGTGTCGTCGCCACTTGGAGGCTCTTGTTGCTTTGCAGACTCCAAGGGAACACGAGGAGACTAAGGCAGCTGTTAAGGACTTTTTAAAGACCGATGGGCCTATTCTTCAGGAAAAGCTGAAGAACTATGCTTCGTCCAAGACAAGCTTTATTGAGCAGTTTTGTAAGTTTGATTTGATTTTCGAAAGAATGAAAACTGAAAATTGATCTTTCTAGGGTATGACTCGTACTTGAACTTTGATAGCTGTAAGTTTTCTACGTCTATGGATATCCGAAATTGACTGATCTTGAATAGCCGTTGTCTTAAATCTCAATCCGTTCTTCCTGTTAGAGGATGACCCGACACCTGCTCGCAATAACCAAGTAACTCGCGCTGCATCTTTGGTGGTCTCAGCCCTGGCATTTGTGCGTGCTGTCCGGAAAGAAGAACTTCCACCTGATACCGTGCGGGGGACGCCCCTGTGCATGTATCAATACTCTCGACTCTTCGGAACAGCACGTCTTCCCACTGATAATGGCTGCGTTATCAGTCAAGACCCAGGGGCAAAACACATCGTTGTGTTGTGCCGAGGCCAGTGCTATTGGTTTGACGTCTTAGATGACAACAGCGATCTCATAATGAGTGAACGTGATATCGCGCTCAACCTGCATGTCATCGTAGATGATGCTGCCCAGACCCCCGTCCAAGAAGCTGCTAAAGGCGCTTTGGGTGTTCTCAGCACAGAGAATCGAAAGGTATGGTCGGGGCTACGGGATATCATGACCAAGGACCCAGCGTCGAATAATGCCGAGTGCCTCAATATCGTTGACACTGCGTTATTCGTCTTGTGTCTTGATGACACCGAGCCTTCTAATACTGCAGAGCTTTGCGCAAACATGCTTTGCGGTACGAGTGAGGTTGTCAAGGGTGTGCAGGTAGGCACTTGCACAAATCGATGGTATGACAAGTTGCAGATTATCGTTTGCAAGAATGGAAGCGCGGGTATCAATTTCGAGCATACCGGCGTCGATGGACACACCGTGCTGCGATTTGCCAGCGATGTTTATACAGACACGATCCTCCGTTTTGCAAAGACTATCAACGGCCAAGCCCCAAGTTTATGGACAACCTCGAGCCCCGACCCGGCCAAGCGCGACCCCCACAGCTTTGGAAACATCAGCACCACCCCACGCAGGTTGGAATGGGACATGGTCCCCGAGCTTAACATCGCCCTCCGTTTCGCCGAATCCCACCTCTCAGACCTCCTCCACCAACACGAGTTCCAAGTTCTCGACTTTGAAGGCTTCGGCAAGAACTTCATTACCTCCATGGGCTTCTCCCCAGATGCATTCGTTCAAATGGCCTTCCAAGCAGCCTACTACGGCCTCTACGGCCGCGTCGAGAATACCTACGAACCAGCAATGACAAAGTTCTTCCTCCACGGTCGCACCGAAGCAGTCCGCACCGTAACACCCGAGTGCCTAGATTTCGTCCGCACATTCTGGGGCGACAACCCCGCCGAGAAGAAGATTGACGCCCTCCGCACCGCAACCAAGCGCCACACAGCCATCACAAAAGACTGTTCCAAAGGCGAAGGACAAGACCGCCACTTATACGCCTTATTCTGTCTCTGGCAACGCTCCTTCGAAGACGGCCTCTATCACGACACCAGCTCCGTCGACTACTCCAGCCCAAGCGAAATCGGATCCCCCAAACTCTCCGCCCTGTCAGACGACGGCTTCTCCTCCCCCGCCAGCGCTAGCAGTCGAGCCTACAAACCCGCCTCCCCACCCTTACCCGCAATCTTTAGCGATCCTGGCTGGGACAAGATCAACAGTACTATCCTCTCAACCTCCAACTGCGGAAATCCCTGTCTACGCCATTTCGGCTTCGGTCCCACATCTGCTGACGGATTCGGAATCGGCTACATTATTAAAGACGAAAGTATCTCCTTTTGTGCTTCCTCGAAACACAGACAAACTGCTCGCCTCATGCAGACGCTTGAATCATACCTTTTTGAAATGAGGAAGCTGTTGCGTGCTAATAATCGCAAGACGACTAGTCCAAGGACTAGCCGTGCTCGCGAAACAGAAGCTATAGCAGAACAATTGCAATCTGATTTCCAGCGTCGAGGAAGGGTTGTTAATATTGAGAACCGTGGTGCTGAGAGTCCTGCTACGACGACTGATGGTGGAGAACTGGATGATGATGGAATGGGAGGATGTGAGTACCTAATATATGCTGATGCTTTGCTTAACTAATGTTTTCTAGATGGGTTCTTTGATGCTGGAATGCTGCTTCACGCGCTCAAAGGTGTGAACGCTGAGCGGGAACAGAGGGTTGCGCCCGAGAAGAGGCGGTTCGTTGGCAAGAAGCTGCATCTTAATGAATATTGATTTTTTAGGAGCTTTTGTGATTTTTTCTCATCTTTGCAACATACTCCATTTATGAAGTTCATTTTATTCCGGTGATGCATATGCTTTCGTAATCAGGGGACTTCGATAAACCTCACTTCGAGTCTTGGTCCTGCACCTCACCACCCGTGGGCGTCATTATGAATATATGTAGTGATTTATCTGGCCCAATTCTGCTGTCTAATAATGTATGACTATGCATTAACGTTATTTCAAACCCACCACAAGTGAGATCCATATCTTGATTGCAGGAAGTGATAAAGAATCATGAAAGCTCGTCGGCTCAGTCAGAATCGTCCCTGCCCTCGAACGCTCAATGTAAACAACGAAAACAGGATATGTCTGCGTCGCATTCATAGAGCGATCACGCCTCTCTCTTTTGCGAATAGCACTAAGCGCCGCGGGCTTAAGGACGTCTTGCACTAGTCGAGTCACCTCAACACAGCCGGTTTGCAGCGGTGCCTGGCTCGAGCTTAGGGAATCTTTCTGTAGATGACGAATTCGGATCTCAACATTGTCGAGGAAGCTGGTGGCATCTTCGCCATCTCCAACGTGAAGTGTAACCACACCAATCTGCTCGCGCGCCTGCTCTGTGGCTCCGCCGCGGTGGAAGGTACTGGTGGATCGCGGGGTTATGAGGCTGAAGCGTTCGATAGTATATTCGGTACTTAGGAACCTTCTTGCTGTACATTCCGGTGGTGAATGACGTGACAGCCAGAAATGCGAAGCAGACAGGCTAGCATGCTTTTAGCGGAGCGAAATAATACCGGAGCATGACAGGGTGAAACATGTATACTTGTCCGTGACAATCACAAGGACCAAGCTATATGGTAGCCTACGAGTCGAATTCTTTCTAGGCCTCGCATCATGAATGCATAGACACAAAGGTAGTTGGCCTAAAAGTCGAAGTTCACTGAATCGCCAATGGTGCTACATCTAAAGTGTTGGATGTCAATGGTTATCACTTCGCAACTCATTGGTCCTGCTATATTGTTAGCAGGGAGGTAGCGATGGATATTTCAGATGGGGCTCATCCATCCTCAACCCTCCCACGAGGTCTTGGAGTCCAAGGAACATAAGAGAATTTGCCCTCACAAATAAGAGCTTCTAGCAGCAGGAAAGAGACAAGCGATCGAAGTCCCGCTAAGATGATCGAAATATCAGCCTTGGCGCACCTTGGCGTATTTCAATGGTTCTGATTGGCTGATCAGTATCCACTTCCAAGACCTGGGGTATGAGCTGCATTGCATTAGACAAAATCCTATGAAGTATTATTTTGAAAATCTAGTAATATTTCTATGTATCCAAGCATCCAATAAAGCTTAGAAGAAAACCTCAATTGGTCCAATGAAACTCCACTTTATCCCGTGCAAACGTCAGTGGCAATCAGATATCGCTGACTAACCCGCCACAAGCGATTTCGGGGAACTTGGGGTAAGCCGGGGAAAGAATTTCTACCCCTGCCATGCGAGACACTCATGTCATGTCAAAAACAGCACACGAAAGGAATTCACTGTTCCTGATTAATTATGCAACGCAGGTCCTGTGTTTTTTGCTGGTCACACCCTTTGTCTTTATTCGCTTGTTCGTGAGATGGAGGCTGATGCATGTGCTGGGCGTTGATGATGGTATGTATACGAGCCGATTTGTCATATTACCCGCGCTAACTTACTATGTAGCGTCTTGTTTTATTGGATGGGTATGTCAGATCGGCAGAGGCTTGGCTTGATAATTCACTGATCGGTTTCATTATCAGCTCCTCTTTACGGGATATTGCACGAATGCTTTAATTTGTATGACTGATCGTCGATCAAGTCATATTTGGGACTCTGTTGACATTCTATTTATAGATGGCTTTGCTGGAGGCTCGATGCATTCTAGTCAACTGGATCAGGGCCAGTATGAAGAATGTATCAAGGCAAGATACATCATCCTTTTGTCATTGGAGCTGTTCTAATACTTTGCAGATTTCTTACGTTGCCACGGCTCTCTATGCACCGACGGCATTATTCGTGAAGGTCAGCTTGATCACAATTTTAATCAGGGTCTTTCAACCCTACTTCCGGGCCATGGTGTCATTATATGTCCTTCTTGCTGCCGTCATCTGCTATTACACAATGATCACTTTCATCAAGATCTTTATTTGCAACCCCGTTTATGCTTATTGGAAACTATCTGAGAAAGCAAATGCAACATGCCTCAGTCAGCCAGGTGTAATTATCGCCGATTCGGTCATCTGCACTGTAACAGACGCTGCCATTTTCGCTTTCCCAGTGGCTTTTACGTCGACGTTGCAGATGCCGCTTTGGAAGAAGATCAAGGTGATGGTTCTCCTTGGCTTTGGTGGTGTGGCGGTGGCCTTTAGTCTTTACAGACTGGTGGTTGGGATCCACGAGAAGGATACACCTGATTCGACTAGGATGTTTATGAAGTCGATCTTGACAGGGTAAGTCTAACTAGAATCCTTTTTGTGGTGGTTGAATAACCTCCCTAGGAATGCCGAGTTAGGATTCGGTTTAATCTGCGCTTGTCTCCCGGCTGTAAATGTCCTAATGGGTTGGACTCGCCGGAACAAGCCCTCAGTAAAAGGATGTTCCAACCAACATCGCAAAAGTCACCAGCCTTTGGGCCACATCTATGATGGACCCACATCTACTCAGGGTCGAAATCAATTCCTGCGCAGTCATTTGAGTAGTCATGCGCGTCGAGGCTCTACAGATTCCGCTCAACTTATCGCAGATCATGACGCAGAAATGCCGACTGTGGAAAACAATGATGCAATTATCAAGATGGTCTCTTTGAATCAGCAATGGGAGAATGCGTCACAAATGTTTGTTCAATAATCATTTATATCGTGACTTGGCCTTGCTAGCAGTCTAATAGCAATGAGCGAACTGATCGTTCCGAAATTATATAATTATGTAATAATCCCAACCTAAAAATTATCTTACATTCCAATGAAAAGCACATAGTTAACGAGGACAACTTGCTTCTATGTGGTAAAATATATAGGCGACTGGGCAAAGATTAACCTAGGTTTTCTCGAATCCCGATGATATCAAAGCCATTCTGTATATTAGCGTTTTTGTGGCTGTCATATATTCCCGTATATGCTCTCTTTCTTTTCGATCGGGATGTGAAAGGTTAAAAATGAGGGCGACTTATTGCCCTTCACAGTCATAATAAATCTAACAACTTCGAGCTTTTTTGCGAGGCAAATTGATAAAATCATACTTGCTTTTAGTGATATGTAGAATAAACATAGCTTTCCCATTGCTAATCACATCTCCGTGGTTGGGGCCAAGTCATCAATCGTATTGATTCTCATACGATTCCTCCTGCATGAACACAAGTTGGCCGTCAATATTGGCAATGTGCGTAGCCAGATCAATATCATTAGACACAAAATGACCAGACGAATCCCGAAGCTCAGAATGAAGGAATGGTCTTTTATCTGGCCCTTCTCTTGTAAGGGTGATATTACGTGCATCGTGGCTGAAGTTTTTACCACCCCAACTGAAATGACCTAGCAGAAAAAGAGTTAGTTAAATATAGTACGAGTTTGAACCTAGCACCTCACCATTCTCGTTTCCGAGACATTCATCGAGGGGTATGCTGTGGTTTAGGCCACAACCTTCCTCATTATTGCAAATTGCAGTCAGATAAGTGCAATCTGACTCTTTGCTTATATGTAAATCACAAGCACTGTGGTGGAAACTCATGGTTAAATTACCAGCTTAGGAAATCCTGTTGATGATATTTTATTAAAGGAAAACGCAATTTGAGGCAGTTTTCCCGAGTATGGAGTATTTATGCCTAGTAGCAGAATGATCCGTCATGATGACGCGCATACGGAGGCGAGTGATCCAAGGCTTCAATTGGATAATTTTATTTAACGGTTGCACCACTTGAAAGTCAAGATGCAGGTATCGCTTTATCTTAAGTGTAGTGTTAGTTCAAGGCCATGTAAAGTGGGCGGCAGTTCTACCGAGAGTTAATGACGGGTGAACAGAATGGATGATGGCCAGAATGACCTCTGTACAGTACAGTAGGTCCGGGCGCGACCGTGACTCGCGCAAGTGAAGGCGCGTTGACAGAGACTAAGGCTTACACCAGCTTGGGTTAACATTTCATGGATAGTACTGAAGGCTAAACAACATGGTAATAGTCCACGTCGCTGGCAGTGAAGTGGGGATTGCGCTACCTATCGTTTTTCAAGTGTTGAAATCCGCGGTTGTTGATCCACATGAGACCATAACATATTACGGTGAACTAAAGAATCAAAAAGCCGGCTCTTGCATACAATTTAGCCTGGTCTGCTCATTCCACAAATGCTCCTTCTTGAGTTCTTTGCGGTGCTTTTTCGCCTCTTGGATCCCCATCCGCCAGTTATCCGTTTCCCTGAGAATATGATCCACCATTTCGCGAGGCAATCCAGTCGAAGCAATATCACGGTCCACCTCTTGAGCCCATCAGTCATGTTGCTGCGGCGGAACATTCCGCGTTGAGCAGACACGATAATGTGGATCGACTAGAAACAGCTTTATCGCCCGAAAATGACCAGGGCTAGCGGGGTCCACTATTGGAACTGTTCCATTCTGCTCTCTATCGCATTGGGAAGCGTGACAAGTCTCCCCTGCGGTATCGCGACAGAGCCTGTACCCTGCACTCGGGGATCTCCAAGCACATCCGCATAGAAGTAGGAGGGGGGTGAGAACCCCAGGATTTCCGCTAATATGTCTTCTTCCCCACTTTTGCCATAGTCACAAGCAGGCCTAGCCCGAAATTGGTACTTGTCCCTGTTGATCTGCCACTCCTTGTATCGATAGTACCCCCCGTAAAGCATGGTGTGTTGGCGGAAAGAAATGTGGGGTGTGGTTATGTTTTCGATATCGTAGCCGAAAACCGCCACACCTACAATGTGGTCGTTTAACTGACCTTCAAGCTGCCAGGCATCGCTGTGAGAGATAGGAGTACTCGGCGTGAGCTCAATGATTTTCATTTCGATAAGAACCTGCAGGCCCTTTCTTCGAAATGTGTCTTGGAGAGAAATCGTATAAGGGATGTGTGGGGGTGTTTTTGGTGTGAAATTGTAATTGTGCCCGGCTCGCTGGCGAACAATATCAATGATTGATTTATCATTGTGCTTGTTAGTCTGCCAATCTTTATATGAAAAAGCAGTTCCTGGCTGAGGATGTTTCCAGTAGATCGTTTTTTCAACTTTCTCTTCGAGGGCCCCGAATAAAGAGTATTCGCTTTCTTTCCAGTTATCTGGTCGCTGAACTGTACTGATTGATCCATTCTCAGGCTGTGCTGTGCAAGATAATCCTTAGCCCTCTGCCAAAGATCTGAATCAGGGGGAGGTAATTCCATGTTTTCCCTCCCTTTGACATCCGCGTAACCGGCTAGTCTTTTTTGCGCCCAGATGTTCTTCTTCCTGCCACTATGTGTTTGATCCGCAATAGTGCTCTCAAAAACTTCTTTGGCTTCGCGATAACGCTCCTGCCTAACTTTCCCCGGGACTCTAAATGCGACGGCCCATTCTGAGAGCTCATTCACCCATTCAATGCCCCATGTAATGATTCGCAAAGGAACAGGCCCTTTCTGCCCAAGATTCTGGGAGTCATCCATTCGGCTATGAACTTTGATAAGACAGGCGTTCCATGGTTTGATGGCCAAGGAAATGAGCTTCTCAATGTTTTTATATAGCTCTTTGTGAGCGGGGTTCAGGTTGTTGATATATGAGGTCACCTTAACCTCCGTACCAGAGTCCCAGAGAAACTCTACCTCGCAGGGGAGATGTTGGTAGTTTGAACTCTAGCGATGGAATCCACGAAATGCGCCATCCGCATGGTGTCCCATGCTCAGAGGGCCATGCTTTTCTCTATCACTTTGAAGTTTCATAAGGAAGTTGAGGCCAGAAGTATATATGGCAGAATGTGTGCTTACTGGAATGAAGTGAGTGAGCCTCAAGATCACGCATCTCCTTTGGGATACCAACCAATCACGATGGAAAATAATCAATTTTACGATGAAATTTAGTTCCATCGACGTCTTTGGCATGCTTTCTCAGAACCCAACTCGCGGCATCTACAAACACCCCCAAAACGCCAAATGCATTTCCACAGGCTAAGCAACCTGACTACACAATTACATCCAGTCTATTCTCAGAGCTTGAAATGCTAACCTCACCGGAAAGAATACCAGCTTCCAGCTACAGATTCCACCTTGTCTTCTGTCACTCGTTCCTACTCGGTCTCCAAAAATACTCTCAGCGCCATCTGGATCATGTAACCGGGTACTCTTTGACGTTACGTATTGCAGGAAGAAATTCTCATCCCTTTCGGCAGTCGCGAGGACATTGACAGAGCCAACAGCTCACGTCCGACGAAATACAATCCCATTTCAAGACAGAGATAGCATCAATGGCAGTTCTCATATAATCAGCCATCATTTGTTTCGTGAAACGCGTCAAAACAAATTATCCATGAATGCATATAGTTCGAGGGTTCAGTTAAGCTTTCCTGTCTAAAATCGCCAGGCGCGTTCGGCATTCTCAGTGCGGGGAAGCTCCGAGACCGGATATAGCCGACTTGGAAATCAAGCAGCCGACTTGACAGTCCACCTTCAAAAACAACCTTTCGAACAGGCATATAAAGCCGCAAATTATCAATTGGCTTTATGAATTAGCCTCTGTCGATCCTGTAGAAAGTACTTCCGAACATGGCTCTCCACTCCCTGCCAAGACGTTTGCCCCGGCCAGGACTGCGCATGACCCGGAGCTTTTCGGCATCGCCGCGCCAAGCTAGTTATGCAGATACCCTTCACAACCTCAAGATTGGCGCTCATACGAAAGTCCTCTTCCAAGGATTCACAGGTTAGGGTTTCCAGATTCTGTGGAGATTTGCTTCTTTGCTAACTTACGCGCAGGACGACAGGCGACCGCCAATGTCCAGGAGTCGCTGGAATGGGGTACTAAGATTGTAGGTGGTGTGAAGCCTGGTGTTGAAGGTGAACACCTGGGACTCCCAATCTTTCCCTCTGTTAAAGCGGTACGGTACAATGTTGTTCTATTTGAACATGTCACGAGCTAATGGGTATTGGCGCGTCTAGGCCCAGGCAAGAGCAAAGCCTGATGCGTCCGCAATTTACGTTCCTGGAAACCAGACTGCAAAGGCGATTGAAGAGGCAATTGAGGCAGAGATCCCGTTAGTAGTGGCTGTGGCTGAACATGTTCCTATTCACGACATTCTCCGGGTAAGAGGTCTGCAGGGTTTGCACCAGTATTACTTCCTTCTGACCTAAATCACAGATTCATTCTATGCTGCAAACCCAGTCCAAGACTCGTCTTGTCGGCGCAAATTGCCCGGGAATCATATCCGCCATTGGCAAGTGTCGCATTGGTTTCCAACCCTTGCCTTGTTTTGCGCCTGGTAATGTCGGCATTGTAGCCAAGTCGGGTACTCTAAGCTATGAGACGGTCGCTTCAACAACCCGAGCTGGACTAGGACAAAGTCTATGCATTAGTATGGGTGGTGATGTGTTGGCTGGTACCAATTTCGTTGATGCTCTCAAGATTTTCGAGCACGATTCTGATACCGAGGGTATCATCCTTGTTGGTGAGATTGGTGGCACGGCTGAATCGGATGCGGCGGAGTGGATCAAGGACTACCGGCGACGGACTGCCAACCCGAAGTAAGTCATTTATCCTATCTTTTGCGTTCTTTACTTACTCCCACTAGGCCCATCATGGCCCTCGTTGGTGGCTTAGAGGCACCACCAGGTCGGATTATGGGACATGCAGGTGCCTGGTGCGCACCTGGCGAGCCGGATGGGCAGACTAAGTACCAAGCACTTGAACGTGCTGGTGCTGTTATGGTCAACCACCCCGAGAAGTTTGGCGAGGGGATGAAGACACTGTTGGGCACAGCCAGCAGACCCGGCACACAAGTAAGTTCTCAACTCCTTTGTAGAATTATGCTAATCTTTCCAGTCAATTTCAGGATCAGCAACTCAAAAGCGCGGCATTCACACAATGAGACGTATCAGCCCTGTTTCAAGGCCAGCTCAGCAAAAACGCAACCTCTACATCAAGCAGTTTCAAGCATTTGAAATTCTCAAGCAGAGATCCATTCCTGTCAATGAGGAGACGTCATCCTCCGACGTGTCTATTTCTCTCTCCATTGACCGTACTTCATTGTCGCCATGCATTGTCGTATCTCCCAGTGCAGAGTTTAACCCTACGCAGTCCCGCAAATTTCCATTCAGCTACACTGAAGCCGACTTGAAGAACAGCTCTATCATTTCCGCTGTAGCTTCACACGCTGGCCTCCCGGCTTCGGCCCAGGGCAAACTCGCGGTCTTGGTTCAATCCCTATGGGAAATTTTCAAGGAGAAGGAGGCATTCGTACTGGAGACTCGGATTGGGACCTCTGGTGATTCAAATTTGGAAGTGCGGGGGGCGCGATTTGGCTTTGATGATGCTGCATTCCGAAGCTCGGGGCGTCAAGAAGAGATTCACTCTTTGCGAAACACTGCCGAGGAAGTCGCTGAGGAGGTTGAAGCGGAAAAGGACGGAATTGTCTACGTCAAGTATGTTTTTTCGAACTCATGATACTGGATAATGCTAACAATAAACAGACTTGAAGGAGAAGGAAGCATTGGCACACTCGGTATGCTTATTTTCGATTGCTCTACGCTCCTGTTGCGGCTAACGAGATTATAGTAAACGGAGCAGGACTTGCCATGAACACAGTCGACGCCCTTACAATCCACGGTGGTCACTGTGCCAACTTCCTTGACACTGGTGGCAAGGCTACCTCTGAGACGGTCAAGTCGTCCTTCCGATTTATCTGCTCTGACCCCCGCGTCAATGCAATCTTCGTCAATATCTTCGGTGGCTTGACACGCTGTGACATGATAGCCGAGGGTATTATTCTAGCATTCCGGGACTTGAACATGCAAGTTCCCGTTGTTGTGCGGCTACGTGGCACGAACGAGGAACTTGGACAGAAGATGGTAAGTCTTCCAAACGAAGATTTCACATCAGCGCTTCAGTTTGCTAATGGATTATAAGATTGCCGAAAGTGGCCTTCCTCTTCATGCTTTTGATGGATTCGGAGAAGCAGCGAAAAAGGTCATTGAACTCGCTCAGAAAGACTGAGCTAGAAAGGATATACTGTAAATTATAACCTTTGTACAAGCGAATTTCTTATAGATTGGTTAGATTTACTCCATAGAATCGGCACTTTGCCATCAGCTAGTCGAGGCAATCTCGTGAATACAGATCAAACCGCCAGTGTTACATTTGAACCTAAATCGACACTGTAACCAAATCCTGCTCGGGACGTGACCATAGGTCAAGCGGGTCCTACTGAGCCTTCGGGGGGGGGGGGGGGGGGGTTGGCCTCAGGCAGATCTTTCTTTGTTACCGGTTTCTTTGTCTGACCATACCTTATATAGTCGATCGCTCCCCTCGAATGAAACTTACTATCTTCTTACTATCTGATCCCTCTTCTCTTACCCGGACCTAATTTTTTTTAACTAAATACTACTATACCACGTATAAAACAGTATATAAGTACCCGCTATTATCTGGTAATGATTGTTGCCTACTTTATAAAAATGAGATGGAAGGTCCAGAGAGCTGAAATAACTTATTTCGTAAAGATCAAGACGTAATAAAGTAGAATGGGGGTTGAGGGGGATCTTGCCGAATTATTAAGATTGCCCACTTTGTTTGGTCTCTTTGTATGAAAGTTTCTATTAAGATGAAAAATTCTATTAAGATACAAGGCAAACGAAGCCATTATAGCAATGACTCATTCATCGTTCCCAGACTTAAAAAGTCGACTCAGCGAAATTAGCAAATCCGATCGGAAATGTACTTTTACAGTCAAAGCCAGCTACTACACATCATATAAAGTGACTATTATGGTCCTGTAAGATGAATGGGGGACATGGTTCCCAACTACAGTAGCTCAGAGGCCATTTTTGGCAACCTGATCGCCCGTATTTCCGGTGTTTAGTATTCTACCGTCCGGGGGTAAGCCTCAACAGATATTTGAATCGGATCTGAATGGTGCAGCCTATTGCTCACTCTACAAGTGTTGTTTGCCCATTCTGCACCCCTCCATAGTGAAATAAAAGGTTACAACAAAAACCCTCAGGTACCCATATGTCATCCTCGCCTCTTATATCCCGTATCCCTGAGGTCCAAAAGTCAATACCTGTAGGATGAAGCTGTACACTTAAGCCGCAGTCATCTCAGACAGCAGAGCATCCGTGAAATTCCACAATATAGCTGAACTATGCGAGATCACCGCTGCTCCCGTATACCACGTGTTTCTATAACCCTGCAGCCCCTTGAGATCTCGATAGAATCCGTCACGGATGGAATCGGCATCGACCACCAATTTGAACGGTGTGTGGCTGTTGAAGGCCAAAAAATTTGGCACTGTAGACACATTCACATGCACTGTTCCCTGCAACCGACGAATCACCGCAATGACATCGTCCTTAACAGCAGCCTCCTCCATGACATACGGACTACCGTACCAGATATAGAATATCCCCGGAGAATCCGTCTCCGTGACTTGGTACGGCGCCGGGAGCTTAGGGATATTGCAAAGCCCAGCCGCATTCGCATTGTTGAAGCGGTATCCAGACGGGAGTCCAGTATTGTTGACCAGTATGGTATAATACCCACTGTAATTCCAGCGCGAGAAGAGGCTTAATTCTCGATCAGTCAAGTCGTACGATTTCATGTTATTGAGGAGGGGCGGAATGCTGACGAGTAGCTTTGAGGCCACGATTAATTTGTTTCCAGTGGGAGTCTGCACCACAAGCCGCACTCCTGTGCCGTTGACCGACCGATTGGCGGCAATGACCTGTGATGAGAACAAGACGTTCGTGCCGAGCACCACAGAGGCTTTGGTGTATATCTCGCCGTTGCTACGGAGGCCTCTCACATCACCTCCGCTTAAGGCGTCGATAAAGGACCCGTCGAAAATCTTGAACACGTTCGCCGTCAATTGATCCAACACATTAGAGAAGCCCTGTGCACCGTAGTAGACATTGTACCCGACATCCTCGAGTTGGTATTCTTCTAGGAACTCCGCGAATGGCAATAGGAGTTCTTCGGGAACGGGATCGGGTAGGTCCCAGCTGTACTCCAGATACGGGTATTTCTGCAGCTGTGTGCTATACGCCGTATAGTTGCTACTGGAGGTCACGTTAAGCTGCTGCCCGGTCTGGAAATCCGCGTAGACATCCGTACGCTTGTATCCTGTGTATTCTGTCACCGGAACCCCCAGGTAAGATAGATAGTCCTGTGTCACAGAGATGTTCCAGAACGCCTGGACGCCGTAGTCGATTGTGGTACCCGTTGCTGGGACGGTGTACGTGTTTGTGTGGCCACCGAGGACAGCCTCCTTCTCGACGACCACTACGCTCTGTCCGCGTCTGTGGAGGTTGATAGCGCCGTATGTGCCTGATGAGCCGCCTCCGATCACAGCGACATCGCGAATAATGATATCCTCGCTGGCGTAGTCGCTAGGGTGGAATATATCATGGCCTTCGGCGGGTTGAATGGCACAATTCAACAGCCCAAGGTATGTGGATAGGGATATAAGTCGATTCATCGTAACAAATTCCGATAGGGTTGATTCTTACCAATTGTCCCTCGGATTTGGAAAGTATCATGGCTTTATAGTCATCTCCAGGGCTGTATAGTCCAGTATTATGTCATACCGCGACCCGTCCGTTAGATCTCATGTTCATCATGCAGGATCGATGTTGGATGGACCCCGCTGTGCAGGTTCGGTTCCTGGGACCTGACTCATTCTCGTGTCGGAGTTAAGACCGACGGCGAAAATTCGCTTACAGTGTAAACTTTTAAGCTTCAGCCACAAGGATCACGCCAGATCCTTCGACAAGATGGGTCTTACTAAGATGGATTCTCTGTTGATGGGTTCGGAATTTCCATTCGGAGTATCTGCTTCGGATAGTCGTTCTAGCGAATTGTGGATTATTGCTTGCGCTTCGTTTCCACTAGCACCTGGATATCTTTGGATGTCATACATGGTTTCCGACGTGAATGCGGCTCGGATGAGCTATTCAATGTTTCAGAGCGGACAATATCAGGATAAAAATCAAACGTGAACTATCATAAAACTAGCTACAAAGTCCAGCTCATGTGTGAGCACCTGACCGAGTGCCCAACCCATAGTCCTCCTTGATAATATCCGACGCTTTTTCTGCAACGGCATACACAGTAGCCATAATCGCGGCGCTGACTTGCATCGGCATGACACTGGCATCAACGACACGAAGGGCCCGAACCCCCTTTACCTGGAGCTTCTCATCCACCACCTGTCCCATCGCACAAGTTCCTAAAGCATGATGATAGGACACGATGTGGTTACGGACAAACTGGCGAGCTTCCTCCATATTCGACAGATTGAGGTCAGCAGGGGGGCTCAATCGTCGACCAATTTTGCCCATTAGGGAGGACGACTGGAACACTCGATCTGCGAAGACAATGCCAGTGGCAAGAACGTCAACGTCCACGGGATGGCGAAGAAATCCCGGATCAATTTCCGGTGCCTCCATTGCATTCGAGCTCCAAGCGTGCACACTTCCGCGAGACAAAGGATACATGTTGCTGACAACGATGGAGTAGCATGCATTGTAGCCGGCAGGAGAGCCCGACATGATCTTGGTGCAGTTTTTGTAGCCGGCCGTGGTGTTGAAGTACGCGGGGGTGCCAATGAACTGGATATCAGCGGACTGTGAATCTCGCAACCGATCGGCGATAGCCTCCTGTTGCTTGCGTTGGAAATTTGCGTTTTGCTGAAACCGTTCGCCGCTCAGACTGGGAGCGTCGAAGATACTCGCCACGGTGTCGTTGACCTGGGTCTTGGTAGAGTGTAATGAATATGGAGTAAAGCCCATTAGACTGACCGATCCAGACAAGGCTCCGGAATGATTTTCGGCGTAGAGCTTTTGATGCTCTTGTAGCAAGGCAGGATCTTTGAATAAGGAGTCCACCGATATAATTCCATCCGCGAGCTCATAAGATACAGCAGACATCGTGTGTTCTTGTAGATTATTGCCCACGTCGCTGATGGCCACTCTACAAGCAATCCCAGCGCTTTTTAGGACACTAGGGTCTCCAATCCCAGAAAGCTCCAGGAGTTGGGGACTCTGGAGCGACCCTGCGCTGAGTATCACTTCTTTTTTAGCTGACACGGTGTAGCGAGCCCCCAAGTACTGTAATTCAATTCCTTCCGCGGTAGGTGTTTCGTCTGGAGCATCGGAGAGTAGGATGCGGGACACCTGTGCGTTTGCTAAAATTCTTAGATTTTGGCGACCCATAATGGGAGCGAGATAACCACTGGCCGCATAGCTCCGAACTGGTTTGCTGGTTCTGTCCACTGTAAACAAGGACCTGTAGAAGCCCAAATGAGCACTATCGTAGGGCTCAAATGGCCGCTGAAGGTGAGAGGTTTCATCAAACGCAGCCAAAATTGATTCTTCTATGGGTGGTTGCCAGGGACCTATTGAAGTGTGTATTGGCCCGTCGGTGCCATGAACCTTCGGGTCCACTGGAAAATTTGTACTGGGCTTGACGGGCTCCAAGCATTCACTTCTTTTGAAGTACGGTAGCAATTCAGACCATGTCCACCCTGTGACACCCAGCTTGTTGGCCCAATCATCAATGTCTTCAGCAGATGGCCGGTTATAAGACATGAAGTTGATGCCGCTCGAGCCACCTAGCATTTTGCCTCGAGGAATATGATAGGATTTGTCATTGGTGCCAGCCTGCGAGAAGTCAATGCGGGCTCAATATGATATTGCGAGGTCTCGCACCTGTGGGATGCTCTCAAAGTTCCAGTCATAGTCAGGATTACTCATCAGCTGACCCGATCCTGTGGGAAGGTCGACCTTGGGATCCCCCAGCCTAAGGGAGCCAGCTTCGATCACCCCGACTTGGATGCCTTGTTCCTCAGAAAGACGAGCTGCGAGGACGAGACCGGCAGTTCCACCGCCGACAATGAGAAAGTCAAAGGGTATCTTGATAAAGTCGGTAAGCTCAGCTGTGGCCATGATTTCCGATCTTTGCGATATTAGAGAATAATTCGGAGGAGGGAAAGATTTGGTTTATGGCCCTACGTGATGGGGAAGCCGTGGTTCTTATAGGAAACGAATTACAAACGTGCGTTTTAGTCAAGGTAGGTGAGGTATTGGGGGCCAACTATGGATATACATTATTCCATCGGGTCTAATAATTCTCGGTCACTTCAACATGGAAAGCAAGACAGTCATTCTGGTCTATCTACAGAACCAATTTGACCTTGAGCTTGTCGCCCTGAACAATTTCCTCCTTCCGAGCCATCAACTCTGCCACATCCCAGGTGGCACTCAAATAGCGTCCGGCCAGCCAAAGCTGCTTCTCCTGAGTTAGCCAGACAATTGTATCGGCGGACAATTCTGGCGAGTCCACCAGCTTTGCCTTCGTGTCCTCGGGCAATCTCGACGCTAACTCGGTATCCACGGCGCCCGGGTGAATAGCAAAGGCCAGAACCCCCTGAGTAGCGTACTCAACAGAAGTGAACTGCGTCAAGCGCAAAATCGCTAATTTCCCGGTCTGATAGGCCGAGGCACCGGGTCGAGTCAGGTGGGCGCCGATGGAGTTTATATTGATAATGGTCTTTTCACCCCCTAACAACAGGAGGGGGAGCATGGCCCTGGTCATGAGATATGTGCCCTTCAGATTGACCTCCCATGTCGACCACCAAGATTTGGGATCTGTCTCCGCAAGTGGAACCCATTTCTCAACGCGACCGGCATTGTTAACCAAAATGTCGAGACGGCCAAACGCCCGCTTGACCTCGGCGGCTGCATCGGACACACTCTGCTCATCCGAGATATCTAGCGCTAGCTGGAGGATCTGAGGTGGCGGATGGCCTGCGGACTTTGCGGCGTCAAGCACCGCTGTCTCGACTGCATCGAGGGAGGATCTTGCTCCGAGTGCGATGAAGGAGGCGCCGGCTTGAGCGAATGCTATCGCTATCGCGCGGCCGATGCCTTTCGATGCGCCGGTCACGAAGACAGCTCGTCCCTGCTGTTTACATCTGGCCGCCGTGATGGTAGGATAGGTGTCATTGTGTATTTTGGAGATCCAAGTAAATCCTGTTTATATGAAAATTAACAATGTTCTCTCTGCCACGCATTAGACAAGGACAAGGACGAGGACAAGGATGCGAGACGTACCAGCAGACGGTGGAAAAGCCATTATGCTTGTGTTGCGTCGGAATGTGGCCTAAGTTGTTAGTGGCGTGACATGCATGTTTACGTTTTTTTATATATAGCCGTTTACGGGGCATTAGTCGTACTTCATGCTGGACACTGAAAAGGCTGGCGAAATCGAACCTCGGAATTAGACAGCATTGCAAAGGCCCACATATGCAGTGATCATGATTTCCCGGAGTATCCCGTCTGGAATATCTCCAAAACTGCAGGGTATGGGGAGATGCAATATATTTAGGTTGAAACTATTAATGCAATGTCTAGAGTCGGACTGGACTGCATGAAGGATTCATCGTTCGGATAAAAAAGACCCGAGCGAGATATTCCGCCCCGACTCGGATAAACTCTGGTCTAAATCGAACAAAGAAACAAGATTGCTAATCAGAATTCAGCCAATTGATAGGATCGTCCATCATGGAGATCATGAAAACGACTAGCTACACTGGTGACCGTGATAGCACAGAGCGTGGATCACAAAGGGGTCGATTGGGAAAACTGGCGTATAAAAAGCGGCCTCAAGTAGATCGACTTCAATCGATAATCATCAAAATCATCCTTCAACTAGCACACCAATCGATCTTCACTCTTACCGCTCGGCATTATGTCTGTTATTCCTCCAGTCGGCACTCCTGTAGGTCTTGAGATCCCCGCCAAAGATGTGGCTCGCGGTAAGTTGCCCCGGCTGTAAACATCCGATAAAAAAGCCAAAACTAATCCTTCGTAGGAGCTGCATTCTATAAGGCGGTCTTCAACTGGACCTTTGCTACTTCCACTTTGGGATTCCCCGCGCATAAGCTCCAAACCTTTGAAGTCCCTGGCGGCGTCCTGCCCATCGGAGGTGCCATGCGCCTTGCGGAAGTAATCCCCACCGGCACGGGCGCTACCAAATTATACCTCTACGTCAATGACATCGTTGCTGCCCTTGATGTAAGTGACTTGCATATCGAGACGGAGACCGACCGGCTAATGAATGTTAGGCCATTGAGAAGAACGGAGGCAAGAAGGCGAGCGAGGTTATCCCCGAAGGCGACAAGGGGCTATTCCAGTACTTTGAGGATAGCGAGGGCAACAACTTTGCCATCTACACTTACAACAAGTGAGTCACTGGAAGCAATGCTTTGGAGAAGTCATTGGGAGATGGACCTGCAAGACTGTAAAGGACCTGGAGGCATGCTGTTTGTTAAAGCAGCGTGAAATCTTCCCGCTAGAAGAGCTAAATATCAAATTACCGCTATAGTTCCGTGAAATTGACTAGGGTCGGCCAAGGCCAGCTCGTAGAATGACCGAACCCCTTCCAAAGACTCGGATTGTGAAGTGTAGAGAGAGAGAGAGAGAGAGAGAGAGAGAGAGAGAGAGAGAGAGAGAGAGAGAGAGAGAGAGAGTAGTTGGAAGTGGTAGCCGGAGATAGTGGATGGAGGTAGCACGGATTAAGTTGCGCACCGAAGAGATGTTCCGGAGGATCATTACTTGTTATTGACCAGATTGCTAAAATTCCACCAGAAACGGCTCGTATGGGTCGCTGGGGGCCGTGTCTCTCCTGCAAACGCTGTGCTAACAAAGTATGTCGTTGAGCTATAAGTAAACAAGCCACCCCGAGATTCGAGCCTTCTAGAGCACACGGAACAAAATGGCCGAAACAGCAACTGAAATTCTCAAAACTCTTCCTGCAGTGTGCGAATATGACTGGTCCTGCAAGGACATTTCCAAACGCTTTACAGTGTTTAATCCTGCGACGGGAGAACCCATAACAGTCATCCAGGCCGGAAATATGGACACGGTTGACGGAGCCATCCAGGCGTCACAAAAGGCATTCGAGTCATGGCGATGGAAGACTCAACGGGAGCGGTCACTCTACCTCCTACAGGCGGCCGACGAGATTCAGAAGCACAGCCATGAATTGGCCGTCTTGCTGTGCCTCGAAAACGGGAAACCTGTGAAAGATGCCTCCTTTGATATTACGTTCTTAGTGCAAGTTTTCCGATACTTTGGATCGATTGCCGACAAATTACCTTCTGAATTTTTCGACCAAGGAAATATCTACTCTAGCGTGATCTATGAGCCCCATGGAGTGTGCGTGGGGATCCTACCATATAATTGGCCTCCGGTACATGCAGGGGGGAAACTGGCGCCATGTCTAGCAGCGGGCAACACCATGGTGTTAAAGCCCGGCGAGCAAGCCCCATTGACGCTTATGCGGATCGTTAAAATCCTGCAGTCCGTGTTGCCCGCCGACGTTGTCCAAGCAGTGCCGGGACTGGGTCCTGAAATCCCAAAGGCCATGATAAATCATCCGCTTGTCAAGATGGCCTCGCTGACAGGATCCACCGCAGCGGGCTCCAAGGCTGCTCAAACTGCAGCGATGACTCTGACCCCCACGGTGCTTGAACTGGGTGGGAAGAATGCCTTTGTGGTCTTCGAGGACGCCGACCTGGAGTTGGTCGTGCGCGACACCATCGATGGTGCTTTCTTCAACAAGGGCGAATCGTGTACCGCCGCATCGCGGATTCTAGTGCACAAGGATCTGTATTCGATCTTTGTCACTCGCCTGACGACGGCTGTGAAGAAACTGCAAACAGGCGATGGCTTCAACGAGACGACGCACGTCGGTCCTGTAGTCTCTCGGGACCGACAGCTAGAGATCCTGTCGTACATCGAGCAAGGTAAACGTGAGGGGGCGACTCTATCTGCACAAGGAGACCTACCCACGGCAAGCCATCTGTCGGGAGGGTTTTATGTCGCTCCCACGCTATTTACGGATGTGAAGGCGGACATGAACATTGCACAGGTGGAGATGTTTGGGCCCGTTGTGACGGTTGGTTCTTTTGAAACCGAAGAGGAAGCCGTCAGCATTGTCAATTCTTCTCAATATGGCCTTTTTGCAGGGGTATACTCTGCCAACTTTAGTCGCGCCATGCGCGTCACTCGAAAATTGGACGTTGGGGTTGTTTTAGTCAACAACTACTTCCGGGGCCTTTTGGGCACGCCTTTTGGGGGCGTCAAGGAAAGTGGATATGGAAGGGAGCATTGGATTGGCACCTTGAGGGAATGGAGTCGGATCAAAAATGTTCGCTTCCCCAGTGGTCTGGGCTCTATACCAGCTTGGGGAGGCGCAGTCGATGTATGCAAGTAGCAATCTCTGATAGGGAATATAATGGATTGTATTGACGATGGAAATATTCGCTTGAGTTTTTGAAGGATTGTATCCTTCAAAGGCGCGATACGCAACTAGTGGATGCATAGTTTGGCCCCAACGCCGGATGGTTACATCAATGGATGGCCCCATCAAACTCAGAATTCTGGCTTACGTTTAGTTAAATAAAATAACTGATCAGGTCAGGTGACCTGTCTTTTTTGAAACTTCAAAATCGAGACCTCACAACATTGCTTTGTTCACATCTCACGATGCTCTTTCATCAGATGGCTCCCACCGCAGGTACACATATCTCACCACCTACCAAACAGCGACAACGAACCGGAAGAGCGTGTGAAGAGTGCCGACGACGCAAGCTACGATGTGACGCACAGCAACCGCGGTGCGGGGTCTGTGTGGAATCAGGTGCAACTTGCGAAGTCAATAGTCAACGGCAGCCGAGGGGCCCGAAGAAGGGCTACTTGAAGGCGTTGAGAAATCGAGTTGGTATATATGCTATGTTCGCAGATTGTTGCGCCGGTTTTAACTGAGATCTATCCTAGCAATGCTCGAAAATCGTTTACCAACCCAGCATCACGCTGGGCCCTTGCCTGAGCTCAACGCATTGTCACTTCCCTTGAATGACGACCATCATGATGGCTGGAGCGTCTCCAGCGTGTCAAGCCGTTCCGACTCCAATCCGCCTCCGTTGACCATGGAAAGTACAACGGCCTCCGAGCCAGATGTATCCATATTGAACTCGATGTCGGGGGTCAATTCGGCTCCTTCGGTGAGCGCGTACGGGAAAGATATATGTGGGATCAACCCGATATCAGAGTTCATGCAGGCAGAATTGTGAGTGGCTCGGGCCCATTGATGCAAGGGTATGGCTGATTGTTGTGCTAGAAACCAACTATATTTTGACCGTGTGCACCCATCCGTTCAAATACTTCACCAGCTTCGCTATTTAGGGTGGGCCAGAAACGCCGTAAAGAAGACATCTCAACGATGTCTGCAGTACGCGGTATGGACACTGGCGTCCCTCCTCTCCGCTCAATTCCAACATCTTCAAGGATCCTTCTACCAGGAAGCAAAGCGGACTTTAGAGTTCTCCTATCTATCGGCAGACTCCGATAATTCGGTTGACACAGAAGAGATCCAAGCATGGATATTAATAGCAACGTATGAGTCAATGAGAACTTTCCATCGCTTTGCGTGGATGAGTGCCGGACGCGCCTTTCGTCTGGTTCAGTTAATGCGACTGCATGAAATCGACAGTCCTACGAAACCCCCTGTAGCCCATGCAGATCTGATCGAGACAGAGGAAAAGCGTCGCGTGTTTTGGATGGCATACTTCTTGGATCACTTGTTCAGCATGCGCAATAATTGGCCGATCACCTTGAACGAGCATGTGGTAGGGCTTCAATATATTCCTTCCACCTCAAGATAAAACCGAACGGTTCAGTTGATCTAATAATCTAAACCAGATCTGCACCCGTCTTCCAGGTCCGGACATGGAATTCCAAAACGGTCAGCCGGTGCTAGGTGCCTTCCTTTCGGAAGCCATCATGGACGTTATGCCGCAGACAACATCGCCATTCAACGAATGCGTCATTTTGGCTACCATATGCGGGCGCAGCCTGTTTCAGGCTCAGCAATACAGTGTCCGCTTTGTGTATGGCGACATGGCTCCCAACTGGACCGATCAGCACCGATGGCTGGACAACGTCCTTACCAACCGGCTTCAGATCCTTTCTCAACACTACCCCTCGCCAACCCAAATCTGCGACCCGATGCTCTCGTTCGCACACATTATGGGACAGGCAAGTGTGATTCATCTATACAAAGGCATGGAATCGATTGTATGGGCAGTCGACGAGGGAGCATTGGTATTAGAATATCGACGACGTGCCCTGAGTGCAGCGCAGGAGATCGTCAAGCAAGCAAAAGGACTGATAGAGTTCTATATCTTCAAGGTATGCCACACTGCATTACTATTTCACCCGATTTGGGGCATGACTATCTTTACGCACCGCGAACGTACTAATCATAAAACAAGCAGGTCCATCCTCTCATGCCCATCCCATTGTTACTCTGCGTCGAATTCCTTTACAGTAATCGAGGGTCAGACCCGGCATTTGACTCGCTGCTTCAAGAGCTCCTGCAGATTTTCCGTCGACTAAAGAACGCTAACGATCCAACTCAAAGTTATATAGATCTTTTAGAACTTTCATGTACTAAAGCGTCGATTGGCTTGGTAAATGAAGGCTCCACTTCATCGTGATCCTACCGATGGCTGTTGGCAATATATACAAGTTTGAGCGCCGCGTACAGCGCGGCGTAACGAATCATGCTTTGTTGGCCAGGATGTGGATGAAAGGATACAATTTTTTATTCCTGGTCCTAGGCTATACAATTTATGATGCTGTCACGGTAGTAATACGCTTGTTGTAATAGCTACCCTAGTAACAAAAGAGATTAGGTACTGAGGGGTTGAATAGGTACAGAGGGATCGAGTATTTACTGAGTAATGGATCATATAGAGGACAGTGCTCGATGCTGCGCGGCTAAATGGTCAACTGGACCTGTGTATTTTCGTTACAGATTAGAAAGTGAATGTGATGGACATTACCAGAAGGGCACGAGCAGTGAAGGAAACAAATACCGATCGAATGAAAAATAATTGAGCTGACGTTGATCATTATTGGGCAAGGCTGAAATTCATGTTCATTTCCCGCTGAGAACAGAGAGCAGAGCAAGCACTCGAGAAGTTGGGAAGATCACTTTGCCTTGGTGTTATAAGTGGTGGTCGTACGCTCCAACATGTGTTCCTCCACCGTGAGCACAGTTTCTTCGTCCTGATCCTGCCCAGCACGATCCAGCGGCTGCAACTTGTAGTCCAGGTTGCCATCGAAGAAGAACACTACACTGTACCGATCGGTCAAGTTCTTGTTGATGACACGGTGAATGCTGCTCTTGTAATGACCCCTGGTGACTCTGCTCATCATATCACCCAGATTAACCACGTAAGCGTCGCTCTTCGGAGGAACCCCAACCCAGTCCCCCGTTTGGTGGTCCTGGACCTCAAGCCCGGGGTTATGATCTTGCAGGAGAAGCGTGATGGCTCCGAAGTCCGTATGGGCACTACTGCCCAGCTGACGACCCTTGACCACGTCCGGGGCAGGAGTGGGTGGATAGTGAAGTAGTCGAAGCGGACACGCAGGGTCATTTCCCTTGAACTCGTCAAATATATCGGGCCCATATGGCAAAGTGGCCGCGACAAGGTCCAACACCACCCAGCACAGCTTCATCATGGCTTGGTAGTATTCTTCCACGGGGTAGCGGAAATCTGTCTCCGGCAGTAGCTCGCCCGGCGGCCATGCGTTTTGCCCCATGAAAAACCTCCGGTTTATCACTCGTGGATCGTCGAGGGGGATATCTGTCCCAGAAATGAAGCCTTCTTTGAGGTCTGGGAGTACTCCCGCTTCATACGATTGCGAGGCCATGGGGTCGTACCCTCGGAAACCGACGTTCTTGCAGCGTGATTTTACGTCGGTTGGAAGCGCAAAAAACTTGGCTGCAGCAGTAAAGACGGATTGCTGCAGTTCCGGGGATATTCCATGCCCGAGGAGTTGAAAGAAGCCCGTAGAAGTGCATGCAGCGCGCACGTCGTCGATTACTTTGCGTGCGCCATCACTGTTCGGGTCTTGTAGATACGGACTTATGTCGACAACCGGCAAATAGAAAGATGACTTGGTTGGTACGGGCATATTATCGAACTGTTCGAAGGTACCCCTTCAGGCTATGGAAAAGGAGAAAACAACCAACCGGGCCTAGTACAGTGGTCGCTTGCTATATAGACTGAGTTCCATGTCACACTCCATTCCCTTGTCATCATCGATCGAAACGGCTTATTGAAGTGTCTCCAGAATGGTCTGATCCCATCGGAGAAACAACTCAGATCCATGGGTCAATTAGGCAAGCGACAAGCAGGTGAGATGGACAAGGCTATCGGATATACTCTATCGGAAAATCCTTCAGGGATCCATCAGGATTCGAAGAAGCAAATAGTCGCGATTGGTAATGGGGCTTTTGACGCTTATCTTACATTGTGGAAAGGCAGATAAGGCATCGCTCACTGTCTTTGTGCTATATCTGCTGAGTGCCCTCTATTACGCTGTCCACATCCAAGCTCTTGTTTGGGGCAGGCTCACCACTCTTACCAAGCCTCGTACTTTCTTGCCATGATGGCCGAGACAAGTTTCGAGGCAGTTGATGACACTTTGCATCTTCCACGAATCCTTTGTTTTCACGGCGGAGGGTCTAATGCTCTCATCTTCAAATCCCAGTGTCGCCGGCTCATTGCCCAACTTCGATCCGAATTCCGATTTGTTTTCGTACAAGGACCATTTTTATCTGATGCTGGGAATGATGTGATGTCGGTGTACAGTCAATGGGGTCCGTTTAGGCGTTGGCTCCGTTGGCGCCCCGATCACCCTGAGATCCGGCCGGAAGATGCCATCCGAGCGCTCGACGACAGTGTGGAGGACGCCAAGCGCCAAGACGATGCCAAAGGAGCTACAGGATTGTGGGTGGGATTGCTTGGATTTAGCCAAGGTGCCAAGATCTGCGCTAGTCTCCTCTACCGCCAGCAAGTCCGACAGGAAATATCGGGAAGACCGTTCGCCGGTTCGGATTATCGTTTTGGAGTTCTGTTGGCTGGCCGTGCGCCGTTGATATGCTTGGATCTGGACCTGGATCTGGATTCATCCTTGCCTGATGTGTCGCAGATCACGGATGCAAAGTACCACGGTCCGAGCCGGGACGTTCTACGCATCCCCACTGTACATGTACATGGCATGTTAGATCCGCATGTGGATCTTCACCGTCAGCTGTTTGAAGAGTTCTGTGCTCCGGAGAGTAAAAGGCTGGTAGAGTGGGATGGCGATCATCGGGTTCCGCTGAAGTACAATGATGTTTCGCTCGTTGCCTATCAAATTCGAGAACTTGCAATGCAGACAAATGCTCCCTAGTCTGGTACTACCAAATGTTGGAATTGGGTATGTGGATGTGATTTGTTTGGATTGGCACAAGTATTAAAGAGGAATCTTGGAATGTATTGCTACATAAGTGGTAAATAATCCTATACCGAAAAACTCCCGATCTCCAGGGCTCTACATATTTAGACATTCCAAAGTTGAGCACACATTTTTGCTCAAGTGATTCGATTGAATCAAATCACAGCTGGGCTTTTCGAGAAAACTCCTATAGTCGCAAGCAACACCCACAGTCTAACATGAGCCACTGTTCTCGATTCGGAGGTCGGAATTTTCAAAGTGTTCATCAAGAAACATTAGGCACACTCAGCTATAGTAACCTCCAAGGCTTGCGGCTGCCTCAAAGGCTTACCTGCGTGATCATCTGGATATTATTCGCTCTGCGTTTTGATTTTCCGAGTATATAAATGCGGAGACGACTATTCGTCGCACGTGCATGAGTAGATGCAGCTTTGCATCTTCGCATCCTCCGAAGCTGCTCTAGAGATATTCTACGCACTGGTGTTTCACAACCAATATCTATATCGTATCTCGTCATCTAGCAGTAATAATATCGAAAAGAACACGTGTTGACATTAGCCTTTCATAGCGGGCCTAAAGCTGACTCCTGCAGATCCTTCCGTACCTTTGCGCACTAGTCTACATCTATCTCGTAAGCATCTCACTGACTCCTTTGGTTTAGACGCCTAAGACATAATATATCGGATTAATTCCTCGGAGTAACTTCGTCGTTCCACAGCATATTCTGAAGGATTTCTACGATCAAGGCCTGTCTACCAAGCTGACATGGCGGAAGCATGCCGTATAGTGAATTTCAGCAGAAATTTATCGCCATCTGAAGACGAAGTAGTATGCATGCGGAGTAACTATTCGGAATAACAGGGTGGTATACTCCAGGAAGTACGAGCCTTCCAGTTGATCTTGACACATGTGCAGGTAACCTGGGAATACCTACAGTGGGTACTTCATCCATAACTCAGTGCCATATATACCTAGAGCTGTTACCATATAGGAGATCCCGAAGTTACCTCCCAACACATTGTATACTGTGCTTGTGCATAAATTTCCCAGTGCTTTATTCTTTTCAACATTTGAATTCATCCCGACTTCTCTCGGCCAGCTTCAACTGCAGGTATCAGGAATGCCTGACTCAACTTCTCACCCACACCTGAGACCCAAGGCCTTCATATTCGGCCCGCAAGATTTGTCTTTCGATATCGAGTCCTTCAACAAGCTTCACAGACAGCTCCATGACCACCGTTGGGCCCTTGACGTACTCGCCAGCCTTCCAAAGCTCTGGGACAACTTTGCTGCCAGCGACCTGACAGCACAGCAATCTAACACGCGAAAGCTACTTGAGAACCTAAATGCATGGGTTTCGAGTGCGACAGTCCCAGAGGAAGCGTTTCCTTTGCCAAATGTGCTTCTATCCCCACTTGTCGTTATAGGACAAGTGATTGAATACATCACTTTTCTCAGGGCGGCATTTCCAGATTTAGGAGAAAAGGACGAGCTGTCCAAGTCCATTACGGAGGATACAGAAACGATAGGCCTCTGCACCGGCACACTGAGTGCTTTGGCAGTGGCATGTTCTCACAATTTGGCCGATATTCAACATTACGGCGCGGTAGGCGTGAGACTGGCAATGTTAGTCGGAGCCATCGTTGATGCCGAAGAGGCGTTATCTGATCCAGGAAGAAAGTCAACAAGTCTTTCAGTATCGTGGAACAGCGCCGAATTCGGCAACTCGTTTGCCCATGTCCTCGAGACATTCCCTGATGTATGTCTTGATGAGTCGCACTCACACCACAGCAAAACACAAATTGACACCCTATAGGCATATGTTTCCGTCTTTGTTGACCAAAGACGTGCTACGTTGACCGCCTCGAAGGAAACGATTCCAGCTCTGATCGAGAGGTTGAAACAGGAGGGTGGTCATGTCACGCCAATGGTACTTTCGGGACGATTCCACTGGAAGAACCACCAGAATGCCGTATCTGCTCTTCTTCAATTCTGCGATGTCGAGCCAGCCTTGCAATTCGCTGATACGACAAACATGTTACTCCCTAGTCGATCCAGTGCCGATGGGGAATATATCAGCACCGGAAAGCTCCACGAGATAGCTTTGCGGGCAATTCTCTTAGAACAGTCCCAGTGGTACAAAACATGCTTTATCGCGTATGCGGCAAAGTTAATCATCGAGAATGCAGCGGTTGTTTGTTTCGGGCCAGAGCGGTGCATATCACCAACTATTGCACGGAAGCTTGGTCCACGCCTGACATACGTATCCGGAATTGACCTCTCATCGTCACGGTTGCCCAGTCAGGTCCTTGGTGGAACGCAAACGCCAAATCTCGAAGATCTACCCGACGAGCGTATCGCTGTTATTGGAATGGCGTGTCAGGTTCCAGGTGCTGAAGACCACGAGGGATTCTGGGAGATTCTAAAAAGTGGCCAGTCGCAACATAAAGAGGTGCCTGAGGATCGGTTCGACTTGGCGACGGCCTGGAGAGAAGCAGACAAACGCCAATGGTACGGAAACTTTATCGACAATTACGACACTTTCGATCACAAATTCTTCAAGAAAAGCCCCAGAGAAATGGCATCCACAGACCCTCAGCAGCGCCTGATGTTGCAGATTGCTTATCAGACTATTGAACAATCCGGATACTTCAGAGACGATGGTCCTAACCGTCGTATTGGATGCTTTATGGGCGTCGGCAATGTCGATTATGAAGACAACATTGCGTGTTACCCTGCCAATGCGTATTCGGCTACTGGCAACCTGAAGAGCTTTCTAGCCGGCAAAATTAGCCACCATTTCGGCTGGACAGGACCCAGCCTGACACTTGACACAGCGTGCTCATCATCCAGCGTGGCTATTCACCAGGCGTGTCGTGCTATCCTTGGCGGGGAATGTGATGGGGCACTCGCCGGAGGTGTCAATATTATAACGAGCCCCGATTGGTATCACAACCTAGCTGGAGCATCTTTTCTCAGCCCTACTGGTCAATGCAAGTCATTCGACGCCAAAGGAGATGGGTATTGCAGGGGCGAAGGTGTTGGTGCCGTGTTTTTGAAGCGGCTTTCTTCGGCAATCGCGGATGGTGATCAGGTACTTGGTGTGATCGCGAGTACAAAGGTTTATCAAAACCAGAACTGCACTGCAATCACTGTTCCCAACCCCGGATCCTTATCGGAGCTCTTTACAGATGTCGTGCGTCAAGCAAGGCTCGAGCCCAAAGATATCTCCCTTGTTGAGGCACACGGAACAGGAACTCCCGTTGGAGATCCAGCTGAATATGATGGCATTCGAGCTGTTTTTGGAGGCCCTATACGCTCCGATGTTCTGTCGCTTGGATCAGTGAAGGGTCTTCTGGGTCACAGTGAGTGCGCTTCGGGTGTGGTCTCTTTAATAAAGACTTTGCTCGTGATTAAGCATGGCTTTATCCCACCTCAGGGGAGCTTCTCGCAAATAAATCCGTCCCTGAATGCGAAAGACGAAGATAGAATTGAGATCTCGACTCACTTAAAGCCTTGGGATGCACCATTCAAAGCTGCACTCATCAACAACTATGGGGCTTCCGGATCCAATGCCTCTATGGTTGTTATGCAACCACCAAAGCTAACAGAGCCCCCTTTGGCGCCATTACCGGAGGGAAACTACCCTTTCTGGATCAGTGCATTTGATCAACAAAGCCTTCAAAGTTACGCTAGGAGGTTGCGCCAATTCGTCCAGGGGCATGTAGCAGACAAGAGTCTCAGCTTGGCAAATTTGTCTTTCCAAGTTGCCTGTCAATCGAACCGATCCCTTCCCCAGGCCCTGATATTCAATGCCAGCACAAAGGAAGAGCTGGATATGGTACTTGCATCTGCCGAGAAAGCCAGCACAGATCACTTGTCTATCCAGCTTCCGGATCCGAAGCCCGTCATCCTATGTTTTGGAGGGCAAGTTTCCACCTATGTCGGCTTGAATCAAGAGGTCTATGACAGCACTGCAATCTTGAGATATTACTTAGACCAATGCAATGCTGTTTGTCTCTCGTTTGGTCTGCAGGGAATTTACCCAGCCATTTTCCAACGCTCCCCAATCGAGGATATCGTTCAGCTTCAAACAGTACTGTTTGCGATGCAGTATTCCTGCGCCAAGGCGTGGATCGACAGCGGAATGAATGTTGCCTCGGTCATCGGACACAGCTTTGGTGAGCTGACAGCTCTATGTGTCTCCAATGTCGTGTCATTGCAAGATGCTGTCAAGATGATCTCCGGCCGAGCTCACTTGATCAAGGAGCGCTGGGGTGCTGACAAAGGGTCGATGATCGCTGTTGAGGCGGATCTCTCTGATGTTGAAGCCTTGCTAGCGAAAGCTAAATCACAGATCGGATCTGAAGCGGGAGTTGAGATTGCCTGCTACAACACATCAAGAAGCTTCACATTGGCTGGACCCACAAAAGGCGTCAATCATGCTGAAGACCTGCTCAAGAATGACCCAAATTTCTCAGGAATCCGATCTAAGAGATTGAACGTCACTAACGCCTTCCATTCAGCTCTTGTTGATGGATTGATTAATGATCTGGAGAGCTTGGGACAAGGTATCAAGTTCAAGAAGCCGACGATAAATATCGAAACAGCAACGGAGCAGAGGTCAACCGGCACATTCAATGCCAAGTATGTGGCCAGTCATATGAGAAAACCAGTCTTCTTTGCTCATGCAGTCAAGAGACTATCAGGCAAATTCCCTACTGCCACTTGGTTAGAGGCCGGTTCAAACTCCACCATCACAGCCATGGCAAGTCGGGCTCTAGGTACTTCAAAATCCTCTTTCCAGGCTGTCAACATTACTAGCGAGGATGCATTTCGGTCTCTCTCTGAAACTACTATCAAGCTCTGGAGAGAAGGTCAGAAAGTCAGCTTCTGGGCTCATCACCGCCTGCAGACTGCAATTTATACTCCGGTCCTTTTGCCACCGTACCAGTTCGAGAAGACGAGACACTGGATGGATCTGAAGATTCTTCCGAAGCCCGAAGCTCCTGCCAAGGAGACGAAACAGCCAGCAATCACTGAGGCACCAAAGGGCCTGACAACTTTCGTCGGTTATCAAGATGCATCTCAGAGGTCTGTGCAATTCAAGGTCAATGTCACGACAGACAAGTTCAACTGTCTCCTTTCCGGTCATATCATGGCAAATACATCTGCTGTCTGTCCCGGTATGTTCCAGGTTGAGGTAGCACTTGATGCTCTTATGAGCCTTCGACCTGAGTTCCAGAACCGGAGCTTTATTCCAGAGCTACATGGTCTGAGGCATTATCAACCCCTTGTCAAAGACGAATCCCGGGCTGTCTGGATCGAAGCGCAATCCTTTGACGCGGAAGGTCTGGTCTGGAATTGGAAGTTGACTACAACTGACGATAATAGAAGTGGTTTTGTAACCCACACTTCAGGGACAATCACATTCCAAGCAGCAGACAGCGTGCAAGTCAAGACTGAGTTCGAGAAACTGAGACGTCTAATTGGCCGAAAGCGGTGCTTGCAACTCCTTGACGGCAATGTGGCGGATGATGTCCTGCAGGGCCGCAACATCTACCGCGCTTTCTCGGAAGTGATCGACTATAAGGAAATCTACCGCCATGTTACCAAGATCGCCGGCAGCGAGAACGAGTCCGCGGGAAGGATCACGAAGAAATACGATGGAGAGACCTGGCTTGACACCGTTTTGACAGACTGCTTCTGCCAAGTGGCAGGAATATTTGTGAACCTAATGACTACCAAGATCGACTTGTCTGAGAGGGGCATTTTCATCTGCGATGGAATTGATCGGTGGATGCGATCACCGAACGCAGATGCAAAAGAGGCGCCTTCACACGTCTATGAGGTATTTGCTTTGCACCATTGCGAATCAGAGTCCAAGTATCTCAGCGATGTTTTTGCTTTCGATACTAGTGATGGGTCACTTGTTGAATTTGCTCTTGGTATTAGTTATCAAAAGGTTCCGATCTCCGGGATACGCAAGGTACTGTCGAAGGCTATGCCAGTTGGTCTTCAGCCACAAGTTAGCATGGCCCCTGTTACAGTGCCTGCCACCAATAGATTCAGCCATACTCCAATGGCAGTCCCACCATTGGTGAATGGCTCGTCCACTGCGGTGAACGGTACACCCGCGACAAAGAAAGCGCCAAAGGTAGCCCGCGTAGACATCACTGAAAAGATGCGGGAAATCATCTGCATTTTATCTGGTCTTGAACCAGAAGAAGTCAAAGACAACTCCGATTTGGTCGAGCTTGGCATCGATTCATTGATGAGCATGGAACTAGGCCGAGAGATTGATCTGGCTTTCAAGACCACTGTCGATGTCACCCAGTTGATCGATGTAACCGACTTCTGCAGCCTTGTGGAGTGCATGCAAAAGATTCTAGGCATCGAAGATGCCGAAAGGAATGAAGATGTTGTGACTAATGGAAATGCCCATCATGTCAACGGCGAAAACGGTGTTGTCAATGGCAACGGTCTTTCGTCTCCTAAGGAAGGGGGCTTCATCCTCTCAGAATCAGCAATCCTGGACGCCTTCCGCGTTGCGAAGGAAGCCACCGATGACTTCATTTTGAATGGCCAACTTGGGACATACTACAATGAAATCATGCCAAGATCGACTGAACTCTGTGTTGTCCATATTGTCAATGCTTTTGAACAGCTCGGATGTCCGATACGCAGTGCAGCAACAGGTCAGCGACTTGAGCGTGTTCCATACCTCCCAAAGCATGAAAGATTCATGAACTTGATCTACGGCCTTCTCGAGGATGCCAGATTGGTTGACATCAATGGATCTGAAATCACGCGAACGGCCTTACCTGTTCCGACGAAAACCGTGGAAACAATGCTAGAAGAATTGCTTCGTGATGAACCTGTCCATGCGGCCGAGCACAAACTCACATCCCTGACCGGGAGTAAGTTTGCCAACTGCATTACTGGCAAGGAAGATGGGCTTCAATTGATCTTTGGGACACCCGAGGGCAGAGAAATCGCCACTGACGTCTATGCCAAATCCCCCATTAATTCGGTATGGATCCAACAGGCAGAATTTTTCCTCGAGCAACTCTTGCAAAGACTAAATAATACCGATGAGCCTCTGCGCATCTTGGAAATGGGAGCTGGTACAGGAGGAACAACCGTGAAGATCCTGCCACTGTTGGAGCGTCTAGGTGTACCCGTCGAATACACAATGACGGACCTATCATCCTCGCTGGTTGCTGCGGCTCGCAAACGTTTCAAGAAGTATCCGTTCATGAAGTTCAGAGTGGTGAACATTGAGTCTCCCCCTGATCCAGAACTAGTACACAGTCAGCACATCGTCCTGGCTACAAATTGTGTGCATGCAACCCGGAACCTGGAAGTCTCGACGAGAAATATCCATCAAATTCTGCGACCAGACGGCTTCCTCCTTCTGTTGGAAATGACAGAGCAAGTTCCTTGGGTCGATTTCATTTTCGGCTTGCTAGAGGGATGGTGGTTATTTGAAGATGATCGGCGACATGCACTCCAACCCGCAACGCACTGGAAGAAAGTTCTCACTTCCGTTGGATATGGTCACGTCGATTGGACTGAGGGTGCTCGGCCAGAGGCCAATATTCAGCGCCTTATCATTGCTCTTGCTTCCAAGACCAGGTATGATGATGCGCCTAAGCCACTCCAGTCGCCGGCGCATGTCCCATTAACAGACATCGCAGGGAACCAAGAGATCTTTGATACATACACCCGTGAATATACAAAGGACTTCCACGTACTCCCCATCCCGAGTATACAGCAAGCTGCTATTTCCGCTCCCAAAGGACACTGTGTGCTTGTTACTGGTGCCTCGGGAAGTCTCGGCTGCCACATTGTGGGCTATCTTGCCACGCTTGCAATTGTCCACACTGTAGTCTGTTTGAATAGACGGAGTACAGTGCCCGCCACAATCCGTCAAGAGGAAGCGTTAAAGATCAGGGGAATCTCGCTTGATTCTACGTCCCGGTCAAAGCTGGAGGTACTTGAAGTGGAGACCGCAAAACCATTGCTTGGGCTGCCAGTGGAAACCTATCAAAAGCTCGTGAATACTGCAACCCATCTGGTTCATAACGCTTGGCCAATGAGTCTTACCAGACCCATTCGAGGCTACGAGAGCCAGTTCAAGGCGATGCGGAACCTTATCACTCTATCGCGAGAGGTAGCCGCACTCCGACCGGCGCCATTCAAGTTTGGCTTCCAATTCATCTCGTCGATTGGGGTAGTCGGCTACTATCCACTTCGCTATGGGAAGACCCTTGCTCCAGAAGACAGAATGACAACGGGTTCTGTCTTGTCAGTCGGGTATGCCGAAGCAAAGTTAGTTTGCGAGCGCATGTTAGACGAAACGCTGCATCGGTACCCAGATAGATTCCGACCAATGGCAGTACGGATCGCCCAAATCACTGGCTCAACAAGCAACGGGTATTGGAATCCAGTCGAGCATTTTTCATTCATGGTCAAATCCTCGCAGACATTGAAAGCGCTCCCGGAATTTGATGGTAGCCTCTCTTGGTGCCCAGTCAACGATGTTGCCGCAATACTGGGCGAATTACTGACTTCTGACACAACACCTTTTCCGATATACCATATCGAGAATCCATCGAGGCAGCCGTGGCGGAAAATGGTGAAAACACTGGCCCGGTCTCTTGGCATCCCACAAAATGGCATTATTCCTTTTGACCAGTGGATTGAACGAGTTCGAAACTCCCCGGCCTCCGTCAATGAGTGCCCAGCCAAGCAATTACTAGATTTCTTCGATCAGCATTTTATCCGAATGTCATGTGGGGGTTTGATACTAGATACGGCTAAGACGAGGGAACATTCAGCTACTCTGCGGGAAATGGGCCCTGTAGGCCCAGGTTTGGTGGAGAAGTACATTTTGTCGTGGAAGACCATGGGATTTCTAGATTAAGATTGCGATCATTTTTAGCTTGCAGTTTGTGACGAGTCAGTCATGCTGCTATGAAATGTAACATTGGAAGATAGCTTCTATTCATTTTTGACAATTGCTACCTGGATGCACATGTGTATATACTATAAAGGCGTTAAATCGAAACCTTGGGAAACAAATGCTTTGTGGATGGATAATTTGTGATTTGAGATTGAGGCTTCACTCGATGTCATATTTATGTGGGAAGCTCCAAAAATCGATCCTCATCTTGCAATTGTCTAATTTCCCCTCCATGAAAGAATACTTGGAACGAGGCTTTCATTAACAATACAGCAATTGCGTAAGCCGCAGATTTTGTGCTAGGTGGAATATAATTGTAATACGGATGAAACCTGGCTTGTCACCACAGAAAATACATATTTTCACAATTCAAACACAAACCAGTATGTACCTTCAAAGGTATTGAAATTCCCATCTTCCCCAAGGCTTGCTCACCATCCTTGGAGTCATATATCCCTTCTCTTACAGCTTGGGAGAGAAACGACTCAAGGCCCGAATTTTCGCCCCATAGAAATAGAAGATAATAGGAATCGGGATCATCCCAACAGCCAGAAAGCCGAGGAGCGACGTAGCCCAGTCCACTCCCAATCTGCTGTACATTGCCGACCCAAAAAGTGGAAACGCAGCACCTATCTTTTTCATTCAGTTAGTACAGTATATCTCCGAGGTAGTATACACTTACCATGCTTCGAATAAGAGTGTTTGCAGACAGAGCCGAATTGGCAACCACCAAATATACATCAATCAAATAGTTCAGGCCTTGCATCCAGATCATCAGAATCCCCATTCCGATGGGTACTCCTGCAATGGCCTGTGGCACCCACGAGACACTCGGGCTCGATGTCCATCCAAACCAGAATAGCCCGACAGGCAGGAGTAAAGCCGCAACAATCATGGGGGGTAGACGATCTTCCGGTACGACAGACAAATTCAGTACCTTAGGAGCGTACCACAGGCGCGTTGCGATGGTGACAAGGAGGCAGCCCAGTAGGACCCCGACTAGGATGCCCAGGAAAGGCAAGGCCGCGATTCCCAAGGAAGTCCAACCCCGGACCTCCCGAAAGGCGATTGGATATGCCACGAAGAAGAGGTACAATATACCATAGATAAGCGAGATGTAGAGAGTCATGCAGACGAGGATCGGCTCCAAGAAAAGCATCTGAACCGGGCGGAAAAGATATTTCGTCAGGATTTGGCTAAACGTTGGCTTGCTTTCATCCAGGCGGGAATGGTAGGCCCAGATGCGTGTCTCATTACGAAGCCGACTGGCACGGCGCTGGAGGAGAACCGGGTGGTATGTCTCGGGTAGCGTGAGGAAAGCGATCGTACCGAAGAATGCGGCTGGGATCATGGTGATCCAGGCAGTCCAGCGCCATCCCAGAGATGAGTCGACGATGAATCCTCCCCTGCTCATGTCATGATCAGCTCACGTTTAGAACTCGTTACCGAACATATCATCACAATCACGTACACTATTGGCCCGAATATCGGCCCAACGAAGGTGGCCGCGGAAAATAAAGAGACGGCAATCGCGCGCTCCACTGGACCCCAAAAGTCCGCCAGAGCACCAGGTATAATTGCAAGAGCGGAGGTACCAAAAAATCCCAGCAAGAAACGTGCAAGCATCACGGTTTCGAGGTTCTGCGCAACCGCCACGGGAACCTGGAAGATGATAAAGATGGCGTATCCAATATAGAGAGGCCTTAGTCGGCCATATAACTCTGACATGGGTCCCCAAATCAGTGGTCCCACCGCAAAGCCCTGCATACCAAGGTTAGCGTCATGGCCGAGCCTTCATTGCGCGTTGTTTGGTTTCTACTTACAAGCACGGTCAAACTGGTTCCTAACGTCATGACCTCCACTGAAACATGAAAATCTTCGGAAGTGACCGTGGTCGCAGCACTAAAGACACTGCTGGAGAAGGTTACCCAGATGGTCAATGTGCTGAAGATGCAAGTGATGAGCGATTTCCTCCAAAAGGGAAAGTTCATGGGAAGTTCTGGATCATCAGGCCCATCCCACTCTACCAGGTGAATATCCGAGGCACTGGACTTCTCGCCAGATATATTATCTCGAGCATTCTCCAAATCGGCAACAGGAGCGTTGGTCGAAATTGGGGCGTCAACTGCATCCTTCATCTTGGGATGATGGCTTTGGTATTGCTACAATGGGCGGACAAGATGCCAATGATAAAGAGGTCGACATGATTTGAATGCGAGAAAGGGGTATTTTTACTGAGATGATTCATAAGAGCAGACTCCCTTGTAAAGGAGCATTCATCTATAGAACTTGTTTATCCGTGGGCCGTGGCTTAGTCGAGATAGTGTTTCCCCGAGCCGAGAGTTTATCCGACTGGTCAACAAAGGTGCTTACAAATCCTACTTGAGAACTAGTTAACGTCAAGTTAACTTAGTTAACTAGTTAGTTATCTCGGCACCCTTAGTCATCGCTGGGGTGACAATATGTCCTGTATTTTGACACATAACTTCAAGGAGCTTGTCCATAATACCGATTTTGAAGTTCTTTCGACGACCTTTCAACATGCCATCATGGTCAACAATGATCTTGGGTACAAGTGCTTATACAGTGAACTCCCGTTTCCGCACGGCCTTCCGTATCTTCAAGAATGAGATGTGCCTAAACGAAGTGTGCTTGATATGACCGAACTAGTCCTATCATGGTATATGCTAGTCTATTTGAGGTCCAAAGTAGTCATCCACCTTTCTTTGTTTCCTTCCATTGATCTGCAATCCGGGGAAATAAATGCCCCATCCTCTCTATCTCGCGTAATTCTCTCTCGGTAATGCCCTCTTGATGCTGAGCAAATTGAAGGACTCTGTGCATGCACTCATTAGCTTCCACGCGCGACAGAGTATCCAGAGGTGGTTCATGGATGTATTCGTCCTGCTCCTCGCTATCCAACTCACTGTCGTCGACCCCTTCGCGTTCTTCAGAAAAACTCACAGTAAGGTCAGATAAATCAGGCTCTCCAACATCGATATTCTCCCCAGGAGGGTCTAGGAAATCTTCCATTTGCCTAACCTCCGTACCAGGAAGCCGGTCGGTCACCTGAAAAAATACGTTGCCCATTTGAAGATCTTCTGATTGAGATGCGTTGGTTTCATCAGAGCCAGGACAAATGATCGTAGTCTCAACAAAGCACTTGCGAATGATTTCATCTTGAACGTCCCGCCTCCAGACCTGAGTGATCCAATGTAGTGTATAGTAGAGACTCATTCGCTGAGTGGGATCGGCGCCGTGGTCTATCAGATTCACCATCCATGTCATCCATTTCTTTCGGTAATGGTGCTTGAGGTCTCGGATGATACCTTGGTCCAGTGGCTGGTAGTTTGATGTCGCGTTGGGTGGGAGAAAAACTACTTTGATATTAGACGGGGGCGGTGCATTTTCAAGCGCGGAGAGATGCGCACTGAAGTTGTCAAGCAATAGTACGATTCTTCTCTGTGTACCAATATGGTGATAAAACGAGCGGAACCATTCTGACATCACGTCACCGCGCATCCATGCGTTCTTGTTCCATCTCCAGACGCATCCGATTGCTGGGATATTGAGCCTTTGCAGTGCCGATCAACCATAGAGGTAGTCGATCCGAACCAGCAGCATTGATTGCCACAGCGAGTGTAATTCGAGACTTGTCTTTCTTAAAATCAGGACTGCCCTTACTAGACAGGCCACAATTTGGTATTCGACGCCAAAAGAGGCCTGTTTCGTCCATATTATACACATATTGGGCGGATATTGGTCACATACCACGCGAATTGCTTCCATATCAGTGTGAATCGAAGCCGGGACTGATGCATATTCCCCAAGAGAGACATGATATAGGATGAAATAGCGCTGTTTAAATCGCGAAAGCCACCCTTCAGAGAAAAGCGGCTGGTCAAGATCTCTATATTGAGGGACTTCCTTCCAGTATTCGACGGCCTTACTCTGAATTGATGGGCCTGTCACAGGAAAGCCACAAGCTTCATGGCGTTATTGCCAGGCATGTAGAGCCTCGTCCAGAAGAGGCAAACGAGAAGCTAGCCGGCTTTATTCGGCCCAGCAAATCCATGATCAAGGTGCTCGTACTTGGAGGACAGGATCTTTGATACGGTCGAGCGGTTGTAATGACGTCCAAATTGAGATGCGAACCACTCCGCGCATGCTCTCTGAGTGGGTTGAGATTGTGTTTCAGATGCGTAGATTCGCAACGGCTTCTTCTGAGCGTCAGAAATGCCACGTTTCGGCAGTTTTGAGACAGAGAGCTTGGCCGACAAGGGGACTGACAATGGGTGAAAACATTTGTGCCAGACGGGAAATGTGCCAGACGAGCTAGACTTACTAGTAACCATACTGACTGTAGCAATCTCCGAAATGAGAGCATGAAAATGTTCTGAGTAATATTCGTCTCCTGTTTCTCCCGGTGTGTTGAAGCTAGTATTTGATGGAGTAATAAGTCGTTTTGTCTTGGCTTCTTTGGCCACTATATAACTTAAATGGCAGTGAATGTTACTTTTAATTTCTCGATATAAACTACCATAAAGCAAATTTGGATGATGTACAAACAAAACGACTAAGTCAAGTAATGTTTTACCTTAGTATTTCCTCTAATTAGCTTAAAGCTAAGAAGTTTGGCTGAATAAGAATTCAGTGCTTATACCAATATTACACCCAAATAAACGCATCAGGAAGAGAACCAAGTGCATTCCGGAACAACTCACTAAAAGTCTTTACATTATTCATAAATATTCGGCTACTAATTAGGATCTCCCTACTCGCAGCAATATCCGTCGTAGTATCCTCTTTAGATTTTCCCCCTCTCCAGTTCTATCCTATCCAGTTCTACGGTACAAGCTTGACCAATCCCATCTGGGCCGGCCCAATGGGCTGATAATTTCTAGATGGGTTTGTATATAATGAAAAGATAATTTACCTAGGGTTACCAAGGGTTACGCCAAGCCTATTCTAGAATATAAGGACCAAAACACTGCTTACATGATATTACTTTCCGATTTAACACCTGAATTCTCAGGCCACACACCCCTAAAGGCTCAGTGGGACCTCGGGGAAGCCATGTGATGCCTCCAGCCTAAGGCAGCCGCGCCGCCCGTGTTAGGTCACTTGGTTGGTCGGTCTAGCCCCGACACTTCTCCAGATCGACCAAGGTTGCGCTAGTCGCTCTGACGCCATCAATCTTTATCTTTACTTGCAGAACAAAACTCCTTGTTTTCCCACCTTTATATAAAGAGAATCCCCTCAAGTTCCGTATAAATATCCACAGCCGAACCCACACGCGCTCACAAACTCTTTTTTCTTTTCTTCAAGTCATTATCCGTCCGGCTCATCCCAACCTTGCCCCGCCATGTCTGATCCGAGTACCGAGCTACAACACACTCTCCGCGATCTATCCATTGGCGAAAAGGGGCCGGTGCAGGATATCTCACGACCCACGGTGAAGGGTCTCACGGGCTCGGTCACATCTGCTTCAAAGTCGATTCCAACAAAGAAAGCCAAAAAGCCCGTCGCGGATTCCTGGGAAGATGAGGCTGATCTTTCGGAGGATGAGCCGGCTGCTGTGTCGATGTCTCCTCTTTCGTCGACCTTAAGCGCGGAGGGTCCGCTTGATCCCCCGCCGACACCTATCTCGCCGCAGAATTCGCAGCCTTGGGGCGCTGTGAGAGTGGGTTCTCCTGTTGGTGCGCAGGGTTCGGGTCCTGCGAGGCGTCCGGAGAAGCAGACCGCTGTTGCTAGTCGGTTGATTGCCGGTGCACTGGGGATTCGGGCGCCTAAGCGTACGGAGGAGGAGCGGGCATATGATCGGGCGGTGAAGGAGCAAGAAATCAAGAGACGAAATCGTGAGCGTGAGGAGGCTGCTAAGGCGAAGGAGGAGGAGGAGAAGTTGAAGGCATCTGTTTGGACGGACTAGGTCATTGCGTTTGTTTCTTTCTTTCGCTGGTTATTTTTGTCTTTCTGTTATGCATTGTCAACTGTATATATGTGATCTACATGGCGCTGGAGCCAGTTCTGGTGCACATTAGTTGCGGGTGGTTTGTTTTGGCTTGACAATACCTGTCTAGAGCCTGCGAGGATATTGGTTTAGGTGGAATTAATAAGAGATGACTCGAGGGAGCATCGCTGCAAGATACAGCGAGTATTATCTCCATACGGAATTGGTGGTTTGGTTAAGAACAGTAAGATTTTGTCCCATATATATATGTAGCGCATCCCGATCACGGATACTTCCTGGAAATCGTTGAATCATTAAAACACAGCATTGGGAATTCCCTGCGATGGACTCCACGACATCGCCACTCAAGCCATCGTCCATCTTGTATGCTCTAATGTATGTGAACAAAATGCCACAAGGCAAAGGAGTTCATCGGAGGGGCTCGAGGAGATGACATGGAATTATTTCCTTAACAGCCTCCAATTTGTTCTTGGTGCACCTCCAGGGTGTCACCATCGGTCATATCAAGCTAAATCGCACCACATTGTCAGCATTTTGTTTCAATCATTTCAAGCCTCGGGAGGGGACACATACTCCATCGGGGGTATCATCGGGGCGCACACGAGTACCATCGAACAGGAAGCGAACGGTAGCAAACTGCTTTCCCTGGCGATCGCAGAAAGCATCCATGAGCTTCTTCAACGGTGTGGACCGCTTGATCTTGAAGAAGACCTCGTTGTTGTTATCAGTAACCTTGATGTTGAGGTGCTCGACAGGAGCAGCGGCTTGCTCGCCTTCGGCCATTCTGGAGGTGATAGAAGATTGCTGGCTGGTTGTCAGAGAAAGTATTTGCGACATGGCAAGCGCGGGGTGCTTACTCGCGAGGTGAAAGGAAAAGAAATGAAAGTAGGGGAAAACGTATATCTGCCTCCAGGAGAGAGATTAGATTATCGCGACAATGATGCAATATCAGTTTGACTTACTGGAGCACGATGATTGACAAGTTTAAGAGGGCAAGGGAAAGGGAAGTGGGAAAGGAAGAGGCAAGAGAGATATCAACGGCAGAAACTCGCCCCACAAAGGCGGACAATCTATTTTGCGTCACCTGTTTGAAAGGCCGCGTTCGATGAGCTTCTAACCTGCTTTTTGTCAAATTGTTTGCTCAGAAAACCACTGGGAAAAAGAATTACAATGGTAGGATTGATTGAAATTGGCAAAAAAGTGACTATCGGCTAATAAGTCCCTGCAGGGAAACTTGAAGCAAGATTTGTCGCACGATACGCCGTGTCATCCGCGTGCTGTATGCTTGGTCTTCTCCTAGGGTAGTCAAATAACATCATGCTGACCAAGATTCCAGTGTGCTATTCAAAGTATATTCATACCCAGAGATATATATTCTCAAAATTTAACATTCCAGATACTAATTGAAGCAGATTGTCTAAACAAGAATTCCTGGCAAGAGGATAAATGCCAGGGCCTGATCGACGCTCTATACGAATGCTGCAACGCCTTCTACCAGGAACGAGGGGATGATGCGTCAGTGGTTAGCTGCCCTAAAGCACATCTACTACGCTTAAAGATGAAACAAAGAGCACAAGCAGCAGAGAAGCAGGAGAATTGAGATGGTCAAGAATTTTGAGATTGCATTGTAAATAATATGGTATTGGCATTGGCATGTACCAGCCCCTTCAAGCTAAGCTCCCATCAGAGGAAACTAGACTATTTGTAAGGACAGGCAGTTTTTCTAAGACAATCTTGAGCACGCAGAGAGGCCTCAAGGACCTGAACAAACATTGAATGGATTCGTTCCGAGACTCTAATGAAAGCCTATAGACATTTGTGGAAAAAAGAAAAAGAAGAGGAAAGAAAAAAAATTTGTTCAGTTTAAATACTAAATCCCGTGCCGACTAAGCTAAACTACTTTGGGTTGAACGCGCCCTCCAGCCAAAAGAGACAAACATCCACTGCCCTTTTCTCTTCCATCAACAACAGGAGCTAACACATCATGGCTCCCCTCACAAGGTCTTCTCGCACATTGAGGTCGCAGGTTCGTTTCAATCCAATCTGTCTTTTTCTTCCATTAACATTTTGACCAGGTTCCGCCGGCGCCCAAGACCTCGGAAATTATCAATATCGACGAGGACGGCGAGGATCGCATGGAGGAAGATGACGCCTTTGAAGATGAACAACAACTAGAGGATGGTACCAAGGAAGAAATGGAACAGGATGAGATGGACGAGGAGATGGACCATACCAATGGCGATGCTTCGGAGGGAGGATCCGGCTTCCCAGTTTTGGAGCCCAGTCTGAAATCTATGACGGGCTTGTCAGGTAGATCTCAAGGTATGTTGTAGTGGAAAGACTTCCGCTTCTTGTTTCTCTTCCTACTTGGAATGGTCTTTAGCTCATGAATTAGACTCGCCGAAGCTGTTCACCGCTGCAGGCGCACAGGAAGCTCTTCACCCACTCCGCCGCACCGCCGACCGTGTAACCCGTCAAATCGAGGCCTATGCCGACAAGCTGGATCAATTTAAGCGAAAGAATACAACCGACGAATTTGAGAGTATCCAAGCAGCGTTCACGCTAGTCGAAAGCTACCGGGAGCTTGCACAAAATGGAATCCAGGACCTCGTCAAACAGCAAACACTGAAGCGCGCAAAGGCGGGATACCGCCAGAGTGGTGCGAACGAGGCGAGAGATGAGGAGGACGTGGCCCGCTTGCAGTACGAGGCTGACACCTGGCGCCTGCTTCTCAATCTCATCAGTATCGACGACCCGGCCAGTCGCGCAAGCTACACAGACGGACAACGAACAGCATTCCAGAACCTACACAGATACTCGTCAGATCGTGAAATCTGGGAGCAATTTCTTAATGCTGATCAGTATGCTCTGGAGTGTGTTCTTTCAATGCGATGGCTGGAGGAGACGGCAAAGACAGGACCCCAGGATCTGGACGTTTTGATCGCCGACATGGAAGCACAGGCGGAAAGAGGCCAGGGTCTGTGGGCTCATGGATGGTTGTTCACGAAGGAAGCTATCAAGGGACACAAGCGACTGCGTGCTTGGCCGCAACCATTGGAGCCGAACGACCCGAGTATCACACGCTCTCTATTGAGCAACGACCGGCAACAGCCCTTGGTAACGCAGCTTGACCCGGATGCTCTTACCCGCCAGAAGCACGACCTTCAACCCCAAGATGAGTTCTTTGAGCGAGCCACATGGATGACTTGCTGGAAGATGCTCAGACAGGGTGAGAATTGGACCAAGATTCGGGAATGGGCACAGAGCCGTCTTGAGGGCTGGAGGGCTGTCAGTCTATGTGGTTCCAGCGTTGACTCAAACACTGCCAAAACGCGGACGCCTGTTGACGATGGAATGACCCGATTGATGAATAGCAACTCCCACGACTCATGGCGTGCTGCTTGCTCTGCTCTGACGCGCAACCCGAATACCGATGAGTTCCAGCGGGCCGTTTATGCCTTGCTCTGTGGTGAATCAGAGCCCGCAAACTTGGCCTGCGGCACCTGGGACGATTTCCTTTACGTGTACTTCAACAAGGTTGTCCTTTCACGCTACCGTGGTTTCTGTAACCAGTTCAAGCACAAGCTCAGCCACTCTCCTACAACCCCTGTCACATTCAAACCTGAGCCAGCTGGTCATGCCGACCTACGGAAGTTCATTGAATACCTACGGGGCAACGAGCGGGTCGGTCTCGAGGCACGCAATCCCTTCCGCAATCTCCAGGCTGCGATTCTCAGCAAGGGCTACGACTCCTACTTTTCATTATTCGCCAAGGCGGTCTCACAGATCAACATCAGCCACTATGGGGCGTCCTCTATAGTTCCAGCTGTCAATGGCTTAGAAGTAGAGGAATCGTTCCTCATCGCTGCAGATAACGACGAGGCCTTGAGAATGGCCGCGCACGTTTATCTGGTTGTCAAATCCATTGGCTATGCTTCTGTCGACACCCAATACCATGAGACTGCTTCCGTTATGGTGGCAGGATACATTTCCAATCTGGAAGAGAGGGGTCTATATGATCTTATTCCACTTTATGCTTCGCTCCTTCCGACAGACATGTGTCACAATGTTTTCTCAAGGATTTTGATTGAGGTCACCGATCCGCATGACCGAAAACAGCAGATTCGGCACATGAAAAAGCATGGAATTGATATCGACGCTGTTCTCGATACTCAATGGTCGTGGCTTACTGCTGGTGTTTCTTCAATTGAACATTCCAGCGGTGTTACTGGATACTCTCGAGTAGTGCGGCGACCGGACGGCACCCGAGTCTTGATGCCGCCAAAGAAGGACTTGATCGGTACTTCTATTGCAGATGAGGATGAGAAGATGATCCGCAGTTTGGAATGGCTTCGCTCTGCAGGTGGCCAATGGGCTAAAATCTGCAAGCTTGGAGCTTGGCTCTACCGCAAATTCTTTGGTAGGTTTATTCGCCCTCTACTTTTGCCTTGATACTAACATGTGTAGTTGCTGGTAAACTTGCTGCGGCTCGGGAGTTGAGCCATCGGATGAATCTGTCACATGTGTCACAAGAAACCTTTGGTTTAGACATCTTTGAATTTCCTGTCCTTGATCACCTGATTCAAGATGATTCTGCGCCAACTAGTCCATCCAAGTCCAAGAGAAATAGCCTCCATCGCCGGAGCCTCTCTAGCAGCAATGGGATTTTAAGTCAAGACAGCGGTGCTTACCAAAAAGCCACCCGCATGTACAACCTTGAAACTCTTGCCCTTGGATTTAACGCGCTGGAGCAGTTTGCTCTTGCTTACGACCAAATCTCCAAGTAAGTGCATTCAATCTGGTCTTCGATACGATCTAACCGCAATTTAGGACCAAGCGTCGACGGGATTCAGGCACGGTCAAGGATTCTCTACTTGATCTTGCGTCCTTGCTTGAGGAAGTGGAAACAAATGTGGGCTTGGTTGTAGAGGAATGGCTTGTCACAGCCACTGACGGTATGTCTTTTTCTCCGATAATGTGTGTACCCTGCTAATACCATGACAGCGGAAGAGGAAAGCGATTACGAATACATTCGCCGAACCTACCTCCCAGATCTAATTCTGGATTACCATAACGCTCTCTACTACGCCAGCCATTCACTCGAAAAGCCCTTCCTGCTCACACAATGCATGAATGTGGCCATCTGGGTCGCCAGCACCCCGCACCTGACCCGCAGCTTTACCGAGTCAAAGCGTATGGCTGAGCTTATGGACGCCCTGGCCTTGTCCAGCAAGGCTATGGTCCTCACCGACCCGAAGGAAGATCGGGTTTACGACAATGGGCAGACATTGGGCATCTGGCGGGTGACTGCACCAGATAATGATGAGGCTGTGTTCGAGCCACGTAAGTGAATTGTGGGACTGTAATCATGTGTACAATAGCAGCCCAGGTGGCAAGCAACATTTGAAGGGTCGGATCGTAACCCTGGGTTTGGAAATCAGTGGGCCGGATTTATTCACGTGCGGGATTTAGAATTACAATGCACCAATAACTGCAATTTGCCATAACTACAGTCCATTGGGCGCATTAACCAATTTATATGCTGCCCAAATTAATTTTAACCTACCAGGAACTTTGAGTAATACTTTGATCACAGGGCAAGAGGACCATTTAGCGAGAAGATTAAAGCTACTACATAGAGACATTAGAGAAGAGATGAATGGAAGAGAGAAGCAACACAGGAGTCTATATCGAACACCAACCCTCCTTCACTATAGACACCTCATTTTTCAAGCTCTGCTGATATGTGCGTGCCTCTGTCCCATTCCGTAATTCTGTATGTAATGGTCCAGGACAGTCATTCTCCAGACCTTCAGGACTAGGTAAGCCTAGACTGTTTCCATGAGTATATTGATTAACGTTAAGGTATATCTGGATCCCCGAGCTCTTCGACACTCTCAAGCCAGCTATCAACGTGCATTTCTTTGCCTCCAGACCATTATATTTCCATAAAGGAATCCGCATCGCTAGGCCCTGTCATATTACTTATAATACTAAGTTGCTTTCTATTGCGCTTAAGTTCATAATTCTATGGCTTATGATAGACCCTACTCCTCTTCAAGACGAAGTAAACTTGTTAAATGCTATCCATATCTCCTATGTGAAGAATTACACCTTTAACCCTTTACCGTTTCGCGTTTGGCGTTTTCCACTTTCTTAATTTTTTATTTAGTTGATTGCTTTATTGCTTATTTGTTATTGCTTATTTGTTATTGCTTATCTGATTGCCTTGCTAGAATACGGGCCTATATCAGGGGGATTTTCTATAGATTGGTCTCCTTCTCTTCTTCATGTTCTCTTCTCCTCTCTTCACTCATTGTACTCTCGTTCAATGAAAATTGAGCTTCTGCTGTTTTCATGATCGTGTCACATTCTATTCTCAAGCTACCATATCTATCAAATGTCAACTTCAAAACAGTCTCCGCGGAGCACGTAGAAATTTCCCGCCTTGGCCTCGAATCTTCAGCTCCAGCAGAAGCAATCATTTACTAATGTGAAGCACCTGGCTTCCTACAATTGGATCGAAGCCTCCACGCCAACCATCGCTGTCCCTGGCAGTCCAGCTCGGTGATCTCCTCCACAAGGGCCCCGACGGGTGAAGAAAGATAGTGGCCTTTTCATATCGCTCAAAATGCTGCTCGTTATCCTGATAATCCTCTGGAGCCGCTATTCCGCTCCCTTTACATTGAAAATCCCTCGTTTGACATCAACTCGATGGATGTCGTGGCAGACCGAAACAATATTCGTAAACTTCTGTCCTTTGTCAACCCCACTCTGAGCAGAGTCAATCTCGATTCATTCACTATCCCAGTGGATATGGCCGCTCAGACTGCAATCTTCTGCCGTGATGAGACCGCCACCTTCGAAGTTATTGGCTCAGGCGAATTCCGGGGCTTTGGGCACGAATTCGAAAATTCATATACCATCAGCCAGCTCAAAGATGGTGCTGGGCACCACCGTATCATTTCGTACCAACTCGGTGGTTTGAATATTCTTATTCGCCATGAGACAGACGGATATGTTGGAGATTCGAACCCTGGCTTGAAAAATACATCAATAGGGGATGATCTTACAAATGCTCTCAAGTCTTTATCCCTTGCGCCGTAAACTCAGTCCTCGATCCAGCCCTCCATGATCAAGTCTAAACTGGCCATTAAGAAGGAAGGTCATGTAGTACCACGAGAATCAACCCTAAAGATCAAAACTCGGGTTTTCCACAAGCCTCTAGAGCTAAAGGCAGTCGCGGTGCAGCTCTGGGTTTCCCAGATACCGAGCCTCGTCTGCGCCTACCATAACCGTGGAATATTCTCCAAAAGCGGAAGATGTCGCCGATGCGCTGAAGCTCTGGGAACAAGACCACCAGGTTGATATCAGGAAACTGGTTGCACTCATCAATCGCATTCTACAGGTGACAAGAAATTGGAGTGGGAGTTCAACCATTCGATACGATCCTCTAAAAGAAAAACTAGTGATCATCAAGATTAAGAGAAGGAAGATGCTGCCGGATGATCTTTATTCTCGATGGGACAAAGACATCCCCGTCAATGTCACTCAAAAAACCTCTGCGCATCCTGAGAGCTCTACTGTAGCACTTGACCAGATGGAAGAGCAACTTCAACTGATGAGCCAGAACCTGCTCATGTTTTAAAATTTGTCATAAATTCCTGAAAAAGAATCTGAAGGATAGAACTTGTGGTTTTTTTTCTTTTCTTTGGGAAGTCAACCCTCAGATTTTTCTTGTCATCTTCAACTTTAACCTCGAATCTTTCCACATCCAGAATTTCAATCAAAATTCCGAGTCATAAAATTCTATAGAATCATTATGATTTGAAGTTTTAGTGCTTCAATATTTGTAAAATTTCCATACAAATATTACGAGATAAAGGTTAGAGTTGATGGACTTTGCCATTTTGGCGGTGAAACCCAAAGTCCCATATAAATATCCACATTACATTCACCACTAATAAGTATCTCAAAACATGTGAAAACACGTAAACTTGACAAGTGGCGAAGTAATAAAGAAGATAAATAACCTATCTTAATTGGTAGAATGGATATGGAATGTTTATGAATTTCGCTGTATCGCATTCGTTTGAATTTTGTGACTCGTCAGTATTGTTACTCTTCAACTCAAGTTCCGTTCCGAAGATCGTCACCAGGTCAATATTGTGTTGCTCAATCAAATCACTCATATGGCTCCATCAAAGTATTTCCCAACACCTTGGCGGGAAAAGCCTCCTCCCCTAGCGCCGTCGTATGCGCCCACGGCTTAAGTCCGTTTTCCCGACGGATGGTCGCGGCGAAGCAACCGCTCCAGTGGTGACGCGGGAAATGTGCAGAAACGTCCTTGATGGTATCTGGATGGACAAGATCGGCATATGTGCCGGTGTTATCTGTACGAAAGACGATCAGTCAATCGCTCCACTCCGAAAGAAAAAACCTCTAAAACCCTGAGTGACAGAGAGAAAAAGAGAAAAATTCAAGTTGGTACTGTAAAAGGATAAAATCCTAGCGCCGCAACATGAACCGTCGGCTAACGGTACGAAGAGATTACCCCAAAAGACCAAGGAAATACCAAGAAAGTACCAAGAGTGGCAGTGCAATACTTCTCGGTGTTTCTTCAACTTGCCGGATAAGGATAAGGACATGTGTTCCAAACTTTGAAATGTGACTTACCAAAGATTGTCGCAAGTTGTAGTAGCTGTCCCACGGCAGTTATCTTTCCAACCTGGCACAGATCCTGATGCCGGATGATAGCCTCCGCCACAGACTCCGCCTGCTCTCGAGGCGCGGACCCACCTTGCTCTTGGAGTAGCCGCAGCGCCAGGAACCCGCCAAAAAACTCAAAGCTCAGATGTGTGGCGTGGAGGTTAGTTTCGGTTGTACCGATGTCGTGCAGCACGCAGGCGAGAAAGTATGTTTCGTCCGAGAAGGCCCAGTCGGAGAAGGAGAGGCGGTGTTTCTTGATGGCGAGGCCGTAGTGGTATACGCGGAGAGAATGGTTGTAGGTTGGCTCGGGAAGATGGGCTTTGGCGTAGCTGTTGATACGCTGGGCCAGAGGAGTGGTGGGGATGGGGGTTTCGGTGACGGGGATTGGGGGTGGGTTGGCGTGGAGACGTGGGTATTCTGGCGTTGAGTTTAGAAGGGCTTCGGCCGAGGCGGGGACGGCTGTGAAGCCATATTCGGTGATTGGATTCATTTTGGAATGAAATGTGAACTGGTCAAGGTCAAGGTCAAGGTCAATATGAGATAGATGACGATTTCGAGTACTTTGAGTTTGATTTATATCTGTGGTATGACTCATGTGCTTACTCTTACTCGTATAATCTCATGTCTTAGGTATTGTCTATTTAGGGATCGAGTGCGGAATCAATTTCAGAATAATCCGAGTGGTACAGTCAGATAAAGCTGTTCAAGATGTCACCATGAGGTCTACTATATCAGGTGGAGTCTGGATGTACGCCCTTGCTGGGTCCAGATATATTGCTAGGGAAGCTATAGTTCGTTTGATAACGATAAAAGATTGTTACATTGGGTAAACGTGAATCATGCATAATTCGACGCATGATAAACCCGATCAAGCTTCGAATTGGGTGAAAAGTGCCAAGTGGACCCAATGAATCTTGGAGACGTCATCACCAACCAACGGTCAAGCATGGGGAAACAAGAACAAATCGAGAGCCCCTATTCGCTCTCCTGCCTCTGGACCTCCGCAGTCCCGGTCCCGGGGCGATTGTCTTGGCGAAGAGGCAGTGCAAAAATTGGCGTATTTGCCTCCCTTTTACTCCGCCGGTTTTCCGATCCATTGTGGGCTTTCACTCCCACCTTGATTAGTGTCACCTAGTGTTCCATGAACAAGCGCATCATTCGATAGATGGTCGATAGGTGCTTTATCTTGATAATCTCATTCTTGGGGGCTGTGCTAAGAAGTGGATACATCAAGCGGGTACGGAAAGAGGAAAACAAAAAACCCAAAACAATTATTGGAAGTCGAGACCCGTGTGGATCTAAAGGGGGCTTCTTGGTCTGATTGTTTGTTCTGTGGCGCCTAACCCTCCTGCTTTTGGATCTCCCTTTCTACCCTCTTTTCCCCCTGTCATAACTTCCAGTGATCTCACCACTTTGGATCTTGATTGAATTCTGGGCCCATGGAAGCTACATCTCCCCTGAAGCTCTGTGACCATTCAAGCTCGACTTGAGTTACAAGCGCAACATACATTCTCGGATTTGATCCACCCATCCATGCAAAGGCTTGCTGTCAAGGTGCCGCTCGTCTAAACGGTGATCCGTTTTGACTATCACCATGTCTGAGCCCATTCGAAATGACGAGCTTACACAGCAAGGCGCGACACCCCTGCGCAGAGAACGAGCACCTACAATCACCATCGATACCTCCGCGGTGAACTCTGAAGAACCTCCGCTCCAACTTCTTTCCAGTCCTCCTCAACCTTCGCTAAGAATCTGCACCGATACTGTCGAGTCGGACACGAACGCTCTAAGCCCTTCCAGTAATGCCTCCCCGACAGACCTGCGATACAGCGCGTCCATCCGCTCCAATGCCTCGTCAGAAGGCCGAGATCGCGAACGAGAGGACCGGCCAACTTCACCCCATAATGTCTCATCACCAAAGTCCAAGGCCCCCGAGGTCCATTCCAACTTCCTGGCCGTACCTGGAACACGGTCTCGCGGCAACTCGTTGGAGTCGGAGGATACGGGCCAGTCATTAAGCACCTATGGCGGAGATACCTTTGTGCCCACATCTCAAGGCTCGCGATCGGATCTTACGAAGAATAATCATAATATCGACGACCAGGATGCGCTTACTCCGGATCCAGGTCGTGAAGATGAGTTCCAGGTGGAAAATAATAAATTTGCCTTTTCTCCGGGCCAGTTGAATAAACTACTCAACCCCAAAAGTTTCGCTGCATTCCGTGCTCTTGGTGGAATTCGCGGCTTGGAAAAGGGGTTGCGCACTGATGTGCAGAGTGGTCTGAGCGTGGATGAGACGACACTGGACGGAGCTGTGGCTTTCGAGGATGTAACCACATCCGGTCCTGCGACGAAGACATCATCCCCGATAGTCCCCTCGACAGTGCCCGCGGCTGGCACAGATACAATTGTCACGGAATCAGACCAGTCATTCGGAGATCGTCGACGGGTATTCGGAACTAATATATTACCAGAGAGGAAATTGAAGACCATTTGGGAATTGGCTTGGATTGCCTACAACGACAAGGTGTTGATCCTGCTGACGATCGCCGCCATTATCTCTCTGGCTGTCGGTATCCCACAATCCCTGCACCCCACGGATGGAGAACCAGGCGTGGAATGGGTAGAGGGTCTGGCAATTCTGATCGCTATTATCATTGTCGTCGTGGTTGGCGCGGCCAATGACTGGCAGAAAGAAAGACAGTTTGCGAAGCTCAACAAGAAAAAGGAAAACCGCCTGGTGAAGGTTATTCGGTCTGGGAAAACAGTTGAAATCTCGATCCATGATCTCGTCGTTGGAGATGTCATGTATCTGGAGGCGGGCGACATGGTCCCCGTAGACGGTATTTTGATTGATGGTCACGATGTTAAGTGTGACGAATCCTCGGCTACTGGCGAGTCGGACCTCCTGCGGAAAACTCCCGGTGCTGAAGTCTACCGGGCGATTGAGCAGCACGAAGATCTTCGGAAAATGGATCCATTTATTATCTCCGGTGCAAAGGTCTCCGAGGGTGTGGGCACATTCTTGGTCACCGCGACAGGTGTGAATTCCACCCATGGCCGAACAATGGTGTCCCTCCAGGAAGAAGGAGAAACGACTCCACTGCAAACCAAGCTCAACAAGCTGGCCGAGTACATTGCCAAACTGGGTCTAGCATCTGGATTGCTGTTGTTTATCGTGCTTTTCATCAAGTTTCTCGTTCGACTAAAGAACATTGAAGGCGGTGCCGATGTGAAGGGCCAGGACTTCCTCCAGATTTTCATCGTTGCCGTGACCATTGTCGTTGTTGCAGTTCCCGAGGGTTTACCGCTGGCGGTCACACTCGCTCTCGCTTTTGCGACGACAAGGATGATTAAAGATAACAATTTGGTTCGTTTCCTTAAGGCTTGCGAGACCATGGGAAATGCCACGACTATCTGCTCTGATAAAACCGGTACTCTCACTGAAAATAAAATGTCCGCTGTTGCGGCCACTCTGGGCACTACATCCCGATTTGGTGATAAATCCACAGGCCCGGCCAGTGAACGATCTGGTGATGTTTCCGCTGCGGAATTCATCGCAACCCTCTCGCCATCCGTCAAGGACCTTCTTCTCAAACATATTGTTTTGAACTCGACCGCCTTCGAAGGAGAGCAGGATGGTGTCAAACAGTTTATTGGATCTAAGACTGAAACTGCACTATTGTCTTTTGCGCGCGAACATCTTGGGATGGGACCCCCTGCCGAGGCTCGGGCTAGTGCGAAGCTTACACAAATGTTTCCTTTTGACTCAGCCCGCAAATGCATGGCCGTTGTTGTTAAGCTTGAGAACGGCAAATATCGAATGTTGGTCAAGGGCGCCGCGGAAATTCTTATGGCCAAGTCGACCCGGATTATCCGTGATCCCACTGCCGAGTTGTCCGAGGTACCCATCACTGAGGAGAACCGTAACACATTGGATACGATCATGACAAACTACACATCTCGCTCATTGCGCTGCATCGCTCTTGTCTACCGGGACTATGAGCAGTGGCCCCCTCGCGGAGCCGCGACTCAGGAGAACGATCGCAATATGGCAGTGTTTGAGTCCATTTTCAAGGACATGTCCATATTCGGTCTGTTCGGTATTCAGGATCCGGTGCGGGCTGGTGTTGCAGAAGCTGTTCACACCTGTCAGCGTGCTGGTGTCTTCGTTCGTATGGTTACTGGTGATAACATTAACACGGCCAAAGCCATTGCTCAGGAATGCGGTATTTACACACCCGGTGGTATTGCCATTGAAGGCCCTCAATTCCGTAAATTGAGCTCGAAGCAAATGAACCAAATCATCCCGAGGTTGCAGGTTCTTGCACGGTCCAGCCCTGACGACAAGAAGACTCTCGTGAACGCACTGAAGAAGCTGGGCGAGACTGTCGCTGTGACTGGAGATGGTACCAATGATGCTCAAGCTCTCAAAAACGCTGATGTTGGTTTTGCGATGGGTATTACGGGTACAGAAGTTGCAAAGGAGGCGTCGGATATTATCCTGATGGATGACAACTTTGCGTCCATTGTCAAGGCTATGGCTTGGGGTCGCACAGTTAGTGATGCGGTGAAGAAGTTCCTTCAGGTATGTATGCCCAAGATGATTACATTAATCGGTGACTAACTAGATCTAGTTCCAAATCACTGTCAACATCACCGCTGTCGTTCTTACATTCGTTTCTGCAGTTGCCAGCAGTTCAGAGGACTCGGTTCTCAGTGCGGTCCAACTGTTGTGGGTCAACCTCATCATGGACACCTTTGCTGCCCTTGCACTTGCAACGGATCCCCCATCGCCATACGTTCTTGACCGCAGACCGGAGTCGAAATCGTCTCCGCTTATTACTGTCACCATGTGGAAGATGATCATTGGACAAGCGATCTACCAATTGGTGGTGACTTTCGTACTGAATTTTGCCGGACAATCCATCTTTTCCTCCTGGGATGCGGACATCATGCAGACTGTGGTGTTTAACACTTTCGTCTTCATGCAAATCTTCAACCAGTACAACTCTCGCCGCATTGACAATAAACTCAACATCATGGAAGGAATTTGGCGCAACAAATGGTTCATCGGCATCCAAACTATTATCATTGGGGGTCAAGTCTTGATCATTTTTGTCGGTGGGCAAGCCTTCTCCGTCAAGCGTCTCGACCAAGGAAGCCAGTGGGCCGTCAGCTTGGTTCTCGGTGCTATTTCATTGCCTATTGCAGTGATAATTCGCCTTATCCCTGACTCGTTCGCCAGCAAGCTCGTCCCACAATTCTGGCATCGCAAGAAGACTGGTCCTGAGCTTGTTGTTTCCGATGAAGATCGGCGATACGAGTGGAACCCGGCTTTGGAGGAGATCCGCGATCAGCTTGCCTTCATCAAGACTGTTCGTGGTGGTCGCTTGAGACACATTCGTCATAAGCTACAGCATCCCCAGGAATTCCTGCCTCGATCCCGAAGTGGATCTCGGTCTCGGGAATCTTCCGTTCCTCCCACACCAACTGGTGACGATAACGGAAGCCCGCCTGCTCTGCCCGCGACCCCGGAGTCTCGCTCCCGACGGAACACTCGCTCCCGATCTAATTCAACTTTTGGACCCGCCGCTGCCATGGCCGGTATCGTGGCCGGCAGTATCGCCGGATGGTCTCCTATCGAACGAGGCCATGACGATGCCGACTCCATGACATTCCCCATTATGGGCACGCCTAGCGCATTGGATAATCAGCGGGGTATCGAAGTCCACCCCGATACAGCCGCCGATGACCGCGTCTTTAGCGAATACTCCGCCAATTCCAAGACACCACCCAGCCAAAACCCAGATCTCACCCCCTTCTTCGAACACGCTCCTACAACGGATCGAGCACCGTCCAGTCGCGGTCGCCGATCTCTTTCTCAGCGCTCTAGATCGAGTCTGAGTCCATCTCAGGTATAGCCGGGGGTTTCACGCATTTAAAATAAAAAAGCGCATACGTATGGGTGGCGTTGGTGTTTTCTCTTTTCTATTACCATATACCTGGCCTCTACTTATTTGTTCTCTCGATTTTTTTCCTTTTTCCTTTTGTCCCAGTTGAAAGATCTTGTGTTCTAAGTGTAATTTGGCATGTGGCGTAATGCCAGTCCCCATAGACCCTGCATAGCTTCTTTGCATTCCCTGGGCTGGGGTTTTTCAGATATTCAGGCGCAATCGGAGGTTATATTCTGCTTACCCAAACAATACCACTTTGATTCTGTGACAATTGATTCATGACCTTTGTAGAATCTTCTGTAGTCGTACCCTTATCTATCCTTGCTAAGCTAGATCTCATTAGTCAGAGACTGATCCTCTTTATATTATTTTCAGAAGAAGAAGATTGCAAATCAAGTCTCAAACATTTTTGGGGGCCATTTGAACTATTCACCGATAACCTCACCTGCTCGGCCGATAGCAACCGCTCGGCAAACTTGCCCCACCTTGTATATCAACTCCCCGCCGACAAATACTTACGAAGCTCTACAATCATCCAAAAAAGAACGTAACCAGGACTACCTGCTCAATCTTCATCATGGCTACCTACCCCACAAAGGAGGACCTAACAAAGTTCTACATCGGCAAAGACCTCGCCGATGTACCCAAACCAGCCGCGGTACTTGACGTAGCTATCATCCGACGACACTGCGAACGAATGAAGCGCACCGTGAAAGAACTAGGCGTTGCTTTCCGAGCCCATGTAAAAACTCACAAGGTACCCAATCTCCGCCACAGTATATAGCCACCACTAACATCAGCCAGACAATCGAACTCACCGAGCTGCAAGTGGACAAGACAAACCCCTCAGCCAATTTCATCGCCTCAACAATCCTCGAAATCGAAACTTTGGTCCCACTCCTACTGGACTTGAAAAAATCCCAGCAAATCAATGTCCTCTATGGTATCCCACTTGTCCCTTCGCATGTTACCCGCCTCGCGGAATTGGCCGCAATGCTAGGCGAAGGTAGTATCGCCGTTATGATCGACCACCCGGACCAGGTGCCCTTCTTGAAGAGATTTTTTGAGATCGCCCATTTCCCTGTCTCGGTCTTTGTGAAGGTTGACACGGGATATCACCGTGCTGGTCTTCCGCCTGTTTCTCTGAACAAGAATGGATTACTGGAGAAGCTTGCCGAAGCGGAAAAGGAGGGGTATGTTTTTCTTTTGGGGCTTTATTCGCATAGCAGTTTGAGTTATGGGGCGAAGACTGCTGAGGAGGCGATGGGGTATTTGTCTGCTGAGATTCGGGGGTGTAGGGATGCGTTGGGTCGGTGGAGGTATCTTCTTCCGAACAGGGAGTTGGTTGTTAGTGTTGGGGCGACGCCGCAGGTTTCTTCTTCGAATAACCTTGTTCCGGAAGCTGGGGGTGCGAGTTCGTTTTCTGTGGAGGCGGAGGAGTTGAAGGGTTTACTGCAGTCTGACTCTGAGGTGAGGATCGAGTTACATGCTGGGAACTACCCGGTTTTGGATATGCAGCAGGTTTCTACGCATGCGAGGGATGGAGCGGGGAGGCTGGAGGATGAGATTGCGCTTTCGGTTGTTGCGGAGGTTTGCAGTGTTTATAATGATGGGGAGAGGGAGAAGGCGGAGGCTCTTCTTGCGGCTGGGACTCTGGCTTTGGCGAGGGAGCCTTGTGGGAGTTATCCTGGGTGGGGTGTGCTTTCTTCTTGGGGTTTGGGAAAGGAGGTGGAGGCTTCGAGGTTGATTATTGATCGGATTAGCCAGGAGCACGGGATTGTTGCTTGGGAATCTGGGGATCAGAAACGTCTCCCGTTGAAGATTGGGCAGCTTGCGAAGGTCTTTCCAAACCATGCTTGTGTGACTGGTGCATTTTACGGGTGGTATTTTGTCGTGGATTCGGATCGTGATCCTGGTGCTTCCAAAATTGTGGACATTTGGGTTCGAGGAAGGGGATCATCTGTGACTGATCCGCTACTGGCTACAAGATACCAGTAGTCAAGGAATGGTTAAAGGCAAGTTCAGGCAATTCCTACACATCATGAAAGAAATACAATAAATTTGAGATGGGAAACCTGACATGGCTGAAAATGCAAACAAAAGAAATACACAATGCTTCATTCAAAGTGACGACGTCTATTAGGAATATCAATGGGGGCTTCTGTATGGTTCAGATAATACCCAAAGCAAGCCTCCCGGTAATTAGCCCTCTTCTTAAGCTCAGGTATGCCAGACAAGAACTTGTCTAGTGCACAGAATCCGTTCGTAGAATCTTCGCAGCCGATCACACCAGTCAGTGGTAACGGCGAATCATTCAACAGGAAGCGAATATACTTGGTAGTGTCCTTGGTGGACTCGAGAACAGGGTTGGAGTAAAGGACTGGGTCCAATGAATCGAAAGTGACATCATTGGGGCAGGTCCACATTTCTGTCATAAAGCGAGCGCCAAAAGGCGTGGCATCGCTGACTTTGAATGTATGGTCTGGGGCATGATCGACATTCCCAGGTAATCCTGTCTCGCTCGAATACTTGAAGTACTCAAGATTCAACGCGGCCATCACAGATACAATGATATTGTCATGAGACATGTCCATATAGAAGGGTTGTCCCAGAGGAAATGTTTCAACATTGTTATCGTAAGTGGAGTTGAGGCTGGTATCACTGGAGGGGATAAGCTTCTCCTCCAGACGAGCAGCAAGTTCCATGACGTAGCCAATGCCCTGAGCACGGCCCACGGGTGAACTGAAACCGTAGTTTCCGTAGTACTGGATGTCCAGGCTGTAGGCAAAATCCTTCCACTCCTGTTCAGTGAAAAGGGAGCAGAACTTTGAGCCAGCCAGACTGGTCTCCTCGTAAACACAAATGGTTTGCATAGCAAGGACATCCATAGTGGTTAAATCAAAATCAGGAGGAAGATAAGCGGACAGACGAGAGCGGGCATCCTTAAGATAGCGGGCAACAAAAGGCTTTGCCGTTTCATCTCCGTTGCTTTGATCACCCGGACCACCTGGGCAGGAATAGTAGGAAGCCAGTGTATTGTTAAACAAAAGCTGCTCGGGAAGAACAAGAAGATCATATTGGTCATAGGAACCATGAGCGCCTCTGTCACCAAAGAAGCCACCTGTTCATTGAGATCAGTACATTTATTCTCATACGGGCCTGAAAACTTACTGAGCCACCAACGTGCACTCTCCAAAATGCGAGATTGATCCGTAGTGCGGAAGAAGGGCTTCGGACGGGCAGTGCCGTTTGGGAAAACATTCAAGGATGCGTTCCACGCAACAACATTCTCAGGAGTGGCACGGTACAACAGTCTACCATACTGAAGCCAAAAATTGGCACCGGAAGTAGCTTCGGTAGAGGCTCCCGTCCTCATCAGCTCGTCCAGGCCAACGACATACTTCCAATCATTCAGAAATTCCAGAGGTCCAGTCGCCTCAATGCTCCCGTTTAGCTTTTCAGTGAACTTCTGAATGACCTGGCCATCCATCGGCATACCAGTTGGGTATCGCTGAGCATGGCGATGCAAGATGTGGACTTGAGAAAGCTCACTCCGTTCTCCTTTGGGGACACCCTTAGGAACGCCCCAGTCAGCACTTTTGTAGGGAGTGAGTTGAGCCCAGCTCTTGGTCATGTCAAAACCAGATTCAAATCTGGCTCCAGTCGGTGTGGGTGCAGGGCTAGATGAGCAGTCCTTGTCTGGTGTGGCGGGTGTGGCGCCGAAGAGCCTCCCGACGGATGAATAGGGCCATGTGTTCGCATAGGTCCAGAGAATAATGAAGATAAACACAGCAGAGATACTGGCAGAAGTAAGCCAGCGCTTTCTTGGGCTCCCCCCAATTCTCATATATTCTCCCATTTTGTTGTGGAAAGGGAGTGAGATCAGTGAGTTCATGACTCCATATAACTCCGCAATCCGCCCCCAATTTCCGGATTATCATTCTTCCAGCACTCATTCGGTCAATTAACAAATGATCAATAATCTCATGGATTTTTTGTTTCATCTATCTTTTACATTGGTTGTCCGTCATTATTGTAAGAGGTCAGATATAATGGGAGGCGAGTGCATGTATATGATTGGATAGATGTAAAGAGAAGCCTCTCTGGAGTGAGAGACGTGGAGATATGCCCGTCGAACAACTATTTTTACTGGTGAACAATATCATGCACATGAACATGGAAAGTTTTGACTTGGATTTTGCGCGAAGAAATTCTACGGGACAATAGCAGAAGATCAGCTCCAGCATGTTTGTCGCTTCTTTAAGAAAATCTGTGCTGAAACGGTGTAGTTATCAACTCCTTTAATATACAGTGATCTGGCTGGCCTTCAATATATCATAGTATCTTATTAGTATTGGTAGGCTTAGGTTGTACATTATATACATAGAGAAAAGTACCTATGAGTCCCTTACAGAAACAGAATACTCCACCTCTTTCCGAATAATCATCCTCACGCTCCCATCACTCCCACTGCGTGTGCTGTCTCCCAAATGTGCTGACCCAGTCTCACAGACAATTGTCCCACTCTCCATCGCATCACATATATCCATCCTCTCTCTGACTACAGTTACGCGCCCGGGCCGCTCCTTTAATCTCTTCATTTCGTAATCTCGCGACCGCCCCGACGCCTACAGGTCTGCATTCTTCCATCCCCCGGGCCCATACAAATACCCGTAGCAGTAGCCGTAGCTACTACTGGTATTTAGATTAGCATTGCCAGCTATTCCGTAGTATGTTGTGAGGGCTTTCATGAAAGGGTTTAGGCAGAAGACCGTGCATGCTATCAAGGCGTAGTTGAGATGGAGCTGGGTGTAAAATGTGTCGTTGATTCCGATTAAGGTGGGGTTCTTCGTGGCTGTGTAGCTTTTGAGGGTGGAAAGATGGAGGGCGGAGAATACTAATAGCCTATCATTTAGATACATGTTAGCTTCATGTGAGATTTAGGAGGAATGTTTGGGGAGTTGTACGGTAGTCTCCCCGCGAAGGATACCACGATCATAATTTTATGTGAGATGTGCATCTGCAGGCCCCTGACTAGCGCGATGGAGAAGGCATATAGAAAATATCTCGGTCAAGTTGTCAAGTGCTGTGATTGCTTGCCAACGGACTAACTTCCAAGGATGTCATTATTTCCGTATTGTTGAGGGCAGTTGACTGTAAGTGTAAACATACCAAATTATGACACTGCTCACCAGGTGCAGCCCATAGCTTTTTCCCTGGCCATACACATGCTATCTTCTTTTTATCACTCATCAATCACTATTGCGCCGTGTTTATTTAACAGGTTGATCTAAAGGATATACTCCCTAGGATTCCTGCTTTAAGAGCTTTATCTTACTGGTGATATCCATTTCCAGGACTAATTAATCTGCATAGATACAGGATCTTATCATGTAGAGTGGCTATAATCTCCGCCACTTCTAACTTATTCACATGCGAGTGGCGTAGCCTCAAACAACATAGTAAATGCGATAAAATACAACTCAGTATCTCAACAAGAGCAGTCTATAGAACTTTTCCTTGACTCCATTTGTTTTATGTGATATTTAGTGACTAGAGGGAGTTTCGGGAATATAATGGTTCAATTTACTCAAAGTTGATATATGCTTCTCATAATCAGTATCAATGTCTATCGGCAAGTCATGGAGCATATCAAAATTGCCGTTGAGATACTCAAGTATTGAATATAGCATTTACTATAGTATTTGAGAGTGCGCCACTCGCTTATGTGCGCCACTCGCTTGTGAAACACATTATCTTATAACGCTCAACTATACTAGACGCCACAGATAAATGATTAAATGTTTATAGCTCGTATCATTTATCTTACGTCCGTGTAGAATCTTATAGAATCTAAGGCAATCCTATCAATCGTCTTTCGATGAGGTAGATCTTGATAGAAACATTCATTACGCCACTCGAGGCCAAGCGCCCTACAAAGTGCTAAAAGTATTAGATACTACTTGAGGATCTATTTATCTCGCTTCTATTCTGCTTTAACCAGTAGCAAAAATACAGAGCAATACGAGCGTTTTCTCCCACGCTTATAAGTTACCACCTCGATTTAATATCTTAGTCGGCTTTCTAGTCGACCTAGCTTCACTATACTTGACCTTGATGTATGATTGACGATAACCATGTCAATCGCGGTAATAGAGACTCTAGAATACGAATAACATCGATATTTACTATTTGTCCAATAGTCATGACAACGTCATGATCATGAGACCCTATCCAAGAACCCTACATATATGGCTTAATATTTGATATGGAGGCAGAGTTCAATCCAGAACTTGAGAAAGTGATTGGGCATCATTTTCATGACCGAGGTTTGATGGAGGAGGCTTTAAAAGAGACTTGACCAGCATCAGCAGGAAATGAGCGGCTGGCCTTACTAGGAGACACAATATGTACTTGCACTTATGCTACTTCGTCGTCGGTACCGCGAAGGCAACACCACAGGTATGTCTACTCCTACCACAATGAGCATCGGGCTAATATAAAACAGGGCAAGGAACAAGTCTACTTCAGACTTACGCCTGCAACAGGCGGTTAACCTCTACGGCTAGAGCTTTGGATTTACAGATATTTATCTACCAAAGACTGGACCTTGAAAGGAGTGTACCAGATGGCACATTGGCTACCACGGTGGAAGCAATTCTTGGTGCAGTTTGGCTTGATTCCGAAGAAAGCGTACAGCAAGTGAACGAGATCATGGAGAAAATCAGCCTGTGTCCTACCTGATGTGCGGGGCATACCTTGAAAAGTGACAGTTTAATTCATCTATGCAATAATCGAAAAGTATATTCAAACACTTCGAGGTGTCGATATTAAAAATGTTAGGGATTACTTGTAATCTTACGTATCGGAACGAAGACTCATTACTAGCAGTACGGTCATTACGACGACGGTTCTGCCGGATATGTGATGCGGGCTTCCAATAGTCAACTCGGGTAACGTATTTCACAGGCGGGCACCGCACCCCAAAACACTATCGTAAAAGCTATTTTTGATAGCCCTATATATCAACAAACACTTCCTTATTTATATTGTACTATTTTTCGATAAACTTCAATAAGAATTTGTAATGATATATATCAATTTTAAATGGATTAAACTCCTACATTATCACGATGCCGGAAATTACATCATTCAACCCAAGAGATATTTTGTGGTTCCCAGATAATTAGATTTTCAAATTATTCTAGAATGACTGGATATCGTACAAAAAGAACTACTGTTCAAGGGAAAGTTCCTACAGGCCACTGTCGTTGAGATAATGAGTTGTAATTTATTGCATCTACTATGTGTTTTGGGGTGAGGCGCTCGCCCGGGAAATAAGTTAATGACTGGGGTGATATATGCAGTTGGTCATCCTCGCGGTCTGTTGGCTCGTGTTCGTGTCTGGTTGGCTGATGGATTCCCTAGGACGCACTTCGGGGGCGCTTGGGTGCTGCGCCCCTTTGGTCCGGATGCTAGTGGATAATTGCGAGGCTTTGCGCTCGCATTAGAGTCTTAGTGGGGTCCTCACTTACCTTGAACAGTATTTTACTTCATGACTGCCACAATATCGACGCCGAAGACCAGGAATCTACGAATACGACCCTTCACCTGGGATCTCCCTTGATGAGGTGCACCGACCGTGCAGCCGAAAATGTCGCTGAAATGTTTGGACCGCGATTCCTACCGGGTGGGATGGATATGCCCATTAGAGGTGGAACAGATTGCGGCAATGGAGATGCTAGACGAGGAGCACCCACCTCTTCCGCAACCAAGCGGGGACACAAACGTTTACAACCTGGGCAGCATCAACAACCATAACGTTGTCATCGCTGGTCTTCCTCGGGCAGGAAACTGCTCCGCAGCCACTGTCGTTACTCAATGAGGATGACGTTCCCAAATATCAAATATGGCCTGCTGGTAGGGATTGGGGGCGGCGTACCGACAACAACGGAACATGGAATGATCCGTCTAGGACATGTGGTCGTTAGTGAACCAACTGGTGTACACTCTGGAGCAATACAGCATGATCATGGAAAGGCGAAATCGGGTCACTTTGAACGCAAAGGTTTCCTCGCACCGCCGCCAACGGCCCTTCTTAACGCTGCGCGGGAAGTGGCTGTCCGGCGCCAACGGATGGATTATGATCCAATTTGGAAGAATATGGAGCGAATTCAAACCAGCCGTCGAGCGCTTCGTCGCTTTAAGTCTCCTGGCGCCGCGCATGACCATCTCTACCCATCAAATTACACACATAGTCAGCAAGGACTATCGTGTGAAGAAGGTGGATGTGACCCGAGGCAGCGTATCGAGCCGTCGACGGATGAGGAAGATGGCTCTTTTATATCCGTACACCGAGGTACAATAGCATCTGGGGAGTTAGTAGTAAAGGATGCTGAGATGAGGGATGATCTGGCGCAGGAGCATGGGGTACTATGCTTCGAAATGGAGGCAGCAGGAGCCCTTACCGATTCCCATGTATGGTGATTCGAGGCATCTCCGACTATTGCGACTCGCATAAGAATGACCAGTGGCATGGGTACGCAGCAGCAGTAGCGGCCGCTTTTGCACGGCAGTTATTCTTTCACATGTCCATTGAAGAGGCGCATCGGTAATCTCGCAGTTCTAACATTCATTGACATGAATATATGTTTATAGTTTGTTAACGTATTACTTAGGAATCCGAGTCCAAGACCAACCACTTTCGAGCTTCCACTTAACCTGTCCGAGATATCCGAAGTGACCCGATTCGTTGCACGAGAAGATCAGCTTAAGAGAGTAGAAGAGATTCTCGACACAACTATTGGACGCCGTACTGCCGTGGTGCATGGGTTGGGTGGTATTGGAAAGACGCAGCTAGCAATCGCGTATGTCAAAAGGAATCGGTCTCACTTTTCGGCCACTATCTGGCTAAATGCAAGAGATGAAACAGCGCTGAAACAGAGCTTTGCTCGCGCAGCTGAATGGATTCTACGCCACTACCCGTCTCTTACATACATTGCAAGTGCTTTGGAGAACCGAGACTTGGACGAAACGGTGAAGGCGGTCAAACGATGGTTGGACGAGCCGACGAACGATCGCTGGTTAATCGTCTATGATAACTATGATAATCCGTTATTCGGCAACAATACGGAAAAAGGCCTTCGCCACGCTTCATACGTCGAGGCAGATACAGATAAAGATGACGACAAAGATCTCACAAAAGCTTTTGATCTTCGAAAGTTCCTGCCCGAGACCGACCATGGTGCCATTATTGCGACCACGAGGTCCTCTATGGTAAAAGTAGGTCAGCCTGTTCACCTACGCAAGCTAGAGAATATAAATGATAGCCTCGAGATCCTGGCTTCTGTTTCTGGTCGTGAAGACTTAAGACAAGGTGCGTATCGAGCATATGGCCCGATGTCAAATACTAAAATCAAGCAGACCCCGTAGCCACTGATCTTGCGAGGCGGCTCGATGGACTTCCTCTCGCCCTCGCAACGGCTGGCGCATACTTAGAGCAAGTCTCTATAAGCTGTACCGAGTACCTCCAGCTATACCGAGAATCATGGCAACAATTGCAAAAAGAGACGCCCCAGCTGGCGGCATACGATCAAACATTGTACTCAACCTGGAATCTCTCGTACCAACACATTCAGCAACAGAGTCCAATTGCAGCTATGCTTCTCCGACAATGGGCATATTTTGCTAGTGAAGACTTGTGGTACGAGCTACTGAAAGATAGCGGCCCGGACCAGCCTGAGTGGCTGAGCACACTGACAGAGAATAAGCTCACTTTTCATAAAAATTTAAGACTACTGTGCAGCCACGGTCTTGTCGAAGCTGACGCGACTACCCCATTACAGCATGTGGAGTCACGAGGGTATAGCGTACACGGCTGCGTTCATTCATGGATGATTAATGTGTTAAACCAGGGGCTTGACATGGGTATGACCTGGATAGCAGTCAAATGTGTAGCGGTGCGTGTGCCTAGGCTAGACGAACATGAGTTCTGGCTCCTAATACGGCGACTTATTGCACATGCAGACAGATGTTTGGAGACAATAGATAATATACAAGTTAAAGAGGAGGCTGCAGAGGCTATGCATTCTTTGGGTCTCCTCTACGCGCATCAAGGCCGGCTCCAAGAGGCAGAGGCGATGTACGAACGAGCGCTGAAAGGCAAGGAGAAGGCCTTGGGACAAGAACACACATCGACGCTGAAAACCATCAACAACCTCGGTGCTCTCTACGCGGATCAAGACCGGCTCCAAGAGGCAGAGGCGATGTTTCAACGAGCGCTAGAAGGCAGGGAGAAGGCGCAGGGACGAGAACACACATCGACGCTGGATACCATCAATAACCTTGGTAACCTCTATATGAATCAAGGCCGGCTCCAAGAGGTAGAGACGATGTATAAGCGAGCGCTGGAAGGCTATGAGAAAGCGTGGGGACGAGGACACATATCGACGCTGGATACCATCAACAACTTCGGTGCTCTCTACATGAATCAGGGCCGGCTCCAAGAGGCAGAGGCGATGTACGAACGAGCGCTGGAAGGCTACGAGAAAGCGTGGGGACTAGAGCACACATCGACGCTGGATACCGTCAACAACCTTGGTAATCTCTACATGGATCAAGGCCGGCTCCAAGAGGCAGAGGCGATGTATAAACGAGCGCTGGAAGGCTACGAGAAAGCGTGGGGACTAGAGCACACATCGGCGCTGGATACCGTCAACAACCTTGGTAATCTCTACATGAATCAAGGCCGGCTCCAAGAGGCAGAGGCGATGTACGAACGAGCGCTGGAAGGCTACGAGGCGGCTTAAAGGGCGACCTCAACTTTCACCCATTTTCCTGCCTTGTACACTCTGCAGAACTTTGGCCTTCTATGCGAGAGGAACGGGCAGGTTGATACTGCTCGGCTGTATTACCAGCGGGCACTGGTGGGCACTGAGGCTGTTTGGGGCCAGCATAGCGAACGGTATTCTTGGCTTACCAACAAATTAAATTCTTTGGAGCGTGACACACATGAGGTTTCTGACAGAGAAGAGCCTGTTCAGACGAAAACAACAAACCGGGGGACAAGTTAGAAGAAACTGAGAGCCAAGCTCTCCGCTACGTATAAGCCTAAATTTTGAAGCCATGCAGCGAATCCAGAAGGGCCCTCTAGATAGTTCTTAGTCTCTCTTATGATATGGGTACGGGCTTTCTCATCATGATGCGAAATTTGAGTAGCACAGCTAGACATGCTGATTTACTCTCCGCAGGATTCTGGCACGTATCATGCACTTGTATAGGCCGAAGCAGCCATATACCTCCACCTAAATCGACGGAATCCCCTAGAACATCCGCGGGTTCGTGAACTTATACCGTCATAACGTGTTTAGTATCGTTCCAAAATAAAAAGGCTATTTAGTTATAGATGACGGTGGATTGAATTTATCAACCACTATCTTGGCAGTAGGGCTCTGACTTTAAGTTTCGACAGGTGTAAGGCGGAAGTAGATTTCGCTAATGACTGTAGTGTTTCCGTAAGTAAGCCCAATCTGTCAGTGCACTAGCTGCTGTTCTAAGCCCCCCGAGACTCGGAAAATAGCTATGGCAAAAAATTAGAGCACGGTTGCATCATCGTGCAGATTAGCGTGAACCGAGGCTTTGTGTTAATTATTGCTCCGCTATGCTTGTTATTGCCACGCTAGGAGTGGGAGTGCTTTGACGAGGGGAAAAACCCCTTGCATGAGAACCAGAGAATGATGCAGTATAATTGGATCTATCGAATAATAGAGTTGATAGCTGTCCGATTTGATTGGCATTCTATCTTCCTCTTTACCCTTACCCATCACCACAATGCCCCTCATCCCCATCGCCCTCCTCATCCTCACCTCGTACCTTTTATACCGCTATATTTTAGATCCCTATTTCCTCTCTCCGTTATCTTCCATCTCCAATGCTCACTTCACATCACCCATCTCCAGTCGCTGGATTGACCGCAAACGCAGTACAGTCACGGAAGTTCTTTCGATCTACGCCCTACACCAAAAGCATGGTCCCATCGTCCGTCTTGGCCCCAATGAGCTGAGCGTTAACTCTCTCCACGGCCTGAAAATAATATATACGGGAGCTTTCGAAAAACATGCCTTCTACAATGATGCCTTCGTCAACTTCAACACCGAAAACATGGTCGGCATGGTGCACAATGCGCCGCACGCGCACCAGAAGCGTATGCTGAGCAAGACCTACTCCAAGTCGTTTCTCCAGGAATCGAGTGATCTGCGTGCGATCTCGAAGACTGTGCTGTGGGAGCGCTTGATGCCTGTTCTCAAGAAAGCGGGGGAGGATGAAGAGGTGTTGAATGTGCTGCCGCTGTTCCAGGCTGTTGGAATGGACTTTATCTCCTCTTTCCTGTTTGGATTGAGAGGAGGAACAAGGTATCTGTTTAATATTCCCGAGTGGAAGGTGTGGTTAGAGGAGTATGAGCGGTTTAAGTTTTTAAGTCGGGAAAATCGGTATATGGGGTTTATTGAGCGATGGTGCCTGGGGTTCTGCGAGCGGACCGAGGCAGCTAGAGATGATGAGAAGACGCCATTTAACAATCCAGTCGTCTACAACCAGCTGCGCCAGAGCCTCCTTGCCCAGAAGGAACATGATCCGCGTCCGCTAAATCTGACAATTGCGTCTGAGCTACTGGACCACCTGGTCGCAGGCCATGAAACCACAGGCATCACCCTCACGTATATGATGTGGGAGCTGTCGCAGCGTCCGGAGCTTCAGGCTGAGCTGCGAAAGGAACTCCTCACATTATCTCCGTCTCTTCGATATCCAGACACCGACACAGACGGAGACGAAGGGGAGCCCCTTCCCCCTCCTTCCGCGATCGACGCACTTCCCCTACTGGATGCTTTGGTCCGTGAGACCCTCCGTCTTCACTCCCCAGCCCCAGCTCAACTACCCCGCATAACCCCCAAAACAGAAAACGGAACATCCCTTCACGGATACGACAATATCCCAGGCGGCGTGAAGATAAGTTCAAGCGCCTATTCCCTCCACCGCATTAGCGATATCTATCCACGTCCGTTTGAATGGCTACCACAGCGGTGGCTCGAGCCAGGCGACAAGATCCACGACATGAGGCGGCTATTCTGCGCGTTCGGTACCGGCGGACGCATGTGTTTGGGGAGTAATTTCGCATTGCAAGGTATGTCTACCAAGTTTAGGTTTTGTTGAAGATACTAACAATACAGAAATCAAATTGGTTATGGCGGCTGTGTATTCGAATTATACGACATCTATTGTGGATGATGAGGGTATTGAGCAGGAGTATGCGTTTATTGCGCTGCCGCGCGGGCGGAAGTTGATGTTGAGGTTTATTCCGGTTGATTGATGACGCGATATATGTACAGAGTATATTCAGCTACATATATACATAGTAGTCACCTTCCAGGCGTCCTGTTCAAACTAGCAGCCATCCCAGTCCAACATGGAAGTAACCCCATCAACTCCCACAAAAAATGGCCTCCGGCCCGCACTGTGGGACAGTATCGGACTTTGTGGCAAGTGATCAATAGGACAATAGGTCAATCAGTTCTTGGACTAGGGCTGTTTAGTCAGATAATTGTTGTATAGCCATAGTTTAAATTGAAATGTTCATATTTTGTATTATGCTAGCTCATTATATCAACAGCTCGCGTAGCTCAGTTGGTAGAGCGCGGCACTAGTAATGCCGAGGTCTTCAGTTCAAATCTGGACGTGAGCAATTTCTTTTTGCCTTGTGCCAATGGCTCCCTCCTTTGGGCCGATCATTATATATTTTTTTTTTAAAAAACCATTCAAAGATATTTCTCGAAATTATTGACGGTTCTACCGAGCCCCTGGAGGCATACGTAATCTTTGACGTTATGCCACGGCCATGACAACTCACCCACGCACCAAATGCAGGCTAGACCCACAAACATTTGAGACTTGCGCTTGGGCCCTCGGGCTTATCATTGGTTTTGATGGGCGGTTCACAATTCTTACTGCACATTCTCTGATGGGCTTTTTGCCCTTCAAGTCTAGATATCCGTGAACTGATCTGTGAAAGAAAGTGATGCTAATCGAGACAAGGTAACTTATGTATGATCAAATCTCAAGAAACTCTATAGGACTTGGAATTATTATATATTGTATCTCTATTATTTCAAGTAGACGATGGGAGAATCTCCCCTGTCGCAGACATTCTTTGACCTATATGTTAAATGAAACAATAATCTGACGATAGCAATTTGAAGAAGAGGATTTCAGTAGTATCTAAGTACATCCATGGACCTCGGGATGCCCATTGCTGCTCTCAATGTCACGCTCTAGTTGAAACATCTCATTCAAAGCCGCCATGAATTCTTCTCCCTCGGCCTCCTTCAAAGGAAGAAGAGGCTTCCGTGGAGCTTTCCCATACCCATGTATCTTATTCAAAGCGTATTCTATGCGGTAAGCCAAAGGTATCCATCGTCCAGATCGGGAGACTCACTCATCGCACGAATACCACCCGGTACGGCGGCTGCATCCGCCCTGGAGAGAATTGCTTGAATTCTTGCTGCTTCTTGAACCTCATCATTCGAGGGCGATGATAAGTTGAGCAAATCCCACAGCCGCATAGAGGCGCAAGGTGCAAAGTTTGGTAGACCGCTTACAGTTCCATGGCCACCGCACTTCATCCATGGGGTCAGATCGGCGATCAGACCGTCAAGCAGAAGAAAGGGGAATTTTCTACTGCTATTAATGGCTGAATCCTCGGAGGTTGCAGCGTTGAGGCGGATGAGTTTGCCAATGCTGCCGCCACATCTTTGGGAATAATGAGTTAGTGCCAGTGATTTGCGTTGTCTTTTGGATTAACTCACGTCAGTTTGACACCACACAAATTGGGGGCCTGTTTGATCACTGCGCTTATGACTTCAGAGGACATGTCTTGGCCACCTGCATTAGAGGGAAAATTGTACAGAAGCAAGGGAATCTGTCTCACAGTCAGTGCCTTGAGATCTCAATATTACGATCTCTGTTGACTGACCGGTGATCCAGCACAAATATCAATATAATACTGAATGACCTGCTCTGAATCTGTGTTAAGACTCGCTGCATAATAAGCAGGAAGGATCACCATCCCAGCATCTCTGATAGTCGTTAGAATGTCCTAAAAAGACACAATTTCTACTTACGCGCCTGCTTCCGCTGCTGCTTGGGACAGCTGGATAGTTTCTCTTGTGCTTAAACCCCCCACCCCAGCCACGATTGGAGTTGATTGAAGGCCTGCTTCGTCCAATGTTGCTCTGATGAATCGGATAAGGCTCGTTCTTTCTTCAAAGCTCTGGATAAGGTTAGATATATGAGATATATCAAATGATATTATCTCTTACCAAGTGAACTGCTTCTCCTAGGGACCCAGCACATACTGGGACTGATAGATCCACCGCGTAAGCTGGAAGTATTATCTATTCTTGTGAAGTACCTTACCCATTCCCTTTGTAGCCAAATCTGTGACAATAAGCATGGATTTCATCAAATATTAATCAGAAAGGATAAATACATACTAAGTAAGTGGATTTTGTAGGTCTCATAATCGATTTCTTGATCGTCATCGAAGAACGTCGGTAGTGGCGCATAAACTCCGGGTCGGAGAGGTCTGGGATAAGATGTTGCCATGTTAAACTCTGAACAAAAATCGTGATGTACAAGATTCTTACATGTATAGAGCTTGGTTTTGACTTTCGGCAATGTCGGTTGCCATCCCGACATCCAACTGATAAGGGGAAATGCGGGAAATCGCCGATGGGGCCGCTTTGTTATCGCATATCAAAGTGGGTCCAAGACAGTCGAGACTCGAGACAGCTATGGTTTGCTTATCTTGCTTTAAGAGAGTTTAGATATGCCTTTAAAAAGCATTATATAGTCTTGCCTTCCAACAGATTTCCTTCAAAGAACAACTTTCGTCATGATTCAAGATGTATGCTAGGACCCATGCGCTTTATGTCAGGATAGCTAATTGTTTGCGAAGGAAAAGAAACACGACCTGGCTTATGATGCCGATGAAGTACCAATTGCAGTGGGAGCTGTTGAAAACACCAGCAGCAACCATGGCCTTCAGCGAAAATTAAAGGTATGTCAGATTTATCCTTCCAATTGGCTTGATGAGTACTAATCATGTCCAGCCCCGTCATCTGTGAGATCCAATCATTTCCAATAATCCAGCAGACTACTCACTCTGAACAGCCAAATGATTGCTATCGGTGGTGTAATTGGTACAGGTCTATTTCTAGGGACTGGCAGCGATCTTGAGAATGGAGGCCCCGCGGGCTTGCTTCTTGGATACTGTATCATGGCCTCTCTATTATATTCGGTTATGGTGAGTTTGCTGGTATCCATAGTCTCACAATTGCTAACAATTTCAAGGTTGCTTTGGGTGAAATGTCTTCCCAATTTCCGGTTCCTGGGGGTCAATTCGCTCTCGCGGGTCGATTTAACTCCCCAGAACTTGGATTTGCGATGGGTATACTATTTTGGTTCAAGTAAGTCATTTCATCTAATTAATATGCTAGATGCTGACCCAAATCCAGTTATATTGGTACGTTAGCACCATGGTTCTCCGGATGCAAAACTAAGTGCGATTTATAGTTGTTCTTCCGGCGGAGATTTCTGCAGCTGCTGTTATAATTACCTACTGGACCCCAGCAGGACAGGAGGATTCCACATGCACGGCTGGAATATGCAATAATGCGATGTGGGTGGGATTGATGTTGATAGTGGTGGTATGTATGGGTGATCCGCCATATTGCTCTAGTCCTAACATCGGTAGTTTCTGGTGAATTATGCGGGAACTCGTGTTTTTGGCGAAATGGAATTCTATTTCTGCTCGATCAAGGTCAGTGACACAGGTGCTGAGAATTGTTGTGAACCCGTGTTGACTGACGAGGATGACTAGGTCATCACGATTCTCGGCTTGATCATCACCGGAATTATTATCAGTGCTGGTGGCGGCCCCGATCACGAAGCTATTGGTTTCAAATTCTGGCGAGAAACCGGTGGCTTCGTCCAATATGAGGGAATTGGTAAGTTCAGTAGCAATTCAACAATGGTGGAAGTTTCTTACCTGTTTCTTTTGCAGCTGGAGCCAAAGGACGTTTTCTCGGCTTTTTCAGCGGTATGTGTTTTCGAATAAGTCAACTCAACGACTCATATTGACTGAAACTTGTTCTTCAGTCTTGATAAATGCTGCATTTGCATTTATCGGCACCGAAATAACTGCGATTGCAGCGGCGGAGACATCTGATGTAAGTCCGAGCTGTTACATGTCAACTCTTTCTGACATTTTCACAGCCCCGAAGAAATGTCCCACGAGCAATAAAGAGTGTCTGGATTAGGCTTGTACTGTGTAAGCTGGATTCTGCTTTTTTGTGGGACTATTTGCTGATTGGAATCTCCATAGTTTATCTATGCAGTGCCTTCCTAATTGGTCTGCTTGTTTCTCCGACAGATCCATCATTAAACCTCTCTTCAACCGCCGCTAAGAGCCCCTTTGTCATCGCTATCGAGGTATATCCCAGTGTGAATGTTCACTTCGAACTCTACTAATAAGTCGAAACAGAATGCGGGAATCTCTGTCCTGCCATCTATTATCAACGCAGCTATCTTGACTAGTGCTTGGTCTGCAGGCACGGCGGATCTCTTTGTCTCGTCACGCACATTGTATGGCCTTGCTGCACGAGGCCATGCCCCGAAGATATTCCTCAAAACCCGGAAGGACGGATTTCCTTGGGTTTGTTTTGTTTTCTGTGGGGCATTTGCGCTGCTCTCATTTATGGCTGCCGCCAAGGGCGAGGCTGGAACGGTCTTTGGTTATTGTGAGACTCCTTTGGACATCATTTAAAATTTCCTTCTCTAACATACTCAAGTCTCCAACATGACTGCGATGTGCGGGATGATATCCTGGACTGGCATTTTGTGGACAAGCATCCGATGGAATAAAGGCCTCAAAGCACAGGGCATCGACCGAAAAACTCTACCTTATAGGGCCCCCTTTCAGCCTTACCTTTCCTACTGTGAGTTGTCAGATACCTCAAGCCGCCATCAAGATGCTAATAGGATTAGATGGAATGACAATCTGTATCATGGTCATCATCTTCGGAGGCTTCGGCGCCTTTAGTATGTTTGCCAGCACCAAAATTCTCAATTTTCAGAAAGTCTAAGCTGATTAATTTCTAGTTCATACTTTCGATGTTTCGTCATTTATTACGACCTACTTCCCGGTGCCCCTATTTGCAGTTCTGTTCTTCGGTTACAAAATGAAGAATAAATCCAAGATGATCAACTACGTTGACATGGACTTCTTTTCTGGATCCTCAATTGATGTGAAAAGTGTGAGTTATGCCAATACTCTTATAGTCAAATAATGCTAATTCAATTCACAGGAGGAGCCACAGACTATGTGGCAAAAGATATCCGAGAGAATTTAGGATCCTAATGGCTTTATGTTATGGGGGCTGTTTGTTCAAATTAATTGCAACTCTTACGTGAGATGAATATTTATTTCGTGAAATTAGTACAGAATTATGGGAGTAAGCCAGTATGTAATAGTTAGCAATTTTTAAGATCAATCAAGTCGTTATGGTTCAAAAAAATTGGAGTTCCCACCAGATTGAGACAATGAACTGTCCCCAATGCATAGACTTTTCATCAATCACCCTCACAACCAACTCAATTCCAACTTTATTCCTTCCTCTGACTTTGCCCCGCAGTCCTGGAATCATCTGGCCGAATCAGCTTCCGCGATGCTATCACAGCAAAGATAAGCCGATACGTCTAAGATAAGGCGGATAAGCTCCATCGGCTCATGGCCTTACGTTGACAAACATGGCAATTCTATTCTATCAGCTTTTGTCTTTGTTGACATGAGCCTCAATATGACACTTAACGTCCCGTCTTACCATTTACTCGAACCTGCTAGCTCGGATGATGAGCGTCCAGCCAAGGCTCGCCGCATTTCTCGGGCGTGTTTACAAGTGAGCGATGAATTGGATAAAGTTATGATTCGATCAATTCTAATAAGTCTATGAAAGTGTCGTGCTAGAAAGCAAAAGTGTTCACCTTCTATAGAGACGTCTAAGAGCCTACAAGCACCATGCAAAAGATGCCTAAGGCTTCAAATAAAGTGCTCTTTCGAAAACGATGAGACGTCAGTGTTGGATGGGACCAGCCCGTCGAAATTGGCACAAATAGTTGTGGATCTTCAAAGTCGGTATGGTGACTGCAGGGGAATTTCTTCCATTCTTGGAAAGCTAATGGCAAATCAGGATCAATCAACATGAGACACGAATTATCGAACTTGAAAAAGCCCGATTGGAAAAGCAAACGCCACCTGCTAATTTCATATGCCCTTCAAATTCAAAGGCCCGCGAGAGTCGTGCTGAAAGCGTTTCAGCAACTGTTTCACCTAGTCAGATCAGTGCGTCTCTATCTGGGATGGACGGAATCAGTCTCGGCCCACCCATTGCGACCCTGCGTTCTCTAAAGGTACTTTCGAAGCATGGTCAGATGCACGATCCAAGCATTTCACCCCCAGAAAGTAGCAGGACATGCTCATTCAATCCTGTGCAACGAGGAATTATCTCCGTGGAGGATGCACAAAAAGCAATTGATATGTATTGGACGTTCCAGCCCACTTTTATTGACACAAAATGCTGAGATGTCCAGATTTTTCGACCATTGCCATCCTTCTGCACCCGTGCTGAATGAAAGTACACGCTACTCATGGAGAAAATCCAATCTTCATGCCCCAGCTTTGATTTTGGCAATCTGTTCAATTGGCACCCGGTTCTGGTTCAAAGGAAATACATTGTGAGTTGAACCAATGCCTCGACAGATTCTCGCTAACCAGGATCGTTAAAGACCTAGGGATTCAGCCGGGGGTGTTCATTCTAGCTTCAACGAGCTTACTCAATTGCTAGATAAAGCAGTGTCTCGCTTACTCCTCCGACCAACACCTTCGGATGTCACACTAGATTCAATCCGACTGCTTCTCTTATATGCACAATGGATGCCTTGCATTCGAGAGGAAGATGACGATGTAGAGTACGACACCTCTACTTCCCGTTTTCCCAGGAGCAGATACAATGAGATCAGTGCTGGTGCAGTCTTGGGCTTAGCGATGCGGTATGCCCATTTTATCGGCTTAGACCCGTCAGCTATAGCTTCATTGGAGAGAGATGGCAAGGTACTTTCAAGTGAAGATGTTGATTACTTACGTGTTTACTATAACTTGTTGACATGCAACTTCAATTTGATGCTGACATCGGGATTTCCTGCCTCTGTTGATTTCGATCCAAATATATCCGTGAGGATTACTAGGGCATTCGGTTCACAGAAGGCATCCCAATATCCGGGTGATGTTCGAGTTAGCGGGCTCGTGGAACTCGTGGCAATTGTGAATGATGCGATGCGCAGCTCTGGGGATGTTACCGGTCGTCAAATTGGGCTGGCTCGTCTACTGCAACTAAACGAGGAGCTCGTTGAATGGGAAAGGTCAGGACATCCATGTTAAAACTGTGAAAACTCACAACTGACTTTTTACAAAGAGCCTGGTTAGTTCGTTTAGGTATGTCGAAGATACCGATCTAATTGTTTCAATACTGAGGCCCTGCAGAGAACACGGAATCAAGTCATAACCAGCTGCCTTTCAATTCCGTGCGAGTGAGTCGACTTCTGATTGCATAAATTGATTGCCGGTTATCCTTCTAATCACAATTCCAGTGGTACCGACTTTCATTAAACAGCGCCTCTCTGACACCCTTGCTTTCTGTTGATACCAAGTTCCCAGGAAGGCCGATTTTGGCATCTTTACATCGAACGTTGACAATAAGTCTCACTTCTGCAGCGCAGATGATACTATCTTTATCTATATATGGAGCAGATTATGTCTGGGAGCTTGATTCGCAGGACCCATCTACCTTTCCCAATGGGCCTTATCATGCCGATCCAGATTCCATTGACCGACTGTTTTGCGCGGTTGATTCTACATGGATCTCCCATACTTTTGCGGTAACATTCTTAGCACTGTGCTACATCAGGGGTATCATCAATGGTTAGTAATATAAAGGAACAATCACTTCAAACGACTAACCGTATCAATTACAGAGAATCTCCAAATCAGAACCTTTACTGATGACCCGAGTATCTCGAGTCGTCTTCCTAAGTTTTCAACTTCCATTCTGGCAAAGCTACTTCAGCTTGCAATGGAAATATTCGATGGAGTTTGCTCAATCGCTACCTTTCATACTGCGCGTGACTTTCAGGGTGTTGTTCATTATGCTTCTTCGCTTGTACTCGAATCTGAAGACGACAAGGGAAGCGGGGATGTCAACGATTACGCATTTCAATCCCTGCTGGAGATCATGAATGATTCTGGGGTCGATTGGGCAGGGAATTTGCTCGAGGGCTTTGGTGAAAACTTAGATTGGAGTGGAAACTTTTAGGAACTGAATATAAAAGTACTCGAGAATAAATTTTATCTAAATATTTAGGCTTTGGAATCAATTGATGGAAAAGGAGAATTGACTTGCCTCTGTTAGGAATCAGGATTTACCGATCGAGTCCATAAACAGTCCACAGTTAGCCCCACATTGCCGATCCCCAGCCACCTCATAGATCACCAACACCTTTTTCCCTCGATTTCTTCTTCTTCCATTCCGCTCCAATTTACACATTTTAACATTTTAGCTTATCAGGCCAATTATCCTCTATCTACAGCTGCATGTAGCTGTGCGACAAAACCCAGACTTATCAGATCATCTCACCGATCCCAGCCCATTACAACCACAAGAACACACAAATCATGGAATCTATTCCATTCCCCTCAGACCTAAACGACACATACCACGCCCCCGAAATCTCTTTACAAGTCAAAACTCACCAAATCCTCTCCTCCCACCTCCAAAAACGCTACACAACAGTTTCCATCCCCTCAACCTACGGCGGCCTAGACAACGGCCCAGCCCCAGGAACAGTCGTCGGTATCGTCCTAGGCAGCGTAGGCGGCGTAGTCCTAATCCTCTACCTCACCTTCCTCGCCCTAAACCCCGGCGGTCTTGCGCGCGGATCAACCTCCTCCATCGACGAAGAGGTAGTGGTGACCAGTCGACGGGGACCATCACTACGCCGACATGGCGATACGATCGAGGTAGTCGAGGAAAGAGATCGGAGGGACAGTTATCGGCGAAGACCGAGTCCGCGAGACAGGGACCGCATTGTGGTTGAGGAGTCGTTGACTGGGACCGCGACTTCGGATGGGAGGGATGTTGTGGAGGTCTTTGAGGAGGAGTCTTCTCTTTCTGCTTCAACGAGACCGCCTAGGAGGGCTAGTAGGGCGAGGAGTCATCGCTCGGGTGTGAGGACTATTGATCCGCTGGATTATGGGGGTGAGAGTGAGTATGGGAGTCATTATTGATGATTGATTTGGATGTATAATTGAATCTATGCTTTGAATGTACTGCATCGGCGATACCCTGATTTATCTATGCTGAGATGTGATGTTTAATTTCTGTGTTTACTATTGATGTGTTGATGTTTATGCCACAATTGTGATTTAAGGTGAATCATTAGAACAGGCCCAAAAATGAATGGCTCTGGCAAGGATCGAACCTTTGATCTTCAATCAGTCATAAACGCTTGTGTCCTCATGGTAGATTTGGATGGCTGTCCGACAGCCAAAGCAGAGCTTCACTTCAACAAACCTCATATATCCACCTAACTCAAATGAAAGCGGTACCCACAATAAATTAAGAAAAAAGATATTCTTTGTTAGTCATTCATATCAGAAGATATTTAATAATTGATTAATGAAAAAAAGTTTTTCAAGGGCTTTCTTGAAGAGGGTTTTCAAAGATAAGAGAAATCCAGTCCGGCAACCTATGGTCTAAGGGGCAAATGAATGCGTCCTCTGGCATAACGCAGTAGTTGGGCAAGCGCGATTTTGCCACTATAAGCTGAGACGCCAGACCAGTCGACCACCGGGGGATTTATGATATAAAATCTCAAATTGTAAAATATAAGGGAGGAATGGTAAGAAATGGTAGCTACTACCTACACCGTCCACCATCCACCATCTATCCGTTTTATCTAACCGTGCCCTGTGGCATAAAGCGCCAAATTTTATTCACACTTTTGTTTCCTGATTGATTACTACCACTCGAGTCCTCGAATCAACATTATGCGTCAAACATTTGGCATGAAGGTGATACCCTAATCTACTTGCTATACTATGAACATTAATATCCTGTAAATGAAACTGCATGACTTACACTATCCCGACTAATAAAGATACACAGACCTCAAAATAACAATAAAGAGAATGAATTGTACAAGAGTAAAATATCAGACCAAGACGCACTAGCGGATACCGTTTGCGCCGACGAAAGCAAACCCCAAGTCAAGGACATGTGCGAGACGCCATGGACATCCCAGAGTCCCAAACTCCAAAGAACAGTCTGAACAAAATTACAGGAACACCAATTCATATTCAAACCCGTCATCTATCCTCATAAACCATTTCAATTCCACAGGTCAGAGCCATGGAAAGTACCCAGATGCCGCATCCGGCGAACCCGCCTAGAAGAGAATATCCAAGCAGCAGCAACAAGCCATCGCAGCCATGATACCAGCACAGATACCGCCTGCACCAGATCCCCCGCCGCTATTGCCGCCGAACCGATCCTGTTGCTGGTAATAGCCCTGTTGCTGTGGTGGGTAATACATCTGGCCCTGCGGCTGGTTGTAGTATCCCTGTGGTTGTTGAGGATAGCCCTGTTGCTGAGGATAACCTTGTTGCTGGCCATAGTAGCCTTGCTGTTGCTGCCCGCCGTAGTAGTCCGATGCGGCGCCCCCGCCTTGGGGAGGTGGGGATTGGTAGCCTGCGTTGTGGTAGGCTGGTTGGGGGTAGGAGGGGGGTGGACTTGTCTGGAGATTATTGTTAGTGGAGAGGACTATTGGATTCATGGACGGAATTCGGGATATCCGAGGATTTGCGACGTACTGGCTTGTTGTAAGACATCTTTACGGATCTGAAGGATCTTGGTGGAGCCGCTGTCAGAAAAATCGCCGATCTGCAGCTGAGTGGGCTGCAGATGTGGAGATATGTGGGTTCAAAAGTCTGATTGAACAGAGGCGGTGGAGAGGGGCTCCAAAAGTCACTGGGATAATCCAAATGTGCCGACAGGAAGGAGAATTCGCATCTTCGGATGTGCAGGAAGACGGGATTATGTAGAACGCGCGGATCCGCAAGTGGAGCTGTGGCGCAGTTCCCCGGGTGCTGAGTCATCCGGGCGCTTAAACAAGTTTCGTAACGTGATAGTGATGTGATAGTTAGGTAGCAAGATTCACTTAGAACAGTATATACCAAAGCTTTATGTATTAGACAGAGACCAGGATCAAATGAGAAAGGATATATCGATTCTGGCTTTTGGGGAACAGAACAGACGCTGTCCAATGTATCGACGAATTAATGCAAGCCAAAAAGAAATGGGGAAATGCTAGACGCGATGCTAGATTCAATATGCAAAGAGGGCAAAGAAGCCCTATAAAAAAATTTAGGGAGAATCCGGGGACTATGCTTGGTCCTCCAGGGAAGCCTTCTTAAGCTCCTCCGATGCATCGGCAACAGCATCCTCCTCCTGGGCCAGCTCGGCTTCGGCGGTAGGGAGACCGTTGGCCTTTGCGGGCTTTCTGGCGGTGTCGGTGCTGCGGGCGGCCTTCTCCTCCTCCTCCTCAAGGCGGGCAATCTCCTCCTTGGCCTTCTTAATGTTCTGTGAATTTTGTTAGCGACTGCTGGGGAATTGATTCTGGGGGTGCTCACCTCCTCGGTCTTGCTGGCCTGGGTGCTCTTCCACTCAGTGATCTTAGCGGCCAGCTTCTCAATCGCAGCGGGGACATCCGACTGGTTCATGGGGGGATCAATCTTGACCTTGGTAAACTCCTCAATAATTCCGACGTTCATGTTGAACTTGGTCTCGGGAGCACCACCCTTCTTGCCACCCTTCTTGCCCTTCTTGCCGCCAGTGCCGACAAAGTAGTCCTCCTCGTCATCCTTGCGCACAACCTTCATGCCTTTGATGGCAGAGTCATCCACAGTGCGGCCGACACCAGCACGGAAGTTGCTACCCTCATCCTTCTTGCTGTCCAAGCCAAGAGCAGCAAAGTCGTAAGTAGGGTCGAAGTGACGGATGAGGCCCTGAGCGGTGAGGATCTCGTCGACGTAGGCGAGGGCAGAAGCCTCCTCGAGCTTCTTGTCAGCGACCTTCTTGCGCTTCTCGCGCTCAAAGGCATCGCGCTCAGCCTTCTGGCGCTCACGGCGCACACGCCATGCCTCATCCTCGTACTCCTTGTAGGCACGACGGGCCTTGAAGTAGGTGTCCTTGATCTCGCGGATGGCAGTGTACTTCTTCTGTTGGTCGTTGCGCAGCTTAGTACGCTCGTCCCGCAGGGCGTTGAGGTTCTTGTAGACACTATCCTGCTCGGCCTTGATGGCATCCAGTTCCTTCTGGATCTCGGCGTACTTATCGCTCAGGGCCTTAGCCTCCGGGTTATCCATAGTCTTGCGGAGCGCAGAGATCTGAGCCTTCAGCTCGTCAATGCCCTTCTGGGCGTCCTCGAGACCGGCGAAACCCTTGCTCTGCTTGCGCAACTGCGAGATGTCGGAAAGGGCCTTGCGCTCATCCACCAGTCGCAAAGTGCCAGAGTCGACCTGCTTCTCGAGACGGGCGATCTCCCGGTTGATCTCCTCGACATTCTTGAATGACATCTTGCTGCGCGAGTTGTTCTGCTCGGCAATACGAGCCTTCAGGGTCGATTCCAGGCCATTGATCTTCTCCTGGGTGCTGGACCGGGAGGACTTGAAGCCGGACTGCTTCTGGCGGATCGACGAGAGTTCGGCGCGGAGTTCCTGCTGCTTTTTGGCGACGGGGGAGTCCTGGTTGTTGGGCTTGGCGCCGTCCAACTTGGCCTTGATTTCATTCTTTTGCGCGAGTCAGTCCATGATCGATTTCCCAAAAATGAAGGTCGAGGAACGCTCATGACCAAAAAAAAACCATTCCAAAACAGTGGGGGGTAAGACATGATGCCACCATGGCCTCGGGTGAATTGGACAATTCCACATCAGACGAATCACAAATGCATTGACTAAATCCAAAATCAAAGTATGTATCGTACCAATTTCTCCTGAGCGGCAGTGTGTTCCTTCTCAGCCTGAGCCAAACTGGCCTTGTAGGCCTCCTCATCGGGCTTGGTGGGCTTAACCCGAGGCTCGGTAGGGGTAGTATCGGACATTGTGAAGGAATGAGACGAGAGGAAGATAAAAAGAAAGAATTGCCTCTCAAGAGTGAAGAAAGAGAGAGAGAAGGGACCAAAGAGATTAAGCCCACGAGGGGAAAGGAGAATAATTAAAACGGTTCGGTCGGTTTCTCCGCTTTGAACATGGGCAGAAAGTTCCCGCCGATTTTTCTGTTCCTTATCACTTCTCTCAGTTTCCGTGCGTCACCCTTTGGTTTTTTATCTTTTCGATACTTTGTTTTCTCTGCTCTTCAGTTGATTTTACCTGGAGCCCATACACATTCACCATGGACGGTGAAATTGCCCAGCGCAGTGGCGATGAGGCCGACAAGGAGATGACCCGCCTCTGGCGCACATGGCGGACGGTCTATGAGATGCTTTCGGACCGAGTGAGTTTTTTTCACAGAGCCGTGAAGCTTGAGAGGCTCGCATTACACAGCATAACAAAGACTGATCAGATTCGCGACGGGATAACAGGGCTATGAAGTTTCCGACGAAGAGCTGCAGCTTTCGCTGATCGACTTCAAGTACAAATATGCCGACCCTATGGGCTACCCAGAGTATGCAATTCCTCGAGCCATTGCATACCGGCTTTCAATATGAAAGCCTGAACATGCAGGGGAGATAGCTAGGGGAAACAGCTTGACTAACGCGCATATCCTTCCAGCCGCACCAAGATGAAAATCCAGGCCCGCCCCACCGAAGAAATGAAAATGAAATACACAGCTCTCCCAAGCAAATCCAACCCCAACCCCCAGCCCGACTGCGGTACCATTTACGTCGACTTCTGCCCCGACTCCTCAGGTGTCGGTACCAAGCAAGTCCGCGCATTCAACCACATTGTTGATGAGAGCAACTTCCACACCGGTGTTTTTATCACCCAGACCCCGATCTCACCCTCCGCTGTCCGCCTACTGAGTGGTATCCCCGGCCGTATCTGCGAGCACTTCCAGGAGCAGGATCTGCTGGTCAACATTACCCGTCACGAGCTTGTCCCCAAGCACGTCCTCCTCAGCCCCGAGGAGAAGGCACGTCTGCTCGAGCGATACCGTTTGAAGGAAAGCCAGCTCCCGCGTATGCAGGTTTCCGATCCCGTAGCACGGTATTTGGGATTGCGCCGTGGCCAGGTTGTGAAGATTATCCGAAAGTCCGAGACGGCGGGTCGTTATGCCAGTTACCGATGGGTTATCTAAGGGGGGAAAGAGAAAAAGACCTCTAGAAGGGCCAATTGTCTCCGCGCGAAACCATTTGGGTTTTTGTGACCGAAGAAGCTCTGCGATCTTTGATCGAGATCGAGGGAACCCACCACATGCGCATCAGTCTCGACCTCTCAGACATGGACCAGCTGCCAAAAGAGCCCAGATCAGCAGTTCTGTCAGAATCGGGCACGGAGTTTGTTTATTTTTTGTTGACTGCACCACAAACGAACCAAAAAAAGTTGTATAATGGGCAGCATGGCGTACTGGCGAATTCTTTCCGCGAGAAGGGAGGGGGTTTCCAATGTGATTTTACATAGTAATGCTCCGCTGAGTTTGCTGTTGAGCTAGAAGAATCCACTGAATGTCTATACATTAGTTTCGAATTAAGTTAAAGTATCGTTATGTTCATTAGCCTCGTGATGTACAGACAGATCATAAGAGAAGGGCATCCCCAACGCCACGCTGAGCCGAAAACAATTAAACAACCCTTGGACAATGGGTATAAGGTAGTCCAAGATCAAAAAATCCAATCCTTCACAATTTAACCAACCCAAATTTCAACTCCAGGAGCACCGTGCTCCTTCCAATTGCTCCATTCAAATCAAAAGAAGCGTTAAATAAGATCAAAGCTCATTCAGGCGGGGAGTGCCTGGCTAAGAGCCCGCCTACATCCTGCAACTCGACATTCACATCAAGTGAGGCATCGGACGCAGCTCGGTAAGGCGGGAGAGTATGTATAGGCCGAGTGTTCGTACTCGGGGTAAGAGGCGACAGAAAACGAGGTGTAGAAGCCCGGCCAGCTGATCGAGAAGATATAACGCCCAGATCCTCTAGGAAGGCCCTCCCTCCTCGAGATGGACGATCCGATCGATTGGGTACAGATAAACCCTGTTCTGCACGCGGAGATGTATGAGAATGACTCTCTTTATCTTCATCTAATAGACCGCCGACATCAAAGAACGATACCCGTGGCGAGGAAGTAGAGCGCGCTGATTTCTCCCGCGGAGACTGATTAGTCTTGATATACTCCCGCGGACTAACATTCATCTCAAGACTATCAGTAGTTGAGACGTGGTCATCATCCAAGCAACGGCCTTGCTGGAAAGACCATGATGGATCGAGAGTGCCAGTGCGCGCAACCAGCAATGGGACCGGCGGGGCAGGCATGGGTATAGGTATAGAATGGGATTGTTCTGACGACGACGCACTGCGGTGCAGCTTGGGGTCTAGCCTGATACCCAGACCACCTGCAAGATCGGAATCGCTACCCCATTGGTGCTGCATGACGGTGTTGCGGCGGACGTAGCTGTTATCGAGGCTTTCGCTGACAGATGCGGAGGCCATATCGCGCTTGTATTTGGGTTTCTTGACGCCGCGGTCGCGGACGAAGGAGCCGATGACGACGGCATTGGAGACGGCTGTTGCGGCGAGAATCTCGAGGGAGGCGATGAGGGAGCGGTAGGGTTGGTTTCCTCTGCGTTTGATGACGGAAGGTACTCGGTAGCCTGTGATACCTACTAAGAGGAGGGAGAGACAGAATAGGATGACGAGGCCTATTTTGCGTTTTACAGGCATCTTGGACATGATGATGATTGGGACGGGAAAAGCGATGAGGAGAAGGTCGGTTATGATGTCGCAGGCTCCCATGGTGATGAGTTGTGCATAGCCGCAGCGACATCGTGGACCGGGATTAGGAACGACCTGCCAGTAGTGATCAAATGGTTGACATTCGGCCAGGGTTGCGATCACGACGGCTACTAGGGTTGAGGCTAGGAAGAAGTGAACAAAGCGTAGGAAGATTGCAGTAGATCGTGTTGAGACTATGCCAGTGACTCGTTTCAGAAATTCACAGACGGTAAGCTTGGCCGTCCAGATACTAAGGTCTAATTAGTATGACAGTTGACCCACGGACTAGGGAACCGGAGGTCTCACAAGATCGCATAGAAGATTCTTGCAACCAACACTAGTTTACTCCCGAGCTCTCTTTTGGAGATCTCATCTGCTGTCAACCCAGCCGTCTGGACGTTGTTTGTTCCATAGATCAAGACGAAATGCACCAAGACCATGCGACAAACGAGAGGTATCATGCTGAGCGTCATCACTTTATCCTCTGGAAAGAAGCGCTCGATGCGCACATATCGGCCACATAGACGAACGATGATGATGGCTATAGAAAAGGCCGTGGCCCACCAGCTCATCAAGAGGGCGGGATTGATTTCCTCACGGGTCTCATAGGCAGGAGGGGTTTGGTTGAGGCCTCTTGCGGCCAGAGACGAGTCCATGATCCTCGCCGCCTCCGAAGAGGGGCTTCTACAATGACTGTGATGCTTTCAATCGTTCACAGCTTCAAACTCTCACTGAGGAAAATGGCGATTACATGTCGCACGTGAGTGTAAGGGATTGGTGGGGAAAGTGGAATTGCACTAGGGAGGATCAGCGAAAGCCCACTAGGCTATCTCCGGGGTTGTGGTCCAGTTAAATAAAAGCCCAAATCCACCTTCGTGGAGTGGAGATGACCGGAAATGATTCACGGAGGCAACACAGACCATAAAGGAGAAATGGAGGAGAAGCTTGGAATATAGAGGGGAAGGAGTATCGGTGAGTCCCGGATAAACAGGTAAGAAGGAAGCAAATTGGTTGATAACAAACGAACCAGTGACATGCTATCTACTAATCTTCATTGGCAGGAAGTAAATAAGCGATCCTGATTCGCGTATAACTGACAGAGCTATCTTCACCTCCTTTACACGCAAGCTGACGCCAACCCACAAACCCTGGAATAATGATTGGGTAAGATTTACGGACAAAGTCATATTTGCACTGATCCGGAGTCCGAGAGCTTTGACCTAAACACGTGAAACTCGTGAAGTATATGAGAATAAACGAGGTATAATATACATATTGTTTATATAGGTCTGGACCGTTTAGACTCGGTATTAAACACCATAAACCAGATAAGTAGATTGCGCACGCGACTTAGATACGAACTGCCTCATTCTTGGACGTCCAATCAGAATTGTTTCAGTAAAATCAATTTGATCTATCTCTTTTCATTTATCTATGGGTTATAGATAAACCTCCTAAACTCTATTTATTGTTTCATGAATGGTCTTTTGTCTTACCAAAACTGCAGTCGCTTACTCCCGTACAGATTGAATGCCGCTTCCCGACTGTAATCCAGCCAAGACAACCCGTAACTCCTGCAGGAACTTAGTCACCTCGGTCTCAGTCCCGACAGTGATACGAATACAACCCTCACATCCATACTCTTTACCACGGAACCGAACCACAACCCCACGCTTCTCTGCCAACGCCTCATACGCCGCCAGTGCCGCCACATTACTCGGCTTCCCGTTATCTAGAATCTCCACCAACAAGAAGTTCGCATCATTGCCACCCAGGAACCGGCCTACACCGGGAATCTGCGGCAACTCCCGGAGCAGACGGTCACGTTGCGCGACGATCTGCGCCCGGTACTGCCGCATCACCGCCAGGTTGGGGGCGCTCAGGGCGGCGGTCGCAAGTGCACTGGTCGGACTGGAGATGTTGTAGGGGGCCTTTAGGCTGTTCAGGAGTCGTGCGATCTCGGGGCTGGTGAAGGCTACACCGAGACGGATGCCTGCGAGACCGAATGCCTTGCTGAGGGTTTGCATCACGGCTAGGTTGGGCCACTCAGTGACCCACTCGGCCAGACTGGAGCCTTCCTCGGCGAAATCGATGTATGCCTCGTCCACGATCACCACGCCGTTCCATGTGGGGTGCTCTAGCACCTTGCGGATGTCCTCCTTGCGGATCAGGTTGGCGGTGGGGTTGCCGGGAGAGCAGATATACACAAGTTTGATGGATGGGTCGGTGGAGAGTGCCTCGTTGATCTTGTCGACCTGCAGCTGGAAGCCGTTGCTCACGTCGAGCGGCACCTTGACAATGTCGACGTCGTTGACCTGGGCGCTCACGCTGTACATTCCGTAAGTCGGTGGGCAGGTAAGAATCTTGTCCTTGCCCGGTGTGCAGAAGCATCGTAGCATTGCATCAATGGCCTCGTCGGATCCGACGCCAACGAACAGGCTTTCGGGCTTCAGGGTTTTTTGTGTGTGGTGGTGGGTATTGCGGAGGTTGCAGAAGAGCTGCTTAAGTTCAATCTGGTGACTGGAGTCCAATTGATGGTTAGACATGCCATGACAAGGTCTTGAGGGACTTCTTACGGGTCGGGGTATCGGTTCAAGCCCAGAAAGTCGATCTCTGGGTTGGAAGCACCTGTCGCATCACCAGTCTGTGAGGCTTGCAGGGCACCCTCTGCACTCAATACCAGGCTAGGACCGTAGGCATTCTCGTTTGCGTCCAAAAGGATGTTGGTCCCATCGTCTTTGTAGTCACTAATTCATTAGCGCGTGAGCGAGATCGGAGATCGGAGATCGCATTCCAGGCCAACCTACTCTCTAGCACAGCGGTAGGGTTGCAATTGCAGAATATTTGGTCGGGCGCATTTCGATAAATCAAATGGTGATACTCTAGACATTGTGGCGGGTATATGCAGGGAGATGAAGAAGCAAATGGTGGGGTGGCGGGGATGTAATGTAAGTCGAGATTTGGAACATTTAAAGCGGAATCGGTCGACTCACCCGGAATGACTCAGACCATGAAGTTATGACTCTTGACTCTATCAAACATTTGAAACAATTTTGAACTATTCCGGTTGAGTGTTGTATGTACACCTAATAATTCTATAGCTTGAGAGCAATCTCTTATGCAATGTGGATTTTGCAGATGCACAATGCTGGATACAATATTGAAGCCAATGCCAATGCCAACGCCCCACGAATGCCGGTCTACCAATGACCCACCACAATGTCCAACATTGAAGGTTTCGGTTACTCTTTCTTTGAGTCAGCCTTCGTAGCTGCCGCCCTGGCAACTGACTGGGACTTTTTGTGCTTCTCGCGCTTCTCTTTGATATACTGATAGGTCTTCGCAAAACCAGCAGTCAAGGGGCCCTTGATGGTTTGAATTGTGCTTGGCCATCGGATCGTCTTCATGATTGACGTTGACACCTCCTCTTGCAGTTTCTCATCACTAGCAATGCGGCGCTCAAAGGGACCTCCCTGTGGTCGGCGGACGATCTCCTGTGATTCATTGTTTTCCGCCATCATCTTGTTAAACTCCGCGCGGGGGATCGCGTAGCGGCCCTGGTATTGGAAGTACAGCTTTTCGCGGAACGCTTCTGGAAGACGGCGAACCATGTTTCCGCGGCGGATCGGGTCCATATCCTGCGCCATCCCCATGATAGCATCCGGGTCGTCGATCCAATTAGTCTGGCTGCAGCGCGAGTCCTGGAAAGAGACATTGGGCATATTGTTGATGAGAGGAGCATATAGACGACGGAAGTGTGTCATCTGTCCGGAAACAATATTGCGCACCTTTCCTGGGTCCTCTGCCGGTAGCACCATACGCAAGTCGCCCATGTAACTGATACCCGCGATGGTGCTGTAGAGTTCAAACTCGCTAAATCGCTCGGGAAGTAGAAGCAGAGCCACTCGTAAAGCGGACAAGAGATTCATCTGATTGGCCAATCGCACCTTGGGATGGTCGCGGAGGATCTTGACAGGCTTTTGCAAGCGTCCGGCAAGGTATAAGGTATCCCATCGGGTAAGGTCTTGGCACAGCGTATCCAAATTCACAACGCCATATTTAATCAACGTTCCACTTACTGTAATATGAGTATTGAAATAGACGCCCGCCCCAAATCGGTCCTGGACCTGGGAAACTGCATATGAACCGAGGGAGCCCAAGCCAGAATAGTGATCACGGTGCTGGTTGAGGTTCAGTGCATGCCAATGCTGAGAGTAAGATACGCCAAAGATGAAGTCGATCATCTTCCCCGGCCCCTGCTGCATCTTTTTGATGGCGGCCGGCGCCGATGGATGGGTTGGCGTGGAGGAATCTGCACTGCCATTCTGCGCAAAGACCCCAGATCCGTAGGCGAACGCATACCGGATGGGTGCCTTGAATTGCCACAGAATCTGTCGCAGGGCTTCTTTGAATTCCTGATTGATGATCATGTGTTGGTTGACCCCAAAGTCCTTCGATGGAAGCTCGGAGAAATTGGAGATTTGGAGGTTCGGATTATAGTCCCAGTCGGTGTCGGACAACGAAGATGAAGTAGAGAACGAAGCGGACGAAGAAGATGAGGATGCATTGTATAATATTGGTGAGGAACTGGCATTCGCAGATCGGATCAAAGGAGAGTCTAGATTCGAGCGGGAATCGATTGCGAAACAACGACCTGAAGCGGGCAACCTCGGGAGAGTCGAGTAACGAGAATGAGGGCGGGAGAGGAAGCTGGGGGCGCTACCCCGGGAAATAATCTAGAAAAAGGAGGATTAGCATCATCGTTGCCTGGCATTTATTTCGATCAACTTGGGGTTCCGTACGGCTGATCGCATCGCGGTTCGGATAAGGAGCGGAGCACACGGCTCAAAATAGATCAAGAAGTATCACAGCGCCTGATCATACAATTGAGTGAGAGAAGTCAATGGAAAGAGCAGATGGGTTAAATCAGTCCCACGCTGGTTCAACAATAAATTCCAACTATTTCCGTGAGTCTGACGTCGGAAGCGATGACATAATACATCACGTGAAATCGCGTTGTTATGCGAAACGTTATCGACGGATGTAAACAGACCAGACCGCAAAACATCGACAACCCCGCGGCCTCGACAACCAGCACCGGCTTTTGATTCCCAACTTGGGACTGAGGACCGACTGAGTTGTATCCAAACACTTACAATATGGGATCGGAAATGGACACATTCTCGGCCCGTCTGGCCAGCTTCGACGTCGTCCTCAAGCCCGAGAAGCGGAGATCTTCAGGCGTTAAAGGCCCCAGATTTATCGCATGGCCTCATTCAAAGCCCTCACCTACAGAGGTAAATTTCATGTTCCGGAATATCTCGTTCTATTTAACGTGAATTGTTTTAGTTGGCGCAAGCGGGCTTCTTTTACAAACCATATGAAAGCAACCCTGACAACACAACATGTTTCGAGTGCGGCCGCGCATTAGATGGATGGGAGGAGGAAGACAACCCAATTACAGAGCATCTCAAGCATTCCCCGGACTGTGGATGGGCGATTACCATGGATATCCAGCAAAACAGCTCTAATCCCTCTGCTATCGAGGACCCTACTAGCGATCGCATCACACAAGCGCGATTGGCAACGTTTGGATCAGCGTGGCCTCACGATGAGAAACCCGGTTGGATCTGCCAATCTGAGAAGGTATTTGAAGTTGGTCTCTTCATTTGAGCCCTTGCTGATGGAAATGATAGATGGTCGAAGGCGGATGGTATTTCTGCCCAACGGAAGAGAGTGACGATTTGGCCAGCTGCGCCTACTGCAAGCTTTCCTTGGATGGTTGGGAGCCTACAGATGATCCATTGTAAGTCTCGATAATTCCTACCCGTTACAGACGAGAACTGACACCTTCCTAGTGAGGAACACTACCGCCGCTCATCCGAGTGCTCCTTCTTCGTGTTTGCACAGCCCCCCGGAAAGAAAGGCAAAGGATCGAAATTAAAAAATCCACGCGTTTCCAAGGCATCGTCTCGTCTCTCGACTCAATCCGTCGGCACCACTACATCTGAAGCCCCAGATATGGACGATGAATCGATGGACCAAAGCATCATTTCACAGACTAGCGCCAAACCTAAACCCACGAAGAAAGGAGCCAAGGGCAAGGGAAAATCCAAAAATAAGAAAGAGGAAGTTGAGGCCGACAGTCAGATGGAGATTGACAGTGTTGAACCCGAGCCGGAGCCCGAAGCCCCTAAGATCAAACGCACAGGCCGAGGAAAGAAGAGAGTCAGTGAGGAAATGGCGCGGGATGAATCCGAGCCTCTGGCTGAGCCTGAGCTGTCGATTGAACCACCCAGCAAACGCCGAAACACGAGAACCCGAAGCAGCAGCGTCTCTCAGGCTTATAGTGAGGCTGAGTATGAGATGCCAGATGCAGCTCCGATTGATGAAGCTCAAGAAGAGCCCAAGAAGAGTCGTAAGGGATCGAAGAAGACTAGCAAGGGCCATAAGGCTTCCGATGCCTCGGTCGCGTCCAAATCCACTTCCAAATCTCGCCTACCACGCGACTCGGAATTAGATGCTGCTATTGAGGCAGGTCTCGAGGCGGATGAACCGGAGCCTGTCGAACCTGAACCACCGATAGAGCCAGAGCCCGAGCCCGAACCGGAACCTGAGGTTGAGCCCGCCCCCCGTGCTAAGAAGACCAAAACGAGCAAGAAGACCAAGGCTGCCAAGGCGACTGAGCCAGCACGGGAGTTGGAAGATTCCAGCCGCGAAGAGCAACCTGAAGCCAGTGCCGAGCCCGCTGTCGATACTATGGACGTGACAGAGGAGCTAGCTGAACCAGCTCCCAAGGCTAAGGCCGTCAAGGGTAAGAAGAAGGGAACAAAGAAGACCAAGAAGGAAGAGAGCAAGTCAAAGACCCCGAAATCTCGAGAGTCTGACAACAAAGTCACGCCTGATGACCAACTTATGGAAGAGCAACACGCGTCATTCGTGTCGGTTGAAATCATCAGCCAAGAGCGCAAATCCGAGCGCGAACCCGAACCTCAGCCTGAACCTCAAGCTGAACCCGAACCAGAGCTCCAACCTGAGCCGGAAGCTGAGCCGGAAGTGCACACGCCCGAGAAGCCTGTGACTAAAAAATCTTCGAAGAAGGAAGACAAGGCAAAGAAATCCAAAAAGTCCAAAAAGAAGGAGCCATCTCCCTCCCCTGAGCCGGTGGTAGAGACTGTTGAAGAACCTATTTCAGAGGAACAACCTATGTCTCCATCCGTAGATGAAGAGTGGGGAACTCCAGATGATCTACCTGACCAACTTGAGATGCTTGTACCTGCAGAATCTTCTCCAGAGCCGACTAAACAGCGGACACCCGTGCCACCCAAGACGGCCAAACGATTCAGCGACATTCCCCAGGAGGATCATCTCACCGAGTCTATCACGAAATCACAAGACTCCCGAGGACGCTTCCGAAGGGCATCTCAAGCATCTAGGCAATCTATGTCACCCCTGCCAGCCCACCAGCACACACCGTCAATGTCCCCTCAATCCTCTGATGCAGAGAACCGACCTCCGTCGTCTCGGCCATCAACATCCCGTCCAGCTGCTCCACCAGCAGAGCCGCAGGATCGGACCCCCCGGGCAGCAGCCACGCCGTCACCATCTAAACACAATTTCAACGGCGGTTTCCCGGCTTCCGGTCATCCTTGGACCCCAGTAGACATTGATGAAGTTCTGTTTGGCGATTCCAGTGACAAGGAGAATGCCGATCTCTCCGGATTATTCAAGCGAGGACTGACTAGTCCAGAGAAGAAGATGACGGTGGAGGAATGGATTAAGTGGAATGCGAAGAACGGTGAGGAGCGGCTCAAGCGTGAATGCGAGCGGCTCGTCAGCCAGTTCGAGAAAGAGGGCAGTCGAGGCATGCAACGCCTCGAGGCCATCGAGTGTATTGATTAAACGAGCATACGCGTTTCCTTGGTGTTTGGTCATTTGTTTTAGGTTGGAACTGGCGTCTTCGGGAGGTTATCATGAATATTGTCACATTTCTAAATAATGCAATGGAAATAATTCCCCACGAATCCGATATTGAGTAAAAAACCAAGATAAAGATGAGCCTGAAACGCCATGGGTATCATAAGTAGCCCGTATCCACGATTCCAATTTTGAATCTCAGTCATCAGGCGATAATCCCCAATCGACCTTCCCAGCCATCATCTTCCTTCTTAACACCATCACCACCCTTCCGACGCTTCTCATTCCGCTTGCGCCTCCGTTCCTCCCTCTCCTTCGCCTCAATCTCCTCCCGCTCCCGCAAGCGCTCCCCAAGATCCAACTGCCACGCCTTCCTCTCCTCTTCCTCCCGAACCCTCTTCCGATGCATCAACATCCTCAGCCTCTCCCGCACCTCTCCAACCGAAGCGCGCATCACATCCCCACTCTGCCCAGTCGCAATCAAATGCTGCTTGCTATTGTAGTGCTCCACAAGTTGAATATTGTCCTTGAATGTAAGATCACAGTCCGCGCAGTAGAATCCCGCTCCACGTCCACGTTTTCCGATCGCTGACCCCGCCGGCACGATGGTCGTTTTTCCCACCATGGACGCCACATCTAGTCGGCTGCTGCGGGCTGTTGTAGCCTCCAGGGAGCTGTAGTCGACTGGGGCATGGTATTTCTTGCCGAGGAGTTTGGCTTCGTAGCGGGCTTTGCCTTCTGCTTTGCGCTTTGCTTCTTCGTCGGCGGCCTTTTTGGTGTAGGCTTCGCGATCCCAGGATTTGGTAACGACGTCTGACATGCTTGTGGGTTGGTTGGGTTGGTCTTGTAAGGATGAAGTGTGGAGGTTTAAGCTTCTTAGTTATTTGAGGTCCGTGGCGGTGTTATGTAAGCGAATATCGTCCTCGGCATTTCCAAGGTTCCTGTTCAGTAGGATTATGTTGGTATCTGAATCATTCTATATTATTTATTATTTCATGATGAATAACATTGAATTCAATCTATAGCTAATAATTTTAGATGATTACCTATCACGTGGTGAGTTTATTGTCTTTTATTGCAGCCTCTAACCTCAGGCAACCTTCAAAAGTAACCTCACTATCTAACCGAAGTAACTTCCTTTGACTAACCTACTACGGTAAGCAACCAACGTGGCTGAAACAGGCAGCCGTGTTGTAACTACATGTATATATATTCAAAGTCCAGTCCCGGTAATTCCAATATAGGTTTCCATTCACAAAACAAAATGCAAATCTCAACACAGTCTACCCCCACGGGAGTGCTTTTATTAGATCTCCCTTCGGAAATCCATATGCAAATAACCTCCTTCCTCTCATACCCGGATGCTTTGGCTTTAAAACACACTAGTCGCTATTTCTACGACATGGTCTATACAGGTGTACACCTAAAAGTCGAATGGCTCGTCGAGCGATTCGAGCGGAAGCTTGAATGTCCAATGGAGAAATGCTCATTTCGCACCGATGAATCCTTTTGCAATGAACGAGTTCGCCAAATTATGGAACGTCGCCGGTGGCATCTTGAATGTCGGCGTGTACCTGGTGGTTGCTGGGTGGTGGAGGGTCAGACTTGTCGAACAGATCTAGTGCCATCCTGGTTGAAGAGAGCTCGGACACGAAAACGGATTGAGTACGTTGGTTTATTGATGCGAGAAGGTTCGTGTATAAATCATGCTCAAGTACCGTGTAAACTTCATTACTGACTTGATCGGATGCAGCGGTTATTGTTGTTATTCTTGCATTTTTGATTAAAGTATCGTGGGTGCTACTTAGAAGGTAAATTTTTATAGCAATACATATATTCAAGGGTGCAACTGCTGACTAGTCTCGCAGATCATACAACGGGGTCCCAAACTTTGCGGTCACTTTTTAATTTTCTAAATCACCTAAAAAGTTGTACTTTTAATAAATCATAATAACACCACCATGCGTACCTTTGGCACCATCATTACCGGAAATCGATCCCAAGGGGGCAAATTATCCGATATTATACGCTCATCAATTATGACTGCCTACTTAGGACTTTCTAGTATCCTATAGTATCTATACTATAGAATAGCCACCACACTCTCTAGATCTAAGCCCGATTAAACCCTATCAGGGTCTTTTCAAACATGTAGTTCTCAAGCTGCGTCCAGATGTCCGTTATACTAGTGGATCGCTAGTAGCGTGGACTAAATTATATGACCTGTTGAAGAAAGCGTGGCGGTTAATCGAAATGCTATTGATAGTCTATTTCGGTCATTCCCGGGGCGTATGGAGGTAGTACGTCGGGCTGATAGTTTTTACACAAAATATCAAAGATACGATAGCAGCGGGATACCATTGTCTCTATCATATTTAAAGTGCGTCAACAAATTGTGATTCGTTGATGTATTACAATTTAATTAAAGTATGCGGTTAGTAAAATGGTAGAAAACTTATTATATGAGCGACCCCAAACTTATGGACAGGGGGTGTACTAGCCCTTTTTTACTAGCCTCTGCCTTATATCCCCCATCACCTGCCAGGTAGTTTTAAAGCCACTTAAGTCTTTGACCTCCTCCACCAATCCCCGCAAGTCAAGCATTAATTTTTTACAGTGCTGATTTGGTTGCTCACCAAATCGCTGCTAATCGACTCGGCCTCTCGACTGTTTGCAGCGCTTAGCACTCGAAAACCAGCAAATGAGGCTGAGATACCCCTCACTTGGGCACATGACTTGTTATTACAAACTTTTTTGACAACGAGCATACCATAATATGAGCTGATTCTGCAATGCTGTCGGTAAACTTTTCCGGGGTAAATATAAATGGGATTCAGGTTGGGGTGAAATCTGGTCAGATTCATCTTCATCCAGGTAGGTCTAGCACATCGAAACATGTTGGGTACAAATTGACTGACAAATTATGCGTAATCATATCAATAAAGGACAAGATTTTGCGCAGAAACGGAGACTGGAAACTCTCGCATGGCTCTCTTCTTCTCCAAATACTCGGACTCATCACCGAATTCGTCAAGTCATCATCCCCGGGACCAGCGCCTGGCTATTATCCAGACCTGAATTTGAAAAATGGAGAAATACGCCAAATTCAGCACTCTTCTGGCTTCATGGTCCTCGTAAGTCCTTCCACGGATATAGTCGTGAGAACGCGCCCATAACATAATCATAGCTGGCTTCGGAAAGAAATCAATTGTGTGAGTAACCCCGGGTGAAAAGTATACATGGCTAATAACCAATTAGATCTACGGCTATCGAGCGAATTACGCAGCGCATAGACGAAGATAACACACAGATCCTAAATTACTTCTATTGCTTGAACGACACACTCTCTCAGCGCCTGTTTCTATTATGTTAACCTTCTTGCATCAACTCCTTGCCCAGTTGCCCCTTGGCTTTAACACTATCGAGGAGAAATACGATAATTGGGCCTTTCGAGGTCTTGACCACGAATCCATTCAGTACGACGAAGTCTGGTCCCTGTTCTGCGCTGCCACTGAGCAATATAAGCGGATATATTTGATCATCGATGGGCATGAAGAAATCGAGCCTCATGAACAAGGGCGGTTCCTGGATGCAATAAGCCATCTCTTCGCCAAAGGTGCAGCCCATTGCAAAGTTGCAATCTCAATTCGCGATTCTCCAGAGATCAGTCACCTTGATAGACATCACCACTTGAGAATTTGCCCATCTGACAATGAGGATGACATTCGCAACTTAGTTATTACAAGGATAGGAAAGAACAGTCAAATGAGTCTGTTTGGACGAGATATTAGCTCTGAAACTAAGGAATACCTGCTCCATTTTCTCGTACAGCGTTCTCGAGGAATGTAGGTGTCTTATCTCGACGAAGGTCAGAGAAGCAATTCTTGTGACCCAGATGCAGGATTCTATGGGTACAGTTGCAGCTCGACGAGCTTGTCCATGCAACAACGTATGACGAGATGGTGTCTCTTATTGATAAATTCCCTACAGGTCTCAAATCTTTATATCGTAGCCTCTGGGACCGTGTCAATCGGCAACGGGGATCCAAACGCATTTTGGCTTGCGCTGTCTTGGAGCTCTTTACCTTCACAGAATATCCAATCAGGCTGAACTGCATGAAGCGAGTGATTGAACAGAGAACGCAATCCGCAAGCCTATATGCGGATGACATCAATCTAACTCTGATTCTACACGTTTGCCACAGTATGGTAGCGTATGATGAGCGACTCGATACGCTCCATTTTGTTCATACGACAGCACGCCATTACTTGGCAAAGAGACTAGATGCGCAGCTTGCTCATGCGTGGCTTGCAGAGACTTGGCTGCAAGAGCTCCTCCGCTTTGCGTCCACTTCCTCATCTACATTGGATTACACCAATATTGAGTCATCGAACGCTTCTGGTGTTGATGTGGCGGTCAATTTTACATTGTGTGCTGCAATGAGCTGGCACTACCACAGCCGCAATTGCACAAAAACACCAAGATACAAGAACACAGAGTTCGCTTTTCTATCTCATGCAACAGCGCCAGGTGTGTGGATACGAATTCTTAATTCAGCGGATGGTGTTCGCAGTAGCAGACTCCGCACGCTACTGGGTTTTCTTCGGGTATGCCCGAAGAAAATGGATTCTCTTTTCCTAGTCGCGTGCTTCTTCCGCCTCGACGGCATCTTCACCACTAGCCTGGCGAGTGGCGAGATTACCACGGGCAAGAATATCAAAATTCCGTCGTGGGATCACATCCGCACGTGCATTTCGTGGGCTGGTCGATTTTCTTCGTCTTCCTCATGGCAAACCCCAGAACAGATCATTGCAGAATACGCTAGAATGACCATCAAGAGTCTGGGGTATTTGGGGGAGTTGTTTTTGATTGCTTGAGTAGTACTTGGTGGGAGTAGAAAGAATATGGATTTCACAAGCAAATTGGTTACATGATAGTACTATAGTGGACTATAAGGCTTATATGGCCAGCTCATACTTCCCCAAGTAGATGTGGTAGTGTAGTAGCGTCCAGTATATACTACTAGTCGAGCTAGTGTCTACAATGGCTCACCGATGGACTTGTCCTTTAATTCTTGGCCATGTGCTGTGGCATGGAAGCGTTAAAATGTCCTTGTGTTAACTATCATCCCCTGTAATGCTTTATGTTTCCAATAGTCAGACCAAAGACGTTGCATCAATCAGCCAGGTATGCTATTAACGCTGGAAGGGCACAAGAACTTGGCGTCCTTAATATTTCAAGGCAATGCAAATGAGAGCTGTAATAAATCTCAAATAGCACTTCCATACAAGCTGCAGCCCTGATATTACCCGGCTTATTATGATGTGTACTATTTGAATGTGATGGCTTGTGCATACTATAAGCTGAATAAACAGACTTTTAGTCTAGTGGAAGAACCAGGAAACCTTATTTGTCTTTGAAACGAAATTATTACAAGGAACAGGTTCGTTCTAATTAACCCTTGAAACATGTATGATGATGTAAGGCAGCAGGTTGTGTTGTTGCAACTCGATCGATCCGATCCTGATCATCGTCATTGACGTCACAACGACGTTGCCCAGATTCCAATGCAAACACCTCCGGAGCCCAGAAGCTATATAATCCCCTTAAGGCAAATTTAATTCACAAATCATTTCTCAGTTCATCAATTAATTAACCATGTCTGCCGCCCCCTCTATCAACACCAGCACCGGCCAACATGCCGTGGATCCGTATAAGACGCAGAACTTCGAAGATCCTCCTCTTCCACAGAAGATTGAAGACCTAGCCGCTTTTATTTCGGAAGTCAAGTTTGGCATGTTGACGACAAAGCAATCGGAGGGTGACTTTCTAGCTTCGCGATGCATGGCTTTGGCTGCACAGGTAATCCTCTATACCTCCTTTCCAAAACACAATCTAACAATTCAACTAGGAACACGGCGGCATCGACCTCATCTTCCACACAAACCTCTTCTCCGGCAAAACAATGGACCTAACCGCCCACCCCCAAGAAACCAACATGTCCTTCCTAGACCCAATTTCCGGCGCCTGGGCTTCCATCTCCGGCACAGCAAGCGTCGTCGCCGACGCGGCTACAGTGCAAAAATACTACTCGCCAGCACTGAAAGCCTGGTTGGGCGATATGGGCGATGGCGTACACGATGGTGGGCCCTCTGATCCGCGCATTGGCGTGATCAAGCTGGAAGCCAAGCTGGCGACGCACGTTGCTGCGCGGAAGGGAGTCATCGGTAGAGCAGTTGATACCGTTAAGGGAGTTGTGCAAGGGACTGTCCCTCCTGTCAACTCTATCCGGGAGTTAAGTATGGAGGAGCTGGCTGAATGTATGATTATTTTCCCCTCCATCTGGAATTTATGCTAATGATTGTATAGGGCGTCGGACACATCAGGAATAATATCGCATTAATAAGAATGTTAGCTCACTCGATGTATCTAATCCAGATGTTTTCTCTGGCTCTTGAAGCATAGGAAACGCAATAGTGTCATGAAATAACATAGACTTTGAACAGATATTCGGCTAGGGTTCTAATTACCAGAGGGGTAACTACGTACCATATTTCTCTCCACCTCCTGGATTCGCCGCAGGGCCTATGAAAATTATTTGAATGTGCTCATTACAGCTTATTCTCTTCTAGCATTGCAAGAGTGTCACGTAACACGATGCGAGCTTCGGATTTGCTATTGTTAGAAATCCAGTCATAATTCGCAATGATTCGCCTGCATGGCCACTCCCTTGGTCATGATCGAGAGTAGTTGCCGATAAGCCTAACAATCTGTAGCGATCCGTACGCCAAACAGCTCGTCGGTGGGGACTTTCCTGTTTTGCCCAATGAAAATGTTCATCACCGGTGAGAGCCATTTCCACGTGTAATATTTATAAAGAAGGCATTTCCCTTGGCGTCCGAAACACTATTTGAGAATTCGAGATCAAGGTGAGTCCGTCCCTTCTTGTGCAATGCCTCTAATTCTCTTCCTATCTGTATAGCCCATTACATCTGTAGAGAATTACTTACGGCTATTCGCTCCGAGTTGCTGGTGATTTGCGATGATGGCAAAAGTAAGCAGAAAAGCGCGACAGGAGGTGGGCACTACTAATACGGAAGTAGAATTGAATGGGACAGGAAATCATATACGTATATTTTCATTATATACATATAACTGTATGAAAACACATGAGGCTGGATTACTACCAGCCCTAGACCTTGAGTTGACTTTAATTACGTCAGGTCTTGCTTTGGCCATCTAATCTGATATATTTTCATGTGAGCTCAAGTGCTTAAGGGATTACTCTGAAGGAACGGCCAAACAGCCTGTACACAAGAAATGGGACATGCATTATCCGTGACAAAAACAGAATGACAAGAAAATCCACCTATGCCAATATACACGTAGTGCTTACCTTTGCTTTTAGCGGGGTTCTTGAGTCTAGACTATGAAACCATCTATCCTATTGGTGCATACTAAATAGCCTCATGCAACAAATTCAATAGTATGTCAAGTCTCCCGGCTTTTCCGGATTAAAATCCACATTCACCCAGTACACCTAGTATATACAAAAGCAGAAAGGACATGAAGAACTGAGAAACATGGAGAAATATGAAACATGGAGAAATATGAAATAAACATTGTATCTAATGAGAAAGTATAAAAGCCAAGCCCTACTACTCAGGATGGATTACACACTGACGGTACAACTACCCATTCTGAGAAGAGTATAGCCAAGCTTGGAGCTGCGTAATCAAATGACCTCGAGCGTTGCATCGCCGATGCACGTCAGCCTCTATTAAGGTTAGAGGTAAGCCTAGCCCCTGACTAGCTTAGTTCTTGACATTAGCGGTTCTTGAATTGGCCTAGGGCTTACTCGAAAGTATTGGAATATACGTTTTCGTATGTAAGTGCCGAGGGAGGCTTAATTCTAGGTTTTGGCAGGATTCAATTAGGCACCTGGGCAGAAGAAGTACCTGTACTTGTGGATTGATAAGGTTGTATCACTCAAGTGCTGAGGACATATAAGACATGAAATTCACCCCAGGTGCCTAAAACCAAACCTACATACACATATTCTCTTCCATATCAATCTTGGCGCCTTGCTATCATGAAGTACTTGAATGCTGCTCTTCTCGTCGCTGGACTTGGTGGATCATTCGTTCAGGCGGGATATTCCACTGAATGCACGGATCTAACCCTCATTGATGCGTGGCTGATCGGAACCTGCCCCACGGATGATGGCACCGGTGAAATCTCGAGCAGTGTGTACCTTCCTAATAAGATAGAAAATACCCAGGGAAAACTTGCCGTATGTTGAATGACGTTCTATCTCTTTCCGTCATCCCTTGTTAACAAATATATCTTAGTGGAAAGTCGAGTAAGCCACTTGTTCACAGCCCGCCTTCCTCTCGATTAGTTCTAGTTCTATAACTAACACTCATATGTAGCGGCGCTTATTGGGACTCCTGTGAAGACTGTGAACTCATTGACAGCGGATCCACCCTGCAATGCTATTGTGATGGAACCTACTCATCAGAGGATGGAACGACCACCTTAAACCTGGGTAAGTCTAGAACCAAAGGTCCTAATACATACATATTAACTTCTCCCAGAGACATACATCGCAAACTACGATGGTCACCTCCTATCAAACCTAACAGGCGCCATCACCTCAATCCCCAGCAACTCCTCCTACGCAGTACCAACCGATTTCGAAGTCGAGCTGGAATTAAGCAGCTTAAATAACACCTGCTCCGCTATCGGTGCCTATATCACCATGAACGACCCCACAGACTGCTACTACCTCAATCTTGGTGTGGAGTATACCTGGGCGTGTGGCAAATCGATCGATAATGAGGGCTGGGAGATTGTGGCCTTTGCGGCTGAGGATTGCTCAGGCGATGCGGTGGCAACTTATACTCCTGACAATGTTGGGACTTGTTTGACCTTTTCGACTGGGGTGCAGGCTTTCTCGATTACTCCTTTGTGGAATTATGATTAGAGTGCCTGTACGGTAGCAAGAAGGATCGGCACCAATCAACTTGGAGTCCGTTCTCATGACGGAGTCTAAACAAAGTGTTAGTGATGGTGTAGTATATCAATGACTGCCAGATAATCTTTGAGAATGGAGCTCTTATAACAACTACTCGAAGTGGTTATCTGTTCTGCTTCAGGAAGTAGACGGATTTTGATATGGAGGTCTGTCAGGTATCAATACTAGCGAGGAAGTCAAGTTCGCAGCTAAAGTAAACAGATCCGAAATTAGTTTATAATCATCACGAACGCGATGTTCTACAGCTTACTGGAAAACTTATGAAATCACAACAGTGGTTGTATTTGTAACGCGCATCTGAGAGGCCTTGGGCTAAAACTGCAAATAGAGACCGAAAAACAATGGGTATCATGTGAACGCCCCCACACGCATGCAAAAAAAAAAAAAAAAAAAAAATCAAGCCTTCGATTAGATCTAATAGGAATGTCAGCTATATGTAAGCAAAATAATCAAGTGATACTGACCAATCGAAGGGGCAAACGGGCAGGCACACGGCCATTGTGAAGTAGCATAGCCACAGCCTTCTGCGGTGTCGCCTGGAGCTTGCGGTAGGCCTCCCGGATATGACGGGGCTCAATTGGCGTGTGACCTTCCTCAGGAGGGTCAAAGAGGCTAGTTTCGCGCTTGCGCTTCTTTGCGTTCTCGCCGGTGGTCTCAGAGCCGCCGCGGTTCTTCTCGTGATCCTCACGTTCTTTGACCTTCAGCGCCTCTTCGGTCAGAGTCTGCACAATCTCGAAGGTCAGGAATCCGAGGATGTCGACAATGTCGTCGTTTGGCTTGGACTCGGTTACGATACCGAACCCGGCCCACTCGCGGAAACGCTTGCTCTTGCGGTAGGTGAACGATGCTTGGCGGCATTCGGACCAGAAGACATACTCCTCTCGCGTCATGTGTTTGGTGCGCTCATCGGCTGCAGCCAGACGCTGGAGGGTCGCGTAGTTCTGTTCCTCCTCCTCCTCATCCTCTTCATCATCACGCTCAGGAATCTGTACCGAGAAGTAGCTATGAACGTCCCACGCAAGTCCGACCTTGGCGCGCTTGTTCTTAGGCTTAGCGGCTACATCCTGCGGGCCTGCAACGACACCAGCCGCGTCGTCAGCAGCGGCAAAGTCAGCAGCATCGGCACCGCCCTTGTCGTCAGAGTCCTTGACATTCTTGCGGACGTCCTTCCAAGACAGGAAAGTACGGAGACGAGAGACCTTGGCTTTGTCGTGGCGAATCAGAAAAATAAGATCGTCAGTTGAGATAGAGCGTGATCCTCGACGAGTAGCCAGTTGAGTGCTGCGGCCCAACTGTACCAGTATTAGCAGAAAAATAAAAGCCCTGGTAGGGCAACTTACGATTTCCAGGACTTGCTGACGGGTGATATCTTCGATCAGGGTGGTTGTGTCGATTGAAGGTTCAGCAGTTTCTCCAGATACGAACATCATCTTGCAAAAAAAGTCAATAATCGACTCGCTAAAGCTTGGCTCAATCGTAACTGTGGCGTCAATCTCTTGGTTGTCTTCTTCTGTTGAATGGGGGTGATCAGACTCCGAGGTACTATCGATGGCCTGATCATCCGCATCACTTGGGTCGTCTGCAATGATATTCAAATCTCCAAGGCAAAAAGACAATCCAGAGGAAGAAGGTGTAGTGACTGAATTGTTGTCCTCAGATGGTGAGTCATGGCAAACTAGGGCAGGAGCTCTCGTACGCTTTCGTCGAGCCCGGGGTTCGATCTCAGCTGCAGATTCCAGGTCTGCGTCGTAGTCATAATGCTCTGAGCGTTGCTGAAAACCCCGAAGATAACCACCCTGGAGAAAAGAGGATGAATCTTCTGTGAACAGGTCTGAGGATGCAGCCTCGATGTCCTCGGGGGAAATTTGGACAAGACGAGGATCAGATTGGCTAGCCTCCATTTTGACGAGGGCAGAAAGGAAGTGGTCAAATACGATCGTATGATGCTGAAACCGGCAATATGTTCCAAAGCAGAATCAGACTGTTGAAAAGGCTTCAACGTGTAGGATCAATAGATCGGGTGGGAGACATGAATGAAGATGAAAGGTGACGAGAAAGTCAATGGGAATGCAATCTCCTTTGAGGTCTGAAGCTTCGCTTATCGATAAGCGGGAATATCCTCTTGAAGCAATTCATTCCGTCATTCACGGTACATCCCCATTTCTATACCACTCCCCAATTCCGCAATTCATGAGCATGAAAGGCCCATCTTTGACCCAAGATACAGCATTCACACTGGCGACATATTTGCATACAATACAAGATATCCTGTCTTGTATAATATTCCCTTCCTGCTGTCGCATCCAGGGCGCCGCTTGGACATATTCGAATGCGCCGAATACTCCAGACCAAAACCCCCATAATCAAATCTCGAAGACAACCAAGAGATCGAAGACAAACCGACACAGTAAATGAGGTCATGAAGGGGAAGTACTAACCTGCTGAATCTCCTGTCGATACTTTGGCTGACGATCGGACATGGCGCCGGTTTGCGACAGCGGTAACCTTGCGACGAAAGCGCAACTCAATCTCACAGTGACAAAACAATTGGCGGAAACTGAAAGCAGACTTGAATATGATGGACAATGCCCGCGACAAGATCCCCCCTACGCGACAATCAGTATGCAGTGGTGATGACGAGGTTATCTAGGGACGGAAGGTGGTCGATAGCGACGATAGTCGGATCTCGGAGATTCATTTCCGCCGCATTGGAAGGCGGTGATTGAATCTGCCGCGGGGCACGAATTATTTCAAAAACGGGGGGGCATAATTGAATATCCTCAATTGATCTTAAATTCCCATCTTACAAAATGTTGCACCTTGTGGGTCTCGGTCTCGCCGATGAGACTGATATCACTGTCCGCGGACTGGAGATTGTTAAGCGTGCCGAGCGTGTTTATCTAGAGGCATACACTGCTATTCTTCTAGTGGACAAGTCGAAGCTTGTAAGTATACTCGGTTCTAAATCCAAAGCAGCACTAATGATTCGATTAGGAAGCATTTTATGGCCGACCTGTTATCGAGGCCGACCGCGAACTAGTAGAAAGTGGCAGCGATGAGATCCTAGCAGATGCAGACAAAGTCGACATCGCATTCCTAGTCGTCGGTGATCCATTCGGGTATGTCGAACGAAATACTGTTATATGCGTCTTATAGGCTAACAAACCCAGCGCAACAACCCACACTGATCTCGTCCTCCGCGCCCGCGAACTCAACATCAAAACCAATGTCGTCCCCAATGCCTCCATCATGTCCGGAATCGGCTGCACAGGTCTCCAGCTTTACAACTTCGGCCAAACTGTCAGCATGGTGTTCTTCCTGGACAATTGGCGCCCGGCCTCATTCTACGACCGCATAGCCGAGAATGCGCAGATTGGGTTGCACACGCTCGTTCTGCTTGATATCAAGGTTAAGGAGCAGTCGATGGAGAATCTTGCTCGTGGTCGGAGAATCTACGAGCCGCCGCGTTATATGACTGTCGCGCAGTGTGCGCAGCAGATGTTGGAGGTGGAGGAGGATCGGAAGGAGGGTATCTGTGCGCCTGATCGTCTTGCTATGGGTGCTGCGAGAGTTGGTGCGCCGGATCAGAGGCTTGTTGTTGGTACTTTGACGGAGTTGGCGGAGGTGGAGATGGGTGCTCCGTTGCATAGTCTTGTGCTTCTTGGACGGAGGACGCATGATCTCGAGAGGGATTATATTCGCCAGTTTGCGGTTGATGAGGCGACTTTCGATGCTAGTTATGCGAAGTACTACGGTAAGAGTTCATGAGATACCTACGTTTTGATGAACGAATTGAGTTTGTATATTCAGAATAAATAGATATGATTGTATGATCTATTATGAATTTGAGGTTAGCACAGGAGAGTCCTGTCCCTCTGCATCGGATCCAAGATAAAAACTCGGTATCTATATTCTAATGACCACAGTCATTATCCTTCCACCAATCGATTCGAACCAGAAAAAGATGGCAAGGAAACATATGAAACATGAAAGCAGAAACGCCGCAGGACATTAGAAAAAATGGAACATGAATGCAGCAGCAAATGACAATGCAAAAGGGAAATGGTATCCAGACAGGCAGAAAATGACACATGCAGAATGCCTTGGCTGCATCCGAGATATCGCTGCAGCCAAGGCGATGTACTAGAAAGGAAAAAGCAGAAACCCACCGCACCGACACCGAATGACATGCAAGTGTGAAGCAATGTACAGCTCAAACGGAAAATATAACGTATCACATCAATGTTGTTCCACGACCTCATCCTCCTCGCCAGGGAGAAGGATCTCATGGCCAGAGCCTTCGTAAACGAATATGGCAGCAACGCAGCCAAATACGGACACCAAAGCAATCAACCACCAGGCGAATCCAACTGTGCCAATATCCAGACCGTATCCGTACCACGCACCCGAGAAAATGGGGCCAATGGTTCGGAAGGCAGAGGAGACGGACTGGCCGATACCGTGGATGGTTCCAAGGACCGAGGGGTGTGGCGAGCAGTTGTTCAGGAGGATGATAGAAGTTGGGAGGGTGAAAGTCCGGGCGGTGACCTGGCAGAAGAGCACAATAATGATCCAGATCCACACCCACGGGCCGTTGGCCTGGCCGGGAGGTGGGGTGCTGGACGGGGCCAGGGCGATATAAGGTGCCAGCGCGTAGGCCAATGGGAATAGAGAGAGGAAGTATTGATAACTCTTGGCCGTGCCCAGTCGGCCGTTGATGGTGGGGTAAATGGTGAACTGAAGGAACATGCCAATTACACCCAGGATCGCGGTCGCAAAGCCAACGCTTTGCGGGAGCATACCCAGGCCACCGGTAAAGATGAAGGGCAAGCTCTGGGCAGGGCTTGCGGGGTCAGCCGGGTCATAGCGAGGAGTCGAGAGGAAAAGCAACCAGAGGTTGTTGAATGCACCCATCTGGAAATCGAAGAAAGCCTGCGCTCCAAGAGTGCACAAAACGTTCTTGGTCCAGATTCGTCGGAATGGCAACACACGCTTGGTGCGAATAGGCTTGGAAGCTTTCTCCTCGAGTTCGTAGCTCTCGGAGCGATCCAAGGCTCCGGCAAGCAAAGGGCCGTTCTCCTCGTAGTCCCGGAAAGGCAGACGGGAGTACAGAGGTGAAGAAGTACCGACAACGCGTCGCACAAGGCGAGCGAAGAGCTTCATGGCGTAGGATCCCAGGCCCGGCTTACCCTTGCAAGAAAGCAGTGTCTCTTCCAATCCATATGCCACCAAGCATGCGCAGATCGACAAGAAGATGAAGTTGGCAAACATAGGCAATGAGTAAGGGTAGCGCTCCAGCCATTGAACACCATTCTCGCCTCCAAAAGACGAGTTCGGGCCGAACAAGCGGGGGTAGCTCTTAACAGGGTCGGCCAACATACCACCCATAACTATGCAGTATTAGTATAGACCTAATAAGTTAGGAGACAAGGAAACTCACCAGGACCAAACAAGGACGCAATATTAAATCCAATGGGTAGGATCAAGAAAGCGCGCGAATGATATTTCTTTTCCTTCACATTCTCCGCAATCATAGTTCGGATAATTCCAACAGTACCATTGATAGCGCCACCAAACGAACGCCAGAATACGGCCTGCGCAAACGACGTTGAAAAGGCCACACCCAGGCAGGAGACAGCCGTACCAACCAGACCTACCAGCAGCACGAATCTCCGGCCACCCCACTCGGCATCAGCCACACGACCCCATGGGATGGCCGTCGCAAACTGGGCCGCAGTGAAAGCGCCCTGGAGGATACCAGCCTGGGTAGCGACATCGGAGTCGGAAAGGTTCTCATCAAAGGACTTGAGCTGATAGAACATGTAAGCCTGCAGCGAGGCGATCTGCAAAAAGTCGAAGACACGGCAAAGACCTAGAAGGGCCAATTGGCCCTTCTTCGGCAGCGACATCCATGTTACCGGGGCAGGGCGGACGGGCTGTTCGGTGTGTAGCGACTGCATAGCCAGGAGCTGGCCCTGGCTTTGGGAGCGACTGCGCACATGTTGATTCTTCTGACTGTCCAGATCCATTGAGGTATTGCGGAGCATGACGGGGTCATCGATCGGAGTGTCGGGGGAGGAGGGGCTCTCGTCCACGCTGGCGAGAGAGAGCTGGGACTCGCGGCGACGTCGTTGAGGTATAACTTCGGATGGTTCGCCGTTACCGTGACCCTGGGTTATATGATGGTAGCCACTCGACCACGAAGTCGTACGCGCGTGGCGGGCATTACTTGGTTTATGGCTCTGAGACCTCGCAGGCATGACCCAAGAATGTATATGTAAGCCGGGGGAGTACCGATGGAGACCGACGACGTCAGGATGCGGCCCCTTTGGGTTTCGTGTAATTTTGGTTTTGAAAGGGGTTCACCGGTTATAATTGGTCCACCACAACAAAAGAAAAGTGAAAAGATGGTTGCAGTTGAGTAAAAGGATTATCTTTCTAAGTTGTAGAGAAGGATGAAAAGAAAAGATCGTCTATGGCGTTTCGTGTGTAGTTTGTTACTGGATCCCCTTTTTGACCCGTTCGTATTGAGAGGAAATTAAAAAGAATAAAATCTAAATGATGATCATGGTTTCTCCATAGTTTCCACAGGTAAAAGCCATAAGAAACCCAGTACCTATTCTGGATATCTTCTTATAAGCCACACCCAGATCTATACTCTATACTCCGTACACTCATTTTTGTACACTCCTATCTGTACTCCGTACTCGTACAAGTCGATGGTTTGTATTGAATCGTATTTCATATACGATCGACAAGACGGGGCTTGCGACGACAAGATCCACTTATATTTCCGAGTCCTCTTACAATGGCTCATGAGTCGCCAGTCTAGGCCGTGCGTCTCCGGACATTTCTTGGCACTCGAAGAATAGTGAAAAGTTCAATTTCACCTGTAGACTGGATACTGCGTAATTTACTCCAAAATAAATCCGAGAAAATCAAGTCTTTTTGCCATTTCGAAGAATCGGGTATAGTGTCCGTAACGGGTCTACGTAACTCTCTGAGGACAAAGTTGACTAATTAGCCTTAGCGCGCCCCTAGAAGCTTTGCTTTTGGGTTCGGGGCTTGGCAGGCTTCAGGTCGACGCGGCTTATTGTTGACGGAAACTCCGTAATTTATCCCCGAATCCATTTCCCCTCTAGGTGGATCTAATCTATCTGTACGGATACTCTGTGTGTACTACATAGCCGGGACATAGGGTCATATTATAGGTGGATAAAAATAATCGGATAAAAAAATATAAGAAAGAATTCCAACGTTCATACCCCGTACGCCGTCGTAGCCGACACTATACAGTAGAGACAAGTGTCAATAACTCAACGGGGTAACTGATCGACTTCTTCCCGATGAGTTAGTTCGCCTCTGTATCAGAAAACTCCACGTTTCAATCAGGGATAAGTATCAGCTAAAGTGTGTAAATAAGCTGGATCACACTGTTACACTCAATAGATTGATCTACAGATCCTGCTTCAGCCAAAAAAACAAGGCCAAAGTCGAAAAGCAAATCTTTCATGCCGTTGATGGGCGCACGGGAACCCAGGGTTCTACTCCTAGGGGCCCCTCTTTCTTCTGGAGAATTCTGCAAATTCTTTTGGTTTCAGGGTGGGGATGGGTTCGCCGGATCCAGATATTTTCGTATCGCACTTGTCATATACCAGGGGCGCCGAGGCGAGGAAAGGTTCCGGGCGGCACCGAGGACGCGTATACCAGGACGTATGGCTTATATGGTACAGAAAAAGTCAAATGAAAAAAGCATTCAGTGCCGACTTGGCTCAACTGATTACGTAAGAGCTTGGATTTAATGGTATTTGATGGTATTGGTATGTAATCTTTACAGGATCTATCATTTTGTCCGTCGCTGATTTGTAGTATATACGGGGAACATGTCCCAATGAGGCCCAAGCAATGCAATGCAGGAACAATGAAATAATTAAAACGTCTACTCCGTCCGCTGTCGTCTGTGGTTCGGACTGCGATCCGCAAGTGGGAAATAGTGACCTTCATCTCCTCCGGTCCACCGCTTCCAATTCCACCACGGTAGATCGCTGGAACGGCGGTCTTTTGACTCAGCCATACCGTTCAACGGTTCCGCTGATTCTTGATCATCTAGCGGATCCAGCCGCTGATGTTGACAGTAGCGGAAGACGTAGTAGCCTCCGCCGATGAACGTAAGTGACAATATTACGACACCCGCCCAGAGATAGCGAGGTTTGGAGGTCCAGGGCTTCTCGTAGACTGGGCCTTCAACATGCGGGGAGCTAGAGGGGTATTGCCAGATGGATCCGTCGTGCTCGGGGTCGACCCATGGCACTGTGTTGACGCCTGCGGGCGGGATGAACGGTTCAGCATGTTCCTCGCCAGGGAATCCGTATCCAGGAGCATCCAGACAAGTTTCGTCTTGGCAGAACTCGCGCAGCTCTGGCGAAGGGACGAAGGTATACTTGATCTCGGACCGGCCGAGGACTGCGCCGTTCTGGTCAATGGCCTCTGCGCGGGTCCACGGGTAGAAGCTGGCGTTGGTATATTCGGTCTCGAACCCGGTCTTCTCGATATTGTCTAATAGTGTCCACGGTCCGGTCATGTTGGAGGCACCGAAGAATCGCCAGTCCTTGACGCGCGTGGCGCCGTTCCAACTGACATAGAATGTGGTGGGAGAGAAGGGATCCCCAGTTCGAGAGTACGTCCAAAGGGCAGGGGAATCGGTAGGTTGACCATCCCACTCGAATTTCATGGCACGATAGTTCATGACTGGGTCAGCGGCAATCTCAGCCCAGAACACAATGTTCCCTTCTTCGTCATGTTCTGAGATATAACGATTATTTCCCCAGCCCATCATCACGTTCTTGTTCGGTAGACGCTGAAGATTGCCCTGACTGGAGCTAATCAGATCATGGATCAAAGGGCGATAGTCGCGAATCTGCAGAGCCGTGTTATCCACGTGGTCGATCAGAATGATCATTCCCCCAGAGTAGGCGTGAGTGCGGTTGTACCCGTTATATCCGTTATTATATAGTGAGACGACGGAGTGGGTGGCATTCTCAAACAGCCAGCGCGCATCGTGCTGCTGCGAGAAGCTGAAATTTATATTGCGGAAGGTGGGTTGCGCGCCATGCAATCTCCAAACTACCGACCCGTCTTTTCCGGAAATCTTGTAGATAGCGCAAGTGTGTCGCGACGAGATCAAGTAGTCACCGTCGGCATTCTTGTCGATCGAGTTGATATGGAAGTAATCCCAGGGCTCGTGGACGTTCAATCCGGTTCCAGAGGTATCTGTATGGGCGGGGTAGGTGTAACTCATAGACGGATCAACGTGATCAAGAGACCGCCATTCAAACAGCACCTTGCTCGTCTCCACGTCCACCTCCTGGAACACACTCTCCATGAGCCAACCCACACCGGTCTTGATATTCCAGGGAGTCATGTCGAACTGTCGCTGCTGGTAGACGGTCATCAGGGCTGATTTTCCGTCGTTGATCGGCATGAATTCGTGCATGTCGCTAGATGCCATTCCGCCGCCTGGTTGGACGGATCGCGCGATGCGGTAGCTGTTGTCCATGATAATGCCATGTCCGCGACAGTAGCCTTTCTGCTGGTTGCCCTGGAAAAAGCACAAGTGGTCGGCGCCCTTATATTTGCACACGTGGAATCCGTGAGCATTGCCCGGTCCAGAGACACCCCAACCGCTCCATACTAGCTCCTATCACCAAAAAACCAGGTCAGCGCTTGTCGTTATCCGTGGTCGCAATGGGTTCCATACTCCTTTGTTGTCAAAAATATAGGGACCCGGGTTCTGGGCCTCGTAGGGCGTAATGAAGATGTAACCGGGACTGAGCTTTGATTCGTCGCTGTGTTCAACTTTGAAGATCGGAGGATAGATGTCGGGTCGCTGCGAAGCAAGGTTAAAATTGGCTTGAACAAGGGCTGAATGGTGTGATCGGTATTTTTTTTTACTTACCGATTTGAAGAAAGACACAGGATCCTCAGCGACAGCGCCAAGAATGTATAGCAGCAAGCCGAGAAGGACGAGGGAGGATGTCCTCACGGAGGGATAGATAGCGGCGACCATGGGTTCTCCTTCACATCACTCCGCAAAAAGGAAAAAGACGAAGAGACCAGAGACCAGTATGCAAGGGGAGGTATGAAGCATTTACAAAAGAATCCATCAGGAGAAGGATCGCCGGAAGGAAAAAAGGGTACGAGTCCACCATATGTCACCAAGCGGAGTAGTGTGGAGTTGACGATTGGACGAACCAGCTTTTTCGGCACTGATAGAGACGAGAAGGCTTATCTTATGAATTGCCAAGAGAGCCAAGTCTGAGTAGTTCATAAGCTAGTGACGTATGTGGGGGGAGATACTCTATAAGAGTGTTACTTATCATCTCATATGAAATTCGTCTACTCCATATACAATTCATTATTCATGCTCTTACTATGGTAAAATGCCTCTTGTTTCCCCTCAAATCAATTTTATTGGAGTTTGGGGCTAAAGGGACCTAGCCTAGCCCATTACCGTACGGTACCGGTACTGCCCCCCAGGCCACGTCACGCAAGATCTGTACCACCAATATAGAGGAACATGAGATTTATCTCCTATTTAAAGTCTAATGTGAGCTATTAACTACATCTTGCAGTAGCTATTTACAATAATAGTACTTCATATGTTCTAGTAAACCAGAAATCGAAATGTAGACGCCACATGAACCTTCCACGTGTGTGGCTGATCGAACCCAGTTTTCCTGGTTTCCAATCCGTACGCGCGGACTCATGCGCAGTCCTGCAGTCAATCCTTCGGAGTTAACTGTATCACAAACCATGAATCATGAACCAGTTTATCCGGTCTTACTGGATCTTCATTGTGGATGCAAACGAACAGGGTCCAACCATAACTAATTCTATAGAAACCAGGTAGAAATACTCCATACAAGGAAACATCCATTCAAAACATCAAAAAGGGCCTCGCATCTGCATCCATATCCACATATACCCGTTCCATAAACATAAATTAAACATAAATACATGAGACAGAGTACCAACCTCGAATGGTTCGTATGCGTCCTCCCATAAATAACAACGATGCAAGTTCGCCTTTGTACAGGAGTACGAAACATGCCTAAACTGCGGAGTACTACGCGCCATGTTTCAATCTTCTATGTCCCACGCAAGCCAAATGACGTTGCCCTTTCCGGCCAATGGCAATTCAAGTACAGAGTGAGCGGGCGCGAAAAAAGAAAAATTTTCCAGAATGGAAATTTGCCCCTTTGAGATGCCAAGACGCTAGTCGGCCAAGAAATCTGGTATACGTACGAGTACGAATGGTTCCGTGGGGCTTTGTTTCGCCCCTGACGAGCACACGTACACGTAGGAGATTTGAAACGATGATTCAGGATTCAGGGATTCGGGGATTCAGGGTTTAGGATTGAATTGGGGTTCAAGGTTTGGATCTGAATTTGGGTTTGATTTGGTTCGGTTCAAGTTGTGGATTGGGTTAAGCTTTGCGGCTTAGCTTGAAGATCCTTGATTATAACAGGTCATATGTTACGATAGTTTACATTTGAGCATTATGGCAATTGTAATGATTTTGTTCTTGTAACATTGATCTTACAAAGGTGATGCAAAGAATCAGGTTTACTGTGAAGAATCAAGGAGGTTACCCCTTACATGAGTCAAAACGTATGCATATCATTTTGTAACCGTTCCTCGGCCGAGGATTTCCCCAATGGCTTAACCAATGCAAAATATGAAAAACAACAGAAATGACCAAGGTATAGGTCCCAAATAAATATGTACCAAAGAATTAACATGATTGCAATGCAATCGCGTCAGGCAGAAAAGGGGAATATTATAGCCTGTAAACAAATGAGATCGTGGCTCTGAAATGGATAAAAAGAAGAATGGACCACGCGGGGTTCCCTTGTCAGTATGCGCCTGCGCACACTGGAAGGTCCAAAGAATGTTGTTCGGTCAGGGGCCTCGTTGATTATTTACCGAACGAAACGCTTCCAGGCCATGGTAGCAGCCAGACCGGCAGCCAGGATGGTACCACTGACAGTGACAGCTTGCAGGGCGGCGTTCATCATCTGGTGACGGTTGCGAGTGCTGCAGCGCTTGTAGAAATCGGCCATGTCGTTTCCGCGGGGGAAGGGGGTATCAGGGATCTCCTCCTCGAGGAACTCGCAGAGAGGGGCCCAGCCGTCATTGATGTTGTACTCAAGGAGACGCTCGGGAGGAACCAAGGATCGGACCTCGGCGACGTGATCGTTGTAGACCTGCTTGCCCTGGCCGGGGAAGTCACCACGGAAGAAAGTCTCGAAGAACTTGTTCAGCATGGGGTAGTACATGCCCGCGGCCCAGCTGAAGTTCGAAACGAACTTGTGCTCGGGGTCGCTGACACGCCAGAAGACGGTCTTCATGACAGATGCGTGCCACGGGTCGACGTCACGGGTGGTCAGGATAACCTTAGCATTGGGGTAGGCCTCGATCAGCTCCTTGGCGAAAGCGCAGGCGGGCCAGTCGCACACAGCCTGGCAGTCACCGAGAAGCTGATCCCATTCCTTGCGGCCGAACTCTCCAATTCCGTAGTACTTTGCGTTCAGGGCATCGTGCCACATAAGGCAGTCGGGTGGGTTCTCAACCGAGGCGCACATCATGTGGTAGCACTTTCCGTAACCTAGGCGCTCAAAGGCCTTGCGCAGAGCTAGAACACGTCAGTTTGGTGTAATGGATACCGTTGGAATCCGAATCCCCAACTCACAAGCAGTACCGGTACGGCCAACACCCAGGGCCAGCACCTTCATAGGCACAGTGCGGTGGCACTTGCGACGATCAATGTTGGTGTCATCGGTGAAGACATCAGTCCAGGGCTGAGGAGCCAAGTTGTCCGAAAGCTGCAAAGACATGACGATATTATATAAGATAACAGAAGATCTGGAAAAGAATGAAGATGGAAGAGAGAAAGAAAGGGAGATCCAAGTGGATAGATAAAGTAATAAATAAATAAAAAGAGGGGACCGACAATTCGAAAGAAAGTCTAGAATGGAGTAAGGTTGATATGGTGATAAGGGGGAAGGAAAAAAAGAATCCGGAATAAAATACGTTGATCTCTCCAAGATCGATTAGAGCTGGAAAATCTGTCAAGCAGAGTAAGCGCCAATCAAGTGGAGCGAACCACTTATTCACAACCCAAAGACCAACCCCCGCGAGTGGCGACGTTTCCACCTCTTGCTGTCAATCTTTCCCTTAATTTTAGCGGATATTTTGGTCCCTTGGTCGCCATTCGCTTTGTTTCATAATTTTTGATGGATTTCCGATGCAGTCCACGTACACACAGTCGACGTCTCCCATAATGGAAAGTAAATTTGGGGCGCAGGGAACAAGAACGTCACAGGCTGACGCAGGGTTGTCAGGGATTGTCAGGGGGTGGAGTTGGTAATATTCTTGTCACAGAAATCTCCGTTACGTGCCAAGAGCGCCATCCACGTAAACTCGGCAAAAGGCAGGAATTGATGCGTAGTTGAGCAGCCAAAGTTCGGGTCTTGCGGACGATCCGTGCGGCTGACAATGCTGATTGGTGACCAAGCGGGGAAGGGCAACGCGTCCCTGGAAAGTGGGGAATGCCGAAAGTTCAAAGAACTTGCATTGAACTGTATTGTATAGTATAATTGACTCTTCCTAGAGAAATTCAAGTCCAGTTCAAGTCAGTTAAAGTCAGTTCAAGTCAGTTCAATTCAGTTCAATTCAGCTCAAGTCGTTTCAAGTTCTTCAAAAGCCAAGTTCATGTTCATGTTGACAAAGTTTGAGCAAGTTTCATCTTCAGCCTATCCCAGATCCGGCAAGATTGGATCCAATATCGGGTTCCATACAAATCACTCCGTGGCGTATCACTAGCTCGTCGGATTGATTGTACCTCGTGGTCGAGACCAATGTTTTCATGCCAAGAAAACAATAAATCACATTCCGATCAACGCGGGCTTTCGGTCATTTGAGCGGGGCTTTCGTTGAGTCGGGGGCAGTGCAAGGATGGAAAGGGAAAGTCCCATTTCGTGTTGATCAGGTATTGACCTGCCGAGACTGGAGTGATCGTCCCGTTTCTGGGTCAGGGGAGGGGGGAAGGTGATAACCATAGTGAGTACGGAGTACAAGGTCTCCGTACTGGTGTTGTAAGTTGCGCTGTACTCTGTATCCGTGCTTCGTACCTTTACTGTTTTGATGAGTGGTTAGTCCGTAGTGGGTGTCATCACATTTCAGACTTCATTGTATAAATCTGGTCTCATCGTCTCACTAAAGATGTTTAATAAATGTAGTTCACTTCACTGTGGAAAGTAAAAGGTTCAATGGTTAAAAAAAAAAGAAGAAGAAGAAGACTCAGGGTCTCCAGGGGCATTCAGGGTCCTGGAGCGAGGTAGGCTGATTATATGGGGGATGCCAAGACCAGACCAGGGTGTTCGCCATCGATGAGCACAATCACCTCACGCGGGATCAGGTCGGTCAGCGGACGACGTTGGTTTTAACATTTCCGCTCTAATCAAAGCTTGGTTGCATGTTGGAACCCTCATCCCCGCTTGATATGCACCGGCAGTGATTTCGGCAGTTGAAACGATGTAGGCGGCAACATTCTAGGCATGGGGTTTCCAGGGTCTCATTCAGGGTCCATGTCCAGGTGAGGAAGGGAATACGATATACAGGTCTTGGCATCTGCCAAGATTGGTTGCTGATTTCGACATTCGCCCTAAAGTGGCACCTATTAGCCAAGGCTAATGGGATTATAGCTGGGTACATGTCAATAATGCTACATAGTCTATTGTAGGATAACTTTTTTGTACTTCCAAGGTTATACCTAGATGGAATTCAAGCACACCAAGTGATGCATTGCCCTGATCACTGACAGCCCTGGAGCTGACTTGGTCATTAAGGCTATAGTCTATGCAGCTTGTTCCTGGTACTAAGCATACATGTACAATCTCGATTGCACTTCCATTCGGTCTGAAGCATAATCCTTTCGGGTTATATCATGTGCATTATATGTATGCTAACTGTATACTGCATGGGATTCGCAAGGTTCATCATGCGGCTCATGGTGATTGACCTTATGGAATTGTAGATCCTAGCCATGGTAAATCATCATTTAGGTTCATCTATTCATCCAACATCCTCTAGAAAACCCTCGGTTCAATTTTGATAAACCAGATTATATTCAAGTCTAAAACGACGACCAGTTGAAAGTCTTCATTTTAAGTTAATATTCACATAACTCCAGGATTTGAACTCCAAAACTCCGCGTCCCATACGTATGCGCTGATGCATCCAATCCCATAGAAACCACCTTCCACAGGCCCTACTCCAGTTTATCCAAGTGCTCCAGTCTCGTAAGCACAACCTGTTTGCTCGTCTCTTCAATCTCGCCGGCGAGAAAGACTTCGTCCAGGATAGCGTAGACCTATACAACATCAGCACCATCCATCAATCAATATACATATTTAACGCACCTTGTAGAAATTGAACACTAGATCCAATTCACACACATTCCCAAAGAATTGATCCAGCACCTCGACGAAAAAGTGGATAGCCTCCAGGTATGCCAGCTCGTTATCGTTGGCATCCACGCATACGCAGAAGAAGAGACCCGCATATCGTCGATAGACCACCTTTGTACTGCGACGGAACTCCACAAAGTTGGACTGGTATTTCTGATCTCGGGGTGCGACAAGACGGTGGACCTGTACGGCGTTAGTGGGAGATTGAGCGGAGAGGTAGGTAAGCTTGGATCGGACCTCGCCCTTGAGTTTCACTTTCTCTTCATCCTATTGATGTGTTAGTGTATGCGGACTCAGAGGGATTGCGACACTCACACTGTACGGGGCGTACCATTTCGCCAGGCGCGTTTTGCCCCTATAATGATTATCAGCTTGGACCAGGGTAATCTCTCCCAAGGAATACTGACTGGCGATTCTGAACGAGGATAAATGAAAGTACCATTGTTAGTACCTGGTCATCTGGTTCGCATCGAGTCTTTGGAGTGCAGCTTGAAGAGGTTCTCCGCGATTTCCGTTATCGTGAAGCTCCCCTCCGATATACTGCCAGTTCACCGCCTATTGCTATCAGACTTAGTACATACTTGATGTGCAGTAGATACGTATAGTCTATAGAGAACATTTTGATTGAGGATTAAAAAATGATGATTCAGCAGCTAATGTATGCACCTAAATTTTCGATCGGTCGCTAGCAATCACAAAGGCATATAGGTCGGAAAGGAAATATTTTCAACGATCTGAGGCAATCAACAGCGTAAGGCGTAAAACTCGTCAAACTTCGCACAGGGTAGGTTCAAAGGCAATGAACGAAAAAAGTGTTCAGAAGGTCATTATTCGTAGGCAGTATTCCCGGTCGGTGTTCAGAAGAAATCCAGAAGATCCCTAGGATGAGCTCATCCGATTCCAAAGTCTCGTCAGTCTCGACTATAAATCGACCATTAGCTCGACATTCCAGAACAAGACTTAATCTGAAAAGGTCTCCAACATACCGTAACACTGACCGGCGTACTAGGCTCAGTCGCAGCCTCCGACCGCGCCCCCGACTTCTCATCAACGTAGCTATCATCTTCATAATACTCCTCGTCACTCTCGTCTTCAGACGACGGATAAAATCGATCCGGATCCCCATTGTAAACCATAAACCAGCCAATCTTCTCCCCAGGAGCTAGTCGATTGCGCAGCTCCTCCAGCGCCTCCGACTCATCCTGTGACAAGCCCGATCCCTGCTCAACGCAGTCCGCGATATTCATCCCGGGCCCAGCACTATCCGGCACAGAGCTGCGACAATCAGGGATAGTCAGGACCTTCGATGCGACATAGGCATGATCCTGGCTAACGGTATTACTTGATTCGTCGAGCGGATCGTACTGCTCGATGAAGCGCAGTTCGGGCAGCCGCGCGACAAGGTCGGGTTGTGTCTTATGGAAAGATTCGGTCAGTAGTTCTGACGTGAGTGGTTGTTGGATATATTCGGCTGCTGCTTCTTCGAGGTTGTGAAGTACGATGTAGACTCGGATGCCGGTGAAGCCGGCGCGGGGCCAGCGAAATCCATGGATCATGTAGACGGGCATGGCTGACGGGAAAGGATCGGATCGATCTGGAGGGATCTGTCGTGGTGTGGCTCGGGAGAGGGCCTGACAAGAGGCGGGTTGGATTGAAGATCGAGTCAGGATCGGAGTTTCCAAGGATCGGATGGATATTTCATTTGAATGCTTGAGGGGGGAAATTGGAAGCTCGTGTTGGTATCAGCGTTCTGTGATGCATCGAATCGAGATTCGAGATCAAATGTGGACCTTTACCCAAGCGGGAATGGTCCCGCCTTTTTTAGTTCAACGGCCCGCGCCAGTCTTACGATCTCGCCCTGTGCACTTCTAACTTACAATTGGGCCTAATTGTCTGTGGTGGGAATCCATGTGAGAGAGGGGGGAAATTATGCAGGTTTTCTACTAGTCGGTGGGTCCTACAGATAAATGTATAGAATGTGTTGATAGCCCCAATTTGGACAAATTAAGTCATTTGACCTGCAGACGTTTACCTAGATATGCGAAAAGACACCTCAAGTGGTTATTCGGGATCAGCCATTGATCGGCAATCTACGGAGCAGATATGTTCTACTGTATATGCCACCGTGATCCTCTGACCAGATCACTCATATACAAGGGAAGGTGCCTGGGTCAACAGAAAAGAGTCCGATTGGAAATTGTCCTAGTTCAATATACAAAATGGTACAGAATATAGATTTGATTCCTGGGTGATCGGGAACATGCAATATTGTAAAGCTAAACTGACTGTCTTGGTAGCCTAAGGTTTTCTCTTGAGGTCTGCAAACCGCCGTGTGAGCTCATCCAGCTCGGGAATCCCGTTGTTGCTTTTGCTCTGTGTCGCAGGTTCCTGCTTGGCAGTTTTCCCCTCTGCCCCAGGGACCTTGACTCGTGGGTTTGGATTGTCCGTAAACCTGGGACCTGGAGGCGCGACACTGACAGGGCTGCGGCCCGTTGCTGGGCCCCGTGGAGGCGTGGCTTTATTCAATTCACTAGTCTCAGAGGCTCGTCTAGCTTCAGAGAAGCTGCTTGAATCTCCCTGCTTACTAGGTGTCTGTGGAAGATCCCCACCATCATCATCTTGGTCGTCCATATATTCCGGGGGAGCACCAAGGTCTTCCTGGGATTCCTCACCCGCTGGCCATGTGATTCCGTATGCTTTCGCAATCTCTCGCAGATACATCTCCACCAGCTCCGGTAGAGGAGGGCGCACTCGCAATCCCTTCAAAAGCCGATCGGAAACCTTGGCTGAATCAATCTTGTTGTCTTGTGCCAGCGCCATGAATTCTTTGCCATATCGTTCCCCAAGCATATTCCGAAGCATGGTCAACTCGCGCACCTCATGGGGAAAGCGATGCCACGCATAGAAAATAGCCACAGCCGCCTCATCCAAAGCAGTATCCATATAAGCATTCTCTTCCTCTGTTAACGCATCGGTATCATGTGCGCCAGACGCGATCGCAGAAGTACCAGCCTCCTTTTGCGATCCCGAAAACCAGCCAAATCCAAAACGAGACCCAGAGCTCTCCGCAGTTGCTCCTGTTGTGCCTGTCTGCGCTTGGTTTTGTTTCTTATAAAGCTCTTTGGCGCGTAATCTGGCCCGACTGCCCTTCTCTCCAAATGCGAGTTGGTCCAGCACGTTTGCGCGCGCCAGTAGCAACTCGCAGTAGAGTTCTACTACCTCCATCACTTCCACCGCGATGTCAGTTGAGATCACATTTTCCACTCGGATGCGCGCTGATGCTTCGCGCCCTTCACTGAGAAGCTGAGAGAGTTCGCGGCGCTGGACAACGGAGGAGGCGGTGTCTTTCTTCTGGAGAAGGCGAAGACGTGGGATGAGGAGGCGCAGGGTGGATACCAATCTAGTCTTTGGCACTGTGTCAGCTTTGTCTGTATCCATTTGGGTTGTCTGGTCGCAGAAATATGCGGACTGCAGGTGGAGGGCGATGATAACAGTGCGGGGTAGCTCTAGGCAGCCAGTCCTGACTGAATTGCAGGAGGACTGGACTGTCTGGACAGAAATTCAAACAATTTGAATACTGGAAAAACTCACAGTTTGTGCCGAAGGGGGCATTTTGACGATATCAGGGTGGTGAATAGAAGGGAAAGGGAATGTTAAGGTGAGGTGCTTCGGTGGACTCCACTTCCGCTGCCCGCATACCCCGACTAGTAACTTCACTGACCGGTTTCTCTAATTGACTACAGTTTTGGGACATTCCAACACTCCACAGCATCACAGAAGCCCTTTAGACAATCAAACTCTTTCATTGATGAGCTTTTGAAGTGCCCTGATCCAAAAGTAATGTCTTTTGGTTACCGGTAGATGGATGGGCGTGCAAAAGTCAAAATCGCGCTTAAAGCTCCTTAACAGTTGATTCGGGGGTAATTGATCATCTTAGCAGAACAAAGTAAGTTGGTAAAATAGTAGAGCATAGTAAGTTGGCAACATTTATTGGCAGGCTCTTGAATTCCCTTGGTTGAGCGATAAAGGCCGCACTTAGCCGAAATGGCTCTGCTGACCATGGTCCTAGGCCCTGGCTATATCCAATACGAGACGAGCTTATTCATATTACCCAAATCCTATCTTCTGATCTTAGTTTATATGGCTGGAGTGGCGTTGGTTCAAAGCTGCTGAAGTGGATGCGGACCGTTTTAGGAAGTTGCCGGGAGTGGATCATGACAGTCATCATTCGTAGTATATAAACTGAAAATTTGATTCAACCTTCAATCTTTTCAAATCAACAAAATGGCAGGAAATATACATCCAGCAACTCAGGCGCTTCACGCTGATGACCGCTTGAATCTGGTAACCGATGTTGCGCCGCCAATCCATCTGTCCACGATATTCAGATACCCGGATGATCCCAACAAACTGACCCTCTCCGAAGATCCAGTAGTATGTGATCCCGATCCATGTATGGTACGATCCTGACATTTGAGTAGGCAGAATTCGATGGGAAGAACTTCGTCTACGCCCGTGAATTCGCCCCAAACCAGACTCGCTTTGAGGCGGTCCTCTCATCACTCACGAAGGGAGATGCGGTAAGCTATGCTACTGGGTTAGCGGCACTGCATGCCGCCTTGACACTTCTAAACCCGCGCCGTATATCAGTCGGCGAGGGTTACCACGGTAGCCATGAAGTTATCGCAGTCGTTTCCCGTTTATCCGGACTCCAGAAGCTTAGTCTCGATTGCCCAGCCGAGGATCTAAGTGAAGGAGATGTGATTCTACTCGAAACACCCATCAATCCGCTTGGTACGGCATTTAACATCGAGGAATATGCTGCCAAGGCGCACTCGCGTGGTGCATACTTGATCGTTGATAGTACATTCGCACCACCCGGTCTACAGGATCCATTCCTGTGGGGCGCGGATATCATCATGCACTCCGGATCAAAGTATTTCGGTGGACATAGTGATCTCCTCTGCGGTGTCCTTGTGACAAAGCGCGCGGATTGGACGAAGCAGCTATTCGAGGACAGGCTCGCGCTGGGTAATGTGCTCGGAAATATGGAAAGTTGGCTTGGGGTTCGGAGTCTGCGCACGCTTGAGGTTCGGGTACAGCGCGCAAGTCAGAATTCTGCGAAGTTAATTTCGTGGCTTGATGCCGCGTTGAGTGCTCCATCGCCAGCGCCACTTTCAAGAGAGGCAATTGTGCAGGCTGTTTTGCAGAAGATTCATCATGCTAGTCTTCAGAAGGAGGCGTGGTTGGAGAAGCAAATGCCCAATGGTTTTGGGCCTGTTTTCTCAATTGTTCTGCACCAGGAAGAATATGCTAAGATCTTGCCCAGCAAGCTGCATTACTTCCAGCATGCAACGAGTCTCGGCGGTGTGGAGTCTTTGATCGAGTGGCGAGCTCTGTCGGATCCTAGAGTCGATCGGAAGCTTTTGCGGATATCAGTTGGGCTGGAGAACTGGGAAGATTTGAAGGAAGATATTCTCCAAGCATTTAAATCATTGGCATATAGACACTGTTGATTAAAATAATATCATTCTGCATGGAGCCAGAAATTAAATCCAAAGCCAGTCTCGACCCAGGTTACCGATGTTGAAGATCCACTGTGACCGAGCTGTTGGCGAGCTTTGTCGCCAATGATCTTGCAGGGTCTTGGCTGCGTTGACAGCGTTCAAACAGCTGGTTAGAGTCCAGAATCTCTCTAGACAATTCATGAGGAAATCCCTTTGATTTTGGAGCTGGCATTCCAACCCCGCCACAAAGATCGGCCATAAAATGCATTTAAACAAGGCCGGGTCATCCTTCAAAGAATCAACCACACCTAATAATTCCAAGACCTGGTCATCTTGCAAAGACTCAGCTCCAGTAAGGGCATCGAGAATCCTTCCGCCATATATAAGACAGCCAATTTTATATGCCTGTGATAATCTGCAGAGGTTTGCTATATCCTGGGGCGATGAACCCCGAGATCGTTGTAGACCCGAGGCCCAAGCGTAACAATTGAAGTTCTGGATGAGCTTCAGTAACGACGTTGTATCACTCTGGTCCAAGCCCACTGCGGCAGAATCAAGTGGTGTGGATGCTGATATGCTATCACGCTGCACAGAAAGGCATCGGATGGCCGTTAGTAGGGATTCCGGACACCCGAGGAAAGACTTTTCAATGATTTCCTGATGTTGGAGCTCGGGCAGACCTAATGAGCTAGACTGTGACAGCAACCTCGGACGTGTGAAGGCGGATCCGAGTGTTTCAATTCTATTTTAATCAGTTTCAAGTTGGTTCAATAAATGGCAACGAACGACCTACAGATGAATCTGTTTGGTGATAAATTCCCGGATCTCTTGCACAGTCTCCCCTGGTCCTTGATTAACTCCAGCATGGCTTTCGGGAGTTAGATATGTCGAAGCAATCAGTTTTTTAGCACCCTCGAGGTGAAAATTCCAGCCATCGCTACCAGACTCGATCAAGTCCAGGAATATTAAGAGAAAAATGCTGGCCACTGTTGTATCTTGTTTGAGATCTTTGTTATCCCGCAAGGAAAGTGATAGTGCCTCTATAGCTTGATGCTTAAAAGAAAGTGCATCCCGATGCGCGTTGACGAGTCTCGGCTCTGTTGGTGTTTCAGCTTGGTCAAAACACTGACCTGCGTTGACATGATGCCGAGCTGCAAGTGCTAGAAGGGCCTTGAGAAGGGCCGGATCTTTCAGACCAAGAGAAATGAGGCTTCTGAAGGGGTTCTTGTCGCTGTCATATACGATGAAGAGCTTGCAGATGCGCTCGTTATCTTTGACGTATGTTAGTCCATGAATCTTATCTCAGAGGATGTGGTCTCACAATAGTCAACATAATACCGGGATATTCTGTCTAGATGCAGAACTGATGGATCTTGGAGAGTAAATGATAGATTTGGTAAGGAATCGAGGGTGAAATCTGGAGTCAGATCAGCGTTGCACAAAGACTCAGTGATTCAGTAGCTTCCTTACTATTGAAATTCAAACTCCCCGGACGAACAGGATTGACCACTGAGCGCCTTGATTTTATCAAAGCGGATTTCTTATTAACGTTATCTGCATTGCTCGAAAATGTCCGGCCCATCATTTTCCCGCGAATTGCGACGCCCTGTACCCACCGGACGGGTCTTTTCTCATTACACTCCAAGCCAGATTTTTGGCATTTTGCACAAGGCATACCCGACTGGTCGCATTGAATGCGACGATTGCGACAAGTGTAGCATGGCTCGATTTTCTGATCCATGAGGCGTGAGTTGGGAGTGCCAAGTCGGCTTTTCCTGAGCAAATGACCCTGTTGCTGACTAATCCGATCTAGCCCCGCCCCCACGTTTTGATATAGATCACGACTCATAATGAGATACTATAAAGTAGATTGTTTGGGGTGGGAAAAGATTGATGAACTATGAATCAAGTGGAGCTACCCTGAGATAAAGAGATATAAATAAAAAGAATGTAAAATGGGTGTGAAATAGAAGTGCCGTACCTTCTAGGGAAGGGTGGAGGGGGGGAGGAAATATGGGGGAATGAGAATGGTATTATGAATGATATAGTAATCAAGTAGGAATGATATTGGGGATGATTTCAAAACTTAAAGAGAATGGCGAATTGTATGGGTGAGAGGAGGAAGGGGGAATAACCTCAGAAGGCAAAGAGAAAGGTGGGAAGTAAACTTGGGAAAGTGTGAATAGCAACAAAACCAAGCATTTGGAGAAGAGGGATGGCCTCACCAAAACGCTAAGAAAGTACCAATATAAGAAAGAGTAAGTTGAAAAAGGTATCCCCCTCCCTCTTGTCCTAGTGGTAAGAGCACCGCTGATGATCACTATTTGGCTCAGAGAAATCTCCCAAATTAGCTGTAAAGCGTATGCGCGTCCGAAAGACAGCGTTAGTTCGATCCTGAGAATCCCCATTAAGTTAGGGATAACATGGCTAAGCAGAGACGGATTATAAACGGGGGGATACCTTTTTTTGTTTGATCTTCATGATTCTCCCTACTATATTCTATTACCCTTTTACCTACTTCACAGAGGACGTCTATAATAGACTTTTAATGATGAATTCTTGAATTCCGCAACAATCACCCGAATTCACATTGATACACGGAGATGGTAGCCGTCAAGTTGGAGTCAGTCTCGGGTTACCCCTCAATCTACTTCTCCCCACATCATTCAAGCTAACACATTCTTTCGATATCAGCTCAGATCCCCAACATGGATTTAGCCCAGATATTTGAAAACAGCCCAGGCGAGGTGATCAAGTGTGTCGACATGCACACCACCGGTGAACCAACACGAATCATTTACTCAGGCTTCCCCCGTCTCCAAGGAACACTTCTCGAACAGCGCGACCAAGCCAAAGCAAACCATGACAATATTCGCAAGCGCATCATGCTCGAGCCTCGTGGACACTACGACATGTATGGTGCAATCATCATCCCAGACACAGAGCTCGTCCAAAGTGGAGAAGCGCACATCGGCACACTGTTCACGCATAATGGCGGATTCTCTACAATGTGCGGACATGCTACCATTGCACTGGGTCGCTTCTTAGTCGATACCAATGATCTGATGGTATTTCCGAAGCGGGATACATTGGTGGTTAACAGTGCGACCAACGAGGTTGCTGTCAACATCCATGCACCGTGTGGCTTGGTTCGGGTTACTGTACCCACTACGCCCGATGGACAGAAATCGGATCCATCGCGCTCGGTCAAGTTCCTTTCTACGCCAGCTTACGCTGCAGCGATCGATCTTACGATTCCCATCCCTAGAGATGTTGCGTGGCCCGAGCTCGGAGGTCGGGAATCCATCACACTTGATATCTCCTATGGTGGTGCCTTTTACGTACTGGTTGATGCCCGGGAACTGGGTTTCACGGAAGGGCTGAGCGAGATTGACCTTGCGTGCGTTGCGAGCGCAGTGAAGAAGCTCAAGGCTTACCTCGTGACAAGGCCCGATGTTATTACTGCGTTGCGTCATCCCGAGGATGAGAGGCTATCTTTCCTTTACTCTATCATGCTTGTGGATCGTGACATCGGATCTAGACCGGATGGTGTGGATGGCACGGAGACTGGACTTTGTTTCTTCGCCGAGAATCAGATTGATCGATCCCCAACGGGGTCATGTGTGACCGCTCGTATGGCGTTGGCCAATGCGAAGAACGTGAGACCGCGTGGTCAGAAGTGGGCTTACAACTCTCTTGTGTCGAATCGATTTGATACCGGTGCTTTCATTGCTTTGATCGTGGATGACAATGTCTGGCTGGAAGGAGAGCATGGGGTCGCAAGGCAAGCTGTTATTGTTCAGGTTGAGGGCAAGGCCTATTATACTGGAGCAATGACCTTCGTCATTGAAGACGATGATGTGACAACCGAAAGTGGATTCACGATGGATGATTGTGCACGTGGTCTCTCAAAGTAATGTTCGCATCATTGTATTGTTACATCCCGGACTTGCCATATGTTGGGTTCGAAATACGCGAATTACATGCTATCAAAGAATCTTGGAAGAAAATGAAGATATTAGAGTACGAAGTAATTGGCTACATGTGTCTGGTTTTCGCAGCTCCAGAAGTTTCCTGGCCTAAAGAATCCCAGCTCAGAGTCTTTGCACTGCTTGTGACCTTACAGAGGCATTGTCCTTTACCATATGTTCAGACGATTGTGTCTCCACCGCTCCAATCCTCTCATTTCTCGGTGACCAAGTCTCATTGAGAATGAGGTACGCAAGCAATCTTGAGACTAACATTGTCATTGGACCAAATGGTGATAAACAGTCTCTGCTTTTGCCTTTACGTGGCCTGTGCTGTGTACCTGCAGCGGAGACACAGCGGGGCCCAACCCAAAATTAGACCACCACAAACAGTACAGACATGCACTAGCAAGCACGGAGTAAAATTAATCTCACGGTGAGAGCCAATCCTGTCCTGTTTACAAGCCGACATCAGGGACCCAGTTGAACTAGAAGGATTAGATACTCGACCTAAGGAGAATTCCATAAAGAAATGATCTATAATAGGGTCTATAGGACCCACATGGATTTTAGGGTCGTAGCAGGCGAGCTAGGCGTTAAGACTCGAGAGTCGGAAAATCTTAGATCTGATCTTTGATTGGCTACTTAGATACATGATCCACTGTGGATACTCAATTCTGGTTGGTCGGCTCGGTTTATGACATCATAACCCGAGCACCAAGCGGCGCTATACCTAGTTAGGATAGTTTAGTTGTCTAGTACATACTAAGTTGAATGTTTCAGCTCTACCTATCTTTGGATTTGACTAAGGTAAGATGCAGGCGAGTAACAAAAAAATTGACATATATAGGGCTTTCGCACTTGTCATTCATGTTATGATATCTCACATTCGTTGCTCCCTCGCTCTATCAACTATTCCGAAGTTCTACTTCGATCTCTTAACCAGTATGTCTCAAGTCAAGGGCTCAGTGCCCAAATCCATTTATATGGTAAAGCTGACATCTTCTCCTTAGGTCACTCTTTTACCACCCTCCTTACGAAATCATGCCTCCCGCCATGCAAATCCTCCACACCATCTCAACCTTCGCTAAGCGAGATGGGACCACCCACTACTCTCTCTATATTGTTTGCATCATGCTCGGATGTATTTTATGCTGCCTCATTGGTTTTGCTGGGTACAGCATGTATCACGGGTCGGATGAAACACCGGCCGTCGAAGTTCCCTACGAGCAGAGGAAGTACATGCGTGAAGTTCACCAGCGGAATCTCAACCGAATGGCTATTACGGCACGACGACCAGATATGATCATTCCTGTTGAGGAATTAAATTATTGAATATAAATGTCTGGAGGCGTATTGGAGTATATGGAATTGGGCAATTGGCGTTGTGTGGATTGTTGAATATTTGCATGGGTCAATGCATATCATGTTGGTTTAGAAGAAGTATTGGTACATACGCACATTCATAAAATCTACAGAGAGTTAGTACTACATTTTAAGTCAAAAACATATTGTACATATTGGTAAAGTAGGACGGACGTTTTTGCGAAGTTGCCATAGGCATTAGTTTGATACCCGAATCACTGTTACAGCTCAACATACTATATATGTCTATCAGGACCTATAGTCTGGTGCGATGGTTGACGGTAATAAGTAGCCCAGAAGAGATGATATACCAGTCTGTATAAGTGACGAGATCGTCAAGATCGAGAACCTTACTATAAATGCTATGTAAGGATCGAGTACTTAAAGGTGCATGACGAAACAGGCCAGAACCTACCCCAGACCCATATATTTGATCACCTTCCGCCGTCCTACAAAGGCGATATCATAAAAGATCCCCCAAAAGGCAAGAATTGAGCACGATCCGGAAGTCAGCAGCCAGAATGTTCTGGTTTTAACCTTCTCAATCATTGCACAATTTGACTGTGAGATCTCCACCGGTGTTTTTAGAACCCACTTGATTCCATAGGTTCAGAAGCCTTTCTTCAGGCTGGAATCCGAGAGGGTCAGACCATTTTGCGTATGCCTCCTCTTCCGAGGAATATTTGAACCGATGATAGCCTCTTCCTGCCTCCGTTTCCATTGTCAGCAATTCCAATTTTGGCATACATAACGCTGCCTGTCCCACAGCCATATACAAGTCATTGAAGAGACCCGGGCCACTGACTTCTCGAACAGGCTTGCCGCTGCGATCTTCGAGGACCGTTCTCACGTATTCCGGAAATTCATCATGTGGATCGGAATCTGAGGACTCATAGTGATCGTATTTATCGCGATCAGAGCGGTCGACAAAGAGCCATTTCCCGGATGGAGTTGACGGTGTGCTTTGGATATCGACGGTTTTTAGATCCGGCCATGATGGACGCTTGTTCAACGACAAGTTGAGTGTATGTAGGCAAGGAAATTGAGAGGGAAGACGAGCACACGAAGCCGCCTCGATTTGCCGTCTGTCGGATGACGCCTCTGTTTGAGAGTATGCACAATCCCGAGTGGCTCTACCTGGCTCTCAAATGCATCAAAGCGAAGATACGACATTATGAGGAACCTCAGATCAGGCCCAGTGATTGAATCAGGCCGCTGAGGTCAGTCGCCTTGCTTAGGGTGTCAGTCAGGATGATCTTGACGGAAAGAGTGGGCTAGAGAAGCAAATGCAAAGGTTCAGGATCTTTCAAAGTTTAAAATTAGGACATGTTATTGAATAAGATCCTTATCTACGACCTCATCTAGAATCTCACAAGCCATAAGTGTTGAAAATGTAAATTGGACCCAATTCCCTATGTCCAGCCAAAAATTTCAAACCCAGTACAAATCAAAAGGAAAGGATATTCAAGAAGCATAAAACAAGCGGAGCCAAGGTATAATAATCGTAAAAGCTGAAAGAAATGGCAACGTGGAGGTCGTCATAAAAGCATCCCAAGGATGGAAAGAAATGTAGTAGAAGGGGTATGTAGAAAAGAAGTATGGTTAAGGGATGAACATGTGCAAATTATGCAAAATGGATGCAGAGAATGAAATAAGTGCATGTCTGGCGTGGAGGATCAGATGAGGGCACGGGACGTTGCAAGGGTTACTGCGGTTTTCGTAGGAAGACATCTGACTTGAGACAGATTAGAAGTTGATGGCCAGAGCGGCCACGGCTCCGAAGATGAGACTGATCATGGAGAGGGCGGCGCTGGAGGCGCCGTTGGCACTTGTCGTGGTGGAGGTGGAGGCGGAGGCGGGAGAAACACCGCTGGTAGATTCACTTGAGGAGACCTCCGCTGCACCAGTTGGGTAGAAGGCTTGTGGGCGGTAGCTGTAGCTCATGCTGGGGCTAGCCTTGGGAAGTCTAGTGCTATAAATGCGGTGGAAGGTGGGAGTCAGAGTAGATGTAGAGGCAGAAGTGTGAGTGGAGGTCGAAGTGGACGTGGAGGTCGAGGTCGAGGTCGAGGTGGCTGAGGAAGTAGGAGTCGAGGTTGAAGTGCTAGACGGGGTGGAAGTCGAAGTTGGAGTCTCGGTGGTGCTGGTAGTAGTTGGAGTCGGCGTAGGGGTGGATGTGGAGGTGGAGGTGCTAATGCTGGTGCTTGAAGGAGCAACCGTGCTGGTGGGGACGGACACAGTCTCGCTGGCGCTGGAACCACTGCCGTCAACCTCAAAGACGACAATCTTGGCCTTGGAGCCGTAGGAAGCAGTAACAACACAACCAGTGGCACCACCGGCACCAGTAAAGACATCGGGGGCGCTCATTTCGTTCACAGCCATGGTAGAGGGATCGATACGGCAAGGCAAGCCATTGCAGTCATCACCCTCACATTCAATCTCAATACCAAACTCGGGCCTAACGTCACGGAAGGGAGTGGTGGGCTCCAAGTAGATAGGGTTCCAGCCGATCTTCACGTAGGTGTTGCCGTCACCATCGGTGTTAGCACCAGCGGTGTAAGGCGACCAATTACCAACTGGGTTGGCATTGGTACCCCAGATACAGCCCTCCTCAGCAGTGACACCAGGGGCGTTGATGTAGTACTGAGCAGCAGTGGAGCACCAGTAAGACATGCCAGGCACAGCCAAAGTTGTCAACTCCTCAACCAAGGTCGGGATCAGCATGGCCTCGTTTCCAGGAAGCACGGTCTGACAGAAAGACACAGGCTTGCTGGCCTTGTTGTGGGCTGACACGACACCAGTTCCATCCTCACAGTAGGGCTTGCTAGGGAATGGCTTTTGAATGTCACCATTCTCGTCACAGTACAGACCACCATTCTATCAGCTGTCAGCGCGACCCCCTTGCATATGACACATATACTAGCGCAAACTCACCATGGACATAGGATAAGTGTAAGAGGTAGCCTCAGGGTCCCACTGCATCGACACCTGGCCTGCAGGACACGCGTAAGGGCAGTAATTTCCAGGCTCACACGGCTGATTGGGGCTCATGGCCCATCCAGCGTTCTCTTCATTGGGTGTAACGGCGACCAATCCCGCATCAGTAGGGAACTGACACTGTCCACTCTTCTTCTGGAGGGTCGTGTTCTCTGGGACGGTGCGGGCTTCGTGATGACGAGCATGGAGATGACCGTGATGAGAAGCCTCAACAGTTGCAATGAGGGCAACGAGCACAGCGGCCCGAGCGGGTGAAATGTCGAACTTCATATTGAAGGTAAAGAGCGAATGACTAGAATAGAGTCCAAAAAACGAATGACTGGGCAAAAATGCCTGGATTGGTGGGACACAGAGTAAGGCCTACAAAGAAAGAAGAATTGGGGGGGGAAAGCCGAGAGACAAAAGGACATCAACCCACGGCCTGTGATAGTATCCACCCCAAGACCACCAGACCCTGAATGGCCCCTGAACTAAAACCTTGGACGATCCAATCCCAATCAGGATACCTTGACCGGTTCTTTGGGGGTCCAAATGCCCCTAATTCAAGCCGCTAGCCATTTTAGCGTCGGTAGCGTCAGGGGTAGTTCAATATTGAGCCAATCAAGTTGGTACTTCCCCGATGGTTCATGCTTGGCAAGAGGAAAGCCAATAGGCTGCAATCAATGCGCTAGATGTGGAGTAAAGAACCCGTGAGAAAACGTGATAATGAAAAACAAAAACAAGGTAGATGGTGCTATAACCGAATCATGTCAACTCCAATCTTTTAACGGCTCATGATCAATTCAAATTAAACCCACCATCATCTTAATCATAATCTAGGCCCGCTGATCATGATAGACGATCTTTATAATTCTATGTTTTATGCTCGAGCCAATGAGACCCATTTCGGCCGAACCGGGTGTCGCCCTAAAAGGGGAAAGCATGACTATTGTGCATTTACAGCAAGCCAAGGCGTTTACATGATCGTCTTGTCCAAAGCTTGAACGGAGTACTTGAAATCGATCTCTACCAGAAATGAATTAAAAGAACCATTAATTGATGATATTTCATTCCAGGCATGGATCTGCTTAGTCCCGCTTTTATCCGAGTTGAGTGTCGCTCATACAGTCAAGTCAAGGCTCTCGAGTCAAGGATTAAGGGACTTATACCCAACCATATAGTTTCGGATTTAATGAGCTATACTGGATCAGTAATCGATATTAGAATTAGAAGCAATGACAGAAACTATGTCATTGATCAAGGCTTTCTAGGTGTAGAAATCTCTTTTGTCGTTATCTCTCTTGCTTCGGCTAGTCAATCTCGACGAGAGAAGCCGTTTTATTCTTAAATATCCTTGCATCTGCTTAGTGCGACGATCTTTCGTCAGAATGGTTGCTAGGCGCAGAAGTCAAAAAAGCCGTGGCGCGGATGATCGTCAGAGGAGGGCCTCTTTTGACGTACTGCAAGGACTATTGGTATGCATCTGACCATTTCCATGTGGGGATAATGCAGCTAATAATTGACAGGTCTCACTACACAAAGCCCCACTATACCCAGTTCTTCATTTATAAATCGCATGCGACTATGTTGACATCGGACAGCAACATGGAAGATGATATTACGATTCGCACCACAACATATGTACATGTACAGACTACCTAGCATTTGACGAAATTGTCAGTCATCTTTGTTATTATTTATGGACCCAGTGAGTTTGTTTCAATCGGTGGCTGATGCAAGGTGAACTTGCTATCTCTTCCCCGCAGAATTGTACGGAGTAGTTCTTGTACAGAAACACCCCACTTTCCCTTACATTTCACTATGTACCGGCTGATGCGGAGTTTTCGGATACACATTGGATACATATTGTATTTGCGATGATTTCGCCTATGGACATGGTATGGCTGTTGGCACACCGACACAGGTAAGATCAGTTCTCGATGTTCCATCGCAGCTGCGGTTTGTAGAATAAGGAAATCAATGGGCTATAATCACAATGCAATTGGTTCTTTCACCAATTCCTGTATAAATCACACATCACCAGATTGAGCCTGTAGCTTACTCCATTCCTTGAAAGCATCAGCATCATCCCTCCACCCCCAAGCAATACAATAATGTCTCGCCAAAAGCTGCCACTCCTCCATCTCATCCAGCATCTCAAGACGAGAAACCCTCTCCTTCTCTCCCTCCCCCACCCACTGCTCCCAAAGGAATTCAATATCAGCAACAGCTTGCCCACTGACGAATCCCTGTTCATGCAACCTAGTCCGCTGCGCCTTCAGCGTGGCATACTTGTGCAAAGTCTGGAGCTGAATCCCGCGCGTCGCAAGGTTCGATACCATCGTTCGACCGAAAGCATCATCTGGACGGATCGGTTCGTATAGAACCAAGCCAAGGGGAGTGGCCGGGCTGAATAGTCGCTCCGTGAAGAATGAGACAACATCTGCAGCTTCGGTTGGCGAAAGGTATATCAGACAGCACTCGGAGATTAACAGGGTCGGTAGTGATGTGTCTACGCCTGGAAGGATCTCTGGGGAGCTGCTGGATAAGACGCGTAGATCAAGAGGGTGGATATGGTAGGAAGATGAATGAAGAGAATCACCAGATTCAGAGACGGTTACATCCTGACTTGACGAGTCAATTCCTAGTGCTTTTTGTAGGAGGGGAGTGGATCGGATCGCGTGGATCTTCGACGTGGTGTTTACGGCGAAATCGATTTCGTGGTAGATGAGATCAGACGGTTGGCGGGCGGCAAGGAGACGAAAGACTCGCGTGTCTGACCCGGCACCTAGGGAGATGATCTGTTTCTTATTTGTATGGGAAGAGGATGGACCGAGGAATTGCCCGACTAGTTGGTCGATTGCAGTGGTGCGAACATAAGTTCCTAGGGTCATGTCAGAACTCGGTGCTTTGTGAGACAGGGGTTCACTTACCTCGATTGATGATCGGGAATCTCCTTGTTGCATTGCCAGGGGCCGTCAAGGCTGTCGCATATGGGTCGTCGAGATATCCCAGCTCGACGGCGCTGAGGCGGGAGACACTGGCGTCATTGTCTGTGCCCTGCACGACGCGGTCCTTGCCCGTTGGGCGCGTGCCATTACTATCCTCGACTCCACGAAGACCTCCACGACCCTGGCCTCGGCCTCGTCGGAGTGTGTTTAAGTTGGGAATTCGCGGTGCGGCCATGAAGGGCGTACCGAGGGGACGTGGAGGAAGCTCGAGAAGCTTGAAGCTTGGACGGTGGGGTTCCCCACGCGAATAGCGTCACCCGAACTAGTGGAGATCAGCTTTTAATCTTTCATAGTTCGTCAATTAAATCACAGTATTGAAAATTTTACTAATTGAATTGCCAATTTTACTCTCGAGATGTAGAATAGATGATACACTATTGTTCTATTTTGGGGTAGGGGTTGACTTTTGACTGTCAAGTCGATGCCGGACTGTAGCCCAGCACATGAATGGCCCATAATTCTTCATCCGTCTATCATCTATGTTCACTTAAACATACACAAAGTTGTTGCGACACAACGGGCAAGTACTCTGGTTACTGCTCTTGAACCATCGGAACAGACAGACAGAGTGGAAGGTGTTTTTGCAAGTCGCGCACCGTTTGTTTGGCGTCTGCATGTCGGTGGAGATCACAGAGTAACAGATAGCACACTCGCTCTGTCCCTTCAAAGCACCCTGTACGTTGCGTCGGAAGGCCAACAATCCATCGACAAGGTTACCATTGGCGAACATGATCACGCCTTGGATTGTCAACAGCCAGCTCTTCCATTTCTTTTCATCCACCAGAACACGACTGCGGCCGACCACGGCGGCAGCGTGAAGCGGATATGCAGGGGGAAGGGAGATCGAAATGGATACTGGAGGTGATTCCTCATCCACTGGAATGCTGGCAATGATCTCCGCTGTGCGTGGAGACATCTTGACAGATAGAGCTCGCTCCTCGTTTGGATCCTGAGTAGCGATCCAGTCTGTAACAGCTTGGAGAGCGTCATCAACCACCAAAGGTGAGATCTTGAAATAGTTAGCCTCGTATGTCCTAGCAGTTTGAAGCTAGTTCAACTCACGTATCTCTCTGTCCACGTCTCCACCGGCCCTTTGATTCTTTTTGGCGTGTCAATCCACCAGTTCTTGGTCATATTCGCCAAATGCCTCAAGCACAGATAGTACAGATGCACCAACAGCCATTGTGTCTCTTTCTCGGCACTTTCTGAGTTATCAGGCTGGAAAGACTGAATCTCAAGCTTAGATGCATCAACAATCTTGCCCTGTGATTTTTGGAGGAAATTGAACATGAATTCCAGCAGGGGAATCAAGATATTATTTTCCTTGATACTAGCTGCGTAGTACTCTTGGACGGGAAGTGACTGGTTTCATGTTAGAGAAAGTCGCAGAAGCTCCCCTGGGATACATACCGCATTGGTGAAGTGATCGAAGACTACCTTCCAGCTCAAAAGGTATGATCTCATGCTGGTCCACATCTTGTCATCGCCAAAGGACTTGGAAACCATATCCATCGTTGGTGTCTCAAGCAGAAGGGATATTAACTCGTCAGGCAGGCTGACTGCAGTTTTAGATAGGGCCACGTCAAATGATACCTGTTCTTGAGTTTGGGGAATATAAAGGTGAAGAATTGTGTATGCGGTCCGTTGAACGGCGCGACTGTGGGCAGTCAAAAGATGGAACACTCCACTGACATCTTCGAGCTTATCGACAGGGACACCATTGATTAAACGGCGCAGGGCTTCAATTGCGACGTCTCGGGGCTGGTGGAATGTGGTTGATGAGTCTACTATGCGTAAGCGGCCAAGTAACCAAATATGCGCAAGCAACCTACCGAATTTTCCAATGGTCGAAACCAACTCATTGGATAGACTAGTCTTCCTCTCTGACCATGCATCTTGAAGATCATCGTTGCTCTCGCCCTCGGCCATGGCCTTCAACCGCGCAAACAGTCGGAAAGATGACACCAGCAAGGGGAGACCATCCTCTCCTCCGCTTGTGTTTTTGAAAACAGCGCTCAAGGCCTCCATGATGTCCTCCCAATGTGAACCGTAGATATCAGTAAGGCCAGGGAGGATAAACGCCAAAGTCTGCAAAATCTCGGCTCTCAATACAACTGATGCCACCTCTGATTTGAGACATTCTATGAGATTTTTGGTGAGGAAAACCAATCGCTGAGTGGGAATGTTTGAAACGACATCCTCTTCTCCAGACAGCAGGATATTCAGAAACACAAGCTTTCGCAACCCTGCATACAATTAGTACACAGAAAGACAATCTACACATCAAGACTTACCCTGGGAAACATCATCAGGCTTGAGGCCAGTAGAATCGGCAACCAATTCATTGCAAAGTCGGTTTCCAACGGGGTTGGAAAGAATGGAGCTTCGCAAAGCGGCAAACCATGATGCTGAGCGAATTCCATTGGCATTTCGTGCCTCTCTGCAAATTTTGGCAACATCGTCGGCGGGTTTAGATGTTTCAAACCCATCCACCGAACTCGTCAATTTGACGAATGCCTGTCCCACGCGGTAGTCCGTGGGAGACGTTCCATTGAGTCCCTCAAGCTTGCTCTCCCAGAACGAGATCAGACTTGACCAAAGTGTAGCCTCTGGCGAGCACTTAAGGTGTTCTTTTGCTTGGGCCCAGTCGCTAATTACTTTGCGTCCCTGAAACACGAGCTCCAAATATTCTTCACGTTGGTCAGCCAACTCAAGACCCGATATACCATTGCAGTTTTCAATGCTTAGATCATCATCGATCAATTGAACAGCCAACGGGAGGAAGTAAAAGAGAGTTTCTAGATCCGTTTTTTCCAGCTTTGTAGCAATATCAAATATCGATAACGCCTTGATGGTGAATGCTGTCAAGCGGAATGCAGCAGTGCAACGATCCGAGTCTCGGGAAATTCCAAGCTGCAGTGCCTTTAATGAGTCGGAAACATCATGCTGAACCAAGTTGACAGCACCCAGCAAAGGACTGGTAATTGCTGTGGATGCCCGAGGAGGAACCTGCAGGAATGGAGTCATCGCTTCCTCCCAAGCACTGTAAGAAGGCAAAATATCCTTCACGGAGTAATCGTCCTTTGTCTCGACCTCCTGCATCAGTTCTTCTGCAATGGCAAAGAGTGAATCGATACTGGTAGGTGTTAGAAAAGCAGTGTTCAAGTTTGATGAATATGATCACTCACGACAAAGATTCTTCGCTTGCACGGCTCAGGCCTTGACGCAGAATCTCAATTTTGGAAGTAGTGCTCAAATCGCCAACAACGGTTTCCTTGAATGACTTGATCAAAGATTCTGTCAAGGTATGAACTTCTTCGACCGGTGATTCTGTAAGATATAACAATTTTCCTGTTAGCTTCGAGCCACTGGGCCCATTCTGAAAGTCTTTGACGGCAGATGGCACAGTCTTTCCGAAGTGAGAAAGGCCATGCAACACGTCCAAAACTTTGTCTTCCTGAGACAATTGATCGATGATCGACAAAAATATCTGATCCATCAAACCACTACGAGAGGTATGGTTCTGAAGAACAGAAATGATTATCTGCCAGTGGGAAGAGCTCCCTCTGCAAGCCTTCTCAAGGGCTCGCATGACAAGCGAGGAGAGCTTATTTTTATCGCCGACTTCGTTGAAATCAAGGTTGGATAGAAGGGTCTTCAAGATATGGGCATTAGAATGTTCGGGATCCAGCTCCATGGTCCGTTCAACCACCCTTTCAAAGCTAGAAGAAAATCCACCCCACTCACGGCATGCCAAGATGATTGTCATAAGCTTTTCTCCAGATGGTGAGAACAAAAGCTCGGTTGCATCTGTCTGAACAAATTCGACAAGCTTTTGGGACCCCCTTGCAACGGAGGGCATATTTCGTACACATTCCTCCACGACCCCAGCAGCTCCATAAGGTTTGCCATTCCGAGAACGAAGAACTTCCAAGCAGTTTTCGAGAAGGAACAAATTCAACTTCTCAAAGATCCCCTGGGCCTCTACTTCATTGTCAGAGTCCGAAACCCTCGAAAGAACTTCTGGCTCAAGCGAAAAGAAGCGTCGTGCTTCAGCACACACCGAGTCTTGAGAGGAACGGAAGTCAATCGATTTTTCAGGAGCTGACAGCTTCACGGCTTCCAGCAAGTCATTCGATAACTTAGTCCACAGTGGCTCAAGTTGATGGCTTTGGCCGTGTGAAATAAGCACAAGGAGGTAGTCTGCACAAATATCTTGAGCGGATGGTGAAGGAAGTGACCATTGACCTAATTCTGAATTAGGGCGCACATACTGTGCAACAAGTGGCGACAACCTTTTTTGAAGAAACTCGGGTCGTTGATTCTGAGGCATGAGAAGCCCAAGCCAGGCTCCAACACGAATGTAGGACTTCCATCCGGTAGTGAGATTTTGCCGGGGTTCTTCCCTCGAGGCCAATCCATCTTGAAAGGCTTCCATCAAAGCAGTTGCACTGGAAATTTTCACTATCTCGTCCGTACTTGTTTTATCGGCTCCAGCAAGTACCTCTCGTGGTATTATGCGAAGTAGCTTGTCCAGATTTGTCCAGAAAATTGCGAGGCCACCCTGTGATCCTTTCTGAATGTATTGGCGTAGCCGTTTTGATGCAGATGTCTTTCCGGTATAGTCATCTGTCCATACCTGAGGTCGTGACGAGGTCAAAAGAAGAAGAGTCTCAGATAGCTCAGAAGCAGATCCGAGTTGTGGGATCGACAAAGACTTGCCAACAATGGCTGCACTGAGGATTTTCCAGTCGATCCAGCCAGGCTCTCTAGATATGGCTGATCGTAGAACAATATATATAGACCGACGGACAAATGGATCCTCATGGTTGCAAAAGCCCCATAGAGATTTGCTTCCAAGGAGATTCTCAATCTCGGCTAGATTTCTTTGCAAATCATCGGCTGGTGAGTTTCCTGTCATTTAGTTAGAACCTCCCTTAACAAAATTTCACATAAGCTGAAAATACCTAAAATCCGGTTGAAAAGCATCAATGCGGCTCCCACGACACGAGCATATTTTGCCTCGGCATCATCCCGCTTGACTGTTCGCTCATCACTCAAGGTCAAAGGTGTTTGGTGGAGGAGTACATCATCGATAAAATCCAATGTGGAGGATTGGTAGATCTTCCAGACATTACTCCTCTTCTCCTCCGTTGAAAAGACAGTGGTGAAAGATTCCAAAGCGGAGCGTTGGACTGGCCGGTCATTGTCGTAGATGCCTGCAAGCCATGCGCCGATAACTCTGGATAGGTGAGGTGCAATTCTCTTGCCAACCAAGGCAGAGATTGAACCTTGCAGGGTATGAGCCAGCTGTCTGACCCGCCTTGACAGGTCAATTGAAGCTCGGGGATATATTTTTACCTAGAGAGACGCGTCAGTCATTGTAGATTCAAAAAGGGCTGTTTCAAATACCCATGCTTCTAGAAACCCATCATCTAACGTTCCCTTTCTGCCTTCTACAGCTGAGATGTACTCTTTCAGTTCTTCCAGAGCCTTTGTCCTTGTGATGTCATCTTTCTTTTGTAAATTCTTGAATGCAATTACCAGCTGTTGCTCTGAGATTCGAGAAAGATCCGGTGGTGCTGCAATATAAGTAAGGGTAGACGGCTCTCGTCCATCACCACCAGCAGTACCAGAGAACCCTCCGAATGAGCCAAAGGCACCAGCAGCTGCACGACTGCTGGAAGCCTGCGACTTGAACTTTTTACTCATGTGGGGTATGAGGTCAGCGGGAATGGTGGGGGAGTGATTTAATGGTGAATGAAATTGGATCGGCACGTCTCCGGAGATAATAAATGGGAGACCAAGTACCCTGCTTGGTGTCTGAAACAACTCTCCCTTAGATACTGTTCAGTCGCAATTGAACGTTTGGGAAGAAAGAACAACTGACTTGACAATTTGATAATCAAATCCACCGCGGACACCCGATAGGGAAGTCACGTGGGGTTGTGTCATTGCTGTCCCAAAGAGGAAAAGATCCAGGTCAACTTAAGCTTCCCTTCTTTCTTCTTGCACTGCCTCTCCGCGTCGGGGACATCAGCCACTATGAAGTTTTTCATAGAGTATGGTCTTCTGAAAAACCTCTTCCCTTCCCGTGTTCTTTTACTAACTCTGGCTCCCAAATAGTGATCTTCCGGTGCTGTTCCCGTATCCGCGCATCTACCCGGAGCAATATGCCTACATGTGCGACCTCAAGAAGACCCTCGATGCTGGGGGTCACTGTGTACTGGAGATGCCCTCGGGCACTGGCAAGACAGTATCTCTTCTCTCGCTGATTGTCGCCTACCAACAACACTACCCAGAACATAGAAAGCTCATCTATTGCTCGCGAACCATGTCCGAGATCGAGAAGGCATTGGCGGAGCTCAAGGCCTTGATGAAACATCGCACACAAGAGCTCGGATATGAAGAGGAGTTTCGCGCTTTGGGACTGACCAGTCGAAAGAATCTCTGTCTTCATCCGTCGGTGAAAAGGGAGAAAAGTGGCACTGTCGTTGACGCGAGATGTCGGAGCTTGACAGCAGGTTTTGTCAAGGAAAAGAAAGAGCGCGGTGAAGAAGTAGATCTTTGCGTATACCATGATGTTTGTTTGGCTGTATCTGCGCTTTCTGCCGTCAACTAACCCAGTCTAGAATCTTGATCTTCTCGAGCCTCATAATCTCCTCCCTCCAGGCGTCTTCACTCTTGACGATCTCCTTCGATACGGAGAGGAGCACAAGCAGTGCCCATATTTCTCTGCTCGCCGAATGGTGTGATACCCAAGTCCTATGAAGCACCTCTAATTCTAATACAATCACAGATGCCCTGGTGCAACGTAATTATCTACTCCTACCACTACCTCCTCGATCCGAAAATCGCTGAACGAGTATCTCGAGAACTCTCAAAAGACTGCATCGTGGTTTTTGACGAAGCCCACAACATTGATAACGTCTGTATCGAGGCCCTCAGTATTGACATCAGTGAGGATTCGCTCCGCAAAGCCACAAGAGGCGCAAGCAACCTGGAGCGCAGGATTGAGGAAATGAAGAGCACAGATGCCGAGAAGCTCCAGAATGAATATTCGAAGCTAGTGGAGGGATTACAGCAAGCGGAACAAGCCCGGGAGGAAGATCAATTCATCTCAAATCCAGTTTTGCCAGATGATCTGCTGAAAGAAGCAGTGCCGGGCAACATCCGCCGTGCTGAACACTTTATTTCGTTCTTGAAGAGATTCATCGAATATCTCAAGACCCGAATGAAAGTGACCCATACGATCTCGGAAACGCCACCTTCCTTCCTAACCCACTTGAAAGACCTCACATACATTGAGCGCAAGCCTTTGAGATTTTGTGCGGAGCGACTAACGTCGCTCGTGCGAACACTAGAGCTTATGAACATCGAGGATTACCAGCCACTTCAAGAAGTCGCCACTTTTGCAACTCTTGTTGCGACATATGACAAAGGTTTTGTTCTCATCCTCGAACCGTTTGAGTCCGAAGCAGCCACGGTACCAAATCCCATCCTCCACTTTACCTGCTTGGATGCCGCCATTGCTATTAAACCTGTTTTGGATCGTTTCAGCTCTGTGGTCATCACATCCGGAACTCTCTCTCCGCTGGAAATGTACCCCAAGATGCTAGGCTTTACTGCCGTCATGCAAGAGTCATACAGTATGACCCTAGCGCGGCGCTCTTTCTTGCCTATGATTGTCACACGAGGATCGGATCAGGCACAGGTCTCATCATCCTTTGGTATTCGCAATGACCCGGGTGTGGTGCGAAATTATGGAACCCTACTCACAGAGTTTGCGCGAATCACCCCGGATGGCATTGTGGTTTTCTTCCCCTCTTACCTTTACATGGAGTCCATCATCAGTATGTGGCAGGGTATGGGTATTTTGGATCAAATCTGGAATTATAAATTGATTCTTGTCGAAACCCCTGACGCGCAAGAATCTTCACTCGCCCTGGAAACCTATCGCACCGCTTGTTGCAATGGACGCGGTGCTATCTTGCTCTGTGTCGCTCGAGGAAAAGTGTCGGAAGGTATCGATTTCGATCATCACTATGGTCGTGCTGTGCTGTGCATTGGTGTGCCCTTCCAGTACACAGAATCCCGCATCCTCAAGGCCCGTCTTGAATTTTTGCGCGAGAACTATCGCATTAGAGAGAATGACTTCTTGTCTTTCGACGCCATGCGACACGCCGCCCAGTGTCTAGGCCGTGTCCTTCGTGGTAAGGATGACTACGGAGTCATGGTCCTGGCAGATCGCCGTTTCGAACGTAAACGCCCTCAACTTCCGAAATGGATCAACCAGGCAATGCTGGACAGTGAGACAAACCTCAGTACAGATATGGCCGTCTCTAATGCCAAGAACTTCTTACGCACCATGGCACAGCCATTCAAAGCCAAGGATCAAGAGGGTATTTCTACCTGGAACTTGGCTGATATTGAGCGTCACGAAGCCAAGCGCAAGTCGGAAGAAGAGCGTATCATGCAGCAGCAGTTCGCGAACGGTCATAAAATGGACGGTATTGTTAAATCTACCGCGCTCGAAGTAGTCGAGGATGAGTACGACGACGACATTGATGAGGAGGATCTTATGATGCTGGATCCGCAGTAATCTCTGACTTTGTTTGTCACTTCTTTCTTTCATGGTACATAATTATTGTGTCCTGTTTCAGCATGGACATTGGGGCGTTTGTGAATAGGGCATAAGCATGGATGGTGTTGGATTTGGACAAAATTGATATCTCTGGTGGCTTGATGTCTCAAGATACAAAATCAAAAATTACGATAAGTTTTTTTAAGTTTGACTCATTAACATAATTATTTAAAATAGAAATGAATAGGTGAATAAGTTGAAAACTCTATTTTAACTAGACAAATATGCTATATGAACAGGGACAGGCACTTTTGTGTTTCCGCTGAACAGAACTCCGGATCATCAACACGTCAAGATGGCACAAAATGATAAAAAGCAAAGGCAGGGTACAAGATTTTGCGGAAGTGAATATACAGATAAGTGAACACGGGTCAGGTACGCTCCAGTATCTTATCATCTATGCAACAGGAGCAAGGACGTCAAAGGCACCGGTTCCAACGGTACCAGCGCGACCAACAACAATCCTGGCACTGGGGCCCTTCAGGTTCTCGACATCTCTCTCAAGCACGGCGTCCTTGAGAGCACCCACTGTAGTCTCGAAAGACATACGAGCAAAGGCCGAGGTGGAATCTTTGACCAGACCGTTACGGCTGAAGGCCTTGAATCCACCGGACTGGGTCATCACATCACCAATCAGGTTCAAGTGACGGTTGTCAACGGAAATACTGTGACCCTTGAAAACGGCGTCCATTTCACGAACAATGGTGGCACGAGCAGCCTCAACACCGTAGTAGTGCAGCATGTCGTGAATGGAGTTACAGTAGATGGAGTGCGGCTTGATGATATCCTGGTAATCGCGCATAGCGAGCAGGTTGACACCATCAGTGAGGACAGTCGCAGGCTCTCCCTTCACATCGTCGCCGTCAACAAAGACACAGTTTCCGATGCTGGGAATAGACTGGATCACAGCGTGATGAGCTGCGGCCTCGACCAAGGGAAGAAGCAGAAGCTTGGGTGTCTCAATGTCGTATTGCAGCTGGATGGAGCACGAGGTGCCGTTCTTGGGGTCGAATTTGAACTTGGTAATCTCCTCAAACTTGCCCTTGACGTCGTCCTCGCGAGTGGTGCTGTCCTCGTCCTCCGACTCGTCGTCGGAGTCTTCAGCGTCGCCCATTCGCACATCGCGGGTTGATTTGGAGGTCTGTGTGTTCTCATCCTCGTCTTCGTCATCCGAACTGTCCTGTTGTCTAATGATGTCTTTCTCATCATCATCCGGTCCCTCGTATGAGACCTGGTTGCTTCGGTTGTTGCTTCCACGGGAACGCTTGGCATCATCCTCATCATCCTCATTATCGTCCTCGGCGGGTTCGGCCTCACGGTCAGGGCCACTTGGGGCCTCCTGGATCCTGCCAACCGAGACACCAATTTCAGGCTGGGCAGTCGAGGACTTGGTTCCAGTCTTGTCTTCGTTTCGCTTCTTCAGCTCGGCCTTGGTGAGCTTCACCAGGCGAGGAATGAACTTGCTCTGCAAGGCGTTCTGCAAATCCTTAACCTCGATAGCATACTCCTTGGTGTATTCGTCAGCAGGGAAGAAGGTAACATCAATGTCGTAGATCTTGGCCCGCGAGTAGCCAACACCTGCTCCGATTCGCTCCTTCACCTGGATCTTATCGACAACCTCAGCGATGCTGAGCTTACTAATAGCCTTGGCAAACTTCTCTGCGTGTTCCTTAGGAAGCTCGTCGTTGAGAAGAAGAGTCATAGTGGGTGTCATGATCGAAGCACTGGCGGTCATGACAATTTCACGAAGACGAGGAATACCCAGTGTGACGTTCTTTGCGGAGTGACCAGCCAAGTGGAAGGTGTTCAGGGTCATCTGTGTTGACGGCTCACCGACGGACTGACCGGCCATGATACCGACTGCCTCACCAGGGTCGATAATAGACTTCATGTACTTCATGTTCATCAAAGCATCGAAGGATTTCTTAGACAGCTTCTTCTGGAAGTCACCGACGAACTTGGCGACTCCGTCGAGTTCCTTCTTCTTATCCTTGAAGAGATTGTCCGGGTTGGCGTCCGTGTACTATAAATTAATTGTCAATATCAAAGCGGTTAGGGTGACAGGGTTAATTCTTACCTTCTTCAGTTCCTGGGAGAACGCCTCGGATGTACTGCCCAGGTAACCTCCAGGGTGATACTGGGACAAGACAGGATCCATGGCGTCGATCTTTCCGGTCTTCCGAACCTTCTTCATTGCATCCTTGTGCCATGTCGAAACCTCATCCTTTGCCAAAGTGCTGTGGTAGTGGGCTTGGACTTGCTCCATAATTGACTCGTGGTTCTCGGCAAGGAAACCGAAATCATTGAGGTGAACTTGTTTGGTGATGTCGAGACCGTCTTCACCGTACAAGAACTGGACGATGGATCCATCCGATGCCTCGCGAACAGAGGAATCGTACTGCGCAGTCAAGCCCTCCATACCCTTAATCAAACAACGTTGCAAATAACCGGAACGGGATGTCTTGACAGCGGTATCGATCAGACCTTCACGACCAGCCATAGCGTGGAAGTAGTATTCCTGAGGCTTGATACCAGTCAAGAAACGACCCGAGACATAACCACCGGCAATAGGGTGTGTTTCGTAAGCTCGGAACGATGGCAGAGTTTTACCACTAATCATGACCGGTACACGACGACCTTCCAGAACCTGCTGTCCCAGATTGCAAGAAATCAGGTTGGCATTGACACCGGAACCCTTGGCACCAGAAATTGTCATCGACTGCATCTGGTTCCAGGGGAAGGGCTTCGCAAGACCTGTAGGGAGACAAGCCTTGGTAATCTCTGAAGAAAGCAGGGCAGAGCGAGAGTTGGAAACACTATCCAGTCCACTCTGCTTCTCATCGTCACGAAGCACCTCTTCAAGTCGACGGTTCAACTCGGCATCTTGGTCGGCCGCAGAGACCTTGTCAAGCGTCACATACTTCAAAGCAACCTCACGACCCATTTGGGCAGCGGTGCTCAATTTCTCTTTGCGCAGACGATCACCCTCCTTGGTCAGTCGAAGATCATCGATACCGCAAGTAAAGGCGCGCATGTTCAAGAATCTAGTGAGCAGGCGACCGAGGATACTCATCAGCTTTCCAGCGATTGTGTGGCCATAGACTTCGTGGATCGCATCGATCAGACCACCAGCAGTCGGTCCAAGTTGCTTCTTATCGAGAATACCACATAAGAATTCTCCGTCCTTGAAAATAACATCACCCTCCTCGCTGCCCTCACCCCATCGGTTAGCAGGGGTGGAGGATTTGCCCTTGAGGGTGAGACCAGCACGCTGCGGGGGCTGAATGTTTTTGAGGATTGTGGTAATAATCTGCTTTCCAGTCCACAAGTACTTGGGCTTGACAAAAGCTGGAGCCACTAGTTGGATGCGATCACCAACAATGTGTGAATTCTCGGGTCTCAAGCAGTTGTACAAAAGTTGGTGGTAATCCTCCTCGTCGAAGAAACTATCACGGCAAGTCAACCAGACTCCCATAGAAATATGATCTTGAATAAGACCTCTCAATGGCTTGCCGGACGTGGCGACAAGGTACTGGTGGTCTGCATCAGCAAGCATGCGGGCCTCTGCTTGGGCAAGCTCGTTTTGGGGGAAATGCATGTTCATTTCGTCACCATCGAAATCAGCGTTGTAGGTGTTACAGTTGGCATAGTGCATGCGAATAGTCCTCTCATTAGGAAGCACACGAGCCTTGTGACCCATGATAGAGGGCTTGTGAAGTGTCGGCTGACGGTTCATCAGGACGTAATCACCGGTGGTAAGATGACGGTAGACCTTCTTATTCCGTGATCCCTTCTGACGCCAGTTTGACGGTGCCAGCAACTGATTGGCAAGTGCTGTACGTTCGTCAAGGCTCTTGAACTTCAAGTTGACAACTTGACCGTTCTCATTCTCAATCGCAGCAGCACCTGGGTACTTGTCGGGTCCGTTGATCACAGCCTCCTTCAACTCCCAGAAGTTGTGGTTTGTCACAGGTTCCGGGAAAGTCAGCTTCTTCGCGAACACGAGTGGAACACCAATTTCATTGGTCTCAAGGTTTGGGTCGGGCGAAATGACACTACGAGCAGCGAAGTTGACACGCTTACCCATCATGTTCTTTCGGAACAATCCCTCCTTCTTCTCCAGAAGTTGCTTGATACCGTTGGGCAATGATGCGACTGCCGACCCTGTAACAGCAGTTCGCTCCTTATCAATCAGCCCATTTACATGGTCCTGAAGGGCAACAATTGCCAGGAGGAGATCGCCGTAGTTCCGTACACGGGTCATAGCCATCTCTTCCTCGTCCTTGTTCTGGATTTCTTTGCTGATCTGGTTGATCAAGTCACACTGCTTAATGATCGCGTTGAACGCGGTGTTCTGCTGCGCTTCCATAATCTCACCCGGGCCTTGGGCGGCAGCCGGGCGGTATTTGTTGGGAGGAACAATGAGGTTCTTGATGAAGAACATATCCGCACTGACGACCTTAGCTCCTTTTGAAACAGGCTGTCCATTGTAGACGAGTTGCAGAACTTCGCCGTCCTTGGCGAAAAGGAGCTTCAAACAGCTGTAGACCTCAGATGAAGTCATAAACTCCTGTCCAAAAGAGCTTGCCTGGTTTGTAACGGCAGCACCACGCAGGATTTCTTCCTCCGCACCATGTACCTCTGACACTACACTCTGAGAGCGGGTGCCATTCTTTTTGGCAGCCTTGTTTTCGGAGTCGAGTAGGACCAGGGGATTGGGGGCCTGGAATCCGCCGTGCAGCATGGCCAATTTCGACTTTTCGGGGAGCGCCTTCTTAAAGATCTTGTTGTAGCGGTCCTTTCGGTAAGAAGGAGAAATACTTGGGTTCAATGTTAGCCGATGCGCAAATGAAGATCAGAGGGTCATTCCGGACATACCCATTACAGTTGCTGCATTTCCGGTTGCTGTTGATGTCCTTGAGGAAGTTTTTGACCAGCTCTCTTCTCTGCTCTGCAGCAATTGGGTTCTTTGCGCCAGCCATTAAGCCAACAAGTCTTCCATCTTTCTTGGCCTGGTTGATAGCCCGATCGACGTAGGCTACCCGCTTTTCCATGAAAGATTCATCATCTTCCTCATCCTCAGAGTCGTCGCCCTTACCACCCTTGCCAGGTTTGGATGTAGCTCCCTTGACAGATCCCATCGAGTCAACAATGGCGACTTCGTCGACGAGGCCGAATTGTAACAGGCGCAACTTGCAAGTGTACATGTTGACCTCTGCGCGAGACATCTGCAGGCGATGACAGTACACACATTGAGCCCGCAAAAGGCGATAGATATGATCGAAGAACGTGACATTGTAAACGGGAATAGGAAGCTCAACGTGACCAGCGTGACCAGTGCAAGACCAAGAATTTTGACGACATGTAGTACACCTGATAACCCAAATTTATCTCCATTAGATCCTGACTTGACGCAAAAATTGAGAGACCAGAAGTCGAAAACTTACACATGATCACCCCATGCTCCCATTGCAGGGTCATAGAGACCACCAGGAACTGGGTTGTTAAAAGAATCCAAGGTCGGAGTATTGTGAATTCTTTTCACCGACAGCTTTTTAATCTCTTCATCGGAGTAGACGGTAAATTCAACCCCGGCGATGCTCGAGGCAACGGGGCGCGAAAAGGTCGTCATTGTGTCCTGTAGCTCAGTGGAGCAACAGAAAACGCTGACGGTGCGAAGTCGTCTCGAAAGAGAAGTTCTCCAAATTTCATCTACTGCGGGAAGAGTTGAATCTTTGAGGCAACTTTTTTTTCTGCCCCGATACACCGCTTACTCCCGTTTTGGGTAACTGTGATCAGTGATCAGTGATCAGTGCGTGTCTTGATTGATCTTAGCTTTACCACTTCGCGCCTTCCTTTCACTTTTTTCCTCTTTGTGCACCCGCTTCTTGGCTAACGCGAGATCCCCAGCTCGCTATTAGCTATGGCGGATGCATCGGGAAACGCGCTGAAGCGTCCTCATCCTGAGGATGACGGCAACAACTCTCAAAAAAGAACCCGTTCAAACAATGGTTCTCCAGTACCGGGCTCAACCGGTGCTCCTACCGGTAAGGTTGACATCGAGAAGATGATCGCCGAAGCTCGAGCAAAGGCAGAAGCTGTACGCGCTCGACTGCAAGCTGCACGCGGTGGTGCGACCCCCCCGGTGCCCCCGACAGAGTCGAGCCCCAGTCCCGCACCGCCAGCATCGACACCCGCCATGTCCAGGTTGGAGCAAATGAAGGCCAGAGTAGCAGCGGCTACGGCGAAGGCGAATGCACCTCCGCAGCGACCCGAGGCACCCGCGCCATCATATCAACAACCTCAAGCGTTCGACGACGATAGTTTTTCAAAAGCTCGTGGTGGTCTTGATGTCGGTCTTCACCCGGCCCTACTTTCAGACGCTCCGCCGGAGTATCGGGGGGCTAAAGGCCGTCAGCAGAAGGGCACAACGAACCGTGGAAAGCAACTCGATCTATCTGGACCGTCTATTGAGGAGATTAGAAATAATCCATATTTTGATCCTAGCCTTGGCCCGAAAGCGACCGTTGCGAAGCCGCGACAAACCAGAGAGCTTATCTTCAATCAGAAGGGCAAATACATTCAACAAGCGGCAAATCAGCGTCGGCAAGAGCAGTTGGAGGCTATGAAAAAGCGAATTGCCGAGCGAGCTCGTCTGGCCGGCATTGATGAGGATATGGATGTGGAGAAATCATACATTGTCCCCGCTCCTCCGGCCATGGAATGGTGGGACGAGAAGTTTATTGACGGGAGCGACTACTCTGTCATTGATAATCCAGCAAAGTTGAAAATTGACACCGTCATCACCCACTATATTCAACACCCTATCCAACTCGAACCACCACAGGAGAAACACGTTCCCGCCCAGAAGCCAATGTACCTCACGCCGAAGGAACAAGCGAAAATCCGTCGACAGCGCCGCATGGCAGACTTGAAGGAACAGCAAGCAAAGATTCGATTAGGTCTGGAGCCGGCGCCGCCACCCAAGGTCAAAAAGTCCAATTTGATGCGAGTCCTGGGAGAACAAGCAGTCAAGGATCCAACGGCCGTGGAGGCCCAGGTGAATCGAGAGATTGCGGCGCGTAAAGAGCAGCACGAGGCTATGAATGAAGAGCGCAAGTTGACCAAGGATCAACGACGGGAGAAATTGGAATCTCAGCAAGAGAAGGATGCGGCGTTGGGTATCTACATGTCGGTCTACCGGATTGACAGTCTTGCGAGCGGACGAAACCGCTTCAAGATTGGCAAGAACGCGGAACAAAATAAATTGACGGGAATTTGCATCGTGCATCCAAAGTTGAATCTCGTCATTGTCGAGGGAGGAAAGCACTCCGTGAACAACTACCGGAAACTGATGCTCAACCGAATTGACTGGACCGAGAATCCTGGCCCAACCACATCAGACCGCAACCGCGAAAGTGAGCCCTTGTGGTTGTCTACAGAGGATGAGAAGGGTGAAGCGCGGGACTTCAGCCAGAACACTTGCAGTCTCATCTGGGAAGGTCAGACTAAGTCTCGCTTATTCAAGAGGTGGGTGGGAGCGAGAGTCTGCGCTTCGGATTCCGAGGCTAAAGCTGCTTTGGCCCGTACGAATACTGAAAGTTTCTGGACATTGGCGAAAAGTGCCAAACCAGCGGAGTTCTAAAGCATATTTACCGGGGACCATAAAGTCTGTTATCCCCGAGCCATGTGATAATCTTCAATTTTTATTTCACGAATATGTACTTTATCCTCGATACAATGAGCCATGCCTTAAATTTTCATCCATAACTTTTAATGCACCTTTTCAAAACACTAAACCCGCTCCTAATGCAAAATATAACAAAATCACGGACACCGAGATTCAAGTCAACGTAGAAAGCAAGTAGCAAAGCCAGTCTAAGAAGGGGGAGGTCCCTGGTTGCCGTTATTCAAGTTCCGCAGCATATCCAACTGGGCCTTGACTTGATCAAAGTTCATAGTTGGGTTCTGTTGACCTTGCGGGGCTTGCTGAGGCTGCTGATATTGTTGTTGCTGCTGCTGAGACTGGTACTGTTGCTGCTGGGGCTGTTGGTATTGCTGCTGTTGCTGCTGTTGCAAAGCAGCCAAGAAGAGAGGGTTGATATGTGCCTGAGCAGGAATGCCAGGCTGGTACGGGTTTGGCTGAGGGAAAGCTTGTGCGAAAGGGAATTGGAAGGGGAATTGTGTCGCTGGTGCACCTTGAGCTTGTGCCTGTTGCTGTGGCGCGTACTGCTGTGCGTATTGCTGTGCATATTGTTGGAAAGCAAAAGGCTGGCCCATACCGTAGGCAGGCTGTTGCTGTTGCTGCTGAGGCTGAGTCGGGTACTGCGATGGGTATGCTGGTTGGCCGTAAGAGGCTTGTTGATGCTGAACTGGAGCAGGTTGACCGTAAGGGGAGCTTCCACTCTGCTGGTGAGGCCGGCGGTCCTGGTCTTGCTCCCGAGCTCCGCCTCTTCCACCACCTCTACCCCGACCTCCTCGGCCGCCGCGGTCAGTGCCTCGGCCACGGCCTCTGCCTCCACGGAAACCAGATCCACCTTCGACGGGAGCTTCTTGAGTCCCCATCATCTCATGGAGGTTCTTTGGGCGAGCAAGAGGTGTGTATCCCTCTTCGCCTCCTTCCTCATAGTTGAGTTCTGACTGGCCCAGCTTCGATGGTCCCGGGGGTCCTCTCTTCGGCTTTCCACCATCCCGGGCTTCCTTTCTCTCTTGCCGCTTCTGCTTCAGCTGCCGCTTGTACTCGGCCTCTGCCTCGTCATCAGAGAATTCCATCTCCTCCTCAGCAACCTCCTCGTCGTGGAAGTTCGATGCATCACTACCCTTCATGCCCTTGAGTGGTTGAGTAAAGACGAATGTAGAGTGTGACTCGACGTAATAGATAGGCATATCCTTCACCAAGCCCTTTTCTTGCACTTCGGCAGCGGTGGAAAACATCACTGTGTACAGGGGATGCTCAACTCTGCCCAGGGTTTCCGACACAACACCCATGATCTTGCGATCCTCAGAACAGAGCAGGGAGCCCGACTCAAGGACTTGATATTCTCCAGAGGTGTTGGCCTCGACGAGAACGGCATTATCAATAGCCGCTTGCACTTTGCCCAGGTAGACAATGGTCATCTCGGGGGTGATCGTGACATCCGGGATAGGCAAGACGTCTTCCACAACCTCATTTGTAGAACGAATATAGCCACCGGATTTGCCCTTGCCGTCACCTTCATCGTCAGAGCCACCTTCAGCCAACATCAGGATCCGCGCCTGTTCTTCGGGGGTGAGGATCGGATAGTCTTCGTCGTCGCTGTCATCGGAATCGGAATCGGAGGATGAGCTGTCTGAGGACGACACATATGGATCAGAGTCTACCTCCCACTCAGGGTGTTCTTCTTCTTCTTCTTCTTCCTCCTCGTTCACATTTTCCGGGCCTTCTGATCCATTTGCATTCTCGGTGTTGCTGGGCTCGGGCTTCTGGTCAACCTCCATTGCCTCGCCTTGTGCTTCCTCCACATGGTCCTGCTTGACGTTAGTCTCGTCAGGTCCATTTTCCATGGAAACGTTGGTTTCTTCCATAGGCTTCTGTTTGACAACTGCCTCGGCGGATTTCGAAATGGTGGGCTGTGCTGGTTGCTCGGTGGACTGATCGTTGGGGCTGACAAAGCCAAGTCCTGGGATCGTAGAAGCCGAGGGAGTAAAAGTCGAGGACTGGACTGGGATCTCAGTTGCTGAGCTTGCGACGGACATTTCAGCATCCATGGGAATGTTTGCGACAGGCGTATCGAGTGTGGTGGTTTGGTTCGAGGAAGAGCCGTCACTGACACGCGCAGCCTCAGTAGACTCAACGGGAAGAGTATGTTGATCGCTCATAGTGAATGAATGAAAAGACCAGAAAAGGTCTTCAAAAATAGAATGCGACCTGAGAGAATCCGAAAAAAGAAAAAAAAATGCGGAAACTTTTTTGATCTGCCAAAGCGGTCGACGAGCTCCGCTTATCGCTATCTTAGCGCAGGACCACCGGAGTTAAACACATCTTCAACAACCAACATGGCTATGACTAGTTCAGGCTCTGGGCCAGCTCAGAATGTGCCTAAAAAAGCACGGTAGATATCAAGCTGCCCAATGAATTATATTAGCTAATCTCGATTCTAGTCCCCCGCCACCCACGTTCTACCTCCCGCTAAATATCACACTCTACATTTTCCTCTTTGCCAACGGCCTTGCGGCATTATTTGCCCCAATTCAGGACTGCGATGAGGTATTCAACTTCTGGGAACCCGCACATTATTTGCAACATGGATATGGACTTCAGACATGGGAATATTCACCTGTATATTCCATTCGAAGCTGGCTTTATGTATCACTTCACGCCGCGGTGGGGAAGCTAAGCTCATTAATTGTCCACTCCAAGGCCACTGAATTCTATATGATCCGTGTCTTCATGGCTGTCTTCTGCGCTGCTTGTCAGACCCGACTATATTCTTCTATCTGCCGAACCCTCAATCCTCGCATTGGACTCTTGTTCCTCACAATCGTTGTCTTCAGTCCCGGCATGTTCCACGCGTCTACGGCTTTCCTGCCATCCACTTTCACCATGTACACATCCATGCTTGGCTTGGCTGCTTTCCTGGATTTGAAAGGAGGTCCAAAGATTGCACAGGGTATTATGTGGTTTGCTCTTGGTGCAATCGTCGGTTGGCCATTCGCGGGTGCTCTTATTGTGCCTCTTCTGGCCGAGGAAGTCATTATTGCCATTCTATCTGGATCCATAGGCTCATTTGTATTGGCTATACTTGATGGTGCTGCCAGGTGTGTTGGCATTGCGGTAAGTTATATCTTTAGTCCATTTAGAATTGAGGTGCGGTTTCTGACACTATCTCTAGGCTCTCGAGGTCGGAGTTGACTATGCTTTCTTCCGCAAGCTTGTTCTTGTTCCTTGGAATATTGTGGCATATAATGTTTTTGGAGGCGAGGGCAAAGGACCTGAGATCTTTGGTGTCGAGCCCTGGACATTCTACATCCGAAACCTGCTGCTGAACTTCAATGTTTGGTTCGTTCTCGCCATGGTGACTGCTCCGCTTTTAATTCTCCAGGTCATCTTCAGCTCTCAACCCTCCTCTATGCAGAAATTCAGACGCTCGATGACACTGGCCGCGCCATTCTACATGTGGTTTGGTATTTTCACAGCCCAACCTCACAAGGAGGAGCGATTTATGTACCCGGCCTATCCATTCCTTGCTCTGAACGCGGCTCTCTCTTTTCACCTCATCCTTACCTACCTTGGGTCCAGTGACTCAAAGGCACTCATTAGCCGTGTTCCAGCAAAGCTTAAGCTCGTTGGGGCCCTGTATGTTATCATACTGGCCGTGAATGTCGGAATGCTGCGCATTCTAGGGATGGTGACTGCGTACAATGCCCCTCTGAAGGTTCTGGAATCATTGCAGCAGGCAAATGTGACACAGACAGGAACCTCAGTCTGCCTGGGCAAGGAGTGGTATCGCTACCCATCATCATACTTTCTTCAACAAGAAATGCGTGCCAAATTCATTCGAAGCGAATTCAACGGTCTGCTTCCGGGCGAGTTTCCGGAGTCGCCAAGGCCCTTCGGCCGGCTAGAAGGTGCTTCGCAAATCCCGTCTGGCATGAACGACCTTAACTTGGAAGATCCGGACAAATATGTAAGTGAAGTGAAAAGTTGACCTTGTCCTCACATTCTAATGGTATTCATAGATTGATGTTTCTGAATGCTCTTTCTTGGTGGACTCACACTTCCCGGGTCGTGAGGAAACCGAGCTGGAACCTCACTACATTCTCGACAACGCCCACTGGGAGACTCTCTCCTGTGCAAGCTTCCTGGACACAGCCCGAACAGGGCTATTAGGGCGGTTAATCTGGGTGCCAGATTTCCCCTTTATTCCCTCTCAGTTCCAGCGCAAATGGGGCCAGTATTGCCTCCTGCAGCGCAAGACCGACACCGCCAGTATTTAGTTTTGACATAGACAATATCACACATAGATCAATACTTACCATTTCGCTAATTTCAAGTGTTGCCAAGTATCTCCCGCTGGTCCATTAAATCTGGAGTATAAGAGTCGCTTTACCAATCGGGAGAAGAAATCCTTAAGTTTAAAATGATAAGCAACCCCTCATCACAGATAACCTTGACTGTATCATACTTTACAGCCGCAGTTCTTCTTGTCCAACAATAGGCTCGTAATATGCAGTCTCGGATCCAACGTCCGGAAATGGATAGTTCCCCTCTTTTATCCCCGCGATCGCAAGCTGTCGCTGATCAGAGATAACGAAGTGCTCGCATCATATGAGCCAGAAAGGCAGCTCGCGGGAGACCAGTCACACCGTTTGATAAAACGCAATCTGTGCGAGTACTTTTCTGGACTACAGCAGGGCCTACACCTAATTATGACTACATAAGCCAACTCTCAACCCGTAATTTTACTCTATACATCAATATGATGATAGATATACAGTCTCTTCGAGGGATATTCCAATATATCTCCTCAAGCAAAGATCTTGTCGGTGCATTTCTAGCGCTCAATATCGGCGCTTATATCATCGTCTTCATCGTCCGGAAATGGACTTCCAAACCATCGAGATCTTCAACTCCCGACCTAGAGAAACCAGCTTCAAGATCGGGCAGAGAGAAAATTACCAGGAAGGCCGGAGGTAAGTACATAGGTAAATTTTCATAGATTCTTGGTATGCTGACAAGTTATCATAGAATGGACACCATATGATTTCGAGAGACCGACGGCACAGCCGTATCTTGACTGGGATGTTCACACAACGAAGCCAATTCCCTATCGACCATTTCGATATGGACCGTAAGATACAATCTCGACACTTCATCGCACTTCTCTAATGCAAATCAGAAAGTATTTTGTCACAATGGGATTGCGGAGTATGAAATTCGATGAATGGATTGGTAAGTGATCGAGTAAATGCCGACTATGGAAATACCAGCTAACACCGAAACTAGAACTCGACAACCACTATCTCAAATTCCACGCCGACAAAGCCAAGCGCATCGAAGAGCGTGGTGAGAAATGCTACGGAACAGCACCCGAAGCCATGGACGGCGCGATCGAACTATTAGAAGAACTGTAAGCCCAGAGCTTCAACGCCATTCCTAATCCCTACCTCGCTAACACCACGAAGATGCGACTATCTCCCCGAAAGATATCCAACCATGTTCCAGAAGACTTCAACAGGAATAACCAACATAATCACCAACGAAACTTTCAACATAACCCAACGCCCCCTCCCAGAAGACCCAATGGCAACAGCAGCCCGCCTAATCCAAGACGACATAGCCCTAATGATTGAAAAGCCAGACGGAGAATACTACCTCTTAGCAGGCGCAATTCTCCTCGCCGGATTCTGGCGCCTAAGCGACAAATTCGGGATGCCATTATCAGAGATCCACACATCAGGCGACGTACCCCAATTCCAAGAAAAGCTCGAACGAGGAATGAAGAATTTCTTCCGTAGACTGAAGCCCGAAGAACCAGTTCTGCGGAATAATTATTTTATCCAAGTTGATGATCAGTTGGCCTGGTCGCCCAGTATTGGATCTGAGGATGCGGAGGTTGTGTCGTGGAATACGGCGGAGAAGAACAAGGCTATTGAGCAGCATTTCTTTCGATCGGAAAGACAGTCTTTGAGACGGTTGCCTAGGTCTGGGGCTGTGGTGTTTACTATTAGGACGTATTTTGAGCCCATTACGGAGATTGTGAGGGAGGATTATGTGCCTGGGCGGTTGGCTTCTGCCATTCGGAGTTGGGGGGATGATGTTTCGAGGTACAAGGGGAAGGAGAAGTATCAGGAGGTTTTATTGGAGTATTTGGATCGGAAACATGATGAACAGGTGGCTATGGGATTGGAGGTTGATAAGGAGGGTGAGATGCGGAGCTATCCTTATTGAGCTCATTGGCTCGAATTGATTGTCTATAGCGAGGTTGTACGCATATATCCGGTTTCAATCAAGTTGAGAGCTCCGCGAATATGCTAGGTGAATGGATATTAAATTCCCGTCGGGGCCCTGGCTCTTCCGTGGTTTCGTCTTGCGAAGGCCAATTCCCGTTCCTCGCGCCAAGTACACTCGTCGCGAAACTCACAGATTCGACATTTCCAGGCATCCGAGATGCTGACTCCAACAGGATCGCGCTGTCCTCGCCACCACTGCATCTGGTCTGTAAGATAAGATGACATATTATTAGGATCAAAGAGGAAGGACCTGCTTCCCAAGTGCTTGGACTGTAAATCTTCCGTGGGGGCTGAGGATAGAAATCGTGCTGTAAGCACAGGAGAGAGAAGGGTCGGGTACTCCTTGAGGGTAGCCGGCTGGGTGTGTGACGGAATAGATGGCGCAATGGACTCGGTTTCTGAGATGGATGGGATAAAGGTGGAACGTAGCTGTTCTTTCATGTAGCTCCACAGTTTGGAAAGATTACCGTGGGTCAAGAGGATGCTGGTTGAGTCCTGGCTGGCTGCTGCCGGGCTGGATGAATATGCAGGGCCGGAGCCCTGGGAAATTCTTCGCATGTCCTCCTGTGTGGGAGGATCTTCTAGGTCAAGCTCTTGAGAAGTGAGCGTATCGAAGAATTGATCATTCAAGCCTCCAACTTCAGAGACGAAGGCATCTGTGAACGAGCGTTCAGTATCAAGTTTATACCGCGCCGCAAGAAAATCCATCGTCACATCGTCACTCGTTAGCATGCGATTCAGCATGTGGTAGTAAAGTTGCAACTGGAGAGAAGTAGGTCGGAATGATGTGCTCTTAACCGTGGGAAGAGAGCGACTCGCTCTCGTTTTAACGTCCGTCATATATATCCGAGGGAGATCATAGACAGCTGGCGATGGTGCTTGACTGGGAGGTGCTTGTTCAATCCCGGTAGGCTCGGTCTGGCCTAGATCCTCTAGTCTTCGTCCACCTTGGGAGGAAGATAACAAGAAATCGGACAGGGACATCTGATACTCCGGTAAAGCAGCCCTTGATGCCTCCGCATCTTCGTAAAAGCTAGCGGCTGTGGCTTCAAGCTCAGGATCAGGACATTCGTAGGACAACTGATCGATAACCCCATTGACCAGCTCCCCATCGATAACGCCCCAAACCTCAAGCTCACGTGTGATGCCATACTGTCGCAGCATCCGCAGTCCCTGTATCACATTCCATATCCGGAGAGCCCATGCATCCTCCTTCGTAGTAATATCGATAGGGACCGTAGTATAGACCTCATCCTCGAGCGTCTTGTGCATCACACTCCCCTTCTTCATGGCCGCAGTCCTCCTCTTTCTTCCATGTTTCGTCAGGGTATACCAGTACTGCAATTCACACCAGGCTGGCGAAACCAAATCTGTAACCGAGAAAGCTTTGTTAGGCGGTCTTCGAAACCGCTCCACGGGGGATCGAGGATCCAGTGTTGGCGCTAGCTGTTCGTGCTGCGTCCATTCTTTTTCGCGCTCAGCAACACGCTCTCGTTCTCGTTCCCTGCCTTCAGTTGAATCAGAATGCTCCACTAAACGCTTCGGATGTCAACGTGTCAGCCCAGTCCCAAATTTCAATCCCGTAACCAGATAGTCAATCGGCAGTAGTCACATACGAAGCGTATAGGCACTGTTTTCTGCGCCCTGGCTTGATATAACCGCCCCAATCCGTGGATTTGTATCCTGCCAAGTCCGCTGATTCGATCTCCACGGTGAACCAGGTTTCTCCCTGCCCAGCACCTTAGGCCGGACAGCCGGGGACTCCACAATGCCATCTTCGATATCCGTGACCAGCGCCGCAATAACTGCAGGCTGAAACGATCCGGGACGAGTATGCGCAGTGTAGTTATTCGATATCGCGATCGTGGCGTCGGGTGTTAGCGTGGAAGTGGTGAAATTTGAGATCGGGGTGGAGGGGGTAGGCGCGTGCTCCGTGACGGCTTCAGTGAGCAACTGGTTCAGGAGTTGATCTTCGTCGGGTGTGAAGTCAGAGCCGTAATCGCTGTCGGAGTCTTCAGGCCGGGATGTCTGCGGTGGGCAGGACATGCCTGCGACTGCCAAAGGGGGTCATCTCCTATGGCATGCGAGAGTTGAAGATGCGGGAGTTCGTCATTGCGCGTGAGATTGGATCCATGGATATCACCTGGCCAATTAAAGGAAGCGAATTTCTACTTGTGTATTCAAGTGTAGTTGTGTACCCAAATAATAGAATAATTGACGACAAGTTTAGTTAAAAATATACAAACATCAATGAAGGAGATCTTTGTTCACGGGATCTATATCTATGCTCTAGGTATCTGCAAAAATGGAAGTCCAACCCAACGCCAATGTCGGGAAAAATCTATATATGCCCGTCAAAATCTAATGCCTCTATTTTATGCGGTTTGCGCGACAGGAATCAAATTCCCCATCATCGCAGATGATGACCCAGTCTCAATCGCAGCCTCTTCTTGCTGCACCTCACGCGCGGCCTTCTGGTTCAACCAACTCAGATATGTCTGCCAACCAACGGCAATCACTCCAGAGAAGACATTTCGGAACTCTGGCGGGACATACATGAGGCTGAATGCCGTGACAGCTGGCCAGAGCTTGACACTGTTGGTAACACTGACGGGAAGGGCCTTCTTCAAGCGCTCCCAGGTTTCTTCGAAGGTAGCGCCTGCGAGGAGGGAGTGCACGCTGAAGAAGTAGCTATTGAAGACGGGAGTGAAAACGATCTGTTGCACAAAGACCTTGGTCAAGATCGAGAGTAACTTGGAGGAGAAGTTGAAGTTGTTGTGAAGGAACCAGAACCTGGTTGAAGTTAGTTTTCTATATCAAGATTCTTGTCGATCATATAGATCTGGGATGAACTTACCAGTTATACGACGGGATGCTAGATCCTGCACCCACGATCAAATGCCGGACTGTTCTCCATGGATCATAGCTACTCCCAAATCCAGGCTTATTCTCAATTTCATCCTTCGATTCTGCTGATGCAGACGCATCCTGATTTTCGTTTACCGCTTGCTCTGAAGGGAACAATAATTGCGCACTTAAGTCACCGCACAGATAGATAACAAGTGAGCTCAGCAGCTGTGTCCGATACGGTCGTTCTCCCTGCACACGAGCGTACCACCTGCCGAATTTCCCCACTGGTCCAGCCTTTATTATCTCACCCAGCCTCTGGGATCTTGTCAAGGACGTTGTAACATTTGGCGCGGTCGCTACGCCTGCGGCGCCCGCGGCGGTGGCAGCGGTATTCGGCTGGGGGGAGACGGTGAGGGAGCGGAAGGCAAAGACGAAGATGAAGGGGTGGAAGCCGGGTTTCCTTGTGTATTCGAAACATCCTCCACGGATTTCCCCTTTGCCTCAGGCCTCGAGGCCTGAGAATTGTATCGTCGAGGCTGTCGTACCCGGCGCAGAGGCAATCGTATCGGGGAGATCGGCCGTGGGCGCGCGATCGATAACGCATGCGCCTGCGCGACGAGTCCCTTCTGAAAAAGACTCATATCCGATACTCCCACACGCGCATCTATTGCTGGATCAACGATAGAGAAAGACTAAAGCCCGAGGAGAGATGGCCAGCCTATCGGGCTGGAGATTGGATTGTGGCGATAAGAGTACGGAGTAAATTGTAAAGACCGAAGACCGATAGTCGGAGGGTTTGGCCGGGTGGTTCTGGCCAGATGATTGGAATCAACAAGGAAATGCTTGAAAGAATGGCAAATGGGGAAAAAATGAAAAAAAAGTCTAGTTCAAGGGAAGGATAATGCAATGATGATTAAAAATCAGGCACAATATCTCCGTACAATTCGGCACTCGGACTGGGCGAGTGCCGTGATTCCCCGGTTGAGCCCGATCTACACACAGTTTATGCTCTTACGAATCGGTTATATCAATACTTTGATGGATCTTTTTATTAATTGTTCATTATTTTTTTTTCTTCTAATAGCTAAAAGTAACGCCATTATGAGATGCGTAAATACATTGACTCGTCCTCAGGTCTATCATTGTCAGGGTATAAAGTAGACAAAACGCAGGAAATGCAAATAACAGGAATTTTGAGGGAAGAGCACTAGGATTAGGTAGCAAGAGCACTTTTAAGTGTCGCAAGTAGGGTGATTAGTTTTTGAAGGACTCTTTGGTGTTGACGCGGTCCATGTCGAAGGGGTTGCCCTCGTAAGTTGGAACACGGTGCAATGAAGAAGCAGTGGAGAGAGCACGGCTGCGGCTGCGCTGCGCAACAGGCTCTTCGACGTCGGAATCGCTTGACATGTCCTCGTGCGGAGCAGGGGCCTCGGTACGGTCATATGTGATCTTCTCGTCTTCCTGAACAAGAGCCTTAGCCTGCTCCTGGATCTTGCGCATGAAAGCATCGGACTGAGCGGCGAACTTGCAGCGCTTGCGAATCGAAGCGCCATACTTGTAGAACAAGAATGGGAAGGGAACACAAGCGAGAGCGAGGAACGCGGGGATGGAGGATGCCCAGTGGATGCCGAGGTTGTCGAACATATAAGTGGTGAATAGAGGGAAGGCGGCACCGAAGCAAGATCGCAGAACGGAGTTGGCTGCCAAGACGGAGGCGGCGAAGATGGTGTATGCGTCGATTAGGTAGTTCATGACACCGAGGAACACCAGCACCATTCCAAAGCCGAACGGCGCACCAGCGATGATACTGACAGACCAGTGAATCGAGGGATAGTTGGTCCAGGCAAACCAGAAGAGACCAATGGGGATCGCAGTCGAAGCTACCATGACTGGTGGTAGACGGGCCTCAGGGGGCGCAAAACCCTGGTGCTTTTCCTCGGTCCTGATATACCGCTTATTGTCCCAAAGACTGTAGATCACTGCGAGCATCATACCGACCATAATTCCAAGGAAAGCTAATCCGCTCACACCCTGGTTCCAGCCACGGTCCACCTCATAGACAATAGGGAATGCTGCAAACATCATATACAAGGTACCATAGATGATAGCCATGTATAGAGATAGCAGAAAGACGATAGGCTCCCGGAATAAGAGAATCCACGGACGAGACAAAGCAACCTTGAAAGCTTCCCCGATAGACACTTTACCCTGGTCGATATCAATCTTACTCTCATAGACCTTACCCGACAGTTTAGAAAGTCTCGCTGCGCGGCGACGAAGGAGCACGGGCGCATAGGTCTCGGGGATAAGCAAAGAGCCTATAATCCAGACAAATCCAGAGAAAGCAGCCAAGAAGCCCATAACCCATTTCCAACCCGCATTCATACCTAGGAAACCTCCAATAATAGGACCCAGGACAGGACCAAGGAAAGGCGCAGCGGCAAAGAGACTCATAGCGACACCTCTCTGCTTTGCAGGAAACATATCAGCAATAACACCACCGGCGTTAGTGAGTGGGGAGGATCCAAAGGCACCAGCGAAGAATCGAAGGATGATAAGGGTGTATGCGTTTTTCGAACCGGTAATACCAGCATTGAAAGCTGTGAGGGCGGCGTATGTTGTGACGAATAGAATCTGGCGACCAAACAGCTCGCTCATAGGGGCCCAAAGCACTGGTCCAATAGCAAAACCCAAGACGAAAAGAGAGACACCAAGCGTGGCAACTTCATCTCCAATGTCAAATTGTTCTTCAATCTGCACAATACCGCCAGTGTATGCCGAAGAGACCAATGCCACCGCCAGGGTTGCAATTGCGACGAGCATAGTATATGTCCATTTTTTGACCTCGCTAAAAAGCATGGGATTGCGAGGGTCATTTGGAATCCATGTCACGGCATAGGGGTCGTCCTCGGTTCCGGAACCTGAGTATGGGTAGTCGATGATTTCTTGGGTGACGACACCTTGATCGGTTATCAATCGCCAGAATGGAATCTTGGTGGGAGCCGCAGGTTCGATATTGTTAGCGTGTTTCTCGTCTGCCATGGTGGGCAGTATTATATAAGATAAGAACGATGAGTTTTTGGAAGGCGTAAAGTATTTCGCAAAGAAGTCCGGGGTATTTGTGTGTTGATTCCCACTTCTCTTAGTTGCCGTTTGCGGGGAGGCAAGTGCCGAAGTGGGCGAGGAATGTAGCCACTTGATTAAGTATTGAAAAATTAAATGTATAGTAAGAGAGAAAAATCGTTTCGCAGATCCAGGGTAATGGCCCTTATTTAATTACAGTGCTTTAGACACTACTCATGAAGCGGGCCTCGTGGCGTTCTTGGTTTACGCTTTTTTTCTTGGTAATCCAAGGTTGAAATCCGGATCTTGGCCGGCGTCAGGGATTTATACATAGGCCATGCACATTAATGAAGCAGAATTAGCGTCCAAAAAGGGCTCGGGAAGCCCCTTCTCCGTCTGTGGAATCATAAAGATCAAAAAACTAGAAACCTTAGGACCCACTGGCCACACCATCAGCTCGGACCTAACCCATATTCATACATAGGACCGTGGAACCCCCTTATATACGGACATCAGCGCTTTTGCATAACTTCAAGACCTGAATCTTCATGAATCAATATGGATTATTATTTCAGTCATTTCCAACTCCGTTACAAATACATTATTCAAACAAAGTCAAACCCCATCAGCGGGACAAATTAACGGGAATTCCTGTCATTCTTGATGCCAAGACGATGAAAACGTCCGACCACGTGACTTATGCGAGCCACGTTGATTTATGCACCGGGTACTCGGCACACCCGTGATTGGTCAGATGCTGAAACATGCTTTATTACATCACCTTGAAGGTGTTTTGTAGCACATTCTAAGGATTCAGTGAAGCTAGCTTATTTCTATATCTCCGCTCTCTATTTCCGTGGAAGACAAATATTCTTGGAAACCAAGTTACTGAAGAGTGGAGATAGAACTGCGGCGCACGGATTTTACATGCTACCTAGTCAATACGAAGTACTGGGGTTTACCAGACTACATTAACGAATGGATGGTCAAATGTCTGTATGGGCTCGTCTAGGTCAAAGCTCCCGTTCCCGATGCAAGAGCTACATCCGCCACTATACTATAAACATGTCCTAGGCGGCGGGATTCGGCTCAATCCCGAGCTGACGGCCCGGATATACTACTAACTCCAGAAGGCTAGTCAGTGAGACGACAACCTTACCAATCCCGCGATTTAATTCACAAGGAGAGCTCCGCCTAGATGTATTCAATGTATGTGGGAGTGGGTCCTCCGACCATATGGTTTAATCTACAGATTGATAATCACAGCTTGGTGTATTTGGGTCGAAAATTATGCATTAAGGGTGGGCATAATGTGCATACATCAAACCCACAGCCTCAACTCGTGCCAGCCCTATGGAGCAAGGCTAGTGTCAATTTCGGTCTCGGATACACGTATTAAAGCCTGCCAGGCTTTCATTTGCTCCCTGGTGATACATGTGAATTGTGTAATTGCATGATTGGAAGATGGTGTCGCTCCAGGTAAATATCTAGATAGTTGCCCAACGTGGCCCAGAGCTACACAGTCTTTCTAGTTTCTCAAAACCTTCAAATGTTGAAACCGGGACCTTAAACCCGGCTAGGTAATATAAATTCCGAAGGAAACGGCTAGGGTCAAATACAAATAGAATTCTAGGAAATATTGAGGTCTAGATCAGACTTCCCTTCATAAATGCCTCGCCCCACTTGACACCCAGAAAACCCAATAAAAAGTCATTGATCGATGTGACAACTATGAGCCGTCCAACTTCTGTAATTTGTGTCTAAATAGATAGGTAGTAGGTATCATAGATAGACCTAGTATTTCAATCATGCTGATTTATCATGTGCAGCTCATAGCTAATAGCCTCCAGCGAACCGACTTGCTCACGCTTGTTCAGAGAGTCGGATGCGATATTGGTCTTGAACTGTTAGAGGTATGGTGTTATCGGATTTTCCAGGGTCCCAGAGGAGTCATACTAGTTGTTGTTATCCACTTTTCCTGCGCCTCAGCACTCCACGCGCTTGTCACCCTGTTCCTTGCACTATTGTGGGTTTTCTTTTGATTTTCGGGATCTGCGCTCTGGGCCTGATTTATGCCTAGGGGCAGCTGAAAGTCAAGACGTAAGGTACGATTTATTGAACCTCATTTTGCTGATTTGTCGAAGGTTATTTGCTATGGCTCTTCCGACAATGCGAGGCAATCTTCTTGGAAAGCAAAATCAAGAAGGACTATGTTGACCTAGCACAGGGCGCTCATGAAAGTGTCTTGAGCAAGATTACTTTGATGCTGTTGTTGACCGTCTGTCCTCGGGAATCTTATGATATCGAATGTGGAAGCGGCGGAATCGGAAGTAGCTACTACCGCCGCTTAAGAGCTGGCGACGGCTATTCCGACAACTGTTCACCAATCACGTTAATTCTTCATGGCTTAAGCATGAGCGGTCACCAATACAGCCCTTAGAATCAACCGGACCGCATCAAAACTAGAGGCAGAGAACCGACCGAGCGGCTGAAAGCTTCCGAAGAGGCAATGGGCCCTGGGCTTGCCGTTGTGAGTCCAGCTGGGTCAATGAGCTACTGATGCATGAGCAGTCATTAGTAAAAAGTACATATGTCACATCCGTATCTAGTCCCCGGGTACATATTGCTGCCAAGTGCCTAGACCACAGACGCGTCAGCCTATTCATCATCAGCTAGGCCGGATGAGGATGTTTTGTCTGACTTTCAAAGATTTCATATTAGGACTGAATTATTTGCTGCTGAGATCGAAGGTCTTAGCCTCTTTGCTGCCGGGTGTGAAACTGGATATGTACGAGCCGGACATAAATGGTCATATCGTGTGGGCTTCACAGGAATCTTATGTCTGAAAACCACTCCTAGCGGCTACGTGTAAATGAAGGGTGTTAAACATGAAAAATTGATCTTGAAAACGTGTCCTATGCAGGATATTGCTCAAGATGGCAGACTATTTTCCTACCTGGGGTTTCGCAGAGCTTGCACAAAACTTCCAAAGGTGAAAGTTCTTTCTACTTAGCTGGACTCTCAGAAACTGGATACGAGCATGCAAAGGAAAAATTGCTAGTCTCACTATCCAACTCATCATAAATCTCAGCATGTAATCTATCATCCGATCTGCCACGGAGGTTCGGAAATATGAGCAAGTCCACCGATCCATCTCGAGTACATCCGAAGCCGAGAAATCTACCCACAAGAACAGCTGACAATCATACATGATACATTGCTGCCTAAACCCTTTGATAGTCTTATGACCACAATTGATGCCTGAGAACTAACTATTCCTGCCTAAGGCCTCAAGTCAGTAGCAATCTGGGTGAGTCGAATTCCGCCCCACTCTGCAATGGGTCCTTACTTACACAAGAGAGTACGGAGAACATCTATGATCTTGAAGCTGACAAGGGGGGTATAATAGAAATATTTGTACTGAAAGGAACCTACAGTATGTGTCAATAATTTCATCTTATTTTTATTTCATCAAAATGTATGTAGAGAGAAAAATCAAGAAAGAAAGTCGGATGCTGTCCAGACCCACATCTAACAATGACGTTTTGCGTCCTCAGGCATCACTTGCCTTTGTGTGAAGGGAAAGGAGGAAAGGAGGTGGGTAGGAGTGTGCTCCGAGGACTTGTCAATGGATCTCAGCTGGCATACACTGTTGAGATCGGTGACGTATGTCTAGTTGGCAGGTTGTGATGTATTCATTTGGTCAGAACGAAGTACTCCGTGGTAGCATCAGGAATTGATTCCCTGGGGACAAAATCTAATATCAACCAGCACTGTTCTATTTTAGTGTACTGTTGAGCTTCGGGTCTGATGGGGTGGTACTATATTGATAACAAAGAAATCCTGGTCGTAATGGACTTGATGATATGGTGCTGGTCTATGAGTGCAGCAACGTCTACATCGGGCAGAGTTGGGATCAAAGAAACAGTGAGCAGTTATACGCGTCATTCCGTGACTCGTGGCTAGATGAGTCACTACACGTCGTATGAAAGGGGCAAAATACAGCCAAGGATGCTCGCGTCCAGGGTACAACGCGCATGTGGATCACAACAGGACCGACGCGACCCTACAATATTTACTAGCACAAGGAATGGAAACGGGTTAAGTAATAGAAGATCGCGTTTTAGCGTCTGTCATGAGACGGTGCTCGCTAAGGCACCGTATTGAGGAGATCCCTCTGAGGAAGGCCTCTGATGTACATAACCACCACTTTGCCATCCCATGGTAAGGGTAAGGCAGTGGTATCGCGAGTAAAAAAGCAAAATTCAGAAACCCGGTCCTGAAACCCATTCATTCGAAAGAAAAACCCATAGTGTATCGCCGTAGTTCATAAAAAGAAAACCCCGTATCGCCTTCCCAGAAGAGTCAACAAGAAAAATCAGCCACGTTCAGCGCATTTAAGAGCGCTCGCCACGCAGGCGACGGGCCAGCTGGATGTCCTTGGACTGGATGGTGACACGCTTGGCGTGGATGGCACACAGGTTGGTGTCCTCGAAGAGAGAGACGAGGTAGGCCTCAACGGACTCCTGGAGAGCACCGATGGCGGAGGACTGGAAGCGGAGGTCGGACTTGAAGTCCTGGGCGATCTCACGGACCAGACGCTGGAAGGGGAGCTTGCGGATCAGAAGCTCAGTGGACTTCTGGTAGCGACGGATCTCACGGAGAGCGACGGTACCTGGAGTATATTAGCAACTGGAAGTGAAGTCATATGAAATAAACAAGACATACCGGGCTTGTAGCGGTGGGGCTTCTTGACACCTCCGGTAGAGGGGGCGGCCTTGCGGGCGGCCTTGGAGGCGAGCTGCTTACGGGGAGCCTTGCCACCAGTGGACTTACCTGTGAAGAGGAAAACATGTTAGTGAAATGTTATTTTGAAGAAACGCGTCCTCGCGTCTCAACCCAGCTCCCAAAGTTGAACGTCACCACGAATGGTAGAAGCGATCACAGAGCGGGGAAAAGGCCAAGGGAGTAAAGGAATATTGTATGAACTTACGGGCAGTCTGCTTAGTGCGAGCCATTTTTCCAAAGTTGATTTGATGGAAAAAGTGGATGTGTTGATGAAAGTTGGTTGGTGAAGATGGTTGTCGAAATGATGGAGAAAGAGAAGATGGAAAGCGGGTGGGGGAAGAGTATTTGTAGGAAAGAAAGGAAAGGGTGTGATCTGGGTGATGTGGAAATGAACCAATCAGATTGCGTCATTCAGATCAACCAAATACAAGGAAAGTTTTTGGTAAAAAATCGAATTAATTCGGTTTGATCCGTTTGTATTGATTGATCCGCTTGGGTCAAGTCACATTATCTCTGGTAAGCGAGGGAGTTGACCCATATCAACCAATCAGCGTTCAGGATCACGAATCTTGAATACCTCCCGTCCATTCTCTTTGATCCCGGCCACCTAGGAGATTATTTCTATGATCTACACATTTCATAGCATTCTTGATCCTAATTAAATGTTTATTGATTTTTTTCCATTTTTTGATCTACATGTTTGAAGGTGTACAAGGTGAAAGATCAGAATCATTGCCGGCATCTAGCCCAGAGTTGAACTTGTGAGGGGCCCGGTAGATCACGCCTGCTGGATTGGATCCTCAACTCTCATTGGTTGATCCTCCCACTAGCGTGTGATTTCCAGGCCCCCGCGTCCTTCACTTCCTTCTACAAATATCTCCTGCCCCAGAACCCTTCCGTTTCTTTTCCTTCTATCCATTCTCGACAACTTCGTTTTATCTCAACAACACAAAACCTCCCCCCCCCACTTTTTAATACACTCATCATGTCTGGCCGTAAGTTTTCCAACAATTCTTCCCTTCTAGGGAACTTTATCACGACGCGTCTTTTCTAACGCGTTCAACAGGTGGAAAGGGTGGCAAGGGTCTCGGAAAGGGTGGTGCCAAGCGTCACCGCAAGATCTTGCGTGACAACATTCAGGGAATCACCAAGCCCGCTATTCGCCGTCTCGCTCGTCGTGGTGGTGTCAAGCGTATTTCTGCCATGATCTACGAGGAGACCCGTGGTGTCCTCAAGACCTTCCTCGAGGGTGTCATCCGTGATGCCGTCACCTACACTGAGCACGCCAAGCGCAAGACCGTCACCTCCCTCGACGTTGTCTACGCTCTCAAGCGCCAGGGCCGTAAGTTTCTCCACGTGTTTTTCTCTTACACCGCGTCTCTAACCTGTCTTCAGGTACCCTCTACGGTTTCGGCGGCTAAGCGTGTCATGTCTTTTCTCTTTTCCGGGTTGTTACAAACGGTATGATGGGACGTTGGGGTGTTCTCTGATTTTTCTTATCGTCATGGGTCTCTGGGTTTGAATTTTTTTTTACAACGACTACCACTTTTTGCGTCCACTATGGGTCTGCTAGTGTTCGCTTCTGAGCTTTCCTGTATCATAGCGGCCTCATCATATGGCTGGCACCACTCGAATGGTGGGATCTACACTCCGTCGTGAGGTGATCCGATACGAATACAATTATCTTGAAACTCAACCAATCCTTGTAAACGTAGAACCTTGTACTTGAAATGCCCTGGATTTTGACGCGTTGTTGTTGTTTTAGGTTGTCGTCGTTGCCCTATAACGCGTAGCGACGTTATTTTACGCGTTCGCAGCGGAGCTTCCAAGGTCGCTATCTTTGCTGTCTTACCCCCCAAGTTCACTGCGCTTCGTTTGCCTGATTCTCCTAGCTATGCATCCTTTCCAACTTTTCATCTTTCCACTGTTAAATATTGTAGTTGGCAGTCGTGGGAATATACGCGTCCGCGTATCATTATCTATTAGTATCATGTAGAGTAGCTTTCGTATCTCATCGCTTTCTAGGCTGCATATACGGTCTGTCCATGATTATCATATCGAGACCAGGTCAGTTGTAGCTCGAATTTTGAAATATTTTAATTTGCTAGAGTATTGATTGTATTAACTTGACAATATATGACCGATAAATTTATTTTCAAATTTGCATCATCAACATTTGTCATTGTTGGTTAAGTTCACGAAAGTGGTGTGTATATGTGCTGTGGATATATATCTAACCAAGATGAGAATATGAAATTAAAAACCCAAATCTTTAGAAACAAAGTAAATTTTATAAATTTAGTATCAATATAATCGGCTCAATCGAGATAATCTCAAAAAAAAATTCATCTCTGATCAAACTCAAGACTAAGACCATGGGATAGGTAAACGTATCTCCAGATGTTGAAGTTGAACCTATTTGGACCCGTAGTTGAACCCCCGTGCTGGGGGTTCAACTTATCCGAAAACGGGGTTCAACCCCTCAGACCAATCAGAGCCGCCATCTACCAAGAAATGACCAAAAAACAGAACGCGACCGAATGAATTGTGCCAAGAAGTATTCTGATAGAATTATTATTGCCAAAACACGGGAATTGATGGGAAATTGCAGGATCACACTCGCTGATGATCGTTAAGCCAACTCATTCAGGGACCTTCACAGGACAAGACTATGTATTCTTTTGGTAGTACATATAAGCCTCGGTTTTGGTACAAGTCTGATAAAAGCCTTTCCCAGGTCGTTGGTGGGATTACGAAGCCATAGTGTGACCAGAATCCAGGACGACTTCTATACGTAGATGCACAAGAATGAATTATACCCAAGCGGAAGATTTCTATCCAAGCCAACTAGTCATTGAACCAATTCAAGAAAGCGCGGGCTATCATCACCTACTGCACGATTTCAACCAGACCACAACCCTCAACAGATGCATCCAGAAACTCACCAGAAAAGGTAACAAAACCCTCATAAGCAGTCCCCAAGCCCGTGGAGTCCAAAAGAAGCTGATGTTCAACCACACTAACAATGTTGAGTGTAGCCACATATCCAGATATGTGTACAGTTCCACCGAAAAGCTTCAAAGATCCCCTCACATCACGGACTATTGCTAAGCGCTCCTCTGGGATAATAACCCCATCACCAGCCCAAATACTGAGCTCGAACCCGCCAGGCAGGTGGAGGTGGAACAAGGTCCAGCTGTTGTAAATTCCACCTCCCCATTGTCGGTCGTACCAGGTAGGGAGTGTTGGGGGTCGATGTGGATTACCTGCTCGTTGATTGTGATAGTGTCATAGGTTCTGCAGGAAGGTAAATTCCAGCCGTAGGCCTTGTCATCGCTATGGAAGGTGATATCGAGGCCATCATTGACCAGTGAGAGTGTGATATGGTCGTAAATAAGGTTGAAGGTGACTCTCTCGTGGGAGCTGTGTGTCCGCATAGTGGCGACATTGTCATCGCAGATACCATTGAAGCCGTTTCCATTGATGCCAACGATGAGATGAGAGGAATCAGCCGTGGGGGTAATAAGCCATCACTGACACGCGAAAGGAATGTTACTCCAGGCTGTCCAGGTCCAATATAGATGTACGGTACAAGTCCTGCTCACCACCCGACTTCAGTCAATGGGAGATCACGGCATATTGGCGGAAGTTCTTGCCGGTGATGAGGAAACCTGCCCACCAGGAGCCGTGGTTGGTGGTTAACTGAGAGTTCGCGAGGTCTTGGATGGAGGGAATTCTATTGGAAAGCTGAAATTGTCATTAGAGTCTGTCAGTTGCGGTTAAACCCATGTCGGAGCTTACTTGAATATGTGTCGAGTTTTCGGGCGCGAATAGATACAGCGCGGCAGCATGCACTGCCAATGACAGGATACAAGATATGGCCAACTGCATGATGCGAAGTATATTAGAAGAGTGGTGGCAAAGTGAAGCAGAAAATGAGAATCGATTTGAGGCCACAGGCTGGAGGATAGATACTTGCAAAGACAGAATGAGACATGACAACTGTACAGGGTCATGGCCCAAGTGGTGATAAATCTAAAAGTTCACCGTATATCAGTTCTACAGAACCCAAGTCCCGAATGAGCAGGACAAGATGACTGTTCAGCCCTGGCGCGACCCTCGCAAAGCATCAATAGCCTCCGGAACACGGCCCACATCATCAACTCTCGCCGCAGGGCCTCCCCACCGCACATAGCCTTCCCCATCGACTGCCCAATAACCGCTGGACTGCCACCTGCTCCCACTCTGAGTTGGCCGATTCCAAATACCCTTATCCTTCCCCATCCTGAAAATTCCCATCAACCCACCAGGACTGAACATATGACCCCAGGAAACAATCCCCAACCCCCACAGCGCATATAACTCACGCTCGAAATCAACAATAACAGTGACAGAGCCTGCACCACCAACGGCACTCAGCCATTTGTCCGTTGATGACTGGTCACTGTGAGATATGGCGATGAAGTTGATATCGGGGTTCTGAGCGGCTGCAGTGCGCATTTCAAGGAACGCTACTTCAGCGGCTTTAGACAAAGATCTGGGATTAGTTTTGCTCATATCGGGGGAGGGCTTGCAGGACAAACCGGGGCATCCACAGTGTCGGAGGAATGATAAGATCGTTGGATTGCCATTATCAGCGGGGAGGACCAAAAGTGGAGATGACGGTGCTTTGTCGCCAATCTGAGGAAGTTGGGACAGTAGTATATACGAGGGGGAAAAGTATGAAGCAAATTCTTGAGACAGACCCATGTTTGGATTTGGAAAGCTTTAATCTGCTAAATATGTCTATGTGACGGACTTCCAAGATTCGAAGTTGGAAGTTGAAGATAGCATCGGCTAGTGCATGTTATACATCACGTGATAATCTATGCAGCCTACAGCCACATGATACTCAGCGTATCATAGCCTTCATTACAATTTGAAATTACCTACTTGGTAGGAATGAAGTCAAAAACTTCATTTCTAAGAACCTCGCATGCGAAGAGAAAGTATCTCGATTAATACAGTCATTGATTACTAATTTTGAGGAATCTTCAATCCGTTGATAACGCCGCTGATCCCTGTGGCTGACAAGTGGATACTGTGTCACGCAATCACCTTTTTGGAAGAGTGCAACACTTAGCTATTACCGAGTCATCCTGATTGGGGCCGATGATATGCATTCTTTAATTTATTTTTGAGAAATTAGATTCACATGCGAAATATGACCTATCGTAAATGACAGACATGACAACAGCAATACATGCGATACAGATGCGATCGATCTCCGCGGGTACAGCCATAAAACGCCAAGTAACTGACAGATTGCATTAGGTGGAGGGCACGGTTACGAATTTGACCACGACCGTGTCTCAGATCGAGTGGATTGTGGGATCCTACGGCGCCACCACGAGGAAAACAACGCCAATCGCCTATCAGAGACTAGCGATCGTCTCGAGCCATCCAGTACCTTCAGATAATGGGCTTGGTTGGTCTAAACAGGGTTTAGACTCAGCTTGGGTGTGTTGTGAAAATCTCGAAGACACGCAACCGGCCCCGGGGCCCATCGAATCAAGACAAGTTGCTTTATAAGCTGTCAGGAATGGAAGAGACTCAAGGGCTAAAATACTAAGCGAGGACAGGGGGCTCGCTCGTTTGACAATCAGATTAGCTTTTTTATACGAAACATGCTATGCGGACATGTTTTACAAAATAAACCGTAGGCAACCATTGATGCCCCTTGCGTGTTTTAGCGATATTGCTCACGTAAATTGTAGTCAGATTTTTGATTCACCCTACCAAGTGTGTTATTTTAGGAATATCAACGATAGTATACAGTGTCTATCATCTGAGTCAAAAGAACTGGAAGTATAGAACATAACCACCATATCGGGATAATTCGGGAATGTGCAGGGTTTGTGGAACGGCCAAAGCACGTACAAGTGAAAAGTTAGATGCTGATAACATCTAAACTACAACCGTAGCAAAGACTAGAAAGCAAAAAAAAAAGACTGTCATGCAACTCCGCGGAAAAATGCAATCCGTCGAATTGTCAATGCAACACTTGCCCAACGGAGAATCCCGGTGCCGAGAAGCCGGGGCGCTAGAAGGATTCCAGAAGCTCCCGGCTTCGAGAATTTCCCTGCATAGTCAATACACAATACCATTAGCGTCTTTTACACGGCGTATCCGCACATACCATCGTTGTGGCTGAGTCCTGCAGCCTCCCACAGCCAATCAAACGCAATAAAAATCTCTTCTGCATTAGCCTGTTGCTATTTTGCGCTGCTTGCCAAAGTTCGCAGGGCTGGACCGATGCCGTTCTTCCACCGATTAAGGTGCTGACAATTTTTTTTTTTTTTTCATGTTCATGCCGACAGACAGAAATTTTCTGCATCTGCAGGGGTCCCGTATCCCTTGACCACACGAGCTGATGGTGAAATCGGTTTGTACACGTGGTACCTTGCGTGTTTACTCAAGGGTTTGGACTTTTGTTTTGTCTACAGTGTACGGAGTACGTAGTATTATACTCCATAGAAACCTCTGAGCATTTGAACCATAGGGCAATTAGTGGGCCAATGTCCCAGATATCGCCACTTCCCCAGACTAGGCCACGTTTTTTAGATTCCAAGAATAACCGGAAATATGCCAAGGAATAATGATCAGATTCACTAACAGTGTGAAAATCTGGACTTTGTCTGGGCCAGACTGTTCGGTAGACCACGGCACCCCGGATCCGCGTCTCGGTGCCCCGGCCGAGTCAGCACTAATCCACGAACGCCGACCGAGATTTTTTACTCTGAAGACTACCGAAAAAGAAACGGACAGAATCGGTTGGGCACCAGATCTAGTCTAGGGGTTTTTTTATTTTATTTTTTCTTCAAAGATAAATAGTGCACCTGAGTCACTTTTCAGGCCGTTAGAACTTAGAACTGGCTGTGGCTGCCCAGGAAGGATGGGATATCTCCGGTCGGGACGCGGCACTTTGACACTCGGGCCTCACCCCGGAGGTCGCCTTTCCGATCTGATATTGCTTGGATTTGTATACCACGCGCTAAGAAAAGCCGACTCTATGTACCAGGGGGTATTTTTGTATTCGTGTATTATGTATTTCAAATCATATTTTGGGTCCGCATGATTTACTAGTCGAATTTGTCAAGTCACCCGAGCATATGTGAGAAAGAATTTGCTTCCAAATCAACTAGCTATTTTATGAGTCAGTGTACAAAGTATTAGAGTCATCAATGAATAATCTAATATTTATTGTTGGCCCGATTTGGATTTAGATTTATCAATTCCCACTATTGTGGTCATGTGAAGTGTATAAACTGGAGACTCTACTCGGCGCACTATCATGCCACGGGCCATGTGACCCCTAACCTTGGTTCTTGGATGCTGTAGCCGAAGCGATGGTCTCACCTAGACCTGAGAGCTCGTACAATTTAGCGATTCCTAAAGTCGGCCGAGTTCAAGGGAACCCAGTCAGCTGACCCTACACCAGCTGACTCCGTACATCGCGTCTGAATTCCTGAATGGGGCTACTTCTTGGTTGAACCGATCACTCCGTATACTCCGTACATCCTATACGACAAAGGTATCAAGGTATCAAGGTATCAAAGCAACAAAGCATAGATCAATCGACCTGCCTAGATAGGTCTAGTAAATTGTAAGCTCACCGATTTTAAGAATTAATTACTATTTTACCCCGGAATGCAAGGCCCAAATGGGGGAAACCACGATGTGGCGCAGCATTTGTGGCTTACAAAAATGCACCTCGGCATTATTCATCAAAGCTGTCTATACGGATAGTACGGCAGCCACTAAGCTCGATCAGGTCACGCGGAGCGAAAAAATCCAGGTGTGGCTCAGCCCTGTCGAATAGGGTCCTAAAATTGGAGATATCCATCGCCTATTCGGTACTAGTTTGTAGATTGACTCGGTCTGCAGGAATCTTTTCCATTTCCAAGCGGCAGATTCTAGGAAATTCTCGATGTTTGGATTATGACTCTTTTCGGGGATAACGGGGTCTTGCAGGCAGAAGTATTTTGACATTGTAGTTATATTTCCAATCCAATCAAAGAATGATTTAATTGATTTGATTACTTATTCTGGTGTTATTTTCTGTGATTTAAGTAAAGTTTGTGGCTGATTTCGGAAAGCCCACCTAAACCATTAACAAGGGGGGGAGAGAGAGAGAAAGAGAAAGATCGTACATGGACCAAAGGGGAAGAACTTCAAAAACCGAAAATCCCAAAAAGGAAAAAGAAAATATAAAAAAACCCCAAAAACCCAAAAATCCCAAAATCCATAATTCCAAAAAACCGAAATGCACAGACAGTTTCTCTCCGGTAGATCAGTGGATCAGACAACCCCCCGGTAGGACAAGTCTGTACATTCTGGTATTTAAGGTAATTATCTTGTATGAAATATAACCACCATCGACAAAATAGGATATATTACCGCCGATCAAGTCGTAACAGTACGGAAATATTTCGGGGATGACCGATAACTCACCAAACTCCACAAGCCCATTGGGTTCTCCCTGTCCCCGATTAGGGAAAACGTCATGGTACTATGTGGATTGCTCTTCTTCTTAAGTCCAACTCTTTCCCTCCCCGATCTCCATTTGATCTTCTTCATTACTCATACATCAACTCGATCTTACTATTTCTTCTCCTTCCCCCTTATATACAGGTAAGACTCATCCTTCCAAGAGTCATCAGATCCAGACTAATACTAACCTTTTCCAACTACCAGACTTGGTCATATTAAGGTTCACCCGGTTCCATCTACCTCTACAATCACGAGCCGCTCTCGACGTTTCCAGACTCTTCGCATTATCTTCTCTTCCAAAGACAACTGTTGGTCCCAGTACCAAAAAAGCAACACAACCGATCGGACTTTCCCAAGGATCTCTCGGACCTTAAGCCGTCGGAATTCCAACTATAAAATCTCGCCATTCCCAAGTGGCAAACACCTTCCATTCCCAATCTCCACTCTCTGACGTCCTATACGTGATAACATAATGTTTATGTATCCACGTAAGGGTCTCATCACCGATCCATACAACCAAGAAGACATCATCATACAAGACGATCAGTTCCCACCTGAGTTCGCCGAGAACTCTCAGCAGTACCAACAGTCATACTTGCAACCACCTTTCCAGTACCAACCGAACCAGTTCGCCTCTCCGCCGTCTTCCGCACCTTCCTCACCCTCTTTCTCTTCACCGACCTTCTCCATTTCTTACCCCCAGGTGGACAGCCAGTCTTACGGGGCTCCTTCGATGACCCCGGCGTCTTCCTACAACCCGTCTTTTGACAACCAGAGCTCTGCCTCACCATCTTCACAATATCTGTCGCAATATCCCCAATACTATTCGCCTATGTTGGCCCAACCGCCTATCGCTCCCGGCAACCAAGCTTGGGATGGTAACCTGCAGCTGTTGAGCCCCGCTCGAGTTCCTTCATTCCCCCAGAAAGCCTCTCCCAGCTCATCATCACGATCCGCGCCAGTCTCTCAACACCGGCGATCCGACAGTTCCAACAAGCCGCTCCCCACTCCAGTACAGACTCCCCTCCAGAACTCGTTCTTGGCACCGGCCTTCCAAAACTACGACCCATTGATCAATGATGGGAGCAGCGTGGAGGCTGAGTCTGCTATGAGAAGGGCAATTCTGGAGCAGTCCAAGTATCAACAATCATCTCCTCAGCACCAGCAGGCGGACTACTCGCACTCTCTGGCACCCTCAGTTTCCACCGTGAGCCAGAACTCGCCAGTCACCCCGCAGACCACCCTTGACGAACTTGAGGACGCATCCAAGTCGATGACCAATGGTGAGACACGATTTTCTGAACTTGACTTGGACCAGTACTTACATGGCGACTTATTCACAGAATACGCCAACGGTAACTCTGGCATGCCAATTGGTGTTACTAAGCTCAATCGCACTATCTCCGATATCTACCAGGACGAGCTGTATAACCCTGCCATGATGGCCGCTCCCCAGATGTCCAAGCCGATGGGCCAGAATCTTTTGGCTCCTCGCAATGTTATCGCCGACCGATTGCAGGCTGCTAACCAGGGTCACATGTCTGCTCGCTCTCAGTCTCCGGTTTCTGGAATGATGAAGCGCGAACGATCACCTTTCCGCCAGAACTCCCCATTCACATCTGAAATGAACGCATCTGGTCTGCAACCGCAGATGGCTACGAGTGTTCCTATGCAGAATGCTATGTCTATGCCTATGCCTTCTACGATGAGTCAGACTGATCTGAAGACCATGTCTCCCAAGGATGCGGTCCTGGACTTTAATGAGGGTGAGGATGCCGCTATGGAGCCTCTGTTCCCTCCCCAGCAGGCCGACTTCAATCTTGGTGATGCGCTTGGATTGCGTCGCGAGAGTTCGGGATCATCACTCCAACCGGCTTTGACGACTATGGATGCGTTCCCTTCGCAGTACGCCCCGGTCCAAGCGCCTTTCACATTCTCCCAGCAAAGCCACCCCCCTCAGAATTACCTGCAGCAGCCTAAGATCCTTTCCGGACTTCCTCAGGTGGACTCCAATGGCAGCGATCTACACTCTTCTGCGGATATGACACCGCAAGCTCATGCCAAGCCCATCTCCCGGCCCACTAACACGACCTCCGACGCGGGCACATACACCTGTACCTACCACGGCTGTACTCTGCGATTCGAATCACCTGCTAAGCTCCAGCGCCACAAGCGTGAGGCGCACCGGCAGACATCTCCTGGGGGTCACCTGATTACCCGGGACACCTCGCTACGCAATTCTCAGGCCGGCCCGCACAAGTGCGAGCGTCTCAACCCGTCTACTGGAAAGCCTTGCAACTCTGTTTTCTCCCGACCTTACGATCTAACTCGTCATGAGGACACGATCCACAATGCGCGCAAACTAAAGGTGCGGTGCCACCTGTGCACCGAAGAGAAGACCTTCAGTCGCAACGATGCTCTCACCCGGCACATGCGGGTGGTGCACCCTGAAGTTGATTGGCCTGGCAAGCAGCGTCGCCGGGGAAGAGATTGAATGGTCCGAAGAAGGATGAGACTATCATCATGATGACGAAAAAACCCTTTCACCCTTCTTTCTCTATTTCTCCTTCCCATTTGACATATGACGTCAACTACACCCCGATCCAGAAGATGGACCCACTTTTGCGTCCCAGATCGTCGGTGTCTACTTCCATTTCGGGTTCCAAGATTGCCGATTATGGCGGCCTTGTGGCCTGAAATCCTGGGCCACTGACGTCATTACTCAGTCTGTCCTCCACCGTTCGGGCTGACGTCGAATCTACGTCGACGATCGAATCACCACACCACAGAATGACGCACCCCACCTGGTCTCACCATGCTCCCCCCTGCCTCGCCTGACGTGTGCGGGTATCTTGGCGCCTCACTGATCCATGTTTGCACATTCTAAGAAAAAGAAATCCAGCATGTATCCGTATGTACAGGCCTGTTTTGTGGGTTTTCTTCGCTTGCAGCTTTTTCATGTCTGTTACGATCCTCATTATCACTGTATTATTATCATTCCTCGTTTATGATCTCACGCGATGATGTCTCTTGCATGCAATTATCCTTCGCATTGGCTGGTGCTTCTGTTATTTGAAAAGGGCGGTGTTGTTTACTAAAAAGGGTCCGTACATCCTTGACTTTATTTACTTTTTTTATTGGTGTGTACCATATGGAAAAAAAAAGGTGTACATTATGGGAAGTGATGGAATTGTATAGCTTCATAGATTTGAATATCCAACATGAATCTTAAGAATGATCTCTTTCCATTGTATTCAACTCTACCCTAGATGTCATGATATTCAGAGTACCTTTACATTTCGAACTTGTTTGTGCAGGGGACGGTTTGGAATATCGTATCTATAAACCTACTAGCTAAGTAAGGTACTTTAGGACTGTCTGGTAAGAATCCACCAGCCCCACATGTACCTCCAGCTACTGTAAAAGGACCTGAAACATCCCCGTCGGCAGTTTGCACAGATCATCATCCCAACTGGGTACAGTAGCCGCCCGCGGCTTGCGGAACAAAACACAAAATAAAGCCTTGTCACCAATAGCATTGCCGATCATTCCATGATCCCGCCTATAGTAGGGTACGCTTCGACCCCTGAGACAGAAACAGAAATAATGAATGCAAATCCAAGAAGTTTCCATTTACTCCGTACTCCGCAGACTACTACTGTACTGTAGTTATGGCCCCCGCAAGCATCTCCTCTCCCTCTAACCTGTAGTGGTATTTATTTTTCCGCCCCCATCCTCTATCATTAGGCCTCAAGTACAGGTTATTGCTTGTCTCCGTAGATAGAAATAAGCTCGTTCCTCGTAGCCGGAGTTGAGACGGCCCCTTCGCTTTTGAATACGATTAGATCTGCTATGCAGGTCGTTTCAATGTAAACTTTATCTGTCTTTGTAGGCACTTCCCTATTTGGAGATCCATGTGTCCAATAACGGCCCAGGTAGAGGATTGGATGTACAGTAATGTCCTCGATCTACATGACTCGAGTTGAAAGTCAAATGATTCATTTAAGTTAATAGAACAAATTGAAACCGCATTTCATTAAATTTATTAATATAAAATTAATCTATCCTGGTGCCTACCAATATGCAAGGAAGTTTACCAACCCAAGTCAAGCCAGGTACCACATAAACCACCCGATTGGCACGCATCACACCATCTCATTCCCTCAATACTTACGTACCATCTAACATACACGAAAACGATAGGCCCAATGCCGCATATCGCAATCCAAGCAACGACCAAAAAGGTAAAAGGACGGGGAATCAATTAACGTACGGAGTACACGTACGATGTACGCGGGTGGAGAGATAATCACGAATGATAAACAGAATAGCTAGGTTTACGGGCTACAGAAGCCCGCCCGGCTCTTTTATCCATATTCATGGAGTAATGAGAAAAAAGAATGGAATTGAATTGGGTTTCGGTTTCGCATTTTCAATGTCAGCTTTCCCCAGTTGGTATCCACATGCCCCACTTGTGGAGTATGTGGCTTTATATTATGTGATTATCATTTCTATATTGGGGCAGCATTGGATGAACATTGCCTGTCGAAGGTTTTGTAATACATTGTATTGGAGATCCACTTTAGTATTTTAGTTTGTATGGGAATTTGTTATCGATAACGGAAATGTGGGGCTTTGGTGTATTTGGCTGTACGGTGATGTATGTGGCTGTGCGCGTGGGATGACTAATACTTGGTCGTATTTGACTAAGCTGTTTTCAGTAGTGGGGCTTTAGGTGGGATATTGTGATTGCAAGGTGGCTTCTTTCTGTACTTACAGTACATGTGTGCTTCATGGAGGGCTATTTATAGCGGTGGAGAATGACTTAAAGAGTTGATTGATTGACAGTTTGTGACAGTGGTGCGTTTTGGGTTTGTATAGTAGGTGCCTTGGTAAGTTTTATGTAAAGTATACTACATCTTGTGGTGGCTATGTTGGAACACTTTAACGGGATATTGGGTATATTCCGAGTTTACAGGGCTTTCAGTTCAGCGTGGTCATGTGGACTATGAGATCAAGTTGAGGTCACTAACGGAGTAAAGTCTTAAACCTTAGAAGTTGGTATAATTGCCGACAGTCACATGGGACGATGACTCTATTCAGGCATAGTAGGATTGATCAAGCCTTGTCACCTTGAATATAGACCTAGGTCAATTGTAGCAAATGAGATTGTGCATCGATTCAATCTCAACATCCAGAAGCAAATAAATGAGTATATTCATTAAATCGATAGCAATGCAAATTGTGTACATCCTAACCCTCGTATGTATCGTATATAATCCCTCTATAATAACCTCATCATCGAATCTTAAACCGTATAGCAAGATTTCCAAACAATCTCCCATCCCTCGACCTCTCAATAACACTCTGCCTTAACACATTCTTCATCTCCTCACTCCCAACCATATCAACGTACTCCGCCGCACTCCCCCAAGCCCCTCTCGCCTCAGGGTCAGCCCCCCGCTCCAACAACCACTTAACCCTCTCCACCGCACCAGCCATAACAGCATACATAATAGGATGATGTACAACAACTCTCGACTCTCCCATCTGATTCACATCCGCCCCCCTCTCAACCAACAACTCCATGATCGGGATCCGACTCGCATCAAACTCCTTACTAATAACACTCCGCGGCACAATTCCCGGTGAACAAGCCCCCGCCGCAAAGTGCAACGGTGTACCATAATGTATCGACGCACCGGCATTAAGCAATAACCGCACCGCATCAACAGACCCCCGCGCCGCAGCCGCTTCCAGCGCAGCGCACGATTGCGGATTCGGATGGCCTGCGATATCGCTACTATCGTGGTGCGCGCCTAAGTTTGGATTTGCGCCATGTGCAAGGAACCAGCATAACACTGGAAGGTGGGTCACTACTTTTGGCAAGAGGACTGTTCCATAGTCGCCGGGCATATTAGGGCCCCAGCCTGATTGGGCAAGGAGTTCGAAGAGCGCAATCTGTTGATCCGGTGGAGCGGAGAGGATATGAGTGGGAGTATTAGGAGTGATAGGGGCGCCGGTTGAGAGGAGATAGCGGGCGATATCGACATGGCCTGCTTCGAGAGCGATTATTAGGCCGTGGTGGAGGAATGCGCTGGAGCGGGTCTGTGGGGAGACGGCGGCATGCACAGCGTGGAGGTCCCCTGCTCGACAGGCGGACTCAAAGGAGGCGAAATGAGAGGCTATTTCGTTGAGGAAGCTGTGTTCGGATTCCATAGGTGCTTGAGGGTATCTTGGTGCTATAAAAGAGAGGCGGTTGTTCACATGGCCCATTCCTAGTTCTCGCTCCTCGTCCGCTCGCCTTGACGGCTCTTGTTGCATCATCATGCCCACTTCGCTGAATGACATGTTGTATCTGGTGGTCGTTCAGTTGGGGTTGAAATAAACCGGTAATCTTGAGGGGAGCCTCATGCCTTTTAAGGATTAGTTTCATGGCCGGGCCGTGCGATGACTCAGCATGAGACTGGTCGCAAAGATGACCTGTTCCATGTTATCGAGGAGAATTTCAAGGAAGATGTGATTGAGGAATGTTTCCATGCATTTTATTCGATGGATCTTACTCCGATTGACCATTTTATGCATATACGATCCATGGATCCTTCATAGATACCCGTCCCGACCCACCCACAACCAATCGACGGCATGCTATTATACGTCGCATCTGGGGGGTCAAACTTTATTTGCTTCTAATTGATAGATCTATTGCAAAAGAAAAATATGATATATTCATCGCTGAGTGATAACTCAGACTTCTATATAAGAAAAAATGAAGGAAAGACGATTTATGAAAACTCTCGGTTCGACCGATGAGCCCGCTCACGGGCCGAATCGAAGTCACTAGACGACTCAACTGTCGTCTCAATCTCCGTATGAGTGAAGATCTTACCTTCGGGAATGATAATGCGATCTTCACTGGAATTGTCCCGGTCTCCAGCCCCAATCTGCGTACCCATCGCAATGTCATCATCCTGGTTCATCGTGCCCATGGTAATCTGGTTCGGATCCGTCACCTTGGCGAATCCAGATCCGTATTTCCGAGCATTGGTGTTGCCTGACCAGGGACCATACTTGCGCCCACTGCTATATTCGCCGATGAAGCGGGGAAGGAAGCGGGAAGCGATGGCCTTGAATGATGGAATTGAGGCGGCGAAGATGCCGACGTTGGTTTCAATGACGGACCAGTACATAGCGCCGCTGATAGCGTAGGTGTAATCGGCGGAACTGAGCATGGCGGGGATATAGGTGATTCGGATGATGGAGGAGACACAGGCACTGAAACGCGTTAGAAGTGAAGATGGGAGGGACTGGTTTGCTTACAAGAGACCCAGACAGAGGATAAATCCTAGCGCGACCTTCTGATTTTTGGGCATCTGGAGCTTGAAGATGACGCGCAGGGGTAAGGTGTATGTTAACAAATCGGTCAGGATATTAAGAGCGGCGTTGCAGAGATAGAAAACGTTAATGTTGACGCATTTTCCGGAGCCAGTTCCCGTCCAGGCCTCGCTGACTGGTGTACATTGAAAGGCAGCAACCAGTACAAAAGAGCCAGCCTGGCAAATGATGACCCCTATCATGAACCAGGAGAATCGAGTGAGATAGCGGTCCCCGAGTCGAGTATAGAACCATAGGACCGATGTCTTGACGAATCCAAGACATGCTAGGTAAAACATGGAACTCAACCAGACAGCCTGAACCGAGTAAGTGGATAGTCTATGATGTACCGAGGGAGCCTTACAAATGCGTATTTGAGGAGCAAATTGTCGTCGACATATTTGATGTGTTGACCAAGACCATTTTTGGTAGCTAGTACTTGTTAGAGATTGAAATCTTTGAAGTTGAGATATCTTCACTTACCAGCAATAACAGCTCCAATGAATGCCCAAGCAAGAAGCTATTCGTCAGGTCAGTGAATGCTGAATGCCGAGACTATGGAGAAGTTCTTCCTTACAGCTGCTCCAATGATAAGATCTTGGAAGAATTAGCATGGTTTCTTTACATAGAATCCACAACACTCACAGTCATCGACACCCATCTTGCCCAGGACATAGATCCGAGCAAATAGTCTCAAAACCAAAACTATAAATGTCAGGATCGCAAATGCAAGACAAATGCCCAAAACAACGGGGGCTTGTGAACCATGGCTGCCTGTCATGGTTTAAAAAAAATGAGTGAATGTGTCAGGAAAGCCAGTAAAAACAAATGAAGCCTCAAGGCATGAATATCGCAGGTATGTGTAGGCTGTCACCGGGACAAAGAAGTTGAAGTAGATGGCATCAAAAGGGAGAAGTAAAAAAAATAGAACATGTACTCAACCCGGCCACTTATCAAAGTCTGCCTACAGTATGCACGTCCCCTAGAACCAAAAAACCGAGTCTACTAGTACTCCGTAGTGAGTGCAAAGTTAACTTGTTAGTGCATTGTTCTAGTAGAGTCTGGTCCACATCTATCACATTTTCGCAAAAACAAAGGGGAGGGATTGACGAGAAACTACCGGAAATAGAGAAGAGCGAGACCGCTGGGAATCCGCCGATCAAAAGTACCAGACTTGAGGCCTCGGTAAGGCCAGTTCCCAAGCGCCGGACCCGGTTTTAAGGAAACTGTGGAGTTGTGATTCGCTCAGCGGATTGATTGAGCCCGTGTTGAGAGGATCCACTGACAGGGATGAGCAGTACATTAGCACGGGTGACTATAGAAGTTGGCACAAGTGGACCATCCAGGGATGTTTCAACGTCTCGTATCCTGTCGATCAGAGAATTTTCTGTTCTGATTCAGGTAAAAAGAAAGGATGTTTCATAGATCTCGAAAGCATCTCATCTCGTCAATGGATCAGAGAAACTCGGACCAAAAGCTCGGATAATTGACGAAATAGGAAAGTAGTGGTAAACCTGACTAAGCCGGTAATCGTAGTAGATCCTGCTCTAAGGTTTACCTGACGGCACTGACTTTAAAATGCTAACCTTTTTTTATCTTACGTCAACCTCAAAATCAAAAGGATCTGTTGGGGAATTGAATGCCCTTGTATTTCAGCTCGGACTGCGCCTATGTCCGCTCAAAACCCCAAGTTTTAGAAGCTAACGCGCCTCGATCTGCAAAAGGACCAAATGAACCCATCGACCCACCTCCCCTTCCACCCGTCCATTAGTGGGAAAAGGAAGCGATTGTGGACATCAAATCGTCCAATTGTGGCCATGTCAGCTACAGCTAAGCGAGATTGGTTGCGCAAGTCTCCGTGTCCACGACACCGGCAAAGACCAAAGTAATTTTTGGGTTCAACATGACAGCTCGGAATTAATCTATTACTATTGCTTAATTGCTTCATGACTTATACTGCAGAGCATGACTTTGCCATGTGCTTCAAACTTGGACCATTCGTTCCCCCCCAGCCCCCCCAGTGGACCATTTGTATCCATCAACGATGCTGGCTTTCCCGCCATATCATTGCCCTCTTTAGGCCCAGCGTATCCGTACCCGTACGGAGTACACGGATTTCAATCGATCCCCGTTGATCCCGTAGAGATCTGCGCTCATGATTTCAACCCACGAATCACGAGCGTTCCAACCCGACTGAATCGTGAAAAGCGGAGACGCGGGCCGGACATAAGGCATTTGTGCGAGGTCAAGACGCAATGAGTCTCCCGCGGACAGTGGAGTAAGCCCCCTCCCTCTAACCATGCATCGTTTCGAGCCAACGCTAACTAGTAAAATTAGTTTCACTTGACCACGTAACTGCCCGTGTGCTCAAGACCCTCATTCCCCGGATCCATTGCATATTAATAACGAACACATGGTTGCTTACCGAACAGAAATACTCCATGGAGTAGGAATCCCTGAAACGCCTCCAAGGATCATCTAGCAAATTTGCTTACAGTGGAGCTACATTTCTTCCCGTTGACAGGACCTTTCCCGAGGGCCCACAGTACCGCCGATCTTGGTCACACTTGGTGACATCTGCTCCACCATGCCCCTTTTCAAAGAGTGGCCGATTCCGACTAATGGGGAGTTCTAGACTACGTGTCTTACTCTAAGCCAGAACGTAACCAGTTTTATGCCTTTGAGAGCCTCCAAAATGACGTCCCCACAGGTTCAAATGCGATAGCGCATGAACTAGAAGAAAAAGGCGCAGTAGACGAGCAGTCGATCCCGGAAACCGTTAGATAAGACCCAGTTAAGCCCAGTGTCTAAACAAATAGAAGCAAGCAATGCAGGTGGATATGCATGATCAACTAGCCAATAATTTTTAACTTCTTACTACACAAAGATAGCTTTCAGGTATTTTGGAAGCCACCGTCCCACAAGACGTCTCTCCAAATGGCATTTGTTTTCTAACCATGGGTCTCGCAAATGTGGTGTCACTGTTGACGGTGACAAATATCTCATTGGCTCTTATTACGTACATTGTGCTCAAGTTTGTCTACCAAATCGTCTATTATCGCTTTTTCCATCCTCTTTCTGCCTTTCCCGGTCCCTTCTGGGCGTCTGTGACCCGACTATGGATCGCGAAACAGAACTTGCAAGAGACGGAGTACTTGACTTGCTATGAGCTGTCAAAGAAATATGGTAAGCTGTAATGCATACCATTTTCGTAGATGTATTCTAACTTGCATAGGACCCGTTGTTCGAATTACCCCTACTTTGCTGCTGGTCAGCGACCACTCTAAACTTCCGGAGGTCTATCACCGCAATGCCGACAAGACCGGTCACTACATTACTGGTAGCTTTGGAGAAACTGAAAGTCTGTTCAATATGAGATCACACAAGACTCATGCCGTGTTCAGGAAACACATTGCCGGACCCGTAAGCTACACAAGCAAGTATAAAGAACTGTATACTAACGACATACAGTACAGCTTCACCAGCATCAAGCGCATGGAACCATTAATCGACGCCCGCATCAAAGAATGGAGCGCCAAACTCGACGACTCCTTCGTCAAAACTGGCGAATCCTTTGACTTCGCCTGGTGGGCAGTGTAAGTCCCACCTACTAATATACTTACACCCGACTGACAAAAAAAGCTACATGGCCTACGACATCATCAGCGAAATAGGCTTCGGCGCTCCCTTCGGTTTCATCGAAAAAGGCGAAGACATCGGCGGCCTGATCCAAGGCTTCCACGACGGGCTCCCAGCATTCGGTCTCCTAGCTCGTCTCCACCCCTTCACCTCCTGGCTCAAAACAACCTTCCTGAAAAAATACCTCGTCGCGACACCAGCCGACGACTCAGGAATCGGAGTCCTCATGCGCTTCCGCGACAAACTGATCGCCCAACGTATCAAAGATAACTCCGAAAAAGAATCCCAGCATGTCGATCTCCTCCAAATGCTCCTCGACGCTCGCACAGATGACGATAAACCCCTCGACCTGGAATACATCCGCGCAGAAGTCCTCCTCGTCCTCCTCGCCGGCGCAGATACAACTGGTACCGCATTCCAGGCCATGATCCACTTCTTACTTAAGAACCAAACTGCTTATGAGCGTATGATGGAGGAGATTGACTCTGCCTCGAAAGCGGGCTTGATCTCCGAGATGCCACAGTATGATGAGGTTCTTACCCATCTCCCCTTTTACGTGGGTTGTGTCAAGGAGACCATGCGTCTCTGTCCATCTGCACCGAATATCTTCCCGCGATATGTCCCCGAGCCTGGACTCGAACTATTTGGTAAGTTCGCGCCTGCCGGAACGGAGATTTCTTGTAACCCGTACCTCGTGCATCGGGACCCGGCTCTGTACGGTGATGATGCGGAAGAATTCAAACCTGAGCGGTGGTTGGATATCGAGCGAGCGAAGTTGTATAATAAGTATAATATGGCATTCGGGTATGGGTCACGGGTTTGTTTGGGGAGGGATATTGCGATGATGGAGTTGTTTAAGGGGCCTTTGCAGGTGAGTTATGGTTTGGATGAGACTGGTCCGGAGGTTCTTGACTAACGCTCTTCTAGTTCTTCCGTTCTTATAAGCCGGAGCCTGTGAAGGGGAAGCCCGAGGCTCAGTTTGTGGTGAAGGGTGGTGTTGGGTACTGGAAGGATGTGTGGTTGGCTATCTCGAAACGTGAGTAGTTGGTGTGAATGCGAGCTTTGATCGGATCTATATGTACGGATTGTATATGTTTGGGGGCTCGTATTCCAGTCCGCACCCTGGAGATAGGTATGATTGTTGGAACCTTGGAACAATCAAGAAGCTTGAGGAAGCCTTCTGCTTGAAGCTTATATTATACCGAGATAAGTGGAAATGCAAGGTATATGTACCCCACAATGTGCATGTGTCTTAGATCTCCTTGGATCTTTCATATATACTCCTAACTGTTATCCATATATGAACTAGTTACCGTGCCTTCACCAATTCATTCCTCTTTAATCCTTCCTAATACTCACAAAGGTATGACAGCAGGAGGATGACTGAAGTGGTGGAGCTTCAAAGGTTTTTATATGCTTATGTGAGGTTTAACAAAATTGACAAGCAAAACCGAGATTACTTTCAATTCGGTCTTCTTGACTCGTTCCTAAGAAATAGCGCTGCAAACCGAGGTTTAAAGGATGCTAATATGCTATTTGATCGACTTGATGCCCATGACCGCATTCCAGAAGAAATAATCACTCCATACAACTCAAGGGAATTTGGGAATTTTTTTCCTCTGGGCGGCGTTGTATAGGGATTGATATCAGTCCAGTAATGAACTAGAAGAAAAATTAATATATGGGGAAATCTTAGGTAAAGTGTTCCAGCCCTAGACCCCTCTCGACTACCCCTGATTTGTTGTGGCCCCTGATTGACCAGTCCTTGAGTCATAAGAGTACTTTACTTCGTAACTAGAACTTGGATTGCTCTCCTGTTCTTCAAGATGATTTTGCATGAACAAGCGGTACCTCGCTTACCAGGATGATCCGTGCACTCCTGAAATTAGCATGGCGTTTTTATGAGGCTCTGAGCGCTAGATTCGGCCCCTGACGAGCCCACAAGGATGACCCTTGCGTTTTGCTGCATATAATAAGGTTTTCGTTAGTGTTCACTAGTATAGGGGTAAGTTCGAAAGTTATATTAGGAACCTCTTCCCGCGTATGAAATATGAGCGAACATCATATTTTAATAGAACCCGATTGCAATGGAGAACAGCAAAGAATGGTCTAGTTCTTTTTGGGATTGCTTTTCCCCCGCAAAAACATGTGAGTTTGTACTTCTTATCCCATAGTCCGTCCTAGAGGACTAACGAACCCTCTAGGCCTACTGGCATCGTTTTGCTCGTGTTGCCTCCTAGGGAAATCTGCCTCTCGTCTCAAATCCCCGGCACTTAAGGAATATAGCTATGTCAACGGCGAAGTACGTACTGAATTTTATCCACAAATCATCTCTGACCCTCGAACTAACAAAAGACTTATAGTGCTGTATCTATGCTGCGTCCCATTACTGCTATCTGTGCTGGATTCCTTTGATGATGAAGCGACGCCAGATCCGTGAACGCTTTGGCATTAAGGGGTCCAGCTGTAATGACTGCATGGTGGCCTGCTTTTGTCCGTGTTGTTTGCTTGTACAGCAGGAGAAGGAGTTGGAGGCTCAATGTCTACTTCTAGAATCGGGGTATCAGGCTCCGAAAGGGATGGAATATGCTGAATTGAGCTCTGCAGCTCCGAAAGGGATGGGAACTGCTGAATTGAGCTCTACATGACCTATCTTTGTTTGTCTCGAGAGACTTCATTACTTCATGCTCAGAGCCTTCTCCTGTCAAGAAACTCTATCTCTAATTTGGAACCCTCGGCTTAAGCTGTCCTTCTAAACTTCCTATTGAGTGACCGATTATTTGGAAGGCAGAAAGCTCACCAAAATTTCTGAGACCCTTTTTCGTATTCGTCAGCGCTAAAACACATTGAGGCTAAGCGTGGCGGGAAAAAGGCTTTGACTCCGACGAAAAAGCTTGATTGAGCAATATGTGGGCCTGGGGATATCGCTTACTGGGATAGTATCAGGCTGGAAGTTAAATTGACCCTAAAAATAGTTGAAAATGGGACTGATTGTCACAAGACACTTGAATATACCAGAAACAATCAATACTAGGACTATAGACCCTAATTTCTTACTCACTTCTTCTCTCTCTTTCTCTATATGAAATTTAGATTAGATTCAAATTTTAATTACCAGGCAGATTTCTGATCATATCGATGTAATATTCATTTTTCAAGATTTCTCGGGGTTTCGAATTGCACCTTTGAGTTCACTATAAAGAGTACAGTGTAGATAAGATTGTTAGATTCCAAGGATGAAGAAACTTGGGGCTACGGATGAAGACATCTTGCGCACGCCGAACCACAAGATAAGCCATAGGGGGCTCGCATTGTACCGTAAAGGAAGATGAACGACATGGTATAGTCAAAAAAATCTTACGTATTCTTTATCTACTGATATTCCATCAAGTAACAAGAAAAGCTGAGACAACTTTTAGTTCCGTCTTTTTTGACTTGTCCCTAAAGAACAGCGCTGTAAACCGAAATTGAATGGATACTAGTATGCTATTCGACCGACTTAATGCCCATGACCGCATCCTAGAACATGTTAGTCATTCCATACAACTCAAGGGGTTTTGGGTACTTGGCTTACTCTGGCGACGTTGTGCAGGGGCTTGATACCAGTCCAGTAGGCGAACTAGAATAATAATCAGCCTTGTCATGGGAATCAGGAAGGTAGAATATTAACATACCTGGTGCACGCCTTGACCAACAAGGACCTCCAGTCCGGGAATGGTCTTCCAGCCCGCATCGGCAGCCAGCTGCATCAGCGCTGTCACGGCAGGCTTGTAGGCCATCTCGAGGAGCACACGAGGGGACTTGTCATTGGTAGATTCGGTCTTGGCACGTTCGAACAGGTGAGTGAGGGTTTCGTGCATAGAGGGGTCGATGGGACGATCAGCGGGAATAGTGCCGACAGCGACCCGGGGAATGGTGTCCAGCTGTGCGTGGTTGTCCACGACGCGAATGTTGTAGCTGGTCGGGAAAGTCGAAACCATACCCTCGAGCTTGCTGGCCGTGCGACCGACCACGTAGATCGGGGAGTAGCCCATGTGGTGAAGGGCGAAGATGGCAGCGCGGGCAGTACCACCACCGCCAACGACCACGGCACTCTCGGTGCCTGATGATCCGTAGACACCCTCGTTGCGGAGGGACTGGATCATACCCTGCCAGTCGGTGTTGTAGCCGACGAGCTTGCGCTTACCGGCGATATCCACGGGAACGACGGTGTTGACGGCACCGATGATCTCGGCCTCCTGGGCGATTTCATCGAGGAGAGGCATGATGTCGAGCTTAAGGGGGATGGTCACGGAGGCACCGCCAAAGTCGGAAGCGTGGATGAATTCCTTGACATCTTCCACGTTGGTGGTCTCAATACGACCATAGGTGTGAGGGAGTCCAACCTCGGAGAACAGAGTGTTGTGGAGAGCGGGCGAGCGCGATTGGGCGACGGGGGAGCCACAGACAGCGTACTTCTGCGCCTTGATCTCACCCATCAACGCGAGACCCCTTCGAATCTCAGTTGCGGACAGTTGACCGGGCGCCGCCTTGAAGGGCAGGCTCGGGTGAGAGACAGGGGTCATGAAGGCATTCAGAATGCGGCTAAGCTGACCGTTGTCACCCATGTTGATGGCAATCAACGGGGTGTTGTGTGCCTGAGCCGCCCAGTTCTTGAACTTGCGCAGAGCAGTGTTATCATCGAGGCTGTTGGCAACACCCACAAGCTTGATCACATCACCGTACTCCAGAGCGCGGTTGTAAGATGGGATCCAAGACATGTTGCCCCATGACAGCTTTCCTAGCGGGTCATGGTGGGATGCGATGATCTTGGAGTGGCCCTTTATCTCGGTGACAGCACGGAGCATCTCATCAGGGAAGGCAATCTCAAGATCCACAAACTCAGCTCCGGAGCGGAATGCCAGCCGGTACAGTTGCATGGCAGCGTCATGAGCATCATCGGGGAAGCGACCACCTTGGCTCTTAGTGCGGATGGTGAAAATGAGGGGCAGAGAAACACGCTTACGGAGGAAGGACATTTGCTCATTGACATAGTCAACGGACGGAATGTCACCATCCGCCTTGGGGTCCTTAAGCAAATCAACCCGCAGCTCGACAGCATCGGAACCAATGCAAGCCTCAGTCAGAATCTCACTGCATTGAGTCAGATCGGGCAGTGTCAAGGAGACGAAGAAACTGTGCTCCTTCTTCTTAATGGAATCAAGTTGATTCACTTGACCGGTGATGACCTTCATGAAGCGGTCAAAGTCTTCCGATGCCAAAGCAAGTTCCGATTGGTTTGAATGCTGGCTGTAGTACTGGATGTTGCTGCATTGCTGGAACCAAGGCTTGCGACGCAGCCAAACGCCCATCATGTCCTCCACGTAGGCGGGGCGGGTCTTATCAATATTCAAGAAGTCCATGACGAGCTGGATATCGCGCATGACCAGAAGAACGTTGCCCTTGCTCTCGTGCCATTCAGTCAAAAGCTTTCGTGCCTCGGGCATCTCTACCACACCACCACCGCAAGCGAACACATAACCATTTGGTCGGTCTTGCATGCAACGCTTGAGTGTAGCGAGCTCTGCATCACGGAATCCTTGCCAACCACGCTGTGTGATCATCTCAGGAATAGTCATTCCCTCTGTCGCCTCAAGCTCGTTGTCAAGGTCAATAAATGGTCGATCCAAGGCCTTGCCAACCCAGCTGCCGGTGGTAGTCTTACCAGCACCACGCATTCCGATGATGAAGATGGATGCACTGGCCTTTTCTTCTTGGGTCGAAGTAGCCAGTTCCTCCTCGGTCAGCTCCTTTCCATCAAGGTTCACACCCCAGATCTGCTTCAGAGCGTCCCACCATGCAGGCCAAGTCTTACCAACACATTCCTTCTCGAGGATGAGAGTGGAATGAGGAGCAACAAGGGACAGAACACTGAAACTGAAAGCGACACGGTGGTCATCGTAGCAGTAGACACCACCGGAGGGCAAACGAAGAGTGGAGCGCTCAATGCCGTCGATTTCGAGACCGTCGTCGTGTTCACGGCAGACCACACCGAACTTGGCCAATTCATCCTTCATGGCCTTGATACGGTTGCATTCCTTCACACGCTGGTTTGCGATTCCGTAGATACGAGTGGTGTGATTTGAGCCCTCGCCCCGAGCGACAGCAGCAAGAACAGAGGCAGTAAGGAAAGCATCCGTCATGGGTTCCATATCCACGTTGGGCAGGGGACGGAGAATGCCACTGCTGGGTCCAGTGACGGTAGTAGAGTTGTCGCTTTGCTCAACCACGCAACCCATGGGCCGGAGCACCTCAACTGCGAAGCGAGCATCACCCTGGAGCGACTTGGAGCCAATGTTGGGAACAGTGCACTTGGTGCCTGTGATGGCTGCAATTGCTAGCGGGTAGGTGGCGGAGCTAGCATCGCTCTCAACAACGTACTCAGCAGGGTTCACGTAGTGACCCTGGGGAATGTGATAAGTGTGCTCCTCAGTGGTGGACTTCTTCACATCGATACCGAAAGATCGCATCATGGCGGTGGTCATGTCGATGTAGGGCTGGGAGATGGGCTTGCCTCCAACCAGCCTCAAGGTCACAGGCTCCTTGGCGTAGGGGGCACACATGAGCAGTGAAGAGACATACTGAGAAGAAACCTTGGCGGCCAGGTTAATGTTGCCGCCAGCAAAGCCACCAGAAGCGGCAATCTTGAGGGGCAAGCTACCCTTGCGCTCCATGTACTCCACACCGGCTCCGTTGACGGTCAAAGCATCGACAAGATCGCCAATGGGTCTTTGCTTCATTCGGTTGTTACCGGTCAAGATGCTCGCGTCGACAGTGCTGGGCGTAGCAAGAGTAGCAACAGTGGTCAGGAATCTGGAAGCAGTTCCAGCGTTACCCAGGTACAGGGCCGATGGACTGGCGACAATGTTTCCGCCCTTGCCGTTCACAACAAGGACCTCACCCTCCTCCTCCCAGGAGAAGGTTGCAGCTCCTAGGCGCTCTAGGGCATTCAACATGACCTCAGTGTCGTCGGAGTGCAGAAGGTTCTTGACACGGCAAGTGCCCGAACCGAGTGCGGCAAGCACCAATGCGCGATTTGAGATGGACTTGGATCCGGGAGGTGTGCAAGTCACGTTAAGGGTCTTGGGCACACCAGGGTGAACTTCAACGCTGGGAGCCAAGACAATGCGGATGTCTTGATTTGAGACGACACTAGCCCTAGGCTCATGAGTGCGTCCAATTGCAGACAGCAGAACAACCTTCTTCTTGGGACCGTCGTTCTTCTTGTCAAGTGCCATATTGAACACCAATTGGTCAACAGAGCAGTGTTTACCCGCAGTCAGTTTGCGCACACGAGAATCCTTCATTGAAGTGGGCAGACCGTAGGCTGAAATACACTTAACGATACGAGCGACCGCAACGCCCTTCAGAATTCCCAAGTGTCGGGCCAGTTCAGCCTCCTTAACCATACCAATGGCAACACATTCTCCGTGGAGGATCTGGGGAGTCAGGATGGCCTCAATGGCGTGGCCAATGGAGTGACCCCAGTTCAGCAGGTTTCGGAGACCACCCTCACGCTCATCCGCGGACACAACGAAGGCCTTGTGACGAGCAGAAGCCAAGATTCTAGCCTTCAAGATATCCCGGATACCGTCGAAACGGCCCTGGCCAGGCTTAGACTCGCTCTTGACAGCATTCAGAATGATATCCGCATTGTCCTCCAGCGCAGTGAATTCCTCTTCGCTCGAGATCGCGGCAGTCTTAATAACCTCTGCCATGCCGTTAATAAACTCCCGAGCAGGGAGGGTTTCCAAGAATTCAAGATCAATGTAGATTCTTGATGGCTGCCAAATGGCACCGATCAAATTCTTTCCAAGAGGGGTATCAATCGCAGTCTTGCCTCCAATGGAGGAGTCCACCATGGCAAGCAGTGTAGTGGGGACCTGGACAAAGCGAACACCGCGCATGTAGGTTGCGGCGATGAAGCCAGTCAGGTCACCAATGACACCACCACCAAGCGCAATGATAACAGCATCACGACCACATGGAGGGCTCTGGCTCAGCATCCAATCTTCAATGTCGGCCTTGGTCTGGCGGGACTTTGAACTTTCACCGGGAGCGGCATTGTAGACTAGAAGGCGGGGAGCGGGGGAGACGGAGGCGGCGGCGGCTTCGAAGGCTTTTTGGAAACTAGGAGTATAGATGGAATCGAGGTTGGTATCGGTGATGAGAACGTAGGTGGTCGAGGGCAAGCCGGTGATCAGGTCTGCTGCGACGTAGTTGCGCCACAGACCAAAATCAGCGACAATGCTCTCCTGACCCAAGATGCTGATCTTGGTAGGATCTGTCATTGTAAAGGGCACAGGTGGCGTCGTGATGATGTCTGGAGGAATAAATTCGACTCTCAATTCATTCTATAATTGTGTTAGTATAAACCCTCTTCTCGGTGACTGAATTGGCGGGATTTCCCCCACCGAACGGAGCTAGCGACGCAAGGTACGCACAATTCCGGGGAAAATAAGAGGCCAACGCTGATGGGAGAAAAGCAAGAGAACAATTGCTTACCTGGAGTGCTGTACAGAGTGTCAGCTTAGTTTTTCTTCCAAGAAATGTGACCAGGATGACAGAAGTATGCGTTGACTCAATTCTTGTTCCCTCCGATTTCGCGGCAGTTCGGCCCTTTACCGCCCGATGACTCAGTCCCACTGTAACTAGTACTAAGTCGATTATTCACTCCATAGATTCATGATCGTCCATGTGATTGATCATTCTGAAGGTAATAATTGGTTCACCCCCTCGCATCTAGAATCCTTCATTAGTAGACTATCTGTAATGGTGTTGTTGGCCGACGAAGCCCTGACTAATGACTCAATGGTTGTACAATGCCCTCATTTCACTACATCAAGCAGATCTTCTCCACATCTAGATCAATTGGTGACACATGAAGTCCCAAAAAATCAAATAAAAATCAAATCATGAAAATATCATTTGTTTGTACATTTTTTGAAAGTAACACCGAACGCCAATTTTCTATCGTAAGCCCTGGTTCAATTCCCAATGCTCTTTGGAAGTGGAGAGTCCAACTCTCCACTAATAACGTCCATAGCCTCCACCGCCTCCACCTCCACGATTTCCGGAATAGCCTGAGTTTTGGCCTCGTCCTCTACCTCGGTAGCCACCTCTGCCCCGGTTGTCTTGAGACCCATAGTTCTGGTGTCCACCATACTGGCCTTGTTGATTGTACTGACTCTGCTGATTGTACTGGCCCTGTTGGTTGTATTGGCCCTGTTGATGGTAGTCTCTAGGGGGGTACTGATAACCACCACGTGGGGGTGGGGGTGGACCACGGGAGTAATCACCACCACCTTGTTGAGGGGGCACCCACCCAGGGGCCATACCTTGTTGACCACCATGCGGGCCACCTGGACCACCTTGGCCACCCTGTGGCATGTTCATGAAACGAGGGTCAAGATGCGCCGCGAATGGGTTAGGGCGGCCTCCTCCTCCTCCTCCGTAATCCATACGGCCACCTCGCCCTCGCCCGTTCAATGGAGCACCTCCGAATTGGCGGCCGGAATGCTGAGCGCGGCCCTTGACTGCGCGAACATCGGCTGAGTTCAGCATGGGTGTTGCGAACTTCACGCCTCGAAGCAGCATAGACTTGTGCAGGTGATTGGACTTGGGGATAGTATAATTAACCCTGGGAGTTAAAGTCAGTGTTTGTACAATATAGATAAGCCGTGGAAAACTTACGTTAGGCTGCGGTCATCATCAAGGCCGGGCATGCCATAGTCTTCCAAATTGGAGATCAGGGATCCATGGGGAATATATGTGTCGCTACGTTCAACGATACCAGCCAAACCATCGCTCACGCGCATGTTCAATGTGTGTTGGGGTGGGCCAGGCTTCTTCGAGTAGAAGGTGGCGGCAAGTTCCTGGTAAAGGGGGTGTTGATCCGATACCAATAGTACCTCGCGGCCGTGGGTATTGCGATTACGTTCATCTTCAGTGAGAAGAGGATATTTCTTTTCCATAGCCTTCAAGAGACGCTTCTCGTCAATGAAAGGAAGTAAGACCACACCTTGCCAGGCGAATTTCTTGCCGTTGAGATCCACAGGGAAATCCTCGGGGTAGAAATCGATGATTTCACTCTCCGGGTTGCTCATGAGGTCGTGGAACACTTCGGGCAGTGCATGGTTAGAGGATGCCGGCAGGACTCCCATCAGCTGCTCAAATGGCTTGAATGCCTGGCCCTTCTTGAAATCGAGGACCATATCCGCGATATCCACAAAGTCCGCAGCAAAGGGAGCATAGTGGTAGGGGTAATACCAAGTCCAAGAAGGACAACCCTGGAAATAGTAGAGAAGTACCCAGGCGAGACCCTCAGCGTAAGCACGGGCGACCTTGTGGCGGAATTCATGATCCTCAGGATCAACGCCAAATTTCTGCTCGTAGTAACGATCAGCATAGCCAGGCTCCCAGAGTCGAACGGTATCCTGGGGTTCCTCGTTCTCCTTGGGTTTGACAGGTGGGGGAGGAGGTGAGTCTCTTCCAGGAGTTCCGGACTCAGCCTCCTGCTTCTCGGCTTCACTGGCTTCGTCGGCTTCATCGGCCTTCCTCTTTCCAAGAACAGCAGGCGTGTCAGCATCGCCCTCTGCTGCTTTCTCAGCGGCAGGTTCAGCAGAGCCCTTCATGAGTTTGCTTTTCAGCACAGCGGCGGCACTCTTGTTCTCCATGTTGGCACGATACACGGCGCCCCGGTTCACAACCATACTGTGAGTCAACTCTCTGGTCTCCTTGTCCAAGTGGCCACGACCTGGGGTGATTAGTTCCACTCCAGGAGGGGGAGCATTGTCATCGCCGCCTTGGGATTGGTTGTTGTTGTATTGCGGCGAACTGCGTCTCCGTTTGCTGGCATGTTCATTGTTTCGAGCTCTCTCCTGTTCCTCACGTCTCTTTTGGTTCGCGGCCTTTCTCTCATCGGCCTGTCTACGGCGTCGGAAGATGGCATCTTCCTGTTTGGCGACGCCTTGCAAGATGAGCTGAGCTCTGGCGAGATTGACTTGTCCATCCTCTGTCAAATAACCTCCCATAGCCGGAATGTTGTCACGCCAGATGGCGATAAGGGTGTCAATACCGTTTTCACGGACATCTAACGCGGGAAGATGGGGCAAGAAGTCGTTTCCGACGAAGAAACACATGAAGACCCAGTCATCCAGAGCTCGTTCGAGATCGAAGGGGAATGGTTGTTGAGGGACCTGCAGTTCAGCAGCCAGATACTCTCTCAGAACAGAGACGTGCAGCCAGATGAATGGTTTGAGCGGAACTGCGTTTTGCTTCTCATCAAATTCTCCGCTCTTCTCCTTCGCACGGCCAGTGCACTCTTCAGCTTTGTGGCCAGGCTGACCGCACAATCGACATCCCCGAGGCTTCGACTCTTGGAAGAAAACATCCTCACGTAGAACTCGGAAATGGGGCTCGTGAGTGCCAAGTCCAAGCATGATAAGATCGGCATCCTAAAATGTGACGTTAGCTCTCTGAACCTGCAAATAATGGAGATCAGACCTACAAGACCATAAATAACGTGACGGGTGTTGGGGTCGTGCTCTGGCGATGCTCTTTGTGATCGTATGAATTCCATAATCTTGTGCTCACCTTCTCCGGGTACCGTGGCATCCGAGATGATGATTTTCATCTGAAAAAAGTTAGTCAAAGCCTTAATAGGAACAAACAATGTTCTTCATACCTTTTCCCAAGCAGGATCAGTGTTGAGCTTGTAGGCAATCCAATACCGCAAAGAGGCAGCAAGGATATCCATGAAGGGAGTACCGGGAGTGATGACGTTGCTATCCCAGGTCTTGTGGACAACTTCTTCCTCCATGACAGCATCCTCACCTCTTGCGGCTCGCTGTTTGGCAAGCAGCTTTTGGAGCTCCGCCTTCTTCTCATCGTTCTCAGCGGCCTCTTGCGCGGATCGGAATCGACGGGAACGCTGCTGGTTCATCTTCGCTCTCGGTGCAACACCATCTGTAAAGCCCCATGTTAGTCATCTTGGCCCCAAGAAATTCTCAGGATCAAAACTGTAGGGTAGTATATAAATATATCCACGTACCAATAGCAATCATGAGGAGCTTTCGGGGGCGAACCATGTTGACAACTCGATCGGTATACTTGAAGATCTCCAACATCATCTCCTGCTCGTTCGTTGGCGGCGGGCGGCCTTCGGGATGAGTACATGGATGAACGATACCGTTCATGTCCAGGTACAGGTTGTCCATCTCTTCTCCATTGGGGTTCGGGCGCGTAGTGTCGACTGGAATCTCTTCACCATTCACCTCCTGCGGCAACTCCTCGATCACCGGGGAGATGATCTTTGGGTACTTGTTGGACAGCCATCGGAACAGCGCGGGGACACCCATCGTGGTGATGCGACGACTGCTTTACCTGAGATGTTTCGTGAATTCAGCGCGGCGCGGGAATGCGACTGCCGCTAGGGTTGGCGATCGCGGTACTCGAAGCTGCACGAAACCCGATATTCGACCTTCGAATTGTCGTCGCTTGGAACACCAAGATATGATGAATGCGAAATAGATGCAACCGCGTCAAAGATCACGGTGCAGATTATGGTGTTGAGGGGAATTGGAAGTCTCTGCGGCGAGTTTATTTCCGGCGCTGACCTTAGTCATGCAATAACCGTAAGGATTAGCTGCAGTAGGTACTACGTACATGCAGCCATTGTTAGCTGCAATATGATGATTATTATATTTCAATGCTGAAGTGAAATATATTCATCTTCAAACACTAAAGTCTTTTCTGTCCACTTATTTACTAATTGAACCTTTTGTCTAATTGTACAAATGACTTTTGTATTGCGTAGAAAGCTACTGAATGCAGAAGGCGGTATGAGCTTAAAGCTGGGCGGTCGGCGAGGCCAGCTTTACTGCAATCGGCGTCGTTCACGAATCCCCCGAACTCCGTTTGTTGACCTTGCTCTCCCTTCGATGCCTGCCTATTCTTGCGCCTATGGTCGGCGGTGACCATGATATTGAATTGCATATACGATGTTCCGAATCCTTGAGTCGCAAGCTCCGGCCAAACAAACGGCAACGGACACAATCGACGTTTTGAGCAATAGGCTACAGAGTGCAACTTTACTGGAAGATCGACGGGCTGCGATACAAGGCCTACGAAGCTTCGCAAAATTATATCCTGCATCTGTTGCTTCAGGGGGTCTGCGACCTTTGATAAGCAGCTTGCACAATGACAGCGAGGATCCAGACACCATCAAGGTGGTCCTAGAGACCCTGTTGATGTTATTTACCCCAGACGAGAACAGCGTCAGTACTATGATAATCATTGGCAGCTAGGGCTTACCTGCTGACTTTTACCACAGCCTGAAGCGTCGGATGAAATAGCTCTATGGCTGGCCGACGAATTTACTCAGGTGCGACAATCTGACCATGGTATGAAAGGCTGATCTAACTTTGAACCAGCGGCAAGACAATATCACAACATTGCTAGATCTTCTCGAAAGCAAGGACTTCTATTCACGCCTATACTCGCTTCAATTGATGTCCCACATCTCTGGCGCGAGACCTGAACGAACACAAGAATGCATCTTCACCGCACCATTGGGTATTTCCCGCCTGGTAGGTGTGCTGACAGATGGTAGAGAGCCTGTTCGAAACGGTATGGTTGCAATTTCATCTTTCTCTTTTTTGAGATGATTGGGAGACGGAAACTAAAGAAAATCATTTCCTATAGAGGCTCTCCTCCTCCTCATTGCTTTGACCCCCGCTTCCGAAGAGCTGCAGAAGCTTGTTGCATTCGAAAATACATTCGAGATTCTGTTCTCTTTAATCGAATCGGAAGGTTATCTCACCAATGGCACCGAGGTGGTGGAGGACTGTTTGTCCTTACTCGCCCAATTACTTAGGTATAACATATCCAACCAATCATACTTCCGGGAGACTGGCTGCATACAGAAGGTGACGAAGCTTCTCATTGAGTGCCAGCAATACCAAGAAAATGATGAGGCTCCTCCTCAATGGGCTCTGGTGCAGCGCGACAAAAATGTCTGGGGTCTCTTGGCCATCGTTCAACTATTCTTGATTCGTGGAGGCAAGGGCACTCCAAGCAACCAGACAGCATTTTGGCAACATGGTGTGACGGAGCAGGTACTCAGTATAGCCTTTGGACAGAAGTTCAATGTGAATGTCACGTCCAAAGCTCTCGCGGCGTGTGCTGACCTAATCCGTGGGAATCCGCCTTTACAAGAGCGCTTTGGAGATATTGAAGTCTCCTGGGGCTCACAAGCCAAGAGTATCAATGGCGGTGCGAAGCCAGAGCGAATTAATGTTATCGAGGCATTCTTGAAACTGAGCCTTGAGCCCGCTCCCAACAATATGTTGGATGCGCGTCTCGCAGCCTGCGAGTGCATGCAAGCCTTTTTTGCCCATCATCCTGGAATTCGTATGCATGTTCTTCGGCGTGCAATTGAAGGGCATACTAGTGGGCAGGACCGGATCCCCAATATTTTATCCGTATTGCTGACAGCACCTGAATCCCGAGGCAATGCTGATCCATATCAAGTCTGGATGGCAAGTGTTCTTATGTTTCATCTGATTTTGGATGACCCCGACGCAAAAGCGACAGCGATGCAAGTCACCGAAGGTGATGCGGAAAGTGGCGAAGAAGTCGTCACTAGCGTTCAGTCGGTAGTTGGTAACTTGATAACTGGGTTACATCGTGGTGACGATGAAAGAATCACGGTCGGCTATCTCATGCTGCTTTGTGGTTGGCTCTACGAGGACCTTGATGTTGTGAACGATCTCCTTGGAGAAGGTAGCAGCATTCAAACACTGCTGCAGGAAATCAAGCATCCGAGAACGCCTAGCAAGTTAATTCCCGGTCTTTGTACAGCTCTGTTGGGTATTATTTACGAGTTCTCTACCAAGGATTCGCCCATCCCCCGAGTCACTTTGCACAAGCTACTTATTGAGCAACTTGGTCGAGAGCAGTATATTGACAAGATTACTAAGCTAAGGGAATGCCCACTGGTTCGCGACTTTGAGGTTCTTCCCCAAACAGCTGCTGGCCAACTTGAAGGTGGACTACCTGAGGTTTTCTTTGATCGGTCTTTTGTTGAATTTCTCAAGGATAACTTCAGTCGGCTCATCCGGTCCATTGATCGTGAGCCGGGCTTTGAGATATCAATTGTTGCTAATGGTGTTGAAAAAGGTGTCTCGCGGGAGCTCGTGGACTCTCTTCGCGCGGAACTGGAGGATCGGAGTCAATCAATCCAAAAATTGGAAACGGATCTTGTCGATATTCAACGCAAGCTTGACCAGGAGTTGTCTGACCACCGGAAGACGAAGGAATCAACCTCTTGGGAGATTTCCAAAGCTCAGCAGAACCAGCAGCATCTTCAATACAGCCGTGACCAGGATCTGGCAAAGCTGGAAGAGCAGCATAAGCAGGCAAAGAATGCCTTACTGAAACAACATGGGGAGCAACTTCATGCTATTGACAATCAATTGAAGCAGGCCTCGGCTGAGTATGAAAGGAAAAGTGCCAAGGTACGAGAGCACCACGAACAGGAGACTGCAAGATTTCAAAAGACCATTCGTGGATTGGAGTCCGAGCTTTCTAAGGCTCGGGAACAGCACACTGCCGAGGTTACTAGCTTGAAAAAGACTATCCAGGATCTACAGCAGTCCATCAGTCAGTCCACAGAAGGTCATGCTGGCGAGATTGCTCGCTTGCAAAAGACAATCCAGGAACTAAACTCAACTCTTGGGCAATCTAACGAGGTCCATGCCAAAGAGCTTGCTAGTCTTCAGAAGACAATCCAGGACTCGGAGACTAGTGTTGGCCAGTCCAAGGAGCAGCATGCCGAGGAAATTGCTGGGCTGCAGAAGACCATCCAGGAGTTGGAGTCGACTCTCAGTCAGTCCAAAGAAGGCCATGTCAGCCAGGTCGCAGATCTACAAAAGAAGCTGGAAAGTCTGGAATCTCTTCTCTCTTCCAACAATAGCCAACATGAGACAGAAGTCTCAGCCTTCAAAGACCAGATTGGAACTCTGGAGTCGAACTTGGCCTCTGCCCAAGTCCAGTATGAGAGTGAGAGTGCCGATCTCAAGAATACCATCGAGACCCTCCGGTCGGATCTTGAAAAAGCCCAAGAGAAGTTCACTAAGGATGCCGAATCAGCCAACGAAGCTGTATCATCCCGACTCTCTGCGCTAGAGAAACGAGCCAATGAAGCCGAAAAAATGGCTAAGGAGGCTGAATCACAAGCTCAAAGTGTCGCCCAGGCACTGAAAGAGGCCCAGGCTCAGCTTGAAAAAGCCCAGTCAGAGGTCAAAGAGAAAGAGGAGGCTTGCCAGGCCACTCAGTCGGAATTGGATGACTTACTTATCGTCTTTGGGGACTTGGAGGCCAAGAGAAATGAGGACAAGGTATGTGGGATTTCTCAATATCATCGCATTCTGCTTCCTTACTAATATTCGATTTCAGCAACGACTCAAAGACCTTGGCCAGGAAATCTCAGAGGATGAAGAAGATGATGATGAAGAGGAGTAAGGAGTTTATAATCCTGCCTGTAAATACTGCAGCTCTCGTGATACACTTTTGTTATATCTCAGTGTACCAATCAAAGATTTATGATTGTTACAATGCGTCAAATTCTTTACGTTTCTTATCCAAGTGCATGCACTCTTTTGTTCTCTAGACAAATTGACGCACATAGTTCATTAAAGGCGGTGAGAGGGATTACCGGCAAAAAGTGAGCCTTTAGTGGGGTGACTCACTCTTTTCTTTATCTGCCCCTCGTCCCCAGTTGGAAATTATAATCAACCAACGCAATGTCGATCGATTTTCCCGCCGAGGAGGAGCTTGTCCTCAAGCGGTGGAGGGAGATTGATGCCTTCAACCGCCAGGTTGAGCTCTCCCGAGGCCGTGAACCTTACACTTTCTACGACGGCCCGCCATTCGCAACCGGCCTTCCGCACTATGGCCATCTGCTGGCATCCACCATCAAGGACATTATCCCCAGATACTGGTCGATGAAGGGTCACTATGTTGAGCGTCGCTTTGGTTGGGACACCCATGGTTTACCCATTGAATACGAGATCGACAAGAAACTTGGCATGTCTGGTCTTCAGGCTGTCGAGAAATTCGGCATTGAAAAATACAACGAGGAGTGCCGGGCCATTGTCATGCGATATGCTGGAGAATGGCGCCAGACTATTGAGCGTCTGGGTCGCTGGATTGACTTCGATAACGACTATAAGGTATGCTCTTGTCACGACCCGAACATGTATTGGCGCATCAAATGTTTTTGTACTCTTCTGACAATAGTTTTGCCAATTAGACTATGAACACACCCTTTATGGAGTCAGTCTGGTGGGTTTTGAAGGAGCTGTTCGACAAGGGCATGGTTTATCGTGGCTACCGTGTTATGCCATACTCAACTGCTCTCAACACCCCGCTCAGCAACTTCGAGGCCCAGCAGAACTACAAGGATGTGCAAGATCCCGCAGTCGTTGTAACTTTCCCTCTCTTGGACGACCCGGAAACCTGTCTGCTGGCATGGACAACTACCCCGTGGACTCTTCCCTCCCACACTGGTCTGTGCGCCAACCCCAACTTCGAGTACGTCAAGATCTACGATGAAGCCACCAAGAAGAACTACATCCTTCTCGAGTCTTTGCTGCGCACTATCTACAAGGACCCAAAGAAGGCCAAGTTCAAGATTGTCGATCGCATCAAGGGATCCGACATGCTTGGATGGAAGTACGAGCCCCTCTTCGACTATTTCTATGATGAGTTCAAGGACCACGGTTTCCGTGTCCTGAACGACGGATATGTCACCGCCGAGGATGGTGTTGGTATTGTTCACCAAGCCCCTGCGTTCGGTGAGGACGATTACAAAGTTGCGATGGACCACGGTGTTATCGATACTACTCGTGGTCCTCCTAACCCGGTCGACCCGAACGGTTGCTTCACTGCGGAGGTCCGTGACTTCGCTGGACAGCACGTCAAGGCTGCTGATAAGGGAATTATCAAGCATCTCAAGGGAACTGGACGTATCCTTGTTGACAGCCAGATTACTCACAGTTATCCTTTCTGCTGGAGATCTGATACCCCTCTGATCTACCGTGCTGTGCCTGCTTGGTTCGTCAAGGTCACACCCATTATTCCTCAGATGCTTGCCGAGATTGAAAAGTCTCACTGGGTTCCTGCCGTTGTCAAGGAAAAGAGATTCACTAGCTGGATTCAGAATGCTCGCGACTGGAATATTTCCCGGAACCGCTTCTGGGGAACTCCTCTTCCCCTGTGGGTTAGCGATGACTACAAGGAGATTATCGCCGTGGGAAGTGTCGAGGAGCTCAAGAGACTTAGCGGCTACGAGGGTGAACTTACTGATCTCCACCGTGACAAGGTCGACCACATCACCATTCCCAGCAAACAGGGCAAGGGTGTTCTCCGTCGTGTTGAGGAGGTCTTTGACTGTTGGTTCGAGTCGGGCAGCATGCCATATGCCTCTCAACACTACCCCTTCGAGAACAAAGACCAGTTCGAGAAGAGCTTCCCTGGTGACTTCATTGCCGAGGGACTGGACCAGACTCGAGGAGTAAGCAAGCCTCCTCCTATTCCGTTATTTGTATACTGACTTGATTTTAGTGGTTCTATGTTATGTGCGTCATTGGTACACACCTGACAGGAAAGATTCCATTCAAGAACTGCGTTGTCAACGGAATTGTTCTCGCTGAAGATGGCAAAAAGATGTCAAAGAGACTGAAGAACTACCCCGACCCCACTTTGGTCATTGACCGTTATGGATCGGATGCCCTGCGTCTTTACCTCATCAACTCGCCTGTGGTTCGTGCTGAGCCACTTCGGTTCAAGGAATCGGGCGTTAAGGAGATTGTTGGCAAGGTTCTTCTTCCTCTGTGGAACAGCTATAAGTTCTTCGAGGGCCAGGTGGCTCTTTTGAAGAAGGCCTCCGATATTGAATACGTCTTCGACCCTAAGGCAGAGTCCACAAACACTAACGTCATGGACCGTTGGATTCTGGCAAGTTGCCAGAGTCTTCTCAAGTTCGTCAACGAGGAGATGGCCGGTTACCGTTTGTACACTGTCGTTCCTCGCTTGCTGGGACTGATCGAGAACACCACTAACTGGTACATTCGCTTCAACCGTAAGCGCTTGAAGGGTGAGAATGGAGTCGATGATACTTTGCATGCTCTGAACACTCTCTTCGAGGTTCTTTACACTCTCGTCCGAGGTCTGGCTCCCTTCACTCCCTTCATTACCGACAGCATCTACCAGCGTCTTCTTCCTCACATTCCCGAGTCTCTCCGCGCTGAAGACAGCCGCAGCGTTCACTTCCTTCCTTTCCCTGAAGTTCGCCTGGAGCTATTCGATGAGGTTGTGGAGCGCAGAGTTTCGCGAATGCAGAAGGTGATCGACCTGGGCCGTATCTCCCGTGAGCGCCGGTCCATCGGTCTGAAGACCCCACTGAAGTCGCTTGTTGTGATCCACCAGGATCAAGAGTACCTGGATGATGTGAAGTCCCTGGAGGGTTACATCCTGGAGGAGCTGAATGTTCTTGAGCTTGTTCTCTCGGCTGATGAAGACAAGTACAACGTCCAATACAGCGTCAACGCCGACTGGCCCACTCTGGGCAAGAAGCTGAAGAAGGATGTGCAGAAGGTCAAGAAGGCCCTGCCCTCGCTCTCCAGTGAGGACGTCAAGAAGTACGTCACCGAAAAGAAGATCTTGGTCGACGGTATTGAGTTGGTTGAGGGCGATCTTGTTGTCAAGCGCGGCATCAAGGAGGACTCTGGTTCATCTGGCATGGAGACCAACACCGACGCGGATGTCATGACTATCCTCGACGCAAACCTTTACCCCGAGCTTGCGCACCAGGGTATTGGTCGTGAGATCATCAACCGTCTCCAGCGTCTACGCAAAAAGGCTGGCCTTGTCCCCACTGATGATGTGAAGATGGAATACACTGTGCTCTCAGACCCGGAGAACATTGGTCTCAGCGAAGCCTTCAAGTCCCAATCGCAAGCCATTGAGAAGGCCGTTCGTCGCCCTCTGGATGAGCGTGCGCTGGTTGATGGCAAGGCGCCCGTCTCTGATGAGGAGGGAACCATTTCGCAGGAAGAGCAGGAGGTGCAAAACGCAACTTTCCTATTGCGTTTGGTCAAGCTGTAAATTTTCGCTTGAGCCCCATACTCAAAAAGTAGAAAAAGCTATAGATAGCTTACACAATTCCCACGATATGCATTCATAAATGACATACTTATTTCTCGCACGCTTCGTCCACTTTGCTGTACTCTATAGTCCATTATGTAGATTTGGATCCGAGTGACTATTGTAATATCAAGCGGTACCAGGCTCTGGAGACTGCCGATTCGGTATATTAGGGTCTAATAATGCGGGAGATGCACTCTACGATTCTTATCATATATTTCTCGTTTCCTTACCGGACAGAAAATGACCCGTAAAAGTATGGTGTTCGGTAACAGGGACTAAACCTCCCCACTACAGGACTTAAATGTTAGAAACTAGAGAAGATGCCTCAGCAGATATGCCGTACGTTATCTGAATAGGTTATAGAAACCTGACTAATTCAGGAACTTGATTCAAAGCCATAAATTTGGCAATTCCCTTCTGAAGTTATCTTCACTGGCCAGCCTTGATAACGTACCTGTGATTGGCCTGTACCCTTCAAGATCTACATGCAGTACGCGGACAGCTTTCGCACTATTCCGCTTTGGTTCCCCGACATCTGGATAAGATGCTGTCAGTGCGATAGTAGAGGAAATGAGTCAAGTGAAGTTTCCCGAAGACTACATCCTGTGGCAGTACAAGCCTCCACTAATTTGAAATATCAAACAAGCCATGAGTGATAAGTCAACCCTTCTAGAAGCCTTGAAAGCCGATCATGATGGTCAGGTTCGACTACTGCAGGCATTTGTCCAAGCTGCATCTCCCAATCCACCAGGAAATACCACAGCGGCTGCCAACGTCCTCACTCGGTATTTGTCCGATTTAGGTATCCCATATACAATCAGCGAGCCACAGCAAGGACTACCTAATGTTGTCAGCGAGTTCCAAGGTGGAAAAGGGTCGGGCCCACGCGTTGTTTTAAATGGCCATATTGATGTCTTTCCGGTGACAGCCGATGCAAGTGGCTGGAAGCGTGATCCTTGGTCTGGTGATGTTGAGGATGGTCGTATTCACGGCAGAGGAGTTGTTGATATGAAGTCTGGCACAGCCTCACTGGTGATTGCTTATGCTCATCTCTACGCTCGAAGAGAGTTTCTCCGTGGAAGTGTTGCTCTTTGTGCTGTGTCTGATGAAGAGACGGGCGGTCGCTGGGGAACAGGCTTCCTCATCAAGCAGGACCGAGAGCGATGGGGTGGAGACGTCATGCTGGGTGCAGAACCGACTGGTCAGACAATCCGGTTTTCAGAAAAGGGAACTTTGCGACTTTCTGGATCTATCGCCACTAGAGGAGCACTTGGACCATATTTGAACCTGAGGTAAGATGCTAAAAGGCATGATAAGATCAAAAAGTTAACCAACCTTATAGCAAGGGTGCCATACGAACTGCTACTGCCTTCCTCAACGATGTCGTGAACGCTGTTGAATCTATAACTCCGAACCCACCACCTGAGATTGGGAAACATCTAAAGGATCCCGATACATTGAAAGCCGTGGACAAGGCAATGGGCCCAGGTACATCTACGATTATTGCTCTACCGACTGTAAACATTGGAACCATTGCAGGCGGTGTCAAAGTCAATATGATACCTGAGAGCTGTATTTTCGAGCTGGATATTCGCTTGCCAGTTGGGCTGGTGGCGGATGAAGTGATGGGTGTGATCGAATCTATGGTGCCTCGTTATCCCGATGCTACAATAGAGTTCAGGCGACAAGAAGCTGCTAGCAACCCGAGTAGCTTCTCGCGCATTGATCACCCTATTATTAAGCATCTTCAAGAGAATGCCAATGCCGTGGGCGGATTCCATCCAAGGCTTATTCCATCTATGGGTGCTACGGATGCCAAGCATTATCGTTATGCTGGCATACCCGCTTATGTTTATGGCTGTAGTCCATACAGCAGTGAGTGAATTGTTTCCATCCCATTCCATGTGTTGATACTGATACTGCCACAGTGGCCGCGGTAAACGAATCCGCTTCAGTGGATGAGTTTCTTCACGTTACTAAGGTTCATGCTTTGGCTACATGGGATTTACTGTCTTGATATTTCGAGCAATGGCTCGGCAATAGATGCAAGGAGGATACCTTTTTGTAGTCGGAGACCAGTAATAGTCAGTATACTTAACATTGGAATATTGTTACAAATTGGCAGGTAAGCCAAGTATACAATGTACAGACACTAGTTGACCGATTGGAAAACCGGTAGATCCATCCAGCCAAAAAAAAATACCCAAAATAGTTAAACAAAGACTCGCTAAATTGCGCCAGAAATAAGCGAAACCCCATAACCTAATTGAACAGTAGGATTTCCATTTGGGTAAAACCCGAGCTTCCGCTCAACCCTTTTTCGAGGCAGCCTGTTTGAGGTTGTTAATCATGTAGAGCACTCAAGTAGACTAGTTTAATCATTCTTACGAGTACACAATCCTTCAATCTCATAAACTCCTTTGCACACATATCCTTGTGAACGGAGCTGTAGTCCGAAACCACGCATTTGCCATAAGCCGCAGCCTGGGGCAAGAATTAGCTTGGATGACATCTGAGTTTGGGCCAAAACTTACCTCTACGGAGCACTGGGCAGCAGCCTTGGCAATCTTCTCGACTGGACGAGCCTTTGCGGGCATTTTGAGGAAATGTGGATAATGCGATGAGCTGTCTGATCCGAATACAAAAAGATCTGGGAAACCTCGAAGTTGAGATTGGATGCATTCTTAGCCTGAGGCATAAATGTCTATTACGTAAACATACCTCCACGTGATGGTGGAGCTGTTTCTGTCGCGACCACCAAAACAACCCGAGCTCTAGCCCATGAAGCTGGTTTGACCTCGTCTTTTGCTGCTTTTTCTTCTGAATCGCAGTGTATCTGTGCCTGTTATTTCCGACCGGGCTTGTCCCGCTTTCGCGATGATTTATTTGGTCCGTCGGCTCTATGACCCAGATGCGACAAGCGCGCCTTAAGTCGCGAAATTTCGATGCCTCCGATATCCTCCCAGCGGCGCGCCTTCAACGAAGAGAAATCATCTCTCTCTGATGACGGTAGGATTCGACTCTCTAATATTGTGCTATAGAATCTTGGAGCTGATCTGTATTTCAACCGCTAGATGTTGGTTTCCTCTACCAAGTTGTTACTCGCGCTGAAGGGAAACCTGACGCCGAGCGACTCCCATTTCGAGCGCTTTTTATTGCTTACGACGAGGTAAAAGCTGAGCATGGCGTCGACCCTGATCCTGGCCTTGCGTGCATGCGCTTCTTATTCAGTATGGGAAGCAAGGACGTCCAAGGACCGACACTTTTCGAGAAATTCGAGAACACGCTTCAACATATGGGAATTGTAATTGAACTGGGCGATGAGGGGTCGACAGGTTTCAATGATACGGTGGATTATGGACAATACTCGGACGAGGTTTCTCGTAGCCAAATGGACCACCAACACCACCCAGTTACGAATGGAACCCCGGTCACACCGAGGAGACGTGCGTCATTCAACACCACACTTGATATTGGCGAAGATGCCACCCATAGGAGCCTTATTGAACGACCGAGCTCGCGATCTTCTATGTCACGACTACAAACTGGAAAACCCGACTTTGCGAAACATAAACTGTCACCGAAGCCAAAGCCGTCCTCCAACCGCACACCTAGATCGCCAGACCGTACACAATTGATCGCGCAATTCTTGGACGTTGGCCGCCGATTGATAAACAGATTTGACAGCGTCCAGAATAAGCAAGCGGATAAAGAGGTGACGCATGTGACGAACGGAGTGGTGGCGCGGGCAGCTGTGGACCGTGATCGTTCTCAGAGAATGGTGGCTTCTTCACAATCCAGGCATACGCCTTCTGTTATCTCTACAGATAGCCTGGATTCCCAAGAATCTCAATCCAGCGTGTCACAACCCCCAGAGCTTGAGAAAGAAGAGCCACCACTGGAAAACCATTACCGACCCCAGCTTTCAGATCTACTGCGGGATGCAACTACCTTCAATATGTATCGGCAGCGGGCAATGTGCCGCAAGATATTGACCCAGTGGTTTAAACGCGCCCTTCAAACACGACAGACTCGCGAGAAGAGGGAAGCCATAGCTGTGAATCGTGACCGGAGTACTTTACTTCGACAAGCATTCGAGCCATGGCAAGCAATCATCAAAGAAAAACGACATGCTGTTAGAACGGAGCGCTTTTTCAAACACCTAGATGAACGAGCGAACCGCGCTCGGGATCTGTATCTGATGACCAAAGCCTTTACCCATTGGGCCCAATTTACATCTGAAGAGGTTGCTCGGACATCTGCGGCCCGGCGACATGTCTTGAGTATAAAGTACTTCAATGCCTGGCGTGAGATCACTGCCGTGAACGAGTTGAAAGCCCAAAGATTTGCCTTACAGAAACCTTTCAATCAGTGGCGCAAGAAACTTGCGGCTATTAAGCAGGCGGAAGGTCGAGCAGTCACGGTTCACCAAAAAAACTTACAACATGCCTCGTATTGGCAATGGTTCTGGGGCTTTTGCGAACGTCGAGCACCTGAATGGTATGATTACCGGCTTAAGAGGCGTTCGTTACTTTATTGGTTACAGAACTTTCGCACCAATCGAGAACGTGATCACGAAATAGCCTTGCATAACAGACGATCGGCCCTGGGCTCTGCGCTTCAAGTATGGTCACAGAAGACAGAGAGAATCGGATCTGCGCAACAGCAAGCTGAAAATACCCAGCGTCATCTAGCCTTGAATAAAGCCTTTGAGGAATGGAAAGTTCAATCTCGGTTAGCTCCTGCGGCCTCTCGAGTTACAGATATGGTGAATAGCAGAGTGCTTCAAAACACTTTCTCAAAATGGATTTCCAAGGCCCGAATGATGGACCGGGCACAAGAGATGGATCGACAGAGAATCCAGCGCAATGCATGGACTTCCTGGAATGATACACTACGCTGCCTCGCTCTTCGTGCGCGAATTGATGAGCGGTTGAAAATGGAAATCATGTACAAGTGGATTCTCATGGAAAGATTTCAGCTAATGCGCAGAATTCACGAACAGCGCATTAAACGGGAGGTGTTTACTCGATTTGTCACAAACACGCGCGATACTTATACGCGATTGTTGTTTAATGCGGAAGCTCACGAGGAGCATCGAACAGAAGATTTGGCACGCTCCAAATTAGCGCTCTGGCGAGAACGATTAGTCATTCAACGGGAACGTGAATACACTGCCTTTGAGTTTTATGCTCCTCGGCTGGCACAGGAGTCTCTCATGGCCTGGAAAGCAAAGCATGAGCACAATCAGAAAATGGAGGCTTGGGCCAACGATGCACGCTTCTACTTTCTGATGAAGCGATCCTTGAAAGATTGGCGTCAAGCTACACTGGACTCCACCAAGCGGCGGCGGAAAGATGCCTATGCTAAGGTGCGACGAAAAATCAAGATGAATTTGGCTTCTAACGCACTCGCCACCTGGAGGTCTAAAACCCATGCCATCATGGACTTGCAGCAGCAAGCTGAAGATGTCGATCATGGTAAAGTGCTTGAAGATTCATTCGAGTGCTTCTCTCGATGGCATGGCCAAGCGCTCAAAAGAGTGCAAGATTACCAAGATGCCGATTATCATTATTTACATCAAGTCGCTTTTCATCAACTCATCCAAATGTCAGAGACCTTTGTCATCCGCCGCGAGATGGAAGATGAAGCAGATAGCTTCCGCCGCACCCACATCCTCAACCAAGCTGGAGGGGCACTTCGCAAACTCAGTTTGCGCATTTTTCAGATGAGAAACACGGCCGAGACCTCCGAAGCAATGCGGGAACGAACGTTGCGCAAACATTCGAGAAACTTTTTCCGCCACTGGTTGGAGAATGCCCGGCTGAAATTCGAAGCCCGAGATTCACCCGGCCCATCCTTGGGCCCAACTCTGACACCTGCTCGGTTCTCCAATGCCTCCGACGTTAATGGTACTGGAGCCTTGTTTGACCCGTGGTATCGGAATCCAGCTGAGACCCCTTTCAAACTCGCCGACATGACGACAAATTCACAGGAGCATGTCTCCGCAAGCCCGCTGGCCACTCCAAGCTACCTGACATCACCATCCAAGCGAGCTGCCCGGGCGAGGGCCTTGGCTCAGATGTCCACCACTCCCGCAACACCTTTACATACTCCCTTTGCCAGCCGACTGCTCCGTGCAGATTCCTCTGCTGCTCGATCCGCTTCCTCTTTACGACCCCGTACTGGCCGTGGAAATTCCATCGCAACAAGTGTTCGGTTCGTGGATGACGATCTTCCTGAGTCTCCAACTGACGGTCGGAAATCTGCGAATCGACGACCCTGAGCCTTTTCCTCCCATATATGACCCCCTTTCTGTAACTGCAATGACCCTAGAGGTCTCTGTACATCCGTGACGACTATACTTTCTCTTCATGTCTTTTTGATGCTTTTTTGATTTGTCTCAGCATGCATATCAGCCGGCGCAGCATATAAGGGGTTGGTGGATTTTTGACTCTCTTTGAGACTTTGGGTATACTATGATGTATTTTCTGGACATGATTGAATGTGATGACCGGCATATGGATCTTCCAACCAGCGGTGTGGGCTTTCGAGGGTTCATGAAATGCAGTAATGTACATTACCGTTGAAAACAAGATACTTTCGTAGATCAGAAACAATGTAGAATCCTTATTAGGATTGCTTACTATAGCTTTTATAGCTATAAGAAGCTGTGTTAACTATGGAACCTCACTATTAATGGAACTTTCCTCAAATACCTATATTCGACAAGCAAGGAGCTGTAGTTGAAATATGTACATGCAAAGGCGATCAGTGGTCGCACTGAGTGGAGCGGAAAGCGTAATCAACCTCCCGCTTTGATCTCCTGCGCATCCAAGAACACTCCAACCCAGAATCCACAGCTGGAATTGGTTATTCGCTCTATATCATTCGCGTGTTTCAGCATCGTTATCCCAAGAATATCTGGGACCTGGCAATGGTGTAACGTGGCTCCCAGCGCAACGAGCGTCCACCTTTAACCCACCCGCCTCTATGCGAGCGGTACTGCCGGGGAGACCCCCAGCGAAGCTCCAGTCGTTCAGCACTGCGCTATGGGATGGAGTTCGAGTGATTGTAAGGATAATGACCCAGTGTTTCTCCTACAGCTTGCCTGCCCCTGTGACTCGTCCCGTTCGCTGACCTTGACCCGTTAATCGTAGGCGTACATATCTGGCCACGCGCTGGTCATCCTTGGCGGTCCGCAGACACTCCTCCAAACTATCTACGTCGATGATACCGAAAAGCTGGAAGCGGTGGAAATTAATGAAGCATCGGGAAAGATTGCAGTGTGCGGTGGCTCCGATGTCTTCGTGTATCAACCGTGGGGTATCCAAGGCGAGACACCCAAGGTGCGCATACCAGGGCTCCACTCCTTGGAGCTATCGTTGCAGACAATGTCGCGCGGCTAAGTGAAATAGTTGGCTGACATGGGAATTATATCTAGTGGTCTCTTGTTCACACTTTCCACGCCGACGATGACGAGCCTATCCGTACCATATCGTGGGGTTCTCCGAATGAGCTGCTAGTGGGCGGTTCCCGCCTCGCCCTTTGGATTCTCGACGATATACCCCGCTTGGTATGGCAACGAAAGCTTGCAGGACCTTTGAAATTCGCCCAATTCTCTCCCGACGCGGCCTTGGTAGTGACAGTAGGACAATACGATCGCATGGCCAAGGTATGGAGACGGCTAGCTTTTGGACCGAACGAGGTGCGATTCGAGGTCTCCTATCTTCCTCACCCACATGTGATTACGGGCATGCACTGGCGTCTCCCATACCACCGGGAGCAGTCCGTCGACAATGTCTTGTATACCTTATGTGCCGACAATAAGGTCCGGGTATGGGCCGTGACAGATCATCATGCTCTTTCACCGTTACAATTTTGGGCGGATATCGATATGAAAGCATCTGTACAACCCCGAGATGCATCAGAAAAGGATGAAGGACTGCAGAGACGATATGGTTTTATTCTGGATAGCCGGGATTTCTGTGTCGCGACAGAGCGCGCAGTGGAACGAAACTCTGGCAACAAGGAAAACCATGCATTGGAACATCTCATTGAAGTCGCGAACAAAAGCCCGGAAATCTGCATGGTGATTGACGGCCAAGGTCATATATCTGCATGGGCATTGGAAGACATTGGCTCGAAAGCGAAAACAAAATTAAGTGTCTTCAATATCTTGCATGTCGAAGGCCTAGAGTTTGGATTCATGTCAAGCTTGGGTGCTCAAGAGGATTACGCGCAAATACGTGCATTCCAGAGCAGCACATCAGACGACAGACTCAGTATCATTGTGCACCACTTTGATGGGCGAATTGAGTGGTATGACTCGAAAGTGGATGTTTTCTTCGATCCCGCCCCTCGAAAGAATCGGATCGTACCCAGAGCATCATGGTCTGGACATACTGCTCCTGTGAAAAAGATTGTGAGAAATGCAATCGGCGACACCCTTATATCGAGAACGGATGAGAACAAGGCTATGATTTGGAAACAAAGGAGACGCGAGAGCGGATCAATGCTTATCCACCAGAGTGTGTTATTATCCGAAGAACATATTCACCGGACTTGCATGATTGAGAATGGCAATTTCCTCGTCAATCTCCATCACAATGGGATTTCGCTGTATGACTACAGCTCCTACCATGCCAAGAAGTTGGCACACTTACCCTTTAAATTATCAAGCAAGCCCTTGTGTGTGCTCCCACTTCCCACTCCAGATGCAAGCCCAGGCTTGGCTTATGTGGCGACTATTGGCGCCGATATGCATGGAATAGCATGGGAACTTAAATGGGATCCTCAAGATAAGCAACATGGGGTAGAAAAGGGAGAGCAAAGTTGTCGACTTCGCAAGTTCTGCGTGTTTCATATGGGCTTGGAGGAAGATTTGGCCTACATCCTGCCTGTAGACCCAGCTGGGCCTAAAGCCGAAACATCAGGATCCTTTGATACATTTGCTCCTGACATTGCTCTCTCCTACACCCACAGCGGGGTCGTGCGCACATGGACAGCCAAGGTTGATCGTCAAAAGTCCGAAATGGAATGGTTACTGAAGTCAACTGTTGACACTGGCATCGAGAATCCCTCACTAGCCAGTGGAAGTACCATCCGCAAGGCCGCTCTTGTGGATAAAGATCGAACTCACTTGACCATCTGGGACACTAACAACGCCCAATTGGAGTTTGAAGAGCATTTTGCTCCGCACGATATCATCAAAGACCTCGATTGGACCTCCACTCCAGATAAGCAGTCTATATTGGCTGTTGGTTTCCCTCATAAGGTTATCTTACTGTCTCAGCTACGTTACGACTATTTGGATTCCAATCCTTCATGGACCCAGATTCGGGAGATTTGGATTCGAGACCTCACACCTCACCCCATTGGTGACTCTTGCTGGCTCACCCACGGTCATCTAGTTATTGGTGCTGGAAACCAATTATTTGTCTATGACAAGGACATAGATGTTGCAGATCATCTTGTCTCCGGACTGCGCATCCCTTCCCGAGGACAGCCAACCGTTGATCTTTTCGATGTCGTTAGTCGCTTGAATGGCCCACTGCCCGTCTTCCACCCCCAATTTTTGGCGCAATGCATCTTGGCGGGAAAGTCGACTCTGGTCCACTCAATTTTGATGAGTCTCCACAGAAAGTTAAAGTTTTACTCCGAGGGAGATGAATTGGATGGTTTCCTAGACATGCCACTGGAGAGTTTCTATGATGAACAACATGTACGTCCCAGCGCGCTACGTATGATAAATTTGGTCTAACATTCGCAGCTATCGCAAACATTGACTTCAAAAGAGATGCGCTCTTCATTTGCCGACGCTTCATTAGAAGAGGAGGAATCAACCGTCATCGATGAAAGCATCGCAGCTATTCTCAACGAGAACCTTGCGCACATTGCACTACCACAACTGTCCAGTCATGAACAGTTCCGACTTGTGGATACAATTGAATGTGTTGCGACCGTAGAAAAGCACAGACGTTCAATGGACGCGAACGCAGCGCGCTATCTTCTTTTCTTCCGGCAACACATGCTGCGCAAGAGCCAAGGAATGACGCACAAAGACCGCGTGTCATGGAGAGAGATTGTTTGGGCTTTCCATAGTGGCAGCCAGGATATGCTCACGGATCTTGTCTCACGCCAATTCCATGGGAAGCTAACATGGAAGGCTGCTCGGGAGAGCGGCCTGTTCATGTGGCTATCGGACTTAACATCGCTGGTACGCTTGCTCCATCCCGTCTCATGCTGATATAACTAATCCCCTCCAGAAAGCACAACTCGAGATAGTAGCTAAGAATGAGTATACCAAAACAGAGGAGAGAAACCCCATCGATTGTTCTCTCTACTATCTTGCTCTCAGGAAAAAGAACATTCTGCAAGGCCTTTGGCGAATTGCACATTGGCATCGCGAGCAAGGTCCTACTCAGCGCTTGCTTGCCAATGACTTCAAGGAGGCGCGATGGAAGACGTCCGCTCTAAAGAATGCCTATGCACTGCTTGGGAAACGACGATTTGGTGAGCTTTGCTTGCAAAGATGGTTTTAGTCTTCAACTAACTTTTTCAGAATACGCCGCATCGTTTTTCCTTCTGGCTGATCATTTAAGAGATGCCGCCAACGTTGTGGCAAACCAGATGGGTGACATCCAGCTTGCGATTGCGATTACTAGAGCATATGAAGGGGACAATGGTCCAGTCCTTCGAGAGCTCCTGGAGGAGAGGGTTCTACCAGAAGCTGCTTCCGAGGGCAACCGATGGCAAGCCTCATGGGCCTTCTGGATGCTTGGACGGCGGGACATGGCCGTACGGTCACTTATTGTATGTCAGACCGACCATCGCTTCGGCCCCGTAAACTAACAGGATTTAGTCCCCGATTGAGACTCTCCTCCTACCAACCCCAGCTTCACCAGGAAGCCCAGGACGAGTGACTCTCCAGTCCAAATCCTACCTCTCGAACGACCCCGCTTTAGTGGTCCTCTACCAACAGCTCCGCGAAAAGACATTACAAACACTCAAAGGTGCCTCCCAAGTCCGCCCTGTCGAAGAGTGGGAATTCGTCCTCCGCAATGCCCGACTCTACGACCGCATGGGCTGTGATTTCCTCGCTCTAGATCTGGTACGGCACTGGGAGTTCTTGGGCGTACCTCCAACCCCGAAGACGATACAAAGCCAGCCTGCACTCGAGCTCGACCAGAACGGTGTTGATTACCGGAAACTACTTCGTCGCCGAAGCAGCCTGGTCGTTGCTGATTTGCCAGTCCGGCTGGCTACTTCTGCTTCTGTACATGTTGAGGCGAATCAGAGCGCCGTTTCTGATGAGAGCCAGCAGAAACCTCCACCAAAACAAAAGCCCAAACCGCCTCCAACTATGTTCCATGAGCCTGATGCCAATTCCTTGCTGGATAGCTTTGGATTTTAGATGTATGTAGGAACCTGGAGAGTATCTTCATTTGTTTTTGAGAACATGCATAAAGCGTTCAAGCACATTTGATATCTAGTTTGTCTTATAACTTACATTTCCCATCCCTCTCAAGCTACACAATGATACCATTATTACCCTTAACAGACATGGAGATAAGATATTATATTCCTCTTTATTTTGAACTATTGACAAAGCTACATGTATTTTTTCTATAATCCAAGCCTATAAAACAACCATCCTTTTCCCCAACAACCTAATACAAACGTATCCGGTTGCGCAAAACAGACAACTTCCGCCTCGAAAGAACAGTACCATTCGCAGGCGCGGTACCATTCGCAGGCGCGGTACCATTCGCAGGCGCGGTACCATTCAAATGCACCGTGCCATTCAATTGACGAGTAGAGTTCGGTTTTCCAGAAACCAGATTCAATCCGTGCGCCTTAGTCCTCAACTCCTCCATAATCCGATGCACGATCGCATCGCTCTCAGAATGGCCAACGTTATTAACACGGCTCTCCTGCTCAGGCTCACGCTCAGACTGCTCCGTCTGCGCAAGGTGCCAAGAATTGGTATTTGAACCTGGAGTCTGGATATCGTCGGTAGTTTGGATAGTAGTTGTCGAGTCGATGCGAGTGAAATCCTCTTGATCCTCCGGAGACTCGGCTTGTTGAGTTTCTTTCTTATTGTCTTGTTCGCCCTCGCAAACAAGCTGGACCCAGACGTCGCTGTAAGCAGCGAAATTTCGCTCATGGCATTCGCTCACTGCGACGCCGTTGTGTAGTTCTTTTGTGAGAAGAGGCTCGTCGATGCATTCTGGGACCTCGTGGATGGTGATGTTGCAGATTGGACCATTCTCTGGTGGGAAGGGGTGGCCCTTTTCATTGGAGAGGAGCTCGGCGTCTATGGAGAGTGCGCTGACGAGGTTGTGTTCGTAGGATGGCACGCCGACTTGAGTGCAGATTCCGGCTGAGATCTTTGATGTTGGAACGGTCTCTTCGTAGTTCTCGTAGGTGCTTAGGTCGACGAAGGGTTCGCCTGGACAGCTTGGGTAGAAGTGTGTCCAGATGCGCGCTGTGGTAGCGGCATGGATGGGTGTGGAGAGGAGGATGAGAGTTGAGAGTGTGGAATGCATGGCTGCCAAGCTCTGTATGGAGATCTGGGAATCGGGAGATGGTATGGTTTGATAGATTGGGTATTAACTTGATTGTTCCATGTGCAGTTCAAGATTGGCTTATATATCATTCGATCATTCCTTTGCGTGGGAATTACAGGTATTGAGATGGCGGGGAGGTTGGCTGGAATGGTGATGATATTGGACTGAAACGCGGCTTGCACACTCTTCGACGTTCTGAGCATGTCTGAATGAGCGATGAATGAATTCCTGCGTCATGCTCGGTGGCGGGAGCTTGTCAAAGCTTTGGTGTGCACCATTTAGAAGGCAGATCTAGCATTCCAGTCCCATATTAGGAAGGGAGATGTCGATCCATGACCGTATGAGGGTCACTAATTACTGATAAGGCATGCCAGCGAATTTGCACATTCCAGAACATGGCAGGCGGCTTCCCAGAAGGCTTGGGTGTGGTTGGTGCTGTCTGGAGTAAGTTACGGGTTAAAGTTATCATTCGTTCGATGATTGGATCTTCATTGGCTGATGTCAAAAATAATGATCGGCATCCCGATATAGTCAATTGAATTGCTTCTCTCGAGGGAGCAACTAACAAGATATACTGTTGTCATGTACATAGTAACGAGGAATCCTCACCGAATTTTAAATTCCCAAGTAGAAAGCGCCGTGACTAATTATCTCCGCTTTTTATCCTCCTCGACGATGGGCTTGTATTTCAAAATTGATTCACCGGTCTCGTACCCGGTGATGGTGTTCGAGCGTCTTCCCCTGCCGTGCTTAAGTGTCTGGATCTTCCGATCCGCTTCCTCCAGGCCTCCTTGTGAGGTGAGCTGGCTCAATGGCTTCATGCGAGATGCATTAGCAGGTCCACTCGATCTGCTGCGACTGCGCTCCCGACTTTCTGGTTCGCTTGGTGGCATGCTCTTCAATCGAGATTGATAAGCATCAAGGTTGTATGAATCAGACGGGATCTCAGCATCAATGTCCGGCATGATACCAAATCCAAGGTCGTCGATGGTCTTCGTGACTCGCTCGGAAAGTTTTTCTCGATGAGCCTGCAAATCAACCAAAAATGACGAGGAGAGTGGATTGAGTGCCACGAGAAGTGGTGGGAGGGATTTGATGATGTCCATACCGACTTCACCGAATCGAAGAGCTGCAAAACTGACAGATATCATGAAGCCATAGAAGCTCATAGCGAAAAACCAAAGAGGGATAGCGTTGGGGACATAAGTGTTTGCCGCCATCCACCAGGGAACGGAGTGGGTATAATAACCGTCATAACGATTGTAGCGGAGCCATGCAGTCACGATGATAGTGTAGTACGCGTAAAGAGTGGGTGCTAGTCCCATAGCGACGAGAATTTTCCAGGTGCTGACGACATCGTGTCCTTGCAATTTGACTACCGAAGCGGCCAATGCACGTCGTCTTTTCTTTTCTGATATCACCTTTGTTGTAACAAACACAGGCCAGAAAAGCAAAACACCTGGCAATGTGCCGAAACTTAGAGCCAGAAGCTTGCAGAGGCGATAGAATAAGGTGATGAGTGTAAGCCACCACGGCTTCTCCTCGAGATTGCCCCATTCCAGCTGGTGGTCCTTGATTCCAAGTGATTCCAATCGTCTATTGTATTCAGTGACAGCTTTCCGGAGACTTTTGATCTTGGGATCATCCCGATGCCGAGTGTAGCCCTTGAGTAGGCGGCGATTGAACTCGATCACCAGGGGAAGAGGGATCTTCTTGCTGATAGGATTATAAAGCTTCCGGGTAGACTGAACCAGGATCAAAGTTTCATGGTCCGGGCTAATCTGTGTGACAGCCTCTAGACCTTCGTATATGGTTTCGAGAAGAGAGCCCACCGCATTCCGCTTGCTGGTGCCTCCGGCCTTGAAAGCCTCAACCTGATCAGGGTGCACATGAATAGGTCGCCCGAACTCAATCACACCACGGGATCGGAACTTATGCGCATGGAAATAATTCATACCACATGGAACAATGGACAGTCCGCAGTTTGGGTCTTGAGCCAAAGCCCCAAGGGACATCAAGGCAGCACCAGCTTTCAGCGGCAATAAGTTCGAACGGTCATGACTACCTCCTTCAGGAAAGATACCAATGCAGCCCCCATTAGAAAGTTCCTTGTAGACGGCCGAAAACATTCGACTTTGGTCGACGTGAGGAGCAATCTTGAAAGTCGCCCCCTTGTGACCGTCCTCTGTGAAGGGAGCGTCAAATGCCTTCTTGAGTCTCAGCGAGGTAGGCCCGAGAATCTCCTCAATGGAAGCAGTCTGCGGTCCCTGGGGGCCCCTAACCGTGAGCGATCCGCCCGGCATAAACTCCTCCTGGGTGAAATCGGTATCGATCCCATTAACCAGGGCCGGATCATTTTCAGGATCGGGTAAATAAACTCGGCCTTTACCAGGCTTAGTCAAATCCATAGACCGGACAACAGGGAGAGCACCCATGCATGAAGCCAGAGTGCCGATATACGGCTCATTCATGGATTTTTGCGCAATTAGGAACGAGACACGTCGCTTCGCTTGCGACTTCAGCAGGTGCATCAAGATGGCTGAATCAACGAATTGATTCGCATGAGGGGCAGCGACAATAAGCACCGGGCCCTTTTCGGGGATCCGCCATGCTCCTCTGGGATAGATCTCGCGGAAGAAAAGGTCCAGGGCGCAGGTGAACAGCCACAGGACCAAGTCATATAGCCACGGGATCATCCGGCGGGACTTTGATCGACCCGCCATGATCGGCGCGTGGAGTTCTGGGTATAATTAAATACAGTAGGACGTTTATTTCAACGGTTGAAGCTGGTGAGGTGGAGACGGGACGTTTGAGAAAAAAAGTGGGAAGACGCGGGGGCGGGATTAGATGATTCAACTCTTTGCGCGTCAAATCTTGAGGAATCTCCGTTTTTTTTTTCACCAAATAACTGGATTTTCTTAGATTACAGACAAGATAAGAAAAAGGATTAAGGAATGTGAATATCGCTAATTCCGGTGAGTTTCCCTTTTAATAAGGGGAATCTTCACCCTCGCCCTCGTCCTCGCCTTCGCCCTCTTCAGGTCCCTTAATTCCCAAACCACCGGGGAAGGGAAAATCACATTCAAGTTTGAATGAAACAAAGCCAGCATTCAAGAAATCAGGGAGACACACACCCTCAGTAACAGGCTCGTGGTCAAGGGGCATGAAGTAGTCGACATTGCCGGAACAGTCGTCGTTGTTCCAGATGCTAACACCGCTGCACCATAGGGCGTCTTTGGTATCAATGTAGGCCTTGAACGCGTAGTTATCGATGCTCCAGTCACGGTTCACAGTGGTCTTGTCGCAAGTCACGGTAGTCGCGGTGACACTGGCCTTGTACTTGGGTTCACCTTGAACTGGAACACCAATGTCGCAGGTCTCCCAAGATTGGAACTCAATACTGGCGATGGGGAGCCCGGCATGGGCGACAGCGAGCAGGGTCGTGGAAATGAGAGTCTATGGTTGTTAGAGAAGTAGGAATACTGGTTTCTCATGCAGATTCACGCTCACAGTAGAGAAATGCATATTAAGGAGTGTATTAAGGAGTGTATTAAGTGAGTGTATTGAGTGAGTTGCGAACGCAATTGTCGGGCCTGGTTGTCGTCGGTAGTTCGTCGGAAAGGAAAGTCTCTATACTGCGTATCATGGTGTTTAAGTAGAGCCCCAGGACGCCATGGCACGCGAAAGGCTCCTGATCCGAGTAAACATTGTCTTAGTCCAATGAAGATCTAGCTTGGGAGGGAATGGAATGAAGGTGAATACTGATTGCAAGGTTGGAATGTGACGATCTTGGGATAAATACAAGAGTAATCAAGGGTTTCAGTAGATCCTTGAAAGGGCAACTTAATGTTGTACCTGACATTCTCCAAAGATGCAGGTACATATACCTACTATGTGCAGAGTAATACAGATGATCATGATTCTCTAGACATTTCACGTACCATTGCCCACATAGTAAAGTCCTGCGTTGAACCCCAAAAGCCCTTAGGACATGCCTTGCTTCCAATGGGAACAAATCCTTGCTTTAACCAATATTGTCCATTGTTTTCCATAGATACTCGAATCATGATTCGAATAGGCGACTTAGTCCTCTCTCGGCGGAGAATCTCCTCTTCACACAACTTCACAAGACGTCCCGCTAACCCCTGTCCACGATATGCGCCCGGCAGAAGAGCCACCACGGCGAGCTCAAAATCACCAACGCATGTTTGATTCAGGTTCGTAGTTTGAGAAGTGGCATCATATGGTCTCCAGAGACTATCGTCTTTCCATTTTTTCATGCTTGCCGTGCCAATCACGTCCACTTTCCCGTCAGGTCCATGGGAGAATGCAACCGCTGTAAAACCATCCGGTCCTAGCTCTTCAGACAGCTGAGAGTCACTGTTCAATCTTGTTTTGTCGTCAAGAGGTTTGATGGCACTGCTGGAGCTGACGAGGTAGCTCTTGTTAACCATTCGTGTGAGATCTGGTAGCCATGGTTGGCAGAGGAGCTCTGCCGATGTGTAAATTGCAATTTGGATCGGGTTCGATCCAACTGAGACTGAGCCCATCACCGAGATATTCACAGTATTTAAACGCTTGGAATCTGTCGGATGTACGAAGTAGAGATATATGTAAAATCATCGATTCGAGCATTTCAATGTTCGGATGTTTGTGGCGCAATGGCGCAATATGCCAGTTGGCTCTATTGCAAGGGTGGCAGCCCCCAGGCCGCTGCCAGAGATATATCATGAACTTTCAAAGTTCAACACTGAATGCCCACTTGTTTAGTGTATGGTATTAATGCACTGTATGGTGTACCTAGATATTATGCAATTGAAAGACACAAATTTAGAAGGTCCCGAATTATATATATCCAGAGGTCCAAAAATACCGAGCCTACATATTAATTGAACTTTTGTCCAACAATTATCTCGCTTAGCTTCCACAATTTTTCCGCTTCTGTAGAGTCTCGACCCCAGCATTTGTACTCTTCGAGGTCTGCCACTCGACTGTTTTCCAGGAATTTCCCGTTGGCTATGACAATAGGATTAGTATACTCGGAGCTCGAGAAAGGATATTTTTAGTCACCCACCCTGTCTCTGTACGGATTCATGGAATGCTGCGAACACATAGGTTGCGACGCCTTGTTGCGGACTCTTGTACTTGAAGCCTGTGTAGAAATTGGGCAGCGCAAGTTTGCGACCAATCTCGCCTTTGAAGAATTATTAACAATATCTTTCAGATTGTACGATCTCAAGGGTTGCAGGATAACACTCACCGAGTTCAGACCACGCAGCGGCTTCAAGATGAGAGCTGAGATTCGTGCGGATGGCTCCAGGATGAAGGCTCACGGAGATAAGTCCTTTATCCGCAAATCGTGCAGCAAGCGAGACGGAGAATAACATATTCGCGGACTTGGACTGGCCATAAGCGTACCAGCGATTGTAGGGGCCATGCTATTCATGAGAATTTGTTAGTCTCGCGATCGGAAATATCCACGCTATGCTTTGCATACCTCGAAGTTCCAGTCCTCGAATCTCACACGAGACAACTCGTGACCATTACTTGAAACATTCAAGACACGACTAATCTGACTCCCATCCATCGATACCAGCTTGTTGATAATCAAATTCGTGAATAAGAAATGACCGATATGGTTGACACCGAATTGAAGCTCGATGCCATCGGCCGTTTGACTGTACGGGACTGCCATCACACCCGAGCTATTCACGAGCACATCTATGTGTGGAACATCATCGTAGCTGTTGACTTCTTCAGCGGCCTCACGAACTTTTGCTTGGGAGGCCAAGTCGAGCTTAAGTATACGGGTGGCCACTGCAGGTGTAATGGCTTTGATTGAAGCAGCAACGGGTTCGATTTTAGAAGTATCGCGAGAAGCAAGAATGATCAAAGAGGGCTTGTGCGGGGCGATGGTCGTAGCAAATTCAGCACCAAGGCTTCCAACAGATGGACCGGTTATGAGTATAACCTTGCCTCGAATCGCGTTGGAGCAAATGGACGCGATCTCATCGCCGGTTGTTTCAAATCCGAAGTTAGACATGGAATATATCTAGGATGAATGGAAGATGCAGTTGGATGAAGTTAAAGATTTTGGAGAATTCAGTCGTGATCTATAATTTTTTGTCCTGGAATATTGTGAACCGGATCAAGTCCCATACAGCTGATCATCTCCCGATTTGGTCAATTTACAACAGCACCAATGTACAAATTGGGATTAGCGTGGAGATCGGAGTTAAGCAAAGTCTGGACCAACATTGAAAGTAACATGTCTTTTTCCATTTTCTCTCCTTTTCATACTCTTCAACTTCCTATTGTAGATCCCTGAAATATGAATTTATCAGCAGAAGTGATCTTTCCTGTGGGGCCTTCCGGGAATGAGCCCTGTGTCTTCCGATATGATATCGGCCCAACTGCTTCAAAGGTGGCGAAAAAACGGGGAAGACCGAAAGGAAGTACGTGCTTGATTTGTTTTGTTTCACTCCGCAAAAGGCTAATTTATGTAGGCACCAAGAACTTGGCCTTGCAAAGTAGATCGAATACACATGCTTTCGAGTTTATTCACATTGACAGTCATTCTGGTATTCCAGATGCCGACTCGCGTAAGAGCATCCGGCGACAAGTGATGATCAATCATATCCAACGCAAGAAATACGGGGACTCTCTGATTCCTAGTTTGTCTTCACAAATTGCCGGTGTTGATCCTTTCAGCGCGTTACCGATCCGGCTAGAGCCATATATGCATGATCTTTTGAAATATTGTAAGTTGTCAACATGCATATGTGAACGTTCCTGACCATCATAGATATTACCACTGGGTGGCAAAAATACTACTGCATTGAGAAACAAACTGCCTTTAACCCTATAACGGAGTACTGGTTATCTCTAATTATGGTGGATGATGCGTTTCTCCATACAATTCTTGGGTGTGCCGATATACACCTTTCCCCGGGTCATTCACCTCGAGCGTCTCTTACAACAATCAAGCATCTAAACGCGGCAATTAATATTGTGAACAAGCGCATTGAGGATAATAAAATTCCTACTGATGCGACTTTGGTCATCGTTGCCACGATGGCTATTATAGAGGTAAGCATCCGAGCATCATTTCACTCGCATGGCCGCTATTTTATAATTCTAACGTTGGAACCAAACTTGCAATAGAAGCACCGGGGATCTCATGAAAATTGGAGTATCCATCTGGAGGGTCTTCGGAAATTAGTGACTCTTCGCGGTGGTCTGGAGTCGCTGGAACCACGGCCTCTGGTAGTGGGAAAATTACACCGGTATAGGATATCCCCAGCCCTCTGTCTCTCGATATATGCATTTTTGGATATTTTTACTGAAATCTGTCATTGAAGGGCCGATTTGACAGGCTCTATAGATGCCGCCCAGAAACCCTATTTTTCAAGAGGGCTCTCCCCACCCATGAAATCTGATCCACGACTCATGAACCCAGGGTTTCAAATGCTCAACTCTCTGAACCCGTTCGATGATACTTTGATATCCTGTATCCAAACTGCGGCTGATATCATGCACTCCATGGAAAAATTGAACATCAAAAGCCCACACGCCGAAGCTGCCAGGATCCGCTATTGTTCCACGGCGATGCTGTATACACTTCTTTCGGTCAAATACTCCAATTCAATTCACGAAATATGCCGGCTTTCTTTGCTCCTGTTGTCAGAAATTCTGGTCAATCAAGGCTCTTTACTCCTATCCAATTATGAGATGTTGATCACTAGGATATGGGATATTTACGAAGCTGCTGTTGAGAATATTGACCTATTTCCACCGGAATTTGGGCTTTGGGTGTTTCTGGTTGTTGCGTCATGTACAACCTCAGAACCGACAAAGAGACGTTGTCTTCATGCTGTTTCCGAAGCTGCTTCGACGTTGAATGTGACTACAAAGGAGGAGGTAGACATTGTGCTGGAGACATTCTTATGGAATTCTACCTTTAAGAATGATGTATATCATTCATACATAAATTATCTAGTATTTAAATGAACAGAATCAGAACCTCTGGAGTTCATAATGCTTTTAGTGCCTCAACCGTCAGGCGTAAAGTTGAGGTCGCGTCATAGACTGAAATCATCAACAGTCGCTTCGTATATCCCATTTCTCTTCAATTTTAATTTTAATCATAATTGCATGCCAATTCTGGTTGTTTGTAAATTTGTCAAGTGATTCTCATCAACCGAACATCCATTCTTCATGATGACTGCATCTCTGGAACCTTCCTTTGATGACTTGGTTGCCTTCCGGGATGCAGATCGAGGACTGATTGACAAATTGAGTCCGTGTGTCATCAAAGACCATCGTGGACGTGTAGTCTGGGACAACGAAGCTTACAACTTCTTGTCCAACGCACCATGTCCGAAGACAGCAAACCCTAAGTTATGGCGACAGGCCCAACTCGTCAGCAAACAAGGTCTTTTTAAGATTGTAGATGGTATCTATCAAATCCGAGGATTCGATCTGTCAAACATGACCGTTATCGAGGGCGACCAGGGGATCATTGTGGTAGATCCACTTACGTCGGCGGAATGTGCCAAGGCTGCTCTGGAATTGTATCGCAAAAATCGCGGCAACAAGCCAGTGCTGGGCATGATCTACACTCATTCGCACGGTGATCATTTTGGAGGGGCAGAGGGGATTATTTCAAGGAGCGAAGCTGCGGAAATTCCGATACTGGCTCCCTTTGGGTTCCTTGAGCATGCTGTTAGCGAAAATGTATACGCAGGGAATGCCATGGCTCGCAGAGCTTCATACATGTATGGAGATCGGTTATCCAAAGGTCCCGAGGGCCAGATCAGCGCCGGGCTAGGAGCAACGCTGTCTATGGGTACAGTGACCTTAATCCCTCCGACCGTCGACGTCACCCACACTGGTCAAGTTGAAGTGATCGATGGCGTTGAATTCCTGTTTCAGGTTACACCCGGGACTGAGGCACCCTCGGAGATGAACTTCTATCTTCCTCAGTGCCGCACATTATGCGTGGCCGAGAATGCGACACAGTGTTTGCATAACATTGGAACTCTTCGGGGTGCAGCTATTCGGGATGCTCTTGCATGGTCTTCATACTTGGACGAAACAATTGTGCTATTTGCCGAAAGATCTGACGTTGTATTTGCGTCTCATCATTGGCCAACGTGGGAACAGGAGGCTGTGATTACCTACCTCACCGAACAACGAGACTTGTACGCTTTTCTCCATGACCAGACAGTGCGCCTCATGAACGATGGCCTCACAGGTATTGAGATTGCCGAGGATTTTCAGCTTCCACCGAAGCTGCGTACTGCATGGCACACGCAGGGCTTCTATGGCTCAGTTAGCCACAATGTCAAAGCGATATATCAGCGCTATATGACCTGGTTCGATGGCAATCCAGCCAATCTTTGGGAGCATCCGCCGGTCGAGATCGCCAAGCGTTACGTCTCCTGCATGGGAGGTATTAACGAAGTACTTCAAAAGGCCAAAACATTCTCAGAACAGGGGGATCTGCGATTTGCAGCTACACTTCTCAATCATGCTGTATTTGCTGATCCCGAAAACAAAGCTGTCAAAACTTTGCTCGCATCAACATATGAAGCTCTAGGACATGGATGTGAGAATGGACCCTGGCGCAATTTCTACATTTCTGGGGCGAGGGAGCTGGTAGGTCATGTACCAAGGGACAATATCCTCTCTGATCAGACTGCCATGACAAAATCCCTGTCTCTTCATCATCTATTTGCATCTTTGGCCGTAAGGCTAGATGGGAAAAAGGCACAGACCCAGAATTTCACCATCGACTTGTATGTGATCGACCGGGATGAGGATTGTCGATTGATAGTCAGCAATGGAGCCTTGATCCATCGGACAGGAAGAACCTGGAATACGTCAACTTCGAGCGTGGCGAACTACTCGTGTGAACTTACGTTCTCCCAACTACTGCAACTGTTGACCACTGGGAGAACGAAAGAGCCATTGAAACACGAAGTTGGAGATAGTTCTTTCATGAGTAAGTTATTATCGCTTATCGTGACCCCGAATGGTGCATTCAATATTGTCACGCCATAAATGCATACATTGGGCCCTTGATGGGAAGGGTCACAACAAAAGCAATAGTAAATGTCCTAGTTCATAACAAATAATATTTCAGCATAAAGATCTACGACTATCTCAGTAAGCTACGGCCATAGGTGTGGATCTGTGGGTCTGATGACGTATAATAAGCAATCTGCATGACAAAAGCGGTTTAGCCTTTGCCTAAACCAATGAAGGTATGATGGAGACCGGAGTTAAGAGCTGCATACTCCGTATTGGATCAATGCGATGATGTTGAGCTTGAATGGTATGGGAAATCCACATATAAATACTTTAATTCCCACCTGAGCCAATTTCCCTCCATAGTAACCCTTCAATCTGGTCCAATCAACCCTACACCTTCCGACAAAATGTCTATTGATCCGAAGAGCGTACTAGGCCGCTACCGCCAGCTAGCCCCCTCTGCTTCAGTGCGAGTGTCCCCAATGTGTCTAGGCACAATGACATTCGGCGGTACACACCCCGAGAAATATGGCGAATGTAGCAAAGAAGAAGCATTTGCAATGATGGACTTTTTCTATGAAAACGGCGGCAACTTCTTCGACACTGCCAACGCCTACCAAGACGGCCAATCCGAAGTCTGGCTCGGCGAATGGATCGCCTCCCGCAAAAACCGCGAAGAGCTAGTCATAGCAACCAAGTACACCTCCGGATACATGCTACACTGCAAAGACAAGATCCAAGCCAACTTCATCGGCAACGGAACCAAGTCCATGAATCACTCTGTCGATGAGTCCCTGCGCAAGCTGCAGACTACGTATATCGATTTATTCTACGTCCACTGGTGGGACTACACGACGTCGATCCCGGAGTTGATGCAGAGTCTGAACCACCTCGTTGTCTCGGGGAAGGTGCATTACCTCGGTATCTCGGATACGCCTGCTTGGGTCGTGACCAAGGCGAATGAGTACGCGCGCCAGAATGGACTCCGGCAATTCTCTGTTTATCAAGGAAAGTGGAATGCGGCGAGACGAGACCATGAGCGAGACATTATCCCCATGTGCGCCGATGAAGGAATGGGTCTGGCTCCGTATGCGACATTGAACGCAGGCAATTTCCAGACGGCTGAGGGGTACAAGGCTCGCGAGAAGTCGAATAATGGCCGCAAATTTATCCCCGTTTGTGCGCGGGATAAGCAAGTTGCTGCTATTCTGGAGAAAATTGCCAACAAGAAAGGTGGAGGCGTGACGTTATTGAATGTTGCGTTGGCTTATGTGTGTCATAAGGCGCCTTATGTCTTTCCTATTGTTGGTGGTCGGACTGTTGAGCATTTGAAAGGTAGCATTCCTGGATTGGCCGTTTCACTATCCAAGGATGAGATTGAGGAGATTGAGACGGGATATGAATTTGATCATGGATTCCCTCATAGCTTTTTGAGTGGTACTTTGTTTGACCTGTCTCACCCGAGAGGGGCTGCTGGTCCTGAAGATGTGTGGTTGACCAAGCCATGTGGTCCCTTTGACTGGGTTGAGCGTCCGAAGCCAATAGGGCCTCGCCAATCATAGATGCTGGGAGCTACTTATGTTCTTTGCATGCCTTAGCTCGGAATATCGAATTTATATGATCTCCTGCCGCCTGCGTACCCAGTCCATTCTGATCAAGTCCAAAAACGAATTTGAATCTAGCCAAATACATACATATAATTGTAATCTAGGGAAAATAAATAAGTTCTCTGTGACATAGACTTCTGCCACGAGCTTCAGGATTTACTATAGCTGGTGTGGAGAGACGTGGAAGTTAGAGAACACAGAGATTTCACTGCCTAACTACATATCGGAAGACACAAAAGAAAAGAAAGCGCTATTTGCAAGAAGTCGGGGGGAATAGAAAAGAAAGTAATAGCGTCGAGCCCAACTTTTCCTCCATTCCATAACGTGAGTGTTGGCCAAGATACGCAAAGATGAGAGAAAGAGGAACAAAACAAGGAATGCAAACAAGGTATATGTGAACAAGATAACAAGCATTTCCGTCATGCAATCTCCTAAGCGGAGACGTATTTCCCACCAACCAATTTGCGGCTGGTTGGGACTTCTTGCCAGGCAGCTGGAGCCGGGGATTGCTTTCCACTGTCAGCAAAAGGATCGATTTCCTGCTGATTAGACTCCGAAACTGCGCGACTGACGCCAAGTCGAGAGGCGGACTCGGTAGTGTAGAGCTCGAACTTGGCCTCAACATTGCCCTTGCGAGGGCCGGGGGTGGATGTGGTGAAGCGCACAAGGAACTTCCCATCCTCACCGGAACCAGGTGATTTGACTTCAAGCTCAGGGATCCTCCAAGTGACAGTGGAGTTCTTGCGGCGGAAGGTAGCGCCAGAGTTCGGGTGCATGACGGCGCTGGTGGCATGGGCAATACTCTCGCGCGGCTGCTTGGTGATTTCGTCTTCAGCCGATATATCCAAACCCACGGTCAAAATCACATTTTTCAAGGTGATGGACTCCACAGGTTGCGATACAAAGGCTGGGTTGAGAGAGTAGAAAATGATGGCACTGGCCTGGGATCCCTGCAGGTTCCAAGCTGGCTTGAAGATGACAGGGCAGTACGAAGATGAGTTGCTAGGGTCGAGATGCACTTGGTACTTGAATGCCACAGTCGGCATGGGCCGTGAAATGCTGCCCAGCTGGACGTCATACTCGCCCCGCTTCTCATCACCGCTGTCTTTGCTGGTTTCCTGAACAAAGTGAGGGTTTGCGGCGACCTTCTCCAGCAAGGGGAAATTATCGAGACGGATGCGCAAGGATTCTGCTGCAAATCCCGGCGCAACATTGTGTGCCAGAGCAAGCTCGCCCATCACGGAGGACTTGGTCACCTTGCCCTCCGAAAACCATGCGCTGACGGTCTCAATGATGGAGGCATTCAGACCGGGCTCATATAACTCAGGGTGCATGCTGAACATCTGTCCGTGCGTGGTGTGCCCAGAGCGGACGGATGTTGTGTCTGAAGCGGCGTGCTCGTCCGTTGCAGCGCTCAGAGAGGGAGTGTGTCTGACTGGAGAGGACGGAGAGTACGCGTCGGATGCGATTTGGTTCGGAGCCAGTTCACTACCTGGGTTTGCAACAAACATCGTATTGCGAACATCACGGCGACCGCGGATAGTACCTGCATTCCGTCTCGCTACAGATTGTGGAGCCCGCAATCGAAGGGTATTCGCCATATCATCCATGGCTTGCTTGGCCTGGCTTTCGTCTTCGAAAATAGGCTGATCACGGATTGTCAAGTTCAAGCCCGAGTCGTCCACTCCGGCAGCTTCTCTTTGAGCACGAGTAACTTCATCTACCGTTGAGGGGCGCTCAGTGAACCCTTCTGAGTCAACATGTGACTGATCAACGCCATTGAGTCCGGCGTGGGTCTCTGAAGATGTGCCATTTGTGGTAGTATGGAATGGCTGAGCACTCGGAGCAAAAGACTCTCCTCCGGTCTGATCCCGAGAGAAGCTGGGAGTTCGTGCAGATTCTTCCTCGGTCATTGATGTACCGGGGCGGTCCGCAGTTGAAGGAGGCGATTCCGGGATTTGCATATCTCTCGATGAGTCAGATCTCTTGAAAGGTGCAAATGGACTGAACTTCTTCTCCGCCTTCCTGTCAAAAGATGAAGCCGATGGAACGACCATGCTCTTCCGCCTACCCATAACTGTACCGAGTCGCCTTAATCCGCCCAACGCGGTGTTTCGTGGCTGTGCTTCTGGAACTAATTTATGTTAATTCCGAGTCGAGAGATCATCTGGGACTAGAACATACCAGGAGCTGTTGGGGTAAACGTCTGTCTCTCTGATCTTTCTGACAGCTGGCTATCTGCATCATCCTGACTCCGCGAGGTTGGTGCCTGTGGGGTGCTTGTTGGGGTCTCAAAAGTAGGATGAGCAGGCGGCGCAGGTGGCGTTTCAGGGAGGGGAGGCTCCGCTCGCGGCACGGGCGAGGCGGGGATACGGTTTCCTTTCATTTTTGCAGCAAAGGTTTGGATTTCATCAGCAGTCTGCACATTCAAGAGAACATTGAGACACGTCTCAGCAGCCAGCCGACCGCGCTCGACCTGATCCACCTCGTGAGTCTCCAGCTGCGTGAGCACATCGCGCAGGTGGTTGAGTCGGCCTTCATCTGCAGCCTGCAGCTGCTCAAATACAAATGGAGCACGCGATTCCCACTGCTGGCTGACCTCTTCTGCGGCAGCGACTGCAGTTGCCAGTTGCTTAGGGTTCTTCATGCTCTTCTTCCTAGCTTTTTCCACTTTATCCTGGGCCGACTCGACGTTCTTGGCCAATCCAGCTAGGTTGCTTTGGATTCCGGGCATTGATTGCATGTCGCGATTTTTGGTACTATATTCTCTAAGAGGGCGTTCGACATCTTCTTCGATCTTCATCGCAAGGGTCTCGTGCGATGCGGCGAGCGCTTCGGTCGCATTGAGAATGCGCTGCCAAGGAATTTGGAAAACACTGGATGCTAGTTAGAGTCATACGCCATATATCATCATACTAGCGGGTCGCCATTTAATGATGAAGAACTTACCCAAGTGCAGCGCCATTGTCCAAGCTAGGGCGATTTGCCAGCTTTCGCAAACCTTGGGTATATGCTTCTTCTACACGACGGCGTTCCTGGTAGCCCCATATCAGCATTGGTGCCCCGCAAAGTCCAAGAATGTGACCACAGAAATCTAGCGGGGACAATATAGGTTCATCGTACCTGGAGAAAGTCTGCGATGTCTGCGTGGATCTTGTTGATTACTCGAATGCGATCGGTGAGGACTTGTGTAGCTTGAGTAGGGTGCAAGGTGGCCTAGGAAAGAGCGACATAACTTGTCAATATATTGTAACTTTTGCTCAAGGCCTTGGAGCTTTGAGGAGTTCCACTTACCAGCAGCGCCGGGTATTCCTGCCGGGATAGCTCCATGGTTCAAGGTTGAGGGCCAGTAGAGCGCATTAAGCGCATAATCAGGAAAAATGTGACGGAGAGATTATAGTGGTCAGAGTGGTCAAGACCAATGATGTGGGATTGAGATTAAAGGTGAGTGGCACTCGATCGCCGAAGACGGGGAAATGGCTGGTCGCTGGGGATGACGGATGGAAGCGGGTGAAAGAAGGCGGTGGAGGATCAGAGCCGCTCCACAGTTGCACCTGACAATACACAGGAAAGTAATCTTTATATGCGAGTTGCAAGAGTTCCCATAGATCAAATGTTCTGATGATATTCTACACCATTCTCTATTATTGTATTGTGTGATTTGGGGGGGAATTGGGCATATACTTGCACATCGAATTACGGCAGTAAATTCATGCCTCAGGCAGAGAAACGGGGTTAGTCTGTCGATCTATACCTTTTTCTCTAAATCGCATATATACCCTTGCTTTACTGGCAGTATGACGAAAATAAAAGGGGTCTGTATACTCCGTAGAAATGGAACAGTCCTCCTAGTTCTGTATAAAGTCAAAAAGTATCGAGTTAGGATGCTGTTTTCCAAGGTTTCTCCACTCGAATCACATGACATCATTGACAGATCGTTCGATTCAATTGTGGTTCCACATACGTTCTTGATTTGTTGATTACATGTACAGTCATGGATTGGCATCAAGAATTGGGGTTCACCGATCGATTACGAGCCATCCAATCTCTGTCAGTCAGGGCCTTTAGATTCGATAAAATGATTTCGACTGACTGTCTATTCTAGCACCTTAGTCTATCAGCAAACATCATCCTCAGATGCTTTTGCCGAGGCCCAAGCGCGGGCTAGGCAATGTGAGAATGAAGCTTACGACCGTGCTACCTCCAAGGTCTGTCCTTGAGAATCTACTGTTTCTGGAATTTGGACTAGCTAGTTGACTTCATGACTTTCCTAGGAGCAATATGATCAAATTTGTCAGAGGGCGATTGACGAAGCGGAGACTACCAGTTCTGTAACAGTGGCCAATGACAGCTCACCTCCTGACCAAGATATTTTTTCAGACGAATCAGCACCGGGGGAGACATTTGGCCAGTATAAATCATGCTTTCATCATTTTGATGGTATTCATTCAACAATCTACCGAACCAAAGCAGAGGATGGATCGGCGCGAGCTATCAAAATCACCACCCCACATCTCATGACAGCTCCTCACGATGCTCATCGCGAGGTCCGGCTACTCCGAGAAGCATCCAACCAATACGTGATTCCCTTGATTGAGACATTCAATCTAGACGAGGGTCGATTAATCCTGGTTTTGCCATTCTTGCGTTTCGACTTCGAGCATTTGTTGCGGCGGGACATGGTCACTGCAGCCCAGACCCGTTCCATCTTACGGGATATGTTCTCTGGTCTTGCCCATATTCACAAATTAGGGATCATCCATCGCGATATCAAGCCTTCCAATATTCTGATGGACTCACTCAATGGACCTGCATACCTGGCTGATTTTGGGATTTCCTGGAAGGGGGGAGACCCTGGATCGGAGCCCTCAGATTCAAAAATCACCGATGTAGGTACGACTTGCTACCGCCCACCAGAGATCCTATTTGGGTATCGGGGATACGGTGCGGCCGTGGACCTGTGGGCGGCAGGGTGCGTGGTAGCGGAGTCTGCCGTCGTAGGCCATCGTACTCTTTTCGATTCCGGGCCTCTGGGCAGTGACCTGTCCTTAATCCACTCTATCTTCCAGACGCTAGGGACACCAGATGAAAATAACTGGCCAGTGAGTACTCCTGTTCTCCACTTGGAGATTGATGATCCAGGCATCGGGAATAACCAGAAAGCAGGGAGCTCATGTGCTGCCAGATTGGGGCAAGATGGAATTTTACCCCTTGGCAGCGCAGTCCTGGGATGAGATTATGCCTGGTGCTTCCTCCAAGGGCCGAGACTTAGTCCAGCAATTGATTCGTTACGAGAGCAGCCAACGAATCTCTGCCGAAGAGGTAAGTGACAGCCTTGATACCCGGATCTTAACGGTCGCTCATTAACAGTAACCCCAGGCCCTTCAACATCCGTACTTATCCACACTATAATTTCCATGACGAGACCGCCACAGGAATGTCCCTCTCAGCCACACGACATGACTGACAATTGTGGCCCAGCCCCTGGGGAAGCAGGCTAAAAACGCCTTCGGCAAGTATGCTACGAGATAGACTCATTCTACACCCATCTTGATCCTGAGCCCGAGCCTGAGCATGGCACACCCCATACACCGCTAGAATCCAATGGGACCCTGAGAGGCTGATCTGGGGCCAAAGAAATCCCTTAAATTTAAATTATTTAAAATTTGCACTGAACCTTGTCCGAGCAAACACCGGCATCACCGGAAATTACATGACCGCACTGATCAATGAGAAGCGAAAGTGGACCGACGATGAAACAATCAAATCAGCGGATGGAGTCCGTGCCCCGCGTTTGCAGGGTTCTTATTCTAGTTACATGGGGGCCATAAGTCCAGTTTTTCAGACGTGAACAGAAAACAAGAAATAGCATAAAACAAGGATCAAATGAGAGAGAAATTGTAGAAATCAGATCATCAATCAACCAAAATTATTTTTTGTCTTCTGAAAATTGAGAATCAGAATGTCTCGACCTTCTCTGTATGCAGTGGATGAAGTTGAGTTGAATACCAGGAACCGTATTAATACAGCCAATCATATTAGAATTCAATAGAGATCATCCCCATATCGGGTTAGCCCGTGTATGTCAATACCGGGTCAGGGTCTCCATACTGTACTATCTCGGCTCCTCGTGGTATCAGGGATTCTATTCTAACTTCTATGGCGCTGCACTTTACTCCTTTACTCTACTCTGCTTCTTCACTCTTTACTACGGCCTGGAAGTCGTTATCCATTCCTTTCATCTTTCGACTAGTATCGGGCTGTGCTCGATCGATCTTTGTCGTCCATTCTTTTGATTTATACCACATTCCGCACAACGCGGGTGTGGACTACCTCAACAGCGCGATCGCAGAGTGCCAGACTCGCGTTGGAATTTGACCAAATATTGATCTTTGTCAACCTTTCACTCTGGAGTGAACATTACTTTATCTCAATTCATCTGCCTTATTTCTCAATATCATTTTCACGGCCACTATGGTGCATGGGCGTGCACATCACACACACGACCACCCCGAGGTGCGTCTAGGGGAGCGGGGACATAATAACGATGCCGTGATTGTCTACACAACTCTGGAGAAAACTTTCGAGGGCGAAGTGGGGGGTTATGTGACTGGCGACCAAAACGACAACGCTGATACCAAGACTGCGTCAGAAAAGACTAAGACGGCGAATGTCGGTGTTGGTCCGGCTGTCGCTGCGACAAGGACGACCGAAGAGACCAAGACAACAGAAGAGGCCAAGAAGACTAGTGAAGAGGCCAAAACCACCACTACGGAGGATAAGACCACTACCGAAGAGTCTCAGAAACAGACAGCCAAGGAAACTACTACCGAAGAGGCCGAAAAAGCAAAGACGACAACGCAGGCCATAACGGAGGCTACCACGACTAGGGATACTCAGGCTATCACTACGGCCACTGATGAGGCGCGATCCGGTGCCACGCGAACTTCCTTTGTGACTTCGACCTCGACCGCCTCAACCTCGACCACGTCAACCTCGACCGATTCTACCCAGGATGTGAACGCTCTCAGTCATGTTGCAACTGACAGCGCATCGTCCTCCAATGCTGCTGCTTCAGCGTCGTCAACAGCGATCAGCTCCGGGTCCGCGGGTATGTCTTCCGGCGCCAAAGCTGGAGTGGCTATCGGTGTCCTTCTTGGTGTCGGTTTAATTGCAGCATTGATCTTCTTCATCTTTCGAAAGAAAAGACGCAGCCAAGCAGATGAGCCTCCTCCTATGGATGAAAAGATTTTTAGTGCCCAGGATTTGGCTCCATTTCCTGTCCCCAAGCCAATGGCTCCATCGAAAGCTCCGCAGCTCAACGTTCGTCCGGTAACCCAGTTCGCACCAGATCTAAGCAATAGTGCTTCTTTTGCCACCGCTAGTACTGTCGCTGCCGGTACATGGGGGGCAGCAGCTGCCCCGCGCAACTTGACTGGTGATGTCCCATCTCCTACTCCCCCCAAGTCCGCTGGCAGTGGCAGCTCTCAGAACCCTTTCAAGGACCCGGTCAACCCTTTCAACACTGGCAGTGCTCCATCCTCAGACCAGTCTCTGACCCCAACATCGAGTCCAGACTCCACAGGACCAGCTTTCGCGACACCAGCTGCTGGAGCCGCAGCCGTGGGAGCTATCGGTGCAGCCGCTTTCGCCTCGCATGAATCCGACAAGGAAAACTTTACTCGGCCTCGGTCAATGGAATCAGATGTCCGCCCGCCAAGCTCGCCAAGTCCTGTCAGTGTTGATGATGGTGAATCAATTTCGTCCGCAGCCATGATTGCTGGCGGTGTCCCTGGAGGTGCTGGCCCAGGGCCGTTGAACGTGTACCGCGTACAGCTCGACTTCATCCCCTCGGCGGAAGACGAGCTCAGCCTTCTTGCCGGCAACCTTGTCCGAATGCTTCACGAATATGACGATGGATGGGTAAATTTCCAGACCCTTTACTTTGCTGCGAAAAAATAAATACTAACATCCCTTCCAGGCTCTGTGTGTGCGTCTTGATCGTTCTCAGCAAGGAGTAGTTCCTAGATCCCACCTTTCTGCTCGCCCTGTCAAGCCTCGCCCTCGCCCTCCACCCGGTGCACCTGGCCCTGGCTTCCGAGGTCCACCCGCTATGGGCCCTAACGGTCGCCCAATGGCCCCTGGAGGTCGCGGTCCACCCTCGGGACGATTCTATCCTACAGATGCACGACCCAGATCGCCCGGTAGATACGGTGGCCCACCACGTCCTTATCCTGGCCGTTCCATGTCCCCTGTCCAGTTTCCCGTTCCTCGATCCATGATGCCTGGTCAACGCTCTATGTCCCCTGGACCTGGCATGCGACCCGGTACACGTGCAATGTCGCCAGGTCCGCGATCCATGAGCCCCGGTCTATACGGTGGAGGACCTCGATCAATGAGCCCAGCTCCAGGCCCAGATCACTACGGTGGCCCTGGAATGCACCGCCCAGGAATACCCATCAACCAACGCCAACGCAGCAACAGCGCAGGCAACATGCCCCCAAACGTGGCCGCTATGGATCCTCCCCGATCCAGTCCGCTGGTAACCCAGCCTCTTGCCCCGGCTCCTACAGGTGATCTACCCGCTGTACCCAATTCTGCACCAAGCTCTCCCGGATCCGAGATTAGCAAGAAACCTGTTCCCACGGATTTCTAATCTGCCGTTAATGACTCAAGATACCCCTATGAGCTGACTTGCGATTAGAGACGTATGTCTCGTGTGTACCGCTGGACGGAATGAGCGACTAACTCTGCGTCCGAGATGACCATGTTCTTTGTACCTCTGTATACTTGTTGGATATTCTCATCTTAGATTAATTTTCATAGTTGTTTCTTTACATGGTGGCTCTCTACCTAGTTGGTTCGGATGGTTTCGTCTACATGTGTTTAGAAGGTTTTTCCTGTTGCCCTCCTTCCCTCTTTGTCTTCTCTAACCTCGGAAGGAAGGGAAGTGACAGTAAACCTCTTTCTTGATACGAACTCAGATTTATCACGGCGAACTAATCATTTGATAACCCAGAGCTCTTTACCATTGGGAATATCTGAAGGTGTACCAGTTCATAATTCTATAGAATATCATTTTGGGCCCTACTACTGCTACTGGGAAGAGATCTCGAATAAAACCCGCTCGCGCTTGATTGCTCTATGAAACGTGCAATATAATCCAAAAGAAAATCTATTTCTGTATGTACTCGCCCGTTTCTCTCACAGATGAGGCACCTTTGCACTTGCAAGAATCAAGTTTACAATACTCAAAATGCCCTCGCCTAGGATAAGACCAGATGCCAAGACAACGATAGTCGAAGAAGCAGCGTCCGCCTTCTCAGCTTCTTGTTTAGCCAAAGCAGTTCCCTCTTGTCCGGGCGTAACATCCGTCTGCACAGAGGAGCCCGCATTCTGATCCTGAGCAGGCAATGAGTGCTTGCGAGACCACCACCAAGCAATAATTCCACCGATAACTCTGGCGAGCGTGAAAGATGGAACATTGAAAATACCCACGGCGACGGCAATTCCCCCCGGAACCCAGTCTCGCCAAGCGGGAGGCTTCCCACCGCGTGCAAAAGCAGGAGAAGCAGCCACGATTCGAACTGCCGTGAGACACATCCAAATAGCACCTGCTATGGCCGAGGCCTGCCACGCCATATCAGGTAATCCCTGACCAGTGACAAGCCGCGCGGTGAAGATCCAGACATACGCCGTCGGGGTCTGGAACATTTCACCGGGGATCTCGTAGACGTTCACATACATTTTGTATACGGCGGTAGAGAGAACTGCTCCGACAAGACTGCCGATCATCTGGCCGTAGAACTGAGCTTTGGGACTTGCGCCGAGGAGGTGGCCTGTTTTCAGATCTTGCATCATGTCTCCAGCTTGGAGGGCACCGGACTCAGAGACTGCACCTGCAAGCAGGTTCGTCACTAATGCTGTGCGTCGGGAGAAATGGGATGCTGGGGTGGCGAGCGAAAAGAGAAGTTGTGTCAGTTTGCTGATTCCAGATACAGGGTTGAGATCTGTTTCGCCTAAGGCGCGAACACCCATGATAGAGAGGAGAACGGCGAGAAGAGTAGCGAGACTTGATAGTAATGGGGAGATGATGTCGCCGAAGACAAAATGCATGCACACGACATTCAGGATTAGTGTTAAGGGTAACAAGATGACCACTGTGCGAGTCGAGATGAGCTGTGATGCTGGAGCATCTTCTTCTTCCGGGTCCGCCACAATTGAGGTAGAGTTATTGTTGTTCTCATGACCCTGACCGGAATTCAGAGCATGGTAGTTTACATAGGAGCGGTCATGGGACTGAGATTGCAGCCGAAATGCAATCCATTCGCCCAGCCGAGTAGAGCGGAACCAGGCCATCCATTTAGGAGCATGTTTTATTAAAGGCTTGACGACCAGCCAGCCGAGGCTGACGAGAGAATCAGCCAGCATGATTGCCAGTGATATCCAAACAATCCATGCTTTGCTTCCATCTTCCCAGCTGTCTACGGGTCCAGGGGCCCATCCGCGAGCTTTGGCGAGAGGAGAAAGGATACCCCATCCCAAAATTGCTCCAAAAAGCATATGCATACAGGTCGATGGGCCCATAATGATTCCCTGGCCAATGTATGCAGGGGATGGATTAAGAGTCCAGAGCCAGTTAGAAGCGAGGCCCAGCCCGAATAAGGGGATATCTCGGACCAAGGGGACAAAGTAGGAAAACAGAGTCTATGAATGTCAGTTCGAATATAGAGCCAAATTAGTAGGGGGTGTCTCACGTAGATACCGGAGACTACAAATGCGCCAATGAGCAGGCGCATCTTTGACCGCCAGTCCTTTTGATCAGTTGCCTGGTCCTCAGCCTCGTCATCCTTCAGTAGCAGGCCTTGTGACTCGTCTGTGCGCGAATGAGAGACCCCAGTATCCTGACCCAGCTCAATAGACCGGTCCTGAACTTCAACTGGGACCTTTTCATCTTTGCCACTGCCATGGAGAACCCGAAGCATCAATGCCGACGCAGTACCACTTGGGAACCGCAACTTCTCGCGTACAATGACTTCCTTACGTAGTGGAACTGCAAAGACGACACCAAATAGGCAAACCCCCAAGCTCCAGATCACCAGTTTCCAGAAACCGAGCTTGAGAGGCCCACCCTCTCCGTCCCCACCATCACCCGTAGGTCCATCCTCGCCATCCTTTAGTAGAAACTCCAGCGCAGGAATCACTCCAACAAACCCACAACCAAGTGGCATGGTCCCCACGGCTCCAGCGACAGTCTGTATCAGGACGTTCTCGATCGGCGTAAACGGGAAAGATAGCTGCTTGGACAGGACCTTGAAAACGGAGAAGCCAATCAAAGCCGAGGGCATGGCCATTGTACTGATCCATCCTGTCTGGAGGCCGAAGTAGGTGTTGGAGAATGTAATTAGTGCTCCGATAATGAGGCCAACGATGAGAGAGCGGGGTGTGAAGCTTTGTGCGGAGGTCGCGCGCGGAGTCGGTGTGGCGTTGTTCAGGGCATCCGGGGAACTGGGGGAGATCGAATCATCTGGCCCCCGGTTTTGAGACTCAGAGGCATCTTCTGCCATGCTGAGGGTCTGGTAATTCATCGGCTCAGTGGATTCATGGCAAAGAGACAAATCAAAGCAAATTGGGGGTTGATTGATAAGCTCCGGATGATTAATGATAAGATCACATGACGTCACCTGTAAAACACTAACGGCGTAAGCAATTGGCACCTCACCAGTAGACTTTTAAATTCTCTTCCAATTACAAGTTATAATGATCATGCATCTATGCATACCCCTTTCCAGATCAAATCTTATCCAATTTCTCGACTATTAACAATTGCATCCTATTCCGCCCCACAACTTGCCAACATGAGGTTAGTCCCCGTCTAGCAATCGGGGTCTAAACCCGATTGGGAATGTATAATGCAGGTCAATCTTAAGGAATATTTAAGGCCTTGCAGTCTCGTTTACTCACTTTCTCCTTTTTCCTTTTGTTGTGCTTCCAAACAATCATTCCTTTCGTTCATATTGTTCCCTTTTTTTCTCCTACACTCCTCGATCAACCAATCTGCAGTATGACCGCAACTACAGATAGTAAACCCCGAAAGCGGCATAATGAACAAACCCCAGTCACCGTCACCAATGCTTCTGCAGAGTTCAAGGACTTCACATTGGAACATATTACAGGAGGCTGGCAACCAGGCATGGATCCCAAGGTTGACGATTCCGGTCATTTCGAGTTCGGCGGCTCCCTGGGTTGCCTTGGCCTGATGATTGGGTTTCCAATGTTGATGTGGTATATGTGGATTGGTGCCACTTACTACGATGGAAAACTCCCTCTTCCAGAAGCTGATCAATCATTGGTGAGTTTTGGGAAGCACCTGGTTCATCTTGCCTACACTGGCGCTTTCCCGCATTTCCGTGCATGGCGCATCTACTGGACATACTTGATTTTTGAAGCTGCCTTATACGTCTTGATGCCTGGCTTCACCTGCTACGGAAAGCCTCTTGCTCATCTAGGCGGAAAGCAATTGAAGTACCATTGCTCGGCCTACACCAGCTTCTATTCAACTATCGTTGTCATGGCCATTCTGCACGGCACTGGAGTATTCCCTATCTATACTTTCCTCGATGAATTTGGTCCTTTGATGTCTGTCGCTATTTTCTCTGGCTACATCTTGAGTCTCATCACCTACGTTCAGGCCTTTGCTCGTGGAACACAGCACCGCATTACTGGTTACCCTATCTACGATTTCTTCATGGGCGCTGAATTGAACCCAAGACTTTTTGGCATCTTGGACTTCAAGATGTTCTACGAGGTCCGCATTCCGTGGTTCATTCTTTTCGGTCTCAGCTGTGCGGCTGCAACCCGTCAGTATGAGAGATACGGCTATGTCTCCGGTGAAGTCTTGTTCCTGGTTATGGCCCACTATAGCTACGCCAACGCGTGCTCCAAAGGAGAGCATCTTATCACTACGACCTGGGACATGTACCAGGAGAAGCTTGGTTTTATGTTGACATTCTGGAATATTGCTGGTGTCCCCCTGTCCTACTGTCATTGCACATTGTACCTCGCGAACCACGACCCATCCACATATGCATGGAGCAAACCCGCACTGGCCGCATTCTTTATCTCGTATCTTTTTGTTTACTGGGTCTGGGATACCGCCAATGGCCAGAAGAATTCTTTCCGCATGATGGAACGGGGAACTTGGGTGAAGCGCAAGACCTTCCCACAACTCCCGTGGCAAGAGGTTTACAATCCAAAGACGATTGTTTCTGAGAAAGGAGACACAATTCTTGTCGATGGTTGGTATGGCTTAGCGCGCAAGGTTCACTACAGCTGTGATATGTTCTTCGCGATTTCATGGGCCCTGATCACCGGCTTTCAGAGTCCGTTCCCGTGGTTCTACCCTGTGTTCTTTTGTATTATGATTGCACACCGTGCTATGCGGGACATCAACAAATGCAGACACAAGTATGGTGCTTCTTGGACCGAATATGAAAAACGGGTCCCCTATCTTTTTATTCCGGTTCGTTCTCCCTTCAGATCAAACGAAGATACTTTACTAATGCTTGATAGTATGTGGTTTAAACTATGGTGTGTGGATTCAAGAGAGAACCTTCATACATTTTAGAATATCTTTAATCAACTGTATATAAGTAAAATTGTAGATGTCATTAGACATTTGGATTAATCAAAATACTGACTTTTTCACTACCTCCCTCTGACCATCAGTGGCAATCAGCAACATCCTTTTAGTATGTCTGAGAACAGTGTCAGTGTATATTCACTCTACTCACATGTGCAAAGTTGAGGCAACCTAATTTCAAGTTCATGGATAACAAATGTGGCATCAGACATATTTTTCGATCGAACTGATGCATAATAATATCAACTCAACCGCATCAGACTATTAGTTTTTCGACTTGAAATATGGTTATGATACTGTTGAACACCTGTTCGGGAAACAGTACTACAACTATGTAGTTGAGATTCAAAATTCTACAAGGATATATATATGATTTATGGATTGCTAGCCTTCCACAATAAACCCGTCCTGATATCAGTAGCATACACTAGTCATGATGTTAATCCTTGGAATTGATACAAGTTTTACTGTGAAAATCATTGACAGTTCTCAATTTCTCCGGGCGGGATTTGGTTCAATCCCAGCGTTGACGCAACGTGCTATAGCATAACCAGAGCCCGCACTCAAAGCCCGCGATGGCATGATTCACGTCAGATCCCGAGATAACCAACGCAAGACAGCTTGAGTTTCTCCATGAATGTCTTGTAAATCTAATAGAAGGCAATCACCGATTCGGATGGTACCGAGTCCGGGTCTTACGATGCTGATAATTCCTCATATCGGGATTTGAGAAACAGGATGTTATTCCTAACCAAATGCCTCGAGAACGATGAAAGGTCTATAAATTGACTCATCTCTCCATGCCAAAGGATAATCATCTTTCATTTCAATCACAGTATCTCTTACATCTCACCATCAAACCTTCATGATGGCTCCTGTTCTCAAGAAGTATAAGGCCGCAGCAGTCAACGCTGAACCTGGCTGGTTCAATCTCGAAGAATCAGTTCGACGAACAATCCACTGGATTGACGAAGCAGGAGAGGCGGGATGCAAGTTTATTGCCTTTCCCGAGCTTTGTGAGTTTGGTCCTTTCTCAATGAGTCCTATTTTGCTTATACAAAACCACAGGGATTCCGGGCTACCCTTACTGGGCCTGGAAGGTAAACTACCAAGAAAGTCTCCCGCTGCTCAAAAAATATCGCGAGAACAGCCTCCCATCCGACTCGGACGAGATGCGACGCATTCGACAAGCCGCCCGAAGCAACAAGATCTGGGTGTCTCTCGGCTACTCCGAACTCGACCTTGCCAGCCTGTATACTACCCAGGTGATGATCAACCCTGCCGGGGAGATCATCAACCATCGCCGCAAGATTAGAGCCACTCACGTCGAGCGCCTAGTCTTCGGTGATGGAACCGGCGACACGACAGAGTCCGTGATGGATACCGAAATTGGTCGCATTGGGCATCTGAATTGTTGGGAGAACATGAACCCCTTCATGAAGGCCTATGCAGCCTCCCTTGGAGAGCAAGTTCACGTCGCTGCCTGGCCTCTCTACCCTGGCAAGGAGACGCTCAAGTACCCTGATCCTTACACCAACATCGCCGAAGCCAACGCAGATGTAAGTTACTCACTTATCACTCACAACATTGGAAACAATTGGATCTGATGACTGACCAAGATTCCTCAGCTTGTGACTCCGGCTTACGCCATTGAGACTGGCACTTTCACTCTGGCGCCGTGGCAGACAATTACTGCTGAGGGCATCAAACTTAACACGCCACCTGGAAAGGAGCTCGAAGATCCCAACATTTACAATGGAAACGGACGGATCTTTGGTCCGGACGGTCAAAATCTTGTTCCCCACCCCGCAAAGGACTTCCAAGGTCTTCTATACGTCGATGTGAGTTATCCGTGCTATTCAGTAATACTTTTGCATATCTAATTTTTCCACCAAATAGATTGATCTTGACGAAGCCCATCTGACCAAGGCCCTTGCCGACTTTGTAAGTCCTCCACGAAACGAAGCATTCTCGAGACTAATCTATGTATAGGGCGGTCACTACATGCGTCCGGATCTGATTCGCTTGCTGGTTGATACCAACCGCAAGGATTTGGTTGTTCGTGAAGACCGGGTCAACGGGGGCATCGAATACAACCGAACGGTGGATCGAGTTGGACTTTCCAAGCCTTTGGATATTCCCGTTGTGGAATCAGAGCACCAAAAGTAGGGGGGCGTTACGATTCTAGTGACTATTCTTTCCATAGCTCTCAATGCACTCCACTCTATCAAATCCAATGCATATGCTCAATGAAGCCATTTCACGTTTTCGTTCAAGGATATCAATGAGATCAAATGGCGAACATGATACACTGCATCTAACCTGTTATTTTACACAGTCACGATTCGGAACTTCAAAGATCGGCAATGACTAGGCCTGCTTTCATAACGCAAACTCATTGCGCGTCTCCCAAGTACAAGGCAGTCACTGTTGCACATTAAGCATCTTGTTCAAGGCCATAAATGAATTTGAAATATTTGTTAAAATGGCAGACGGCCAAAAGGCAGCAAACAAAACATAGCACATGATTATTGTGCCGGGGAATCATACACTCGGAGTCAAGGAAACATAGAGAAACCGTCAGTAGCATGAACTGACTAAAGTCCGCACTAAAGTGGACGTCTGATCAAAGCCGCGTTGCGCGGGTGGTCTTGTCGTAGAAATCCAGAGTCATAGCTGCAAGGAAACAAGGAATGTCTTTCCTCTCTTGTACCCAGAATTTCAACAAAGGTTTGATCTCCATGGCGAAGAGGCTATTATTTCCACCTGACAGCTTCATTGATCCATTCTCACCATCGAAAAGGATGGAGTTCTCCTCGCCGTTGCCCATGCTTCCTGGTCCACGGGAATCCGACGATGCGCCTGGGTCACCATGTCGGTATTCCGGAGAGAGGTGGAACATGGATGTGACACGTACTCGGCCATTGGGGAGGATATCCAGCTTGTATCCTAACAATGATGCAACAGCTTCCCTAAACTCAGTAGCCTTGGCGGAATAGATCTCTCTTAGGCGACGATTACGTTTCTCTTTGTCTGCGACAATTTGCTCCATTTCTTGAAGTTCGAGCTTGAGGCTCTCAAGCGTGCTGACGGGAACAACCTTTATTCCGGCATGATCGCCACGTAGTTGGGCAAGAAGATCCCGATTCTCTGACTGCAGAGTCCTGAGCGTGGTCATTTTAATCTTTTCTGCTTCGGCTGTAGGGTTGTCGCGAAGTTCTAGAACGCGAGTGCGGGTCTTGGCTTTGAGTGACCTTAACTGGGATTTGGCAGCATCTAGCTCTTTCCTGGCAAGCGTCGTGGCTTGTTCAGATTTGGAGAGTGCGTCATGCAGCTTGCGATTTTTCCGTGTTAGCACTGCAAGGCGTTCACTGTCAGCCGTGCTGTCTGCCGGTGACAGCGGACGCTTGATGCCCCGGGGTTGTGAGTCGTCCTGAGGCGCTTCCCGCTGAGAAAGTTCCTCATGAACTTTGTGGAGCTCAGTGCGGTACTCATCGACTAGTTGCTGCAGCTGTGCGATCTGAGTGGCCTTCTGTTCATCAAATTGGCTTTGTTCAGCGTTCATGGTTGTCTCTTCTTCGTCAAAGGTCTTGAGCTGTGCACGTAGGTATTCGACCTCCTTCACTGCCAGGACACGCTGTCGTTCCAGTCTAGCCCGAGCCCGAGCATCCGACGCCGTAGGTGCGCCTCCGGCGATGCTCCCGGATGTGCTTGCACGAGCGGTTTCCAACTCTTGGCGAAGTTTGGTCTTCTCATCCTCCAGAGTCTTGATCAATTCATCTTTTTCTAGGAATTGTGCATTAACGGCACCAAGACGGTCAATAAAGGTCGCTTTTTCGATTCGCGCCTGAACCAGGGCCTTGACGATCGCCTCGGGGGAGTCGAACTCTGCCGGCTGGTCATTCTCCTCGAGAAGGCTGGACCATGATTGACGTTCATCCTCTAAGACCTGCTTCTGGATCTGGAGAGTTTCATATTCTGCCTCTACACCTTTCATGAGCTGCAGTTGATTTTCAAGCGATCTCTTCTGCTCTTCAACCACTTGTACATTTTTCTGAACTTTTCGTAGGTGTTGCAACTCTGCCACTTGATCCCGGTTTGTCGACTCCAACTCGCGAAGGTGGGTGACTTGTTCCGTAAGCTCCCTTTTGAGAACACCAAGTGCCTCTCCGTCGCTCCCTTCTGCTTTCAAACGTATGTTTTCTGACTCGAGATCGGCAACTTCCGCTTCTCGTTGGGTCAGTTTCTCCTGTGTCGCTTGCTGGGCTGCACGCGCCTCAAGAAGGTCATTTTGAAGCTCCTCGATTGTTCTTTGAAGGGAGACGCGAACGGTTTCCAGCTCGTTGATCTGGTATTTGAACTGGCGTTCGTGATCAGAGGCTTGAGCTTGGGTCTCGGAGAGTTCTTCCTGAATCATCTGATTTTGATCTTGAAGATTCCTGGCTTTCCGCTCCAAGCTCGCTTTCTCATTCAGCGCTTGTTCTTGGGTGTCCTTCAACTCCTTCGCCAGGGCATCTGATTTATGGGTGGCACGGTTGCTTACGGTCTCGGCAGCCTATGAAGCAACTTTTAGCTCGAGAAGAAAATGTTGCAATCGACAGGACAACTTCTTACCTGTGCCCTTTTGAAATCTGCATCTGCTTTCAATTGTAGCTCCCGCGCCTCTTTCTCGAATCGAAGAGTCTGGAGATCTCGCTCCTGCTTGATGTTTTCTAACTCGAATCGAAGTGTGCTGACTTGAACACGTAGCTCGTCTTTCTCCGCATCTGTATTTCCAACGTTAATTCCTCTTTTATCCTCACTTTCGTTCGATTATTGTCTCACCATGCGCTGGCGGAGGTGGAGGCGGAGGGTGAATGGAGCGGATAGACTGTCCCAAATAGCTTTGTTCTAGAACTGATTGTCCTGCAAGGCTTCTTTGTGAGGAAGACCGGCCTGTTGGGGTTGAAGGTGAGGCAAAGCCCGCTATAAGCTGCGATGCCGGGCGCGTGTTTTCGGGCTCCATGATGGCCTGGAGGATTTGTTAGTCTTCAGACTATTCAAAATGCACAAAGAAGCTCACCTAAATGCCCAGCATAAAGACTCGAATCACCAACACACCCCAATTGAATTTGATGGATAAACAATGAAACAAACTCTCAGTGATGACCAAGTTGGCGCGGGAGGTGTTTGGGTTAGTCAGCGGGAGCTGCCGCACTGGGTTTAGTGCCAAAATTTTAAAGAAATTATTTCGTTGGATTTCTTTTCTAGCACCACACCAAAAGCCTTATTCAAACTTCTCCACCAAAACCCTCGACACTTTTATACATCCGACAAAATGGGCAAGGACCGGGTCGAAAAGAAGGAGAAGCGCTCCGAGAAGAAGGAGAAGCGTGCTGACAAGGATGGTGTTGTCAAGCCCAAGAAGGAAAAGAAGGACAAGAAGGATAAGACCGCTCTTGTCGCTGCGGTAGAGAAGGAGATGTCCTCCCCAGATGTCAAGGCTGAGCGCTCTGCTTCCCCTGCCGATGTCGATGTTGAGGGTGACGAGATGGCCATTGACCGTCCCACTGGTGCTCTTGTGCCTTTCGCCAACCCGCTGGTCGAGGACAAGAACGCCAAGAAGGTGCTGAAGAGCGTCAAGAAGGGTAAGCCTCAACATGCAACTGCTTGAAACTGTCAATTGCTTGTCTGCATTGGAATTTATTCAATTGCGAAAGAGTTTTCCGTCTTACGGGCGACTCCGAGTGACGAAGCGCAAATCCCATGCGCTCACCGTGCAGACTTTTTAGACGGCATCGTGCATCTTCAATTGAACTATCATTAACCATGTTATCTCTGATTTAGCTGCTGTCAACAAGTCCCTCAAGCGCGGTGTCAAGGAAGTCGTCAAGGCCCTCCGCAAATCGGCCATTCCCGCCGCCAACGCTACCATCGAGATCCCCAGCGGTGTTGTCATTCTCGCCGCCGACATCTCCCCTATGGATGTTATCTCCCACATTCCCGTCCTGTGCGAGGACCACGGTATTCCCTACGTCTTCGTCTCTTCCCGCGCCGAGCTCGGTGCCTCGGCCGCCACCAAGCGCCCAACCAGTGTGGTCATGGTGACCCCCAAGTCTGCCAAGAAGGGCAAGAAGGACCTCGAGGCCGATAACGACAGTGAGGACTTCGGCAAGGTGTTTGAGGAGCTCGCCAAGCTGGCGGAGAAGGAGCTCAAGAAGGTGGTCGTTTAAGAAGATCGCTTGAATTGTGTGTTTTCTCGTTTCCCACTGTCAGCTGCTGGTGGGGTTCTCTTATTGTACAGGTTTATGTTCTTGATAGGACCGTGCATGTCTTCGGGGGTCCGGCCTTGGGTTTCTTTTTTGTTCAATCTTTTTGCTCTAGCAGCTCGGCGTTTCTTCAACGGTGTATGAAAAGGCAGGAAAAGAATTTCAATGAGAAATTACCCCATAGATTAATTGGTTGCTAAGAGTAGATTTTGAGTGGGTCTCCATGCGTTCCTTTCTCCTGGCTAAGGCCCAGGCCCTGAGCTATGGCGGCAGGGTTGTCTGGTTCTTGTACATGAACCTTTAACAATGATTCCTATCCGAAGAATCACAGTGACACAAACTCATTGGCAAAATCGAAAGCTTTGACCAACTTAAGTGCTAGGGTTTTAATCTAGAAGATTGGCCTTGCATCACACCCGAACTATCAAGAGTGGCGTTTCCCCATTCCACGACGATCAATCTGATCAATCCCTTTACCTCATATACAGTATTCAACAAGGGGGTAATAAACCACATACCTCGATTCCAAAAAAATCAACACGTAGCCAACCATCGCTCACCCCCGCTCGGGAGATACGGTGTGTTCAGGGCGGATTTGTCTGCCCTAGCTTAGATTCACAAGGGTCTGTCGTACGCGGCATCTATGACAGTTTTTGACGGCCCTTGCGGGTCATTTCTTTTGCTTCTTTAACCCACTGCCCTACTTTCGTTTGAATTTAAAATAAATCTCGCCCCGTTTGATACGTCTTTGGCTCTTTCTCTTTTGTGTGCTTTGTACCAATGCGCTGTCTACAACACTTGGACGCCTAAATTAATAATTTCTGTTTACCCCTACCCAACTATCCTCTCATCTTTTTACGATGCTCGCATCCCGGTCTTTGTACTGGACCCTCGTTGTGTTGGTTCTAGCAATTATACAACCGGCCGTTTCACATCCTATATCAACGCCGAAATGGATGAAAACGACCCAATTCGAGAATCGGGACTCCCGTGGAGTCTGGAAGGGTTTTAAAAAACACGAGGAGATTCCCCTCTCCCAATTATCCCAAGCTGTATCCACCCAGGTGAGTTTTGCTATCGTCTCAAAATTAGTTGTGTAGCGCTGACGAAGTACATATATAATCAGTCTGCTTCCACATCAACAATCCATGAAACAAGTCTTGAGCGAGGACAACCAGGCCGTAACTATAAACGGGACACAATTTCAGACAAACCGATCGTCTCTGTCTTGGTACCCAAACCACTTATCTCGGAAAAACTAGACCGACACTGGAAACACCCTCAAGCCGAGCACTATGAATCGCCATGGAAGAACACTGCCCCTTCAACAAAACATTATGGGGAAGTGTTAGGAAACAAAAAGGCGAAAGTGGAAACAACCGGATTCCACAGACAGGAAACCCAATCTTCTACATCTTCATTGCGACTCTCATCCGGAAACTATATTTCTATCTTTTCATACCGAATCTCTTTTCCATTCTTGAAGGTCGCCCAGGTTTCTTTCCCTCAGTTTCCTCTACCGCAAATATTCACTACGGTTATGATTCTACTGGCCTTGGTCTGGATTGCGATTTTAGCAATTGGGTTGGCGGAAGTGGGTAATTATTTATGGAAAAGGGTAAAATCGGCTTGGCTTGCAGGTGAAAGTCGTGAAGTGGCGAAGGAGGACTCGACAGGCAGGGTCGTGGAATTGAAAGAGCCTTTTCAGGTTCCTGTTGTTCTGAGGCTTCCAAGGCGCGAAGCTGCCTGGCGTCATGAAAATGAGTTTCTGTCGAGTAGTTCAGAATCAGACACTGACTCCTCTGGGATGGACGACTCTCGTATGCCTTGAATCTTCTCGCATGCACTCGACATTTTGATTCTAAAAACCCTCTAATGGAATGTATATATTCATATTCAATATTGATCTACGGGTCACTTACCGTTGATCCTCTGAACTGCTTAATTACTAGGTAATTCCTTTAACTAATAATTAAGAATAGGTATCAGTTGGTTTAATAAATGGAACCATCTTAATTTTAGCTAATTTGGGGCTCCATGAGAATATCCAGGGTTAATATACATGATAACGAAACCATCCATGATTCATCAAAACCATACCAAAGGCCAGAGTTCAAGAAAATAGAATCGCTTGCTCGCTCGCAAAATTAGAGATCAACAATGTGATCAAAATTCAAAGTCCAAAGGGGCAAACATTGCGAAGGCTCTAAGCACGCTGGTCCGTCTCCAGAGCATCATAGGGAGTCTCAGTGTTCACGCCCTTCTGCCGAGGAACACCAGCATCGAATGCACTCTTAGCATTAGAGTGCTCGAACTTATTAATCGCAGCACGACCAGGGTCCTGCTCCGAACCGGCATCAGCATCGAAAGAAGCATTACCGCCATTGTACTGGCTGCTGCCACTTGCACTCGCAGAGTTTCCGGTATTCATGCCCATTTCCTGCTTCGCGGCGGTCGAGCCGCCAGCGTAGCCGCTAATGTGGGTACCCGGGAAGTTGCCTTGACCGCCCAGGGCTTCGGGGTATGTCTGCTTTGTTTGGCGATCCTCACGGAGACCACCGGCTGGAGCAGAGGAGAGGGTTGTGTGGGCATTGGTGTTCTTGAGTTGGGATGCGGAGATGTCCTCGGGCTGGGCGCCGCGGTTCTCGCTGAATGCACCGCCTTGACGAACGGACTCAGCGGCGAGAGAGCCGGTTGGGACGGGGCCGGCAGGTTCTTCAATGGGCTGTTGAGTGGCGCGAGGGTCGGTGGTGACCTTAGTGCTTCGGGAGCCGGGAGCGATGGGAGTGCCTTGAAGATCCATGTTGATGTATTCTTTTTGAAAGGGATGACGGTATAGAATTTGATTTGGCTTGAAAATTTATTGTAGTTGAGATGGGCTTAGCGATTTAGAATTCTGAACAGTAGCAGGCGACAGCCCCAAATTATATAGCATTTCCATCGAGCCCTTGCGCTATAGACTAAACAGCGATTGATATCATATGTACACATCAGACCAAGTGATGTCACACTTACGACCGCGAGAAGAGATATACTGTCCTGTTGTTTGGCATGAGTAACGTCAGATATTTTCATCGAGTGATATGTGGCGGATTAGAGCATTCGAGCGATAGGAAAGTGGAGCTCTGCATGATTCTCCTGCCTGCTTCTGGAAGGCAGACTTGTTATCGCTGTTTTCACAGAGGGTCTAGTATCCACACTCTTATTTCATTGTGGAGTCATGAGTTCATCAGGTTCATTGGGAGGAAACTGGGCAGAAGTTGATATCAAGTTGGAGATTGACGTCAAGTCCAGAACGTTCTTGAACAAACGTTGCAAACACGTGCACCTTCTCCTATTTCATTAGCACAGGCTTACAAAAGTATATTCAATTTGTAGCCTTCGTAAACGATGACTTAATACTAAAATTCTTTCAATAAAATTTCTCAAACCGTCCTTCTAAGAGTGGCTGGTAATATCCCGGTCTCAACGCCACTCGACGGCTCCGGCGAAGCCGCAACCTTAATATGTGGATAAATATAGCTTCTCTGAAGTTTTGACTAGCATTACACACGGTTGATTTTAAGTGGATTTGGTCTTTGATGGGGGCATCTACTAAAAAATGTAATAATATGCTCGCTATGAATTCATTTGTTTATCCATGACTCGTGAATTAGCTATCATACATAATGGATCCTATGCTCCATGCAACATCTCATTTGCGAGAACGGGCGTCGGAAGGCAAGTGGTCAAGGCCTTCAACAGCCTGGCGACCAGCATTAACAGGGGCAGTCTGCTGGTGCAATGTGGCCCCGTCAACACGAGCACTGCTCTGAGCAGTTGTTGAACCCTCCAGACCGCTGTTAGGGTCGTGAGAAATAGGACCTGAGACACCGCCAGAACCGACGTTCACGGTACGCTGATCGGCGGATTGCCAGTCACTGGCAACTGGGGGCTGCTCAGGCAGAGGCAGGTTGGACTTGGCTTCGTCAATCTGCTGAGGCTTGTTCGTGTTTTCGTCGATGATGGACTGGAAGTAAATATATCGTTAATTGAAAGTCTTATAAAGCGACAGCCTGGAATTGTTCTCACCTTCATGATGGAAACATCAGAGTCGGCAGGGACAACGCCACCATGGCTCTTGGAAACCTTGGATTCTTCTTTGCGGAGTTGCTCCTTGGTGGTGTGGAAGGTAGCGTCAGACATTGTGGTGTGGATGATTGAGCAAGTGGATTGATGATTTGGAGTTGAGAATCGAGGAGGAATGCTATTTAATAGTGCTTGCAGAAGTTGTGATGATTGATATATGCGGGTCTGTGAGACAGGTCCTAGAGCGATTCTTATAGGCGGAAACTCGGTCTGTGACGTTCATTCCTAAATGACGACATAATGGCAATCTGGGCCATGGATGCCATCAATCTCCACTGAAACCAGCGTGGAGCGACTAGTCGTACTCTAGAAACTTGCTGAGACGGTCCTGGTACTAGATCGACTGAGCTCGTTGACCTTCCATTAGCGTCATGGCGCACGACCACCCGAACGGCCTCACCGGTGAACGGCCTCGCCACCGGTGGATCCTGGAAAACATATCGGTTTTCTCTGATCGGCATACCTTGCAATTATGGACGTGACAACAAAATGAGACTTCAAAATTCTCCGCATAGAGCTCCAAGGAAAACATGCTCCTATCATCTATGTCATGGCCCCGCTACGCTGTTCATCGAGTCAAGCTCGATTCATCCCAGTCAGCCTGATTGGCGGTCCCGATAAAGTACGAGTGAAGGTGACCATGATGATGCCTGCACCTCCTCTATTGTGCATGCAGTAATTCCCCTGGAAATTCATTGGTCCGGTTCCTGATATCATCCCTTATGAAATTTGGCCATCTTGGAGCCGCATCTTCGACTGATCCATCGGGGGTTGAGGGGGAACTGGCCACCTAGACAGTAGATTAATTCATTGCTTAGATTTTGGAGCTGATGTCCAATTTTAAGCCCTTTTGAGCTTTGGGAAGACTGTAGTCTTGTGGCTTGCCTAAGTAATGATTATATCATCATTCCACCAGTTGACCAAGTCACCGCTCTGGCCGGCCGGCAGAAAATGTTGCTTATCGTAAATCGAAGGCCGATTGTGTGACTGTGCATGCAGAGTGATCGCGAAAGACTGTTCTTTGGATCGGTAGCGACTATATAACTGCTAGAATGCCTAGGGATCCATTGATCGGACTGGTGGGAAAGGTCTGCGATCCAAATGCCTCCCTGCACGAGACCCCGCTAACCATGTGAGGGACAGCCATCAAGTGGTAAATCCACGACGTTGAACAGTTTGACGGATGCGACATCCAAAGTTGGTAGGTATATCTTTGAAGAACATTTCTTTCACATCGCTAATTAATCTCTGTGAATAGGCAACTTCCCGTATGTCCATCATACGACAAATCACCGCTTATCAACGCGCTAACGGCTGACACGCCAGTTTTACCACCATTGATCCCCAGCGAGCCATCGGATACCTCCAGATCGATTGCGCTTGTATCCGGCACGGCGTCTCAGATAAATGCGCACCGAATTACGGCGGCTGCCACGAAGGGCGGCGCTCCGTTCCCATTGAGTTGCTGGACGTGGCCGGACTTGTCCCAGGCGCTCACCAGGGTCGAGGATTGGGAAATAAGTTCTTGGACGATCTGCGACATGCGGATGCCTTGATTCATGTGGTGGATGTGAGCGGTACCACTGATGCCGAGGGAAAGGCAACACGTGGATACGATCCCTCTGTGGACATTGAATGGCTACGAGGAGAGATTGTAAGATGGGTGCTGGGCAACTTGATGGAGAAATGGTAAGTCAATGCACTCGGGAAAGAAAAAGATAAGTGCGTCGATCTAAGGATTCAGTTAGGGGTTCTATCCGGCGGAGACATGTCGCAATTAGTATGTGAGACCTCTTTGCCGTGCTGGAAATACTCCATTAACATACAACAGAGGGCAACCCCGTCGACACATTACAAGGTCAATTCTCAGGATACGGAAGTACTTCGTCGGTCGTGGCACGTTGTCTTGACAAGCTTAATTTGAAGGAGCCTCTGGAGCACTGGTCAGATGAGACTGTCCAGATAGTGGTCGAGGCTTTCATTGATGAAAAATTCCCTACGGTGTTTGCGTTGAACAAGATCGACCACCCGGACGCAGACAAGGTGAGTTGAGCAATTAAAATAACACATACCCAATCCAACTCTAAATCCAAACAGAACATCAGCAAAATTGCCAAGATGCAAGATCCCGAGAGCATTGTGCTTTGCTCTGCCATATCAGAAGTCTTTCTCCGACGACTCGCCAAGCAGCAATATATCAAGTATGTTGAAGGCAGTGAATTTGTGGATACACGGGAAGACCTGATTGATATGGGTGATCCGGATGGAGGAGGACTAAAAGAAATGGACGAGAAGTTGAAGACGTAAGTTTTTCGTTCAAAGATGACACCATTATTCGGCTAATATCGCAATAGTCGAGTAGAAAACTTGAAAGATATGGTGCTATATCGCTTCGGATCAACAGGTGTCGTTCAATGTCTTTCTCGAGCGGCAGCGTTACTGGGCCTGGTGCCAATTTTCCCTGTGCGGAATGTCGCAACTTTCAACTCCGGGAGTGGAAGCGCCGTCTTCCGCGATTGTGTTCTCGTCAAGAAGTAAGTGATTTTGACAAGTTAAACCCGCCAGCTTCTAAAATATCACAGAAACAGCACAGTGGGCGACGTAGCCCGAAAGGTCATGGGCGATGTACCCATTTCCTATATCGAAGGAATCGGAGGCACTCGAGTCTCAGAGGACGACTTGGTTGCCGTTGGCAAAAACGATGTGAGTTCTTACGACGGGATTTTGGTAACATAAAAACTAATGCAAAGTTAGATCTTGACATTCAAGGTGGGCCGGTAGACCATAGCTACTCCTATGTACAGTCTCGTGGAGTTACGTTAGCAATGGATACACCGCCACGATGCGATATTGAAAACACTCCTTTGAAGAAGTAGATCCCAGCGCCATTCTCAAAACACCCAAACGATCGACTCAACAAAAATTGGCAAATCAATGGCCCTTCTGCGTGATGAAATTAGATCAGCATTGAAACCAACATCCAAACAGAGGACCGAGTCCAGATCTAGTCTCACCTGTGCTCGCTCATCATTCATTCCAATTATAGGCTCTGGAGCCGCTGGGTGCTCCGCCTTAGCCTTTTTACTGCTCTTAATACCGCCTCTCTGTGTGGTGCCCTGGGACTTGGTCTGGTCCGCGATCCCCTGATTCTCCTGTCTTTCTTCCATGCCAGACGCGGATGCCTCGGAGGCAATATCGTATGTATCTCCTTTCTTAGATCTCTGAGTGGAATGGTCGTCTGTTGATGAGCCTTTCCACTTGTTCAAAGTAGATTCGTGTCTAACGCCACCGAGGGCAACGAAAGCTGGCTGAGCAATCGGTTGCTTTAGTAGAGTAAAGGGCAGGTATGGGGCGAGCACACTGTATGGTTTCATTGTCGATATGCGATGTTGTTGTTTCCTGAAGTTGTAATGATTTGTAAAGAGTACTAAAGTTCAAGTTATCTTGTGCAATTTTTCTTATAGCTTGCAAGCGGAACCCTGATTCACCTTAAAGTGATGACGTTATCATGACTTGTTCTTATCGATGAACTTCGCATTTTTCAACAAAATTATCGCCTTGAAGTGGAAATTGGCACTTCCCCGTTTATCATTTTATCCCTTTTTCTAAAGTAAGGTGTCCCTTTTTCAAACCCTCATCTCGCCTGCTGCTGGATTTGACGAACATGAAGCTTACTAAGCGCACGGTTGCAGGCCCGAGCTTGGGCCATCTCCAACAGTAGTTTATATGAACAAACGCGTTGGGATCCAATTTAATCAAAGAATATGAGCTCATAGCCATCAACGTCAGGAATTTTCTTAATTCATTTCATTTCAAATCTGGAAAGTACATATACACACAGGTCACGAAACCAACATGCGGCGGGAATACCTTCCGTTGGATTCTTTACTAGCCTGGTTGAGGCTAAATGGAATTGTCACAAATGGCGTTGCTGTGCAAAGACTGGAAACAGTTGAGTCAGACACAGACAAGGGCAATGCGATAATAGCAACAGCGGACTCCAAGCATAGTACCGACGAGCAGGTCCTCCTCCAGATCCCACGGGACTTGGTGTTGTCATTAGAATCGGTGCACGACTATTTCAAATCCGATCGTGATCTTCGCGACGTACTCGAGGCAGTAGGGGATTTCGGCAGAGTATCAAACACAATCCTCGCCACTATACATATGATTATACGAACTAACAGTCAACAGACAGCGAGGGGTTCAATATTGATCTTCCTTCTCGTTCAAATCACACACAATAACTCGCAAATGCCCCGGCATATAGGGGTATCCAATCCCTGGACCGAATACCTCAAATTTCTCCCGTCTTCATTTTCTCTGCCTACCTTCTGGTCGGAAGAGGAACGGGAGCTGCTGAAGGGAACTTCTCTTGAGGTAGCAATAGACGCTAAACGGAACTCGCTCGAAAAGGAGTTCGAGTTGATTCGTCAGGCTACTGAAGGTATATCCTGGTGTCAGCAATGCTGGTGGGCTGAAAGTCCGGACGGTTTGACCTTCGAGGACTGGAGATATGTCGATGCGGCATATCGATCACGCATGTTGGATCTGCCGGGGAGCGGGCATTCGATGGTGCCTTGTGTGGACATGGTTAATCATGTGGCTGGTGCAGCAGTGAACGCGCTATATGACGCGGATTCTGATGGAAATGCGATCCTGAAGTTGCGCGATGGTAAAACCTTGCGAACAGGCGAAGAGGTGACTATCTCGTGAGTTCTCTCCAAAAAACTAAATGGCTCCTTGCACTGATACTTCGGCTAGATATGGAGATAAGAAGCCTGCATCGGAGATGATATTCTCCTACGGATTTCTTGACCGTGAGATGACGGAAACAACTCAAGTCATGTTGAACATGAACTTCTCCGAGGACGATCCTCTTGGCATGGCTAAGAAAATGATCTGCAAGGATACTCCTGGAATCCGAGTTTCTGTCTGCCAAGACCCAGCTATCACCAGTCCGACATCATCAAAAAAGCCTGGAAGCATCATCTGGGACAGCCCGTTAACCTGGTGGTCAAGCGTGAATGAAGAAGATGGACTTCAAATCGGGATCGCACAAACAATGGATGGAGGTAGAGAGCTGGAGGCACACTGGAAGGGCGAGAAGATTCAATCACCCGATCAGCTCCCTCAACTCCTTGCAGCTGATCCTTTGATCGATATTTTCCAACTTCGGGCTGTCGTCTTGGTGCTGGAACGGCTGGAATCGCAGCTTTCGCTTCTACATGAAACAAACGAGGTTCTAGAAAATCTGCACAAAAACCCGGAAATTCTGAGAAGTTTGTTTAGACCTGAGATTTTCGATATGGTAATTCAGCTGCGGCAGCTTGAGGGCACATTACTACAAAAGGCAGTTGAGGAGCTGATGCAGCAGGTAAGCAACCAGCCCCAGAAACAAAGACGCCGAGGCTGCACTATGAGGATCTGCGCTGATAACCCTTAGAAAACCGACTTGATGAAGTCAGCGACTGTTACAAGGTATCTCGAGCAGGCTCAAGCAGATGAAGTTGAAGATTTTTCATAGATCTAGCCATGGTAAACTATCAACTCCAATAGTACCCAGTGGTGTTTCAGTCCAAAAAGTAAAGGTCAGGCGAACGCACCCCGCAGAATCTCACCCGATACGAAGCCACATCTCTAAGAACACATAGTCTGGGGAGTAGCTGATGCGGAGAACAATGCCGTTAGTCCAATCCCAGTCAAGCTAATCCAGACTATGACGTTCATAAATTCATTTCCAGGGTCTCCACAGGCGCTAGAGGAATGATCTACAATTTAGTGAAAGTCAAAGAATTGATAATATCTGTAACTAGCGTTCGGCATGATCACATTTGCTGTTTTCATCCAATAGATCTTCAATCAGAATGTTCACCCCATCTTTGGGTCCGAATAATTTGTATGGTCTGGCACTCCATGTCGGCAGCCACATACTGTAGGAAAATTGTTCCTTCTGATTGGATCTCGGCTGAGAACGGCGCTAGTGTAAGAGCCGAGTTGCTACGGTGGGTCTCATTGGGTCCACAAAAGTTCAAAACCTTCGGTATTCGATCGGATAAAACTCGCTGAGTTTGTTTCGATCGAATGAACCTTGGATTCTGGGGTTAAAATTACCCATGGCTCAGATACATAGGATGCAGGTATTTTTCGTTATGATCGTACAGCGAATTTGGTAGATACTCGTATGAAACTTGCACTACAGCGATCTCGCCACTTTCAGGTCAACTGCCTAAACCTTGTGCACGTTTTTAGTGCGACGAAAGGGGGGAATACCGGCGAACTTCGGAGACGGGATCGATATGCAAAGTAACGGTGTGAGACATGGAGGCCGGCCATATGTCATCGGTTGCCCGTCTTTTGGGGCTTTTAGCAGTATGGCACATATGGGGCTAACCAAGCGTGATCGACGATGAAATTTTGAATACACGGGGTTAAATGGGGGGTAAACCGAGACTCGAACGAGTTGGTAAGAAAATGACGGAAAAAGAACATCGGAAGCAAGTTGCGGGTGTAACTCCGAGCCCAAGGATCGGAATAATTCGACAAGGAAACTCAGTAATAGAGTTTCAACGATGGACTACAGTTTCATTTGTCAGGACATGAATACTATTCCCCCATGTTCATCAGAAATGTGGAGTCCGGGGGAGCAGCGGGAGGATCCAAAGATCTTCAACTTGTCGTTTACTTACGGAGTACGGAGTAAGTACGGAGTACTGTAATAAAACGATATGGAGTGGCAGTGGAGAAACACAAGCAATTTAACGTTTGTCCTGTACCTGTAAGTCCTGTAACTTGATTGGATAAGCAAGGTCAGCAACTCCCCATGACCTGACTCAGCATTCTCCCCCTCCCTAATCCCCCCCATATCCTAGTCCTTCTCTATACCCAATCCTCATATACAACACTCAACTACAGGAGTATACGACACTTTGTGACCTACCTTTCGACCAAGATCTCGGGATTTTTCAACCCCTCCCAGTGACCGAGGCGGCCGGTGTGCCCAGTCGATCGAAAATGCCGGGAATTTTACCTATGAAAGTGATCAAGGTCGGTGGCACCGGCGTACAAAGTCGGATCGCCCAGGCCTGTGATCGATGCCGAAGCAAGAAAATCCGGTGCGACGGCATCCGACCATGCTGTACACAATGCGCCCATGTCGGATTCGAATGTAAAACGAGCGATAAGTTGAGCCGCCGGGCCTTTCCTCGAGGATACACCGAGTCTCTTGAGGAGCGGGTGCGGGCCCTGGAATCCGAAGTGAAAGATTTGAAGAATCTGCTGGACGAGAAGGATGAGAAAATCGATGTTCTGTCGCGCATACACTCCTTTTCACCATCGCAACGCGCGGCCCCCATACGATCTCCCTCCACATCCACCACAACCAAGTCCCCTCCGGATGAATCCGGGGGTGTTATTCATATTGAACGACTCTCCCGTCAGCTTATGCAATCTTCCAATAATCCCTATACTGCTTTGTCCAGCACCCAAGGCTTTGCTGGTATTGTCTACTGCTTCTCTGGAGAAATGTTTCCCGCTAACCTAACATCTGGCAGGAGTTTTCACCGATAAACTGTTGAACCAGGGACGATCAACATCGAAACTTTCAACATACGAGCTAGCAAAATTGTCGCATCCTGTCTCTCGTGGCATGCTTAACCAGCCTATTAGGACACCACCTCGTTTGGTGTCAGACCAACTTATCAATATATTCTTCCAAGAATGGGCCCCTTTGTACCCGGTGGTGCATCGCCCGACTATTTTGAAAGCCTATGAACAATATCTTAATGGCTCCGGCTCATTGAAAAGCGACTTTCATATGATGGCCCAGTTAAATTTAATTTTTGGAATTGCCGCTCTTTCGTCTGGTGTGAGTGCGACTCGGGATGAAAAGACTTGACGCGAATACAAGCTAATTTCTAAAAGTCGCGAACTAACCAAGATCCCACCTTTTTCGAGGAGAATTGGTCGAGTCTCCTGGATTCCGTCTCCGATGAAACGTCAATGAAAAGCCTGCAGTGTTTCGTTCTCGCTCAAGTTTACTGTATGACCAAAACCGATTATCGCAGCCTGTTGCGCTATCGTGCTCTTGCGGTGGATGTTTGTCACCAACTCGGACTTAATCAGGAGAGCCTGGCGTCTAACACGCTGGAAGTGGAGACTTGCAAGAAAGTCTTCTGGTGTCAATATGTGTTGGATCGCTTCTCGTCTGCTCTGACTGGAATGCCCGTTCTCCTACGCGAGGCTGATATCCAGACCGAGTATCCTGTCGACGTGGACGACGAATACGTCACAGAGACCGGCTTCTTGCCTACTCTTCCTGGCGAGTCCACTCGTCTTTCAAGCGCCCTTGCGCTTTTTGGAGTTTCCCGCATTTTAAGTCAGGTCTTGGAGCAATTGTACCCTTCAAAGGCTGCATATAACATTTCTGTCTCCAAGATGCGTGCTGTCACCGAGCAGTTAGATGAATGGCTCCATACGTTGCCTTCTCATCTTCGCCTTGAGTTCTCCCAGGACAAACCCAGCACGAATGTGACAAGCAGCCGATCGCCTCTTTTGGTTCGTATCTTCGTAAGCCTTTTTGATTTATACTAACATTCTCTAGTCTCTTGTATACTTTTTTATCCGGTCCCTGATTCATCGCCCTGCTGTGTGTTTCGCCGACGAAAATCTACGCTCGCGATCAGTTCTCGCAATGTCCGATTCTTCGAAGCATATCATTCAAATACTGGAACTTCTTGATGAGCGTCGATTGTGTCTTTCATTCAGTCTCAACCGCAAGGAATTGGTGTTCTTTTCTGGCCTTGGACTCCTGTGGCAAACTATTGGCTTGAAACGTGACAGTAAACTGGCCAAGGAGAGCCAGAAACTTCTCGCTACAGCGACGCAGCAACTGGGGGCAGAGTCATCCGCCGCGGCTGCCGAGTTTAGCCACATCATCAATATTCTGGTGCCATGTGAAAACCAGGGCACCCTTTCTCACAAGCACGAAACTGAGATGGCAGCTCCAAATAAGTCATTCAAATCCCCGAAGAAGCAGCTGCAGTCGCTAAAGTCCGGCATCTCCTCCAGCATGGGTCGAGACCACGCCCCCAAGCAGGCCTCGCCTTCTCGCCGGAATACAGTTTCTGGTGCTACCCTTACAACCGCTGCTCAATCCCTTCGCTCTCCCAGCTGGAACAGCCTGCCCCCGTCACAGCCAGATCATCTTTCCACCCCCAATTTCCAAACCGGTCGGCATTCTTTCGACCTGTCCTCGGACCCTCACATGCTGTCTACGGGATACGATTACACCCGAGATATGTCTACCTCAACTCCATCCGATGCCACACGGGGCGCTATCACAATGGCTGATTGGGAGTATGTTCTCAGCGATATGGATCGGGGATATTCAAACATTTTCAATGGAATTTACGGTGGTAAAGAATGTGGAGAAGACCCCGGGCCTTTCGCATCCATCACCGCCGAGTATAACCGGAAGGCCAACGACGGGCTTGCCATGCCTTCGCCCTCCGATATGGTCAAGCTATCCCCCGAATCTTGGTCTGCCAGTAGTGGCGACTATGCGAACCAACAGGACCATGTCGCACAGAGTGTTCTGAGTTACTCAGGGGAAAGTATGAGTAGTGAGGACAATCTGCTACTCGCTGACGTCTCGGGCCGTGCGGAGGATATGGGTCTTTATGATTCTTTCCATGGTCTTTCAATGCCGCCCAAAGAAGATATTGATGAGTTGGCTCTCGTGAACGGTTGGGACCGTCGGTTAGCTGCTTGAGCTTTGTTTATTCTTGGTTCTTGGTTCTAGGTGCTTTTTGTCATGATACCTCGGAGGGCGTTCTTTTTATCACTCCTTCGCACTCGGCGTTGAACCTTTTGATCTGGATATTTGGATACTATTTTCTGGACATTTTTCAATTGGATATACGGTTTCCCACTTGATATATGTTATATATCATGACTCTGATACGAATGCAAATACGGTATATAACATGATATACGCTCATTTGGATGTCTTTGCCCCCTGCACCGTGCTTCTCAGACCTTGGGTCCATGGGTCCTTGGGTCCTTGCCTGAATGCGGATCCTATGTGGTAAAGCCTGATCATGGCCCTTGCGGATAATCCCACGCTTCTTTTGCACACTCGCGATGCTGCGTAAATAGCATAGCTTCAAATGCTGATCCTCGCAGTATAGTCGTATGGTAGGTAAATCTTCAGCCTATTACTACTATATAACTACACTACTACACTGTGGTGATCAAAGTACGCTTTTCAAACAGCACCACGCGAGTACTGCGCATGCCTGGTTCTACCCACAAGAGCTATATGACCCAAAGGGCTTTACCACAGATGGATGACTGGAGATCATAGATAATTAACAAGTCAATGACCATTGCCAAGTTACGGCTGGATTTCTCAACCGCAGGCGAAGTCCCAAGCTTTTCATGAATGCCACCTATCTCACCACTCTATTCAAAATCGACCTGCCTCCTTCAGAATAATAATTCGCCACCAGGAACTTGGTCACAAGATCCAAAGTCGACGAGATTGGCTCGCCACCGACATTTATGGGGTCTAGGTTCTCGAAAAACTGGATGACGACTTCCCCGGAACCCACGGATGCGCCAATAATTTATGCCAAAAGCAAGTCCCCACTTCCCCGGACTCTCACGTTTTGACGGATAACTCCGATGGCCTCAAGAGGGGACTTGGTAAGTCTGAATGAACGAGTCATCGTTTTCCCAATCTGTCAATTGGTCCTTTTTCCCAAGATTAAACGCCATGCCGTCAGTTTGTCAGCCTTGGCGGCTTGCTCTTGAGCGGAGGTATAAGAAGCCTTGTCGGCACTGGATATTTTAGGTTTGGTATGCAAAAGCAGACTGGAAATATCCTCTCTGGCACGAAAATCTCCTCATCGCCACTATGTTTGAAAAATTGTTAAAGAAACGAACGCAGGATGTCTATGCTGACAGTGAGGCTCCCAGGGAGTCGGTGTCTACTGTTGAGCGTGAGAAAGGTCCCGGTGATCTGGTCGATACTCATATCCCACTTTTCACCGTGCGCTCCTTCGTCATGGGCATCTTCGTGTCTATGGGAGGATTCCTATTTGGCTACGATACCGGTCAGATCTCAGGTTTCCTTGCGATGCCAAATTTCCTAATGCGATATGGTCAACGGAGTTCAAATGGTACCTATGTGTTCAGCAATGTCCGCTCTGGCCTGATTGTTGCCCTGGTAAGATTCAGCAGCTCTTTCTTCCTCAAACAAAGCTAACATGACACAGCTTTCCATCGGTACCTTGATTGGAGCTCTGACTGCAGCCCCGGTTGCCGATCGCGTGGGACGGAAATGGTCCATTAGTGGTTGGTGCGTCATACTCATGGTCGGGGTTACTGTCCAGATCTCATCTCCTTCTGGCAAATGGTACCAATTTATGGTGGGCCGTTTGATCACTGGACTAGGAGTTGGTGCACTATCTCTACTGGTACCCATGTACCAAGCCGAGTCAGGTCCAAGACATATCCGAGGTTCGCTGATCAGTACTTACCAATTGTTCATCACGCTGGGAATCTTCGTTGCCAATTGTATCAACTTTGGTACAGAGGCTCGCTCAGATACTAGTTCGTGGCGAATCCCTCTTGGAATCACCTACTTCTGGGCTCTGGTCCTCGGCGTCGGCATGCTCTTCTTCCCTGAGAGTCCCCGATACGACTACCGCCACAACAAAGTGGAGAAAGCAATAACCAACCTCTCTAAGATTTATGGCGTTCCGCGGAACCACCGTGCTCTTGCTATTGAATTCGAAGAAATCAAACAAAAGTACGAGGAAGAAGTCCGCAACGGCGTAGTCACCTGGAAGATGCTGTTTAGAGCCCCAACTATGAGTTACCGTGTCGCCCTAGGAGTGACCCTCCAGGCTCTTCAACAACTCACAGGTGCCAATTACTTCTTCTACTACGGGACCGTTGTCTTTAAAGGAGCCGGAATTTCAAACAGCTACGTTACCCAGATGATTCTCGGAGGAGTGAACTTCGGATGCACGTTTCTAGGCCTTTATCTGATCGAGCACTACGGTCGTCGTCGTTCTCTGATCGTAGGTGCCTTGTGGATGTTCGTATGCTTCATGGTATTTGCTTCGGTGGGGCATTTCTCGCTTGACCGTGCAGACCCCCCGAAAACCCACTCCGCCGGTGTGGCAATGGTAGTCTTCGCCTGTCTCTTCATTCTCGGCTTCGCCAGTACGTGGGGTCCAATGGTCTGGACCATCATTGCGGAGCTATATCCATCACAATACAGGGCTCGTGCAATGTCTCTTGCAACAGCATCTAACTGGCTATGGAACTTCTTGCTGGCCTTCTTCACGCCTTTTATTACAAGTGCTATCGACTTTCGATACGGTTATGTTTTCGCCGGATGTCTTTTCCTTGGAGCGGCCACGGTCTATTTTGGTGTTATCGAAGGCCAGGGTCGGACTTTGGAGGAGATTGATACTATGTATTTGATGAAGGTTAAGCCGTGGAATAGTTCCAAGTTCCAATTCCCGGCTGATCCGGCGGTCATTCGGGGTTCTTTTGATGATAAGGGAGCCGGTGCTGGGGTTGGTTCTTCGTCTCATATTCCGGATGCTACTACGGAGTTACAGGAGGATGGGCATGCGGTGCCGCAGACGCAACCAGAGGCACAGCCACGAACGGAACTGTAGGTCTTGGATTGATATTCTTGGTTGTATATTTCAAATGTTACATATGATCACTATTGTGCCGTTATCCAGACCTATGAATTGTCGCTGTCAAAGTTTCTATAAGAGGATGACTAAAGGCGCTTGTATGATCGCTTGGCGGGTGCAGAATAGTGGGTTGTTGGTATCAGATCTATAAAACTGTATGATTTTGTATTCTAATTTCAATCAATTTACCCTATATTCACGATAAACACGCCTATCTTTTGATCAAAAAACCATCCAAGTAGCTGGTCATATCCTCCACATCTTCTAGTTTACCAACCCATCCAATATACTGATCCGGTCGAAGAATGAACATCGCCCCACGAACTCGATCAACACCCCACCTGTCATATGCCTTTCCATCACAATCTTTATCCCACACACAGAGATCATCACACCAAATTTTCTCATATCCCCAGCCCTTAACAGGATCAAATGGGCGCAAGCTCTCCGGGAAATCAAAGAACTCCACCTCCGTCCATGGAACACTGTGAATCGTCAAAGTATCAACAAGACTATCGAAACGCCCCGGTATCGACTTATAACGCGTCAGAACAGAGGGCCTTGAGTCATCTTGGCCAGCCAGATAGTGACCAAGAGCATCCACACGCGTCTTCTGCTCTTTGTCACGCATGTCTCCTGCAAGAAGAACAAGTCGGAATGGTCCATTGCTCTCCATAATTCCCATGGACCATTTGATTGTCGCATCAGCCAGCTGGCGCAGTTTTGCCGGTCGAACTCGTTCCCCAGGAACCAAGTTAAGGGCAAAGACTGGGCCCTCGCGTTCCATTCCCGATTTACAAACCAATGGACTATCGCCATAAAACGCCTTAACACCATCCGCAAACCCCTGGTACTTCTGCACAACTTTGACCATATCTTGCGTCTTATCCGGTGCCCCCTCCCCGGGTGACTTAGCCTTGTCAGTGAAATAACTCGACCAAATCTTATCGAATTCGAGCAATAATTCCGCAATCCGGTGTCTCTCTTCGTTGTACGTGTTCAAAATCACAGGGTCGGCAACTCTCGCTGCCACCAGGGCAACTTTCCACCCGAGATTGAACCCGTCTTGCATGCTGATGTTCATGCCAAGCCCGACCTTTGGTGAGTGCGTGTGCACGGCATCACCGGCAAGGAAGGCATGGTGTCCCTTGGCGAATGTTGGTGCGATGCGCTGACCAATCTGGTATGCCGTCCACCAGTCCAGGATTTTGAAGTCGAAAGTGTGAGGAGCTAAGATAGCCTGCACACGTGCTTTAATCTTTTCTGGTGTTATTGTTGAGCGGTCGAAGCGGCCGTTTGTGGTCTCGTCGTTGTGGACGGGGACATAGAAACGAACTAACTTTCTTTCGCGAGGAATGACTAAAATCGTGCCTGCTGGGCTAGTCACCGTGCCAAGTCGACGGATATCGGCTTTATATCATTAGTACATGTCAGAGGAGTTGTTCGGCTACACTCACGGAAGTTGCTTATTGGCATGACATCGATCACACCCCTTGACGGCTTACATTAGCTTCTTGATTAATATTTGTCGAGGTAGAACTAACCATATATGCTCAGTACTTGCTCCTTCGAATGGAATATCCAGTTGCTTCCTCGTCCAACTATGCGCTCCATCACATCCAATGATATACTTCGCTTTGATAGTTTCCTTTGTTTCACGATGACTTTTTCGCTGAAGACTCAGGTCCTCCCACTCGTCGTCATCCAAACCACTCGGAATACAAACATTGTTGTCCGAACCGGTAGTACGCAGGTGGACAGTTATAGGGCACGCGTTGTCGCTTCCGGGCGACTCATCATACTCCAAAGTCTCCGCAAGAACACCACGTTCCACTTCGATATCCGAATTCTCTCGTATACTATCCAGCACAAACCGCTCAATTCGGCCTTGGTTCAGAAGTATGTGGTGATATGGCGATTCGAAGACTTCGGACGGGGTCATAGGACCCTGGCGGATCAGCTTGCCCTCTGGTCCAGGTACCTATGAGCACAGGCTTTGTTATTTATATCCCAACAAGAAAAAGCATTTGACTAACCCAAAACACAGGCTCAACGGCCGGGTGAGCCTCATGTTCAACTTTGTGGTAAATACCCATGCTATCGAATATCTCCGACGTTCGCATACGGATTCCATCGGCGTGTCCAGTAAACACCTTCGTGGAGCGCTTATCAACAATTCGGGTTCGAATCCCGTAACGTGCCATCCAATAGGCGACCATAAGACCGGCAGGTCCCGCGCCAAGAATGATGCTGAGTACCCATCGTTAGACATAATCACTTACAAGGAAACTGAATCTTACACATCTGTTTCTGATTCAGAGGCGGACTGGCTTGCAGACATAGTGACGATGTACTAGGTATATCGGATGAGAATTTCAAAACTTGACCTCGGGAAATAGTATGGGGGATGAATAGTTGCATTCATACCGTGTGGGGCTTCTACCCCTCTAGTTATGTTGGATGTGGACTTATGCTTTGGGTTAGCTATAATGCAAGTACTGCAATAATATCAGTTGAGTCTACGTTTTCTTCCAATTAAATCTTTTCATTAGCCCTGTTCAGACTGTTGAGCTGTGGGTGACATCAGATAATCCATGCGGGGTCGACGCTGACGCAGCAGCTGACTGGCCTTCGAACAACATTGAAATTCCTGTCAGGGTAGCTAAGTCATGGCTGTGGTATCTTGGCGTATTTTGAAGGCCATCAGAGTTGTGCAAGGTTCAGAGATCGACATGTCAAGCACGGAGTCAGATTTGAGCCTTACCTCATCGATACAAAGGCAAGGGGCCATGGGAATCATGGACATCGTTCTGGCCTTATTACAACAAAGCATGCATTTACCATGCATTACACCGAAACTACCTCACCCTCCTAGGATCCTAGGAAGATCCTAAATGGGAACATAATCTCTCATACACTACGTGTAGCATTGCTGGCGCTGACTCAACAGCTGATTAGTGACACAACAGTAAGTTTACAAAGGATCCAAGAAGCCGAATGAAATTCTCCCCAATCTTCATCATTCTCTGTTCAAACTCTAGTTTTCAAAGTCACACTAATCTAGATGCCTGAGCCTGCCAAGTAACAGTTTCAAAATTTGGTTGGGGAGAACCAGTCAGGCATGATCAATAGGCGAGGGACCCGTATCAATGAACAAGTAAAGATATAGTTTCAGGTTTGAAGTGATACAGGCTACCATTACACGGCCGGTAGTACAAGTAGGCACCATCAAGCGAGATTTCATTGTAGTTGATACCAACCGCTGACTACTATCACCACCGTAGCCAGGCACCGGGGTATTTTGTACATCATGGGGAACCAGGCTGTGACAGAGTCTGAGCTGGCGAGGGCACGGACTGCATGTCCCGATGTGAGGTTAAGAAAGGCCAATACACCTGCTGTGTCGTTGAGGTTCCTGGCTTCACGGAATACACTGAAGCGAGCATCATCAACACCGCTGTCTTTTGCTTTGACGTTGTCTAGATAGAGTTCGTCGACGGCTTTTGTGGTCAAGTTCACGACTACCAGCTTGATGGAGCCTGTTGGACCACCATCAAGCACCCAGTAACGGCCATAGGGACCGATGCGGGTTCTGTCAACGCTGACGATGGTTTTGGGGGGCTAGAGGTATTGTCACTAGAGTTGTAGGTGTTCCTTGCTGTGTTCTGGTATAGCGTGGTGGTGTTGTCGTTGAAAAGTTCGACTATTTGTGGTGGAAGACTGGTGAGTAGCGCTGGGACAAGGACTTGCGTCCGTTTGTGCTGGTGCTAACGCCTCATTTTGCTTGGTCTAGAAGTAGGCTTGCTCGAGACCTGCTACACATGCAGAGATAAAGGGAGCGAGGCCATCAAGCAGATCAGCTCTCATCCTTGGAGTATTTGAGAGGAATTTTGAAACGAATTTAGGGATTTTATCTCCTATGATTGATAACAGACATCATTAAATTTAGAACCCTTCATATCTCAGTGGGGATGCCAAGATGGAACGATGTTTTCTTATTAAGCTGACACGTTTCAGGGTAACCGTGGATCATCTCGAAAAAATAGGGTTTAGTCTCCGCTTGGTCTGCAGGAACCCAAACCTTAAAACTCAAACTCCACATGGCAAAGCGTTCGGCATATGAACCTGGATTATAGGCTGAGTGATCTACTTGTATCTCCGTCCGAGATTCCGTATGTCCGCAGTGCCTTGGGGTTTTCTAACGAACATCAAACCAGGAAGGCTGAAATTATCATCAATATGACGACAAATTCGGCAATCAATTTGAAGATGTGCTCATACCTAAATGAAGCACCTGACGCACAGGACTAATGTGCCATGACTACTCAGCGTCGACATCCTGCTGCAGTTTAACTCACTCTCCCAAGATTTTTAATTTATAATACATAAAGTTCGTGATATGTATGGCCAGTAGCATCCAAAATTTTGCCCGTTCGACCTCCTCGGTGAAAGTTAAATCATACACATGTGTAGGATAGAGGCTACTTGTAAGAATAGGTCACGCTCCCACGACTATCAATTTGGACAGTGTCCGCCCTACAATTCTGTTGATAAAGGCAAATTGCCAATTATGTTGAAACCTGCCTCCAGCTGGGGAAGAGTAATGTTACACCTGCAACATCTTTGTTCATGCTGATAAAATCGATAGATATAATATCCGACTTGGACGCTCACGAAGTCCTCGTGGTCCTTTTCTTGATAGATGCGATATGGACCTAGCTTTAGGTGGCGGCGAAATTGTCTATGCCTCGAATGCAGTTACGTATGCACTTGATGGCCAAGGCGTTCTATTTGATGGAACAACAAGCGATATGTATTCTATATTGCTACCACCGTAGATTGACTATCTGAAACGTAATATGTCTTAATAGAATCATTTTACTAGTCCACCAGCAGTCAACATGACCATCTGGCTTGAACTCGATATGAGTTAACCTACATATATATATCGTCGATTCCATAGTTGTATCTGGTACAGCTTGTTATATCTAACATTCTTGCAGAGCGCATAGACGGATGGCCGGTGGTCATACCATAGTCGATTTCCATCTCGATTTGGTTCATGCCTCAACTCACAGATTTTCCTGCTTTCATTTGCACTTCATACCCATCCACCTTTATGTTATCAAATTTTATTGCTAATGTCAATCATTCTTGCTACCGACAGCGTAGTCGCGCACGCACCTCAGATTACCGGTTATCGGGAACGACGATCACTCGGTAGATCAGTCCGGTATCTACCAGATCCTGGTTCTGAATAGCCGCGTGTCGGGCATGCAGGCTCACATAACGTAATGTGTGGGTCAAAAGGGGCGCATAAAGCTTGACTTGCTTTGCATAATTGATCTGAGCTGGCGCATTAAAATGTAATATCAATGATTGGCTGGGATGAAAGGTTGATAGAATTTAATATAGTTTCCAATCTCAGAACTCTTGACGCCAAAACTAGGGGCTCAACGGAGCTTATGTTGGTCACGATGTCGCGTAAATCTTGTAAAGCCGATGGAAACCGCGCCCAAACCTTAGAGCAATGCATCACGAGTTGAATCCCAATGAGCCCTGAGAGTACCCCCTTAATTCATACAATGTCATCCCAGAGCGAATCATCACAAATCGCGTGAAAGGCTCCGCATTTCTCACGAACGATTTACTAAAAGTATCATCAATGATGGGGTTTCCACAGCTCCTTTATCGGAATACACTGTGGATCTCCTTGCGTTGGTTAACATTCCAACGAGAGCATTTTCGGAGCTGGGAGTATGTGACTTACCACATAGGGCAGCGGGGCGGGATGATCGGAGAAAAAGAGTTCGAGTACACAGCGAGTCTCTCAGACTTATCCCTGCACTTGTATCATGTGGAAGTGAGAGGTCCAATTGAATCAAAATTCGATCTCAATTGGAGTCAAGAGCCGCGGTATGTAATTCTACCACTTCCCCATGTTCAGGATCGCGGCGATGATCAGTGCCATCAGACTCCATTTTGGATCCGCGGAAGATTTCCGGTGCTTGTGTTGGTATGCTCCTCATGAAATCATTGGTCCAGAGGGTGGATGTGCTGATTTTCGGAAGTCCTTGATTCTTAAGGAATGCCCGGGGTTTTAATGGTGTTACCCCATAACCTTCTTGCACTAAGGCAGGGTGATGTCAGGTCTAGTTTCACCGCATAACGGGTCCCTGTTTGCCCCTTATATGTATCATACCGGTGACACCCCTTCTCATTGATAATAAATTTGTTTCTCTTTCCCTTCGAGTGGATTTTATATGGGGGATCCTTCTATACAAGTCAGTAGGCGCGCGTGTGCCTCAATCGATTGGACTTTTAACCACGATCCTCTAGTTTCCGAGAACCGTACAAGTTAAATCACGTTGGACGCGGTATCTGTTCAAGGATGCATCCAGCCGATGTTGAGAAAACATATGGATCACCTTCTTTGCGTTGTGTGAGCCCGTTTGAGCTCGAAAACATACCGACCGAGTCTAGTCATGATGCCGTTCTCGAGGCCAAGTCGCAGTCGAAGTTGGAGCGCTGGTTAGCTCGCTTCAATGTGGAGACACGGGGAATTGGAAGGATTTCTGTGGAAGAGCGAGAGCCGGTCACAGCGTCGACATCGTTGCATATGTTTTTGATGTGGTTTAGCATGGCTTTGGCTATCAACAACATCATTGTCGGGTCTTTGGGGACCCATTTGCTAGGTCTAAGTTTCAAGGATGCAGCCTTGTGTGCAGTTTTCGGCAACTTGACAGGCGTTGCGGTAGTTGGCTATATGAGCACTTGGGGTCCGCGGAGTGGAAATCGCACCTTGGTAAGTTGCCACTTTTATTGTGTTTCTGTTGAAATCTTTTCTCACGGATGCAGATCGTCAGTCGATACTTCATGGGCTACTACCCGAGCAAAGTCTGCTGTGCACTGAATATTCTTACCAATATTGGTTATAGCATGATCAACAGTGTGATCGGAGGTCAGATCCTATCGAAGGTTTCTGGAGAACATATCTCCGTGCTGGTGGGTATCGTGGTTGTTGCGATGACAAGCTGGGTGATGGCAATGGTTGGCATGCGCATATTCCAAATATATGAACGGTATGCCGTCTTTCAATTGAGATGTTTACACTTGGAAACTGTATTGACTCGTCGCAGATTTGCATGGCTTCCTCAACTAATAGTGCTATGCGTGATGCTGGGCTCCGCCGTCCCTCGTTTCAACTTTAAAGTTCATACCGAGTACACAACAGAGCATCTAAATGCAAAGCGTATCACATATTTTTCTCTCTGCGCGTCCATCGCTCTCGCTTGGGCTCCGCTCGCCGCCGACTACTTCGTTTACTACCCACCGCATGTCAAGCGCTGGAAGACATTTACCGTCACCACATTGGGATGTGGTCACGCTATGATAATTACGCTGCTGATTGGCAATGGACTGGGCACTATACTCGCGACTTCGCCCTCTTACCTCGTCAAATACGGCAACACCCCTGGTGGTCTTCTGATGACAGGTTATGATTCCCTCGGAGGTTTTGGGAAGTTCTGTGCCGTGGTTAATGTTCTCGCACTCGTTGCAAACAATACTCCGGGCGCTTACTCCATGGGAATGAATTTTCAAATGTTGGGCGACTGGTTCCAAAAAGTCCCGCAGCCTGTTTTCACGACTCTCACCACTGTGATTTATACCGCCTGCGCGATGGGCGGACGTAACTCCTTGTATCAAATCTTCAAGGGCTTCCTGCCACTGATTGGATATTGGATCGTCATCTGGATAGTCATTGTGGTGGAGGAAGATATGTTCTTCCGAAGACAAGGGTACGATTGGGCTGCTTGGAACAACCCGCAGAAGCTACCATTGGGAATTGCCGCTGGAGTTGCTTTTCTGATTGGATGGGGAGGTGCGATCGTCGGCATGGTATGCAGTCAACCTTCTTTTCTTCATACTACTTATTGACCTATTTATACAGGACCAAGCATATTATTCCGGCGTCATTGCTCAAGTGACCGGTGGCTCGGATCTCGGACTATGGGTCGGAGCAGGGTTCACCGCAGTAGTATTCCCACCGTTGAGAGTATTCGAGAAGTGGTACATTGGCCGCTAAGATCGGTGAACTCTCGATTCGGTGCATACGCAAGCCGAAAACCCCGGTCCGTGGCTTAGATCATATCATGTGTAAACTATTGTAAGGGAGTAAATATACACAAGGAGTCAGAAGGAGAATCTGTATCTTATGAAATCGACATTTAGAAAATAAATATAATGTACATGATCTAATCCAAATTCAAATAGTGCCAAGGTTGCTATGTACTTCCGCCACTGTGTGTAGTAACTAACATTAGGCACCCTTACTGTGGTCCCTATACAGACGGTCTTCCCTGTTATACCACTCTGCCCAAATTTGTACGCACGTACTTGCTTGTCTACCTACGTATCATGCACTTTGTACACTATCCCAAATAGTATTTAGACTTTTTCGAAGACTACTTCCATGATCTTCGCTGCACTTATGTATTCTTTCATATGTAGTTATCTCTACACTGGACACCAATCCTTCCCAAGTGGCTATTGATAAGCCCGCAATCGTTCTTCATACTCCTCACGCACACTTGCATATTCAGCCTCAAGTTCAGCTCTAAGCTTAGCCTTCAGCTGATTGTTGTCTTCCTCCGCAAGGTTACTAATCATCTCAATCACATCGGCATGCCCATCTGCACTACTACTTGTCGCATAGAATGACAAAGCCTTGGCGTATTGCTCCGGTTCACCCACTCGGTATCCTAATGCATCTTCCTTGATAACATCAAGCACAGACATGTTGTTTGAGCCTTTGACGATCCCATTTTCCACTTCACCAAAAAGATGATAGCGTGCCCATATAGCGTCACCAAATCTTCCATCACGTATAGCATCAACGTACATGCTGGCCCATGGCTCTACCCCCTGTATTCTAGCATCCTTTCCAAGGACGTCTTGGATAGAGACATCTAGGAATAGCTGCTCAACTAATTTGTTTTCAGGCACATTTGCACTCATGGCTTTGACTGTATGTTAGCCTAAGCCTTGCCAGAAGCAAAATCAAAGTAAAAGGGTTTTCAAATTTACCTACGGTTTCTTGGCATGAGGGATAGATGCAGCAGATGAGGTGCCAATATAGGGAGTAGAAACAACCGAGGTGGGAAGTGTTTGAGAGTACGGATAGGAAGGAAAAGGAAGAGAGTATGCATATGCAGGCAACAGAATGATAGATAATTATTTTAGAGATTAGGCTCCAGGTTCATATGACTCTAGGCAGCACTATCGCCCTATCCAGTTTAGGTATAGTGCATATCTCCATGGACCTCCCTCTCTCCTTCCCTATTCTCCTCATCCGCAATACCACATACCGTTCTGTGTGCCCCAGCCTACAATTGTAATCTTCTCCTCTTGCAGCTGGAGCAAAGGTTTGTCAACAGTAATTGAATTAGAATATGTGTATATTATATGTATAAGGTGAGCCTTTGGCCCTGAACACTATCTAAAGTGTTCTCTATTTGTCCTTGCATAGACCAAAGCACAGAAGAATTGAGGCTCAACACCTCGACTGGAGTGTCACACTCTCAATCCCTCCACTCCTGAAAATATCCTATTTCCAATTGTTGGCAGCCAGAGCAGTGAACCTCATCTCCAGCGCACCAAGATCAAAGGTCGTAAGCACATTGTTCATGAATGTACCACCAAGAATATAGGGAGGGTCATTCGCGGCATCTTGGAATCCGATAGCGCACAATCCAGTATCCGAATCATATACAGATTGCATAATCAGGTCCGCTGGGCTGATAGTGAAATTCACACCGCCGATATCGAAGGCCACCTTAGGGGCCGTAGCATTGCAGGGGACTTCATAGGTCCCTCCACTAGACGTAGCAGCAGGACTGAAGGAGCGAGCAAGGGCGGTAGCGATGGCTATTTAGATTAGAGCAGGGAGTGTCAGCTGGTGCCTCGCTAGTACAGCAAGGAGGGACGAGACTCTGGAAACTTACCAGAGGGGAGATATGAAACGGAAGAACCAGAATCCACGATAGCTATGAATGAGTCGAAATTGGTGGTATTTGTCTTGTGGGTGCGAGTGTTTACTTCTGTGACGGTAGTACCGTCGATGTTGATGGTGTAGTAGCTGTCTCGGTCGATGGCCGGTACGGGTACTGTCTCTTTTACTTGCGTCTAGAATGAAGAGATACCGCATTAGTTAGCCATAGAGGTCTCTTCCCTGTCTCTCGTGGACGCAATAGAGGCACTTACAGTGAGGATAGGTGTAGATGCGGTCTTTCCAGTAGTGTTTACCGGGGGGATTCCACCAAAGGCAAGGTAGCCGTTGTTGCCGTTTCGCTCTGGTGCAAAGCTGAAAGTCGGCAGGCTGGATTTTTGGTTCACCATCTTGTAGAAGACGGGCTCGTAATTCTGACCTTCGCCCATGATATTTTTGGACGGGTCATTGCCGGGCCACTCCTTTGTCAGAGACGAGAAAGCCAAGCCAAACAAGCCGCTGACCCCGGTTTGTTGGAAGTAAGCTTCAGTGACACTTGCCACTTGGGCATTGTGGACTGTGATACCAGCAATGGTAATGTCTTCCCAGCCATATGTGCCGGCGACACTTGCCGAGCCGTAAGTAGCGTTAAAATTCACGTTTCCAATCTGGCCTCCAGTGTAATTTCCGGAGAAGTTGGGTGAAGTGACGCAGTTGCTTTTCTGTGCCATATTAGAAACAACGAAACCTAGTACAAGGATTTACAAGTAGGGCTTTCTTACAGGCACCTGATCTCCGGTAGAATTAAGGCACTTATAACCTTCTTGGAGTAGCCAGGTATCGCTAGATCCGGTGTCCAGCAACATGTCAAATGTTTCATCACCCCAAGTGACCGCCGCAACATAACAAAGTTGTTCAGGATCGGTGATATTTGTCTGGCCTCCACTATAAGTGGACTGGCGACGGTGGAGACCATGCTGGCCACGCTGAGCACGCTTACCACGCAAAGAATGCGACTTGCGTACAGTCCTCACGGGCATGTGATTATTAGTCACAACATCAGGGCTAGGGGTCCGTCGTCCGAGGGACCCAGGAGTATTTGCTGTGAGCCCAGGAACGGCAGCACAAGAAGCCACAGCTGCGCTAAGCAAAAGAGATGCAATCCACGATTGGACCATGGTGAAGGCTTATTTAGGAATGAGCTTGACAGGTGAAAGCAAGCGTCAGTCGCAGAGGTGGGCAAAGTCCTCACCTTTATACTGATGGGTCAATGTTTTTAATGATGGGAGAAATGGAGTAATCAACGCTACCTCCTATATCCTATAATTGCCGGGCTGAGCTCCCTGCTAATTTGCGCTAGTGAAAGCCAAATAGCTTACGGAGTAAAGAGTCCGACATCAGCAGTCCTAAATTGTGGTAGCTTGTATTTCTCCTCCTACCAGTAATATCTCGAGATTCTTGTCCGGGTGCAGATCATAACCAGATAGATATACAAGCCATGGGCGGTCCCACTTAGTACAAAACTTATAAGATGATTTCGATCAACTCCGAGATGAGGCTAAACCCTTTCTGGTGATAGAAAGATCGTTGGGAAAGGGGTTTTGCTAATCACTACCAATTTTGCTCCCGTCGATTTATGTCGTTCCTGGCTCGTGGCGTTGCACTAGAACTTTTTGAATGGCGATACCTGTAGATCGGTGGGACTTGAAGTTAAGCACGGCATTCGGCATGCAAACTCGGACTAGAGTTATAGTACTTCCCTCATTTTTATTACTACTGTTCACAGAACACATCTGTTTGGCCCCATTGTAACATCAATACTTGGCGTAGGTCTTGGGCTTCCTTTATGAGAAGTATCATAATGTCAGCCGAGAATACGAAGCTATCCACTAGCGGGTGGATCCCAAGGGTCCAATAGTTACTATGCACTATCCGCGCCCAGTCGCGCCGTACTTCATGGCTTAGGTCTCTAAACCTAAATTTCTTTTTACCATCCCCTTGGAGTTCGGGTTTGATTTTTTTTTTTTTTTTTTGATTGTGTAAAGTGTGAAAGCCAATTTCAAATGTTAACGTAGCTTAGAAGTTACTACACGGAGGGGCTATGGCACGACCACCAGGTTGAAATATTTCTCAGAGCAGACTTTGGGAGGGTGCAAGGGATATAAGGAAAGCCACGCGAATCCGAGAGCTGGCTGGAGTATTCTCCTTGGGCTGTTGACCTGTTGAATTTGCATTTAAAAAAATAGGTGCGGTAAATTCGATCGACAGGTAGAAATAAAAACTGTTCTAATAGCTTTCATGGGGGACATCCATCAACTCGTATATCTATCAACAGCTGGATCCTGCTGTCGTCCAGGGGAAGAAAGGGCTAGATGATAGTAGCTGGGAAACAGAAGAAACATACGAACGGACAACATCTGTATTCCGAGAGGGATCCCCAAGGAAGACAAAGAGAGAGAGAGAGAGAGAGACAGAGAGATCTAGCTAAGACATGCACACGCTGGCACAAACGAAGGGGGTCACCACATTCCATTTATGTATTATCCATCATTTCGTACCCAGAACACCAAAATTGCATTCGATAGACCGCTCACGTACGAACATGTTGGGCCTCATAAAATTTGCCGAAGGCACATGGCGGAAATGTACAGGCGCTCCCGCTAGGCTAGATCGGGCCGGTCGAAGTATTACCCGGCTAGGAAGGGCGCGGCAGAACAAGCACTTGAGGACGCGTTCACCGCCAGGAAGCCAGATACTGCATCCAACCAGCCATGTGACCGTGTCAACAGGTTCAAATGTTATGGGTGGATTTGTAAAATATTACATTACATATGTAGTACAATAAAACTGGTGAGTGGAGCGAGCTGCGAAATCATAACCACCTGACTAGTAAGTATGGCCTGACCTACTTCTAAGCGCATTTGCGAGTAGTAGCTGATGTACATGTACCCTCCTGAAGCCTGGCTTACTGCCTGAGGCTGCCCAGGTGCGAAGAAGGAGGGATGGTAGTCGGATTGGGACTCGTATGGTCTCATAATTTATTCTCTTTTGTCCTTTACTTTTCTTAGTTTCTTTAAATTCAGATCTCCGGACTGCAGATATCAGGTAATGTCATCCGAATTTAACCCCACTGTCTACAGCTGGATCCTGGTGTCGTCCAGGGGAAGAAAGGTGTGACATGATAGCGTGGAGACAGACGAAACGGACAAGATCTGTATTCCGAGAGGGATGGAGAAGAAGGAAAGAGAGAGAGAGAGAGATCTACAGCAAACGGAGGGGTCCACCTGACCCCATACTCCATACCCACCCCATATGTAAATGTATGCCTAACATTGGCACCCACATATATAAGAAGTTCTAAGAAATCAAAAGTTTGCTAGATGAAAGTCAATGTTACCGCTGTAATTTCTTCCCTTTCTCATACTGTGCCTTTATCAGGATCTCATGACATCGTGAGTATAATCCAATTTTTTCACAGTATAATCTAGATCTGAGGATTCCAGTAGATCTGAAATTATTCCTACTAGTATGTTATAGTTGTAGTATACGTCAAGCCTCTCTAGCTTTCACATAGAGATTGAACCAGAAATACATGTTCTTTTCATTAATTTTATGCCCAAGCATACGCCCCACTTGTCTGGGCCCGGGCCGATGGCTTACTCAGCAACAGATCCACGAATCACAAGCCTGTGCTGCCTGACACTGCTTGGGTATGAGAGGGATGATGTTCTGATCGGGCTGGTATGGATTTTTGTCTACCTTTCTTGTTCCTTTCATACAGACCTCCAGACTTCAGTCAGTGAGCAGATCACAACTGATTCTTTGGATGAGTACGGGTAATCCGAGATCTCGTGAAGCATCCGAACTTAACCCTCAACCCCACTCCCAATCCCCGCTAGCGGCACTTTGTTAGGGGCTCAAGCCATCAAAACATTTAAAATCCGCCGTGGCGCCCCTTTTGTGGTGGCGGAAATACTCAAGCTTCTTCCCCCTGACTAGGCCCTACTAAGCCTTACAATGGATAGCCTCATCTGGGCCGGGAGTCAACCACTTGAAGCTATCGGAGCTCTCCTCAACACCCCGCTCCAATGTATTCCCTACGCTCTTGGGCTGTTACTGGGATGGCCCCTTTTAACCACCTCCCTGCGCTACAGACGGCTATCACAGCTGAAGAAGAAATACAACTACCCGACTCGCGAATCGATGGCCAAGATGACCGATGAAGAAGCCTATGAAATCCAGCTCGTAATTGGGCAGCTTGAGTTCCCCTTTATGTTTGTCAAGGCACTACAGTTCGCTCTATTCCGGGTACGTCCGCGATCAACCCGCTCTGCTACACTCCATACTTTATAGTGCAAGTATTGTATTAACAAAGACAGACATACGGTATCCCTTCAATCTCCAGCGTCCTCACAAAGACAAGCCAGTTCTCCAACCCAGAAACTTCGCTCAAGCGCTACAACGATACGACAGCCCTTGTCAACGAAATGGTAGCAAATAGCCCCACCTCCGTTCGCGCTTTCAACTCCCTGGCCCGTACCCGCTTCCTGCACAGCGGATACCGCGCCTCAGGCACAATCCTCGACTCCGACATGCTATACACTCTCGCTCTCTTCGCGCTCGAGCCAATCAAGTTTATCAATAAATTCGAGTGGCGCTCTCTCTGCGACCTGGAGCGCTGCGCGATAGGCACATTCTGGAAGAGTGTGGGTGATGCGTTGGGGATTCCATTCGACGAGTTACCGTCTGGAAAGACGGGGTTCAAGGATGGGTTGCATTGGCTTGAGGAGGTGGAGGCTTGGAGTCAGGAGTATGAGGCTAGGTTTATGGTGCCTGATGTGAAGAATCGGGAGACTGCTGATCAGACGATGGAGATTTTGGTTTACATGGTGCCTAAGGTGCTGCATCCTGTTGGGTTTCAGTTTGTCTCGTTTATGATGGATGACCGGTTGAGGAAGGCTATGATGTATGTGGTTTGGTCGAAGCTGGCTTGGCATGATGGGATTTGCTAACTTTTATAGGTATGATGCGCCTCCGCCGTTCTTGGGAAAGGTTTTCGCCAGTGTACTTAACGTGCGAAAGCTTTTCTTGCGCTACTTTATGCTTCCCAGGCCTTCTTTCATGAAGGTTCAGAATGTTTCGGCGAAGCCCGATGAAAATGATCGATACTTCTTGACTTCGTGGGAGGCGGCTCCTTACTACGTCAAGCCGACTTTCTGGAATCGATGGGGTCCTATGGCATGGTTAACTTGGGCGGTCGGTCGTCCTGTTCCTGGTGATGATGGAGATAAGTATCGTCCTACTGGGTATCACATTAATGATATCGGGCCTAAGTATTTTGAAGGAAGGGGCCAGAAAGCGATTGAACAGACTATGGAGGAGTTGAAGGTCTTCCGAACCGGCAAGTGTCCCTTCCACTAATTGCAATTGCAAGGATGGACTTGGGTAGCTTAGATAGCTGAGTAGAAACCTAGAACTCCGTAGTGGATAACAAATGTATATTTACTACTATTTCGGTTGACAATTAACAAGTCATTCCTCAATTGTTTTTTTCCAGTATGTGCTAATCTGGACCCAAGATCCAGAGGCAGGAAAATAGAGACAGGATAAGGTGAAAATTAGGAGCGCTCAAACAAAATACTGGGTCGCAGGCCCATCGAGCCAGCATCCGAAAGGGTAGAGAATGTAAGCTTATCAAGGGTATTACTGCGAGCAAATCTCAAACGGAGATATTTAAACCTCCTCCTCAACAACACCATCCTCGGCGTAGTACTCCTCCTCACCCTCGGAGACGGAGGCGTCCTGGTACTGCTGGTACTCGGAAACCAGGTCGTTCATGTTGCTCTCAGCCTCAGTGAACTCCATCTCGTCCATACCCTCACCAGTGTACCAGTGCAAGAAAGCCTTGCGACGGAACATGGCAGTGAACTGGTCGCCGATACGCTTGAAGAGCTCCTGGATGGAGGTCGAGTTACCGACGAAGGTGGCGGCCATCTTGAGACCCTTGGGGGGAACGGAGCACAGAGCAGTCTGGACATTGTTGGGGATCCACTCAACGAAGTAGCTCTGGTTCTTGTTCTGGATGTTGCGCATCTGGTCCTCGACCTCCTTCATGGAGACCTTACCGCGGAAGAGGGCGGAGCAGGTGAGGTAACGACCGTTGCGGAAGTCGGAAGCGGCCATCATGTTCTTAGGGTCGAACATCTGCTGGGTCAGCTCAGGAACGCTGAGCTGGCGGTACTGGTGGGCACCACGGCTGGTCAAGGGAGCGAAGCCGACCATGAAGAAGTGCAGACGAGGGAAGGGAACCATGTTGACAGCCAGCTTGCGGAGATCGGAGTTGAGCTGACCGGGGAAACGGAGGGAGGTGGTGACACCGGACATGACGGCGGAGACCAGGTGGTTCAGGTCACCGTAAGAGGGCTGGGAGAGCTTGAGAGTACGCATGCAAATATCGTAGAGAGCCTGAAAAGAAGTCAGTACATTTGCTTCACAAATCACGCGAAATTCATACCTCGTTATCGATACAGAAGGTCTCGTCGGAGTGCTCAACAAGCTGGTGAATGGAGAGGGTAGCGTTGTAAGGCTCGACAACGGTGTCGGACACCTTGGGCGAGGGGACAACGGAGAAAGTGGCCATCATACGGTCGGGGAACTCCTCACGGATCTTGGAGATGAGGAGCGTACCCATACCGGCACCGGTACCACCACCCAGGGAGTGGGTGATCTGGAAACCCTGGAGGCAGTCGCAAGCCTCGGCCTCGCGACGGACAACATCAATAACCTGGTCAACGAGCTCGGCACCCTCAGTGTAGTGACCCTTAGCCCAGTTGTTACCAGCACCGGACTGACCGAAGACGAAGTTATCGGGGCGGAAGAGCTTGCCGAAGGGACCGGCACGGACAGCGTCCATGGTACCGGGCTCCAAGTCGACGAGGACGGCACGGGGAACGTAACGGTCACCGCTGGCCTATCAAGATAAACATTAGAGATTCCTTCAGCTCAGAGTTCTTGTTTCCACACTTACGTGGTTGAAGTAGACGTTCATGCGCTCCAACTGGAGGTCGGACTGGCCGTTGAAGCTAGAAAATATCAGACCGCCATTTCCATCTCTCAATCTCATCGACTTGGAAACTCACTGTCCATCACCATCAAGACCGTGCTCACCAGCAATGGTTTGCCTAGAATTCAGTCAGCAAATCACTCAATGGATTATCAATTCAATTGATGACCGTTGTTGACAACACGTACCAGAAAGCGGCACCGATTTGGTTACCCTGTACCCCCAACACCGTTTAGTACTCCCATTCCCGATATACCACGTAGAATCGTCTCGTTCGAATCGAACTTACACATTGACCGGTCTGGAGGTGGACCTATATGGTGAAAAGTTGGAGGTTAGCACGGACTTTGAACAGGTGGGGGGCGTTTCGTTCAGGGGGGGGTCTGAAGTCAACAAAGACGCGTTTATCTGAGGAGTTTAGACGTACAATCTCACGCATGATGAAGGTAGTTGAAGGTAATTAAACTTCGACAATTGGGGGGGATATGAAAAGAGGATGAACGACCGAGGGTCAGAAAGATGGGAAAGGAGAAGAGTGAGCGGTGTGTGTGCGTGGGGATCAACAACAACTTCTTTTGCTGCTCAGGGGGGGGGAAACACCAAATCTGGACTAGTGGGGTATCACGGGACCAGTAAGAAGACGAACCATGAGGTGCGAACCACAATTTACTAGTTTGGGAATCTAAACATTCGTTGGGCTCGATTTGAGTAGAGTACAACATGAGGTTCACTTATTATACAAAGTCACTGCTACTGGACTTTTTGGTCACTGTTCCATATTCTCGACCTTCTCCGTGGACTCTGTGGACTCGGACTTTTCCTTCTGTCTCTCCAACCAGTTCCCAAACTCGTCCAGACGCTGTTCTTCTTCCTCATCTTCTGCGTGAATACCGCGCTCAGCCATCTCTTCCAGTGCTGCGCGTCGCTCGTTGGTTTTCTTAAATTTCTCACGTCCCTCAGACACATAGGCTTCGACGCGAGTACCACCAAAGAACCGACCATCCATGACCTTGACACATTGCCGGGCGGATTCGGGATCGGCGAACCGAACACTAACCACACCTTCAGGTTCCTTGTCATAGAGAACAACATTGGTGACTTCGCCAACCTTGGCACACTCATCACGAATATCTTCCTTAATGTCCAGGATGGCGGCAACATCCTCCTGGTCCATGAGTTAGATCAAATTGGCGAGCAGTAGAGTAAAGTAAACAACCTACCTGCAATTCCTGCAAAGTAAACATATGCTTCAAAATCACGATCTTGTCATATTTTGTTGTGGCCTCTGGAAGAGTTGAAGGGTCGTCGTCGTCCCAGTCCGCAAGTTTACTACTTCAGTTAGTATTTCACCGACAAGTGGAACCTATAGAGTACAACGCACCTGTTCAGTCTGGCCGTCCGCGCGATAATTTTCTTCTTGTCCCGCATATTCGTCTTTGGTGGCGCGTCCTGTTGGGCCTTATACGAGAAGTCGGCGGCTTGGATCTTCATGGGTCCCTGTGGTCCAGGCACACCCAGTCGGAACTCAGTCTCATCAAGCATCTGAATCGCCAGATTGACGGATTCGGGACGGAAATATACGACGAGCGCTTCACCCTTGAAATTCCCCTGGTCATCCATGTACATTTTGATTCGTGGGCGACCACTATCGATTTCCTCGGCAATGACACCGCATTTGGAGAAGACGTCTCTGATCTCATCAAGTTCGGCATCGAGGGGGATGGATGAGATGAACAACGCAGTGTTCACCCGCTGTTTCTTCGGCTTCTGAGTGCTCTCCTATAATCAATCCGCGAGATTCAGCTTCTGCTCACGCCGACCCAGGTATGCCACGCCGACTCACGTCATCTTGCTGTTTCCGCTTTCTATCGCGAGGGTGGACCTCCTCGTCCTCTACTCCATCGACCTTGTATGCTTCTTGCTGTTGACGAAGCAGCTCTTCATCGATCTGTCGGAATGAAAAGATTAGCCACGTTCAAGTCGCCCTGTTTGCGCCAATGAGGGTAGAGCGCGCGCAAGGCAGGAAGAATCCGGGACATACCGTCTGAACCCATCGCTTGAGGGCTGTATCATAAACAAACTCCTTGTCATCCTCTGTCTCCAAGATGAACTTATTATCAAGCTTTGAGAATGAAACTCGGGGGTCGCTGTCGAATTCCGAGGGGTCAAGCGGGAATGGTTGCCCGTACCCGTTCTCGGGAGCTGGTGAAGTCATTTGGAGCTCGAGAGAATGCGCAGATGGTATGTGTTTAAATGTGCGTGAGAAGAAGATTGTGTTCAAAGGTTAGGGAAGGCAAGGTGTGGTAAGTTTTTACGGGAAGCTTGAGCTTTTTGCGATTTGCGATTTGCGGAGCTTCTAAGCCAGTACCCGCATCACATGGGCCCAAAGAAGCGGATCACTGAAACCATCATTGGTCTGTTCTAGTTCTATTGTGATTCCCACTTACTTCAAAGTGAATAGATTCATGTTCTTATAGCTTTTTTCATATTGTTCATATAGAAAAGGGTATCTGCCAGAGAAAATAATAATAAAAAGACAAAAGAAGGCAATACCTCAGTATGCAAAAATGAAGAGTCTATGCTAAACCCCCGCAAAAAAAAAAGAAAATGATTAAGTAATAAAGAATGTCTATCACAAGGATTTTACGCCTTGGTGTCAACAACGGCGGCCATCTCGCCAGTCGGTGTCATGGTCCGCTTGGAGCTAGTCTCAACGCTCTCAATGCCTTGGACAATATCACGACGGACCTCGACATAGTCGTAGGCAAACTCGCCAATCTCAGCATCATCAATACCCATGATCTCATCCTCCTCGGGAGCACGAAGGCTGCATCCGGGAATGAGGTTGAGAATGAAGAGGATGATGCAGGTTCCGAAGAAAGAGTAGGCAGCACCAGACATGGAGTCCGCAAGCTGATAACCAAGCTGGATGTAGTTCTTGTTGATCCAGCCACCGGGGATGTCAGTAACACCGTCGAGGTGAGCAATGTAATCAGCGGCAAAGAGGCCGGTCAGCAGGTTGCCAACCAGACCACCAATACCGTGGACAGCAAAAATATCAAGAGCATCGTCAACTTGCAGCAGGAACTTCAGCTTGGTAGCGTAGTTGCAAGCGACAGCACCGACAACACCGAAGATGAAAGCGGCCCAAGGGGTAACGAAGCCAGAGCCGGGGGTAATAGCGACCAGACCGGCAATGACACCAGAGCAGAAGCCGACCGTGGACCACTTGCGCTCGAGACGGTAATCCAGGAGACACCAGGTCACACCACCGACCGAGGCAGCGAGGTTGGTCACGACAGCGGCCATGACAGCGCGCAGGTTAGCAGCCAAGGCGGAACCGGCATTGAAACCGAACCAACCAACCCAGAGGAAGACGGTACCGATGACAACGTGGGTGACGTTGTGAGGGCGGTAGTTGAGCTCGTGAGTACCGTGACCACGACGCTTGCCCAGCATCAGGGAGTAGGCGAGGGCAGCACAGCCGGATGAAATGTGGACGGGAGTACCACCAGCGAAGTCCAATCCACCCATCTTGTAAACCCAACCCGAAGAGTTCCATGTCCAGCAGGCAATAGGGTCGTAGATGACGGTTGTCCAGACGAACATGAAGATGATGCAGGGAAGCATGCGGCCACGCTCAGCAATGGCACCGGCAGCGAGGGCAACACTATCATAAAGGTGGGTCAGTCTTGATTTCATGAAAAGTAGATGGATGGTAAGGGGCACTCACGTAATGGCGGCGAACATGCCCTGGAAAATGCAGAAGAGGATATCGGGAACATGGGTACCTCCCACGGACGGTGCGGCCAAAACGTTTCTCAATCCAATGTTCTCGAGGTCACCGATGAATGTTCCGGCTGTGTGAGAGAAGGATAGGGAGTAACCCCAGAAGAACCACTGAAACGACACGACACCGACCGACATGATAGACAGCCATATCAGCGAAAGGGCGGACTTTCGTCGAGCGAGACCTGAGTAGAAGAAGCTAGGTAAATGAAATTAGCTTCGATCAAGACAATTGGCAAGATGGATCCATTCTTACCCAACACCAGGAATCATAAGCAAAACCAACGCAGAGGATGTAATAATCCACGCAATATCACCAGCCTAAAACATCTGTTAGCCATTGTAGAGGTTATCGTTTTCATCATTATACATACATCGTAGTAGATATTCAAGTCCTCTGTCAACGAGTCACCACCAGTTGCGATGGTGCCATTGTATGTCACGGGGTATGAAGACATGGTGAAACCTGAGTCGAGGAGGTATCACAAAGCCCTATAGAGATTGACTCGAACCCTCTTGGGAGAGATGAGTTCGAAAGTCTATCAAGGGAATGGATGGATAGAGGGATTTAAAAAACCCAAGGTAAGCTGGAAATGAGGTAGAAAAATGATAGATCATGCAGGGGACATTGCTAATAATTTAAATAGTGAGACGCAATGTCCCGAGTCATCAAACGGGGGGACTTTCTCCACCATCGGACGCTAGAAAGCCAAGAACCCCGATCTTAGTTCTGATAGTGGGAACCAAATGGTCATGGTAATTGCTACAGTATGGGTTTATCCAATCTAATTCGGATGGTAAGGCCAAGACAAGGCCCCATTTCGCCATGTTCGGGCTTTCCATGGTCCCCAACCGGGGGATTACGGACCCAGTCAACGCCCCATACTTTGCCCCCCATAGACCCTATCATGATCTAGAACACAATAATGAACACTTCCTTCAAATACACCGATCGATATGCACAACTAGGATTACCCTCGATCGTCATGAAACTCGCCGACAACACGTTACAAAGACAACTTTTCTAATTATTGCGGAACCCCGGCCCGCGGGCAACCTGAAAGTCAGTTTTTTCCCGTCAGCCTGCATGAACTGATAAGCAGGCTTTGTAAGGAACAGAGATTGATACGGAATGGTTGACAGAAGGAGGCGAATAATGAGAATTCATCCACAATCCCGGTCTGGACAGAATATCACTGGCTGTAGATATGAGCTTGATAGCCTCCACCAATCAGATTCCGTTGCTTATCTACGCCATCAACCGCCATTAACTTCCGCTCCATGTTGGGCGCCTACTGCGCAACCACGTTTTTCAATTCTGATGGCATTTAATTCATTGGATAATTTAAGATTCTTCTCTATTCGTTCTTTTTTTCCCTTTCCATTTCTCCACTCAAATCAAATGTAATGTTGACATAAACCAAATTCATAAAACTATGGTTAACACATTTGACTCTTATCAGACCCAGTATTGAACAACCAATCAGCATCGGTTTAATCTAAGTTAATCATAGCCTTATCGCCACGCTCAACCGCTCAACCGCTCAAGCTAATATGTCTCGTATTTCCTTCGAGACCCTCTAGTTTCAATGTAATATCGGTCAAGACTCCTCTTACGGCATCATTGCATGATTGAAAGGTGCCAAGCGAAGTCCGAGTACTTCCTATCATCTATGAATGAGTGACTCGTGAACCATTTCCTACTGCTTGCAGGGACATCAGATCTGAAGCTTGAAAAAGCTCAGCTTCTATGGGCAACTGATCATCTGGCCTCCTCGCATGGACTTTCAGGTTTCTAGAATATTTAGTCTTCGCGTATTTTCCTGGCAACACTGCGCCCACCGCAGGTACGCCCTAGGAGAGGGAGAGTTAGGACGGACGCATGGGGCGGGATATGCTCTCTATGCCACGCGGTCTGGGGGTGCCAAGCCAAGATAAGCCTCCTGTCATTCATTGGATGGGGCTTTCTCGCCCCGGCATCCCGAGATTCTTGGCAAGCCCCAGGTGCCCGGAGAAATATCCCAAGATTCAGTCATTATCAACGTATAACACCATTTATTATACTATTGACCCCTCTCGTAATTTCTCATGGATCTCATGTATTACACTCAGGTGATCTAGATACGCTATAGGCCCAGAATTTGACCATTTGATTCTGAGGCCTAGACCAGATCCAAAGTGAAGATGTTCTTGAGGGCCTGGACTTGATCTTGAATGCCTGGAGTTGCCATATAATCCGTACTTGGCATTGAAGATTTTCTGTGGATCCTATGATCGACGACATCTAAAGCTTTGAGGCCATGGTGATCTGCACGTAGATCGTACATAGTGAATCTATACAAAAGCAATCATAAACTAGTTAGTTACTTTCAGGGGCTCTGTCCCCGTACTATAAGCGATGGAGAGTGTATGTTTTTACTATTAATTTTCTTTGAACTGAACATGTATCTGCATGCACGTATTGCATAATGGGAGAATTAGCAAGGAATATAACTAAAATTAAACATTTGAAGGATTGACTTTTGATTCATCTTCAAGTGCTGTGAACGCTTTCCAGCATTTACACGGGACAGCAACTGCTTTCACTCCCCTTGGGACCGACGCTCACCACTTCCAACGTCTCCAGATATCCCATAGAGAACTGCTTCTGGTTTGGATATACATATTTGTTCAAATATTATTCTCAATTTCCCGTCCTTGGTCATCATTCCATAGTCTGATGTGTAGAAATCAACATGTCATTAATCAACCTGCCTCAAGCGCATCTCAATAAAATGATACGGGGAGTCGATAAAATCTTCTGCCTCATCTCCAACACGCTTCTTATTATATACTCGATCGTCTTTACCACCCCGACTATTCCAATCGGCCAGACACAATCATACTGAAGCGACAGCAACGTGGGGCATTCCGCTTTCCCCACGCCACCTGAGCCTCTTCCGGATCCAAAGCCCGTCAGAAAACTCAGATGCTGTCTCGAAAGTCTACGTAGTCAATAACCAAGCCGCCGGTTAGAGGTCAGGTGAACCTTACCTTCAATGATGCGGTGGCTATATATAGCATGGAAATCTTCTTATTACATATGTAGAACTATCCACATGTGCACACCTGCTACACGTATCCACGCCTCTTGGGCTTATTTGAGACAGCATGTGCGTATACATATATATGGATATATATCCGAAGCGTTCACGGTTGCTTGGTCCTACTTAGTGGATACTATGTGTAGGGAGCAAAAATGGCAAGATATATCTAAGATCCTTGAGTTTCAACTTTGGAAGCGGAAACCTCCGTACCCAGATAGTACAAAGTACATGATAATTTATAAATAGTTAAATTACGACTTCACCGTACATACATACCAATTACCCTTCAAATGTTGGGCATACATATTTAGTCAGCTTATTCACGGACCCTCGAGGGTTTGCGTTGTGCTACCCTTGAGCCTGGAATAAATCAATCTAGATGCCTAATTTGATATGTGTAAGGTTAAGTAGAGGCTCATTGTCACCATATCCTTGTAGACTAGTGCGTGTTCGCAGCTCTAGGCAATATGATTAGCACACATGACTGGGGTTAGGGATACTTGTTTAATTTATTTGATACAAAGCTTGCCGTTCATTGCCGCCACGTATGTGAAACTCAGTCATACGCAGCTAGAAATGGTAAAGACAAGGGTCGATCTGGTCATCTGCAGCTGAGATGGTAAAAAACCAGTTGACAGTATATGAAAAAAACGGGGAAAGTTACCCGGAATGTGACCCCATTGGCTCGGCCCCGCCACGCACCGCCACATCCGCCACACACGCCCCTATCACCAGCCTCTCAAGCTTCATTCTATCGCACGACCTTTCATGCATCACGCTAACTCCATCATGGAGCACCCTGACATTGCCAGCCAGGACTCTGATGGCTCGGGCTCCTCGGATGAGTTCCCCTCTCAATATCCTTTGAGGGAGAACTCATCCTTCGTGGAAGTGTTTGATCCGCAAGTCCAGACACCTGCCACCACCATCGGCTCATCCCCTCCATCAGCCCATTCTCCGAATCTAACATCCTCATGGTCGAGTACACCGACAATACGTCCACGTGGGGCTAGTATTGGAGCATCTGTCGCCCTCGAGAAGCCTGATGGCCTAGCGATGCCTGGAGATCTGCGAGCGCAGCGTCCTTCCGCCCCCGCGAGAACCCCCTCCAACACCTATGCTCCTCAGCGAAAACCTCCACAATATATCAGTCTGCAACAGACTGAACGGACTCGTTCCTCATCGGCAAAGCGAGGAACCCGACGCGACCCGAATGCTCAATATCGCGCCCAAGAAAAGGCCTATGTACAGCGGATCCGCGCCAACCCGCAGGCCTGGTACCATCACTTCGACGACGCACAGTCGAACAACATGATGCTTGGAGATGCTGACCTGGAAGAGCCTTCCCCTCATCCGAGGTACCCTTTGAAGACGATTCCTACGACCCCGATACGCAATTATTTCTCCCCCACGATAATATGCCCACAGCGGAAGAACTGCGCAACCCCAAAAACCAAGAGCGGCTCGAATGGCATTCTATGTTGGCATCGGTCTTGAAAGGAGATGTGGTCAAGCAAGAGAAACAGCGGTTACTGGGATCAACAGAATCGAACCGATCGGCGGCTTTGAGTCAGGCTATTTGGATCGGTGTCAAGGCGCGGACGTGTGGGCGGAGCGTCGCTCTCCAGCAAAAGCTTATCGAAGATAACCGCCGCAAGTTAGGACCGGTCATTGAGGATATCATCAACTTTCAAATCAAAGGTGAAACTGAAATCGGAAGAACACCGAGGCAGCAAGTAGAAGATGTTGTGGAGAAAATCGAGCGCTGCGAGGAGCTGTACTCCACCCGCAAAGATATGGAAGTTGCCAATCCCCGCACAGCCTCCGAGGAATTCTATTCAAGCCACGAGGCGATATTTGCCTGGCACAACATCACCGCTCTCATCAATACAGAACTAGCCGTGCTGCAAAATTGGGTCGGCAACGATGCCCTTGACTTCAGCCAGCCCAGACTCAAGTCATACGGCAGCGATATGCCTGATGACACCTCCTTCCTGGATCGTATCATGAAGGAAGACGGTCTGAAGACACTTCAAGGCGATCATAGCATGCTCCAAGGCATTGGCGAGGTCATCCAGAAAGCCAAGAACACCCTGATCGAGAATTCACAGGCTTTTGCGGCACGCCATCTTCCGCCTTACATCGAAGAACTTCTCACTTTAATCAACTTTCCTTCACGCTTGATTCAAGAAATTATTCGTGTTCGCCTGTCCTACGCGAAGACTATGAAAGACCCAGCTCAGCAATCACCGATCTTGGTGGATCAAATGATTTCGCAATTCCAGATTTTGATGAGAGTCGCCGTTGAGATTAAGCAACGCTATCTCGCCATCTCAATGCCTCAATCTGGTTGGGACCTCCCACCTTGCGTCGACGAAAATTTTGACACGGTAGTTCTCGATGCTATGAAGTACTATTTCCGTCTGCTGAATTGGAAACTCAATGCCAATAAGAACACTTTCAAAGAAGCCGAAATTCTGGAGCAGGAGTGGGAGTACTCTTATGATCTTGGTCGACAGCTTGAAAAAGGTGACATTGAGGTGGCCGAGCAGTTCAGTGCTTTGACCGCCAAGTCGCTCCAACGACTTATGATACACTTTGAGCGAGAGCTTGTGCCACGACATAATGAAAATGTTATAGACATGGACAAGCGCTACAAAAGTATCTTGGATTCCACGCGTATCCGTCAACGAAAGCTTTACCGGTTCTCCAGATTTTTGTGCCAGCTGTTCGAAAATGCCACTGAGTACAACATTACGGCTGATATCGCCTACGAGTTCTTTGAGGCATTGCTTATTTCCGATCACTTTCTCGTCACCTCACCCAACTCTGTTGGTCAAAAGGGTGTCTACTTGATTGCACATCATTCATTATGGAATCGTCCGGCTGAAATCCAGGGCATTCTCGCTACATCCTTCCGAGAAGATGATGTTAAAAACACCACTGCGATACCATATATATTGGTCATTCGCCCAGAGAAACCACTGGGCTGGGCAGGAAAAGAGATGCAGATTGACATTCTGGAGCAACCCACTGATGTCCGTCTCGGTAAGCTTCGACTGGTTGTCGAGGGCTTGCAGGAGCGACTGCAGAATGCCAGAATGGAGTTGACGCACCTTACCGGTATACAATTGGACATGGCGATTGAGCAGCGCGCAAACCTTGGGCGTGTCAATGTGGAATTAAACAAGATCAAGAAGATCTCTTTCAAGCTCTCTATGGCAATCATGGACAGTGTGGCTGTGATCAAAAACCAATTGCGAGAGAAGACATGGGAGAACAACGACCTGGTTCAGGCTTGTTATGCTTTCGCAACCGAGTTCGGAAAGCGATCTTCCAGCTACGTGGACGCTAACAGGCGCGCTATGAACAGTGCTAGGCTGGTGGAACTATCTCTCGATTGGGTCTCATTCATCTGTGATGATTGTGATGCTGCCGACAGGAAAACGTTTAAATGGGCTGTTGCTGCACTTGAATACGCAATGGCCATCACATCTAGCCGTCATCTTCTCTCTTTGGACGAAGAACAGTTTGCTCGTCTCCGACTGAAGGTGGCAGGTTGTATGTCTCTTCTTATATCTCATTTCGATATCATGGGTGCTCGATCCTCTCTCGCGGCCCAGGCAGAAAAACAGCGGATGGAGGAGCGGACTGGTGCCAGAATGGGCAGCGCTAGCCGTATTCTGAGCGATCAAGAAGCATCCAAGCTGGTCCGTGAACAATGGGCTACTCGCTTGAGCGAGATTGAAGAGCGCAGAGTCGAGGAATCTGCTAAGCGCCGGGCCTTGGGAAGAGTCCTGGAAGGATCTAACGAGGCGGACCGATCTCTTACCGTGCTGTCATCGTCTGCCACCAACGTCACCCTGCGTTGGCAACAAGGCCAGTTTATCGGTGGCGGTACCTTTGGGTCTGTCTACGTTGCTATCAATCTGGACAGCAATTATTTGATGGCAGTCAAGGAGATCCGCTTGCAGGATCCTCAGCTGATCCCTAAGATCGCGCAACAAATTCGCGATGAGATGGGTGTGCTTGAAGTGCTGGATCACCCGAACATCGTGTCTTACCACGGCATCGAAGTTCATCGTGACAAGGTTTACATCTTCATGGAGTATTGCTCGGGCGGTTCGCTTGCCAGCTTGCTGGAGCATGGTCGGGTTGAGGATGAAACCGTGATCATGGTATATGCCCTTCAACTCTTGGAGGGTCTGGCCTATCTACATCAGGCAGGAATTGTTCATCGGGACATCAAACCCGAGAACATCTTACTGGACCACAATGGTATTATCAAATACGTAGATTTTGGTGCTGCAAAGATTATTGCTCGATCAGGCCGCACAGTGGCTCCCGCAGACGGGCCAAACGGTAACAAGGAGCCTCTCATTGGGAAGGATCCACAGATTACGAACCAACGCAAGAACCAAAAGACAACCACCGGTACCCCGATGTACATGTCGCCGGAGGTGATCCGTGGCGACTCGGCTAACCGCCAAAGTGCCGTGGACATCTGGTCCTTGGGTTGTGTGATCCTTGAAATGGCCACCGGCCGCCGACCATGGTCTACTCTCGACAATGAGTGGGCAATTATGTACAACATTGCCCAAGGCAACCAGCCTGACCTCCCAGGTCCTGATCAGCTGAGCGAGATGGGCCTTGATTTCCTTCAACGCTGCTTCGAATGCGATCCTCTTCGCCGAATCACTGCTGCTGAACTACTTCAGCATGAATGGATAGTCTCGATCCGTCAACAGGTGGTGCTTGAGCCGTCTACCCCTAGCAGTGAGGCTGGAGGTAGCTACACCAGCTCCAGCTCCAACAGTCGGCAGAACTCGTCATACGGGTACTCATGATTTTCCTTCTCTCAATTCGCCAGTACTTGCATTCATGTCCCATGGCTCTTAATTTTCTCCGTGGGGGTTAAACATCGTGTTTAATCCCCTGAACGCCTCGACTTCAGCCTCAAACGACAACGCATGTGATACCCCATGTCTATTGTTTTCTCACGACCCTTCATCCACATTCTTATCATATCTGCTTTTCAAATCAATAACGTTTCGGCATGCATATACGAGGTCGGATCTACTTTTCATTTTTGGTTTTTATCTTGGTGTTGGCATTGGTTTGATCTGTGCATGAACAGCGACTATATCACCTATTAGGACCTAGTAACAGCATGCATACACACAGTTGAATTCGAATTATTACACTTGCTTTGAAACTTTCTTGCCCCTTAGCATCAACTTTGTCGACGTAACACATGCCACCTAAATATACTACATAGGGCGACTTCTTAAGAATAGAAAGATAGGTTTTATCCGACACGTCATCCAGCTCCGCCAGTTCGATGTAGGTCTACTGTCGTCCTGCGATGACAGCAGATGTCTCACCCAATCATTAATTTCAAAATCACCAGGCGAAGAAACTATCTACTACCTACAGATCTACATCTCATCTCGACTGTGGAACAAGATGAATTTAGGTGAGGCAGAGAAAGTTCCTGGAATTCGGAATTGAGCTTCGTCAAGAAACCGTAGCTCATGAACTGCACAATGAAATCCATATCCCAAGCAATAAGAATAAATGGCGAGATGTTAAAAGATGTAGAAGGAAGAGACTGTCCTCGAAGAAAAAGACCTGGTTCGCCGAGGGTGATAAAACGCCAGTCATAGTCGTGAGGCATGAGATGAGATACAATTTGGCGGGTCCGAGTGCCAGGCTGTTGACCAACGGGGTATAAGTGTCGAAATTTTCGAACGTCCATAAAATCGGGGTGGGGTTTGATAAATGTGAAGAGTAGGAGGCGGATTGTCGAGAGAAACGAAGAGATGCAAAACTGTTCGTAGATGATGCGAGTCTTACGGTACCAAGGAAGCGCTGCTTAGCCGTGGTAAACCGAAAGAGGGGAGATGGAGAGAGAGAGAAAGAGATAAAGAGAGAGAGGGAGGGAGAGAGAGAGAAAGAGAGAAAGAAGGAGAGAGAGGGGGGAAGGAAGGTAGCCAGCGCCAGCAGCAAGCTTGACGCTTATCGGAACTCGACTGCTGGGGCGCATCCCCGATCCTCGACATGCTTGAGCTCAAGTTGTTGAAACCTAGAAAAGTCAGTCAGGAAGGCAAATCAATATAGATGCGTATAGACTGGACATACCGTTCGCTCTTCGCATGGAAGTAAACACCGCTCACAGATCCCTCTACTTGATTGAAGCAGATGTAGTAAAACCCTTCAAAGCTTGCGCCGGAGATCGTTCGTACCCGGTGATCAGGGACAAGGAAGTACTCCTTCCATCTCATGAACACATGCTCCCGCTGTGCAAAGTTGCGGTATGTAAAATCGGTCCGCTTCGCTTGTTTGGCGAGCGGTTTCCAAGCGGGAAATCGAGACCAGTGATGTACGTCTGTTTTTTCATTGGCGCCCCATTCTTCATTACGGGTCACAAAAGTATGTTTTGTGCCAATAATCTCGCCTTCAAAAAACGTGGTCAGGGTTGGATGGTCCTCAGTGAGGCCTTGGATGCGTAGGTAACCGCACAGGTAAGATTCGGCCATGTCCACGTGCTTAATTTCAACATCAACATTATACACCTGGCGGTCTGACTGCTGGGTGCCGACGAATCTACTTCCAGAACGAAGAAATGACGAGGAATGATTCGGCAACAGCTGCAGGTAGGGTTGACGTTAGTCAATTGCGGTCAGTACGATATTGGGGGGAAACATACCCGAACGTTTGAAAATTCATAACGCATTAGCGACGAGTTAGAAGTAACGGGCGACTGGCTACGAGAGCACGACTCCATCGGCGAGGTAGATCTAGGTGGTCTAGTATCTTCATCCGGGGCTATCTTCCTCTCCACTCTGAGCGGGTCGGTCGCCAAGAGAGTTGTGCCATCGTCAGAGCGACTCAGTACGGACGGTGCAGTGGCGCTGGCAGGTGAGAGCACATCTTCCAAGACATCGCGCGTGTTTAGGTCATCGGACTCGTCTTCCCAGGCGGAGATTCGATCGACCTCCGGGGGACAGGTGCGGGTGGAGATCACCTCGGCGATCGAAGTCGGGTTGTCACTCGGGGTTGGCATTGGGGGTGTAGTGATCAGGAACAGGGAGTAGACATCGGATCGTAAGCGCGCTTGAAACAGAAAGTCCAAAAAAAAAACAATGTTGAGTGAATCAGGAGGGAGAAATGAAGGGGAAGAATGGATGATCTTTAAAGGCTTTTACCCGGGGGGCGGACCATCTGTGATGGGGTCATGCGAGCGCATAGCGCGGGGGAGGCGTTTTTATTAGCCTAAGGCACCAAATTTACGTCAGGTACAACAAGACTCGGAATTATGAAAGTTGTTAACTTGAGTCCTGGATGAAGCACTTGAGTTATATTATTTTGTTCTCATACCGGGTGGAACCCTTATTCTCATAAAACGCCTATCATAAATCAAGAAACATTTGAGCCCCGATATTCCCACTTTCTCCAACATATGCTAGCTTAGATGGGCTTGATCTATATCATGAGTCAGCATCGTCACAAATGAACCACCAGCCCTATTTCATACCTTGAAGTGGAGCGAAATGAGCGAAAAGATCAACGCCTTCAGGTCCTGGACAAGGTAATAGAATACCCGCAGTCCTTCAGGGTCAGCCGACTCCGTCACATCCACCAATGAGCCGATTTTCGCGGTCTATCACATACGTCAGAGAGAGGGAATCTATTTCAAAACCATTCAAGTCACTCTTACCTCAAATGAGATGTGCTCACTGCCTAGTCGGATCTCCAGCTCTTGGCGTCCATCCTTGTTCTTCTGCGGCCACTTGGAGTCGTCCTCCCTAGAGGAGGTCAACATTGCACGCAAGATTTGCTTGTCCATACATACTTCATGATCTCGCTTTCCTTGATAATGCGCCTGATCTCTGCGATCATGGCTGAGCTCACACACACTGTAGTCCGTCAGGTTATCAGCGCATCCCCGGCGTTTGGTCCCGCAACTTACTCTCTTTGCGGATGAGGGAGTCATTGCGGTAGTTGGAGTTGTTCGCATATCGGACAGCGGCGCTGTTACCATCGGAAAGGGTACGGAAATCGAATTCTGAAACAAAGTCAGCCCATTGATACGCTTCGGAGAGGAGAGGGAACCCACCTAGAAACTCATGCCCGAACCGCCCAGAGTGACCTGAGCTGCGGAGCCGTCAGCAACGCAGGGTAACCTGGGCTCACATCGTCTGATTTCTTACTAGTAACGCAGGTAAAAAGTCTCGTTTGTCGACATTGTGCTGGTAGAGCTGTCGATTGAAGAAGGTGTAGCAATAATTAAGAGCAGTCAAAGGCGGAAGAACGTGGTCGGGCTTAGTCATCCACACAGACGGGGCAAAAGGGACAGGTTGATGCTTCCCCCCCATCGCGCATCTACATGATTTGATGATTTCCAGGTTGGCGACGGGTGTTGGACTTACTCTAATTGCGCGTCTCTGACATCTTCTTGATCTTCTTTCTCTGGGAGTCTCTCCTTATTGTACGTTTTTCCCGCATCGAGGCAGTAAACTGCTAGGTGTCCGTACCCAAAACATTCCCCCCGAACTGACAACTTGCCAGCTCTCCTTTGTCCAGTCGCCTCAATCCGCTGCCCACGATGGCGTCCTACCTCGAAAATGCCTACAGTCTCATTCATATGGACAACACAGCCGACCAGCCTACTTTGCAGGAGCTGCGGTTGCAGTTGGAAAAGGGCAATGATGAGACCAAGTTGGAGACCATGCGGACAATCATCACGATCCTCCTGAACGGAAACCCGATGCCGGATCTCCTGATGCATATTATTCGTTTTGTTATGCCTTCGAAGAGCAAGCCATTGAAGAAGCTGTTGTATTTCTACTATGAGATCTGCCCCAAGCACGACTCGACTGGCAAGCTGAAGCAGGAGATGATCTTGGTTTGGTAAGGATGCTTCTTGGCCCCTGCGCTCTGATGGACTAACATATTCCAGCAATGGCATTCGTAATGACCTGCAACACTCCAACGAATATATCCGAGGAAACACTCTCCGCTTCCTGTGCAAACTTCGCGAACCCGAACTCATTGAGCCCCTCCTGTCCTCGGCCCGCTCGTGTCTGGAACACCGCCATGCCTACGTCCGAAAGAACGCCGCCTGGGCAGTGGCCTCGATTTTCCAGCACTCCGAGTCTCTCATCCCCGACGCCCCCGAACTCCTCCAAACCTTCCTTGAATCGGAGACCGACAGCACCTGCAAGCGTAATGCCTTTGCGGCCCTTATGTCTATCAGCCACCAGAAGGCGCTGGAGTACCTTGGGACGACCTTCGATACCATTCCCAACACTGATGAGTTGCTCCAGCTGGCGGAGCTTGAATTCCTGCGCAAGGATGCGGTCCAGAACCCTCAGAACAAGGTGGGTCCATTAACCAACGGGACCAAATTAAGATACTAACGGACGCCTAGTCGCGTTATCTCAAACTAATGCTTGAGCTCCTCGATGCCCCAACAAGCACTGTGGTCTACGAGGCTGCTACTTCTCTTACCGCCCTGACAAGCAACCCAGTCGCCGTGAAAGCCTCCGCCGCCAAGTTGATTGAACTCGCCATTAAGGAGGCCGACAACAACGTCAAGCTTATTGTGCTGGATCGCGTGGATCAGCTGCGTTCTCGCAATGAGGGTGTGCTGGAGGATTTGACTATGGAGATTCTGCGCGTCCTCTCCAGCCCTGATATTGATGTCCGGAGAAAGGCCCTGGGCATTGCATTGGAGATGGTTTCGAGCAAGAATGTTGAAGAGATCGTTATGCTGCTTAAGAAAGAGCTCGCTAAGACCGTGGATGAACAATATGAACAGGTATGTCGCATTTTGGGTTCGATTTGCATCGGGATCTAACATTACGCAGAACAACGAATACCGCCAGCTCCTCGTTCAATCAATACACACTTGTGCTATCAAGTTTTCTGAGATCGCTGCTAGCGTGGTTGATCTGCTTATGGACTTCATTGCAGACTTTAACAACAACTCAGCCGTGGACGTCATCTCATTTGTTAAGGAGGTTGTTGAGAAGTTCCCCGACCTGCGTGGGGCTATTGTGGATCGCCTGGTATCAACCCTGAGTGAGGTCCGGGCCGGTAAGGTCTATCGCGGTGTTCTTTGGGTCGTTGGAGAATACTCTCTGGAGGAGAAGGATATTCGCGGAGCCTGGAAGAAGATTCGCGCCAGTCTTGGTGAGATCCCGATCTTGGCTTCCGAGCAACGTCTGCTCGATGAGGTCCCCGAGGACAATGCGCTGCTTCTCCAAGAACAGACCAACGGCCAGGCTAAGACTGCTCCCACTGGCTCCCGCAAGGTGTTGGCAGATGGCACATACGCTACCGAAAGTGCTCTTACTAGCCAGTCTGCGGCCGCTGCTCGCCTCGAGGCTGTGAAGGCCGCACAGAAGCCTCCGCTGCGTCAACTCATCTTGGATGGCGACTACTACCTCTCCACAGTCCTTTCGTCTACACTTACCAAGCTGGTGATGCGTCACTCGGAGGTCTCTCAGGATAGTGCTCGCACTAATGCCCTTCGTGCCGAGGCCATGCTGATTATGATTTCCATTCTGCGCGTTGGTCAGTCCCATTTCGTCAAGGCTCCTATTGATGAGGATTCTGTTGACCGTATCATGACCTGTGTCCGTTCTCTGGCCGAATTTTCCGAGAAGAAGGATCTCGAGGCTATCTTCTTGGAGGATACTCGCAAGGCATTCCGCGCCATGGTTCAGATTGAGGACAAGAAGCGAGCCGCGAAGGAGGCTGTCGAGAAGGCTAAGACTGCCGTCCAGGTTGACGATTCCATTCCCATCAGACAATTCACCAAGAAAAACACTGTCGAGGGAGCTGAGGATATTGAGCTGGATCTCGTCAAGGCTACTGGTGGCGATTCTGTTGTTGAGAATGTTTCATCCAAGTTGAGCCGGGTGGTGCAGCTGACTGGTTTCTCCGACTCAGTCTATGCTGAGGCCTACGTGACTGTTCATCAGTTTGATATCGTTCTGGACGTTCTGTTGGTCAACCAGACTACCGAGACTCTGCAGAACCTGTCCGTTGAATTCGCCACTCTGGGTGATCTCAAGGTTGTCGAGCGCCCCTCCACGCACAACCTGGGACCTCGGGACTTCTTGAACGTCCAGGCGACGGTGAAGGTATCTTCCACTGACACTGGTGTGATCTTCGGTAACATCATCTACGACGGAGCCAGCTCCACTGAGACCCATGTGGTCATTCTCAACGACATCCACGCCGATATCATGGACTACATCCAGCCCGCCCACTGCACCGAAACCCAGTTCCGCACCATGTGGACCGAATTCGAGTGGGAGAACAAGGTCAACATCAACTCCAAAGCCAAGACCCTGCGGGAATTCCTGAAGCAACTGATGGAGAGCACCAACATGGCTTGCTTGACCCCCGATGCTTCTCTGAAGGGTGATTGCCGGTTCTTGTCTGCCAACCTCTACGCCAGGAGCGTATTCGGTATGTTACTCTCTCCCTCTTTACAATGTCCGATAACTAACAGTACTAGGTGAGGATGCTTTGGCCAATCTGAGCATTGAAAAGGAAGGTGACGATGGACCGATTACCGGCTTTGTTCGTATCAGAAGTCGCTCGCAGGGCCTGGCCCTGAGTCTGGGATCCTTGAAGGGTCTCAAGGCTGCGGCGGCATGAGTAGATTTTTGATATTCCGTTTTTCATTGTTTCCAGCGGGTTGCAGTATATGTCTTCCTATTTTAACTTGTTTTCCTTTATTTTTGATTTCCTTTCTCCCTTCTCCAAGGCAAATTTGGGGTCATATCAGGGTGTCGAAAAATAGATAATGATTGACTGTGCATATAAACTGTATCAGTAGACAGTACTACCTGGGTAGATGTTCCATGCTACGACATCGTATTTGATACAATTGCTTGGATAGAATGAGAGCTCGGTAGACAAAGCAAGTTGTATAGATTCACGCAAAAGAAAGCGAGCAACCTTGGAAGTCCTGCCAGCAGTCCTCCCTAGCTCTCATAACACTAAATTGAAAGAAGAAAACCAAATCAAGACCAATCAGAAACCCACAAGGCAAAAGAAAGCCTAGTAGTTTGGAATGCAAACACCGGCATTCCACTCAGTGGCGCCAACACATTGCCAACCGTCACAGCAAGAAGGGCCACTGCTATGGCAGGCGACCTTGTAATCTATGAGATAGTCAATTAACTATGTATACTTCAATTCTAATTGATTTGAATTGACTCACTGCCGACACAGGTGCGCTTCTCGAAGGCATCAGGGGAGGGAGTAGCAGTGGCAACAGCAGCCAGGGTAGCGATGATAACGGTGATAAACTGCATTTTGATAAAGCGGCTGATCGGTAGATCGGATGATTTAATTTGATTGATTGGTTCTGTACTGAATTAAGTGGAATTAACTGATGATGTTTAATGAAAGGAATCCCCTTCTATTTATTCCAAGCCTTGGATGATCATGTACCTCTTTGGTATCCATATCAAATCTGTGTCCAGTTATAGTATGTAAGACTGTGAATATGATGTTATACATATTTTCCCATTTATAGTAGGCGGTCAAATTTCCCAACTTCCTCCAGAGAGTACGGACCCCAGTAGTTGAGTGAGAATGGGGCCATTGAGTCAAAAATAAGTGTAAGTTTTATTATTAGTTAGTCAACTCCGTGTATACCGTAATAGGTAAATGTGGGTTGTGTCAAGGTTGCAGACAAAGAAGTAATGCTTGGCCCCCAACCCGGAACAACGCGGGTTGATCTGCGCCCTTCTCCAGCCTTTTCATATCTTTAGCTCCTCGAGCAATTCTCCCATCTTGTGCGCTGATTATCTTCTATATTTTCAACTCCAAGAATGTCCTCCGACTCGTCTCCAGATCAGCCGGGGCTGGAGCATGACTCCATCCTCCGTGTCGATAAATCTGTCTCTTTGACTATTGGCAGCGACTCGCTCCTAATTGTTGGTAAGACTTGGTCCCTGTTTAGCAGAAGCTGTGAAGTAAACCCTCGTGCCAAGCTAACTTTCCAAGATGACCGTCCTCGCAGATCGGGTCGCGGTTGCTGCGGATTGCGCAGGTCAGGTGAGCTGCTCCTCGAGCCGGTGATCGGGATCAGCGCTGTCGCGCATATCGTTCAATAAGGCTAATTGTATTTCTTTCTTAGAAACGACCAAGTTGCCACATGCGATTTCCCTGTACAATATCCTAGATGTTCAAGCGGAACCCTCAAACTTGACCATCACCTACGCGGCGTCGTCATCCAAGGAAGATGTTACCGTGTCGACTCTCCACTATTCCGTCAACGATAAAGAATGCCCCACGGTGGATGGATGGGCGAAGAAGCTACTCGATCTCGCCTATGGCAATGTCCCGCGCTCAAGACGACTGAAGATCTTGATCAATCCGTTCGGTGGACAGGGAAAAGCCGCGGCTCTGTACCAGAGAGAGGCTGCCCCAATCTTCGCCGCCGCGGGATGCAAACTTGATGTGCAGACGACTGAACACCGAGGACACGCGATTGAGATCGCAGAGCAAATTGACGTCAACGCGTATGACGCAATCGTCTGTTGCTCGGGTGATGGTCTCCCATACGAAGTGTTCAACGGGCTGGGCAAACGACCCAATGCGCGCGAGGCGTTAGCCAAGCTACCTGTCGCCCTGCTACCCTGCGGATCCGGCAACGCAATGACCTGGAGCTGCTTCGGCACGGGGAGTGTTTCGGTCGCAGCTTTGGCCGTGGTGAAGGGTCTGCGGACCCCGCTGGATCTGATGTCCATCTCGCAAAAGGGCAGTCGCACGCTTTCATTCCTGTCGACTTCTTTCGGAATTGTGGCCGAGTCTGACCTGGGCACGGATAATATTCGGTGGATGGGTGCTCAGCGATTTACATATGGGTATCTCGCTCGTGTATTGGCTAATCGTGTCTGGCCTTGTAATTTGGCGATCAAGGTTGAGATTGATGATAAGGAGGCGATCAAGGAGCACTATGCGGGATACACTGGCCGTGAACTGGATCCATTTGCTGATGCTCATCGAATCGAGGCTGCGGAGAAGTCGCCTGCTTTACCTGATTTGCAGTACGGTGGTGTGGATGATGGAATTCCTCGGGACTGGGAAGTTGTCCCGGGTGAGAACATGGGCAATTTCTATGCCGGTAATATGTCGGTTGTGACCAAAGATGCCAATTTCTTCCCCGCGGCTCTGCCGAATGATGGCTTCATGGATATTCTCACGGTTGACGGTACGATTAGTCGTCTGACTTCACTTGGGATGATTTCTGAAGTCGCCACTGGTGGTTTCTTCTATAGACCTGAGGTGAAGATTCGCAAGGCTACTGCGTTCCGCTTGGTCCCTCATCAAAAAGAGGGTTATATCAGTATCGACGGCGAGTCGATTCCCTTCGAAGCCTTGCAGGTTGAGATCCACCCCGGCCTGGGTACAGTTCTTTCCAAGTCTGGGACTCGGTATGAGGCTGATGGACCCATGTAATGATTTTATGAAAAGCCTGCTGCGTCGGTTTTCTGCATATCCTTCAATTGTCGGGTCTTTCTATTTGTTCATGATACCCCTCGCAAAGAGACTTCAGCTGCACGCTAGATTCTGGGGGCGAGTTGTATAGCTCTCTTATACCATAGATGATATTAATATATACTTTTGTGTCAAATATTCCGATGTTTCCATCTAATCCTGAAATAAATGAACATTGAACTTTTAGGTGTATTCATAGTCTCGCTAGGAAATGCTGTACATTAAAAAATCCCATCGTTGGAATGAAATCTAATCGTCAAATCCACCCCATTCTCCGTCGGTATCCACCTCATCGTCAGGGTTCTCCCGAACTCGCAATCCCCACTCAATCAACCGATCATCATCCAAGGCCTCCGCAACCCTTGTGCGCACAGGTCTGTAGGCACTCTCGGAGCGCAGCTTCTCCAATGGCCGCAATATCAATTCCATAGGCACATCACCCTTAATCTTGCGCGCTCCCTCTTCACCTTCGAACTCGAGAACCTTCTCCAACTCATCGATCCAGATATCAGCAATATGATACCGCAATCCATCGGGACCATGCGGCATTGGGACAAAGTCCGCCTCGATATCCTCTTCAGGCTGATCAACATCATAGTTCAAAGGACAAAGTGGGCCCTCCTCAATAATATCAATATAAGCAGCGAGATCGCTCCATTTCGCATCCAGCTCAGTCTTGTCCTCAACAACCTCAACAGCGGCGCTCTCAGCCTTCTTCTGTTTCTTTCCACCCTTCTTTCCGGTGTCTTCGCTCTTGCGCTTCTTGCCATCGGCTTTTGTCTTCTTCGAACCCTTCAAGAAGACCTCGAACGCCACACCGACATAGCAACGGATCAGGAAAAGGTACTTGTCGAGACGGAGACGGTCGATGGAGTGATAATCCCGACCGATGGTGATCCAGAAAGCGCGCAGGAAGCGGTGTAGGGTAGCATGGGGGAGGGCGGGAACGATGTGGTAAGAGATTGCGCGAGCGAGAGCTTGTTGGGTGAGTGGTCGGTCGGAGTGGTAGAAGCCTATTGCAGTGTATGAGTAAATGCTTTCCTAAACCCGAACTAGAACTAAAACTATAACTCTTGAATAAAAGACCTGTAGGATTGTCACGTACAGAAGAAGAGACCCTTCCAGAGCTTGAGCAGGTCGACAAGACTCAGGTCGGTCTTCTGGCTCAGGAATAATGTGAGTGATTCAACCGCTTTGTCGCGGACTTTCTTGTCTGCAGGGAGAATTAGCTGGGCGCTTTTTTGCAGGATGGCGCTTTTTTGCAGGATGGCGCTTTTTGATTGCTAGGATGTTTCTTACCGCTCGAGGCGAGGTCCCTTACAAAGGGGGTCTTTTGTATATCCGCCATGGCGTCGTCAATTGCGAATCGGTTCGATGAAGCTGCGGGTTTGCGATAAAAAATAATTTTTGATACCGGAGATTGGGTTTGCTTGGTTTGCTTGGTTTGCATTCCAGCTGCATTATCTCTCACGTGTTTATGCCTCAGGTGTCAATACTAGGTACCCTGTCTTTCTACTTCTTCTACGTCTTCTACGCCTTCTACGTCTACTCCCTTTTTTTATCTCCGTTACCTCTTCTACCCCCTGCAAAGTAAGTGGAAAAGTGCACAAGACATCCTACTTTCTATAATTTTGACTGCACACCTTTATTCTTTGATTGTGGTTGTGATTGTTGTTAAGACTATCATGGTGACCATTACTGAACTGTCTGAAGATCACTTGTGGTTAATTGTGTGATCTTAATCCCAGCTTTTTACCTTCGCAGTTTCTAGGGGCGAAACCATATTATCTGAATATAAATATTCTAAGTTGAGGTCAAACACATCACTACAATTAACCTTCCGGACGGTGAGCAATTCTTGTCATTCCATCCTGTCTTAGTGAACTCATCTTCTTATCTTCTCATCTTCTCATCTTCTCATCTTCTCATCTACTCATCTACTCCTGTATTTGCTTCAAAGGATTTAAGAAGCCTTATAGTTTCAAGTTTGTTCATTTCAAATTAGTGTAACATGACTAATCAATGTACGATGAATTCTCCGATCTTGACATCTTGACATCATGACTTGAGGTGTCACCCAAATAGAATCATAGCCCTGGTACCTCTCTCATGAATTTGTGGCTCCGGAGAAAACAGGATCCAAAGTTCAGCTACTATATTTCCCGTTGTAACTTACTTAGATTTTCGTACCTCCCATATGCTGTACCTACTGCTGTGCAATCTGGTGCAGCTTGCTACATAGCCCAAAACCTTGTTTTTTTCTTTTCAGTCATCGACATCCATCTTCTCCATGAATCGCCAAGGCCACGAGAGCTCCAAAGGGAGCTCCTCCCTTGAGCAACCCGAAGGGAGCTTATCCCACGAGCAACGTATCTCCCAGGGCAGCTCCGAAGCTCTAGCTGCAGATGACCGAGCCATATTCGCGCATATACGCCCTGAAGAGCGCCAGGAGCTGACTCGCATCGCCTCCAACTTTCCCCGTCGTCCAACCCTCGATTCAGATCTCAGTGGAATGACCGAAGTGGAGCGGAAGGATACGCTAGAGGGCGTGGAGTTGGGAGACCCTATCCTCGATCCAGCAAGCGATCAATTCGATCACTACGAATGGGCTCGTATGATGCTGAAGCTGATGGACAGAGAGGGTGTCCCTCTACGCAAATCGACAGGCGTAGTCTTTGAGAACCTCAATATCTCCGGATCGGGGTCTGCGCTTCAGTACCAGAACAACGTGGGTTCGGTTCCACTGGCCCCATTTCGTCCCCAGGAATACCTTTCATGTGCGAAGAACATACCACAGAAGCAGATACTTCGGAATTTCGACGGTGTGCTCAAGAGCGGAGAGCTGCTCATTGTCCTGGGACGCCCGGGCAGTGGCTGTTCCACTTTCCTCAAGTCCATTACTGGGAAACTCCATGGACTTAAAGTTGGCAAGGGGTCCGATATTCAGTTTAATGGAATCAATATGGAAAGGATGTACAAAGAGTTTAAGGGTGAAGTCTTGTACAATCAGGAGGTTGACAAGCACTTCCCCCATCTTACTGTCGGTCAAACACTTGAGTTCGCTGCCGCAGCTCGGACTCCGGAAAACAGACTCTGTGGAATATCTCGCACAGAGTACGCCAAGAAGATTACACAAGTTGCCATGAATGTGCTCGGTTTGAGCCATACATACAACACGAAAGGTATGCGAGAGTCCTAGAGAGAGAAATTCCAGCTGACATCCGTCTAGTCGGTGATGACTACATCCGAGGTGTTTCTGGTGGTGAAAGGAAGCGAGTTAGGTATGTGCTCTTCTTCGGGACTTGAGATATTGAAACTTATATTAAATAGCATCGCTGAGATGGCCTGTACGTCTTCATTATCTGTATTAATCTCAACGACTGACCATCTTAGTATCTGGAGCTCCAGTCGGGGCTTGGGACAATAGCACCCGAGGTCTAGATTCTGCAAGCGCTCTGGAATTTGTCAAAGCTCTAAGAGTCTCAGCCAATCTCACCGGCAGTTGTCACTCCGTCGCTATCTACCAAGCATCCCAAGCAATCTACGACATTTTCAATAAGGTAATCGTGCTATATGAAGGAAGACAGATCTTCTTTGGACGATGCAGCGAAGCCCGAGAGTACTTTATCGAGATGGGCTGGGATTGTCCACCTCGTCAAACGACGGGTGACTTCCTGACTTCTGTGACTAACCCGTCGGAAAGAAAGGTTCGAGAAGGAGTGCAGAGTGTCCCTCGCACGCCGGACGATTTCGAAAAATATTGGAAGGAAAGTCGTCATTACGTGACGCTCCAGAAGGAGATCTCTCAGTACCATGAGAAATACCCGCTAGGAGGGGAGGCTGGAAAGGAGTTCCATGAAACGAAAAGGCTGCGACAGGCGAAACATGCGCATCCAAAGAGCCCTTATATCATCACAATTCCGATGCAGGTCCGCCTTTGTGTAAAAAGAGCGTATCAACGGTGTGTCTACTACTTCATTTTATACTCAGATATATCTACCTCTTCTGATTTTTCTAATTTTATAATGCAGTATCTGGAACGACAAGCCATCGACCCTGACCACTGTGATCGGTCGGATTGTCATGTCCCTGATCATCGGTTCGATCTACTTCGGGACCCCCAATGCCTCTGCCGGGTTTCAGAGTAAAGGTGCAGCACTGTTCTTCTCTGTCCTTATGAATGCCCTTATCAGTATCACCGAGATCAACTCGCTTTACGATCAACGGCCTATTATTGAGAAACAAGCTTCCTATGCCTTTGTTCATCCATTTACTGAGGCGTTGGGGGGCATTGTGGCCGACATACCAGTCAAGTTTGTATCAGCGGTTGTATTTAACATCATCTTCTACTTCTTGGCTAGCCTAGTAAGTTGAAAAATTAACAAGCATGGCCAGTATTGACAAGATTTAGCGATACGAACCCTCTCAATTCTTCATATTCTTTCTCTTCACTTTCCTCAGCACTCTGACCATGTCAGGAGTCTTCAGAACACTAGCTGCATCTACTAAGACACTTGCGCAGGCCATGTCTATGGCAGGTGTGATTGTTCTTGCAATTGTGATTTACACAGGATTCGTAATCACAGCACCGGAGATGGCCAAGATTCCATGGTTCAGTTGGATTCGCTGGATCAATCCAATCTTCTACACATTCGAAGCAATAATCGCCAACGAATTCCACGGTCGTCGATTTGAATGCTCGGCATTTGTGCCTGCCTATCCAAGTTTGTCGGGTGACTCGTTCATTTGCTCTGTCAGAGGTGCCGTTGCAGGAGAGAGAACCGTATCTGGGGATTCTTATATCGAAAGTCAGTACTCCTACTCGTATGCGCACGAGTGGAGGAACCTCGGGATTCTTATCGGATTCTGGATTTTCTTCATGGCTCTCTATCTCATTGCCTCGGAGTTGAACTCTTCCACGTCTTCTACGGCGGAGTACCTTGTCTTCCGGAGAGGGCACGTACCTGCTCACCTACTTCATCTGAAAGGGGGAGGCGATAGCTCTGCTGAAGTGGCACCGATCTCTAAGTCCAAGGAAGGGAAAGAGGACAAGAATTCTGCCATTCCATCTCAGCACGACGTGTTCACCTGGCGGAACGTCTGCTATGATATCCCGGTCAAGGGCGGCGAACGGCGTCTTCTGGACAACGTATCTGGATGGGTCAAGCCCGGTACTCTCACAGCGCTAATGGGTGTATCTGGGGCTGGAAAGACAACTCTACTAGATGTTCTCGCGAAGCGTGTCTCGATAGGTGTTGTGACGGGCGACATGCTCGTAAATGGCAAGCCACTTGATACCAGCTTCCAGAGAAAGACGGGTTATGTTCAACAGCAGGATCTACATCTTCCCACTAATACCGTGAGGGAAGCTTTAAGATTCAGCGCAATGTTACGCCAGCCAAGCACTGTCTCTAAGAAAGAAAAGTACAGATATGTCGAGGATGTGATAGACATGCTCGGTATGCAAGACTTTGCGGATGCTGTGGTTGGTGCTCCTGGTGAAGGTCTGAACGTTGAACAGAGGAAACTGTTGACCATTGGTGTCGAATTAGCTGCCAAGCCTGCGCTTCTAATCTTCTTGGATGAGCCAACTAGTGGCTTGGATTCACAAAGTTCATGGGCTATTTGTTCCTTTTTGAGGAAGCTTGCTGAGCATGGCCAGGCTGTTCTTAGCACCATTCACCAACCGAGTGCACTGCTTTTCCAGGAATTTGACCGTTTGCTATTTCTTGCAAAGGGAGGTAGGACGGTCTACTTTGGCGAGATTGGTGACCAGTCCCGGACCCTCTTGGATTACTTTGAAAACAACGGAGCCCGGGTTTGTGGCTCTTCAGAGAACGTAAGTATTTTAATCTCTGCAGGTTGACAAGCTCTAACGATCACCAGCCCGCAGAGTACATGCTCGAAATCATCGGTGCCGGAGCTTCTGGAAAGGCCACAAAAGACTGGGCAATCGTGTGGAACGAAAGCCAAGAAGCAAAGAATGTTCAATCCGAGCTTAACCGAATCCATGAAGAGCGATCTTCGGCAGCGAGCAATAATGAAGGAGCTCAGCAAGGCGAATATGCCATGCCTTTTACCCAACAGCTACTCTACGTTACCCATCGCTCGTTCCAAGCTTTCTGGCGCGAGCCGTCCTACGTATGGGCAAAGATCATGCTAGCAACATTATCATCGTTGTTCATAGGCTTCACATTCTTCAAGCCAGATAGTTCTCTCCAAGGCTTCCAGGATGTGATCTTCTCAGCCTTCATGCTATGCTCCATCTTCTCCACACTGGTCCAGTCTATCATGCCCAAATTTGTGGTTCAGCGATCTCTGTATGAAGTGCGCGAACGACCCTCAAAAGCCTATTCATGGGCTGCTTTCCTCATTGCGAATGTCATTGTCGAGATACCCTATCAAGTATTTGCCGGAATTATTGCTTGGGCGTGCTACTACTTCCCAGTATATGGAGCGGATCAAGCAGCACAGCGTCAAGGCTTGATGCTTCTGTTCGTGGTCCAGTTTTACATGTTCACGTCCACATTTGCTGCACTGGTTATCTCGGCTTTGCCAGATGCTGAAACGGGTGGTACAATCGCGACATTGATGTTCATTATGACACTCACCTTCAACGGTGTCTTGCAACCACCCAGCGCTTTGCCCGGATTCTGGATATTCATGTATCGCGCCTCTCCATTGACTTACCTGATTGCCGGCATAGTGGCCACAGGCTTACACGGCCGGGCTATCCAGTGCTCGACTGCTGAGCTGAGTGTTTTCAATCCCCCAATTGGCTTGACCTGCGGTGATTACTTGGATCCTTATGTCAAGGCTGCAGGGGGGCAGTTGTACAATCCTCTTGCCACAAGCGGTTGTCAGTACTGCAAGCTTTCCAATGCTGATCAGTACCTGGCGGCAAGTAATATCTGTAAGTTCTTTCATTCCTTGTCAGTTCTACTTACTAACTTATATAGACTACAGTGAACGTTGGCGCAACTTTGGCATTGGATGGGTCTATGTTGGATTCAATATCTGTGGCACAGTACTGATGTATTACATGTTCCGTGTCAAACACTACAATCCCACGTCTCTGGTTCGGGGTATTCGCCAGAGTGCCTCGTTCATCTGTCGTGTATTCAAGCGACGATCTGGAGAGACGCCCAAAGGAAAGGAGGCAAACAACGGACGCTTAGTGTAAACTTGGGATGTATGACTAGCAATTGTCTTGTTCAAATGTTAATTTTAATTTTCGATCTAATGAGAACCCACAATTTGATATGCTGCCTCCTGAAGGTAAGGATGCCACCGTTCATCGAGAACACTTAAAATCGCCGCAATAAGCTTCGCTGGCCTCCCTTCAAAATACCAACAGGTCTCCATTCCCTTCATAATCACACAGTAATGGGCAAGGAGAATCAAGGCCCCAGGATGCCTCTCAAAGATAAGATCATAAAACTCGTCTTCGAGTCGCAGGCACCACAGCCCGAGAATATTCCACATACTAACATCAATCGTGGTCGTTTCCTGATCCAAATACGCAAATACATCAGCCAATGCACTCGCCCCGTCCTGATAGACGGATATAACATGCTCAGACCACGACCCATCTTGAGGGACGATGGACATGAAATGCTCCAAGTAAGGAAGTTTGCTATCGCCAACATCCAGTTCCGTTTCCCATGCCTCAGTTAGAGCGCTGACAGGACAGCTCTCAATCTGGCTCCATACCTCGCTAAGCATGTCGCAGCTGCATCGAATAAAATGTAACCATTGAGGGAGAATTAACCGTTTCTCTTGAACCCCTGTGTCCGTGTTACAGACGAGAAGTAGCGAGTTCTGACCATTATCCAGTTCCGTTGCGAAAGAGAAGACGACCAGGAGATATGCGAATGCGATTATCGCCTCACAGTTTTCTGTCGTGGGATGCTCGATTTCGTACCTGAACAGCGGTAGTGCAGAGTCTTGGTGCGCGTATGCACGAATAATGTAGGTCTCCCGTTGCGCCGGGTAGAGATGGGCCATATGCAATGCCGTACAGGCTAAGATACCATGTAAGAGGAACGGATGGTTATATGCAAGATCCGCAACAATATCAAGCCAGATACCTTCAGTGCGAGAGTCCTGGGCGAAACTTCTCCAAGACGAATAGAAGTAGTGTTCCAGTGATAAAGAGTCGATCGCATCCAGTTTATGCCTGTCTCGCATTTTGCAGATATATGACGAAGGGGGAGGTGTCTGTGGGCACTGACCAGGCGAGTCATCGTGGTTGCTGGTGAAATAGCGGAGCATGTTTCCCCGGAAAAAGGTTTGTAGTGGAGCGGAAGACCAGTCATGGCTTGGGTCTCCTTTGCAGCCATGTTTAGATGGCCAGTGGGTTTCCATTCGTTTTGTTGAGATGCATAGATAGTTACAAGCTGGTGCGTTGCATTTCCACCCTTGTTCGAGTGGGAGGTAGGGCATTGGGAAATCTTGATCAGGCGGATCTACTACATCCTCTGGCTTTCTTAATTTGAAGCTGCTCGCATAGAGAGTGTAGGGTCGTCTTTCTTCATTGTGGAGGTAGTGGATATCTTTCAGATGTCGAGCTACTCCTCCTGGTTTGATTGCATGGCGACAGCTTGTACATATAAGAACCTCATATGTGGGGAAGTATTTGAGTAACTGTGGGGGTGAAAGAAGAGTGATATCTGACTCTTCAGACATGGAAGCTACAGGCCTGGTCGGCTGGATATTACAAAGTCAACAGTGAATGAGAAAGAGGAAAGAAGTTCAAGGAGACTACGGGATTGGGGAGCGTGCCAGATCACATGACCTAGCGCTCCTTTGTAATCCATCTCACCACTAGTTAGTTAAGATCATTATTATTCGCCAGCTCTGCCGACCAGACACCAGAGTATTAGTCAGGCGTACTTGGCATTGATGAGTTGATTAAGGCAGCCCCTGGGCTACGTCGTGTCTGCAACGCGCATTACAAGCAGTTCGCCAGTGTGGATATAATTGACTAGGACTCATCTCACAATCTAGCATTGAAGGCAGATGTTCAAAAATATGATGTAGTGGTAACAATGGGGACGAACTCATTAGTAGCATCCGCTACCAATCAAGTGCGTCAGATCCAACGGTGCTGTTCTACACTAATCCAGTTTAGGTATAGATAGTTCAGGCTAATAAACTTTTTGGCTTTTAACTCTTACTTAAGCCAATCATATCACTTCATCTTGCTTGTGCTGTTCTGGTTAGATGGACATATACATATCTACTACTCTCGGGGTAACAATCTGACCGATTTGCATTCTACTGCATCCATAAGTATAAATAGCAGATATCGCCACCTGGTCTCAGTCTCACACCTCTCAAATTCAATTGATCTTATCATGTCCAAATTCCAACGCTCCGTCCTTATCACTGGTGGTACTACCGGTCTGGGATACCAATGTGCCCTAGCCGTAGCCCGTGACTGTCCAACCTACCAAGTGATCATCGCCTCTCGCAACGATAACAGCGCTGCCGAAACCATCAACAAGCTTCTCAACCATAGCAACGTTCAATTCATGAAACTAGACCTTTCAAACCTCGCCAACATCCGCTCCTTCGCCACAACCTGGGAAGCTTCCAACTTCCCTCCCCTCTACTCCCTTGTCTGTAACGCCGCGCTCCAATTCCCCAACGCAGCCGAGTACACCGACGATGGATTCGAAAAGACCTTCGGCATCAACCATGTCGGACACGCTCTTCTCTTCTCCCTTCTACGCCCGTACCTCGCCAATACCGCACGGATCGTGATAACGGGAAGTGGAACGCATGACCCAGCATATAATACAGGCATGCCAGATGCCTTCTACAATACAGCAGAGGAACTTGCACATCCGCTGCCAGAGTATACTCAAGGCAACGGTAGACAGCATTACTCTAACACCAAGCTAGCAAATGTGCTGTACATGTTTGCTCTGCATCGTCGCTTTACAAAGATCAATGAGAAAACTGGGAAGCATTGGACTGTTACGACCATGGATCCCGGGTTGATGCCTGGGACTGGACTTGCAAGGGAGGCGAACGGCGTGGTAAAGTTTCTGTGGAATCATGTTTTACCGCACATTCTCCCGCTTTTGAGGTTGCTTATTTCGCCTAACATACATACGCCAGGGGAGTCTGGAGAGGCTTTGGCTCAATTGGCCGTTGGGAAGAATGTTGAGGGTGTGAGTGGTCGGTATTTTGAGGGACGGAAGGAGATTATGTCCAGTAAGGATAGCCTTGATGAGGGTAAGCAGGAGGATTTATGGAAGTGGACTATTGATGCGGTGGCGCACGATGAGGAAAAGGTGGCCTTCTCTCTTCAGGATTTGCTTTGAGCGTGTTTGTACGTAGCCCGACTTTGAAGTTTTAAATGTGTGTTTAATTGAGTTTCTATTCTGAGCTGAGAATCTTGGTACTATTTATATCCCACTAGACATCCGAGTCCATCATCAAGTTCATAAAAACATTATACACGTCAAGTTATCGATTGACTTGATAAAAAATACATGTCGAATCTTTACACAATTTCTCCCAAAGTGATAAGAATCTGACTTCTTTTAAGTCAGCAACAGCCATCGATCCACAAATCAGTGAACCGAAGCAATTGGATGTATACCCCTTGAGACCCAGGAAAAATGTACATAAGTATATGGGCACTCTTCGGAACCGTCTACAATTCTCCCAATATTTATTCTGGATCTAGTCTAGATTACCAATTTTCCATTTGTGTTTTCAACATCATCAGAAATAGAATATTGGGATGGTATTTGAAATTAGGCTGTCGCGAACATCTTCGTTCCTTCATACCCGACTCAACTGGCCTAAGCTGAGTTTAGGGTGATATAATTTAATAGTGGAGCAGTTCACATGAACTAGCATCATTGGTCTAGTGGTAGAATTCGTCGTTGCCATCGACGAGGCCCGTGTTCGATTCACGGATGATGCATTTCTTTTTTGTCTCTCATGTTCATCTTCTCGCTACTTGCGTTGTATGGTTCTTTTTTTATTGTCTTTGCATTGGCACCTACTTAGGCAGTTCACAGGCATAATCATTCCAACGTTTGAAATAAGCAACATGTCACCATAAGATGCAGACTATCTGCTAAATTCAAACAAGCCCGCCTTGGACATACAAGAGATGTCAATCATCAAAATGCTAACCGAGTGGTAAGATTGCTGATCCATATTATTGTCGTAGCTCACTCGAATATAGAAGGACAAGGGGTATTGTGCAAAAGATGAAGAACGCCAGAACGCTGGAAAGGGGAATGTCGTAAGAGAGAGAGAGAGAGAGAGAGAGAGAGAGAGAGAGAGAGATGCAGTGATGCAAAAATAAAGAGCTGCATCATAGAGACGGCCTACTAACAACCAGGGCATTAATGACATGGCCATTCTGCCAGCCCTGATCAACCAGGGACTCATGCTCCTTCAACATCCGGCCCAGGTAAGCGATCCTTACCCGCTGGTGATTCGCAAGCTATCAACCCCGTCAGTCACCAGAATCATAAACGTACTCCAGAGTCTGGACCAAAAGATGAAACACATACCCCTGCTTCCTGATGTATCTTCCTCGCTAAAAAGCCGACACGCTGACTCTTACCCACACGCATCATAAGATCCTGTCCATCCCGCTCGCTCAACCGAGCTAGCACACGGATCAAATCCCGCTCACTAGTCTTCCCCTTCTCATCACGTCGCCGCTCAAGATCCAGTTCCGCAATCAACTCATCTCCGGACGCACCATCCGTTGCCAATTTCCCATCCGACTCTTCTGGCACAGAGCCATCTGAGCCCGACGCTGCACCGGCAATGTTCTCCGGATCACTCACGATACACTGCGGTAGTCGGTACAACATGCCTTGTTCGTCGTAGCATCCTTCGCAGAGATCACCCGTGGGCACAGTCACGCCGGCTGCATCGATGATCCCCTGTGCTGTGACTGGGTCACCGCTTTGCATGAGTGTTATGGCGCTCGAGAGCGCAGCCCAGATCTCTTCGCGGCCTGTGACACGGGTTTCGAAGAACTCGCGGCGTTCGCGGTCGAGGTCGGTGCGGGTCCAGAGGCGGCGCTTGCTGCTCCATATGTGGGGACGGATGGGTTCGTTGTAGTGTTGGTCTAGTGGGAGGTTATGGGGTCGGGGGCGACGGTGGCGGGTCTGTGTTGTAGACTCGGGAATCGCATCGTGGGTTGTTTGGTGGCCTTCAGCTCGATCTTGAGTGTGGGTTTCTTGGTCGTCGTCATCATGCGACGGGGTAGAGGCACAGCAGCCCTGGAACGGGTTAGATTTGTAGATTATTCCTTTGGATGGGAAGTGGCGTGGTAGGTGAATCTTGCCAAAGAAGACTCGGATTGGGAAGATAAAAATGATTTGGGAAGAACTTACCATCTTGCGTGCAATACAAACATTCCATAAGCCAAGGAGCAAGGAGGGGAAGAGGGGGCCGGATCGAAGAGGATCCAACGGTATTAAAACTAACTGGAAACCTTGTCACCAAGACTGAATTTAAACATGGAAAACACGACTTGACTTGGGTAATCAAAGTCCTGGGAAATATGCCGGACAGAATAATAGAAAAACAGAATAACATAATATGAACAGACATTCCACGACTCTAAGCTTTAGACCAAGCATTTATCATGGGCCCCGATTCGTCCAAATTTATTGTCTCAGCTGCAGCTGTATTGGCTATAATTACACTGGGTGATTTATCCTTTAATGTATTTGAATTTGCTTCATTCTTCATCTTCTTCTTCGTCGTCGCTGCCGAAAATTGCCTTAAAGATCGCATCGCCCGGCCGCTCAGCCTCGAGGGCTTCATTGTGTTCAGGTTCCACGACGGGTTTTGGTTCACTAGGAACAACCGGCTGGCGACCCGACTCGATCATAATCATGTCCATCACCTCCTGCGAAATCAAATCCTTAGGTTTCGAGTCGGTTTGGTAACCGCCTGACTGGAAACGAGTGCCAGGACCTTTCGAGTCGCCCGAGCCGCTCCCAGGATCAAGCTGTACATGTTCAGGGGGCCTGATATTGAATCGCTTACAGAGAAGACGAGTCGGAAAGAAACTATGTGTACTGCGGGTCATTTGTCCAAACATTCCGATCTTGGCAGCAGCCACAGCTGGGTCATCGGGCTTCTCAGCAGGCCGACTGAGCGGGGTATCAGAGTCTGGCGCATCGGAGGCGACTTTGGGTCCCGAAGAGGCCGATGTGAATCGGGATGCCATCGCCCCAGATATGGGCTTGAAAACCTCGGCAGCCCGAGCAAACTCCTGCATCTCAGTCACCCATTCATTGGTGCTTGACCCGGGGACTCGGTCGGGTAAAGTGTCGCGGAGTCCGGCTCGGACCTCGATGAAAGTGCGGTAGCGGGCGCGCTTTGCCTCATCTTCTGCGTAGGGCATCCACCCGCTGACACCTCGCGTTAAAGCTTGGACTGCGGTTTGTTTGTCCAAATTCGGGACAAGATCCCAAAGATTCCTGCGTCGATCGGTTTCGGATAGTTCGTACCCTTTGGGCGCCTTCTCACTCATGGCCGGTGGGAGGTTGGAATTCCCAGTGAGTTTCGCAATCCGTTCGCGGGCCTCTGGTGTCATCCAATCGAAGATAGATTTACCCGGTAGTTGAGCCTCACCCAGGGCCGCAGCTCTGGAGGTCGGGTCGAGAGCAGATGCCTTGGCCGCATCTGCTGTAGAGATGTAGTCTCCTTTGCGCTCTGTTGCAGATTGCCTGGCAGATTTCCAGCCCTCTGGAACCTGTGGCGGTTCGTATTTCTTCTCGGATAAAGTCAGCCCCATGAGATTGTCGGCGAGAACGAATCCGTCCAGCGGTAATCGTCCGTCGCGGCATTTTCTGAATCCGCCCGCACCTCGAGAAGCAGCGATCTTTTTAGATATGAAAACAGGCTTGGCGCTGAGCAAGGGATTCGAAGAAGCAATGGCTGGTTTTGATTCTTTCGCTTTCTTCTTCTTGCCACCAATGGTCTTGTTGTAGGATATCTGAGGGCCCAGGGAGTACGGGTCTTCATCATCAGACCCGGTATCATTGAGGATACCGACGCCGAAGCCTCCCCGTTGTGACTTTTTTGCCGCCTTTTTCTTGGTAGCCAAGCGATCCCCAAAGAAGGAGTCGAAGTCTTCGTCCTCATCGCCAGTAGGTTGACCGGGCTTCTCCAGGTGTGTTTCCCCCGAGAATCCGAGACCCTTGTGATCTGTCTTGCGAATGAAAGCGACCATGGGCGGGTTCTCTGGCGCAAAGAGATATGTTTCCTCCGATGCACCCGGTGCTGCATTCTCATCCAGATCGGCTCTGCGGCGGACCTTTGGACCGATACCCTGACCTTCTCTCCAGCCCATCTTTTTGAGTAGCTTCACTCCCATTGTTTCCCCACCAATTTTCAGCAGATCCATCAGACCCGCTCTGCGAGTGGCATCCGTATCTGTGGACCCAAACCCAGAAAACCCTTCTGTAGTATTGAGATGTCGTGATTCCTCCTGCTCTCGTAGATCCTCCTCATCCATAAAGTCTTCCGGCCGTTGTTCCGGCCGTTTCGCATCCCGGGCGCGATTCTGGCGGGACGAGACAAAGGTCGCGGGCGCCCATCCTTCCTTCGAGCCGACGGTATTGAAGTATCTACAACTTGTTAGAGTAGGTGCGCGCATCTTCGGGGATATGGAAGCTTACCCAGCACTGAACCCGCCGGTAAAAGCACCGTGCAGTCGCTTCCTGCCTCTCTCGTCGGTCACGTCTTGTTTCCAAATGGGTAAGTAGGAGCCATCGTCGCGCGCCCCCTCTTCCAGCGGCGGTAGCGGAGTTCCATATACGGCATAGGGTGAGTGAGATTGATCGGCCTCGAAGGCTGCGCGAGGGCGCTTTGAGGCCATGCTCGAGGTAAGAAGAGAGAAGGTTTATGATTCGTGGAAGTGCGCAGCGGGACCTTAGCTCTATTTTGACCAATCATGGTGATGCTGAGTCAAAGGAACAAGAATTACACCCCTCAATTCACGAAATATATACAATCCAGTCACTAGAACACTAAAATTCTTGGAAACTCCCTAAGGTGATTAGATATCATATGAAAGCAACGGGACTTCAAGGAAAAGTTCTTATGGAAAATCATTGTTGAGATAACAAGTTTCTAATTCATCGCATTTTCTATGGCGTTTGGGGGTGACGGGACCGACCGTGAGATACGTTACCCACTTAACTAGTTAAGTTAAGCCTCGACTTCTGATTATGTCACCAATCATGTGATCTATTGAAGTTGACAGGTACCAGTAAAAGTCGGAGATACCCCTAGGTTGATTCTACCACGTGCGCTTGGTGGAGAGAACCGTGCTGCGCTACTCCGTACGGTAGCTACTGTACGAGGTACTCGTGCACGTACCCTTGACCACCTTCGGGTACCTACTGTATAACTATATTATTCATTGATAATAACATAACTGTATCAGCTATTATGAGTTCAAAACAGTTATATTTCATATATGTTAGCCTTGAATGGCCTGAAGTACCTAAAATAAGCTTGTGTTTACAGGGCCCCGCCAATGAACGTGAATTGATCTGCTGTTGGTCCCTCACGTTTTCGTCTTTTGGCCTCATCTCTCTCGTAAACAAAAGCTTGTCGTGGGTATTGTGGGCCACAATAGGCTAACATATATGAAATCTAACTGTTTTGGCCTCATAGTACATGATATATTTATATCATTATGAATAGGCAATATAATTACAGGTGATTTTGTGCCCATTTTGAGCTTTGCGACCGTAAAATTAGGTGGTAAAATTGACCTACTTCGCACTCATATCACAGCAAAGTCACATAATATTAGACGCTATATTTGATATTTATCTACTCTTTAGGGGTCCAAATGATATATCTATAGCTTGATTTATATCAACATACATGGTGAGGGTGGGTGTTTTGATGCTAAAATACGTGAGATTTTTGGTATCCGACGAGGGTTGGTGTGCCAATCGTGAGCACCCAATTACCAACATTCGAAAAGGTGGGTGCGTGCACGAGTAGTGGCAAACAGGCCGAACAAGCTAAACAGGCCGAGCAGTGAACGGTTCAGACCATCGTATTTACCGAGTACTCACTCTCGCGAAAAGCCACTCGATTCGGAATTATCCGTGGATATCCCGCATCAGCAGGGACCCGGGGAGTAAGACTTATCTCCAGAAAAGAACCGTGGACACACATCGTGTTGCTTAATTTGCTCCGTCGGGTCTGCGCCGGTGCCCCGCCACGGGCAATGCCACTATTCTAGAACTGGATTGAAACCCCAGGTCGCTTCGTTTAGGTGGGGCCCCGGTAAAACATTCAGAGTCCCCGAAATTGAACTTTGAAACTATGTCCTGGAGTCCGAAATCCCTCTAATTAAGAAGTACCTCCGATAACAATCTAGGCTGTGATAGGGGCACTATAAATGCAGGAGACATTGACAAGTAAGATGCAGGCTGGACAGGGTCTGTGCCAATGTTCTTGTCTTAAAGCTTATTTGAACTAAGCCTCGGATGCTACCTTCAACGCCACTCGGCTTGTCTTGACCACTTATTTGGCCCCTTTCCGGCTATAATGCACAATAAGTTTTGTCAAATGGATACTAGCTAACCTTACAGGGCTAGCTCATTGGGTGAACCCTCGTTTCTCCCAATGATAGGAGTGTAAAAAAGCCAATCGGGGACACCGCATGACTGATCGCGTGAGGAGGTGGGTTGACGGCGGTAATTGGTCAATACCAGTCGCTAGTAGGGGCTCAGTTGCCATGCAGATTTGCAGGGACCAGATTAGGGAATAGAATAGGTATCTAGAGTAGATACGTTCTTTCACTTCTAGTTATGAATCAAATTAATTGGCCAATAACAGGAATAAATCTTGCTATCACAGCTGAGCTGAATACCACCTTATCAGATAAGCCATTGTGGCGGCTTATTCGAATATGGAACGTCTGGAAACGGCTTCTGGAATGTTGTCTTGGCATTGCTTGTAACGGAGTATAGTTAGTTACTCCGGTTAGTCAAGGTTTGGGTCTTTGGCGGAAATCGAAATGAGATAAATCCCGCCATTTACTGGGGTTATACGCTAGCAGTAGCCTTTGCCCATAAAGTGGCTCGTCCTCGCCGCCACCAGTTCCTTTTTTCTTTCTTCCCTAGTCGACCCTTTCTCTCAGATATTGACTCGCCCACTGCCCACTATGTCTATGCTCCCCGGCCCTATGGCCATCACGGCCCCTACAGAGCAGATCCGTGAGACAGGCATCCAATCAGATGAGATCCGCAAGATGTCCATGAACGGGACCCACCCCGGTGTGCGCCAGCGTTTGTGGGGTCTTGCAGCACGTCTGGATAAAAGTGTCACCTTCGAGGAATTTACCTTCTGGGCTAAGGTGGAGCGTGAGATGGAACGCGAAGAAGCCCGCCGTGATAAGGCTATCGGCAATGGTGGATTTATGGACTCCATCAAGGGCTATTTTATCAAGGGCGCGTACGAGGATGATAAGACCAGGGCTCCTGATCACTCTCGCGCGCTGCAGAGTCAAGAGGAAGTCACCCAGTGGAGCAAGGATGAGAAGTTGCCCGTGGTCACCGATGATGATGGTACCAGCCCGATCGCACCCAGCGGCACCCACGACTTTGATGCCGAATGGCGACAGGCTGCCAGAGCTCTGCGCACTGCCAGTTGGGGAGGAGTTTTCTACCTGATTACCACCGATATTCTTGGTTGGGGACAGACACCCTATGTCTTTGCCAACACTGGCTACGGTCTTGGTGTCGGTATTTTCATTCTCATGGGTCTCGCTGCTGGTGCCTCTGGATGGATGATCTGGAGAACATTCTTGGGTCTTGACTCGTCTCGTTTCCCGGTCCAGAGTTTCGGTGATCCATTCTTCCGTCTGTACGGACCCACTGCCCGTCATGTCATCAACGTGGCCCAGGCCATTCAGATGTTCCTCACTGTCGCTGTCGTTCTTCTTGGTCAGACTGGTCTTATTGCCCAGCTCGCTGCCAGCGTTGATCTTTGCTACGTCGTTTGCGGAATCATCGGCTTGGTTGTGAGTATGGCTAGTGGCTATATGCGATCTCTTAAGCACCTTGGTTGGTTCTGTAACTCGGCTGTGTGGATCAACGTCGTTTCTTTCATCATTATGTGAGTACTGGATCTATAATGGTAGGTTTTCAAGCTGACCTGTATATATAGCTGCGTTGCTGCGGCCAAATATGGCCCTGATCCAACTGCTGCTGTTGAAAACGGTATTCTCAACAAGGCATGGGCAGATAATCCTGTTCCAGTCAAGACCTTCGTTGGTACCCCACCAGCAGAATACCAGCCCACAGATGCGAACCTGTTTGCTGCCCAATTCAACGGAATCAACTCCATGGTTTGTAAGTTTTATTTCTTGCATCTCCGTGGACTGAACCAAGCTAACGGACTTGTCACTAGATGCTTACTCAGGAGCTATGCTGTTCGTTGCCTTCTTGTCTGAGATGCGCCAGCCATTGGACTTCTGGAAGGCTGTGTTCCTGGCCCAAGCATTCATCACGGTTATCTACGTCTTCTTCGGTGCCTTCGTAAGCCACCCTGGTTCACCCATGAACTCTAAAAATAAACCAATACTGATTGATCACAGGCCTACTCCTACTACGGACAGTACAGCTATTCTACCATCACCCAGACTGTCAAACCACTCAGTCTTCAAATCCTGAGCAACGTCCTTTCCCTGCTAACCGGTTGGCTCGCCGTCTGTAAGTTTCATTCACCTCTGAAACATTGCCAATAAGCTAACAAGACTAGTCCTGTACTTCAACGTCGGCATGAAGACTGTCTATCTTGAAGTCGGCCAGGAAATCTTCGGCGCCCCTCCAATCACAACAACCAAGGGCAAATGGCTATGGTGGACCCTCGGCCCGGTCTACTGGATCGTTGCCTTCGTCATCGCCATGTCTGTCCCCTATTTCGGTGCCTTCACCAACTTCGTCGGAGGACTCTTCAGTCTGAACTTCACATACTCCTTTGCCGGTTTGATGTACCTCGGCTACGTTATTCAAGAGGGTGCCAGACTTCCTGGTGAGGGATTCGACCCCTACACTGGTCAGACCACTCGCTATGATAGTGGATACAAGAGATGGACCCGTGGATTCGTGTCAAACTGGTATTTGACTGTGCCTGCCTTGATCTTCACTCTTGCTGGTTTTGCCGCTTCTGGTATGGGTACTTGGGCTGCGATTCTGGCTCTCGAGTCGGCCTACGGTCCTGGTGGCTCTGTTTTGACCTCTTGGACTTGCACAAACCCTTACGCCTAGGCGTATCAGCACTCCACCTGAGTGGAGAGGGGCTTTTGGTGCATGTGTTATTTTATGAAGAAATTTGAAGAAGTGTGTAATTAATTATCATTATTATTATTATTATCATTATTATCATTATTATCATTATTATCACGTGGAATAAAATCCGACGTCGAGATTTACATTCGATGTTATTTGTTTTTCATTTAATTTCGAAACGCTGGGAGGGTTGCCTCCAGATGTCTCGTTCTTGGACTAAATTTCTACCCAGCCCCCTGGCCCTCCCTCTGATCACTACCAAACCGGCACCGACGATCTAGGAGGTAACAGGCTCAACATTCACCAATAGCTCACGCTAGAAAATGCTTCAAAATCCAGGAGGAAACCACTGATAAAATATTACTGTCAAGGTGTGAAGAGCCGTCCTTTATGGGATGACAGACAATTTCCTCCCCTCTGTCTCACCCCCACGTGTACGGAGGCGAGTTGCGGCCATGAGAACAGAACCTTTTATATCACATAAAAAATGGCAAGAAAGCATAAATGCTACTAAACTAATCTACCCTTCTACTACTTGGATACATCGCAGACTTTTTGATGCACGTTCGAAACCTCCACCAGACCTTCCCCTTCCACTTCACTTTCTTCTTTTATTTTCTACTCCGCTATATAGATTTAGAGAGCCCTTTGACCATTTGACTAAACTGATATAAAAGAAGGTAGAATACGCGATAGGACACCAAGTAGGAGACTAAGTAGAAGACCAAGTGGGAGACTAAGTAGGAGATAAATTAGGAGATAGATATAACATAATACCTAAGTACTAGGCACTACGCCAAAAGGTTCTGTCCTCATGACCGCTACTCGCCGCTGTACACGTGGAGTCTGGAGGATGATTTTTGGAGTGTGTACAGATCCTTTGGAATCATTGCTGCAGCCTGGTAACGGTACTTTCACGGGGCTCCGTCGATGCGCTTTAGGGGAAATTTAGCAGGTGTGCCCTTAGTGGTCAACTAATTAGTTTTGCGATAAGCCTTTTAGACAAACCGCCTATATTTATCAGCGATTCAGCGCCCAAGCTTTTCACTAGAGTCCCATCTAAGCCAATGATAGTCAATGGGGCCAAATTAGGTTACATCTGAGACTTTGTTCGATCAAATTTCCAAAGTCTTATGAAGCTCATTCAACGAATCTGAATATCAAGTCCTCTCACGAGGTATTGGGGAGATCTCGATAGATACAAAGCCACTAAACCGATAGTCGAAAGAAGAAAAAGGGCTGTAAGCTTCAGTCCAAGATCTCCATGGCTTACCTAGAATTGACCTGGTCGACTCCCTAAAAACCAACTATTGAGGATCTAACCGTTTGAAGGCACGGCGATGAGACTCCGAGACTTTAGTATGTAGCTCAGGAATGTCACAAGGAATTTCGTTGGATAAGAACCTAGCTTGCAGCTCGGTTGGCTAGGTTCCTGGCATTCAGCAGTCAAGCGTAGCAAATATTAGCTTAGCAGCGCCACCATGTGTTTCGCCAGAAAAAGGAAGGGCTTAATTAAAATACTCCACTCAGTCGATGTTGGTGGCGCTACACATTTCGCTTTCTATGCCCTGGCACATGTCTTATCATGTTTTCGTGCCCAGTTGGATACACTCCATGCGTAATTTATAAATGCCCCCTGCAACGCTTTGCTCCTGATTTCCAACCTTTCTACAGAGGCATGTCAAAGAATAGCTTTTTTTATTGACCTCGCCCCATTGAGAACATGCTTGTTTATAGGTAGACTGGAAAAAGGTGCAAGGAATGAAAGTAATAGGATCGAACTGCTGAGATCTTGAGGATCTCGTTCTATAGGGCCTGTGGCTTTCTTTCGAGGCGCTCGCTTACAGAAAAACAAGAAATATTCCAGTCCAGTAGAAGGTAACTTGGATCTTGCCTATGGCAGGGATCGGAGCTGGGTACCTATTTTCAAGCCTACACGTATGTTCGCGGTGGAGATTCTTTCTCTCCAGAGGCTTCAAATGTTTCCTCTCGCTCAAATATTCATCTACACATGCACTCGCATCCTCACCTCCACTATCATATTTCGCTTACAATATAAGCAAGTCCCATTTAGCTTCAAGTCACCAAAAAATTCCGATCTTTCTCACTGTCCGTTTTGGTAAAACTTCATCCCCGAGCTGAATTATCATTCGTCGCACGAGAGTAGGCCGGAACGACCACGTAATTCAAATCAGCACCATTCCCGATAGGAAGTACCACATATCCAGGCTATAGACTAAAATGCCAACATTGCTAGCGCCAACATCATATCCGCAATCCTTCGGTGTAACCTCGTGAGTGTATGAGGGGATGATTAGGGCAAATTTAGGCAGAAAGAGCCGAAGTTCACATAAAAGCCGGCTGCGTGCTGCTGTGTTCCGGCTTCTACGACTTTTCAACACAATTCCCATTGCTTTTCATAAAGCAAGAATACACCCTCACGCTTATCTCTGTTTTGTTGGAGCCCATCATGCGTTACTCTACCATTGCCGGTCTCCTACTCGTCCTTAGTAGCTCTGTGGCTGCCGCCCCTTCAGTCTTCGAGCTTACACCCCGCTGCGTGAAGACCGGACAGTACTGTGATCCTGACAAAAACGGCCAGTGTTGTGATGCCTGCTGCGCTTATTGTGCCTCGGGGGTCAAACGCGACGACGAAGAGGTCAAGCGGGACGGCGTGTTGGTCAAACGCAGCGACGGCGGTGTAGAACTCAAACGTGAGGAGGATGGCTACGTCTTTTGCAATTATTATTGTTGTAACAAGTGACAAGTGTTAAGGTATCCGGCGAATATCGCGGTATGTATCTTGAGTCCTTGATTCTCTGACGTGTTGGTTGATTGGACTGACTTGAAATATTCATCCAAAAGACATCTCGGACCAGAATTCGTGCTTGAAAGAATTTCCAGGATTGCTCAGTGATTGGTAGACTGGGTGATAGTTGAGATGAGATTTCTATGGGTCCTACCGCGCGTTTTTGGAATATTTTGAGTCTTCAAGTAACGGTCATTGTGTTTTTGTTATTGATATGGCCAAAATGTGATTCCAACTGCATGTCAATAGCACAGACTAAATTCTCGACTGGTATAAGCTAAGACTACCTTCTCAACCAATGCCTCATCATACTTAGAGCTTATACAAGATAATTCATGTTGTTGATAGCGGCATGTGGCAATTAGGGCTCTCAAGTGTCTACAAAAAGTATGCAGGTACCTTAGGCATACGTGCCTGTGGGGCTTAACCCTACTTCTCTCTCTCTCTCTCTCTCTCTCTCTCTCTCTCTCTCTCCCTTTCTCTCTCTAGTGTATTGAGAACGGTTCGTGCGTTGTTGTGTCTGTCTGCGAACCAGAAATTTTCGAAAAGAATCGCATTAATAGGACATGAAGAAGAGGACTTAAGAGTAGCGTGTGGTACCTATCCTTTCCCTCCCCATACACACTCGCTTCTCCTCCTCGTACGCTTTTTCAGTATCTTAGTGCATGACTTGAAGATCCTTTGCAAAAAATCAATTCACGAACAGAGAGAGATGACCACAAGCTGGAAAATTTGGTCGAGGAAATGCTGCATCGGAAAGCCTATTGACATCAGGGAGCTTCCGCGAAAGAAACAACAGGCGAAATTTATGCCTTTGAAAGAAGTCTCGATTCTATTAAAATATTCATGCTCTGTTTTAAGAGAAACGTCAAAAATAGATCTTTGTTGAAATTATTCTTGGATTGAGATTTTCCTTCTGAACATTGGAACTGCCTCGACCATTTGATGTTTCTTTGTCCTCAAAGTTTCGTTCATCGGTATTTATTGATTGATGTGACCGCACTCTCTGTTGAAACTTTTAATGTCTTATTCAACAATCTCCTCGAACTTGCAATTTTCTACCTGAAAATTTGTTTCACTTAGAACTAAACCATCTGACTACTCAAAATATACCTGCAATGCCTGCTCCTGTTACACGAAACCGGGGAAAGCGACCAGCTCCAGATCCCGAACAGGCTTCCTCCAGGAAGAAAGCCAAGACTCCCCCCCAAGAGCTGCTACCAAGGCGAATTCGAAGGCCGCTCCGAAGGCTGCATCAAAAGCCGCCTCTAAAACCACTTTGAAGTCAACAAAACAAAAGCCAAAAGAGACCAAGAAAGAAGTGAAGGCGGTACCCAAAGCCACCCAGAACCAATCTTATGATAAATTGTCAGCGACGAAATACTTCGTGCATGCCTTCAACTTTGCCCTATTCATGTCTGTCGTGTTGCAATGATCTTGATGCCCGGGTTCCCCAATTTTATCAGAGAATCGAAGAGAATAACCCTCCCGAGTTCTTTGAGATGCGTCTGGAGAGATATCTAAAAACTCAAGGAGGAGGAGTAAGAAATGATTTCCGTATCCCTTGATACTTGATTGGTCATGGCTGATAAGCTGTATAGCGATATTACAACATTCGAGACTCCGGACTTAAAGTAGCCGGTAGTCCAGCGCCTATAATAGATAAAGAAACTTTTGAAGGATCTCAAGAGATCTGGGCATCAGAATGAGAAGTCTTCAAGGCGATCATAGCTGCATACCAGGTGAAAATATTGGGAGATGAAGAAGTATCTCACTGGGCACATTGGAGGTTAATTGCCGGCCAAACGGATGTATCACTCTTAGTGCCAAATGGTCCTGAGGGATTCCTGATGGAAAGAGTAAGATTTGCCGTAACTCTGGACATGGCTATCTATGCTAAGTGAAACCTCAGACAAGAGACCCCAAGCCCACTTTTTTGTTCTCTTTCTTCACTGTCCAAAATACGACAGAAATCGCTTTAAAGAATAGGGTGTGAGTTACACCTTGACATGATTTTCGCTTGATTCCCAGAAAATATTGTGTTGAATGTTTTTTTTGTTCTTTTGGGGTTGTCCGATTAGAGGGACTGGGAGCCACGCAAATATAATTATCAATGAAGATGAATGTATAGTGCTTCGTCACTTTATCAATATACAAAATATTTAAGGTAAAGATTTATGTACAAAATTTTAAAAAAGAAGGAAGGGAGCTCTAAGCCTCGAAGCGCCACTGGTGGCTGTGCTTGAAGTAGCCTCAGAGGCAGACCGAGTTGATGCGGCCGTTGTCATCGCTTTAGTTGATGTTGTGGTCGTAGAAATAGCCGCTTTACCGTCAGTTGAGCCGGTCGAAGATGTAGTGCTAGCAGCATCAGTATTTGTTGAACTTGCGCTCGTGCTAACGGAGGTAGCATTGCTTCCACCATCGCCGCATTGGACCACTCTTTTCCAACCACTAGCAAAGTTTTCCTCCCACCACGAAGATTGGGTACCAATAACAAAGTAGCTGAAGAAATATCCCGAACCAGGTTGTTCATGTGCGTTCTGGTAAAACTGGACTGCACACTCGTCGTCACATGGGAAGTTGGTTGAGTCCTCATTGCTCAAGAAGCAGTATTCGGACCTACGAACATAAAATAAGCATATACCCTGAGCAAATCCATGTGTATTGAACTCACCCGCTCTTGGCACAACCTTGGCTGTATTTATACTGGAAAACCTCGCCCACGGTGGCCACGGGAGCCGAATAATCCAACGAATTCCCATCAGCAAGCCCAGCTAGATCACCATCCTTGTTACACGCAGCATTGACGTTCTTGATATACTGGGTCAATGAATCACTGCATGTCGTGGTGCACATAGCCTCGAAGTCCGAAGCTTGTGGGTCGAAGTCGGGATCCATAGACGCCACGAGCTTGAGAAGGGTATCATCACAGTTGATGCTGGCGCTGTAGGCGTCCTTGCAAGCCTGCGATGTCGTGTCTGCTAAATCCTTGGTTGTATAGTCCCAACTAGGGCCAGAAGTATCGAGGCTGAAGGCAGCAGTCGCTTGACGGAAAGCAACGGAGAACGCGAAGAGGCGAAAGATGGTGGTGGCGGAGGCCATGTTGCCGAGGACTTGAAAAGAGCGACAAGAACTGATAATTTTTTTTTTAGTAATCTGGGAAGCAATGACAGACGATAGGTGAGAGGTGGAATGTGCGGTGACAGGGAAAAAACTACATAGTAAAGTCACCTGGGGTAGTCCGTCTATTAATACTCAGGCATTCTAGAGTTCACAGAATGTCTCAGTTCAGCCAAGATTTCAAGCGACTTTTTAGTGCTGATATGGAGCCGCTATTTGACGGCATCCAAATTTTCAGGGGTTCCGAAATTAGACTCTTAGGACCCACAGCATAAACAGTTTGACGGGTCATTTATACTATTTGTTGACTGCCATAAGCTATTCTTAAATTAAAAATACAAGAACTCTTCCATATCAGGCGAACTTTCGCAGTTCAACAACTGCTGCAGGATTACAGATGGTGACCTGGAAGCCTGAAAACTGTTTGACCAAGCGAGCTTGTATCTTGAAACTAAGTCCTGATTGGCTAGAAAAATGATCATAACGGGCCTGGACTTGAGGCTAGTAAAGCTATAGTGGAGATGTGAACCCTGAAAGGGCGAAGAGCCGCCTCCCAAGACCCGCGGACCCTTCCTATCACTAAAATATGGACAATTTTGCCGACCAGCCGCACGATCGCCAAAATAATGACTTTTTATTTAAGATTAGATTGTATTAAAAATCCACGAGAGTCTACGTCTTTTACCAGAGGGTGCTGTGGAAAAATCTCGAAAAATGAAGTAGAACGAACTCCCAGTCATCAATGCCACCAATACACTGGCCAAATATAGATTATGTTTCAGACTACCAATTGCGAGTTTCGAAACTCAAAGTCACAACAATATATGCATGCGCATTGCAGATGCTCAAGAAACTATCGATAAGTGTCCGCAGAAGAGCTCTCGACATCGCGGGTCTTCTTCGGCCTCAACCCGAGCTTTTTCCGCAGATTAACTGCTCTCACTTGGAATGCCCTCTTTCGTCGTCGACGGGGATAGTTGATTGGACTTTCGCCTCCAGTAAAAATTGCCATGTCGTAAACTAGCGCACCCATCAGTGCACCGCTAATATCGGCACACCAGGGACCCCAAACCCACCAAGCGTGGGTTTCTCGGAAGAGGTGGCCACCCCATCCAGCCATAACGGCAACTAATCGTGGTCCGAAGTCACGTGCGCAGTTGAAACAACTATGAAGTACGCGTTAGTCCTATACTTGGAAGGAAAAATTGGGATTTCATACCCGCCAGTATTATAGCCCAGCGCAAGTACTACAACCGAGATCAGGATTCCCAGGATAAAAGCCTGCATTCCCGCTCCGGGCGGGGCATTGGTGTCATCTCCAAGAGCCACGATTGCACCAAATAAAATCGCACTGCCAAGAAACTCGGTGAAGAACGCGGTAGCTGGATGGACGAAAGACTTTGGTGCGGTAATCATTGCCTCGGCAGCGAGACCGGCATTCTGTGGTGTCTTTGTGGTAGCACTGAGTTCGACTATGGCGTCATGGTAGATTGCATAGGCAATTCCACCAGCGGTGATAGCTCCCAGAAGCTGTGCAGCGATATAAATGACACACTTGCGAGCAGGGAAACCACGAAACACGGACAACGCGATCGAAAAAGCTGGATTGAGGTGCCCACCAGAAGTACCACCAGCAATATAAATGGCTACCATGAAGCCGAATCCCCATGCAACGCTTTGAGAAATGTAATTTCCAGCTTGGCCGTTGGAAGTATAGTTGGATAGTGTTGCGCAGAGGCCAATTGTCATTGCCACGGTTATCTGCGACCGTGGAATTAGTGAGTGATGTTCTGTATTTCACGGTCTACACTTACACCTAGCCATTCAGCTAGCGGTTCTCGTAGATAGTGACGTATTTTGGACCAGGTGTTGAAGAACCCGTCCTCCGAATTGTTTTGATTCTTGGAATGCTTGTCTGCACCTGCGTCGAGTCCATTGCGTCCTTCCTTGTCTTCCTTGCGATCGTCTGGCAACGCGCCATGCTGCATGCCCGGTCGGACGATGTGAGGGAGTGGCTGAGCCAGACTCCATGTTGGAGAATCATCTTCCTTTCCATACTGAGGGTTGTATTGTCGGTAGTTGTCTCCAATGTAGGCATTGCTTGCTGGATTTGGCGCGCCGGGACCAGCCAGACTGAATGTCGGGTCGTTACCGGCACCTTCGTTCTTGCTGCCATCTTCTTGAGTACCCTCAGGTGCCTCGTGCTCATGTGGGTCCATATCTAATGCGTCATTAGTATGTACAATTTGGCCGCGTTTGAGTGTATGGCTTACCATGAACCGCACCGTGTTCAGGATCTCTAGACATCGTTGCAGAGAATTTTTTGAAACAAAAACAGCGAAGTGGAAGGAAGACATCTAAAGAAGAAAAAAAGTATCTATTGAGTGATGCAGGTATGTGGAGCCTTGAGGATGTCAATCTAGATCCACAACCTTGGAAGGACCAGACCCTTTTACGTCACCGTTGAATTGATATCATCACTCGATTCTATGCCAATCGAGGCGGTTATATTTCCGCGAATCTTCATCAACCTTGAAATTTCTGAAATCAATGACAAGAAAATCAAGATTTTCGTTTAAGCGACCATTCTACCTCCCTTCATTCTTGATCACTGACCAAGCCTTCAACCCGTGGCAGCCACCAATGGTTCGGAGTGGAACCAACTCACCGGGCAATCTGTATAAATTGTTTTGCATCCTGGTCGAAGCAGATCATTTGCAACAAGTTTTTTGAGGATACTAACAGATAATATTCAGCCTAGGTGCGACCACTAGTTAAGAGACCATCCGGCAGCGATTTTTTCATCTCGGGAAGCACCAAATGCCAAGGGACCATCATCAAGAATTGTAGATCTACGAACATCTCTAGCCGTCATTGCCTCAGTATATGGGTTAGCACGATGCATAGATTGTCTACTCTAATTTAGTATCGGGCTTGTCTAGAAAGTGGCGTCGAACTTACCTGTTATCCCACCAAACCATATCTCCCCCTTGTCTCCATTCCATAGAAAACACATACTAAATCCAGTGAGCAATCAACGACTAGTGTAATAGAGAGCCCTAGTCAGGACATACCTTTGGCTGAGTACAGTGATCGATAAGTTCCCAAATCAACTTCTGGCTTTCTTGTAGGCTCCTCCCCAGAATCCTCTTTGCGTGGGCGGCAAGGTATAGTGTTTTGCGTCCGTCTGGAGCTACCTGAACTAGACGATGGAATGCAGGCGGCTTGGTCTTTACTTCATGCGGAAGGGGATTGCCAAACACCTCTGGCGATGCGAGTTTCCTGGAGTGCCAAAGACTATACCCATATTCCATCAGTACTGACCGGTAATTAATTTTTTTGGAGAGGAACATACTCATGCTCAATAATGAGATCTTCAATCTCCTCCTTTTTAATCTGAGGAAGATCTTGATAGGCTTGTCGAGTATCCGCAAAATGAGTCCAAGATCCACCCTCGACGGGATTTCCATGAGAAAGAAGAATGGAATACTTGGATCGTTGTTGATGATATGACGAATCTGTATGCCACAGGGCATTGCCCAGACTGTGATGCCATCTGCGACTATCTCGCTTGACTAAAGAGCCATCCAGTTCAATACTAATAGGAATCAGTTTGCTGATCTTCAAGTTGGTTTGAAATACTCACTTCCCCACATCGAACAGTAATGGTTCTCCCAGACGGTCATTCTCTCGACCATAGAAAAAGGGGTTGATTTCCAACTCCTTTCCAAGCTGTTTTGAGAAAGCTATGTGATGCGCATTGTTTAGTCCTGTTTTTCGGAATATCAAGATGGCGTATTTGTCTTGTAAAGCGACCAACTAGTTTACTGCCAGTCAGCAATCTATTTGTGGATGAAGTCATTCGAAAACTCACCTGTGCTACAATTTCGAGTGGAACAGGTTTACTCCAATCAATGCCATAGATTTCTGCCCCGAAGGATGAGCTCTGAGACCGAAGAACTGGTTTTATGGTCAGGGTTCCCTCTTGAATGGCATCGTGGGTGTCGGTGCCTGCTCGTGGAGGGCAAGTATTCTCATACACACGAATTCGCATATGATCTAGAGACATTTCAGGAGATCAGACCTACTATGAAAAGTCCAATTATCGAAGATTTAGTCTCTATTGACGTTCATTTTAAGATATCCGAGCCGGCAATACCTTATCTCATGCGGGAATGAAGCCGTGCGGCCCGCGCCCGACAATCCCGATCGAGAACAGGGATGTGATAAGCTGAAAAAAAGCAATGGAATCTAGTCTCATTACTAGAATTCATACCATTATCATCTTCATTCAATCCAAAATGACACAATCTAATACCGTCCTGATAACCGCTGGTCCTTACAAGTTCCTGGCCACATTCGAGCCATCCGCCCCGAAAACAATCGAGCTCTTTCGCTCCCTGTTACCTTATAAACAGAAGATCATTCATGTGCGATGGAGCGGAGAGGGATTGTGGATTCCACTAGGCGAGACTGATTTCGGTGTTCCTTTTGAGAATCATACCACACACCCATCTGCCGGTCAAATTCTTCTATACCCGGGCGGTTTTTCCGAAACAGAGTTCCTGTTTTGTTATGGCGGAGTCTCTTTTGCGAGCAAAATGGGGCCGTTGGCTGCCAATCATTTCTTGACTATTTTTGAAGGGAAAGAACATTTGCGAGCATTGGGAGAATTGGTGTTGTGGAAAGGAGCTCAGGATGTTTTGTTTGAGATGGCTGATGATGCTAAGTAAGTCTGATCTATAATAGTAAGTCCGAGTTATAACTAACAGTGCATAGAGTGCATGAGTTCAAGAGAGGGTTGGGTGCGAAGTTATAGAGCAGGAGCTGGTCAACAAAAATTGAAATGAGATATCGAGATATGCATATATACCAAAGATGTCTTAGTCGGTTGAAGCCTTGGAATGTCCCATGTACACTCTAAATTGCCCATATATAGCACCTCTCACCAAACCAGGAGCATACGCGTAGCTTTCAATCAGTACCCAACATAATCATGTTTCTGTTCTGTGGTGTATTCAGATCGAGTGCCTGCCATTGTTAGATACCAAATACTACTGAGATTAACCAGTATACACATAGTCAATTTTTCATACACCCATAAGTACGATCAGTTTCATACTCAAATCGATTAACAATCGATTAAGCCTATCAACTTTTCAGCTGGCATGTGTCTAGTCGTAGCATGCAAAGGAAAAATTAATTTCTTCCTTCCATAACCTCCAACCTTTCACCCAAACCGCGTTAATTCATCAGCCATACCACTCCTAGCATGGCTCCAAAGTGGATCTCCACTGCCAAGGTAAGTCTGATATCTAAATTACCCTCCGTCTTGATGGAAATGATAAAATGATGGAAATTTGACGACTCAACGATCCATCATGTTCATCACATCCATCCCAATGATAAGTTACCAACGTACGGCTGTCGATGAGTAAACCTCCATACTTTCTGATATCCTGGGTGAAATTATTCCTACAAAGCTTCACCTGAAGTTTCTGTGTGCTTCATGATAGCTGAAGTGAATATAGAGAAAGAGGTTGTTGATGACGAAGCCACCGACTCATCTGTGGTGGCTTCTGGTGAGCAGAAGTCAGTGGACCGAGCCAACACCCGGCGCAAACTCGAGAAGTACTTGGCTAAGGTTGAAAAGCTTCGCAGGAAGCTTGCTTAAATGAACTCCGATCAAGCAGATTCACCCTCTTCTTCCTCGTGGAGACCAGGATCACCATGAATGGACCGGTAGAGGAGAGACTCAAATGATGTTCTATTATCCTGTATATCCAACTTGTATTATTAGCTGCTTCTATTATTACATAGCATATCAATAAATGCCGCGGCGGCACCCTCTGGTCTTTCACCATTATTCTACACATGAGACCTAAAATCAGTAACATTGCAAAAGACTTTTGATAGCTGGGCTTTCGAGTCCACATGGATCTACAAAGACCTCTCTTTGTGCCTTAGTTCTCTACAGAAATTTACCAATTGTGTAGAAACTTTCACTATTTCTTCTAAAAGACATCTAATATCATATTGAACAAGTATCCTGCGTTTAGAATTTCCAAATCTTACCAATTTTCCCGCACTCCCTTTGACGAAAATCACAAGCAGGCATTATATGTGTGATCCTAGCTCAAGGACATCTGAAAATAGTGAGGATGAAGCATCTTATAGCTGCTCTACCGGCTAAGCAAAGAACGAGAACTCATCTGTTCCAGAGCTCGGATACCTACTGTAAATAATAACTGGGGCTAGTCAACCTCGGATGCTCGCTGTGAATAACAATATCTTGCCTAGCTGGGTTTTTGAAGCTACGTTTCTGAATAACGGGAGTGCATAGTTGTAAGTACTTCGGAGGTTACCCTGAGCAGATCCCTATAGATACTCGAATAATCAATTAGATTGATCACTATAGACCTTGAATTTCCCACTAATACGCCCCATTTCTCTTCTGCCACTTAGGCTGATCTACAGACTCAACACCACTCAAGGCAGTGAGCACAGGGTGCGTAGCGACCAACTCAAAGCCATCCAGATTCGCACCATCATCGCCCAGACCCCAGAGAGTCAATCCCAACCAATTGGTACCATGGTAGTTGAGAATACCCTCAGGCACAGGGTAACTGGTCTGCGGACCAATGTTGTTGACATACTTGCCATACTGGTAGCCATTGACATATAGCTGAACCCTATAAGCAGGCGGCGGAGATGTTGAGTTCTGGAAGGTGAAGTACAGCGGGATATCATAGCCTTCTGGCAGGTCAAGATCGAAGCTTGTACTGTAGAACCGAATGCCAGGCTTCGAAAAGCCGGTGAACGGGCTACTGGTCTCCCAGTTCTGGCTTGGCGGTTCTGGCTGGTGGTAGCCTTGACGCTCAATGTAGAGTCCACCCTCGTTGAGGGGACCACGTACAAGATCTTGGTAATCTTCGCCGCCCAGATTACCAGTCAACTTCCAGGTGATGACGTCGGCGGATCGGCCCGTGAGAGTGTAGTCGAGAATACCACGGGGGTCCTTCATCTCCTCACTGCCCACAGTCCAATCCTCATCCAGGCCCATATTGTCAATCACGATGGTGAGAACATATGATTTGCTAGCCGTCAATGTGGGGAGAGTGACAGTTGCATTGTAGTCTTCTGTGACGCTGTTGCCGTCCCATGAGCCCACGAAGGTCTCGTTAATCCATACGGAGCCACCAAATGCCGTTCCACCCTGGAGGTGCACCAAGAACGAGGACTCATCGCCTGTGGCGACGAAGTGGCCGCGGTAGAGGAGATATCCGGTGTGGAAGCCATAGTCTGATGAGTAGAGAGAAGTCGGTGTCGTGATCGGGTTGACGTTGTTATCAGTGTATGCATGGTTGGCCTTAGTCCAGGCAGAGTCATCGTACGAATTTTGAATTTCAGGAAGACTGTCGATAGACTTCCACTTCAGGCTCTTCAGTGTCGGAAGGTTAACCTTTGGTGCGCTGTAGCTGACACTGGTTGACCAGATTCCATTCTTGTCAATAGTGATCTTGGCTTTCTGTCCGTTGATGAAAAGGGTCTTGGCCTTGGATGGGGCGCCAATCACCTCAACAGCAGTGGTAGCATTAAAGTCAGCAGTCAAATGAAGTTCGCTTCCTGAAAGGTATGCAGTTCTCACGAGGTAGCCCGCATTAACTATGATAGACGAGGCAACAGTTGCTTGAGTGCTGAATCCAGGATTCTGACCCGAAGAGGGAACCTGTGGGACCCAGTAGTTGTAGGCAGAGTATCGGTCTATTGATCATCAGTTGTTGTCGGATTTCCCTTTCTACAAGGATAACTTACCCAGGAGCAGAACCTTCAGATCACCAATCTCAACGATGCGTCGAGTAGATGAAACATCCCAGCCGATGACAACTGCCTTGCCCACTTTCTTGGAAGTAACTCCAGACGATGATCCCTCTACAACAGTGGCACTTGATGCACCAGAGACTGCAAGCTCGTGGTGTTCACCAACATCTCCATAGAGAACAAGAACCTTCCCGTCTGGGATCTTCTTCCAGCTAAAGACTTCAGCAGTCGAATAAAGAATGTTAGTTCCCGCCACGTTGTAGTCCACGACATGGATCTTGGAGTCACGGCTCCCGAGCGTCAACTCTCCACTAAGTTGGGGAATAGTAAGATTGCCAGCACTAGTGGGAACCTTCAGCTTGTAGTTAACTGACGCCTGGCTCGAATAATCAGAGTGTCGAACAACAAAGAATGACGTAGCCGAGCCGTTGCTTCCAATGAGAGGAGTGACAGCAATATCTGAGTTGGTCGTATAGGTCGAAGTGCTCAGGCTACCGGGTTCTGTCAAAAGATACGCCGGAGACACCTTTTGGAAGTTTCCGATCAGCTTGAGTTCGCTATACTTTTGGCGAGTAATGTTGCGAGACTCCGTGATTGCCGAACCATAATCTTAGAAAATGTTAGTTTGATTAATCTTTGTGGGGATGGAGGGATGGACTGCGATACACGAGTATCGACGGAGCCCGTTTGCGCACCATAGCTAGTATAGCCACCAGGATGACCCAAATTTCCCCAATTAGTGCCTCCAAAGATCTAAAGTCATTAGTCTCGGCTTTAATGAATGAGGAATGGAGGGGGCAGAAGGTGTAGGTACCATGTAAAGATTCATAAAGGCTGCACGGAAGCTGAAGTTGTTCTTGTAGAAGACCTTTTCGAACTGGTAATTCAGAAGTTCAGAGCAAGCCAAGAATCCGCTACCTCCCCAAGGATCAAAAGATCCCCCTTGGAACTGTCAATTTGTTAGTGTATCGCTGTTATTTGTGCCTGACTTCAACGTACCTCAACAATAGAATATGGGGTAGTGGGGCTCTGTTCCTCGTGCAAAGTCCAAAAGTTTGTTGGGAGATCACCGCTGGGCCAATCGTAAGGGGCGGAACATACAAATCCGAGCGGATAAGAGTCGTGGCCGTAGCTTTTCAGGATGAATGAATGAGCTCAGTGCGATGCCAAATGGTTGTTGTGGTTACTTACATATCGACTGCTCCTTCGCCGGATCCCGGGACGTCGTGTCCATCCGGACTTGCATCATTGCTGATAAAGGGAACGACGACGCCAGCATTGCGAGCTTGATCTTCAACATATTGCATGTAATACCCATCGGGGAAATCATCGCTGTAGCAGCAAGCTCCTGTATACTCGTTCTCGGGTTGATACAGGATAATCGGTCCACCATTGGTGATCTGGCCCTTGGCAACGGTTGCAGCAGCGTTGGCTACATAACTATCAACTTCTGTTAGTACGATTTGGTAGTAATTTCATCAGGTGTTGTACTTGTTGGTTGCATTCAGGTACGCAGGGTCGCGTGTTCGTAGAGTGCCGTTGACCCGCTGTAGCCAGCCAGGGAAACCACCTCCAGAGGCCTCAGCATTGATATAAGGACCTGGCCGAGCCAAAAGATAAATTCCAGCTTCCTTGGCAGCGTCGAAGAATTTTTCAAGATCGAAAATGCCGTCGGCACGGTAGTGACCAGGTTTACCCTCTAAAAGAGCCCAATCGATATAGAAGGAGACAGTGTTAAATCCGAGGGCCTTGACCTTCTGAAACACGTCAATCCATAGAGTTGGAACAGGCAGACTAGTTTGGCTTAGCTTTGGTGCAATTATAACCTCAATTGAAGCTGATATGGCTTACCGGAAGGGATGGAACTCTCCACTGAAGAGCATCACTCGTTCACCATTAATAAAAATGGATTTATCATCCCAGGTGACCTAAGTTGTTGTCAGTATTGAAAGCCAACATTCGAAGCTCACTGAAAGTATTCGACTGACATATTTCTGCAAAAGAGCTCGTTTCACGGGATCAGAATGCTCCGTGATAGTAAGCCCATTCAGCTTATGGCTAATAGCAGCACCAGCAGCTTGAGCTGCTAGCGCCGCTAAAGCCCAAACAGAAAGGAGCTTCATCGTGCTCGAATTCTAGTCAAGCTTGTAAACTGCGACTAGGAGTAGAGGTGCTTTTCCAATTTCCCCGCGACTTCAAGCAAGGGGTCATTGCATTCTTATAAGGCACGTATTCAGGTACTTTCTTGCGACCAGGGCACGATCGACGGCAAATAAAACCAGTTTCGGGCGAATACTCGGCGTATCCATTACCGACAGCACCATTGTCGAAACTTCCTTATTTCGTCATTTCCCTCATCGACAGGGGAACAAGGCGGGGGATGGCCAGTCATTGTTTGCCGACGCTCCGTTAGTGCATGCAAGTTGAAGGATGGTCGAAGGCACGGTCCTAGAGAAGTGGAGTGTATGCACGACGTGCAAGGTAACCGGATTGACGATCCCCCAGCAAACGTTGGTATTGCGGGGGTCCGCCGCAATTTTTCCGCATATCGCGTAGTCGAGCTTTGTTAGGACCTTGAGATGCGGTAGTTCTTTGTAGAACCCTATGATCGGTGCTACCATGGTTGTGTGGAGTTCTGATCTAACATACCCAGAGATCTACTCTGTACAGCACTGAACCTCTCTCCGCAGACATTGACCTTCAGGATATTAAAACTCCGAAGACTCCGTATCGAGTGTGGAAATAAGGCGTGGACCTTGCATCACTTTAAATTAAATTATAGGCCTTCATCTGCGGGGAAAGGGACTATCGATGAATTTAACCGCTTCCGACGATTCCCCGAGTATCTTACGATGCAGATCGCTGAGCCTCGGTTAAGTTCATTGACCCTCACATATTCAGGGTACTAAATTTAAGCAGATTGAAAAGTCAATAGATGAAAAATCTCCATGAAATTGCTTTTTAGTACATTGGGGCAGTTCCCCAGAGTATATGTAAACGTTAACCAAGTACCAACATTCCCGAATGTAAACCAATAAACTTAAACAGTAGTGTTAAAGCGATCTTCCTCATCGTTCGCCTTGGTGTAGGTCTCACGGCTGTCGACATACTCTTGCTCATCCTGACCGATCTGGATGTTCTCGTTCTTCATAGCAGAGTCCTCTGCGCCGGCAGTGGACTCGACCGGAGTCTCGACGGCAGGAGTCTCCGAGGCCGACTTGTCAGTGGAAGATTTGAAGTTCTTCTGGGGGTTGACTAGCGGGGTATCGTCATTGAAAATACGGAGCAGCATGGCACGGCGTTCTTCCTTGGGAAGCATGAGGTTGAGGGAATAGAGGGAACGCCACAGAGGCAGCACCATACGCTCACTATATAAGTTAGATTGGGTCAACAATTAGAGGCGAATTGGAACTTACGTGAGACCATCTTCCTTGCCATTGGGCTCAACACGCAGAATACTGCAGCCCATAGGGATATCCCGGACCTGCTCACCAATCTCACCCAGATCCTGCCAGCCATTATCAGAGACCTTGGGGAACATCTGCACAAGAAGCTTGCGCAGGGTCTCCTTCTTGGTCAGGACAAGGGACCGAGAGGGACCCAGCCAGGGCTCAATGATCTTCAAACCATCGGTCTGGATGCGCCATCGGCACACATTCTCGCGCTGAGCATCCTGCTTCACAAACATCTTCACACCGCAGTGAACAAACTTCATGCCAGAGCCTTCGTTCTGGGTGAGAATGTCCCGGGCAAGGGCGCTAGTGTAGTAGACAGTTCTTGATGGGGTAGCATCGGCGTTGCGAACCATGAAGCGGTCCCGGGGGAATCGCTCAGACAGTTCGTAGAACTTGTAAATTGGTTCGAGCTCCTCATGGTGAGGGTTCAGATACTTATACGGATCCTCCTGGGGCGCCTTCTTCTTGGGCTTATCCGACAGAACTGCGGGAGTGCTATCACCCTCAATCGCCGTGGCGGCGGGCTTGTGAACCGGGCGGTCACCGATGAGAACCTCGCTACCGTCATCAAGCTTGGTCTTCTTAGCCGGAACAGAGTCCTCCAGGTCTTCCGCGCCGCGCTTCTCGGGCAGAGTAGTCGCGGGGGCAGTAGTCGCGGGGGCATCAAGAGTTGCGGAGTACGGGAGCTGGTTTGTTGCCTCGGCTACGGACTCGTTCTTCGCAAGGTCTGCCTTAGTTTCCTCATCAAGGGTCGCAACGCCATCGAGGGCATCCAGCTTCTGCAAGGGCTCGCCACCGTCCTTGCGAGAGTCAAGCTCCGCAACGAGATCAGCGATCGGTACCTTGGGCGCCTTAGTAATGATAGCAGAGTGATCCACTGCCTTGGCCTTGATTTCGGCCGTCTTCTCAAGAACAGTAATAAAGAAGCCGCCAGTGTCTTGGTGGTGGGGGTATACACGCATGCAGCGCTCAAGTGGCAGATCAGCGTTCTCTCCACTGGGCGGGAACAAGCTCTCAGAGAATCTAGCCAGACCCTCAACACCCTCCTGGTCCTTGTGCTCCTGGACGTCCTTCCAGCTGGACCAGATGCGGCCTTCACGGTCCATGACCTTCCAGGTCTTCAGACCAGCTGCCCGCTTCAGACCGGGTAGCTCCTGGCTGCAGTCAATGATCTTGACGTTGGCCGCACCGCCACAGCGCTCAATAGCACAGGCGACGACAGCCTCGTTCTCAACAGGGTTCATACTGCAGGTGGAGTAGACGACACGTCCACCAACCTTCAGCATCTGCAGGGCACGAATCAAGATCTTGACCTGAGTGAGGTGGAGTCCAAGGCCATTGGCGGGGTTCCAATCCTTCCACACGTTGTAGTTTTTACGGGCAGTACCATCACCTGAGCAGGGCACATCGGCAAGAATGCGATCAAACTTCAAGTAGCGGCCCTTCTGGGGCTTGCCATCAGTGGAAGGAAGCGGGGGAAGCTTAATGGATGGATACATTGTAGCGTCGTGGTTTGTAACAATCAGGTTCGGCGAGCTCAGGCGCTTCATCTGGTGGATAAGCATGTGCGCACGCTTGTAGTCGCTGTCGTTGGCAATCAACAGACCAGTGGTCCTGCCGTCGTCGTTCAATCCCTCTGGGCCGAGAGGCTCAGGCGCAGCAGTGCCTTCCTTAACCTTCTGGGCAACATCCAGAATAGAATCCTCCTCACCCGCATGGATCAGCTCCATCAGCTGGCAAGACTTGCTACCTGGTGCAGCGCACATGTCCAGGCAGGTCATACCGGGACGAAGATCCATGAGAAGGGGAGGAATCATGCTGACAACCTCCTGACGACTGATGTTTCCGACTTCGGTCTCGGCAACAAGGAACTTTTGGAATGAAGAGAAGGGAGCAAATCGGCGAATGACCTGCTTGGGGGTTGTCATCCACCAAGCAAGCTGGTCCGGGTACCACTCAACCGGGCGCGGGGGGTCGACAAACTGGTCCTCATATTTGATGGAGGTTATTTCGGGGACATAGAAGTCACGGAGACGTTGCTGGACAGCAAGCGCGTGGCTAGAATTGGGGAGCGACAATCAGAATCATGCAAAACTTGCGGGAACAGGCGCAAGTGGGATGGAAGACTCAGAACTTACCCACGAGAGCCAGTGAAACGGAAGCTGTTGGGAAGATCCCGCTGGAGATGCGTCCAGAAAGCTTCTCTTTCCTCATCGGCAAGAAATTCAGGCTCATTGTAGTAGCGCTCAAGCTTCTCGTTGGTTCTGGTGATGTCTTGCCAGTTATCGGCGCGACGGCCGCCTCCACGAGCACCACCACGGTTGAACTGGAAGGTAAACGAGAATTAGCTCAACTGCTTTCTCGAATTGGAAGGACAAAAAAATGTACGCACCTTCTTTCCACCTCGTTTTCCCATTATGATTGTAGTTACGCTGGGAGATGTAGTCGAAACTGACGTCCGGCTTTTTTTTCGACATGATGCGCTGGATTAGGTAATCGAAGTTGCGGCTACAGTTTCCTGGGCAAGTTACAATAAAAGAACCTTGGAATAATCTGAAGAAGGAAAACGGCTTAGGGAATTTCTTAAAGTATATGTACGATATAAATTTTGATTGACGCAGTTCAACAAAAGAAACAGAGATAGTTCGGCCCGTCACTTCGCGACAGACTATATAGTCTACTAAGGCAAAGCATTAATTGCTATTTCACACACAAATCAGGGTCTAACAACAACCCAAGGCAATGATTGATAGTACATTCAAACCAAACCCACCAACACCCAAGCCCGAGCGTCAGAGAGCCGTCTTTCTTTCGCAGTCCAAAACAGCGGGTAAATTAAGACAGGTTGCGGGACATGTCAGCACGGATGCGGTTGTAGTCGAAGACACCCTCAATGCTGCCGACAGCGCTCATGGCAACATCCTGATCCCACAGCTTGCGGGTGGCGAAGTCCATGACGTCCTTCTCGGTGATCGAGTTAACAGCACGCTCGACATCCTCGGGGCTGAGGCGACGGCCGGTGGTGATGATCTGGCGACCAATGTCCTCAGCAACGGCGGTGGTGCCGTCGAGGGAGAGGAGGATGGAAGCCTTGAGCTGAGCCTTGGCGCGCTCAACCTCGGCGGGGGTGACCTGGCTGCACAGACGAGACCACTCACGGAGAGTGAAGTGGATCAAGTCATCAAGCTGGGTCAGGTTCTCAGAAACGAGGTAGATACCCCAGAGACCAGTGTCGCTGTAGCTGGTGGAGAAGCTCATGAAGCTGTTAGCGAGTCCGTAGTGGCTGACGTGGGAGCTCAGCTTGCTGCCGAGGAAAGGCGACTGGCCCATAGCGCGGTCCCAGTTGCCAACAATAGCCTGGGTGACCAGGGCAGTGAAGTAGTCGTCGTCCTTCCAGCTGACACCCTCAACGGCAAGAGCGATGTGAGCGGAGGGGATGGTGTCGTCGCGAAGACGGACCTCGGAGCCAATGAACTCGGGGGTGCGCTTCATCTCGGCAGTGAGGGCCTGAGCAGCGGAGGTAGGGGCCTTGCTGGGGAGAGAACCGAAGTGCTCCTCAGCGAGACGCACAAGCTGCTCGTGGGGAATACCACCAGCACCAACCAGGACCATGCGGTCAGCAGTGTAGTTGGTCTTGATGTAGTCAGTCAGGTTCTCCCGGGTGATGGTCTTGATGTTCTCCTTGGGGCCGAGGATGGTGCGGCCGAGGGGCTGGCCCTGGTAAGCGGTGGCGTGAAGGTGGTCGAAGACAACTTCCTCAAGCTGCTTGTCAACCTCCTCCTGCTCGCGCAGGATAACATCGCGCTCGCGCTCAATGGCGCCAGCCTCGAGCTTGGAGTTCTGGAGGATATCGGAGAGGATGTCGACGGCCTTGGGGACATCGGCGTTGAAGGCCTTGGCGTAGTAAACGGTGTTCTCGCGCTTTAATTCTAGTCAGTGGTGATTCGATTGATGTGTGCAGAGGATTTTCCGGTCGTACCGAGGTGTAGGCGTTCAGGTGAGCGCCCATGTTCTCAATCTCGAGCTCCAATTGGTGCTGCGAGCGCTTGTTGGTGCCCTGCAAAGAATGTCAGAAATGTCTCATCGTGATCGGGGTCGGTGGTATCGAACCTTGAAGGCAAGGTGCTCAAGGAAGTGGGCGGTTCCGTTGGTCTTGTCAGTCTCTGACCGGCTACCGGAATCAATCCACACGCCGACAGTGGAGGTCTGAGCCCATGGCGAGTGCTCAGTGGCGATCTAGAATGCGTTAGCAATGTTGGCGAGGGATTGATTTGGTTTTTCGCAAGTACCGTGAATCCGTTAGAGAGGGTGGTGGACTGGGTAGTGGACGGCAATGTGACGGGCGAAGCAAAGCCACGCTTCACGGGCTGAATGGACTTGAGAGCCGCACGGCTCTTCAAAGTCTGGTTAAGGTTGAAAGCTAGGCGCCGAGAAGCCATTGCGGGTGTATGGAGGGTGTGGAGGGGGGAAGGGGGATGGAGAGAAGAGCTGGACTCGCCCTGAGGTTGAAGTTCGGAAGTCGTCAAATTGTTCGCCCGGCGCACTGACCAATCACATAACCCGTTTTTGCAACTCGTTCCGATTACTTCCCTTCACTACTTTAAACCAGCCTTTACATACATTAAAGTGATACTTCAAGGATTTTACGAGTGCTCTTGAGTAAATTTTACATTGTTGGCTATCCCCCAATATTTCACATTTGCGTGGAGCTACAATTGGCTCTACTACATATCACCTGGGCATCCTCAAATCTGATTCAATTCATTGGCTCAATTCATTGGCTCTCCGGTCTCGCTCATACAAATGCACTGGCAAAGTGCTTAACATTCTCCTTCATGGAAATATCCGGCGAAAATCCAAGTTTAAACGCTCTCTCATTGGAGAATTGAGGAGTCCATGTCTGCACAATCTTGTCCACGGCAGCATCATACTTCTCCTCCACCAATGCCAGTCGCTCCTTACCACCAACAGCCTCCAAAGCATCTAACATATCTTGCACACTAACCTTCAACCCAGGAAGATTGACCGACCGCGAAGTACCGAATGCCTCGGCGGGAACATCGCGCGCATGCATCAAGTTCTTGACAATAGTATGCGGCGAGCAGATCCACATCTCAACATCTCTGCTCACAGGAAGAATAGCCTTCTTGCCATGGAACGGTTCACGAATGATATCACTGGCAAAACTGCTTGCGGCTTGTGTTGGTGCCCCTGCACGGACGGTCACGGTTGGAAGTCTCACAGAGCGACCATCTAGGAATCCGCGGCGGGAGTAGTCGGTTACCAAAGTCTCGATGATGAGTTTCTGTGATCCGTAGGAGGTTGAGGGTACAGGCGGGAAGTTAAATTCGTCTGGGAGGAGGCCCGGTGGTGCGAGGCCGTAAACTGCCAACGAGGAAGTGAAGACAACCTTCACGCCAGGCATGGTGATGCGGAGTCGGTCTAGGATGTATCGTGTTGAATCGAGGTTTACTCGGGTTCCTAACTCGAAATCGGCTTCGGCGCCGCTGGACATGATTCCATGGAGGAGGTATATGGTCTCGAATGGTTGGGAGGCGCTGATCAATTCGTCTACCTCTTTGGGTGAGGTGAGGTCTGCGCGAACGCAGGATAGACGGCTGGCATGCTCGGTGGCTGACTTGGGAACTGCTGGTTCAACAACATCGGTGATTGTGACTGTGGTAGTAGCGGGTGTACTGGCAAGAAAGGCAGCGGCCAGTTCTTGGCCAACATAGCCGCCGGCGCCGGTGATCAATATAGACATTTTTTAAAGGATGAACGGTTCGGATATTATTTAATGGTAAGAAATAAGTTGAGATGGTTGAAACCTAGTTTCTATTTGCCTTTATACCACAAGAACCCCGCGTGGGTTGAGCAAAATCATCCCCTCCCCCACGCTGGCAAGGGTGTCCTTCTAATGGACCTCCATTGTCAACCAATAGCAAACGAATAACTGACAAGGACCCGCTAACATTTTTCACGCGCATCAATTCCGAGTCATTTATTAGGATGTATGGCCGATGTTTGATCTCGGTGAGAAATCCGAGTACCGAACCAACAGCAATGTCGCGGGGTAAGTCCGACTCGATGGACCATAGAGGGATATGGGGGATACGAATGAAACCGACATAGGCTCGCCCAGATGCAATAACTCCTCATAGGTGGATTTTCATTTATCCCTCGCAATATACGATTTAATAACTAAGTACATGTATCCTAGCGATATCCAACACCGCACCTGTGGTTGAATAGTTCGACGCATACCTACTAGGTACCTAAATACAAAAAACTATAGGCTATTCGCCGTGCATTTCGCGCGGCGGCTAGAACAATCATGTTTCTGTTATACCTCATATACCATTACCTACACAGTCTGCTTCCCAGTCTCCTACCAAGTCTTCGTCCTATCTCCTCCCATATATCTGATCCTCTTTCCTACCGTATTGGTTGAACAATCAAAGTGGTCTCCCAAATGATAAGTAACGAATTGGAAATAAAAAAAGAGAAGTGAAAGGAGAAGGGGGAAAAATATAAGTCAGATGAAGGTTCGAACCTGCGTCCAGAGTCCAGAGTGTACCCAAGTAGTAGAGGGTTTGACATCCGATATACTAAGGTAGGGATTACATAGGCACCTCCAAGGTAGGATACTGTAAGAGACTTCTCTGAACACGACAATTGAACTTTTGGCTATGATACAACTAGGCTGGAACAAAACAACGACTCGGACTCGTCATTGTATCTACGCACCAAGGTATTTTCCATAGTGTGCATTTTCCAAGACGTGAAACCTAGATTTTGTGACGCAAGCAAAAGTACATAGGCAGAGACAACCAGTCACAAGAAGATAAGCATTGGATACATAGCATAACACAGGACGCCTGAGGGAAAAGTGAAATAACAGATAGGAGAAAGACATGAGCACCGATTAAAAAACCTCCTCTTTATGACGAACGAGAGTAGATACCACCGACGATACAGTGGTCACGCTCGAAGGGCTCCAGGGTCAGCTGCTCCTTGGGCTTGATCTTCTCCTCACGCATCTTCTGGACCTCGCGGGAGAACACAACGTCAGCAGCGGCGGTAGAGTCGATACAGCTGGCCTTGATGGAAATGAGGACACCACCCTGGTCCTTCAGGAACATGTGAGCGTTCAGGCCGACAATACGGGCCTGGTCGGGCTGGGCAACATCGGCAAAGATGACATCGACCATGGGAACGAGCATGCGGTAACGCAGGGGGTGACGGGCATCCTCAACAATGGGGATGACGTTGGTACGGTGGGTAGCCATGCCAATCAGGTCACGGCCAGAGCGGTGGGAGAACTCGACGGCGTAAACGTTACCGGTAGGGCCAACGATATCAGCAACGTGGGAAACGGAGGTACCGCTGGCACCACCAATGTACAGAACCTTGGAGCCGGGCTTCATGTGGACGTTGTCCAGACCACCGAGGATACCGGCAGCCAACTTGGAACGGAAGGGGTTCCACACACGGTACTCGACCTTGGTGACAGCACCATCCTCACCAGCGGGACCCTCGACGGAGATACGCTTCTCACCGTACACGGCCTCACCGGGAGTCAAGTTCTTGGTAACAAGCAGATCCTCCTTACCACCACGGGCAACGAAGACACCAGCGTGACGGTGGGGCTCCTATGTAAGGGAAAAAATTCCTGGTTAGACTGAAGCCTCGCAAAATCAGATTCTCCTTCGAGTAAAACTTACAATGATAACCTTGGCACCACCACGGGCACCAGCGGCACCACCACGACCTCCACGGGGAGCGCCGCGACCACCACGGGGACCACCACGGCCACGACCACCGCCACGGTCACCGAAGCCACCGCGACCACCACCACGGCCACCGAAGCCACCTTGAGAGGAAACTCAATCAGCAAGACTGTAAAATTCAGAGTGACGGGCAGAGCTAGTAGTCGTCGATCCAGATAGGCCGGTAGACTTGGAAGCTGCCTAGGAGATCGAAATGAATGGAGTACAAACCTCTGCCACCACCACGGCCGCCACGGTCACCACCGAAGCCACCACCACGTCCACCACGACCACCGCCACGGTCACCGCCGAAGCCACCGCGACCACGAGGAGCACCAAAACCCATTGTGATAAGATGTGTTGTTGTTTAAAGTCGGGGAATCGAAGAAGTTGAGGATTGAGCTAACTGAATGCTCAAGCCGGAAAAAAAGTTGGGGAGAGGGTCTCGAAAAGAGAGTCGACTCGAAGAAGAAATTGACAAAGTAATCGAAATCACTTAGTTCAATATATCTGTGTTTGATTGACCGAGTATGCTCTGTCGTGTGCGGGTCAAGGCCGTTGCTGCTCGTTGATGCGGTCGAGATTTTTTTGCGCTCGTTGGATCTTTCAGAAAATCAGAACGGCGCTAGGTTGGTTTGGGACTAGTTTGGTTTTGCCAGGTGTGGGTTCATCACATGACCAAGTTGCCTTTATAGCGAGGTCACGTGGTGTATAGGAACCCTGCATCTACATGGACTTCAGTTGGAAAGAAAAAGAACAGATTGAGCAGAAATGCCAGTTTTCTCGATTAACATGAGATAAATCCTCATAAGAAAGGTATAGGAAGGATATGTGAACTAGACTAATCGATCATGAAAGTCATAACCCACCCATAAACAAGATGCCTCTCTATGTACAGAAATCAAGACAATCCATTGCTAGCCAAAGAAGTAATAAGTGGCGGCATATTGGATTTCAAACGACGATGCCATCCCCTTGCAGGTGGTTGGTGGGGATCCTGAAGCAGTATCGACTCGGTAGACGGCCTTGTAATTGCCGACGGTGCCAGATACAGTCTTCAGGTAGAGCCAGGCGACAGCACCATATTTGCCTGTGGTGGCACTCGAAGGTGCTGCGAGGGAATCAACCTTATTTGTCATCGCAATGCCATATTGCTTTGCTTCGGTGGTATCGAGGTTGAATTCAGGCGTGGTAGAATCGTAGAAAAAGTGATGGCCCATTAAGTCAAGGTTGGCGGGCGGGAATGTTGCATATTCATTAGTGGGGAGCGCGATGGTGTATACAACATTGGGGAGCATTGCCAAAACCTCTGGGTAGTTGGCAGCAAGACAGGTGGCGTTGTAAAGGTTTGCGACCGCACCAATGGCTGTAGGGGTAGAGCTCGAGGTTGAATCTGCACAGGTATAGTTCTAGAAGACATTAGCTATCTCCCAGGTGATTGGAAATATATTTTTAAGAAATCATACCTGAGTGCCTCGTCCAAGAGCCACATACATGGGCGTCAGACCAGTCGGGCTTGGGAGGCCGGATGCATAAGATGGAAGCGAGATTTTGGATGTATCGCATGTCACAGAAGACTCGGAGGTGTGCCTTATTTGGTTGATTTTCTGACTGACTTTGCCATAGTATCCCAAGAGCTCTTCAGAAAAGTCATAGGCATCATCGAAGAAACTCGTTGGAGCAGCATTAGACACGGCCACCAAGGAGAGAAGCCAAGGTAGAATGTACATGTTGGGATGTTTGAGAGTAGGAGTAGCGGTGGGTATGATAATAGTATGTTCTGCAGAACTAGGTGGCTTTAACGGACCCTCTGCAGCACCAGGCTGGGTCAGGTAAGGATAGGAATTAAGGAAAGGAGTGACTCGCTGAGGTTGCCAATACCTAGATTGGGCTGGCAAGCTTACTACATATACTCCGTAGATTCGCTAATTGACAACCATGACAAGCTCAAATATAGAAACATCCCGTCTATGTCGAAACAATCAAAGTGAGAAAACAAAAATAAAAAGGATCGATGCACACTGCAGGTACTACCAGGGAGAAGTGGTTAACCGAGGGATGTCATTGGTCCGGGGACGCGCCGACATTAGCCTGACCAGCCTCTTGATCATCTCATTCGTCCTTGGCCCTAAAACAACTTTGACTAAATCCAGATAGTAACGCGCTAAGCAAAACACTGAAGACCCGAGGGTCAGGGCGCAATGCACAGATATTCTCCGACCTATTAATAAATTCTTCGGATCTTGCCATGAAGCGGTTAGAGATGTACATGAAGACTTCCCGTACTAGTTAGTGTGCAGAGATACAACCAGGGTTGCCAAGTCCCTAATTAAACTGGGGCGCCAATGCATAATGTGGTCATTTTGTTCATTTTGTTATTCAGTTGATTGTAACAAATATAGTTCTTTTTTGTTCAGCCGAGGGTAGCACGACCCTTTCAAGGTTGCGGGGAGGTTGGCGGGGGCTGGATCCTTCCGGTGTGGCTGCCGGCAGCTTTCCAAATTCTGCTCATCTTACTCTGTAGAATATGCGAGGTACTCCGTGCTCCGTCCAGTTTGTTTGAATGCCAGAATGCGTTAGAAGGCCGTCTTACTTCTTCTATCCAGCCACACCGACTGATTGGAGTCGGGCTATTTACCCGACCGGTGGGGAATCGTCAACGATACCAGCCATTCGATACATCAGTCACGGCCCCGGGGTGAACTTTAATCGCAGACTAATTGCGAGAAGGATCGCTTGAGTTCCCGGATTAGTACAACCCCTCATTTCCCATACACGGACCTTGAGGAGGTCTATCATGATGCATTAATAGATTGGAACTCTAATATGTCCGTTGCATCAAATATTCCCCGTCTTTCCTTAGCCATGAAAGCTACAAGGATCATAGCTGCTGTCCTATTACTCGTCAGCATTCCAATAAGACCATCAGGGTCTACCATGTGCTGGTCATCTTCTTATCTAAACTCTTGATAAGATCTATGTCAATGTAGTCATTGAATAACACCAGGTTGCATAATGCGTTGGTTATTGACTTATTCGTTATAGAGTATAATTATCTCTTGCTTATAGCTATTTTGGAATACGAAAATGACGCATTTGGCATGGGGAGCTGTGGTGGGGACTAGTGGGAGTAAATGAGTGCAGGGTTAGTGCACCCGATATGAACAAACAGAGCTAGACTGCGAAGGAAGAATATTAGTTAGATGAGGTGGAGAAATAGCATGTTCCTGTGAAATATTGATAGGTTAGGATTGATATCCGAGGTTCTAAGGTTCGAGAAGAAGTCGACCATTCAATGAATCTTCACATTCTTTTCGTCTTTGACGGAGACAGGTAAAACAATCAGTTCGGTCCAATTGGTGTGCATATGCCATGTGCTGTATATATTGGCTCTATAGGTATCTTTCGACTGTAATATACAAGAGGTGGATCAACCATTAAAGTTGAATGAAGCCATAGAGATCTACTCGGAGGTTCGGATAGGAACATGGTGTAAGAGTATTTGTGAGTATTTGTCAATATTGAGAGGTGATTGAAAAAACCACCAAGATATGACAGAGACTATTTGGCGGAAGTTGGAGATAGTAGTTGTTACTATTAATACAGGGTACTTTGGTCTAAGCGAGGCAGGCATATGATGGGTTTCCAAGCAATACCATTTACTCCAGCTCTCGATTCGGCGGGGTTAATCAAGACCAATAAATCAATTTGGAAAAAAAAAAAAAAAGGACTGGAAAGCATTAAAAATATAAAATGTAGAATATAAAAAAACATAAGAGAAGATGAAACTCTTGTTTGTGGGTGGAGTGGAGAAAAAATTAAAAAAGATAACAGGCCCGAGCCGTGGATCGAACACGGGACCTCGCGCAGGAGTGCTTAGAGTTGCTGCCCTAAGCGCGAATCATACCACTAGACCACCCGGGCTGTTCTTCATATCAGCTGATTCTAGCTTTACATTATATAGTAATCTAAATTATGTTCTCAAAAGCACCCTTTGGTAATATGAAACTCTACATGAGCAAAGTTTGTGGCTTGTTTTAAATACTTGTAAAAATTTTGTGAAGGTAAATAGGTGGAAACATGCATAAAAGAGCACTTGAGAGACACAAGTTGCTGCTCAGTTCAGTGTTCCAATAATTGTTGATGAGAAATCCCCCAACCTTGGAATATATATCTGGAGTCCTTGCCTTCAGGTGTCACCGCCATACATATATGTACATAACCTTGCATATGCAACCTTCCAAAGAAACCTGGAAGTGCCCAAACCCCGCGTGATAGAAGAAGGATATCTCGGGATTTTTAAAATGGATGTCTGCTTTCGTCTAGATTCGAACATTTTTGAATCTATCGAGACAAATCTACACGTTGACCGAACTCATCCTTGAAAATTGATGGCTCCCGAAGTCGCTACCCAAGCTTGCGCATTTGCTAGATTCAAATTTGTTGTTCAATGTTATAGGTATACAATAGAATATAGACAACTTGGAAATAACATCCATGGATATGACACATGCTTAACATAAATACCTGAACGCCCCAGCCAGATTCGCCAACGCTTCCAATATAGACACAAAAAATAACTGTACACAGAATCTCCCCTGTCAGGAAATCAGGTTTGCAAAATCCGTCTTTCCCGATCATGATCCCGATCCCGATCTCTATCCCGGTCCCGTTCTCGTTCTCGTTCTCGTTCTCGATCAATATCCCGATTATGAGGAACATCTCCACGATCCGGATGGCGTTCAGCACCGCGTTCTTTCTCCTCCACAGCGGCCGCAACACGAGTGTGATGATCGACCGTATCAAGGATAGCCTGCATCAACCGCTGATTCGCATCAGGATCTTCCTCCTCATGCCGAGGCGGCTGGGCATGGTATGGTCGGCCACTGCTTTCTGTCTCGCTGACGGCCCTGCGAGGGGAGTTTTCAGAAGAAGGGAGGTTTACTGATGCGCCCGAGGGTGGGGGGATACGAGGGGCGCTCGGTGCAGATTCGCGTCGGTTATGGTGAGCATAGGCGGTGTCATATGGACTTGCGTGACGCTCGTCAGAGGTGCGGGGACCTGCAGAAGGATGGTGGGGAGGTAGATTGTAGGCGCGGTTGAGCTCCTCCATTGGTCGTTCTCGTGTGGATGGAGCCCAGGCAGCGCGTATCTCGTCCTCTTTCACGTCTCGCCAGGAGCACTTGGCATGTTTCTTTGTGCAGCCTACGCAGGCAGTCAGATTCTTTAGACAATCCATGTGGAGTCGACGGCATCGATCGCAGGGTGGTGTTACCCGCTCGCCACGGGGCGTCTCTTCCATGCGGGCTACCATCTCTAGCTTGAAAGGACCACCGTCATCTTTTTCCTGGGGAGTGTTTTTAGGCGGAGGTAGCAGTGAGGATGGGGTGCTGGGAATAGGGACCGCTGGGCTTGAGGCATTGGTGTAGATATTTGGATCTGTGGGAGCTTCTGATGCCTGAGCTCGAGGTCGTATAGGATTGATGGGACCTGCGTCATCGTAGCCACGCGCCTGGCGATCGGCCGTGGTGAAGAATTTTTTCATCAGCTCGGCGCGGGTTGTCGGTGAGGCGCCTTTGATAGAGGTTCCATTTATCATTGTGACATTATCGGTGTTGGATGAGAAGGGGAATTGTGCTGATAGCGGATTGTCTTCGGCGGCCTCGGCCTCGGCTCGAGCTGCGTTGACAGCAACAAAGCCAGATGGTGAAGCATGGGAATGCCCGTTCAATGAGGAATTTCCGTTGAATTCGCGCCATTCTCCAGGACGAGATTGTAGAGTTGCATCGTTCTGTCGGCGGCTCACGATCGCGGTGCGGCGGTTCTTCAGACGATAACTGAGCTGGCGAGCTCGGGCGGATGCTGCAATTAAAGTCAGTACCTATGGAATTCTATATGAAGATGGCCCGGACGTACCCTGATCGGCCATCTGAATAATTTGCTGTAGATTCTTCTCTAGGATTTCTAGAGCGCCCAACTCCTTCTCCTCATCCTCGATGATCGGCTGTGGCGGGATCATCTTCTGAGGCATGCCCGACGCGATCAGCACAAAGTCCTCCTCACTGATCTCCACATGGCATTGCTTGGTGTAAAACTGGCAGATGCGCGCGCCGCTGCGAGACATCTCCAGCTTAAATTGCTCCGGCTTGCTTTTCGCGAACTCGACCACGTCCAACCAAGTCACCGTCCCATCCTTGTCATGCGATTTAAGCACTTGCGGAGGTCCATCGAATAGGCGCTCGAAGCGCTTGATAAGAATGGGACCCAGAGGACATGCGCCCAAGTTTCCGGCGATGCTCTCATGGCGATGGAGGACACCGTCATATTCTCCGATCAGATGAATGATTGAGGGCATATTGTCATTGGCGGAAACGAGAGGGAGGTTTTCAGGGCATTGTCGCGCAAGGTAGTTGATCTGTAGATGGTTGGAGTGTGTTTTAGGTAATTTGGACTGTGGTTGTTGGTCGCTCGTAGGAGATCGAGGCCGTTTGTTGGATGGCTCCGTGGTCGCGGGGCGGGACTCCATGGTGCAAATGTCCAGGCATTCGGGAATGGCCCTATAATCGCCTGATCCCTAGTAGTATTGACCTGATGACCCGAAGAGTAGGAGTTCGAGGAACAAAAAGAAGAAGAGTGACCAGGGGCGGTAACGGAGATGAGTTAAGGCTACAGTCAATCAGCCCGGCGGAATTCAGGGCGGAACACTGTAAATGGAGCGGGCGGACAGAAAAAAAAAGGATTTAAGTAAAGTCCTCGGAAAAAAAGAAGATGGAAAGGATGTGTACTAGTAGGTCTCATCTACCGAAGGAAATCAAAAATACAAAAGACCCAGCTAGCCCCAGCCCAAACCAGCCAGTTGTACGCAGCGGAGTCCCGCCGGGGCTTTCCGCTGAAGCATGGACAGCCTTGTCCTGTAGCTTGTATGTCGCTACTTTGTATGGGATTTACGTCCACGGATTGTACTACTACAGTCTACATGTTCCTCAAATCAAGAAAACCGATCTGTAGATCGCCCCTAAAATAAGCCTTTTGACCCTCCACACTGACGACTACTTTCAAATTAGTTTGAGACCCTTTGGGTCTGGTATTATGGATGCCTGGAGCAGTATGCGGGTATTATGAATACTGTTAGACTCCACCGCCATGGTCTCCGCCATTAGCATAAGGGAATCCCGGGGGCGGTATTAATTGTAATGATACGGTAACAGCGGAAATTCCCAAAGAGCGGGAACTTAATAGCTTATCTTATCAAAGGAAAACAGCTAAAAATCCCTCATACACTTGGAACCCCCGAACCCCCCCCTTCCCAACCTGATCGGGAACCTGATTGATCACCCTCTTGCTACCTACTTCTTCCTATCTAGGTTTAGTCTTCAATTGGGGAATTTCTTTTTCTTTTTCTTTCCCTTCATATCCCCCCCCCCAGACCATAATGTCCGAACGAGGATCGTTCCGAGGCCGCGGCGGTCGCGGCGGTGGTCGTCAGCCACAGCAGAAAAGTGGCGGTGGTGGCAGTGCACAGGAGAAGCCCAAGAAGGAAAACATCCTCGATCTCAATAAGTATATGGACAAGCAGGTCCAGGTCAAGTTCAATGGTGGACGTGAAGGTGGGTCTTTTATTTAAACAAGGTTAATTGAGATCAATTGCTGATTCGCTACTAAGTTACCGGTACTCTCAAGGGTTATGATCAGCTCATGAACCTCGTCCTCGACGACGTCAAGGAGTCCATGCGTGGTATGTTTGATCATCAGTGCCTTTGATTCTCAATACTAAATCATTCTAGATGATGAGGGTAACCAGACTACCCGCTCGCTGGGTTTGATCGTTGCTCGTGGCACACTCATCGTGCTCATCTCGCCTGCGGATGGAAGTGAGGAGATCCCCAACCCGTTCTTGCAGCCTGAGGAGTAAGGGTTTTCCTCTTATTTTAAAATCAATGAATGCAATGGCCGGCCGGGGAGTTCCTGATGGATTCCTGTTCGCCTATGAAAAATCAATGGACCCCGACTCCTACGGAGTGCACGCTCATCGGAAGCTACGAAGGGAACGAATGCTCCATGAAATCTTTTTTTGTTCATCTGAGAATTAATGTATGATAAAGACCTTGCTGCATATTTGATTCAGCCACGAGTCCTTTGTCCTAGGAAACCTAGGAACGAAATACATGATTATTACAATGCACAGATATTGAGTGCAGATGCCGAATCATACAGATTAATTGTTTTCATGGTTTTTAGTAATGAGCCAAATAAATTGTAGGTATCTTAGTGAGATGTATGGTATTTAATCACCCCCGGTATCAGGCGAAACAATTTCTCCAAATTCGCCGTCATCTTCATTAGTACCAGCCTGAACGGGAGGCGGTCCACCTGTCAAGCGCCGAAGACCCTCTTCATCCTCTACCCAAGGTCCCGCTTTCTCCAGGTTATCATTATAATCAACCCCGACGCGCAGGTTCAGACCTGCACTGAGGGCACGTTCTATACGGGCCTCACGTGTTTGGGAGACGAGGGTTCGGAAGACATGCACCAGGAAACCACCCAGAATATCCACGCTCCAGTCCCCGGGAACAAGGTCCAGAACTTCACGGACATCGAACCAGGCTGCAAAACGGGCGAGGAGGTCACTGGTTCTCTCAATGCGATCTGATAGATCTTGGATATGCAGGAATTCATCTAGTAGATGACGGAAAAGTTCGGACTGTAAAGTGTAGTCGGCAAGTTCAGGCTGGATGCTAGATGAGGTTGAGCTTTGTGGTCCGCCAAAGAGACAATACCGAATAGCAGAGTCGTAATCCCCGAGGCCATGAGTGAGAAGCCGGAGGGCAGCACGGTGATGGCCTTGTAGGCCGTCCAGGATAATGCTCTCTGAAACAAGCTCGTCTTGGAAGGGCTCAATACGTGCCAGCACGTTGGGAATGGAGTAGGTAATGCCCGAAGGAAGAGGGGTGGACGAGAATTGTGTGCCAGAGGTGCCGCTCAGCAGTTGTAATAGTCGAAGACGAGACTGCCACCACGGTTCCTTGGGCGTGTTCTCCGTGATGAAGTTTAGGTAGGTCGGTTTGGGGGGACGTAGAGCTCGGTAGGTCGAGTATGAATCCGAGAGGGAATCCCGTGCTGTGGGTGAAGACTCAAGAACTGAGAGTACTTCATCCAGGTAGTATGATATGAGATCATCGGCATATTGCGTGTACTGTGACCAGTCAGTTTGCAATCGGAAAGGATTAGTAAACAACTCACATTTTTAGCAAAAACCAGATGCTCCAGGTAGACCTGAACGGCGTTGGGGGCTTTCTCCTTCAAGAGAGTTACAACATCTGCAGGCTCTAGTCGTACGCGACTAGAGTTATCCGCAAATACTTGTACACCCAAACTAGGGTTTCGCCCAGCGAGCCAAGACCCATATTCCTCTACCAGCTGGACATTCTTGATATTGACCAAATACTTGCGCATCTGGGCCTCGACCCCAGGCGCACTGAGCTCCCCGCCAGCATCAGGTTCGCCGTCAATTATTCTCCGCCAGGTGTTGAGAACATTGCGAGACATCTTCTGGCTTTGGTACAGACGACTCAGGATGTAGAGTCTCTGGTACTTTTCTAGAAGCGCCACGGCCCGGTCGAAATTTCCCTTCCAGTTATCGACCAGACGGTTTAACTCGGTACGAGTCGATGCCTTTGTTCGCTTGTCCGCATTTACATTGGCATCCTGTTCCAAAACCAGATGAAGTAGAGCAGCGTCGGTACTATCTAAGACATATGTCTCGTCTGTGATGCTACCGTATCCTCTCTTCTGCTGCCAAGAGAATAGAAATCGTTTCACCATGTTCAGCACTGGGTCGTTGATGGCAGCTGGCCTGGACGGCTCGCTGTTTACTTTTCCCACTTGTTGGATATATTTCTCTGTCAGAGTCGCCAATCCGGAGTGAATCCAGATCCCCTGAGGACCCTGTAAGATCTCCTGTCGAAGAAGTGGAATGAATAGCAGAGCCAGACGGGGGTCCAGGTTACCTGCCACAAGGGCGTGCTCGGTGGGTTCAATCACAACATCGCTTCGGCGATCGGAAGGCATAGACAGAAGATCCCCATACAATAGAAGACTTGCTTTCTGTTTCACGTAGCCAAGACCGATAAATTCGGACTCATTTTGAGGCTCCATGTCCCGAATTGCCATCATCAATGCCATGACAGAATCCCGCCGCAGGATAATGTGCCCGCTATCATTGGTATACTGAGTCTGCTGCAAAGAGTTTTCAAGCTGAACCAACAAGGGGTTCTTTACTATGCGCCATATCTGGGACCCCGACCACAGTATGAGACTGCTTTGGAGGTTGCCCAGTCCATGGGCAAATTTAGCCTCTTCGGCATTTCGTTGGGCTTCCCATCCTTGGCCTGAATGTGTTTCGCATTTCTTGGCACCTTCGGAGTCGGTCAACTCCTGGGATTCAAAGAGCTCCTCTTCTTTCTGAAGATGCTCAATAGATGCTTGGGTTCGAGGGTCTGCTGACGGCACATGTGGTGAAAGCAAAGGAGTTTTGAGACGGGCCATTCGTAAGAGCTGCCCGATATCTTCAAGCTCAATGTGACTGGGACTAACAGTATGCCGCAGGCCAACTTGAGCGGGTTTTGTCCCAGGCGAAGGTATGTCCATCCATCGCCTTTGCCGTTCAATTTCCGCTGGGTCGTCATCCCAGCGTTGAATTTCGAGCCGATTCTTGTCGTCTGCTTCCTCTATTATGGCAAGCACAAACTCATCTTTAGCATCGTCGTTAGGCTGGAGGAATTGATCATCTTCTCCGGCATCAATAATCACAGCCTTCGGGTATCGATGAAAATTAATGGTCCCCCGCACAACCTCACCATCCAAGTCTACAAACATGCCCACGCCAGGCTCTGTTTCTGCGGTTCCAGTTACAAGTAGAAATTCAAAGGGGGTCGGAGACACCACATAGGGCTGTAGCTGTTTCGAGATTTGTGTCGGAGGTAGTGGAGGAAGTGGCTTGGTGCCTTCGGAGGCTGTCGGCGAGGGATTATTCTGTGGGCTGTCCGTAGTCTTGTTCTTGGGATTTTCATCTTCTCTCCCCTCCGAGCTTGATCGGCGGGGTGTTCCAGTAGCTGTAAAAGGATCTGGGGTTCCCGAGGGCGAAGGCGCTTGAGGTTGTAACATTCCTGCAAAGGCGTTGAGGCTGCTACTTCTGGCGTGCGCATGGGAATCACTAGGAGGAGAACTTGGGTAGGATGACGAAGGCGATCGTTTTAGAGGAGTGTGAGGCCCTGGCACGATGTCTTCCACATGTCCAGATTCGAACACCTCGTTCGAGGATGAAATGGGAAACAATGGAATCTTCTGCTGGTGTTCTACTTCGAGCAGGGAGTACGAATGGGAGTCAGCCGCGCATGCAATAGTTCCTCGGCGGGCTGCGACTAGACATCCGGGAAACCCGATCTTCTTGATGCGGCGCGCCTCATCGCCAATCTGAACGAGCATGATGTTGTTCTGCGCTGCGATCATCACCACTGGGCTCTCTCCAGATTCGGTATTCTGATCAAGATCCAAGCCGCCGATCCACCGACAGTGGTTAACCTTGGTGTTACCGAACGCCGGGCTGAGCTCTGGCAACATGTAGAAAGTAACGGTGCCATTGCAAAGGACGCAAGCTTTATTCACAGAGGCGAGTATCACGATTTGTTGGACACCAAGCTGGTCATTGTTCGAGGGTGTAGTTTGGAATGGGATAGGCAATCGCGATGCCAGTATGAACGTGGGCCCCGATTCGTCAGGAGCAGGTGGAAGGCAAACAAAGTGTAATATCTCAGCAGCCGAGGTTCCGATATACAAATTCTCATCTAGAATTGCGGGTTAGTGGATAGCTCTCCAAAACCACGTCATGATAGCTTACCCCAGTACTCAACACAGGTGATGTAGACATCACGGTTGTCCTCGGTCTCCACGGGTACATTCTCGAAGAGTGATCGCAGGACATAGGGATCTGACCCAGGAGGAACCACTCTGCGCCTCTTACGAGGGCCTAGTCCATCACCTGAAGCCATGATGGCTAGCTTGGAGGAGCCTTATCCCCGCGCAGCATTGAAGATGAGCTAGAAGGCGGTCAGACTGGCCAAGCTAAGGTTCAGGGGCCACTCTCATACTATATCAGGAACAAAGCGGGTGTCAACGGCTAAGGCAACCAAACCTGGAGATAAGAACAAGAATAATTCAGATCACTAGCAATTACGCAACACTTCTGAATAACTTCAACGAACTTCCCCGACCGGTGTTGTTTAAATCGGAAGAATATCGGCCCGTGCGCCGCGTGTCCTGTTGCAGCGCGGTTTCCCCGTTCTTACTCTGATTCGGTGTGGGGTGAACTACGCTCTCCCGGGTTGAACACTGGTCATGGACTCCTTTGCTATTACAGAGGGCCTTGCCGCTCAGGAGCAACAAGATGCAGTACCAACCAAACTCTCCGAGGAGACAAACAAGTTCCAGCAAGCCATTGCCGCTTGGCGTGGTGAGTGAACTGATCATAAAGAAGCCATCTGTCCATATGCGACTAACACATCCTAGGAATTGACCTGGCTAGTACCATCGCTAAACTCGACACGGTCGCCTCGGATATAGTCGAGTACCAGCGGGAATCCCTCGTTCAAAGAAAGGACCTGGCGCAAAAGACCAAGGACTTCAAGAAACTCGACGACCAGGAGAAACTCGCAGAGCACAAGGGACTATTGAAGGCGTACCAATCCTTTATTGATGTCTTGACCAATCAAGGAAAAGCATCTTCATCGTCCTTCCTCCAGCTATATTCCTCCTTATCCGAAGCGCCGGATCCATACCCACTCCTCGAAGCATCCGTCGATTCCCTGCTCCTTTCCGAAGAGACCGTTCCGAAGTTGACATCCGAGCGAAATCAATTGCAACAGTCAGTCGACCGTCTTACCAGGCAACAGGAGGAAACAGAGAGACGTCTTCAGGAGGAGCGGGCCGCGCGGAAGAAGCTGGAAGATAATCAAGAGGCCAGGGCCAAGGAGATCGAAGCATCTTGGGAGGCCGTGTTGGCGGAGAAGACAAGCAATTGGGCTGCAAAGGAGAAGAGCTTAGAAGAGAAGGTGGAAAACCAGGAACGACTGCTTAAGGAGCTCAAAGCCAGCTATGAGGTTTCACAGCGCATGGACGAAGATGACGATAACGAGGGGCCTCGAAATGGCGCGACTGCTGCGGAATTGGAGCTTGTTACTTCCGATCTGGAGAAGACCAGTTTGAGGTTAGCAGACGTAGAGGCTCGGAATGAGCAACTACGACTAGAACTGGCCCAGGCTGTATCGCACTCACACTCCGATCAGCCAACCTCTGTTGAGGATGACCCATCATACCAGCGCCTTCAATCGGAGAACTCTTCTTTGCTACGAAAGCTGGATGCTGCACGATTTGACAAAGATTCTACTCGGCATACTTGGGAGGCCAAGCTCCACCAGGTGGAAAGAAACGTGTCGAAGATCACGATGGAGAGAGATGAGCTGCGCTCTCGCCTGAACAAGGTTGCGGACTATGATGAAATCCGTCGAGAGTTGGAGATGATCAAATCGATCGAATTCACGGCCGGTGATGATGAAGAAGGCGAGGCTACGGCTGAGGATACAAATGCAAACGGCGACACAAAGGCCAAGGGACAAAACTCGTTAGAACAACTTCTACTGGCTCGAAACAAGAAATTAATTGATGATCTCACCATTTTGCGAGTATCATCGCGTGACATCCAGGGGCAACTTGAAGTCATGCGCGGTGAGCTTGCAGCGACAAAGGAAGAACTACAGAAATCTCGAGGCTTGTCGACAACTCTGGAGAATGATCTCCTGCGTGTGCAGCAAGAGGCTGCCAACGTGTTCCCCTCATCGGCCATGTCCGTCGCGGGTACTTACTCTTCCCGGTACCCGCATTCCTCTCGCCGAGGTGCGGTATCTCCCACGTCGTCAATCATATCTGGCTTTGATCAAAGCGCGGTATCCGCAAATACTATGGATGCCATCCGCTCTGGGGAAGCCGTGGGAGGTGGATCCGGTCTCCTCCCTATGATCCAGGCTCAGAGAGACCGCTTCAAGAAGAAGAATGCAGAGCTTGAAGAAGAGCTCTCCAAGCTGTACGGTACTGTGAAGTCTTTGAGGCAAGAGGTCGCATCGCTCCAAAAGGATAACCTGAGTCTTTATGAGAAGACTCGATATGTTTCCACCTATAGTCGCGGCCAGGGTGCATCCACATCTGCTTCCTCATACGCAAATGCCCCCAGTTCCACATCTGTGTATAGCTCCTCAGACACACCTTCCGGGTTGTCTATGGATCGGTATAAGTCTGCGTATGAGGCACGAATTTCTCCATTTGCAGCCTTCCGAGGTCGTGAGTCGACCAGTGCCTACAAGCGCATGAGCCTACCCGAGCGGATCGTGTTCTCCCTCACCCGCATCATTATGGCTAACCGGACCAGTCGAAATCTGTTTGCCGGCTACTGCTTTGCCCTCCATATCCTACTATTTGTAGTGCTTTACATGATGAGCACAACAGAGATTGAGAAGCATAGCGCCATGAGTGCCGTGGGTAGTGCTGCAGCCGCCGCATATGCCAACCATGGTGGTATGGGCAGTGGCAGTGGTAGTGGCAGCGGCACACTGCAGGCCGACGACTGGCAGCAAGAGGGGTTCAATCAAGCGAGCTGAACACTTCCGGTCTTGAGGTTTCAATAGCGTTTGCAATACATGTCATTGTCTTCTTGATTGAGGGCAATACCCTGATTTGAACAGCGAGGGCACGGAGTTTTTTTTCCTTTTCTCTTTCTTTCTTTTCTTTCGTTCTATCTATCATGGCTGACCCTTCAGTTTCGGCGTTAAAAGAAAGAACTGCTCTGAATGTTTAAGACCCGGTCAGCCAGTGTACAGTCAGCCTTAGCCCAATTATGATATCTGGTTACGATCTTGGAATTTGATACATTGTAAGAGCCTAATTAATACCCCAGACATTCCGACGGGATATCGGGATCACCCCGCACGGATTTACCCCAAGTGTATAGAAAAGAGTATTCCAACCAAGGTTTACGGATATACATCAACCGGCGTCTTGCCCCACTAGCTTAGAACATGCTGACCAAGATTAGGAATCGATTCCGTGTTTCCGTGTGGGGGAACCGGCTATATTCTCATCCATATGCACTTACCACGTGTGATGGAATCTAATTTACTATACAAATACATGCACAATTCAATAAATAGGTAGCTCCAGAGAAAGCGTTTTCAGCTTGAAGCCCCTCCTAGTCAAGTATTCGACATAGATTAAACCTCCATTGCCGGTGGGTTCAATAGCACAGTAATCCCGGTGCTCCGACTGGGTGGGGCGACTCTTGCGGGGTGGGAAAGACCCATCTAGCTTTAGCAGATAATTATGAATCAACCAATTGAACTATGAGCTTCCTAGTATCATGTCCACAGGTTCCAGGTATTCATTCCCAAAAAAAAAAAACCTTGCTTTCACCCCACCCAACATTTGAAATCCAGCATTGCCGTCACTCCGGGTTCGGAAGGAATGACGATATAATACTCAATCATCCCCGGATCTTCTCACTTTGAATCTCAATCCTTCTTCCTATATCCAATTCCTGTTTATCAAGCTTCCACAAATAGTCATGGATCCCTCGCTGGTCAAGATCCCCCCAATGAAAGACCAAACGGTCGACAACATCACCGACAATGTCCACACAATCAACTCTCTCTGTCAAGACGAGCGTATGAAATACGTCCTCGAGCGCCTCGTAACACATCTCCACGACTTTGCCCGTGAAACCCGCCTCAGCACCGACGAATGGATGACCGGTCTCCGCTTCCTAACAGAAGTAGGCCAAATCAGCTCCGAAGTCCGTCAAGAGTTCATCCTCCTCTCCGACGTCCTCGGTCTCTCCATCCTTGTCGACTCAATCGATCATCCCAAGCCTCCCGGTTCCACCGAGGGCACCGTTCTGGGTCCGTTCCACACCCATGACGCCGAGGAGATGCCCGCTGGTGACTCCATGTCCCATGATCCCAAGGGCGAGCCCTTGCTCGTTGTCTGCACATTGAAGGACCTGCAGGGTCGACCTATCGATAATGTCAAGATTGATATCTGGGAGACGGACAGTACTGGCCATTATGATGTGCAGTATGCAGGCCGGGATGAGCCTGATGGCCGCTGTATTATGCGGTCTGATAAGAACGGCGTGTTTTGGTTCAAGGCTATTACACCCGTGCCGTATCCCATTCCTCACGATGGTCCGGTTGGACGGTTGTTGAAGAAGTTGCACCGTCACCCGTACCGTCCTTCGCATATGCACTTCATGTTTGAGAAGGAGGGATATGATCACTTGATTACGTATGTGCTCCGTTTCCATTATTTGGGGGTGATTTCTAATTCCTTTCACAGTGCACTATACCTCCGTAACGATCCTTATGAGACCTCGGATGCTGTGTTTGGTGTCAAGGATTCTCTGACTGTTGATATTGGCAAGGCTGATGCGGAGATTGCGAAGAAATATAATGTTCCTGAGGGCCATGCCCTGCTCACCTATGACTTCGTGCTGGTTTCCGACGCTGAGACAGCCGAGCTGCGGGCGAAGAACTCCAAGATGGCGCTTGATAAGCTTGGTCGTAAGGTGAAGATTGTGAATGGACTGCCTATTCCTGATCTGGATTAAACGCAGTCAATGCAATGAAATGTACATAATGTGTTCAAATGTTTGGAAATTAGAATATGCCACTGTTTGATCCTCGTAATCCCCAAGATCCGGTACAACTAAAATCATTGATTGGCTGATCGTGATTGCCTGCTATTCAAGTATTCCCGTTACACCGTACACCGTACAGCTAGGTCTTCAACGTGTCCGGCGTGGCCATTAGAAAGTTATTTGTTACATATCTGCTGACCGAGAGGAACACGTACTTATGTGGTACAGAACAGCTTTACAGTGATCAAAGCGCATGAAATCTCCATTGATTACCTTTTTTCCCATATTAGACCACATCTCAACATGGGATTTCTAGAACTTTTGCTGTCTATAGTGGGCTTATGCTCTGCCCTGGTAGCACCAAATCAAAAGGTTCTTCACATCTTGGCGACAAAGACAAGCCAAGAGCTAACCGTTGATTCGGGACTGGGGCTGAGGCTATATACCCTCATACCAAAATACTATCTAGAATGAAGGATGCCACTGGAAACCAAACCCCTGCTATACGGGACCAAAACTCGATGAACCAGACAAACCACCATATCAGTGTCCCTCAAACAGCACCATCTGGGAACTAATAAGCCAGAGTCCCGAAATCCGGAGGCTTGCAGATGTGCTTGGGAGAGCAAGTGTTCTGGTCAACCTCCTCAGCAGTACAAAACATAAGTTCACGCAATTTGCTCTGACAAATCGTGCTCTAGATCGTCTTCAGGATCGACATCAGCTTCTATCGATGGACGCGATGTTGCATTATCATGTCGTCTTGGGGCAATACTCGCTTGAAGACCTCAAAACTTTCGATCATCAAACGCTTCCAACTGCACTGAATATTTCTTTACCAGGAAATGCAAACGACAAAAAGCACAAGAATAAGCACAAGGACAAAGACAAAGACAGAGATCACAAGAAAATACCTCAACGGCTTCGAGTGGATACAGTTCGCCATTCAATACTTCTGAACGGGAAAACTGGCATCATAGAAAGCAACATAGTAAGTACCCTGTCCAATCTCTCCTTTCTACCAGATTCTTACATCTATAGGTGGCCAAACACGGCATAATCCACCATATCCACATCCCTCTATTTCCACCCCCAACAACAAAGGCAATCATCAGTGTCCTTCTCGAACAATTTAGCACATTCGCTCTCGCCCTTTCGCACACGGGCCTGGACAGCCATCTCGATGCCACGAACCGGACAAGTGGTACAACTTTGGCACCCACGAATGAGACATTCCGGGCCCTAGGCTCACTTGTGAACGAGTTCCTTTTTTCGCCACAGAGCGAAGAATGCTTGCGTTCGTTGCTGAAGTATCACCTTGTTTTGGGTAAGACGATTTACTCGGATGTTGTTTATGGAAAGGAAGTTGAGGAATTGGATCTGGAGAGAAGACTTGGAAAGGCAGATTGTTACTCGGTCCATGTTGTATCTCCCACATTGTTGAATGGATAAGATGTTACGGTGGATCTTTTATGGAAAGACTCTTCTGTGGACTTCAGGGTTAATGGGTTCTGGGAGCCAATGACGGTGGATGTGCTGGCTAGTGATGGGGTTATACATGTTCTGGAGCGTGTACTGATTCCACCGAAGATTGTGGGTAAAGGAATAGGAGACGAGGTGACGGTGGAAATATTGAGGGAGCACTTGAAAACGGTGGGGATGGAGCTCTAAGATCCGGTGATAGTCTAAAATTACCAGAATGCGTTTAGTATTGATTTTCTTCATTCTTTATCTGTTTATTTCCAATATGTGATGGCTGGAAAGGTTGCGTCGAGCAAAAGAAAGCGTAACGAGACAATGAGTAGTCCAGAAGGCTGCAATAATCCACCCAATACCATTTTATGGTATGGCCCAGGTTGCAGGTGCCTGCGGATGGTACAAGAAGGGGGAAACAAAGACAGCCAAAAACCCGACAAATAAAATCACCCAAGTCAACAAGCATAAGAATAAAGCCTGGCTGCTTAGTGCAGTCTTCTTGTCGGCTTCATTAGTGCTTGGAAAGAAGACTCAAGCGCTTTCTTGAGCTCCTTGTAGCTGACAATGAAGCAGCTCTGTTCATCCCGACTGACCAGTGTAACCTTCTCATCGGTACCGGCATCGAGCTTGTTCAGACAAGTCAACACGTGGCCGAGATCGACCACTGGGTCACCCTGGGCATCCACCTGGTGGAAGACATAATCTCGGAATATCTTCAAGAAATAGCGCTCTCCGCTCTCGGACCACTGTCGGTCATGATCGTATTCGGGACGTTCGTTGATAAGATTCAATTTAGTCATCAGACGCACTAGACGGCCATTCTCAAGCTCACGGCTGAGATCGGATGTAAGCTGATCATCCAAGTGCAGCGCCGAGTCAAAAGTCGACATGAGCTGGGAAGAAATTCCAGTGATGAAAGTGTCGATGCTACGTTCCTGGTCCTTCTGGAGGCCGCCCAATAGCCAGAAGACCGAATTCTTCATCTGCTGGCTGTATGCACGTGTGAAATGCTCCATGGACTTGGTGGCGTTGTGCATCACATTCGGCGAGTTGGCACCCAGTGTGACAATCAATTGTCCAAAATTGACTAGATCCTGGCGCTGGAGGTCCGCGACGGACCGTTGAGTGTCAAACTGGACCACATCAAGGATGGAACATGAATTCAGGCGGATTCGGTTTTTGCCTGTTAGGAGCACTTTGCTAGGCTCCAACACCCGGGCTGCAAGACCGTTTGTGTGAATTGCCTTCAACGCATTAGCGATCTGAGTCATGTAGCCCCAGAGAACCTGCTCAGGGATGTGCGTGTTGTGGCGGCCCTGGAAACGGTTTCCGGTTCCCAGATGTTGCTCGGACAGTGTTTTGGAAAGCGGGTGGTAGTCCGTGACAAAGATAAGCGAGCTATCTTGGAAGCTTCGGCTAGTGAATGCATCGTGGACTGTTACCACACTGCCGCTGCAAATACGCTTCCAGGCTTGGACGGATCGGATGGCCTTCTCATTGGTCAAGCGGAATCCTGGACTGGTTAGTTGGTCATTTCAAGGATCACAGAGTGGCCGTGCTTACCTTCAAGCCGACGGAGTACATAGAAATTTCCATCCTTGCTCGACTGTGCCTTATATACCCAGCTAGGGTAGCCGAAGGTCGTTGCATTCTTCTGATGGCTTAAATCCAATGGCACGAGGGAGTGGAAATAGTCGACTTGTGCGGGGAGTTGTGTGTCTGAAAGAGCAAAGAATCAGCACTGATATTCAGACTGAATTCATACCAACTCACTAGGTAATGTTTGTAAAGTAGCCGCAGCTTTCTTCTGCAGCTCTTCTCGGAAATCGTTTGGGAGGAAGAGGTCGTGAACATTGCGTTGGTAGCCAAGCGTATTCTGATTGTGAGGGCCAATAGGTGCATAAAGATGGTATTGGACCTGCAAAAGATGGACTTAGATCAAGGAAACGGTATCAGGTAATGGCACATACTGGTTGTTGGAAGCCGGTTTGGCTTGCGAAAAAAGTAGCTCCTCCTAGAGCGGCCGCATCATGTGCGTAGGGATTCGTGGAAACAGGCCCAACGCCACCCGTGGCAGAAAGAGGCGAAGCTGTCACGAATGGGTCGAACCCAGCGGCCGCAATGGCCCCGTTCCCGTTGCCTTGGAGAGGTGTCTGGAAAGACGAGTCAGTCGGAAAAAAGTTCATGCTAGAGCTGCGATATGGGTATCTGGCCCATCCCGGGGCTTGGACTGATTTCCAGTCATCGGTCAAAGCATTCAAGCTTCGACTGGAGCGGTTATAGTGGGGTCCCAGCATGATTGCAGTGGGATTTCAGGGATGAATTATTTCAACCCAGATAATAGGGACTCTTCGACGCCATAGGAAAGGAAGGAGCGATGCGACCTACCACGTGCGTATCAAAGCCCTGCGGGACAAACTCCTGCACCTCCCCCACTGTCGTCCAATCAGGAGCTCCTACTTCTTGTCTCGGTGTACTTGCGTTGGAGCCTTTGGCAGTCAGCGGGGATGAATATGGGTCCGGGTCGGAGTGCATACGGGATGCGGCAACTCTGGGTTGAAATGGGGCCGCGCTGGCAGCTTTCGGGGAGATGGTGGATTTTTTGGATGCAGAGGCGCCATTTCCCGATAAAAGGGAGGGTGTAAAACTCGGTGAGTCCACGTTGAATCGTTTCTTATTGCTGACACGGAGAAGAATTTATCAACCTGCTGTCCAAAGCTTGTGTTCCTAGTTGATTTACCTGTCCGACTGGTGTGCCGCGTTGACTTTCTGGGGATCGTGATTGAAAGCACAGCCTGATTACAGATTCATCAATCAGATCAAACCCACAACTTTCCGATCAATAGAGGGTACCTTTATCTTCATAGCGACACCGGCCGTAGATGGTCACATTGCGGCATAACGTATCTTTCGCGTTCTCTGTTCCCACCAGTGAGCAACAATCCAGGGTATAGCTTCGGTCCACAACTCCGACAAGTTTATTCAATCTTCCCATCGGGATCATCTGCGACTTATGACGAATGGCAGGACTCACCTCGGGTCTTCATTTTCGGTGATCCCGTAGTGCGACGGGAATCGTCCAGAGCAGGCTTGCCAGAGGATGCCATGATTGAGACGGCGGAGACCGGGGAGACAGGACGAATCAGCGCAATAGGATCTCCATTGAAACGGGACCAGGGACGATAGGATTGAGTCGACCGAGAGGTAGCCACATTCCTTGTGATGTGACACCTATCCTACGGCACTGGCAGATTGGCGCGTTGTGATAGTCACGGGCGGGTGGGGTAAACGAGAAGAAGTGGGTATATAAATAATTCAGGCACCACGCCTTCAAGGATATGAGAGCCAATGCAGCTCCTCCCTCCAAATTCAAGGCGGAAGACGATAGAAATGATAGACGAAGACGCGGGGCGATGAATGAACTCGAGTGAAGGGGGATGGCGCACGGACCAGGCGGTCAGGCCCGCGATTGAATCTATGTCAGGTACTCCATATATTACATTTGAATCGTACCAGAAAATGAAACAGAAGTAATTAAAGTTCAATTTATATATGTACATGGTAGGTATATCTACATATATATGACAGCACAAGCGAAGGAAATCAAAAGCTCTCTTAATTCACTTCAGATTGTGGCTTAAGAAATACATTCACATCTGCCCAGATGCATTCATAATATAGAAAATAGCTTGCCGTAGATAAGATATATATAGTCAGAAATCTACTAGCTCCACCTCTTATCATTAGTTAACGTCAATATATGGAGTTCACAGAATATAAATCCTGTTCACCATGGTGCTCGCTCTCTTCTTATATATATCGACAAAGTCAACCCCGGGTTTTCTTATCTATGCATGATGTAATTTATTCAGACACAGTAGAATAAGCAACCACAGTCTGATCACCTACAAAGTGTAGCCGAAGTAGATGTAATTACAGCTAAGGACTATGGATACATGATGTCTATTCAAAATGATTGGATCAAGTCCTACTTTATAAGCTGAAAGTCTATGTATTTGCCAAGGCGGTGTAATGAGGCGGTGTCCTTATTTGCCAGTCCAACATGTCCACTTGGTCTGGACAGCTCACGCCTGCCACCTATCAGCCATCATGTCCACGCCGGACCTTGACCTCGATCAGCTCTCGCCTAGTGAGAGGACTGCTCTTGAAACATATACATCTGTGACAGGTCAGGAAATAGCAGAAGCTATTCCTTTGTTGCGCCGGTCACAATGGAATGTTCAGGTGAGTGTCACTTTACTCCCGGAGCTCCCACCCAACTCACCTACCTAATCCCGCAATAGATTGCTATCGCCAAGTTCTTCGATGGCGAAGGCCCAGATATAGTTGAAGAAGCCCGTGCAGCACTTTCGCAATCCCCACCTCCTCAACCGAATCGGCAAACGCGAAACTTGCTGACTGAGGACATCGCTGAGCAACTGTCACTAGCTCCCAGGACCGCAGATCCCGCTCCCCGAGTTGATACTCAATCCGAGGATCAGCCCACCTATCGCCCGCCCTTTATAATTGCTCTATTATTCACACCCTTTAACCTGGTCTATCGACTCCTATACAGTTCATTTCGTCTCTTCGGGGCATTGTTTCCTTTCCTGCCCCGACTGTTCAATGCCACAGCAAACCCGGCCCTCCAGGGGGCGCGGCGAAATACTACTGGCCGCCGTCCCCTTGGACCGAAAGACACTGCAGCCCGGTTCATTCGCGAGTTTGAAGAGGAGTATGGATCGCAGCCGATCCCATTCTTGGAGAATGGATACAATATGGCTTTGGAGAAGGCTCACCGCGATCTGAAGTTTTTGATGGTGATTCTAGTGGCGCCTGAGCATGATGATACAAATTGTTGGGTGCGAGATACCTTACTGGCACCGGAACTCGTAGAATTCATCAACGACCCGTCCAACAACCTTTTGGTATGGGGTGGGAATGTTCGGGATTCCGAGGCTTACCAAGTAGCCAACTCACTACGGGTCACCAAGTTCCCCTTTACGGCAGTGATTGTGCACACTCCGAACGTGTCCTCGACCGCGATGTCGGTGGTGGGTCGCATTGCAGGCATCACCGCACCCGCCGAGTTTGCGAACCGACTTCGAGCCGCCATTTCTTCGAACAAAGAGCCCCTGGAGCGTATCAGGTCGACTCGCGCAGAGCAACAGGCATCTCGCAGTCTACGGGAACAGCAGGATTCGGCTTACGAACGGTCTCTGGCGATTGACCGGGAACGGACTCGCCAACGCCGGGAAGCAGAGGCGGCTCAACAGCGGGAGGAACAAGAGGCGGCGGATCGCCAGGCTGCAGAGGAGAAGAGACAGCGTGATCTGATCCAGTGGAAGCAATGGCGGGTCCAGTCCATCCACCCGGAGCCGAGCACGGACGTCAAGGATGCGGTGCGCATTAGCGTCCGCCTGCCTTCTGGAGAGCGGATCATGCGTCGATTTGCACCCGACGCAGAAATGGAGGAGCTCTACGCAGTAGTGGAGTGTTATGAAGAATTACAAACAGGAGAGACATCCGCCGTATCTGAACCCCCAGGGTTCGAACATGAGTATGGGTTCCGCTTAGTTTCACCTATGCCTCGGGCGGTGTATGCAGTGGAAGACGGCGGCACGATCCGTGATAAGATCGGCCGGGGTGGAAACCTGCTGGTGGAGCCCATTGTGGAGGATGAAGATGAAGAGGGGACTTCATGATGTACAACGTACGCATACATAGAGTTTTGCTTATGACTTGAGTTAAAACTGAAACCCAAAATTATGACCTCTATTTCCCTGGCCATTCGAACCCAGATTTGGAGACATTTGAGATGATATCAGTAATGAATCATGTGAACATTATCACCGATGACTTCCCTGTCTGGTCGTACATTGATCGTGCATAGTCGGCATAAACATACCTTGGGTACGTATACCTCGGGCCCACATCAAATAGATGTACATGTACTGTTCAATGCCCGATGAAATCAAAGGTTGTACCCATGCAGCCAGCATATAGAGCCTATAAGAATGGATGTTTGAATGCAGTTCTGTGATTTTCTATGCTGGGATCCCCATGTTTAAACATCCATATTAGGCGAAGTTGATCCGTTTTCGTCCATAAGGGACGGACGAACAAGGATGAGTCATCCGGGAAGAACGGGGCCACTTACATCCGAGACGGATGGAGAGATTATGGATCTCCGCGTGGGCCATACCGGTCGGCAAGGAATGAATCCGGCCCACTATTTCCCTTTTATGGATAATGAACGTTGCCCTTGAAATGAATTTTTTTTTAGCTTCTAGAATCTCGTGGCAGCGGGGATTTTTCGTGGAAATTGCTTTTTGTTTATTCTCCCGAATTCTCCCAATTGTGTAAAGAATAACGCCAGAGCTAGAAGTTGACCAGTCGGTTAAACATGTCAATATTCAATCGAACAGGAGGACACGAATATGTACGGAGTATACTACCGGTAATGAAGGTCTTTAAGTGGTATTATCAATGGGAAATGGGAGTAAGAGTCTAGAGGACTCCGTGTAGATCCATAATTCAGAGTGCTTTACTCCATGTGTACGCGAATGACTAGTGTACTAGGTAATTAGGCATCCAACTACGGAGTCGTAAATGACTCCAGGTTTCTTGACACGGACCCCGGCCCACCTACTCTCCGTGATAAGGAGGCGAAGTCGAACCTGGAATCGATTCACCCGGTCCCGATTTTTAGATTTTAGCTAGCTTTTGATCCGTTGAATTATCCTGTCCCTGTCACTTATTAACTTCAGTTCTTCCACATTTTTTTTACCTTTTTTTTTTTTGCCCCTGGAATCCCCCATACTTTCCTAATCCGTTTAATTCGAACTCTAACTCTCTTTGCCGCAACCATCTATATTTTCCTATTTACGCGCCACACGCCAATTGATGGTGATTTCCTATTCCATATATTTACGCGACTGAGCTGGGATCAAAACATCTCGATAATCGCGACAACAAGCTCATAATGTCGTTACTGGGGACGATTAACCCCAACCTCACTGAGGCCGAGCAATCTATCTCGGTCTCGCGTGAGGTTCGTCGCCATGACCCTGCTGCCAGTGTTAGTACTGGCGAGACCATGATGGAGGAGGAGAAGGTCGAGATCACCAATGATGATCAGATTGACGAGGAGGTCACCCGTCTCGCCCGCAAGCTCACCCGCGAGTCTACCCGCTTCTCCGTGACCGAGGGCGAGAACACCTTTCTGGAGACCAAGGAGGACTCAACCCTCAACCCAGCGAGCCCTAATTTCCGCGCCCGTAATTGGATGAAGAACCTGTTGGCCCTGACCTCACGGGACCCCGAACGCTATCCCCAACGCCAGGCAGGTGTCTCTTTCCGCAATCTCAGCGTTCATGGATTTGGTAGTCCCACAGATTACCAGAAGGATGTGTTCAACTCCGTCTTCCAGATCGGAGCACTGTTCCGCATGGCGACTGGTACTGGTAAGCAGAAGATTCAGATCTTGCGGGAATTCGATGGTCTGGTCAAGAGCGGCGAGATGCTCGTCGTGCTGGGCCGTCCAGGTAGTGGTTGCTCAACCTTCCTCAAGACTCTAGCTGGAGAAATGAATGGTATCTACAAGGACAAGGAGTCACACATGAACTACCAGGGTATCTCCGACAAGCAGATGAAGAGCCAGTTCCGCGGCGAGGCCATCTATACCGCCGAAACTGACGTTCACTTCCCCCAGCTTTCTGTTGGTGACACCTTGAAGTTCGCCGCCTTGGCTCGTGCTCCTCGCAACCGTTTGCCAGGTGTTTCCCGGGATCAGTACGCTGAACACATGAGAGATGTTGTCATGGCCATGCTTGGTCTGTCTCACACCATCAACACCAAGGTCGGTAACGATTTCGTCCGTGGTGTTTCCGGTGGTGAGCGCAAGCGTGTCAGTATTGCCGAGGCCACCCTATGTGGTAGCCCTCTTCAGTGCTGGGATAACAGTACACGTGGTCTGGACAGTGCCAACGCCCTGGAGTTCTGTAAGACTCTGAACCTGATGACCAAGTACTCTGGCACCACTTGTGCCGTTGCCATTTACCAAGCCTCCCAGAGCGCCTACGATGTGTTCGACAAGGTTACTGTTTTGTACGAGGGCCGACAGATCTACTTCGGTCGTACCGATGAGGCGAAGGCGTTCTTTGTTAATATGGGTTACGATTGCCCTGAGCGTCAGACCGACGCCGACTTCTTGACTTCGCTTACAAGCCCTCACGAGCGTATTGTGCGCCCTGGCTTTGAGAACGCTGTTCCCCGAACTCCCGATGAGTTCGCTGCTGCCTGGAAGAACAGCAAGGAATACCGCAGCTTGATCAAGGAGATTGAGGAGTATGACCAGAGCTACCCTCTGGGCGGAGAGGCTCTGCAGAAGTTTATTGCTGGTCGCAAGGCTGTGCAGGATAAGAACCAGCGCGTCAAGTCTCCTTTCACGATGAGTGTGGTCCAGCAAATTAGCCTGTGTGTTACTCGCGGTTTTCAACGCTTGAAGGGTGATGCCAGTTTGACTCTGTCGCAACTTATCGGTAACTTCATCATGGCCTTGATCATCGGCTCCGTCTTTTTCAATCTGCAGGATGTCACCTCTAGCTTCTACTCTCGTGGTGCTCTCCTTTTCTTCGCCGTCCTCCTGAACGCTTTCTCCAGTGCCCTCGAAGTAAGTGAGCCCCATCAATGAGGAGCGCCTCTTACTAACAAATCAACCAGATCTTGACTCTTTACGCGCAACGTCCCATTGTCGAAAAACAAGCTCGTTATGCCATGTACCATCCCTTCGCCGAGGCTGTTGCTTCAATGTTGTGTGATATGCCATATAAGCTTCTCAACGCCGTGACCTTCAACGTGACTCTGTACTTTATGACGAACTTGCGCCGCGAGCCAGGCGCTTTCTTCGTTTTCCTCATCTTCTCGTTCGTCACCACCTTGACCATGTCTATGATCTTCCGTACGATTGCTGCGTCCTCCCGAACCCTCTCCCAGGCGTTGGTGCCCGCTGCCATCCTGATCCTGGGTCTGGTCATCTACACTGGTTTCACGATCCCGACTCGCGATATGCTTGGTTGGTCCCGATGGATGAACTACATTGACCCTATCGCGTATGGATTCGAGTCCCTGATGGTCAACGAGTTCCACGGCCGCAAGTTCCTGTGTGAGGAGACCTCTATGGTCCCGTCAGGTGGTTCTTACGACTCACTATCGCTTGCTTACAAGATTTGCTCCACTACCGGTGCCCAGGCTGGATCCCAGTACGTCTATGGTACTGACTACCTCAGCACAAGCTTTGAGTACTATGACAGCCACAAGTGGAGAAACCTTGGTATCATGTTCGCTTTCATGATTTTCTTCTTGACTACCTACCTCGTTGCCACTGAGTATATTTCCGAGTCCAAGTCCAAGGGTGAGGTTTTACTCTTCCGTCGTGGACAGACGCCCAAGCACGCCGAGAGTGGAGATATCGAAAGCACCCAGGTTGTTAGCCCGGCCGAGAAGACCAACGCTGACCCTGAGGTCAGCGCGGCTATCCAGCGCCAGACGGCTATCTTCCAATGGCAGGACGTGTGCTATGATATTAAAATCAAGAGCGAGGAACGCCGTATTCTGGATCACGTTGATGGTTGGGTCAAGCCCGGCACTTGCACAGCTCTAATGGGTGTGTCTGGTGCTGGTAAAACCACACTATTGGACGTCCTCGCTACTCGTGTTACCATGGGTGTTGTGACAGGTGAGATGTTGGTCGACGGTCGCCAGCGTGACCAGTCTTTCCAGCGCAAGACTGGCTACGTTCAGCAGCAGGATTTGCACTTGTACACTACCACAGTTCGGGAAGCCCTTCGATTCTCTGCTATTCTTCGTCAACCTGGCCACGTCTCCCGACAGGAGAAACTGGACTACGTCGAGGAGGTTATCAAGCTCCTAGGAATGGAAAACTATGCTGATGCCATCGTCGGTGTCCCCGGTGAAGGTCTCAACGTTGAACAGCGTAAGCGTCTGACTATCGGTGTCGAACTTGCTGCCAAACCTCAACTGCTTCTCTTCCTTGACGAACCTACATCCGGTCTCGACAGTCAGACTTCTTGGTCTATTCTCGATCTTATCGACACCCTGACTAAGCACGGTCAAGCTATTCTCTGCACTATCCACCAGCCCTCTGCTATGCTCTTCCAGCGTTTCGACCGCTTGCTTTTCCTTGCCCGGGGTGGCAGAACCGTCTACTTTGGTGAAATCGGCGAGAGGTCCTCCACACTTTCTAACTACTTCGAGAAGAATGGCGCCTCCCCGCTTCCTAGTGATGCCAACCCCGCCGAATGGATGCTTGAAGTTATTGGTGCAGCCCCAGGATCTCACTCTGATATTGACTGGCCTGCTGTCTGGAAGGAGTCTCCCGAGCGTAAGGCTGTGCACGATCATCTGGCTGAACTGAAGAGCACTCTCTCCGCGAAGCCTACTGATGAACCTAGCAACGATGCCGGTAGCTATAATGAATTCGCCGCTCCTTTCACTGTCCAACTCTACGAGTGCCTGATGCGTGTGTTCAGTCAGTACTGGCGCACCCCGGTCTACATCTACTCTAAGGCTGCACTGTCGATTTTCACCGCGCTCTACATTGGTTTCTCCTTCTTCCAGGCTAAAAACAGTCTCCAGGGTCTCCAGAACCAGATGTTCAGTATTTTCATGCTTATGACCATCTTTGGTAACCTGGTCCAACAGATTATGCCTCACTTCTGCACTCAGCGCTCCCTTTACGAGGTTCGCGAGCGGCCTTCCAAGACATACTCTTGGCAGGCATTCATGGCTTCCAACATCATTGTCGAACTTCCCTGGAACACACTCGCTGCTTTGCTCATCTTCATCTGCTGGTACTACCCTATTGGTCTCTACAGCAACGCCGAACCTACAGGATCCGTCCACGAGCGTGGAGCTCTTATGTTCCTCCTGATCTGGACTTTCCTTCTTTTCACCTCTACCTTCGCCCACATGATCATCGCCGGTATTGAACTTGCCGAGACAGGTGGTAACCTCGCCAACTTGTTCTTCTCCCTCTGCCTCATCTTCTGCGGTGTCCTCGCTACACCTGCTACTATGCCCGGCTTCTGGATTTTCATGTACCGTGTCTCTCCTTTCACATACCTCGTCTCTGCGATGCTGTCTACCGGTGTCTCCGGCACAGACGTTGTCTGCGGAGCCATCGAGTACCTCACCATCAACCCTCCTTCCGGTGATACCTGCTACCAGTACATGGAACCTTACATCAACCTCAACGGTGGTTACCTCAAGAACCCCAATGCCACTTCCGACTGCTCCTTCTGCACTATGGATAGCACTGATACCTTCCTTGCATCCGTGGGCAGCTACTACAAGGACGCGTGGCGCAACTTTGGCTTCATGTGGGTGTACATCGTCTTCAACATTTTCATGGCCGTGTTCATTTACTGGCTTGCGCGCGTGCCCAAGGGTAGCCGCAACAAGAAGACTGCTTGATTGGACCAGTCTCTCTATTCCCCCTTCTAATTTTGTCTCTCTTCTTGACTATACATAAAATCTCCTCCGTTAATTTTTGGACTTCTGAGACTTGCTCGATCTTGACTCGATTGGATGTTCGTTTTCTTATACATAGATGTTTATCACCTTTTCCACTCCGCTTCATAGAAGCACATATTTGCATTGGAAGCATTTCTGAAGAGTTCTAGATAGACTAGAGCCATTTACATGAATACATCACTTAATTCATTTCGATCGATTCAAATAAATCCATTACTTATAGATCCACGATGAAGATCGACAATAGACAAGCCCATTCGTTAAATGTATAAACATAATCTAAGAACAAAGAATAGAAATCCAAGCAGCAAAGAAAGATCTATTTAGTCTACCACGTGAAAGCCTCTTCCACAAAATCAACCACAGCCCCCTTCCCAATCCTCTCTCTAGCAGCCATTCTGACTTCATCCGCAAAAGCACCAGGCCCACAGACAGAGACTAGCGCCGCACCTACTCTCTTCGGCATTATTTCATCTAACACAACATCAGGCCTACACCGACCGGAAAACATCTGCACAGTCTTCGAAGGTGAGACGATATCTCCCGCGCGCCGCGGTTTCGACACAAAGAGCTTGATGACGAGGATGTCGCGGCGCATGGGCAGTTTCAAGATCTGGTCCATCCATTTGCTCACCCATGCTAGATGATCCGTGGAGCGAACGGACCATATGAGATAGATGCGGCGGGTTGCTGCTGTTTCGGAAGCGGAGCGAAGGAGTAGATCGCGGGTATAGAGAAGATGGTGTGTTATTCCCGCGCCAGCGGAGAAGAGGATCGCCGTACCGTAGCTGGCGGCGTTGGCGGGGTGTGAGCCGTAAGGACCTTCGATGAAGCCAGAGCTGTGGAGGGTTTGATTCGGTTTGGAGCGGGCGAGGTTATAGAGGGCTCGGGTCATGCCTTGACGGGCGCTGATTATGAGGGAGACTTCTGTTTTTTGGGGGCGGTGGGGTTCGAGGGTGAGGTCGAAGCATTGCTTTTCGATGGAAGAGGGGGAGAGAGGGGGGTTATTGTAGTCTGGGTACGTGCTTTCGTTTCGGGGTTCAGCCCATGCGATGGAGAAGGGGTGGGACATCCACCAGGATACGCAGGGGATGTAGGCGTAGACGTGGGAGCCGGGTTCGATGTTCACACGCTTTGGAAGGTGGAAGGTAACTCGGCAGGCTTCGCCTGGAAGGGCTTTGACGGTCATGCGAGTGCTGCCGTATTTGGGAGAGAGGTTGAGATAGGCAAGGCGTAGGAGTCTTATGCTGCGCTCGGTGATCCAGATCACGGCGACGGCATCAATCCATGGCTTTTGTGGCAGAGAGTCTAGTTTCAAGTGGAGATAGACGCCGGTGAATGCTAGCAGGGCAAAGAGCTGATGCAGATGCAGGAAGATCTCGTAAAAAGCATGGCGGATTGGGGAAGGAGAGTGCAGACCAAGGCAAACCATGGCGCATGTTCCAAGTAATCCCCAGCCGAAGAAAGGAGTGTCCCTTATGCGCGCGAGCATATCGGTAAAATCCTGCTCGGCGCAAGCGTTGACAGCCCATGCTGCAGTGTGGGTGATTGTCTCGGCGACCACGATGCGTCCCAGCCAGCGGTGAAGCAGATTAAATGTGTCAAAGCTAATGTGCAGGATGGATATCAAAGGATTGTTGCGAGACGCCATAAGAAAGAGGGGCACCATGTTAAAGACCGCCAGGGTCCCAGAGCGTCCTCTTAATTCCGCAATCAGGGCTTGCTTTTCATTTATCTTGTAATCAAGGAATAAACAGTACACGACCTGACTTGCCAGATACAAGGAGATCAAGATGGTCTGAAAACGGGAAGGCAAGGTGCCTATGCCGACAGCGGAGGAAAGCTGAACCTCTCTGTTGTGTCTCTTCTTTCCCAGAGGAGCATACAGGAATTGTTTCTTCAGCCAGGGCCACCATGTTGATTGCTCTCGACTCCAGTATGTTTGTTGCCGTTGATTGGAGGAGTATGCGGTGATGAGACGAAGATAGGCATGGCTGATTTGGGCGATCCGGCCGCAGAAGATGAAGACAGCTAGGATGATGATCGAGGAATAGATGATACGGGCAATCAGCACATCCAGGGGAACATTCACACCACTCAAGCCCCTTGAGTATTCGAAGATGTATGTCACATTTGGTCCGTAGCCTCGCGTGACGAGTGGGAAAGGGCCAGCCATCGAAGTGGCCCAGACTGGCTGAAGGGCGTAGCGAATTGGTCAAACGACAGAGTTGACTGAGAAAGCGGGGATTTCGGATTCGTGGGATATTGAAGGGGATGGTCGTTCAGTTTTCAACTTGCATAGATAGAAATGACGCTTGATGGTTGGCGAAAGGTCAAGAAACGAACGAGCGATGAGATGAAAAGGCGCTCAAGATTGAGTGTTATTGAATTTGAAAATGTAGTGAAGCAAGTCCACAGCCCATTGTCCTGAGGGACTTGGGACAGATGTCGGTCAACAAACGGTGCAATGACGACAGCTAAACAGTTCTCTGGAATCCAGCAGAGTCAAATGGACGCACGGATCTGCAGTTGCCCACCGGGCGCTAAAGGCATCGTCCAGGGCCCTGGAATGCAGCAAGGGAGGTAGAGGGGAAACTTCTTTGCCGAAGGAAAACAGAGGTAAAGGCAGTGGAAGAAATGTAAAAATTAGAAAAACAAATCTATGCGATCAACGATCAACGCTGGGCAGAAATCTATAAAACGCGAACCTCTCCGAAGAGAAACACAAAGACGAACCAGACCAAGCTTTCCAGGGGCAAGGGGGGCTATTAAAAGAACTGAAATGCATCATTTATATGTTACAGGCCACTCCTATGACATCCCCATATGTCACTGTTTGGACTGGATGTCCTATCTTCATGATGCTCAAGCTGGCCAATCATAGCTTCTACCTTGATGACCAGGATGTTCCTCAGGGATGCAGGTACTATCAAATCCTTCATTCGGATTCGTCCGGGTGAAATCCTTGCAGAACTCCTGACAGGCGTAACGCCCTTGAGGGTCCAAGAACTAGCCGATGAGGCCTGTCATTTCCATTATGGAGTTCGCAGGGGCTAAAAGCTTGGCAGTGCTCTAACATTGGCTTTGTGAATGTTTCAGAGTCAATCAGAAACCACAGATCATGAGGCTGACACCGGTGGCTTGATTCAGAATCTAACATGATTCAAGATATATTGATGGGATGATAAGTTAATTAGCCAACTAATGGGATGGATGGATGGCATCTTGTATGCTTACAAAGAGTACAATAGTGGCCTGGTATTTCAGGCACCAGTTATCAGGCACCAAGACAAGGACGCACCAAGTCACATGACAATCCTCAACACACTAAATGCAGCATTTCCCGTTGCCGCAATAGCCGACGGCAATTGATTGGGTCAGATTTGCAACAGCAAGAGAATTAGAGGAAACAAGTAGAACTTGCGAATGTAAGTCAAATATGCAATTGAAGTGCCCCTATGATAGAGACAAAGGAAGTAACAGTGGTGTATATAAAGCATATAACATGTGAATACTCTCACAGCTCAAATTGTCACGTAAACCTGGATTTCCCCGCAAAACTCAACCACGCGATGAGTAAGACCCCAAGCTCAGTCTGTGGGTCTCAAGGGCTCGGCCTTTGTTTCTTCACTTCCTTATGCAAATCTCCTAAGCTATAGGGCCCAACGACATGGAGTCCCCGCTGGTCGCGTCCCAGCCGTCCGATACTGTCAAGCGCGTATCTCGAGCTTGTCTACATTGCCGCCAGCGCAAATCGCGATGTGACCTGTAAGTTTACCAACTATATCCCTTCCGGGATCGGCATCTGTATTGTCGCTGATCACCTCTAGTGACAGCAATGGTAATCCAGGGAAGCCGCCGTGTCAGCGTTGCGTCCGGGAACATCGTGAATGTGTGCTCGGCGGCTCAAATCGTGGCGGGCGACGAATCCGCAAGAACAAAATTAAGAACTTTACCCCGGCCATTAATCAATCGCCTACTAAAGATTCCGAGGCAACCCTTAGTCCTAGTGGCTCTGAGGCTCGTCGTGCGCCGTCTGCTTCTTATTCTGGGCCGGTGGTTTTTCTCCCGCCCAATCCATCCGCGGGAACAGCTCCTGTTGAGGATGATGCCACAATTGATTCAGTACCTAGAAACCCTTCTGATGCCTGGCAGTGCTTAACAGGTATTGCCACTCAAAGTACGGCGCCTCCAGAGCAGGTTCATGTGCGGCAAAAGTCGGGCAGCTTTTCAGCGCACAGTGGTCTGCGCAATAGTATCGTGTCGGATTTCAACGCCCCGAGTACAGGGATTCGAGCCTATCGGCTCGTCCAATCTCGGGCTTTAGATCCAACGACAGTATGGCAGCTGGTTACTCGTTACGCAGACAACTTCCATCCATATCTCCCATTGGTCCCCAGGAAGTACTTTGAACGTTCTGCGCTGGACGAATTTGCCGCAAATGAGAAATACCTTCTGACGGCCATTGTCACCATTGCCTCGAAAGATCTGCTCGAACGACCTGAGATCCACGAGTGCTGCTCAAAATATATGCTGGAGCTGATCTCCGGAATATCAGCCGGCGCTGACTGTGATGTGGATGCTATTGAAGCTCTTCTTTTGCTGGCCGAGTGGGAGCCCCATGGACTTCGGTCTCGCATTGAGCGTGTCGGTCGTGGAGAGGAGGACCGTGCTGCGTGGATGCATGTTGGACTGGCCCTGCGCTCGGGCTATTTTATTGGGCTGGATCGCACCTCTTTTCGAGGAGATCCATGCGGCGATCAGGTGACGGAGGCCCGTCGTCGTTTAGCATGGGCTAGTTGCTATGTTTCGGATCGTTTAATATCGGTGCGCATTGGACGTGCCTTTTGGTCTCGGGGTCCGGGTCCGATGACCGGTCTTGTCAGTCAGGATTTCCCCTCGCTGCAGCCTGCAAAGGAAGGAGACGAGGATTATTCGAAAATATTCCAGGCTATATTGGATCTTACACAGCTCTATGGAAATGTCCATGAAGTCTTATATTCTGGGATGCGTACGAGCAACCAGATGATGTTGATGGGAGATTATGTGAAATATGTGGATGATTTTCGTCTTGCCATTCTAAGGTGGAAATCTCTTTGGGGGCCTTTAGATTGTGAGTTTCCCTTCTGTTATATCACTCATGATTCTCACATATACAGGTTCACCGGCCATGCGGGCCACACTGCAACTCTCATATGAGTATCTACGACTTTATACGACTGCATTTGCATTCCAAGCTGCGATCTCACAGTCTTTGGCTTCAACAAAGACCGATGCAATTTCCCATCGAGATCAGCTACGATCTACCTTTAAGAACGTTGCCTCGATGCAGGACTCGCGTTTCATCTACGAGTCCGTTGACGCGGCCAAGGCTTATTTAACTATTCTTGTGGATTCAGTAGATCCAGAAAGACACTTGCATTTTATGCCTCTTCGCTTTTATCTGTGAGATGCCTGATTCTTGAGATGGAGCCTTGCTAATGATCTAGGTATGGAATATATTCTGCAGTTTTCCTTTACAAGGCTCGCTCCTTTGGAATGATGCTTCCATCCGAAGAAGCGAAAGTCCAGGGTCTAGTCGCGAGAACTACCGAAGTCCTCAAGCAAGCAAGTGCTGGCCCTGATGACATTGGATCGCGCTACTCCCGTCTCCTTGAACTTCTATGGAAAGCCAAGCCATCCACTATGGTAGCTGAGACACCACAAAGCGCCGAGTTTGCAATGCAAACATTGTCGAACCCAGTCGCAGACTCCTCCTACATGGATTTCAGCCCTGCGAACGATTTCTCCTGGCTGGATCTTGAGGCTGTGGGCGACTATGTTTCGGGTGATCAAATATCCGGTGGCCTTTTGGGGCTGGATACTTTTCAGAACCCTGATCCGTATCAGTCTGGACAAGATCGACCGCAGACCTGGCAGCCATCCACTTGGCTAGATATGAATAGTAATCTCCTGTTCTAATTTGTGGTCAAAGGCCGCGATACCGCGGATACGGCAATTGATGCGGGGCTGCGGAGCTCCTCTCGGAGATTCCCCCGACTCCGCTGAGGGGTAACCGAGTCCATCTGTACCACTACCCTGGTTGCTGTCTATATTGATCAGACAGTCACCATTCTAACTTCAATTCACTGTGCACTCTCATTCACCATGTCGTCGCTCAATGAAATCCGGGGCCGATTGGCCCTCATCACCGGCGCATCGGGAGGGTAAGTCTAGCCGATTGACTAGATCCCCAAGCAAATATTAACAGATTATTCAGGATTGGAGCAGCTTGCGCAGAACAGTTGGCTGCACGTGGAGTCCACCTCGCGCTCACCTACGCGACAAACTTGGACGCGATGAATAAGATCGTCGCTGATATACAGTCCAAGTATGCCGAGAATAAACTGCGAATTTCAATTCACCAGGTCGATGTCGGCTCCGCTGATCAGATCGAGGCGATGTTTCAACAAATCGATGGGGAGCATGGTCAACGGCCTGATATCTTGATCTCGAATGCGGGGTATGGAAAGCGGTTCCCCAACGTGTGGGATATTACGCTGGAGGAGTTTGATTACACGCTGAATATCAACCTGCGTGCATCTTTCATTCTTGTCAAGGGTGTCGTTGAGCATATGAAGAGTCAACGATGGGGTCGAATTGTGTTTATGTCTTCGATCGCTGCGTCTGGGGGTGGAATTAATGGATGTCGTGAGTCCCTGCGGCAGCCCTGGAGTATTCGGATTTCCTAACGTTCTCAGATTACGCTGCGTCCAAGGGTGGTCTTACTGGTATGATGAAGAACCTCTCTACTCGTCTTGCCGAACACAATATCAGTGTCAACGATGTCGCTCCCGCTATGATTGGCGAAACGGGCATGATTCCCAATGCTGCAGCGATCCCCGAGGTGGCTGCTGGAATTCCAATAGGTCGTCTGGGTACTGTGGAGGAGACGGCTAATGTTGTTACGATGCTCGTGACCACAGGGTACATGACAGGTCAGAGTCTTCTACTGGCCGGGGGATTGAAATAAGCATAGGTGTATAAAACGAATGAATGAAACATGATATCCAATTCAAACTTATACTTATAGTCATTGTCATTTTGATACATCTACTTTCAACGGGTATTTTCTGTCATCATCTCATCACGAACAACCAATACAATGCAATTACAGACTAGCCTTGGCAGCTTCACTCGGCCCCTCAATAATCACCTTAACAACAGGGTTTCCAGACTCATCAACTCCCTTTCCAGCAAGCGCAAATGCCCTAGCGCCATCCTCAAGCTTAACCCGGTGTGTCACAACCTTCTCCTCAGTCGTCTGCATTTTGCCACTCGCCAGCAGCGCAATGGCAGCGGGGTACGCATGTCCATCGTACCGGAAGGTACCGATGATATCAACTTCACGTAAAGCGGCCGCTCCGACAGGAAGGGTTTGAATAGGGTTACCCATACCAATTTGGACCAGGATACCACCAGGCTGGGATGCGTAGATACCCGCCTGCACACAAGAGGGCACACCAGTGCAATCATAGACGCGAGTGAAGCCAGACACAGTAAGTCCGCCCTCAGTACCAGCCGCAGCAGTAAGAGTAGCAGCGACACTTTGCGCATTGCCGAATGCCCAGGCAGTTTGCTCAGCGTGTGGGGCATCCTTAGGAGGAGGTGGGTTCGCAGGGTCACCACGAGGAATAAGGGATGTCTTCAGACCGAGACCGAGGGATGCAGCGATCTCAAGACGTGAAGCATCAATATCCGCCACAACGATCGAAGTGAAGTTCTCGCTTGCAGCGAGGGCAGAGGCGAGGAGGAGGCCAATTGCACCAGCGCCGAAAACGAGAGCAGCGGTAGCTTCGCCTGTGGAGCGGGCGATCTCGACTTGTTCTTTTGTCGGGGGACGTGAGCGACGAATAGCATGTAAGCAGACGGCGAGTGGTTCGACGAGAGCACCACCTGCGTCAGTGACGTTGTCAGGAAGAGCATGGCACATGTCAGCGGGGTGGTTTGTGCGCTCCATAAGTGTACCGTCGAGGTGGGGGAAGACCTTTGCGGAGCTGCGGAACTGCATTGCGGGACAGATGTTGTAGCGGCCTTGTAGGCAGAGGGCGCATTTGCGGCAGGGGAGGCCGACTTCCATGGCGACGCGATCACCTACTTTGTGGGTGGTGACGTTGGGACCGATGGCTGTGATTGTGCCGGCGGATTCGTGGCCGAGACACATTGGCTCGCGGACGACGAAGTCGCCATTGCGGCCGTGGGAGTAGTAGTGTAGATCTGAGCCGCAGAGCCCAGTTGCTTGAACGGCGACTTGGACATCGCTACCTGAGGGAGCCGAGACAGCGCGTTTTTCCTGGATTGTGTTAGTCTTAAATCTGAGTTATAGAGCTGTGGACAGTAGAGAGTAGAGTAGAGCTTACCACTCGGAGGTCCTTTGCGCCGTGGAGGACGAGTACAGTTGCAGATGTTTCTGCCATGGTTTAGTGAAGAATGCAGTATAAGCAAGAGATGAAGAACCAAGTAAAAAATGAACTAAATGGAGGATCTTTGTCTCTGACGGCATCTGAATTCCCCTCATTTCCCCCCACTTGGCGCGTGGGGGAGTTAATTCACGGATTTACTCCGGTCGGTTATTGAGCTCAACATAGTAATTCTCAATAGCCGATTGCCGGAGTAAATGCGATTAATTGATCCATATTTACGATGATTCTATCATGCGAAACAGAGATTGAGAGCATAGAAAGTATTCAGTCGATTAAAAATATAGATTATTTTGTTGTAGATAAGTACATGTATATTTTTCAGGCTATCGAGTCTTTCTATGATACAATAGGTAGGAATGCTTCATGTTCAATTGCCGGATTACAACTTCCACAACTTTCTCCACTGAACACGGCGGTCGTGGGGGTCGGTAAGCTCCAGGTTATACCGAAGCTCCGTCCAAGGTTTCTTTTTTCTTTTCTTTCTCACTCCTTTCTACTCCAATTACAACAGACAAATGTAAGTATACCACCTCAAAGTCGACTAACATGCATGAGGCTCATCGCGCATAGATAATTCAACATGCCTTCCCAAGCAGCTCTCCTCATCGGAGCTATCACGCACTCGCGCAAGGAGTGGGAGAGTCTCTCCTCAATCCTGAACCTCAAGGTTGGTCGCATGTTGCATTGCATCGCATCGAAATCCGCTAATCGGCGTAGGAATTCCCTAGTGGTACCCGAGAGGAGTTCATCAAGAACTGCAAGGCAGGACACTATGACGATGTGGTCGCGATCTACCGATCTAACACCTCTAATAAGGTGCGCATACTAGCGAACAGTTACGAATGAAGCTAATTGATCAGTACACCGGAAACTTCGATGCCGAGCTGCTCGCCGTGTTGCCCCAGTCCGTCAAGTATATTTGCCACAATGGTGCCGGGTATGACAATCTCGATGTGGCAACCTGTTCGCAGAAGAATATTGCCGTCTCAAGCACCCCCGTTGCAGTAAACAATGCCACTGCCGACGTGGGCATCTTCCTCATGATTGGTGCGCTTCGCCAGGCTTATGTCCCGCAGGCTGCTCTTCGCGCTGGCACTTGGCAAGGACAGGCAACTCTGGGCAATGACCCCCGGGGCAAGGTCTTGGGAATCTTGGGCATGGGTGGAATTGGACGGGAAATGGCTGTGAGGGCCAAGGCATTTGGCATGAAGATCCAATACCACAACCGCTCCCAGCTCCCAGCGGAATTGGAGGGTGGAGCCACATATGTTTCGTTCGATGAACTTCTGGCCAATGCCGATGTTCTCAGCTTGAACCTGGCACTGAACGCGTCGACACGGCATATTATTAGCGCAAAGGAGTTTGGAAAAATGAAGGATGGAGTCGTGATTGTCAACACGGCACGTGGAGCTTTGATCGATGAGAAGGCGCTGGTCGCAGCGATCGAGTCTGGCAAGGTATGGTCTACATTACCAACTTCGGAATTTCGCTAACAGTTATAGATTCGCTCTGCTGGTCTGGACGTGTATGAGAACGAACCCGCGATCGAGCCTGGTCTGGTGAACAACACGCGGGTCATGCTGCTGCCGCATATTGGTACCATGACCTATGAGACACAGAAGGAGATGGAGATCCTGGTATTAGATAATTTGCGGTCTGCTGTAGAGAAGGGAGAGTTAATTACACAGGTACCAGAGCAGAAGCGGTAGAAGAGAAAGTTAGATTGATTAAGACAGAAATAGAAATAATTGTCGACAAGTAGACTTGAACTTCCAACATTGACTAGTTACTAGTCTTCCGCTGTAAATATTGATGACTTATCAAAAGCGATAACGATAAGGTTAGTTACTCACCTTACTAAAATGGGACTAGACCCGTGACTCAGCACGGATGGCAGTGCTTACCTAATGATATACCCAAAGCGGCTAGCGTTAGGGCAGGCTCGCTTAGGGCCCAGCAAAAACCACACGGTAGCGTTTTGATTGAAGGCAGACGGAAAGCGCCATCAGCATCCCGAAGGCCTTCGACACCTCCACGCCAAATCCTTCAAGATGGTGAGTTTCGCAGCCCCATCCTCGATCTATCGCTTGATCTATTCCGAACGACTTCGCAAAGACCATCATGACCCTTTTTTCGAGCGCATGGATGAATGCACCGCGTCCGGGTGCATCTCGAAAAAATCACCACCACCCAAAACCACCATGATTACTGACGACTTCTGTTCCCTCCACAGGTCCGTTACGCCGCACAGGAGATCGAAAACGCGAAGAGCGCCCGCGCTCGGGGCTCTTACCTCCGTGTTAGCTTCAAGAACACCCGCGAGACCGCCCAGGCCGTCAACGGTATGAAGCTGCAGAAGGCTCTGACCTACCTCGACAAGTAATTATCGCCAAGGCCAATTACAACATTTCCTTAATACTGACTCTTTTAAAGCGTCCAGAAGCACACCATGGCCATTCCCATGCGCCGTTACAACGGCTCTACTGGTCGCACCGGTCAAGGTTAGTGATATACTCTTCTACCTGGATGGAATTTTTGGAGGCAACGGTGTCACGAAGTGTTTCGCGGGGGCATATGGAACGATGAGTTCCCCATTATACGACTGTGGTTTCACAATTTCGCAACGGGATGGGTCATTTTTTACGACAGAATTTTGTGATTTTGGGACACCGTTGCCGCTCCAAAAAAAAGACTCCACATGTGGACTCGCATTCTCGAACTCGGCTAACAGGTTTCATCCCATGTGTAGCGAAGGCTCATGGTAAGTTTTAATCCGACGAAATTGCTGTTCTCATTGTCTAACATTTTTGGAGGCACCGACCGTGCCCGCTGGCCTGTGAAGTCAGCTCAGTTCATCACTGATCTGCTCAAGAACGCCGAGGCCAACGCCGATACCAAGGGTCTCGACACCAGCAACCTGGTTATCTCCCGCATCCAGGTCAACCAGGCTCCCAAGGGCCGCCGCCGTACTTACCGTGCCCACGGTCGTGTATGTTCACTTCTACATTCAAACTCTAGCCTCGACTGACATAAGTTAGATCAACCCCTACATGACCAACCCCTGCCACATCGAGTTGATCCTCACCGAGGCCAACGAGGCTGTCAAGAAGGCCCCCAAGGAGGACAAGGTTCGCCTGTCTTCCCGCCAGCGTGGCTCCCAGATCCGCCAGGCTCTCATTGAGGCATAAACGGATCGCGTGGAAAGGGATGTTGAACGGTGATTGAAAGAAAAAGGATCGCCGTGGACGGGCTGGCCGGAGTTATGCGCTTCTCTATGGTGGAGGATACCGAATCATATGAGGTTTTTCAGGTCATGGTACCAACACGGACAAATAAAAAGTTTAAAGCGCGGCTCTGGACACATAGTATTCTGTACTGCCCGATCTGATCATGATACCAACGTGGTTCCTACTCTGTGCAATGATATGGATTTGTACTTGTGTACTAGTGATTGTTAAATAAAATCACTATTAATGGGCTCAACGTACGGAGTAGGGAGTATAGATAAAAGATCGGCAAGTGAGAGTGCGGGGATTTTCTTGTAGAGCGCCATGTACCTAGTAGGTACTTTTGATCTTGACCCTCACAACCATGTCTAGCTTATCTCAGTACCGTCTTCTCTGTTTCGATGTCTATGGCACGCTCATTGATTGGGAGGAGGGGATCATCACGGCGCTCCAGCCGATCCTCAAAACCAGCAAGACCGAGTTCACTCGCAAGCACCTATTGACCATCTACCACGAGCTGGAAAGCGAACAGCAACGTCTTACCCCAGACAAACCATACTTCCAACTGCTGGCTACTATCCACCCTCTTCTAGCCCAAAGACTAAGCCTCCCTACCCCAAGCGAAGAAGACAGCATCCAGTTTGGGAAGTCGGTTGGTAGTTGGCCAGCATTCCCTGATACTATCGACGCCCTATACCGCCTCCAGAAGTACTACAAACTGGTCATCCTCTCCAATGTTGACAGGGCATCCTTCGCCCAATCCAACGCTGGCAGTCTGCAAGCATTCCCCTTCGATCTCATCATTACAGCCGAGCATGTGGGCTCCTACAAGCCCGACGCGCGGAACTTTGCGTATATGATGAAAGCAGTGCAATCAGACTTTGGCGTTGAGCCGGAACAGATCTTGGTGACTGCACAGAGTCAGTATCATGATCATCAGCCCGCATCTCGAGCGGGGATCCGGTCTGTGTGGATCGAGAGACCTGGCGCCATTATGGGAAATTCAGAGGACGCTCCTATTTTTGATTGGCGCTTTGATACGTTGGGTGAAATGGCACACGCCTTGCAGAATGAACGAACTCAGTAAAGTGTTGCTGCCTGGTCATGATGTGTTCGTAAAGTATGGGCGCAGCCACGGGATGCATCCACATTGCCGGGGAGTGGGAGGGCTTGGCGATGCCAATCTTGCTGCCTCGACACGTACATCATTACGCATTTAAAGAAAGTATGAACTGGTGTATTGAATTATTGAATTACTCTCTCTGGATCAGTATACGGTACATAGGGAAATGGGTAGGAGAATTGGTAGATCGGAATAGATGAGTAGCTACTAGTCACCGGGTAAAAATAAAAGCGAAAAGACCGCTGAGAGCCTCAAACAAAGGGACCGGAGTAAAACACTTCCATGGATGGCATATTTGGGCGAGGATTATAGTTTTACCAAAGAAATTAACGGATTCCATGCAGACATTGATGTTCATTTGCCACAGAAAATACCCTGTAACGTTTGAGCTGGAGAGGCTATATATAGTTAGGCTCGGATCTCGATGACTGGACCCTACTGATTTCGCCCCCAACTCACTTTCTTACTTTTCCCCCTCTCCACCACAACTTAGCCCACAATGAATCGCCTCTTCGACAAATTGAGTCGACGAGATAGCCCCAACAGCTCCGCTGCTCCGGCTTCTCCGAGTGACAATGAGACTACCCATGACGAGGGTTCTCCCGAAGCACTGATTCAAACCGAATTGGTGCGCTTTTGCGAGAAGGAATCGGTATGTACCTTCCGGCTTTATGCAGACACTTGGCTGACTCTTCTCTCACAAGGGAAATGATGAATTCGTTCATCTTCCTCGTATTGTCGAACTTGCCGAGTCTAGCCCCGCCGCCGCCAAGGAAGCTGCTTATCGCATAAGGAAGTTTTTGAAGACGCCAACCAGAATTCCGAACAACGTACAATACCAGGCGATTATGGTTATGCGCATCCTCACGGATAACCCAGGCGCAACTTTTACCCGGAACTTCGATACGAAATTCGTCAAAACGATTGAAGAGCTGCTCCGGTATGGAAGAGACTACCATGTGCAGAGCTATCTCCGCAGCTACCTGAAAGGTCTCGAAAGCACCCATCACGACGATCCATATCTCCAAGGTCTCCTGCAGATGTGGGCGAAGGAACAAACCTCCAAGGGCTCCCGGTCCTTTGTAAGTACGTGATTCCAGTTTAGGGTGGTCACACGCATGCTCACCACGTCCCCACAGATGGATCACTTCCGTCAGCCGAACCAACCGAATCCGGGGTTTAACGCTCAAATGGCCCCGCCACCACCGCCGCGTCTAACAGATCCAGTTACTGCGTGTCCCGACGCAGGCGAACTGGCTGCGCGGGTGGCAGAGGCACGCAACTCCGCAAAGTTGCTCACGCAATTCGTACAGATGACACCACCCGCAGAAATCAACGAGAACGAACTCATCAAAGAGTTTACCGATCGCTGCCGAACATCCTCGCGACTCATTCAGTCTTACATTCACGCGAACAACCCCGCCCCAGACGAAGACACCCTTCTTACACTGATTGAGTGTAATGATGAGGTCTCCGTTGCTCTTTCGAATCAACAGCGCGCTATGCTGAGAGCCCGCAAGGCCCAGGGCTCGGCGAGTCCAAGCGGCAATGATTCTGTTTCCCCAGTCATGGCTTCTGGTGCTCGCCAGGTACCTGAAAGCAACCCATCGCAGGAGGCAAGAACAGGCGCATTGATTGACTTGGATAACCCGGTGACGGATAGCCGTATCAATCCTGTTCGAGACACCCAGGATTATGAATACCGGGCAGAGGACTTTCAAGTCGATAATCCATTTGCGGATAACAATATTGCAAATGACTCAAATGTGGAGCGGAATCCGCACAGCGTTGATTCGCGTACGGTACATTTCCAATCTTCGGAGCATGCATGATTGCGACCTGCGATGATTTGTAGTTGAAGATACCCTCGACCCAAGCGTTCTTTGATCTTGATCTTGCAATTCTGAATGCGTTGTTATCTGTTATCTGCATTGTTTTCAAGATACCTTTTTACTATGCAAGTCAATATTAATGGCTTAAGACAAACTTTTCATTTGTAGAATGCTATCAAATCTACCTCCCACTCTATTACTTGGTACACTGCAAACTTTTTGTAGGCGTTCGAAACCCCGAGCTCTCGACTTTTCCTCCCCCTCTTCTCATTCCACTTCTCTTCTCTTGGAGTTTTACCCAAGGAATGATAACATCACTATGGTACCCTGGTCATGGCTGTAAAATTTTTTATTTACATCTTTACCACTCACTCAGATACTTCTAATATTTACAGACCTAGATCCCAGTTATCTCCAAACTCCAATAGGAACGGAGGCAGCGCCGTCAATTCCGGGTCAAATGTCCAAATATCAGCGGGTGCCATTTCCACACGATTCCCCGGCCAAGGTGCTCCATCCGTGAGTGCACCCTGTGTAGTGCTCGAATCAGGAAGGATCCCTGTCTGCAAGGAACTTTCGTCAATGCCCATATGAAATAATGGCCGAGGCGGTTGTGCTGGGACGGAATCAGGACATTGTTTGTCTGAGGAATCACCGTGAATACCGCAGTCGAGGAAAATAGTACCGAAATACGGAATGTCGACTTTGATGCGGTTGGACTGGTCATCCTCAGTCGAGGGCCCTGCGGAGATGGCAGATTGTGAGGGAATCTCGCCCTTTGCAACATTCTTCAATGTGCGTAGCACACTAAGCCCTCAAGTTGCCACCTTGTCTGGTGGTTGTCCTTTTGCCAATTTCTCCAGAGTTTCCATGACGCTTTCAACAGCGCGCCAATCATTTAGACTGGACTGGGGCCGACCACCTGGTCCTATTATATTGATCATAAGAGTGACAGCGGCAGTAAAAGCCTGGAAATCAAGCGATTTGCAGCAGAAACTTTCGGCAGTCAGCTGGCGCATGGAAATGTAGCATGTAATCATGTGCCGGGATGCCTCGAGGCAACTTTGCCTGTTGTAGTTGTACCGTCTATGGGCTCCAGACTCGAGAAGAAGTGGCAGATGTAGCCATGCTAGAAGTTGATAATACCATAGCCTCGCCATGAATTTATTATACGCCCAAGCTCGTTGTATAGACTTTCCTGAGGTAGGAATCCCGGTTTCTTCAGCTATTTCTGGAGGATCGACCGACATTAGCTCTGAATCGATGGTCTGTGTCATTCTCACCATTAGGGGAGTGACTATGGTAAACTTTTGATTTCGGATTATCGATCCAGCAATGCGACAAAGGAGAACCATAGAGTAAGAAGGTGTTTCGCTAGGCACGCGCTGCGAATCTAACGCTACATCGGTAATGCCATGATACATTCCTAGCATCAAGGAAAGATATCGATCTGCATATATTACGTGATTCCATATATGCCTTGCCCGCGATATAGATGCAGTATCATGCTCCCCCTTTAGGGCAAGACGATGAAGTCCGATGATTTGACCCACGTTTAGAGCACGTCGATAAGATAGCCAGGCACTTCGTAGTTTCCCATCGTTATTGTAGAATATTCCTTGGAGGACTAAGCATTCTAGTCCGTCAATGCCACTTACCAACGTCTCGTCACAACTAATCGAATGTGCAACAATGTTGACGCATTTTGCGATGAGTTCTGCTGGAGGGCAGGGAAGCTCCAATGAATCAACGACGAATCCCCGTGGGAGTTGCTGCAGACAGATTGCCACCCACAATAGAGCTTTGGCGATGACAACAGGGTGGTGGTTTGAGAAAGAAGCTCGTGAACACGGAAGAAGTGATTCTTCGTAGTCTTGAAAGCATTGGGCTCGGACCAGCCACCAGCAGCTATTGGCCTCTAGTCTTTTCAAAGTACTATATGACGGTAGGAGGGCTAAGAGCTCGTGACGAAGTTTCTCCCACTGGCGATTCATTGTGTCATATAGGGTGATACTTGGCGGAGAGGCGTGTGATCGTTGAAAGCCTAATTGTTTCAATGTTAGCGGTAAATTTTCCTATGCGAAATAGCATAAGTAATCCATACCACCCCGTTGTTGAAAAGTGATAAAACAGGGGCATTTTCATTAGCAGGTGTAATAGCTGTGCTGGAGCTCGGATTGCTGCTATCAACGGTCCCTGTTGGTGGTGACACTGGCGGCTCTCGTTTATCACCAAGAGTATCTAATCGCCGCAAGACTCTCTCTAGGAGGGATTCTACGCGACCTAGCCGATCATTGAGTGATGCACGGTCTGATTCGCGTAGATTTTCAGGTTCTGGGAAGTCTTGGCTGCGACAAACCGTTCCCCTGGCCAGACATTCGCGACAAGTGGAATCGCCATCGGAGACATAATGACAGCGAACCTTGCGATGTTTACCTAGATTGATTTCAGGTTAAAACCACTATATCGAATGATATAAAGTACTACTAGGTGAGTACATACATTCCCAACAGCTGCGGGTCCCTTTTCGGATTCTCTTGCGAGGCGGTTGTTGGTCCTCGGGTGGGTGCGGTGGTAAATGCGAATTGGCGAGCATAATTACACTCGTTGTGAAATGTGAGTCACTGACCTAACGTGTTGGAGGTGGGGGAGGATATGGGAGGTCAGGATAGATGTACAGGGGGCATACGGAGTACGTCGTACAACGAACAGCGTCTGGCCGATCACCTTGAGGGGGCTGGTTATTGAAGAGGGGAATCGATGGCAGCACGCCTGGCAACATGTATCAACCTCAGGCATCAATGTTTACAAGTCTGTCATCTATACCTAGCAGGGGGTAGTTTCATTCTGGAAGTTTTGCTGGAGTACTCGACAAATCCGAGTCTATACCGTGACGTGTACATGGGGCCATTTTTATCCTTCACCAAAGATTTCCCTCTCCATAACGCCTCGCTCACAGTCCCTAGTCCTTTCGTTTATACATTCATTCTTAGCGGAAGCAAACATCTCTCAATGCTGCGTTCTGTTTTGGAAAGAATCGGTAATGTGGCATAACACGCTCTGAGCCACTCAGAAAATTATTCAATAGTGTATTCCATGACTCTGAAATCCTTATCAGGAAATTGCAGGAAATTGCATAGAGGGCATAAAAGGCGACTACCAAATATTTGTATGGATCCCTATGGCCCGAGGCGTACTTATGAATCTAACATGCATAGGTAATTTTCGGAAGGTTCCAAGAAGGTTTGTGCATCTACTAGTAGATACAAATGTATAAGGGGTATCGCAACCAAGGGCACCTAAAAATTTGAGGCCGATCAGGCTGCTGATGCAACAGTAACCGCCCCCGAAAGCTTAGTCCATGGTATCCCCATGCAGACCACAGTGGCCAAACAAGATGCGACAACGGCCACCAAGAATGCTGCCTGAAGACCTTGCATATATGCGCCGAGGATAAAGCTCATTTGCTCTGAAGAGAAAGCTTTACGCAGCTCAGTTGCGCCTGTCATCGCAACTTTGGAGGCATCGACGGTTGAAGTCTCTCCACGGAGAACATTGAGCAAAACATTGACCATAGCTGACTGACCAGCGCTGACAAAAACCGACCCTCCGATTGTTTGCACAGCTATAGGCCATTAGTCATGCGAGCAAATTGATGAAGATATTGGAAAATGGGAGAACCTACTTAACACCATGGCCGTCACAGATGGCAAGTCTTCCGGCTTAACGGATGCTTGTGCAGTGACCACGGGAACTTGGAAGCACCATCCGATACCAATACCAGCTAGTAGCTGATATCCAATCCATTTGCCAGGTCCAGTATTGACCTCAAGGGTGTAAAGCAAACCTGAGCCGATCGCTGTGAGTGCCGCTCCGGCTCAGGTGCGAACTGTGAAGAACCTGCAGGATAGTTGGTCCGGTTCCAGTTCTAAAAGTTGGAACCTGGGACCCGTATGGTCCGACTCCAGGTTCCGGCCTGCGGAACTGGAACCGGACCATGTCGAGGTCTACCCTAGAGTTAGGGTAGCTAGATATGGTATAAAGTAGTAATCTTTGAAGTGGTTGTAAGGATTAAAAGGGCCAGGGTAAGAAGATAATGAAGCAGATCTAAAAGGAATATAAAATAGTACTAATTTGGTCCCTAGATATCAACAGTCCTACATACCAATGTATTAGGAACCAGGCGCCATGCTCCTCCAGTCTAACCTATAATATCAAGTAGCAGAAGTTCCCCACTACGATATATATTAGAGTCAACAGTCTAAACAAGAAGCCGAAGCCAGGTATTATAGAGACATTAGTTAGACTTTTTACCTACCGCCTAGTAGAGGTGCAATAATACTTGATATAGCTCGAATTGACTTAATTTTCGAGATTCAAACGAACGGTTCCGCTTTAAGTGACCAGAGACCCGTATAGAGACATATTAAAAATTCAGTTCGAAAACAGTCGTGTGAGACTATCTGAAGCAGCCAGACTTCACAGGGTGAGCTTTCCCCAATCCATTCACCTTATGATAACCACCTCATCATAACCAGCCCCACTTCGGGCCTAAGTAGAATAACCGGATGGTTTTATAGCGTTGACTAGATCAAACACAAAATAACCTGCTCGATAATTCCCCGATTCTTAAATCCAAGCAGTAGCGCAACTTTAGCTAAAGAGGTGGATAAAACGATTGGTTGTTACACAGTAGAGGACTGGCCTCGATTCTTGGCCTTCAAATGTAAGTCAAGACACCTGTAGGCATGAGTAAACGATTCTTGTATGGTGAGCTTTGGTGATACGGTGAGGTAATAAATCCTTATGAAGAAAAGAAGTCAGAGATCTGGTTGTAGACTGGCAAGGGATCATGTACCATCACTGTGTATTTCTTTTGGGTAAGGTCACAAATTCCTGCATTAAATTACACCAAACTTCTGGATTCCAGTATTTGTATCCTTAAGCAATGGTACCGAAATTTTGATACAGCTTACACTTATTATTGCTGGGACAAAACAAAGAAAAAAAAAAGGATATTCAACATGTGGTTTAGTGGCCGGGCTGACAGTGTGGCCGACTCGCTTGTGAAATACGTTAGATGTGGTTAGCCTGCTGATTACGGCGCGTCTTCCCGTCGGCGTCAGGATTTTTGGCTGATCTTGCAGCAATAATGCAGCTGACCCAGCAGCTTAGCGCACGTCAGACCCACCGTCATTAACGATGAATCTCTAATCACGCAATACAGTTGTTTTTTTTTTTTTTTTGGCCCAGTCTGCTGCAAACTACCTCGACATGAACGGGTCAGATAGTGTTTACGGCCAACCACGATGGAGACCCCAGCCCCGGGCTTATCGCGAAGAGCTTGGGCCAGGCTGTGATGGTAAAATTACAACAGCGCTAGATCAGAAGGCCCAAAGATATGTATAAGAGGATACTTGTGGGAGATGTCCAGCCCAGGTACAAGCAACTCAAAATTATAACACTAGGAACAGCAAGATGGTCATCAATCATGCAGGTGGCGAGAACTATACCGTCCCAGGACCGCGAAAAGAGGAGCCAAATGCCTCCAAAAGCCCATACCGACAGGATCCGATCGCGATAGTTGGGCTAGCAAATCGCTTGCCGGGCCATAGCACAAATCCAAGCAAGCTCTGGGAGTTCCTCGAGCGTGGAGGCGTCGCGGGAAATGACCCTCCCGCTTCACGATGGAGCCTCCAAGGCCATTATGACGGGTCGGGGAAGCCCCATACCGTCCGAACGCCGGGCGCCATGTTCGTCGAAGACATTGATCCTGCCGACTTTGACTCGGGTTTCTTCAACATATCGAGTGCTGATGCCATCTCTATTTGACCCCAGCAGCGGCAGCTACTCGAGGTGGTCTATGAGGCGATGGAGAACGCTGGATTGTCGTTGGAATCCCTCAACGGAGCCCCCTATGCCTGCTTCGTGGGATCGTATGCAGTTGATTATCAAGATATGCAAATGCGTGATCCTGAGGACCGAGTCGATGGGATGACGATCGGAGTGGGCCGCGCGATTTTGAGTAACCGCATCAGCCACTTCCTGAACCTCAGGGGAGCTAGTATGACCATCGATACCGCATGCTCGGGCAGTCTAGTCAGCGTTGATGTTGCCTGCCGATACATTCAAACTGGCCAGGTCGAAGGCGCAATTGTGGCTGGAGCGAACCTATACCTCAGCCCCGACCAAAATCAGGACATGGGAGCTATGCGTGCCGCCTCATCAGCAAGCGGCCGCTGTCATACTTTTGACGCAAAGGCAGATGGCTATTGTAAAGGTGAGGCAATCAACGCCATCATTCTTTAAAGACTCGACGCAGCCCTGCGGGACGGGGATCCGGTTCGCGCAATCATCCGCGGAACTGCCACAAATAGTGACGGATGGACACCAGGCATTGCCAGTCCAAACGGGGAGGCTCAAGTCGCCGCCATGCGTGCCGCATTTGCTGCCGCGAGCATCACTGATATGAATGAGGTGGGGTATTAGGAAGCACACGGAACAGGTACCCTAGCAGGTAAGTCTTGCCAGCCCGCCATTTTCAATTCTGAGGCCTGATGCTGATACATATCCAGGTGACCCAATCGAGGTCGCGGCTGCCGCTTCAGTCTTCGCAGCCACCCGGCCCGCGGACCAACCTCTGATAATTGGATCAATCAAGAGTAACATTGGACATTCAGAGCCTGCCGCTGGAGTATCCGGATTGATCAAAGCTGTGCTGGCGGTAGAGAAGGGTGTCATCCCGGGAAATCCAACATTCCTCGAACCAAACCCAAAGATTGATTTTGAGGGTCTCAAAGTCAAAGCCTCCCGTGTGGCTTTGCCCTGGCCCAAGAACTTTGCCTCTCGCATTGCTTCCGTGAATTCCTTCGGATATGGCGGCTCTAATGCCCATGTTGTGATTCAGGATGCTGGTTCCTTCTTGGGTCACAAACAGGTTCCGCACGCGTTCTCCTTCGCTAAAGTTGACTCCTTCTTTGATGACGACGTGGATACGCCAAACACACGACCCCAGTTACTCACATCTTCCGCGAATGATGACATTTCGTTGAAGAAGTATGTTGCGGACCTTCAGCGGCATCTCCTTAATCCCCGAGTCAAAGTCCAGCTATCAGACCTGGCCCATACCTTGGCCCAGCGAAGTAGTCTCTTCACCCGCGGCTTTCTGCTCACTGAGCGGCCCTAGCTGGATGATACCTCTCTTGTAACTGGCAAAAGAAGGCCCGAGAGGCCTCGTGTTGGCTTTGTGTTCACGGGTTAAGGTGCCCAGTGGCCTCAAATGGGCAAAGGTGTGGTGCAGCTATTCCCGCAAGCTAAGCACATTCTCCAGGGCTTGGATTCCGCGCTACAGAGTTTGCTCTAGGCACCGACCTGGTCATTGCTAGAAGAGCTGGTGGAACCCAGAAGTCCAGAGCATTTACGTTAGCCTGAATTCTCTCAGCCACTTGTGACCGCACTACAGCTGGTCATGATTGATCTTCTTAGATGTTGGGGAATTCAACCCGAAAGTGTGGTCGGCCATTCCTCCGGAGAGATTGCCGCGGCTTACGCCGCAGGTCTTTTAACACCCGAAGATGCGATAAAGATTGCTTTCTTCCGTGGCCAGGCCGCCAAAGAATTGGCTGGAACCCCAACAAATGAAACCGGCGTCGGAATGATGGCTGTTGGCCTAGGCGCAGAAGATGCGATGAGATACATCGGGCCCAATTCTGAAACTGTGCAAATTGCCTGCTTTAACAGCAGCTCCAGCGTGACGCTCTCTGGAAAGATTCAGCATCTGAATGATGTCAAAGACCGGCTCCAACAAGATAGCCATTTCGCCCGTTTGCTACAGGTCAATTTGGCCTATCACTCTAAGTATATGGTTGAGATTGGTGATCGGTACATCTCTTTGCTGCAGGCCCATTGCGGGAAACCTCCGACCGGCCAATCCGCAGTGAAAATGTTCTCTTCCGTCCTTGGCTCGCCCATGTTGAGAGAGGCTGATCCAGAGTACTGGAAGACCAACATGGTCTCTCCGGTGCGATTCAATGAAGCGTGTAGCTCCATGCTGTCGTCTGGGTCAGCAGACTTCTTGATTGAACTAGGTCCCAGCGGTGCTTTAGCGGGCCCCATTGCCCAGATCAAGAAGTCACTATCAGGTAACGCCAGCAATACCACCTACATTACAGCGGCAAAGCGTAGCCCAACCTCGGCTCTATCTTTATTTAACGTAGCTAGCCGATTATTTATTGCCGGCGGCCGGTTAGACCTCAGCGCAGTCAACAAAAATCCGTCTGACGCTCAGCATCCGGCTCTAATCGTTAATTTGCCAAACTACGCGTGGAACCACCGCACCAAGTACTAGTATGAGTCTGATACCTCAAAAGAATAGCGATATCGCCCATTCCCCCACCATGATTTACTCGGCAGTAAAATCCTCAACTCTCCGTAGAGTGCGCCCACTTTCCGGAAGACACTCGACCTTCGTAATCTTCCATAGCTTCTGGACCACAAGATAGGCACCGACATCGTCTTCCCTACGGCAGGATTCTGTGCCATGGCTATCGAGGCAATCTATCAATGCACTCAGATGACTCTGCCAGTTGAGGGGGTAACTCGGGCAGGCCAAATACGCTACCGACTCCGAAATATTAGGTTTGACAAGGCGCTTATCCTCGAGGAGGGCGTGCCAGCGAAACTCACTATCACACTCTCCCCCCATCCTAGAACCAAGAATTCTTAGTACGACTTTCGGGTTACTTCATCTCATAATGGCAATCGCATAGAACACAGTCACGGTCTTATTCGCACCGAATCACACCCAACTAAGATAGGGTCCCCTTCGGCAATTCAGCCCCTCCAGCATCCTACCAAGGCCTCTATTTAGTACAAAACCCAAGAAGATGCGGGATACGGCTTTAGCCCATACTTCCAAACCCACCAAGAGATTAAGTCAGTTGCTGGTCAGCGCCAGAGTCGGTCCCATAAATACTTTCATTGGGTATATAGACCAGCCTACCATTCATAAATTGGTGATTATAAGACTTATTTCCATACTTAAAGTTAAGCTTTATGCACTGATGACTATGGAAGAACCCTTTTTGCGGATAACTATATTGCAAATGACTCAAACGTGGACATGAATCCGCACAGCGTTGATTCGCGTACGGTAGATTCTAATCTTTGGAGCATGAGTGCTAGCTACGATGATTTGTAGTCAAGGATACCCTCGACCTAAGCGTTATTTGATCTTGATATTGTAAATCTAATATCAGTATTAATTCTAAGATACCATTTTTATTATAGCTGAAGTCAATATCAGAATTCAAGATAAATACTCTATCTATAGATAGAGTACTATTGTATCTACTTACCACTCCATTACTTAGGTATACATGAGACTTTTCATAGAATTTCGAATCAGCTCCTAACTCTTCTTCCCCCTCCTTATTTCACTTCTCTTTTCTTTCTTTTCTTTGCCCCTAATTATGAATTTAGAGAGCCCTTAAACTATCTAAATATTCCAGTAGTAAAGGAGGTAGAATACTAAGTGGGATTCTGAGGAGGAGACTGGGTAGGAGACTGGGTAGGAGACTGGGTAGGAGACTGGGTAGGAGACTGGGTAGGATACTAAGAAGGAGATTGAGTAGGAGATATATCAGGATATGATATAATTACCTAGAAAGGCACAGTACCATATAAAAAGCGTGGTGGAAAGCTTCTAGTAGTCATTTCTATCCTTGATTGGGATGGTTCTTAAGTTAGAGAGAGGACCCATGATTGCGTATCCAAAGTAGGATTATGTAAATTCTGAAACCATATGAGGATGTTTCATGAAGGCTCGATGAGGCTGCGATGAAGCTGCTTGGAAGCAGCCCTTACTACCCATTGTCAACCTGAATGGGAGTCTCACGCCTGAAGCTGAGTCTTTCACGATCACGATCACCACCATTCCACCACCATTGTTATTAATACTACCAATATCACTACAACTACTATGATCTTTACTATCCATAATCAATAACACTACCATTATCTTTACCACCTCCACTACTTTACCATTCATCATCACTACCACTACTATGTCCCTTACTACCCCCCACCTTTCCAAGCCCGACGTGGAGAAGAGAACAGCCGATGACGAGCTGGAGGCTTCTATTCCAAAAATTCTTCACAAAATCGCACAAGCAATTGATGCTACTATGCACACCCTTGGCAGCATGGAGTCCCGATGAAACACAAAACTAGGGAGGCCCTTTGGATCTCTATCAGAATCCTGTAAGAGTGTGCGAAAGAGGACCACGATATGAAATGCATGTGCTACATGTACCACCGAATCCTCACGCACTTCTCTGCTGATGATTTGTTTTACGCAATGTTAGCTGGATTCGGCAAAGAAGCAATTGCTTCTTTTGAATTGGATGAGAAGGGGGGGAAGCCTTCCAAAATCTTCGACCAGCTGATCTAATCACCCAGTCAGGCGTGTACGTGCATGCAGTCATCAAATCTGGCCAATTGGTGGCCGGATATGTGGGTTTCTCAATCAATAGAACGTGGCCAAGTCCACACCAGAGAGGTAAGACACCCAAAGGCTGGACAAACATACTACTACCGCAGGCTTGTGGACATCAACAGCCTCGAGAAAAGACGCGTGATTGCAGCATTCTGCCCAAGCTTGGATGCTAGGCTCGGATACATGCTGGAGGCCATTGTGAGCGCCTGGCTGGGGGGTTTCCAGGAGTCAAAGGGAGGTTCTCATTACTCTTTTAACAGCATCTTTTCCGCGGAGCTAGCACACAATATTCGGATTAGCCGGCAAATGTTTGGATTTGCCAACATCCCGGTTGTACATACCTCCGTAACGAAGTTACCTGGATAAAATCCACGATCCATTGAAGCCTTGCCCATATCCTCTATGCACGACAAAGAATCGGGGTTTTTGCGAACCGAGTCAACCAGAAGTGGACTTTTCCCTTTGGCAGCCAAAGTGGGGGCCTGAGCTGACTTGGTCTGACTGGGTTTGCAGGCCCTGCTATAGGTGGGCAAAGAATAACTACCAGCAGGAGCTCGAGGAAAAGCTCAAGAAGATACGCAGTTTGATCGGAGGGTTGGGTACAGAATGCAAACATTCAGAGTGCAGGAAGCCGTCGAAGATCACAGATGATCTTCGGCGGTGGAGCCCCGAGTTTGGTGATGAAGTCGCAGCGGGTGAAGTGGTCTGTGAGTGCTTTGCCCGAGGAGAATATCTCTTTAGATATCCTTCGAAGTCACCCACATACTGGCACGATAAAGCAGATGTTTGTGCGCACCCCACCTGCAAGACCCCCGAAAGGCTCAGTGTCCAATATCGTAGGTGGGAAACGAAATTTGGGGACACATTGACTGGGTTCGATTGGGTGTGTGTTACATGCCATAATCGGGCAAAGACAATCTCTTACAGCGGCCTCGAGAAAGAGCTAGAGTTGGAGCTTGAGAAGGAGGATGAGAGAGAGCAACAGAAGGAGCGAGAGGAGGACCGTATGCAGAAACGCAAACGCACCGAAGAGATGGGAGCAAAATGCATGCACCCAGCATGCACGAACTCTAAAATCACTTTCGATGATCTCAGAGAATGGGACCCCAAATTTGGGGATGAACTCGAAGCATACGCGGACATCTGCATTAAATGCTTTCAGATTGAGGAGGAAAGTTGAGAAATTTTGACAAATTCTTGTATTTGCCCGACGGGCCAATATTGTGCAAGCACCCACGGTGCAAGACGCAGGAAATCTTAGGGTGGAAAGTGCCCAATGAGATATTTGGGCGGCCCATTCTTTGGAGAGATCTTTTTTACCTTGTGGTATAAACTGACCACAAACGATCACTTGTGCAGTAGATGCTATGAGATCGAGTATTCAAAAGTCAAAGCAGGCGGGGCTTTCGACTACCGGCACAAGAAGGGAGATCCTTGCAACAACCCCGACTGCAAGGATGCACGTGGCTCAAATCGGTGGCGTCATTGGAAGGTCATCTTTGGGGGCTTATTCACAGAGGTCGGGGGACACTGACATTGAAGTGGACATGGGATGAGGCAACCCTCAGAGCTATGCAAACGATTACTACGGATGTTGGCAGAGGCCCTTCATTCTGGGCATTATGATCACGCTATAGAAGTAAAGGCTTGAAGCGACAGAAGTAGCGACAATAAATTTCAGTAAGATAGTAGGTACTATTTTGGTCGAAATAAGTAATCTGGCTATACATGCACTCCGTACTTCACAGCTCTTTCTTGAGAAAGTGCTCCGGTTTATGCTCAAATTCATAATCGACGTGCACATAGGCACGCTCAACATCAGGCAGAGACTCCAGCTTGATCTGGAGCTCCTCTGCAACATCATGGGTCGCACGAAGAGTCGCGGCAGGATCCATGACAATGTCAACCTCGACAAGAAGACGAGGGCCGGACGTGTACGCACGAACGGTGTCGATGGCAGTGATCATAGGGGAGTGGGTCATGGCTGTGGATAGTCAGTATCATTCTCCTTACAACACAACTTAAGTACTTACAGATGTATGTGATCAGCTGCTGCATCTTGGTGTCCGCAGTAACACCAATCAGGAGCTGGAACTCGCCATAGGCGGAATGCAACCACAGTCCACTGACAATCAACGATAGGATGATAGCACCCATAGGATCGATCCACCAGCGGACCTTACTACCCAGGATAGAAGTCATTACACCGATTCCGTTGATGAGCAGGTCATTTCGGTGGTCCTCCCACAGAATACGGATCTGGGAGACCTGGTTGCGCAAAGCAAAGCAGTACAGGAATAGACCGAGCTTGGTGAAGAATGCGACGGCGACAGCGACCACGGAGGCCAGGTGGAAGGGAGCTTTAAGAGTGTCGGAGCCCTCTACAAGCTCACGAATGGAAAAGGCGATAATGATGAGCGAAACAGCAGTCATGAGACAACAGAAGCAGATGTTACCGGCTGTCTCAATACGGGCCTTTCCAGCAGGGAATTTGCGAGCGTCAACTCGGTTGACGGCCTTGTTGCACAGCAACAGAGTCAAGTTGGACAAGGGGTCAAAGATGGCGTCCGCCATGGTAGTGAACAGTGACAAAGATCCAGAGGATACGGCACCGTATATTTGCACACCACACAGAATGATGTTTGCAGCAAAGCTGGCGTACACGGCAATCTTGTACTTCAAACTGTTCTCGCTGTTCAGCTCGCGGGCCGCACGCACATGCTCCTCGACGGGCTTCAACATCCGCTCGATGGTCTCATTCTGATTCTCGTAGAAGTCTTGCAGCTTGCGAGTAACAAGAAATTGCTTGCCCGCAACGCCTGCCTTTTGTACCATCTCCATGGCCTTTGTGCTGTCACGCTTCCGCGAAGTATTGGCCTTCATCTGTCGAATCTCGTCCTCGGTCTTGAGCTTCGAGGCCAGCTTAAAGGGGTCACTCTCGGCGGTGTATCGGGGTGGAAGCTGGCCCTCTTCATCGGGGCTACCAGGGCGGTTGTGGATTATAGATTCGTGCTCGAGGGCGCTCGAGGTGCCCTCATTCTGGCGGGGAGTCATTGATCGGGAGGAGTGTGGGCTGCTGCTATGCAAATGATGCAAAGCATGCGGGTGGTTGGAGAGACTTTGACGGATATGTTCCTCCATTGTGACGGCACTAAAATTATGAAGAATGAAGGGCGGAGGCGTAAGGGGAAGCAATTATTTCAATGATGAAAGGGAGAGAAAAAAGTGGCTGTGCTTATCTAATCGGCTTGGCACCTTGGCAGGAGTTCGAATTGAACTATTGATTTCCATGTGTTACGAGTAAGGGAATAAATACATCTATACTACCTAGTTCTTGCTAGAAGCTTCATACGGAGTACGAAAATTAAAGTTGCAGATTGCACAGTGCACAGTACATAGTGCATGTATTTTTTGGCGACAAAAAATTATCTTTTGAGCTCACCGGAAAGTGGAGAAGCCGGAGTTATGATCTCCATGTGGAGTATATCCGATACATTAGGCATTAGGTATTTTATGCATTTTGATTCTCAATATGAGTTGTCAAGTCACATTTTGTTACATCTTTGTAAATCAAGAATATAAAGGTTAATTGTCAACCATACAGAAAAGTTAGCTGTCACCGACAAGGTACTTGAATACACTCTCCACCCAGCTTAACTTCTCTTCGGCGGAGCCATTGACGGGAATCGACTCAGAAGTAGCAACACTGCTTGGGGTAGTCACGGAGCCAGACGCACGGAGCTTGGTGGTAAAGGTAGTGCTAGCGATCAGACTTGCGGACGAGGAGGTCTCCGCCGGAGCAGTGGTCACAGCCACTGTGGGAGTCTCGGTCGAAGTAGCAGTCTCCGCCGGGTTGGTTGTCTCAGCCAGCATGGTTGTCTCGGGGATAGGAGTGGTAGAAGTTGAGGACGTGGAAGATGTCGAGGAAGTGGCCTGAGTGGAAGCGCTGGAGGTAGTGGTCGAAACCGTAGAGCCCGAGCCAGATCCATCGACAGTAAAGTCGACACAAGATTCATATGTCTGGTCAATGGACTCGGCGTACCAGTACCACTGTAGCACACAAGCACCACCAGTAATGCACTGGTCACCCAGATCATCGGGGATAACCACACTGAACTGGGTGTTGTTCGCCGCCACACCGGTCGAGACGGAAGCATAGACGGACCAGGAAATTAACGGGCTACCGATGACAGTGTTGGAAGCAGTATCGACAACCGAGACGTTGGCGACACCCGTATGCGGAGCGTGGATCGTGACATCGAAGTCCACGGTCTGACCCGCCGTGTACGAGTAAGTTACGTTGTTGTCGGCGTACTTGAAGCCCTTGCACAGCCAGGCATCGCACTCGGCAGCATTGTAGTCGCTTTGGCTGTCGGCAACTTGCAACATGCCCTGGATGTTTCCGTAGACATCGGAGGTCTCGGTATCGTAGGCTTGTTGCCCGCAGGCAGCCTCAAAAGCCGATCCTGGGTAGCGAGGTGTTGGGCTACTGACGAAGCCATGGCCGTGGACAAGGGAAATGAGTCCGGCGAGGGCGATAGGCGTGAATTGCTTCATTTTGAAAGAATGGAATTGATCGGTAAACCAGCACCGTTCAAGTATAACGAATGGAAAGGCAAAAAGACTGCACGGTCACAGACCGGAGAGAAAGAATGAAAGTAGAATTGAAAGAACAAAGCAGCTTGACGAGCCAATACCGGGGCCATCATATGATTTATATAGATTCGCCTTCATTTTCATGACCAGACCCTGTCAGACTAGAAGCTTAATCAACCACAAACAACGTGAAAATATGGCCCACTATGAAGCTGTCAATAAACTCAATTTGAAACACTTTGACCCCTGGCCTCCCCGAAGAAATAAATCCCCTCTGTAAGGCGCGTGGTGAGACCGGCGATATTTCTCTGTAGGATCTCAGTCACTCGAGTCCACCGCATGAATCAGGACCTCCGGCAACGTTCCTGTTTAAGGCTTGCCAAGGCTGGTTCCACGCGCCAGTTAGGTTTCAGGTTAAATAGCATCGCACTTCAACAAAACAGGAGTCCACGGCCCAATTCGGAGTTCTGAGAATATAGATCGGTCTAGTTTGTGTGTCAATGTGTCCAGGTAAAAGTGATCGCTCGGGCGCTTTTCCATTTTCGACCTCGGTCGGAGTTGGTCCCAAGACTCCCTAATTCAAGTTGACTCAGGGAAATCAGAGAAGTCAGGCCCTTGATCACAGGCTCTGCCGAAACATTGGACAAAGTGCCAATTAACAGCCAGTAGGGGGAATATATACGAATGGCCTCCAATGTTCGGTTTGATATCAAGGGAGTTTCAATCGTTCACCGCTCATCGCCATTCTTCCTACACAAATCCCACAATTCCATCATATGTCAGCTGAATTGTTTGATGTCAATAATATTTGCACGACCAAGTAACAAAAAGAAAATTAAGCAGACCTCCAAGGTTGGTGACATGCTAGCGAGTCACAGTCACGCCAATCGGTTTTGATGACTCAGCATAAGCTGATGTGATGAGTCATCAAATATTCTGCTTACTCACCGCCTGAAAGGAGAAACAATCGAGTTGAAACTTGTCATCTTCAACTTGGTGTACAGAGTACGGCGGGCAAGATCGGGACCTGGAAATCAGACCATGGAAGCCTTGGCCAACTAAACTTTACCTGGTTGCACCACATGCACAAATCGATTGGCTGTAAAAGGTTGCTGATAAATAGGCCTATGATGCCTCGAATCCCTTGATAATACGGAGTACAAGTCTTCGTTCAAATTAAATCTGAAAAGCATGAAGAAAACTTTTGCAAACTTGACGGTTCTGCATTAATCTAGATCATGTTCTGCGCAGAAAGTCATCGGTTGTTAGCCAATAAGCTTTTATGGACAAGCCCATTGTTTCTCGTTGTTAAAATAGCGCGATAGCGCCACTTGTATCAGGCCCAAAGGGGGAAGCCGTCAAGACTCAATTGGTTAGGTTCACTATTCCGCTTAACAGGATTTCAAGCGGGATAGAAACCCCGCACGGAGCCACTATGGGGCTTGCGGTTACGATCATGCAGCCAATGAGTGAATGTTTACCAGAATCAAGTGCATTTGAAGAAAGCTAAGTCCGTACTACTCTACCGTCAGAGCGCCAAAAGGGGAAAAGAACCGACAATGATTTCACCATGTTTGCAGATCGTTACCTGTTTAGCTAGGGTAATGTAGTCTGATTGACATGACAGGTCACAGTTATGGACCCGTTCATCACGGAATAGCGGTCGAGGTCCCCCGAGAATGTATGATATCGGACAACTATGGTTCGCTCGGTGCCTTTTGAACTACGGATACGTCGGCGCAAGTATAGTGCAAGAGCACACGCACACACAACCGTGTCAAAGTAAAAACAGGAAGAGACTAGACCGAATGAATAAAAGTAATGACTACTGGACCCATATTTATGCGATCAGTTTTAATTAGAACTTCCCTCTGCTCTCCCCACGTTTCAATTTTGTGACCTGTCAGGATGTTCAAGGTGCTTTTGAACGCCATACTGGGGCTCCTTGCTCTTTATATCACGAAATTATGGGTTAATCGCAAAAGACCATTAGGCCCACTGCCCCCTGGTCCGCCACCTAAGCCAATCGTGGGTAACATCGCCGACTTGCCGCCTCCAGGGGTACAAGATTGGATGCATTGGCTGAAGCATAAAGATCTATATGGTAGGCTCAAGCCATATCCATATGGTCAAAAAACATCGTTCTTCTGTTGCTGATACAAACACTTAGGGCCCATCAGCTCTGTGACGGTCATGGGGCAGACCATCGTCATCATAAATGATGCAGAGACAGCATTAGAGCTATTACGCAAGCGCGCTATGCTGTACTCATCCCGACCGCATATGGTTTTTGCGTCTGAAATGTCAGTTTGAAAGCCCATTCAATTTAAGTGGAAAAGGGAAATGTCAAAATATTGAAGCTTACACTATAATAGGGTAGGTTGGGGACATGCCTTATCCATGCAGCCATACACAGACCGATTTAAAGCATATCGAAAACTTTTGAAACCATACTTTGGCTCCGAGAAAGTCGCTTTGCAACATATTCCTCTCCAGGAGGTGGAAGCCCATCGCCTTTTGTGGCGTATTCTAAAAGACCAAGAGAACCTCACACAGCACATTAAGACGTCAGTAATCTCATACAATACTAGAGACAGAGCTCGGATAATAACATGGAAATAGTGAAGCTGGAGCGGTCATTCTCAAAATCGCATATGGCTATAGGATTGAACCACACAAGCCAGATCTGCTGGTGGACCTTGTTAATTTGGCCCTTGAGCAATTCTCAGTTGCCGCGACACCGGGCACTTGGCTTGTTGATATGATACCAGCATGTAAGTTGATGAAAATACAATGGCGACTTTTGTACGAAAGCTAATGCCAATGAAGTAAGACATGTCCCAGCCTGGTTTCCAGGAGCTGGGTTCAAGCGAACCGCGCTGGAGTTCAGAAAAAGTCTCGAGGACGTGGCAAGAAAGCCCTACGCCCTTGTTCAACAGCGGATAGAAGATGGCAAATACGAACCATCTTTTCTCTCTGATATATTGAAATTAGATGGTATTCCGTCGTCCGGATCGGAGGAGGAGCTGGTTGCGAGATGGACCACTGCATCGCTTTACGGTGCAGGCGCCGACACTGTATGCTATATTCTCCTTTGGATCGATACACTTACTAACATAGACTAGACTGTTTCTTCTGTTGGCGCGTTTTTCCTCGCTATGGCATTGAACCCGGAAGTCCAACATAAGGCACAAGCTGAAATTGACCGAGTTATCGGGTCTAGTCGACTACCCACAGCAGCAGACCGCAAAAGCCTGCCCTATGTCGACGCAGTAGTCAAGGAGGTCTTCCGTTGGCATACTGTTATACCGATGGGGCTACCACATGCATCGACGGCTGACGATATGTACGATGGATATTATATTCCCAAGGGTTCTCTTCTGTTGCCAAATATTTGGTGGGTGATAAATCTTGCCATGGTCTTTCTCAGAATTTTTGTTCTAACTCACAGTAGGGGTATTATGCATGATCCGGAGTTATATCATGATCCTATGGCCTTCAACCCAGAACGCTTCCTAAAGGTTAACCCTGAGATGGACCCACACGGCTTTGTGTTCGGCTTTGGGCGTCGTATCTGCCCCGGCCGAATTTTGGCAGATATAACAGTATGGCTTAGTGTTGCAAAGTCCCTCGCTGTGTTTCAAATCAGCAAACCTGAGAATGGGGCCGAGGTAAAGGCAGAATTCCAGCCTGGAGTTATCAGTCATCCAGTGCCATGCAAGCTGCATATCACACCTCGGACAGCAGCACATGAAGAACTGATACTTTCGGTGGAGCAAGAACACCCTTGGGAACAGGGTGATGGGAGCGAGTTGGCAGATATTTAAAAGGGAAAGAGTGCTTGGAAATAATCGAGTGTACCGGGATCTATGAACATCCACATAGTCAACTTCAGCTTCAACTTCAACTTTAACTTTAACTTCAACTTCAACTTCATGTCATGCTAATGTTGGTAAAAGTTTGCTCGAAGACAACACAGCATTCAGGGATTCCACATAGTTCATTTCCTCCAAATCTGCAGAGAGGTCATGTTGTACCCACATCGATTCTATCATCCCTTGTAGGTCATGTAACCTCCACTGGCTCAATTGTTGCTCTGTTCTTCTCAAAAGAGAAAGAATCAGCCCGCGTTGCATTTCAGTATTTGCTTCACAGGCTACAAAAAACAGTGGAAATGGGCGTTCGCATAGAGACAACTGCGGAATGAGTTCGAAAGCTTCAGAGACCCATCTTGTCAATCGGCCAGTAGACGAGTTCGTCAATACACGCTCGAAGTAGATCAAAGCTGAGAGTCGGTATAGTTGGGAGACTTTACTCGCGTGGTCCACTTCCTCGGGAGTGCTTGTTCCTTGGAGATACGTGGTGGCTTGCTTAATTGTCATCAAGTCATGCTCGATGGAACTTAAAATATTCTGCTCGGCGTATTGAACACTGTCGGGCTTTATAGTATAAGGCGTGATATTCGCCATTCTAGCGATAATGTTGATCATCTCCAGCGAGCAGCCAAAGATGCCAAGGACCTGGGCATTTGTCAGTTCAAACTTCACGCCACAAAATATTTCGATGCCCACCGATTCATTGGCTACCGAGGAGACCAGAGTGGAAGCCATGCCTGGGACTTTGAATAAGGATGCATTTTCTGCAGACTGAACCTTCCAATGTCTCGAGGTGAACTTGCCGAGAATATCGTGATAGTGCACCCACAGTACAAGGAAGTCCACCTCCATGAGTTTTGGATGCCCTCCGTCGCATATCTTATGGAGCATGCTTTTGGCGCCAGAAACATATAACGGCCATTGAAAAGAGCTTTCGGACGGTATGAATACCTAAATGATATTAGAGTGGGCTTGTCTCTTTCGACGGATATGTACTATACCTCAAAAGCACAGAGTAACATTCCGACAGCCGTGTGCTGATAAATCTCTGTTGTTGTGACGTTCCCTTTCATCGAAGCATTTAAGGAATTCAGAGCTGCCACCTTTAGTCGGAGAGCTTCATCAACCTGTCCATACCGATATAAGGATGCTAGGGACAACATTGCTCGTAGGACGGCCATGGACCCTGCTGAATCATCAGAGAAGGAGAGTTGAAACAGTAATTTCCAAAGTTTATCCCCATCTTCTCGAATCGGGCTCAAGGATCTGATCACTGTTACCATAACTGTAACGTATTAGTCAATCTTGAAGTGCGCTACAAGTTTGAATTCGATGGAGTTCATTACAATATGTGACCAAATGATGCCCGTCACCCATATCTGGCTGCGCATTTGCGAGATTCGATAGTGGAAAAATACAGGAATTGCGAATCGGTAATTTAGCTACATCAGCACAATCAAGTCAGTAACCAGTTGACCATGTAACAAATTCAAAATCATTAAGTTTGGGGTTAGAGAACCTAAATTGTCTGGATGCATGTAAAACTCGACATCCGTCGTCAATGTGTTGATAAAATGTGTGGCTTTAGTACCATGTGACGGAACTGCGGCAGTGCGACTTCTTCGGGACCCGTTCGCAGGCCAACTCAAACGTAATCCATAACCCAGGCATGTGCGGCCCGATGTTGCACAGTTCTGGCAGTACGGACGCCCCAGATCACAGGATAACTTTCGATCTGATGATGTCTTAGAATCTTGACAAGATTAGGTCAAGCCAAACCAGTTTATCCCTTACCGCGACATGTCCAACACCGCCGCTCCGAAGCAGCCCCGACAAGATATGGACCCCGTGGTTTCGTTGTTGACATTGTGTTTTATCAAGTATAAGTGGAGTGGACCGAGTGGGACGGGAATCATCAGGAAATTACTAATCAACTGCGTAGGCATGAACTGAATCCGCACTAGTTCTCAATTAGGTCTAGTGCGATGACTAACGATATGGAATTTCATCGGGCTTCAACCTCCGGGGATTCCAAGTCAGCATAAATTTCCAGATACCGTACAAACGCCGTATTCAATAGGTCCAGTCTGGTCCGGACTAGGTTCATTTGATCCCCGTCGGATGGGGACATGTCAGAGCGGTCTACGCAACCCCCACCCACAAAAGGTAACATCACTATACCTAATCTTAGCGCGCAGTCGCTGATATCAGCCTAGATTGTCCAACCTGCCAGAGGCGGCGCATCAAGTGCGATCGCAGCTTACCTGGTTGTACAAAATGTGGGAAGCGAGGTCTTGAGTGTTTAGGCTACGGCCTTCAGCTTAAATGGGGCCAGGGTGTCGCATCTCGCGGTAGATTGCAGGGACAGACGATCCCAGTGCGCGAGGGTGCCGATGTAGTGAATCCGCTCTTGGCTGTCGGTGCTGCAGTTGGCACATCGGGTGAGAATGCTGGGTCTGAGATCGACTTTTTAAGAACTCAGCCGGTAAATCCGATGGGTTCGCCTTCTATCGATCTCAGTCTGTCTGGTCCCAGGCCTCCGCATGCTTCACGGCTGCTTGCGTGGTTTAAGGAGCGGGTGGCGCATCGACTGGCCTGGATCGATGGCCCGGGAAACCCTTGGAGACAGATCATCTTACCTCTGGCTGAGAACTCGGAGACTGTCCTTTCCTCCGTTCTTGCACTCGCTGCACATGATCTGGCTTCTCAGTACCCTCCCCAGGATCCCTGGTTCGTCAGGTTTCAGAATATCTCAGATGCGTACCAGAATAAAGCCCTAGCACTCCTTGCTAAGGAACTGAGGGACTTGACGACCTCGCCTTCGCCGCAAGCCAGCCCGGACGCGTCCATGACACTGGCCTCGGTGCTGATCCTATGTAATAACCAACTTTTATCAGCCCAGTCATCAGGATGGAAGATCCACCTCCTCGCCGCACGCGAACTGATCCTCGTTGGAGAAAGCCAATCCTCCCTCCACCAGCAACTGATCCGCATCCAAGAATTCCTCCTTCAGGAATTCTACTCCACCTCTGTGTGGACTCATCTAACCGCCTTTGACGACATGAATGTAATCAGTAACCTTCGCACAGCACCTACGAGTACCGAAGACGCCGCAGTCGCCGACTTCATCCGCATAATCTATCAAATCACCCAACTCGAGCGACTGCAGAGCCGCTCGCAGACTCCGCTTCCTTACGCCCAGATCGAAGACATTCACAACCAAATCGAATCCGCGCGTATCAAAAGCTTCTATCTTAGTCAGAAAGTCAACTTTTGGTCCGAGTCTGACCGCAACGACTTCGAACTCGTTGTGTGGATGTTCTACCACGCAAACCTGATTTACAGCGCCCAGGCCTTCCCGCAGCTCCGCGGCACGGTGATAGATGTGGACCATTCCCGAGACCAGATCCTCAGCCACGTGCGGCGTCTTTCCGAGACAAAAAACGGAATGTGGGCGCAGGATCTCGTGTGGCCGCTTTTTATTGCGGGGACAGAGTTGAGGGGTGATCGGCCGAGTCAGAGATTTGTCGAAGGTGCTTTCAAAGATGTTATGCGGCTCAGTCGGACGTTGGATCGGGCGAGGGTTCTTGAGTTTTTGGAGACTTGGTGGAATGTTTCGGATGATCGGCTCTCTTCTTGGATTCAGTTGGCGAGAGAACGGCCTAATGATTTCAATTTTCTGCTTTTGTGATGTGAATACAACATTTGAATGAATATAATGACTTGAAGACTTTATTTAGCGGCATACATGTGCATATCCTCGCCTCGAGTAGACCTCGCTCAGATTTGATTAGGAAAGGGTGAGCTGTGATCACTGTAAACTACGATATTGAAGGAAATGATGGGATCGGTCATTTATCATTGCGGATCACATATCTATTGATGATCTCGTCATACAAAGCCCAGGTATCTAGTGGTATCACAATGCCTCCAGTGCGAAAGCACAAATCCAACGATCCGCCATAGTTCTAAAAGAATAAAAGAAGGCCACAGGATGGAGATCCAATATGGTAAAGATGCAAACAGGAAAGGGAAAAAATTAGCCGGAACAGAAATATCAAGATATCAGTCTTAGTCAATCTTCACAGGTATCTAGACAGTTTGCTCGAACAGGGCAATGGTCGAGCCATAGGTACTCTGGTTCGGGTGTTCGGGGACAAGACTGATGCCGTTGGAGGTGATCATGTTCACCGATGCCTTGGTGGTAAGACCATAAATGTGGACATCGGAGCAATCAACCTCAACGATGTTCTCCTGGCAGTCCTCGGAGTTAAGGCAGGACTGGGCGTAGTTCTCGAAGAAGCTGTAGTGACCAGCGCCGTAGATGTAGGTTTCCGAGGAGTTCAGGACACGCAAACCCCATGACTTGCGGCAGGAAGCGGTGGTGCAAGTAGAAAAGTCAGGATCGTTCCATTTCTTGGGCTGGGGAGTGAACGGGGTGAGAGCGCCAGGGTTGGACTGGTAGTAGGGGGTCTCGGTTTGGATTAGACCCATGAAGACGTTCTCAGCGTTAGACACCTGATAGTTGTACAGCTGGTGGTGCTCAGACGCGGTACCCAACAGCCAGACCGGGCCCTTGGACTCGATGAGGATACCACGGCCAGTGTAGACGTTGATCTGGGCGTGAGCGGCAAGGTCAAGATCGTGGTCAGCAGTCCACATCCAGGTGTTCTCAAGGTAAGCACTTGCTTCCTCGGTGACATGGAGGAGCAGGAAGGCAGCCATACACTCAGCCTTGGGATCCGTGGTGACGTGGGGAGTCTTGGGACAAGTGTCACCCTGCAATTCCGATCCAGCGGCACCACCAACACGGAAGTGGACATCCCACATACCGGCCGAACCCTGGGAAGAAGCAGCGACGTTCCATTCCATTAGGATAGCGCCAGGGGCAGCACCCTTGGTCATGACGACAAGATCACTGATCTCGACGGAGCCTGACTCGCCCTTCTGGCCGACTTGAATAGCCGGGACGGGGTTCTGCTCGTCGGCAAACTTGCTGCCTTGGACCATGATCATAGGCCAGATCTCACCAACAATCTTGATATCCTTGGGAATCTTGAGGGTGTCGGTGATGACGTACGCACCATGGTCGAAGTAGACAACCTGATCAGAGGTGGCGCTGTTCAGAATTTTTTGAAGGATCTTGGTGTCGTCGGTAGAACCGTCACCTTTGGCACCGGCGGATTTGACACTGATGAAGGAGGAGGCGGGAACATCCTCGTACAAAGGTTTGGACTTTTCAAAGACGGCACCATCGACCAGGAGATCCGCTGGCTTGTTAGACGTCACAGTAGACTGAACGCGGGCAGATTCGACGGCCTGGTTAACACCGCATGTGCCCGTGCTACCGCTAGAACCGGAGCCAGAGTTGACAGCATGGGAGCTCTGAGCAGTGCTAACAGCTGCAATGGTGCCAGTAGCGACAGTGTGCGCACCGGTGGCGGTGACAGCTGCTGTGTGCTTACCAGTAGCAACGACAGTGTGCTCGCCGGAGAGAACAAGGGTAAGTTCTTTCGTAGTGGGCTTGGGGGTGGCAATTATAGCAGGAGTGACAGCACCGATGACTGAAGCAACAGCTGTCGTGCCCACGCGGATGGTACGCTCTTCACTACCGGAGTCAGTGGGGAGAGCAAAAGTAACCTGACTGGTCTCAGCACCGTTACTGGTGGAGAGAGTGGAAGCAAGATTTGCGGGGCAAGCCTCCACAGTCTGCATGACAGTCTTGGTCACGGTAACAACTTCATCCTCATCCACCTGGACGGCACGCTTGCTGATGGAACCGGGGGTGTAGGTGTTACCCTGGACCCAGTTGGCAACAACAGACCCACCAGTGAGGATGCTGTCGCCATCAATACTAGCAACGGCAACCTTAGAACCAGAAAAGTCCACATTGTCGAGAACTAAAGTGCCACCACCGTTAGGAATGCTCTTCTTAGACCACGCGGTAACGATTCCAGTGGGAGTGTTGGTGAGCTTGCTGTCAAGCATCATGACGGAACCAACGGTCTGGTTGGACGGCGAAGTAGACATGTTCAAGCCAACTTCGCAGTTGTTGATGTTGACCGACTTGAAAGTCCATGCCCAGTTCCAGTTCATGAAGATAGCGGTGTTGCAGTCATTGAATGTCAGGTTACGAGTAGTGAACTGTTGGTTTCCGAGGAACATGCCGTAGTTGCCACCGTTGAAAGTTAAGTCCGACATGAAACCACCGGAGCCATTGTCCATGAAGATACCCTCCTGCTTGTTGGCAATGCCACCACCCTTGACCATCTCGAAGCGAATGTTCTGAAGGCTAGTCGCCTGGCCCACCTGCCAGTGAATACCAGCACCAGAGCCTTTGGGCATGGCAGTAAGGTCGATAACCAGGTTACGAATACCGCGGAAGAAGTTGTTCTGGTTGGTGTACCAGTTGGCACCATCGTCCTCATAGGGGTCGGAATCGATGACCGCCATGCCAGTGAAGGCAGCGGCAGCCTTGATGATGGGCAGATCGGTGGCATCACCAACGATCTGGGTGTAGTAGTACTGGACGATAGGCGTGGACACCACATAGGTACCGGGTGGGAAGTATACAATAGCCGGGGTAGTAGTAGATGAATCGCAACCCTTACCACAGCGGTCACCAGAGGAGATGGCCTTGTTAATGGCAGCAGTATCATCCGTAGAGCCATCACCTAGAACAGTTAGCCTGGCAATCCACAAGGGGACGATCCTGACATACCTTTGGCGCCGAAGTTCTTGACGTTGCGGAAAACCTTATAGTCAGCATTGCTGTTAAAAGGTGCAACACCCTGGCGCTTAATATTGGCCATCCAGTAGCTGGAGGTAGCCCGTTTGGAAATCTCCAGACCATTTGGATTCATTGGGACCGCGCCCACCAGGGCAGTCGGTAAGCCCAACAACAAGATGAAATGGGCGAGAAACAACATGATCGAGGATTGAAAGTTGGCCATCTTCAAGATGACTATCGCTGAACCTGCAGCGAATAGATAAAAAAAGACCTTTTAAAACTGAGACAATTCAGTAACCAGTACTGAATGTATATGAAAGAGGTTCGAGAGGAACAAAGGAATGGAATGGAGGATGAGAGCGTGAAAAGTGCAGCACCAGGCTATTTGCAAGCGCGATCTATCCTCCAGGGAAAGAGTGACTGAAGATTTAAAGAAAGGAAGAAGGGAAAAAAACAGTGAATGAAGAGATCAAGTTACTCACTCTGTTCCTGAATCAAAAGTCTCCACCTATCGCATGCGCCGGCGCTGCCAATCTAATCCACCACCAATCACACAGCACCACCAAGGGTCTGGCGCTGACCCTTGAAACGTGATAGTCAGGAACTGAAACGTTGCACGGGATCTTGCACACTCGGTAAATCTGTGTTCCTATATTAGGGAATATTAAGATAGTCGCGAGGAAATCCCAAGCTTGGCACTTTTAGAGTTGGAATAGCACGATCAGCACACAATCTGACGGCTTGAGGTACAAATGACTCCAAGGAAGAGCCAAGAGAAAGAAAAAAATTCAACAACTACTCGGTAGCAGGTTCTACGTTGCTAATATACCCTATAAAGACATGGCATTCCTGATTTCCCGCATGAGAGCGTGGGATGGCTTTCCCAGGGGCGTTGGTTGTTATTTCCTGGACCATTCCATTGATGCGTTAGACAGTCCCTGCTTATTTTGGCTTGGTATGGCCGATCAGTGCCCTGTGGAGAACCCCTGCGATAGCAACGGGTCAGGGGTACTTCGCGCCTAGAACTGTCACCATTCTCGGCAAGTCATTCGGGAAGGCATGATGAATGGGCAGAGTACCAGTCATGAGGGGCACGTGTGGTGGCCAAGATGTCCGAGATCCGGTGTTTGGGTTGTCAGGGATGCGGGTGTAATGGATGAACATTCCCAGACGCGGGGAAGCACTCCGAAGTAGGACGGGAGATTCCTGAGATTCTTGATGATGCCATCTGGATCACGAGTCAATGTAGCATTTATATCAGGTTTTGTAGTTATTTACGCCTCACTCTGTAGGTACTGCGTGGTTAAGCAGCCAAGCTTGGCCCCTGAATGATGTGACCCGCTTCAGGTTAGCGGCGGTAAGTATGCATATGTAGATGTCGATGTACGAATACGATAATCTGATTTGTTCTCGAACCTGCCAGTGACAGTGATGCATTTCCATATGTGATCTTGATCTCGCATAACTATGGAGTACTAGTGTACTAGTTCACTAGTTAAAATTGTTCTTCTTGGCCTTACTGATTTCCTGACTAAGCTCGGCTCAGATGGCCACTCTGGGTGAAGTGGACTTTCTCAACTTTGGTTTGTCCCACTGGAGTGTTATGGAGCTATGGAGTTGCTGTATCCACGTAATCCGTAACTCGAAATTTTATGTATTTATGCCTGGCCGCGCGTCCTCTGAATCGGTCCGATCCGTCAAGCTCCGTCCCTGGTAATACCAAAATAAACAATCTTTCATCGTTTCAGGACGCGCGCAAGTCTACGCACTCCCTCGGCAAGTTCTTGCGGCTCTGCCCATGCAAAGCACAATCGAAGGTTGTTGTTGAAGCGAGTACTTGCTGCCTCGGGGTCCCCCGCCACTTGAAACGCATCACCAGGCGCTAAGCGCAGGTTTTCTTCCCGATCGGAACGCTGAACTATATCTGCCGCTAGCAGTGGAGCTGGTAGGGTAAGCCAAATGAAGTATCCGCCCACCACGCCATTGACCGGCGCCTCAAAAGTGACCCCTAGTGGCGCCAGATGTTCCTGAATGGCAGATGTCAGATCATGATATCGCTTGGCATATGCAGGCTGTAATGTATCACGAATGTGCTGTTCCAGAAATCCCGATCCAAGGAGTTGATCGATCAAGGTCGAGGTCATTTGGGAAGGTGCTCCACCGGACCGAGACGAGCCTCTGTTCACGTCAGCCTTCTCCACGCCCAGCCGGTCATTACACTCCATAGACACTTACACTTGTGATAACCCGAAGGCCACTTTTTCAGATGCCTCTGCCCATCCTGTGCGGGTGCCTGGCCCGATTAGCTTTGAAAAACTACCATTGCTTATTGCGTGGCCCCATTCATCCACGGGACCACCATCCAAGTAGCGATCCACATCCACGAGCCGTGGGACGACTGCACGGTCGGGAGATATCAATTCGCTACCCGTGGATGACCAATGTAAAAAATCATAAACATCGTCAGTCACCACGAGAGCATCGTACTTCCGTGCCAGTCGGATCAGTTGCTCCCGGTGATGCAGCGACATGATCTTGCCGGATGGGTTGGCAAAGGTGGGGACAGCATAAATAACATGTTTGTAGATCTTCCGCCAGGGCCGAGGGGGTTTCAGTCTCTGACCAGTCAGTCTAAAATCACTTCGGTTCTTAATGCAGTACGGAGTACATACCGGTGTATCGTTACCTTCCGCTGTAGCCTTGATCTCGGCCTCCCGTAACCCACTCTCCAAGACTTCCAGATCAATGCCTTCGTCATCCTCGGGTACAGATTTGACTCGGCCGAAGAAACCGGCGTCGTCAAATATCCGTCCTGCGAGGAAATACGTAGGATCGACCTGCCAAATATGCCGTGTGTACACAGGATCGGTGAACACGGCCAGCACACAAGCGAGGTTCTGGCTGGCCCCGCCCGTGATGCAAATCCGTTTTGACAAAATAGGGTGGTGAGGTTGATAGAATGACTGCAGCCATTGGGCTATGTGAACACGTAGAGGTTCATAGCCTTCATCGGGGCCGTATCCCAATGCCGGGTGGGCAATGGAGGGGTCAGTCAGCACTGTTGAGGCGGAGCGGAGTAACTCGGGGGCGGGGAGCAGCGTGGGGTTTGGCCACCCTGCAGACAAATCAATGCGGGTAGACATAGTTCAAGCTTGAGGCTGTGTATGTACGTACTGTACGGAGTTCGGGGGATAAAGCAGGGATTAGATTGGTGATACAGTAGCTATGGAGTCCATGAACCGAGATCGGACGTTCCAAGGTTTTGGAAGCGAGTGGAACCAAACTTCAATGAGGGGAAAAGGAACAGGAACAGGAACAGGAACAGGAACAGGAGAACCTTGGAGGTTTAGGTTTTCTTACTTTCAATTTTCAATTTTCAAGGCACAAGAATATGGTTTATGGTATAAATTGATATAGGCTTTCAAACTAGAGGTGAAGTGCCTAATAACTTAGTCATTTATAGCACCCCATGCAATAAACCATATCAATAGACGTGAGAAGAGAATGAATGACATTCAATTGGATCAAATGTGATTATTGACACACGGTATAAAGTGCTACAGACATCTAAATTGCCATGCACTTGTAAATATAATGAAGTGTACAGTACATACTACTCAGCCTATATGTAGCTGGAAGATAAATATATCTTTTATGCAGTAACTAAACCACAGGCTTGAACCTTAACCAAACCTTGGCCTCTTTTGGCCCGATAATCTACAACTATTCATAGGAATCAGCCTAACATATTCTTGGCCTCGATATCTGTATATGTAATACTATGCACTTTTTAGTACTTTTTCATCAATTGAATTCGAATTGAATCTCACGGGCGCATTCCAGGTATAGCGTATGGTAACCGGTTTCCCGGGGTATCCACCTGCACAGCCAAGGAGCTTCTATCCGGTTCCTTTCCAATAATAGCTACTCCGTACAACTTTTTTTTTTATGGGCTTTAAGGGTTAAAGACTTCAATTTCATTTTCTATATTACCTGAATCATTGAAATTACTTTCGACCCCCCTGATCCACTTCTTTCTTCTGGGCTTCATTCTCTGGTTAATGATTAACTAAACACTCCACCTTTCTTACCCATTCTTACCTGCCGATCCATTCCACTGAAAATCCCCTGTTCCCGCTCCCATTCCTGCCTATGCGGGCTTAACCAGTGCTCACCCTTCTCTCTATCCTGCGCCGTGGTCGCTGAACTTTCGACTTCCTTCGACCTCCTGATCCTCTACCGTGACAACCAAAATGTTGTCTGCTCCCGTTAAGTCGGCGAAGCGCATCTCGTCTCTCTTCTCCCTGGGCAGTCACAAGGAGCATAATGCCCCCGGATCTTCATCGAGCTCCTCCGATTCAAAAACCCGCCAACGAAGCAGTTCCCGACCGACTCGCCATGTATCTACACCCAATCCCATTGCCTCAGAGCCCCGGACCGTTCCTGATTCCGTACCTTTGGATTTCGACTTGGAGAGCCTACAGCCCCCACCGTCCTTGCTCGCCGTGAACAGTGACTTGGCCAGCAGTGCTCCCAGCTCCCCATCAAGCGGTCGACCGCAGAGCAGAGGTCGTGATGTGAGCCGACCTTCCAGCGTGACGGGTTTGGCCATCCCAGGTTCCACCCCAGACTCTCGCCCGGGCACCCCTTCGAAACGCAGGAGCTGGATGCCGGGAATGGGAGGACGGTCGCGGGCCAGTTCCGTGGATAAGCGACCCGCGGCAGCCACGGCGCCGAGTGCCTGGATTGCTGGGCTGGACCAGAAAGTCGTATACGACCTGGGTCCGCTGTTAAGAGGAGAGCAGGTACGTTGGAATTACGCATTGGAAGGTACAAAACTTGCTAACGGGTTATAGATCCCGGAGCTGTGGAACGAACAAGGTGACACCTTTGTTTACTTGTTCCCTCAAAACACTGGTCGCGCGCCATCCTTCAAGGTTGATTCTACCATCTTCGCTGAATCCCCCTCTCTCACATACCTTGCCCGTGGTACCGATGCGAAAGCCAGCGGCCTGGAGCAGCCCACCCGTACCCTCTCGCTCGTCTCTCCTCCTTTGACCCCGCTGGAACACCTCGCAGACAATGACAACGATAGCCAAGGCAGCCAACGGTTGGCCTTTGATGATGGCGCCGACGAGGCTCCGGAACTGCACCTGTACCTGCCAATTCCCTTGAACAGTGACGTTTCCAACCCATCGTCTCGCCTGACACAAGAAGATTCGGACAACCTCCTCCTCTTCCGCAATCTTTTCGCCTTCCTCCTTGGCCAGTCGCTTATCTCCAGCCCGAAATCGGCATCTCTATTTAGCATCTTCATGGATGTCGCTGTTTTGCTGGCACGATTCGAGTTTACCAACCTGGACGGTTCCAACTTTGGTGAAACCGCTACTTCTAGCTTCAGCAACTACTGCGATGAATTGCGCTTGGCCGATGTGCGCAAGAGTCGAGAAAAGACCATCGAGGCGATCGTTCTCGGTGAACGCCTCAGATACTTCCCTCTCTACGTGGAGGGATTCGTCCATGGTGTCGGCAAGCTGGATGAAATCAAGCAACTGCGGAGTCCCAAATTTACCTTCATCCACCCCATCACACAAAAGCGGATGGAGCGCGGCTTTATCGATCTGGACACTCGTTTGCGTGGCCTGTACTCGAAACTTGAGGATTTCGACTTCCCCTCGGTCTTCTCCGGTAGCGCGAACTCGCAGACTTCAATGGAAAGTAAGGTCATCCGCTTCAAGAACTGGAAGTCCGGGTTCTTCGAATTCCGTCGCTTCACCATGCAGTTCTACCGACAGAAGTATGGCAGCTGGCCACCCAAGGCCCGATCGAAGAAGAACGAGTTCGAGGAAAGTGGATTGAATCGTCTGCTTCTCCTGGACTTGTACCATGATTTCACTGATCTCTATGACCTGTTGGTTGACCGCACTGCCCTCACCACTCGCACTATTGACGCATCTGGTTCGGGCGGCGACAATTCTTCCACTGATATTATGGATGTTACCCTCCGTGCCCTCCGCCATATTCTCAGCGAGTACGATCGCAGCACTCCGCCCGTTCTTCCTCCAATTCCGTTCGATGTTCCTCAGATTCCCTCCTTACAAGTCCTGCACCGAAAGCCCCTGGAACCCAAGAAAGCAGGCAAGTTGCGAAGCAAGAAACTCAAGAACTCTGACATCAACGCCGTCTTGATGGACTCCTACACCCGGGAGAGCATGCGCCCGACTCCTTTCATCGAAAGCTTCATGCAATTCGAGCGACGCTCTGCTGCGGGTAAGACCCTAGAGGACATTACCGATCTGCGATGTGGTCAATGGATTTTCCTTTACGCTGTCATCCAGTCTCTCCCTATGCTGGTTGTGGATGTTCCCGAGGTTCGCTTCTCTGAGGGTGTTGAGTACTTCCTCTCCATTGCCCCTCGTGGTGGTGCACCCTGGATCCAGAATGACACCAAAACTGCGCGCAGCTGGTTCGGTGTCGCTGGTGGAGCGGGTGTTGTCAGCCTTCCTTCCGATGTGGTTATCAACGGCGTTGAGGGTGTTTACCGCCGCAGCCATTGTTGGCAGGTTGCTGAACAATGGGCCGAGGCTGGCCAACTGATTGAGCCTCCCACCGTGGAGGACTGGGAAGAGGACGAGTCTTCTATCTCATCGCCCTACCCCGCTCAGCAGTCATCGGCTGGCTCTTCCTCGGAACTGCAGCAGCAGATGATGAACATGCCTCACGGTGGCCTAACACCACCTCCACCTGCTATTCCGCGCCAACGCTCCCCTGCGGCTGGAGCACGGGTCGAGCATCGCCACTCTATTTACCCTGGCTTGGAGGCGCTGCCATTACCTGCTGGCATTGCCCCCCTTGAACCTCCTTCACGTCCCATCAGCCGATTTAACCCGAACATGAGTTTTGATGACATCTTAAAGGAGGTTCCCAAGAAGGAGAAGGGCAAGAAACACTAGTTTCTTCCCCCCATCCATGTGTTTTTATTTTCTTGATTGTTTATTTGCCCCTGGTAGCATTGGCGGTATCCCCACCACCTGGCCATACATGGCCCATTCTTTTTTTTTTTTTTTCCCTTTCCTTTTGACTGTTTGTGCATAGGCGCATATTTGTGACATTAACCATTGGGTTGGGACGGCGCGATTCACAGGAAGCGAGGAGAGAACAAAAGCAAAACCATTTAATGTATTGAAGAGCATGGAAGAAGGCACACTATCATAATTATCAGCATATCAGCATTCAGCATCTCTGTTGAGACTGTCTTCATTGGTTTGATTTCCCCTCTTATAATTTGTTCTTGTCTTTTCTGGAGATGAGATGGAAAAAAAGATAACATCTGCAAGAGATTCAATTTGTTATACATGTACAAACTAGTTGGCTCTAATTACTTATAAGTCGACTGCTAGCAATTGAATGGTGTCGACGTGGGTCTGGGATCCATGGAACTGTTCACGGGAACGTGACAGACTTATTTGTTTAATCTATCCTTTCCACTCTACTCCGTACATTGTACTGTATCTCTTTCCATGAAATCCCAGATCTTTCACGATGTGCCAATTTCAAATTGATGACTTGAATGTTGTGACCCACAAAAGAAGGCTTAACCATCTTGAAATACGAGCTGCCACCGCTCATGGCCTATTGCCCACAATGGCGCCTTCACCATGCAGGAAATCGCTGATCCCTGCCCTTACCTAATAGGCTTTTAACTTGATGGGTTAGCCTATCCTGAAGAATGTCAAATTACGCTCTACCCATGTACGCATACTTTCCAGTCTCGCAGGCAGAGAATATTCGGGCGACACTAATCATGGCCTAATCCATTTCTGGATTGAACGGCAGAAAGAAATGCCAAAAAGAGTCCCTCATTTATACCCTCAGCCGATCATTATGCCTCGTTCCCGTTCTCGTTCTAGCATAACAAGCGAGGGCCACGAGCGTCTCGAGCCACGACTCCTCCGCGCAGCCGAGAACGACGATGTCGAAGCCCTCCAAAATACAATCACACTCGCACGCGAATATGGCCAATTCTCCGAAAACTTTCTCCGCATCGCTCTCATGCGCAGCGCTGAGCGCAATCGCATCGCGACAACCGGATACCTCCTGAAACTCGGCGCTAAAACCGACGTTCCAAGCAATCGACTTTCCCCGCTCCTCCGCGCCGTCGAGCGAGATCACTACCAGATCGTCCGACTACTCCTGGATGCTGGTGCATCGCCCGACAGTACGGATAAGGAGGGTCGGACTGCGCTTATGACAGCAGCTTGGAAGAATCATGCCGATATTCTACAACTGTTGATTATGCGCGGGGCGAATGTCAACGCCCGCGATTTGCGAAAGAGGAATGTTTTGCATAATCTTGCCGCAGATAAGGAGTGTTCATGGGGATGGGGCGATGATATTGTCAGACTCTTGCTGAGGACGGATTGCAAGATCAATGGGGTGGATGGGCAGGATGAACTGGGTCGATCCCCATTGCATTGGGCTTGTGCGACGGGGAATTCGCGCCTCGCCGAGCTACTGCTTACTCGGCCGGATGGCGGGCCCAAGGCCGAAATTGATGCTAGGGAGTTGCGGGGGAAGACAGCGTTGCATATTGCGACAGCGCACGATCGCGCGGATATTATCCAGCTGTTGCTGGCGCACAAAGCTGCGGTCAATGCTTGCAGTGATGGCGGTTGGACACCATTGCATAATGCATGTGACAAGGGTTGCGAGGAAATTGTGCGGATTTTGTTGCGTGCAGGCGCACATATTAATAGCCAGCTCTTGAATGGTGTGACTCCGTTGCATCTCGCAGCGCAGGGGGGCCATCGCGAGGTCGTTGAATGTTTACTAGAGAGGCCGGACCTGAAAAGGCGTGTTCGAGATCACTTCGGTAGTACTCCGTTTCTTCGCGCTGCACAGCTAAAGCAGAGAGATGTGGTGCTTTTGTTGGCGCCATTCAACAATGTCGAGTCTTTATCTGAAGATGTCAAGCAAGCCTCGGCTGCCTTCGACAGCACAATTGTAGATTTTGGAAACTTCCACAATGAGAATCGTGTGAAGCGAATGTCGGTCTACAATCTACTTTATGGTCGAGACCTAGAGAATCCCCGAAAACAGGCTGTGACAACAGTTCCTGCTGATAACCGCGCAACGGAATTCAGATGGATTCATCTACCGGCCAATAACATGGCTTGGGTGGAGGCTTTGTTGACCAAATCTTTCATTGAAGAGGGCGCTCACGATGTGGATGGTTTCAAGGGCATTGAGAAATCTTTCTCCTATCAACATCGCGGCCAGAAGATCCACTCACACTTCATGCGACCCTTGTGCCAGAATACACCTCGCACGACACGACGCCGAGAAGAAGAAAAGACAGAGGAAGTACCGACAGATGGCCAGTCGATAGCCACAGACAACAGCTCTGTCTTTCGCAAGCAGAAAGCGCCGGGCAAAACGGATCGAGATGATAACGAAGGTCTGTTGAAGAAGAAGCACATTCAAAAGCGTGGTAAAACAGGGAGCAATCCTGGGACTCCAAAAGAATCCAAAGCTAAAGCTCCATGGGCTGAGAAAGGACGGCCGCTTCATTCACCCTCTCTATGCAAGGATCCTCATAGCCTCGCCTCTGCATGCAATATCTGCGTCTTTATGCCATATTTGCATTTTGAAACTGCAGAGCGTAGGCAGAAAATGCAAGACGCGATCCAACGGGCCGAAAAATTTGACCCTCAGCGTATCAAAAGAGCCCGTACTCGGGACGAGATGCTAATTGATGCGCATCTTTCATCTTCCACTACTTCCCTACATGTTCGTCGAACATTGGATCAATTCTTTTATCCCAATATCGATACGCAGAGTCGCGACCAGGACCAGGTTGTGTATAGATACCAAACCAAGGGCCCTGGGTGTGAAAGACCGGAGAATGAACCAAAAATCTTCATGGTTGATCAGCTGTGGATGTGGGTACTGGGGAGTAACCTCATTGTGACCAGCTTCCCACAGCGATGGGACCAACCGAAGAATGATCCTCTCAACGTGCTGGATGGGATTATCGAGGACATCAATTCTAAGACTCGCGATCCTGTCAAGTCAGTACATGACCTCGCGATTATAATTACCAATCGGTGCTCTGGCGTTTTTGACCGACATCGCCTGGGAGATGACGAGTATCAATTTTTGGACATGTTTGAATCTTCCATTGGTATAGCCACTGACCGGGAGACGCTCCTGTTCAATCGTTTCAATCATGCATCTGCACAGGCGTCGAAGTGGCTAAAGAGTCATCGAAAGCTGAACCGACTCACACGCAGCAAGGCCCATTCGATATCTGGCCGGGACGTGCCAGAGGAAGTGGAAAGCGATGATGATTATCGTCATGGCGATGGCTCCCCACTATTCGTCGACGATCTCCTGGACATTGGAGAGGAAACCGATCTTCTAGCGGAGATTAAAGATATCCGTGATGAGTTGAATATGATTCGCACCGTTTTGGATCACCAAAAGCACGTCCTCGCCGACTTCCAGGAAGTGATTTGCGAAACCTACCAGGGACAGAATCGATCCCAATACGAGGTCAAGAAACGGTTCAAAGATCAACAGCGGATGATTGAGATGAACCTGAAAGATATTGACCGCATGGATAAGCAGGCTGAACGCATCTACCACTCCATCACGGACCTGCTGGATCTCAAGCAGAAACATGCTAACGCCTTTGAGGCCCGCTTCGCACGCGATCAGGCAGCTGGAACCACTCGTCAAAGCAAGACAATCATGGTCTTTACTATTGTCACCATCGTCTTCCTGCCGCTTTCCTTCATTACCTCCATTTTCACCATCAACTTGAAAGAATTCGATAATTTGAAGCTCGAATACGTGGCCAAGTATACATTTGGAATTGGCTTTGCTATTTCTATTCCCCTTGTTCTCGTTGCGCTTTCCCTAGATGAAATCGGTGATATCTTCAGCCGTGGTCGGCGCTGGTTGTCCTTCTCCCGCCGAGATACTGTTGAGCGAGACAATGTCCAGGCATTGGAGATGGAGAAGGTCATCAGCCTGGCCCGATCACGCAGAAGTGCTGATCTGGATTACTTTAGCAAGTAATATACCGCCTCAAAATTGAACTTATTTTTGGACATCTGAATGTCATGATACATCTATAACTCAGTGCCATCTAATCTAAAGCGGCAAATCATAAGAATCCGGGATTCTGTCACTTTTCCCATCTCCCAAAATAACCGCCGGGTGATAAACGTTCATCACGATCATCGCAATGAACATGATTGTCGCATCAAAGACATAAGAAAATGCTTCATGTGTCATGATGTATCCATCAAATCCATACTTATACTCGATCAGGCGGAAAATGGACCGAATCAAGATAAGGATACTGACGACGTACAGCGCCAGAAGCACAGTAGCCCAGTTTCGCTGTCTCCAGCCCTGGTTTCGAGTAGTTTGACGCTCTGTTGATGATTTCGCTGTCGGCTGCTTAGTGATCCGCATGTGGAAAACGGCTGCGACGACGACGAAGAAGCCGAAGAAGAGGAGTTGAACAACCAGACCACCGATGACCACATTGGATCCAGTGTTTCGGGTACTAGTCTTTTTGCTAGCCATGAGGCCACCTCCTATTATTCATATTAGTATCTACTGTTGAATGTGGTATCATCTGATCTCACCTGCTGATTGCATCATGAATGAAAAGACATCACCCGCAACGAAGATCTTGGTCATCCACTTGACGGGGACCAAAGAAAGGTGCTCAGCATGAAGGTAAGAAACCAAGCGTCCCAGGACCATATAAATACTAGCAGCATACAAGGTTGGTGCAAGAAGAGTCATAACTGATTGTAGAGCATAGATGGTAACGGAGCTCAGATCATTATGGGCGATGATCCGGCAGAGATATCCAATTATTTGAACTGTTCCAAGGTTACCAATTAGCATCCCTAAGAGCATACTGATGACATTTGAAAGAAGTTGACATACAGATTCCACCGATCACAAAAGGAATAAAGTACCAGCATCGTGCCTTGATTAATTGCCAGAGATGGTAACCTGTAGTAGCCAGGAACAGAATCACGAATATGATAGCTGCCGCGTAAGACGGGTCATAGCCGTAAAGGTTGGAATGGTTCATGGTGTAAATGCCGACATGAGTAAGACGACATGGCACTTTCTAGTTATATACAGGTAGATTTTAAATCTCAGTCAACTCCATAAATGGTGCTTGGAAGCCAAGAGATTTATATTCGGAATACGAGATACGACGTTTTGGCAATGTAAGCTTCTGATTGGTCACAAGATGTGGGTCTTTGCGTATCCGTAATCGAGTCCGTTTAGAATCAGAATCCCCGTAACCGTAACCGTTTCCTCTACGGATCACCTAAGGTAAGATCCCCTTACTCTGGAGTACACTGCCAAGATGGGACCCCGAAGAACACATCGGAAGAGTCGTAATGGATGTCCACAATGCAAAGCCCGCAGATTGAAGGTTCGCATCTATGTACCCAACCTATACCGCACCGTTTACTCATGCTCAATAGTGTGATGAACGAAATCCATGCACCAATTGCGTTAAACATGGTGTCTTCTGCGAGTTTGTCGCATCAAATGAACATGGCTCCACAAACGGGACCCCTGCATCTGCTACTGCATCGCCAGTGGCTCAACCCCAAACCCAATCCCAACCTCAGACCCAGACTCTAATACAGCCGCATCTATACCCACAACCTAGTATCAATGTGGGCCCTGTTAACTATGTACGGCAAGAGCAAAAGTTCGACCTACTTGGTATTCTTTCCGAAGCTCCTGACCCTTCTATGCGTGCCGCAGAGGACTGGGCTCTTGATATTGAATTGATGCATCACTACTGCACCATGACGTGCAATACACTGACCCTCCGCGAAGATGCCCGTTATGTTTGGCGGGTCATCATGCCTATTGAGGGCTACTCGAATCCTTATGTGATGAATGGGCTCTTGGCTATCGCTGCCCTGCACCGCGCATTCCTGTCGGTCACTCCTCAACAGAAAGAGCGATATATCAAGGCATCGGCCTACCATATGACGACAGGATTAGCGAAATTCCGAGAAATTATCGCCTCGCCTATTGATCCGAAGAACTGGCAGCCAGTCTTTTGTTTTGCGAGTATGATCAATGTCCATCTGATGGGTACTCCTATTCGACTGGGTGTTAGTCGGTGGCCTGCGCCGATCTCGAATGTGCTGGAGTTGTTCGGGAGTTGTACGGGCATTCAGGCTCTCATGGCGCCGTTTTTGCATTCTATTCGAAAGACTCAGTTGGCACCCTTGGTGAACTCGATTTATCTTATAGACCCGGAGCTCATTCCAAGGTAATCATGGATTCATGGAACTTGGGAGTCAACTAGTTTACTGATTGCTTTCTAGCCCAGCACAGGTTTCTCAATCTCTGCTTCCTCCTGATTTTTGGGTCGAAGCCTCTCAATTACGTGCATTCATTGGGAATTACCCATTCGCCCCTGTGGAAAATAAACCTGGTCAGGGGAGTGATCCTACAAGCGACCCCTCAAGTCAAAGAAACGACTACATTGCCACCCTTGAAGCCCTCGAAAGAGCGGCACGATGCATTGAGCTTGCAGGGACAAAGATTGAGTGGGGAATAATCTTTATATTTGCCCATCCATTAAGTAAATCTTTCCATGATGCCGTTGAAGCGCATGAGCCCGCTGCCTTGGTCATTATGGCATATTACTGTATCTTGATACATCTTGTGGATGATGTTTGGTTCACGAATGGGCTTGGATGGCAGTTAATGGAGGATATTGAGAGCAAGATTCGTCCTGAATATAGGGAGTGGCTACGGTGGCCGAAGCGTTGGGTTTTTGAGAGACAAGGGTACCCTTTGTATTTGAGTAGAGCGTGAAACGTGTGATTATGCATATTGTTAGACTATTATAGATGTTTCTATTAATCTTGGAAGTGCGATGTTTATGTATATCACTCGTTAAAAAACGAGTTGACGATTTGTTATTCAATCTGTAGAATCACGAAAATCACCAACTAAACTAAGTTCAATCAAACCAACGCCGCATAAATCCGAAATTGTGGCCAGAACTGTCCTGGTCTTACTGAATAGCAATTTTCACGTATTCGCGCACCTCCTGCTCCTCGCTTTCCTCCGACTCGACAGGAGTAATCGACCGGTTTACACCTTCCTCCATGGGATCTTTCTCCTTGACATCGCCATCTTCAACGAGAACCTTCTTCAACTCGGACTCGATCTTCGGGATAGTAACGTTCAGAACACCATCCTCGAGTTTGGCGACGATCGCATCAAAATCAATAGGAGCCGAGGCCTCGCGCGTACCAAGGCGAATTTCACGCTGGAAAGTGCCCACCTCCTGGGCACGTTCCTCCATCACCAGAGCTTGGTGCAGATTCTCATCCATGCCGGGTCGGTGCACGATACCGGTAAGACGTAGAACGGACTCTTCGGCATCGTAGTCGATGCTCACGTCAGATTTTTTAGCACCGGGCAGTGAAACGTGCAAAATATAGTTGGCTGGGGTGTCGAAGATGTCGACGGAGGGTTGGAAGTCGGTTTCGTTCTGTGGGCCAAAGGGGAATCCAAAGAATGCGCTCAGTTGGCGCATGAAGCCTGCATCGGGACCACGCATCCCACCACGTCCTCCTTTGTGGCCCTTGCCTTTGTGTCCATATCCCCTAAAGCCTTTGTGTCCGTGGCACTTGTGGCCTTTTCCCATCGGACTGCCGTACCCGAAGATAGGGTGCGCGTGGTGAGGTGGTCCAAAATGACCAGGGCCTCCGAAGTCAGGACCTCCATAAGGGCCGTATTGATGAGGACCAGGACCTCCATAAGGGCCGTGATGATGACCACCAAAGGCTCCAGGACCACCCCTGTGACCTGGTCCATGTCCATATCCATGGCGGCCCCTACCACCTTTGCCTCCGCGGCCACCTTTACCGAAACCGTGAACATGGTCGTGGCCATGACGACCCTTGCCATGGCGCTTGTCTTTGCGGCAACGGTACTCGTCCGATTCGGAGTCAGAACAGGAGTTCATCTCTTTATCTTGGGTCTCGGGGACCTTCTCGGTGGATGCTGTGGCATCAGCATTCTGTTCTGGCTCGGCATCGTTGTTCTCGCGCTGCTCCCACTCGCCGTGGCGGCGGTGACGGCCGCGGTGACCATGTTCGGGACCTCCAAATTCCCAGGCTGGGGGAGGACCGCGGTGACCGTGATGGCCGTGATGGGGTGGGCCTCCATAGCCCCAGTAGGGAGGAGGAGGAGGAGGTCCAGGGGGGCCTGGAGGACCGTGGTGAGCGTGTGGGCCGTGGTAGTGACCTCCATGAGAGAAGAAAGGGTGGTCCTCAAGGCCAGTGGCTGAGGGATCCCATGAATAGGATGGGTGATTGAGGTGATAGATGGAAGCCATCTTCAAAAGCTCAAAGTGATATAGATGTGTTGTCGGGGGTTGAAGGTTGTAGAAATAGAAGTAGAAAGTAGTAGTAGAAAGTAGAAGTAAAAGTAGAAAGCCGAGAAAGTAAAGTGGAAGTGGAAGTGGAAGAAGAAAGAAACAATTGTAGTTAATGATTTCATTAAGCTCTTATATACACTTGATCCAATGTACATGTACACATAATCCTTGTCAGTGGAGTCACCACGCGTACAAACAATCGTGCTGCCTTGGTTATCCCCCGCCTTTTACTGGCCCTACAACGCCTCCGAGCTTGATAAGTCCGAGAAGTGAATACATTGGGAATTCACCGTTTCCAAAAGATGCATATCCGAAGGTTATAGAATTTTTAGAATTCGGAGAAGGCGAATGTATCCACACTATCTACCGGATCTACAGTTGAAAAGACTGAATTAGGCATCAAGGACCGAAATTCCCGATTAACTTAAATCCGAGTGAGTCATCAACGCCACCGCTGCGCCACCGTGGCGCGTCACAAGGAGGCTGAAGATATATGTTATACAGGAATGACAGTAATAAAGATATACATTTAAATACTGTTCTAATCAGAATGAGAATATTGAACTCTGATTATTTGAGATATCAGAGTATATCGTGATTCATCACCTCCTGACTCGTTGATTGGTTTGAATCGTTGGATGCACTTGCTTGTCTATGTCGATGACTGACAAGCTACGAGCTGATGATTGTCTCAGTGCATCCTCACGAATGGTTATAGTTATTTGTCTGGACTTCCTCGGCCCTAGTTTCGCTTTTTCGCTTCACGCTGGCGTGCCATGATATGCGCTGTCCGACTCATTTATCGTGATAGCTTCATGTGACGGTTAACATCCTTGTAAAGCAGGTAGCGGAATGGCCCAGGACCACCGGCGTAACAGGCTTGCGGGCAGAAAGCACGCAACCACATGAAGTCACCTGCCTCAACCTCAACCCAATCCTGATTAAGACGGTAAACAGCCTTTCCTTCCAAGACATACAATCCGTGCTCCATAACGTGGGTCTCAGCGAATGGAATAACACCACCCGGTTGGAAGGTCACGATAGTAACATGCATGTCGTGACGAAGATCGGTCGGGTCCACAAAGCGAGTTGTCGCCCACGCACCATCGGTATCGGGCATCACTGTGGGCGCGATGTCCTTTTCGTTAAGAAAAAGCGGGTCGGGAAAGTCGAGTCCATCCACAGCTTCATAAGTCTTTCGAACCCAATGGAACCGGGCGGTAGCGGAGCCCGTGTTGCGGAGAGTCCAGCCGCTCTTCGGAGGGAGATAAGCGTACCCGCCCTCGCGGAGTGTGTGGGTTTGTCCGGCCAGGGTCACGGTGACTTCGCCTTCCACTACGAACAGAACTCCTTGTGCGCCGTCGTCGAGTTCGGCTCGGTCACTTCCACCACCCGGTTGCACTTCCATGATATATTGCGAGAAGGTTTCGGCGAAGCCTGAGAGCGGGCGGGCGATCACCCATAACCGGGTCTGGTCCCAGAAGGGGAGGAAGCTGGTGACAATGTCGCTAAAGGTGCCCTTGGGGATGACGGCGTAGGCCTCGGTGAACATGGCGCGATCGGTGAGGACCTGTGTCTGGGGAGGCAGACCCCCGGTGGGTGCGTAGTAACTTCTGACCTGGTTGCTCATTTTGGCGGGATGATTTTCTGTATAGGTAGAGTGACGGAATGCGGGAATGGTGGGTTGAATTGGTATTTAGCTATGGAAGAGAGATCAGCCCCGCAATTAAAGTATTTCTGCTCGGTTCTCTGTCCCACTTGAAATCCCGGCGTTGACCGAATTACGCGGGGCAGACCGTCGGTGCCAGCCGTGGAAAGGTCCAGATCCACTACCAACTATATGACTATATGACTCTTGATGGAAATTCGATGAATGGGAACAAATACAACATCTATTATGTTTAACATGTATAACTAATTATTTACCGAAGTATTTCAGCTCCAAGTACCTGGCTGGAAGAAAACTCAAAGCAGTCACCACAAAAGTAAACTCATTGGCAACATCACCGCCATCGATAACCTTGGCAAGAGGTCCCACGAACCATGTCTCACTCATACCCATAACCCACGCAATAACTCCGAGGGCAAAGGCCACACCCGCACCGATACCCAGAGGTAGTCTGGCCGGGTCATTCCACCCTTCCAAGTCATAGTTGTCGAAGTTGCCCTTGCGGAAGATATAGTGTTCCTCGAGGAGAATCACAGCGTAACTGGTGCACCAGTATCCCAACAAGCTCAGGAAGTCTTGGAGGTATGTGTTGAGCTTCGCGCGGCCGCCGATCGACAGTGCTAGGATGCAGACGAAGCAGATGATAGTCCATATGAACCTAGGAACACGAGCGAAGGGTCGGGAAAGTTGCTGGAAGGAAATAGCAGAGCTGTAGATGCTGATAACGTTGACGTTGATACCGGACAGGACGAGGAGGGTTAGGAGGAACTTCGCAAATCCGCGGGGGTGGAGCATATCCTGAATCAGATAGCCAATTCCCTGATCGTACGCTGCGGACCACTCAGGCTTGTTGTTCAGGGCAGAGGCAACGATACAACCAGCCACCATACCAATGGAGGTCGGAATGGCAATACCGAAAGTGGTCATCAAGAACACCTTTACCCGGCTGACATTGGCAGGGTAGTGAACATAGTAATCACTCGCCATTGTGCACCACGATGCGCTGGATCCGTATACCACTCCAATCAAACTGAGAACGGCAGCCGAGAGACCGCGGCCCGTCACAGTGGCTGGGGCCGTATTGTCTGCATACTGGCCAACCTCACCAAAGATGATGAGGAAGATGACAAAGAAGACCAACCAGGCCCATCGCTCATAGAGCAGGATAGCTTTCAGTCCGACGAAGGAGATGATCAGTGCGATAACCGCCAGGATGACGATACCCAGGATCAAGGAGACACGACCGTCAGACACAGCGGTTAATGCGAGACCGCCTGTAATACATGCGACGGCTGCCCAGCCCAGCTGCTGAATTCCGTTAAGCAGGGCGACAAGCTTATTCGGCCACCATCCGAAACTGTACCGACCGACACTGATCTGACGCAAACCGGTCACAGCGCCAAAGGTTGCGCAGAAGCCAGCCAGAGATGCGGCCAGGATAGATGTGAAGATGGTGATAAGGATGGATTGTTTCAGAGTAAGGCCGAATTCCCAGCCCAAGAAACCTGTTGCAAAGCATGAGGTGTTGAGTGTACTGCTAGCCCATAGCAAGGCCATTGACAACTCTTCCACCCAATGCACGGGCTTTTTGTCTTCGTCGCGCTTGCGTGTGATGGCCTCAGACTCCAGACCCAGCTTCTTGTCCATTCTCTCCTCCAGAGCCCGAAGCCTGGCTAGCAAACCAGTCTCACGTGGAGCAGCATTGTCGACTGCGACATCGAGAGAGGTCTGATCAACAGTGGAGAAATTGGTCTTGTCAAGACCCTTTTCCGGATCGTACTCCATGGAGATGTTGTGGGGAAGGAAGGGTGGAATGCGGCAGAAAAAAAGGGCAGAGCAAGTAAATTTATGTGCACGTGGACAAAAACACGGCTGATTGTGGGGGAAAGATAACATTAGACTATTAATCTGTGATAGGCTGAATCTGTACATGGTGCTGCGGACTCCGGTCGACTAAAATGACCGGTGCAGTTAGTCTTTGCCCCTAAAACCGCCACGCGAGCACCTATTGGTTGACGGGATATCATGATATGCAATTTTGATAACCCCCTGCAATGAGGGTGGTATGTGGCAAATCCAGACTCAGCTGATGCGTCTATAATTTCAAGGTTTCTTTTGAATGCGACCAAGTGACATTCATTAACGGTTGAACAAAATCAACATTGAAATTCAATTTGGACAGAACAAGCAGGAACAAGCATGGAAAAACCCTATAGAGTGGAATCTTTGAACCTTATCGTTATCGTGATCGTTTATCTTATCCATTCGATAACTTATCTGGGACGGCTAAGTGATTATCAGCTGATTATCTACTGGTACGGAGGACGGGGTACCTTCCAAGGTTATCTTTAAGAAGGATTTATATCCCGTAATTGAATTGACCTTTCATTGGAACATTGACCTCTTTCAGCGGCTTAGTTAAACGAGTGGGCCGCTCGGAGTGGGTCAGCCTCCGCATATCTTACCCATCAGATTGCCTAGATACTACTCCAGTACATGTACATATAAGATAACTATAAATTGGATGGCTTGGGCATCTATATCTAATTCCAATCCATGTTTTGACTGATGGCATGATTGCGGGGTATAATCAGCCTAAATGTGAATTCACGTGACCGTTTCGATTCCCTGCATCTGATCATCCCATCTTGCTATCTTGCCATCTTCCCCTCTTCACCTTCCCTCTCTCCTCTTGACTCTCCAAATTGCAAAATCGCATTCACATCCTCATACCCGATGGCATGGAGCTGTACTGCCCCTGCTTATTCCGAAAGTGGCACGTGTCACTCTTCACCGATGCTCCGAACAGTTCCGAGTTTCCCCTTGAGAATAGAGTTATAGTCGCGGGAGCATGAGCGAAGCCCGGTGAATTCCGTGGTTCGAACAGAGAAGTGATGATCTTGGGGATCTTGATCCGAAAGCTCCGTACTCCGTATATCCTTCACTCTCGTAACTTCCGAGGATGAGGTCACCGATGTGTCAGCTGAAGTCTATGACAAGCTACAATTCAAAAACACCTAGGATGCCACTAATGATGGAACTGATCATACAGGTTTTAATTGATTGACTGTAGTACCTCCGACTGACATTATGCCCCTCCGACCGCTGGGTGCCTTGCGCCCTCGGTGCATTCAACATCGAGCTCTTCGCTCACCCTTTCTCGACCAAATTCTCCTCGGAAACTCCTTCCCAACGCACTCTTCAAGAAGCCTTACCACCCAGATCAAAAACACCGAAGCGTCCGAAAAAGATGCCCACAAGGAACGTGTAGTCATTCTCGGATCGGGTTGGGGCGGATATACCTTGTCTCGCCGGATCTCTCCGACTTCCTTCTCGCCAATCGTCATCTCACCGCGTTCCTACTTTGTTTTCACTCCTCTTCTTACCGACGCGGCAAGTGGGTCTCTCGACTTTTCTAATATTGTCGAACCTGTGCGTGACCCGCATGCCAAGGTTGATTTCATTCAAGCTGCGGCGCGATCGATCGATCTCAAGAAAAAGACGGTTCTATGTGAGGCCACTGTGGTGAAGAGTGGTGTCACCGAGACAAGCACCGAAGAGGAAAAACAGGACGACAATGCTGAGGTCACGAAGGGATACCGGTGGTGGGAACGGGGCGAGATGTTCGAGGTCCCTTATGACAAGCTTGTTATTGCGGTTGGTGCTGTGAGCCGCACCTTTGGCACACCCGGGGTTAAGGAAAATGCCTTTTTTTTCAGGGACATTGGCGACGCCAAGCGTGTGAAGCGGCGGGTACGCGAGTGCTTTGAATTGGCTGTGCTGCCGACCACAACACCTGAAATGCGGAAATGGCTGCTCCATTTTGCTATCGTTGGGGCGGGTCCGACAGGTACTGAGCTGGCGGCATCGCTTCGTGACTTCCTCTACAAGGATATGATGAGCTTGTATCCAGCCCTCGATGACATTCCCAAGATCACTCTTTACGATGTGGCGCCTAAAGTTTTGTCCACGTTTGACGAATCGCTCTCTCGATACGCCATGGAAACTATGAAGAGTGAAGGAATCAATATTAAGACTTCTCATCATGTTGAGAGTCTCCGTTGGGGGGCGCCAGGCGAATCACCACCTCACGAGATGGATCCCAAGCGCTGCCTGACCATGAAAACCAAAGAAGAAGGCGAGGTTGGAATTGGAATGTGTGTTTGGGCCACAGGGAATGCCCCTAACAAGTTTATCAGGGCTCTGGACAAAGTGGATGAATTCCCCACGAAATCTGTCAACACGAGCCAGCCAACCGAGGATGAACAAGTCTGGGAGTTCAAGAAGGTCTCCAAGAAGGGTCCTCTCCTTGTTGACGGATATTTGCGCGTACAGCTGCAAGACGAGAATGGTCGTACGGTTGTTCTCCAAGATGTCTACGCGCTAGGTGACAACGCCATGATCGAAACCGGAGCACCACCTGCTACGGCACAAGCTACTTTCCAAGAGGCCAAATGGCTGGCGACACGGATGAATAAGAAGGACGTTGACCAGACTCCACCTTTCTCGTTTCGTAACCTGGGGGCCATGGCCTATATCGGGGATGAGAAAGCTCTCATGCAGATTCCACACGACGACAAGACCGGCAAACGCAGCAAGTACCTACCTGAAGGGATTACGGGAAGAATGGCGCATTTGATATGGAGGGCAGCATATCTATCTATGAGCTTTAGCACTCGCAATAAGCTTAAGCTTGCTTTCAGGTGGACGATCAACCGGATCTTCGGAAGGGATATTTCACGCTTTTGATTAAGTTCTAGTCTACAAAACTATCTATCCAAATCTGAGGTTAACGTAATGCTCATTCTGTGTACGGACTGTGTTCCGTACCAACATATTAATAAACAATCTCAAGACCCTATTTGTAGTGGTGGCAGACTATCTTCCAACTGCATTCCAGGGTGCCTGGGTGTGCTTTTTTTTTCTACGTACGATTGAATCACCAGTGCTACGCTCCGATGTCTGCAGTGTCCAAATTGCCTGCACATGAAGTGGACGCTAGGAACATCATAGATCAATTACTTTGCCGATGGAAAACGATGTATTACAAGTCAAGAAATCTTGGGAAGACTATTTTGAACCATTTGGTGGTTCTATACCAGTTCGTTCAAAGCTTTGCACCAACTGCATGTCCCTGCACTGCTCTATCGACAATTTCCATCGCCTGGAAGAGCTCATAGTCCCGTTGCTTTGGAGTCACGACTTGGACACTGAGTGGTGAATCTAGATAAACCCGACGATCGGTTGTTTTCTCATCCCCTACGAGCATTGCTGCATTAGCATGGGATTGGATTTCGGATCACCGTTAGACTTACATAATTTGCGATTCGCCTTATCCCAGCTACCTAAATCCGGTGAGTCCATCTCGCGTCCGATCTCCAGATCAGACTCAACCAACCGGCGTACCGGGATCGTACCGGCTGGATAATCCAGCAGCACGAACGATGAGGTGTATCCCACCGCATTGTAACGGTCCATCTGGGGAACTGGATGTGGCGCCACAGGACAAATAATAGCATCCACGCGTCTCTCTCGCGATAAACCGAGTGTCCACATGCTCAGCATCTCTTTCTCTAGCTGGGCGCGCTGGGCGTGCAGATCCGCTAGCTGGTTGACATTTAATGCCTTGCCACGCCCATACCTACCCTGCAGCCAGGGAATCAAAGGCTCGCCCATACTTTCGATAAGATCCATCATACTGGACCCATCATCAACACCCATAAGTCTACCAGCAACTGCTTGGCACTTGCGCATCGCAGGCGGGGTTGGGATATCGACAACCCCAACGCCCGGAGTCTGACGCAAGAGCCGGGCGACTTCATCAATAACACGAGCCACAGGGGGTAAGGGTGTGACAAGACCATCCGTCTTAAGGATACCAATAGTAAAGTTCCGCGGTGAAAGTGTCAACGGCGCAGGCGCAGGCCAATACCCCGGTATACAATCCTCATCAAAGAGTTCCGACCGCGGTACAATCTCACGCATGATAGCCTCCAAATCCGCAACCGACCGGGCAAGAGGACCCGCCACAGCCTGGATAGCCATCCGACCTTTACCAGGAAGCTGGCCACTTTCCTGACCACCATATGGGACACGTCCGTTGCTTGGCTTGAATCCATAGATACCCTGGCACATGGCCGGCACGCGGATACTACCGCCAATATCCGTGCCAAATCCGACCATCGAGCCGTGCATCGCGACCAGAACGCCCTCGCCGCCTGTGCTACCGCCCGCCGTCCATTGTCGATTCAGTGGATTCAGTGTCCGTCCGAATAGGTGGTTGCAGCTATCCAGCGTTGCGAGCGTCTGAGGGACATTTGTCTTGGCGATCACGATGGCACCGAGGCTCTCTAGGAGATCGACTAGCGGAGAATTTGCAGATGAAGGTTTAAAAGCCAATGCGGAGAGACCGATGCTCGAATCCACTCCTTTCACCCGGAATGTATCTTTCACCGAGACAGGGAGGCCATGTAAAGGGCCGACGGGGTGACCCGTACGTTGGAGGTGTTCGTCAAGTTCCCGCGCCCGATGTAAGGCACGGTCAAACAGAGGTTCGGTCAGACAGCGCGTGAGTTGGTGGGAAATAGCTGCTCTCTGAACAAGGTTAGCTCTCAGCCTGCAATATGTTAAGAATATAGAACGTACTTTGCAAAATGCCAGCACCACCTCTTCAGCCTTGATTTTGCCCTCCGTCATCGCTGAGACGAGTGCCCGTACATCATATTTCTCCGTAATCTCAAGTTCTTTAGATGAAAGTAGCCCACATGTGCGTGGAATCTCCATCACATTGACTCTGGTGTATTGCTTCGGACCCTCGGTGATGGACTCGGCCGGTGTGAGCATCCCCTCGGGGATGAACTGTGCAGGCAGTTTCCATTGTACGGGAATAGCAGCATCTAATTCATCCTGCTTGCGCAGAGCTATCGCCACATATGGTGAAGCCATGATGGTTGACAGTGGATAAATTGAGCGTTTCAGATGTACCGTAACATGGTGGATGCGGGGATGCGGAGAAGCCTCGGTTCGGATGTATGCAGATCAGGAGATTAAAGTGCATCATTCAGGCTTTAAGCCTTGGAAATCAGCTTCAAATTATTGGTTGTATATTGTAACTGGTTCAACATTCTTCTATTGTAATTCATAAATCTTGCTACGCATTTATCATTATATAATTTAATCAAGCTGCCGAGGGCTTCAGTCCTTCCCACTGCGACTTGGCAGTTTCGAAAAGAGCATCATTGGTCAACATATCCCATCCCACCATAGCCAGTCCCTTACCAGTGAGGACAGCCTCAACGTGTGCTTCATCAGTTCCAGCGGAGGCAGCGAAGGTCGGGTGGTGAGGGAAGCTGCCCTCCGGACAGGGAATGGCAAACATGGAGTGAAGTGTTGGTACGGCGTAGCTGACATTACCAGCGTCAGTAGATCCAGTCAAGACCTTGTCATGTCTCGGAACAATCTTTCTTCCATAAGAGCTCATGTGACCGCTGAAAGTATCACACAAAGTCTCGTTCAGAACAATATCGGTATAAAGTCCCTCCCTGAGTTCTGTTAGTAATCCGAGTCATTTGGTTTTGGTGCACGCATCAACTCACTCGACAATCTTAACAGTGCAGCCAGTGATAACAGCAGCTCCTTCAATACAGGCCCGGACTCTGGCAATCAAACTCTTCAATCCAGTCAAAGTCGGGCTTCGGATCTGCCAGTAAGACTTGGTGTAGGCGGGGATAACATTGGCGACCTTGGGCACATCCAGGAAGGCACCGTGAATGCGCTCATCGGGCAGAATCTGTTGTCTCAAGGTGGAGATTCCGTTGTATGCCTGAACCAGCGCATCCAAAGCGTTCACACCATCCCACGGGTTACCACCAGCATGGGCATTCTTGCCGAAGAACTCCACGTGCAGCTCCTTGCGGGCGTTCATCATAATACCAGCCGCTCCGTCGCAGGGGGTGCCAACCAGAGCCTTGCCACTGGGTCCACCGTGACTAGCAAGAGTTAGTTAAAAGCAAAGATGAGAAGCCTGCGATCACACTCACGCCATCAAGGAAATATCAACCTCCTTGTAAGCTCCAGCATTGAGTAGCTTTTCCTTGCCACCACCGTTCTCCTCTGCAGGTGTGCCAAGGAGTTGAATCCTGCCACCAGTATTAAACTTCTTCTGCAGGTGGGTCAGCGCCAAAAAGGCCGCCACACTGCTAGTGGCGATGAGGTTGTGTCCACAGGCGTGACCAATATCGGGCAAAGCATCATATTCAGCGTTGAAGTTGATCAGTCGGCCTTCAGTTCCACTGATACATTCGAAGGAAGTATCCACGCCATAAGCGTGTCTGGTGACAGTGAAACCCTGGCTCTCAAGGAAATTACAAATGGCATCGTGAGCCTTGTGTTCCTCATAGGCCAATTCAGGATTAGACCAAATCTATAGTGGATTAGCATGACACTGAGTTCGGACTAATATGAACTAGGGGGAGTACAAATTGGTTCAATTCACGAAGCTGTGTGGAAACCTTCTCAAGAGCCTCATCGATAGCGGCTTGAGCCTCCTTGGGGGAAACGGTAACGGGAATGATAGCCATTTGATCTGAGATGTGGTGGATTTTGGTGGACTTCCGGATGCGTCGGATGATTATTTTTTAACTGTTTTCTGTGATTCCTAAAGCGAAGTCGATCCTTTTATGTTCCTGTTCACGGGTCTCCGATCTCCACGGATATCCACTGGAATCCCATAGATTCATGATATTATCCGGCATAGAAACTACATAACTTAACCCCAGATATCATAACTCCTGACACAAATCAAATGAAAGGCGTAAGCGGATGCACTGGGTTTCAATCTCGGGGACATCGGGTTCTCTTCTTATCAATGATTCGCCCCCAGATAACCAAATCCACCAAATCCACCAAATCATCCAATCCGGGGCAGATTAGACTTCAGTTGCCGAACTCGTGGCTAAACTTGACCAATCATAGTATTAGAATTGCCGACTAGATACCATACTTTTCTACCTGGGGTTTAACCGAATTATCCCTTTGAATTTGCCGACCTTACGTGTTTTCCTACTTTCTATCATGGTGGCTGAGGCCAAATTCGTGTCTTGCTCGCGTATTATTTCCCGCGGGAAAGTCACGCTTGACTGATAGGGAATAATTTACGTAGTAAAGTGCTGGAATTTGCCACTTATCGTGATCTTATCTGTGAATTGTCTATCTTCTATACATTAACCCCAGCATCTTGGATTGGTAGTCCACATTATGACACCCTATCTTAGATTTAGAGATATCCTGACCGACAAACCTTAACAAACCTGGGGTATATAGTGGGATCCTTTCCTCGGATAATGATTTTATGCACATTGAATATACTATTTACTTTTCATCATGACTACTCTTAAGATGCCAGAGAAAACAGAATACATGGACAAGGAGATGCAAGACTCCAGTGTTGGAGAAGTTATGGAGTATCAAGCATCTCCTGAAGAGGAGCGTCGACTATTACAGAAGTTGGATTTATTGTGAGTTATCAATGCCAACAATGTTGTATACCAATGCTAATGGAACTAGTATGATTCCAATTATGGGCATCTGTTACATGCTTCAATACATGGATAAACTTGCCTTGAGTCAAGCTACTCTCCTCGGGCTCCGCGAAGACTTGGTAAGTCCTTCAATTCTAACTCAATTGGATATTCTCAGTCTCGTTACTAACATAAACAGGGCCTTGTTGGAAAACAATACACATGGTGCTCGGCAATTTTCTATTTTGGATATCTGGCCTGGGCTTACCCAACTTCTTACTTGATTGTGCGCCTTCCATTGGGGAAGTACCTCGCTGTATCAGTGTATGTTCCTGTCCACTAACCCCCTTGTATAATCTTCCTGACAGTCATCCAGGTTCCTTTGGGGTGGTATTCTCATGTGCCATGCAGCCGCCCAGAACTATGGTGGTCTCATAACTTGTCGATTCCTGCTGGGAATGGGTGAGGCGGCTGTCGCTCCCGGATTCGGTCTCATCACAGGAATGTTTTACAAGAGAGAAGAGCAACCAGCTCGGTATGTGAGCCATAAAAACTGAAAGTATAATCAGCAAACTAACTCTTCTTTAGCCAAGGTGCATGGTTCATCGGTAACTGCATTGCGAACCTCATCGGTGGTGTGATCGCATGGGGCATTGGCCAATGCTCTTCATCATTGGAAAGCTGGCGTCTGCTGTTCCTCGTCCTCGGTGCGATCACTTCCGGCTACTCCATCCTCCTCTTCTTCGTCCTCCCCGACTCGCCCGCGACAGCATCCTTCCTCACCGAGACCGAACGAGTAATTGCAGTGCAGCGGACCATGAAGAACAAGACAGGCACTGCTGAGGCCACAGAGGTGTTTGAATGGAAGCAAGTCCGAGAGGCTGCGTGTGACCCACAGGCATGGTGCCTGGTCCTGTACACATTCTGTGTCAACCTCGCCAACGGCGGACTTACTAGCGTATGTTGACCAAGCCCCTGACTTTTGAAAATATTGCTAACGTGGATGCAGTTCTCCGCTATCATCATTGCCGGATTTGGATACTCCGACTTCAAGTCCCTCTTGTTGCAGATGCCCATGGGTGCGTCTCAGCTAGTCTTCTTGGTCATCACCGCCGGAATCGCCACATACGTCCGATCATCGCGTCTCATCTGTATGTGCTTCAATGTGATCGTCGCAGTTATCGGTGTCGTTCTGATCTACACACTCGACGACACCCACAGAGTGGTCAAGTTGGTTGGTCTGGCTTTCGTTGCTGTTTTCGCCATCAACATTCCCCTCAGTCTGAGTATCGTCACCTCTAATGTTGCTGGTGCGACAAAGAGAAGTACTATCTCAGTTTCCATCTTTGCCGCATACTGTGTTGGCAACATCGTGGGTCCCCAATTCTTCTATGCCTCGCAAGAGCCAAAATACTCCAGCGGTATTGAGGCCTCTCTGTGTGGATTGGTAATTGGAGTCTTCTTCCTAGGAGTGCTATTTGTGTACTACATGTGGGAAAACAGAAGACGTAACTTGGTTGAGGGATCATCCGAGGTTGAGATTATCGCTGAAGAAGAGAAGCACAGGACCGACAAACAGATCCCTGGTTTCCGTTATACCCTATGATACACATGATTTTATTGCAGTTTATATTCCCACTATGAAATGAAGCTCCTGAATGGAACATTTACTTATACAGAATTCGATTCATAGTAAGCGCTCAGAAAAAATTCAGAACCAGCTGCGACACTCGCTAGTCACCTCCCCATCGTATTTCGGATGTAATGACCCGAAGATCCCAAGCTCATACATCCAAAATCAGGTATAGTCTCAGATAACGAAGTCCTTCCAGAATGCCTTGGCATCTTCGTTTGCATCGCCATATGCGCCCAGGCGTTCTTGGCATAAATTCTTCCAATCCACATCCATCTCCGTAAACCCAAAATAGGCAGGCACATATTCATACCAGATTAAAAATAAGCAACGTCAACCCTCCCGTCGATACATTGCATAGTTTTTGACATAACCGATCGAAGCTGCTGACGCACTTGAACGACTCCATCTGCGATGGTTATCTTTGTGGCTCCAATAAAGAAGGCCACGCGTCTTCGAGAATTTGACTATCTATCCGCTCGTTCCGAAGTATCGTCCGTCGCGATCGAACCCATCGTGTAAACCCCTTGGGACGGGTATTTCGGGGCAATTTGCTAGGTCCTTGAGTGGTTTGACTTCGACTTGCGTTTTTGGACCTTTGTCTGGGCGGTCTTCTAGGATCACATCGGATCCAATGCACCAGACCCCTCGTTTGGATGCCGTAAAATAGCTTGAGGTGGCTGGTGTAGTGGCATCAGATTTATTGTTCGAGGGTCTGGCTACAATGGATAAAGTCTTTGTCAAGCTCACTCATTGTGGATGGTGTATGATGGTTGATAGTTGGAAGAAGATGGAAATAATTCTCACCGCTACAATTATGTTTACATTAGCGGCGTGGCAGGGGTGTATCGACCATGTTTCTGTTTCAAAAAAAATTATAGAATTTGGGAAAACATCGACATCGCCTCACTCTCACGATTTTCTTAGATCTTTGTTTAGAGACGACCCTTCAGCACTGAACCGCCATCCGTCGTGATAACCGCTCCGTTCAAATGGCTCGAAGCCCGAGACGATAAGAATACGACTAGGCCCGCGATATCCTCAGGCCGACCCAAACGACCATTAGGCGAGTACTTCTCTAACTCCTTCATTCCGCCATTCAGCTCAATCAGGCCACTGGCCATCTTGGATGGGTAAAAGCCGGGTGCGATGGCATTGGTGAGAATATGCCGCGGTCCGAGCTCCACGGCCAGGTTCTTTGCCAGATGAATAGCCGCTGCTTTGGAGGCAGAGTAGCTTGGCGTGGCGTTTTCACCGATTGCACCAATCCCAATGCCGGCCACTGATGCGGTGATGATTACCCGGGATGGGTCTTCAATGGTGGCCTTGGCTGTTAGCAAGGGGGTGAGTCTGTAATTTGTCAATAAAGTCTCTATTGTGGTCAGATAGATGGACGAACTTTTGGATAGTGTAGAAAATGCTCTTCACATTCAGATCCATCACCTTGGAGAACATCTTCTCCGGGTGCGTATCGAACTTCTCACCCCACGTCGCGCCCGCGTTGGCAAACAGGAGATCGACATGATCGGTCGTCTTGCCAATTTCCGAAATAAGTCTGTCCAGGTCTTGCATGTTGGCACTGTCGGCTGGAACGGAAATAGCCTGGGCACCAGGCCGCTTATTAGGTAAGGCATTTAGCGCTGCGACGGCTTCATCGCAGGCCTGCTTCTTGCGAGAGGTGATGTACACCTTGGAGCACCCGGCTTGTAAAAGGCTGATCATTGATTAGTCCAAAAACTTCAATGTTTCCATGTTTGAACCCTCTCAAGTGGACCTAGAACGAACCCTGAGGCGGCATGCAGACCTAATCCACGCGATCCACCTGTTACGACAGCGACTTTGCCGTCGAGGGAGAAAATGCTCCCAAAATTGGAGAGTTGAACTTGATCGGCAGCTGACATTTTGCTTCGGTGTTTATGGAGAAAGAGAGAACTCTGATGTTTTAAGGGGTTTCAAGGTTGACATTCGAGCCGGGGTAGTTGCTGTATGTATATATGTCCTCGGAGCCGAGGCTCATTCCTCGGTGAAGAACCCCGCATATTCTATCCGAGTTAATAATCCATTTATCCAGATTTTAAGTTGATATTTGAACTAGTTGAATTTTAGCAGATTTGTTTATGAGATGAGTGATTAACTTCAATGGTACTTTTCATATTATTATGTATTGTTTAGTTAATAATAATCTAACCTAGTTAGTTACATGAATAACTTGGTTATGTATGCTTAGTAAGACTACACAAGATGTGTTTGATTATGTTTGCACCCAAGGTTTGTCAGCATCGTTGTCTAAGTTAGTTGACTATGGCAGACTTGAGTCTCCCATGTCCAGATTCCAGGACTCCCGAATCAGAGAGTTTACGAATCTACTACATAAATACAAACTTGGTGTATAATGACGTGCTCAAGTCCTGTACACAATGGATGATCCAAGACGAATCAAAGTGAGTGGATCAGTGGATCCTAGGAAATGTGCTCAATCTGTCTCAACAGAAGTATGGGACCTTGGTGGCCTTAAGAGGGGTACTTCACTTCAACTTGTCCTCTCCTACTGAAACATTTATTGAATCCCTACGTTTATTCACGTTTAAATCTTGAATTATGGCTCACACTCTCCCTTCCCTGCCCTATGGCTACGATGTAAGTCTTACAATGACTTTCACCAAGCACAGCTAACAATTCCAGGCCCTCGAGCCCATCATCTCCAAGCAGATCATGGAACTTCACCATCAAAAGCATCACCAAACCTATGTCAACAACCTCAATGCCGCCTTGGCAGCCCACGCTACTGCAACACAGACAAATGATGTCTCGGCCTTGATCTCCCTGCAGCAGAAAATCCGCTTCAACGGTGGCGGTCACATTAACCACTCCCTTTTCTGGAAGAATCTCAGTCCACCTGGCACACCTGGGAATGACCTTGCCAGTGCGGCACCGTTTCTGCGCGAAGCTATTATTTCGCGCTGGGGATCGGAAAAGGGATTCACTGATGCCTTCGGAGCTGCCTTGTTGGGAATCCAGGGAAGTGGATGGGGATGGCTGGTCAGTTCGGGAGGTCCGAAGGGACGGTTGGAGATTACCACCACAAAGGATCAAGATCCGGTGACTGGGGTTGATGTGCCGGTGTTTGGAGTGGATATGTGGGAACATGCTTACTACCTTCAGGTGAGTTTGTTGTGTTGGGATAGGTTTGACTCTACTGACATGATTCACGTAGTATCTTAACAACAAGGCTGGATATATTGAGGGAATCTGGAAGATTATCAACTGGGCAGAGGCCGAGAAGCGATACACTGCTGGCGTGCAAAACCCTCTCAAGCTGTGAGAATCTGTGTAACTCGTGTGGACGGAAGTGAATGGTTATACTGGGCTTTTGAAGAAACATCAATAAATTCAAGAATGCTATGAAAATCTGACTTGCACTCCGTACACCGGGTATGAATAAAAAATCGTGAAAGCCAAGACAGAATCAGTTGTATCCGACGATACCAATTCCCAGGATGGTCCCATCAGTCTCGCTCATGGTAAGCTGCCGACCCACGACTCCCTTCTCCGAGACGCCCAGGTCCAGCCTTTCGGGCAACTCAAACTCCACATTTGACTGCGACATTGGTGCATCCCTCGTAAAATCCAACTGGAATTGATGCAAGGGAGCAGTGGATGGTTTGTTGGCCGAGAGGTCTCCATATTTTCTAGAAAGGGGTCAGTATAGGCCAAGTTGGAATGAATTAAATCGCTTACTCAATTCGCATGTTCACTTGTCGACATCCACGCAATGTATGGTAGGTTTGTGCATCGTCAATCTGAAAAATGGCCTTGGTCTTGCGGCTGTGGGCCTCATCCTGGAAAAAGAGAGAATAGGACGACATGGAAGATGTCGAGGCGATAGAGTCAGGTGAGGTTGAGAGTGAAGCCTCCAAGGAATTCGAAGAGTTTTCGCGAGGGAAAAGCACGGCAATGGTGCCACCGATAGTCGGGCGGTTGCTGTCTCCGCACATGATGAATGATGAATGGACGAGTCTGAGAGAAAGCTGAAGTACTGTACAGATTTAAAGCAGTTGCGCGGGCAAGATATAATCATTCACTAAAGCAGAGGAAACAGGAAAGACAGGAACAGAAACAACCCTTATATAAGCCCATCACACCCCCAAGGTTGTGAGTGGAAACGAGCAAATAACGTGGAATCGTGGATCCGCTCAAATGCGCGCACTGTGGGGCCAAGTGGATCTCGAATCTTAATCTCCGCAATTTCCTCACACAAGACTATGCAGGTCAACAGGTCAACAGGTCAATTAGCGTCCACCATCAGCTGCTTCGACTTCAAAGAACTGATATACCCGGACTGCTGGGCAGTGCTTGGGCTCATCTGGGGAGCAGGAGCGGGTGTGGATGCCGTTGGCTGAGGTTGATGTAGAGTCCGGTGTGCATCAATCCAGCGATAAAGGAGAGCGGCCTGGGTTTCGCCTGGACCAAGGATCTGAGCCCAGCCAGGGAAAGCGGCCATGGTGTCTCCCTTGCTAGAAGAATGTCAGTTGATGAAACAAAGATCCCAAGATGTCTTGTACCTGATGTTGACGTGGATCCTATAGATCTTCTCGATGATTATGATGAATGTGAGCGACAGAATGATGCCGACGGTGATCTGCCAGCCAGGCACATTGATTGGGGGAGAAGACATGCTGAATGTCAGGTGAATGAAAATGTGAGGATGTGTTCTTCGGGTGTTGTACAGGTGGAAAAATGAAAGCTTCACGAGGTTTCACTAAGAATGGATTTCAGGTTCGAAAGAAGATTAGAACTGGAAGGGAAAATAGGAAGTCGATTTGGGGAAGTTTCAATGTCATGCTTTTCAATTCATGATTCCCTCGGGGAACAACGAACTTGAGGAAAGGAACGACCCTATACAACGACTTCCAGTCCCAGCATCAGGATTGGTTCTCAGTTGGCCCCACTATACCACTTTCCGCAGAGAACACCAATCTTCGCCCCATTGGGATAGCAACCCCTACCACAATGAGCAACCCGGATTCTACTGCCCAAATTTGGCATCAAACTAAAATTCCGTCTAGGGAGTCATCTTCTACAGAGTACTATAATTTGGGTCACTTTCATCGACCCGTCACAACTACCAGCCAAGATGCCCAGACTTGGTACAATCGCGGCCTGATCTGGGCCTACGCGTTCAATCACCAAGAGTCAGCCCGTTGTTTTGAACAGTGTATATTGTCAGATCCACTCTGTGCAATGGGATACTGGGGTTTGGCATTTTCCTTAGGTCCAAACTACAATAAACCATGGCAACTCTTTGACGGAGAGGATCTTTCAATCACCACAACGCGGGCGCATGGCGCCGTCATCGAGGCTAAGAACGCACTCAAGCATGTGCCAATGACCGCTGTGGAGAAATCCCTGATAGAGGCCCTGCAGTATCGGTATCCCCAGGCGAAACCTGTCACGGACTGCGCGGATTGGAACAGCCAGTATGCTAAAGCCATGGAATCTGTATACCAGGTCTTTCCGGATGATCTGGATGTCATTGCTCTCTACTGCGATGCGCTAATGAACCTAACTCCATGGGGTCTATGGGATCTGAAGACTGGTGGGCCTGTCCCTGGTGCTCGTACCCTGGAAGTGAAGCAGGCGCTCGATCGTGCATTGGAGCGCGAAGATGCCCTGCAACACCCCGGCCTCTTGCATTTGTATATCCATTTGATGGAAATGTCCCCTACGCCGGAGCGCGCACTCCCAATTGCAGACAATCTGCGAGGTCTTGTTCCTGACGCTGGCCACTTGGAACATATGCCGACCCACTTGGACATTCTCTGCGGTGACTACCGTCGAGCGATCGCGTCGAATACCTCTGCGATTCGTGCGGATGAGAAGTTCCTGGCTAATCAAACTTTGGGCCATTTTTACCATCTTTATCGCGCTCATGATTATCATTTCCGGATGTATGCAGCCATGCTGGGTGGCCAGTCCAAGATTGCTCTCAACACTGCCACAGAGCTGGCAGATTCTCTCACCGAGGATCTCCTGTGTGTTGAATCACCTCCTCTCGCTGATTGGCTTGAAGGATTTTTCGCCATGCGAGTACACCCTCTTGTCCGATTTGGTCGTTGGGATGATATCATTGCCTTGCAATTCCCTGCGAATCGATCACTCTACTGCGTGACCACAGCTATGATCCACTATGCAAAGGGGGTGGCATACGCAGCTACGAACCGAATTGAAGAGGCAAGAAAAGAACAAGAGCACTTCTTCTCCGCCGTCAAACAGGTTCCCTCTTCTCGAACTATCTTTAACAACACTGGCGTGGACATTCTCGGTGTTGCCGCCCCTATGCTGGAAGGCGAGATCTTATACCGCTGTGGAGAATACGATGCGGCGTTTTCTAGTCTCCAGATTGCCATTGACCGGGATGACAATCTTCCTTATGATGAGCCTTGGGGCTGGATGCAGCCCACTCGGCACGCTCTGGGGGCTTTGCTTCTCGAGCAGGGCCGGATTGAGGAGGCAGCTAATATTTACGCGGCTGATCTTGGAATTGACCAGGCTCTGCCTCGTGCCTTGAGACATCCGAATAACGTGTGGGCTCTACATGGATATCACGAGTGTCTCAATAGGCTGGGGAGGTCCGCGGAAGCTCGCATCCTGGAGCCGCAATTGCGCCTCGCTTTGGCCATGGCCGACCTGCCTATTCGTGCATCATGCTTCTGCCGGTTTAGATAGCCAAGTCGTCTCCACAAAACGATATACTACGTGGGATATTATAAAACACAAGTTTGGGGCAGTCATCCTCATCACACTTCGCGATTCATACTAGATACATTGGAACCCGTCTATTGAATGATGCTTTTCTCATTCCTCCATCTAATCACATCTCGTAATCTCGACATTGATTGCAAAGAGCTGGAATGGGAATTTGGTACGTGGGGGGGATTCGAGGATGGATTCAGCAGTGGTGACCTGATCCGGAGGTGCTAGAGGTGCTAAATACTCCATTTTACCTTCAGTTTGTCTCATTGCAAGGTCATGAGCTTCGTCTTACAGTATTGTAAATGTGGGTTTGTACAGTGTATTTAATTTAACAAGTATCAATTACCTAATCATTGATCTTACTAACTTAACCATGCAACTGTACTCTGTCACCGCATTGAAATGGCCCCCAATGCCAAATCGCACTATACTGCGGGGTTTACGGTCTTTTGTCAGTGTAAGCCGAGGCTATATCGAAAGCGTTAAAGCAGAGCCTTACACGGTTTATGGAGCTTCAAAGCTCTTCATTCTTCTTCAACCATGTCTTCAACCTTCACAGTCATCGAGCATGTAATGCCCGGTCAGCATATTAGAGAATACCCACACAGTATCAAGGGTAAACAAGAAACTCCCCTTCAGCTTGCCATAAAACAATATATTCCGCTCGATCGACCCACGCCCATCCCTGATAATGCGATCACCATCATCGGGTCTCCGGGCAACGGTTCCCCAAAGGAAATCTACGAACCTCTCTGGGAGGATCTGTATACGGAATTGAAGAAGAAGGGAATTCCGCTACGCGCTATCTGGATCGCAGATATTTCAAACCAGGGAGCAAGCGGAACCCTTAATGAACATGTCCAGGGTGACCAGAGTATGTTCTAGTGAGGGAGCTTGAAAAGAATCAATGGCTAATACAGATAACAAAGCAAACTGGTATGATCACTCTCGTGATCTCCTCCATATGGTCAATCAGTTTCGCGACGAGATGCCTCGACCGATAATCGGTGTCGCACATAGTATGGGCTGCGCCCAACTGTACGTCGTACCTCTCACTTTTGCAATATCGAATGCACGATAAAGGGCTCTGACCAACAAAATAGTGTTAACTTATCAGTTATTCATCCGCGTCTTCTCTCGACTCTCATCTTGTTTGAGCCTGTTATTCTTGACGACTCCTTCAAAGGACCCGGGGGACCTAACCCAGGCTTCCTATCTAGTCGCCGCCGAGATCTCTGGCCTAGCGCTGAGAAGGCTAAGGAGTCTTTATCCAAAGGCCTCAAAACATGGGACCCTCGTGTGCAGGAATTGTACCTTAAATATGGCCTTCGCAAGGTCCCTACTGCTATCTACCCAGATTCTACTGTCGGTCCTGAGGCCGTGACATTGACGACAACAAAACATCAGGAATCCTGGAATTACTTTACACCCAATCTTGAGCCCGAAAATTTGGACAGATTACTACTACCTGATTGGGATGTTACGAAGGAACGTCCTTATCTCTTTTCTCGCCCAGAAGGCTGGTCTGCCATGAGGAACCTGGCGTTCCTAAGGCCAACTGTGCAGTGGGTTTTCGGTGAGAAGAGTTATCTTTCTTCGCTCGATTCACAAGATGCGAAGATGCAGGTCACTGGGTCTGGAGTTGGCGGTAGTGGTGGAGTCCAGGCTGGGGCCGTGGAAAAGGCCGTTCTGAAGAATGGATCGCATACGCTTGTGTTTGAGAACGTGAATTGGTGTGCAGAAACTGCGGCTATGTGGATTCAGAAGTGGTTTGCAGGATGGCTAGCGGATGAGAAGTTTTGGTCCGAATATCAGAGTCGACACTCGGATGGGGAGATGCTTCGATTGTCGAAGGAGGCGATTGCGGTTGCGAAAATTCCAACTGGAACGGAGAGGGGCAAGCTACCGAAGGGCAAACTGTAAAGGTCTGTGTTCCTGCCATGGCTTCCAAGGTTTTATAAACACTGAGGACGATATTGGTACCTAGTAGGTAGCATATATATCAATATTGACTATATGAATCTTGGAATGAAGATGGCATTACCTGGGCATGAGAGATCGACAAATGAACGTGAAAAGGGAAACGGCCTATGAAAATGAAAGAATGAGGAAGAGGGCCTGTGTAATTAATTCTACGATTCATCTAATTTTCATTTTTTTCTTTCCATTTGGATGTTCAGTCTGCTTCATTTTGTATGGACTGATTTTGTACGGATTATTGTGGATTGTTTTTGTATGCTATGTCTACGAATGGACTTCATGTTTTCTCCTGTGATATCAAGAGAAATAAAATATTGATCATACTCATTCAAGCTTATACCTAATTCCTATTTACTAGAGCCTGGTGACGAAGATGCTAGGTATGCTTCACACGCATGGGATGAGCTTCGGTATTGAACACGAAAGTGTTCTTGTCACCTTTCTGGACCTGCCATTCGGCCTCTGTGATTGCGTTAGCATTAATTCTTCCTTTCTGAGCGGTGAGTCTACCTTCAGCATGAGTCAGGTACGAGTATTTTAGAACCTCGGCAAACAGGAAGCTCTCCTGGTTGTCGACCTTGGAGCCGCCATGGGCCGCGTTCACATTGGTGACGGCTGCAAAGCCCGAGTCGGTGCGACAGGTAGCATTAATACCCACAAATGCATTCCACACCCAGTCGCGATACTATCCTGGTCAGTGGATGTGATAAAATCTTCTTGGGCTGAACTTACGATGGTTTTTCCAGTCACACGGTAGGCGTAGTAGAAGCTCTCAATCACCTCCGGTCGCAAAACGTAGTAACCACTGTTGATATAAAAACCGGCTTTTTCGTAGAAAGCCTTCTGGCTACTTGGCACTTGTTTAGGGTCCCAGCCCCAAGATTCTGGGCCAACTTGTGTCAGAGTCGAGTTATAGGTAGCCTCGCAGCCATGAACAAGTTCCAGGCCAAAGTCGATAAAATCCTGACGACCCAGCACGCTCCCGCCGAGAAGAAAGCTGCCGCCGTCAAAACAGGTCAAGTGCTGCGAGCTAAGATCATAGTTGCCGTTGTTGTACGAAGACAGGAACGTCAGCTCCGGGCGGGACTGCGGGTGTGACGCCAGGTGTTTGATGGTCGACTCAGCGGCAAGAACCCAGCGGTCCTTGTATGTCTCGAACCGCTTAGGGTCGTACACGTACATTTTGATCAGATACTCGTAGAACGAGTCGTCGCCTCCATTCCAACTGACTGCGCCATCGGTGAATTCTCCATTATCGAGGCTGATGTGACTACCCACGAGGCCAGGGAACGGCTCCGTGCTGGTCGGCTGAGGGTTCAACAAGTACGACTCGGCCTTTTGGCTAAGATTCGCATACTGGTCGTCACCCGTCAGGTCAGACAAACGCGTCCATTCCAGTACCAGGGTACCAGTCACGGCGAGACCATTGGTTGTAGCCCCATCATTTCCTTGGGAGGTGATGTTGATGCCGTTGTAGGGAACACCTGACGGGGTGTCAAAGGCGAATTTGAGCACGTCGCCCAGATTCTTGGACTGCGTGAGCAATGCATCCACGCGGGCCGTATCGGTCACCAGATTTGCAGCTGGGCCGGTTAACAAATCATAGCCGGACAACATGCCAGCCAGATAGCGAATTGTCGTCTCAAACAAGCTGACCTGGTCCGAGGTCTGGCTGTAATCAATTCCGGCGATGTGTTCCAAGATGGTATTGACCGCATCTTTGTTACCCATGATAATGGCGGTTGAAAGTGCATCGACCGCGGATGCACCCCATCCATTCCTGTGAAATGCGGTTCATTTCGGCCCTTGTGTTCAAAATGGCCCGGAAAGATGCTTACCTCGAATCTGCGTTACCATTGGTCACCGGGCGCAACTCATCGTGCGGAAAAGCATATTTCATGTATCCGTTCCAAGCATGTTGAAAGGCCTCCTTGACAGCATCAGCTTTCTCTTGGTTTGTCGACGCGGACGCGCTCAAGACAGCCTCGGTGTCTTGGTAGGGTTGTGGATAAGCAGTGGTGGATCCCACCAAGCCCAGAGCCACTAAAGATAACAGTGTGGCGCGCATAGTTTGGTTGGGAGCCGTTCAGTCCAAAGGAGTGTTTAATATTGATATATACAGCAAAAGTAAACTCTTTAACAATAAAACTGCTTGTAGGGGGTAAAGAGGGTTAAAGAAGGAACTCCGGCAGCGAGGGGACAATGCGACTATTAAGAGGATTTGAGGTATGAAGAGTGGGGAAATCTAATGGCAAACGAGGAAACTGGGGCGTCAATGGTCACACTCGTTCCTGCACAGTTTCACCATATAATTGTAGTTAAATATCCGTGGATTCCACTCCAGGGGTTCGCAAGGGCAAGGATTTCCCCCCTTTTGCTTGCTGTTTTGGAGGAATGCTGAAGCACTGAGACCGACGATCCCGGATCCATTGCAAATTCCGATGATCGTCTATTTCGGCCCTGTAACTAGTCAAGATCATAACTGATTGATCAGCTCATCCGCCCAGGTGATGCTGGATTCCAATTTCAGGGTTTTGGGCACTCCCAAAGAGGAATGGATCCCCTCGGTGGCTGAAGGGGAAAAAGGAAGCTCATGCACTCGCACTGACAGCCAAGAAAGATCCAAGCCTTCCTCTCAGGTGAAGCTTAAGGTCCGAAACACTGCACCATGTTGCTGAATCAGGGAGATCATCATCCACAGACATTTCCCCGCAAAATGATGCATGTCTTGGCAGCGTTTGCGTTTAAGGGATATTCGGATGACTCGCATAGATCATGAACGTGGTCTGAGATCTGAGATCAGTATTTAGCGACATCAATACAAGGGCCCTACAGATGAGCCACAAGGCTCTTCTCCGGCAAAGCGAATAACCTTGGATGAAGTCTGCATTGGCCTTCTGACCGGCTAAATGAAGTCCATGAAGTAGAGACTGAGTCATCCACAATAACATCAAAGATCAATGATATAGCAATTGGGATTCTCCGTATAAAATAGGATATATGCTATATGCCATATATGAGTCATACGTTCATATAGTGAACTGGGTTAATAAGGATGAATCAGCGGATGCGGGGGGTTTGAACCAGTCAGAGAAAGAAAAAAAACTATTTGATGACACCAAGTCATCTGTCATCCACCCTCCACCTCTCTTAGGGGATTTCAATCTTGGAGATCTCTTCTTCTCCTTCTCCCTTTCTGTTTACACTAACACAATTCACCATGGCTACGCCATTCCTAATCTCCTACCCCTCCACCCCCACCTCGGGTCTTTCACTCAAGCAGATCGCCTACTTCGGGCGGGTGCTGGTGAAGGTCTCCGATCTCGCCGAAGCAGAGAAGTTCCTACGTGAACACTTCCGTCACCTCGATGTCTACGTAGACGCTACTGCCGTTTCCTCTACTGGCGATCTTGTCGATATTCTCAACGCTGGTGCCGCTAAGATCTTCATCACCCTCGAGCAATTGACCGCGCTCTCCCAAGAACAGTCCGTTCCTTCATCACGATTGGTGGTCTACGCCCCCTCCAACGATAAATTGGACTCTTTCCAGCAATGGATCGCTGCCAATGCCTCCGAGCGCAATGATGCCAGCGTCTGCACCGAGCCTGCCGCCGCGACCACCGCCGCCACAAAATTGAACATCAGCTCCGATTCCCCCCGTCTCTACGTCTCCTACAATGATCAGGCTGTTGCCGAGGATTCTGTGAACCAGATCACTCAGCAGGGCGCCATTGCCATCATCCCCTCGCAGACGTTGACCGTCGAGCGGGATGCGGCGGGTCAGCTTTCTGCCGCCAAGCTTCTGGTTTCGCGCGCTGTCACAGACCAGTCCAATGGTCTGTATGCCACATCAGTTACCGATGAGCGGGGCGCTTGTCTTGGTTTTGTCTGGAGCAGTGACGAGAGCATTGCTGAGGCCCTTCGGACCGGCACCGGTGTCTACCAGAGCCGCAAGCGTGGACTTTGGTACAAGGGCCAATCGAGCGGTGATGTGCAAGAATTGATCCGCTTGGGCTATGACTGCGATGCCGACTGCTTGGTCTTTGTTGTGAAGCAGATCGGGCGAGGTATGACTTGATTTCCTGATCTCTGAGAAGTCAATTGCTAACTGCGGTGACTTGTTCTAGGCTTCTGCCACCTGGGTACCGAAACTTGCTTTGGCCCAGCTACCGGTCTGTCGCGTCTTCAGAAGACCCTCCTGGAGCGCAAGGCCGATGCCCCTGCCGGCTCGTACACCGCTCGCCTGTTCAATGAACCCAAGCTTGTCTCGGCCAAGATTATGGAGGAGGCGGAGGAACTCTGCCAGGCAACAACCAAGGAGGACATCGCCTTTGAGGCGGCTGACCTCCTGTACTTTGCCCTGACTAAGTGTACCGCCGCTGGTGTCACTCTCGAAGACATTGAGCGTAACCTAGACCTCAAGAGCTTGAAGGTGAAGCGGAGAAAGGGTGACGCCAAGGGACCCTGGGCCGAGAAGGCCGGTCTGGCTGCTCCCAAGGCCGCGCCTGCTCCTGCCCCTACCCCTGCTCCCGCTCCCGTGGAAGATCGCTCGCGGATCGAGATGAAGCGTGTTATCACCGCGTCGACCCCCGCCGCCGAGGTCAGAGAGTACCTCAACCGCCCCGCCCAGAAGTCCAATGACGCCATTGTTGCCCTTGTGAAGCCTATCGTCCAGGATGTTCGTGAGAACGGTGACGCTGGCGTGCTCAAGTACACCCACAAGTTTGAGAAGGCCACATCGCTGACCTCTCCTGTTATTCACGCTCCATTCGCCCCCGAACTCATGAAGCTCAGCCCCGATGTCCAGGAGGCCCTTGATATTTCCATTGGCAACATTGAACGCTTCCACTCTGCGCAGAAGAGCAGCAACGATGCTCTCAGTATGGAGACTATGCCTGGTGTGGTCTGCTCTCGCTTCTCTCGCCCCATTGAGCGCGTTGGTCTGTACATTCCCGGTGGTACCGCTGTCCTACCCTCGACCGCTATGATGCTGGGTGTGCCCGCCATGGTGGCGGGTTGTCAGAAGATTATCCTAGCCTCGCCTCCCCGTGCCGATGGCAGCATCTCCCCGGAGATCGTCTACGTTGCGCACAAGGTTGGTGCGGAGAGCATCGTCCTGGCTGGTGGTGCTCAGGCCGTGGCCGCCATGGCCTACGGTACCGAGAGCATCAGCAAGGTTGACAAGATCCTGGGTCCCGGTAACCAGTTTGTGACCGCCGCCAAGATGCTTGTGTCCAACGACACTTCCGCCGGTGTTAGCATTGATATGCCCGCTGGTCCCAGTGAGGTTCTTGTCATTGCTGACTCGACTGCCAACCCAGCCTTTGTCGCCTCTGACTTGCTCAGCCAGGCCGAGCACGGTGTTGATTCCCAGGTCATTCTCATTGCCATTGACCTGAATGAGGAGCAGCTGCAAGCTATTGAGGACGAAGTCGATGCACAGGCCCGCGCTCTGCCTCGCATGGACATCGTCCGCGGCTCCTTAGCCCACTCCTTCACCCTTGTAGTCAAGGATGTGAACGAGGCCATGGCTCTGAGCAACGATTACGCTCCTGAGCACTTGATCTTGCAGGTTGATGGTGCCGAGGCTCTTGTTGAGCAGGTTCAGAACGCCGGTAGTGTCTTCATTGGCCCCTGGACCCCCGAAAGTGTCGGCGACTACTCCGCCGGTGTTAACCACTCCCTGCGTAAGTTTTATCCCCGTTCCTCCCAAGATCCATTAATTAACAATATAAATAGCTACCTACGGTTACGCTAAGCAGTACTCCGGTGTCAACCTTGGTTCTTTCCTGAAGCACATCACCAGCTCCAACCTGACCGCTGACGGTCTGTTGTCTCTGGCGAAGACTGTCGAGACTCTGGCGGCTGTCGAGGGACTGGATGCGCACAAGCGGGCTGTCAGTATTCGTGTTGCACAGATGAAGAAGGACCGCTCGTGATATGTTGATTCCATACAAAAGACAGTTCAACCAATCATGAGGAATGCGCGATGATTCTTTAGAAATAGTCAAAATAGCGAGACAAAAAGACCCATCAACTGTGGAGTAATTGAATTTATGAATATGAAGCCTTACGTTGAAAAATTTTCTACTTTTGTGGTCCTTTAATTGGGTAAGGGCATTTGTCATTTGAAATATAGAGATCGTGAGAGGCTGGAGTTCGCGAGACTAACGGCGGGACGAGCGGTGATATCACTGTTCACATAGTTTATCAAAAAGAATATTATAAAATGACCGAACACCTTTTCAATCGATTGCTAGCAGAAACTAGCACGGTATCATATGTAGGAGGAAACCCCCAAATGCAAAATTATCAAGCCTTTTGGGCACCAAAACGCAAAAGAATATCCAAGCCCAGCCTCGACATCGGAATCCGAAAACCCACCACGCTCACTAAAAAGGGGGGAAAAAATGGAAACTAGTACATTCACAGCTGAGCGACGTCATTCAGGATCTGCACTTCCTGGCCAGGCTTGAACGCAGGTAGACCCAGGTAAGGGCAGCCCGCGCAACGGAATGCATCACCAAGGGCGCAGCTACCACAGGACCCGGTCTGCTTGCCTTCCACAGTAAAGTCCAGCTCAGCCAAATCATCTGTGTTCAGCTTCAGGACATTCAAATTCTTATCAGCGTTCTCACGGCGCTCCTTATCCTCGGCCTCGAGCCGATCGGCCAAACCGCAAGAACAATCCTTGCAGGCCTTCCTCCTCCGACCCGTCTTGGGCTGGCACTCTGGAGCTGAAGAAGGTTAGTATATGGAAAGCAATATTCATAGGGGATAAGGCGCAAAACATACGAGGCATGATGGGTCTCGTTAAATCCTCTTCGTTAAGAAGAGAGTCCTCATTAATCAGCTCGTCATTATCGTCCCGGTCGTGATTGTTGCCATTCATGCCATCCAATGCGAAGCCACTTCCAAACTGACCTCCCATTGGCGGAGCTTGGACAGGAGCTGCAGCGGGGGTCTTCTTTTTCCTGAGGCCGAATTTCAGTGGTACGGCGGATGCTTGTTCGTAATTAGGTTTCTCGAAGCCGGTCGCATTCTGCACCAGGCCAGCCAAGACTGCCTCCATAGCGTCGGAGGCTGTAAGAGGTACATCTTCTGTTTGTAGCTTTCCGCCTGCCTTCATGGCCGGTACGAGCGCGGTGTATACATCCCGAGTGAGGAGCTGAAGAGCCTCGGCGCGTCGTGAGCCGTTGGCATCGGTGAGAACAAGGACGAGATCGTATGTGTTTGATGGGAGAGTGACGACACCAGCAGAGAGGCGGTCGAGCATCTGGAGGTCGGTGGAGGTGCGGGGGTGGGAGGTGAAGACAGCCTTTAATTTGTCTTCTTGTGTGGCGATGGAGGGGGGAGCGAGGAGGAGGGTTCGCGGGGTGTCGACCGGCTTTGGTGGCGAGGTCATAAAGACGTCGGAGTCGTTTGTATCAATGGTCACAATTGAAGGAGCCATTGTGAGTGGTTTGGGGGGGTGGTTTGGCTAGAGAGGAGTGGAAAAGAAGAAAAAGTAGATCCAAGTGAGGGGTGGCGATATCAGATAACTTAGTCAGCTTCAATTTCTAATCCTGACCCCTCTTGACTGTAAAGTGGGCCAGAGTACCTATCAGCTTGTGGGGATTACTATGTGGATCTATATCGAAATGGAATATGAGCACGCCTTATGATAATGCCCAAAACGCCGCCGTTTAGACTTTAGATATCAATGTCCATAATGATTTACTATTCCCTTTGTTCAGCTCCTCTAAACAAGGTCTGTATGGTCATACTCTTCAGACAATCCAGAGTCGTCATCGGGCTCTTCTGAGCAATCTTTTAAAGAAGAAGTTAGATGCTTCGGACATTTCTTAAATCTTCTATAGCAGGTTGAGTGACCTCTGTTGAAGCCAATGGCGTCCGTCAAGAAAACCTAGGAAAAACGGGGTACGGGCATTTAGGTAGATATTCCCTTATTTGGTATTGCTATATTATTCAGGCACATACTCGGAACGTATCTAGATAGGAATATATGTATTCTTTATTAGCCTTTCTATAAAGAATTACTAAAAGAGAAGATGTTTATCTGATTACTTCACTGGAATGCGAGGGGTAATAATAGGTACTGGCCCTTTGGACTGATCATTTGGCAAAGGTACGCCGACTCTCTTCAACAAGTTTTATACATATGCGCCTGAAACTCCCTTTCTATGCTGGTATCGATACAGAGCAAAATAAACCCATGAAAAACCACAATGGCCGCGGGTCATCAACTCCTCAATGAAAATGTCGAAAGTCACTTAGCGCTTACGCTCTCGGATCTTCCACTTGATCCCATTCTTGTTGGTTCCGCCCACGGAGTTGTCCATCTTGCCTCGTTGCCAATCCACCTCCCGCTCAGCGGCTTGGATGCCCTCGTACTGCTTCTGCAACGCCGTGAGCTTGTTTTGACGAGACTCGATGGCCCGTTTTCGAAGTTTGCGAGCTCGGCGAGCCTCGACAAGGGCTTGCCGCTTTGCTGCGATCTCCTTGGGGGTTCGGGTCTTGGCAAGTGCCTCGTCGTCACTTTCCGTAGCATCGGCCATCTCACTCCCCCGCTGCTTCAAAGCTTTTTGTTCATCCCGGTCATCGGCGAAGACCACCTTGCGTGGCTTGGACTTGGTGGGTTTATCGAAAACATCGTCGTCTAGGTCGTCGAATCCGTCGAATTCATCATCGTCCACTGGCTCTTTCTTCTTCTCTTGGGTCTTCACTCCCAAAGCGTCATTCATGCCATCCTGCAGTTGTATCTCACGCTGCAAGGTCTCGATCTGCCGACGTATCCGTTCTCCAGCCGTTCGGAGATATCCCTGATCCTGAGTCTTGAGCAGCTTGATCGCATCGTGGCTCAGTCCTGCGGCGGATACTCGTCCCGCGCCACCTCGACCATGCTTCCCTTGCGTCTGATTGTGACCGCCCATCATACCAAAGTGAAACTCATCGGGGTTGCGGTCGCGCGCCTTCTCTTCGAGGCGCTTGATCTTGGACTTCTTGGCATTGTAGTCTTTGGCACGAAGCGAGTAATCCTGTTTCACAAGTCAGCGTCATTTCTATAAAGCTGACTTCTAAAAAGCAGTCGCATAAGACTCCATTGATGACCAACCTTGTGCTTTTCAAGAATACCCCACTTCTCGCGGCCTTGGAGCTGGGCACGCTCCTTGTGGTTTCGCCGCTGAACGGCATTGCGCATGGAAGACATGCTGAGCGGTTGTGTGGCTAGCTGTGCAAGGGCAGATAAAACAAATTAAAACTCAAACAGGTATAATATCAGGGAGAAACTTCGAGTTTGAAGGTAACAAAATCGCCGATAAAGTCCAAGGGAATTGCAAGTGTAAAAGCATTAAGAAAATTTATTTTCTGCCATCTCAGCCCGACTCGGCTCCTCACGCTCCGCATCAACACACCCTGCACCTGCACCTCATCTTGATCAGATATTTCCTCTCTTCCCAATTGTCTGCTGCGCACGGTTTACCCAGATCTCTCAAGGATCAAGTTTAGTTGCCTGTCAGCTAATAATTCATCCATTGAGTCTACTACTCAATCTTCCACCTCCGACCACGCCACATACACTGATCGACACCCCATCCTCGATCTCCGTGATCGAGCTTCTCCGTCCCAATGGCTACACCATCTACTTCTGACACGCCGGCTACTTCTGCATCCCGCAAATATAACCTCCGCAATCCGCTTCCTCTCTCTGCATCCCAAGAACAAGAAGTCAAGAAGCTCTACTACAAGCGTGTACGAAGCCACTGTGCTCCCGAGATTAAGGGTATGTACCCCTCGCCCTATTCTATTACCCTGTCCAAGCCTCCAAAAGCCTCAGTCTATTTCTCACCTCAAATCTCAAATCCTGTATACTTCAGAGACATTGAACTAACATCATCGTACAGCCTTCGCCGAATGCGCCGTCAACCGAACCGTCACCGCAACATGGATCTGTCGCACACAGCGTCTAACTATGAACTCATGCATGCTCGCCCATGCGATTCCAGAGGAAGAAGACCGCGCACGCGAGGAATGGTTCTCAACATATGAGGAACGACGCCGTCAGAAGGAAGAGGAATTCGTTCTTGTGGAAAAGCGGCGTGCGGAGGTCATCCGCATGATGCGTGAAGATGAGGCACGGAGTAAAGAGAAGGCTCAAGGGAAATGATTGGCTTGATGCTATTCAATTACTGACGAACAAGCGTATGTGATATCCCTTGAGACTCTGGGCTTCGTTTTATTTTCTTCCACCGGGTTTTTCTGGTGAGTTGTATATTGTTGTATATGGGTCTCGGAGGGGATTGGATCAATTAAGCTTTTCTTCCCTCGGACAATGAGCGCGTCCTTTTGAGCGATATTGAGGAAGAAATCTTTGGTTTACCCGATCGTTCCAAGGTCTTGGTTCGACTTCCCTGGATTGACAGGTTTCATCCAGTTTTATATCCCCTGCTTACCGAGAACCTCCGACCCTCAGGAATTCGTATGTCTCTCCTCACGGCGCAATGGGCTTTAATCAGGAGTTACTGTTTTGCTGGCATCTGTTCTTTTTTGCATGGTCATCCGATATGGATGGCATTCGATTTCATGTACAATATACACATGCATTTGGCGGTCATTAATCGCTATCATCTTTTTCATTCCGAATTCGATATACAGTATAACGCTACAAAATGGTTACGTAGATTCGTCAAATGTTTTATTTTGGTGACTTAATCATCGATCTTTTCTCGATCTAAATGATTCTCAAATGTATTCAGATGTTATGATAATGACTCCAGAAACCAGGAAAACGCCATCCAGCCCTCTGAGGCCATAATGAAAGCAGGATATTTAAAGAGAAGCGTAAACGAGACTAAACATCATTCATCTTGTGGTCTTCATCATCACCCGCTTCGCCCATGGCAGTGTCTTCGCCAAAGATATCCTCCATCTTGCCATCGTTCTCTTCCTCATTTTCTCCCTCCTCGTCCTCGCCAGCACCCGGCGCAGGGGCATCTGGTATATCCTCCTCTTCCTCGCCTTCACTATCCCATTCATCTTTCATATTCCACCCTGTTCCTGTAAGACAGAATCGCTCTGGCGGCAACCGCATACCAGCCATCATGACGCTCTGGTTCGCCGCAGCCGCAGGTGCCCCGTTGGGCCCACCCTGGGCCGCAGCATCGAATCCTCTCGACACACCAGGCAGCGCAATACGATTTCTCTCGGATGCAACGTCCATCAGGAATTCCTTCGGTAATCCAGTCTGGAATTGATAGTGTAGCCGCGACGCAATGCTCAGCCGCAGCGCTGGGAGCGAAACACCATTGACCTCTGCTGAGTTGGCGTTCTTGCCTGTGTTCCCGGCGGCATCACCCACCGCTCCGGCATAGCCTTCTGTGGCGAGGTGGACGGCATCTTGAAGTACGTTGGAGGTATAGCGGTAGGCGAAGTCGAGGAGTTGGAGGGGTACGCGGTCTTGGTAGGCTGTTACGCCTAGTGACGCGAGAAGCATGTGAATCAAGCGCACATCGCGCGGGCGGCGCGTTTTACCGCTATCTTGTAAAGATGTTCCGGGGATGTGTGATGGGTGCCCTGTTGATGTGGTTGGTGCTGTCGCGGGGACCGCGGCGGATGGTTGCGAAGTGGTTGCTGCTGGGGCGGAGGTGCCGTTGGCCCCTGAGGATTCGGCGGGTGGAGTCAGAGGTTGACTCGCTGGCACAATGCCCTGGTTCTGGCCTGGAGAAGCCATGTTTGGGGGATTCGTGAGTTCAGATGTGGAGTAGTCGTGGATGGGAGGGGGGAGAAATAGACCAGTCGGGGAGTTGGAGGAATAGTTCCGGGCGATCGTTTAGATAATGACCCGTAGATGATCCTCTTTCATTACTCGGAGCAGCCGTTTCTCAGGAGGCCTGGGGATTTAAAGTGAATATAGGATTGACAGAATTGAGAGGGGAAGAAGCGTGACGGGAGGAACTTGATGAAGCCGAAAAGAGCGCTGGAGCTCCGATATTACGCTAACCGCTTTAGGTAAGTGAGGAACTATGTATGCATCACAACTTCAAGTCCCTAAATCCACCTGCTTGGTTTATACCTGGTACTCATGTCTTACAATCTTGTACTTCTAGCTCAATTGAATTCATCTTCATGTCTATGCAAGGGCAACATAAGCCGCTATGAGTAAACAGGATTGTAAACAGGATTGTGAACAAATCTTTCAAACACCATGGATGCAATTAAAGGTAAGCAGCAATGACAGGTTGCAGATGATACTGTAAGGTCCAACACCAAGTATCTGCAAAAGAAAAAAGGTTGAACAGGGTATCTCTTTGCCAAAACAAGAAAAAAAGTACTCTCATCGCGTATGCACGTTCTAGTTGAAAGAAGAACTCGCAATGTTGTAAGTGGGCGTCAAGACATATCAAACGCCATGGTCATCAATGGATTCAGGCTCACACTGAAAAATTATTCACGCATTTCGTGAGGACTTGGGACGAATCGGTAGGGTTTTGATATCAGCAGGTTTGATCATCTCTGGCAGGCCCTCATCTTCCTCGAAATCGGATTCATGATCCAGAGGATTTGAATCTCCCTCCACAGACCCCACGATCGATCCCGCTGGGTTAGACAAGACCGAGCCTTGTGAGAGGTAACTAGCACCAAGATCAGTGCCTTCCTCGTCGCTAAGGTCGTCGTCGCCCTCGCTAAGTTCCTCGTCGGAGTCTTCCTCGTCCGCATCTTCATCTTCGTCTGCTTCATCATCAAGAGGCTCCTCATCCTCATCTTCATCTTCGCTGTCGGTGGGCGAGAAATCTTCCAAATCTTGCGGCGTGTCTCGCCAGTATGTGAAATCCGTATATTCCTCACCACCGGACTGTACCAGAAGACTGGTTGGGGGGAAGAAATGATCAAGCAATTCCCGCATAGTTACATAGCTGCTTTTGTACTTGTTGAGACTGAGCAGATCCAGGGAAACCTCAGCGTTGGAGTTGATGGTAAAGATCCGTGTGGACGGGATGTTGACAGTTCGATAGCTCAAGGCATCGGTCAGTCGATTGCCAAACCCAGCGTAGAATGGGTTCTCCTTCCCACAAAACAGATTGAGAATGTCCCGAAGACATGCCATTTTGAAGACTTCTGGCTTTCGGAGGTAGATTTCTCGCCTCAGTGCCGCCATGGTGCGATCTGGACTGCAGATCACGGGGCCTCTGGGCAGCCGGTATCCCTCCTGGCAGACGCCATAAAGGTATGACCGTGTCGTATCGGCTTGCCCAACGGATCGACTGGTGAGGTACATTATATTATAGCCGTTGTTCACAATATCAGTGTACAATTTGGCGACTCCAGTATGAGTCCAGTCACGTCCAATCATGTTCAAAACGTGACCAAGTGCATCCGACCTGGGTGTATTGTCAGCTTTTGAAAATCTCATCTGTCAAGTCTCGGGAATCCACGTACTTGGTAATCGTTCCATCAATATCTGAAATCACGATCGGAGTATTTCCATTCCATAAATACATTGAAGCTGTACATGTCGCTTTGTTCACGCTGAAAGACATGGTATTGGCCCCTGGCTTTAACTGAAGAGCCTTGAGTTGGTCACTTGTCAACCGCAATGTCTTGGCATAGTTGCGGGTTTCAGTAGCAAACGAATCGTGCATTGGCGTTTGCGGAGGTGTTGGAAAGCCTGCAACATCTGACTTGGTTCGATGGTGGCGGACCCCAATCGGTGACTCCGAATTAACATGGTCACCCTCACTGTGATACCCTGGGTCCGAAATTGCATCATCGCTTAGCACTGTGTTGGGTCGCATAGAGTTGATGGCCGCTCTCCGATCAGCTGCCTCTTTTGCCTCTTCATTACTATAGATCCAGAGGTTCCCATGCTCGTCGGCTCCAATGAGCGCACCAATATCGTAGCTTCCTTCCAGCTCCTCTGCGAGGATCTTGCGGGCGAGAACCTCTGCCCGAAGGGCATCTTCCTCGTTGCTTTTGTACCCAGTCATATCCAACATCAGATCGCCTGTTTCTGTGACATGCGATTGGATGTTGGAACCAGTCAGCTTCTTGGACAGTGAAATTGCACGCGACATTGCTTCTTCCACGGACACCGGAGGTGGACTGCGGGAACGGGCTCGTTCAGCATCATCGTCCTGGGCAGAGCCGGTTGGAGAAGAGGATAGCTGCTCGGTCGCAGCCCGAGGCAGGCCCGTCGAAAGTAAATCTTCAGATACCGAATGGTCGAGAGATGGTTTACTTAGATGGGCATTGAATGGATCATGATGCGAAGGGTTTAGATCCGAGCCATCGGGAGAGCGCGACAAGGGCGTGATTGTGCCTAGATCAGTTGCAGCTCGCGCCTGTCGCGATATCGGGATATTTGGTGGGGTCTTTGCCCCCTCGGAAACCGCTTCGCCATTCTTCTCCAAGTCCAAATACTCGGGTTCCTGAAGCGAAGACGTAAAATCATCGGTGGGCACCTTTGGGCTGCTAGCGGGCGACACTAGCGGGGAAGTTTGTAGTGACGCGGGGATCTCGTCGGTGGTTTCGAACACGAAAAATGCCTCACCCGCTTCTCCTAGCTTCATTGCATACTGTTGTTTTATTCCGTTGACCTTGAATTCCACCTTTTTTTCAAATGGGCGCAAAAGCGAGAACTTTCCGAAGCGGACATGGAAAGGCGAGCAGGCAAGGGTTCCTTGCGACAAAGACACGTCAGGAGAAGTCACATGGAAAGGAACTTTGCACCAAGCTTACCATCTTCTTGCTCTATGACAATCACATCAATAGCTCCACTCAGGGTGGCGGGGTTGATTGAGTTCCATGTCTTCGACACAGAGCCGCTAAGGCTTCTGACGTACTGCATCTTGCCGAGTTGGGTCAAACACCCTCAGCCACACCGTTGAATTGAACAAGGAATATCAAGCCCTGGATTTCACAAGGATTAAGTCGCAATGAAGGGCACAAGTGAGGGAATTAAATCAGTTGGAGGGGGAGAGAGAAGGATGAGGAGTAAGAATCAAGAAATTGGAGGAATCGCCGCCAAACGGCCCCATGTGACACTCAGCTGACAATGCAAGGAACAGCTGAACCGACCACAAATAAATGAAGTCGCACAAATATATGATAAATCAGTTATAGAGGAACAGAAATAGAAAAAGACTGAAATTAGAGACCCTAAAACTCAATGATCGATTCCAGCCGGTCATCCCCGGATCTGTTGGTTCATCAACATTCAACACCCAACCGATTCTTAAGTAAGCGGCCAACCAAAGGTGCCGAGGCTTTCATGGATTGGACTTATTTGTAAGGTATACACGCTAGTCCTTATTTGGACTAGTGGCCGATCGTTCTGCTTGTTATTACACTAATCCTAATTAGGCATACCCTGACTAACACTCAATGTCACGTGGAGTCTGGTCCCACTCCACTGGAGAAAGCCGATCAAGAAGGTCTGTCTCCTCAAGCCTACTTTACCTCTCCTCCCTCCAACCTCCCCGCCCGCTGGCCCCGCGTCCATGGGTTATCGACGGGATGTATGAGCCACTTTACTACGCCTTTGACGCTTACCCGACGGTCATTCCCCGAGTCAGAGTGCGAGGCGTGATGGCTCTCTTCTTAGCGGTCTCCATTCTATGGGCCCTAATCTGGTGAATCTCAATGCATTTATAATTGGTCTCTCGGCAGTTCCGATTCTAATAAGAAATCTAGGCTTTTGTATCGTGCATGGCAGGTATGCCAAACCCCCAATGAGCTTCTCGTTGAGAAGCTGGGTCTAGATATTCCGCCGCCGCCCGAAGTCACCCTGGAAGAGATCACGGCTCGTGAGATCCACCTAGCCTGGAAACAACCCGATTTTCATAATTCAATACATAAGCATATCATTCAAGTGAACAGTGTCAAAGGTATGTGCTTATGCTCTGGATGTTCAGTCTGCGGAGGAAATATTAATAGAGCACTAGTGGGCGAGTCGAAACGAGCAGAGACCGCGGTTGAAATTCTAAATCTCATACCCGGAACCATCTATCACATCTGCGTTTTATCCGTCAGTGCGGCAAATTTCCAGACCCCAAGTGCCATTCTCCATGTTCGAACAAAATCTCTTCCGTTGTCCCGATCCCAGCAGGATGCCCCCACCGGTGGTCCGACAATCCGAGCATCGATCCCGCGATCCACGGCCGGTCTACCGACTCCATCTGCTCCGGTGATGGCACGTGAACATAGCGCGGGACAATTGCCAGGGAAGCGGCCGGCCGCCGGCCGCAAACTGTCACCCGCGGCTGGAATGGCAGATTTTACACACGGACACGATGAATTGCATAAAGGGGTGCTCAGGAACGATCGCGATGGAAGTCTGGAACAACTCGCTGATCGATTGAAAGCGTTACAACAAGAAAATGAAAATATGGAAAAACAGGTGACTGAGGAGGAAGACGAGCATAATGCAATGATGAAGGAGTTGGAGAAGCACCGTGACGAGCTGAAGAAGCGGGTGAAGGAGAAGGATGAAGTTAGCGGGGATCTGAAGAAACATGTCTCAAAACTGGAGAGCGTCAATCGCTCCGTGCAGGGCGAGAAGTCCAAACGAATGAGGCTTCTTCAGCAGAAGGAGGCAGAGCGCAAGAAACGTAAGAACGATATCATTCGATGGCAAGAAAGGATTACACGGATGACTGCCGATGCCGCTCAAGCCAAAGAGGACAAGGCCCGGTTGGAGGAAGATGGCGAAGCCCGAGGGGAAGAAATCCGCAAGAAAATTGCGAAAGAGCAGGCGGAGATGAAGTTGATCGACGAAGAAATTCAAGACAAGGGAGGCCGGATCAAGAAGCTGGAGGACGAACGACAAGGTCTCCAGGGCGGCGATAACGAAGATGGGAAGGAACTGGACCGAATTGATAATGAGCGGGCTCGTCAATGGGAGTTGAAGCTAGGCGAGCTCCACGCTCGATACGCTACTCTCGTCAATCTTCATGCGCAAGCACAACAGCAGTATCAAGAAGCCCAAGAGCGGTTGAAGTGGCTTACCACGCAACGTCCTAGTAGCTCAGGTCCATTTGCCTTGCCGACTTTGGAATTGGACATGTCAAATTCAGCGACCATTCGGCCCCGCCGTCACCGCAGCTCTCTGGTTAGCAATTTCTCCTCGCCTATGAATTACCCGGGTATCGAATCGACGTTCCCGGGAATCAATTGCAACCCGCCCTCTTCCAACTCGCCCACATTCGCTCCTACGTCTACCTTCTTCAATATTAATAATGGAATGACCCTGCCGAGTTTGTCCGATCCACCAGAGATCATGCGCTCTGACGCGGAGGCTGCGTTCAACAATCCCCAAATGAGTCCCCGAGCCGATGCCTTGCTGCCATCGGATCTGCTTGGCGACGAGGAGTCGCCTGAATTCCCGCGCCCAGTGGGCCGCGCGCGATTCTCGACGATGGATACGTCCAACATGCCCTTGGATGGATTTGGCCACGGCCCTGTCTCGCCGGTTTCTTCTGGGAGTAGGCCCGGCAGTATATTTGCTAGCCCGTTGGAGGCCCGCAATCGACGGGACTCTGATTCCCAACCAGGGCACTTATCCGCTACTGAGGAGGCGCCGAAAAGTGCTTCTCGACGACTTTCAGGTATTTTTGGGTTCCACCGACCCCGTGGCAAGACTTTGGCGGACGGACCACCTATGTTGGGTACTTTGAAACCGGGACAAAGCCAGTCTTTCCCACGAAACGTTGATGAGATGGACCCGATCGGATCGCGACGTCGGAGATTGAGCTATACGGGTAATTGGGCAAATGCAATGTCCTTATTCCCTCGAAGTAACACGACCGGTGTCACTGCAGACAGTTCTTCCGATCATGCGCCTTCCCGGAGGGCTGCTTTCTCAAACATCTTCTCATCCAGCAAATTTGGGTTTGGCGGTGCTGGCAGCCGTGGAAATTCTGATCTGAGCACTGGATACAATCAATTCAGCCCTCGCCATGACCCCATTGATCCGTCGTCTCTTCTTGGTGGCGTTCGACGGGGATCTCTTTCTCCGCGGCCGTCATCCACGTTCTCGTTCGATAATACGAATCAGCTTCCCCATCCCTCTACGGACAACCGTCATTTCGGGTGGCCATCGACGGATCAAATGGGCCATCGTAATAGTCCTCTGGGATTGGATTGGACGTCTCCATCGACGTGGTCAAGAGCACCTTCTCGTCGTCCCTCAATCCAGTATGGGTCGTCTGGGCATCTTCCGTTGGGATTGACGGGTGAGCCGGATTTTGTCGAGGACACATACGACCGTCATCATCGGCCGCTGCAGGCGCCGATTGGTACCCGTCCGTCATCATCCCACCGACCTATCACACCAAGGCTCAACCCGGCTGCGCCATCTTTCAGAGGAATTTTTGCGAGCAGGAAATCTGACAAGGACAAGGATCGAGACGAGTCTGATGTCCCCTTTGACCTTCATGTCGATGATGGGTCTCCTTCAGAGCCTCGCACCTCTCGCTCCTTCTCACACTTCACTGGCGAGTCATACGAGTCCCTGGAACGCATGCCGTCCGGTACCTCCGTCGACAACGCATCGAAGGAATCATTCATTCGCAAGATCACACGCAAAGGCAGCTCGAGCAAATTCAGCTCATGGAAGGACCGCTCTGGTTTGTTCTCGAAAAAAGGCGAGTCCTCACAAACAGATATCGATGAGGACGCAGCCAGTGAGGCCCAGCTGGCGAAGAGCATTGACAGTACGCTCTCTAGCGTGCCATCTGCGGACCGATCTACTCGCAGCAGTCTTGGCTTCTTCTCTCGCAAGTCGCGGAGATCCGACAAGGCGAGCGAGACGAGTGAACGGGCCAGTGAGACTGGCGATGAAGAAATCCCGGAAATCCCAGAGATTCTTTCGTCTTGATAACCCATGCTTCTTTTTTCTCAGATTCCGCAATTACAAACACCTCGACGGCTTCGGTTGAACCGAAATACATCAGTCAATAGTGATCATTCCTTTACACAAATTATTAGTAAATATTTCTTGAAAGCTCCTTTGCATCCGTAATACCTCATAGTCCATACCAACCTTAATATAAGTGGGGCAGTGGACCCATCAACTGGTGAATCTTATCGCGCGCACAAAATGACTCGTCGATGCGATAAATCTAGTCACTCGACACCACTGCATATTCCACCCACAAGATGGCAAATTCCAAGTACATGATTCGCCCATTCAGCAGATTTTTTCATATGCTGATTCCAATAGGTTCGAATACGTCAAGGACTTTGAACAGTCCGATCCGTTGCTCCCCAGTACCTGGATTGTGGTCCGTATTGACGGAAGAGGATTTCACAAGTAAGTTGCTTGAGAGTCGTAGATCCAGCTTATTGCTGATTTGCACGTAATTGTCTTAGACTTTCAGATCATTATGCTTTCCAAAAGCCTAATGACCGTCGTGCGCTTGATCTCATGAATGCGGCTGCAGTCGAGGTCATGAAAGATCTTCCGGATCTATGCATTGCCTATGGTGTCAGTGACGAGTTCAGGTATATTTAATCCTATTCCTACTAGTCAATGCTCTATGCTGACCAATTTCTCAGCTTTGTCTTCTCCCCTAGCTGTCAACTCTTCGAGCGGCGAAGCGCGTAAGTACTAATTTATTTCTCTTTCATTCATGAACGCCCTTGAACGCCCATTAATGAGACACGATATCTAGAAAGCTGGTTACAACCATTGTCTCGACTTTCACAGCATACTATATCTATCTGTGGTCCACATATTTCCCCTCTACCCCACTAGCGCCACCCTACCTCCCATCCTTTGATGGACGAGCGGTCATTTACCCCAACGCACGTATTCTTCGAGATTACATGAGCTGGAGGCAGGTCGATTGTAGGTTCAGCTTATATCTATCTTTATTGAGAATATTTGCTGATCAATGGCACTCAGGCCATATCAATAACCTTTACAATACTACATTCTGGACTATGGTTCTGCAAGGTGGTATGAGTAATACCGATGCCGAGCAAGAGCTCAAGGTATGGCCATTTCCAGGGTTTATGATATACTTCTGTTGACTTGATCCTAGGGCACCGTGTCTGGAGACAAGAATGAGATCCTTTTCAAGCGGTTTGGGATCAATTACAATAACGAAGAGGAGATGTACAAGAAAGGAAGTGTGCTCTACCGCCAGGTAAGATATCTCGATTTTTTATAGTAATGCACTCTAACTCGTAACAGTATGAGCTGGTGGAGCCCAAGGCTACTTCTATCTCGACAGATGAGGCTTCGATTCCAGAAGCCAAGCAGTCAAGATCCCAACAGGATAAGCTGAAGAAGCTGCGTCGCAAGGCTCAGGTGGTAGTTGACCATGTTGATATCATCAAGGATGATTTCTGGGCGAGGCGGCCTTGGATTTTGTCCGGGACCCCGGGCACGTTGCCGCAGAACTGAGATAGAGAAGATAGGGAATTTATGACGCCTTAATATTCATGTTTCTATTCACTGTATCATCTCCAGACAAAATGGGTATCTTGATCGCGAGTCAACGCGTAGGCAAAGTCTATATACGTGCAATGCATGAAAGTCAGGTGCTTTTGGACTTCTTTTCCTTCTCCTTTTTCTCCCTAGACTTCTTTAAGTCTGTATCGTCGTCGCTTCCCTTGGACTTCTTGCTGGTCTTCTCCTTCTTCTCCTTCTTCCTTGTCCGGGTTGATGCTTCAGTGGCGTCCAAGTCTGGCTCTTGTTCCGTCGACATTGGTGTAGGATAGTCTTGTTCGACAGATCGCTTCAACTTCTTCTCTTTCTTATCCTTGCGTCTTGCTCGACGCTCCTCCTTGCTCTCCTTCCGCTTCTCTTCTCCAGAAGAATCACTCGACGGACAAACAGTCTCCTCCACCTCCTTCATCTTCCGCCGTTTGCGCTTCTCCTCTTTCCGAGCAGACTTCTCCTTTCTCGCCTTGCGATCGTCGTCGTCATCATCGCGCTTCCGTTTGGACTTGGAGGGCTTCGCTTTAAGTGACTTTTCGTCATCAAGTGTTCCGGCCAGGCCCTGTCCCCGCACAAAAAATCGGTATAATTCACTCGTGAGCGCATTCCCCGCCGGTGCGGCTGTTTCAGGCTTGTCTTCGCCTACACCCTTAAGGGCATCTTCGAATCCACGAAGCCACCACTGGTTTGTCGCGGAGTCTTTGGTCACTTTCTTTCCAACGCCATGGTTATTCTGTTTACGCGCGACGAGAATGGGGCGTGTGAGACCCAGACCACCGTGCGGTCCTGGGCGGGAGTTTTTGTTCAGAGGGTTGCCAGGGCCAGACCAGCCGTGGCGCCTGAGGTAGGCCTCGGCGTCCATTCCGGTTCGAATATGGGTTGGAGATCGGCTCTCAGAGGATGCGAATGTAGAGGTTTTTAAAATTGTCGGTATTCGCCTGTCGCCATTGACTTTGCCAACACTTCACCTTTGAGAGAAAAAGTCGGTCGGATAAGATAAAAAATTGGTTCCTGGATAAGGCCGATAACGATGGGTCACATGATCATCCAGCATACCACAAACTTATACAGAGTACTCCGTACAGAGTAGTGCAAGTAGTGCAAGTAGTGCGACGTGAGATGTATCTGGCAAATTGATCGATCTCTGAAAGGTCCATAATATATGTCCATACTTTCAATATTGGCGATGTCAGGATAGAAAGCGATGTTTCCATGCAAGTCATATCTTCCGGCTTGTGTGACGGACTTGTGAGACAAGGCAACTCAGGTGGTTTCATAGGCTGAAACCTACTTCTAATTCTGCTATCTATTTTTGCTCTGGAATGCACTGCCAATGCTACACAGTCAAGGCCAAGCTACGTTTGGCGCCTACATGGGTACGACCCGGTCCGATATCCTTACATGAGAGTGCAGGAAATCTCCGATACCCGCCGAGCTGATACCTGGACATTCAAGTGAGAGATTAATGGGGTTTATCGACCGGAAAAGATTGCAGGATCACAATATGTAAGGGGTAATAGCCGGGACGAGGCAACTGTACAGTACTCCGCATGAGCATTGTGGCTGGTTCAGCTCCATCCAGTCCCGAGGTCTCGGTTGCAGGAAAGTCAAATACTTTCCGTCTCGGCTCTCCACTTAATATCCGGTGTGAATGGGGGAGTTCAGTGTCGATCTTGCCAGGAAAAAAGCAGAATAATGAAATAAAACAAAAATGAGATTTTAGGATAGATCAAGTCTACGTAACTTTGAGACCACAGGTATGACAGATTCCAAAAGCAGATCAACCAATAAGTGATCTTAAGTACTCAGATGTAGCACGGATCGACAAAAGCAAATCCCGGAGTCCAGTGGCTCGCTTTCACCTGCAAGGGTGAAGAGCAGATACTTCGTACTCCGTACCGTGGAACATGAGTTACCCGACCAGATCCACCTATATGATTCATGAGCTAATCGTGGGGGGGAGTGGAACCCAAGATACTGGGTTTGGCCCCCAATCTCGGTACCAGGTCCTTTCTCTGTGATGGGATCGTCATTGATTGAGGAGTCAAAGAAAGTAACGGAGTACTTGTTCCCATTTGGCTAAAAACCCGGGGCTTTGGGAAGGGTGTACCAAAAGGGTAAGCCATACCAAACTAGATCGGGTGTTTGGGTATCCATTTCCTTGGGTCTCTGTAAACTTCACTTGTAGACGGTCCGCTGTCCCGCCCGTAAACAGTGGGTCTAGTCGATCATTGAGAATGGGAATGAGCATGGGAAAGAGAAAGAGAAACAAATTAGACTCTTTACAGCAGAGTACGGAGTAGGAGTAGGAGTAGTAGGTTAAGAGCATGTGGGTAAAGTACCAAAGTACTTGAACCCGAGAGACTGGATTGACTAGGATGTGATCAGTGAGACTAATACCTGTAAAAAGCCTTAACCCCTAAAATTCATTACAAGGTACGTACTAGTAGTATGTTCGTAAACTTCAGAAATCCCTGGGACTTTCTGGACTTCCCTTCTCCCATCCCGCTTGCTTTATCCGTCCAACCCCCACTGTTATCCGTGGGACTAGGATAGCTTCGACTTGATTGAAACCCTTGGGATGCTGGAGATCTCTTTGTTTGCAGGGCTCTGACATCCTGCTATCTCTTACTCGTCTCCCTCCGTTCACTCGTTTCTTGGTTTCGCTCAAGCTTGAACATCCCTCAAACTACCCTTGGGTTCACCCTCTGCATCGCACATCTACTTTGGTTCTTCTGGCGGCTGGGTGACGGGTCCATACTAAATTGATTCGTGGTTTTTTTGTTCCATCGTCATTCTAACCCGAACGCTTGTGCGACCCCTCTTGACTTACCCGACCGCGTCTCGATTTCTACTATCCCAAAATGCCGCTTGACGACCACCGTTTACGCCATTTGCCTCCAATGGCTATTTCACCACCCCCACCCAAGAGATATAAGTCTGAGTCGACCCCCGCCAGTGATGCTGGCCGTCAGAGATATTATCACTCCCAGTCCGTTTCCACGAGCGAGCGGGCTCGCTCACGCCAAACATCTACCGCCATGGATATCTATGTCATTACCGATCGAGACCCTTCCGAACGGGATCACGACAAGGACCGTCGCACCGGCCGCTTCACCAGCAACGGCTCGGTCGCTTCCCATGCCTCATTGATGTCACACGCCTCGCGTCCGTCACCGCCAGTGATCATCAGCAATCGCAAGTATGTTCCTCTTAGGCGGAGGTGGGGTTGAATCCAGTCGCTGACCAGGTATCTAGAATCCCTGAGAAATACCCTCCCGTCTCGGAAAATGACCGCTTGTATCATGGCTATCACAGGGGCATGTACTTTCTCCCCTGTGATGAGGCGGAACAGGACCGCCTTGATATTTTCCACAAAGTCCTGACAGTCGCGCGCGCATCGGATGGCTTGATATACGCGCCCCATCCTCCCAACTCGCGCATTCTGGATTTGGGTTGCGGGACGGGCATCTGGTGTATCGAGGTCGCCAACAAATACCCCGATTCCTTTGTAGTCGGAACCGACTTGGCCCCCATTCAACCCACCAATCGGCCCAAGAATGTCGACTTTCACGCGCCTTTTGACTTTGAGGGTCCTTGGGCGATGGGGGAGGATTCTTGGGATCTGATTCACCTGCAAATGGGAGCTGGGAGTGTTCAAAGCTGGCCGAACTTGTACCAACGAATCTTCGCCCATCTTCGTCCAGGCGCCTGGTTTGAGCAGGTGGAAATCGACTTCGAGCCTCGCTGTGATGACCGTTCGATGAACGGACTTGCCCTACGCCACTGGTACTCGGCCCTTAAACATGCGAGCGAATCCCGGAATCGGCCGATCGCGCATAGCTCGCGGGAAGCCGTGCGCCACTTGCAAGAGGCGGGCTTCACGGAAATTGACCACCAAATGGTTGGTTTACCGCTGAATCCCTGGCACAATGATGAGCATGAACGCAAGGTTGCTCGTTGGTACAACCTGGCCATCTCTGAGAGTATTGAGGCTCTTAGCTTGGCCACCTTTAACCGAGCCTATGGGTGGCCTGTAGAGAAGATCAAACGTATGGCGACTGATGTCAAGTCAGAAGCGTTCAACAAAGATATCCACTGCTACAACATCCTGCACATTTATCAGGCGCGCAAGCCGCTCGCCAATTAGCTTTATGATCGGTGCCCCGGCGGCACCTTGAAGCGTTCGAGCGTGTTTTTCTCAGACGGGGTCGGAGTGACTCTTCTTCATTTACTGTCACAGTTGAGGTCTAGAGCTTTGCTCGCAATCAAGCCTCACTGCCTGTCAAGTGTATTCCGACCCGGCCCTCCCATTATTTAACGACTATACCCCCCTGATACGCCAGCGTCTGCCTTGACCCAATCATCTCGAGGCGATTATCACGACCAATTCTTTCTCTTTTCGATCTGATGAATATTCCAATCGAATCAACCCAGCAGCAACAACGGCAATCAAGCTTGTGGTATTTATTACCCAATATAAGCTCTCTTTCATATCCCTTGATCAAGTGAAGTTGCAGATCACATCATGACTCGGTTTCTACATGCTAACATTAGCATCTTCGTGGCGTTTGGGCTGGATTTCTTTGCTCCAGCTTCGTGGTATATACCCAGGTGTCTCACCTTAGCTTCTGTTGAGTTTGCTAGCAGACAACTCCTGATATATTTGGATGGAACCTTTGGACCTTTGTTTTGATATTTTATAGCTCTTGTATTCAATACCCATAAGCCCTACGAGTCCGAATCTTCATGGTTTTTGCCCCGTCAAGTTTAGTCACTGGACGTGCGGGTAATCTTGATATACGTAATAGAGGGGTAGATTGTATTTTATCATTCAATGGGTATTGATTATCATAGATTCATGACAGGGATTTTCAGAGATGGCTGTTTTTCGCAGTACGTCGCCTAGATGCCACAAGAGTATAGAAATTCGACACCCAACGCCAAGACCAACACTTCCTTTTAAAACGCCACCCCAAGCAAATGGAAAATTCTTTGAACGAACGAGCATCTTCAACGCCGACGGTTCCGACCTGTGCCTCGGGAAACACCATTAGCACGAGTGTCTTTGTCCACGTCGCCATCGGCAGCGTCCCGGCTTGCACCAGGGGTTCTTCGGCGCATGGTACCAGGGCCAACGGCGATGATATCTTCTCCACTCTCGCTGTCTGAGACGTCCAGGAGAACGGGGACACTAAAGGCACCCGCGAGATCAAAGTCGGCCGTATCCTTAGCCGGATCAGCGGTGACGGCATCAGGCTCCTCGTCTTCCAGGTCTAATCGGCGCCGATGCACCTGTTCTGCTGGGTGCAGGTCAAATTCATCCTCGCGCTCCATGTACTCGACGCACTCCTCTACTTCACCGAAATCCGGTGCCAGGGCGGACCATTTCTGTGGGCTGATGATTGACCATACATAGATGCACCCACTCTCCAGACCGCAGGCTACAACCATTGGTCGTGTGGGGTGCCATTCCACTACGCCGAGTTCCTCACGTGGGCCTTCGAGGATCTTGACGAGGGATCCGTGGCTGCGTTCCCAGACGTAGATGTCTGGGTTCATGTAGGTTGTCGCGGTGACGAATTCGCCAGTCGATGAGAATGTGACGTGGTTCCAGCTCAGCCGATTGACGACGTCCTGGAACTTGTGTTCGACGATGAGCTTGATGTTGGATTCTTCGAGGTCGATGCCGAGTTGGGATAGGTCGGGCATTAGAACGGTGCGAATGACACGGTCTGAGCTGTTGACCAGTATGTCTCGTCCGTTACGGGCAAGACGGAGGAGAATAACCACTCCGTTGCAGAGACGCGTGGAGTGAATTGTCCTGCAGGTTTCGGTTTCGATAATGTTGATCCAGCCTTTCGAGGTTCCGGCAATGATGTGGTTTCCTAAGGCTGAGAAGACGGTGACGCAGGTTGAGTGTTTGGCATCTTGCATAGCTTGCTTGGCTGCCAACGCTGGGTCTACTTCCTCGCTCTCTGTGGATTTGGGTCGGAGGGGGGCAGAAGGGAGGATGCGTTTGACGGGTGTTCTTTTGGAGACATCGACGAGGACAGGTTGGTCTTCGAAGAGGGAAGCCACAAATAGGAGGCTGAGTGGTGAAGGCAAGGTCAGTCATTTGTGAATGGGAAACGGGTATAGAGAAGGGCGTACTGGTTGAACGGGTGGAGCTCAGCAATGTACACTGGTGCCTCAAATCGAACGGTACGTATGCGCGAGCCATCGTCCAAGTCCCACAATATACACTTGCAGTCCTGGGATGAGGTCAGGAGATAGCGACCGCATCGCGACCAGCTAATCAAATCATTAGCGACTTGCACCTGTGATTTGGGGCGATGGCAAGTACCTCAGAGACTGGATCTGGCGAGTGTGGCCTTGAAGCTTGCGCGCGACACCGTTTGTTTCAATATCAAAGATGACCACAGTGCCATCCACCTATATTCTCCGTCAGACGTCATTGCTGGGTTTGTGATTCCGTGGGTGTACGAACTCGACCGGATGCTAGGTAGTCGCCTGTGTGGTTGAAGCGAAGGCAGGTTGCATGACCGCTGCCTAGATTTAGTCAGTATGTGGGGTATTGAAATATTTCAGGTAGTGCTCACTAAGTTTCTCAGTCAATGTATCTGGGTATTCCTGAGCCAGAACAAATGGGTCAATGAGGGAGAGGTTCATTGCGGCGGGGATAGAGAGACGCTGTTAGAGATAATTCCCAGCCTGGAAGAGCGGCCAGGAGATTGAAAAAGCATTCAGTATTCACTGAGCCTAGACAATAGAATCTCACGACCCTCACAGCAACCTTAGAATAATGCAACAATGTAACAATGATATTGCGATAAGGTTGTCACATTTGATCTGCCACTCCGGAGGAATTCTTGAAGGCGGTGAGGCCGACAATTACACAAGCATTTAAATGTTGGCATTCCAATATTATATTGAGACACCAATTAAAGTAATTCCTAATGGCTATGTAGTAGTTAACAATGAGTCTGTGGGGTTTGAATGAACTTGATTCCCAAGGCTAGGGCACGTACATAGGCAAGTTTACCATAATTTAACCTAGTGTGGATATCGGACATTGAAATATATATAAATTCAAACTTTGCGCCTTAGAATCTAGAACCGATGCCACATGCATTTAGATCTGACCAAAACATAATTGTTAGAACAAGTGCGTAATATGTCATAGAATTACTTAAAATTTGGCATTAAAGTGTTCAAATTCCACAAAGTATTCTCTAGCAGTAAGATAGAACCGCATGGACAGGGCCAGACTATACATGGGATCCACCTGGGCAGAAAAGCATCAACGTCGAATGCTTAGAAAGACAGTAGCTTAACCTTGGAATACAAATTTTACCTGATATGATCTTTGGAAAGCATCATTTCTGTGGAGGAAGCTATACTAACCAATCCTTGAACGTTGATCAGTGTAGTAACATCTATTTATCGAGATTTGGGTTAAAAATGGTGGAATCTCCAAGATTCTGCCCCGTTCTGTCAATATTCACCGCCTTCCAAATATAGTCAGCGACCAGCACCGGTCGCGCTAGTGAGTCCAGGGAAAACTCGAGCCCCATCAGCGGGTGAGGCAACCTTCACCAACTCCCTTTCAACCTCCCCCGACTCGCCCCCCATCACCTCACCATCCAAGAATATCGCGTTCCCCATCGCGATATCTCTTTAGGATCACCCCGATACGCGACCACCAGCGACTGCCCTGTCTTCGCTCTCCTTTTCAGGGCTTCGTGACTTCGGGGATTTCAGGTCGCCGGCGCCCTCGTGGCAAGGGCTGCCAAAGGCCTCAGCCGGCCAGCTTTTTCAACCACACCTTCGTTTCATCGTCGATTGTTGTGAATCTGACTCTTGAGCATCGGTTCAGTCGGTCTCTTCAGCTTTTGCGCGTTAACGACGATCGGATCCCTCGTTCTCTCACCTCCGCGTCCGACCCGTCTATCCCGAATATCGTCACTTTCGCATCTTCCCATCGCAATCATGTCTAACGTCTTCTTTCCCTTCTCTAAGGCGCCATTGCGCACGGTCAAGGAGATTCAGTTCGGTCTCTTTTCGCCTGAGGATATCAAGCGGATGAGTGTCGTGCACGTCGAGTACCCAGAGACTATGGTATGGATCAATTAAACCTCTCAGAGTTTTGACTACAATCTTCATTTCGATTGAAACAAGTTCCTAACTCGTGATTCTCATAGGACGAACAACGGCAGCGCCCTCGGACGAAAGGTGTAAATGACCCACGCCTGGGTACGATCGATCGCCAGTACAATTGTGAGACTTGCGAGGAAGGCCCGAAAGAGTGTCCCGGACACTTTGGTCACATTGAACTCGCGTCTCCAGTGTTTCACATTGGTAAGATGCGCAAATCCTCGATTGGCAAGAGTACGCGCATGCTAATTTTCTTTCTCTCAACCAGGTTTTTTGACTAAAATCAAAAAACTCTTGGAAACAGTCTGCCACAACTGTGGAAAAATTAAAGCTAATACGGTTAGTCATCCCTCTGGGGATGGCAAATCTTACATGGCATGTTTTTTTACTGACAACGAAACCAGTCCGATTCCAAGTTCTTGGAAGCTCTTCGCATGCGAGACCCGAAGCGCCGTTTCGACCACATCTGGCGACTCTCGAAGGACGTACTGATCTGTGAGGCTGATCCCTCAGCAGACGATGAGGAATACCAAAAGGAGGGTCAGAAGAAAAACTTCCACGGTGGATGTGGCAACGCCCAGCCTACCGTTCGGAAGGAAGGAATCACTCTTGTCGGCACATGGAAGCCCAGCAAGAGCATGATGGAGGAAGAAATGGCTCAGCCGGAGAAGAAGGTGATCACTCCATCTATGGCTTTGAACATTTTCCGAAACATCTCCCATGAAGAAGTGCGCATTATGGGTCTCAGTAACGACTACGCGCGCCCTGAGTGGATGATTCTTACCGTTCTTCCTGTCCCTCCTCCCACTGTCCGCCCCAGCGTTATGATGGGAGCTACCAGTGGCTCTCGCGGCGAGGATGATTTGACATACAAGCTAGCTGAGATTGTGCGTGCGAACCAGAATGTTCAGCGCTGTGAACAGGAAGGTGCACCAGAACACGTTATTCGTGAATTCGAGTCCCTGCTGCAATACCACATCGCTACATATATGGACAACGACATTGCTGGCCAGCCGAAGGCTATGCAAAAGGGCAACCGACCCGTTAAGGCTTTGCGCAGCCGTCTGAAGGGTAAGGAAGGCCGTCTGCGTCAGAACTTGATGGGCAAGCGTGTCGACTTCTCTGCTCGTACTGTCATTACTGGCGATCCGAACCTGTCTCTGGAAGAAGTTGGTGTGCCGGTTTCGACTGCCAAGATCTTGACCTATCCGGAAGTGGTGACTCCCTACAACATTGAGAAGTTACAGGCGTTGGTCTCGAATGGACCAAACATTCACCCTGGTGCGCGGTACATTGTTCGAGACAACGGTGAGCGCATTGATCTTCGTCATGCCAAGCGTGCGGGTGCCCAGCAGCTCTTATATGGCTGGAAAGTGGAGCGTCATTTGGATAACGGAGACGTTATCCTGTTCAACCGTCAGCCCTCACTTCACAAGGAATCTATGATGGGTCACCGCGTTCGCGTTATGCCCTTCTCAACATTCCGAATGAACCTGTCGGTCACGTCACCCTACAACGCTGATTTCGATGGTGACGAGATGAACTTGCACGTTCCCCAGAGTGAAGAGGCGCGCGCCGAGCTGTCTGAACTGGCCCTGGTCCCGAAGAACATTGTGTCTCCCCAGCGCAATGGTCCTCTCATGGGTATTGTGCAGGACAGTCTCTGCGGTATCTACAAGCTTTGCCGTCGTGACATCTTCCTCTGCAAGGATCAGGTCATGAACATCATGCTCTGGGTTCCTGAATGGGATGGTGTTATTCCTCCACCCGCAATCCTCAAGCCTCGTCCCCGTTGGACTGGAAAACAGATGATCAGTATGGCCTTCCCGTCTGGTCTCAACCTTCTGCGTATCGACAAGGACGGCTCGCCACTCTCCGAGAAATTTAGTCCTCTTAATGACGGTGGTCTGTTGATCCATGGCGGAGAGTTGCTGTACGGCATGCTGTCAAAGAAGACTGTTGGTGCAAGCGGTGGTGGTGTTATTCACACCATTTTCAACGAGTGGGGACCCGACCAGGCCGTGCATTTCTTCAATGGTGCTCAGAGAATTGTTAATTACTGGCTTCTTCACCATGGATTCAGTATCGGTATTGGTGATACGATTCCTGATCGCCGCACCATCGAGAAGATTGAGGAGGCTGTCCGGGAGCGGAAGAATGAGGTCGAGCAGATCACTGCTAGTGCTACCGAGAACACTTTGGAGGCGCTACCTGGTATGAACGTTCGTGAGACCTTTGAGAGTAAGGTTTCCCGTGCTCTCAACAACGCCCGTGATGAAGCTGGTGCTGCAACCGAGCAAAGTCTGAAGGATTTGAACAACGCCATTCAAATGGCTCGTTCCGGTTCCAAGGGTTCCACTATCAACATCTCCCAGATGACCGCCGTTGTAGGACAACAGTCTGTGGAAGGCAAGCGTATTCCCTTTGGTTTCAAGTACCGTACCTTGCCGCATTTCACCAAGGATGATTACTCTCCCGAATCCCGTGGTTTCGTCGAGAACTCATACCTGCGTGGTCTGACTCCCACAGAATTCTTCTTCCACGCCATGGCTGGTCGTGAAGGTTTGATCGATACTGCGGTCAAGACTGCTGAAACCGGTTATATTCAACGTAAGTTGGTCAAGGCCTTGGAAGAAGTCATGGTCAAGTATGACGGCACGGTCCGTAACTCCCTGGGCGATATTATTCAATTCATTTACGGAGAGGATGGTCTGGATGGTGCACACATTGAGAACCAGCGAGTGGACATCATCAAATGCTCCGATGAGAAGCTCCGTGATCGCTTCCGTGTCGATGTCATGGACCCCGAGCGCTCTCTCGGCCCTGACGTGCTGGAGCAAGCCAATGAGATCGCCGGTGATATGGAGGTCCAGAAGTACCTGGACGAAGAATGGGAGGCCATTCTAAAGGATCGTGCTTTCCTTCGCACTGTGGCTAAGGAAGACGAAGAAATGATGCAGCTGCCTATTAATATTCAGAGAATCCTCGAGATGGCGAGAACTACCTTCCGCATCCGCGAGGGTACCATTAGCGATCTGCACCCCGCTGAGGTTATTCCTCAAGTCCAGGCCCTTCTGGACCGACTGGTGATTGTTCGTGGTGATGATCCGATCTCGCGTGAGGCCCAAGACAATGCTACCCTGCTTTTCAAAGCTCAGTTGCGCAGCCGTCTGGCTTTCCGTCGACTCGTTACAGATTACTCTCTTAACAAGCTTGCCTTCCAGCACGTCATTGGTGCCATCGAGAGTCGATTCGCCCGCGCGGCGGCCAACCCTGGTGAAATGGTTGGTGTTCTTGCAGCCCAGTCTATTGGTGAGCCTGCCACTCAGATGACACTGAATACCTTCCACTTTGCTGGTGTTTCATCCAAGAACGTTACTCTGGGTGTGCCCCGTCTTAAGGAAATTCTGAACGTGGCTACCAATATCAAGACTCCGTCCATGACTGTGTACCAAGAACCTCACCAGACTCTCAACAAGGAGGGTGCGAAGCAGTTGCGAAGTGTTGTCGAGCACACCAGCTTGCGATCCGTTACTGAAGCGACAGAGATTTACTATGACCCGGAAATTCAGTCTACTGTCATCGAGAACGATCGGGACATGGTGGAGTCCTACTTCATCATCCCCGAGGATGTCGGTGAGGATCCAGCTCACCAGTCCAAGTGGCTTCTTCGTATTATCCTCAGTCGACCAAAGCTTCTTGATAAAGGACTTACGGTGCAAGAAGTTGCCTCCAGAATTAAGCAGGCCTATCCTCGTGATATCGCTGTTATTTTCAGCGATAACAACGCCGATGAGCAAGTCATTCGCATCCGTCAAATCCAGGACCATAAGGATGACGAGGATGATGATGTTGAGTACGATGTGACTTTGAAGAAGCTTGAGCAGCATCTCTTAGATACTCTGACCCTCCGTGGTGTTCCTGGCGTGGAGCGTGCGTTTATTAACGAGAAGACCATTGTTCGCGTCCTCGATGATGGCACTTTGTTCACGAGCAAGTCGGATCCTCTCTGCAAAGAATGGGTTCTCGAGACCAGTGGTTCCGCCCTTGCGCCTGTTCTTGCGATCCCTGGCGTTGACGCTACGCGTACATACTCTAACCAGTTTATCGAAATTTTCGAGGTCTTCGGTATCGAGGCCGCGCGCACTGCTGTGCTCCGTGAATTGACCCAGGTGTTAGCCTTCGATGGTTCCTACGTCAACCACCGTCACTTGGCCCTCCTCGTTGATGTTATGACCGTGCGAGGTTACCTGACCCCCGTAACTCGTCACGGTATCAATCGTGCTGACAACGGTGCGCTGATGCGCTGTTCGTTCGAAGAGACTGTTGAAATCCTTCTGGAGGCTGCCGCCTTCGGAGAGCTTGACGACTGTCGTGGCGTGTCAGAGAACCTGATCCTTGGACAAATGGCCCCCGCTGGAACGGGCGAGTTCGATGTTTACCTAGATCAGAACCTGCTGAACACGGTTGTGTCAAACAACGCTCGCTTCGGACTCATGGGCGGTGTTGGTGCCAAGGATGCCATCATCTCCGATGGCGCTGCCACCCAGTACGACACTGCATCACCCATGGCCAGCTCTCCATATTTGGCCGATGGCGACCCAGACTCTGCCTTCTCGCCTATTCGCCAGCCCGGTTCCGAGTCTCCTGGCGGAATTAGCAAATATCAGCCCAATGATTATGGCTTTGGTGGATTGAGTCCTGGCGGCGGCCGCAGCCCTGGTGCCTTCTCGCCCAGCAGCCCGTTCAACACCAGTCCCACATCTCCCGGGTACTCTCCTACCTCGAGCTATTCTCCCACGTCTCCTGGTATGAGTATGGCGATGACTTCCCCTGGTTTCTCTCCAAACACGAGCCCGTCGTTCGCCCCGACTTCTCCAGCTTATTCGCCGACGTCGCCAGCTTATGGACAAGCGTCTCCTACGTCTCCTTCGTACTCGCCTACGTCTCCTGGGTTCTCGCCAACTTCGCCCAATTATAGCCCCACGTCCCCCAGCTTTAGTCCGGCCTCGCCAGCCTTTAGCCCGACGTCTCCCAGCTACAGCCCTACCAGCCCTGCGCTTGGTGGTGGTCGGCACCTATCACCAACATCCCCTACATCCCCCAAGTACACCCCCACATCTCCTGGCTGGTCTCCTACGAGTCCCCAGTCGTATTCCCCGACGTCTCCTAACTTCAATGGATCGCCGACGTCGCCTACTTCCCCTGGCTACAGCCCCACCTCCCCTGCTTACAGCCCAACGTAAGTTTTATCCAGAACTACCCCCTAACGAATGTTGTGTCTAACATCGTGGTTAGGTCTCCGCGTCAGTGAAGTTTGGACAGACACAACCTGCTCAATCGGGGCTCGTGCTGCGCCATTGTATCAACAACCAATTCAGATAAACTACAAAAATAAACATCTCGCATATGACATCGCGGGAAAGGATAGTCATTTTTCATTTCCACGATCTGGGGGCTTTCACCCTTTCACTTGTATCTGTTTCTTAGCAACGTTCGAAGCCACTTGGCTTCCCATCATTTCTTCTTTTTCCCCTTCCCTTTTGCTCTTTCAAGATGCCCTAGTTCCAGCAGTCAGTCCGTTCTTTATCGAAATTGTGAATGACTTCTGTTCCCCTCAGTTTCCCGGTGGCTCCTGATGGATTCTGTGAAGGCTCGCTGTGCTTTGGGATGCATTCTTTCCGAGAGAACTATTCCTCAGCGGCGACATCGAGCTTTCACCTGGTGTCCAAGCTACATGAACGTTTATTTCCCTCTTATTTTGCATGAAGAGCGCACTCCGGTTTGTGTATCTGGTTTTGATTTTTTCCCCTGCTGTACACAGATCTCAGGGAGTTGAATAAAAAAAAAGAATTTAATGATTGTTCTTCACATATATCCGTCAAGCAAAACCATATTTACTAGGTAGTTCACTAAGGTCATGGTGGTTCTACTGTAGGTGTTACACGGAGATAAGCGCTGATTCGCCCTCGGTAAAACCAAGCTCCGTCAAGCCAAGTGGCCCGTTGGTAACTACATCACCGCTCTCCTCACCCACCTTTGTTACGCAAAGAGTCGCAATGCGACTCTTTCTCTCGATATCTCTACATTTGGCATCATGAGGACCTCATTTGCTGCATTGCCGACCTTGCGTGAGTTATCCTCTATCGAAGTAGCTGGAGCATGCTGACGTCCCCCCAGTGCTATTACACGCATGTACAGCAGGGTCAACCCAAGCCCCTCTTGCCGATGCTGCATCTAGTTATGTTGCCAGCGACACTAAAGACCAAGAATATCTATTTGCATCCGAAGAGACAGAGCCCTGGGTTATCAGCCGTGAGTACCCCGAATCTAGTCGCGTGAGGAGCTTCGATCTATCCAGTGTACTGATATGCCTTTTTTCTTCGTCTTTACAGCAAGAGTTCAGAATGCCTGGGATACCCTTCGAGCAATCAAGCCCGCTGCCTCGCATATCGAAAAGCCCAGCGGTTTACTCGGATACACATTACATTACGGCCGCGAAGCCTTCCGGATACTGTTCATGAATGGGCCCACCACTGGAAAAGCCGATCGGAGGGCTAGCCCGATCGTTGCAAGAGCTGTAGAGGAACTGAAGGCAGCAGCGCAAGAAGATGAAGACCCGGACGCGGTTTTTCTTCTCGCGGAGATGAATTTCTATGGCAACTTTTCCCATCCGCGCAACTTCACCGAGGCCTTCTTGTGGTACAGTAAATTGGCATGGCTTGAGGGCAACAGTACGGCCCAGTCGATGATTGGATTTATGTATGCGACAGGGATCGGCAATGCGGTTGAGCGCGACCAAGCGAAAGCGTTGATGTACCACGAGTTTGCTGCGGAGGGAGGAAACACACGCTCAGAGATGACGCTAGCATATCGCTATCACACTGGTATTGGAACACCCAAGGACTGCGAGCATGCCGTCGTTTATTATAAGCGAGTGGCCGACAAGGCAATGGACTACTATCGGTCTGGCCCACCGGGCGGTCGTGATATGATCAGGGAGTCTTATCGTTGGGCTGATGAGGAGGGAGGCGTCTACGGAGATGGAGCTAGTGTGTCAAGCTCCGGGCACAATGCTAAGGACCAGAATAAAGCAACCCAAGAGTCCAGCGTGGAGGATGTTCTGGAGTTCTTGGATCTCATGTCCCGCAAAGGCCAACTGTCGGCTACTTACTCTTTAGGCAAGATGTACTACGATGGTGCTCGTGGCCTGCCTCGCAATTTCCCAAAGGCCATGAAGTATTTCAAAGCCATCACCACCAAATACTGGAAAAAAGATGGTTCCATTATGCAAAGCCCCCCTGCTGGACTCGACAAGGCGGCTGCAAAAGCAGCAGGACATATTGGCCTCATGTTTCTTCGCGGTGAGGGTGTGAAGCAGGATTTCTCCCATGCGCTATTCTGGTTCAAACGAGGCGTGGTGAACGCGGATGCTCTTTGCCAGTACCAGATTGGCTTGATGTATCTTCATGGTCATGGTGTCCCCCAGGACGCCTACAAGGCCTCTACATACTTCAAAGCGGCAGCAGAGCAAGATAATCCAGCCGCCGAAACGCGACTGGGTGCATTGTTCTTGGATCAAGGCGACGTAACTATTGCGGCACGCTATTTTGACATCGCTGCCCGGCACGGGTGGATGGAGGCATACTACTACCTCGCGGAGATGGCCAACTCTGGGGTTGGCAGACAAAGACATTGTGGCGTGGCTGCGGCGTATTACAAGATGGTCGCTGAAAAGGCAGAGGAGCTGCACTCGGCCATTTCTGAGTCCAACATGGCCTACGAGGCTGGTGAAAAGGAGCGCGCTCTCGTTTCGACGATGATGGCTGCAGAGCAGGGATACGAGAACGCCCAAGCAAATGTAGCTTATCTTCTGGACGAGCAGCGGTCTTTGTTCTCTTTGGATGCTATCCTACCGTGGGGCCAGCAGGCCCGCCCTTCGTTACTGCGTAATACCGCGCTCGCATTGATCTACTGGACTCGGTCGGCCAAGCAAGCGAACATCGACTCTCTGATCAAGATGGGAGATTACTACCTTGCTGGCACGGGCGCCATCTCCGATGCTGAGAAGGCGTCTACCTGCTACCATAATGCTGCAGAGGCCCACCACAGCGCACAGGCATACTGGAATCTGGGATGGATGCATGAGAACGGGGTGGCTGTGGCACAGGATTTCCACATGGCCAAGCGGTACTATGATCTGGCATTGGAGACTAATAAGGAGGCTTACTTGCCTGTAAAGCTAAGCCTGCTCAAGCTGCGAGCTCGGGGATATTGGAACCGTATCACGAACGGCAACATTAATCCCATCCGTGATGATGAAGGTCAGACTGATGCCTTTCTGTCCTTGGATATATTTTCTAACACCGTTCTTAGAAGCGAAACCCCGTCGCACCTTTACAGAATGGCTCTCTGCGTTCATTGAAAATGACGAAGCTGCCTATTACCAAGAGCTCTACGAGGCCCATGCTGATGATGATGACTTTATGGGAACGCGTGGCTTGGAGTCCGATCACGACGACGGCTACGCCGACCTAGAGTTTGACATTGATGACGGTATGCTTGAGGGTCTGCTCATAGTTGGATTAGCAGCAACTCTTCTAGTGCTGGTCTACATCCGACAGCAGCAACAGCGGAACCGGCAGAATCAGAACGCTGCGAACCAGGCAAATGGCAATGCAAATGCAAACGCAAATGCGAACGTGAATGGCAATGGCAATGACCGGGGCTTTTTCCCGCAACCTGGTGATCCTGAATTTGGGCAATGGGTGGCTGGTGGTGTAGGTCATTGATTTATATGTACAAAACCCCTTTTAGATAATCCTTATCGATAAGCATTTCATCAATCTCACTTCAATGTTTTGGATCTTCCTGTTGTCATCAACTTCTTACCATGGCGGACGATCACAACCCACGTAAGCGTCGACTTGATGCCGCTGCTACTACTCTCTCCAAGCCATTCAAGTCACCCATGCGCAGACCTGTCTCCACGGATGCATCCAATTTGATGCCTTTGACGTCAGAACCAGCCACTCCGAACAAGTCCCACCTAGCCTCTCCAGGCAAAACCAAACAAACCCAGCCAGTTGCAACTACGCCGAGATTATCAGCTTTCCGTCGCCGAGTCTCAGGATCCACTGGTTTGACCACACCAACACGAGCCCCAGCTGACCCTGAGATCTTAGAGTTACAGAAACAGCAACTCGCTCTCCAATCACGAATAGCCACTCTACGCACTGACCAAGAGACGATCGAACAAGCACTCCGACTGGAATCATCCAACAAAGACACAGAACTCGAAGCATTGATCATCAAATGGCGTTGTGCCGGTCAAGAAGCAGCTGAGGAAGTCTTTGCCAATGCCCAAGAGCGCGTGACTCGGATGGGTGGAATGGCGGCCTGGATGGATCGGAGCAAACGTGATGCCGTGCGATGGGATGATGAGAAGCCACAGGATCAGAATATGTCGAAATGGAAGGATGATCGAAGCCCTCAAGATGAAGAGACAGATCAGGTTCGTTTGAGTTGGAACTCTTCGGTGATTCATAAGCTGACAAGGTCAGGAATTCACGATGGGATATATGCTTAAGACACTCAATATCGAGCACAAGACAATCGGATATGATCCGGTGACGGGGAATTGGATTCGAGGAATTACCTGACTATGTGCATCTATCTTAGACCTCACCTCAAGTGCTTAAGATGCTATGTTATCTGTATGACTATGATGAATTGATGATATCCTATATCTTATCTATGTTTCTCTACTTCAACCAATAGTCGCCTGATAACATCGGCCCGAAACCTTCTTATCAATGACTTTCTCCGCCCCCGCACTCGAGTGTTCTTCTTCAACTCCCATGTCGCGTCCATTGAAACAAAGAGAAATCGCTTGTGCTCGCTGTTTCCGTCTAAAGCGGAAATGCGATCATTCCAAACCGGTCTGTGGCGAATGCCGTCGTAAAGGTGCGGAGTGTTTACCGGCCAGGTCTCGGCGGTCCGGGGACAGTATTACAGTCCCATTGGCATACTTGAAGGACCTGGAAAGGGCAGTGGCTGAACTAGAGGGTCGTTCTCGAGCGGTAGTGCGAGATGTGGGAGTTCAGACAGACTTAAGTCCAGACAATGATCTGTGCATGTCATGGGACACTCGAGATAAAGCGGAGTTGCCAGATGACAATACGCTAGTCTTATTTGCTACGTCACCGTCTCAAGACGGCATATCCAGACCGACTTCCCAGCTTTCATTTACAGATAATTTCTCCCTGAATGAGGAAACTCTGGACTTTCTGTGCTTCGATAAGAGCTCAATTTATCCATCGATCGGGGACGACTCCCCGTGGCTCACCGAGCTATATACGAACATCTTTTTCTCAATATCTCATCGCGAATGGCCCTTTCTGAATGAGACAACTTGGAGAGCATGGCAGAGAGATCATTTGGACGGAAGAGAAGAATGGCGAACTTTCTTCTTGCGGATGGTGTATGCCATCGGTGCATCATTATGTAGCATCATGCGCCATGACCCTACACATTCCGTCCGTTCTAAAGAGCTCTACGCATCTGCGATGAATTACTATCCTCATGTCGTGAGCCATTCATCGATGGTTCTGCAGGTTCAAGCTTCCCTGCTTTTGATCGTCTACGCATTGCATTCTCCGTCTTCAAATGAGATCGCAACAAGTGTGGCTTCAATTGTGCCATTTTGTACAGCGGCCATGACAGAGATTCGGAAGTATGCACGAGCCAATCCTGATGGAGAGGTTACTGCGGCTTCGGGTGAGGCTTTGACGGAGAACATGTTCATCGCCTGCTACATGTTGAATGTTATAATTGCATCCGGGTGGGATCGACCGGTTTCTGATGCATATAAAGCGGTGGAAGAAGATGTGAGTATCCACGGTGCTTTCTCTCAACATTTCTCCCCAAGCTGACACAGATCAGATGTGTACCCTGGGAGATATCATTCAACCCCCTGTCAATACGAACCCTGCACTTAGCCATCTCTTCCGACTACGAAAAATCCAAGCAAATATACGAAGATCGCTAGAAAGCTCCCGCTGGCAACTTACTGAACAGAAAGATGCCCTTAGCTCTTCCCTCAAGTCGGCTCTTGATGTATGGAGGCAGGATATCCCGCAGTATGGTACGGCAAATGTGTCATCTGGCTATTACAATCCTAATTGGATGACAAAACTGTATGACTACAGCATCTTGATTTTGATGGAAGATAAGCATAACTTCCTTGACCATGAAGGAACAGAAGAGATCTTTGGCGCCGTAGTGGAGGTGTGTATTAAGTACCGGAGCTTGCAGGAAGAAGGACATGTCATGTGTTTTACTTGGTCTGCTGTGAGTACCAACCTCCAATAGTCCACCGAACAATCATACTAATTTTCCAAAGCTCGTATATCAATTCCGGGCTGGAATCATGCTTCTCTATCTGATCTGGGCAACAAGACCAATAGCAGACATTTCATATCTGCAAAAAGATCAGACTTATAGTTCTCCCGAGGCAATTGAAGCCTGCACGAAAAGTTTAGCTTGCTTTGCCGACCAATGGAGCGATGCTCACCCATACTTAAGGATATTTGAGTTCTTGCAGCAGAATCTCTATTCAGATACAGCTGTTCCGGGGGTCGACGCCTTGAAATTGGAGGCTGAATTCTATCTTGAGAGACTCAAAGAGAAATATCTCCACAGAGCCATTCTGGGTATGATCGAGGACATGATGTATGGGGGAGTTGTGCAATATAATACACCACCAGACGACCTTATGAAGGCGATATAGTGAAGCATATACCATGTGGAATTTATGACAATATTTATATGAGAATGACAAACAACTTTAGCATACATTTCATAAGATGATCAGCCTTCCCGCAGACCCAGCATCGGTGTGTGCTGTGATGATGATAACAATTTGTTTTAGTACTGGACTGGTCCATTTTTCCCATTTGCTATCACGCTCTGAGACGGGATACGTAGCTTTAATGGTCCATTTCCCATCAATCACCACAGATTCGCATGGCTGACCATTGACATAACAAGATAAGTCTATTAATGTGGCGTCTCTAACAAACCCTTGGGCCTGAACCACGACGTCTGAGCCACGGATTTCTTTGTTTTGCGTGTCCACCACAATCTCTGGACTCTGAGAGGCATTTCTTGGAGCAAAATTGCTAGTCAGAATATGATCCGAGTCTAGAGCTGGGACAAGAGGCGGTTGAACACGATACTTCGTCGCCGCCTCGAACGCAAACCCGTACCGCAGGAGACTAGTATCCTTATATGCCTTCCCAGCAAAGGTAATACTGACAGGCATCATTGTATCCTCCATCAGCCCCATTGGTATGGAGATGGTTGGCACGCCGAGATGGCGTATAGGTCGGTTGCCATTGGAATACCTGACGCCGTTACTCCACGCGTATCGCGACGCCTCCACATCCACATCCGCATTTGCAGCCCCAATATCAGCGATAGCCGGAAATGCAACTGCATCTAGACCCAGACTGTCCATCCACGTCTCGAACGTCTCCTTGCGAGCGGTTTCTAGCGCCTGAACTGCCTGTTTCATGCCAGGAATCTCGAAAATAGAAAACGGTTTGCGATTCGGATATTCAACGATCTCGTCCCATCGTGGTTTGTTTGCTGCTTCGGGGGTGCCAAGGACAGATCCTGGTGCGAGAGGGAAGATTGTAGCGGGATCTACAAGAGTCAATGAATCGAGACCCTTTTGACCATTTGCAACTAGGAAGTCGTCCCACGCGTGCGCTACAACCTCGCATCGTTCCTTGCCTGCCCAGCCCCCAGGAAGATTTGCGATGGTGACCAGCTGCCCCGAGGCTGCGTTTTCCTCATAGGTTGTCACGAGAGGGAAGTCGGTTTCGATGACTTCGGCTCCGCATGCTTCAAGGGCGCGTCGAGCTTCTTGCCACAATTTTATGATTGAGGCTCGGGGGTGAACTTTGCTGATCGGTAAAATGGAGGATTCGTCGCCCCCGATATACATGGATGGGATACCGATGCGTTTCCCCTTCAGAGAGGTCTTTTCTTGTAGATCGGAGAAGGAATCGGGTCGAATTGTTGTCACCGAAGGCAAGGGGACGATTGTTTGTTCGTTGTAGAAGTCTCCCACCGGATCCGGATCAGAAATGGCCAAAACATCGAGGACATGGAATAGGTCAGCAACGGTCCTAGTGTGCGGTACTAATACATCACAGGTCGGATACAGTGGAAAGACCCCGCGCAGTGGGAGGAGACCCTTGGAAGGCGTATATGCGACAATGGCATTATTTGACGCTGGCGAGCGACCTGATGAAACAGTTTCAGTCCCAAGAGAAAAAGCACAGAAATTCGCGCTCGTGGCCACTGCTGATCCATTTGATGACCCAGAGGCATATGCTGCTGCCAAGTACTCGCTATTGTACGGACTCTCGGCCCGACCCCAGATTCCGCGCTGCATTCCACCATAGGCCATGGCAGGCATGTTGGTTCTACCCAACAGAACTGCACCAGCAGCACGGAGAATCTGTACACACGCGGCATCTTCATTTGCTATGAGATGCTCAAATGCGGGAGAACCATTCGCGACGACCATGCCCTTCACTTTGATATTATCTTTGACCAGGAACGGGATTCCCTCTAGTCGGCGAGGGGGAAGTCCCGATGCCCGATACGCATCCGAAGCGGCTGCCTCATCGAAGACGGATGGGTTGAGGATGGGTATAGCGCTGAGTTTGGGTCCATTGGCGTCATAGACACTAATTCGACGCAGGTAGCGAGAGACCAAGTCCACGCTGGTGAGTGACCCTGATGAGAGAGCATTTTGTAGCTCAGAAATGCTTGCATCAAGCAAGGGGAGTTCTTTGTAATCTCTTTGAGTCATGATTGATCGTAGAAAGTGATGTGGTTGAACAGCTTTTATACTGACTGCATTGCGGACTCTTGTCCGCTGGTCGTCAAGTGGGGATAGAGCGGGGGATTGTCCGGTATCTCTCAACAACGATTACCTTGCGTGTTATCATCTTGGCGATGATGACCCCCGCTTTGGCATTTCAGTATAAATGAAGTGTTGAATCGAGGAAGCGAAATGTGAGATGCAGTACTTTACATGATGAATCAAGAATTCAATCCGGGGAAAATCGTGAAAGTGGATCGAGTGGAGAAGGAACCACTTGAGCTTCGTGATATCGGAGCCGGTTATTATGTGGAGGCAGAACAACTATCGGCCGAAGAAGTGGAGCAAGAAAGAGCAAAGGTTTTGAAGCTTTTAGACTGGAGATTAATGCCAATGGTATGGATGTCCCCCTTCTCTCTATTAACTACTGACAAAAACCATCCACAGCTCTATGTCACCTATGTCATTCAATTCCTAGGTACATCATTTTCTGAGTAAATTTGAGTATCTAAGTAGATACCAAACTAACATATGAATCACAGATAAATTGTCTTTGAACTATGCCTCGGCTTATACCCTGAAATCCGATCTGGGACTCGAGGGTCAACGATACTCTTGGGTCGCCGCCATCTTCAACTTTGGCTATCTATTTTGGGCGATTCCCTCCAACCTCTTACTCCAGAGACTTCCGGTTGCCAAATATATGGGCTGTATGCTGATCTTGTGGAGTGTTATCGTCATCGCTCATATTGGCGCGACCAATTATGCCGGGATTCTGGTTCTCAGATTTCTGCTGGGAATGGCAGAAGCAGGAGTCAGTCCATGCAGTAAGTGGAGTACCTGATCATGCGTTATTTCCGCCTATTGATACATTCATCCCAGTGATGACCTTAACGTCCATGTTCTACAAGCGTTCCGAGCAGCCTCTCCGTATGGCCATCTGGCTGAGCGCCAACGGGATGGCAACGATGGTCGGGGCACTACTAGGATTTGGTCTTGGTCACACACACGATGGTGCTCTTCAAAGCTGGAAGCTGATTTTCTTGACAATTGGCCTTCTCAACTTGGTTAGCGGCGCCATCTTTCTGGCGCTAATGCCCGACTCGCCCAGCTCGGCCCGGTTCTTGACACATCGCCAGCGACTTGTGGCGGTGCGACGTGTGGCGGAGAACATGATTGGAGTGAAGACTCGGGAAATAAAACCCAGACAGGCATTGGAATGCTTATACGATGTCAAAGTGCTCTGCTGTGCAGGAATCGGTATTGCATGTGGTGTCATCAACGGTGGCGTATCCAATTTCGCATCTGCTCTCATCGAAGGTTTCGGATTCAGCGGTATATACGCGACAATTCTTCAGTTACCACTTGGTGCCATTGAAGCAGTCATTGTTCCAATCTGTGGCTTGGCTGCGACATATGTACCCAACTCACGCTGCATTGTGCTCGCCGTCGTGTGCTTGATTCCATTTGGTGGTCTATTGGGAATTCGGTTCACTAGCCTCGACCATCAGTGGACCCTTGTTGGCTGTGCCTGGCTTCAGTATGTTGTTGGGGCTCCGGTGATTATATGCTGGAATTTGCTATCCACCAATATCGCCGGCCACACCAAACGGGCATTTGCCAATGGCATTTGGTTCACGGTTTACGCCGGCGGGAATGTGGCTGGAGCTAACATCTTCTTTGCTCGTGAGGCCCCGCGTTATACCTCGGCTCTAACAGGATTGTTAGTCTGCTATGCGGGAATCATTGTGCTATCTACAGTTGCTTATTTCGGAATGCGATGGGTCAACTCTAAGAGAGACACTTTGACTAATGAAGTCCCGGATCACTGCACTTCTCAGGCGATTTTGGATGGATTCAAGGATATGACAGATATGGAATCGAAACACTTCCGATATGCACTGTGAGGGTATAGTGGTTATGTTTTTCTCGACGTATATGTCTATTGATAGAACCAAAATTCTCGGTGCGATCCTAAATGAAGTCAATGATTTTCCATACCTATACAAGGTCATTGACTAGCTAGTATGTAATGCTATAAACCACCATGGACCCGCTTATACTTAGTCAGTATACAGACATAGGTCATAATTGCCATTCTCGTTATTTCCCCAGTATGTTGGGAAAGAAACTGAGTTTCCAGCTGCGCCAAATAACGCAAAAGACATGATGAAGACAATGATGGAAGTACCGCCGTCCAACGCGGCCGAGACCAGATAGTTGTATTTGACAAAGATGTTGGGGTAGTAGCGTCTCAAGTACCACTGAGATCCAAACCCAATGATGAAGAAACTCATGATGGATGAGTTGATTCCCACGCAAAGGTAAGAGATGTAGTATATCATGACGGAGGTGTTGACATTGTTGAGTCCAAAGGATGGGTACCGCTTGTGCAGGAAATAGAAAGGAAGCGGGGCCACGAAGCCGACAAGGATGACAATGCTGCACCACTGGTAGCGCGAACCGACTGAGAACAACTCGTGGGCGAGGCCTCCCCATGCGACAGACTAGAGTAATGATTAGTGAAAGTAGAGAAGTGGAATTGTAAATGACTTACCAAGGTGTTGTACTGCTGGGCCTGTTGACCGGACCAGATGTTGGTGCCTTCCACAGACAGAAGAATCTCCCGCTGATTAGTAACGATGCTATTCATCATGATATAATTGAAAATGGCACCAATTAAAGTACCAATCATCTGCATGCTGAAAGTCACTCGAGGCGCCAGGTGACCATATTGAGCGAGTTTAAGATCTTGACACAATAATGAACCTTGAATGACCGAGTTGTAGCCCTAAAGTCGATGTCAGAGCTTTGAATTCCAAGAGCCTCTGGGGGATACTCACAAAAAGCGTGAAGTACATATTGGCAACCGGATTGCCAGGTTGTATATATCCTCCGATCAATTGAACGATGGGCTGGATAATAAAGGCAATGCCGGTGGTGGCTTGCATGGATCCAAATACTAGCAAAAACAGCCATGCCACTAGGCATGATACCAGGAATCCCCACCAAGGCAAGGTAGAGTCTCCTTTGTAGAGGCAGATTAGAGCCACTGTGACAGAGAGCACTAGCACACAGAAGTACCACCAGTTCGGAACTGGCTTGTAACTCTTCATTAGCTTGTAGTGCGGATCATAGTGCTCCTCCTCGGGATCATGCATCGCTTCTTCACGCCAGAAAGTGAGATTCCAATTCCTGGGGTCGAGCTTCTGCGCGAGATTTCTCCAGTGAAAGATACTCAAAACAGCTTTCATCTCCGTCCAGTACCAGAGGAACATATGCATGATACCTGCTGAAACAGACATGTTGGACGTAAGAATATTGATCGCATAGGTGGCCGCAAACCAGGGCAATCCCACGGTGGCCAACGCTTCTTGATTAATTTTATTGTCGGAGCCGATGACCAAAGTCTGATTCCATTGAAGTTGATTCGCCATGGTCGAGTTCTCACTAAAAAGGACTTGGGACAGGAAAGGGAAATTCTGCGCATCCCAGATGTTACCATAGTAAACTCCGGAAAAGACAAGGATGCACAGAATGACGCCGACGCCTTGACTGATCAGACTTTCAACTGGATAGTATAGTGGAGAGTAACCTCCGGAGATGTAATCCCAATCCAAGCACAGGGAGAACAGGCCCATTCCTTCGTTTCCACTAGCGCCGCCAAAAACATTGGTAAAGACTGCACTGTTCTGATTAGCCAGGCAAAAGATGCTTACTCCGGTTAGAATAGGCATGATCCATTCTGGAACAATCTCCCAGAGGAAAATGCAGGTAAAAGCAATGCCAAAAACCTGGAGAGGCTTCTTAGTTAACGACCGAGGGCGATACAAGGTTTCCAACATGTTGTTGACCGGGAGATTCTGGGGCCACATCATGCTCTTGGGGTAGACCAGGGTTTTGCGCATCATTCCACCAAATCCATAGCCCAGCATCTGGGAGGAGAACAGGAGAAAGATTGACATGGCACCGTTGAGCTTGGCATCGTAGTAGAGTCGCTCAACCGCCAAAAGTTCGATTCCGACGGCAGCGGTACTGGCTGAATTTGCCATGACGATGATGGCCAGGTGTTCCTTCGAATTGAAGGGATGGGGGTTGAACCACTTTCCGATCCATCCTTTTCTTGGAATGATCATGGCCATACCTTCACCGAGGAGATAGGCGAGGACGGCAAGGAAAACGGTCGATACCACAACAGTTTGCGGCTTGAAGTAATAGATGGATGAGATGGTGCCACCGAACACAGCAAGACCAATACCTGAATTAAATCATCAGTAGGGGGTTTCGTGGATATGCAGATGATCAACTCACCCAAAAACCAGGTACGGAATGTGAAACAGTTCAGCGTGGGATCATCTTGAACGTGCAATGTGTGAGTCAGAATATCATCCTGGTTGGCTGGATGATGAATTTCTTCCTCTCCATCATCCACATCCGCGTCTACTGAAGGGTCGGCATTGATCTCCACGACCTTTTTCTCGTCGACGGTAGGGGAAGAATCCTCTTGAGACGACACTTCGTCTAGGGGACGATTGCTGGCTTTCAAATCTGCCATGGCAACAGGAAGCCAAATGAAACATTAAACTGGAGCAAGATTGCTAGGGGGGGGGGCGTCAGGGACATTTTAGTAGAAAGCCGGGAAAAGGGCGCTTGGATAGCAAAGTATTCGACATGTTATCAGTGGCCAATGGAAGAAGGGAAGAAGTCAAAACGGAGTTGACCGGGTAAATGGTTGGTTACTATCTTGACCCACTAAAGCTTGTTCTTTGACCCCAGTAATGGAGTAAATTACAGGGAAAACGAAGAGATCCGTCAATAACTGCCCAAGTTGAGACTAAATCATGTTTGTTAACCAAACCCTGGTATCCAATCAAATTCTCTTACTTAATCTGTGGAGCTCGGATGGCCGACGCTTGTCCGCTTGAACTAGTCCATTATCGGTAGAACAGTACACATGACCTTTGCTACTTTAGGCGAGGAAAAGGTGGAGCTGATCCAATGCTTGATCAATAAGAAGATGTTTGCATTGGTGCGGCAACATCCATATGAAAAGGGTTTCAATTGACGAAAGAAAATAACGGGAACTGGATCAGATTGACAGCTGCTATGCGTGAGGTCGGCGCTGTATGTGTCCGCCGGGACAGATTTCGGAATAAAGACGCAACAAAAGTTCTTTCTCTGCACTATCCGGGAGCTGATCCAAATCTTTTTTGATTAATGGGGCAAGGTGAAAGAAGTGGCACATATCCACGATGCCTCGAAAATGATCATCATTCTCTTTATTTAGACCTTCGGACTCTAAAAGCTGCTCAACTTGGGCCATTTTGGGAACCAGATCTTCAGGGCACTCGAAACCTGTTTGGTAAGCACGGCAGCCTCGGTCGGCGGCGTGGAGTGCACACAGCCGGTTGATTGACTTGACGAGGTAACCATGATCATCGTCGAAGCGAAGCCGATTGATCTCGGAAATCACACGAGCATATCCCTCACTCGGTTTGAAATGTAAGAGGCCATCGGTTTCGAGAGGTCGAGGGACATAGATGAAACCATGCCTCTCAAAGGGAGAAGAAGCGCGAGTGAGGTGACGCATCATAGTGTATGGTGACGAATCAGTCTTCGCCTGTTCAGCCATCTTCAGTTTTGATGTTGTTGACTGTTGAAGTGGCCGTGTCGCTGTTTTGAAAGAATCTGTTTGTCTGTCAGCCTAATTTAACAAGACTTTTCAAGAGAGGGGATACCTCGATAGAAGACAAAGCCTTCTTCAAAGTATGCCTTGAGGTCTGGGAGGGTTGGAGAGTAAGAGGGAGAGTAAGAGGGAGAGAGGTAGAGGGAGGGAGGGGGTGAGAAAGTTGGATGAGCTTTTCAACGTGTTGGATTCTATTCATCTTTTCTCTTTCATCTTTCATCCCGATCAAACTGCATGAAGTTCATCTCTTGTTGATGTTTGCCTCAGGCATTAAGGCATACACAAGGCAGAAGTTATGCTTACGTGATCTGATTTCCGATCTAAATTCTAGTGTGAATCTAGTCTTAACTCAACCAGCTCAACCAGGTTAGCCTTTTGAGTCAAAAATACCTTCTAATGGGGAATAGGGCCTCGCTTGAGGCGTATAATTTTTGTAACACACACTGATAACAGCCCCAACCTCATCTTCTCCCACCTGATGAGCATTGCGTTCCCAGTCAGCCGCCGAGTCGGGGCTTCCAAATCTCGGTCGGGTTGTAGAACCTGCAAGTAAGTCTTTGCAATTATATGCGTAATTGCTTGCTTATCATCAACTAGGATCCGCCGAGTCAAATGTGGTGAAGAGAAGCCAACGTGTCTCCGCTGTTCCAGTACGGGACGAGGATGCGAATATGAGAATCGGCTCGGTGCCCAGGGCTCCCCCACACTACCTCTGGTTTCTACTCAATACTTATCAGCATCTCCAAATTCAGGCAGCCGGGAGCGTCGCGCGTTTGAATATTACTTCCAGCATACCGCCCAGCATCTGGCGGGTGGTATGCAAGTCGACTTTTGGACGAAAGTAATTCCCCAGATTTCTCGCAGTGAGCCGGCGATATGGGATGGTATTATCGCAATTAGTGCCTTATTCGAACATCCCAACCAGAGTTTGGACTTTCCTCTTGTGAGAAACCATCGCAAAGGCTCACACGCCCTCGATCAGATCCAACAAGAGGCATTGTCATGGTACTCGCGATCAATATCTACAGTTCATTCACGGATTAACCGTGGCTGCGCGGATCCATATCTCGCTCTAATTAGTTGTGTGCTATTCATCTGTGTGGAGACGATTCAGGGGCGCTTGGAAGAAGCCTTGCAGCTCTTCCACCAAGGTGTGGCCTTGATCAGTGATCTTCGCACTCAAATCAGTCATGGAAATGTGTCCCTCAGCAAGGCTTCTCTTTTAGAGCACACGATAATTCCTCTCTTCTTGCGAATGGGATCATTATCTCTTACTATTTCAGGCACGCAGCCCAGTGAAATCTTTTCTTTTGCCGAAAGCCATACTAGCGGCTTTTTATCCATTGAGCATGCCAGATCTACCATGGTTATTCTTGCCGCAGAAGTTATTCTCTTTGAACGCGAGGCAGGCATGTATCGGAGGGCAACTGATGCGGATTCGGTGGTGGACATCGCGATCGTTGCAAGAGAACAAGCGCTTCGAGCCAGGCTTGCCAAGTGGTATGCGTCTTATACAGAGCTTCGCCGCAATTATTGCCCCATTATTGAATCCGACCCATTGCTACTCTCATACCACGCTGCGGCTTCGATCACTCTTACTGGATGTTTGACGTCGCTAGAAATGGTGTTTGACGCCCACCTTGCAGACTTTTCAGTCATTGTCGAGCAGGCCACTTTAATCCTCAACGCATCGAGACGACCAGACGGCTCCCAGCCACCATTTATATTTGAGCCTGGTGTCGGCGTTCCACTGTTTCTAACGGCCCTTAAATGCCGTCACCCAGGCTTGCGGCGCAGAGCTCTGCAACTATTACGAGAGGCACCTCCGATGCAAGGGTTCTTCAATTGTCCGCCTGTTGCTCTCATGGCAGGAACAATTATGATGCTGGAAGAAAGTTACAGTACTTCAACAGTCGCTGGAAGCATTGAGAATTCTGATATGGACAGCCCATTCTCGCTACCGATGCTCCAGACGAAGTCACAAATATCGGTCCCTGAAGAAGCCCGCATTAGTTATTATTGCATTTTCAGACCTCAAGAGTGGTGTCCTCCAGGTGTTAGTCTGGAGGACATTTCCAGGTTTGGCTGCGGTCCGGATCATCTCTTTTTACACTTTTCAAGGAACCGATTCGACAGTGATAGCAACGCTTGGCGACGATTTTTCGAATGTGTACCACTGGGTGATATTCCATAAGTGCTCTGTTATGAATCTCATCTTTTGAGCGCACAATTTGGGCCAAAAGAGTGACATTCTATATATCATGTATTGTTTGCGCCATCCTCTCGGTGCTATCTGATTGTCTTCAAGATTTCAATATGCCCAGCTTTCAGTGCCTTTCCGTTCATAAAGTCCACCCACAAATCTTTAAGCTCCGATCCTAAGCGAGATACATCCTCTTGGGCGTTTCCCCCTTTCAGCATAGGAGCGTTCTTCCATGCATCCCACACCCCGAGTACAAAGGGGATATCAATGCAGTGGCAGGCGCCGCAGGCGTTGTCATCAGCAGTCCATGCAAATGAGTAACTTGTCGATGTACAACCTGCTCGCAAAGCCTGTTCGTGAAATTGCAGTGCTGGCCACTTGAAATAGCTTTGGGTGATATACCAAGTCCCCAAGGCTTCCACATACGGCCCAATCACCGGAAGTTGAAGTAGGCTTTGTGGAGCCATCATACTCGAAAATGGGCGACCATCATGGGCGGTCCATCCGATCAGAATTGGAATGTCCTGGATTACTTCTTTAATTCTCCGGTCAAAGTCCTGCTCCTTTGGCAATGGATCAAATCCCAGGTTCGGTGCAAACAGCATGATTTGCTTCCGCACCGGGTTCATCAACAGTGTCTTCTGAACTTGAAGCAACTCATCCACCGACATATCTCTTGGGTCCTTCGTAAAAAGCTTTTCGGCCATTTCCGTAACTAGTGGCCCTGTAGGTGTCCGTTCTTTCAATTCTCGTAGCGGTGGGCTGAGTAGTATAGCTCGATGAAACAGGCCAATTGTGTTCTCGGCGGCCATCAGACAGATAATCGAATCTGCACCTGCAGACTGTCCAACCAGAGTGATATTCTTTGCATCTCCACCAAAAGTCGCAATATTCTCTTGGATCCATCGCAACGCAGCGCGTTGATCCAACAATCCTAGGTTAGCGGGCGCAATGCCCTCCAAGCGAAGATACCCGAAAACCCCGAGACGGTACGAGATATTTACGCAGACAATCCCACGTCTCGCAAGGTCAACTCCCTGGTAGCAGTCCAGGTCTCCCGATCCAGAAATATAGGCGCCACCATGCAGCCAGACCATGACTGGTGCCTGGGTCGCGTTTTGTGGCGCGGTTATAGATAAGCGCAGGCAGTCTTCGTCCATGCCATGACCCTTTGTCAGTGGGCCCATGACCGTTTCCAACCTTGATGGTAGCTGAGGGCACATTGGTGCGCGAGTTGTACAATCCAGGACATCGGTCCAGGGCTCGGTGGGCTGAGGGACTTGAAACCGAGAGGCTTTTGCGTAGGGAATACCCCGGGCATGTATAAGAGTGTCATAAAATGGGATTACTCTGATGGGCCCTGCGGGAAGTTGTATGATTTTAGGATCCATCTTTATAATAATTTTGGCTGCAAACTGAAATCTAATCTGTATAAATATGGAAGGCAGAAGGCCAAGTCGGCTGCTCCGACGGATCCATCCGAGTGCGGGGAACACAAGTCTCGGAACAATTCCTATCAATTTGCTCACTTACACCATCGGCGGAATACATACAGAAAGCAGAAGGCATATTATGATGCCCAGAATCTAAAATTAATCAATTGGTTAACTAATAATTTCCATTCAATAACTCATTTCCGTGGAGTGCCATGAAAAAAAAAGATTTGGAGCATCGGCGAATTGAACGCCGGACCTATTCTATGCAAAAGAATCATCATACCACTAGACCAATACCCCAATCCATGAATACTTCTCCTATATAAAACATTATAGCCCTGAGTAGATCTTGTTTTAATGATGGCCACAGCTTTCTTAGGTTATTAGGTTTTTAGTTATTCCTTACGGTTCAGGTATTTGTGTCTGATTATAGTTTAGGTATGTTCTATTCATGAGCTGTTTCATCATTAGGTACATACATTATTCGAAACATTATTATCAGCTGTATTCTTAGTATTAGATATACTATTATTTTTTTTTTTTTTTTGAAAGTATATTACCACCTTTATTTCTAGTAATAGGATTATTACCATTATTAGTAGTAATATGAAAAAAACGAAAATTCAATCAAATGAAATGAGAAAATGTAAAAGACCATTAAGGTATTCTTAAATCTTTAAGTATATTTAAATATGTGTAAGAATGTCCATCAAAGAACATTGTTTTTACGATAAATAAGTAATATACAGCACTTATAACACTAGCTAATACTCCCACAAGAGTTAAGAAAATAAATCCTTCTTGTAAAGCAGCAGAAAATACCATCTGTATTGCAAAGAATCCCATTCAAGGTGGAATGCCAGCAAATGAGAATGAAGTAATAGTATAGATGCACCAACTCCAGCTAATATTAGCTATTTATGAAATTTTGGTTCATTATTAGATTTATGGTTAGGTATCCAAATTGTTACAGGTGTAACAGACGATTTCCAAGGATCCTATGACCAGTCTACGCTGACCTCAGGTTAATGGTTTAAGTGACGAAGTATGTAGGGGGGATTATGTGATCCATGAATCTCCAGATGAAAGTCAGGGGAAAAATGGGCAGGTCCTCTCCAGCATAGGCTGACAGATTACCATGTAGACCTACTTAAAGTTTATCTTTCTACTGATCATTTTAGGACATAAAAATGCACGTCAACGGTATCTACTGGCTTCATGTTTTGTATGATTAAAAGAGAAAAAGTCAGGGATTAATTGATATATGTTCGAACATCTGAATAATCACGCAGAATACGCGATAAGCTGAAGACAATAAACCATTTGGTCGAGAACGTTTGCGATACTACGTATGTAACTGGGTACTTGTACATATCAGAAGCAAGGATTTACAGCCAAAAAGTCTATACAAGACAATCCGAGAAAGCCAGTACAAATCTACAAGACCACATACATACTATGTAGGCACATGTGCAAACATCAAAACTACCGAATCATACCAAACCCAACACCCCAGACATATACTATTATAGGTAGAGAAAAGAAAGAGAAGATTTGAATGATGGAATGTTATCACAATTCATTTGCCATCCAAGAGGACCCCTTGTAAAACAGAAGATTAAAACGGAAGGCAAAGACACAAGTATCTGATCAGATCAGGTATGCCATGCAAGCTAAGAGCCAGAAAAGGTAATACTCTGAACAAAAATATTGGTATCCCACTTTACAGCCAGAGATAATAGTGACAGGAGAAGGAAAAGTGAATCACACGAAGGAAATGGAGAAGGGCAAAAGACATTAAGGGAAAAATGACAACAAAAAAATAGAAAATGTATTCTGACAAAGGAAAAGAACAGGTTGGAAAATTAATCAAACACCCGAGGGATGAAGAAGAATTTCGCTCCATGCACATACAATAGGGGAACAAAAGCAGGGTATCACGTGGTTTCCCAAACAACCTCACTGCTCTTTTTGGAGAGAAAGGTAAAAAAGACACGGTGAGTAGAAGCCAAACAAAACACAGGGCTCTTATTCACCAGCACGGGACTTGGCCCGACGGCGGAAAAAGTCCATGACCTTCCGAGCTGCACCGGAGCTACCAGAATGATGAGAAAGATCCCGCTCATACTCGTAGGCATCAGCAAACTTGCGGTTGTTCTTCTGGAGGACACCTGGCCCCCGCCCAGACCGACCCGTCTGCATTGACTGTCGCGGCAAGCTGTCATAGGTGCCAGTGCTGTTGTAATCATCGTAGTAGTTGGGCTTGGAAGACCCGTACGTGTAGTTGGTTCCAGAATGTTGATCATCCGGATTTTCATACGCGTGCTCTGAGGAAACATTGCCAAAAGAATCCTGGGTCTGGTCAAATCGATTCCCGAGCTCAGCAAATTGCTGATCAATCTGAGCCTCGTAGCTGAGAGGCTCCGGCTCGCCTGGGTTTGAAGCGTCGTGAACCTCGTCACTTGGTCCCTCACTCACCATACCCATCGCCTCTTGCGTTCCATAGCTGGTTGCACGAGGTCGATTAGGCAGGGGTCCGGTAGCGGGACGCTGTTGGCTGCGAGGGTCCACGGGATGCGGGCTAGGAGATGTGTCTTCAGGAGTTTGGGCTCGTGTAGATGAGAAGGTTCGGAAGGAGAAGGAAGCTGGCAGGAGAGAAAAGCGACGGGGGCGGCCCTCTCCCGCTTCGCTCACCTTACGGGTATGCGGATTTTGCACGGATCGGCGAGAATCCATCGAAGCACGAGAATCATCGCGAGATACCGGCTCCTTCATGCTAGTAGGAGGGTACCGTTTGGTGTTGCGTGTCCGAGAAGCAGTATTTTGGGAGTTACGATTGCCACCCATGAGAGAAGAAGAGCGCCCGAATAATTTCTCGCCAATGCTTGACACGGTGTTGGATCGCTTGTGTCCCTTGGCTGGTGGGTCTTGTCTCGGAGTGGGGTTGAATGCTGATGGTAATTGCTGGGTGCTGGGACGGCCAATCGATGTGCTCGATGACTGTGCGGGATTCTGGGGGAATGCAAATTGCCTGCTCTTGGGCTGTGCCAGACGACCTTCCGTGTTGGTTGCGGTAACCATGGGGGCCACCGGTTGCCCACGAGAAGGTAGTCGGCCCGTGTTAAAGGATGCCATGGAGCCACCTGTTTGGGGACGTGTAGATGATGGTACCGGGGCCGGTGGTGGAGCCGAGGTGTGTGTGCCCGTCGTAGTCACAGGATAATCGGAGGCGGATCGAGGGAAGTGGCTGGGCAACGGCTTGTCATAATTGATTGGTGGTTTCGCGACGGGCTTAGGTGTTGGCTTAACAGCGGTTTCCGTAGTCGGAGCCTCGGGCTGAGCCGTTTCTCGACTCCGCGACCCAGAAGCTTCAGTTCGATATTCGCCCCTCGCAGTTTGGGATTGAGGAGCCACATATTCCACTTGCACAGTCCTCCGCTTCGCATCTCGAGAGGTTTTGGATTTCTCACTAGGGGAATCCTGGGAGACATCACCAGCATGGTGGTTCAGACCACCAACGGCCGAGACATTGCCCTGGCTGGTCTTGGGAGGTTCACGGACAGAGGCACTACGGGCCAGAGGCGGAGCTTCACTTTGCGATTCAGCTGGGACGGTGGTATTGGCGATGTCCGCCACGTTAGTGGTGCTGCTAGTGATATGGGAGACAATGTGGGCATATTCGCTGAGCCAGCTGTGGCGAGCAACTTCGAACAGATCCGCTCGCTTGCGAGGATCAGGGACCAGGATTCGGCGCAATAGATCGCGAGCGTGGGGAGTCACATATTCTGGGAAGGTGAGGGGAGTGGTGACGATGTATTTGTAGAGGAGGTTGATATTGTCACCATCTGGATTCGCTGGGTCATCATCGAATGGAAGGTAACCGGCCAACATAGCGTACTAAGACAACAGGTTAGATCAGATCATATCAGATCAGGGGGAAATCGGTGCCAAACATACCAGAATCACACCACAACTCCACACGTCAACTTTCCGTCCAGTGTATAATGAATCGCTCACCACCAGTTCCGGGGCAGCATAACAGGGGCTTCCACAGCTAGTCTGCATGAGATCTCCGCGGCGCAAACCATCAGGCCCTAGTTTGTCGAGTCGCTTTCGCTTCACATATTCCTTGTTGGTCAAGTTATATTCAATCTCCTCCTCCAATTGGTCAATTGGGTTGAAGGTATTGGCAAAACCAAAATCCGTGATAATGATGTTACGATTCCGATCCAACAAAAGATTTTCCAACTTGAGGTCTCGGTGCACAATTCCTTTCTTGTGTAGATAACCAACACCCGACACTAGCTGAGCAAACAAGCGGCGGGCGGAGTTATCCTTCAGGTAACGGTGATTCAAGATGTAGTCGAACAATTCACCTCCAGACGCGTACTCCATGATGATTCCGATATGTCGATCCGTTTCCACCATCTCGTGGAGGCGGACAATGTTGGGGTGGGCGAGATCGCGCAAGATCGAGATTTCCCGGTAGATCTTCGGCAGGCGTGTAGGATTGGTGCCCAGGGTGTCCCTGCGAATGAGTTTGATCGCAACTTGGATGCTGCCATCTCTTTTCCAGCCCAGCTTGACCTTTCCGAATTCTCCCTCTCCAAGAGTTTGACCTAGAATGTAAGAGCCAAAGGTGGTCTCCTTTCGCTTGACGATATTGCAATTGTCGTAGTCATGGCGACTCCGTGGTCCACGAGGTTCATCATCCGCGTCATCGTGCCCAATGGGTAAGGCCGTGTCCACGGTGGCAGAGGATGCGCCTGCTTGGCGCACCTGCTCCCGTTCGTGATCCACCATGGGATCACTCACCATGACAGCGTTGATAATCGTACTGGGCTCTTTCACCAGATCCGAACCCTCCTCCAAGCTCGAATCGGCAGGCGATGCGACTGAAGCTCCTCTAGACCGTCCTGATTCCTGTGTCGGCTCTGTGGGATCCCGTCGAGATCGACTCTTTCCGTTGCGGTCCCTATCCCGGTCGCGATCGCGGTTTTCCTTGCGGTCGGCCCGGCCTTTCCCTCGCGATGCATCCTTTTCTCTTGATCCATTGGGGCTGTGACGATTGGACGAAGTCCTCGGGGGAGGAACTGGAGGGGTGCCTAACATGTCGGGGTACTGGCGCGCATTCTTCTGGGCGGGAGGCGGTGCGTGGGTCGCAGTTGGCACATGGGCGGAGATTGGCAGGGAAGTGCTCATAGCCGATAGACGTTGATCCGGACCAGCCTGAATAATGGCTGCAAAACGTGATTAGCAAGTTGAGCGACCGCCAGGCTTTCTCCAGTGGCAAGAGGCAAGTGTTGGCATCGGGGTGTCCGACCAACCTTCTGATCAGAAAGCGCAACAGGTCGCGACTTTCTGGCAAATGTCCCTAAACAACCCTTGGGGACTAACTGTCCAGGCGACCGAAGCCAATGGGTGCCCAATTACTGCACCGGAAGCACCACACCCTCCCGAGGGTGATTGGTGAGGTTGTCGGGGGGGGGGGGGGATGATTGGGGCGATCGGTCGCACTCGCCGAGTGTCGACCTTCAGCCTTACAAGCTGTGGTGGGACATGCGCGTCAGTAAGTGAATCCCCAGGCAATCAAGATCGGCAATCAAGAAGAATGTACAACTTTATCCGGGATAGGGCCCTCAGAGAACATTCGATGGGAGGAATGGGGGGAAAGGAAGGAATGCCACGGGGTCGCGCCCGAAGCACAAGCAATGATGACGAGCACCAAATTGACGAAATTGACAATTCAACACAATGCGATCCAATGCAGGGGAATAAAGACGCGTAAAATCCGAGGGAACAAAGCAAAAGGAAGATTCAATACCTGCACAGCAGTCTAAGGTCCCCTCTTTTCCGATCCCACGGGGGAAGTGGCACGTTGTTCAAAAAGCCGGGGGACAGAAAGCTCAAGTCAATGTCTCAGACGCGATTGAATATCCCAAGACCTTTAGAATCGATGTTGGACGCTGAACATGATCGAATCCAGGGCAGGACAGGGGGCGCGAGGGGATGTTTTATCGGGAAACACCGGTTCACGGATTAAAAAGGGGGTTGGGAGAGGAGAAGGTCAAGGGCGAATACAAAACATAAAAAAAAGAAGTTCAACCCCCAGCAAAGGAACAAAAGAAAAGACGAAGACAGAATGACTGAGAGGTTAAAGGAGGAGGTTTTGGGGTTGGAAGCCAAAGCGGGTCATCAGGAGGAAACACGTCTTCTTGGGGATTTAGTATGACGATGGGTATCCCATTTACAAAGAATACTAACTACTCCGTACTAACCTACCTACTACTAAGTAGAGTAGTAAACATAGTACTATTTGGTTAAACCTATCAAATTCTGTTATTACAATACCTTGTAAATTCCAACATGATCAGTATTCAATGATATATGCAAATTAATGGGTTAGTTAGGTGGAAATAATCCCCCCTTGCCTCTCTCTTCTCTATTATCTTCGAAAGAGGATTGAGGCCGAAGCTACCAACAACCAGAAAAACAGAGAAATACTAAGAAAAAAACGGAAAAAAGAGGTCATAGCTCTTAAAATCCCCCCGTTTCATAGAGGAAAAAACAAGGGGGTGAAAGGAACCGGTTGTTTCGAATTGCTGGAAAGTGGATTTCTTTTAGCTTTTGTGACGATCGTCATTACGGCCTCAGAACAGAAGATAAACTAGTAATACGACTCATTCGATATGTTCATTTCCATGATCTATCTACCCGTAGGACGTTTTTTTTTGGTTTTGGTTTTTTTTTTTTTGTTTCTGACCAATTTTGATTTATGATTATGATTATAATTGCAATTGTAGTTATATTTATACCCATCTAACCTACAGAAACTGAGGAATCAACCTTGGAAACCTTGTATAGAGTACACAGACAACAAGTTATTTTCCAATGGAACATTGAACCAACCATGGTTGATTCCCTCCGGTTAGACCCAGGGTTGACGTCCAGATCGAGTAGATCATCGAACCGTGGGAACCTTGCAACTTTTAATTGATTACGGTACTCCGTACTCCGTAATTGGTATGCTATCTCTGGCCGAGGCAATTGGCTTGTGCCTGGATTTCGGCACGGTCGCGCTAATATTATATTACACTCCACTAAAGTCCACACGGTAGCGTAGCGCTATCCTACCCCTCCGCTGAACCTTAGAGTTTAGAGGCATTTTGCTGGAACTGAACAGAATAACTAATAGAATCAGACAAAGTAGCCGTTGGATGATATACTTGCGGTGTGGAGTGCCACTCTTAACCCACCATTGACCCCTTAACAACCCTCATTGGCTCTGCCGGGGCCAACTGTCAGGCGGGCGATGCGTTGTCAATTGGCCTGGTCTGCGCCTCTCATCCAATCGACCCCCACCTCAACAAGCGAGGAAAATCATAATCAACGTCTAAGATGGGATTATCAATATGACGCACGGTCAACAAAATGACAAGTCTGGACTCTTGTTCATGGAAAAAATCGCCGACCATATCCCGGCCGAAACCTTGTCCGACTTTCGGACCGACGCTACATGGAAGGAAAACCAGTATGTAAATTTCAATGCTTGGGCGTTTATATCAAGACTATCTACAGCTTCGGGGGATTTTCCATCCCCGGAAAAGATCGACGGAAAGTACCAGATCCAATTGCCTAAAACAGAACAACCACTCCGCCCGCGAAGCGCCCGGTCATAAATCAATCTCCTTTACCGCTTGGCCCCGGACATGCTCATGGGCGTGCCGCCGAGCGATGTAGTCCCCGAGGCGCCATATGCGGGCGGCGCGGTGGGATTGGTCGATGGACCAGCAGCAGCTTCGGGAAGCTCGCCACCATCACCACTACCCACCACCACTTGCTTGCCATCGCGCATTCGTCCCACCACCATGCCCTTGGCTACCGATTTCAGAAGCGCCCGTCGACTCACCCCGGTAGCATCGATGTACACCAATCCCACATTCTTCACCCCGCCCGTTAAGTTGTTTGCCACGTCGCCGGCCTCCGCGCCATATTTGTGACCAATCATTGCGCCCGTCGCTGACGAGCCTGTGAGAAGAATGGTACGCGCACCTTCCTGGATTCCATCGGCCAGCGTGTTGAAGGCGATCAGGGACTTGTTAAGTACGCCAGGCTTGTAGTCCGGTGGGGGGCGGCTCTTGTCCGTGCCCCGAGACTTGTTCTCTTTGCGAGACAGCGATGCACCAACGTTCTGGGCTACCCGCTCTACTTGGCCTAATGTCCGAGCAGAAAGGTCAGCAGCCCCGGTGGAGAGACTGCCAACCTTGCGGATCCGCGCATGTGTGCTCTCAGAGAAGGTCAAGGGCTTTTGATTAGGCTTAGTCTTCTTGGTGAAGGTTTCGGCGCCGCTGGTGATAGCATTGGCGAGAGAAGTGGAAGTTGCGACAATGAGACGAGATGCAGTAGCCGAGGTCTGCACGATTGTTGAATTCTTGTACGCGGGGTGACGAGCCATGGCCAAGTACTCCTCGGAGACATTGCTAATACTGACCCGGTTGCCTTCACCCTCGCCAGGGAGTTCGATGTTGACCGGTCCTACATGAAAGGTGAACATGTTTAGGTTGCTTTCCACGATGGAAGTTCGGGCTCCACTTACTCTTGGATCCTGGTTTGACATCGGGGTCTTCAACCACATCGTATGCGTCGCCCAATTCTCCGACCACACTGCCATCTTCCTCATCCACGAGCACAATCTTGCCATGAGTATTCTCGGTTCCTTCAGAGGAGATATATCCCTCGCCGGGTGCATAGTCCGCGGGATTGTATGCGGTATAGCCGAGAGACTTGCCACTTGACTTCTGGCGAGGAGCAGTAGCCCGCTCCAAAAATGCCGTGCATTGGGCAAGGATGGTTTCAAAGGTGTCGATGTCGTCCTGAGTCACTTTGTCTAGACCAGTCCCAATCCCCGGGAACTGGATTCGAAGAAAGGCACCCGGGGCCAGATCCCAACGGGGAATCAAGTAACTATCGGGCAATTGATGGTAGATCTGAGTGGTCGCAGGTAAGGCCAGATCCAATTCTGGGGGAAGGCACAGGTGAAGATAGAAATCCTCCTCGGGAGTCTCTGTGCCTGCACCGGCTGAAGGGGTGGGAACCATGAGGAGCGACAGGGTTTGCGGCCCTGATGGGGTCAACTCTTGCTCCTCTCCATCTTGAATGTGGAAGGCACGGATGTTTGTGATGCTATACAGCAATCGAGGGTCATGAATGCCGGCCATGATGTGGTCCCCGCAATCCGATAAGGCGGATAAGGATATGACGTCGTAATAGTAGCCCCTTCTGATCAACTACCGGTCACGGTGAGAAGAAAAAGGAAGATATCCAGACTTTGGAAATAATTCTAAGAATCAAGAGAAGGATCTAAAGAGAAGAAACCACCTGAGCGCCAGCCAAGGCCCAGGGAGGGGTTTCCTCTTATGAATGTCCCGGTCTGGGCGCTTAGATAACATGCCATGCACGCCACATAACTAGTTTGCACCGCCACAACGGTACATCGTGACCACAGTACCTTGGATGATCTTGGGGTTGACTTCTCTGTATTCCCTCCAATGGCTGACCTGCAGATCGTATCAGATCTACATCTAGAGAAACCTGCTGCCTATGATATATTCCACATTCCACCAAAAGCCCCTTACTTGGCGCTTCTCGGGGATATAGGCGTCGTCACCGATGCAGGCTTTTTCCTTTTTATTGAGCGTCAGCTTCGGAACTTCGAAGTCGTTTTTCTACTCTTGGGGAACCATGAACCATATTATCTGACTTGGAAGCAAACAAAGGAGAAGATTCTGGAATTTTCTGTCTCGATCGATCAGCGACGTTCTCAGGATGATCATCTCGGTGCCTTTGTCTTCTTAGATCAAACCCGCTTTGATCTTGATGCCAATGTGACAATCCTAGGTTGTACGTTGTTCTCGAAGGTCTCCGAGAAACACCGTGAGAGCGTTGGTCTCGGATTAAACGACTTTTACTACATCGATGACTGGACTGTCGATAAGCACACTGCGGCTCATCACGCCGACCTCAAGTGGCTGAACGATCAGGTTGCACTTATCGCAAGCCGAGAACCTGATCGTACAATTATCATTTTCACTCACCACAGTCCTGTTAGTGCTGATCCACGGGCTTCTGACCCCAGACATATCCACAGTCCATTGTCATCCGGATTTGCGACGGATCTGTCTATGGAGGAGTGTTGGAAGAACCCTCGTGTATGCTTATGGGCATACGGGCATACACATTACAATGTCGATTTTACAGACAATATAAACCAGAAGTCAGTCGTGAGTAACCAGCGAGGATATTATTCTACTCAAGCCCAGAGCTTTGATGTGGAAAAGGTCGTTCATGTAATTAGGCCCTCTTGAAGTAGATACACCTGAAATAACGGGCATCAAATTTACCCAATTGGGATGATTTGGCAAACAGTGCAAACCCCGCCACTCCGCGGCTTCGAATTTTTGATAGATCGGAGGCCTCCGTTGAACTTTTTTTCTGGTGGATCTCCCAAGATTCTTGCTGTTTCTTAGCGAGAACTTGTCAGTCAAAATGTCTCATATGGATATGACGACCCAGAAGCCTTCAAAGGCTACCAATGCCGTTCCAGAGCCGGATGTTTCTACGCGGGACCGCGACGTTGGCTCCGGCGATGAGCCTCCGGCTAAGAAAGCGCGACTGGAGGGGACAGACTCTGATAACAAGCCCCTCGATGCACGTGACAGAGGAATTGCGCCCATCAAGGCCGAGTACGTCCTGTTCTGCGAGAATCAAATGATAATAGACTAACAATTCCATGGAAAGATACCGCATCCAATCCCAGCCCAAGCCCAAGCCTACCGAAACCGAGACTAACCCCGATGATGCTGCCGAAGCAGCCCCTCATGCCGATCGCGAGGGTGACGACCGAGACAGCAAGAAGAACAAAAAGAAGAAGAAGAAGAACACCGGTCAAAACACCAACCGAAGCTTTGGCAGTTCAAAAGACGCCAAAGCCCTTTGCGGATCGAGAATGTTCAATCCCGAGTTCTCACCTGGAGAGTGCCAGTTCAACGAGAAATGCCGCTTCGAGCACGACCTGCGCCTCTACCTGAAGGAACACAAACGTGAAGATCTTACAACTTTGAATGGGATGTGCCCTGTGTATGAGGCCCTGGGCAAGTGCTACTCTGGATGGAAGTGCCGGTTGGTTGGATCGCATTCGAAGGAGAGAGAGACGGCAGATGGTCGGAAGGAGCTCATTCTTCTCGAAGATGAGGAGCGCATGACGAAGGCCAAACCGCGCGTGCCATTTGCAACGGACGACGGGCTGGTCAATATCATTTCCTACGAGGATAAAATGGCGCTGGCGCGGAAGAAGGAAGTCACCATTCGTGCCAATGCTGTCAATGACTGGTTGAACAAGTCCGGTCAGGAATTGGAACAATATCTGCACAGTGGAAAGAAGGAGGGTGAGGATGGAAAGACTGATGGCACAGCTGAAAAGGTCGTTCAAGACAAGGCCAAGGAGGAGAAAGAAGAGCAACGGGCACACTTCACCGAGCCGCCTTTCTTGCCCTCTGAGAAGCGTCGCATTTACTTCGGCCCCGAGACGCCCACCCTGGCACCTTTGACGACACAGGGAAATATGCCTTTCCGAAGACTGTGCTCAGATCTGGGGGCTCAATTCACCTACTCTGAAATGGCCATGAGTATGCCGCTCATCCAAGGCGCAAAATCCGAGTGGACTTTGATGAAGGCGCACGAGTCGGAAATGCTCCCACCGTCTATTACCCGAGGGGAAAATGTGGTTCAAGGCTACGACAATTCGAAAGATTTCCGATTTGGGGCTCAGATCGCTGCCAACAAGCCCTGGCAGGCCGTTAAAGCCACCGAAGTTCTGTCCAAGTTCACCCCCAACTTACGTGTGATCGACTTGAACTGTGGCTGCCCTATTGACCTTGTCTATCGCGATGGAGCTGGTTCTGCTCTCCTAGACCACCACTCAAAGTTGGAGAAAATTCTTCGCGGCATGAACATGGTCTCTCAGGAGATTCCCATCACCGTCAAGATCCGCATGGGGGTCAGAGACAACTATCCAACTGCGCTGAAGCTCACCGAGCGCCTTATCCACGGTGGCTACGAATCGAGCCTCCTTGGTGTGGGCCCTCCAGGTGTCGCAGCTATCACTCTGCACGGACGGAGCAGGCAGCAACGATACACTAAAGAAGCTGACTGGAGCTATATTGCCGACTGTGCAGCCCTCATTAAGCGCCTGAACGAAAAGACCGACAACATCACCGACACTATTCGTGAGCCAGATGCTCGCTTTCAGCCAAATGGTGGAAAGACATACTTCCTCGGTAACGGTGACTGCTACTCGCACAAGGATTACGACGATCACGTCAACAATGCCGGTGTGGATTCGGTTATGGTGGGCCGCGGTGCTTTGATCAAACCGTGGTTATTCGAGGAAATCCAGACGGGTCAATACCTTGACAAATCTGCAACGGAGCGTCTGGCTTACATCGAGAAGTTTGCGAAGTATGGCCTCGAGGCTTGGGGATCTGATGAGCATGGTGTTGGTACCACCCGACGATTCATGTTGGAGTGGCTGAGCTTCGCCCATCGCTATGTTCCCATCGGACTTCTGGAGTACCTTCCCCCTAAAATTAATGACAGACCCCCTGCTTGGCGTGGTCGCAATGAAATGGAGACTCTCATGGGTAGTGACAACTACCGGGACTGGATCAAGATCACGTAAGTTTGCACTCTACCCTTTTGTTTGGATCGTCTTTGAGTTGATTGATCTGGTCTAACCTATTCAAATATAGCGAGATGTTCCTTGGTCCGGCACACCCAGACTTCAAGTTTGAGCCCAAGCATAAGTCTAATTCTTATGACCAAGCGGAAGGTTAATGCAATGGCTCGGGGATCAATATGTCAAAATAGCAGGCAAAACTTCAACATAAGGGTCATCCAAAGCCCAGGTTAAATGGACATCGCCGACAGACGACAATTTCACAGCTAATGGATAGAGCTGACTCCCAAGACCATAAGGGTCTGAAAATCGATCTCGTAGTCAACGGATCCTCAGTCTCCGGCAGTTTGATGATCCTCTGGAGCGTAGATATCCTCAAAGATCCCCCAGTGGCTTTAAATCTACCATTTATTCACGTCAAGGCCGACAATAACCCGGGCACTAGAGCACTGAAATGATCATAAGCCTTGTGGCCTCACGCTTAAAGCTATGGAAGATCATGAGTGGGTAGTTGGGTCGGTTTGCCACCGAGATATTCCTTCCCATCACTTCAATTTTTTTTCATCAGATCGTGGTACTTAGACAGAAAGGAGTCGCAATATTGGAATGGTGAAGAGACATATTTCCCGGCTAGCGGAATCGCTCATTTCTGGTACGCGTTGGCGCACCTCTTCAATGGGAGTATAAATCGTTCTCTTTGATCAGCATCGTTTTTGAGATGTCCATACATTCAATCTTCATGACTCTTCCTTGTCAAGATAGGCGTTCATCACCCCAAGCATGGCCACAATGTTCAACTCCGCCAGGGGGCCATTGTTGACGTCTAGATAGGTGCTAGTGATATTCGGGGGCAGGCAACACGGCAACGACAATTGGTAGCTCTGGTGCATACCAAGCGCGTTTCTCCATCCATAGCGACAAATCTCCCCAAAACGCCGGGCGCATGATCTGTGCATGCTCCCAGTCGTCTGGATACCACATCGCTGTTTCCCAGTCCAAAATTCCAGAAACATTGCCCTTTTCGTCTACCATCACATTGCGCGGTGCAATATCTCCATGCGTGAATACCGAATGCTCCGACCGTGGCAGCATATCCGGCACTTTGTTCTCGAAGAGAGTTGCCCCGTTGTGGATATATCGCTCGTAGCTCCTTACGCGCAATTCTGAGTTACTCAAAGCGGCCGAGCAGGCTCTTGTAGATCCTCTAGCATTGGTACTCAGGATAGAGAGCCATCTACAGCACACTAGCAAGCCCACAGACGTTCTTTTGGATTAAGAATACTTCAGATTCTCGATATCAGACTCCAGAGTTGAACATTTGAAGGCATATACTCTTATGGTCCATGGAAGAACATTTTATATACTATCACTTCCATATAGAAGGGCTAGAATCCAGAATATTGATCTATTTCTTTCTGGGTCCTGGGATCTCAACTACGTATTCAACTTGGATCCAATCAAGTATACGTACTGGATCAGAGTTTTATGTTCATAATTATGAAGCGGGAGATCCCGATCCGATCGAGAAAAGGATTTTCCACGCTAAAATACATGCGGTGAAGGAGAATCGATAGTGCGAATATCAAGTAATACAGTACTAACGATTTCGGAAATTCCCCACTGCCCATATCACCAATGATATAATTGATGATACGCCACAGGGACCACAACACGGATAGTACGGAGTACAAACTCTGACCAAAGCAGAAAAAGAAACAAAAAAAGAAAAATGACAAGCTGTGCCTACAACTCAAGCTCTCTTACATTTGAAACCTCGAATGATTAATGACTCGCCGGAGGTTGTTGCTGGCATATTGCTTCCACCCAGATCCACAAGTAGAGACTGTCGATTCATATGGACAATAAAGAGTCGGCAAAAGTGGATACACACATCCCGTGAGATTAGATCTTTCTCTTTTTGCCGAAGGGGTGGTGTCCACTAGCACGGATCTGATACCAGTTGCTATCGTAGTGGGCCTTGAGGAAAGTAGTGTGTAGAGATGGAAGGCCAGCTGAATTCATTGCGTATAAGACGAGCCACTTGCCCACACCAGGAATATTGTGATAATCACCTTAGATTGCCTACAGACGCAACCTCGTTTGCAAACGGAAGCACCTAGGATGTTCTGGAAACCTTTCACGGCAGTTCTAGCGATCGCATTGTCGATTAGAGATGGACAAGCAAGTCGACTGGGCCGAGATTCTCCTACAAATTTCATCCGTTCCCCGGTATCGGAACATCGAAACATATCTGATTACCGATTCTTGACCAACAGGACAAAGTGTATGTTTCACCTGACACAAGAAGTCATTGTATATTTTACTAAAAAATCCCGTGTCGTACAGCGCAACTGGTGGAGAGTCTTCCACATGTCCGTTTTGACCTGGGGGAAATGTATTCGGGTTCCATCCCTGTGCGTGAAAATGCTTCTCTGTTCTACATTTTCCAGCCCAAGATCGGAGAACCCTCCGACGATCTCACAATTTGGCTGAGTGGCGGGCCAGGATGTAGTTCAATGCAGGGGTTCTTGCAAGAGAACGGACGTTTTACTTGGGTACCCGGCACCTATGAACCTGTTATCAACCAGTATTCATGGGTTAACTTGACGAATATGTTATGGTAAGTCATCACATCCTGGTAATGCACATAATCATGATCTGAATCGCTGGCTAGGGTCGACCAACCAGTTGGAACTGGGTTCTCGACTGGCACGCCTACTGCAACAACGGAAGAACAAATCGCCGCCACCTTCGTCGAATTCCTCCACAAATTTGAAGAGCTGTATAACATCAAGAATTTTCGAATTTTCATGAGTGGGGAGAGTTATGCAGGTCGATATGTACCTTACATATCTGCTGCCATGCTTGACAAGAATGATACAGAGCACTTCGATATCAGTGGTGAGCAAGAAATCCCGCCTCTCGAAGAAGCCTGATTCTCTTCGTTACAAATTCTCACCAATTATATAGGGGCACTGATGTATGATGCATGCATTGGCCAATGGGATTATATCCAAGCGGAACTCCCAGCTTACCCCTTTGTGCAGCAGCATGCTGAACTATTCAACTTCAATCAATCATTCATGGCACAGCTGGAAAGCACGTATGAGCAATGCGGTTACTTGGAGTATTTTGACAAATACCTGACCTATCCGGCTTCTGAAGTGCAGCCGCCCAAATACATGAACTACTCCGAGTGTGACATTTACAATATGATTTATAATGAAGCTTACAATCCAAATCCATGCTGGAATCCCGAACACGTCAACCAAATGTGTCCCCTGTTATGGGATGTCTTGGGCATGCCCACAGATCTTACCTACGAACCGAGCCATACAACATACTTCAACCGCGCGGATGTCAAGCGGGCCCTGCATGTCCCTGAGAATGTCGAGTGGGAGCTCTGCAGTTCCGAAAGCGTGTTTGTAGGCACCAACCCGGGCCCCGAGCAACAATATGATGAGTCTGCGAATCCGACCGAGCATGTGCTTCCCCGAGTCATCGAGGCGACGAATCGGGTCCTGGTTTCAAATGGTGACTGGGACTATTTGATTATAACCAACGGAACACTGATAGCAATCCAAAATATGACCTGGAATGGGGAGCTCGGATTTCAGACGCGTCCCACAACTCCAATCTATATTGATATGCCCGACCTGCAATGGTCGTCGATCTTTGATGCCCAAGAAGGGTACGGGTCTCTTGATGGTCCGCAAGGACTGATGGGAATCCAGCATTATGAGCGCGGGTTGATGTTTGCAGAGACATTCCAGGCAGGCCATCGACAATCACAGGATCAAGGTCGGGTGTCCTATCGCCACGTCCAGTGGTTGTTGGGTAACGATGATTATCTGTGAGACTTTCCGTGTTTCGCTATTTAGACCGATACATAAACCACACCTGATGGCTGGACACTTTGAAAGCGAAAAGGGAAAAGGACTTGAAAAGAAATTTGACGGGAAATCTTTAAATACGTGAGAGGGGCAGGGAAACAATGCCATGATATATATTCCATTCGACCCACTATAAAGTGCCTGGAAATAAAATATCTCGCTCAAGATCTTGTATCCGGAAATTAAGCAATAAGAAACGCAGTCGGCAGGTGAGAATACCTACTCTACTTATCAAGTCCGCCACTCCCCACAGAAGAAGCCAGTGGAGTCGGTGGGGCAATCCACCAATACGTGTGTGACTTCCTCCTGCTGCTGGAGGGACCTCCTCATTAGAGCTGCTATTCTTTAATAGGAGACACAGACTGCTCTGTTTAGAATACAGAAATGGAACACTTAAAAGCATGCTACTGGAGCGTGGGGTCAGGCGGACCCCTCCGTTTGCTCCAGCTTCATCTCTTTCTCTCTCTCTCTCTCTCTCTCTCTTCCATACCTCTCGAAATGCAGATATAGTATTCACCACTTTTACCACTTGAGGCTACTGTGGATGGGTATATGGTTCCGGAGAAGGTAAGTAATAATTTTACCACATCATGAGGGTCACGATAGCGAGCATTAATCTTGTATGGGGAAATTTGGGCTCTTACGAACGACGATCGGACTCGCTCCAGACTGTTCCGAGATTTCCTCCACGGTTGTTCCATGCGGTGGACTCTGGCTGGTCTGAGTGAATACGCCGAGCTTGACGCCCATTCGAATAGATACCAATATTGGCGTGCTCTAGACGGGTTTCTCAGCATTGCCATTATGCTTCATCTCTCACTGCACAGTGTGTGCCGACTCTCAGCACTTTCGACAGGCTAGTGTGAGGCCTAGACTCACCATAACAACATCGTGGATAATTCTCTCGAACGGTGACTCCAAGGTCTCGAGCAAGACTTGAGCAGCACTCAAGGCCTGTAGCCGGGTGGCTTCATCGAGTTTTTGAGACTTGATTTTCCCAGTCACGGTAGTAATTTGGTCTATGATATCCTGTTCTTGACCCATTCTTACGTTTTGTCTGAGAAATCCACAATATCAATCAGTCCAGATGAAAGGCATATAAGATGAATAGTTCGATGCTAGATAGAACAGGTGCATAAGTCATAGTCAATGCTAAAGCTATTACTTGGCCTCGGGTATGCAGTAAAAGCCGCAATCGCTGGCTGGTAACAACTATTAGCTTTTCTCCATCGAATAGCACTGCCGATCTAAGTACTCCGCGTATATATATACCATATACTAATATAGGCTAGTATCGGTGTCCCTAGGTTATATCATATGACCCGGGCAGTGCTGACTTCCCGTTTAGGACTAGCTTAGTTTAGGTTTAGGGGCATATCCTTTAGACCTTGTGCTCCTTCTCTCTTTTCTCCCCTATACCCAATATCATATACGTTTTATGTGAAGCTGTCAGCCTACATATTGTAGTCATCTTCCATCTTCCCCGCTTAGGGCCTATTGGCGCCAGGAGCTAGTAATTGGGGGCCAATCCCCCCGTAATGTTTGAAAGACAGATCTTACTCAAATAAATAAATTGAATTGAATTTTTTTTTTTAATCGAGTAAGATGAAACTCATCTTTACAAATATTATTGCTGGTGTGTGTATATACCCTCTTCTATGTGCAAAAGCGGAGCTGCCGATATTATCTTTTTGGCTCCTTAAGATGGTGCCTCTACGGACGTATTCCCGTCATGAATCAGCCATCATACGTCCAACCATGTCAAATTCCAATCTATTCTCGGCGAAAAGTGATCGTGATCTAGCTCATCTCTTCCAGAAGGCTCCTATCTGGGGTCGAAGGATTACATTTGAACTGAAATTTGAGACTGAATCATCCGTACTCTGTGCTGACTGCTGGTCATTTCTACCACTCTGGAAGCAATAAACAACGGAAACATACGAGTGATAATCGAAGGAAATGCGAAATCCAAGTACGTCACTGCCGGATAATTTCATTTTAATTTATACGTATTCTCGTGATATGTGTATAGTACAGGCTGAATCCTTCGGTCCGTGAGTTATTTCTCCTCAATGTATATAGGTCGCCCCCAAATATCGAACATTCCAAAGAGGTACGGGGTTGAAATTTCCGAAATTTTTGATTCAAGAAAGCATTCAATGATCATGGTGCAAAGCGATGGAGTCGCTTACTGTGGTGACCAATTGATAGGTGTTACCATCACGGTCGCAATTCTCGAAGGGGCAATCGTTTGCGCGCGCTTCTACACCAGATACATGCACAAGACGGCCGTTGGATCTGATGACTATCTTATGATTCCTGCGTTGGTAAAGTTCAGTATTCGGCTATCCCTTGCCACATTGCTGACAGAGTATGTTAGCTGGCGAGTCTAGGGCAGGCTGCTCTCTATGTTTACTGTATGTCATGAGCCGGCTTTCTATTTGCGCAGAACACTAATCATGGGCGAATGAAAGTGGTGAAGCAGGGTGGGGTCGGCTACCATCTTGCATATGTGATGCGAACCCCACAGAAGCTGGTGATACTGCAAGAGTATGTAGTTTCCTGGTCGCCTTGGAAGGTAGAAATCTTACAATCACTGCAGGGCCGTTACGCAAATGAAATTCTCGACTTTCCGTTTACCGTGAGTCCAGAAAAGCTGTCAATTCTCCTATTTTACCTTCGTATCTTTACCCTTCGTATCTTTACCCTTCGCACCTTTCGAATATTTGCATATATCGTTGGAACAGTTGTTCTGAGTCACGCGATTGGGGTGCTATTTGCCGCAGTCTTCCACTGCTTGCCGATCGCATACACGTGGGACACTTCGATCACAGGAACATGCTTTTATCAACAGAGATTCTATCGATGGGTATCCCCTCCAAACATTATGACCGAGGTCCTCCTCCTGGTGATGCCTTTACCCTATGTCTGGAAGTTGCAATCTTCCTTAGGGCATAAGTTAGCTTTGACAGGCATATCCCTATTGGGAAGTCTGTGAGTCTTTTTTTCTTCCCTGCCAGTGGATACCTTGTCTCTGACCTTGCTTAAAGGAGAACTTTGTTTAGTATTTTGCGCATGACAACTTTCTTCCAGGAAAATGCGGAAATAGACCCAACTTGTATGCTTACTTCAAGGGGAAACATCCAAGACCACACAAGCTAACCTTTTACAGGGGTCTCTGTCAAGCTTGGTATATGGACCATTTTGGAAGGCGAGATCATAATCATAGCAGCCTGCCTACCTTCAGTTTGGCCATTATTGACCAGGAAATTTCCTCAAAGACTTCTCACCACTCAACCTTCCCAAAGGGAGTTGCCTCGCTATGACCTTCATAGAGAATCTCGCAACGCAAGTTTGGAGGGCATCTTCTCACGACTGGATGAAGAGCGTTTGGAGGGGATTAAAAAGCCAAATTTTTTGAATTCTGCCCATTCAGAGTCGGATCGACAAACAGAGGAGATGGAGACGACCCCATCCATTTGGTCCAGCGCATTCATGTCTTAGCTAGCTCTATCACACACACACACACACACACACACACACTCTCTCTCTCTCTCTCTCTCTTTCTTATCCATCCCTTCCAGGATACAGATCCTGATCATTTCTTCTGTATTCCGGCTACTACGATGTGGCCCTTTCTTTTTCTGCCCGACAGGAGGGTCCACATGTCCACATGAACTGATGTCTCTGGGAACTTTGCGGATTCCAATAAAACAATCAGGTGGATATGCGGACCATCCCCAGAGCTTCTACCGGTGGAGGATATTTGGGGAATAGGATAGGTTGCTTTATCTTCAAGTCTTTGAGCCTTGGTGTACCGTCACCATTTTGACGGACCATAGCAGTAGCCGTTGTAACAGTATTTATTTTACACCTCAGTCCTTAACAAACCGTGCAATCAATGACCTTCCATTATGGCTGTATATGAAGCATCATTAAAGCCAGGTCCTCCGCATGCCTCAGCAACCTATCGCCGCTGCTCTTATGTACATACTGCAATCTAGATCATCCCCAAAAATATATATATACAAAGGTGGCCCTAAATTAAGACGACTTGGGGCACAGTCGCCCGTTGTTGTTCCACGAATAGGGAAGGGGATCAGTAGTCTGAACCTCCCAGTCCTCGGCGCCGACAGCAGTAAGAGCGAAAAAAAGACCAGTGGGGTCATACTTCTGCTTTAGTGAGTAGAGACGTGGGTAGTTGGTACCGTAGAAAGCTTGCTGTTGATTTGGCTCCAGGAGATCTGCTTCACTCATGTAGGCGCCGGAGTCGGGAGCAATCTGGCGAAGTACATCCATCCACTCTGTCACGAAGAGCGAGGAACTCTCAATTACATCCCAGGTGCTGGTGAAGTTCCACTCAGAGCCCACAATGATATGGGTCATTGTGTCACGCCATGCAGGCAGCACGGAGTTATCCTTTGGTGGTTCGACGGCAATACCGGTACCACTGATATGGAAACCGGCAAGGAAGAGACCCTATAATGTGCCAGATATTAGATTAATGCAGGTGAGGAGCCCTGATGCAAAGATAGATAACGTACCTTGTCCACAGCGTCCTTATAGGCTGTCAAGGTCTGGTTGCGGAGATCATCGCTTTGGAAGACGCTACGGGGGAGTAGTCGGGAAGCAGTCTTGACGATGTCAGTTCCGACATATTCTTGTGGAAAAGCCTCCACCCAAGCATCGTGGCTGAAAACCGTGATTAGCTGAGGAGTGAAAATGAAACTTCGGGAAGATGGAGGTTGCAAACGCACAAGTTGTCTGCATGGTTATACCACGGAGTGTAGGTGACATTCAAGTTGTTAAGGGCATTGAACCATGGAGCAATAAGAGCCTTGGTCTCTGCGATAGTCATGTTCGGCGCAACGAATGATTCCATCCGGAAGTAATAGTCGGTATCACCAGCATAGGCCGTGCCAATTTCAGCTGAGTCTGCGCCAATGTAGTAGTAACCATATGTACCAGCATCAACAAAGGCTTCGAAGTTGTCCAGGTATGACCGAACCGCAGCCCAGAAAGCGTCCGGGCCAGGAGTATCACTGACGGTGAAGTTAAACGTCACCGTAGTGGTCTCCAGCTTGGGCAGAGCCTTGACAACCAGAGAGGTGACAACACCGATGGTACTACCACCTCCACCACGGAGCATCCAGAAAACATCCGAGTTCTCGGTAGAGCTAGCAGTGATGAAGCGACCATCCGCAAGAACGACTAGATATGGTCAATTAAAAGTTCCTGCAGGGATACAACGAGATATTAGGCAACTTACCTTGCATTGATAGAACCTGATCGGCTGCCATGCCGTACAAACTGGATAGGGGAGAGTGGCCACCACCAGCTGTATAGCCACCACCCAGACCAACGGTTACCGCCTCTCCACCGACAACTGAGTGGCCAACGCTCTTGGCAAACTCATACGCTTCCCAAACTTGGACACCAGAGCCAAATTTGATTGCCGGGCCAACATAGCCATTAGGGGCCCTGTAGGTTGGTAGGTACTCCTTGTCCTTGAGGTAGTGGGTCCAGATGCTTAGAGCCCCCTTTCCAGCGGCCTTACCGTTGAAGTCATGGCCGGTGTTCTTCACCACCAAACGCAGGTTCAAGTTCCGGGCGAAGTTGACTGCCAGCTGGATCTGTGCCACGGTGGAGATATTCACCGCGTACGCAGGGTAGGCGCCTTGCTTGCAGGTGGAGGTATAATTATACGGCGATGGAAGACAAGTACGACCTTCATACAACGGCAACATGATTGATGTAGGGTCATTCATGTGCAAGTCTGAGTCAAGCCAGTCCGCTGTAATGCTCGCACACTTGGTGGCATTGTACTCTGGCCATTCTGGATAGCAGTAGGCCGCCAAAGGAACAGTCTTGATCAGGCTGCCGCCGAGAAGCACATCAAAGACATCCCAAATAAGCTTTGCTGGCCACAGCAAATCACCAGGCATCGGCTTGCAATGGTGCTGAGCACTTCGTTTAACCATGGTGGTGCTCGAATTGGTGGTGTTGGCAAAATCAAACATGCCAGCAACAGTCTGGTTCTGCAAGGCCTTAGAGACATCACTGAGTGCACCCTCGGTCAGCTGCAGTGACTCATATGGGAACAGCCCTGAAGAAGTAACCGCGCTTTGTGCTGCCGTGAGTGATGCAGTGGACAGCGCCTGGGCGAGCGACACGCCAGCCACGAGAGCCAATCCACTCACACACTTCATTGTGAGAGGTGACAAAAATTGTACAAAATAGAAATAAAAGAAGGAAGGACACTTGACTCTGCAGTATGGAGTAAATATCAAAGGAACTTTCTCAACCCCTGTCAAAAACGTGGCAAAGCACATGGGAAGGATCGCTACTTAAATCTAGCGCCATGCACGGTACCGCACCGGCGATGCGATGCCAACCCCTGATTGTAATTTCTGGCAGAAGCGACCAGATTTCTCAATAGTCAAAAGGAGTCGTTAACGACTCCTCCCGAATCTACCTAACATTGGATGGTGTTTGGTGGAGTAAACGACCGCCGCATATTTAGCGCTGCATTAGTTGATGTCGCTAACGGGCCGATTTAGATTAACCATGCGTCACAAAAGTACGATGTCTCACTTTTCCTTTTCCATGAGTTGACTTTGCGTCCAATGAGAAATTGTGGATGAAAAATTGAATAACCCGAATTTTATCTCAATTGGAAAGGATCATGTCGGTCAACGCGTCATAACAATCATATTTTGCAGTTGTGGTACTATCTATCGAGACATTCCGTCCAATGTTCTCAACGCTAGTCTATAGACCACAAGTCGGCTCCGACGGCCTGGAAATTGGCACTACTCAAGCAGCATAGCAATGACTTCTCCCACTCGTGGTCCACCTGTGGTCCTGTATTTTAGCGTAGGGGATGCGGCCGATCGAGGACAACTACCATTCCGAGCGTTCTCCGAATTTGACTTAACCTTTTCAGGGTCACAGAGCTAGACCAGAAGCCAAAATATGCCGCCAAAAAATCCTCCTGTAAATTAGGGTCAAAATCGGCAGTGCTGTAGGGAGCTCATATTTACTGGTTGAGGTCTCTGTCCACAAAGATAAACTAAGATCCAACCTCTGTCACAGAGAACTAGGATATGCAGCCAGAGAAATGGGCTCCGGTGACAACTTACAGCCGCAGGCTATTGGCCTAATCTTTGGGTTTCCAGCCCTTGCAACCGTTGCTGTCGCCTTGCGGGTTTACAGCCGGACCCTAACAAGGTCTTTTGGCGCAGGTCAGTCTGATATCCTGCTAGGATTGACATTATCTTCCAAGGTTTACACATCTAACACTGAATAGATGACTGGGTTATCTATATCGCACTGGTGAGTTCTCCAAGCACGCAAACCGTGGGTCCGGACGATTGACATATCGTTAGATCTTGTATTGGGCGGAGACTTATACATCCTACAAAGGTAGGATCTGCACACACGTTCGTCGATATTGGTCTAGAAGGCTCATCATATCTCAGTCATTATTTACACCTACATCGGATACAACGTCTGGGATATCCCTGAAGACTATCCGGCCGTCCTTGGTAACAAGTATGCATATGCGGTGAGTGGAAGGGATCTTCATTACTTATGCTTGGAAACAGGGACTACGGCTGATATTTTCAACACAATAGACCGAGCTCATTTATAACCCTATTCTGGCTCTCGTCAAGACCTCCATCCTCATTTTCCTGCTACGTCTGACGGGGCAGAAAAAGCTGGTGCGCCAGGCCATCTGGGGATTGCTAATCTTCAATGGCACCGCTGCTGTCGCCACATTCCTTGTGACGGTCTTTCACTGTGTGCCAATCGCCTCTAACTGGAACTCAACCGCATATCCTGACGCCAAATGCATGAACTTTGCCAACTTCGTCACTGGCACGGCTTCGGTCTCCATCTTCACTGATGTACTCGCCTTGATACTGCCTACCTGGATTGTATATGAGCTCCAGATGCAATGGAACCAGAAGTTAATGCTGATCGGAATATTATCATTTGGTCTGTTGTGAGTTATCACGGCCCCTTGAGTCGGATCCATGCTAAGTGACGTAGAACCGTTGCAGCAGGCATTATTCGTGTTATCCTCCTTGACCAGTACGATCGCCATTTCCCCAAGAACTATACCCATACAGTCCTCTTCTGCGTATCCACAATCGAGGTCGGCCTAGCGTTTGTGGCCGCCTGTGCTCCCTCGTTCAAACCCCTGATTGCGCGACTTCTCCCACGACTGTGGGGCGGCTCATCCCGAAGCGGCCGGTACCACAACGGTTCCACCGGCCGCAGCGGTCGGGCCCGAAGCTACAACCTCGAGCAAATGTCAAATTTTACCCGGCGCACCCAGGATCAGAATATTACAGTCGTCGAGGCCGGAGGAGATGAGTCAAGTTACAGCCCCACCGAGACTAACAACAAAAATATCATAACTATGACCACACAGATGGAGGTTACTTGGGACCACCGGCCTCCTAGGGAGGAACAGCATACTAGCAGTACTGAAAGCCTGGTCCATGCAAAGTAGCAGGTGGTCGGCGGTACAGATCGGAGAGATTTGGAAATGTCACATGTATATTACCTATCCGCAAGAATCAAATGTATTGGAGTACTCTCTTTTCGCCCTAGAGATTTATCTAATGAAATTGATTATTTGATTCATCAGTGGATTGAATGAATTAGCGCCTGCAATTAACAATTTCTGTGAAACCATCTGATCATTTGAATGTGTCAACGCGCGATTAATTCAGGAATTAGCGTTGTTCTTAGCGCCAGATCCGGGCTCTGCCGTCCCTACTGTTGTAAAATTTCCGAGAATTACCCTGAATACGGACCCGAACCCGAGCCCGACACATAGGCAACATCGCGATGGCGTTTTGAAAAACCTTAGAAGCTTGAAGTACTGATCTCCAACAAGGTGATATCTGTACTGGGGGTATATTATCTACTTCTAAGATTGATCGTCTTCCAGATCTACCCCATGGAATGGTTGATGTACCTTGTTTGATGTACCTTGTTTTAGTTTTGTCAAACAAGCTAGGAGCGGAAGGTTATTCCGCGAGTCCGAAATCTGGGCTATGTAACTGTGTAGTTAACTGACTACAGTAGGCCCACTTTGTGGAGCGTGGAGTATGATTTCGAACCTCGGTTCTGATCTCGTGCGGAATTGCTCAATTGAGGTTTTGACTAGTACTTACCAGCACAATATCACCACACAGACTGAATATAGTGCTTTGTTTTTCTCTTAACGCGCTGAAGATACACCCGTAAGGATACTTCGCCAAGACATTAATTTAAATGCCCCTTAGGCAGCTTGTTACTGACTGGGCGATCATGATTGGCTGAAAACAGAACGCGTTGACTCGCCGAAATCGGATCCGGCCCATATCAATTTACAAATATTGGAATGTCCCTGCCACTCCTGAGTCCTAGCAAAACAAAGATCACTCCATTTCCCTATTGACGCAGAACATCGAGAGGCGAAAGAAAGATGCAGGCGAAGCAGCCGATACAAAAATGTAGGCATACGTGAAATGAGCCAGTCAGTCTTACTGGAAAGGAAACTTTGCGGGTGTGAATGACCAAAAAGGATTGGAACACTAGCTAGTCCCAATTCGGATAAAGGACCTAGCTGATCATTGAAAGCCCGAATCATCAGGCAACAGAAGTTACTGCCTGAGAACCCAGGCTTCAATAACTGTCATGTACTCGCATCGCTCGCCATTCCTTTTTATCTCCCCTCACGCAAATCTACTAGTAGAATTACTGAGCTAAATGAAATATACCATCAAGAATTGACTTTGAAGTAGCGGTTGTTTTCTGACCTAAAAGTGAAAGTTAAGTGTTGTCGAAACTCTCACAGTGACTGCAACACCTGACCATTTCGATGGAATCCTGAGTTTAGTGATGGAATACATTCCGGTAGCATCGGAACGGTTCCGCTGCTTATGGAATCTCTTACAGAAATAGCGGGGGGTGAATCCAGTTTCCATGATTGAGAGAACAAGGTCCCACAAATGAGACCTCAATATGGGCAATGGATCACCGTTGCCTAGTCTCACCATCTCGCCTTCTCTGTTTTCCTTTAGTCCCTCCACCACAACTCAATGGGTCTACGTGTATGTTCAGAATTACTCAGCTGCCGGTTCTCCCCTCTCCGTATTTCCGTAGGTCCCACATGTCCCGCATCCCCACGACCCACACGCCCCCAGTTCCATTGATGACCTCTAATCCGAAAGTCATATTTCAAGTACTAGTTTCCTTACAATTCTGTTTTCAATCGAGCTATTGAGCTTTCATATCCTCTAAAATGCCTTCCTGGACCCATCTTGTTCGTTTCGTCGCCGTCGAGGACAGTCAGGTCCACCTCGGTCAATTAGTCGACACGACTCGCGATGTTGGACGTGATAGTGTCGACGGAGTGGAGATTCCTGTCAAGGTCATTGATGGTACTATATTTGATGGCCGTGTGACTGAGGAAGTCATGCATGTGAAGCAGGTACGTGTTCTGGCATCGTTTTCCAGTCATCCTTCTCATGTACTGACCTGAGATTATCACAGCTGCTTGCGCCTGTTACACCTGAGCAGTGTAGCTACATCCGTTGCCTGGGTCTTAACTACATGGACCACGCACAGGAAGCCAACCTGCCCCTCCCCAAAGCCCCAATTCTTTTCACCAAGCCCCGCACTGCCCTCGCTGGCCCCTACCCCGCCACAATCAACATCCCGAAGTGTGCACAGGATGGAACCAGTGATTACGAAGCTGAGCTCTGCCTGGTCATTGGAAAGTCTGGCAGGGATATTCCAGAAGATGAAGCTCTAGACTATGTCCTGGGCTATACGGCATCCAACGATGTCTCTGCCCGCACCATGCAGATGATTACAGCACAATGGTCATTCTCCAAGGGTCTCGATGGAAGCTGTCCCATCGGTAAGGATAACATGATGATTGACATGCTCAGTTGCTAATATGAGTCGCATTAATAGGTCCAGTCCTTGTGGCACCCTCCGCGATCAAAGATCCCCAAGGCCTGTCAATCAAAGCCATTCACAACGGGGCTACTGTCCAGGATGGAAATTCTAAGGATATGATCTTCAACATAAAGAAGCAGATCTCCTATCTCTCTCAGGGTACCACACTTGAGGCAGGGACACTGTTTTTGACAGGAACGCCCGCTGGAATTGGATACTTCCGGGAGCCGAGAGTCGTTCTCAAGGACGGTGATGAGATCTCTGTGAAGATCGATCAGATCGGTACTCTCATTAACAAGGTCCGCTATGAAGCTCGGTAGATTTCTGGGTTATAAAATTCTTTAAATAGACATGAATGAATTTACTATCCCTCCTGCATAGTTCGATATAATAGCATGGTATGAAGGACTAGGTCGTGTTGAAAGAAAGTTTTGCTAAGATGTAGGCCTGCGCCCAAGCTGTCACACGAAATGCCTTGTAATGTGTTTTGTCTCTGTCCCGCGATTTCGCCCTACCGCACATTTTAAAATCCCTGTTGCATATTTTATTTGCCGTTGAGTCATGATATATTCTTCGCGGCCTGTTGTATATAAGGTTGAGGTTGAGCATGGTTTAACTCCTGGAAAATAACAGGTCGGGAAAACTATGCGTAATATATTCATGTATGGATTAACAAAATCCAGAGCGAGTGCTAGTACAAAACTATCTAGGTAAGTTTCCTGTTACATGTCCGAAAGGGATATTTTCGTTGGAAAATCTCAATTGCTTAATATATGCTATACGTAAGTGCATCACTTCAAGAACCAAGATGGCACCTCGGGCCCCCAAACCGCCAAAGACTCATCGCCAGCAGGGCCATAACCTATCGGAGTTTGGTCATTCACCAAATCTCCATCGGCGTAATGTTCAATCATATTTCCCGTGGTATCCCACCAGTAATCGAAAATTTGACTTCCAAGAATATGGCGGCCAACACCCCAGACAGACTTGTAGTTCTTTTGTGCGAGCCATTGGTGGCCGAGCTTCTGTGTATCGAAGTCATGGACCTCGAACGAGCAGTGGTGCACGTGTGATGTTGGGTTAGAGCTCATGAAGAATGAATGGTGGTCAACGTGCTTGTCGCCGCGGTCGATATGCGCAAATAGAGCGACGTTTCTTTTGGCTCCATCCACCTCGACATAGAGGAAGTCTGTGGGGACTATGTTGAAGTTCTTTGTATAGAATCCAACCAGGTCTTCGAACTTTGTGGTGCAGACGCCATAGTGACCAAGCTAGAACTATCAGTACGGAGAGCGTGCATAAAGACGGACATAGCGCACCTTGTGAACTGCCGCCGGACCGGGCTGGAACCGCTGGAACTTGCGGACTCTTGGCTTCTCAGTCTCAAAGTTTATCTCGAGCTTCTTAGGATATACACCAGGAGTTGCAGGTATCTGTCCATAGAACAAGTTTATCGGAAATCCTTCAGGATCGGTCAAGGTCACCATCTGGCCTCCACCCGGAGCATCTGTCAACTCTTGAATCTTGCTTGCTGTTGGTAGCATGGTTGCCCTATGAATGATCAACATTGTATTCAAAGTTTATGTTTCTCTCTTATTACTCACTTCACCAAGTCCTGATACGACTCAACTTCAAAGGCGCCACCCAGAAACTTTTTCGGTCCTTTCTTCGCGTAGTAGACATAGGGGTCCACTCCATATCCCCGATACCAAACTTCTTCATCGCTTTTCTTTGCAATGGTCATTCCAAAGTCTGTCTATAAATTAATGGGAGATTTAAATCAAATTGAACAATCTAGCTTACCTTCAAGAAAAACAGTAATTTCGTCGAGATCAGGGTGTTGATAGCGCATATGTGCCAGTTTCACTAAACGAATCTGCTCGTCCGTTTTGATTCCACATCTCTCACGCCATCTATGCACACCTTCAGACTCGGGTCCGATCGCGATGATATCCTCGATGGAAGCACCGTGGTTGGCTTGGATTGTCTGCGATAGATCAGTACTGTGGTTGACCGAGCAAGACTCAATACACACCATATCGATTGTCTCTTTTACTCTCGTCAGTCGATATTGTGTCTTGAAACTATTATGACAAAAGAAAAATCCGAGATGATTTCCCACATTCCCTTTTACGTTCTCATTGCCTTTCCAAGGCTGTGGATTCTTCCCCACAACAGCCCGCAAACCAGCCCCGCATTCCGTCATCCCCGCATAACTCCCTTTCCCACCTTCTTCCCGCCCCGTGGGACCTACCCCGGTTTCCAAGTCTTCGTTCCATCCGGAGTTACGGATGACGGATATGCGAACCAATCGAAGGCTTACGTGCGGCACATTCAAAGTAATTAGGATCGTCCCGCCATATTTCAACGGTACGACGTACACGATTCGCTGATATTTCATCCAGAGGTCAAGCTCTTTTAAAGCGATATTTGCCCGACAGCCTGACAACTTGAACGCAATTTTCGATATAAAATCAGGGAAGGATGACCGACTGTGAGTATGAGACTACAGATGTCGTTATCTGTGGCTGTGGGCCAACCGGGGCTATGTTGTCTGCATACCTTGGGCGGATGTCACTTCCACACATCGTGATTGAGAAGGAGGCGGAAATCACAACAGATCCCCGTGGTATTGCACTTGACGAGGATGGCATTCGGATGCTGCAAGGGATTGGCATTTATGATCAATTATATTCCGAAATTGGGACTTGTGAGAATACTTTTTGACTTTGTTCACGCTCTTGGCTAAACAAAAATCAGGCATGGGCAAGTTCAAGTTTGTTGGAGGGACAGATCAGGTTCTTGACAAGAAAACCTTTCTAGAGATGGATTACGGAACGGTTCGCTCCCTTGACCTTCCTCATAATTCTTCCACGCTCATGTTGTTTCTGCAGACTGAGGGCGGCACTGGTCACGTTGGATTCATCTGCCACAAACAACCAGTTCTTGAGAAACATTTGAGGGCCGCAATGAATTCAACAGGCTTCTGCCAGCTCAGGACAAATTCCACCATTGTTGATATATACGAGGAGGGAGATTATGTATATTCACGCTATCTCGATGACCAAGGTAATACACACAACGTGAAGTCTCGCTTCCTTGTAGGCGCGGATGGGAAGACGGGGTTCACCAGAAAAAACTTTCTCGAGCCTTTGGGTATCCGCATGGAACAGGCACATCAGTAAGTTATGTTTTTGGATCTCCCAATTTATCGTAACTAAGCACCAGGCAGATCCTTCTACGATGAAACATGGGTAGCACTGAACTGGGAAATCTCCCTACCCACGGAGAAGACACATCCCGAATTTCCCCTCTGGAAGTTGGGGTACGACCCGCAACAGGTTTATGACCTCTTTTTCCCAGAGAACTTCCGTTTCATCTGCAATCCAGAACGACCAGCCGTATGTGGTCGATTTGGGCTACCGTCTGATAGACTTTGGCGCTTTGAATTTGTGGTTCTTGCTGGTGAAGATGGAGAGCAAATGTCCACACCTGAGAGCATTCATAAAGTCGTTTTCCCCTACATCACTCACCCTGGGACACGATATGGGTAAGCGAAAGGTCTTTTTGATCGATGAAGGTGATATTCACTGACCCTGGGTAGCCTACTACAGGACATCCAGTTCCCGAAAGACTGCATCCACGTCCTCCGGTCAAGACCCTTCCGCTTCTCTGCACGCAGCTGCAATAAATGGGCATATGGACGCGTAGCTCTGTGTGGAGATGCAGCACATGTGTTTCCCCCTTGTGAGTTTGCTTTATTCTTCTTTCATTCTCTTGAATCAAGATCTCAAGCTGACATTATGTTCTAGTTGGTGGCCAGGGAATTGCCTCGGGTTTCCGCGATGCCGTCTCACTAGCCTGGCGTCTTGTCCACCTCTGCCGTCGAGATTCCTCGACCATGCCAAGCAATCACGAAGAAGTCCTTTCAGGTTGGTATATCGAACGTAAGCAGCAGCTAGAGCGGTCTCTCGCGTCGACGATCGAGAATGGAAAGTTTGTGACAGAAAGCAATCCTATCAAAATCTTCCTCCGCGATTGGTCTCTGTTCTTCATGCATTTCGTTCCTAGCTGGAGAAGGAATCTCAGACTCGGTCGCAGGAAAGAAGGACTGGTACAGTACCAGTACACACCGGGCCTTCCTTTTGACCCAAGTCACAAGGGGGGAATCTGTCTCCCGCAGGTTTATTTGAAGCTTGCTGATGGATCAAAGGGCGTATTCTTTTCGGACGATATTATTTTTGGAGAAGGGAAAGAAGGGAATTTCCAATTGCTGGTTTATCTGGACAGCCAGGATGGACTGGCTGCTGCTCAGGAGGCAACTTCTTGTATTGACGAGCTTTCAAAGGGGGTAATTCATTCCGCTGAGATCACATATCTGATCGAAAATATCCGCATCGACGCAGAGGCTGTGGCGAAGTCGGGTCCTCGATCAATTTACTGTCTGGCTAGCGCTGAGGAGTTTGCTGGATCGCCTTTGTGTCTTGGTCGACCAAGACCGGAGTACTATGATCCACTTTGGCTTGCGCGGGCACTTGAAGGGAATAAGTTTGCCTTAATTCGTCCTGATCGTTTTGTCTATGCTGCTTGCAACGAGGTTTCTGAGCTTCGAAACGTGGTTTCTGAGGCTGTGGAATATCTGCATCAATAAATTTAGTTCGTTGACGTTGGCATTAAGTATTTATGCTTATATTCCATCTAGAGACCATTTTCAAGTAGTTTTGAATACGGAATTCAATTTTTGAAGAACTCATAATCTTAGATCATAGCATTGAACCCGTTTTTAAAAACCATCATGTTGTATGCCTCTCGTCTTTGGGAAGCAGCAAATTCAAAATCGAGCCCATCAGCTGCGAAATACCCCAATGACCAACTCTTGACAATAAATCCAACAGCCCAGAGAAAGTACTTGACTCGGAAGTCGTAGGCCGCAGGACCTTAAAACCGTGTGCCTCGAAAAGCAGTCTCTGGCAATTAACGCCGATTCTCTGCAATGCAGAAAATTGCAAGCTCTGCCGCAAGTCCGCCGTATCCGTGCCAAAGCGAGTATAGCAGAACCAAATCAAAGCTGCACGAAATAGGATTCGCGGGACATGCATCGGGGGCTCCGTTCCGATATTCTCCCTCTCAAGCTCACGGAGAATAAGTGCGGCATGGAGCGCGCAGCATCGACCGTCTGGGGATGAGGCCCATGAACGGGCGTACTCTACGTGATTCTCTGCCTCCGTTAAGCCTTCTTTGCCGATTACAAGTTCTAATCGGCTTATGTCAGCATAAAGAGAGAAAAAGATCGAGTGCCATAGAACGGGAAGGCAGTATGGATCCGTCGTGTTTTCTCTACTAGGCCTGATGTGCGATGTATGGAAGTTCACCAAGGCATTCTCCAAGGACTTTTGTTGGGCTGGGCCATCGGTATTCTTCACTTCAATGGCCGACGCGGCAAGCTCTTCCAGCTCGAGATAGGTATGAAAGCCACTTCTCAAAGTGCCAGTCACAGGTACAGTGACCCCATTGGCTGTCACTCCCGGGCGGTACAAGGAAGTCTCGTGGATATCAGGGTTCGAACCCGTGGAGTGGATCATTATCTTTTGTCTCCAGTCCTCAACTGTTGTTATATCCCAGAGGTCATCGTCGCATAATGCTGGGAGCTTTCCCGATGTATGTCGCAGATACGGATCCGTCAGAAACAGCTCTGAGATCTCGACATCATGCACATGAATTCCCACAAGTAGTCTTGCGAACGTGAAGTTAGTACCTGATATTTGTACCTTATTTTTGATCTTCCACTCACCGGTTCTGTTCTTCGGCCTGAATCCACCTCTTCCAAGCTTTCTCTGGGGCATCGAGTATTTCACTCGAGCTTATATAGTCCGACGCTTTTTTACATATGAATGTCGTTGCTCTCCTAGCCCACTAGTAGATTCGTTAGCACAGTTTCGCATTGACAGTTCCGCATCACCTACTACAACCAAAGTGCCGTGAAATGTCTCCGCTGTAAGCAAATCCTTTTTTCTCTGAGTTGATCAGCTTCTGACTTGCTCAAAAAATTGAAATTCCTCACTCCCGAAAGTAATCCAAACGTCTGCCCAATGAGAGCTGCCTGGATCATGGCAATCGTCTCCGGCCCTTGCTTTGAAAAGTGTCTCTCCCACTAAATCAAGTCAGTTTCAGAATCAATCAAGCTAGCAGTCGTGACAAACCGATGACAGTATTGCCTTGTTGAGTGTCTCAAAGATTTTCACCCCTTGAGATGCAGCATGTGAGGATCCCACAAACAAACTTCCAATGGAACAAATAGATAGCAAGAGAAGTGAGCTTTTAGAGGACGGCCTGAAAGTTGGAGCATGCACAATGGGAAACACGCGGTGAAATTTGGTGAAGTACATTTGAACACAGAGATTCTAGTCTGTTTAGCTGAGAATTGGCTGGCCCGTCTAGATTGTCCACGTACCAAAAAATCAGTCGAGGGAAGCGGGAGAAATGGTATATGAGGCTGGAGCTTCGCGGCCAGGCTAGCTCGGTATGCTTCATCCACTCGTGTCGGGCCCATGCCGGTTTCTGGCGTGGTTTGCCCGGTTGGTGATGTGCCCATGAATGTGTACCAATGTGTTTGTACCAGTTCCTCGCGGGATGGCAGCATGTCTTCCACGAAGGGAGGAGGAGTATTGCCCAAGGGCTGGTGCCATTGATGATTGTCGTCTCCAGGAGGAAACCACTGGGCAGTTGACATGAAGATCTCTGAGTTGAGAGCAGTGAGATCAAAATCATCGTCTGCAAACCACGCCGGCATCTCGGTATTTGCGTTGGCAAACATCCATGAATCATCTTGTCGGGCAATATCCAGGCATGGATCTGGCCCAGTTAGATTGGACTGAGAGCCTGGGGTTGGGAATCCAGCAACTCTGTCCGGACGCACCTGAACCAGTTCTTCGACATTCGGAAGAAGCGTGGTCCGACGCAGTGCCGGGTTAGAAACCGAATACGACACCGATCGGAAATCCGAAGCCTTGGGATTGCTTGGTCCAATCGAGGACAATTGGTGTCGTGGAGTAGAAGATCCATGGATGTCTATTGAGTTCTGTCTGGGAGGGGATCTTTGCTCTGGTGCATTCAAGGCACCACATTCCGGGTTGTGGGCCGCACCGGTGTGGGGGCGAGATTCCTGATGGCATCTTGAATGTCGTAGAAGCGAATCACTAAAGAATTGGTTAGTGTCCAACCTGATTGAGGCCACACAAATTATCATACTGGCGACTGAATGCCTTTCTACAGATTGGGCAGGGAAATGGTTTCTCTCTTGTGTGAGTTCTCACATGACGTGCCAGGTGCTCATCCTTTGTAAAGGACTTGGAGCACCAGGAGCAGATACGTTGGCGACGACTCCGGAATCCTCCAGTCATGATGAAAAGGGGCTCCCAAGTCTCTTCAACATATGAAACAAATCGATCACTTTCTCATATGAGTGAGTCGTGTGTCGTGAGGTTCTGATTCCCATTCTGCCGCGTCCCACCGGCCGGATCTCCCGCGTCCCACCGGTTTGGTCCCGCATCATCTTCATCTTCAATCTCCATCTTCGTGGGGCCACCAATAAGAATGGATGCACAGTGGGACACTGTAATCCGGGGTCTGGGGTATGGGAAACTGAAATGGAAGATTAAAATCAATGTCTATCTTCGTGGGGCCACCAATAAGAATGGATGCTCAGTGGGACACTGTAATCCGGGGTCTGGGGTATGGGAAACTGAAATAGAAGTTAAAACTCGCCAGTCCCTATTCAAAAAGTGATTTACTCTCTTTTCCTGTTTCAATTCATTGACAAATGATCATCACAAACGTCGACATGGATCTTGTTCCAGGAACTGATATTATGAGAGAGGGGGAGGAGCTGGATCCGGGACATATATCACACCATGAGATTGTGTAAGTCACAGATTTCAACCTGATCATGTTCGTACTGACCCTGTCAGCCTCATCCCTCGCCCTTCAGATGACGCTCATGATCCCTTAAACTGGTCCAAGCCATGGAAGTGTGAGTAAACACACAAAATAATTACAATGTCAGATGCTAAACATATCCCCAAATCACGCAGACCTCGTCATTGCCGTGCAATTCCTTTTTTTATTTGTCTCGGTGGAGTCAGCGCTCTCCATGGGGCCAATGTTCCCCCTCTTCGCTGCCGAATTTAATCTCGATGACACAGAGTTGAGTCTGTTAACCGGGGCATGTGTCTTGGCTCTTGGCTTTTCCAACTTTCTCATTGTTCCCTGTTCAAACATATTCGGTCGCCGTCTTACAAGTCTCGTTTTCTGCTTGTTGGGCATTGCGTCCTGTATCTGGCAAGCTCTGGCTACTTCATATAGCAGTCTACTTGCCGCCCGCGTGGTCAATGGAGTTGCTACGGCAACTAGTGAGACGCTTCTGGTTCAGGTCGTTGGCGACATGCTTTTTCTTCATGAAAGAGGGCTTTGGACGGGTGTTTATTTGCAAGTCTTTCCCCATCGCCGTGATTATGTGCGCTAACATGCTACCAGCATGGGGTATTTCCTTGGTCTGTTTGTTGGGCCAATTATCTCCGGAAACATCGCCCAAAGGTACGCTATTGAGACTCAATCGTGGCCGCTGGTATTAATAAATTAACCCGGTTGTTGCAGATATGGCTGGCGTAGCTTTTTCTGGCTTTCTCTAGGACTGACTTGTTTCAACTTCATCACTCTCCTGGTCTGCTTCCCCGAGACCCGTTTCCACAGAAGTGCAGCGTCAGAGCACTCGGAATTTACAACCGGGACTTGCCCAAGTCCAACTGTCAAGGAAGGCGCCGAAGATGTTGAGTCGGAGCAACTCGAAATTGTTGAACAGGTCACTACCGCCGGTACGGGCCGACCATCAAAATCTCAGTTCAAACTCTGGAAAACCCCAGAGAACGAGTGGAAAGCCTTCCTTCTTCGGGATATCTTCTCGCCGTTCCGCCTGTTCCTCTTTCCGATCATTCTCTGGGCCGCCCTCAATGTCGCTGGCCCTGCAAATATCCTTCTCTTTTGGAACCTCACTGAGTCTTCCGTTCTCAGCGCACCTCCATATAATTTCTCTACGTCTAGTGTGGGATATGCAAACTTTGCTTTTGTCGTTGGAGGCCTGCTTGGTCTTGCTACCGCAGGTCCTTTCTCGGATTGGATTGCCGCGCGGTCTACACGCCGCAACAATGGCATTCGAGAGGCTGAAATGCGTTTGCCAGCTTTGATACCTTACTTTCTTTTCACGGTTGTCGGAGTCGTGATTGGAGGTGTGGGCTACGATCGGCTTTGGGATTGGCCTGTGGTCTTGATTGTCGGGTATGGCTTCAGTGGTCTTTGCGTGACGACTGTTCCCACCATTGCCATTGCTTATGCTGTCGACTGCTACAAACCCATTTCTGGGGAGATAATGGTCGTTGCTACTGTTATCAAGAATACTTGTGGGTTTGCCATGAGTTACTGGGTTATGCCGATGGCAACTCGAAGAGGGTTTTTGGAGCCCACAATGGTTGAATTTGCGCTGACTATTGGGCCTATGGTATTGGGAATACCGATTTATTTCTTTGGTAAGCATCTGCGTCAGCTAACAAGGAACTCCAGTGTGCATTCATATGTGAATTGATCGATTATATGAGGTACGAAGGACTGTAAAGCTTGATCGGGATTCAAGTACCTTAATTTGACTGTCTAGCTCTAATGTTAAGCATTTCGTTTTTCTTTTATGCGGTCACACGGGTCTGAACTGTCCATCCTATCCCTCTCTAGTGTGGACTAATACTCTCGTTTAGTATTCAAACAGAAGCAAATTCGAAGTAATTGATTTGACAATGTACTGGGTGGATCCCTTGGTGTGGACAAGAATAAGCTTTATGGCCGATATTAGGCGGGCGCCCAAGGCAAATAGGTCAAACATCAAGAGTAGTGCCAAGTCCTGACAGATTCTCTGGTTTGGGAGATGGCAGATTTCGGGGGCTGACCTGGTGTCTGAACAAACCTCTAGTGTAGTGAATTGGTGTGTAGTTTCTTGATGCTATTTCCGTTTCTATGGAAAGTTAGATAATGAAAAAAGAGCAAAAAAGAGATTGCGTACTGCAGGATTCGACGGCGCGACCTTCATCGTTGGGATTTCGACTCCATTTCATGAAGCTAAACATTGTCACGATCCACCACCATGGACCGCGTGACCAAGTACGCAATTATTACTAATATTTCGGGTATATATGTGTGTCAGCACCCATTAAACCATTAATACTATCCATGTTATGTTGGCACCTGCGAAATTCAAATTGCTACCCCAGACATCAGTTTGAAGTATATCTGATGATCGGGAGATATGCCTTCTTTCACTTCGAATCGAATATATCAGCAATATGGCAGGGCAAGGTATTTCATAGCATGCATTCTCACATTCTGTTCAACCGCGCGAAGTACATTGCGCTGTAGCTAAGCACAGTAATGTCACGCTTAAATGCTGAAGTGCTCATCTTGAACTCCACCATTGGCGGACTGGCCAAGTCAATGCACCAGCTATACTAGACACCCAACCAGCCCATCCTTTTGCCTTCACAACTGCATTAACAACCGTGAGCATCCGTTGAGTGAAAATATCTGCTGAATCCGAGTCATGTAGATAGCACTCCCAAACAGCTCCTTCTTCATCGTTTCCATCAAGAAGAGCCTCCAATTGTCCCGTCGAAGAATCCAGTTTCAGTTTGGGTCTTGTAACCAGCGAGCGACCAATGCAAGCTGTATCTGCAACCAAATATGACGCTGCGTCGATAACATCCTCAATTTGCCCGAGTGGTACCCCCGCCAATAAAACCCGAACTGGCGTTTGCATAAATGTGGAATCAGTATAGTATGGGCAGATAATATTGACTCGAACACCAGCGCTTATAGGAGCTGTTACGCGTAGACTCCGAAACAACCCAAGCACTCCATGCTTTGAAACGGTATACGGTGCCTGGGTGATCAGCGGATGTAGACTAGCAACGGACCCCATGAGTAGGATATGTCTGTCTCGCCCCGACGCTGAGGCGACCGATTCGTGTTCACACGGCTTCGAGCCCGGATTCTTCGGTAGGAAGAACAACGCCAGGTGCACTGTATACATAACGCCGGTGAGGTTGATATCCAGTGTCTTGAAATTCGGAGCCGTCGGGCTGGGATCGTTGAAATAGTCGACGTGTGGGTTTTCGAAGATTCGAGACTCCTCGCTGTCGTTGATACCGGCATTTGCAACGACGGTATCGATTCCACCATGAGGACTCAATCTCAGAGATTCGCGAAAGAAATTGACCTGGGATGTCCAAGATGTGACGTCTAGCTGGATGAAATGAACATTTTCGTTTTGCGTGTCCTGGCGGATTTGCGCTGCGACTTCTTCGCCGGCTGAGTTGATGTCGCCGATTATCACGTTTGCTCCAGCAGCTGCCCAGCGAGCGCTGAATCCAGCGCCAAAGCCAGAGGCGCCGCCGGTTATAAGTATGGTTTTGCCTTTGATTTGGGCTGGGTCATAGCTCAGATCCATTCTGATTTGGTTCGTGTGGTAATATAGGAACAGAGCGCGTTGCCCTTGCTAACCGAATTGCATTCACAGCGCAGATGTGTCTGGTCAAAAATATATTGAAATGGAAGGAAAGACCTCAGTCCGAGGCATTCAAAGTGGAAGGGGAAAATTTGAGCTGGAGTTCTGTTGCATAGTACAGCTCATGGGCTCGAGGTGGGTTCAGTTCACGGGGCCCCAAATTTCTTCTATTTTTAGCCGAATCTCAGCCTCGTATAGCCTTGTCTGTTCACTTCTGGGGAAAAAACGCGCTGGAGAAAAATCAAGGCAGGTTGAGGGAAACGTCAAAATTAGAATTGTAACATGTTGAGCATCGCAAATACTCCGTACACTTTTGCTAATTGACAAGGACCAAAAAGAAACGGAGCAATGTAGAGCGATCTGCCCCTGAGACTTGAGTTGTGAGGCCGGTTGATTACAAATGAACCAACCTTCAACAAAGCCACTTTGTATCCTTGTCTATGATTATCAATAATCTCAAAAGACTCTCCTGCAGAGCTAGGTCTACCATACCTATTGTTTTCTGTATAGAATTTCGATCAATCATTGGTCTATGAACATCACAAGATAAGTCTCTGATACGGAATATTTCTAGATTGTATCAGTCATGTTTCAACAAACAGTCATCCGCGAATCCCGATACCAATCTAATTACTTCTTTAAGGTATCACTATTATGTGGGAGATATAATGTCTCAGAATATTCTCTAAAAACAAACGACAAGCCATGTTATCAATTATGGTCGCACCGCCACAACGCCGAGTTCAGCTAACAGGCCCAGAAAAGAATTTAGCTATGATGAAATTCACTTGATTATAGCAGATATTAAAGTTAGACTTCCGTGGGAGAACTTTCATAGAAGAAACACGTGATTGAACGAAAGCATTTGCAACAGAAGAGGAGAGAGGAGGCAAAAGCGACCTAGAAAGCGGAAAACCTTGAGTTTTTGTGAGATTAATTTAGCTCAAACCATCAGTCAGCAAAACCCGCGTCTCAACTTCACATTTGTGGTCATTTGGAGTTTGCACATGGTTGAACTTGTTGTCAAGCCATTGTAGCCACTCTGGGGCTGAGGCAGCGATTGAATCATCGTGGTCAAGGCCAGGATATAAACTGAGGTGGATAATGTTGCCAACCTTGCATGCATAGTCGTACGCCTCCTTTGTAGCAGTAACATTAACAACCTCATCGTCGATAGATTGAACGACGAGAAGTTCCTTGTACCCCTTTCGACCGGTGGCGGCGCCATACTTGTTTTGGAACGCGATAAAAGCTTCATGATTGTGTTGAACGACTTCGGGTGTCATGTCCACAATGCCGTGATCTGGGAGTTCTCCATCTAACTCGGCCGCAGAAGTGGCGCAAAGCTGAAGTTCTTCCATAAGTGGATAACGGGCCAAGCCAGTTGAGGTGAGAACAATCGGTTGTATCGGGAACTTCAAAACTTGGAATGTTTGCACGATCAAGTTGCCAAAGCCCCATGACAGATTTAGTGGTACAGCGGTGAGAAGATCATTCAATCTGGAGCTAGGAGCAACGGCAACTCCTCCGAGGTACTCTCCACTCTCCTTCGTAGTGACGCGAGGGTTTTCACTCAATCCCCAGACAGTTCCAGCCCCTTGGGAATGCCCAACAGCGGCCCATTCATCGGTGAACACTCCTGGGAAGGCCTTGCGAGCAGCAACCACTGAGAAATAAGTATCTTCGGAGTTAATCACCGGATTAGCGTATTTGTGCGTAGTATAGTTGTTTCCCAGGCCCGCGTAATCCGTAGCAACTACAGCATACCCGGGAGCTGTGAGAAGCTGCCAGGAATGATAGTCGAACAAGTTGTAAGATGACGATGCAGCGCAAGCCCATTCAACACCAATAGTTCCATGGGCATATGCTACAAGACGGACTTTGTCACTTGGGGGCTCCGTGTAGGGAAGTGCAATAAAGGCAGTCGCTGGGACAGCTACTCCACCGACATCGACAGTTGTATATTGCATAAGCCATAACGACGTTCCAGGGGGGATATCATATGCAGATGTATTCTGCTGCTCAAGCTTCAACAGGTCTCCGGGCCGTGACCCCGTGAAGTTGGTCGCAGTTTTGTAAAACTCATAGTTGAAGGGAATATTGCCAAAGACTTGACTGTCCAATTCCTCATACTTGCGTAGATTCTCCTGGCAGGCCTTGTCGCAATCATGCTTCTCCGCTTGGGCTTCCGTGAAGTTGAGATCGTTTGGGCGAGCAGGAGGTTGAGCTTGTACGTAAGAAGCAAGTGACATCAGAGCCACAGGAAGGCGAAGGAGGGTCTTCATATTGGCAGCAGACCTAGGATTGTGATAGAGCAAAATATGATGGTTGCGAACCCCCTGTCCTTCAACTGGAGAAAGCAGCAACGAATGAAGAGGCAAAGCAACTGAAAGGCAGAGTGCGTTGGATTTTATAACAATTAGGGAATTATTCTACAAGGAATGTATACATAATTGTAACCGCTAACTTAAATTTTTTAATCATATCCTTTTTTTCCAAGCAGCAGAAGAATGTGGTTGTTTTGAAAATAGACTCTTGTCGTAAAAGCTCAGTGACAGGTCCTAGTCTCGTGTCGAAGTTAGGATGAAATTATTTGAGAAGACAGGGTGGCTAAATTAGTGTGGCTTACTCAAGGGCTTTGGAATCCAGGGTGTAATATCCAGCCAAAGAATTCCCTATGAACACACAACCTTCTTTTTTAGGACAAATAATGCTTACACATATACTCAAGACTCCTACTGTGAGATTTAGGTAGCATGTGCCATTCTAATGATGGTATTCGGGCGTTATATAGTTGCGAACGTTAGGGAAACTGGCTATAATTGAGAATGCTATTCTAGAGGCTTAGAGCAGGGATACAACTAGCTAGTTCCAACATGTTACGTGACTAATTATTCAGGATAATCAATGACTTATCTTCGTATTTTCTCTGATGGTCTTCTCTGCATTTGGGATACTTATTGTGGCTGTGTCTGCCGTACCGGAAAGACGATGAAGGAGCACTGGCGAGATGCCCACAAGTCGCGTGCCCGGGATTGTACGAATACCATCTCTACTCAGAGTACCCTCCAGCAGAAATCAACGCCCCCCCATTACAAACTAATGGACGAAATCCACAGCTTGCCAATTGAGTTCATGGTGCTATATTACGTTATCTTATTTAGGAGGGGAACTAGACACATAAAGATATCTATTCTACTTTTACAGCTCATTTACTAGATTTTCGTCTATAAATCCGTACCTAGCTAGAGATAATAGAGCTGAAGTACCATTACCTCACTCAAGAGGAGACCACCGTCTTCCCCCCCCCCAAATCGGCTTAAAAACTACAAAAATGATTAACATTCATTACCTACTATTAGGCCCTATAACTTCGGGAGCCTCAGCAAACAAGGGGAATAGACCAGACGTAACTAAGGAGAAGAGGAATACCAAAGGGGATCTCCTAAAAGTCTAAACTTCATAATCCCGCTAGTACAGCTTTCACCTTTATCACACACAGTCTTGAACGTATTATATTAGATTCTTCAAGAAGAACCAATCATCTAATTTATTAGCCTTACTTCCTAACAGGGCACCCGGATCCCTATACCTAAAATCTCGCCGTAAACATTAGTCGAGATAATCCGCAATACTATATTATTCTCAGATATAACCGACACTCCTAGTAATATAAGCTACTATAGTAAAGTTCAACACGCTGTTCTGGCCGTTATCAACTCTAGAATAGCCCTTTACGGTGGTTGATTTTAGAGTATAATATCTCTCTCTCTCTCTCTCTCGCCAATGTACCATCATGAAATCTGAAATCTGGGTACGATATCATACCATTCTCTTTTATTCAATTTCTATATAAATCTTTCCGTCGTAAGGCGTAGGTTTAAGCGCTAGAATATATTCTTATACATAAACCTCAGCCTTGTAGTATTAGTTATCGAGGACATATGATTCTATGAATTGACCGATATATTATGATGGTACTGGTATGTAGGAGGAGGGCGTCAGTTCAAATCTGCGAACTTGATGATATAGTTCCCATTACTGGAGAAGCCACTTTTCTAGTCTAGCTTCTAGTTATCGTTAAGCCCCTAGTGGGACTTTGACTGAAATAGAACCATGAGAGAAAATTGAGTTGCGCTACTTATTAATTTTACATCTCAAGGTAAAATTATCTATCTTAACGACCGTTATTGACGAGTGAAGTGAGGCTATGGACGCGCCGAGCGCTAATGATTTTTACAGACCTAAAACATCAATCATCCGAGAGTCGCTTATTCTACGTATAACTATTCTCTTAGTTTACTATCATCTGTGAATTGTTGCCTAAGGCTGGTAGCATTGTATGCAAGCTTTCAAAACCACGTGTCTCACTTTATCACCTCCTTATTACATACCCTCGATAGTTGCCAGTGGGCTTTAGGCTTCCTTCAGCGGCATGAAAAATACCGATTGATATCCGTATGACATAAAATGATTAACAATTATGGTACCCAATAAGGGAATTATGCTAATCAAGGCCCTACCAGCTCCGATAGTCTATTTTATCAATGAATAATTAATGCATGAAAGTAAGTAGGGTGAGTGTATCCACTTCGACTCTGGGTCGTTTGTAACGGCGGCAGTACTGTTGTAGTTCAGAGGTGTGAATTGTCTTGTTTTTTTATTTGAGAGGGAAGAATAAGGCTTTATATACAACGAGAAGATCAAGTTGATTGGAAATCAACTTGGTTCTTCGTATACATACTTCGGGATTAATTCCGGTGGTTCGGCTTGGTTCCTGATCTGCACCAGCCTTATATCACAACATTCCCCCTCAGGATCGCTTTGCTGGCAGGGCGATTCTGGAATGGCGCAGAGCAGTCAGGCCTCGGTAAAACCACTGAAAAACCTTCGCGGGAAAATAAGTGGAAAGAGCGCCTGCGCTGTCACGCGTTTTGTCTCGAAACCTCTGGAGCATCGACTCCTAAGAGACTACAAAATCTGGCAAAGGCCGTAGGTCCCAATGGCTTGGTGAGACCGTCCGCGGCCTGTTCCCCAGTTGGAATATATTGAAGCCCAATCTCGCCTGTATCCAGCACGGCTCGCTGATAGTGAAATTTTACATTGAAATGCTTCGTGCGTTTGTGGAATTCAGGGTTGCGAGAGAGAGCGATGGCGGACTGGTTGTCAGCCATAATGTTAGTGACCGGAGACCGATACAGTTGCGTTTCAGCCAGAAAGGTGCGGAGCCACTGGAGATGCAGAATGGCATTGTACTGTCCGATGTATTCGGCATGAGTTGTAGACGTGGCCACTTCCCCCTGTCTCTTGGATGACCAGGAAACTGGCGCACCTGCAAGTTGGAAAACATAGCCAGACGTTGAGTATGCACCGTCAGTGACGACGGAGCCCCCAAAGTCGGCGTCCGTGTACCCGATCAACTGCCCACTGCGGTAAGTAATGCGATGAGATTGCGTGGCTTTGATGTAGCGAAGCAATCGCTGCAGAGCGACTTGGTGTTGCGATTGCGGCTGAGACGTGAAGCGACTCAACATGCCCAGCGCAAATGCAATATCTGGTCGCGTGCCAACCATTAGATACATTAACGAACCGATGGCAGTCGCATAACGAGCTTTTGCTTCCTCGTCCGGAGGTTCCTCCTCTGGACGATGATTCAAGATTTGCTTGGGATTCATCGGCGTAGACTTCGGCTGACAAGTCTCCATGCCAAAGTCGGAGAGCACCTTCTGGATGTACTGGTGTTGGTGAATAGATACGGACCCATCGACATCATAGTCGAACTGGATCCCGAGGAATGATCGAGGGGTGCCCAGATCGTTCAGTCGGAACTCTGTTTGCAAGGCTCGTTGCACTTGTTCGATTTCGTGCGTGTTTGTCGCAGCAACAAGAAAGTCATCGACATAGACACAAACGACGCAATCCGGTTTGTAGAACACACAATTGTCCGATTGGGCCATAGTGAAGCCATGAGAAGCCAGAACGCGGTGGACGCATTGGTACCAAATCCGCGGAGCCTGCTTCAGTCCGTATAGTGAGCGGCGCAGTCGGCATACGTATCCTGGCTTTTCGAAACCTTCAGGTAACTCCATATAGATAGACGAATCGACGTCTCCATGGAGAAATGCGGTGACCGCGTCGAATTGGTGGAGTTTCCATCCGCGCAACACGGCGCTGGCGACGATGCAGCGGACCGAGTCCATCCTGGACACAGCAGCAAACGTTTCGTGATAGTCGATGCCATGTTTCTGCCGGTAGCCTTTGATAACCAATCGCGCTTTGCGCGTTCCGTTGGCCTTGGTCTTGAAGACCCATTTGCAGCCAATCACATGATTTCCGGCTGGGACGTCCTCCCGCCGAACCTTTTCCCATGTTCCGTGTTCGAGAAGCGACGCATATTCTTTCTGGATGGCGGCCCACCAGTCCAGCTGGTCTGGGCCTGATACAGCTTCGCGAAAGGTCGCCGGGTCGACTTGTCTGGCCGGTGCGGGATTCAATGCGCCGGCAGAGTACACCTTGCCGAGTGATTCCAGGAGACGCCGTGATGGTCTTCTTCTGCGACCAAAAATCGAATATCCAAGATCCGATGTCAGGTCAGTGCCTTGTTGGCTTGGATTGACCACTGGAGGTGTCTCCTCCTCACGCTCAGATGGCGTTTTCTCTCGCTCCTTCGGCGGAGGTAATGGCGATGCAGGTGGTGTTGGCAGCCCGCTGGCTGAACTTGGCATTGATGAAAAGACAGGTGATGGAGGAGCATTGTCCGGGAGGTCGTTGCCTGTTTCCCCCTCGATGAGTGGCGCCACTGGGGTCCTCTCATCGAACTCGACATCACGGGAAAAGACTGTCTTTCCTGAATGGATTTCATAGAGCTTGTACTGATTCGGTTCACAATAGCCTAGCAGTCGGCACTCGGATGATCTTGGTCCGAGTTTGGCTCGATGCTCTTTGGGGATCAAGACCCATGCACGGGAGCCGATCCGTCGCAGATGCAAGAGCGAGGGCGGTTCCCCGTATAGAATTTCAAACGGTGTCTTCTTCCGTAAGATCGATGCTGGTGCACGCAGCTTCAAGTAGACCACTGTGTCTACAAGCTCGATCCACCAGGAAGGAGAAAGGTTCGCATCGGACAGGAGCGTGTTGATCCGCTCCCGGATAGTACGATTAGTGCGTTCGGCCAGCCCATTCTGCCCTTTGCAGTATGGCGGCGAGGTGTCGAACTCAACTCCCTGGGATTCGAGATGTGTTCCAATTGGCAGATACTCTCTCCCATTATCGGTGAGGAATCTTCTGATCTGGGCGCCGAACTGTCGGTGCACCCAGGCCTCAAAATGTTGGAACTTCGGGAGCGCTTCATGCTTCCATCTCATGGCATAGGCCCACGAGCCACGAGAATAATCATCAGTAAAGGTGATCACGTACCTGGAGCCATCTTTGGCCATCGGCATCTCCATGATGTCCGAATGGATCAATTCGAAAATTCTCGTTGAATGCAGACGTGGCCGTCTTGCGCGGGAGTTCCTCTTCTGATGCTGCTTACCCGACATGCACGCCGGACACTGCGGCGTTGCCAGCAGCTGCGCCTGCGTCAGCGGTCGGTACGGAGTGCCGGTCTGCCGAAGGACCACCCTCAAGTCGCCCCGGTTCAGATGTCCCATCCGAGCGTGCCACAACGCTTCGGAGGCCTGGTCCACTCCTGTGCACACATCTTCTTCGAGTATCACAGCTTCACCACCGAGTTCAGAGGTTGGCGCTGTACATTCTACGCCACTTGACTCCCGAGGATCGTCAACGTCCATGGCCACCGCCTGCGGTTCCAGGGAATCTGCATGGTCATGGGTCGTCGGCGCCCTCGCCAGTTGGACTCGCTCTCGAGATCTCTTGCTCACATGGCACCGCAGGATCAGTAGATCCTCCTCCGCGTGGTAGGCGGTCCCCACGGTTCGTCCTCGGCGTTGCACAAAGACGTTCTGTGGGTGCGCCACCACCGAGTAGCGGTCTCGCAACAGCTTCGGCACGCTGATCAGGTTCATCCCGACGCGTGGCGCAAAGTACACGTTCTTCAGCACCAGGGGCTGGTTGAACTTCCCCCGGAGCGTGAGCTTCACCGTACCAATCCCTTCGGCTTCCACTGGATCGCCCGCCGTGTCCAACATCTCGCGGTGGGGCCGCAGACTGCTGAAGCAGCTCCGGTCCCAGCAGATGTGGCTGGTGGCGGCCGAGTCCAGGATCCACCGGGGTTGCGGTGCGTGGGTATAAAGGGTCGTCACCCTCGCCCTCACGATATTGATCCTCGGTCTCTTGGAAGTCGGCGGGCCCTGCCAATCTTCCACCTGGCTTGATGGTATCTTTTGTAAGTTAGTTCTTGGTGAGCCGGAAACACTCCTCTCAGCCTTCAGGGCATGGTCCCTAGACGACTGTCCTTCTCGCTGTTTCTTCCAGCACTGCGCGACCACATGGCCGCGCTTTTTACAATAGTTGCATTTCTTGGCAGTCTGCTGCACCGTATTGACAGACGGGCCAGATGCTGCCTGCAAGGGTGTTGGAGCTTCTTTTCTCCGAACCGTCTGCTCAGCATTAGACAGACGATTTCCGATCGTGGTCGGATTCACCGGATCCTTGTCATTCTGAATGGCATCCACAACTAGAATGTATTCCGGTCCGATCTGCGTCAGTAAGATCGCAATGTGCGTTCGATCGCCAATGGATCCGGGCACGATAGCATTCAATCGATGTACGAGCAACCGTACCCGATCGACAAATTCGCGGGCACTGCCGCAGCGCTCGCCAGTGGTTTCACGAAGCTGCGCAAACAACTCGCAGAACGTGGCCAGTTCCATTCGCCGGTACCGTTCTTCGAGTTCATTCCAGAGGTCGCGAGACGTCTCAAGTCCCGCAACATGAATGCTAATGTGGGGGGACAGATACCGGAAAATGGTGTGGTAGGCCTCAGCTTCGCGGCGCGACCATTCACGGTGGCGCTCGAATGCCTGGACCTCCACTTCGAGGCGCGCCTCAATGGCGCGCTGTCTCACCGCCCCCGCGAGGTGCGGTTCCACCAAAGGATGAATGTCTGCCGTAATAGGCTTGGCGTACTTGAACAAGCAGTCAGGACGCTGGAGGTCGCCCGACACAACATCCCAGACCTGCCTGGCTTTGAGGTAGGAGGTCATAAGACGTTTCCAGGTTGCGTAATTATCGCTTCCTGTCAGAGGCTCGATGGCCGTGACGGCTCGGTCCGGAGAGTCGTGAACCAGAGCAGACATAGTGATGACTGCGAAAGCGGGGTAGATATATAATCACGATGGTTAAGATAATTTTCGGATGAGTAGAGATGGCACCCGAGATTTTGCTTCCGGGCTCATAACCTGTTGTAGTTCAGAGGTGTGAATTGTCTTGTTTTTTTTATTTGAGAGGGAAGAATAAGGCTTTATATACAACGAGAAGATCAAGTTGATTGGAAATCAACTTGGTTCTTCGTATACATACTTCGGGATTAATTCCGGTGGTTCGGCTTGGTTCCTGATCTGCACCAGCCTTATATCACAACAAGTACAGTTACATGGAAGAGAAAGGACCCAAGAAAGTGTCCATGTATTGAGAACTTAAACGCTAAGGAGAGAGAGAGAGAGAGAGAGAGAGAGAGAGAAAGCTAAAGACAGGTGGGACAAGTAAACACAAATGCGGGGGGTGGGTCCTCGAATGAGTCATGTGATCCGCACCGTTATTTGGTGCAAGGTCTGACGTTCGAATCCCTGTCTCTCTAAAATCCTTTCTAAACAGTTAACCATAGATACCGAGTCCGAATCCAGCTGTAGTCAATTCCTTGTATACGGTCAATTCTTTCTATACTCACCAGTTGAGAGATGACACTTGACTGTTGCATATCAATGTGATCCAAATGGCAAGTAGAATACCGATCAGTTGAGGCATGTCAGGACTCGGTCCGTGACATCGTTCCCCACCTTTTTCTCCGCAATCAAGAGCAAAACCCTAATGCGCCACATTGAATTCTTAAGCTGCGGATATCAACATCCGTCCACAAAGACTATATATTTTTGTTCCTGCATTCCTTAAACCCCTCTGAAAGGCTATTAGTAAGTTAGTGAAACCTTGCCGTCAAGATCTTTTCGACTATCGGAAGCTATTAGCCGGCTAGAGAATGGATAAAGAGCTTATCCTCATGATTTATCACATCCCCTGTGGCGTCTAGATATAACAGGAAGGTTCGTAAATACTCAAGTTACTAGGCTTGGTTGCATAGAAACTCCTCATAAAGTCGCTTACATACGGCTTTGGTGACTTGATCATGAACATGTTCAAGGCTCTGGACTTCGCGATGCAAACAGTTGGTCTTACCCCAAACGCTAACCCGTCGCCTCATTTCTAGAGTGGCTTCGGTGGCTTCAAAACAAGTTCAGGGCATGAGATCTGCGGATGCGCATAAATGTGTAGTCAAGAGCGTACCTTGATTGGTTGATACTTTGATTTGATATAATTCGCAATATCCCGGGACCGTCTTGTTTCAGGATATCATTTCATTTCATTTCTTTTCCACCAGCTTTTCTCTTCCTGATACTGGGATCATAGCGAGTTGGACACTGTAAGAAACCATTGTTAATAGCTATGAAGATTGGCATATTAAGGAGGCATTGGGTGTTGATTCTATACATTAACAACGCAAGTGACGTTTTCCATGCGTCTCGGGCCACCACAAACTCAGTACAAGTAAGAAGAATTGCTGCAGAAATGTAGCCGGAGCAGGTCAGGCAGAAAAATATTAGTTAAGCCCATGTATACGTTATATTCATTGCATTCCCTTTCCTGCAGGCCACAGCTTTCGTGGCACCTAAAGGAGTTGTTAGGATAATTCCCGAATCCCGCCAATAAATTTTCCTACAGACTGAAATTCCACCGCGGAATATCTTTGCCAATTAGCTTCTTTACAAGAAGCGCATGGAGAAAATACGTATCCACCCCGAAGAATTATTCTTGTTCGATGTGAACCAATTTTACAGTGGATCTACAACCAAATTTCTTAATTAATTCCGGTAACGAATATTTGACTACATGCCTAGCTCCTAGTACTTAAGGTGAATTGAATTATGGCTTAATTTTGATCAAAGGATTTCTAAATACCTTCTACTATATATGTATCTGTTACTTTTTTAAGAGGCCGGCAATCTTATCCGAGGTCATCATTGCATTCCAGTAATAAATACTGACTACCTGCCTGGGTCCTAGTAGTTAAGGTGAATTGTATTATATTTGAGTTTTGACCAAACGATTTCTTATCAATGAAGGGGAGAAGGAGCTGGACTGAAATACCTTGCTCCTAGATGTCACACCAAGTTTAGTCCATATATTATTCAGAAATTTTGTTCATGTGACTCTAGATTGTTGATGCACAGCCCTGTCATAAGCAAACTTTTTTTTTAATTTATGTAATCTTGATTGACGTGGTTATTCTAAATTCTGCTCTATTGACCCTTTGAACTTGACTGAATAAAAGACAATAAGGCGGCAAAGGCTAATCCATGATAGCATTTCTAAGCAATCTATACATCAAAGCGTCAGAATCCGGGGATTGCTTGACTGTGGAATGAGACTTAAAACGATATTGTGGGGAATGCTACATTCGACCCCATATTAACCAAGTGGGACACAATAAGATATTTGTCTCGTACCTATTAATTTAGCTCCTTTGAAATAATATATAAAGCTCGAAACCTCCCTGCTTTGTTCATGTCTTAAACCGCTCAAGCATCAGAATTCAGACATCAATTGTCACTCAGCATCATAACTTATTTTCTTCAAAATGAAGTTCCTTACTGCCATTATTTCACTTGCAAGCCTTGCTGCGGCAACAACAGAGATGACACCTGGAACCATACAGACACAGCAGGGTGACACAAAAATCACTATCGACACGCTGAGTGCCCTCCAGATTCTGGTAAGTCCGCAGATACCAGTCGTCTCCTGTGTGAGCAATTTGGTCATGAAGTTAACGTATATATCGTAAATTCTAGAAAAACAGCACCCAATTTTGCTCAGCAACCACCGTCTTCCCTGCGCCACATTCTCCTGCATCTGACGGTAATTGCTGTACCAACGGCCACTTCTGTGATGACGGAATCTTCGACGTAAGCAACCCTTCAAATCTGGCATCTATTCGTGATGAGTGTTGGTGGATAGCTAACATAGACTACCCGTATCAAACAGTGTGTTATCTGCACGTTCCTTTGCTAGACCGGCTTACTGTGATATCCACTTGAATCGTCACGGGCCAGTGGCACTTCAATTCTGAAAGATTTCAAAGTGAAATATGTGTGTGGTCTAAGCATTTGAGATATCAAATCCCTTTGGTCGTGGTTTTTATCCCTTAACAGGTTTTCCCACACACTTTGCGTGAATGCGAAAGAGGATTAGTTTCTCGAAGTATTTGTTGACTGGTTTTTGTTCTATCTCAGTTATTTCACCCAATATTATTTATTTCTTAATATCTCATTCACGGCCCTAACACCACGCGCTGGCTGTCTGTATAAATAATCAGTCTAATATAGATCACGAACAAAAGTATTTACGCTGAAGTAGATTGAATTATCCGGAAAATAGACTTAGGTGCTCAAAATGTCGAAGACACTGTGACACTGTATGATGCTGAGGGCAGAGAAAGAAATCTTCTCGTACTCATAATCCTCTGAGCTCTACCCAGAAGGTGAGTTAGTTCATTTATGGATCTTACTGATTAATAATGGCTCCTTATTACGAGCCTTTCTGCGCAGAAAGTCCGTCGAAGTGGCTCCATGGCAACCTGATGTAGTCTCCGATACTCAGTTGCCCTGATTATATCATCTCAAGGCAGCCCTGCTACTAGATAGCTTGATCAAGCATTTATTCAGCTACAGAGCGGTTAGACGCTCCCCCTTCAACCGCAGGAGATGAATCAGACTTTACCACAGCCGTAGCATATACTGTTGCTTGTCAGATCAGATTCAGATAGATTAAAAGTTGATTAAACGCAACCGATATATATCGATACCACCAAAAAGATCAGGACCAAGTGAAGTAGGTTTGATACCGATGGGCTGCTCACGCCAAAATTTGAGTATTAGCGTGCGAAGTGCGTTAGACCGTGCGATGAAACAACAGCACCGAAAGCATTTTCTGGCTTTTAACTATTTCTTGTGGACTTAGTCCCAAAGTATCAAAGGGGACCTCGCAAAGAAGTAATGTTCCTATGCCAGGCTCGACATTGGCTTTCATTTACAATCGACCGCATTGCAGAATCTCGGTTTGTCGAATCCAGCCCCAAGGACGTTCACGAGCAGGAGCAGGATACATTGACCGATCAGACTCTGGGTGTTAATATACTATCAGAGCCTCCTGCTGGACAGGGGAGCCCATACGTAGGTGAGATGCGCCGAGGTTCGCTAAGTAAACCGTCACACTAAGGTGCACAGACACACAAGGGAAAGAACCCACTCAGCCAAAACCACTACACGTCAGCAGATTCTCTCGAGGTAATACTGCAGGAGCTTGAATAATTCAACCAAGAGAAAATATAGCTAGGTTCACAGGCCGCTGTGTTAATTAGCCTCTACCAATACCCGTGAGATGCCTCTGTCACAAAGCACGCTAACAACCAGCATTTGGAAATAACCAACCAGCAGCATCAGATCACCAACATGCAGCTGGATCAGGAGAAAACCTCGTTGATCGACGACATGCCGGACAGTAGATGTTACTGACGTTTCAAGTCAGACGTTTGGAAAGGTATGAGAGGGCGTTGTGGCTGTATTTTGTGACTGGAACAACTGAAACTTTGACGGGGGAGCAACATTCGCGAGCAAGTGAAGGGGGATATGGAAGTTCTGTTCGATGAAATAGAGACGGAGATATAATTTCAATCATGATCAAGGCACATTGCACGTAGTGCTGGTTGAAGATCTGCTCTTCTGTCCCTAGGAACTAAAATTAAAAGCACCGTCGACGGTGGATCGGGGAATTGTAAATAGGCAGGAGGCAGTGCATCATGGAATTCTTTCTTACTTTGGCCTTCGATCTCTCAACATTGCCAGCAAGGATGCGTCTTGGTCACCACTCAGGGCCAGAGAGGGTGACATCTATTGCGGTCACAAGTAGCTGACGTATACACCATGTATTCGCGAGAAGACATTGGAGCTCGAGTGGAAATGAAATAGTTTTCCAAACCTGGCAAATCACACGCAGGACTCTACCTCCGTCGCAAAACGCCATCTCCTTTTCTCCATTGGAGGAGATTCAGGACCCGTCCGGGGTCATGGTGCGGGGTAGTAATCGTCCGGGGTAAAACTGGCCGAGCCCATAGCCCACGGATGAGATGAAACCGAGCCGTGTCCGACTCTAGGACTTGTCATGTTCTTTAGGGGCGATTATATTGATCTTAAATCTGCACGTCCAATTGCCACCCCACTGAGCGTGGTATTCTGTAGAGATAGAGAGATCAAGCATCATGAGCATCCGACCTCATATTCGGGGGCCAGCGTTCGAAAAAATTCTTAATCGGTCACGTTTGCTGACTTGATACCCGAAGTCAAGCACAGCGCTAAGTAATAATTACCACTTATCCTCTCCCAGCTCCTCGGTTAAATTTATTCGCTCATTTTGATAGGCTCGACAGTATTCAACCATGCTGACAGGGAGTCAGGAGAGTCGCATTTTTAGAGTGCACAACAAGAAAAAACTTGGGCTCGCACTAATTGAAGGAGGGAGGATTCTGGGCTTACGACCCAAGTAGGATATTCTCCGGCGAATGGAACGCCACATCTAGACCCACACCACCATCATGTTGTACCACTAAATTGCCCCTTCAGCTGACCCCGCAAAACCCCCCGCAAAGGAACCAGTACATTTCTTTCCCGACTAGTACCTATCAGATTATTTCGCTCGACAAGAGCCAACCAAAATCAAGTAAAGCTGCTACTGTAGTGCCCGGGAAAATAAATGTAATGAATGGGGATGTTGGGTCGAGGAGGTCAAGGTCCGAGCAAGCTTCACTCAATCGAGCTAAGATCGGGGCCACCATCACGAGCGCGTTATTACAAGTATAAAGATCTGGCAACCCCCATTCGTGCCTGCCAATTTTTCATTCACCCCTTTCTCTTAGAAGTCGTCAACATGAATAGCGACCTCACAGAGAAGCAGACCTCAGCCGAGGAGATCGAGGCGCAGTCCACCTCCGCTGGTGGACCTCTTTACGATGTCGGCGAGAAGGTCGACTACAACAGAGCGGGCGCCATCGACGCCGAGACGGTCGAACATAATATGACTGTGCTCGAAGCTATTAAGGCATATCCCGCTGCCAGCTGGTGGGCATTTGTGATGTCATCCACCATTGTGAGTTCTTGCCCATGGTAGGCAGATCACTTCTCTAACGTTGCGATAGATCATGGAGTCATACTGTGTTTTCCTAATGGGACAGTTCATAGCCACAGCTAAATTTATCGACGATTTCGGTGTGAAAAGCCCAATAACAGGCGGAAAAATTATCGAAGCTTCCTGGCAGTCAGCATTCCAGTGTAGCGGGCCACTCGGTGCATTCATCGGTGTATTCGTTGCAGGTCCCATCACTAGCTGGATTGGATATCGATGGGCAACCATTGGCGGTCTGATGGCCTTGAATGCCTTCATCTTCATCTTCTATTTCGGCAACAGCCAGGGGATGTTTTTCGCGGCTCAGATTCTGGAGGGCATCCCGTGGGGCATTTTTATCGCCAATGCACCCGCCTACTGTGCCGAAATTGTGCCAATGAGATTGAGAGCTCCAGCGACGCAGATGTTGCAGATGTTCTGGGCGATTGGGTCGATCATAGTCGGTGGTATCACTTACCACTACCAATCCAAAAATGATTCGTCAGCGTACAGGTTCGTCCGCTCCCATAGATGCCATCGAGGAGCACGGTACTAACAGTCATGCCAGAGTTCCCATTGCAATCCAGTGGATGTTTCCTACTCCCATTGCTATTCTTCTATTCCTTGCGCCTGAATCACCCTGGTGGCTCGTACGAAAGGGCCGACTGGCCGAGGCAGAGAAGGCTGTCAAACGCCTTGGACGCGCGAGTGCAAATGAAAATCCCGCTGACGCAGTCGCGATGATGCGTCGCACGATCGAACTCGAGAAGACTGAGAAGAAGCCCAGTCTCGTTGAACTGTGGAAGGGTACCGATCGCTACCGTACATTGATTGTGTGCGGTGTGTACGCATCTCAGAATCTGACGGGTAACCTGATTGCTAACCAAGCGGTTTACTTTTTCAAACGTGAGTCGATCCATGTCCTGTAACCTCATAGCAGACTAACACCAGCTCAGAGGCCGGCATGGCAGACAACACAGCATTTGCACTTGGTCTCATCACTTCTGCCCTCCAGTGGATCATGGTCATGCTCTCTTGGGTCCTCACCACATACCTTGGCCGACGCACCATCTATGTCTATGGTCAGGCCATCAACTGTGTATTCTTGATCGCGCTCGGTATTGCGGCTTCAGTTGGCGATAGTAAGGCGGCTAACAATGCACAAGCATCACTTGGCTTGATCGTCTCCGTCCTGTTCTGCTTGGGACCCGCCCCCGCCTCATGGGTCATCATCGGTGAGACATCTTCCGTTCGTCTCAGGCCATTGACAACCGGTATTGGACGAGGTGCCTACTACTTGGTCAATATTCCTTGTATCTTCCTTGCCAGCTACATGTTAAACACTGATAAGTGGGATCTGGGTGGCAAGAGCGGCTATATCTGGGCTGGTACCGCCTTTGTCTGCACCGCCATGTCTTGGATGTGGATTCCAGAGATGAAGCACAGGTCCTTCCGTGAGATCGACATTCTGTTCAATCGTCATGTCCCAGCTCGCAAATGGAAGAAGACGGTCGTCGATATCCGCGATGATGAGTAGATGGATATTGCTGTTCGGAGAAGCCAGATTGGTACTGCTTGTGCAGGAATTGGTGGTAGAAATGAGTTTCTTACTAGATACTTATAGGTAATTGTCTTCAAGATGAGTTGAAGGGTGAGGATTACGGCAGAATGTACTGCACCCTCTACACTCGTCGGTAATGGCTGCTATAGTACTAAGGCTTGCTTTTCATATAATTGATTCAAGAGGTTGATACACGTGATCCTGATAGAGCAGTCTATACAAGGAGAAACCTTCCCATCCAACAATAATATCCTAGAAACATATTAATAGCGGTCAATAGAACAAGTTGTGCTTAGATACCATTGATTTCAATTTCACTGGAGCCGGGATTTTCAGTCGGTTCTACTGATACTGGACTTGAAAATTACGTCGCCTCCAGAGCAATTAGAATCATTGACTGAACAGGGAATCGTTGCATTCGTGAACATCATGATTGGGCCGAAGTGTAGGTTCCAGTAGCCACTCAGCTATCGCTGTGGTTTATTCACATAACTAAGATAGGGGCCAGTCGTATAAGACTATTCGTCCATCGCGACGAGCCTTGTTGGGACCAGATCGCAGGAAGTGCCTGCACACCTGGAGAGATATTCTGGAATTTTGTCTTGGCAAAGATAAAGTTCATTCCATCAACGAAGAACCGCCGATGCTCCTGGCCCGTACTATCTGCTGCCGCAATAAAGCAGACCCATACAAGCACATGTGCTCCCATCTGGTCCGGGTCGATCTGAGAAACTAACTGCCTAAGACACCCTAGAAGTTGCCACTGGTCTTCATCAGATGTCACTCGCCCAAGATAAATTTGAGAAGCTATGATGAAAGCCATTCTCAAGAGATGGAGGATTTTGTTGTGTTCAGAGTCAGGAGGGAGGTCATAGTAGGCCCCGTCGAGATAGTGATCAAGTGGTAAGCGCAAGCATTCACGCCTTGGTGTTCACCTCGAAGGGGTTGGCCAAGAGATTCAAACATAAGACCACAGTCAGGCATGTTTAAGGAGTGGACGTAGGGAGACTTACATATGGGTTTGCTGAGTGAGAAAATTATGGGTTAAAAAGGGTGCAATTTGACCCACATTCTGAGCCAATTACATCAGTGTCTGTAGAAGGTGGCCGTATTCTGAGCTGCCTGTGATAGTCTCTCCAACGAGCAGAATGATCCGAGTTGCCCATGTGGAGGTAGTGAACACACGATCTGGAGATGTTGAGTCTTGGCCCAATCGAGATATCAATACAGCTCGGCCTCGATCCGCAATAGATTGGTAAAAAGGGCTGTACAAGGCCAAATGCTGCGTTGCTACTACGCTGACGGCGCGCTGCACGAGTCCATCCTCACATGCTAGGGGCAGTAAAACGTCGCGATAACCATGAGAGACTTGGTCTAGGACAACCAGTACAGGAGCGACTTGCTCTGCATTTGCTGCTTGTTAGCAGAAAAGTACACCCTGATCGGCTTGGAAATAACTCACAATGCGACATAAGCATGCCGTTGTGAGAATCCAGAAGAGCAAGCCACGGGCTAATTGACCCAGTCGCAGGGAGAAGTGCCCGATTCGAAGGGCGATCGAAATACTGATCGATGTCCTTGGAGTCATCTTGATGCGGGTCAAATATTTCAGCGGGTATCGCGCCCTGGTTCCGCGATGTAGGGATGTCTGCTGCTACACGCGTGCTTGAACCAGTCGCATTTGCTTGCGCTGCGCGTTTTGTAGATTTTCGTCTGGAACGCACTGGCTGGTCGTTCTTCCACCTGATTGTACACGGTATAAGCGGCGTAGCCTGTTCAGGGCCTTGAAGCGCTGGCCCTGGCAATGGGTCGACCTCGTTGGGTGACACCCGTAGAAAATCGAATCCGACTCGGACCAGAACATTGCATGCCTTTCTTTTGACACTTTTTGCACGTTGGCAGTGTATTGTCACAGGTGATACGGCGCTTGGAACATTGGAAGCAGCCTTGAGTGAGGTGAAATGTGGTTAGGACGTTTTACGGGGATGAATAGGTGAGAGACGCACCCTTGTTCTTGCCACCAGGAGCAGACATCTGGGATACCGTGAGAAGATCACATAAGACGGCTTAGGAGATATCGCTGGAGGAAAGACGTGATAGCAGAGGTGGGTTGCTTGCTGTGGAGCATTTTTGGTTTGGGCGGGGCATTTACCGTAAGAGCGATTGGTGGACGAAGCACTGCCATTTTAGGCGACTAGTCGCAGCCTAATTGCCTCTAATTGGAAAAAGATCCAGGTTTTCAAAAAGAAGGTCTTTAAGTTGGACTTTATGTATACATCACCATTACTCTTCATCGCTTGATCGTAGCCGAGGACCGTTGTACCTTTTCCGAGCATAAACAGCACAATTTATCCCTGAAAATATTGTCATCACCATGAGGACAGCCGACGTGTAATCTACGCACTGAGTAATCTGATCAGCTAATTTTCCATGAACAGACTGAGGATCCACAAAACTTACTCATATTTTTGCCAGTCAATGGCAGAAAAATTGGAAAGTTATAGAAGATCAGAATCAACATAGAAAACCCGATAGCAATGGCATTCACAGTCCACCCAGCCAAGGAAGGGATTCGGAACGCTCCATCTCGAGGTAACCACATCTCAGAACGCTTGCGAGATATGAGAAGCGCAGCAGGGATAGCGTATGAGATGTGTTGAAGCACTAGACCTGTGCCAATAAAGGCGTTGAAGGCAGATGAAGAGCCCAGGTAGATTCATCCGATGATGTACATAACCAAAATTGAAGATGAGTCCCACATGGGTACTTCAAACTTTGGGTGATTTTGAATTGGCCACTAGCTGCCGATGATAGCACGGTCTCTAGAGAGCGACCAATTTAGGCGGGAGGCAGTTTGCTGAGCACCGATGAGGGCGAATACGGCGGCACAGCAAAGTAGAACAACGAATACCGTAGCGGCTCCACCCGACCGTGTGGCTTGGTACCACATCTCGTAACTAGGTACCCTTGATGATTATTAGAGGAAGAATATAAGCTTATAGCTAGTGAAATGAAAGATTGGACATACCCGGTAGCGGATGACACCACAGCGTTCAAATCATTGGTGCAGTATAGCATGGCAACAATAAACGTGAATGAGGAAGCGAACCCAATAAGCTGTGTGCTAATCAACGCCCTAGGGACCAGAGTGCTTGCGTTTTTGCATTCTTCAGCCAAGTGCAATGCTCCGTCGATACGAGCGTACATGTAGTTGGGCGAAACTAGACCGGTCAAGAAGGCAAAGCCCCCAGAGCTTCAACCACTATCATTCAGGTACGCTCCCCAGACACTGTTGGAGGGCTGATAGTTGGAAGATTTTCGAGCAATGCATGTAATAGTTATAACGAAAAAGCTGGCAATAGTCGCAAAAACTGGCGAATTAAGACCTACTCGTTTTGATCTGGATACAGGTACTCACAGGCGACATCATGAATCCAAAGAGTTCGTTGCAGGTAGGTGATATTGTATAATAGCACGAGTCCGTTGATGGCTTAGTAGATCAAGAAGTAATGCCATGCTGATGGGACGTAATCTGGGTTGTAGAACAATGCGATCCCGACAATGAGTTGTGCGGGGATTATAGCAATGCCGGTGCAAATGGCTATCCAGGAAAATACGGTTGCCATTCCACAGCAGTAAGTCTGAGACCAGTTAGCGGAAAACCCCATTTTCCTTCAAACTAAAAGAAGTCACCAAGGCACGATTCATGGACTTAGGGGCCAATGATAGAGGTCCAGTGGTATTGTCCGCCGGCAGTCGGATAAACAAGTCAGTTCGGCTAGCGTAGAGCACAGGCACCAACCAAAAAAAAATTAAGAAGGTTCCATAGATCAAAGTGGCTGGACCACCTTGGGCAACTGCGAGAGATATTGTGCCTGCGATTCCGGCCCAGCTGTCGCATATAACCCAACTCGCGGATATAGTCTCTAACTTTGTCATCTGCCTTCTCCCTTCGGCTTGGGTATAGAGGCCGTTGAGTTGTATTTTCTCGACACGCCTCTCTCCACAGGTAAATTCTGGTAAGTCGTTAGCGAGTCTGGCGGGATCTAGGGTAGATGAAGTTGTAACGAACGTCTTTCCACATCGTTAGATGCTGAAGGGGGAAGAATATTGTCAGCAGGAGCATCAATAGGAAAAGAGCAAAAAATTCTAGCCCATACTATTTTTGACTTTGAGATCTTCTAAATCCATGTTGTATGATTTGGACCACTTGCGAGCGTAGAGATTGGATGAAGGTCACACAGACAGCACATTCAATTGCTTAAGAATTCTCGATTCCTCGCGCATTAATGCTTGTATCGCCATCGGAGATAGGTGAAATCCTTCATAGTTCAGCGGATAGTGATAAGAGGTGCAGTGCGAGGAAGTGTGGTACCAACATTGCCGAATGGAGAAAAAGTCGAGAGAACTGGCTTGACTAAGACCGCCATTATCGATGGCAAAGCTTAGCGACGATAAAAATTTCCCAGATCATGGAAATAACTCTGACCAATCAAGCACTTAAAGTCTAAAGTAGCCTGGCGATTTCTACGAGTTCCAACGTCGACTTCCAGATAGGTCCATTTAGACCAACTAGAATAATTCGGGTCTCACTCCTTCAAAGATGATCTTTGCCAGATAGGATTTCCATTCCGGCCTAACGTGACTAATTCAATGTATTGTCATTGTTTTGCATCTCAACCACTACGGGTGCAAATCACTATCACGAGTCCATATGACGGATGTCTATGTACGTGTCACACATGACCGGCACGGAGCGCTCTCATTGAAACCATTGAGGACATTCTACGCTTCTCATGATGACTGAGCAGTCAGATTTTAGAAAGAATGCAATGATTCATGGTAAAATAACTGTTCAAATTCATAACACAAGCTAGTCATTAAACGAGCAAAATACGGAATGTGATAATTCATCTATAGGCAGGAACGCAAAGGAGGAGCGAGTTGAAGCTTTGTCTTCACAGTCATAGCCGCCCGTGTACCCTCCTCGATAGCAGCATCAATGAAGCTACGCCAGCCAACCGCCCAATCAGAATTGGCAAAGACAATGTTTTCATGTCGTGCCCGCATCGCATCCAATGAACTGGATAAAAGCTGAGGAGGTGAGAAGAACCAGGCGCCCTTAGCAAACTCATCTTTGCTCCAGTTGTGGAAACCAATCGCTTAATATCCATGTTTCCGGGAGCCATGCTCTCTACGGCCTCTTCGGCTAAATTAATATCCTCCTCGGGGTGCATGCGGTTATGGAAACCGCCGAAACAAACAATGGGGGTGTTTCCTGCGGGTGTAGTTCCGTCACCGATGGCGTAAGTGAGCTTGTTGAATGGATAAGAGATTCCAGTCCATGATCGCATATCCTTGTTGGAAAACTCAGCGCGCACCTTTACACATTGGTTGACATGACCGATGTTTGTGGCTGCCGCACGCTGGGTGTCCAGGGGAGGATCGAAGGTCACGTAGTTAAGAACGTTGAGAGACCAAACGAGTACCAGTATACTGGCGACCATCTCGAGTAGTAAGAGTGACTGCATCGCCCTGATCGCTGATAGAGCTCACAGGACTGTTGAAAGCATAGGAGAGTTTTCCAGTAGCAAGAGCCTTTTTGAAGAACATGATTGCGAAGCTCGTTGACCTCCCTTGAATTTGTACGAGATCAGGGCGTCCATGCTGCCGCGATAGGAGTAACCGCACAAAGCCCACCAATGAAGGAACTCGAAGAAGCTAGTCGTTCCCAATGTTCCACAGCTGCAGAGCAGGATAAAGCTCTCAAGGCATGCACGTTCGTTGGGAGTGAGCGACAAAAATTGGCGTTCAAGCGGTCCTGTGCAGACGTCTTATCATACTGGCGAGCTTCGGGGTTATGGAATGAATCATGGGCGAATGAGAGCACCTTCCTGCCCGTATCACCATCGACATCCACGAACTTTTCGAGGCCAGCGGCAAGCAGAACGTCCTACAGGAGAAAGTCAGGCGCAAATTGAGATCATTTCGGTTTTGCTGGACGAACCTCTTCTTCATGGCTCATACTTGTCGCTCCCTGGTTTGTGCGCAATTGGAAGTGGTCAACTCCACGAGAGAAATCAAATGACTCTTCCAGCTCGGTTCGCATATTGTATCGCGAAATCTCGCGCCAAACGTGAGGCTGACCTCAATGCACCCAAGTCCCACCCATCTCAAACGGATAGTCGCCAATGTTTGAGGACCAAAAACGACCTCCAATTCAATCGCGAGCCTCTATCAAAAGAACACGAAGACCTGTTATGATTAGCAAACTCGAATAGAAGTCAAAGTCGAGACGCGGACGTTTCACACCAGCAACGGTCAAATCGCGAGTAGCCGTGAGACCAGAATATCCACCTCCAACAACAATAGCATCGTAAACTGTTGAAGAAGAGGTAACATTGATGGGAGGCGAAATCACACCGATTGAAGGCACACCTGGCGCAAGGCCAGTCTCAGGCGTCCATTGGAAACCGTCGCGGGAGTTCATTCTGGCGAGAGCTGCACCGTTGAGTTGGAGGATCCAAAAAAAAAAAAAAGTAAGAAAGGAAAGTCGACGAGGATATTCATTAATTAAAAAATTCTGCTATATTGATAAAACATACTGTTTTGCCGATAACAAAACCCATATTTGCATGACTTCGGAATCGGTTGAACATCACGATAAGAGTGGGTATGGACAGAATTACTGAAAGTGGCAAGAAAATTGAGGATTTGTTATCCACGATTAAAGTATATGCGGGGGGGGGGACAGTTTCTTTGCTGGTCCCAAAGGCGATTGTCAGTCCAAGTCCAATTCGAGGTTCGGTGGGTCAACAACAAGCCGCTGGGAGGCGCGATGCCAAAGTACCCGATTGGGATAATAAAGTGAGAAAGCCGGCTGACGCTCAACCAGCCAATGCAAATTGTCCGAATGCTGCTCTCCTGGGCTCTGATGGAAGCTGAAATCACCTGTCTTAGTTGCTTTGTTTTGGTTGGAATGACTAGGCGATCATGTCCACTTCGGCGAACGTTTTGAACTTGCGACCAGTCGCGTTCACAGCATAACACAGCACATCATTAAAATAAATGGGAGAAATCGCCGCCACATATCCCTGCTGGAATCATGGGGGCCCATTTGACGGCCCGGAGGATTGAGCTTGCTGTGAACACGTTCTTCAGAGATCTTTCGGTAAACTGGGAGATCCGGGAAAAAGCCGCTTCGGGGGAGCTGCCTCTGGTTTACAGCTCCCCCGTACCCGCAGCTCTAGATCTCATGATCGTCGGAACCTTGTCACTTGGCCATATTTGCTTGTCTTGAACACATGGAACTCATTTCGAAATGGACATGACTCACGGCCACCTCCACGCTGGAAGTATTAAGCGCATCCGCCAGGCATGTGCCAACTGCAGGTACGGCCAGATATGATATTTCACTAGCTGATTAACCCGGAGGTCAATATCCAGGAGAAACTTCAGCATCTAATCTGTAAGGCTGGATCGCCGTCTATCTGGTCAATTTAAAACATCAATCATTCCCTTCCGGGTTGCCATCCTCCATTGGTAAAGCTCCGAAAGGATTGTGAACAAAGGCTGGGCTTCCTACCAAGAACTGGGTATTCTGCCGTGGCTTAGATATGGACCTGGTTTGTCAATGACTGGGTTGCGTCCAATGGTCTCCTAACGGTGTTTATATCTGTGGCAGCTATCAATGTGGGCGTTTATATGACGATATTCATTTTCCATTCGTACGGGAAGAGGATTCGTATCTGGATCCGGGGAAGGAATTTCATGGGTCAATAATTCGATGATTAGCAGGAGGTCAGTCTATTTTGGATCGATTTGTAGCCTAGTAACATATTATTTGGTTGCATAATTCATGATTAGGAATAACTGTTTGGATATGCGACTGATTTTTCTCTACTGTGAAATTGCATTCCGTATATACATGCAGTTCAGGTAGTTCAATTGCTAGTACAATAAGTAAATAACTTGGAAGTGCGATAAGATAGATTGGTGGTAATTGGTCCCCGTAGGTCAGGCGCCCTGGGGTCCAAGTGCCGTATGTACTTGTTTCCCTTCACCACCCTTCAAATGTCGGAGAGTGGGAAATGGCGGGGAAGACTTATATCTCACGTGCATTAATATACAACCATGTGATCTGACTGCACTTCATCAAATTACATTCAGCCCTCAATAGGCTCATTCTTTGTCAGGAGGAGCTCCGGGTCGGTGGTTCCGTGAACTTTGATCATTTGAAGCGGATTGTTTGAAGCGGATTGACGATTTTTCTGAAAATTTCATCAGCCCATTCTCCATATCAAAGGACATGACATAGAAGGGTTGTTGGTATTGAATCATTCTTCCACCAACGAGAAATGTCACATCCATTACAGTATCCTCCCAGAACTTGTTATGGTCTTTGATTCCGTAGATTTTGGGGTCCACGCATGAGTCGCTAAATATCTCTACGTTGAGCTGGAAGTTCTTGGCAAGTTCCTCCTTGTCCTGGCAGCAAAGTGGGGTTATGGCATCAGGAGAGATAGGGTCGAATGGTTGGGTGGCGTATGTCAGCTCTTTCAATACATCTTCTGTGAAGCATTTCCAGTCGAGCCACACCCTTTCCGTAGAGGTATTTTTCAATTGTTTTGCGGTTGGCCTCACGGCAGAGCTGATTAGAAGGACTACTAGGAGAAGATATATTTATGAAACTCAAAGACGCAATTAAGTTGATAATTGAAGATGATTCGAATAAGTCGGTTTGGTTGATTTAGGAATATGTAGAAAGGCGATTGGGGATACACTAATGTGGAAAGTTTCTTTGACTTAAATAAAGCGAGCTGGGAATAACTTTATAATTTTAACCAAATTCTCTTACTACTAAAGCGGTCGCTATCAAGAGATTGCATCAGAATGTAACCAATGGCCTAGTAGTAATTATCGCTTAAATTGTAATTGTTAGTTCTGTGGATGGGGGAATCAACCTTAAGTTGCCCTATCCTCTTAGCCGGCCCGGTATTATCGAGACTATAGAGATGATCAGTATAGGGTTTATGGATAAAAAAAGGGGGAATAGATAGGTATAAAATAGCAGGTATCAGATTATAGTCAAAACTGATTCTTAGGGGAATCAGGAGTCCCAAGAGAGAGATAAGCTTTATACCCTGTAGACTTCGGCAAAGCCCATGGGCCGGGCCTTGATGGGCTTAGTCAAGGTTGTCTATAGGCTGGCGTGCGTGAGAAACCCATTACGGCCTATGAGATTGAGGAACGTTTCCTATATAATTTATGAAAAATATGCTGTATTCTATTTGTTTTTTGACAAACTGCAGCTTGATACCATCGTAATAAATTAATTTGGGCGTAAGGTGTCTCATACCGGTTCATATATTCTTGGGCTTACAAAATATCGATTCATATCAGATGTCCCTTACTCCGTACAAGTTCTCATTTATGAAGCAGTTGATCGATGAGCTTACCCTCCATAGGCTCCATATTGCCGAGGGGATCTGCTTTCCCCAGTCGGGAGCAATCGTCTTCCCTCCAGTTCCGGCCTTCTACACCAGACCCGAGACCATCCAACAACTGGTTGATCAAAGTGTTGGTCGCATGCTCGATTCTTTTGGTATTCATTGCGAAGACTTTCCGCGTTGGGAAGGTTTCGAACGGAGCAAGGTTAAGCGCTGATCAACGGGGGTCCTGTATATTACTTAGACAACGATCATTCCCTATCTTGTATGCAATTGTGACGACCAGATAATACAGAAAACAATGAATGAATTTTATAGCATCAGCGATCAGCCCATCACCACCGTTCATCATTGATTCTTGTGTCATTTGCGTCAGTTGCCTTTGATTAGGGGATCGAAAGGAAATTTGGCCAAATCACAGTTGAACAGTTCCGAAGTTGATCCCGAGGCCCCGAGATCCCGAGACCCGCGGCCCCCACAAATTTTCGCTCGGTTGCCGGAGATGTGGGGAGCGGATGGTTGCGGGAAAGTAATGTACGGGTTATTGATCTGCACTTGCTCGGCCGGAGTTGAAAGTCTGACCAGACCTTCGTTAATTATAAACAGCCAATGGCAATTGTGAGAGAACAAATGCCGGATGATGAAGGATTATTAGCGTGTTCTTCGTTTCGAACACAAATAAGCCCTTTTTCTCCCTCGTCTACAATATGTTAGTCTTTTATCCAAACGGACTTGATTAGATCCATGTTCTTGGATCATTATTACCCTCTTGGATCATTATCACCATGCCTCGCCACCAGGACCCCGCAATTGAAAATCTTCCCAATATGAACTTCCGATCGTATATGGAGGCTTTAAAGAACGATAACGACTTGGTCGAAATTGACCCGTGAAGTCGACCCGGATCTTGAAGCTGGTGCCATCATACGCATGGTCTGCGAGACTGATGATAAAGCTCCTCTCTTCAACAATCTCAAAGGTACCGATAAGGGTCTCTTCCGTATTCTAGGAGCCCCCAATGCATTGGGAGTGACTGTAGTCTACTAGACTGCAAAAGTCCTAGCGCTTTTTTATATAGGATCACAAAGTAGGTCATAGCAGACTACAAATATTTTTAGCACCAGACTTTACTCCAATCTACTTGTACGATTTCACTAAAAGTTGAACATAGTTTTAAGTTAGTATCCAGATTTTCTATATTCAAATTTTGATATCTAGATCTCTAGTAGATAGGTATTATATAACACTAGATGGTTATATTGAGTATTGTTTGTTTCGGGTTATGTGTACTAAGGTGATGCTCGATCTTTAACTCGTTCATCTATAACTGAACCATTGCTAGTTTATGTTAGAAATTATACAGGCATAGGGAGATTTAGTGCAGGAGAGGCCTTACAGGCCCTAAACGCACCCCCAGAGGTCGTTGAAGCGGATACACTACCCCCAGAGGAAGCGCCCGCAGCACCTTTGCAGCAGCGAATGAGAGCTTTGCCTACGTGTTCTGACTGTGCGATTAAAGAGCATAAACGCACTTCATGCCCAATTAGGCGTAAATAGGTTACTGGTGGTGGTATATGCTTTTAAAAATAATATGTTGATGGGGTCCGCCACTCGCTTTTGAAATACGTTACATATGACTAATATCTCGGAGGTTTCGGATACATCGCGATTTCGGGCGTCGCACCCCTTGATGAGACAGGTTACGCAGAACAGCCAGCCTTGCGTCAAGCGAGGCTCTATTATCGATGCGAAGCTCCATTATCGAATGAGAGCCAGTAGTTCGTTCAATGAAAAATCTGCCAACCACGGTGTGTCAGCCGGGGGGAACTGCGCAGGGCAGGTTGGGTCAATTAACACTTTTTAACCATGTCATATAATAATTTTTGGCCTTGATGAACATTTATCTCGGTCAGGCTACAATCTGAGGACAGCGATATAGCGGCGAGTAAAAACTCAGGCAAGAATCTGTCGTTTCACCCACAGATATCTCAATAGATTTGTGGGACACTTCATTCCAAGCATTCTGAAGCCGAAATTGCCGAGTTCAAATGCAAGCTTAAAAAGAAAAAATGTTCGGCGAATAAGGAATCCTGAAACAATCACTGTATTTGTGGATGCTTCGGGCTCTATTTATAGACTCTGCCACTTCCCGTGTATTCCGAGCAACTTGTGCTTTTCAATTTCAGGTCTAGGTAGCGGTCAAGGAAGTTTGATGTATATTTTTGTCCATTCTTTGTTGCGCCACTGCGGTAGCCACTCGGGTCATAAGGCACTCTCAATAGGGGTCTTGTAAATAATTATTTCACCAATCTTCTCAATTCTCAGGTCAATACTAGCTCATACGCAGAACCGTTGACCCAACAGCTGTATTTACGGTGGCGGAGTGTACACGTGGGCACAGACATTATAAATTACCTGTGGGTTCGATAAATACAGCATAGCCCCTCAGCCCCCCAGCCCCTTTCGAGATAACAGAAACCTCAATGTCACGCAACTAATAAATTGGGTTGCGAAAATAATTCGACTTGACTTTGCTAAAGTTCGCAATAAAGCTTTGAGCCATCTTAGGTAACATGATGCTCTATCGAACTGGTGGACAAGGTTCCATGCGTTACTTCTTCGTTCACGGAAACCATGAACATACTGCCATTCCGAATCTGGTGATCGTTGAGGCAAATATAGTGGTTTTCAATCGACTAGGTCGCATGTAGGTCATACAGTTTTTCTTTTGTTTGAAAAAGCATACTAATGAAGTGGGCAGCGTGTTTGGAAATAACAAGCAAAATTATTCTTCGCTATATTGCTTCATTAACGGAGTGTGTACACAGGTCAATGGGAAAGATGATACTGTTATTCCGGCGCGTGAGCTTACTGAGAGACTTCTCAGAAATGCCTCTATACCCACACTGATCATAGCTGAGATCCCTGCGTAAGTGACTGAGATAGAACCAGAGGATTTGCCTCAGCAATTTCAAGACTAAACAAATTTTAGCTGTCAGGGTGGCATCTTCCAAAGTCTGCAAGATGAATATCTCTACCTGTACGGATAAAATTGCTTTCCACTTCCCTATTCTTTTTGGACTCTACGGCTGACAGCTTTCCAGGGCGGTATTGGTATATGGAAGGGATGATCTGAAGCCGTGCGATTACGATGATAGAAATTATTTGGCTACAGCACTGAGGGGCTTTATACCATATTTTGTGGAGTCAATCTCCCTCAAAAGCGATAACTACCTTCCAGGCGATGCGCAAACTCTGTGCAGAGAAATTGCAAGTTATTTGGCTACAAAAGAAGACGTGATGAAAGCCTTTACTGAATTCATTCAAATGTACCGAAAACGCTACCTCAGCAATGCCCCGGTACAAAGAGCGGCTGTGCTTGAGACTTGCTTGCTTCATATTCTCAAAATGCCTTTCGACCTGGAATCTTCAATCCGGCATGGCTTGTTGATGCCTTAATATTACGCCAATACGGATAATATTTCTCCGCTCCTTTGCCCAAAATGGATGCCAAAAAATCCAAAAAACTTTGTTGACACAGTTGAAGCGATTGCTTGCCGGGCCGGCTGATTGGGAAAATTCATATAGTCGTATGGAGCGAGAAACATGTACTGCAAGGAAGTTTTTGATTAGCCAGGAATGCGTGTTGAACGTGACCAGGAAGACTGTCTAAACAAATGTTAATGATTTTCGACAAGTCGCTGGCTCAATTGGAGGCACATCGTCAGCTGAGTGGCTAGTTATGTAACAACGAACGTTTTGAAGCGGTATAGCTCACAGACTTGGAGCTCTTCCTGACTCTCTGTTGTCACGTCAACCAGCCCCTCGATGAGTCTGAATACCATCTGCTTACTCACAGTGTAGCAGGCGTAGTCTTCTGCTTCTGACCCATATTCCACCCTATCATACAGCCTCCTATATGAAGACCTAATTATTAACTTGCAAGGCTTGTTTTTTATATTTGGCGGAAATCCACCGTAAAGATCGAGGTACACCGCAGGCTCTTTCCTCGAAAGTGTTGGAGGTGGACTGAGGCCAGTCATTTCTGATTGGCATAACTATGTTTATAAAGCTCGGCTAACTTTGGCTAAAATGGTATAATGACTCCTAACCCTAATTGAGTGAGCAGATAAACAGAGTGGCGGTGTGAGAGTACACGGTACAAGTGAATGAGTCATTGGATCGCCGATCATCAGGTATGGTGGAGTCATCTCGTTCTATGACACAGAGCTCTCATGATTCCTTGTTTGCAACGTAAAACCTTAAACATACCTGTTGGTGTCCCTGGTGTCGGAACAATAGATCATGTAATCAACTTTATTAGTCAGCGTACCACATGTTAAACTGCTGTGGTGGAGACTAGAGAATACCAGACAAGTACACAGACGTGACCCATACCATTGGTACATGCTGTTCGACCGTAATTACGTGTTCAGAGACCTGGGTCATATCATGTGACCTGAGCAGCGCTGGCATCCCGTTGAGGACTAGCTTAGTTTTGGGTCTGGGGGCATATCCTCCAGGTCTTCTGCTCCTTCTCTCTTTTCTCCCCCCATACCCAATATCACATACGTTTTGTGTGAAGCTGTCAGCCTACATATTGTAGTCATCTTCCATCTTCCCCGCTTGGGGCCTATTGGCGCCAAGAATACCCATCATGATGAAGACGCCGAACATTCCGAGATTCCGAAGCGCCGAGGCGCCGAGGCGCCGTTTATCTCCCACTTCCACATTATAATAATGACTTTACTCCTTTGGCATTGCATTCCTACGGAGGCGAAAGGGACCAATTGTATCAAACCTAACCTATAGGGGTAATTGTAATAGACACCATTACAGTTCGGGTGAATTTCATTAGTATGGGAAAAAAAAATCGGGTAATTCCATCATACTACGATTAGACCTCATTAAAAATTTTTTGAGGGCCGGAGGTACTAGCCCTCAACCCGACCCACATCGGTTCAAGGGCCAGAACCTCCGGCCTGTCACGGTGTGTCCTGATAGGGTCCGTAGGGACCCGCTAGGACCGATAAGGGAGATCATGGGCACGTGATCTATATTTTGTTTATCTGCACTTCCGATCTGGATCCTGTTGTAGCTCTTCGAGCTACGTCTTGTATAATAGGTTACGCTAGACCATCCGGCGACCTGCTGCCAGAGCAATTAGAAACCCTCTGAACCCGACCCGATCCCGCCGGTCTTCTCCTATTATAACCCTGCCAGCCTGCACCCTGACACGGCCCTCAGCGGACCCTCCGCCCTCATTTACATAAAAAAGTTTGACCTTTCCTAATTTAGACGCATAATATTACTTAGTCATCCTAATAAAATACTATTTTTTAATAAAATTCTAGTTTCTATCTTTAATTTCTACTTTATTTCACTATTAATATTAAGAAATTTTAAGATATTAAGTAGTATTATAGAACTAATAAGGATTATTTCAAAGTTCTCTTATATAACCTCTATTGACCTTACCGAGAGAGTATAGGGTATAGACTTCAACATGCCCGTGTGGACGGCCCGTGGGCCTGTCCAGGTGGACAAAAAGTGATTTGTCCATGGACCTAAGGCCCGTGAAAGTGGATCTCAATTTTTTGGCATAATGTACGAAAGATATGCTGTATTTTTAGTGACCGGGATCCAGGGTATCCGGTGGTATATAGATTTGAAGTGCAACTTGGTTTGCAAGGACATGCAGGGTCGACTCCAATAGTAACGCGAGCCGATGCTTTTTTTTGCCACCGCTAGAATGATTCTGGTTCTCGAGGCCAATGCACGGAAGCATTTGGCCGTCGGCACCGTTAGGGTAATAGAATCGAGCGGCGCATCTTCCAATACCATACCCGGGTGGGCGAGCTTCACGATCGACATTCGACACCCATCGGATGAGGTTATTGACAGTATAATGAAAGAGGTCAATAGGGAGATGCACAGTATCAGTAAGGAAAACCCTAGATTTTCGTTTCGACTCGAGCAGGTGTGGGAAAGCCTTGCCGCGACGTTTGATAAGATTATGCTCGACTATCTACGGAATGCCGCTCAGGAGGAAGTGGGGCTCAGATCAATACTAGATATAATATCGTTTGCCGGTCACGATAGCGCGATGACTACTTTAAAGGTTCCGACAGCGATGCTGTTTGTACCGTGTCGAAATAGGATCAGTCATAGTCCCGTAGAGTTTACGACCAAGGCGCAATGGTGAGCGAATCTAACACATCTATTTAAGGGTATGCTTATTGACATAGTGACATATTGATAGTCGGGACAGAGTGCAGATTCTGCTGAACGCAATACTCAAGTATGATACCTGGCTGGTTGCGAGACATACGAAGATGTAGAGAAAATGGAGGGTCTTGTGATGGCAAAGCGACATTTTCTTCTTCCATTGAGCCTCCTACACATTCCATTCTTCCTCCTTGGAGTGCCGTCATACGCTGAATCTGTTTTCTGATTATTCTTGATGGATCGCATACTCGCGGATTGGTACAAACCAGTGTTTTTGGCTTATTCCAATACTTGCTTTCAAAGACCCATTCCTTCCACGGCACCAATTCTTCTTCGTACATGGTCAGAGAAAGTAGAGGGACGGAAGATCTATCTCAAAAGGGCTGTTCAGATCCTGGGGGAATCAGGGGAATGGATTGACGCAATTGAAGCAGAGGCGTTATTTATCAAACCAAAAATCGGATGAAAATCTAATGCGGACTTTAGAAATCTTTTCTTTTGATGCTCTTCAAGTCAGGTCAACTTCAGCCGTCTAGAAAATGGTCGAATCACTTTGGATCTCTTCTCTCTACGTCTCAATCAAAGTCCCATATTCGGTTTTATTGGGGCTAGTGAATGTGGCTTGTAATTCTAACAATTGCCTATTTCCCTGTACCAACTCGCACAGTAGGAGACATTTACGTCAACAAGCCAAAGCTGAATCATTGGCTCTGGTAATAGCGCTTCCTGGGAGCGCCTCATTGAGTTCTGGACATGCTTCTTTGGTTCTGTGAGGATTGAGTAAGTTCATAACGCAATAATCGCTGATCTCCATTATTCCCTCCCCAGTTAGCAGTTCATTTAGAAAATTGCAAATGGCCTGAGAACGAACTATTTCAATCCTCGATGGGTCTTTTCCGTGGATCTATTTCTGGAATACCTCAAAACGCATTGTCAAGTCGCCGAAGCCCGCAAAGCGTGAGGCTATGCAACGCCCGGCAAATACTTTATTTCTGTTGACCATGAAAGGTCCTACGTCCGATTTCTTCCTTCAAGTGAATGATTATGCTATGTGTATATGAGATATAGACAATGCTGACATGTATTCTCGCTAGGAGAGTGATGGGGCCATCATTTTGAGCGATGAGAGGATGCTAGCTAGATTTATTCTTGGTCAATGTTACGTAGGATAAGCATCCTAATTTCATTGGTTCGTGTTCATTGGTTCATGTGCCTGGTTATCCAACTTCCGACCCCGTGTCAATGAACAATAGCGGGGCGCCGCAAACTCCAAGCCCGATCCGCGAGGGTGGGCTACGCATTAGCGTGTCAGAGAAGAAAACTCCTGCATCGCCTGCGCCACCTTGCATAAGCGAGATCATTTAACTTTGGAAGGATGGGATCACGGTCTAGCGTGATTAGTATGGATGGTAGGAGATCCCTGTCCATATCTCCACCATGCTCACCATTTAGCCATTTCTAGGTCCAGACGACTGATCGATTGGTCCCGGGTAGCGTATTAACTAGGCAGCAATGTGAGATCCATGTTGATCCCTGCACAAATTATTTGCGTGGGGGAAACGACCAACCTGGATCTACTATCCCGTAACCCGGCCACGGATGCATTTTGGCGCTAATTTTCTGCCACCAATAAAAAGAGTCTAATTGTGTGTAAAAACGGAAGACGGTAGATTTTGTAACCCAATAAGAACCTAAGATAGATGTATTACCAAAAATACCGCTAAGATACATGAGCGGCCGGGTTAAGTGATACGGCCGCTCGGTTCGTCATGATCCAAGTCGTAAACAAGTATATAATTTTCTTGTCGTTAAGTCAATGTCATAAGTTAATGTCATGAGTCAATGTCATAAGTCAATGTCATGAGTCAATGTCATAAGTCAATGTCATGAGTCAATATCATAAGTCAATATCATGGCCCAAGAAACGATGCTTCTTTATCACGCAAGGGCGAATGCTAGGGACGATATAACCCTCGCTTAGGCACTGAAAGAGGCCGCGATACTAATCAAGTCGTCAAGATAGCTAGTAGTAGTAGTATTTTTCTAGTACATCTATCCACTGACCGCACTAGAGAAAATTTAAATTGTTAAAAGTTTCGAGAGCACCCTATTATAGCGGCATGGCATTAGAGCGATAGTAACATATATAACTGAACTATTTTGCTGCTACTTTAAGTAATTTAATCTATACTGTAAAGATACCCGTGGTGAGATTAAGATTAGGAGTATAAAGAATAATCGGAAGGTGTTTGTATCCACCTACGTAGGAACAGTAGTAGAGCCATCAGAGCCATCATGAGACGACTCGGAATTAAGCAGTTCATAGAAGGGCCAATAACATATAATAGGTCTAGGTCCTCACGAACCAGATCTTTTCACCACCCATTGCTCTCTCCCAGGCAATCCCCAAGGTCCAGGGCTTTCCTTCAATGCTAAGTCGAAACTCAGCATCGTAGACCTCGGGGCAAAAAGCCCCAAAATCCTCGTGATATACCGAATGTATCAGGAAATGCTCCCCTGACACATGATGGAACGTGATCGTTTCTAGCCAGGTCATATCCTTCCGATCGGCGCGCAAAACACCTTCGCTGTCCAAGTACACGGTGACATCCTTATAGCCCGCGCGAGTGTACGTGCCAGCATATTCGTCCAATGGTAACATGAGCGGGAGAACAATCGGAGAGCGATAGTTGATTTTGTCCGCCACCCATTGTTTTTCTTGCTCGATCAGTGACCAGTTTCTTCGATCCCAGTCGAACCTCTGCTGTCCGGGGACCCCGAGCCATTTGTCGAGAAGATGGAACGCGAGGAACTGGGCGGCATAATTGGAGGTCTGCGCTGTATTCGCCAGAATGATGACGCCAAACTGGAGTTCGGGATGTCGATTTGACCCCGATAATTTTAAAGTTCGATGTGGTCGTTTCCTCCTTTAGTGTGGCCCGGACCTTCTCGCGCGTTTGTGCGGGGTCGTCGATTAACGCTTTGGTTTCCTCGTTCACCGATCGCAAGTCCAGGACAACAGCCGGAAGACCGAGGCTTGAGCCCACAGCCCGGGTGTTAGAGGACACTACCGATGACTGGACCGGAAGTTATTCCACACTTAAAGATGCACCGCTCATCGAAAATTTGCGACCTCTCCGCCGGCTAACTCTGTCCCGGATCTGGTGGAAGCTTTGATATCCTGTGATGGATCCGCGCTAGCGACCACGAGTAAGAGCCTTAAATTCGATCTTGAGTGAAGCTACCGGGACATATCTACTATTTAGGAGGATTTCACGACCATTAAAATAGCCTGTATGTCTATGCTTATCCAGACTCTCACTGACTGTAGCTCTACTCTGGCGATCTCGCGATGAACGCGCCCTAGGGCTAGATGGGCTATGGCGCTGCTGGGAATTTATCGCGCCTTTCCTAATGTGTAAGGCCAGGTGATGCACTACTCTATTGAGCATGGTGATTGACGGCTGTCTCTCGGACCAATACGAAAATTGGACCATTTTTCCATTCGGGCTGCTGTCGATTCATTTAGCTCGTCCCCGCCGCGCGGTTTATCACTTGCCCTAGGATGGTATAGTGTGACTCGGTCTTGTCTAGTGTAGAATCTATGACCCAGCGTGAAGGGCTGTCCGGCAGCATATCACGATTCGCGTGTCCGACGTATAAACGCGCAGTACCTTGCTCATCCACCAACAATTCCTTCCACTTCCTTCCTCTCATTACGTCGTAGAAATACAATGGGATAGGAAATTAGCAACGGTAGGGTTACCTGGCATCTGTCGAGCTGAGAAATTCTCTTGCTACGATAGGAAAGCGGAAAGCGGTCTCGCGGGATCACTTTGACGGAATATCAATTTATCCGTCATGAGTCTACTAATGACCCAATCAATATATTTTAGCGTGTTTTTGCGTATCCTCATGCGATTTCGCTGAGCTGTAATCCATTGAATAGTTCTATGTAATATTACGATAACGGTTCTGCCATGATTATGAGGTGGTAAAATAAACCGGTCTAGCGCACGTCGGAATTAGGTTCTCCGAGTCAGGAAGTACGAGTATGGAGGTGTAAATAGCTCATTTCGAATACTAATCTAAGAATCACCTCAGAAGAGGGCGCTGATCATATGCAGTAGCCACGCTTTTAAGCCCTGGAAATAAAAAGCAGACTTAGGCTAGTTGTATCATGTATGCTCGAAGAAATTTGTAAATTGAGGTCCTATAGTGGAAGTCCGCACAATGATATTGACCAGATTGAAATTGTGTACCATACCTATCCCTCAAAGTAGCCACCAAAGAAGCTATCTATATGCTATAGATACCAAAATAGCGTCTAATATTAAGGGATGTCCCTGTAAGTTTCAAAAAAAATTCGTATGCATACTTCTGGATCATTTTATGAAAGCGTACGAGAGCTACTCAGCTACCATTATATATAGTGTTCGTATAAATTGACCATGTTTATATCGGAACTAATCGAATCTCGATCAGCATTGAAAATAGACAGCGATCAAATATGTCGATGATTTAAAGAAGAGATAGTAAGTTAAAACATATCAAATCTAAGCTTCGTACCATGTAAAAAGAAAACTGCAATAGACTCGAGAAGTGAAACTGTAATAGACCCCAACCTACTTTTCTTCTCCCATACTAAAGAATCTCACCCTAAATATCATTGTGTCCATCACAGTTACTCCGATAGGTCAGGAAATACTAGGTTCATTATCTCTATATTTAAGGTCAGCTATATAGCAACTAGATACATGCAACAGTGCAAATTGTGTAAAAAGTATTGCATAAAAACCGCAAAAATCAGCAGAATCTGAGATCATACCAACAAGAAATAGGTAAGATGATCGGGTAACCGACGACCACCGAGAGCCTTGCTGACGATCGTTCATGACGATCCTGAGGCAAGGGAATCATGCCTGAGGCACAACAGAATCCACAATCCTGACATACAACATCTGTCACTTGAATCATAAAGCGTCGCCAACGCAACCGAACGTTTCAGCCCAGGACTTACGAGCGTCTGCTAGCCTCTTCGCGCGATATTGAGAGCCACCGAAGAGCAATATACCTTTATCGGCCCGAGAAAGTTACAATTGCACTGAATAACTAGTCAATCAATTCAACTTGTTTTCTTGCGTCACTGGCCCACTCTGCTTATGCCGAGTCTTCCGCGTGAGGATATTGACTCAATTTCGCGTTTCTTAACCCCTTTGAGGTAAAGAGATATGGAAACTTGTCGGGTTTTGTTGATGATAATGGGTCAAATCGGCTATGGCGACCTATATTCAGGTACGATGTTTGGTTAGAAAAAGCGCTTAGTTACGGCACTGAACTGGAAATTATTGGGCTCATTGATGCTGTGGCTGCCCAGGCATCAGAAACAAAGCCGGTGTATATGATAATACATGCCAATGGTTTTTTGGGTGACACCTTTCGTGAAAGCTTAGACTTCATGCGTCGAAGCTTAAGAGAGAATCATCGTTGTCACGAAAGACGTCATGAAGTGGCATTCCCTAAGACGAGTTGGAGGATTTCGTCAGATCGGAAGATTACGATTTTCAACATTATTCTCCATGTTCACGACGTCGTGCAGGGAAGAGACACTTTGGAGCTTGATAAAGAATATCCTCGTGTTATTTTCAAACAAAAAACGCGTACTTCAAAGTTCTCATTTTGTAAGTCTCAAATGTATATCTGGCTCGGTAATGTGATTATCTGGCAACCAGAACTTGCCGAAAATACTTATTGAAGCCGATTATACCTTGTTGGAATCTCCACTAATCGATATAGACTCTTCCCATCATGCCCGCCCGTCGCGAGAATATAGAACGGAATAGCTTCGAAAACCTCTACAGTTTAGGTACTTGTCAAATATGTAAACTAGAGATACAAAAAAAAATCTTGGTTTGCTTGACAAGCTCGAAGTCACTCGCTTGGAAAAGGTCTTTGCTGATTCATCAACGTCCAGAAATCTCCGTCGATCATGAACTCACCGAACTCCAGGCCCAGCGGCGAAATCTGCGTATTCGACCCGGAGCTGTCCATAAGAGAAGTACCATTCTCAGTGTGGGCCATATCCGCTTCCTCTGCTATATCATTCAGTGAACAAATCCATAACTTCTGCTCGAAAGGTCTTACCTCGTGGGTTGAGTGCGTCGTGGAACTGTTCGAGGTAATATCTACACCGATCGACAATACGATTGCCGCAATCTAGTTTGTGAAGTGTCGAAATTGCTTGGCTGGGGTAGGCAACAACTTTATCGATATCGCAAGAGAGTGAAGTTGTAGCAGGCTGGCCATTTCTACCAACCCAAATTGTTCCGAGAAGGACCAAGGCCGAATGAAATGCTAAAAGACGAATGTTTAGTTTCCAATTCCCGATGATTCAAACTTGGTAGCCCACTCACTGTAATACAGAGAGTACCACCATGCGCCAAGGAGGCTTTTTCGCCACCCCGATGAGTGCACTAGTTCGTGAATGATATCGATAATGCTCATGGCAGATTCCATGCAAATTCGCATACTATTAAATCCAATCTGCTGTAGTAATCTTTCTTCGTGAGGATCAATGCTTCCTTTTCCGCAGGCATCCAAAAACTTCACAAGAATAGGGCGATGCAGGAGAATGCGGAGGTGAAGATACCGAAGAGTTAGAATAACACTGAACTTCAAAGAGTAGAACCGGGGTCGGTCAGGCATCTCGCCATTGGCGTCACGTATTTTCTTTACTGTTATAAGTTCAATGAGTTGGGGAAGGGATTTTTCCCAGGCAGCCAAATGCTGTTCAGCTGAAAGGATGTGCCTAACACTCTCGCCGACCGTGAGAGGTGGATCGCAGCCGAGATTCTGACCATAAAGTAGGTCAACAATCTTGAAGAGCTGCTTATATAGTAAACTTGGAGATCCTTAGTTTATTGCGGGGCTGAGGATGAGAGACTTCAGATATGTGAACATACATTGTGGAGTTGAAGAAGTCCACGCTCATTTGGAAAGTTTCGCTATCCACAATCGGAATCTCTGTAGGACCATCACCGTTGATATCATTTGTTGGAAGGTCAAGCCTAACAAAACTGTCAGGTATTGCCGCTGGCCGTCCTAGGGTCATGCTTAAAGTTCTAGCGGAGAGGGAGCTGTGAGCCAGAGAACTAGGTTTTTAGGGTGCATCATTGATGAAGTTGCCATACCTGTCCAATATTACACACCCATACCATGTCCTCTTTCGAATTTCTTGCTCCTGTGGCGAGAAGATCCTCGAAGCATTTTTGGAATGAAGGCCAAGCTGAAGGGCGGCTTTTACAGCCAACCCATGAACAGTCCACGCCTGAACCGATTTCTGGGTGCCTTGCATGTATTGGCCCATGAGCAACAAATATTGAACTATACCGTGTCATTATATATGATATTTGTGTCAGTTAACCAGGGTTGTAATCAACTCACCCACTTCCAGAGTGGTCCCCCGCAACATCTCCTTGCCACATAAGCCCAAAGCCCGCTTGTAAAACACATCGGCCGTGGCAATGCGTTGTGCTGCTGGCTCCTCACTAGGAGCAGTAATCTTGACCATTGCAAGCATCATGTTTAGCAGCCCAAGCCAGGTCCTTCTAATCTTGAGCTTATTTTCCGACATACCTCGGTATGTTTCAAGAAAGGAATGAGGGTAGATATATGGGAAAAGAATGCCTGTATCGGTGAAATATTTATGCACAAGCTGGGAAGTTTCCTCATGAGAGGGAAGTGCAAAGATGTCTGTCTCTTCTTGTTTCCGAGATGTGAGATCAATATTACGGAATCCTGGGGACGGAGGGCGAGAGGCGTTGACAAAGCCACCGTCCAACGATATATTCCCAGTAGGTGAAGAGCAACTAGCCACCGCTGGGGAGCTGGCATTATATGATACCGCATGAGACAAATGACGTAGAAAGGCGATGTTTGATGATGGGCCTGTGAAGAGTTAGCCTATAGCCTCTTTCATTCTACAGGTTGCAGGTTCCCCCTTCTTCGCAAAGAAGAATATAATCCTACCAAAAAATCCACAGTCTTCTTCGTCGGCAAAAACGACAGTGCCCATCGCATCCACCGAATCTTCAATGTCCGCGATGTTTGCCAAGGCTCCTATTTGAGCTAGTTTTGGTGGTGCGTCGGGCCTGTTCTTGACGGCAAGCCCGCTATGAACTTGTTGGGATAGATTGGAGATATGAGCCCTAACGGTGTGCAAACTCTCTTCCAGTGTAATAATCCGAGATTCTAAATTCTGCAGATAGCTTTTCTTTCTCAGCTCTCATCACTAGACCAGCGACATGACACTATATGATACTGCCAGTGAGCTCCCGAAGGTGGCAAAACATACTCTTTTCTGACAATCACGTTGGTCGATGTACTGGATGGCGTGTAGATGCATTCCAGGTCCAGATTGATGCACACGGTACACTTCGGGCGAGACCCATCACACTGTTACCCCGGATTAGTGATTCATGCGGACATCATGCGATACTGTCAAGTAAGCACCAGTAGAATACCTTAGATTTTCGGGTGCGACATGCATCGCAAGCCAACGAAATTCGACGGCGTTTCACTCCTTGGCTTTGAACGCCTACATTGTTACTATCATTGCCGTGAGCATGTTCTGTCCGTGTTGGATGCTCCATATCTGTCATCAACCTTGGCTGCGATGAGTACGTGGATAAGAACGCGAGAAATGTCCGTCGGCTTCCTCGGATCACGGGAAGGGCGGGGAGAATCCGGGTAGTCAGGTGACCCCGCGGCGCGCCTCCATACTAGACCTCGCCAAATGGGCGGGTTGGGTTTCGACCCTTGACCCAAAACCCGCCAAGAGATTAAAATACACGTAACATATACCTGATTACATCACTCTATATCTGCTATTGGTTGTATTTCAACAGTAATACTGTAATATACAGGTAAATGGGTTCTTGGCGGGTTCGCGGGTATTCCTTCGGATACCCAAAAAAGCAATATGGCGAGGTCTACTCCATACTTAGCGTAGAATCCAATTGGATCGATAATTTAACAAATGCACACACATGAACTACTGCCAACAAGGAAGTCAATCAAAATGATGAAGTTTTCTATCTCGTTCAGTCGGGAGGTTAAGACGCCCGGTGACATCACCGGCCTTCCTTCCCCTGCCATGTGCACTACAGGACAGCAAAATCGAGTACGCTTCTGCTGGTTCTTGTGTCAATCTTGAAGGTTACGATCAAATTACTCGTCATTTAAATCAACCCACAAATGATTCCTCCACAAACAATGGAATTGTAGTTCCTAATGTATCATTCAGAGGGGTATGGTTGTTTGCTTCCATTCCAATACTCTAGCCCTCTAAGGTTTCCTCCCTTTTCAATGATCAAACTTGTGACTAGTAAACCACCTGGGGCCCCGGAATATAGTCCCCGGACGGAGAAAAATAGCGGAACCGGGGAGTGGGGAAGTTCAGGGGCTCTGATCCTAGATGAATCTAGATCGATCGCCTTCCTCTCCTACTTAACCCATTCAAAAACCGCCTGAGTCACTTTACCAGAGTCTCCGTCCAAAAAACTTTTATTTTGCCTTTCACTGTGTTGGAAGAAACTTCCCCAAAGATGCATCACAGTGGAATGAATCTCATTCCTCCCCCAACTGAACACAAACATGATCCTCTTCGGTGGCCACGTTGGTTAAAAGTATCGGTTGTACTCACAACATCTTTTTCCAACTTCGTGTCCAACATGGCAGGCGCTGGTCCTTCTGTCGCTATACATGACTTCATGCAGGACTTTTCAAAGTCACAAGATCAAGTGACCCAGCTTTTGACGGTAAAATATTCTGATCTTCCCTTCCTCGTGGTCCTCAGAAAGGGATGCGCTGATAATGCTTTCATCAGTTTAACTTCCTTCTCCTTGGTATTGGTAACCTATTTTGGGTTCCACTTGCCTTGAAATTTGGCAAGAGAGCATCGCTTTTGATGGCCATGGCCTTGCAGACGGGCTCTCTGATTTGGTGTGCGCTCGCCAAAAGCTTTGATAGCTTGCTCGCTGCCCGAATCGTACTGGGCTTTGCTGCTGCCGCTGGAGAGGTAAGTTATTGGGTTTTGGGCAGTAGACCTTCCGAATGCCTGCTCTTGCTATATTTTTGCTGAGGACTCCCTAGAGCATCGTTCCAGAAGTAGTCGCAGATCTCTTCTTAACGAACGGGCCACGATGATGTCCATGTAAGTACAACCTGAACAGTCTTACTGGTTGTGCCATCTGAATTAGCCATTTCTTCCTAGATATGTTATCCTGATATCTGGGGGAACGGCTATTGGTCCTCTCATCGCCGGTTTTATGGTTCAGTCCACTGCCCAAACATGGAGGAGTTACTTTTGGCTCTGTGTCAGCTTGGCCCCTACAAACCTCGCTTTTCTATTCTTCATCTATCCAGAAAGCAACTTTAGCCGACCCGATTTCGAATATCACAGTCGAATCGAAATGGAACCCGTCGGGCACGAGGAAGCGACTGAAAAGTCGAAGTCCAGTTTTATTGAAGACGTTTCTACAGATAACCTGGGGTACAAGATTCATGTCTTGCCATTCAAGGAACGACTTTCCTTGATTCGATATAATACCAGCATAAGTTACTTGTTGTTGACCCCATTCAATTGTTACGCCATCCTTCCGTGCTGTGGGCTATCTATGCCTATGGATGTTCCCTGAGCCCGCAGATCATCATGATGTATGATTCCCTCCTACCATTCGCAAACGAATGATACTTACCTTATTCTTCTTTCTAGATTCACGATGTCCACCCTCCTCATCCCTCCGCCGTATAACTTTTCGTTAATTGATATTGGCCTCATGGAGATAGCTGCGGTAATCGGATTTGTGGTGGCCTGCTTTGGTGGCGGGTATATGTCAGACATCATCACCGCATACATTGTTAAAAGAAGAATAGGCGAGATCCGACCTGAGCAACGCCTTCTCTCGTTGATTCCTGGAATGTTCATAGCCCCAGCAGGATGTATTCTCCTTGCCTTCGCATGCCAAAACAAGCTTAGTTGGGTTGCAATAGCCTTTGGATTTGGAATGGGTAAGCTTATTCCTGTTACCATTCTTCCTTGCCTCGATCCTTATGGTTCTGCATGACTGACAACGTATAGTTTCATTTGGGGAAGTCTACACTCCCAACATTGCTCTTACCTATGTGGTTCATCGGCATCAGAAAATTGCCGCCCAGCGCCTCGTTCTCATCAACGTTTTCAAAAACATTCTTGCATTTCTGTTCTTGTATGAGGCCGTTCCTTGGGTCACATCCCAGGGCTTTACTCAAATTTTTATGATCATGTTCATGTTAAACATGCTTACTTTGGTCCTAGCTATTCCACTGTACTTTGACGGACACCGGGATCGCGAATGAACTACAGTTAGCTCTTTCTTATGGTCTCATATTATCGGGTTGCTGCAATTTTAGTTTTTAAATAAGACGTACTTTGTAAGTGGGGTTGCTGTTTCCAAAACACAGATATAATACCACATAATACCCCATAGTACCGGGCAGAAAATTATCTTGCATCATTGTATATGAAGCTTTTTTATTCCTTTTCTTCCACACTTTTATGCAAGCTATCAAGTTTGTGGCATGCTATGTAAATAAATGTGCAAGAACAAGTCTGTCGTCACCACGCAACATCGAACCTGGGGAAAGGGATTTCGTGCGCAGATTCCTTCGTTTGAAATTGGGCTGTGGTATACTACTTGATGGATAAATATCCCCGATTTGTAGTCTCTGGCATCTAAATATATTCCGATGGTATAGCATTTAATTGGTAGACGCTATCGACATGTCATCAACATACCAACAAAAACGAAGGTGAGTACATATTCGGAAGCTCCCGATTCCCGATTCAACCCTCTTCCCGCAGAGATATCCGATGGCTATATCCGGGGCTATGCCGGACCTCGGGAGAAGCGTTGAATGATTGTACACTAGACGTCATTCGAGTTGTAGTCTCATTCACTGTCGAATACCAATAAAGGAAGATTACCCAGGATCTATGCAAATAATCAATCCCGTATCAACTCCCTTTCGTGAGCTCCTTTCTCCAATATTGCTTCGCCGCCATCATGCCTGTCCCTCCAGAATTGGAGTATAGCTTCACTCTACACGTTGATCTGGCTCACCCTCTCGATTTCGGCTCTACTGTCTGCGGAGACAGACGATTCATTCCTATTACCGGTGGAAACGTATCCGGGCCTAAGCTGAACGGCACGATAATACCCAATTCGGGAGGCGATTGGAACGCAGTACGTTCAGATGAGGTGGTGCATCTCTATGCACGATACTCGATTCAAGCCGATGACGGCACCATGATCGGCATCATCAACGAAGGATACGGCCGAGCCAGCCAGAAAGCCATGAAGACCGTGTTTGAAGATGAAAATCCCTCCTCGGCATCGATGACAAACGGAGGCAAGGACTGGTACACGCGTACCAATCCTAAATTCGAGCTTTCCACAGATAACAAGAAGTTCCAGTGGTTGGTCAGCTCTCTATTCTTGGGCGATCTGAAGCCTCCAATCCGGCCAGGGTACGTTGAGATTGATGTGTATGAAGTTCTATGAGCGACATTTATTCAATGTTCTTTATACTTTTGTTTGTCGATGTTTTGAGACCGGCTTTTGGCACTCTGCTCACTCTTACTTGATTTGTGAATAACTGAAGATAGCAGAATACCGTGGCAACCCAATGACAAGATATACAATTATTTCTCACCGAGACTATTCCTTGACTAAGATGCTACGTGTCCTTTGCCAATTACACACTAACTACTTATAGTCGGGTATCAATCTCCACTCGCTCTTGGGGAAGAGAGATGGGTGCATAAGACGGCAAGTTGATGTTTATAGTGATTATAGTGAATCATACTCTGGATATTGGGGATGCCCTGTATGGTCCAGAAGTAGGAGACCTATAATGGCCCTTTAATATTGAATTTCTGGGAGGATCTTTAATCATATTCTAAATTAAATATACTTTGACCTATCATGAACCAACTTTGAAGCAGATTTGCGACTTGCGTTCTATGTTTGACGTAAAGCGATTCGAGAGACGAACTGCATCCATTCTTCGGTATGTACCGTGTAAGAGTCTGTATAATTTTTTCTCCTTTGACGTACATTGCAATTTGAGACATATCAAGCGCTCAAGCGAATACAACGTTATTCCGCAAGGTGCCAATCTGTGAAATGAAGACATCCATCTGGGTTCCAGGAACCAAATACTTAGGAGGCTTCAAGCCGGCACCAACACCTGGAGAAGCAAGTCAGAAACGGAACTTAGTTGGCTCTCAACGTGCCTCAGAAGTAGAGAAGACTAAGGGTCGCTGGATTGGTACACTTACCGCCGGGAGTTCCAGTCATGATGACGCTACCCTTCTGGAGAGTAGTACCCTGAGATAAGTACGAAATCAAATACTTGCAGTCAAATAATAGATCCGAGACGCCCTCTTCTTGGCGCACTTCACCATTAATAATGGTCTTCAACTGTAGCAGGCTTGGGTCTGCGATCTCGGAAGCAGCAACCAATACTGGGCCGAGAGGGGCGAAAGTATCAAAGCCTTTGGAGAAACCCCACTGAGGAACCACTCCGGCAAAGGCAGGGTCTCTCTGAAGCTTTCTGGAGGAAACGTCATTTCCAGCAGTATAAGCGGCGACATAGTTCAGGGCTTCTTCCACTGGGACGTTCTTGGCGTCCTTTCCAATTATGATACACTAACGTCAAGATCCGTCAGATTGCAAAATCTTAGAAATGCCAGTTGAAAGTATAGAACAAACCAGCTCTCCTTCATAGTCGGCCTGGTCATTTTGCGCGATCTTGGGGATGACAACAGCTCTACCGTGGTCATGGATAGTGGTGGTGGGCTTGAAGAAGATGAAGGGGAACGGGGGAGGCTTGCGTCCTGCTTCCTTGACTGGGAAAGGTTTTCCAATGTCAGGATGATCCTGAGAGGGAGGAAGCATTAGAGGGATGGATGGTCTGTACGTACTGTGCTTAGCATAGTTCAGACCAACACATCGCAAGATAGGCACATCGCTCTGGGCCAATGGCGAGAGGATATTCTTGACCAACACTGTTTCCTCTGTCAATTTGGTCTCGCCAGTTACATCGTAGATATCACTTCCGACAAGGATCTTAGCTTTAAGCTGATCAGTCTCAGTGACGAATCCAAGATCGATCTCGTTTTCGGGCAACACAGGCTCTCCGCGCAGAATACGGCCATCGACAGCCTCGAAGCGAATTAGACGTTTCCAGGGAAGAGACATTGTAAAGCAGTATGAGATAAAACGGGAAATGAAAGAGTGAGTTTTTTGCTTTCAATATTTTAATATAGAGGGGTTGCTTCACATGCGGAATAACGGCTCTAAGAGTGGGAAAGAGGCGGGGAAAGGACGGGATTTATCCCGGACTTGCCGGTGGCAACAGGCGCTTTAGTGAACGAACTTGCAAACGTAAGGGTTCAAACAGAAAATTGAAAAAACTGGGCCTCCAGGGCTCCTATTGCGTAAAGCTTCTCTACTCAGCCGCTTAGTTATGTCTATGAAACATCAAAACAAAATTTGACCTGAAAATCCCAAAGAATCTTTCATGTCACGAGCTCAATTGCTGGTTAGGGTGGTGAAAATGATGTGCTTTTCAGCAGGTAGATATTCAAAAATTCGATAGCAATGACTAAGTAGACAGGGTACTCTCACATGCGGAGCCACTGATACTTTCGTGGAAGCACATCTCACATCTAAGAGCCTACCTTAAAAAAGTACTCCAGCAATTCTATTGCAAAGCGGTTCCTTCTACAAAACCATTAAAACCTCTCTTACTCGCTAGTTGTTGTCCACCCAATTCCCGTGCAGCCCAGCTCTGAGTCTCAAAGGAAGCAAGACAATCGCCCGAGCCTTGGTCAAATCTCGACAATCTAGAAGATGCAGTTCACTGGACATGGTGCGATAGTTGTTCACCAACGCCATCAAATATCCATCGCCTTCCTCCGTAGAGCCTGCCCGAGGAATGAAAACGGGTTCTTGCACAAGATGCGTGCGTCCTGGGAAGTAGACTTCCGTTTTCCCGGTGTTTTCGTCGTGATGTGCCAGCGAGTTATAAGGAGGATATCCACCGCCCATGACCGGACCTATAGCTGCAAAGTCCGTTCCCAAGCGGGGATCCATGAGATTGAAGTAGCTGTGGCTATATTTTCTCCCAGAAAAACGATCATCAATGCGATAGAAGTCCGAGTTTCCATCATGCAAAACCTTTGGCTCGGGAAGAGTTCCCTCTTCCGCGTTAGGATCCAGAGTAAAGCGTGTAAGTTGGGAGTGGATTTTGCTGGGCTCAGACGAGTTACCCTGAGCATCGGGCCACCAGAAGAAGATATTCTTGTCACTGAGTCCGAGATCGAAGACAATTTTGCCGTCATCTTGCTCATAGGCATTGGCCGTATGGCTAGGGAATGAGTTCTTATATGTGAACCACTTCAAATAGCGTGTTAGAAAGTAGGAAGACGGACAATATCGATTATGAGAATCTGCTTACCTTGACATCCGAAGACTTAGCTCCGTAGCGGGGGATCACGCCGATATAGAGGGGAGTCTCAGGGCTCCATTGCCAGTGTTCCCCACCCCGCTTCAATCGCTCTAGATCACATAACTGAGGAATCACAGGGAAAAGAACCTAACACAAAGACCCTTATTAGATGCCGACTAGTGCTATTGATTGGTATGGAAGAGCAGCACTTGCCCAGTTCTCAGTAACAGCAAAGTCATGGATCATTCCACAGACAGGGCTCACTAGCCAAGTTGTTTGGGTAAATTTGCCATCGGCACGAATGGTATAGTAGCAAATATCGGGGCTGCCGTCTCCCTTGGCTTCATAACCGAAACAAATCAGTTCTCCTGTCACCGGATCGGTCTTGGGGTGAGCAGTGAAAGTTATGCTGGGAAGCTGGCCATCAAAGGTATACAAGCCCGTTGTTTCCAGGGTCTCCGGGTCCATCGCATACGGGGGAGAGTCCTCTTTGAGAGCCAAGAGTTGGCCGTTGAAGCTGACAACATTGGTATTAGCAGTGCTTCTAATGGCGAATTCTGCCGCATCGGTGAACTTGTTCCGATATTTTCCTGATGGAAAGGATTCGTTAATAGCCCGCTTCCTATTGTAGTTGAACAGGCAATGGGTGCTATATGGCTTGGAAAAGTCATACCAATAAGCGCCCGGCTGGCTTCCCTCTCGCGTACAAACTTCTCGGTGCGCACATATCTCTGCTGGAAGGTCACAGACCCATTCTTGATGCGAAATGCGCTGACATTTCCATCTCCATTGAACCACTAATTATCTGGGTGTCAGGGCGGGACCAAAATTTAGATGGGTGGTAAAATTGGGCAGAGACAAACAGGATCGTTTTCGACGAAAGGGGCAAACTGAGGATCAGGCATAACACGATAGAAAGCACCGTTGATGTTATTGGGTAGATCTCCATGCACCTCCAAATTTTGAACCTCTCCCTCAAATCGGCATGGCTTCATAAAGTCCGAGAATTGAGGGCGGTCAGGAAAATGTTGCGGAGCGGGGGATTCCATTTTGGATCCTTAAAGGGATGCTAGGAGTAATTACGAAGAGGCAAGATCAATGCCAGGACGTTTCTCAGTAAGTTGAACAGGGTTGATCAAAGTTAAAGTACATATTGTGTTCGCCTCCCCATGCGTTTGGCCCAAAAGGGAGGATCAGGAGGTTGGAACAGACACCCGGATTATCCGGGTCGCCTGCCGAGGTACTGGGGAACGACCGGGGAAACACCGGCAACAGAAATGAATACATGAACATGTTCGGATGTTTCTGTGGATGTGATGTAACAGTCTTGTTTTGGATGAACTCCTCCATTCCCCACTGAGATCAAAACCGACCCCAGCCACTTTCTCCGAGTCCTCCGTGGGGCAATGTAGGCTCGTCATGCACAGCCACTGGATTGACGTGAATAGCTCCCGCATTGATAGGTTCAGGAAACTTGAGTGCGCGATAGTGGGTACTGGAGATGATGGAGGCTGATAGGCCGTAAGTGGCCTGCTCAGCGATCTCGATGATCTGGGTTTCAGACTCGACCGTTTAAATGCCGATAACCGGCCCAAACAATTCTGTCTCGTAGAATATAATTTCCTTGGTGATGCCTGTAACGACAGTCGGCAGAAAGTCCTGGGGCGCCAGTGATGGAACTGGGGCGGTATGAATCTTCGCCCCCTTGGTTTAAGAATCCGCCACTAGCATCTCTAGCTTGGATTTGGCAGCCGGCGATATGACCGTGGAGGCGCAGTCTATCTTTTGCACTAAGGAGAGGATCTTGGCTTCCAGAGTTAGAGCGATGGCAATTGAGGTGATGACCATATCCGTGGACATGCAAATCTAGCCATTCTATCTTACGAGGGACTGGATATTAGTTTTGCTCCTCGAATGTCACGACTGCGATGACTGCGGTCTTTTTCACTTACATTCAGAAATGCATCCTTTACAATTTCTTGGGCTGCCAAGTCTAGGTTGGCATCCTCCAACACAATGGTGAAATCCTTGCCTCCTAATTTCAGTAAGACTGGTTTGAATGCCATTGCCGCTTGGCTGGCGATGATACGGCCAACCTGCATAGAGCCTGTGAAGTTGCACTTTTTAACGAGCGGTATGTAATCAAAGGGTAGAAGACCTTCAAGGCATCCTCTGGGCGATGAAGAAGGATATTTACTACACCTGGAGGGAATCCAGCTTCCCGGAACAGGGATGCGACGAAATTATGGGCTCGAGGACTAAGCTCAGATCCTATCATATATTGTTGCCCCCAATTCAGACAGAACAGTAAATAACAGATAAAAAGTATGAAAAATGGCAAAAGGGCAAAAGGGCAAATGGGCAAATTGGGAAAAATCAAAGAAGTCAGGGTTCCCTTCAAGGATAGCAACATTGCCAGCTGCAATGGGCATGATAACTGCGCGGGAGCCCAAAATGACTGGAGCATTCCATGGAGCAATACCAAGGACAAATCCAAGAGGATCTTTGAACAAACCCATAAGCCTCGCCCTTTGTGAAAGGGATTGATTCGGTAGCCCTTGGAGTGATGAGGGCTGCACACTCCTCAATGATGCCGATGCTGTCATTGGTGATAGTATCGGCCCAAAAGGGCCGCTGTGAACTCCTTCGTGGCAGATTTACTGGACCTCACTTGCCCTGTTACTCAAGACCTGATACACAAACTCAGCCAAAGTACGACTGCTTCCTGTGGGGAGCTTGTAGGAGACAACTCACTACGGCCAGTTTCAGGAGCAGTTGGCGTCACTCAAAGTGTGTTGTCTTAAGTCACGCTGTGAAGGCGCGTTCACTGGACTCAACAGCTTTTATCGCTAGTTCTTTCGTCGCCCCTTAAGAAAAGAAAGAAGTGTAGTTGTTGAGATTAGGAATTGCGGCCCATCTCTCGCGGGAAGTAAGGACAATGTCCTCACCATCGATGATGAGTGGCACAGTGGTAGTTATCTACATTGTAGTTTGAGCCAGCAGCGAATGATATTCTAAATCTTCTCTAATGAGTCTGGGGACTTGCCCAAATAAATAATATGCGACCAAAGCATCATCGAACCCATACCCAAGGATATACTAACATAGCGGCGAATGCTTCTAGAGAACTACGGCTCATTTCAGCTTCTGGCAATGAATGGGTCAAGAACAACGGATGTGAGGTGAGAGTGAAAGTCATGCAAAATTTAACATCATTGGTTTAACGAGGGTTTGCTATTGTCCTCCAGCTAACAATAATTTGACTGGCTCTTCTCCCATGCCTCATCAATGGCTCTTTCGGTATCATATCCATAACACCACATCTGAGTTGCAGGGTCACTCCACTGGTTGGGGCTATGGCTGAATGGGAGTCCCTTTACTTCGGGGATCATTGCCTCGTCTCTCGCCTCTTGCAGGGGGCCATCGGCAAAATGCCAGAGGTGGCTATTAAGGAGACTAGCCTCCTGCATCTGACCGGCGCGCTGCATCCTGACCTTCTCGAAAACGGATATACTCTCTGCTAGCTGATCTTTGCTGGAAATCTTAGACAAAGACCTGGAAAGAGCCAGTCCGTCTTCAACAGCCATTGCGGCACCTGTTCAAACTTTTAAGTACTTTTGATTTTACCCAAGCATAGATTCAATCTCCATAAAACATACCTTGCGACATGTATGGCAACATCGCGTGAGCGGCGTCTCCAAGGATGACAAGTTTGTCCAATACCCATTTATCCAGAACCGAGCCACTGATGAGTGGCCACTTGAGTGTTTTTTCTACCATGCCAATAATTTTGGTAAGTCTGTCGGAAGATGGTTAATTTAGTGCTTCTCAAGAAAAGAAATGTAAATGAAAAGCCAGATCATTCTTTACTTACACTGGATCCCAGCCTTCGAACTCGTCCTTCATATCGTCAATAGCCTTGAGGGGGTCCCATGTGGATGGGTCAGTGACGTCTGGATGAGATAGTACCATATTGAAGGCCTTGCCCGCGCCAATGGTGTAGGTCATGACATGTCTGGAATCACCAATCCTGTCATAGAAATTAGTATCTGAGAGAAACGGGTAACATGTGGATTTTCTCTTCACCATACCAGATATTTAGCGCTGGTCTCGCAAGGATCCATGAGACCTCGGGATCATTTCGCATACGTTCCACATCTACGGTGGCACGATAAGCAGCAAAGCCAGGCTTGCGGAAAGCCATGTCTTCTCCTCCGAGGACGATTTTCCGAGCGACGGACTTGATTCCTTTAATAAGGGTCAGTTAAGGGTCGAAAGAAATAATAATATGCGGCTAACCATCAGCAGCAATAACCAGATCTCCGGTCTGGATTGTTCCATCAGCCAGCGTGATGCTTCCCGCAACCGGGTTGTAATTCTCAACCTTTGCTCCCAGTTTGATCTCGATTCCTATGTCCTGCGATTTTTGGCATAAGGCAGAATGGAAATGAGCTCTGTGAATCACATAGTATGGAGCATTAAATTTTTCCGTAAAATGAGGTACCAATTTCGTATTGCCAATGACCTTCCCAGTCTGCCACCGTCTGAAGGAAATGGATTCGGGCTCAGTCACATAGGGCTTCAGGTATGACTTGAGCCCGAGCTTGAAAAGCACTCTGGTGGAGTTAGATGGGACTTGAATTCCCGCTCCTACCTCCCCAAGGACGGGTGTCTGTTCATACACCGTTACTTTGTGGCCGCTTTGCGTCAGGGCAATGGCTGTGGCAAGCCCTCCTAAACCAGCACCAACGAGGAGGATATTCAAGGGCACTTTTGCCTCTTCCACAGCGTCACTGATCATATTTTCCGGTGCCAAAAAAGGTCTCGCGAATTCTAGGCAGTTGCTGGGGTATGTTGGCATCTGCAAGGCATGAATAAGCACCCGCTGTATGCAAATGATTAGAGGAAGACTCACGCTGAGTGCTGTAGCATCATAAGCATTATGCGTGACTCCGTTTGAAGTCATTATGGCTGTGAAGAGAAGATCGATCACCAAAACTGAAATTTCAAGATCATTCTTATTCAAAGTCTTGGTATAATTACACCACTCGGATGGCATTCTCTGACCGGCCGTATTTCCGCGATTTCCCCGTTCCAGGTAGCCTTTCCAGGTTTCCCGATCTAAGCCCGATCCCATCCAACTTTCGAACACCGCGATGTAATTTTGCAGATATAGTCTGTTGGACAGGCACCTTGTATAGTTAAGTTCCTAAGTTGTGACAAACAACATAACTCATCAGTGCCGTCCCATTTTGCTAAGTTCCTTGCGCATCTTTCGAATCACGGAAGAATAGGTTCTTTACCCGACACTTTACCATGGCTCCGTTGGCAGAAGAAAAGGCCCTCAACGGTGTTGACACATCCGAGAAACTGCTTCAAGATCTTCAGGACAGCAAGACTCTCCCGTTGTGGACTCAGATGACTCGGCTTAACCCACCTGCGCCAAACCCAACAACAGTCCCTTTCGTCTGGGAGTACGAAACCATTCGCCCCAATCTGCTGCGGGCTGGTAACCTCATTTCCGAGAAGCAGGCCGAGAGACGAGTGTTGATGCTCATCAATCCCACTAGAGGTATGTGCAGCGCCTCTTACAGTCTTGCTGGTCTTGCTTTTGTCTACTTGGCTGATACCAATTCAAAGATGCCCCCTACACAACTGATACCCTCTACGCCGGGCTGCAGCTTGTCATGCCCAATGAGACTGCCCCAGCGCACAGGCACACTGCCTTTGCTATGCGCTACATCATTGAGGGCAACGGAGGTTTCACTGCCGTCCACGGTAAACGAATTCAGATGCAGAGGGGTGATGTGATTCTCACCCCAACCTGGAATTGGCACGATCATGGAAAAGATGGCTCTGGGCCCATGATCTGGCTCGATGGTTTGGATTTGCCGAACTTCCGTCATTTCCCTGTTCACTTTGTTGAGCACTTTGAGCAACCCAGATATCCTGCTGAGAATGTCGATACCAGCGCTTCGCCTATTGTGTTTCCTTGGGTTCGTATGAAGGCCCAGCTCGACAAGGGTTCAGATAACTGGACCACTCATCGATACCTAAAGGAAGACGGACGTGAAGGTACTTTATTGCTACTCCTTGTCTTTTTCAGTATACTATTAAAAATGTCTGCCTCATGATACTAATGATATAAAAGTGAGCCGCATTCTTGGTGGCTGCGCAGAACGGTTGAATGCTTCCACCTCTTCCCCCACCCGTCGTGAAACTACGTCTGCCGTGTACCATGTGATCTCAGGAAGCGGAACTTCCCAGGTTGGCGATGAGATCCTCACATGGAAGACCGGAGATACGTTCTGCATTCCTTCGTGGCACAAATACCAGCATTCCGCCAACGAGGGGGAAACGGTGTATTTTTATCGCTTCGATGATAAGCCAATGATTACAGCTCTTGGATTCTATCGGACGGAACAGATGGATGTGGAGAGTCTGGTTTAGACTTCTGCATGGGCCGGCCTAATAGGCTTTTTTCGGCCTATTACTACCTGATTCTGCCTAATTTTTTAATATAAACTGCTGACTTACCTCTATTATTTACCTACGTATTTATAAAAATATACACTACTAACCTTTAGGCTTTAGTATAGACCAGCCTATTAGGTTTTTCTATAGATATAATTAGTCTATACTATGACCCGTAAATAGGTTACAGGTAGGTAAAGTCAACCTATAACCCAAACCCGCAAAATCTATAAGGGAAGTTATGACCTTGAGGTACTAAGCCTATAACGATATTTTGAGGATTTTTTAGTACTACCTAATAAAACAATCTTTAATCTACTTTATAGAAGTTTCTAATCTTTTATAGCGGGCCTATAGCGTATATAATTGGCGCTTAAAGTCGACCATTTTTTAAGATCTTTAAGGCTCTTAGTAGAATAGTACTATCTTCGTGACTAGGCTATCTAGGCTCGTCCTAAAGTAGAAATATCCTATAATATAAGTCAGAGAACTCCACTATCACTAAGTTCTGTGGCAGAGTATTACTGTGTGGCTCCCAGAGTATGCTCCAAATGCCTACGCTAGGCATGTATGATGTATTATTTGCTGCAGGTATCGTTTCGCTCCAAGTGATCCAGCTGGCGCGGACTCTTCGCATCAGTCTAGCGGCAGCCGGTGTACAGTTCAGCGAAGCCGCACTTGAGCCGCGTACCATTTAAACCTACCCCACAAGCACAAAAGTCGCGGAGCTCGCGTGCACCCTGGTGTCGTCTTCCTCTGCCGCAGCTGTCACTGATGAGACTGCAGTCTGCCGCGCCCTTGTGGAAAAATACACCCGACACCTCCCGAGCCCCATCCCCAACAAGCCCAACCCCGCTGACAAGGCCAAGTACTTATCATTACTGCTACCACCGGCGCAATAGGCTCCTATCTACTAGACATAGCCCTCGAAAATCCTGATGTGCGCCATGTCATCTGCCTCAACCGCGCTAATGATGGTCAGGCCCACCAGACAGAGGCGAGCGCATCCCGGGGCCTATCGACGGACTTCACGCGAGCTGGGTTCCTCAGGTTAATCTAGCCGAGCCTACATTCGGGCTGACAGCTGATATATACGACCGACTTGCACGGGAGGCAGACCGCGTAGTTCACAGCGCTTGGCCTGTCAACTTCAATCTTTCAATCGCCTCCTTCGAGACCTACCTCCGCGGAGTGTGCCACCTTGTCGACTTTGTTGTGCGTGCCCATAAGAATGTACCCATTACCTTGATCTACAGCGTAGGCACTATGGACCACTGGCCCACGCCGAATGAAGTCGTGCCGGAATCGGCACTGGAAGACTGGTCTCTCGCTGGAACAGGTACGCTCGATCCAAGCTCGCCAGCGGCATGATTCTGTTCTGGCGTGTCGCGCACCACCATTCGTGTGGGACAGGTCGGTGGTCCACGTGAAGCACAAAGCCAATGGAATCTACAGGAGTGGGTACCCAGCTTGATTCGCAGCTCCGTCTACCTTGGGTTCCTCCCTGATTCCCTGGGCGTGATGGGCCATCTGGGCTGGGTGCTCGCGGAGGATGGTGCTTGTGGCGCTGGAGGTATCTGGAGTGACCGCCCGTATGTCTGTTGAGGAGCTCAATGGGTACTTCCATGCGTCAAATAAGAATGTCACCGACTGGCCAAATGCCCACTTTGCGCGAGTTGTCTCATTGAAGCAGTGGGTGGATGCCCTAGAGAAGAGCCAGATGCATGCTGCGTATGTGGAGCAAAATCCTGCGGTGAAGCTGCTGGACACGTTACAAGCGGCTGGTCGACGTACTCGTTTGCGACGACACGAACAGAAGAGTACAGCTCGAAGATGCGACAGATTGAGGCGGTCCTGCCCCAATTGATGAGGCATTGGTGTGAGCAATGAAGTTTTGATCATGCGTTCATGGACCCTCAATCGAAGTACATGGGACGAGCATGATCAACTTTTGAAGAAAAGCTGAACCTCATCCCGAGGTTTAGCCAGGACAACACCCTGGCCAAGGACTGAATTTTGCGACCATGGGAAATTGTTATAGGCCAAACGTATATGATTTCGAAAATTCAAGACTTATGGTGATGAATTTGCATGAAACATGCATTGGATTGTGTCGGTGTCCCTGGGTCATATCATGTGACCTGAGCAGCGCTGGCATCCCGTTTAGGACTAGCTTAGTTTTGGGTCTGGGGGCATATCCTCTAGATCTTCTGCTCCTTCTCTCTTTTCTCCCCCCATACCCAATATCACATACGTTCTGTGTGAAGCTGTCAGCCTACATATTGTAGTCATCTTCCATCTTCCCCGCTTGGGGCCTATTGGCGCCAAGAGATTGTAGTGCCAACTCCAGAGCTCATCCCTCCTTCCTATCTCTTCAAATATATGTAACTGAAAGAAATTGCCATTGTGACTGAGGAAAGCCAGGGCTTACCTAGTTCGCAACAGAGACTTAAAAAGGCAGGTCTCATCTGGGCAACCTTGTTCGAGGTTTTTTCACTCGTGGGATTAAACCTTCCCGGGCCATAAACCGAATCCATCTTCACGCGCTACGACCCATCATGTTATCGTATATGTTTGTAATTCAGCATGGAATAGGAGTATCAGTGAAAAAAGGCGGAATAATTCAAAAGGACCACTAGCGGCTCATATACATGATAACAAAGGAACCTGCTTAGTTTCGCAAATTGTAGCCAGTCCCTTACATTCTTAAGCGACTTCCTACAGCCGCGCTGACGGGGTTTCGGTCGCATCTTCTTTCTGCGTGCCCTTTGACAATTTCTTACTGGCCCAGTCAGCAATAGCCATGTTAGTGATCATCGGATTCACGCCACTAGCACTAGGGAAGATCGACGCATCGATCACATAAAGCCCTTTCGTGCCCCAAACCTGGCATTCGGGGTCCACAACACCCTTAGCCGCAGTACTAGCCATTCGACATGTTCCCATCTGGTGTGCACTGGAGAAGAAAGCCTTCTCAACATTCAAGGGCGACTTCTGGCGGAGGTGATCTATCCATTTCTGGAATTCTGCATTATTTATACCCTCATCTGCTCCCTCGAGTCCTGAAGCCTCTTCGGATCGATAGAATGGTGGCATATCTGCGTAAGAAGTGTGATATTCCTTTGCACCAGACACGAATGCAATTTTTGCACTGGCGATCAATGCTTCCAGGCCACTCTGTCGATCGAATGCCGAAGGCGTGTACTGGACACGAATTCTTCCATCAACTGGGTCTGGGTAGACTCGTCCGGAATCTCGATCCCGGGTGATGGAAATGAAGCTTGTCATGTGGCTGAGGTTGGCACAAAACATTTTATAATCGAGTCCATCTCGCCAGGGAAAAGTTGGGAGATACATTGGCGGTAGGGTGACAGTTGCTTCGACCTTGGCACCGTGGCCATGGCCATCGAGGTTTTCCAATTCCTTGACCAAGGTGGTCAGTGCAGAGCCCTCCCAGGGTCGAATCTCTTCATCAAAGACGGCAGCCCCAAAAAGCACTATGTAGGGATTAGCAGGCTTTCATCATAAAAATTCTTGGAAATACCTACCCGGGTGTAGATGAAGGTTTCGACCAATGTTCCAGTTTTTCAACCCACTGCGAAGAAGCAGAAGAGGGCTATTGAGAGTGCCGCATGAAACAATCACTTTCTTCGCCTTGATCACAATCTTCCGTTTCGCGGCATCGCCCTGCTCCGGCACGAGATAAGAGTCCCTGGGGGTCCAGGTACCTTCCACACCAGTGGCAATCTTTTCTTTATTCAAAATTCTGCCTTTCTCAATGAAGGTAATCTTGTCCGCCTTAAAACCTTCCATGAAGATTGCACCAGCCTTGGCTGCATCCGCCAGCCACGTTTCGGTAGGCCCCTTTTTTCCCGCCGCGGCGCATCCCATTGTACAAGACCCACAGTAGTGCTCTTCATCACCAGTATTCTGCGGAACGATCTCGGTAGCATATCCGAGTTTTCGAGCACCCTCTAGGATGACCTGATTTTGCCGATTGTGCTTAATATGCTTCGAGTCAACGCCCATTCGGTCACAGACGCGGTCCAGGGAGTTCTGGAACTCGGCCGACGTGAAGAAGGGCAAGCCGGAATCAGCCCACTCCTTGCGTACAAAGGCTTGAGTTTGCAGAGAACATGCCCAGTTGATTGTTCCGCCACCGCCCCAAGTTGAGCCAGCAAAAAGTGCAACCGACGCATCATCGGTGAGAGCTGAGCCCGCTCCCTCATACATATTTACAAGGCCTTTACTGGTTTCCATGGGAAAGTATTTTGATGGGTAGTGGTACGACTTTTCGACGACCACAACGCGGTGACCGGCTTCAGCAAGATTTTTAGCTGTGACAGCACCACCACAGCCACTGCCGATGATCACCACATCTGTTTCAATGATTTCCGGGTCATTACTCGGGGGAAACTGCAGAAACTCGTAATCAAAGCCGTCGGCGGGCTTCCCATGCACAGGCACTCGAGGTATCCCCACAGCGATCGGCAATGTAGGGCTGGAAATCATCCATGTCTTCTTGAACATGGCCAGCAAAGATCTGTGAATGAGACGAATTGGGGGCAATCTAGAAGACCCCCACGCTGTGAAGATTTGCTCGCGGACTTTCAGTGGTTGGTTCTGAACTGGAATCATCGAACCAGTCAGGAGAAGAGCACCTGCACGGGTACTAAAGGATTATTAGCATTCAAGAATCTCCTCCGCGGGGCAATAGTACCTACTTAAGAACATCCAATATCATGCACAGTCCTTTTCGACCCTCTTCATGAACGTCATTTGCGAAGAGGCACTGAAGGCCATCTCTGAACCCTTGGAGAGACGAGGCACTCTCTTGCAAATAGGCCCTAGCCACATCTGTAGCGTTAGGCACCCGGATATTTGCCGCCAGTCTCGACACTGCAGATTCAAACTGGCCTTCTGTGAGTCTTCTCTGGTTAGGCGAGGCGTCTCCACCAACACGGACAGATGGTATGACAGTATCCGCCAAGGCCAGAAGGGTCTCCCATTGAAGATCAGTCAAAACCTCATATAAAGGCACTGGCGGGACTGCGGCTTCCAGTGGTATGTACGAAGGCATCTCTTGTAGCTCTGCCATGTTGGTATTTGTCCAGAAGGAGAAGCACAATATGTCTGTGCTTGTAAGATTGATGAGTGGAGGAGAGATAGGATGGAAAAGAAACCTTCAGTCCGTTGTGCAGGTCAGTCGGTCACGATGCTAGAAGAGGTATGAAGGAAAGCAAACAGGCATGGGAGGAAAAAAAGGCAGACAATATAGTAACAGCCCAGCCGTACTTGTCCTTTCCTGGAATGAAATGTGTGTGTTTTAATACCATTGAAAATTATGGATTACGGAAGTGGAAAAGTTGCTCCTTGAGATGTCATCCTTATCTCGAGGAGTTGTAATATGTAGATATTTGATTTACAGAATCATATTGTCTGTATCCAATTTCACAAAGTAGGAGACTGATTCAATAAATATTGGGTGACGAGCTTTGCAGTTGGATGCATCTCTAGCGTAAAAGTGAGGCGTAAAGTCATATCGACGGAGTCAAAATTGCACAGATTTAGATACTTTGTTTACAGTATGTGTTTGTGGACCTTCGGATATGGCCGGCAAACTGCTGGCGAAAACCGAGCCATGTTCTCGAATTGGTGAGGTTTGAAGTTCTTTTCCGCTCCTTTTAGCCTAGTCCAATGGCTCGCCGAAAGGCTGGCTGAAACGATGCCTTACTAGTCTCCTAAGACTAAATACTGACGGCCGAAAATCCACATAGGGATCCCGCGCTCAGTATCGAGATATCGTCGTTATTTCAATAACCTTAATGACTCGAAATTGGAATCTATATTGCTACCGCCCCTTCGAAGTTCATGAACTGTTGGGGTCTCAGCTTCTTCTTTGGCGAAGGCTGAGCTGAAATCTTCAGGCATGCTGGCTGAGCTTAAAGTCTGACCTCGGAGGAAGAGAAAAGATTACCCGCCAGCAAATCCACGCTAGCCACGTCTCGGTACTTTCGGGTCGTCTAAAAAATCCCAAATCGTCTTACCACCCGCACCCTCACATGTTCCCACCGTTCAGCCATGAACACCTTCAATTTACACCTCGATGGATTATTGCTCGGCCCGAATCCCTGACGTGGGTCCTGCTTCCCGAACACTGTATTTTTTCATGTAAATCTCTTTAGGTGCCGACCTGCCGCGCTGATTGATAGAGTGCTACTGATCTCCTAGATGGCGTTGGATTATCCTATTGTAGCCATGAAACCTGAATAGAGAAGCTTATTCAGAAATAATAGGGTATTGGCCTGTAGTTAGACTGCGACATAACCCGTAATTGAGATTTCATCTTCAACCCGAAACCAACCCGCACGTAGACCTCGCCATGACCCTCACCCGACCCTTACCTGCAGAGGGTTGCTTAAGGCTCATCCGCACTCACTCACAATCACCCGTCTTGCATAATCTTTTTTGGCCTTTCCTAATTTAGATGGAAAATTTTGATGACTCAGCTTATAAATTACTGTTACTTACAGCTGTTCTTGTATCGATATCTGATATATCGTCATTATCACTTGTTTTGTTGAAACTTCAGGAAATCATTAAGTATTATAATCAAATAAACCAGTAATATATTATTCATAGTGTTGCGAAATTTCAAATTACTTGATGGTGTATTTTATGTGGAGATAGTATGAATTAATTCTAAGATACGAAGTGTAGACATAGAAATATATATTTACGTTGACATCCATAATTACATTTCTACAGGAGCTATATCTCTCCATATGTCAGGAGGTTCAAGTATTGACTACTGAATATTCCTTCAAAATATATCTTTTCTAAATATTAAACTAAAATTTATATACCCCCCTAAATGCTAATTGTCCCTTTAAATATCAATAGTGCTCGAGCTACATAGCCTGTAGGTTCAACCAACACTTACCAGGATCCTACGATGATAAGGGTAGTCTACATAGACTTCTGCAAAGCCTATGGGCCGGCCCAAAGCTTAGCCTATAGTAGACTGCAGTCATTCCTATAGGATAGGGGTAAAATATGTAATTGTTTTATAGCTGCTGTTGTTGTATGGGCGGTAATAAAGGCGGTGCTTGTCATATATGAAGGTGGGGTAAATATAGGCCCAAAATGTAAAATATCTACTTGAGCTTTAGGACCGCTGTCGGACATTGTACTCGTGTTCGCCTAGTTGTCTTGGAGTACCGACCCGCTGAGATGAGAACGGTTGTCTAATGCCCGCACTATGCCCATAAATGTGACTGCTCAAGCCTTCAGTGGTTCCCGCAGCCGCCCAATCCAGACTGCCGGCGAACCCGATGTTAATGTGGATCAAGGGTCGGCTATTTTCCAATGCCATTCAATAACCTGTTATCTCTTAGACCTATTATGTCTTAGCGCATTGCTAGTGAATCTTCAAGGAAGGAATATTCAGCTAAGCCCCTAAACGTCCAACAGGCCGGTCGAATTGAAGCAGATACATAAAATGAATGCCCTTCGTGATGATGCGAGTCCGGGAAAATGTCAACACTATTATCTCTGCAATACCTATCAGACATGTTTCTCATGTCGCTGCCAAATTCAGACCATGATGTTGCCGTATCAGACTACCGTGCACTCTACGAGCAAATATGGAACACGCCTTCACCGACTCTGGAATTGGCCAGGTCACCACTGATGCAGCCTGCACCACCGACGATGACTCTCGAGGAACGGACGGCGCTCACATACCAAAGAGCAAGAGCCTTGGCGCACGCCCACAGTACGCTCTCCTCTTGCAATTAACTCTCATGCTTGCAATTAACTAATCTCGGGACTTGGATTTAGACTTGTCATTGAAGGATGTAGTTGAAATGACCCCAGCCTTCTGGAAACTTCACGTAGACATGCTCACCGCTATGGACGGCGGCGCCATCAACCTGCTTAGCGTCCAGTATAATCTTTTCGTCGGCACAGTTGCTCGATTTGCTGCCACACATCCAGAATTGCCGTCCATTATAGAGAAGGCATTAAGGGTTGACATCTCGTGCGTTCTCCACCTGGTTTCCTGCAGTCACATCTTGTTGACAAGCTTTAGATCACAATTCATGCTTACTGAGCTCGGACATGGCTTGGATGCTCGCAATCTTGAAACGACGGCGACACTTCTGCCCAATGGCGGCTTTGAATTACATACACCGTCTCCGAACGCCGCCAAGCAAGTGACCATATACTCCAGGTTTATCTACTCTGATACTGACAAAGCAATCCCAGATGCATGCCACCCAATACTCCACGCAACAGCCTCCCGACCATTGCAGTAGTAATTGCCCGTCTCATTGTCAAAGGAGAGGACCGCGGAGTCCGGCCGCTCCTGGTTCCCATGTCCGATGGCACCAAGATGTGCACAGGAATTACATCAAAGTAAGTATCAGCAATCAATCTCTATAGATACATCCATGACTGACAAAAGCGAGTATCCAGAGTTTTTCCACTCCGCCCGGGCGCGAATCCAATCGACCATGCCCTGACCTTCTTTGACCACGTACAACTCCCGCCTTCCGCGCTGCTGGGCAGCCTGGAAAAGCCACGCAACGAGCGCGACAACTTTCTATCCACCATCCACCGCATGGGCGCCGGAACCCTCTTCCTAGCCGGCGCGTGTATTCCATTAATCAAGATGGCCGTGTACAACGCCAGCAAATTCAGTTTCCGGCGCCACATCCTCGGACCTGACGGACAGCCGATGCCCGTGATCAACTTCCGGACGCAGCATCTTCCCATTTTGCACGCTATTGCGCGCGCCCATGTTCTGCAGGCGTTCTTGATTTACGCCGGGAGGCAATACTGCATTGAGGCTGATTCGCGGCTCCGCCATATCTTTGCAACGACGTTTAAAGCAGTTACGATTCATCACTTCAAAGATAGTCTCCAGCCTATCAATGAGGGCTGCGGCTGGCAGGGGTATTATGATCGCAATCAAATCCTCGCCGCCAGTGTAGGTCTTCTTCTTACCCCCGAAAAGAACCAATGCGCATTGCTAATCACCTTGCCTGATATAGCTGGAGTTCAACGCCGTGGCAACCGCAGAAGGCGACGTTCGAGTCTTAGCCATCCGTATGTCTAGCCCCAACTCTTTCACCAGTCCACTCAAGCTAATGCTCAATCCTCTATTCAACAGGTCTCGCCAGCGAGCTCCTAATCGGCCGCTATGAGGTCCCACCACCAGTGAAACCCAACAGCCCCGTCGCACGCCACGAAGCAGGTCTCTTCGCTGAAGCTCGGGAGTTAATGAAGCGCTTCAGCAACAAACACCGCAGCGAAGCTTTCAATCGCATTATTCTCCCCCTGTGTCTCCCCTTGGTCCTCGCGATCGGTTATCGTATGGCACTCGAGGCCGCTGAGAACGTCGGCATCGATCCCAAGCTCCGCGCCCTCTACGAAGCTGGAGTTCTCAAGGAGGATGCTGGCTGGTTCGCAGAGAAGGGCGGTATTAGCCGTGAAGAGGGGCGCACCATGGAAGCGCAGGCAGCTGATGCTGTCCTCCCGGAATTGCCGCGATTGGTCGAGGAAACTGGAGTCGAGCCGTATTGTACTGCCCCTATGACCTCACAGGCTTTATGGGATGGGTATCTTGGGGAGTTGGAGACGTTCTCGGGGGATGCTGTGTGGAAATTTGAAGAGATGAAGGCGCGGCTTTGAGAGTTGCTCTGTATACATGTGTTTGAGCGCCTTTGAATATCATAAGAGAGTCTTCTTTTAATATAGCTTAGTTCTGAGCTTGTATAGCTATGGTATATAGTCTGTGCCATAACCTGCAAATGGGTAGGTAAAGTCAACCCGCAACCCGAACCCGCAAAACCCATGGGTTGCTCAAGTCAACCCACAACTCGCATGCAGGTTAGATAGACTGACCCAAAACCCGACCCATAGGGAGGATGGGGCGGGTTCGGGTGCGGGTTTCTGTGGGATATGGTATCCCATCTCATGGTAAACGGCATCTGCCTAACTACCCCGTGCTGATTACCACATTCCTGATGTACTCCAGGCCGAATGGCAGATAGTAGTCATAGTTTCGAGTCCCACCTAGCCTGTGCCCAGACTTCCTTTTTCTCTTAGACCTCAACTCGGTTCTCGGGTGTCTTGTTCGCACCCAAAGCTCCGTTATGTGTCTAGCTTGGTATTGCTTAGTCTAAATGCCGAGATATATACAAAATCTATAATTCAGCCCACACTGCCTGGCCAGCACGTTAGTGATATCCCCACAAGGAACGCCATGTGTGCTGTCAAACATGTCAGTCTCACCAGCCAATAGGAATGCTTGGCTTGCTCGGTTATTCTCACCTTGGGAGCCTGAGCTAGTGGTGTTCAGCAGCGCCATAATTTACGTATCTAGCGAGGCTAATACTGATCAGTCCGTCGCCGTGTTTGAACACCAGTTCGAGCCAGTGGTGGGGCTGAACTGAAATTTGAGGTAGCCACCTGTGCTTCAACTGGCATAGAGAACACACGGAGTCGCCGGAGCTACAGCTGAGACTTGCCAGAGCGGGGATGGGCGCCTAGAGGATATAATGGAGAGGATGGACTTGAATTAAATGATGGAAGCCTAATTGCGCTGCAAAAATGGGTGAGCTCGTCAGTCGTAATCGCGACGCGTCGCACACGATGACCAAGAACACCATGAACGTCTTCGGTACAATAACAGACTCGGGGAAAGAACCACTCTTAGGAGGAATATGCGGGAAGCGCTTGATGCCCCATGTCATCGACGCAACGGCTATCGCGACGCCAGATGTCGCATGCATGTTCGTCCCCCGGACTCCCGGCAACTCTCGCAATGGCTGGAAGCCTGTGAGCTGGGCGCAAGTCGCGAACGCCGTCAACTTCGCGGCTCATATGCTGATCGATCGAGCTGGGAGGCCAACGCCGGGCACTTTCCCTACGATTGCGTATATCGGGCTTGAAGACCCGCGCTATGTGCTCTTTCTCATGGGCGCCATTAAGGCCGGGTACAAGGCTCTGTTTATCTCGCCGCGAAATTCCGTTGCGGCACAGGTTCACCTGTTCAACAAGACGGACTGTGATATCCTATACCACGAAGAGACGTTGGCAGCGATGGTAAAGCCGTGGGTCGCCGGACGGCCCGGATTGAAAAGCATCGTAATTCCTCCTTGGGATGAGTGGGTGAACACGACTGTCGCCCCATTCCCGTATACAAAGACCTTCGACGAGGCCGAATGGGACCCTTTTGTGGTCCTCCATACGAGCGGTAGCACGGGTCTACCCAAGCCAGTCATTATCCCCCAGGGCTCGTTCGCCCTGAACGACCTGCATCGTTATGTTCCCGAGTACAAGGGTAACCTGCCGTGGTTACCGACATGGGGAAAATTCGATAACCCGCGATACCTTTGTACCTGTCCTCTGTTCCATACCGCAGGTATCGCACCCACGGTTCTGTCAGGCTTTTACTACAACACTCCTGTTGTATTCCGCGATCCGTTGGTTCCTTTCACGGGGGATAACGTGGTGGAGTGGTTGCAGAACTGCGGCGCGACCTATACTGTCCTGCCCCCGGTCATTCTGGAGCAGATGTCGCGGTCACAAGTAGCGCTCGATGAGCTGAAGCAGTTACAAGTTGTGGCCTTTGGAGGAGGTGTGTGAGCTAAAGTGAGATATTCAAGTGCGTCCCAAACCTAACTAAGCCCTATGTATAGGCCCAATCGCGCCCGCTGCAGCGGCCTCCCTGCTGAAGAACGAAGTCAAGCTAGTCAACGCCATCGGGGCAACTGAGTACATCTACATGCCGTACTACACGCAACCAGACTCATCTCTCTGGGAGTGGTTTATCGTCCCGACACAATTGTTGGGTATCGAGTGGCGGCCCTTTGGTGAGGACACATTCGAGCAAGTCTTCATTCGGCAGAACAAGGAGCATCCGGGTGTGCAGGGGTGCTTTTATGTCTTCCCTGAGCTAGACGAGTATAGTACGAAGGACCTCTACCGCCCGCATCCGAGTTTACCAGACCACTGGACCTACGTGGGTCGCGCCGACGACATTATCGTCTTCTCCACCGGCGAGAAACTCAACCCTACCGCCATCGAAGGAGCGGTGATCGGACATCCGGGGGTTTTAGGCGCGCAAGTCGTCGGTGCGGGACATTTCCATGCTGCACTGCTGATTGAGCCGGCGCAACATCCGGCAAATGAGCAGGAGAAGCAAAAGTTACTCGATGATGTTTGGCCGGTCATCGAGAAGGCCAACGTGGAGACTGTCGCGCATGGTCGCATTTTGCGTGACTATGTCTTTTTGTCTGACCCAGCGCGACCCTTCCCGCGTGCCGGCAAAGGAACCATCCAGCGCGCCATGGCTACAAAGCTCTACACAGATGACATTTGCCGCATCTTTGAGTGTAGCTCCGAAACTAACAGCGCCTCAGCTGCTGCTGTGGAGCTCGACTTTAGCTCAGAAACAGCCCTTGCAGATGGGATCCGGACATTGGTGCAACAGGCCTTGAAGTTGCCTGCACTCGACGTTGATGATGATTTCTTCACTGTGGGCGTCGACTCGCTCCAGGTTCTCCAACTAGCACGGGTGCTGAGCGCTAGTGTCAAGCAGACCATTGAAGGAAGGAGTATCTACAGCCACCCAACCATCGCCAAGCTCAGTTCCTTCATTAATTCTCTAGCCGAATCTAATTCGAATGGAACTGCAGCCACCAGCACTGTGGCCGACACCCTGGCCCTATGCTCAGCACTTGTCGAAAAATACACGCAGAATCTCCCTTCCTCAACATCCGACAAGCCCCTTCCCGCCGCTACAAAACAAACCATTATCATCACTGGCACAACTGGAGCTCTAGGCTGCTACCTCCTTGACCTCGCCCTCGCAAGCCAGGGCATCACAAAGATTATCTGCTTCAACCGAACGTCTGACGCACGCGAGCGCCAAATCGCAGCAAGCAGCTCCCGCGGCCTGTCCACCGACTTCTCACCATCCCGCATCGAATTCCTCACCGTTGACCTTTCCTCCTCAGCTACATTCAACCTGCCCGACGAGATCGCAGCTCGCCTCATGAGCACAGTCGACCGCATCATCCACAACTCCTGGCCCGTGGACTTCAATCAATCCATCGCGTCCTTCGAACCACACCTCCTTGGCATCCGACACCTCAGCGACTTCGCAGCTGCCGCCGCCAAATGTATCCCTATCACCTTTGTCTCGTCCGTAAGCACGGTCGAGCAATGGCCCGAGTCAAGCCTCATCCCCGAACAACCCCTCTCAGATTTTAGCCACGCCTCCCAGATGGGCTACGGCCAGTCTAAACTTGCCGCAAGCCTGATCCTCGATGCGGGCGCGACAGTCTCGTCCGTGCCACGGAATATCATCCGCGTAGGACAAGTCGCCGGCCCCCGGGCCGAACAAGGCCAATGGAACCCGCGCGAGTGGCTTCCGACTCTTATCCGGAGCTCAGTATTCCTCGGCTTCCTGCCTAGTCAGCTTGGAGTGCTGGGTAATTTGGGCTGGGCGCCTGTGGAGGACATCGCAGGTGTTATTTGGGAGATTGCTACCGGCCAAGATGGTAATGGCGGATACTTCCATGCGGTGAATCCGAACCTTCCAGACTGGGGGGGTGTTATTGTGCCCGCGGTCATGGAGTTCTATGGAAGCCGGATTGAGCGCGTTGTGAGCTTGCAAGAGTGGGTGGAGGCGTTGGAGAAGAGCGCAACTGGCGAGGTCGATTTGGAGAAGAATCCCGGTGTGAAGCTTTTGGATACGTATCGTCTTGCTGTTCTTGCGTCTACGAAGGTGACGGATGGTGAGGCGGCTAGTGGAGGCTTTGCAACGGAGCGGACGGAGAAGGCGAGCAAGACTATGCGCCGGATGGAGCCGGTGACGGGGGAGTTGATGAAGCGCTGGTGTAAGCAATGGCAGTTCTAGAGTAGTTCTAAATATGTTACGACACGTCTAGGAAGACCTATACGAGAGGGGCCAGAGCCCAAGAGTATAGGCAGAGGAGTATACTTCTACATGCGAAGGGCCCTAACGGAGTTGGGCCGGAGAAGGGTTAACCCGGTATGCCGGTGATCCGCTTAGCTAAGCCGCGCAACAGAAGTAGCACGGCGGGAGAGCTGCATAACAGCTCTCCAGTGATTATATTACCATCAATCCAGACAGCAGCAGTACAGGGGTACGCTGTGCCGTGTTATCAACCCATCCATCCAACTCCCTAAGACCCTGGTCTTAACAAAATTATAATATACTTAAATACTTTTAATATAATATACTATAATCTACTTTTTTTTCCCTATACTAAAGAATCCTACCCTAATTATAATATAGTATATTATAATTACCCCTATAAGTTAGGGTGCTTAAAAGATAAATTAGAAATATATTGAATTTTCAGCTTTATACAGGCCTAGAAGATAATTACAATATACTCGAATACTTTTAATGAAATATACTATAACCTACTTCTTTTTCCCTATACTAAAGAATCCCACCCTAATTATAATACAGTACATTATAATTACCCCTATAGGTTAGAAACCAGTCGGAAACGGACTCGTACCTGATATTCTCAGATGGAAATGGTGACTTTTTGTTGAGTACTTCAGACCGCTCTTTCTATACTCTTTTTGTTGTTTATCGTTTTGTTCTTTTATCATATACAGCGCCCAGATCAATCAGCTCATATTTTACTCGCCCTCTTCTTTCTCGCATTAGACACCAGACGAGCCGGAAGGTGCGCTCTCATAATCTTGCCCGTGGCATTTTTGGGCAATTCTGCCAAGTAGAACAGCCCACCTCGAAGTTTCTTCGGAGATGATACAACGTCGTCGACACTTTTCTTAATTTTTTCCAACAAGTGGTCACGGTCACTAAAGGCCACGGAGTCACGGAGCTTGACGTATCCCACTGGAATATCAGTCTGTTGCGATTCGTCAAAGTAGCCGCAGACAGCCGCTTCGAGAACGTCTCCATGAGCTGCCAGAAGATTTTCGAGCTCGGCGGGAGCCACCAAGTTTCTGTAATATGGGCATTAACAATAATGAAGGAGACTTGACTAACGCCTCTGCTTACCCTTTATACTTGATCATCTCTTTTTGACGATCATGGAACCAGAGAAAGCCGTCCGAATCCATGCTCAGGATATCTCCGGTTCGGAACCATCCCTTGTGAAATGCCTCCCGTGTACTAGCCAAATCGTTTTTGTACTCCCTTTTTCCAAGCCAGTCAGCAAATACAGCAAAATTTCATCAGATGTAACCAACATGAAAAGGGTGGGGCCTCGAACGAGTGCCTCTCCAGCGTGGCCGGTTGGCACATCTTGCAACTTTTCATCCACGATGCGCAGTTTACTAAATGAATCAGGGACTTTGAATGCAATATTGTCTTAGCAAGTCAACTTACTTGCCTGGAAACAATCTTCCAACACTTCCAGACTTCTCAGATGAGCGTGCTCCTTTCAAGATTGAAACCCCAATTTCACTCAGACTATGATCAACATCAGCAAATGAGCGACTTTCAAGGAATCGACAGAGGATAGCTTGGAAACATTGCCTCGGTGTTGAAATGGAATATGGCTCACCCATAGCTCTGAATAATAGCGCAACTCTTCATGATCTCCTGAAGTCTCCTCACAATTTGCGCCTGAAGTGTCGCGCCCGTACACAAAATATGTCTTACATTGCTGAGATCATGCTGCTCAATGCTGCGATCTTTTGCGATAGCCACTGCTGTGGCAGGAATCATTTTCATTATTGTAACCCGGGCTTTTGCGCAGGCTTGGATATAAGTCTCATAGTGGAAGCGTTCCAGGATTACAGCGTAGCAGCCTAGGAATGCGGGCTTCAAGACTGCGCCGATAAATCCGAGCATGTGGCATACTACCCGATATCCTTGGTTAGTCCCCCGAACGATTCTAGTCAACTTTGAGGGTAAGTGGTCTGACGTACAAGGTGCGTACACTACCTCTCTTTCCAGACAGCTGTTTTGCTCGGGAAGAGTGATTCGAGGCTGTAGGACATGCGCAATGATGCTATAGTGGCTCCAAATTACGGCTTTGGGCTTACCACTTGTACCAGAGCTGAACATGATTGATGCGGGGCATTGTCGATTGTCTTTTCCAGATAGATCAAATGGCGCACATGGTGGGAGGCCCTTTCGAGACTATATTTGTTAGATTTGATTTGAATTTAGGTGATATATTCGATGCATTGGATTCACCATATTCGTGAAAAGCTCATCGAGGTCGAGAACCATCGAATCCACATCCTTGACTCTGGATACGGCTTCTTCCATCTTCATCCGCAATGCGTGATTGGTAATCACGGCCGATGGTCGAGAAATCTTCAGATAATGGACGAGATCCTGAACTGATGTCAAAGCATTCATTCCTCTTTTTCAGGAGAAGATATAATGTTCCGTCAGATATTATACAACTGAAATTCAAAAGTAGCACTCACGCGATCACACCCCCAAACCACATCACTGAATGCGCAAGAATTGGATATTGGACAGAATTCGGGGCATAGATGGCGACAGTGTCACCGGTGCTCAATCCCAAAACTGTTGTGAAATATGCGGCCATAGTCGCAGCTTCATTACGTAGCTCGCCATAGGTAACTTGTCTGCCTCCAGGGGATATACCTTCCAAAATAACCTTCGTCTCTGGTACATCCTCAGGGTTATATTTCTGAAGCAATTGAGACAAAGAAAGATCGGGTGGAACATGGAAGTCCGGATGAATTGATTCGTAAATCTGAGAATCCATGATGTCCGATGAGCAAATATGAGAAGGGTTTGTGAGATCTAGTGGCATTTTAGGATTCTGAAATCTCCCTAGACCGCCTTGATAAAAAAATTGACGATCGTGGAACTGAGGTATCATTGTATTATGGAAGTTTCGCAGATCAAAACGTCGTTCCATTCGGTAATGGTACTGATTTGTTACGGTACGGACTAGTGCTGTTGGGGACCTGGGAAATATCAGGTATGACACAACGAATACAACCTATTTTACTTCCGCCTCTTCTGCCCTGCTATGTTTCATGAATCTTTCATGTCTGTACCATAAAGCATCAGAGCCCACCGCTTGATCTGGTACATCGCTAAACACGAAGTCTTGATTGTTTTGAGGGTTCATTGATAGATACAATCATCATCAAAAGGCTAACTGGGGACACTCCTATCCACAAAGCTCATCACTTTATTACCCGTCGAGCTGCGGACAAAATCGTCACCGTGTCCTACAAATTTCACCTTGAACAGGTGTTCGCTGTTTGCCACAACAACAAAGAGAGCTTTCAGCTTGTCGATCAAATGTGCCTCGGATATCTGATTGGCCGTCACAACGGTGGAGCGCAATACACGAACCTCCAAGATGACCTCCGGAGACGGTTCTTTTACACTCAAGATCAACTGCCACTGCAACACACCCCATTCTGCTGTGCCCATGATCTCCCTGATAGTGCGAAATTCGAAGTACCTCCCCACCCACTTGAAACTGAACCGTTTATCGCGTCCCCGCATCCGGATCATTCGCAGGTGCTGAGATTCTTTCACAGGTATGGCGGCCTTTGCAGCGGCAGGCAATGGGTGAATTGATCCCACATCACCAGTTATATAGCGTACAAGCGGGTTTCTCAAGCGCTGCAGGGAAGTTTGAACAATAACACCCACGCTTCCCTCTGGGAGCTCAATCAAATCCTCAGAAGACCCTCTAGGTGATTCTGTGGCTTCCAGAGGAAGGATCTCGATGATCATCGTGCGCGTATCATAGATGAACTCCACTGCATCATCATCTGGCTCGCCGGTAAGTGCCAAATTGGCAACTGCCCAGGGTCCAGCCTCAGAACTACCTAGCACAGAACAGATCTTCAGGGGACCAAGAACAGACCGAATGAAATCCCGCTGGGGTCGACCGAGCGCTTCTGAGGTATATATTATCTTGTCGATTTTCAGCGCATTACGCTGTTCCTCGGTCGCGGATGAGGCAATATAATTCAGGATCTGCAAGATCTGACTACTTCCTCCACTAAGAACGTTCACTCTGTATTTGATGAGCGCGTCAACGACATTGGCAACGGGAGTTGTATGTCCGGCTGCAAGAACACTTCCACCTGCATTTTCGAACATCTCCGACAAGAGATCAAGAGACCGGTAAAAGCCTCCTGTAACGTGCACTGTCAAGATCCAATCCCGAGGGTCTACCAGTCCGCATGTTTTTAGGAATCTGCCAGCGGTGTATCGGTGCTTCCGATTCTCGGTTGTATCCGTCAAGAAGAGCATTGGCACGCCTCCAGATCCTCCGCCGGTAATGCTGCTGTAAACACTTCGTCGGAAGTCATTTTGCGGGCAATCATCCGCGGAGAGGCGCTGGATTACAGTATATCTATGATCCAAAGTTAAATCAATTAGTCATTTTTATCATCCCGAGGTCATGATATTGGGTATCACCGGGTTTTGTATCTTACAGATCTTCTTTATGTGTAAGCGGTAGCCTGGTAAGCTCTGGAGCTGCTGTCGCAATAGGATCGATTAGCCCGGCTATTTCTTCGGCATCGGGTGGATATCGAATCTCAGGATTGTAAAACGGATGTTTGGACGCTACAGAGAGAATTTCTCGCAAAGAGTAGTAAGAATCAGGCATGGTGGAAGGTTGCTCGCGGGGATAGTAATGTGAAATTCCTATTGTGTCTACCACAGTCTTGAAATACGTATTTTGCCACCGGAAATTGCCAGATCAGATTTCAGAGAGCTAATGACATGAATCAGGACTTCTTTTCTTCACTTGCCAAGCTCATAAGTCAGCCTGTGGGGCGAGATCGGCTTAAACCTTGCGCCAAGACCAATATTTCGGCGAATGGATCCCTGTGGGACTAGTATTACATTTACAAGGCCGAGAAAACGCATCGGTATTTAATCTTCACGCT